CTTTCAGCATCTGAGAATGTGCTGCTATTCATAACTTCCAAGGAAATTGAATCATTGGTATTCTCAATGTCATCCGCTAGTTCAAGTAATACCACCCACCAATAATGAGTTTTGATATAATCTTCCTTTGGTGATTTTGTTGGTGATGTTTTTTGAATGATGTTGTTGATACTTGATTGAATTTTGAAACGTAATATCTGGTTATATTTAGTGTGACTATCCAAAAACAAATCCTGGAAAATTTTAGCTCTTCGGTGTTGGAGTTGAGACTTTAAATCAATCATTGAGAAACCGCCTTTGTTGTTGTGTGTCTTGAGTGTGTCCAAAGAAATAGGTGTATCTTGCTTGACCAATAATTTAATCGATGTGTCAATTTGATTCAACTGATTGGGTAACAAAGGTTGGTGTAGTTCTTTGTAATAGAACTTGGATGCAATATATGTGTTGAATGCTTCTATTTTTGATTGAATCAGCAAGCTGGTCATGTTTGATAACTTGTACTTGATATAGAGGTCACGCTGCAATGTTTCCGGCCAAAATGTCACTGATGGCCCAATAGTTATCCCCAAATATGTCAATTGAAAGTTTTCATCAGCAATCTCAAATGGGAATGGTGTCAAAAATGGATAAGTATCAGTTGGTATGATTAGTTGGGATTTCTTTTCATTGAGTTTGCTGCCACTGAATTTTTCAAATAGTCTAATACATTTCATTGTTTTGGAATAATCTCTTTTATCTTTGAGGAAAACTGTGATATCATCAGCAAAAGCAAGATAATGTTGACTGCTATATGCTTCAGGTATCAAATCTCCTTGGTAACTATGGCCTCTGGTATTCTGTTTGATAGATCGTAGTAAAGGTTCTACTGCTAATGCAAATAATGAAGGGGAAAACGGATTACCTTGGAGGGTACCATTTTTTAAATTGAATAATGGGCCGGTCATGTTGTTGATGTATAAGGATCCCGTTGTCTGCTTGAGGATGTTGATGATTAACTTGGCTAATTTTTTTCCAAAATTTAAATGGGACAATAGTTGTTCCATATATTCGTGAGATATCCTATCGAACGCTTTCTCCAAATCCACAATTAGTATCAGCTTTTGTGGATTTGGTATTATATGCGTTTTATCTTTTGGATGAATTAGACTATCTAACATTTCTCTGAAAATGGTGATGTTGGAGAACGATGACCGGCCTGAAATAAAACCAGCTTGATCTTCCCCTATGATATCAGGCAAGTGCTTCAACAACCTATTATTAATTATTGTGGATAATAATCGAAGATTAGTGTTGATAAGGGCTATCGGCCTATAGTTTCCAATGTTTTCTTTTGACTTTCCAGGCTTTGGTATGATGTTAAAGAGTATAGTTCGGTAGTGGAATGGTAAATTTCCTTCAGTTAGAATGTGGTTAAATTCTTGAAGAAGGATGTGTTTGATTTGGGGAAATAATTCCTTATAAAATTTGTATGGGATTCCATCTCTTTTTTTTTTTTTATAAAGTCCCTATATTTAACTACTAAGAGCTATATAGGTCATCGCACTTTTTATGTACGGTTATTATGATCAATTATGCGCAGCTATGGCGACTTATTTGGTGTCCGTTTTCTCCCAATATTTTTGGTAACCCGGGAGTTTGGGTTGGAAAATGCAATGTTTTTGACTTGTAGCAACCTGTCACTATTTTTTTTTTAGCCAGGGAGGAGGAAATCTTCGAAAGACACCAGCGACGCAACCTTACCGGTAGTGTGAGATTTTTACTCACTAAAACCCCCTTGTATCTTACCTTCAGAGTGGTATTACTCCTTACTCAGTTAGCGTACTGAACGTGACCTGGTGGTTAATGCCGCGAGCGGGGTTCGAACACGCGACCCTTTCTTAGTCTATGGTTCTGCCCACTACGCCACCCAGCGCATCTTTTTTTTTTTCCTTCAAAGTTCGATTTATTAATAAATATATAATTATATATATCTATGTAAAATCTTATAAGCTAATGCTCATTATATATGTTAGGGAAAACCATATCATATGGTGAAAAACCCTTTAGTGATAATTATTAGTATTTAAATAAAATGTCTTTTTGTTATTGTTTTTGTTAATTTTTTTTTTTTTTCTTTTTTGTTTTGATCGACTATTCAGCTCCCAGTAGTAATGATATAAATCAAGTTGTTAATTGATGTGTTCCAATCAATTTGGTTATGATATCTTAGGCGTGAGAGTTTGCGTTGATAGCATAGATAGCGGTCGATCTTTTTGATTGTTGATTCTGAATGATTGGGAGCGATTAAGTTATTCCATGCTAATGGAATTGGGATTTTCAATCTTGACCATAACTCGGTTGATAATGGGCATTGAATTAGGAAATGGGTCATTTTGATCTTGACTTGGAGTTCTGGTGATTCATGTTGTTGGTCTTGAGAGACGGTTTCGAGCCCGCAATAGTGACATTTTCTATGTTGGTAAAAAAATTGTTCAGCACCTAAGTGGAATATGTGTATGTTTTCAAAGTAACCAGGGCTATTATGTTGGTATTTGTGGAGTCTCTTCCAGAAAGAGTTTTGTTTCGTTTGGGTGACTTCTTGGATATTGGTTAAAGTGGTGGATAATTTATGTTTATCAATTCTGGCTCTTTTTTTCTTGCTTCCCTGTTTGTGTTCAAACTCCATGACCAGTTTTGGGATCTCCATTTGATAGATAGTTGGTATACCGTCTTGAATGGACTTGGCAAGGTCTGAGTGTTTGATATTCATTGGGCTCAATGTTTGTTGTTGAGATATTGGTTTGGACAATAATTTATACCAAGCTACAAAAGCACATTTTTCCGCTGTGGTAAACATTGGAAGATTTATAACCTGGTTGAGTATGGACCTGCTTTCTCTCTTATTCTTGATATTGATCTGGTCACCCAATATTAACCGCCACCAGTATTGGGTTTTTATATATCCTTGTATCGACTGCTCTTCCTCGGATAGATTTTGTTTGATGATCATGTTTATTGCTAGTTGGAGCTTGAATCGGAGTAACTGGCAATATGGGTTTAAAGATTGGAGAAAGAGTTGTTGAAAGATTTTTGCCTTGCGGTAGCTCAATTGGCTTTTGATATCCACCATGCCATATCCTCCTTTCAATGGGCTTGTTTTTAAAGTGTCCATGGAGATTTTCAGTTTTTTGTTCACCTGGTTTTTGATGGATTGTTCTAGCAAATCTATTTGGTCTGGAAGCATAGGTGCATGAATCTCGTGGTAATATAGCTTAGACAAGATATATGTGTTATATCCGACTATTTGACTTGATATTGGTAGTGAACTCATGTTGGTCATGTAATATTTGGTGCTGATGTCTTTTTGGAGAGTATTAGGCCAGGTTTGACTCGAGTTCCCAATTTTAACGCCTAGATATTGGGTTTCATAATTATTGTCAGCAATATCTATTTGGAAGTCGGACTGGAATGGTATTTGATCGCATGGAACAATTAATCTGGATTTGCTTTTGTTTAATTTAGAACCACTGACTTGTTCGAACGCCTGAATTATCTTCATAGTGTTTTTGAAGTCATTATGATCTCTCAAGAATAAGGTAACATCATCTGCATAGGCAAGGTATTTGACTCTGGGGATGATGTTTGGTTGGATCTTATGGTTGTAACTGAATCCTTTATTTAATCTTTGGATGGCTCTTAGAAAAGGTTCAAGGGCTAACGCGAAAATTGTTGGTGAAAGTGGGTTGCCCTGAAGGGTTCCGTTTCTTAATGGGAAAGAAGGGCCTGTAATGTTATTTAGGCAAATGGTTCCGAGGGCTTTGGTAAGGATAGCGTGAATAGTTTCCGTCATTTTTCCAAAATTGAGTTTTCGAAGTAATATTTTAAGGTATAGATGGGAAATCTGGTCAAAAACCTTTTCAAAGTCAGCAAGCATGATTCGGTGGTTAGTAGAATGATTGACATGTGGCTTGTCTTGTGGGGATATTAAACTGGAAAGCAAGTCACCGAAAATTGTTATATTAGAGAAGGAGGATCTTTCAGGTATGAAACCAACTTGATTTGGGCCGATAATTTTTTGCAAGAACGGGAGCAAACGGGCGTTGATCTCTGGTAACCAGGATACAATCTAACCATGATCCCATAACATAACACATTTCATCAAGGCACGGTGGCCGAGTGGTTAAGGCGAAAGATTAGAAATCTTTTGGGCTCTGCCCGCGCAGGTTCGAGTCCTGCCCGTGTCGTTATTTTTTGTTCAGGTCATTGATATTTTTTTTTTCGCTGTTGAAAATATCACTGCAATAATACCATTCATCAACAATCTTGTCAGGACATCGTTATCTTAGAAAAGCATATAGTTAGAATGTAGAGAAAAACAACTGAGAAGAACTTTGAACGCACACAACAACTACCTTAACGTAAAGTCTGCTAACTCCGACACTAACCCTTCCGCTAGTGTTCCTGAAGGATCACTACAAGACGTAGATTTAGGTCTTAGAAGATGTTAGAATTGATTGTGAAATATTTTTTATGCAAGTAGTATAATATGAGTGGAAAATATTTATTATTGGCACTGATTCGCTTGTAGCTGTTGCAAAACGTGAGAAAAAACCTATACATTTTGGATCTAAATTGCTGCATCTATAGTATAATTTACTAAACTCAGGGATTTCTGAATCGTTTTAAGGCCCTATAGGTACATTCCCCTATTTTTTATTTTCCAGACTCATAAATACCTTCAGATTTTAGGAGATTTCGAATGATTCTCAAGTTTGATGTTGATTCAACCCAAATAATCACAATAATGACTCAGCTTTTATATTTTAGATCGCACAGATGATTCATGCATGCTGAGAGGACGTTACAGTGCTGCTAACGAAATCGGAAAATCCAAGAAAATTTTTTTCCCAAAATTCGTCCAAAGAAACCTAGTCAACCCCAGATTTAACTTGATACGCCAAAGATTTCAGGTAGGCAGACCACTCGAATAAGAACAGAATAATATTATTTTGTCCTAGAAGATGTCTGCAGAACAAGGGGCTTCTTCATCTGAGAATGCCATTCCAGAATCCACTATTCCAAATCCAATCGCTATCGAAATTGCTTTGCCGGCAAATGAACAATCGAGTGTGATTAGTTTCCAAAGTAGTGCCAATGAAACTATTGATTCAATTAGCCAAAACATCACTATTATGCCATCTACTTCCCACTTGACTTGTTTCAATCTTGTGTTGCCAGGCTCAAAGGTTCCATTGGATGAAAATGTTACTATGGAGGAACTTTTGCAAGATGAAAGTGAAGGAGTGAAATTGGAATTGGTCGAAAAGAATTATACTTTGAAGACCGTCAGGGAACACGTCATGAAGATCAGAGAAAACTGCGGGCTTTTACAGTTTGACAATTCTGATCCTTTGGGGGTTGAATATTCTGGGATTGATTCTGGTAGTACCAAATTCTCTGAATTGCACTTCAACGAGAAGAAATTCGAAAAGACTGTTGATGAAAAGACTGAAGGAGAAAAAGATGACGCTCCACAAACTGAAAGCTATAAACTTACCAATGAAGATAAGAAAGAGTTTGAAACTCTCAAGTCTGCTATTGTCGAAGGATCCGATGCTTCCGCAGAAGACTTATTGATAACTAAGAACCCTGCCCAATTGAAACCAGCTTTGAAGAACATGTCTTTGTCCGGCTGGAATCCAGTTTCCTCTTATAGCAAATTGAACGAAGGACACTTATTATATTTACAAGTCCAAACATTAGAAGGTGACAATCATCACATCACTGCCACTATTAATGGATTTTACTTGAACAATTCTTCTAACTCCAGATTCGACCCAAGTTTGAAAACCAAGAATTTGCCACATAAGAAGTTGGCTGCTCAAGGTAACAAGAAGTTCCATTCTTTATATAACTTGATACAACTTTTGTCCGAGAAATTCAATGAAGTTGAAGAATCCAACAGAGATTTGCTCATGAGCACTAATCCATTGAAATTTTTGATTCCAACTAACTCATTCCTTTCTAATCCATGGATTGCCGACCGCCCAAGCTACAACCAACAACCTGACTTTGGTAAAACCCAAATTCAATTCCTTGTTGGTGGTTCTGATAGCGGTGATTTGTTGCGTTCTTGGAACGATGACTACCAACAGTTTATTGACTTCCCAAAGGCCAATTTAACTGAACGTATTGCCCGTGAACGTTTGCTCAACAAGACCGGATTTGAATTCGCTACTGCTGCCACCAAGACCGCCGTGGCTATCATTAATGGTGATATTCCAGCTTTGGATATCTCCGAAACCAATTTAAAAGATAAGATTTTCCTTAGAAACAATATTTTCTATTCTTTTGCCATTGATTCAAGCAACCAATACGCCAATGCTGGTGGTGAAGAAGCTGCTCGTTATGCTGCTAAGAAGGATCTCGTGGCCATTAAGAAGTTGAATAACTTGGATGATGGGAAAGTGAAATATGCGATGACCACCATTGTTGATTACGCTGGTTACCGTGTTGTTTGTCAAGCTCCAATTCCAGGGGTTTTCAACCAGGTCATCCCATTACAGGAAGAAGACTTTGACGAAAATGGCCAATTAAAATCCGAAGAATTGTCATCTCGTATAACTGAAAAGGTTGCCTATGGCTTTGGCGATGAATTTAACAAAATTAATGACACCAAATTATTCGAAAAATCTTTCAAGACAATTAGTGATTACTTCCATTTGAAAAAACACACTGTTTGGTCACAATCTGCCGAAGGCGAACATAGCAATGTTACTGAATTGGTTACTTCTTTGGATACCAAGGGTCTTAAGGGTAGTGACGATAGATTGTATATCATTGATATGTACAAAACTACTCCATTGGATATCAAATTCATCGAAGAAAATTGCGATGAATCAAAGGAGGATAGCTATCCATTCAGACAAGTGTTGTTGAGACATGAATTGGTTGATGAATGGTTCAGAAGAAACGTTGCCAAAGAGATCAAGGCTGAAAGTGAAAAGTTGAGCGATGAAGATAAGAGTCAAGAAGATGGACCTAAGATCACCGTCGATGCCGCAAAATTCACTTTCAATCCTGACGCCTTTTCCCTTAAGGGCAAACCAGAGGATCTCAGTGCTGAGCAACTTAAAGAAGTCAAGGAAGATGAAGATTGTGTTAGACAACTTGGTGATTTCTTGCACAATACCATCATTGAAGAATTTTTGGCGGATGTTTTCACTGGAAAGGCTATGGTTCCGTTAGATGGTGAACACTTAACTGAAACTTTACACAAACAGGGTATCAATTTACGTCATTTGGGATTGTTAGCCAAAAAGATCTTGGAATCTAAGGCGGAAACTGAAGAGAAAAGAAAGGTTGAATTGGAGCAAATCGCAAAGGATAATGAATTGAAAGAAGAAGAAGATAAGAAAAAGGAGGCTGCTAAGAAGGAAAAGGAAGCTCAAGAAAACGATGAATCAAAGGAAACCACTGAAGAGGCTGAAGAAGCTGAAGAAGATAATTCCATCTTTGACATGAACAAGGCTGCTGCTGCTTATAACAGTTTCTACAAAGTCATTGTTCAAGAAGTGATTGCTAGAACTTCTAAGCACGTCTTACGCTCTTTGACTGATGTTGCTGGTATTGAATTCGCTCCATCAATCGTTTCTCACTTTTTAAACCTCTTATTTGGATTTGAAATCAACAGCAAACCAGAATTCAAATTGCAAGGATTTTTGGAATCTGCTTATGACTTGTCATCTCCAGAATTGGCCGCTTTGAATGAAAAATTGTCAAGCTTGTCAACCTGTGACGCTTTGATTGCTTTAGTTTCCAGAGAAGCTTTCAAGAGATTCAGATTGGAATTATCTGTCGAAACTATTAAGAAATTCATTGCTTTTAACCCAATTTCTTTACTCAGAGAAATTTCCATGAAATTTGGTATTCAATTACTCGCTAAGGATTATGCTTTTGATGAAGCTACCTTCGAGAAATTTGCCGCTGCAACTGCCGTGCAACCTGCTACCTCTTCTAATGCCCCAGTTTCAAACTCCAAAGCTAAGAAGAACAAGAAGAAGAATAATGCCACAACTCCATTAGCCCAAGACATTTCAAAGCCTCAAAACACCATTTTCACTCCATCCAATGTTCTCAATTTGGTTCCAAAGATCAATGATTGTACCTTTGAATCATCACTTGCCCAGGAAATTTTGAACACTGGCCGTGAATACATTTACAGCACTATTCCACCAAGCACCGAAGAAGACGCTGAAAAGGCCGCTAAACAACGTGAGGAAAACGTTAACCTCGGGGTCTCCTTGGTTCTCGAATCTCTTTCTTTGCAAGAACAAGTCTACGGCAGTATCCACCCTAAGATCGCTGAGATTTGTAGCACTTTATCCAACATTTACGCCGAAATTGGCCAGGTTGAAGTGGCTATTGATTATGCTAAGAGATCTTTGATTGTCGGTGAAAGAGTTTACGGTATTGATTCATACAAGGTTGTATTGTCTTTATTGAACTTGGCATTCCTTCAAAACATCAACGGTAGCCAAATTGCCTCTATTGAAACTTATCAAAGAATTTTGGACATTTTGAAACTCAAGAGTAACAACAGTATTGACAAGGAAATCAGTGAAGAAGACTGTTTGTTGGCCTCCATGCATCCATTGAACACCACCGTTATCAGCAACATTGGCTTCATTTACAGTAGCTTAGGCTTGTTTGAGAACAATATCGACTTGTACGGCAAGGCTATTGAATTGAGTGAGAAATTTAACGGTAAAGAATCTAATGTTACCATGATTTTGAGACGTAACTTGTCACAATTATATCTTGAAAGTGGCCAATTCAGTTCAGCCCTTAGAGAATATAACAAATTGAACCATTTGTTGAAAAAGAACGTTGGGTTGAGACATCCTATTACCAAAGAATCTTACTTGTGGATGGAAAGATTAGTGAGATACACCTATGAAACTGGCAAGTACAACAAAATGGCTCAGCAATCCAAGGCTAAACAATCACAAACTTTACAAGCACAAACTTCACAAGCACAACAACAGCAACAACCTGCTCCATCCAAGAAGAAGAACAAGAAGAAGAAGAAGAAGACCACTTAATTTTTTTCTCTTCGGGTTTAGAATGGATATAGATATTTATTTGATCATGTATATAGGCATTTTTTTTGATTATGTATAAATAATCACACGCCAGAAAAGAAAGGCAATTTGTTTGTCAACTGTTTTTTTTTTCAATTTTTTGGCTTCTCCAAGTTGTAGAATCTCTGTTTTGATGATATATAAATTTATTATTATATAACGTCATATGTCTCAGTGAATTGCAGGGTGGCTCGACGGATTTTTTTTTACAAAAAAAAAAGAAAAAAAAAGTAAGTGAATAAGGAATAAATGACCAACCTCTCCTCACTAAACTAATACAATAGCCAGTGGAGCTACTATATATTTCCAAAAACCAAGAGGAGGATGACGGAGACCATAGCTCTCCCGAACCATAATAGTCTTTTGGTGGAGACGGAGACCATTAATACTAGTTCAACTCTCAGACTCGCTGAGACAGACGCGACGGGAACAGACACCACCATCACACCCACTATTAGTAACAATAGTGCTCTAACTACTGCAACTAGTGAGCTGGGAGTGTTTGATGAACGAATACCGGGGCTCAATGATGCAAAAGTGATACATGGGGCGTTGAAGAAATTGGTTAATGTTGGTAATATGCATTTGGTAGATGACAATCAGCAGCAGCAGCATATGAACTCACTCTCGCTACGATCGAAAAAGAACAACCATGGAAATGGCACTATCAATAGCATAACTAATGCTCAAGCTGTGGTCTGTGGGGAAACTACCAGCGAAGCAAGTTCTGATAAAGAGAGTCTGAATAACCTCCAGAGAAAGTCAAAGAACAACATGTTAAGAGCTGAATTATTTGAGACTGATTTGGAAAGTGAAATGCAAAATGATGCCGCCCAATCTGACGGAAATGAAACATTTGTATATAGTAATAGAGGTGATGTAACCCATAATCCTGATGCTTTGGATGCAGATTCACCAGAAACAAACAATTTTCAAGCTTTCTTTGATAGTTTGTACCAACAACGTCATGCTGTTAGAGCCGAGCAGAATGAAGAAGGGAAAGAAAAAATAGTGGACTCCTCATCAAAATCTTCTCAAAATAAAAACCATGATATCCGCCATCCGCAGCAAATGAATATTTTTCAACACTCTACAAATCCCGGAAACCACGACAGTGATTTCAGCGACCTTACCAGCTTATCAACGGTACAAGGAGGAGCACCTAACTTCCCTCAAGATTGGGCTAGAAGAGACACAGCAATACTGATGAACAACCCATTCTTGGGGCAAAATTTCAACTTCAGTGGAAGGGACAGACATAATGATTATCATCATTTACAACCACATCATACTCAGTTTCAGGCATTGCAGGCTCCTCATGATATTAGGGCACACACATTTAAAAAGAAAAACCCACTGAGAAACTTGGCCCATGGAAAAAGTCCTGGTGATGATGAAAGGATCAAAAATATTGATGTCAATGAAAACCAGTTAATAAGGGTTCTTGAAGATGACGGAAATGATATAGATGAAAATGAGGATGAAGATGATGGATATTCTTCTAACGATTATGACTATTACGAAATGTTATATGGATCTTCATCTTCGAAACACATTGCGCCTCCTATAGTACTTGAAAGAAAAGTTTCTGATCAATCGATTCAAGATACAGGCAATCCAAAACTTGGGTCGCCATTAGCGTACTATACATTTGACACAAAAAACATTGATTATCCGAATGAGGAGGTTGAAGTTGATGAAGAGGAAGTGGATGAATCAGAAGGCACCATCGAAACTATTAAGCAAAGTTTATCAAAAAGAAGAAAAACTTTATCTGTAGAACATAACGTCCACTATAATAATAGAATTTCCTCCTATGGAAAAATTCATACAGGCCGGGGGAGGGGACAAGGAGGGCAGAAATTCCAAAATCAACACGTTTATGAAAATAAAGGCAAATACAAAGGTAGCAGGTACTATAGTAATAACCTGCATCAAAAAGGAGAGAATCAGAATGCTATTCACGATGGCGGACACTGGCATGATAATGATAATGTGAATCCATCAAAAAGTGTGAATTATCTTCATGACAGATTTTTTTACTCTATGCCGGACTCACGAGATAATGTCGGAAACTATTTGGAGAGTAAGGAACAACCATATCTATATCCCGAGGGGCTGCATATGATAGATATTGGCTATGAAAATGAGGATGATCTTGGGAACCAGGGACAACTTGAACATCGCGATGAAGATTTTGATGAAAGCAGTGGCCTTCTATCTGCGAATGTCGATCCAGGAATGATGAATTATCATTCAATCACAAGCAAGCTACGCCAATTCTATCATCAGACATATGCATCATCACCAGAAGTGTCACCGGAATTGAAGCAATCTAATGCTTTCTTCAGTAATAAGCAGAACACTCACTTAGCTTCGCAAAGTAAGAAACATCATTACCAATATCATCAAAAGCATGATCATCAGCGAAAATACTCAGGGGCGTCAAAAAAAGCATCTAGAAGAATAAGACATCATAGCAGGAACCCAACTCAATCTTCAATTTCTTCCAAGAGTCAGTTTTCAAATAAATCCAACCTTAATAACCAAAATATATCTAATAATGCTAAAGGAAATCAAAAAATAGTGAGCTCTCCAGGCCGTGGAGGTTTTAAATTGCGAGCTGCATCGGGTGTTGGTGCAGGGGATGGAGGCTACACAATACCATATCCATCTCATTATCATCACCCTGAATATTATGACGAGGAAAGTATGGAATATTGTGGAAATAACGGACTAAATAATAGCTGGTTAAATTTGTTTAGAAATGTATTAGTGTCTCTTGGGGGAATATTTGTATTAATAGGATTCGGATTTATTATGGGATTTTTTATAGCGGTTTACGGATGATTTTTTTTTTTTATTTCCTTTCTTTTTTCTTTTTTTTCTTTTTCCTTTCCCAAGGGGTATTGTTATCTTTAAAATATTTTATTGAAATAAGACGTAAGGGATCCTGAAAATAATTTATATTCACTCATCAGCCAATACTGGACACAACGAAAGAGCCTTGTCTCAACCGAACCTGATTATATTATATTATAATTCTCCTACCTCTTTGCATGCAAGTCATCATTTCATAGAACGCAGTGTTTGCGCAAAAATTATCTTATATTATCAACTTATTTTCATCAAATATTAGTAATTTTCAATTGTATATTAAGGTTAGCAATAGAATAAAATTTTCACATTTATATGAGGGCGACATACTTTGAAACGGTAGTGTTATTGATTCTGATCATTCAATTAGTAAATGAAATATTATGTTTAATCAATTCTGTAGCAAAATATTCTAGCTCATTATATATGGTACAAACATCGGAGCTGGAATGATGGAGGTGAATAAATATCGAGAAGTAGATCTCAAATCGGCAAACGAAGCCAGCTTTTAGTTTCCTCTCTACGATACTTGATTATCTCTACGATACTTGATCAGCTAAATTTTATTTATAAAGTTATTAGGCAATTCCACACTACAAAAAATATATTAACATATTAATGATACACAAGAATAGCTGGTGGAAGATGGTATAACTGCATGTCTAATGTTGGTGTACAGATATCATACCGTGTACGGGTTTATGCAAAGTTTGAGGTCCGTTAGAATGAAAGTTAGCATGATTGCTGGAATTCCCAGGGGGAGCAAAGAAGCTACTAGTCCAATAAGCGTAATTGATGATCTTTTGGTTCATCCTAAAGGAATTCAAAAAGAATTGTACAGTTGAGTTAGGTTTTATATAACTATCAATATGATGAGCCAGTGAGGAGAGTAATCTTCTGGTATTAGTTTTTTTCGCAACAGAGAAGACTGGAAATCTTTTCTGTTATTTATTTATTCTGGAGCATAATTTTAAGATGAATGGCTGTTTGGTAAAAAAGTAGATAGCAGGGTCTGTTGAGCAAAAAATGGTTTCAAGATTCTATTACACACATTTAACTAGAAGGTTGCGCAGATTTACGAAAACAACCACGTAACTATCAACATGTCATTTCATCTTTCTTGAGCTTATTTTCCCTTTTACAGTAATTTATTGACGTATTATGCAGCCATAGATCTGTAGAAGGATCATCTGATACAATATTATCTACATTATATATAACGACTAGGAAGCCTCTATTATGGTATCATGTCTTTGACCAAAAACCCCGCTATCAGTGCCACCTATATGGGCATATATCACAGCAATAAAAGAGTTATATATTACATAAGTAGATTCACTTTTCTGAAGAGTTCTTGTCTCTTAAAGAAGAAATCAAGAAATATATTAGTGTAGAGATGAGATCCCCAGTGTACGGGTTTCACGCAGGCCATTTGCACCAAAGTGAAAGAAATGGTGTAGTAGATACTACAAACGTCAATAGATCGGTTTTTATACTGGAATTAATATAACTACTGGCATTATATATGCATTATTTTGCATCAAAAATATAATCATACACTTTATCAGTGAAAAGTCATGGGGCACTTTTTTTGTTTTTTGTTTTTGTGATTTCTAACATGCAGCTTTTTGTTCACACATGCCGAGATGACTTTTATGTCTGTGGCATTTGCTGCTTTGTTACACAAAAATAAGCGGAGAGTAACATATAACCATAACTGGTTTTCAAAGTGGTTCACAAAAATCTCTTACTCTAAAAATCCCTTCTATCAAACCAAAATTACTTTCAACCTACACCACCACCAAAATCTTCAGATTTTTAGTGATCATATTGAAAACATTTACTTCATCATTGGCAAGTTATCATTCGAAGACTTTGTTACATTCTTTTTGATGATCTATATCTCCCTAATCAGCCACTCCTTTGGAAGGGTAGATCGCACAGAACCAAGATCAACAGAAAACTAACAGTCCCATTAGAATATGACACCACCACAACCAGAGATCAATACCTCTATTTCCCCAGAGATGCCACAATCTAACAGAATGGCTTCTTTCTTCAGAAGGATGTCCATCAATATTTTCTGTTTCTTCAAATATACTTCCAAAAATGTTGCTGCTGTTAGTGTTGCTGAAGATGAACAATCATCTTCTGAAACTGCCACAGTTGAATATACTCCAATTAACCCTAAGCCAGTTACCAATTCTCCTTCCACAAATTTGCCAAACCAACGTATACCAGCTGAACACTCTTCAGATGAAATTTTGTCAGTACTGCAGACATCTTCATTTGACCTTTCGCCAATATTGGCCTCGTCCATTGAACCTTTGTCGCATGCTGACTTACCTGAAGAGAATACTAGCCTATCCCCATTGACAATAAACACGGTTGTGTTTGAATCCGTGAATGCACACCGTGAAGAGGAGAGGATCAAGAATGATATCGGGAAAAGTAAGCCCAATTTTTTGGAAGTTGCTTTGAAACAGGAAAGTCGTGAAGACAGAAAAGTAAGAAAACGGGCGGAGAGAAAGAGAAAAGAAGAGTTGAGAATGCAGAAAAGAGAAGAAAAGTTGAGAAAGAAAATAGAGAAGCAAGAGTTGAAAATTCAGAAGAGAGAAGAAAAGTTGCGGAAAAAAGAACAAAAAGAACAATTGAACATCCAGAAAAGGGAAGAAAAGTTGAGAGAGAAAAAAGCCAAACAAGAGCTCAAAAGGAAACAAAAGGAAGAGAGATTACAGGAAAAAGAAGCCAGAAAGCAAAGAAAATTACAACAAGTAAAGAGGGACGACATTGGCAGCAACAGTGAGGATACCAATATTGGTAAGGCAAAAGAAGGCCCTGTCAAAAATTTGAGATTCGGAAATAAACTTGCAGGAAATTGTGATAAAATCGTTGACAAAATTGAAGTATCTAGAAATCATTTGGTACAAAAAGTTGGAAAGATTTCACAGAGATTCGGATCATGCCAAATTCCAATTGCTGCTACCAAAAGGCCAAATAAGGAAAAACCAAAAACCTCGTTGTCTGTAGCGAGCCGCTACTTGAAAGTCCCTGCGCACTACCAAATCTTGCACTCCTCCAAAACGTCCGCAAGAGTGCCAATAAAGTCTCAACCACAAAATCAAAGTTCCGCTGGCACCAAAAAAGGAGCTAAAAACTCACAACTTGTTAGAAGTGGCAATGATAGTAACACAGGTCAGGGTTCCAAGTTGAAAAAATTCGATAAAGTGCTCAAAATTTTGAAGAAGCCAGTGAAAGAAGAAGCGCAAGGTTCGGCATTGAAACATGATCCTATTACAGAAGTGCAAAATGAACAATTTGATTTCTACGTTCGTTTTTGCCAAAAGCTCTGGAACGATGCCAGCTTATCCCACAAGACGATGCAGAATGACTTAGCTCCTGCCTTCATACAATCTAAACTTGAATTGATGATTGCTTTACAGAACACTCTTTTTGGAAAGGAACATGAAATTGTCTTGGTTTCTCCAAAGCCAGCTGCCACTATTAACGAACAGGTCACTTCAAACAAGAGTATGGCCGTTATCAGCACTGCTCAATCATCATCTGATAACGTTGTCAGCCAAAAGAGCAGCATTACCACTATTAGTACCACCAGATCCTTAGTTGACGAAATGCTTACCCCGAAAAGCAGTTTTACCACCATTATTACCACCGAACCCTTCACTGATAACATTAGCATGTCAAATAGTACTCAGAACACCATCTCAAATGCTGAACTTACCAAGAATTCAGGGGAGGACTTGAACAATAATCTTGATTTAGAAAGTGCCCCAGTGGTTATGGATGTTACCTGTGCTACTAAACTAGTTCATGGTAGTTTTGCTGCTCGTGATGATCATAATGCTGTCAAAACCACATTCCCAAAAGTTAGAGCTGCACCAGAGAGTTTGAATGGGAATATCAATATTGAGCCTTCTTTGATTGAGAAATCCAGAGTTATTAATAGTAATAAATTATACTCTTATTGTGGTCCTGATAAAGATCACTATAATATTGCGAATAATAAAGTTTCCAAAGCTAATTATCTGACAGTCAAAGCTGCTCCAAAATCTTTGAACCCTGTCGATTGTATTGCCCAAGTTGAGCCTCCTTTTTTGAATGAAACTTCTGAGGTGCTCGATTATACTCATTTGTGCTCTAAATCAGACCATAGTTGTGAGGCATGTATTGATAGCAGCTCCGTTTATGATTTTACCTCTGACTCTGGTGATTTCGATGGTTCGCCAAATCATGGAAATGTTGCCACTCCTCTTGCCGCCACCGCTTCTCCTATAAATCCACCCATCATTAATTCTTTCTCAGCTTCAGCATATTCAGAAATCAAAATTGGCAGGATGAACAAAGTACAACAACAGTATGTTGATATCCTTGAAAAAGTAGTGGAACAAATTGGACAGAATGAAAGGACTGACTCAGTATGCAAGCGGAAAGACGGGGGAAAATGATATATCAAAGTATGAATAATATATGTCAAAGCTGATGGTACTAAGCTGCCCCGAGAATTTGGAGCCCAGTTCACCGCTCCTTCTACCGAGAACCTGATTTTGATAGTTGTTCTAAATACTAGAAAGATCATTTTGCAATGTCTCATTAATTTCCTGGCAATGTTTCGTACCAATTTCTATTTATATTTTTATCCGTTGTGTAATGATTCATTCTCAAAAATATATTCGTGAGCAGTGAAAAGCAGATAGTAAAATGGTAGATGAATTGAAAATAAATCACCAAGCTGGCTTCACCCTTCGGCGATGAATCAAATAAATTTAATAGAAATATAGTATTTCCAGTCCCTTAACCAAATACTAGGTAAAACAGCAAAGATCATACCGAAAACAATTTCAAATCATTAAAGTTACCCACCAACATACTCCAATTCAAAATGAACAGAAAACTTTTCAGCCTTGGTAAGTAACAAATACCATTTTCTTTTTTCATTTAATAGAATTTATGTTTGGCCTTTGAAAAGCTAGTCAGCATTTATTCTTTCCCGATAGCAGCACGGCTCAAAAATTTTAGCAAAGGATTGTCATCTTATTGAATATGGCCTATCGTTGAGGGTTGCGAAGTCCCAGACCACCCAAAAAACACAAGCAGAACAACATTAGGTTCCTTGAATTAATAAAAAAAATGGTGTCCACGAATTTCAAAGAGCACAGGAGTCAATAAAGTGAATTTAAACCTTTTTGAACGCCCAAGTAGTGGTCCAGTAATAGAGCCAAGTGCATTGGTTCTAAATTACTAGAAAAAATGTCCTAATTTTAACAAATGCTATGATATCCTTCAAGACTTAACATCAGACGCTGATTCCCATCTCTTATTAAAGCTTCCTAAACTTGCTATGAAGACCACAATCAAAAGTTCAGCTCAGAAGCGTGGGATGAGCTCTTGATTTTTCAGACTGGAATACCATCAACTGAACACTGCCATAGCTAATAGAAATAAAGGATGTGTTGTGCCACTGTAGATGTTTGAATCATTTACATTGTAGGTAATAAAAAGTGACATATCTATGGATACAAAACAGGGTAACCCTTTGGGTCATCAAGCCGCTCAGTGAGAAACTTATTAAGAGCCAGGCGTCGTTGAAAACTGAGGTTTTAATCAAGTAAGGGTTTCTTCAGAAGCACCCAATCCCCGCAGGTACTTTTAAAAAGTGAGAACGGGAGGATTTGTGTTTTAATTTACTGTCCTGCGGTAAAAATAGTACCTTTCTTTAAAGATACTAAAAGACCGTTACAATTGGTCATACGCATAGGTCCTTGGATCAACAAACTGGTACTCGAATTAAAGATACCGGTCTTAAGTTTAATGGAAAAAAAAAGAGAAAAAAATAAAAAAAAAATGTCGATAATTAGTGACACCCGATGCTCATCGATCGTAATGATCAATCCTACCGAGTTCTAAAGAAATTATCAAGTTTTCCTCTGTCCAACGGGAAATCGCTATTCAATCCATTAAAGTTATTGATCATCTCCAACCCAAACAACTTCGACAAACTCCTAGAAATCTCAATTATCATCTCAGAACGAGGGACAAAAGAAATAAGATGAAGAAAGGGAAAATGTGAGAGCATAATAGGAGACAATATGTTATAGGAGAGAATGCACTGTCTAAATGATGGACTTGGTACAAAGAAAAAGAAAAAGAATCTTTGAATTGTTAAGGTGAAAAAAAATTTCCGTCGCCTTTTTATAGTAAAATGGGCGATGTCCTGGTGTTGGGATGTGTTATGAGGCTCGGTGGCTGCTTTTTTTTTTGGGGCCACCTGATGTGTGGGTGGCTGGGTATCTCGGGCTATGATGAGCTGGCTATTTCGACCAGTGTCTATGAGATATACTACCAGTAATATTAATGTCTATGAGGATGGTAATGGAGAATGGCCGATAATCGAGACGGATTTCCACTGAAGCATTTTCTGTGTTTGCTAGGACCGCGCAAGGGCTCTTCCACGGCAGTTACGTAAGCACTCAGTGGCAAAAAAAGGGTTCCGAGGAACGGTCGAGAGTGTGGCACGTGCCCGAGAGGTGGAAATTTTATCGAGTTCCATAAAAAATAAGATCCGAATTATTGATAATCACTATCGAGAGTGGTAGTCTGCATACATATATTTGTCATCCAGGGGGAAACAACGTCGCCACTTGCTACCTTGTATATTTAATAAGTAGTACTTTGCTGATCAAAAATAATTATACATATCCTGCTACATACAATATAACCAGAGAACAGCAGAATCATGTCTGAAGATACAGGACAACCTCCTCCTACTCATCCATCTTTCCCATCGGGTGGTGTCAACAGTAACTTGAACATTTTACCAAGTCAGCCAATCCCAAAGAAATCGGCCATCATTAAGACCGATCGTCCCAGACCCCACGTTTGTTTGATTTGTACCCGAGCGTTTGCTAGATTAGAACATCTCAAGAGACACGAAAGATCACACACAAATGAAAAGCCATTCCAATGCGCTGCTTGTGGCCGCTGCTTTGCAAGACGTGATTTGGTCCTAAGGCACCAACAGAAGTTACACGCCGGTTTACTAAGCGCTAACAATACTAACAACAACAATAACAACTCAGGAAGCAATTCCGGCGGAACTGACAAAGCTAAAGGAAAGCTAAAAAATTACAGCGGCAATATCATCGAGCATAAAAACAACACCGAGAAAATCAAGCCTCTACCTGGACAAATTACACAACCACTACAACAGGAAAAGGCGAGGCAATCACAAAAGCTAGCACCACAAAACAATTCTTTAAAGCCCCAAGTGCCAAGTCCATTGCTACAAGCTTCAGGAATTGGTGGCCTCCCAAATCAATTTCTATCGCCACTTCAAGAACCTCAGCCGACGTCAGATAAGCTTATCTCTCCAATAAACAACAACCAGGCAACTTTTTTTGAAGCCCAGTCAAATAGCAATAGCGCTTCTCCAAATGACTCAATTTATCAACCTTTTTCTCCAGCAAGTACGTTAAATTCTAATTCAATGAGCAGGTCCGGCACAAATGATGGGTTGGGATTGGGCCCAATAAATCTGTTGAATTCTCTTAGCGGAGGAGTTGCTGGTGCAAAACCCAACGCCACCGGAGACTTCCCCTCGTCTAATGGAGGTCCGATGATGAGTCTCTCTAATTCCATTGGCAATATCAAAAATATTTCTAATAATAGCGCCTTGAAGAAAACTAATTCCGATCCGGCATTTGCGAAGCGGGCTGCTTTGAAATCGTCGCAAAAACCACTACCAGCCATGACGAGAATGAGCTCACATGCCATCAACGATAATGATGCGATTGAAATAGATGGGGAAAGTGAAGATGAGGACCTACTCACCTCATTCCAAATGTTCCATACAAATTCAGAGACAAAAAACTCAATGATACCTTCTAAAACTAGTGATAATATCCCTGCTACAAGTAACCCAGCGGGGTCTCACAACCCTCAGACTGACTATTCTAAGCATCATCCACATCCTCACCATCATCATCGTCATGCATCGTTTTCAGCAACTCTGATGATCTCGTATACTTCCCCTTTTGAAGCGCTCAATATTGTGTCCCATGACACAGTTCCTGAGGCACCTCACCAAGTAGGATTCTCGACTCCCCAAATGTCTGCACAGGAATTGGTTGAAAAAGCTGTTATGGCTGGTGTTGATTTAGAAGCTTTGGGTGTTGACTGGGGTGGACTTGAAGGCTTCCATTTGGACGGTGTAGAACAACATTCACAACATCAAAAACAGCAATCTTATAATCAACAAACTGGATATTTGAAATCTGAGCAGCAAAATACTGGTGAAGGTCACAGCCTTTTCCACAATCATGCTGCCTTCCAAAGTCATGATGTAAACAAAAATGATAGTACACAACTCCAAGGTCATAGCCCCAATGTCAGCCCTAGTTCTAAACCAAAAGAACAAATGGACCACACAATATTTTCCAACTCCGATAATACTGGGCAAGCAAACGATTTATTTAACCAGCATTCTTATTATGATGTAAATAGCAATTATCGGAACAATAATGGATATATCGGGTTTGAGCATGATGGCCATGAAATGACCCCATTTCAGTATTCGCTTTTTGGTAATTCTCATGACCATAATTATGGTCATAGCCATCAGCATCGTGATACCCACTCAGACCGACAAAGAATGACAATTTCTGGTCAAAACGTTTCGACTGTCCTCAACATGAATAGTGGTAATGGTAGTATTTCCACAAACCCATCGGAAGTTCCATCGCATACTCACCATGACCAAAGGGAGGAATATGTGGATCTTCCTGCGCTTCAAGAGTTTCTCCATACTGGTACCATTGGTGGAGGGGCCGGTTTTGATGACTACAGAAGTTTGAGACGCTGGGTTGCGTTACATGGAGGACAAGTGGAGAATGTTGATGAGGACCTCGAGAATAATGTGGATGAGGACCTCGAGAATAATGATGAAGAGATGAATAACAAAGACATCAAATCTGATAAACAGAACTTCAAGCACGAAGACAAGAAACTAGTGAATGATTTTAGAACTGAAAATAACAGCAATAGAGTCTACCATAATATGGCTTCGGGCATCCCAATGAATGGAAAAGGAGAACAAAATGTTGTTGACATACTAGATGAAAATTGGCTAGATGAGTTTATAAGGACTCCACTTAATCTGGGCCATCACTTGCAATATGATATCAACCATATTGGGTTTGTTGACCGTCAACAATATCAAGAAGGATTGGTACAAGAATCAGATAGTAATGGATCTCCTGTTGCCGCTTCTCCGGTTTTATCTGTGACGACAAATGTCCCTGCTGGGGCGACTGTTGGTGTGCAAAATACTTTATCTACACAAAATCCTACTAATTCCATGGCACCAGCCTCTGGGAGAGGAACCATAATCAATAATAACAAAAAGGTTGGTTCTACAGTGAGTGGAAGAATTACAAAAAATCCATTGGCAAAAACTTTGAGTGGTTCTGCTAAACCGACTTCCTCGATTAAGACTGGCATACCTTTATCAAAGGGATTCAGCTCTTCGGCAGCTGGTGGAAATGTTTCTGTTGCAGCAGGAAAATCTGTTGGTGCAGCCAAACCAGTTGTTGGATTTGGTAAGGTTGCGGGCAAAGGCGGTAAGATTATGGCCAAAACTGGAAGTAAAAAAGATAAAAACTCAAGAATTATGATAGCCGGCACCGATATTGCTTCGTTGTTCAGGGATCGTCAATTGGATCTATTTAAACAACAAACCCAAGCGCAAGGTAAACCGTTGGCTAATACCAACTCTAACATCAATTCTCCGAATGTTAATTCGTTTGGAAATTCTCCAAGCTTTAGTGGATTGACAAGTCCTATTGCTTCAGTGAATAGTTCGAATAACAATTTTATTTCCAATGGATTACGCTCTAGTTCTGGAAGTGGTACAGGATCACCTTACCCAAACTCTTTTGCATTAAGTAATGGCGACGATATTTCGAATACAGGTATAAAATCAGCAGCAATGTCCAGTGCTGCATCCAATAATTCATTTCTCAACACAATAAACATGCATGCTTCATATCCTTCTGAACTCAAGTTTGATTTGTTCACGAAAAAGATTCGAGATCATATCATTGAAAGTAATGGGTTGTCTGAAGGACAATTCCCAAGTATTGGCGAATTGAACAGTTATAGCTTTTTGTACTGCAAAGAGTTTGATGCCTATTTCCCGTTTGTTCACTTGCCTTCAATTGAACTGACTATCGAAAATATCCCTTTATTGTTGGCTGTGGCCGCTATCGGGGCGTTGTATTCGTTCCATTCTTCTAATTCATTGTTGCTATTTGGGGTGTCAAAGTTTTATATCCATAATTTCCTAGAAACCAATAAAAATGTTCAGCATGATGATATTCCATTATGGTTGATACAGTGCTTAACCCTCAATATGTTTTTGGGGATTTTCAACAATGATGAGTCTTTGAATAAGTCTATTGCCAAACAATTGAACTCCTTGATTTATTTAGTGAAGAAGTGTTCTTTGCATTTACCATTAGAACAATTCATTACTCCACCACCAATTTTTGATGCCACTTCGACTCAAAACGATCATAACACTACCCCGTTGATTTTGAAGAACAACTTTGATTATTTCATTTTGGCACAGTCTAGAATTCGTACGGTTCATACCATTTTATTAATCTCAGTGTTGTTTGATACATTGATCGGTGCACCAATTGTTTTGAAATCGGAAGATTTGCAATGTGGTACTCCATGTCCGAATGAAGCTTATTGGAAGGCTCCAAATTACCAAAAATGGTTCCAATTATTGCATGGTGATAACATTGTGATTGACTCAAAGTTTGCATTAATTCAGTTGTCTAATGGTGGGTCATTTACTGAGTTGATTTCATCGTTGGTAAATCATAATTATTTGGATTTGGTCAATAGACAAGTTGGATTGAAAGTGTTGTTACTGTTGTTGATGTATATTCATCAAACCATTTACGAAAGAAGAATGGAGCTGAGAAGACAGGAAATGAATGATGGTCTTAGGGCGATGAAATGGAGAATGAACGATCGTGTTGAATTGGAATCTTTGTTGAAGTATTGGGAATTGTTATTTATTAGGAATGAAGGGATCTTAATTCCTAACACTTCTAATTTGGCATTGATTAATAAATCTCCGATTTTGAAACTCATTTTGCCATTACTTTCGTTTTCTAAGATCAGGCTCTGTCTTTCGGTGACCCCGATTTTAGAACGTGTTTGGGTGAAGGATTGGGAAGGGATGAATGAACAATTAACATTGATTGAAAATGACCCGGAAGCCTTAAGAGAATCCCTGAGATATGCGTTGAATATTATTGAACTATGGATTGATTTGATTTCGGTGCATAATGATGCACAAAAGACGAGTCGCAAGACCCCTATTTTCTTTTTAACTTGTACTTTCACCAGTATTTTATTTTTAACCGAGTACTTGCATACTATTGAGAAGTTGACGATTACCTATGCTAATCTGTTGGTTGACAAACAGAACTCTTCAAAATCTATTTTGACTGCCATTGATACGGCGTTATTTATCAGAGTTTCCAAAGTTTTGAGAAAAGTTAGCACCACTTTGACTCCTGACAATGCCAATACCAGAAGTTTTACGGAGTTTTTAACGTTTCAAGCTAGTGGATCTCTTGAGTTTGATAATTTGAGTGAAGATGCTAATAAATTAGGTCAATCTGGTATTCCTAAAAGTGAAACTACTACTGAAGATTCTATGGATAAATTAATCTGTTTTATCCGAAGCTCAAGGTTGTCGTCTAAGTGTTTATATTTGGGAATTCGTATTTTAGCTGATGCACCAATTTGGCCTGCTGCTGTATTGTTTGCAGAGGCTTTAAGGGCTAGACTGATGGCCATTTCAGGGACCACTGATGCCACTCCAAATAGCAGTGTCAATTCTGGCTGATTTTTTTTTTTTTTTTTTTGAAGAGTATTTTTATTACATGATACTAATAATGATATATTATCTTGCATCGCTGTTGCGGGATGGATATTTGGTCTGCCTGGCGTTTGATATACCAGGGTATAAAAAAGAAAGTACAATAATACAGTGACCCTACCAATGAAGAGAACAGGATATCATGGCAAACATGAAGACAACCCAAAATGGAGAATTTGAATTTTTAATATTCATAAATCATATCAAACTTTTTTTTTCTCTTTCTCTTTAACTACCTAATGAAATAATGTTTTTTTTTGTTTTTTTTTTTATTTTTGTTCTTTAATGTTCTTTTCTATTTTTCGATGATGACTTTTCTAAATGATATATACGTATATATATTCTCTATTTGTATTTGCTACAGTATTATTATTTTTTCTTTTTTTAAGCATATCTTAAATATTTCTGTTTTAATGAGATTTCCTATAACGAACCACTCTCGGGTTTTAGTGGATTGCTCGGCAATGGTCGGGGCAGCGCTGACCCCAAAAAGTTACGGGGATTATTGCTCGCCGGTACCGGTGGGCCGCCACTTTGGCACCATGCGCTGAAAATTTTACTGTGAAATTCTACTCCGCATATATAATCATCTTTATTGACTCATTTTTTCACTTGTTTTTGACTAATAATTATAATTGGATATTCTATAAGATAAATAGCGGTGTGATTGCAGAGTTTTTTTAGGAAAAATATTATTATTTGTGTCTGTGTTATCCTTTGATAGTCTTATCATTATTACCTACAATTATTTTATTCCTATCGAGTGACACATACTGTCAAAAAAACAACAGCAACAACATAATAGATATATAGATTTAAAAGCAATGGAGTGTTGTTCTAGAAAAGCAGGTCAGTTTCCAAAGTTCACCAACATGTTGGCTGATCCTTCAGAGAAGTACGTTCGTCAAAAGAAGATCCAGTTTCCTCAGAGAACCTGGCCAGATAAGGAAATCAATGCCCCACCACGTTGGTTGTCGACCGATTTGCGTGATGGGAACCAATCTTTGCCTGACCCAATGTCGGTCGAAGAAAAGAAGCTTTATTTCCAGAAATTGGTAGAAATTGGTTTCAAAGAAATCGAAGTGGCCTTTCCAAGTGCTTCACAAACAGATTTTGATTTCACCAGATACGCGGTGGAAAATTGTCCTGAAGACGTCACCATCCAGGTGTTGACCCAATCGAGAGAACACTTGATTCGCAGAACCGTGGAATCTCTTAAAGGAGCCAAACGTGCGTGTATCCATGTGTATTTGGCAACCTCGGATCTTTTCAGAGAGGTGGTGTTCAACATGACCCGTGAACAAGCGGTGGCCAAAGCAGTCGAAGTCACTGAATTGGTGCGTTCTTTAACCAAAGATGACCCATCGACCGAAGGGACTCATTGGCAATACGAATTTTCTCCAGAAACTTTCAGTGATACCGATCCAGCATTTGCCGTGGAGATTTGTGAGGCAGTAAAAGCGGCATGGGAACCAAGTGTCGAAAACCCAATTATTTTCAACTTACCGGCTACTGTGGAAATGAACTTGCCTAATGTGTACGCTGACCAGATCGAATACTTCTGTACCCATATTTCTGAACGTGAAAAGTGTTGTATTTCTTTACACTGTCATAATGATCGTGGATGTGGGGTCGCGGCCACCGAATTAGGAGTGTTAGCCGGGGGTGACAGAGTCGAAGGTTGTATATTTGGTAATGGGGAAAGAACCGGGAATGTTGATATCGTCACTTTGGCTTTGAACTTGTACACCCACGGGATCAATCCAAAGCTCGACTTTTCTGATTTGGAAGAGATCATCAAGATTGTTGAACGTTGTAACAAGATCCCAGTCAATGAAAGAGCCCCATACGGTGGGTCTCTTGTGGTGTGTGCTTTCAGTGGATCGCATCAAGACGCTATTAAGAAAGGGTTTGTCTCGCAAGATAAGCGGAGAATCGGCGGGGACAAGACTTGGAAAATGCCATACTTGCCATTGGATCCAAAGGATATTGGTCGTGATTACGAAGCGGTTATCCGTGTCAACTCCCAATCTGGTAAAGGTGGTGCTGCCTGGATCATTCTTAAGGCCTTGGATTTGGACTTGCCAAGACCTTTGCAAGTTGCGTTCTCTAACGTTGTTCAACAGAGTGCTGATACTCTTGGAAGAGAATTGAAGGCACAAGAAATTATCAATTTGTTCCAAAAGGAATACTATTTGAATCCAAACAACAAGGTTGCTCTTGTGGACTTCTCGATTGGTAATTCAGGATTGTCGAACCCTGACAAAAACAGAAAACTTATGGCGGACTTGGTTATCAATTCCGAAGGGGAAACTGTTTCTGGGGTTGGTAACGGTCCAATTTCTGCATTCACCGATGCTTTGTTGAAGAGATTCAAGATCGATTCTTTGGCTGTCGAAAACTATAACGAACATACTTTGGGTAAGGATAAGAGTAATTCCGAAGCCGCTGCCTACATTCAATTAAGTTTTGTCAGTAGAAAGACTGGTGAATTGACCAAGAGATTTGGTGTTGGTATTCACAAGGATGTTTCGCAGGCTTCTATTTTGTCTTTGCTTTCTATCATGAACTGGATGTTTGAGAATGGTGAAATTACTGTTTGAGTGGTTAATTGGTTTTTGTTGGTTTGTTTAATTGGATTTATGTTTTTGTTATTAAAGGACTGTCCGTTTTTATGATTGAGTTAGTTTACAGAAGAGATTACAAATGATGATCTAAATGTTGTACATATTTTAATAAAAACATTTTTGTTTTGTTGATGATGGAAGGCGTAATATAAAAATAATTGATGGACTGATGAAAAAAATAATTGTCAAATGATGGTGACAATGTTCGTATAAATCGTGATCAACTGATCACATTAATAATCCCTGATCCAAATTGACGGGCGCAGAAGAGTCCAGAACCCCGCAGCAACTTTTAATTATTTTTTCCCATCGGGACAATTTTTTGTATTATTTTTTAAACTTGCCCAATCGTTCTGTAAATTGTTCTATTCAACTCATTTATTATAATTATTATCATTATTTTTACCATTTATTGATCACAATGTCTCTTAAACAAGGCGACGCCGTCCCAGCCAACACCATCTTCAAGTACGTTCCAGTCAAGTTGAACGATACCGACTCACTTACTTGCCCAGCCCCGGTGGCGTACAACTTATCAAAAGATGCCGAACAATCCAAGAAGGTCTTGATCGTCTCTTATCCGGGAGCCTTCACTCCTACATGTTCCCAAACCCATGTGCCAGAATTCTTGGAGGACGCTAATATCAAAACCGTTCTCGCTAAAGGGTACGACAAGATTGTTTTCCTTTCCGCTAATGATCCATTTGTGTTACAAGCGTTTGCCAAAGCCCTTGGGGTCGACAAGGACGAAACTAAAGTGAAACATGTCATTTTTGCCAGCGACACCTACGCTGAATTTAGCAAGAAGTTTGGTCTCGAATTGGATTTGACCAAAATGGGGTTGGGCATCAGAACTGGGAGATATGCGATGGTGATCAATGATGGTAAAGTGAGCTACATTGGTCAGGAATTGGGAGGCGATGTCACGGTTTCAGGTTTCAAGAGTGTTTTGCAACACTTGTAATTTATATTAAATATTTATATATATATATAAATATAAGCATCGTCTTATCTATTGTATTTTAATTGATGATGATGACATCCATTTTGATGTGGTTGTTTTATGTAGAGGTACCGCTGCCGCGGGTCGTCGTCGCCTTATGTTGCTACTTTTTTTAAAGTTTTTCCGTTTTTCACCCCATCATCACCATCTCCATCACCAACGATCCCATATATAAACCGTGTGGAACAACCTCTAAAACCTTTTTGGCAAGTCACGGAAGCAATAATAATAAATAGAAATATACCAATTAAACATAATAACAATATACAATATTCCAATGTTCAGCGCCAACTCTTCCCACTCATTGCTCGCCAAATCTATCTGTCGTGGTGTTCATCGCAGCTTCTTCCATACCTCTAGGGCCTCTTTGATCAACATTGGCCAGAAACTTCCTGTCACCACAGTGTTCGAGTCTTCTCCAGGTAATAAGCTCAACCTTCTTGATGCCATAACCTCCAAATCTATCATTGTTGGGGTGCCTGGTGCTTTTTCCCCAGGTTGCTCGGCATCCCATATTCCAGGATACATTGCCAACCTTGACAAATTCAAACAAAAAGGGATTGACCAAGTGTTCGTCGTGGCGGTTAACGATGCCTTCGTCACCAATGCCTGGAAGCAATCGCTTAATGCCCCAGAAGAAATGAGATTTATCGCTGACGCCACCGGAGACTTGACCGAAGAATTAGACTTGAGTTTTGACGCCACCGCCTTCTTTGGTAATTTCAGATCTAAAAGATACGCCTTGGTGGTCGATAACGAAGGTAAGGTCGAAAACTTGTTTGTTGAGCCAGATAATGTCAGTGTCAATGTTTCCAGTGCGGAAAATGTCTTGAAGATGTGTTGAAATTGCCGATTTTCATTTCCGCCAAAACATGATATGAACGTATTCAATTTCTTATATCCATTATTGCCATTTATGCGGTAAGTTGTTGTTTCGAGGTTGTTGTTTTTTGTTTTTTTTTCAAGTATAAACATTTGCTTATTATACCAAAATTAATATATACACATACTGCGCTAATATGAGGCATTGTACTATTATCATAATATGGATCGGATCAGCTGTCTGAGTCAATGTTGTTAAGTCATCAATAAATTCTTCAGATACGACTCAGAGTCTCCTTGGAAATCAAATAGCTGAAAGCTTGGATACTGCTTTTTCTTTTTCTTTCACTTGGTTACTAGCCAAGTAATAGGTTCGATCGTATGAGCTTTTGATATCCATGATTGGGTATGATAAATCGTTATAAATTGGGGATTTTACAGACTTACTGATAAGCTTATATTTTTATTTAATGATTTTAAAAAAAAATAAACACATATTTGCCTCTATTTTTTTTTTTTTCACAGTCCATTATTCTTAAGGCTTTTGCATTCTGTCATCCTTAATGATTTTGCATTGTGCCATCATTTGGGGACCTATTATTGAGGCCTTATCTAATCTCATGATGTCATTGGGACTGCAAGGATGATACCCGAGTTTTCCGCACAGCCAGATGCGATAGCCAATGTACCTCCTGGAATAAAGTGAAGCATGTGTCTGTAAAATAAAGCCAAATTGTAACGAGAAATGCTTCATTCAATAGAAGGCCTTTGAAAAACAAATATCGTCAGTTGGTCAATCATCAGAACAAGGTACACACCGCGCGTATAAGCAGAACTTCATGTACCATCACCAGGGGTTTAATTCATAAAAATGTATATACCACACACGTGGTAGGTAGTCTCTCATATGTGTATACCAACCTGACGGTTTTGATTAGCTGCCCCGTCTATACCATTACAATGGTATTTATTTTACAAAATAAATAGGTAACTATTTTGGTTAAGATGTGTGTGATGAAGGTGATATAGTGATGTGTATATTTTGAAAAAATATAATTTCAGAAAGAAAATGTAATACTACTATTGCCATATTTAGAGTATTTTAAGATGTTTTAAGGAAAATTAGTGCTTAATATCTAATCTTGGATATCTTGAGAATAATGTGGTGCATTATTATGGTGGTTGAGAAAATGTATGATAGTTGAGAAAGTCAGATCTTGTAATATAGTATTGGTAATATTTGAATTCCAATATTATCTAATAATTTATTTTCTCTATTTTCTCCTCTTGCTTTAGCTCTTACTTATTTATCTTATCTTAGACTTCTATTATTCTATCAATACACTCCTATCTTTGAGTTATCCCCCCATTTCTTATCTCTACTTCAATTGTTTTGATCCAAGAACTACTATTTATAAAATAATCAATATTTCCACTTTCATTAAGTATATAATATTCTAATAAGAATAGTCATTTCAAATACTCAAGATATTATAGATTCCTAAAAATTTATTGCTCTTTGATTTTCTTATGGTGGCCTTAAACTCAATAATTTACCGAAGAAAAGTATTTTGAAAATGTTGTTATTTCGAAAAGGCCTTTCAGCATTGAGTCTGTTTACTAATGGTTAATAAGCAACAAAAAATGTTTGGTGTGTATTTATTACGCATTAGAAGCCTAAATGTATCCACCCATAGTAATTTAAAAAAAGAGGAAACGCTGGCTTCCCTAACCTAATTTTCTCAAAAAATTTTGAAATTTAACACCCTAGCGTTTATTGTTCAACTAGATGCTACAATCTTTATCCCTATTTTTATGTACCTCGGATTTAAAAGATACTTGTAGCACGGACTTAAAGAAAATTTGCCAACATCACTTTTACGTAATTATTAGTATTTGTTTATAATAAAGATTTTTTTGCGGGTTTTAAGAAATAATAACGTTGATGATACAAGTTTTTCTGCGGGATTTAACAATTGATAACTCGAAACAATTTAATTATTCGGTTTTTATTTTCCTTTGGTATAAATCTAACACGGGATATAACCTAAGGCCTGTTTATGTCAACATAATTTGTAGCTAATATATAAGTGGCCTTTCTGCTCCCCTATCAACAGAATAATGGCTTTTATATGAAAATTATATTACTTCAAGTTCTCTAGGCTTTTGATCATTTAAAAAATGGATGACATAAAAAAGTCTATTATAGACGATACTATCTCAGATTCAAACTCTGATATCCAGTCGTTTAACCCAGGTTCGGGACATGAAGCTAATCATACAAGCGATGAAATTGAAATAGTCTCCAGAATTGCTTCTAATGTTGACCAGAATGACCCAAACAACGTCCTTCATCGTTTAGAAACTCTTTCAGTACAATTATCCAATGTCACTACCAGAGACACTTTTACTATTGACCCTGATGATTTTGACCTTGCACAACTTCTCAAAGGCCATTTGAAAAACTCTGACAGAGGAAATGTCAAACTTAGATCAACCGGCGTGCTTTTACATGATGCCGCTATAATTGGTGTCGATAGATCTGCAACTTTCGCTCCTACCTTTGGCTCAACTTTGAACATCCCTAGTAAAATTATCTCAGGATTACACTCTAGAGCTGAAAAGCCATTTAGAAGGATAGTAAACAGAGTGAATGCTGTTGTGAAGGCCGGTGAAATGTGTCTTGTCCTTGGCAGACCGGGTGCTGGTTGCTCTTCCTTACTTAAATCCATTTCAGGAGAAGGTCTTGATCAATATGAGGGTACCGAGGGGTCTATCACCTTCGATGGTGTTACTCAAGATCACATGTTGAAACATCATAAGAACGATCTTATTTATAACCCAGAATTGGATGTTCACTTTCCACACTTGACAGTCCAGCAGACTTTGCGCTTTGCTATTGGTTGTAAAGTTCCAAATACCAGAGTGAATGCGGTTACTGACAACGCGACAGTGAAGCAATATGTGGATTTCAAGACTGACATGTTGGCCACTATCTTTGGATTAAGACATACTTATAATACCAAAGTTGGGAATGATTTTGTACGTGGTGTTTCTGGTGGTGAGAGAAAAAGAGTTTCTATCGCTGAAGCCTTAGCTGCCGATGCCAAAGTTTACTGCTGGGATAATGCTACCAGAGGTTTGGATGCTTCCACAGCCTTGGAATACGCATCTGCCATCAGAGTCCTTGCCAATCTTTTAGATGCAACCAATTTTGTCACAATTTATCAGGCCTCCGAAAACATTTATGAAAAATTCGATAAAGTCTTGATTCTTTATGAAGGAAGGCAGATTTTCTTTGGGCCAATCCACGATGCGAAGCCATATTTTGAAAACATGGGTTACGAATGTCCACAACGCCAGGCCACCCCCGAATTCTTGACTGCAATCACTGACCCACTTGGCAGAACAACCAAGCCTGGATATGAAAACAAGGTCCCAAGAAATGCTGTGGAGTTTGAAAATTATTGGCATAAGTCTCCACAATTCCAAAAATTGAGTGAAGAAATTGCCCAAAATGAGAAGCTGTTTGCTGGTAGTGATACCGAAGATCTTTTCTTTGAATCTTCTAAAATTGAAAAGAGTCGGGTACATTCAACCTTCACTGTCAGTTACGCTGAACAGTTAAGACTTAACTTTGTTAGAGCTTATCAAGTTGCCCTTGGTGATTTATCCTATTTATCTACTCAAATCATCTCCGATATAATCCAGGCTTTGATCACAGGTTCCCTTTATTATAATATTCCAAATACTACCTCCGGAGCTTTCTCAAGAGGAGGCAATTTGTTTTTTTGTATCTTATATTATTCTTTGGCTGGTCTTGCTTCAGTTTCCAATAGCTTCCAAAAACGTCCCATCCTTCTTAAACAAAAAGCTTATTCATTCTGCCATCCTTCCACTGAATTCTTTGCTTCCTTTATTGTTGACGCTATGTTCAAAATGCTTGGCATAGTTCCTTTTATCATAATCAACTTTTTTTTGGCCCATCTTAAACGTGATGCAGGTAACTTTTTTGTCAACTTCTTGTTTGTCATTTTGTCTTCATTTTCTATGAATGCTTTTTTCCAAATGATTGCTATATTCTCTCCAGCACTTTCAATTGCTAATTCCATATGTGGTCTTCTCACTCTTGCAGCTATTTGTTACTCATGTTTCATGATCCAGCTCCCATCCATGCATCCCTGGTTTAAATGGATTAACTGGTTGAATCCTATTCGTTATGGTTTTGAGTCAATTATGGTCAACGAATTTCATCATGTTAATATGACTTGTTCAAAGATAGTTCCATCTGGTTCAGGTTATGAAGGTGTTTCTGTCGCTAACCAGGCTTGTGTCTCTGTCGGTTCAGTTCCTGGTTCCATCTTTGTCCATGGTGATAAATACATAAAGGCTGCTTTTGATTTTTCCTTTATGCATTTATGGCCGAACTTCGGTATTTTATTAAGCATGTTGATTTTTTTCCTTGCCGTTTCTGGGATTGCTTCTGAAATCATGACTGCTGACTCAGCCGGTTTTGATGTTTTAATTTTCAAAAAAACTAAAGAAACACGCAAGATATTAGCTGCACAACGTCAAAGTGCTACAGACCCTGAAAAGCCTGAATTGGAGTATGCCTCTGTGTCAACTGATATTGAAAAGCAAAAAGAAACTACGAACAAGGTATTTGAAGGCTTAGGCTCAAAAGATCTCTTTTTGTGGCAACATGTGGATTATGATGTTACTTTGAAAACCGGGGAGGTTAGAAGGTTATTGAATGATGTCCAGGGGTATGTTAAACCAGGTACCCTTACTGCTTTGATGGGTGAATCTGGTGCTGGTAAAACCACTTTGTTGAATACTTTGTCCCAAAGAATTGATACTGGTGTTATCACGGGTGATATGTTGGTTAATGGAAGACCATTGGACTCTTCCTTTAAGAGAAAAACTGGATACGTACAACAACAAGATGTACATTTTTCGGAATTGACTGTCAGAGAGTCCCTTAGATTTGCTGCTAATCTTAGAAGAAGCAGAAGTGTCCCGGAAGCCGAAAAATATGAATATGTTGAGCAGATTATTGACATCTTGAGCATGGAATCCTATTCTGATGCTGTTGTTGGTCAACCAGGTTTCGGTTTAAATGTTGAGCAAAGAAAGAAATTATCTATTGGTGTGGAATTAGTTGCCAAGCCATCTTTACTCCTTTTCTTGGATGAGCCGACCTCTGGATTAGATTCCCAATCTTCTTGGTCCATTGTTAAATTGATGCGTGATTTGGCTAATGCTGGACAAGCTATATTGTGTACTATTCATCAACCTTCTGCGGTGTTATTTGAAGAATTTGATAGATTGCTATTATTGAGAAAGGGGGGCCATACTGTTTATTTTGGTGACATCGGTGAGCACTCTAAGATATTGTTGAATTATTTTGAAAAACATGGTGCGAGAAAGTGTCTCAATGAGGAAAACCCTGCCGAGTATATTCTTGAAGCCATTGGTGCTGGTGCTACTGCCTCCTCCAATCAAAACTGGGGTGATGTCTGGCTTGGATCTGAGGAATGTGCTTCTGTGACTGCTGAAATTACCCAATTGATCAAAGATTCTAGTATTAACCATTCGGAAGAAAATCCAGAAATGAAGAAGACTTTTATTACTCCTTATTACTATCAACTTTTGTTAGTTACTCGGAGAGTAGGAACACAATTTTGGAGGGACCCTACTTATCTCATATCCAAAATGATGTTAATGATTCTTGCTGGATTGCTCATCGGTTTCACTTACTGGGATGCAGGTAATTCTATAGTTGGGATGCAAAATGTTATGTTTTCTATGTTTATGTCTGTCATTATTTCTGCACCATTAATTCATCAAATCCAAGCTCGTGCTCTAGAATCTAGAGAAGTATATGAAGTTAGAGAGTCTAAATCCAACACATATCACTGGTCCGCTTTATTATTTGCACAATTCATTAATGAGTTACCATATCATTTGCTTTTCTCGACAATTTTCTTTATTTCCTTTTATTATCCAGCTCACAGGAATTATGACTCATATACTGTTGGTTCTTATTATTTGTTTTACTGTATCATGTTCCAATTATATTTCGTCTCTTTTGGGTTGTGGATTGTTTATATGTCTCCAAATTTGCCTGCAGCTGCCGTCTTGGTCTCCCTATTCTTTGCATTTATGATTGCATTTTGTGGTGTTGTTCAACCACCAAGTATGTATACTTGACTATTGTTTTTGATTATTGATTGAAATTTTTAGGCCCGTTTACTAACTTTTTCCTTAGGTTTAATGCCTGGTTTCTGGACATTCATGTGGAAGACTTCCCCCTACACATACTTTATCCAAGCTTTTATGATCTTATCACTCCATAAATTGAAGATTAGGTGTAAAAAATCCGAGTTTATCACGGTCCAGCCTCCAAATGGTGAAATTTGCGGTGCTTATCTTGATCATTTCACAAAAGTTTCTGGTGGCTATATCAACAATCCATCTGCCACTTCAAACTGTGAGTACTGTCAATACAGTGTTGGTGATCAATATCTAGCTACAGTCGATATCAAGAGCTCTTATTTGTGGAGAAACTTCGGATTTATGTGGGTTTATATTTCTTTTAACCTTTTTGCTATGGTATCATGCTTTTGGTTCTTTAGAGTTAGAAAGGGATCAACTATCGACATCAAATCCATAATATCTAAATTCCAAAAAGTATCAAAGAAATAATATTTTAGTTCAAAATGCTACTAGGTATAATAATTCTTCAAATATGAGAAAAGATTCAGTTAAAGTTCCAATCACCCTATCACTATCATCTAACTATTTCACATCAATTACACAAAATATTTTTCATTCAATTAAATAGAATTTTTCATATTCAATTAAACATACTTTTCATTCAATTAAATAGAATTTTTCATATTCAATTAAACATACTTTTCATTTGAACCCTTTAATAAATACTTCTTCATACAACACCTATGTTTAATTCTTGACACAAGAAATTTATTAGAAACTTAACAATGATTAAAGAATTCAATGATCGCTTGGGAATCTGTGGTGACTATCCCACTGGTGGTACTGTTGGTCTGGCTCTGTTAATGGATGGTTATTATGGGTAGGCATAGTGCATTTCAACATGGTCAAAATCCTGGAGACCATATCTTTGAGATCTTTGAACCCCCTGTTAGTGGCATACCCACTGTTATTGTTGGATTCGTGGTGAGTTGTAGTTGGAGCTGGTTCAGTAATAGCTTGATTGGAGGTGCTAATTGCTTTAGGGCACATGACTGTCTTGGACATACTACTAAATATCAGCTTATAAATATTGTATGTCTACATAGTATAGTAGTAGGTAATAATCATCAAACGCTACAAAGGTAGTGGGAGTATTTGATTTTATATGTCCATGGCTATTGAGACATATGGAGAAGTGTGCACTATGGACAGACTGACATAATATAACACAAAGAGAACATAGAGATACTTGAAGAAAAACAGGGATTATTTATCATGAAGGATATTTCCTGAAAGAAGGACTTCAGTAAAATCACCGAATTATTATTAAAGACTGTGATGCTTTTTTATGTATTCAAATTATAATAATAAAGATTGAGAAGTAATTATGAGAAAAGAATGCTGAGATATATGGGGATAAATGGAAATAAATGATAGCCAAAAAAAAAGAAATTTCCGGGCGCACGTATAAGAGCTTTGCTGGGGCAGCAGGGGAGGGTATTTTGGTGGGGGATAAGGGATATATAATAAATTTGGAGGGGAATAATGCTCATTGCACTGGTATATGTTTGTTTGGAAAACAAGTACCGCAGATGTGGTATATGTCTAACAAGTTATTGAAACTTATGGGTTTTTTTGGTAAGTAACATTTGAATCTAGGAGGTCATAGCTTGAAAGGAATCGCTTGGTAAGCAGGGAAAATTACAATCCAGGAGACAATCCCATAAAATGTTGAGTTTCTCTAGAGGTATAAGATTAAAAGGCACTAGCTTAAAGGTGCTAGATTCTAGGAGATGAATTGGAAAGCTTCAATGGAATCACCTTGTTTACAAAAAGCATCAGAATGTGCGAAGCATTACAAAATTAGAGATACCAGGTGGACTCCCATGATACATGTATGGACTTTTGATAGTCGAAGCCCTGTGTAACACACAATTCAATTCACATTTGAAAGGTGCAATTTTTCATGACCAATCAATACCCATCGCTGTTTAAGAAGTGGTTGAAAAAAGTGGTGTACCGCCATCCAAATTATTTGATCTACTACCAACTGACAGAGCTGATTACTAATTCCCATTGGTTTCTGTTAGAAGCTTATTATTCGTGTTCAATTCTTCATAAATCTATTGTCAAAAATAACGAAGCAGATTATAACTACTATTTATGGCTTGATTGCGAATAGATTTTAGTCGTTAATTCAGAAAGGATTAAAAAAAAAATAGCAAATGATAAGTGTAAATGAAAAAAGTTATAAAAAAAAGTCTAACTATGAAGGAAAAAAGAATAGAGATAGCAATAGGAAAATTTTAGACCACCATTCAAGTTCATGTGTTGGGCATGCATTGCAGCCTTGAAACTGATAGATTTGCTCATTGATGAACCAACCCCACAATGTGGTTTACTCCTCTTTATCTTTCCGCTTGCATACTGAGTCAGTTCTTTCATCCTGTCCAATTTGTTCCACTACTTTTTCAAGGATATCAACATACTGTTGTTGTACTTTGTTCATCCTGCCAATTTTGATTTCTGAATATGCTGAAGCTGAGAAAGAATTAATGATGGGTGGATTTATAGGAGAAGCGGTGGCGGCAAGAGGAGTGGCAACACTCCCATGATTTGGCGAACCATCGAAATCACCAGAGTCCGAGGTAAAATCATAAACGGAGCTACTATCAATACATTCCTCACAAATATGGTCTGACTTAGAGCACAAATGAGTATAATTGAGCACCTCAGAAGTTTCATTCAAAAAAGGAGGCTCAACTTGGGCAATACAATCGACAGGGTTCAAAGATTTCGGAGCAGCTTTGACTGTCAGATAATTAGCTTTGGAAACTTTATTATTCGCAATACTATAGTGATCTTTATCAGGACCACAATAAGAGTATAATTTATTACTATTAATAACTCTGGATTTCTCAATTAAAGAAGGCTCAATATTGATACTCCCATTCAAACTCTCTGGTGCAGCTCTAACTTTTGGGAATGTGGTTTTGGCAGCATTATGATCATCACGAGCAGCAAAACTACCATGAGCTAGTTTAGTAGCACAGGTAACATCCACAACCACTGGGGCACTTTCTAAATCAAGATTATTGTTCAAGTCCTCCCCTGAATTCTTGGTGAGTTCAGCATTGGAGATGGTATTTTGAGTAATATTTGACATGCTAATGTTATCAGTGGAGGGTTCGGTGGTAATAATGGTGGTAAAACTGCTTTTCGGGGTAAGCATTTCGTCAACTAAGGATCTGGTGGTACTAATAGTGGTAATGCTGCTCTTTTGACTGACAACGTTATCAGATGATGATTGAGCAGTGCTGATAACGGCCATACTCTTGTTTGAAGTGACCTGTTCGTTAATAGTGGCAGCTGGCTTTGGAGAAACCAAGACAATTTCATGCTCCTTTCCAAAAAGAGTGTTCTGTAAAGCAATCATCAATTCAAGTTTAGATTGTATGAAGGCAGGAGCTAAGTCATTCTGCATCGTCTTGTGGGATAAGCTGGCATCGTTCCAGAGCTTTTGGCAAAAACGAACATAGAAATCAAATTGTTCATTTTGCGCTTCTGTAATAGGATCATGTTTCAATGCCGAACCTTGCGCTTCTTCTTTCACTGGCTTCTTCAAAATTTTGAGCACTTTATCGAATTTTTTCAACTTGGAACCCTGACCTGTGTTACTATCATTGCCACTTCTAACAAGTTGTGAGTTTTTAGCTCCTTTTTTGGTGCCAGCGGAACTTTGATTTTGTGGCTGAGACTTTATTGGCACTCTTGCGGACGTTTTGGAGGAGTGCAAGATTTGGTAGTGCGCAGGGACTTTCAAGTAACGGCTCGCTGCAGACAACGAGGTTTTTGATTTTTCCTTATTTGGCCTTTTGGTAGCAGCAATTGGAATTTGGCATGATCCGAATCTCTGTGAAATCTTTCCAACTTTTTGTACCAAATGATTTCTAGATACTTCAATTTTGTCAACGATTTTATCACAATTTCCTGCAAGTTTATTTCCGAATCTCAAATTTTTGACAGGGTCTTCTTTTGCCTTGCCAATATTGGTATCCTCACTGTTGCTACCGATGTCGTCCCTCTTTACCTGTTGTAATTTTCTTTGCTTTCTGGCTTCTTTTTCCTGTAATCTCTCTTCCTTTTGTTTCCTTTTGAGCTCTTGTTTGGCTTTTTTCTCTCTCAACTTTTCTTCCCTTTTCTGGATTTTCAATTGTTTTTTTTGTTCTTTTTTCCGCAACTTTTCTTCTCTCTTCTGAATTTTCAACTCTTGCTTCTCTATTTTTTTTCTCAGCTTTTCTTCTCTTTTCTGCATTCTCAATTCTTCTGTTCTCTTTCTCTCCGCCTGTTTTCTTACTTTTCTGTCTTCACGACTTTCCTGTTTCAAAGCAACTTCCAAAAAATTGGGCTTACTTTTCCCGATATCATTCTTGATCCTCTCCTCTTCACGGTGTGCATTCACGGACTCAAACACAACCGTGTTTATTGTCAATGGGGATAGGTTAGTATTCTCCTCAGGTAAGTCAGCATGCGACAAAGGTTCAATGGACGAGGCCAATATTGGCGAAAGGTCAAATGAAGATGTCTGCAGTACTGACAAAATTTCATATGAAGAGTGCTCAGCTGGTACACGTTGGTTTGGCAAATTTGTGGAAGGAGGATTGGTAACTGGTTTAGGGTTAATTGGAGTATATTCAACTGTGGCAGTTTCAGAAAATGATAGCTCATCTTCAGCAACATCAGCAGCAGCAACATTTTTGGAAGTATATTTGAAGAAACCGAAAATATTGATGGACATCCTTCTGAAGAAAGAAGCCATTCTGTTATATTGTGGCATCTCTGGGGAAATAGAGGTATTGATCTCTGGTTGTGGTGGTGTCATATTCTAATGGGACTGTTAGTTTTCTGTTGATCTTGGTTCTGTGCGATCTACCCTTCCAAAGGAGTGACTGATTAGGGAGAGATAGATCATCAAAAAGAATGTGACAAAGTCTTCGAATAATAACTTACCAATGATGAAGTAAATGTTTTTAATATGATCACTAAAAATCTGAAGATTTTGGTGGTGGTGTAGGTTGAAAGTAATTTTGGTTTGATAGAAGGGATTTTTAGAGTAAGAGATTTTTGTGAACCACTTTGAAACCAGTTATGGTTATGTGTTACTCTCCGCTTATTTTTGTGTAACAAAGCAGCAAATGTCACAGACATAAAGTCATCATCGGCATGTGTAAACAAAAAGCTGCATGTTAGAAATCACAAAAAGCTGCATGTTAGAAATCACAAAAACAAAAAACAAAAAAGTGCCCCATAACTTTTCACTGATAAAGTGTATAATTATATTTTTGATGCAAAATAATGAATGTATAATGCCAGTAGTTATATTAGTTCCGGTATAAACACTGGCCTATTGACGTTTGTAATATCTACTACACAATTTCTTTCACTTTGGTGCAAATGGCCTGCGTGAAACCCGTACACTGGGGATCTCATCTCTACACTAATATATAACTCTTTTATTACTGTGATATATGCCCACATAGGTGGCACTGATAGCGGGGGTTTTGGAACTTTGAGTGTAAACATATTACTGTAAAAGGGACAATAAGCTCAAGAAAGATGAAATGACACGTTGATAGTTACGTGATTGTTTTGGTAAATCTGCACAACCTTCTAGTTAAACGTGTGTAATAGAATCTTGAAACCATTTTTTGCTCAACAGACCCTGCTAATATCTTCACGACTATCTACTTCTTTACCAAGCAGCCATTCATCTTAAAATTATGCTCCAGGATAAATAAATAACAGAAAAGATCCCACCGAATCTTTAAATCTTCAAAAGATAAAAAAGACTGGCCAGCCCCTGGAAACCACTCCTTCTATGCTGGAATCAATGATCAAAACCACTGATTCTCCTGATGGAGCATATAAAGATTTCCAGTCTTTTCTGTTGCGAAAAAACCAATACCAGAAGATTACTCTCCTCACTGGCTCATCATATGAGTAGCTATATCAATTATAATTGTGGACATCGGTTAATAGAAGTTCTAAATAATTGAACAAGCCCCTAGTATTTTCTTCTTGACTCAGGTTGGGTCTTTTGTTTCTGTCTATCACTAAAAAAGATAATGGGTCAATACCTGCTTCATTTAAGGATTTTTCGCAATTTTCTTGCTAGATTTTCTGATACCAATAAATAGTGGCGATATCATGAATCTAAGTTCTATTTATTATTTTGCGAAACAGAGTACAGATTATTTTATTGATGATACTATTGTACGATTCGCCAAAGTGCCATACATTATTGTACAACTCGCGAGCTCATATCTGGCGATATTGAGATAGGAGCCCATTTTTACGACTCAGTAGCTGCTCATTTATGCTTGAAACAAATTCATTGGATTCGTGTCTAGTCAATATCCGAGTATCTAGCATCTAAAACATGAAATCAAACACACACACTAACACTATACGATCTTCAATCAGTTATGGGCAGATGTAATTTATTTAGTGCGTAGTTGCAGAAAGTAAAGAAACAAAAAAAAAAAAAAAGAAACACTAGATTGGGTCAACGTTAATAATATGTGCTGTGTGATATCTGCTGATTCTTCTGATGACAAATTAGTGATTTGTGCTTGATGGCTAGCGATAACCAACATGTCGACGAGTAAAATCATCAACCCCGGGGGGTGAAGTGGGGTGAGTGTGCCATGGGCCGCATAAGGGCGCATGAGAGGCAGGCGCGCGACGGTAAAAATCACACCACACCGAAAATTGGCTGATTTCTAGAAACTCCGTGCCAATTCCCTCCACATCAACACAATAAAACACCGTGGTTGACAGCCATATTACTGCAAAGTAGTGGTCAACCTATGTTCAAATGCTTTCACTATATTGCCACCAGCATTATACAGAATATGAAAGAGAATAGACTTTGTACGCACAATCCCGGCATTTTTCGCTTATTTTTCTTGTTGTTTTTAGTTATTTTGCGATCTGCCGTTGCCAGTTTCTGACTCGTATTCCATCGACAGAAAAATTTTGGGTCCAAAAAAAATCACACCACAAGATCGTATCCTCGACATTCGCTGCAACATCCACTAACGCGATGACACGACCAAGCAAAATTTAATTTAATTTTAAAATAATATAAAAAAAAAAAATCCCTCGACTATAAAAGTAAATGTCTATTCTCTCTTGGTTTTGCAAAAAATTTGGTTCCGTATTTTGTTTCATCATTTCCTTTCTGTTGCTCATTATCTTACTATAATATCACTATTTATCCCACAATGGCTCTTCACAACTACCTCTACTTCAAGCACGAAGACAGCAATATCAGAAAAATTGCCAGTGTCAACGATGCCTGCAATAAGCCACAAACCCTTCATAGTAAAGTAACCAAAAGAAATGGAAAACAGAAGATTCCAGTTACTGGCACAGAGTTGTCAGTGGAAGCAGTTCAAAGTTAAAGAAAAAGGATGTGCAGTCACCAACTTTGGCCCTTTTCGTTTAGCTTATTTAATCCATATTCCTCACTCTTAGGATTGTTAGCATACAAACATGCTTTTCCGAAGGATCTTCATTCTTTCCTTCCCACTTTCAGTTCTCGGATTTTCTATATTATTATTGTTGTTATTTTTCTAATTCAAAATCTCTATTCGAGTAATAGTGACAAAGTTACATGTTGCGATCAAATCAAAATGTATGGTTTATTTTCCACGCTAACCAGAGTTGATTAAAAGATCAAAGCCGTCTGGTCTTTTCAAATAATCCATATTTGGGTTTAGCATATTTTGCTTTCTTCACATATTTATTTTATGGTGGGTTCCTGTTATTTTCCAGTTTTTTTTTTTTTTTTCTGTGCTGCTGGACTGTGTTACGCTTATGTTTTTTTTTTGTGTTCTCTTTGTTCTATCTACACATTATTTGCTTTTTTATTATCTATATTCATTTTCCTGTCTATTAAATAAAATCTTTCAAAGATTTAATTCATTCTCTTGAAGAAACAGTAATCAGAAATACCTACCCCTTGTAATATCGTGTTGCGATTGATCTCTTCAAAAAAGAAAGAGAAATCAAAGTCAAGCAAGAATTCCTATACATATCAGAAACAACCCTTCTTCCTTAATTCAGCTAAATCACTAATTATTTCCGAGGGATCGCGAAGATTTCCTGATCGTATTATTATCAAAATAATTTTAATAAGCATTTTGAAATCCGTTTCCGAAATATGCAGTGCAGTGAATATGGTTATGGTTATTATGCACATGCGCATCACGCATATGCGTGGTTGTTGGCTTTTTCGGGAATCCTCGACGACACCTTTATTGAAAACCTCATAACGCTACATCAATATAAAGTATGGGAAGTCAAAATGGATAGACAAAACCTTCATATATCGTTTTTTCAATCATACTTTGACTGTTGCTGTTCAATAAAGGCCGTAGCTAACTTATGTTAGGTTCAAAAGACTGTAAATCTTACGAACAAAATAAATTTTGATATTGGCATTCTACGCTTTCCTTTGATTTTCAATTCAATGTTGTTTGACCACATTAATAAATAAAGGACATAGTATTCCATTAAAATATTTCTGAGACATCATTTCATGAGGATAAAAATACTGTCGTTCTGAAAATTAAAATTTCTTGCTACGCAAAACTCAGGAATTTTATCATACCCACATATCATGCTTTCTGGCAGGAAAAGAAGGTAAATACACCACCAATGTAGCAGTAGCAGCAAGTTTGCTTTTATTATTTACTAAATGAATCATATATTCTTTTCCTATAAGAGCATAAACCAAACAATTTGCTTTATTTTTCTTTCGAAAAAATCAAGAGGTTGCCAACCATGCCAGTAGATAAACCACCCAGCTACTCTAGTACTGCCACTTCCAATCAGTTACCTTCCACTGAATTTGATTCTAATTCATCTCATTCAACTTCTCCTCCAGAATATGTACAAGTTACGGCGCCTCCTCCAGCTTATCGCTCGAGTCCGAGAATCGCTAGAAATATGGGGCCCTTTGGTATCCAAGAGGAGGATCCTATGGTTTGGGGAAATGAGCTCGATAGAATTTCAAACAGTATCACAAGAAGTGCCATTTACCAAATTATTATGAAAGAGCCACAAAAACCAATGACAATAGAAAAGAAGATCAAACTGGGAGCGTATTTACTTGCAGTGGTTATTTTCATAATTATCTGTGCTTATCTCTTCTCCAACACTTCATCTGGCTCTAAAAAAGGAAGCCATCAGCCTACAGAAGACTATGAGACTGATGATGATTTTATTCAATTCTCAACGTGATTACAGATACATTAATTGTGGAATCCTAGAAGGAAATTCCTAAATTTGAGTATTCATGGGCTCAACCACCCCCAAATCAGTTAACAACGTCTGTTAACGAATGGATAATGATTTTGCTTCAGACCACTGAACTACATAGCGTCCAATAATTATTCCTTTCCTTATTTTTGTTGATCAATATATACTATAATAATTATCTTTCATTAATATATTTAAGACGAACTATCTATCAAACAAAAATAGAAAAAACGTCATTGCCGGCAAAAATGACAATTTAAACAATAGAATAGGAGCCGAAGAAATAATGTAATAACAGAAGGAAGAGCGATTTGTTTGTTTATATACCACGCCCAATAATTTGAAAATGTCCAACCGTACTCGGGAACTACCAAGAATATATCAAAGTAATAAATGCATCAAATTCTCGTCATCCGGCTACTTTAAGAGCGAGTTATAAAAATACATACTTGCTATTACTTGTAACCGTAGTTCAGTTACGTAGCTTATGTAAAGGAAGTTGGAATATATTTAGTAATTCGTTATACCGCAATAAGATCTCATGGAATTTTGAGGCTCATACTATTGCAAAAAAAGGAATACTGATTTTATATTTAAAATACGCACTATGCTTCAAAATGCAAAACAAGCCAAAAATAAATGAAACAAATAAACAAACCAAACAAAGGGGCTCAAGTAAGAATATTTATACACTGAATATTATCAAAAATGAAGTACGCGAATTAATAGGAAGAATAACAGAAATAAAATCTCAAGACATCGGAAAGTTGAGAAAAAATGACCCCCATAAATATACATAAATAAAATAAAATAAAAAAAATCATTATATACCAGTAGCATTCCCATTATTGTTATTACTACTATCATTGCTGGTATTGTTATCATTAATAGTCCCGAAATTTCCAAAGCTATTAGCGTAGAAATTATTGCCCAATGCTCCGTTGGACCCAAAGTCAACACCCATGAGCAAGTCATTCCAAATATTATCGTTCAAAGTCCAGTAGGAATAGGATTCTGGCTTGCCTTCCAAGTTACAATTAGCCAAGGCATCGGAAGTAGTCAGGAGCATGTCCATTGAGGGTTTGAGAGGAACATTTGAGGGATTTCCATTAACCAGGGCTGCTGCTGCAAACATTCCTTTGTTATCCCCATTATTTTTCCCAGCAGCGGTAGAAGCAAGTCCATTATTTGTTCCAGTAGGCTGGTTGATACCAACGTTATTGGCCGTCCCACTATTATCAAACAAGAAATCAATTAGATTTATGTTATTAGTGGCGCTGGCGGTTCCCATGTTTTCTCTTTCCACTGGAGAGCGCACAACACCATCAGCCAGCGAGCCTTCAAATCTGCCATTGATAACCGGAGCATGAGCATCAGGATTGGCGGTGCTAACAATTCCCCCAACAGGTGTTCCAGTTTGTGGCAGATTAGTAGCATTGGAATCAACAATCCGCATAGTAGCAGATGCAGGATTTGTATTGAAGACTGGATCATTGTAAATATCCCTGAGGGATTGCCTAGGCAAGTTGGAATTGCTGCCCAATATAGGGAACGCGGCGTTAGTATTATAAGATGCTGAAGATGATCTATTAAATTCGAAAGGATTTGGTAAATTTTCAGCACCTGCATGTTCCGCGGCTGGTTTTTGGGGTGGTTGTTGATAATGGTTCACAATACGGCGGTTGTGAGGCGACCATAATGCAGCGTGTGTTAACGGTCTAATATCCGAAGGATTCATTTGGGAGTTAGCAATCAATTCATCGTTAATTTCTGGGTCATACGGTTTTTGATTATCAAAATCATTGATATTATCACTAGTGATATTATACTTGTTCTGTAAGGTTTCTTTGACTTGTGTCAGATATGTCTGTAATGCTAAGATCAAAACTAAGCGAGATTTGGGTAGAAAATAATTGTATGGATAGCTTTTACTAACATTATAGTTTATCTCAAGAAAGTCATGAATGTTAGTAAGAAGCGTATCTGGCAAAATGGCCAACTCGGAGAACTTAGGTCCCATCAAAGATAAATATCTTAATCTAATCAACATCCCGCAAATATAGAAAATTCTTGTCTGTGCTATTAGTGGTAAAGATGCTACTTGTTCGTAAGTAAGTTTCTTGTAGCACATGATTCCTTTAATGCAACTATTGGCACAGTTCCCAATGGCAGCAATCATATGTGTTGAAAATTGTATTTGGTTGTTGTTTTTACTATCAGCAGAGTCATCTTTGTCTTTATCGGCAGAATTTGGTTTAGCAGTTTTCCCAACGTTATTGTCACTAAGCAACACTCTATGCAAAGATGGTTCGAAAAGGTAAGCTTCAATTGAGTAATAATACATCAAAAAGCAATGATCATCTTCTGGAATTTGCCTCTTAACTTGAAGTAAAGAATTATACAAATCAGTAATAATGTATCTGCTTCTTGCATCATTGACATTGAAGGGATCAAATTCAGAGCGGTGCAAAGTTTGATACACTTTTTCAAAGCAACTATGCATCTTGGCAAAAATCGCCAATTTCTTATAATTGTTGTGTTTTTGTTCCTCAGTATGAACCAAGATTTCATAGCATTCTTCTAAGTATGAAGTCCATTTCAGAGCACTTTCTCTTTTCAAAAACATGCAAAATGACAAATTTGTAACATAAACTGTCAATGCTAATTTCCGACTATGGAGAGACTGGGAAACATCACTTAATGGGGCCCTCTTGACAATATTTTCTATTTTTGAAAAGTAATAGGTAAGCTTTCCGCTCAACCCAAGATCTTGGGCCATGGAAACACAAAGCGAGTTCACAAGATGATACCTTCTATGTTGAAACAATTCACCTGAGTCGTACCAAATACACATCAACAACATACTTTGTAATAACTCAATAGATTTACTACCAACGATCAAAACCTCATGACTAAGAATCTCTGTTGCTTTGATAACCAACTGAAGGTTAACATGTACTTGTGTGCTTGGGATAATAATTGAAGAAATCGCAAGGATAACAATAAATAAAAATGGAGATTTCCTGCGGAATTCCTCAATATCAAAGTTTTCGTCAACAGTGAGCTGCGAAGTACTGTTATTATCATTATTAGACTCATCAAATATAGACACGACTGAGAATCGAGAGTACATGTGTGTCATGTATAAATTCAATCTAGATCTCACTTCCTCTGCCGTCAAGAGCCCCTTACCAATAACATCGGTTTCCGCCAAATAATCAACTCTTAAAATCGCCTCACGTTGCTTACCGATTGATGAGAATGTAGAAGAAACATTATAATATTTCTGTAAGTTGATGGAATTGATCGATCGAAGTTCAGAGATCAAGTTTTGCTGAGTTTGACAGTTAAGGATGTATGAAGCATGTGCTTGCTGTTGTTGGTAAAAATTGGGAAGAAAGTGATTATTTGCTTGTTTGATGCTTTGTCCTGACTGCATATTGGCTGTGGCTGTTGTATTGTTAGGCTTGATCTGAGAATCATCGCGAACGGCTGAGGTGACAGAAGAAGCGGCTGAAAGGTTCACCGCATTTCCAGACTTCTCCAATGTATTCGAGACTTCCTCATCGGGCAGAGGAGTATTTATTATAGAAGAAATAAGTGTTTTACCTGCATTAGTTTTGTTGAGATCTGGCGGTGATGGAATAGATGATTTGTCTTGGATATCACCAGTCTCCAGAGGTAAGTGTAAGGCCGTACGATTTTTAGAATATGATAGACTTGAGATCACTTCATCCTTCTGTCGTAGCTCTTCCATCAACTTCTTAATCTGTTCTTCATATTGAGGGATAGTAGCATTCAACTTTTGACGTTTCTTGAGCTGCTTAGGATCAATGATACATTCTTTGCCTGATTTCTGGCATCGTAAACAAGGCTTGTCAGGGTCTTCTTGAATACATTTTACTTTTGACTTGTGACAAGATACACAGGCGACGGTACGATTCCTCGGGTTAGAAGGGTTCATCGTGGCATAATTAGGCTAAAACAACCTTTGAAAAGACTGTATGTGATATCTATCTCCTTGTCAAGATGTTTGATTCCTTTATGATTTTTTTTTTTTTTTCTTTTTCCTTTTTCGTGTAATTTTTTTTTCTTGGTGCAGATTGCCACTGTCAAAACCACTTTGTGATATTTTAGCATTAATATTAAGGCAGAGAAAATCAAGCCCTACCAATCACAGGACCAGGCTAAATGTTCTCGGTAATAGACGTTTTTAGGATCCTTGGGGGTCTTTTGCTCTTGAATTCTGTATTTTCGTGGTGGTTCACCTCTTCAACCACTTGGGGATATGAGGGCCGGTATTTGGACACGCAGTACTACAAATTCCAGTACAACACCTTTCCCAAAGGCCAAATAGAGCTCACGATAGATGAGCTCATGCTCTATAATGGATCCGACCCTGGCTTACCAATATATATCGCGATTTATCACAAGATATATGATGTCAGTGCCAGCCGATCACTTTACACCGCTCCTTTGGGGAGATACCTGATGATGGCCGGTAAAGAATCTGCAAGGATGTTGGCTACGGCTTGTATAGGAAAAAACGATGAATTAACCAGTGATTTACGAGGACTCGATGAAGAATATGCCATGGGCGAGATTTTTAAATGGCAGAGCTATTATGAAGGAAAATCTAAATACTGGCAAGTGGGATATTTGAAAGATGGTGATGAGGTTTGGAAGGATAAAGAAATTCCTTCGCCATGCACAAAACCACTTAAAATTCCGCAAAATGTGGGAAGCCTTCAATAATAGAAAAATTGGGTAGTAATTATATACATAAGTTGTGGTCGCTTTTATGTAGTGCGGAGCTTAACACCCATATATGCGAAATTATGCTCAGCGGAAGCATGCTCCTCTTGAAGTTCGATATTCCTTCATCCTATTTCTAGACATTATTGGTGTTATATCATCAGGATATTGTACAATATTATTAAATGTTCCAGGTCAGAAGGGAACTGGAGCCTAGTTGGTTTTTTTGCCAACTTTTCATAGCCTGAGACAGGTACCTAAAAAATAACTGAGCTATTCCAGAAAGGGCAAAATGAAGCCCTATGCATTGCTGTTTTGGTTCGACTTATTTTCTCTTGCTTTTCTTATACTTTTGTAGATGCTCATATCCAGGCTTCAAAGATTATCAGATAATTGGGAAACAAAACCATTCCATTACTTATCCATCTGCAAATATTATGACTTCCAAAATAGATTCAAGACAAAGATCCATACAAAAAAAAAGTTGCTTCATATATTCAGTTATGACTCAGAACAAAGAATGAAGACAAAGATGACAAGCACAACAAGAATAAGGCTTCATCAATTACCCTTAATATTTTTCAGTTCCAATATGAGGGCAGATCACTTCTCTCTGAAAGCTCTTTTTTCTAAAGCCTTCAATTATCTGATGTTGCAACTGACGTTCTTACTCTTCTCCTTCGGAATAATAGCGTCAAATAATAGTGAATAATCTTAGCTTTTAATAAGTTACGGAATTTTCTCACACTTTTTGAACTGGCGAAGCTTAGATGGCTTTCTATTTTATTTCAAGCATTTCCCAGTATAATAATGCCTCCAGAATCTGAATTTTCTATTGGATGATAAAAATGCTTTTGCAAGGCCCAAACTTCTCAGAACATTAATGGCTTGGGCTTTTGGTATTGAAATCTGCGACTGTCTAGTAAACTTCAATTTCATTCTTAAAAGCCTCTACTTTCTTAATGTAATATCATGCAAAACTTGTTGGGGTGCATAGCCTTATGTATAACATATTCGGATTTTAAATGTCCCACACATAAGTTATGGAGATATTCAGACGTATAATTGACATCTAGGATTTTCAAAATCACATAGTTCATGACTTGCAGCTCTATGCCACATTACTTGATAATTATAATTTCATTCTGTATTTTAGTACTTTCAATATATTCTCCTATCTGTAATGTTTCGATCTGAAATCATTAATCGTCACTTTTTGGCACTCTTTTTAGGTCATGGTACAATGTAGTATACAATGCAGTATGATTTTCATTCATATTGAATATCAATTGATTTGATTATAATAATTAATTTAAACTCATACGTCTTTCATGTTCTCTTTACAAAAAGGCTGAATTACACTGTATCATTATGTTGAATATACTGTAAGATCAGAATAGACAACAGCAAGCTTGAGAAAACCAGTTAGAGGACTCTCATGAAAATCTCAATTTCAATTTAACAGTGATTACGCCTCCTCTTTCTGACTAGCCTGCGAAGCCAGGATTAGAATTTCGTTTACATAGCTTATGGTATGGGGCGACCTTTTCGGTGAGGCTCAACATTTGAACCTTTATTATTAACGAATATATAAATATTTACAGAAGCTGTTTATCAAGGTTTAGTCTTTGATTTCGCCAGCATCAGAAACGGTGACCATAGCTCTTGGTCTACCGGATTGGGACCCAAGGGCTTCCAACTTCTTGACACTTTCAAAGTTTTCATAAACAACGCCAAAAACGGTGTGACGGCCATCCAACCATGGACATGGGACAGTGGTGATGAAGAATTGGGAACCGTTGGTGTTTGGACCAGCGTTGGCCATGGACAACAAACCAGCTCTGTCGTGTTTGATGTCAAAGTTTTCATCAGCAAATCTGTCACCATAGATAGATTTACCGCCGGTACCATTACCTCTGGTAATGTCACCACCTTGGATCATGAAGTCTGGGATAATTCTGTGGAATGGAGAGCCAGCAAAACCAAACCCTTTTTCACCGGTACACAAGGCTCTGAAGTTTTCGGCGGTCTTTGGAACGACTTCATCGAACAATTCAATCTTGATTGGAGCCAATTCGGTTTCACCAACCTTTGGTGTAAGGAAAACCTTCTTACCGAAAGCAGAACGGGAAGTGGAGAAGAAACGGGCTTGTTGACGGGCGAGTTGCTTGAACATTTTGTGATGGTTGAGTGCTGTGGATCCATCCACCAAAGGATTGTTACGGAGGAAATTTCACCAAAGAAAAATCGTCAAAAGTTCAATGAAAAATTGCGATTACGTCAGCACAGTCAATAATTATGTCAGCTCTTGTAACGAGCATTACGTAATCGCTCAGAACTGCGATGACTTCAACAATTTTTTTTGGTTTTATCTTTCCAGATTCATCCACCAGAGCCAAATTCAACCCTGTCAAGCTGTTTTCCTCAAAAAAGCCATTACAGAACGTCTTGAGTACGTTTGCTAAGATGACAAATTTAAAAACCCCAACTGCTGGATCCCCTGCCGTCGCTGAAGCTTCCAAAAAGCCAAATGGCGCCGAGCTTTATGAGCTTATGAAAAGACCAACTAAGATTGTGGCTCCAATGGTAGATCAAAGTGAGTTGGCTTGGAGAATATTGAGTAGAAAGTATGGGGCCACTTTGTGCTACACTCCGATGCTTCATGCTAGACTTTTTGCCCAAGATAAGAAGTATCGTCTAGACAATTTTTGTTCGTTTGACGGTGATGCAAAGCTTGATCGTCCATTGGTGGTGCAATTTTGTGCAAATGATCCAGAATATTTACTTGAAGCTGCAAAGCACGTGGAAGATCATTGTGATGCGGTGGATTTGAACTTGGGGTGCCCTCAAGGGATTGCCAGAAAGGGGAAGTATGGTGCTTATCTTATGGACGAGTGGGAACTTATTCCGAAATTAATTGGTACCCTTCATGAGAACTTGAAAGTGCCGGTTACCGCCAAAATAAGAGTCTATCCAAGCAACTCTAAAAATGCCAGTACTGGGCCAGGACAAAAAGTGGCAAACGGAGCAAATGATGAAGATTTTGACAAGGAGAAAACTTTACAATATGCGAGAATGGTACTCAAAGCCGGGGCGCAAATTTTAACGGTCCATGGAAGAACCAGAGACATGAAAGGTCAAATGACTGGGGTTGCAAATTGGAACATTTTGAAGTATTTGTATGAAGAGCTATCTAAAGAATTCGAGGATATTGACAAGAAGTTGATTTTTTTTAGCAACGGCAATATTTTATACCCAGAAGATATCCAGCGTTCCTTGGACTATATTGGATGCCAGGGAGTAATGAGTGCTGAGGCTAACTTGTATAATCCAGGAATTTTCCTGAACGTATTCCCTGAGGGCACCAGTGAAGAAGAAATCAAGGAAAGGCAATTTCCAAGAGTAGATAAGATTGCTCGTGAATATTTAGAAATCATCAAGTCTGTGCAACCGGAATCTGTGGCATCCAAGCACGCAATCAAGGCGCATTTTTTCAAACTTTTGAGACCATTTGTTGATGTTCATAAAGATATTCGTCAGAAGATTGCCACAACATCCGTCAAAGGACCTTTGGAAGATTGGGAGGCGATTGTAAGGGTAGTGGAGGAAACTGTGTCCAAAATATTTGAGGATCCAGAAATCCAGGATAAAGATAAGATCATCATTGGACCAAAGGAATGGTGGGGTGGTAGTTACAAAACTATTCCATATTGGAGATGTCAACCTTATTTTAGAAAAGTTGATGGTAAGTTGGTGGTTGAGGATATCAAGGAGAAAAAGTTAACTAATTTGGAAAACGGGTTAAAGAGAAAGCAGGAAGACGGGGAAGGTAACGAGGAAGGATCCAAAGATTGTAAAAAACAACAAACGACCAAGACCACTGCTTGAGGTATATTTTTGTTCGATTGATTTACCCCTTCTGTTTTGTCACTTGCATATTTTTTTTCCTTATATAATGGTTATAGAACCAAATATTGTTTTGTATATTAGAAATTTAAACACTGAATATTATTTGTCAGGTTGTCCTATAATTATGAGACCCCAATTGAATTGTACTCGCTTTCCGTTTTTTCTTCTCTCTCTGCCCCTATACTGTTTAACAAAATCACAATCAGGATTTCCATACATGTATTGATGGGTTTTTTTTTTATCCCAGAGTCGTTATTCCAATTGAATCTAAACCTAAATACCTCATATCACGCTGATTGCTTCAGTAAAAAAACAAAAAAACAACAACATAATCTTAAGAAAGGGATCCTTTAGACAAATGATTGAACATTGCAAAGGTACCACACAGTAACGAGTTTAACAAAGAACCCTTCAGCTCACAAATTATTGACTAATTATGTATCAAATATTTAGCACTAATTTCAAAAAGTCTTGATTTTGTTTTTTTCAACTCTTCACTGGAGCTATCTTTTCATCTAGAGCATAATTCGCTGTGAAGAAATTTACAATTATGAGTTTATACTTTATCAGCTTATATCAAATCTATAAGGCAAATAATAATAAATAATATGGATCATCAAATCATAAATAAAACAAATAAGAAATAAAAGGCTTGAATCAACCGAAAAAAAGAATAAAAAACATATGCCAATTAAATGAAATGAAAATGAAAGAAAAAAAAAAAAAAGAGAAAAAATATGCACAGCTAAGTGAAATGAAATACAACAACACAAGATTAAAAAACTAAACCCACTGAGCTTTTGGAGACTTTTCCCTTCATAAGATTTTTTCTATAATTTATATTGAGAGCATCTTTCCTTGCTCCTCTATTCTTATTCAATCTTTTGAAGTTGTTTTGGGCAACAGTGTAAGCAACCCTTTTAACGAAAAGCTCTACCACTTTGCCCCTGAATTCAAAAGTATCCCACAATGCCCTTTTCACCACAGCATAAAGTCTCTTTTGAACTTCTATTGGTCTTTTGTTCCAAGTTTCCTTTGTTGGCTTTCCACCGCCAAGGTGAATTAATTGGGTAATGGCTCTGGAAACTCTATCACCATTGATCAAAATGTCCAACCTGTTGGCGATCTCTTCAACGATCAATTCAATGGATGCCACCACCGTTTGGCATAATCCAAGGATATCAGAAAGTTTTTCTCTAGAAGTGTTGTCGTAGACATAGAGCTCACCACACTTTCTGGTACCTTTGAAGTACCTATGTTTAGCAAAGAACGTGTTTCTCTCTTCAGAAATGGTTTTCCCACCGATTCCAATGGTTTCAGTGTAGCCTAAGTTTGAAAATAACTTTTTGCATTTCAATGAGAACTCAAGAGCAACTATCATGCCGTAGTAATCTTCAGGTCTAATACCGTATTGACTCTCCTGATAAAGAAAATCGTAATCACAGAAGAAGCTTTCAAGTAAATGAGATGGGAAGCTTCCTAAACAGACATCTCTGAACTTTTTTGGGTTAGATTTAGAATATAGCTCGATGCTCTTGGATGATCCGGGAACAATACCTGGAATAGGGTGTTGTTGATGGTATGCCCTGGCAATATTGACAATGGTATTCTCTTGATCACCGACCACAGCACGAACTGCACCCAATTGCTTTTCAGAACCACCGCGACGATCCCTTGAACTACTTTTGGTAGATTTAGCGTACTTTGGTGCCGAGCATGGACGACGTTGAATTTCTACTTGTGTAGGTGCCGAGTAGTCAGTCCTATGTGTTTTAACGACATCCACGGATAAATTATTGTTTTCCTCTGACTCAGCAGAGGCGACATTCAAAGATGAAGCATCTTCAAAGTTGTTTGGTAACTGAGGAAACACAAGACCATAATCCATGAATAAGTCTTTTGGGGTTGAGATTTCAAAAGATGAAGACATCTCATCATTAGATGAGTATTGAGGGTCAATACTCTCAGTTTGATCTGAGATCCCGAAAAGCTCAAGAAAGGATTCATCTCCCGAACTTGTGTTTTGTTGATCATCTTTCAGCTCCATAGACAGAGGAGGAGTAATTGAAGAGTCATTTGGAGTAGATTTAGAGAATGAGTTTGCAAATAAAACAACATTTTCTTGAAAACTGTTTTGCATCTCCAAAAAATTGATTTCCCTTTCGAAAATCTCATCAAACGATAAATCTGCTTCTGAAGAACTGAACATATTGGAGTCAAACATATTATCAGAAGTAGGGTAGGCTTGCTTTAAGATGAATACCAATAGACTCAAAGGTAATGGAAGAAGAAAAGATATCTTTAAAAAGTTATGAATTTGGGAAAAACTGCCTTCCTTATATATTGTCTGGAACACCCATCTGAGATTTATTTTTTGCTCAAAGATCTAAAATGCTTTGAGAGCAATTTAGCAAAGTTACTTTCTGCTAAATCACAGTGTTTTGAGAGCAAAAGAGCAATTATACTCTTAGTTTATAAATAATTAAACGCGGCTTTATTTTATTCAAATATCTATAGAGAAATTACTACACTTCTGTTGTAAAAGCGGCTCATGGTATGAATGAAAGCAATATTTTTCGTTGAGAAAGGACTGACCATGTCAATAAGCTCAATGAGAAACTGAATTTGATGAAATATATCAAACCATTATATTTTTTTACATGATTTTATTCAGTGGTTACGGAGGTCCGTGATTCGGACATCTTGTAGATGAGCATATCTGATGCTTATGCATGTTGGAGTTGCGCAGCAACATTTCATGCAGATGTGTGAGTGACACAAAAGCAGCCTTCCACTAGATCAGGATGAGGGATTACAACCAATTTCCACAAGATCCAAGAATATGAAAAAAAAAGTAAGTGTAAAAGTGATTAATGAACTCCAATGCTCTGAGATCTATCGTCCAGTAAGTTTGGATAAACTTAGCAATTCAAGGCTCACAAAATGAAAACCAAACAACACCACCTAATTTTATAATTGATAATAGTCTACTGGGGGAGACTGAAAAAATTGAGGAAGCCTATGGCATTTCAATATTAAATGGTAATCTAATACTGCGCAATGAAGATAGGTTTTCTCCCCTAGAGAGTACTGGCGCTCTTTCTGGTCCTGGAATAAAAATCATACAAGAGTTTCTTCTTTGCTGATTCATATTCACTTTCGATTTGATATATGAGAACGACTTTAGGGAGAAGTGAAATAATAAAAGCACCCAATAAAATGGGCTTTTCATTATCGGACGTCTTTGATTTAGCAAATGATATTATTATTTATCTTTCATGGTTGTTTTAAAGTATATTTAATATGTTCTCATTGCATTTATTCCCGTTGATCCAGACTAATAAATGGTTATTATTGAATCAGAAATTAATGAAAGTTCAATTAATTTCTGTTTCATACGGTTGGCGACGCAAAATATTGGTCTTACCGCCTAGATTCCGGGCGTTTTTCAAGCACCTTAAAGGAAAATTATATACATTAATATTCTATAACACAAGTGAAAAATCCAAATCCAAATTTACTTCTGCTCATTAACTTGTATCATGTTCTCGTTTTATTTATCATCTTTATATTAATATGCATGCTATTACTTTTGGTTAATAATCGTTCTTACAATAACGAACTCCGACCTTAATCAAGCCATGAGGGATTCTTCTGATTCTTTAAGAGCCATACTGTGACACACAACGGGCCAGACCAATAATATACTCACTTATCTCGTAAATAATATTAAAAAAATCATGGTTCATATTTTCCGTCATTTGATATATTTTCTTCGACGGAAAAGCCAATAGAAATGGAAAATTCCACTGGTTGGTCACCTTTAGCAGGGTAATCGCCTATTGAAAACTATACTGGGTAGCCCTATTTGTCCTTTATGTGAGCATCAAGAGAAACTATGAAGCTTCATACTCGCAGACAGGGACCTGGCAGAAATAAAGAGCTCTAAAATCTTTGATGACTAAACCTTTTTTAATGTTTGTAAGTGTGATTTGCTGAGAAACTATTGGGTCATTATAAAAGGCCCCCCAAAGTATGCGTTAATGGTTGGAAGTGATTCATCTAGAATATCGATCCTTCTAAAACACAATGACTAAAATGAGTCCTACAAAAACTTTATGAAACAGAAAGAAATCATTTGCCATATCGTGTGAGAGGATATTACCTATTCATTATTAGTATCCGATAAATGAATATTTTGACACTTCTGATGCCTCACACGTGACAAAAGAAGAAAAACCCGGTCAAAGCGGCTAGAAACTCTCTCTTTTAACATTTCTTCATTATTTAATGATTATTCCTCTTATTTATATCTATTTGTCATTTTGTTTTTAATTATAATTTACTACCATATACCATACAAAATCTTCCAACAATGCTGAGCTCATTGGATCGCCTTAGGCAGGAAGAGCAATCTGTTGATGAGCGCTCCCCATTATTGGTGACCAGACAATCTTCAAGCCATGACACAATAATAGACAATGAACCCAGCACTAATGATGATGATGATGATGATGGCGAGCAGATAATAACCCAGGAGGGAAAGATCAATCATGATATAGTGCTACGAAAGCTCGTGGGATACAGTATTATTGCGATTTTGTTTTGCTTGGCATTCAACTTGACATTTCTTCCCAGAACTTCGTTATCTAGAGACTTAAAACGGATACACTTTGACAAGATTGTGAAATCCGATTTGAAACGAATTTATTTGAACTCTTTCACCCAAGAAGACTCTCACCTACGTAAAGAAATGTCGAGGAAGCTCGCGGGAATCAATGGGAATCAGAACGGAGAAATGGTGGAGTTCGTGATGGAGGAATTGGTAAAGGCAGGTTATAGTCGACATCAAATATTAGTGGATCGCTACAGCGTGAGGTTGGATTATCCAATTATAACTGAGGTGGAGTTAATCGATGATGAGGGAGAATCATTATACAAGGCATCACGGCTACCGGAGGAAGTAACGCTCCATGTGCCTGATTCAGAAAAACAATACATTACGGGAAAGTTTGCCTTTGCGAATTATGGCACTTTTAAAGACTTTAAAAATATGAATGATGCAGGAATAAAACTATCAGGATTAGTTGTGGTGATGAGAAGCGGGGAAATTCCTGATGATATCAAACTAGCAAATGCCGGCAGAGCAGGGGCAATCGGAGCGGTATTGTACAATGATTCAACAAAAACTGAAAAAGACATCATAACTAATCCTAATAATGAGTTAGGATTATTTCCTGATGACTTTGCAAGTTCATCTTCTACTACAAGCTTCGATTCTCGGGTTTATGTGATCCCTTCCATTACTATTAGTGCTTATGATGTTGAAAAGATTTTACAAAATGTCAATGGTCAACATCAACTAGGTTGGTCAACTGGTGAATTGGACCATTTCGATTACTCCAGCGGTGTCTCGCCTTTCCAAATGAACTTGATAAGTATCAAGAGCTCTACCAATACTAAGCTAAAAAATGTGATTCTCAAAATTCCGGGAATATACAATGATGAAAAAATTTACGTGGGGACGAAAATGCACTCAATCACCGACTCCTCAGCATCTTCCATCGGCATACTTCTAGAAATCACCCAGAAGTTCTCCAAATTATTGAAAATTGGTTGGAAACCATTAAGGGATATCAATATGGTATTTTGGGATGATGCTGATGATAATACCATCCACCCCACCGTTGGCTCGAAGGAATTCGCAAAACGCCATGCCAAAGAGATTCAGAGCCAAGTGGTTAGCTATTTGAACTTGGAGAATATTAAAGGTCCTGATTTTTCGGTGGAATCTAATTGGTTATTGAATTCTATGACCAGTCATGCCGCCCAGCAAATTTCATACAATAATACTGCGTCACTTTGGGATCATTGGGACCTTGAAGAAATCTCTCCGATTAAAGATGACCTGGATTGCTCGATATTCCAAAACCTTTTAGGGATACCGAGTGTCAATTTGGGGTTTGGTATAGGTAATGTGAATGATGATCTAGTCTTTGACAATCATCTTAATGCTAATTTTGAGCAGTACGGGTTAATGAGCAAATTTTTGGGATTGCTAATATTGAATATTGATGAGAGAGATATCATGGGATTTAAATTTGAAGGATTAGGAACCAACATGAGAAAGAATTTCAGAAAGTTAATGAAAGAATTCCACCCGATTTTACAATCTTGGAAAGATAGAGAAATTGATGAAAAATTATGCGGCTCAAAAAAGTTGTACTCAAATCATTGGTACAACTTACCAAATGCTTATTATTCGACTTTTGGCGAATTATTGAGGCTTGCAGGAGAGGCAATATTTGAATTCCAAACTTTCAGCCGCGATGCCGATATGGTGCTTGAAAATCTACAAGAGCAGATCACCGATGATTATCCATGGTTCAAGTTTTACAAAAAATTGTCATTATTGTTCAAGATCAAGATCCATAATTCACGGTTGAAGAAATTTGATCAACAATTTTTAGTGGACGATCCAGTGTTAGCAACAATTTACAAGGACCTTCACACCACAGATCAGTTCAAGTACTTGGTGACCGGCCCATTAAATCATAATGATCCTGTGGTATTGCCAGGGTTGACCGAGGCGTTGATGAACCAGGAGTTTGAGGCAGTGGTTAAGTGGTTGATTATTATTATGGACAGTTTAGATAAAGCGATGTATATGATTTAGAATATGTGGGGATTTACAGTGGCTTACAACTAAGAATGGAATGACTCTACTGTCTATATCTTGCTATTTATTTTAGGACAGAAGCCCTTTTGGAATATATAGTGGACGAGGGGCCTCCACCCTAAGCATAATCATCTTTTGTCCTGATATGCCTCGCTGCATGTGAAGTCTGAGTATCGCATTTGTTATACGACTGTCACATTTTATCAACGATAATTCTATACTATAGTATTAGGAAATCCATTATTGATAATTAACCTACCATATATAATTTTAATCGAATTTGAGATGTTTGGAGAACTGAAAGTCATTGAAAACACATTGATAATCTTGATTAGAGCATTCGGAAAACTGAAATAGTGTTGGTATTGTTTTGTGAAAAAAAAAAACAAAAAAAAAAACCAGAACATTGTGGATCAAGGAGTTAACGGGTAGAATTTCAATAGCTGAAAGGATGTTTGTCTGAAAAAGTTCTCCAAAATATGGCCCAATAAAGCATAAGCGCGAATTCATTGAGGATATCGGAATTTGTTTTATTTTAATCACCTGGATAATCATCTGCTATGGAATACCTATTGCTCAGGTTGGATTGCATTTTTTTATAGTATTGTAAACCGCCTTTACTCTTTAGAAATATAGCATAAAATTTATTATGTTGCATGTCCTCTAAATACTGTATATATATCTACTTTGTTTTTCTTTTTATCGTCTGCCATAGGGGTCGCTTTTCCTTTTTTACGGTCATTTTGGAAACTGGTTCAGTTAGTAATATAATAATACCACGGTTGAAAAAAAAAATGAAAAAAAAATAAAAGAATAAAAACTTAAACATAATATACATAAATAAATAAATAAATCAAATGAAAAAAAAAAAAAAATCAGAAAAAAATTTGGAATGCGACAGTGAACATTTTATAAACGGTAACCAATATTTAAGAAGCAGCAAATGAAATTTTGGGAGAGAAAAAAAAACGGAGCTATCAAGTTGAGAATGATACGAGTGGGTATGTACTTAGGCATTAATATTTCAATTTTGCAATCAAAAATATAAGTAACATTTGGCCAGACAAATGTAATTGCAAGAAATTTCTTGCATGCCTTAAGGCAAATTGAAAACCATTTGTTCTTTTCAACCCTTTTTCAACGAAATTTTTCATAACAATAGTAAACGACCCAATGGAAAGACAATGTCACATAGTGTGATGAAAGAAACAATTATGATGGTTTGTGGTGATAGATAGAAAAACTACCCATTTCTTTTCATACCACATGCAGTTTGAATGAACACATTCTAATAATAAAAAGAACAAAATAAATAGAATCCCAACTAATCAAGATCCAAGAATCTCTTTTGCTTTGAAGTGGTAGCTGTTGCACTGATATAAGGAGTTTTCACTTTCTTTGATGCTGCATAACCTCCAGTAGCACTACCCAAAGCACTGGCGTGGTTGATAATAGAGACCTTGGTATACGACCAGCCTGGGGTAAGAGTACTTTCCTGATATGCTGCCGACAGAGGAGAGGTATAATAAGTAACGGCACTAGTAGGGAATTTACGAGACCAGGTGGAGGCAGTGACGGTGGAACCAGGCTGCATTTGCATTGGGGCAAATCTGTAGATCCCAGTTTGTAAAGTGTAGATAACACTGAACGAGGCACTGACATCCATGGTGGCGGTGACTGCGGTGGAGGTGGAGGTGGTGATATCGGCTTGGGCAGAAGGAACACTATCAGTGATTGCACCGGAAGGTTCAGTAGTCCCGGTCATTCCTGAGAGAGTGAATCTTCTGGTGTAATGGATGGTGTGCCCATTAGAATATACGGCGTATATTTGGATGTAGTAAACCCCATCGGCCCCTGCACTGGCAGGAATCAGGGCAGTATAAGAGTTACTGGTGATGGTCTGACTCTCGGCAATGGTTTGAACAGCAGTAATTTCACTACTTGGGCCGGTACAAAGGACAAAGGTGTAGCTTACGACATCGGATACTGAGGGAGAGGTACCATCGTCGATCCAAGTGATGTCGACACTGACAGTGGATCCTGAAACAGTGAAGGTCTTGCTGCTTGCAGGTGTTGAAATCGACACATCTGCCTTGGAGGTGTTGATGAGTAGCAAGAAGACAAATAAGATGGAGAATAGAGAGGATATCTTTGAAAGGATCATATTATTATTGTTGGATCAAGAAGGGGGATCAGACACTTGGCAGGAATTGAAAAAAAAATTGACGAATTATAAAATCGAAAAAGTGGACAAAGTGGACACTTTAACCAAATTGGATGAGTACGGTATGGAAGCCAAACGAATGTATTGAACAGAAATGGGTCTGGTGAAAAAAAAAAATAACGAATTGCAAAGGGAAATATCAATATAAATATGAATAAGAAGAAAAGTTTCGAAAGATTTTTTTTCTTTTTTATTTCTTTGCAGCGCCACGACGCCTTCAGGGTGACACACCCCTTGTAATTTCCGATTTAGGAAAAAGGGATGGTCACGTGAGTGTGCATGGTTATGCAAGGATCACAATACGGTATAATCTCAAACAATATATTAATGTAGGCAAAATATCACCAGTCTTTAACAAACTTCCACACAGTCAACTCCTCCCATCCTGCCTTTCTTATGAACACTCTTTCCACCTTCCACTCTACTCCTTTTAGCCTCATTTTCTGTTTAAATTGCTCCACCACCTGTTCTGGCTTATTTCTCGCACAGAATAAAATTAATGCCATCCCAGTATCTGATAGGATCGAATCAAGATTATCCAACAACCTCCAAGTAGTCTCCATCCCATCAGCACCTCCACAAAGTGCAAGATCCACCAATAAATCATTGATTTTATCATCATCATCTTTCTTATCTTGAGTCAATTTAACAATATCCGGGACTTCTTCACTGGGGACGTACGGGGGGTTGAACACCAACAAATCAACACATTTTCTAGCCAAAGGCCCCACCAAGTCACATTTAATTGTATCAAGCATCCCAAAGTCCGTTGGTTTTTTCTTATTGAGACCGTTGGTTTTTATCGAGGTAGCACAGGCGTAATCATTAACATCAGTAGTCAAATAAATGGCCCGGTCTGGCCCTAGGATGTTTTTTTGGATGAAAGTGGTGATGATCCCAGTTCCTGTACCTATTTCCACACAAATTGGGACCTTATTAGGAGAATGTGTCGTCGATCGAGTATTGACAGGAAAATACCAATTAACGAGATCTTGTCTAATTTCTTCTAGGGTGTCTAACACCACATAAGTGTCTTCTGAAGGTTCGTAAAGCTTTTCAAAATCGGCATCATATAGAGGAGTAGCAAACATATTCACAAAGCCAAACGGAGAATCAAAGAAGGCTAATATATGAATGAAGTGAAATCGTTCAATTTTTTTTTTCTTTGATGGATCCATGGGAACGGAACCCTGAGCAGGAAATAATCACCCGGCCATCTTATTGAACGGACGATGGCAAAACAGTTAGATTATTGCAATTATCATCAAATCATCAAACAATTCTTTGGATATCGTTGGCACCAATTGTTGATAAAATAAATAATATGCAGATCGTTGTTAAGGTGAGTTTCAATATTTATTTTTCATTTTTTTCGTTTGTTATTTTTTCTTTTTGATTGGGAAAAATTGGATTTAAAATAACAATTGACAATAACGCTATAATGATTTCATTTAATATATCCCATTAAATATACTAACCACCATCTATTCAGACCCTTACTGGCAAGGAAGTCACCCTTGAAATCAAGCCTCAAGACACTGTGGAAAGTGTCAAGGAAATCATGGAGGAAAAAGAAGGGATTCCTCCATTGCAACAACGGTTAGTCTTTGATGGTAAACAATTGAATGATGCCCAAACCATGGATGACGCCGGGATTTCTGAAGGGTCTATTTTGCATTTGGTTTTGACCTTGAGAGGGGGTTGTATGTAATTTTTGTATTAGATGGGGTTTGGCTATTTGACAGACGAAGAAGTGGATGTGTGTGGATCATTTATCTATTTAGCTATAAAGCACTCTTAGGATTATTATCTATATACGGTGATTGAATATATGGTAGAGTAACCATGATAAATCCAAATTGTTCCTCATGTCATTTTTTTTTTTTTTTTTGGCATGAGAAATATCCTACATAGATGATAAGGTTCAAATTTATAATATAATATTAGATCAATAATATACAATTTGTAAGGTTCTTTACTGAATCATCATTTTTCATACACATAATACAATATTTTCATTGAATTGATTTTTCATGGAACCCAATGAGTTAGTCCGTTTAACCGTTAATTCACACATACGCCAACATGTTTCTGACTTTCTCTCTAACTTCGTAGAATAAAGTACACGCACTTCCTTCCACAACAAAATCACCCTCACTGATTTTCCGAATACATATCTTATTATCAATGACCAAGGTACCTTCTCCCTTGAATTCTGCAGTATGGTTCACCCCAACTTCATTAAAGGTGGAATAAAAATCTTTAAGTTCCTTGAGTCGAATATCCCCAATGGCAAGCGGGGTATGACGAATATTCATAAGCTGTGATGACGCTTCAGAAATCGCTTTAAGACCCATTCCATTGTTGATAACCAAATCTTTGGTTTTTGATTCTGCTTCTTTATTATCAGAAGTAACATCCTTCTCCTCCTCATTCTCCTCTCCCTCTTTTATCATTTTGACATCCCCTTCCTTATCACTGGTCGCAGTATCAACTACAGATGCTTTGGCATCGTTTTCCTCAATCTCCTCGACATTAACCACGGTCCCAATAACCTGAGCAATACTAAACCCACCACTAATCTTTTGCCATTTCAAATGCTCCATGATCGAATCATCCAATAAGATTTCAAGTGCGGCTACAGAGTCATCAATCTCCACTTCTTGATTGTTTTTCACCTCCACCACGTCAAATAATTTCTGCAAATTATTCGATTTTGACGATTCATAACCGTTTGGACGACGACGACGACTAATACTCGTGAGTTGTTTAAAAACATTGGCGGTATTGACATCACTGGTCATATCACTAAGTAGCAACAACTTCCGTGGCTTAAGTGAAGGAATAATGAGCGACAATGAACGTAAATCCACAAGTCCTGCCAAATCAACAAATACAAGCCCACATTTGGTGTAGATCGATAAATTCTTGGAAACTTGACGACGAGGCTCTCTTAAAGCATCCAAGGCAATCAATTCATCAGTCTTGTTGGTTTTGTCTTTCTTTTGTTTGAGAGCATTTTTCTTCGAAGACAACGAATCCTGACCAAACTTCCGTTTTTCTCCAATTTTATTGTCCAATCCTTTCCCGTGACGGAAATCATATTTTGAATCTTTTTTGGCAAAGTCCGCAGGATTAATCACTTCTCCATAATCATCATACTTGAGCTTTTTTGGAATGTATGGGAACATCCGATTTTTCCCTTTGGAGTTCCGAACATCGATATCTAATGGTAAATTTTCTTTTAAATTTTCTTCTTTTTCTTTAGTTTGTTTTCTTGCCCGTTTTGCCCGCTTCTGGGATTCATCATCTCCATTTGCTTCATCTTCATCATCTTCATCTTCATCATCGTCATCTTCTGCCAAGATCTTCTTGCCATCGATTTTAAGTAAATTCTCATTATTGGTCCCAGTTTCCGCGGCTGCTTCTTTTTTCTGCTGTTTTTCCAATTTTACTTTGTTTTCTTTATCTTGTTGCCGTCTGGCTTTTACGGCTTCCATATATTGTTCTAATTGGGCCCCTACCAAATATTCTTCCTCGATTCTCTCTAAATGCAACGTACTTTGGTAAGGAACCGCTATACCGTCTTCTATTTTGCCATTATTTCGTTCTGCCGCCGCGGCTTCCCAGTATTGATACAACTCATGTGCTAATGTGCCCTTTTCTGCTCGCTCAGTCAATAACACTGTAGTGGTAGGATCATTACATAATCTAGTGAATGATTCAAATGCTGGAGACCCACTTTCCAAACCCTCACCACAACAAAACACCACTTTGGAACCTTGAAGCTTTTCCAATTCATGATGATCAATAATAGTAACCGTGGACGCGGCGTACGGTGACTTACCACGAGTATGCCATTCTTTAGTCACTGTTGGGGACATCCATTCTAACATTGAACCTGCCTGAGTCAAGGATTTCGTTCCTGTGCGGGCAAGCAAATACACTTGATACGGCATGAATCGAAGATGATCATCAATCAAATGGACAAGCTCGAGTAATCGAGATCCCAAAGAAATCGGAAGCAACACTGTACCAGAATTCTGTAATGTGGCATCTACCATATTTAAAAACTTTTCCACTCTTTTGTTGTAAGATAATGACGATCCAATCATTGCCGAAGTGATCATCACCGATGGTCTTGACAATAATGGCACCGGGTTACCATTTTCTTGCAAGATTTTCGCACCTTCAAGGTACGAGTCCTTAGAATGGTTCCAAGCTGGAGCATAAATGATTTTTTCACTGCTTTTATTGAATAACCAAATGATACCCCCAAGACTGTGTCCAGCATTGATCGCGGTTATCGTTATGCTATCTTGCTTTCCTTTAAATATTGTCGATTGGTTATGTTTGATCAACGTCACCGAATCAAACGCCTCTTCAATATCTGCCATTTCAAGTTGGTAATCTACTACTGGCCCCACAAGACCCAGGACTCGATAACTTTCCATGGTTTCAATTTTCCCAAGATTGGCCACTGGAGCGGTGGTGTATACCGGAATACTCCTCATAGCTCCAGGATTTTTTTTGTATAAGTAGGCAAATGCCCCAATGAAAGGCATGGAGGCATGAGAGAGGAGAATAAGATCAATAGAGTTAAGAACAGACTCAATATGGGTGAGGTCTGAGACAGTATCCCATCCAGGGTCGGCGAGCACCCTTATGTCGTTTTGGAAATTGAACAACGACGCCCGGATTCGTGCGTTGTCTAGCTGCTCAGGCGGCACCAAAGATGTGAATTCAAACATTCCCGGGATATATATAATATTGACAGGGTTTTGTTATCTGACAATACCTTTTCGGCTTCTGATAATCACTAAATTCTTCTTCTTCTTCTTCTGAGATTTCTATCGTTGTTTTTTCTTGCCGGGTGACACTCCAGCACCACGGGCCATTGGAACATAAACAAAAGTAAACACAGACTCAAATTATCTCTTATTGATGGTATTATTATTGTTCGTTATCAATGTTCTTCCCTCAAAGACCCGGTAGGGCCCCATTACGTTGTTCAGTGGCTGTCTTTAAAGCCCAAATATTCCCGGCTGTCCTGGTCCAACCACAAACCCCTAGTCAAGAAATTAGTTGGAACAATGCAGTGGAATGGTTGAACAACTTCAATTTCCATGAAATTCCGAGCGATGAGGTGCAAATAAGTTTAAAGAATTTGCTGGAATATGAGTCGGAGGTGCTTGAAGTATATTTGACCCTGATGAGACGGCATTTTTTTCAGCATGAGGTGGAGAGTTTGAAGTATTCAAATTCCCAGGTGACAATCGACGAGAATCAAACGGTACAGATTATCCATAAGATGAGAGACCTCAAGAAAAAGTACTTCTTCCCTCTTCAATTTATAAAATTACGAGAATCTAAATTGGTAACGGTAGATCAGGTATTAAACGGATTGTTTGCTACAGTGTTGTTAGATGAAACCCTGACGATCACCAACGAAGATCCCAAGAATTACAATGCAATGATATTTGTAGAGAATTTGAAACATTTATTCGGGAACTATTTCTATCATAATGATGAAACCATGTTTAGTAACATTATGAGCTTAGTAGAGATTTTGGTGTCGGCTAACATGGCCAATGCCGTCAAATATATCGTGGCCATCGTCACCAAACAAATGGTCAAACAGAAGATCCAATGGTTCGATGTTGGAAAATGGGATGAAAAAATATTTACCGTAATATCCAAGGACATAAAAAAGGGAAAAATGAAGAGACTATTAGATTGTTATATCTTCTGCGGAGATGATATCACTAACGAGAACGTGGCTGAGGAATTGGATTCCATTATTGGCGATGAGTTGCTAAAACTACGAATCGACGAATTATACGAAATTGTCGGTGATTTTCCTAGATCATCACCGGCTTTGGAGGAAATCAATGATTTTATCAAGACCCCGGCACAAAGATCGTATCTTGTTAGCACTTTTGGCGATGCTGTGAAAAAGAACCTACTACATCCTGGAGCTACAACAATTTCGATCATATCGTTTTATATTTCAATGATCAAAAGTTTGTTGATTGTTGATCCAAAGGGAGTTTTATTAGATAGGGTCTGTCGTCCAATTAGACGATATCTCAAGGAAAGGCACGATACTATCAAGTTTATTGTGAGTGGATTACTTGATACTGAAGATCATAATCATAAACTCACACAATTATCAGAAGAATTGAAGAAAGCAGCAGAACAGAAAATAAAGACCACCAGTATTGTGGTGGATGAAATGAATGGCCAAGAATTGTACACGGAAGAAAGCCTTGATTGGGCCCCTGACCCCATTGATGCTTTGCCTGATTTCAAGCGAAACAAAGTCGGGGACATTATTGAAGCGGTCACTTCATTATTTGACTCAAAGAATTTCTTTATCAATGAATTCATCAAACATTTCTCTCGACAATTGATCAACATTGATTATGATATTGACATTATCTTATCGAAATTGAACTTACTCAAGGCAAAGTTTGGGAATAGCAATGAATTTGATAGCTTAGATGTTATGGTACGCGATATTATTGAATCTAAAAATATTGACTCGTTCATTCAAAAGCAGGCGCTGGCGCAAGCTTTCCGTGGTGCAAATTTCCATTCTACCGTGTTATCTTATTTGTTCTGGCCTAATGATTTAGTTAAAGTTAATCAAGGGGAATCAGTCGGTTCAGGAAGGCTGACATCGTTCATTCTTCCGACCGAAATTCAGAAATTGTATGATGATTACTCTGAGAAATATTCGGAAATAAAATTGGGAAGACAGTTGAAACCGGTACACAATCTTGGGAAAGTAACGGTTGAGCTTGAATTAAAAGATAGGGTGAAAAGCTTCCAGGTGACCCCTGATGTTGCCATGGTAATTTATCAATTCAATGATGATGTTCAGACATTAGATCTTGATCAAATCACTGAAAAATTACAAATGGATAGTTTTATGGCAAGAAAAGCTTGTAGTTATTGGGTCAAAGAAGGGATTTTGGAAGAAGTTGATGATGACGAGTATCGAGTATTGGAAACTGAAAAGAAGTCAGGACAAATTCTCGATGATAGGCTGATCATGGCCAAACCAATGGTTGAATCAGACGAAAAAGACCTGGATAACAAATTCAAAGAAATGGAGGTACTTTTCCCGTTCATCAATGGTATGTTGACGAATCTTGGATCAATGGAAGTCGCTAAGATCAAGAGCTTTTTAAGTATGGCTTTCCCTGCAGAATTGAATGTATCGTTCAATGAGGCTCAATTGGAAGAGTATTTGAATTTCTTGGTGGATGAGGATAAATTGGAGATGGTGGGCAATAAGATGTATAAATTGCGGCCTGCTAATTGAAATTTATAATGCTAATGCTAATAATAATCTACAGTATAATATTAATATAATCTACGATATATTGATATAATTTTCGATGTAAATTTGACGTTTATGCTCGATATAATCTGCGTGCATTGAGTAAAATCCCCCCTCATTCATTCAAAAAAAAAAACCCCCAAAATTTTGGATCACCAAACACCACTGATGATGACTGAGAAGCTCCAGTTGGCGGTTTTAATCCTAGTATATTTGGAAGGTCAATTGATTAATCTCTATTCTTTCTAGCCACTATTATTTTGATTTCCTCTGGTAGGAAATTCTGTTCTGATAGTCTCGCTATACACTTCTATAGCTATCTATTTCTATTGTTTTCTACTAAATCAAGATAACTATGAGTAATCATTGCGACTTCCCACCAGCAACTGTCTCGTTTTTGGATACTGATCTTTATAAGATCACCATGCATGCGGCCATCCATAAGAACTTCCCAGAAATCGAGGTCTGTTACAAGTACACCAACAGAACCCCGTCGATGAAACTTAACCAGGCCGCCATCGAATGGTTGAAAGTCCAGATTGGTCACTTGGGACAATTGCAATTCACTGCCGAGGAAATCGAGTACTTAAAATCCGAATTGGCATACTTGCCACAGGAATACTTCGAGTATATCAAGACTTTCAAACTCTATCCTGAACAACAAATCATCATTATTCATGCTACCGATGATGATTTCCAGCTCGAGGTCAAGGGTAAATGGGTCGATACCATCTTTTATGAGATTCTTTTGTTATCATTGATCTCCGAAGCATATTTTAAGTACGTTGATGTTGATTGGGATGTCAATGGTCAATACGAATTGGCCACTTCCAAGATTTCCCAACTCTTTGCCCACGGAATCCCATTCTCGGAGTTCGGCACCAGAAGAAGAAGATCATTCGATACCCAGGAGATTGTGGTGCGAGCTTTTGTGGATTATGCCAATCTTCCAGAAAACCGATCCAAGAAGAATCTTTTAATCGGTACCTCCAACGTATTGTTGGCAAAGAAGTACGGGTTAAGGCCTATCGGTACCGTGGCGCACGAGTGGATGATGGGGGTCGCCGCTATCACCCAAGACTACCCTAATGCCAATAAACATGCCATGGATTACTGGATCAAGACCGTTGGAGAGTCCCATGCTGGATTAGCATTGACAGACACTTTTGGTACTGACGCGTTTCTCAGAAGTTTCGTCCCACCGTATTCTGATTGTTACGTGGGGTTCCGCCAAGATTCTGGCGATCCGTTGGCGTACACCGACAAAGTAGCACGCCATGTATTTGAGGTATTGAAGTTACCACAATTCAGCAAGAGTATCTGTTTCAGTGACTCGTTGAATATTGAGAAGTGCATCAAATACTTTGATTACGCGAAGGCCAAAGGGTTCAATAGCAATTTTGGGATCGGAACAAACTTCACCAATGATTTCAAGTATAACAAGGCGCCATATGACAAAAGTCCACCTTTAAATATTGTCATCAAGTTGAAGGAAGTGAATGGCAAACCTGCCATCAAGATCAGTGATAACTTGGGCAAGAACATGGGTGATGCAAATACAGTCAAACAAGTCAAGGAAATTTTGGGATATAAGGAAAATGAATGGAGAGAAGGAGACGAATCTAAAAGATGGACTTGATTTGTATTTTTCCAATTTATTTATATTGTTATTTTTTTCTTTCTATCAATGGAACTTTGTCATTTATTGTTTTTTTTGTTCTTTTTTTGTTCTTCTTTAGTCTGTGATAATGTGTTATTTATCTTTTACGAAAGTTATGTATCTATTTAATGTTATGGCGTTCAGTTTTTTCTTTATCCAGTTCCCCAAGCTTATCTTCTTTCCCCGTGGGCACTTTGTTGTTCTGTTTGATTACTTTCTTTTTATATTTTCAAAAGCAGGTTTTCATTATTGATAGATTTTCATTCTTACAAACCATGTAAAATCGCACAGCCACTAACAAAAATCATTTCAAAAATAATAAAGCATATCTTCTTTAGTAATCTAATTATGGGAAAATTCTTTTCTTTCAAAAAAAAAAAAACAAAAAACAGAAAGGTTAAAATGTAAATACTGATCAAACATATCTACAAGAGTTCGTTTCTATACTCACTCCTTAATATGTCCTCTATCATCTAATGTAACTGATCCTCCAGTTTCAAAAATCGAAACTTCACCAACCAACAAGCCCAAAGTATCCAAAACTTGTTTTGGTTCTAATAAATGAGCTTTGGCAATGGTTTTCTTGGATGCTGGGCCAACAGTGACAGGATACATTCCAAAATCGTGGATGGCCGCGGCGTCATCACCATCTAAGGTCTGCAGCTTGTAATTGTCATCATCATTTTTATTCACCCAGGCTTCTTCAATGGAAATCAACGCTTCAAACATATCTTCATCAGTTTTGTCATCACCCACACAAAAAATAAAATCTGGCAACACTTCGGATGTCAATTTTTTCAATAGATTCTTCTTTCCATAACTATTAAAGTCTTGAGGTTCTCCATGAGCACTGAGGGTCAACTTCTTGACAATTTCTCCCTTATTGACAAATCTTGGACGGACTTCAACGTTGGCCTTACCACTCATGACTTCGACATCATAATTCTGGGCCACCGTCGCATTCAAGTGTTGCTTCAACTCACGAGCTTGGAACTCGCCGTATTCAGGGTCGGCCTTTCGGTAGTGCCAAGTGAGAGCAACCTTCTTGCGCTCAATAAATGATCCAGGGGTTCTTTCCGTGTAATAAGTGAAAACGTCTTCGACATCTTTTTGCCATGACATGTCGATACTTTCCGTCAAATTTATCCATTTTTGGCTGTCAACATCTCTGACAAAACAACCGTGTTCGGCAGATAAACCAAGCTCTGAAATTTTGCTACCGAGCCATTCATCAAGGAACTGTTGGTCACGACCCGAAATAATCCAAATTCTATTTTTTGGATCTTTCGCCAACTTCGTTAATAAATGCAAAGTTCTTGCTGATGGAATTGCCGCATCAGGATCTTTGACAATAGGAGTCAATGTACCATCGTAGTCAAATAAAAATAACCGTTTGGTAGCATCGTTATAAGATTTGAGCATTTTTGGACGGTTAAGTGGTGGGGTGGAATGACATTCGTGTGATGATCCCAAATCATCAATCAAATGACGCAAGAATTTGTTGGTAGAATACTGATTAGTGTTGATAGATACAGTTTTGAACAATTGCTTTTCGAGAGAAACTTTTTGGACAACTGGCATATGAAGACAATCATTAATTGTTTTGGCCACCCCTACGGAATCCCAAGGGTTGACAACAATCGCATCACTTAAAACCGTGGTAGTCCCACTGAATTCAGATAATATCAAAGGTGAATAGTTATTCATTTGACAGGCAACAAATTCCAAGGCAGTGGTATTCATACCATCTCTAATGGTGGTGATCAATCCCAAATCAGCCACTCTTAGCAACGCCAAATATTCATCTTTATCAATTCTCATTTGAAAGTGTTGAACTGGATTAGAATGCAAAGTGCCATAAGTACCATTTATGTAAGACACAAATTCGCTAACCTGCTTTTCGTACGCTTTATTCATATCGGCTACTGGTGAAGAGACCTGGATAAGGACGACTTTATCTCTCCATTCAGGATACATTATCAAGAACTTTTCAAAAGCTTCGAGCTTCTGGAGCACCCCTCTAACACTATCAAGACGATCTCTACCAACAATTATTTTCTTATTAGCGTAGACTTTCTTGATGGTATCCACTCTTTTATCGATTTTTTCATTGAACGCATCACTGATAATCTTTGAGGTGTCAATACCATTAGGCAAAGCCTCGAGTTTACAAATCCTACCATAGGTTGTAATGCTATCATGAGTGGTCTCGCAACCAAGAATTCGAGAACAAGACGACACAAAGTGCTTTGCAAAGCTATAAGATTGAAAAGCAATCCTATTCGCTCCCAACATCCCTTCGAGTAAATTGGATCTTTTGGATAAACAACGGAAGTACTCCAGAGATGGGAACGGGGTATGAAGGTAAAGACCAATGTAGGCCTCGGGCAACTGTAACCTAAGCAAATTTGGTAAGAGCAACAAATAATAATCATGAATCCAAATGATATCCCCTGGTTTGTAAATCGACATGATTTTCGTGGCGTACGCCTCGTTGAATCTCACATAATCATGCCACCATTCTACTTCATTGTTATTCGAGTTGAACGTGGTGTTCTGGTTAATATAGTGGAATACTGGCCACAACACATTCTCAGCATATTTCCTCCACCGTTGCTGGTCCCTGCGTAGCAACCATACCGGATGGACATTTTCAGAATTGTTCGCGGTTTTCAACATTCCGGTAATAGTGCTCTTATCATCGTCACTAAGATATAACGGATCATTTTGGACATCACTTCTATTGAGCCTATTATTGGTGTGGGACATCACTTCACCAGTCCACCCCACCAAATGAGTCTCCCAAGGGGTTTGTTGATTCAAATAGTAAAAGCTCGAATAAACTGAAGAATTCCCCCTGGTATGAGAAAGAGAGAAATCGACAGTATTATCAGCAGTGTTCCTATTCAAGTGGACTTGATTTGGGAGGTTGGTCATCACGGCAATAATTCGCCCAGATGTCTTGAGTTGCTGGGCCTTTGAGTCACCAGGAATCACAGGAGTCACATTGCTTGCCAAAGGACTAGCAACAGCCTCATCATCAACAGCGAGAGGGTTTTGGGACATTTTTTTTTTTAGCATTCTTCCTGGATTCTGATGGTTTAAGGAAGAAATAAAAAAAAAAAAAAAAACTCTGGTGAAGCAACAGGCGACGATGAGAAACGTAGTTGTCAAAAATGTCAAAGCGGAGTGAACCATCACGTGGGAAGGGACAGAGTCTGGGGAAAACGAATCGCCGGCCGGTCAGGAGACAGCCACTGGTTATAGAATATGGCTGGTATCTGCTCCACGGAATATACCCTCGATGGTTTCAAAAAGGCGGGATGCTGTAGCGACCAATCAATTGACAGTGAATCAGAGGACTACAGTCATCGCAATCGCATATATGAATGCTACACTATGGAGGAAATCCCATTTAGTAAAATATTATTGTATTTCAGTTGACTTATCTCTTTAGGTTTCCAGGAGAGTTATATATATCTAGATATTTCATGTAAATTCCCAAGTAATAGAACTTGCTTAGAGTTGATGGATGCTTTTTTTTTTCATGGACGTAGACTCGATAAACAAGCTTAAGCATCATGGAAAAGAGAATCGTCAACCATTTTGTCTGTATCATCATCATATCTCAAATAGTTATCATTGTTAACAGTTTCATAAGGATTCCAAATATCTTTGGAACTATTGTCTTTCAAATCTGTATCAGTTGGCAGTTCTTCACATTGCTTTGACGTAAATAATGAGATCTTTGAACCGGCGAAATTGAGGTTGAAAAAACTGGAAACCTTTTCATATAAAACCCCATTATTTTTTTTTGGAGAGCTCTTCTCATGGTTTATGGTGAATTCAAATGGAACTGAGTTTAGATCCTCCGATAGGTTTCTATATTTCTCATCTTCTCCAAAATATCTCTCAGTCAAAGTTGCTGGTTTGCGGAGTGCGATCGGGACCTCATAATTCTCTTCTCTGACGGAACTAAAATCGATAGAGTTGTAAGGATTGATCGAATTAAAAGGAAGGACATTATTTCCTATCCTGACAGGAGAGGTTGCGTGATAATCAATCCCTGGTACATTATTTTCGTGAGCGATATCTGGTTGTGTATGGCTTTTTTCCTCATTTGCAACCAAATCTTTGAAAGGTTCCTGATATTTAAATTTTTCAAACTTTTGGGTCGATTTTTTGGAGAATAGGACTTTAAAATAATCTGCTGGTGGTGTATTTTCACTAACCGTTTCATCACATTGGCTATCCAAAGCAACTTTCTTTCCTGGTTTACGAAAAAGCTTTGCAAAATACCTTAGGGTTCTAGACTTGTAAAATCCTCTGTTTGACCTTATATTACCTTCTTTTCGAGAAGTATCTATGGCAATTTTCTCGGAACCAGCTTCTGGTTCCACATTTCCTAATGTCGTTCCACTTTCTCCTTCACAGGTCTTCACGTTGCTTTTTCCTAATTTAGTAATAAAGCTATCGCTGAATTGGGTTGAGTTGGAATCGCAGGTATCATTTGGTTCTAAAGTATTAATATTCAGGCCCTCTACTTGTTCTCTTCGGAACCATAACCTGATTGTTTCCGCTCGTAGGTGTTTTCTTAATCCTCTATTGCTCTTTCTTGTTTTTTTCCAAGCATCATAATCGTTCTCTTCGTGCATTCCAGTGCTATGCTGTTTCTCAAATGATATATTTGATAAGAGACTTGGATATCTCATACACTTGCTGGTATAATATTTATCGAAGTACCCTTGATTTAAATCTTCTTCAGGATACTGTATAATTTGACCAAAATCATCGCAATTCTCCTTACTTCTAACTTTATAACAAAGATAGTCTTCTTTGGTACCGTTCTTTTCGGTAAGTTTTGACATCAGTATTTCTGGCTCACCCTCAAACTCACGAGAGAATGATATTATCGAAGGCCTGGCGAGCTCTGGTGAAACGGGGGTTCCATGCTTTGTACACAATATTTTTGTGGCGGACTTGTATTTTATTGGGTTCTTGGAATGCTTGTTTTTCCTATAATTCATATTTTCCTTGTGTTGATCTTTATTTTTGTGGCATGAGCTGTGGTTGTGCCTGTGGTGAAGTGGTTTAAACATGATGGTATTATATATTCTCCACACCCTTTTTTTTCTTTTTTCAATTTCTCTCTCTCTTCTATTTTTTTATTCCATTTTGCGATTGAGGAGCAGGGATTTGACTTATAAGCAATTCTTATCTAGCGCCCGGCGACTTCGATGATAGACTGAGTGGAAAGCGTTTCAGTTTTACGTAGTTATTCATTTCTTCATTTATTTTTTTGTTCAAAATGCCTGGATCACTTTTGTGACAGTATGCATGTTGAGAGCCAAAAAGCATGAAAATAAAAAGCTAGAAAATGATGATCTCGATCGCCCTAATAATCACCTCAGGAAACCTGGCGAGCTTTCGTATTTGTTATGGAAAAAGTGTCAGCTTTTTTAAAAATTCAGAAGAATGCTATCCTTAAACAAATCTGTGGAAATTGCGGGTTGCGTACGTCGTATGGAACAATTTCATAGTTGATAATGACATCTTTGACTAACTATTGTTCCTATTATAGCCAGCAGTGGGAAGAAAGACCTTCTTGTGAATACGATATGTGATGGGATTCTTCATCTCGATGACCGTGATCCACTTGCTTTGAAACAGTCCAAGGAGTTAGGATTGCCTAAAGATGTCAGGTTGTTATCGATTGATCTTGGGATCAAGAATTTTTCTTATTGCAAATTTGTTCTCCCCAAAGGGGACTACAATACGGTACCTGAAGTGTATGATTGGTCCAAATTAAATGTATTTGATTATTACAATAATAAATCAGCTCAAAAACCAGGTGAAATCACTGCCACGTTGATAGATGATTATACACCAAACCGATTTTCAGAAATCGCGTACCATATAGCCACTGAGTTGGTGATGGCCGAGGAAAATCCCATTGATGTGATATTGATTGAACAACAGCGATCTCGGACCACTGGCTCTTCCGCAGTACAAGAATGGACCTTACGGGTCAACATGTTGGAACATATGTTGTACTCTACGCTATTCACCCTCAAACAAAGCCATACCGGTTTAAACGGGCTACAACTCGTAACCTCTAGCCCTAAAAGAATGAGTGATTACTTTATAAATTGCAAGAATGAATCTCATGAAGAGAACCCCACAAAGCGACAGAAGTCTAGCGTTATTAAAAGACAGCGGATTAAATTGGTTGAGAATTGGATTGATAAGATACAATTTCGTCGATCGGAATTTCCGCATAACACGCCGTTTATATTTCAACAAACATTTGGCAAGAAATTGAAGAACAACGATCCTACACCGAAGGTCCAGAAGCGACAATCCAAGTATATATTTGATCTAATAATGGCAGATAAGCATATGAAGGGCAGACAAAAAAGTGACGATTTGGTTGACTCTTTGCTACATGGAGTAAGTTGGTTTAGTTGGATGAAGAATAGAATGATATTGCGAGATATTTTGATGAATGACCCCAATAAATTGATGGATACACTAATAATTATTGAAAATAATCACTCAAAGTTTACTGATTATCAGGAAGTGGATTAATATGCAGGGTAAAATATTCATTGTTTACATTTTTTTTCTCTATTACAATAAAAATCAATAATTATTGAAGTCTAAAAATATAGTGTAGAATTATAGTACAAAAAAAAAAAAAAAAGTCATTCCTTATTTGCTCAGCCTTACTTTTTTTGGTAAACCTTTTTGGCTATCAACAAACATTGCCAAGATTTTTTCTCTGAGTTGACTATTGTGTTGCAATTGTAAATCTGCCTCTGCTTGTTGACCAAGTTTTTGGTAATTCTCATAAAGTTTCATACCAGAAAGATATTGGAGAACCAAATTATGGGCAATTTTTGAGGAGGCAATACTTTGGAGTAAAAATCTTTGTTTTGAAATCAGATCTGTTGCTGATTTGGAAAGCAAATATGTTGCTAATGCATAAAGTTCCGGAGAAAGTTGTTGGACTAAAGTAGCAACTTGATCATGATCATTGGCCTCAGAGACTTCTGAGCTATTATGAAGTACTGACGGGGGAACAATGTTTTCAAGTATTGATTTAACTTGCTGATGAGTCAATTGATTGAAAACCACATCAAATATATTCTTGGATGCAAGCACCAATTTGTTAGAACTGGCAAACCCAAGATGGTTGTTAGTGATGATTATGCCTTGTTGCCCTTGGTCAACCGTATTCTTCTTGCCATTTTCAAACATAAGATTAATTTCATTAAGCAAGGAATTTCTTTCTGCGGTTATCTTGGTGATTTCCCCATTATTCTTAGCCAACACTTCTTTAGAAATTGTTGGATCATTATTGATTTGTTTAAGAATTGCTAGGTCCGATTCTAGGATTATAATACAATTAAGGGTGGAGTAAACATAGATTTCCGAATTTTCATCTCTGGCAGCAAAGGTATTGCCCCCAATACCCAAGGTGTTGCAAAAATATGCCAATTTGGATTCGGATAAATTTTTCGTACTCCCGGAGTTCGGGGACTTGAGCAATTCTCGGATCTTATAATATAAATATTTGGCAGGAGATAAATTCCCTTCATTTTGGGAAACCAACGCTAGTAAATATAGGTTCTTCATGAACGGTAATTTGAAGCATTTCTTCTCAACAGTTGATAAGCTTTCAAGTTGGGTTTGGATAGCGTGAAGTTTTGATTTGATACTTGATGGCTGGTGTTCGTTAGATAAGAGATCATAGAAGCACTGATAATACAAAATCTGAATCTTGATGAATTTCAATCTTATGATTTTCAAGTTTAAGGTATTGATATCAGCTAATGTATTGCCATCAATGTTATTTAGCGGGTTACTACCCTTTCTTGTAAATCCTTTCGTCTTTATTTTCGCAGAGTATCTATCTGTAAGAGTCAATGCAGTATTCAAATACGTTATTGATCTATCCTTCTCATAAAACTTGTAGATATAGCATATCCCACAATATAGCCATGAGATGATTTGCACTTCCTCAATAGATAGCCAATTGACTTTGAATGGATAGTCTTTCACATTATGAGCGTTTGTTGGGAGAGTGATTTTTAAATTGAACAGACCGTCCGATGGCCAATTTGGCAAGTTATTTTTGGATTCATTTTCCACAAAACTGTTCAATTTGGCAATGGTCTTTCGAGAGCCTTCGAAATCCGTCATCTGAATACCACATTTTAGCTGATTGAGTAGTAGCATCGCGGTAAGTTGGGGTATCTTAGCCAATTTAAGGGTTTCCATTCTTGATTGACATAGTTTGAGAATGTTACAAGCGTCAAGCGGGGATCCTCGATAGAGTTTCAAGTTGGCTTCCATGAGTAAAGAGAATTGTTTTAAGTTTTCATTCAAATTGGTATAGCCGTTAAACACTTTCAAGTTAGTGAGGGCAGTTTTCGGTTCCACAGTCAATAAAAGGTTGATTTTCAAAAACTCAAAGATTCTCACCCAATGGATATACCCCAAGTTTGTGAACTCTTCGATTTTGGAATTTAAATATTTTAGAGCGATTCGGGAATTATCAGAGCAAATAATGACTGCCGAGAAGAATTCTGCTTGGAATTGAAGGTGTAACACTTTTGATCTCTTTGAAATCGTCATGGCCTTATTGAGATTGATCTCACATTTTTTGAGATCGTTAGTTTCGTAATAGTACAACTGAGCAAGCTTCAAGAAGATCGAGGTCTCAGTATTTGGGGGGATATTGGAAAGTTTGGTGACGATCGTGGTTAATGTTTTGATACAAGCAAACACTAGTTTACGATATTCCAATAATTTCTGTTGATTACTCGCCACTAAATGAACCATTGAGCGGGCATGGGTCAAGTATTCGTTGGCCACTCGCGTCAACACATAAATCATTGCTTCCACATCACTGGCGGGAATATATTCCTGTTGACTCTCATCAGCTAAGCTGAGATCTTGCAGAGCATCTTCATCCTGATCTGTAATGACCTCATGATGCTTCCGCTTTCTTGACATTTCTATATTAACCTCTTCATTCCCATTCTGTGGATTATTGTTTTGTGGTATAACATTAGTGAGACCTGCTTCTGAGTATCCTTCCTGGCTCTCCATCATGATCGCCAATCACCCATCATCGATCCCTGCCTGCTTCCGCTGCTTCCAAAAGAAAACTTTCCTTCCAAAAGCACAAAAATAGATGATCACGTGGCAATCCCACGTGCCAGCCATCCACCAAAAAAAAAAAAAAAAAATAAAACCACAAAAAATCCGCGTTTTCTTCGAAAGCAAAAAGCTCATCGGGAAGATTGACCACTGCTGAGGTCAGCACTTTAGCAAAGTAAACAATGAAGGTATGTTTTTGCTAGTATTTTCGATTGAATTTTTAGGATTTCTGTTATACAGAGTCCTCTAGCCTTAATTATTGAGTCCTTGTTATTATATTTCTGGGCGATTTCCCTTTTTAAAGTTTTGGCACGTCATTTAGATAACGTCAAGATTGATTGGCGTGTTGACCGCAGCAGCAGCAACAGAGGTTCAGCACTAACAATTGAATAACGCAGTTTATTGATGAGTTTGACATAGAATTGGTAAATCAGGCCCTTCAATTTGAAACGGCAGATTGCCGAATACAAGGCGGTTGTGATTTATTTTCCACGAGGCCCGCTGGGTCCGATAAGAAACTTTACAAAATCATCGACAACCACTTGAACTTGTTACTCAAGGAATCTGCCGAATTGAACGACAATCCTCCTAAGGAAAACCCGTATTATCCAACGAGATCTTATTCGTCGACCCATACCGTTAGACCGTTCCGATCAAATTCAGAAACCAAAAGAAGAAACAGTGAGAGTCTTAGCAGCAGGAACCCCAGCGTCGAGCCGGTGGAATTCAAGCACCCAAAGTTGGATGTGCAAAAGCTCGAGGAGTTGCTGAATCTGAAGAGCAATGCCATTAACAACAACAATAATATCAGTAACGATAATAATAGTGAAAACCAAGCTTTAACGAATAAGAAACCTAGAAGGAAAAGCCAGGTAAGTCATAGGAAAAGTAGTGTTACTGAAAGGCCAATTTTTGCAAGGGATATTATTAGACGAAGAAGCATGAGTTCTTCTGAAAATATTTCCAATGGTCATCACAAGCAAGAAGAAGAACAATTCACTCCACCACGGGTATATGATTTGATCAATCAGAGTCCGTTTGGACCTTTGGACCGCAGCGGCAGCAGGAAAGTATTTGTTTACTTGATTGCTGTTTTGAACTCCACGTATCCGGACCATGATTTCTCATTATTGGAACCAAGTGATTTCATCAAAGTCACCCCAATGGAGCTTATTGAGAAATTCAACAATTCGTTGATATCCCTCGGTAAGATGCCGATGGAATGGATCTGGGACACGTTACAAGATCACATTGACTTAAGAAATTGCAGCGTATACTATTTTGTTCCATCAGAGTCATTTTTAGAAGATGAACCAGGGAGTTTATGGTCACAAATGTGGTTTATTTTCAATAAAAAGAAGAGACGGGTGGCGTATCTTTATTTGAATGCCATCAAGAGGCTGGTACCGTTTAGAAGCAGTTATTATATTGGTAATGGAGGGAAACGTAGAGAATCCATTACTATCGATGACGAATACGATGAAGATTCGTATGACGAGTTCGAGTATAGTGATTATGCCGAAGAGGCATTAATGTCGGATATTGATGAAGAAGGGGATTAATTGATCTGCAGTTTATTGTTAATGTTATTATGATATTTGCGTGATTATTCTTGTTGAATTCTGAGATTCTTTTTTGAAGTATGATGAATTGTTTTGTCATTGACAATCGCTCGTTTGTTGAATGACTCCTGATTGAATATTGATTAATATTATTGGAACTCATTTTTATCGCTAGCTAATTTTGACTCCAATAATAAGTTGAAGATTCCTTTATCATCCAAGTCAATTTCAATTTCATTTCAATTGTCCTATTTCAAAGAAAAGGAACTTTTTTTATTTTTCATTTTTTCTTTTTCTTCTCTTTTATTACAATGGTTAGTGATTCATTACAGAACATTTTAGATTTGAATAGTGGTAGTGTTTGATTTTCATATTTTTTTTTTTTTTTTTTTCAATTATTTATTTCTTTGAATGTTGGTGTGGAAGGTGAATTATGGTATATTTCTTCAAGTATTTGGCATTGGCAGGAAAATTACAGTTTAATATGGGAGGAAAATCATGATCTATTTCTTTGAGTATTTGGTATGGAATGAACTAATAATAGCAGGGTTCTGTTGGTAATGGATGGGTCCATTTTTGTTCTTTTTTTTTTTTTTTTTTGGAATGTATAGAACGAATTAGGGACCCATTTGTTTGGAGATGGTATAATAGGGGGCTCAGTCAGTGTGGAATGACACTAAAATTTGAAAGGTTCTGAGATCTTTTTTATTTTTTTTTTTTTTCTTTTTTCAATTACCATGATCACTTTTTCATTTCTTTTGATTTCCCTTTTTTTATTTTATTTTTTTCGTTTAAATGATGATCCACTATTTAGATCCAATGTTTTTTCTTTTTTTTTTGTTTCATATATATCATCCACAATCATCCAATGGTATTAGTCCAGTCTACAAAAAAGCAAAAAAACAATAACAAAAAAAGATCCTGTAAAATGGAGATACATCAAGAATATATCAAATATGCACCTTTTTTTTTTTCAATATTGATAAATATAATATAAATATAATATAAATATAATGTAAATATAATGTAAATATAATATAAATATAATATAAATATAATATAAATATATATATATATATATATATATTACAAACAAAAAGATGGAGCACATAAGCAAAAAAAAAACAGCAAATTCTAAAAGTGCCAACAATATAACAACAGTACCAGCAACATAAAAAGCAACCTATCCTCTCGATAAAGTAAAAATAATAATAATAATAATAATAATAATAATAATAATAATAGCGAAGAAAGCAAACAAACAAAGCAAAGCAAAAAAAGTAATAATAATTTTTTTTTTCTTGGGAAATAACAAGTATTATTACCATCCCATCTTCCAGATGACAATAATGCATAAGTTTCTCTTGAACACAAAGAACTTGGCCATGATCCATAAAAGACAAGGAGTTTAATAAAATATGCTATGCGATAAATAGCTGGTGGTGGTCCAGTCCTCTAACAGATAAAAAAAAAAAAAAAAAAATTCTAAAGAACACGAGTTCAAAATATCTCTCACTAACCCCTAGATAAAAATAATACATAATTGTCTTTAGAAACCACCGCGCTAGGCTTTTGATTCTTATAAACTTTGGTATCATCATAATAACACCATTGTTTTTTTCCGCCTTTGTAAACGTACGAAGTATAATGACCTCCTCTAAGAGTCCCGGAATGGTTGATCACCCCGTAAACCCGGTACTTGAATGGGGGGACTTGTCCACGAGAATCAAATTTCGAGAGTTTGTGTTGTTCGTCTAATGACGATACTTGGGGCCAGAATTTCCCAAGATCAATCATTTCGTTATCATTAGGGATGGTCGAATTGGAAAAATTGCCAATTGGGTACCGGATCAACGTATCAAGCTTTTCTAGACCAAACCCTTGCTTAAACCGTTTGAAATGAAGGATAAGGATTTTTGGAAGTCTAGTGATTTTGAGGCATTTAGTGGACTTTGTGAAGGTTTTACATTTAGGGCATCTCCAACGATCATCACCATCCAATAATTCCACTTTAGTGAATTCTTCAAAACAGTCATAAATTGTCACCAGTCGCTTGTGTTGGGGGATTGGTAAACTCAAAGTGCTAAATGCTTGATACGTGGTAGAAGTGTGATGGCATGTCAAACATTCAAGACGACTGAGGTACTGGCCTTGGAAAATATCGACAATCGTACTGAAATCGGTTTTAAGGTATCTTTCCCATTCAATGGTGGAAGCCAATCTAATTGGTAAAAGTTCACGTTTCGCTTCTTCTTCATCGGTCAATGGTTTCATCGGCAGTTTACCACCAGCTTGGTTCAAATCTTCATGAAGCCCATCGAGTAAGAAATTAAGAAATTCTTGACAATCTTGTTGGTCAAACCCTCTGAATTCTAGATTCAAAGACCCCACAATATTCTTGAACCTCGATGGAATCACGTATGACCCATCACTTTTGGACATCAATTTGACAATCTCATAGTAATTGTTAGCAAGGACTCCTTTGGACCCCAATTTACTATTGATATTCACGTATCTTTTGTAAGAATTATTGAGGAAAATGATCGCAAGTTGATTAGTACCAGTAAGACATTGCAATACACAGTTGATATAACAGCTGTTACCAAGGTTGTATAAGCCTGAAGTAAAATCTAATGATACTGGCTTGGAAACATTCATCAAAGATGAGCTAGGACTGGAAGTTATAGGAGAAACCACGGAAAGTCTGGAGGAGCCATCCAACATTGGGGAGCCAGGATTACTTGGAGAGAATGCCACCGGTTGCGGAGGGGTAGGATTAGCGTATAGTGGAGGTGGTGAAGAATATGGGGCTATAACAGGTAAGTTTGGGCTAGAAACTAATGATGGGGAGTTACTTCTACTATCAAACTCTGAATTCACATCATTAAGATTCAGAACGCTTAAATTGAGGCGTTTGTTGACGTATGCTGGGGGTTGTTGTTGAGGGAAGTATAAGTGTTGGGCAGGACTATTATTGGCATTGTTCATCACCGAATTCGATTGGCCCGAGGGGGCCATGGTATAAAAGTCTTGGAGGTTTCTAGTATATGGAGCAGACTCTAATAAATTGATACTATTTCCTGTATGATTGCTACTACCGCCGGTAGTGTTCACTGAGGGAAAATGATTATCTCCGAAACTATGGTGGTTGCCATTCATGGCGGCGGCGGCGGCGTCGTAATTATCTATGCCGGTGTTGTTTGAGGTAGAAGAAATCGAAGTTTTCCGGAAACTAAGAGGTCTCGAAGGGAATGATTGTGGTTGGATGATATTATCGATTTTCGGTTGGCTGACAAGATCTCTACCGTATAATCTGCGCCAAGTGTCGAACCCCCCATTGAGAATTACCGGGTTTCTCTTCAATGGTTTTAATGGACTTCTTTGATTCAATGTCGACATCAATTTTTTGAAATATTTTGGGAAATTTTGGAAATTGTTGGGGTCGGATGATGGGACCACGTAATCATGATCGTAAAAGATTACCAACTCAAAAAGATCTCTATTTTCGAATAACTGTTGTTCCAATTCCGAAGAAATTAACAAAGATTCTTGTAGCTCTCGCTCGCCAAAATTGTTATGGATGGAAAATGGTTCGATGCAAACGATATTTTCCACCAAGATATGCGAATTATCAAAATCTTTTCTGTATCGGATATCTAATAATAAGGTTGATTTTGCTGCGGACTTTATGATTTCGTATAACTCAGCAGGATCTATGAACCATTTGGAACCTCCGGTGGGGGTGGTGAGATATTTCTGGAAATAGGACGGGTCTAAACTGGGGATCTCTAACTCTGGTAGTCTAACTGGTGATGGGGATCGCGATCTATAATGAAGGTTCAATGATGGTGGCGATAAGTTGTTGGAATACTTAGTGGGAGTATTTTGCGGCGATTTATCTGGTATATGATGGACTCTCAATCTTTCAAATCTTTCCAATAGATTTCCATTATTGTCTCTGGTTTCTGGCGGGTTTTTGATGTCGTCATTGGCTGGTGGTTCTTTCTCTTGGTTATCATTGTCATTATTGATTGGTTCTTCTAGATTGGTCAATTTACTGTGTTCTTTGATAAAGTTCTTCACCTTGTCAATACTCTTGTCACCCACCACTTTACTCTTGAGGATATCATAAGAGTCTTTTTTGGAGCTTTTACCCGAAGGGTGGAGAATGTCGTGTTTAAACTGGGGATTATTGGGGATAATCGTGGAGACCAAGGTTATAAGCACCATGAAATTGATATAAGCTGCTTCATAACTTCGTGAATCTTGCTGGGAGATGATCTCGTCGTACTAAAATATGTTAGTATATTGTTATGAATATCAAATATCACGGATAATCTGCTGCTCACCTTCTTCATGTAGCTGAGGGCGTCTTTCAATAGCTCGATCAAGGACTTTCTGGCATTGTAAGTGGCGATGATCTTGCCAACGTCCTCGTTTAGCAAGTGGAGGGTCCTACAAGGACGTGTTAGTGATTGTGTGGCCGTCATCTTATGGGTAGATAGATCTATGAGATAAGTGATGGACGGTATTTGTGTGATTTGTGTTTTTTCAATTCCTTGATATATATATATATATATATATTCTTTTGCGCCACCCGAGGAATAACCACCAACAATGGACGGGGTTGTTATACAATGGGAAGGGAAGTGGATAGTAGTGGTGGTTTGTGGTAATAAACAAGTAAATAGAATAATAATATTATTATTATTAATAATAATAATACGATGAAGAAGAAGCAGAAGCAGAAGATGACTGTTCGCTGGCATCTGGTTTCCCATCCATCCTGGTTAAGAGCCCGCCGCCGCCGCCGCCATGTCCCTTTCACTTTCACTTTTTGAATTTCCATTTTGATTTCGTCTTCTCTTTATTCTATTTCACCCGTTTCTCTTTGTCTCTCGGTCTTTCCCAGTTGTTTATTATGAAGGTGTCTATTGCCATCGAAGGTTGCTGCCATGGTGAGCTCGACAGAACTTACCAGCTGATTAGAGCCCTTCCAAAGGATGAAAAACCCGAACTTTTGTTGATCACCGGCGACTTCCAATCGGTCAGAAACCACAACGACCTCAAATGTGTGTCGATGCCCGCCAAATATCGCAAACTAGGAGATTTCCAAGACTATTACACTTCTAAGAAGAAAGCCCCGGTGCTAACGATATTCATTGGTGGCAACCACGAGGCCAGCAATTACTTGCAGGAACTCAAGTTTGGCGGGTGGGTGGCCCCGAACATTTACTATTTGGGGAAATCCAACGTCATTTGGTATAAAGGATTGAAAATTGCCGGGGTCACTGGAATCTTCAATGATTACAATTTCATGAAACCAAGTTTTGAAAAAGTGCCATACGATCAATCATCGATCCGGTCGGTGTATCATGTACGGAAACTCGAATTATTGAAATTTCTATTTTATGAAAGAATCAATCAACATAAGATCGACATTTTCCTCTCGCATGATTGGCCTCAACATATTACGAATTTCGGAGACTTACCAAAGTTATTGAAGGCCAAACCGTTTTTCCAAAAAGATATTCAAACTGGTCGGTTAGGATCGCCGGTGAATAGAGTGTTGTTACATAAGTTAGTACCCAGATATTGGTATAGCTCACATTTACATGTGAAATTTGAGGCTATTTATATTGGTGAAGGTGAAAAAAAAAGAAATGATGATGAGATTGTCATTAATATGGATGATTCTGATGATGAGGAGGAGGAAGAAGAAGAAGAAGAAGAAGATGATGATGATGATGATGATGGTGATGAAAAAGGGACAACAACACAAACGAGATTCCTAGCTCTTGATAAGTGTCTTCCAGGAAGGAAGTTTTTAGAGATTGAAACTATTGAAGTGGGGGATAACAACAGCCATCCATCATATAATTCCGATGAACTATTTTATGATGAAACGTTTTTGAAAGTTCATAAATATTTCAACAAGTTTACCAAGCTGTCAGAGTTTAGGCAAATTGCCAAAGGAACTTTACTCAATGAATCGAATATGGAATTAGATTTATTATTGAATGGGTTCAAAGATGCTATCTTGAAGGAGGATATTCCTGTGAGAGATTTGATGATCTCCAGGGATTTTGTCAAAGAAGTGAGTGAACATGAGAAGAATTTCCAAGAATTGCGGCCGATAATTAACTCACAAACTGCAACGTTTTGTGATAAATTTGGGATTCTTTTTGATCAGGATTGGTGATATATATATATATATATATACATATTATCAACATACTTACTGTAACATATATATATATATATATATATACATATATTATAAATGGTGAAATATGGGGAATTCAGTTGTAGCGGTCCTCAATAGTAAATGTCGGTGTGTGTTGAAGCCCTGAGATATGCGAAAAATCCGCGAAATTTTTTTTTTTTTTTTTTTTCTTCTTTATTTTTTGGTTAATGGCGGTAGATGTTTAAGGTGTGGTACAATTCTCCATCCACCACGATAATAAATATAAATAACCACCCAATATGTCAGAAGCAAAGCAATCGCAAAGTATACTAACTTCGAAGATCATGGCCGAAGCCTCGGACAACTACAAACAGAGACGTAGAACCCAAATGATCAAGTTCTACGCCGCGACTTTCACCACCTTGATCTGCTCGAGGCTTGTGTTCAGAGGAGTTCAATCGAGAAAATGTGAGTAATCAATTTATTGGAACTGATAACATCTGTTGAATGATTGATAACGTCTGTTGGATGATTAATTGACAAGATAATAATGTCTGGAAAATGCGTCAGCATCAAGTGATGCCATTGCCTATCTATCTATTATCAAACACCTCATACTAACAAAAATCTTTAGACATACCCACCTTATTCCAAGCCAACCACATCCAACCTTCATATTCTAAACGTCAAGAGGCCATGGCAGCCATTGGCTATGCCTCGTTGTTGTCGACCAGTGCGTTCGGTATGTTTATCTTTGGGACCGCTTGGGTGATGGACATTTCGTCAGCTAAAGATTTCGGCCAAAGAATGAAGAAGTTCCTTGGGGGCCAAGAGAACCAGGAGAAGATCAAAGGAATGAAGACCGACGAAGATACTTTGAAAGTTCAAGAAGGACTCAGCAGCTTACTCGAGGGAAACAAGGAATGAGCTTATGTATTGTTAGATTTTTATAAAGTGTTTGTAAATAAAGATGGGGAATGTCGTTGTCTATTATTATAACGATAATCATAAAGATAATAAACAATGTTGTAGGATATATAATATAATATAATACAATATAATATAAAAGAAGATCGACGATAAACCCGTGCCTCTCTGGTACGCCTTCTTATGTTTGGGTGTTGTATTTTAGTAAGGAAATTCCGCTATTTACTGAATGAAGATCATCGTCGTCGTTTTCTTTACTGTCGCTGTTGTCTTTCTTGCTTCTCTTGGTATCATTCATTGTTCTTCTCGTTGTTTCCCTTCTGGTCATTCTCCTTTCTTCTTCCTATCAAATCGACAAACAGCATGTCTTCAGAGCTCACGCCCCATCAAACACAGAAACTCCAAGACTTCAAAGAAATCACCCAATACAACGACGATGATCACCAAAAGATGCTAACATTGTTGGAGAACTGCCAATGGAACATCGAGGCGGCAATCCAGCGATTCTTTGATAACAATTTCGATTTCCCTCATCTAGAACCCTCAACAGAACCTCTACCACTACCTACTCCTCCTCCTCCTCCTCCTCTTCCTCCTCCTCATTCTTCAACCAATAATAATAATAATAACGCTTCTACCACCAACTTTGACAGCTTCAACTTGACACAATTCGATTTGATGCCAAAATTCCCTAAGGCCAACAATCTCTCGGGTAATTGGAAACTCACTCCAGGAATCAAACTATCGAGAAAAGACGATAGCCTTTGGAGCGATACCTCTCTGCCATTATTATTTATATTACTTGTGATCCCGAAAACATTATTATTTGTGATTTTGAAATTAGCGGAGCTTCTCAAATTTCTAATTCCCGGACTATTTAATCTTTGGAAACCTAACCTTAATCAATTCCCTGCGAGCCCTACCTATTTGCCCCAACCACCAAATACCAAAGAAGAAGCAGCAGCAGCAGCAGGAGGAGATACCTCATCACAACTCACAATCTACAAAGACTTCAATTTCAAAAGCTACTTCCAACAAGTCATCAAGGACGCCAGTGATTTGCCGATCTTTGATGGAGAATTCAACGCTGCTTATGATGTTTGCAAACAGGAATTGAAATTCCTCATTATCATCCTCATCAATACCGAAAACAAGGCCACATCCGAGATTTTTTTGAAACTGGTGGTGAATTCTTCGGAATTTGCCAGTTTCATCAATAATAAATACGCCGATAGACTGGATAATTTCATCATTTGGGGAGGCGACGTCAACCATTTAGAAGGCTGGCTCGTGGGAAGACAATACCGGGCGAGGAACGTTCCATATATCGCGATGGTGTCCAACGTTTCCACCTACGGAGAAACTTTCCCAACCATGTCATTGATGAAATACTCTCAAAATTTTGAAGTTTCTAATAACGACGCCGCCACTGCATCAGAAAATTTAGGGAAACTCAAGGCCAAACTGAAGAAGATCATCAAATTATTCCAACGGACCGCCAACAATTACGTGATCCAATTGATAAACCAAAAGATCGAGCGAGATAGTCAAAATTACGAAAGATTACTCAAACAACAACAAGATGAAGCGTATTTGAAGTCGTTACACCAAGATAAATTGAAGAAACAACAACGTGATGCGGAACAATTGAAGATCAATAACAAAAAGCAAGAAGTATTGGATGAAATCATTGAGAATGACAAGCACTTGCAGTTTTTGAAACAACAATTTGTCAAATGGCAAACGGTGTTGGTAAATAATGATCGGACCTCTGATCCAATTGATTTATTCACCAACCAGCCAATGACCGATAAAAAACAATATACCACCATTCAATTCAAATTACCAAATGGTCAACGATTTGTTAAGAAGTTTAACCGTGATCAACCAATGAAGGATATTTATTTATTTGTACAATTGAAATTGGTATTACTAAGTTTATTGGAGACCGAAAAGTTCGATACCGAAGGTGAAGTGTTTGAATATTTGAAAACGTCTAAGATTGCAGGAAGCATCACGAGTGACGACATGTATTATGAAACGGTGATATTCAGATTCGAATTGAACTCATCATTCCCGAGATTTAAAGTGGCGATGAAGGAACATCAACCGATCCACGGTAATAAAGATTTGGTTCCTAATTGTAATATTCTTGTGGAATTTGATTTGGATTATCAAGAACAATTGGACTTCTTGGTGGAGAATTTCGTGGTGGATGACTCGAAGAAACCAATCTGTGAAATGACCATTGAGGACATTGCTGATGAAATGATTGAAGAATCTAGTGACGAGGAATGATTAATATAAAAGAGCAGAATAAATAGATTTTGAATTGCACGATGAATACTGAGTTAAGGAATGTAGAAAGAGAAAAAGTGAGAGGAAGCATAATTATTATTCCAAGAAATTTTTCATTGAGAGAATCTATGTGAATAATCCAATAATAAGAAATAATAAGAAATAATAATACGCTATATGTGATAAAGAGTAGGTTGTTTTTTTTTTTTTTAGCTATATTGTCTAATATTGTCTACGATACTTCTAAATTCAAATTCAAATAACCGATGATCTGGCCACTTTGACCAGTGGAGTGGAGTACCAAACCAAGATAATGGTGCCACTGTTTAAAGTGCTACCAGAATCGCATTGGGTACCGGAGTTGTGTTCTCTGGGTAGCTCTTTCCTATAACTCACAGCCCTAGCCTAAGATTTTGTTCTAATACTGCGCCTATAGTGATTCCTGATGCATCCGTGGTTCGGGTCAAAGTTGATCAGTATGGGCGCTCTGATGATCTTTTTCTTTTAATTCATTACAATTATATTTATACATATATATATATATATCTTCAACATTAGATAAAAGAGAGGACTGGACTACGTAGTTGTGTTCTATTATGGGAGAGTTCTTCTGTTATTAGAAAGGGCAGTCCAGGGGTTGGAATAGTTCCCGTTCTGTGAGAACGACCGAACTTGGTGGGATCTTTCTTTTGTTAGATGAATTGGAATCATTTGGATATCGTCAATATATGAGAATTTCATCCATCAGGTACTTTTGTTGTATGGTTGTAATGTTGGATTATTGGTTGTCAAATCATGGTAGAGGTTTTTGAAGAACCGGGGAGAGAGAGAGAGAGAGAGAGAGAGAGAGAGAGAGTGTGTGTGTGTGTGTGTGTGTAAGTTGTTGTTCTGAAAGTGGGAAAATCTATGCCACCACTAATCTCATGGTCAACAGACGTAACTCAACTTATGGGGAATGGCTTGATTCATTAATGCATATATAAATACATAGACAATGATTCAGTCACTTCAGTTACAATATAATGGTCATGGTTAGAACATAGCAAAAAGCTTATGATTGCAAAACATGAAAGGAAAACCTACACTTGTGATGATATCAAGCTTTTACTTAGAAAACTTTACAACGAGCCATATATGATATAGGCATTATAGTATATTATAATCTTTTCAGTTAGAACAATTCCTAATTACTCAGATCATTGACATTGACAAAAAATAAAAAAAAAAAAAAAAAAAAAAGATACATCTCATACAACTTTTTTCCTTAATACAACTCATAAACTTTTTCATAAAAACATCCATCATCAGCAATTTTCCCCACCAATCCGGTTGGCATCCATCCTTCGCCTCCCACTCTTTGACCATCCTTAATTTTTTGCTCGACGATTTCCAGATCGATCGATCTACCAATGATGAACCCCCTAATACATAGCTCGCCATTCCCGTCTTCGGCAGCATATTCCTCGTCCAACAAATGATAATCCGCAAGCTTTATCTCGATGGTTTGCGAAGGCACTCCTCTAAGCACCATGTAATCTTTCTTGACAATATCGTCTTCTTCTGGTTGTTCAGCATCGTCTTCGACCGTCCGATAATCGTACAATTGGGTCATGAATAATGGACCAATCGTTCCAGGAATATACCGTTCATTGATGATTCTGCTACCGGTAATCGTCCGCAACATCGATAATTGCCATGAAGTGAGACAACTATCACGAGAGTTTTTATACGAGTAGCTGTAAATGACTCGTAATCGATCAAACACTTTGCTTGGGTGTGGGGCCAATTTATTGAACACATTCTGTTGCAATAGTACTTGGGATCGGCCAATCAAGAATTTCCGAAGCATTGGGGTTTTTGAGAATTCCTCAATTTCTTTTTCGTAAATCACTTTCAAATACCGCTCAGGAATCACCGCAATCACGTTCTGCTTGGTGAACACCAGTTGTTGGAATTTATTGAATAATTTGAAAAACTTCTTGTAAATAATGGAGTCCTCGCGTTCTTGTTGGCGTTCCACGTCGTCAAAGTCAATCGACCGGATCTCATGAAGTTTCAACGGTTCAACAATGGTAATTGGTAGCCCAACCACTAACCCAGCAAGGAATTTATTGTAGAAACTCAAACTGGAATCTTCATTAAGAATCACGAGCTCATCGTTACTATTTGACCATTCTTGTCCCATTGGTAGTTGTTTGAGTTCGTGGGCTACGCAACTGACAAGATTTTGATTGGTGTACACCACGGTATTGAAATTCAAGGTTTCTTTGAGAGGAATGAAATCGTCGAATTTCCCATCATATTGATAGTCATAAACCCCGTTTTTCTCATCGTGATTTGTTTTTTGGAACGCCACTTCAGAATTCCCGAAAAACTCCTCCCAGGTCACCAACTTGTTTGGTAAGGTTGCCCTTTTATAATCTTCCATAGAATACCGATCTGGGACATCATCATCATCATCATCAATCACCACAATCACCTTGACCGTTCGATAATGGCGTACTGCAGTACGGAGATCCTTCTTCGTCACCACGAGCACATCCAAATCCCCAACATTATACTTTAGCATATGGGTATGGAACGTATGAAGCGTCAAATTGTTGATGAAACAGGTCATTGCCAATACCACCCCTTGCCACGAGTACGCTGGCAACACCGTCCCAATTTTAAGATTCAACAGCCCATCGCCATCCGATGCCAATGTGAATTCTTTCATGATTTTGTTGTAGAAATCGGCAAAAACCTTGTTTAACGTCAAATAATCGGTGGATAGTTTCGGTTTACCATTGCTAGTGAAGAATTGTACCGGAGTGTCAGCTTGATGTTCCATGGCCAACGCCCAGATATCCCGAACGTTCCCATCCCGTAGCTTGTAACTATGTTTGATTGATAAGCCATGAAGAAGCGGGAATCCATGAGGCACAAGAAGGTTCCGATGATGAGCGGTTTCCCCAGGTTTTCTGGTAGGAGCCACGCTAGTTTGTGACGAGAGTGCCAATTCCGTCATATCTTGTTGGGTCTCCAAGTACTTAGAATAAGCAATGGCAAGAGCCACCACCCCACAAAGAATGGTGATAATCAACTTATCACGATCTTCCAATTCGAGCATTTTTGGTGGGGTTCTCGTTTGAGGAGTTAGTGGAAATTAGTTGTGTTGGCGGATTTTCATTTTTGGGATAAAAAAAAAAAAAAAAAACACCACCCGCAGAGATGGTTCCGTCCTATACGATGAATAATCAACAGATGTCGATGAAATGGTATATTAAGAGAGCGAGAGAGAGAGAGAGATACTTTATATAGATCGATATATATATATGTAGATAGACATTAGGGAAATAAAATGAATTTTCTTTGTTTCATTTCTATTATGGTTTAAAAATCTTCAAACTTCGAAGCAGCAGCTCTCCAGTACTTGAAGAACCCAGAGAAGAACTTGACCCCAATAGCCACGTCCTTGGACCCCACAGTGGCACGACTACTATGCATAGACCATTGAGCAATCCCACAATCAATGGTACGGGCCCCGGTCTTAGAAGAGATGTATGGGCCGATGGTACCACCGGAACGCGAGTCGTTTCTGATATGGAACATTTGCAACTTGTCACCATTACTACGGGCGACTTCTTCAATGATGGCTCTACCAGTGACGTCGGTGGCCATGGCTCTTTCATCAAAGGCGATGGTCATACCAGTGTTAAGTTTTGGACCGTGGTTTTCCAAATAGACATCAGGGAAGTTTGGATTGAAAGCGTGGTTGACGTCGGCAGACAAGATAAGGGTGTTGGCGTAGGCAACTTTGTATAATGATTCAAGAGACAATCCTTGTTTATCAGCGATGAAACTGTCGATGGTACGTTCGATGACCGATTCAGACAACCCACCTTGGGCACCCTGTTTACTCAAACTACCAATTTCTTCGTTATCGTAAAGGGTCACCAAAGAGAAACTATGGTCAGGGATTTGGAAATCTTGGGTTTGCAAGAATTCCAAAAGCCCGTACACTGCGGCAAACCCACAGATTCTGTCGTCGACTCTTGGAGCAAAAAGGAAATCTTTCTTCATCCCACCAATCGCCCCCTTTTGACCTTCATAGATATCCAAATCCAATTGCACAAGCTCGCTGACCTTAACCCCGGCCAATTCGGCAATGAAACGCAACAAAGTAATGGAGTGCACGGAAATAAGTGGACATTTCTTTTCGTCGTCTGACAATTCTGGTTCTGGTTCGCTGTCGACCCCACCGTGGTAGGCAATCACCGGAACCGCTCTGGTTTCTTTGTTCAACAAACTGCTGAAATCTTTACCGAAATGTGGAGCCAAAGATGGGATTCTTGCCACTGGGAAGTCGGATTTCACAAGCTTAGAAACGATCTTACCATCGGCATCGCGGACCAACACGTACCCACCAATGTGCAAGTCTCTGTCCCACCAAACTTCGGAGATCGCACCGGCGTATGGGGCAACCCCCAACAATTCGTACCCTTCGACTTCCTTCTTTTTAGAGCTTGGCTTCAATTTGGCGGTCAACACGTCGATATGGGCCCCGATCAATCCAACCCCATCTTCTGGAGTCCAGTGTTTACCAATGACAAAACATGACAATGAGGTTTGGTTTCTGGTGGTGTAATAGAACCCCGGGGTCATCTGGCCCCAACTTTTGCCTTCTGGTAGGTACTTGAACCCATGAGACTCGAGCAACTGGCTGAAATGCTTGACGACGTGGTAGATGGTAGGGTTTTCAAAAGTGAAGTCGATGTATTCTTGAGAGTAGTAGGTGTAGCAAGATTCGCCAGCGTGGAACACCGGCTTTGTCAATGGTTCGAAATCATCTTCGTCTTCATCAGAGGAAGGGGTGGCTGGGGATTCGTAGCCGTTGCTGGTGGTTGGCAAAGTCTTTCTTTTGAAAACCTTGGATCTTTGGGACAAGTGGTGTCTATTGTTGTAGAGAGGCACCACTTTCTTGCCATTGACCATTTGTTCACATGTCTGGGTGACTTCGAAAGTATCGATAAGTTTGCGGAGGAGTTCGACAGTTTCTTGGGAGGACATTTTTTTTTTTTTAATAATTTTTTTGATAAAGCACTTGATAAGATAGGACCGAAGAGAGAAAGAGAGACAGAAAACAGGAATTGCTGGAAGTTATAAGCTGACAACAGAAGCCGATTGATTACCAGCCACTCGGGGGATGGCGGTATGCGGGGGTGCAGCGCCCTCAACGGCACGCACAGTTTTTTCCCCCATCGACGACTGGCGACGAAGGCGGTGGAAGCATCGTTGATAACGCTATCTGAAGCATTGTCCGTTGCACGTTATCTTATCTGAAACACTTACTAACTCACTCTCTCTCTCTCACTGGACGACGTTGTTATCTCGGGAATTATTGCGATCACCCAACAGTCATGATCTTCAACAATATCTATGCGTCGCTCTCCTCACCCAACCTTGTGCTTTCGCTGGTGAATGGCAATCCAAACAATACCTCTAATAATAATAATAATAATAATAATAATAATAATAATAATAATAATAATAATAATAATAATAATAATAATAATAATAATAATAATAACACCAATAATAACACCAATAATAACACCAATAATAGTACCAACAACAATAATAATAATCCTACTTCTTCTTCTCGTTCTCCTTCTTCTTCTTCTGGCAAACTTCGAAGACCTAATAGCCACGAGTATGAGGACCTTCTCAAGCAAAAGACCACGATCTCTGATATCCTTGCCAGGGCGTCCGACGTGATCATCAGCAACAAGATCACCCCGAAGACCGAGTACCGGGGGTTTGCGATCCACTTACTCTCGATTTGTTTCTTGGTGATCTGGTTAACTTGGTCGTTGGTGCCACGAGGGTGGTTCAACAGCGTGGGGATTTATTATTATCCCGATCGATGGTGGCAACTCGCGATTTCCAGCTACGTGCTTGTGGTGATGGGGTTCATTTACGTTGGGCTCGCGTTGTACAACATCGAAGTGATTTGTCGTCCATTAGATGATTTGCGAAACATTGTCGATGAGCACGCGGTGGTGAGTAGCTCGTTTGATTATCAATTGAAGAAACAGTTGCTGGGCAACGATGATCTGGTGATTGATTTAGACGACGAGCGGTACTTGTGGACCAGTACCAGCGGGGTATGGGATTTACCAATCACTACGGTATCGAAGATTTTATATTCTGATTATGATAATTATCAACCGAAATGAAAATTTAAGTGTGAGAAGCGATGAGAATTGTGAAAGTGGTACAGCGCATGTATCAAAATTGGAATTAAACTATAGAAATTACATCAAATATCGGAATCATCGCAAACGATGTATCGTAAATCATCCACCATCTATCATCTTGATATTTGATATTGGAATGATGATACTTTGTTTCTTAGGTCGAGCGACACTTTACCAAATAGCTGGAAACCATAATCAACGCCGCTACGGTTATTCATGCCAATTTCTCGAAAATAGTATGTGATGTGATAAATTTATTATATAATGCCAATCAGGAGGAAAACAAACTAGGGAAGTTATCTCCATTCAACGTTGTCATTTGGGTTATACGAGAAGATAACAATTAGCCAAAGATGGCTGGCCACTCAGTTGTTACAGGTACTACTACTTCTTCTTCTTCTTTTTTTTTTCTTTTGACATACCAGTTGGTTATAAAATCTGTTTAAAGGAATCTTTAGAGAGAGACGTATTTGAGGGAAATAAATCACCACGGCTCAATTTTTTTTTTTTTTCCAATTCTTCGTTTACTATAATTCTGTATATTTATATTCAGTTCTTCATCACTCTTATTCTTCCTAACATCTGAAATTGAGATTGAAATTTTACCTCTTATTAGTTTGTTCGTCTTTGTTTAATGTTTTCTTTTCATAAAGCTGAATGTTTTTTGAATGAGTCTATCCTAATTATCATCATTTTCTTCTGTGTTTTGTAATTATTATTAACTGTTATTTGTTGTGTCATGGCACTCCTTGTAACTTCAATTACTGTCCATAATATCAGTTGAACCCACCCCCTGTAAGGCAAAGGCGGTAACCACTGGGTAGCTAGTCTAGCTTAAGCCTCGGTGAGCGAAATAAATAAAAAATTACACCCGAATTTCAACAAAATCGCTGCTGTTTAGCCGTTATTTAAACACTCTATCGAAGAAGGTGTCATTATTAATCGGATCCCTATCGAAGGCTGATGTGATAGCTGTTCGACTGCTCTTGTTTTTTGGAGAAGCCGTATAAATATATATTTCTCTCTTTCAACAACATAACCTCAATACATTCATTCATCCAACATACAGCCTTCCTTGTAAAGTAATACATACAACTAATCATCAGTGACAAATCCTCAATACTTTTTTTATTCATAGCAAATACAAGAAATATAAAATAGAATAATAATAACCACAGATATAGTGAACAAGAATAGAAAACAAACAAGTAATAGTAATAATAAAGAATGAAGAATACCTCTAATAATCGAAACAGTAAAAAAAAAAAAAAAATCAATATCAAAATTGAAAAAAAATTGGTCAGGATGAGGGAAAAAGAAAAAAAAAATCATAAATCATAAACAAGAGAAGAATAAATAGGAGGGAACAAACATATTGTGATGATAAATACAAAAAAAAAAGAATAAAAATAAAAAGATTAATGTTACTCCCAAGATTAGGGCCAATGGGCATGTTCCGTTCAGCAGCACCAATGGGGGTAATTTCATAAAAATAGACCAACAGCCATAACCCTCCTAATAATAAGAACCAAGAGGTATAAGATATAAACACTCAAAAATAGAAGAAAAAAAAAGAAAAAAAAAACATATCATAGTATAACATTCTGAAAAAAAAAAGGGGGGGAGGAGGGGCAAAAGAGAAAATAAACAGTATCAGACAATTTGCAATGGCAACCCTCGATTATCTTTTGATTGATACTGAGAAAGTAGAAATAATTGTTGAAACTAACAGTTTCCAATTCAATGTTGGTTTGGGATCCATGGATATGGTGACAAGCATTAAATCATCCACAATCAAGACATCAAATGTTTAAATTTGATAATAAATGACCGAGTTTTCATGTTGTTGGTTCGGCCAAGTCTCTCATATTCAACATTAGCTCGGTATCTATCAATTCTTGATGAGCTTCTTTCATTTTTAAATTACCAGTGGTGAAGTAGATATTAAATTTTGATATTTGACCAAATGACCCACTATATCATAAAGATTAGACACCAATTTCATAACTTGTCACAGATTATCAATATTAGACAAGTCATTCTAGCATCACCATTCTCGTCATTAATTTCCATAATGTTCAATTTTCAATTATCCACGCTCAAATCACTGAGTTTCTTATTCAACGCGGGTTTGACATTTTCATGACGATTCTCAATGAACCCATTCACTTTAATATCGGAAATTTGCAGCAATGATGCCGACGGCGAGATCGCTCCGGAACCATTGACCCCCGTGATATCTTTCAAGGTTGGGGATTTGTTATTATTCAATCCCAGTAAATTTCTCTTTGGAGTGGTGACCCCGTCACTATGCGATTTTCTAGAAAAATTGAAAAAATCCTTATCATCATCATCGTCATCATCGCTCGAATCACTATCATTGAAATTAAATTTTCCTCGGCTCGCCACTGCAGGACGAGAAGAAGAAGAAGAAAGAGGAGGATTGAAATTCATTTCACCTTCGCTAGAACTACTATCATCATCATCATCATCATCATTTAATAATGAAAACTTTGGTTTATTGCCAAACCCATTGATTGAACTATTATGCGAATTGGCCAACCCATTGTACGAATTATTCCGAGAATTGGCTTTACTCAACAATGTCAAATTTCTGGAAGAGTCAATATTTCCAGATAAATTATTCGCCGAAGATGGTCGTTTACTCAATACCGAACTGGTAGATGCCATCAGCACATCATTATGTTGCTGTTGCTGTTGCTGTTGCTGTTGATGATAATTCTTCAATCCATGAATTCTGCTACTATTGTTACCAGCACCCATGGCACCACCAAAACTGAACCCAGAGTAAGAATTGGTATCTTCACTACTCAAACTTAATGCCTCGTCGCCGGTTAAAATATAACCTTCGCCGTCATCTTTATGAGTGGTTTGCGAAGCAGCGGTGCCAGGGGCATCTTGGGTTAAATTATCGAAGAGACCACTATCAAGAGCAATATCTTTGGGAACATCTTCAATCATGGTGGTGGAGTTATCATGATTCAATAACAAATCTTCTGGCACGTACACTGAATTATAATCATAATAAAACTCAAACCCACGATTGGTGTTAACATTATGGGAAACCGCATTGTTTTTTGGAATCCCTCCAGCAGCTGCTGTGGCAAACGAGCCAGAATTATTATTATTATTATTATTATTAATATTATTGTTCATCCAAGCATAGTTTTCTTCATCCTCACTTTCAAAATCGGAATCTTCAGATGATTCTTCATCACCTCTAAACCGGATCTTCGTGGCTGGTAAATATTCAATGATTTTTTTCCCATCTGACGCCAATTTCAACGATTGAGATCCTGTAGTGAGTTCCGAATTCATGGATAATCGGCGATGTAATTCCGGATTGCCCTTAACGCTAAGCACAAGTCCATTTTCATCATCCTCGTCATCACTATCCTCATCACTATCAGCAAACGCGCTGTTGTCTTGAGATCCATTGAAGTACGCTGCTTCTTCATCGGAGTCACTAAAATAATCAACGATTCGACATTGTTCGACTCGATCGTTGAAATGAATTTTCCGGGATTTTTTAGCGACAAATTCCGATTGGGATGCGGGATTGACCAAAAAACTCGACTTCAATCGTAGCTTATCGGAAAAGTCAACGTCTTCAACGTCATCATCATCATCATCATTATCATTACTGAGAACTTTATGTACTGGGCGTAAAGTGGCTTCACTGGATACCGAATCAAGGGGTTCGGACTTTGTTTTAGAATCGATAACATCGGATAATTGAGGATTAAGATCGTCATTCAAATTCATTGGCGACATTTCTCGGCTAACCATATCATTAATAGCAAGAATTGGCGAAGGAGAAGCCATGTTATCCATTAATGGTTCGATAGTTGGTGACCCACCAAACAATTTCTTCCCCCGGTATTTTTCATTAAGAATATTCATTTTGAATAAATCGGCGTTGGCGTTGATCTTTTCACTAATTTTCCGTACTTTCAAAATCGGTTTCACCGGGATAGAATAATCGGAATCGTCGCTGGAGATTTTATCCATTAGAGCAATAACATGATTAGATAACCCCACAATCGATGGACCACAAGGATGTTTATCATTATTGTCATTATTATTATTATCATTATTATTATTATTATTATTATTATTATTATTATTTACAGCAATGGAACATGACGATGACGCTGACTCAGGAATACAATCGCCGATTTTCGCTTTGAATTCTTGTAAATGGTTTCTCACATCACTCTCAGTTTCTGGAGCACATTTGGGACCGTAAAGCCAGCTGACGTCGGTATCTTTCTTCCAATTAATACTTTCAGGGGTGACGGTATTCAACGAATATTTTGCTCTAGCCCACGTACGCCAACTAGCATTTTCCAACCGGGAATTCTCGACTCTGGCATCGTAATCAATGGTTCTTTTACGATCAACGACATATCTCCAAGATTTAAGGATTTCTCTGTCGGTCCAATCGTAACTGAAATAATCAACGGTATTTTTTGGTTCGAAGGTGATATCATTATCATCGTGGGGTTGGAATATTTCTGGTTGTACTTGATGTTCTGAGTCCATGGATAGGGTAGATGGGGTAGAATCTTCCACTAGAGAATCATTATTGGTCAGGGTGGCCGAGAGTGATGCAAGACTGTCATCAATTTTTGCCTTCGAATTATCATCATTATTATTATTGTTATCATTATTATTGTTGTTGTTGTTGTTGGCTAGTAACGTTCGGGTTTGGACAGATATTTGATGATTTAGCTGGTTGAGGTTTTTGGTGGATAATGATTTTGGTTTCATGTTGAGAGGATCGGTGGCAAAGTAGTTTGTATGGCTAAAGTCTTGTTCAATGAGCTTTTTTGTAGGGGCGATGTAGTTATCCAATAACCCTACAGATCTGGTACGTTTGAGTTTATACGTTGTATTTTCAAAGTCATCGATATCCTGGGCGTCGATAGCGTTGGATTTTGAAGGATCGAGGCCAAAGATGTTGAGGTTCATTTGATGGATATCCGGGGTGGTGGTGGTGGAAGGCGGGGGGCTGGCCGACTGGTCATTGAAGAACGCTGCTAGGTTATTTGTTGAAGGCATGGTAAAATATATTGGAAGATGATATTATTAATTGGATGATGATATTTTATGGAAATCTGGGGATATACGACTATTTCTTTGTTTTCCCCCACAAAAAGTTGGAAAAGCGGAGGAGGACAGCCAGGATTAGAATAAGCCAGCACTGGGGGACCGGGAAGGGCTTGCTTGCTTGCTTGTTGTTTGTTTTGATTGATATATCGTGGGATGTGAGAATGGAATGAGGTAGTAGATTAGCAGCAACCTCCCAAGGAAAGATATTGGTGAGATATCGATGGTTGTTCTGTGAAAAAGGGGAGGGTGTGGTTGGTCCTTATATTCCCAACGATAATATGGATGAAGCCGGGATGATAATAGTGGTGGTAATAAACAGGAATAACGGAAGGGTGACGAGGTATAAAGCAGTCGCACTGTCTGTCACCGGATCGAGCGTGATGGCTAAGTATATAACTGGAAGCTGGCCGGGCTGTTTGGTATACTAATGAAATGTGTGTGAGAATAATAATAGAACTGTGATAGATTACCACTCGCTTTCTTTTTTTTTATTTTTTTTTTGGTGTTTTTTTTTTTTTTGGCTGTAAAAAAACGTTTTTTTTTTTTTTTTTTTCTTACTTTTTTTCCACAATTTGCGGTGTTTCTTTTTTGTTGTTTTGGTGGTGGGTTATTGTGATGATGATGATTATTGTTTATAGGGAAAGTGTGTGTCTGAGTCTATCATACTATATCATATAACAATATACATCACAGCAATATATGATAGCACTATTATCATTATTGGCTGCAACAGCGTCGAGTCCAAAACCACGTGAACTGTCACGCTCCGAGCCTTCCGCTGCGGCATCCGATGATTGCCGTCGCGGATTTGACGTTTTGTGTCTTTCCATTTATTATTTATCGCTATTATTACGGTTATTTTGTTTATTTTCAGGTAAATATTGTAGATTCTTATGTATTACCATTGTGGTTTTGATCCTCAATGGATACAGTATCGTCTTTGGTCGGTACCCCCCACAATAACCATAATAACCACTGTCATCTAACCATCATGAACAATAATCGTAATAATCTCCCACCTTTAGGATCCCCAAAATATCACAGTTTACCATTAAACATCTTTCAATCGCCTCCTCATCGTAATGCTCGTCAACCTCTCCTTGACCATCGTTGTTCTGTCGACTCTACAATCTTCGAACCTTGGAATCCTCAAGATTATCCCTCTCTGATCCCAACCATCAACATCGATGAGATAAATGATTACAATGATTGGTACAGTTTTTTAGATAATCATTTACAAATTAACAATAATAAGCTTGACAAAATCACCAGGTTCTCTCCAATCGAAAATCCCTCCAATGATGAGAATATTGTCGATCAAACTACACTATCAAATGATGAAAACCTTTGGTTAAATCATAAAAGTATCCACCAATGTCCTTCTATCCCCGCCAATTTGATGATGATCCCCGATAAATTATCTTATTCAACAAGATGGTTCCAAACCATGGGAAATACCAAAAAGAAACTTTCCACCAATTGTCAATCCCTAAGTGTGAGATTACATAATAATAATACCAATAACATTGATACCAACACCAATGATAGCAAACCATCTTCAAAATTCAAATCATTCTTCAAATCAGGTAAATTCCATCGTCATCACAAATTCAACTTTAAACGACCAGCTCTTAATGAAATCATCATTCTTTAAAACAAAAAATAAATGAATAAAAAAAAATGTTTTTGTTTATTGATTTTTTTTTATCTATTATCAAAACTATGTACAATACAATGTAAAACAATTATTATTTTTGTTATTATTATTATTACAACCCCAATTCATTAATCACATACTTTCTCACCAAGTTCTTACGCACATTGGCCTTTAATTTATCTGGGTTACCACGGCCCAATTTCTCAAAAATCGCCGTCAACTTCCCTTCATCACCGAGAATCTCACTCACTTTATCACTCACTTTACTATTGTTTTCATCGTGTTGTTCCACTTGCTCTTGTACTTTTTGTATTTGTGCTCTCAACACTTGCACGTCCAAATCAAACATTTTGGTGGTTGGCCAACTAGAAAGATTGTACTTCTTCATCAAGTCCAGCTGCTTCTGCAAATCTTCAGCACTAGCCTCAGGATTCGAGCTCACTTTATCCAAAAATAACATATCGTTGATCATCCCCGATTTATTTACCACATTGCTATTATATTCTCCTCTTTTTTCCAAAAACTCTCTAGTCTTTGCCGCTTCTTCTTGTGCCACAATGGTTTTGGCATCTCTCTGGAACTGCGCGTATTGTTGACCCTTATTCTTGAGGATGTCGGCCACGGCAAACGATTTATGACGAGACAATGGTCTAGTGGCTTCAATTCTCACCATATCCCCCTCTCTGCAAATCTCTCCTTCATCGTGGACCAAGTAATCCTTACGCCCCAAAAGTCGTTTGTTGATAAGTTTGTTGAATTCCCCCTGCTGGACACGGACCTTGATGGTCTTCTGCATCTTCCCTTGGGACACCACGATCCCCACAAAGTTCTGACGAGGCATATTGAACGGTTTTTGAATAAATACAATTGTTAGGTATTCTGTTCAGGCGGTTGGAGAATAAAAATTTTTGGCGGTGAAATTTTCCAATTTCGATCGCGCACCCACCCACCGCCGCGACGGGGCTTCATTCGCAGAGCGTCTCCCTGGGGATATATTGACGATTATATTAGGGCAGGCTGTGGTGTTTGGGAGGGAAATGTGAGGGAAAAAATAGTTTTGCTGGATATAGAAGGGTCCAGTCTAAATCATGATATATACTACCAACAATATAATGGATGGCAGTTGACTGAAAATACATACCCCTCTGCTAGCCAACTAACCACCCACCAGGCAGAATATACATATTTCACCCGGGTAACACGCAAAGATTATTATTATCAACTTTTTTTTCGCTCTCCATTTCTCTGATCGATGGACCATCGTTGTATTGGCAAAAAAACCATCTCAAATCACCAGAATAATGTCGTCCCTTGGAGCTCAGATCAGAAGAGCCGTTCCGGATATCGATCCTGTGGTCACCGATTACGCCATTGGCTACGTCAACCATATCAGTAACTCCACCACCGATAGTGTGGCTGCCCAACAACTTGATCTCGAAAACGACATTGGTTTCGTCAAGAACTTGTTGAAGAGTGCCGGGGCTAACGAATCCAAACTCGAGAGTCTTGGAGTTTCCCTTCAAACTGCATTGAAACAACAACTCGATGACAATTTCGCCAAGTTGAAGATCACCGGGGATACCTCCAAAAGACTTCTTGATGTCAATCTTTTGAAAAATCAAATGAACCGTCAACTTCAAGGGTCGTTGGCACTTATTGGTGCTTCCAAAGATATCGAACATAATGGGAGAAACATGGAAAGTAGAGTTGATAAAAAGAAGTTGGAAAAAGCCGAAAAGAAGATTGCCAAGAAGGTGGCCAAAAGAAACAACAAGTTTGTCAAATACGAGGCGTCGAAATTGATTTCTGACAGTCAAGGAGATGCTGATTATGATGAATTCTTCCTCAAGATCAATCCTATGGAATTCGGTTCCGGGGCTGGGAAATCCAAAGATATTCATATCGATACTTTTGATTTATACGTTGGCGATGGGCAAAGAATCTTATCTGACTCGTCATTGTCTCTTAGTTTTGGTCATCGTTATGGTTTGGTCGGGCAGAATGGTATTGGTAAATCTACTTTACTTAGAGCCTTATCTTGCAGAGAATTGAACATTCCTAGTCATATCACCATTTTACACGTTGAACAAGAATTACGAGGCGACGACACTTTGGCATTACAATCGGTGTTAGATGCCGACGTGTGGAGAAAAAGTTTGTTGAAAGAAGAACGAGAAATCAATGACAGAATTTCTGAAATCGAAAAATTAAGAACCGAATTCGATGAAGAGTCTCTTGAAGTGAAAAAACTCGATAACGAAGCTGGGGATTTGGTGCAACATTTGGAAGAAGTCCACGAAAAATTATCGGAAATCGAGAGTGATAAAGCCGAAGGGAGAGCGGCGTCGATTCTTTTTGGTCTAGGGTTCTCCCAAAAAGCCCAACATCAACCTACCAATTCGTTCTCTGGGGGTTGGAGAATGCGGTTGTCGTTGGCCAGAGCATTGTTTTGTGAACCAGATTTGTTACTTTTGGATGAACCGTCCAATATGTTGGATGTTCCTTCGATCACATTTTTGGCAAACTATTTGCAAACTTATCCTGCCACGGTGCTTGTGGTTTCTCACGACAGAGCCTTCTTGAACGATGTGGCCACCGATATAATATACCAACATTCCGAACGATTAGATTACTACAGAGGTGCTAATTTCGATTCGTTCTACTCTACCAAGGAAGAAAGACGTAAAAACGCCATCAAGGAATACGAAAACCAAATGGCGTACAGAAAACACTTGCAAGAATTCATTGATAAGTTCAGATACAACGCCGCAAAATCTTCAGAAGCCCAATCGAGAATTAAGAAATTGGAGAAATTACCGGTATTAGAACCTCCAGAAGAAGACAAATCGGTGACGTTCAGATTCCCGGAAGTCGAGAAACTCAGCGCGCCGATTGTCCAATTACAAGATGTGGTGTTTGGATACTCTCCTGATAAATTATTATTGAACGATGTCAATTTGGACATTCGTCTCGATTCGCGTATTGCCTTGGTTGGTGCTAACGGGTGTGGTAAGACCACGCTTTTGAAGATCTTGATGGAAACATTGAGACCGATTGAAGGTCACGTCACCAAGAATTCCAGACTAAGAATCGGGTATTTTGCCCAGCATCATGTCGATGCCATGGATTTGACCTTGAACGCCGTGACGTGGTTGTCCAAGACTTATCCAGGGAAGACTGACGAAGAATACCGTCGTCATTTGGGGGCGTTTGGGATCACCGGTTCTTTGGGGCTTCAAAAAATGCAACTCTTATCTGGGGGGCAGAAATCCAGAGTGGCGTTCGCCGCGTTATGTTTGGATAATCCTCATGTGTTGGTGTTGGATGAACCGTCTAACCATCTTGATACTGCTGGTTTGGATGCGCTTGCCGAAGCATTAAGATCGTTCGAAGGTGGGGTGCTTATGGTTTCCCATGATGTGAGTATTATTAGCAACGTGTGTAATGAGATTTGGGTCAGTGAAGAAGGTACCGTGAAGAGATTTGATGGTACGATTTACGATTATAAGAAATACATTCTTTCTGCTGCCGATGCGGCTGGGGTGCTTGCCAAACATTAAGCTAAAAGATAGAAGTGGGTTTAGAAGGCAGGTAACTGGAAGGGAGAAGTGTCCTAATATAGCAGCAAACTAGAAGGCAGAAATTTCTATTTCTTTTAGATATCAATATATGTATGCATTATATGTAAAGAATGGTAGTCGTGATGGCGGATAGTCAAGAATATGCTACAGTACTTCTGTAATATTTAACTTGATTTTATTAGGATGGGAAGTAATAGACAACCCAGTAAGACTTTCAATAGATAACTAGACTAGAAAAATAATAAGACGAAGGAAATAAGTTGGTTAGATAAAAGATAAGGAGATAATAAAGGGTGATTAGGTAATGGATGAACAACACTGGTGGTATATACGTTACAACTTTCAACGGAAGTTATTCAGTACTAAAGATTCTAAAGAAGAACCTCCTTAATATTGCAAGGTTATTTATTCATTACTGATTATGTATAAAGGGAGATATTCAGGCTTACGGTTAGTTGAAAATATTGAGCTGATCCTGTAGCAATTTTGAAAATAGATGAGTTATCCAATAGCATCAAAAAGTGATGTGATGATGATGGTCGACCGCCAGCAATTCCCACCGATTGCTTCAATGACAACACCTGTTTCAAAAGGAGAATAATATATTACATTAACATTTTCAATTCCTAATCGCATTCCTAACAATATTAGCACCGCTTTGTCTTCTTCACCTTGCTGGAAATATTGAAGCAGAGCCTTTCTTTACAAATGTGGATGGAAAACTGAGAAATAGGATTATCGACAAACCAGGACACAATCTTATCATGAATCATATCCCATGATTCATTATTATCAGGCCCTTGGAATCTCCGATCTCTATCAACTTACAAATCAAGGAGGGAAGGTGTTTGCCAATACACTCTGACTGGTTCCATCACAGGATTGGCTATGTTATCTGGGTCCAGTAAGAACTTTTTAAAGTCTGCTAATAAGTCAGGAGCCGAGTTGAATGATAAAGCCACTTGTAGATAGACTTCCTGAATTGGGCGTTGTTCCCTTCTGTCTGTATGTCTGCAACAAGTCTAAAAAGTTTTTATAGATGTGAGGCTCGTTGGTAAAGCGTACTTTAATTTTGTTGACATATCCAATGGCGTCATCCATTTCCACGGGAACTTTCTCTAACCTTGCTGATTCATCTTGCGATTATTGCTGTTGATATAAAAGTTGTTGCAGTTGCGGTACTTGTTGGTGTGAGCTTCCATTATTATCTTGATATAATGTCATTGATGGTTGTCCTATAGGATCATTGATATTTTTTGGGTTGCTGTTTGTTGATGATGTCGTTGTTATGGATCCATTGGGCGTGGTTACGCGAATAGGGTTAGGATCATTAAGATCAGAGGAGCACTTAATACTATATACTCTAGGTAAAAAGGTATTGAATCCTTCTACCAAGTCAATATGACCTTTGAAGAGACTTGAAACGCGCTCGTCTAGATTTCCCTAGTACTGATATTCGATCTCATTATTGTGAATCTATCAAGAAGATTTTAAATTCCTCTTGATGCTGCCCCAACCTATTATTCTTTTTTCGCATATTTCTCCATTACGTATCTGTACTATGATCCTCCAAATAATATATCGAAAGTTCGACATAGTTGTAGATTTTATCCAGCATTAATTCTATTCATCACGCACCATGACAGTTACGCATACCAACCAATCTAGAAGTAAAATTCACACTACATCTGTAAAGTATCAATCAGCTGAGAAAATCTATCTCCTTCATTGATGCTAATTTTTGGGAATACAAAATAAATAGAACTAAGTGAGTTTCCCCCCTAGCATTGACAACATACACGATAAGAACCCACGTCATGCTGCTGTTCAAAAGAGGCAATAAATTACCGCCATCGTGCAAACGTATTACGGTAATTTGTATTTCTGGACTCTTGAATGAGCCAAGAAAACTACCTGGAGAGCTACATATCAATAGAAATCTTTTGATAATCTCAGTAATCCATTAATGCAATTGTGCCGTGAAAGCATGTGATACCCAGATGATATACAGATCACATGGCTTCGCTAACTTATATATAAGTCATAAGTGTGGGGAAGATAATACATATCCTTAATTTCATGAGGGAGTCTTACAATATTTAATTTGTCACAATATACTCTCATTTCCTCTGGTAACAATAGACATTACTTCTTTAACCAACCACCTTTTTGGCTTTCGGTCTCCTGTGGATGATCACATTGGTAAATATAGGATTCTCTCAACATCATTTTCGGCGGTTACACAATATTGAACATTCCTAGGGATGGATTTTTTTGGTACCAAAGATGAATTGTTGGATGAATTGGAGGAGAAATTTGGCTCAATGGAAACAGATGATCAACTTTGTGATGAATTTTGGAGAAGTGTTGCTACCATCGTGGACATCCAGAAAGGAAATGGTAGCCCTTCTTCATGGGACAGCCCATTGGAATTGAAAAAGTTCTCTTGTTTTGAAAATGTTATTGAAACATTTAATGGATATATCATACACAAAACTAATTTCACTGTAAACGACACAGATAATCGAATAATTCAAAATATGGTTGAGGACTTTTACGACCTGCTTTCCCATTGTTTTCGAACAGAAGCTACAAGACAGAAAAAAAAAAAACAATCAGAATTAATCAGCGAGAGTTTCGGCAATCTCAAAGGAGCTAATGCTCTAAGACGAGAAAATATAAAGAGAATCTTAAATGCTCTTCGCACGAAGGCATTGTTATTAATCAATCCGCCAATGTTGCTACAAGAGGCACACTTTTGTTCAGGAAAAGAGAAGATAACTGAAAGTAGTAGTAGTCAGATAAGATGTTCGAAAGGTTCGAAAGGTTCAAAAAAAAAAGTTTCAAAAGGTTCCGTGTTTCATAATTCAACTTACAGAAAAAATAACATCTACAAATCCCTTCGTTACTGCTTTATTGAAGGGCGTAATGACTTGAACCCGATGATAGAAACATGGATACGTGAGCTTGTCGGTGCGATTGCACAAGCCAGCTCTGAATACCTATTGATTCCCAGGAAGTCATCCCAGTTAGATAATCACTCAAGTGAAGCAGAATTTACTTTAAGCTTATTAGAGACTACATTAAAGCCAACTTTCTTTTTAATTTCCAAAATGATGGAAATCAAGGGGCTTGGAGAAATTGGATTAGTACTTCAAACAAGAATAGACTTTTCTGTTCGTGAAATAGATAAAGTAAAGCATTTTACAAATATTGTTGATATCACTGTTAGAAGCCAACATGGAAAAGAATTTCCTATTGAATTGAAACTTCCGTCATTAGCACAACATCTTCAAAGAATTAAAGAAGGTTATTTTTGCACAGGGGAAAAGACCAGTAAGGAATTCTTCACAAAAATGAAACATTTAGCCAACTTATCATCACAAGTCGTATACCAGGCAATATCGGGACACTCTATAGGCGGAGTGTTAACAGACACTCAAAGCTTCCTTCTATTTTGTTTTGATCTTTCAGAGCTTCAGAAAAACCAAGAGCTCCAGGGGAAATTGCGAAAATATGAGCAATCCAAGGACAAGCAGGAAACTGAGCGTTTAGCTTGTGAAATCGAGATTTTCATTGATAATCATTTGGAGAGAGTTATTAGGAATCACCCCTTCAAAACTCCAGACACAATTAATATTACCCAAATTGACATGAAAACATTATGTCTAACAAATGACGCAATGTCAGAAAATGATTTTTCTATCACCTTGAAATTGTTGGTATTCATTTATAAGGTGATAGTGATGAACATTGAGCATCAAACATTGATACGGTTCTTTTATGACAGACTTCTTCAGAAGCTTCTATTGAGCACTAGAGAGAAATTGCAAATAATCAAGAATGGCCAGAAAGTAATAGTCCTATTTTATAAATTTATTTTCAAAGAAGATCAACGAGCAGGAAAATTATTCCAGACGGTATGTCCAGACCTAGAATTCTTGGAAAAGCAAAAAAAAGATTGCAGCAAGGCATGTAAGGTGTTTCATTCCAAAAACTCTTGGAGATATGAGAAATGCTTAAAATTAAAGGATTTGGAAGTCGAAGAAATTTTGTCAGGAGAAAAAATTGGACAGCGTCTCAGCACAGTGTTGAAAGTACTAAACAAAGACAAGTCACATAGCGTTATCAAGTTGTTAGATGTACATCGGATTTATGACGGATCGGAGGAGTCTGAGGAGTGTGAGGATGGGTTCGCAATCGGGTACAAAGTTGAATTGACAATAGATCTCTTTTTTAATGAACTTCTCTGCTATTTGCTATTGTCGGAGAAGAATGTCACACCAAAGCTTGAATCTTTTGGCGTCCTCGAAAATGAAAAATATGAATCATTAAAATCAACCGATTTGAAAAGTTTTGCTCCACTTTCCACTGATCAGACGTACCTCTGTGGATTATACATAAAATTGAATTTAATCAAGGGAAATCCACCGTGCAGTTATAATCACTATGATGTTTTGTTAACTTTCTTTGTGGCCATGAGAAAACTTGTTTGCATGCACCAGAACAAAGTTTTCCACGGAGACATCAAGAGAGGCAATGTCAAAATGATTAGCTATTGGGAGTACGAAAAGAAAATATTTGATTTTTTCTTCTTGGACTTTGGTATTTCAATTGCCAAAATAAATATGAATAGTGAAGATGGTAGCAATGATCTGTCTGATAACCTATTCTTCAACAAACTTGTTCTGAATCCTGAACAAAATATTTCCAGTATCGTGAGAAATGATATAAACCTGACAGTACAGGTATTTGATCTATTGACTGGAAAAGCGAAATACTCAAAAAAATTAATTGCTGGTACTCTAAAATCCCACGTTAAGAATCTAGATGAATGCATTGAGGCAGTCAGCTTGGAGATATCAAAAGTTGGGCAACTAGGGCCAAAGAGGCAAAAGAGGCAAAAGAAGGACTGTTTCAGTGAAGAGTCCGAGCTAGCTCAAAAAGAAGAAAAAAGGAAAACTTTTACTGAATTGAAAACACTTTTTTCTTCGATTTTAACAATACTTCATCCAATTACTGCTGTATCAAGTTTCAATGATTTGGCTGACACGGTAATTCGCGCTCGTCTAGATTTCCCTAGTACTGATATTCGATCTCATTATTGTGAATCTATCAAGAAGATTTTAAATTTCTCTTGATGCTGCCCCAACCTATTATTCTTTTTTCACGTATTTCTCCATTACGTATCTGTACTATGATCCTCCAAATAATATATTGAAAGTTTGACATAGTTGTAGATTTTACCCAGCATGAACTTTTAATGAAGACACCTACTTGGCATTCTCAATACTAAATACACTAACTTGGTGGTTCAGGTGATATTCTATTACATCCAACATATATATATATATATATATCATAACAAGTACATATATAACATAATAAATATATATATAACATAACAAGCACATATATAAAATAACAAATATATATACAACATAACATATATAGATCACATATTTTGTGGAAAAAATGTCAAAGAGAAAAAAAATACTTTTAGAATCCACATAGAAGAGGAGTGAAAGGATGCTAAATAGAGGAAAATACATCTATTGATAATGAGAATGTTAAATTAAATATCCACTTCGGTTAAATGATATTTCACATTGAATTGTTTGTAATGGTTTCGGTTACGTCTTTAGAACGGAAAGTGATAGTTAATGTATATTAAAGTAGAATAAAATAAAAGAATAGGTAAAATAAACCTTATTTATAGGTGAGAAAAGGAAATGGGACAACAAGATGAAAAGAGTAAGAAGTAAATAAAGATGTCGGAGATAAGAAATAATAGAGAGACAAGGATTGGTGGAATAATAGAATGGAATTAATAAGAAAAGAAAAAAGTAGATCATTACATTGTTGATAATGAGATTATTGCGATAACAATAATAGTCAATCATGACAAAAATGGGAAAAATTCACTAAAAATCGCAAATTATCACAGAAAGTACACCACAAAATACTATTACAGAAATATTAGTGTTTGTTTTCTTCAAAACATAATATCCAGATAATTGCAGAAAGAAGTATATATATATATATATATGTATATACCGGCGACAAGATACACTAAAAAAAAATAAAGGAAAATTATATTTTAATATACATTAATAATAATAGAGAGTTTAAATAATAAAAAAGTAATGACAAACGATATATTCATCACTTTCAAACAAGAACCAATTGGGCCTTACGTTTGCTAGTGGCAGGATCCAACACTGACTTGATTTGCACATTCACATGTTCAAACACGCTAATTGTCTTAGCATCACCATTCTGATCCTTGAAACTCAATGAGAAATTCTCATCGTCGAATTTCGCAGAATTAGCATCCCCCAACACTTCCAACTTGATCAACCCTTCAATACCGAACTTTGGCACTAATACCACAATCCCATTAGAGAACACCTTGATGATGTACCCTTCTTGGGTGTCGTTATTGTTGTTCTTCATCACTTGCCCCACGTAATATTCAATACTGGCTCTTCCCGCAAATTGGGCATTTCTATGACGTTTGTTGATGTTTTTACAAATCAATTCCATCTTATCCTTATCACGATGACTGAAATCCAACGATTCGTACCCGATAGCCGCTGCCAATTGTCTATGGGCCACCACATCACAATAACGACGAATTGGTGAAGTGAAATGAGTATAAATCTCCGATGCCAACCCATAATGTCTGAATTCTCCATAACTGAACATTCCCGATGGGAAATATTCCGCCGCCATCATGCATCGGGTGGCCATGATACGTAATAAAGTGTTGAAGTATGGATCTTGTGGATCAACACACCGGTCCAAAGAATCAGCAAGGGCTTTCGACGAGTCCAAAGAAATTGACATGTTTTTACGGACTCTTAACATCTCATTCAACACTTCAAAGTTTGTGGCCGGTGGAGCAGCGTGTCTTCTGAGCATTGCAGTTTGTGGGAATGCATCATAAATTTTCTTCGCCACAGAAATGTTCGCCAACAACATGAATTCTTCAACCAAAGAATTGGTGGCTAATAATTTCTTGATTTCCACTTCACCAGGATCAGCAGTCTCACTATCCATATGCACCTTGACTTCGGGACTGGCAAGGTTCAACGCACCGGCGTCCAATCTTTGTTGTTTGAGTTTGATAGAAAGATCCAAAAGCGCTCTCATCCCTTTGGTCAAATCATCTTGTTGACTGGCATCATCGATTCGAAGCTGGGCTCTTTCATAAGAAAATGCTTCACGAGATCTGATGATCGATTTATGGAAATTGGTATCGATAATATTGGCATCATTATCCAAGGTCCAGATCACAGAAAATGCAAATCTATCAACATAAGGCTTCAACGAACAAAGATCAGTACCCAATAATTCTGGCAACATATCAATACGCTTGTCCACAAGATATACAGAAGTACCTCTGTAAGCACCCTCAGCATCCAATGGAGTATTTGGTTTGACAAAATTTGTCACATCGGCAATATGCACCCCAACTTCCCAATTACCATCTGGCAATTGTTTGGCATGCAAAGCATCATCAATATCCACACATCCAGGAGGATCGATAGAACAAACCAACTTGTCTCTGAAATCTTTTCTTTTCTTGATGAATTCATCGCCATCAAGTTTTGTTGGAACTTTCCAATCATGCCCTTCTTTAGGCAAACATTCCAACACCTTCTTACTGAATGGCTTGTATTCCACACTGTGTTCGAGCAATAACGCCTCGGTTTCTGCTTGCACCGATTCAATCGCCCCTAAAGATTTAACAAAATGACCTTCTGGGTACTTGGAGGTACTAGGCCAAGAATCAACCGCCACCACAATTCTTTGACCTAAAAGTTCGCCAGCTTTTCTGGTACGAATTCTGATCTTTGGCAAAGATCTGTCCATCAATATTACAAAACAGTTTCTTGCAGCATTAGAAGTTCGTGAATCTTTAGCCACAGAATTTTCGGAAATTTGACCGACATAGAACCGCCAGCTTCTTTTAGTGATCCCAACAATTTTTGCGGTTGGTTGGATCCTCGTCGAACTTTCTTCCGAAGACGCCTTTTGAGCTTCTTTGAGCAAGAACAATCTTTCTTTGTCCGATATTATTTCATTTGGAGAATCACCATCCTCGGCATTATCATTAGCATCCATGTTTTCTTCCTCGACAATCTCGTTGGATGGGGTCTTCCATTTGGACTTTGGAAGTAATTCCACAACTACTTGGTCGCCATTAAAACTTCTATTAAGATTTTCTCTACCCATAATAATCAATGGTTTCTTGAAAGAAGGCACCGATATCGTCCCTTCAAGGAAATTGTAAGAAGATATATTGATCAGGCCCTGGTATAAAGTTCCATTCTTGATACCCCCCATCAATCTAGCAGTGGTGTAATAATCTGGGAACTTCGTCTCTTTCTTATGGCTGAAAGATGGTCCATCTTCCATATTTGGCACGAAATCAAGCAAATCTTCTCCGTTAGGCAAATTAGTAACGTAATCCACCAAAGAATCCGCCATGATACCGGCACCCGCCGCAGCATCTCTATTTTTCTTATCATTGCAAACGAAAACAACATTTATTTGTTTGACCTTCTTGTCTCTATGCTGGTTCAAATGTTTTTGGAAATAATCGCAGCATCTTCTAATGGCCCTATCATTTCTATCATTGATGGTCTCATTCAAGAGTCTGCTGACAAAAGTATCTTCACTGAATTCATTATGAAAAACCGCAAATCTTTTCTCATCTGATTTGCACAATGCTCTCAATCTGGTATAAATTGGGAAAGATCTGTTTCTCACTTCTTCCAATACGGTTTGTGGAACAATCACATCACAGAATGCATCCTTATTTTCGAGTAAATCAATCGCCAAAAGCACAATATTGGTATCAAGCACCACATAATGGTGGCCATATTTCTCAGCGTATACTGGGCTGTCTGATAAAACGAAATTTGGGTACTGATTGTTAGCGTCTGGCTTAACAATTTCCGGGCATCTTGTACAAGCCTTGGAGTAACATGGAATATCGTCTCTCAAGTAATGTTCGCTAACAACTTTGGTGGCACCACCATTTCTGGAACGAACAAAGACTTTCTGGGTGACCGTTAGACCGCTAGCAAGTCTCTTCTTTGGAATAACCGTGGACATTGTTAGTAGAATAGCAATAAATAGATGGGATTATTAATTAGAATATTATAAATTTTGCATTCACAGAATTTTTTTTTCTTTCAGTCTCTAAACTGGCACGTGATGGTGGTGGCTCCAATGCGACGGAGCTTTCTGGCTCAGTATTGTATGAGACATCTAATAATAACCAGACAAATGATGGGGATTTTTGGGGGGAAATCTTTTTTTTTTATTATTATTATGAATTTAGATTATGCCTTTTCCATATTTCGGCAAGTTAGGTTAATTGTGGTCCATCAGCAACAATAGATTGAGATGACTTATACAGCACGCAGAAACTTTGTAAGATTACAGTTATCATTATAGTTATTCTATGTTCCTCATGAGGTATGGAATTTCATATATGAGAGACTCTAGATTCCATCTATATCATTGATAAACTTAATAATCTATTATTGAGCTAGATATAGTACTCATATCTTACAATTAAGTAGACCAAGTGCCTACTAGTCATTATTAATGAATACTTTCAAATTTCTAATACATTATATCACTCTAAACAATAACTAGGCAACCTTCCCAACAATATCTTCGATTTTCTCATTAAACAAATGAGTGCTTTTCATTCTAACAATCAAAAACTCAGGGATCTTTACTGCGCCAAAAAATGGAATTGGAGCTTGGCCAACCCCGACTTCAGGACCTATGGATGCCGCGACAGCTAGTGGTTTGACAACAAACTCCTTTAATTGTGAGGTGTTTCCAGAAATGACCGATTGCACATTTTGCTTCAAAACTTGAGCATGATCATCCCTGTAAATAATCCTTTTACCTGGGGCATCGTTGATGTCACCAATGGCAAAAATGTTTGGATAGTTCAAAGTCTGTAAGGTTTTCTGGACCTTAACGAACCCTCTCCCGTTAGTTTCCAAACCGGATAATGTGGTTGCAGGAAGATTGGCAATAGGACCGGTACAATTGTAATAAAGGTCGACGTTTTCAATGGTTGAGTCGGATAATTTCACGATGGTTGAGTCGGCTTTCTCGTCGTAATCAGCCTTTTCATTGAAAATTAGCTTTATGTTCATATTTTGCAAATAATTTCTAGAACTATTTCTAAGACTGTCCAAGTAACTAGAATCAAGAACATTTTCGGGACTTGAATGGATACAAATCACTTCTTTTTCACCGCTGGACAACTGGTCTTTGAATTTGTAACCCAATTCCCCCGCTAATTCTAAACCAACGAAGCCCAAACCGCCAATCACCACTTTTTTAGCGGCATTCAACTTTGCTGCTTCGCTTTCGATATATTTAGCCATGGAGTCAACAGAGGCCCCGAAATTCTGGGTGGCGATCGGATTGCCCCATTTGGAACCAGTGGCGAGGATAAGAACATCGTGAGGAACGGTTTCTTGTTGACCGGCTTTGGTGATGATTTTACATTCTTTAGTATCAAAGTCGATAACTTCCTTAATTTGAATCAAATTGACTTTAGGAGCAATGATTTCCGATAATGGTCTGGTGATATCTTTGCTAGAAAACCCACCTACGACAAGTCTATGGGTGGCTGGCAAGTTATAAGCAAAGTCTCTATCTGCTAGTAAAGTGACTTGATATTCTGGATAGGTCTTGGTAAGTAAGTTTGCCGCGTGGTTTCCGAAACTTCCAGCCCCGATAACTGTGATTTTTGGTGATGCCATGATGGATATTCAGTGGGTAGATATTAGGGTGATCAAGTAATAAGTGAAGAACAATTATGGGCTGATGAAGGGACAAATAATAAAGAATGAGGCTTGCTGGAATATGGTGGAATATTGAATATTAAATAGATTTCCAAGGCAAGCAAAGTGGAATAAAGTGCACTAAATGATTGTTATTGGGACGATCCGCGGTTTGGATGCACTAGAGGGAGTTTACACAATAATTACAAATACAGTGCTTTCATTTTTTATTCGTACCAACCACCGGAAATGTTCATACCAGTGGCAAAAAATAATTCATACCGACCCCCGGTATTTTTCGTACCACCGCAGCGGGATTTATTCAGACCATCTAAGAAAAATAGTTCATACTATTGCACTTTAATTATTCATACCAACAGTGCTACTATTAATATTATTATAGATATCAGGCTTTGTAGAAAGTAGCACAGAATTATGGAAAAAATGAGTATAATTTGATTAAACTGAGTAGCTTAGAGGCTTATAGAGCCAGTCACATAAAAAAAAGAAAGGAATTAATATGAACTTTATATACTGTTGGTATGAATAATTGAAGTGCAATAGTTTGAACTATTTTTCTTAGATGGTCTGAATAAATCCCGCTGCGGTGGTACGAAAAATACCGGGGGTCGGTATGAATTAATTTTTGCCACTGCTATGAACATTTCCGGTGGTTGGTACGAATAGAAAATGAAAGCACTGTAACCCCAGAATCAATTGCAGGGGGGTGGTAGTGGGTGGAGGGTTTTACCTCAATGATGGCACCTTTGGCATATAACAACAGCCTTGGCCACACACACACACACACACACACACACACACACCGGAGATAACAAACTTGACTTGATATTAACCTGGCCGATATTAATCTTATTAGTGCTCCTCCATGGACGGCTGTCTCATCTCAGAATTGTTAATAATTTCATCCATGATCACGTGCAGATATCACCAAAACCAACCTGAAATCGGCGTCTAATTAGCACCACCAACCGTCGATGAACTATTGCAATTCTCAGTTTCTGGCTCTGTGTGTCTCTCAAAAAAACAACAACAACACCATGGTCAATAAAAGATTGAGCCAGCTATCTGGCTTCTTTAGCGAGATTTTCAAGTTCAGGAAAACATCGCTAACTTTAGTGGCGATTATCACCTACATTGTTGTGTTCATCATCGATGGCTACGCCGAATACTCCGCCCTTCAAGTCCCAGTCCCCGAACCTTTCCATTTGACCAGCAGTTGGTACGATTTACAGAAAATATCTGAGAAGCCCCATCCTTTCACCTCTCATGCCAACGACGAAGTGTTTGATTATATTTATGACCGAGTGAACTATTATGCGGCTAGAGACCCAACGTTAGTCGAAGTGGCATCAGATAAGGGCAATAGTTCACTTTTCAAACAAAGAGACGTGTTCAATGACAGCTCTGTTGATTCGAGAATTATCTATTTTGAATCTGGCAACATTCTCGTGAAAATTAAAGGGTCAGACCCAACATTGTCAGGGGTGTTAGTGTCGGCACACTATGATAGTGTAGGGACCAGTTATGGTACCACTGATGATGGTATGGGAATTGCTTCAATGTTGGGTGTTTTGGATTACGTCACTACCAATACTATCCAGCCAAAAAGAGATATTGTCTTCAATTTTAACAATGACGAGGAATTCGGATTACTTGGAGCAACGGTGTTCTTCCATCATCCTTGGTCACAGTCCGTGGAATATTTCATAAATTTGGAAGGTACTGGTGCCGGTGGAAGAGCTATTTTGTTTAGAGCCTCAGACTACGGTATTGCGAAATATTACAAGCATGTCCCATCGCCATTTGCCTCATCGATATTCCAAGAAGGATTCAGTAACCGGGTGGTGGGCAGTGAAACTGATTACAAGGTATATCTTCAAAATGGTTTGAAAGGTATGGATATTGCATTCTACAAACCAAGATCCTTGTATCATACGTATAGAGACTCGATTTCCACCACTTCCAAAGGATCTTTATACCATATGTTGAGCAGTACTCTAGGGGTACTTGAGGCGCTTGCCAATGAGGAAATCATTGAGAATGATGAGAGTGCCGCGGTTTATTTCGATATTTTCGGCAAATGGTTTGTCATTTTGTCAATTAATACCTTGTACACTTTGAACATTATTTTGTTGGCAATTATCCCGGTTATTATTATTGTCCTAATGATTGTGGTTTTAGGAAGAGGCACCTGGAGAATTACCGATTCCAAGCTCTCTGCAATTTTAAGATTGCCTATCAGTATGGAAATTTCTTGTATGTTCACTTTCTGGATAAGCGATTTAATTCAACGCAAAAACCCCTTAATTTTGTCGCTTAATTACAATATTGTGTTGATCATTATGACCTCGACATTTGTGTTGATCAACTACATCATTTTAAATTTTTTCAACAACGTTTGGAAAATCCATGACCAAAAATTGATGGTACTCTTAGAGTTAACCTTATTTTTTTGGTGGTGGACGATCGTCGCAACAGTTAGAGCGGCTCCTCCAAGTGTCAATACTGGGGAATGGATTTTCACGTTATTGTATGTTTTGTTCGGTATCAATAGCATATTTGGATTGCTTAGTCTTTCAGTTAAGAGTAGACCAGAAAGCCCTGTGATTGTTGTTTATGATCCTGTTGAACAATATCATGAAGACGAACAAGCTCATGAAGAAAATGTTGATTATGAAGAAGAAGATAATGTTGATGAAATAGATATTGAAGAGGAAGCAGAAGAAGCTACCGAATCCTCGCCATTAATCAGCAGATCTGAAATTCCTCAACACGCTGCTGCTCTTTCTAAAAAACTCAAGCAAAAATTTATTGACTCTTTGAATTATGATTGGTCGATCCAATTTTTCCTTTTGGTGCCAATTAGTGTCTATTTTGTTTATTTCAATGGCCATGAATTGTTACAAGCCACTTATCAGAATTCTCACGATGGAACTAAATCCATAGACCAAGTATTCTTATTTTTGAAATACGTTGCCATTGGCCTTGGTATTCCTCTTTTACCATTTGTTCATAAATTGAACTACGTGATACGATTTGCATTACTTGCCATCATTATTTTTGGGTCGATTGTTGCTACGACGATTTTCCCATTCAGTTTTAATAATCCATTGAAAGTTTCGTTTTATCAAAATATTGATTTAGATAATGGTTCATTGCCGGTGGTGAATGTTGCTGGTAGTGCCTCGTATATCAAAAGTTATTTGCAAGATCTTCCAAGTTTGAAAAACACCGATGATACTCCAGCCATCACTTGTGTGCCATCATATAGAGCTGGTCAAGAGATTTGTTCATACGTTGGGGCTGATCCAAATTTGATCAACAATGCCACCGGAAAAACCCAATTCGAAGATATGTTGAGTTACACCGTGATCAAGAACACTAATACTGACAATACTGGAAATAAATCGCCGTATGAACCATACGAAGCGGATTTTTATATCAATGTGAAGGATAATAGACATTGTGTATTAGGATTTAACACCACAAAATACTCGTCTTTCAAATATGGTAAATCGCCATTACGTCTATTGACTATCTATCATGATGATGAACACAAAAATGTCGGGGTTAATGCTTCATCCTCGATGGCAAATTCTGAAGAGGTTTCCTTTAATGCATTGCCAACCGGTTACCTGAAGGATAAGCAAGGTAATGAATATTTCAAATGGTTCAAAGGGATTGATCAAATCCAACTCCATAAATACGATTGGGATCAAGAATACTACCATATTGGACTCCAATGGATCCCAAGGTGGTTTGACGATGAGGAAGAGGATGATGACAATCAAGATGGATTGAACGATAATGATAATGATGATCCAAGCTTGAGCAAATTGGGGGTGACGGTAGAATGTTATTGGGGGGAATACGATACCCAAGTAAAAGTGGGTGATGAATTGGTCCGGGTGTTGCCAGCATTCGATGAGTTGATGCAATATAGCCCAGAATACATCATTTACACCAAAGCGTTGCCAGGATTGGTGAAGATTAAAAAGTACATTGAATTATAATGGAAATTTTTGTTCTCCCCAAATATATACATTGTCTGTTTTAATATTTTTTTTTTTTTTTTTCATTATTATTATTATCATTATTATTATTATTATGTTTTTCTCAGTTATTTTTAAGTAGTTTTCATCCCGGTTTTGCTTATTATCATTATTACTATTATTATTATTATTATTATTTTTCATTCTCTTCACAAGTCATTTTTCAGTATATGGATGGACCATCTTTTACATCCAAGATTCTTTCATATCTCACATCACAAAGAATCCCCTCAGAATGATCAGTCAATTCTTGAATATTATAAATGGTTGTCATTTACGACAGATTTAAGAAACTTACAAAGAAAAAGAAGGAACACAGTAATAAGGCATGTAGCCAGTTTGACACAAATCTATTTAAACAATCTAAAGGTCTTTGACAATTCTAACTAATACTAGCTGAAGAAGCATGAAAAAATAAATAAATAAATAAATAAAAAAAATAGTAGGAAAAAAAAAAGATAAGAAATTGAAGATAATATATTTAAACGGAATAATAAGCCAAATCCCATAAAATTGAGAGAGAAAGAAGTTTGACGACGAGAAATGAGAAAATAAAATATATAGACCGGAAAAATAAAATAAGATAAAGCAATCAATGAACCAAATTTTTCTAACTAACAAATAAAAAAAAAACAAGCCAATACGACACACATAAATAAAAAGAGGAGGAAAAAAATACCACCAAAATCAATCATCTAAGATTGTATGGACTATCGCCGCTCAATGATGCTGGGGTCACAATTCCAGCATTCACACCTGGTCTTTTGTAACCACCGCCTGGGTTAGTTCTACCGACAGGTCTTTTGAAATTAGGCCTTGGACGACCAGCGTTTCCTAAGCTGAATTCAGGGTTGGAGTTCAAAATGATATCAGATTTAGAAGGGCCTTTCTGTTGTGGAGGTCTTTGAGGTTGTTGTGGAGCATATCCCCCAGCTTGGGAACCATTGTACAGTGAGCCGCCATGCTGAGATTCACCATACTGAGATCCCCCATTCTGCTGATTATTTGGTTGGAATTGTTCACTGTTTTGCTGGTACCTTTGATTATTTGGTTGGAATTGTTGATTGTTTTGCTGGTACCTTTGATTATTTGGTTGGTACTGTTGTTGATTATACTGATTACCTTGTTGTTGTTGTTGTTGTTGTTGTTGTTGTTGTTGCTGATATGTCTGTCCACCTGGTTGAGAATTTTGATAGTACAAAGGATTGGCAGGTCTTTGAGATACGCTAGTGAAATCGGAATTGTTGTCAAGCCCATCAAAATCTTCTTCAATTGGCCCATTGTTATTTACATCATTGTAATAACCATCATTTTCATAATAGTTGTTTGATGGTTGTACGCCTTGACCGGTGATACTATCAGGGTAAACAGAGCTGGCCATTCTGGTTTGAGAAGAAACCATTCTATTTTGGTTGTATGGGACGGAATTGGGAGGTTGTTGAACGACATTCGAAGGACCTGGGAATTGCTGTTGAGACTGGCCATTGTTGGCACTGTGGTACAGATTATCGCTACCACTGATATCATCATGGAAGCCGGGTTGAGGTACTGGGGTGAAATTGAATTCGTCGCCAGATGGGTAAGGGGTGGTTTTTGAATGCGAAGAGTGAGGAGGAGGAACTGGAGGTAAGAAATTATCACGAGCCGTGAAATCGGTTGGCGCAACATTTTCAAAACGGTTACTTTTATTTTCAAAATATGAATCATCATTGACGGATTTTGTGGTGGTTTTGAATGCACCGTATTTTTTTTCGTCATCTTCATCATCATCTTCATCGTCTTTAACATCATCAATGAAAGTCTGTGCTGGAGGAGGTTGAGGGATCGACGCATAATTGCTGAAAAGGTTATTATTATTGTCGACTTTATCGATCATGACGCCACGGTCTTCTTCATCACTGTCGTAAGCATCGTTTTCTCTGCTGGAAAACGCCATGGCCATAACTATGAAGACCACTGATACTAAGGATAAAGCTGCCGAGGCAATCAAGATCCAACTTCCGTAGGTGACGTGGGGATAAAATAATAAGAAGCTAACGATACACACCAAAGCGGCCAACAAAAAGGCTATGATGGTGACCACCAACTCAACCACCAAGAAACCTGAAGTCAAACAGAAATGGGATATGATGGCCAAGATCAAGGTGACAAGGGCAAAGAAACAGGCAATAGGGATGATGATCAATAACTTTGAAAGGGTAGATCTGGCAGAGGTTCCCATGATCCAGTCTGAGGCATCTCCTATTTGGGAAGCGTCATAAGTGGCGGCAGCTTTCGAGCAGGTAAAAGAGTCGGTACAGTAACCAAGGGTTCCAAAGATTATACCGTTTACTTTGGCAAGCGACAACAGTCTGGTGACTGGGACAGTGATGGTAGCCACCAAAAGAATAGCGAATGACGCTAGTTGAAAAACCACTGGGGCAGAATGGAAGCCGGCAGTTGGCATTATTGGTGGAGGAGGACACAGAATATAAAAAGAAGATTAGAGATAATGTGCCAACAGTAACAGAAGAGAGCAGAGATAAAGATTGATAAAGGGGATCCCTATTTTGCTGAAACGGGAAAGGGATGGGGAATGATAAAGTTTTTGTGTGTTGTTGTTTTTTTTTCCTTTTTTTCACCATTGCAAGGGGGCGAAGAGAACGATACGCGGCGTAGTTTTTTTGGCTTTTTTGTTTTTGTTTACTGAGCCTCCCCCCGACTAGTTGTTTATGTTTAAGGCGATGGGAGAGTGGGGATGACTACACAACAGGTGTTCTACGGTGGCATATCTGGACAGTATATACGGTTTATTATACCGATATATATATATATATATATATAGCGTTCTATTATCATATATTATCTCTTATGCCTTATCTTTGATAAGAAACCCCGAGCTGGTTGGTGGCTTCACGTGGTCGCGTGAATATTCACGTGATATTATAAACACGTGCTTTGCCATGTGACACTGGCTAATAACCTCGACAACCCTCCCAGTTATGGCCATTTTCCCTCTGTTTCTCTGTATTTGCATTCAGATTTCCTGTATCTATATTACCATGTCCTAAAAGCCGCGAATGAAGTTATAATAGTGGGGGATAAGGGGGAAAAAAAAGAGCATTTGTACCTACAATCCCAATTTCCTTTTCAACGCTTTCATCCTCGGTACTGTTCTCTTTCTATGTCTTTTGAAATATCTATACACTTGATCAGTGGACAACCCCGTGATGTCTTTCAAATTGGAAAGTTCAAAGCGATTAGGAAACGGGTGATCGAGATGAAGGTATAGCCATTTCAAGAGAACAAGATGCACCGCCGTCGGATGTTTGGCGGAATGTTCTGGTAGAAAATTGGTCAACGGAAATCCATACTTCCTTTCAAACTCAGAATCACTATCGAGATTCGAAAACGATGAGCCAGAATGATTTGAGGAATCAGAGCTTGAAGAATCATCAGATTCATAATCCCTTGAAGACTTATCAATTTCAGAACGCCTCACATTATCCAAGCTTTTATCATCATCCTCGTCGTCATCTTCTACTTCATCTTCTCCATCATCTTTATTATCTTCTTCTTCATCTTCATCATCACCATCATCATCATCATCTTCTTCTTCTTCTTCTTCTTCTTCATCATCATCGTCATCATCATTCTCCTTCTTCTCCTTTACAACATTACTTAAATTACCTTTATCCCTCACTTCATTATCTACTCCTTCTGCTTCTTCATCTTCGTTCCACCAATTCTGTTGTTTCATATGTCCCTGCTCTTCTGGTGCTTCTTGATGAAAATCATCATACCAACCAAGTGAAAGCGGTTGAGTATACCCTCCACCATCGGCATTTCCCGACCAATTTATTCGATTATCTGCTTGCATCAACCCCAAGGCATGACTCATTAAATATCGATCTCTTCCTCCCCCACGACTCATTGTCATTTTAGGAATGAATGGACATGGACCATTTTCCACCGCTTTAATGGGTCTTGTCGGAACCCCATTCTCATCTAATGAACGTCTCTTCCTGCTAAAATAAAAGAAAAACTCAAACTGGTGTCGCTTCAACTGCTGCCGGTACAACAATTCCATAAAATACGTTGATTTATTCAGTACCCAAGGGGCAAAGAATTTGGCCAAAAAAAACTTTTCTGGGTTCAATTTCGCAAATTCCTTATCGAATGCTTTTGACGAGATAGTGTAATCTTTGGCCTCCCCGGTCAATGAGTTGACAGCCGTCAATTCAAAGCACAAATCCCAGGCAAAATGATTCGAATCACATATTTGGGACCCGTTCAACGGACATTCAAACCCCACTTGTAAAGAATGATCCACCACCACACTAGGATAGGTGATCTCCGTCGGCTGGATGAAATTATCATTGACGTATCGACAAAACTCCTTGTGTTTCTCTTGCAAATCAAGCTCATCGTCATATTCGTGTTGATATCGATTATTGAAAAAATTCTCCACCAACGCCTTTTCCCCTATCGATGGTGCGGGAAACCCATTGATGAGAATCGTTGAGTGACATTGGGTACACTTGGGAAGCAAAAAAACATTGGTAAGACCGGTTATTTCTCCATGGATCGCAAATGGAGGCATTCGATCCCTCACTGGAGGTAAATGTGGATATTGGCTTTGGAATCGCTCTTTTTGTTTTCTGGTGACAGGCATACTTTTTATATGTTGTTATTTTTATATTTTTGGCTATGTTTTTTGATTTCTCATTAGAGGAAAAATTAAACGCAAACTTTTTTGATTAAAAGGCAATTGGCATTAGAATAGTAACTGAAACAAATATATTACAAATAGTGATTGAGTGATTTGGTAAACAACTAACTAATATGAGTCCCAGTTGATGCCGTTGAATCGCGACACGAAAAGTGTTTTTTTTTTTTTTTGGTTGAATTTTCTTCCGTTTTGGGGGTGACGGGATGGCTCTGTGTATATTTACACAAACTTTTCAATTTCTATCGTTATTCTATCAGCACTTATATTAGCTATTATTGTATAATATATGTCATTTTCCCTACCACTCAGAAATACTTTTTCAGTAGTACATTCACTCACTTCCCATTTTGCTTTCTCTAATTTTCCACAACTTCTCAAAGCTTCTCTTTTGATGGTAGTGGAACCACGACAGGAGCCTCCTTTTATCAAGCCCCGTGAGCTGCTGTAACTGATACAACTCCAAATCTAACGGGTATGGGTTATCAAGATGGTCATATAGCCACGTAAACAACGTCATCTGAATATCACGCGAGAAAGTTCTAGCATTGTTCAACGCCGCTACAGACATCACATCCTCAAGTGCGAAAGGAGCATTATCTGAACTTGGTAGTTTTCTGGATTTTTTCCGTTTTGATACATCTCGAAGGTTTTCGAGTTGTCGTGGCTTGAATGTCAGCCGCCTACCCAGGCTTCTTTCTCCCCGTCGTTCTCTAGAAATCTTGGGACTCCTACTACTGGGTCTCGATATCCTTGAAGTGAGTTTTTGATTTCGCAGAGCAGGCCTCTCATTAGACGATGATTCCTCATCGATATCTTCTTGCTCCGATTCTTCTGCGCCAATATCCCGTATCTTTTTAACATTTTGCCATCTGACATCATCATCGAATTCATACCGGTCATTTCCATTCCATCCTATTGTAAGGGGTTTAGTTCCATCATTCTCAGTGGTCGGCTGGGGACGCAACCCAGCAAAATTTTCACATTCGTAACCATGGTAAATGGCAGGGTCCGTTCCATACACCAAAACCCTTGCCACAAATGGGAATTCACTTGCCTCGATCTTTTTCACCACTTTTTCTGAACCCTCCATAAGATGGAAATAAAAGCTATTATCCTTACCTTCAATGATCCCCAATATCTGCCATAAATACAACGTTTTGTTCAATATCCAAGGGGCGAAGAATTTCTCCATTTGAAACTGGGGTGAGGGATCAAATTGATCGTTTCGTAGTCTAGTGATCTGTTGATCTAATACTCGTGAGGGAACGATTAAAATAGTTTCTAAGAATGTTAAAGAGTCCCGGATCGCAAGTTTTAACGAAAAATCCCAAACGAAATGATTTGAAAGACATTGTTCATAATTCGGGCACCGGAAATACAATTGTAGCGATGAGTTGATCTTGGTGATTGGTACTTTGAAATCCGCCCACTCTTCATCTCCCTTCTCATTCGATGATGAATCATGAAACCCTACAAAATTCTGGGAGACGTAATTTAAAAACATCCGCTGCTTGGTCCTACCATCAAACGCATCCATGTGTAAATCATCATTCATGTTATCCCTAATGATCGCCTCGGCATTGGCAATGAACTGACACACTAGCTGAGACTCACGAATAGCTTGAGCTTTGGAGTCACCATTGTGGATTATTGCATTACAATTCACGCATCTGGGTAGAAGATACACATCTTTTAGATTGGCGATTTGCCCATGGATCGCGAAAGGAGGCATGGTGCCCTTTATTGAAGTCATTATTTGTGGTGTCTGATAGGGAAGAAAGACTAAAAGAACGTTAAATATTTTAAGCACAGGGAAATGGGAGAGGAACACAAACAACGATAGTAGCTAATATAGTGTCCCTATGTTGAAATTACGGGACAAGTTTTGGCATACTTTAGAGGTACTGTCGATTTTATTTTTTTTTATTTTTATTATTATTATTTTTCACGATGGGTGTGGCACCCTGTAAGTGCTTAGTGAAATTTAATATAAAGAGCCCTTTAAGGTTGTAAGCACTTTTATTATTTTTTGTTAAGATATATATATATATATATTCAATTTACTATATATTTGCCATTTCACTAGAGCCCAGAAGCCAAAAGACCTTTGGATTTGTGGTGCCTCAGCTTGTGCTTACAAAAAGCCCAACATGTATCCTCAACATGCATAACTTATAGTAGAAACAGAGGAACAAAATATGAAGGAGAAAGGAAACAAGTTGAAAGAAGAAGAGTTGATGATGAAACAAAAAATTATTAAACGTATAGGAATATTTTTTTGCCTGTTTTAGTGTATGTGGGGTGGTTTCTCGTGTATTAATTTTTTTTTATTCTCATCCATAAAGGTTTAATATCGCTTGTTTTTAATCTCTTAAAACTATGTTTTATTGTCTTTATGCTGCTGCTTTTTATTGGTTGGATCTTATTTGGAAAAGAAATCAAAGTAAATTACTGATCATAAAGCGTAAGACTACATACGTATTAAAACAAAAAATTATAAATTATCGCAATCTGAAAACATATTGTTGTATACAAAAATTTCCCCTCTCCCTCTCTTTCATTAAGAATTCTGATATTTAAAGTACCAAACACCAGCGAAAATCATCAACATCTTATTCTCAGGATATTATCCACATAATTCTTTTTTTTTTTTTCTTTTTTTTTGTTTTCCTCTTTTCAATATGTTGAGCATAGTACGTGTATACCGACAGCCCTTCTCTTAGACATATCAACTTTATTAAGTACTAAGTATCTCAAACTTTTTAGCTTTCTCAACCTGGCCAACTGTCGCAAAGGGATTTTATCACCTTCCAATAGCAACTTTGATAATTTTGGGGCGATGAAAATTGGCAATTCAACAATCTCACACAAGGAAAGATCCAAATACGTCATCAGTGGCCAATTCACAACAACATTCTGCAAGCTATGCAATTTGTTTTTCAGAATATCAAGGGACTCGAAACATCGAAGATTCTGAATTCCTTCGAGTGATCTTATCCTATTATCTGATAAATCAAGCTTGCGAAGCTTGGTGCATGTAGCAAGGTAACTGACGCTAGATATTCCAATTCTAGTCAAACAGCAAACTTTTAAAATTGTCATTTTCCCAATGAGAGACACATTTTCATAGTGACTCGCATTATAAATTTTGTTTCCAGAAAGCTTTAGCTCCTTGATACATGAGAGATTCACATTTGAAAGTGAAGTGTTATAACTAGTGTGTATCGACAGCAGTTCCTCCAAGTTGTGAAAAATTAGCGATCTATCAAAGCGGATCAGGAAATCATAAGTTTTGATGCTATTTAGTTTGGTAAATCTTGCAAGATCCACAAATATTGGATGGGCACGTAAAATACAAGATAAAGAAGTAAGCGTATCTGCCAACATGTACAATCCTTCAAAATCCTTGAACATACCATTGGACGAAATATTGAGCTCTTCGAGGCTCTGTAGGTCTTGCAAATTTTCAATTTCATTGAGGCAATTCTCACTAACGTTCAAAATTTTGAGCTTGGGCAATTTTAAACCTTCAAGTCTTTTAATTCTATTATTTTTCAACAGTAGCCACTCCAATTTGCTGAGGTTCCCCCAGTTTTCTATTTTAGAAACCAAATTTTCTTCAAGATTTAGCGATACCAAATTTTGAAGAGCTTGGATACTTTGGCTGATTTGGAGGAACAGATTGGAAGATAGATCCAAAATTTTTAAGTTTTTGCAACATTGCAAGCTCTGAGGAACGCCATTTTTACACAGAACCACTGCCAAATGTCACTGTTTCAATATATATTTTTCTGATATTCTGAGGGAAGCCTACGTCGCTCAAAGTTATAGTATTTCGACTCAGATACGTGGGAAAACATGTGGGAGAATATGAAGCAAAACTCGCATTAATGATTCTTAAAAACTGAGTCGATTCGGGAAATCGACAAATAGGATGAAAACCAATCTCAATTTCCCTAACCCTTGTACAACAGTTTAAAAACAACTGGATGATTTTGAGTTTTCTCAAGGCTATTGGCTCGTAATCCCAAAAAGATAGAACCTCTTTTTTCGCATAAATTATAATCTTTTTTATCACCGCCAGATATTTTGCAATTTTTGGAAGGTCGTTGCAATATATACGAACAACTGGAAGTCGCTTCTGTTTGTTACTAGAATCAGAGATAATTCTATATTCTTGGGTGACTTCAAGAATACTCGCGCGCCTCTTGTACTTCTTGTAGTTATTCGGCACCTGACAATATATCTCCACTGAGCCAAGCAATACAAACAACGCACATTCATATGCCCTATGCTTTTTCAGCAATGCTCGTAATATTGATGAAAGCTCACAAACATCTAAATGTTGGAAAATATTTGTAAGCACAGGCCCTCTTAAAGTTGCCCACAGCTCCTGACTTGGATGCGCTTTATTGACACACACATATACTTTTAAAGATGGGCTGCAAAACACGTTTCCGTCATAAGATTTGCTTCTCTATGGCGTGTATTCACATCATGGGTCAAAAATCACTAACGTACACTTGAAAGTCTTTGTGAGGAGGACGCTCTTGAGGAACATCCAAGGCAGCCCTAGAATGTCAAGTTCAGAGAGGCATTTACCAGGAATCATCTTTATTTGTCTTCTCGTGTAGTATACTCTCATCCTTTGAAACCTACGTTCCTTAGAAAATCTTTCGTACTATCGTGCATATCACGAGCATAGTTACTATGTTTTATGGACAGACCCCAACAAGAATTGATCGATTTCTCTGTTTTTCAATTTCACACATTTCGGATAAATGTTCAGAAACCAAAGTAGTCACTGTTTCATTCATAGCACTAGCGAAGACTCGGGGTTAGACTTTAGCTCCTGTTCTTGTTGCTATCTCTTTCTGGTTGCCACAACGCTGAATATTTATATTGTAGCTAGAAGGCAATTGGTAGCATCAAGTGTGCGTATTAGCTTCATATATAATTCAATGTGGGGGGTGTAGATCAAATATGAGAGAGATGGATTCTCGTAGGTTTTTTAATGGGGTTACTCTATCCAGGTTGTTCCTCGCTGACCTTCCTCCGCCCACGAAGCCTACATACACTACGTAGTTACTGCTAACTAGTATGGGTCACCATACCTGTCTGTACCTGATTATCAGGGAACACCGCTCTGTCGCATAGCACACTAACTTTGTTGTGAAATAATCACTTGTTGATTCACATTTACCCATGTAATCAAGTTTAGTTGTGGGTTCATCCTACGGGACCTCTCCGCTCCCACTATTTACACCGGCATAAGGCGGCATGCCCCCTATTGCTGTTGTGTAGGATGCATTTATTGTAAGTGTTACCACCAGACTAGCGTGCATCCAATTATTGCAGTAGCACGCTGTGCTATATATTATGAGAAATATTTGTTCATAAGCCTCCATACCTAATTCCTTACTCGTGCAAAGATAGAGATAATTAGCTTCAGGTTAGCTTGTTGAATCCTGTTTGGTTGAGCGTAGGCTTACTTGGTCACGAATAGGGGGGACAGGCCAAGGTCAGAGTGGTATGTTTTTACCAGCAATTATCATTGCTTTTAGCCGATTTTTTTTTTTTTCGTGTAGTCTCCTTCCTGTCTACCCTCAAGGCCAAAGTTTATTAGGGACTCGCTCTCTACATGCCAGGGTTCGACAACAGTAGTATAAAGCGAGGTTTGGGAAAACTGCAGCGGGAAAATTCAATTATTCGGCTTCTCTTTTCAACATGAAGAAGATCTCAACCAACGACTGAAAAAAAAAAAAAAAAAAAACTGGAATCCGGCCTCAGATAAAATCATTTAAACCATTTTATCTTTTTTATTTTATCATTTTTTCATTGAGTATCTTTTTATTAAAACATCAAAGATGATTTCAGCAGCTCATCAGTATTCTTGCCATCCCAGTGAACCTTTTGCAATCAATCCTAGATATCTTACATGTGCACCAAATTGCCAGTATTTTTTCAAATGAGGGGATATCAAATTTGGTAAGATAAGACATCAATAATAAGTAGTATGAGGAATCATCATCCATAGAGAAACTTTTCTAAAAGGGAAATCACCATAGGAAATGATAAAGGCAGCATCTTTCAACGTCTAACAACCAATATGCGTAAAAAAAACAAAAAAAGAGCAACCAAAAAGCGTAAAATAACATAATATGAAAACCGAAAATCAAAAGAAAAATGAAATACAAAATAATAGAAACAGAAATATCTAGTAAATATAATCAAAATTTGGGTCTTTGTCTCCAGCCAAAATCTTTTTTCTTTCAGAAAGCAGGTTGAAATTATCTTTGTATTCTCTTGATCTTTTCTTCTTGTTTTCATGATAAACCAAGAACACACACCCAAGAACAAGCACTATTGAGATTATTTCCCATACAAACCCTACTGTGAGAGCCTTGGTAAATTTTATGTTGTTATTAAAAAGAACGAAGAATCCATAAAGGCCCGACAAATCCGACAAACTGATGATGAGGGATGTCGCCACCGATCTTCTCAAGTGACCGCATAAATTGAAGGCAGCCCAGCCAACAAAGTGTGGGAAGGCAGCATATGACCCAGCAGTAACGAAGAAAATGAGGGAGTATCTCCAATTATCGCCTGGATTCGCGAACCGAATTGCTAAAAGACCGTACAACCCAAGTAATGAGCTGAAAATGATGAAGGGGGATCTTTTACAAAAGTAATCAGATAAATATCCCGTTATGATCATATAAAAGAACCCACAAATATATGTGTATGTTACCTTTTCCATAGCAAGTTCCGGACTAAAGCCGAAAAATGTAAAAGCGATGGTCTCGATGTACGTGTAAACATAAGGAATACAGCCTAAGAACACGGCAGTAAGTCCGGGAAGCCACACCATTGGGTCCCTGAGTGTTTCGAAAATTTCGCCTTTAGAGAAGCTGATATTGTACCCGGACTTTCCAAAATAGACTTCCAACTTTCTGATAATGAAGATTGATTCATTGTTATTGAAGAATCTCATGCCTTCAGGAAAATCTGGCAAGATGAAAAACAAGATAAACGCAGAGCCCATGGTAATAGCACCTTGGATAATCAATAACCATCTCCAGGTTTCAAGCCCATAACGGTTATGCATATGAAGGTTGACACCGTAGCATATAAGATTATTGACAAGGATAGCAACGTGTTGAGTGGAGTAGAGATAAGAGATTCTCTTTTGTGATTCTCGTCTCTCATAATAATGGGCAAGAATATAAAACACGGCACTATCACAGCCTGATTGGAACACCCCATGAAAGAACTCACAAGCGACATATCCACCGTAACTTTTCACAAACCCAGAGGCAAGAACAAAGGTCCCATACATTAGCACAGAAATACTAATCCAAAAATGTGGTCTGACGGATTTCAAGATCAAGTTTGAGAAAAATTGGAAAAACACATACGGTGAAAAGAACGCAGCACAGGCAGCGAAATACTGCAATTGGGTTATTTTGAGAGTCGAGGTGAGACCATTAAGATAAAGAAGCCCAAAATGGGTACGGTCAAGATTCGCAACAAGATAAAGAAGACAAAATGGGGCCAACACGAACATGTCGGTCTTCATCATGAGCTTCTTCTGATCGACTTGCAATTCATCAGCAAGCTCTTGGACTTTGAGCTTCTTGGATGTTTCATTGAGGAAAAAATCCTCATTCAATGAGATTTGTGATGGTTCATAGTCCTCATTTTTCTTGTCGTCATTTATTTCAAAGAGTTCTATATTCTGTTCGGTCTTATAGTTAACAGAATCCATGATGGATGTAAATAATCCTTTTCAAGAACATTTTCCCATCCATATTGCGAATCACACTCTTTTTATTGCAAAAAAGAAAAAAACACCTAGTAAAAAAGTTTCATGTTGATTTTTCCAGTGTTCCGCATTCGGGCGATCATAGTGACGTGCTTCCATGTATAATGTTGGTACTAAATTACCATTGTTTCCCTCATCACTATCGTAATCAAGAAAAAAAAAAAAAAGTTGCGCTTTAAGAAAATATTGTAAATTAACGAGGAATCTTTTGGATTTTGTTTTTCTCTTTTTTTTCTTTTCAAAAAAGAAGTTGTCAAATATTAATGAATGAGTATTAGTGAGAGTATATATGCGTGATTCACACGACAGGACCAACCAGCAAAAAAAAAAAAAAAAAATTGGTGGAAATGATGTTATTAATAACGGGCGATACGAGCAGACTCTACAAAGATAAGCTCCTCTGACAAATCAGAAACATAACCTAACAGTTGTGACGTCGCAACATCTGTTTGGTGGTTGGTAGTTTACATGCAGCACACTAACAGGACACCAAAATGACAAACATTGTGGTGTAACATTAACTAAAAAGACACTAAAAAAAAAAAATACAGCTAAATATTCAACCACGCGTCACACACACACACACACACACACACACAAGTGAAGTGGTACTCAATCACTCGATTACAATAAAGAAGTTCTTAATCACCGTAAACTCTTATTTTTATGTTGATGTTGGTGTTGAACTTTTTACACCATTCGAAAGTCTCTAAAACGGTCTTTTTTTTTTATTTTTTTTTCCTGGCTTGGCGTCCTTTTAGTGTGCTGCTATGATATTTTAGTATATATTAATAGTACGTGTTTATAAGACCATCCACATCTATACGTAGCTCCTTGTGTATATAGGAAAAAAGTTCCTACATAATATCTCTCAATCTAGCTGCATTATCTTCCGATAGATTAAACTGAAATCAACCCTTGCACAAAATGGAAACAACGCTAGTTTAATAATATATTACAAAAAATAGACGTTAACAATAGTAAATCAATAGCGTATATAATATATCCGTTATATGTACTATATATATTTGAGAAACAAGAAGAGGAGTAAAAAATACAATATAAAAATGGACATCACATACGAAGTAAAAGAGAATAACAAGGTAAGGTAACAATAACAAAGTTTCATCAAGAATAAACCAGAAAAATTTAATAAAAACAACAACAACAACAATCAAAAAGTCAAGGTCAGCCGAAAAAAGAGAGAAGAGCAAAGAACAAAAAACATACCATGGGTTTGGGAATATGAATCAAACATAATAATTTTCCTAAGCAGGAACCAAATAATTACTTGGTGCTAATCCAAATCTACTACCCCTATTGTTTAATACCTCGACTTCCCACCAACCATCATCTTGCATCGCCAAAACTAACATCAAATCCTTTCTCTTGAATGTAACTTCCTCTGGGATCGAGGCATTGTATTCATAAATAGCTTTAGCATGTCTTAAGACCGGCCTTCCGTTGGAGGAGATCAATGGTAAACCATTTGGAGCTAACGGAACTTGTTTTGGAGCTCTGGACGCAACAGTAGAAGTGGAGGTAGAAAAATTTGCGTTAGTTTGCATTGAAGATTTCATAGAATTCATTTCGGCAATTTCAATCATTGATTTTGGTCTATTCATAGGATTAGCACCACCATTGCTCTGGCGTGGTTGCGGATTGACCATTATCGATTGATGCTTTTGTTGGTGCTGTGACAGTTGTAAATCCATTTGTGGGTTAGATGAGGCTTGCTTGAGCATATCGACCATAGATTTTCTCTTTGCTGGCTCCTTTTGTTCAGTGATTGCAGGTGATGATTGTGATTTCGGAGTGTGTTTTTTGGAACGGTTAGATTTGATAGAATTATGTCTTTCTTTAAGAGCGTTGAAATCACCATTGCCACCAATCTTTAAATCTTCCAACGCGGCCCTCAATGGGTCTTCCACTCCCACTTCCTCAGGGTTGAAGTTGCGCATAGTAGAAGTATTCAAAATAGAATCATCATTCTTGTTTTGCTCGTAATATCTGTTTACTTGCGCTTGTTTCTCTTCCTTCATTCTTTGCTGGTGATCATTGAGATCTGGCACAGAAGTAGAAGTCGTTGGTTTTTTATTGGAAAACGCAACATCAGACATCCAACCTTGCATACCCAATTTACTACGACGTCTAGTAGGCGAGCTCCATGTCTTATTGGATGAGTTCGAGAAATTGGAGCTGGTTTGCGATGATGCATTAGTGCTTTGTCTGGTAACCAAAGAGTTAGATTCACCAGTAGAGGAGCCCGAAGAACTAGCGGTATCGCTATTATGGTTGAAGCCATCGGTACTAGAAGTTGGGCTATGCTGGGTTTGTTTGATTGGTGAGCTTGACAAAGACAATTGTGTTTGGTGGGAATGGGTGGCAGCAGGGCGAGAAACAGTTTGGATTGTTCCAAATGGTGATTTGATTTCAATTTTTCTAACGGGTTCATCATCATCATCATCTTCTTCATTTTTTTTAAAATTCAAAGAGTCAAATTGCTTCTTAAAATCCACATCATTGTGCCTATCTTCAAGTCGCTTTTCTTTGGTGATCCTTGTCATAATGTCCTCATCGTGGTCCTCGTGTTTCATTCTAGACGTAAGAGAGTCTCCGTAATATGAAGAACCGACATTCGTAGAAGAGGTAAAGGTAACTTGCTTGTTCTTTGAAGGAAGTATAGATTCCGGGGCCTTTTTTTTCCCAAATTGCACTGAAGAGCTCATGCTACTAAAACTATTTTCAAAATTGGCAATACTATGTTTCATGTTGTCTTCTTCTGTACCTCCTTGCAAGAAATCCACAAATTCAGGAGCTTCATAAATCTCACTTCCAGTCTTGAATGTTTCCACAAACCCTTTGATATCATTATAAGAGTCACATTTCTCAAGACACATTCTGACATTTTCACAGCATTTATCATCTTGAACACAAGTTGTGGCAGTGACGTTTAACAAATTCCAAATGTTGGTCTTCAAATAGTTCATTCTTTCGATCTCCAACTCTTGCAAATCATTGGTGGCTCCTTGCCACTGAGTGACCCAGGAATCCGAGATCTTCTTGTATTCTTTGGTTGATTCTTCATAAATTCTGCGTGAACTGGTCAATTGGGATTCTAACTGAGCCACTTGCGATCTAAACGCGCTGGAATTCTCACCTTGATTCTTGGAGTATAAGTTATACAATTTGATACAATCATTGGAGTAAGAGTTTTTAGCCTTTTCCATTTGTTGGAACAAGTGCAGCTTCGATTTCAAAATTGATTTGGTAATTTTTTCCACTTGCAACTTTTCATTCTCAAACAGCTTGCTAAATTCGAACAATGGCGCCAAAATCTCGTTTTCAATATCTTGAACCTCTTTCAAATGAGCATCACCCATGTTTGCGTACTCTTTCTTCAAGACCTCGAAGGCGTTTTTTATGGTGCCGGTTTCATTATCACCAAGTTTCTTTCTAGAAAGCTTTTTCAATTTCATGGCATATTCTTCTTCTAGTTGCATCTTCTCTTTATAGAAGTCTATCAATTCTTGACACGTCTGCTGACCTTGGAACATCCGCTGGAACACAAGCTCCGAGCCTCTTTCATCTTTGCCCCAGAAGTGGTTGACGAAACTCCCGTCAAATATCTCTGCTGAAGCCATTTGATGTATATGTTCTCATATAATGGGACGATGGCAAGTTGTTTAAGTAACCAACAATATGTCTGATAACCGTTAGATCAAATTTACCTTGTTCTCGAAACAAACAAAATTATATATAAATAAAAAAAAAAAGGGTGAAAATCGCAAAATTCTGAGAAGGAACAGAAAAGAAAAAAAAGTAATCTCGCAGCTTTGTTATGGTTTTCCCCTTTTCGGAAATACATCGTCTGGTGTCCGGGTGGCTTGATTTAGTGGGTCTGCTGACAAGACAAAGGAAAAACACCCAGACACCAAGAGATGAGCAGGCGCCCCCCTTTCCCGGTTTTCTGCTCTTGCGATACTTCCACGATATTATATGGCAGCCTGTTGGGATATTAAGAACAGTATGTGGGATATAGAAATGGCAGAAAACGCTTAGAGAGTTTTTGCCTTCAATGGCAGCAAAGTTTGAAGCTTTTTGTGAATCAGCCTCATGAGGAAATTACGTGGGGGCAAAGATATCTTTGAAATATCCCGCTTCAGTTGGAAGTCAGATATTGAAATAGAAAGCATGGAAGCAAAATTTCCATGATATTTTCAAGTTCCTGCCAATATTCCTAATATGTTTTTGATCAAGCCCTATAAAATCAAAAATAAAAGTATCAGCGCTACCAGTGCTTCCCAAGGCCTGCGTCAAAGCTTTTGGTGCTCTCTGGTTGAGGGATGTGTGTTGGAATTCATTTTAGATTTTTGAGTAGAAGCTTGTGATGATATTTGTAAATGATTTTTTTTTTTTCATTTTCCTTCTGCTTCCACTTTACTAGCAAACGATGCTTCCGAGAAGGAGGAATTGGTGTTCCCCTCAGAGCAGCACCAGCGTCAATAACCTTTCCCGTTACGGTACCTTATCTATGGGCCGTCCCCGTGAATTGCCAGTGAAAGGCTCAAAAACCAACGTTGGGAAGTGGTTAGCACCTTTACTTAAGTCGGTTTTACTTATTGTTTTTCGTTTTTTTTTTATGAACTTTTTTGCTAGCAAGTTTTTGCTTAAAAGAAATCTGCTTGTAACTAGTACTCTTCCATCCGTCATTGCTACTTCGAAGCTTAAGTTTTGGAACCCTGTCAGTTGCCATCGTCAATTTCACTACAAATATTACAACTCCACGATGTCTGTTGAAGAAACCTTGAACCCCCTCTTCAAAAAAATCCAGGAATTGAAGCCTCAGTTCATCCAAAGATTGGCTGATGCTGTTGCCATCAAATCCGTTTCTGGTGATGAAACTCTTAGACCAGAAGTTGTCAAGATGGGTTACTTCTTGAAGAGCGAATTGGAAAAATTGGGTGCTTACGATATCCAAATGAAAGATTTGGGTATTCAACCACCACCAGTCGACAACCCAAAATTAAACTTGCCACCTGTTGTCTTGTCAAGAATCGGTAACGATCCAGCTAAGAAGACTGTTTTGATTTACGGTCACTACGATGTCCAGCCAGCTGGCATCGAAGACGGTTGGGATACCGAACCTTTTGAATTGGTTGTCAAGGAAGACGAAGATAAATTGGTCGGTAGAGGGTCAACTGATGACAAAGGTCCAGTCATGGGTTGGTTGAATGTTTTGCAAGCTCATAAGGAATTGGGTCTTGAACTCCCAGTCAACATCATCACCTGTTTCGAAGGTATGGAAGAAAGTGGTTCCATCGGTTTAGATGACTTGATTGCTCAAGAAGCCGAAACTTACTTCAAAGGTGTTGATGCCGTTTGTATTTCTGATAACTACTGGTTGGGTACCAAGAAACCAGTTTTGACTTATGGTTTGAGAGGCTGTAACTACTACCAAATCATCATCAATGGTCCAGGTGCTGACTTGCACTCCGGGATTTTCGGTGGTGTCATTCACGAACCAATGACTGACTTGGTGAACGTTTTGAGCAAATTGGTCGACGTTAACGGGAACATTTTGATTCCAGGTGTCAACGAGATGGTTGCCAAGGTCACTCCAGAAGAAAGTAAGTTGTACGATGACATTGATTTCGACGTTACCGAATTGAACTTGGCTTCTGGTTCCGACACTGCTATTTACCAAAGCAAGAAAGAAATTTTGATGCACAGATGGAGATTCCCATCTTTGTCCATCCACGGTGTCGAAGGTGCTTTTAGTGGTGCTGGTGCCAAGACCGTCATCCCAGCTAAGGTTAGTGGTAAATTCTCCATCAGAACTGTCCCAGATATGGATTCCGCTAAGTTGGACAAGTTGGTGCTCGATTTCGTTAATGCTGAATTTGCTAAATTGAACTCTAAGAACACCATTCACGCTGAATTGATCCACGACGGTGACTACTGGGTGTCTGATCCATTCAACGAAAGTTTCACTGCCGCTTCCAAGGCCACTGAATTGGTCTGGGGTGTCAAGCCAGATTTGACTAGAGAAGGTGGCTCCATTCCAATCTCCTTGACTTTCGAAAAACAATTGAAGACCTCTGTCTTGTTGTTGCCAATGGGTAGAGGTAATGATGGTGCTCACAGTATCAATGAAAAGGTTAACATCAGTAACTATATTGAAGGTACTAAAACTTTGGGTGCTTACTTGCATTACTTTGGTGCTTCTCAAAAATAATGACTCGAATCGCTTTTCTGAATGGTAATAATGTGGCTAATATCATTTATTTTTCCAAATTTTTGCACAATGTATAATATTAATGAATGAAATATCTTTTTTTTTTCTGATCTTTTTCAAGAAGTATTTTCACATTTGTAACCTCTTCATGATACATGTATATTACGAATTTTGAAAATGGGAAATGGTTGCGTGATTCTCACATCTCTAATTACCAGAAGTCAAGATAACATTACCTACAATCCCATTAATATGTTGGTATTTTGCTTATGATTATTATATAAAAGTGACTACTTTCTTAATATTTAGAACCAGTGATTTACAAACCTTGCACTTTGATGAAATCTATCGCAATAACCACCAAGGTTTCTCCAATATTTACTTATTTTGGCTCCAGGATTTTCACCGAGTTTTCATGGATTGCAATCTCTTTTTCGAAAGTCATGCCAAGTATATTTGATAAGTAGATAGTAGAAACCTCACAGGGGAGGAATAATGGAAAATTAGGCAGTCGAAATTACGGAATATTCCTCTCAAAGGTAAGCAATTATCTGTGATACTTCTTCTCAGCTTACTTTATCTGCAACAATTTCTTTTTTCTAGCGGTTCCAGTTATGATGGGCGAAATATCAAATTTTACCCCAACCGAGCAGATTCACCCGGAACAATAAAAGTCACCAATAGCAACAATTTTTATCCCTGACAATACTGAAATTCATAATTTCCAATAGTAATTAGTTGACTTAAGGAGCCTCAAAGTCAGATTGTTGAGTGATGTTCGGTACAAAGGTAACTAAATAAAACAAATGAATGTATACCCTCGTGTTGGTATTTATTGACAACATCTACATGTACTATTATGACAGCGTAAGCTTATCAAAGAATAAACCCCATGGTTATGGTATTATTTTTTTTTTCTTTTTAGCTCCACTATTTTTTAGGTCGCTGAGAAAAACAGGACTCCAGATATGAAGTTTAAACCATTTTTTATGGGAGAACCTGCGATTACTATTGTTTTAACGAAATCCGTCAATAAAATAATATCGTAGGTTGGAGTAATGACCATAATGGTATTCAGAAATTTCTTGTACAGTTATTTCTTGTACAGTTATTTCATGCTCAAATTATATTCTAAGAGGGTATGCCGAATACTCTGGACGTCAAACTATACCATCAATTCATTTCACATCAAGGATTGGTGATTTTCAGTCTATGATGTAAGCCTTCCCTTTTCAGCGTGATGGAGGTGTGGATTTATGGTTACATGCACTGCCGGAAGCTTTCTTTCAACGACACATTGCAATAACTATCGATACGTGCTGTCAAAAAGGCAGTATCTATCTACTAGGGAAACTACTATTAATATTAAAGGAGCAATAATAAATACATCTAATCCTTATCAAAGTATCGATGTTTTGTATTGTTGGCTACACAGTCCAGTAGTCATAATAATGCTTATGATATGTGTAAGCCAGACGGCAAAAAGGGCTTTCTATATGATTTTGTTCAATGAGAAGCCCCATTTTTAATTGTTATTTCAAGTGTCAATGAGAGATCATCTCGCGTGACTTTTGAATCCACATCTCAACCGAACGCAGTTTTCATCCGAACCCAAATGAGCAAATGGGGAATACCTGAGATACTGCCTTCACTTACAATATTTGAGAAGCCTGGTTGAATCAAGCAATAAACGTTGAGCTATCGGTGGACCCATCTGATAAAAGCCAGTGTACTATTATCATCTCGCCCAGCAAAAACCTCAAAAAATCGGGTGCAACACACCCCAAATTTGCATCAACTTTTTTTTTTTTTTTTTCTGCAGAAAGAAACAAAATCACAAACTTTGTCTTATACTCTCAAATTTTTGTGAAGTCAACGTACATCTCTGGTCAGTAGTCACTGATTTTTCTTTTCTAAGTATAAAAGATATAGGGGCAGTATTTATAGTACTGTATCTGAAGTATGAGGAACCACATTCCTCCTAATGCCATCCATGGACAGATTATTTTACTTCAAGACGTTTATCTAATACCCCAATGCCAGCTATGTAAAGAACTCATACATATCAATGGTAAGCCAGCTGCGCCTATAAGAGAAGAACAGCTCATGGATCAGTTTTCTGTGGCATCAAATAATGAGGTATCTGTGGATCTAGTGGGACTATTCCCGAAATCTCAGGGTTTCAGAAAGATTCTCCCGAAAGAATCAAAGAAACAGGAGTATCTCGGGTTCATCATTCTGAATTATGTTTCTAACATTGCTCATCTTAATATTGAAAATGGTTTGATAAATAATACTGGTGTTGATAAAACTCTTTGGAAATACTTCAAGTGTCAAAATTCTGACTGTGGATCCTACGGACGAGCATGTAATGCCGAAAATCAAGTTATTTGGGAAACAATATTTGAGATGATAACATTTAACACATTAACGAGAGCGCAATCTACATATGCGATTTCTTCTGGTGTACTAATTCCCCAGTTTCAACCGAGACTGCTGATATTAAAGAAAGAGGGCCACGAGTCTCTTGAAGCATCAATTATGTTATCGAAATTTTTCGCTCCGTGGATTCGAAATAAATCATTATATTTATTCCTGATACTTGATCTTATTGAGGAGCGAGAGAATGAATTCTTCTTCTTCATATTTGGTAATAAGGTGAAAAGTATCGAACAAGGCCTTTGTCCATTTATCCCTAGACATTCGTATTCTAATGGTACTGGAATAATCGGTGGCTTACAGAACGATAGAGCTGGTCTCCAAAATTCAATTTTCCAGAAAAAGGGAAATAATCACCGCAAACCCCCTCAAACCAAAGAAATATATAAAGATGTGTCTAGCCGAGCCTCAGGATGGAATTCGAAAGTAAGGACTTCACAAAATGACAATATGATGATGCCTCCACCTAGACCATTAGCAGATTCTGGACAGAATTCACCATTTGATAAAAATCTTACACAACAAGGACAGAAAAATCACATACCGGAGAATGAGAAACCAAAGGAGTCTTTTGCTCCAATGCAATATTTTTATCCATCATGTGAGGAAAAATCCCCATCCCAACTTTCAGACTTGTCAGACTTGGGCGAAGAATCGAAAAATGTTGAAAAAATCAAAACTGCGTCTACGACAACCATCACGACCAAGACAACTGACCTACCTGATGATAAAGCAAATGATCAAGATGAGTTGGAGAATATCACGGTCCCATTCTCCAGTCTTCCAATTCACGAGTTTCTTCCCAGCAGGCAGCCCACGGCAAATGGCATCCAATTCGACGATCATAAACTCTTTCTTGAATGGCTCTTCTACAACCTTAAGGACCCATACCCAGGGATTGATGTTGTTTCCAATTTTATACAAAAGACGGGATTGCTGAAAAGACAAGTGCACAGCTGGTTTAGTAAGGCCAGGACGAATAAAGTACCGAGAATGAAGGCTGTGCTAAAAAGGCTTAAGACTGAGATTTCATATTTGCAAAAATAATGAACCTTCCTCGCAGATTTGAACTGTGCTAACAACATGCATAAATTAAATTTATTAGTTGGACACCTATAATATAATATATATATATGTAATCCAGCTGTTTCGAGTTTACAAGTTTTATAAAAAGTTATTCATACTGTGTTCATAAAAAGCGTTATGTATTTCATTAATGTGAATACTTTGTAAGTAAACTAAAAAGCAATGATAGCTAGAAGTTTGGATATTAATCTATCTCCACGATGGTTTGAGAAGCGAGGTGGCGTGCCTTAAAACTGGTTTCATTTCCCTGTTCCTCAGGCTTTTCTGATTTGTTGGTTTGATGTCCCATAGAATCAATTTGTTGGGTGGGTATTAAAATATTCTTAGACACACTACTTGAATTAGCTAGTTCATTATCTTCGTCACTCACTTCCCCTTCAAACGAGTCGCTATCTATAAAAAGAGAGACTTTGTTACTATCGACAGACAGTTTTGGGGTATCTTGATTTTCCAATACCCGAGCAGCTGATGGGATTCCACTATAAGCTTTGCCTTCTGTCTGAGGTAGATGTTTTTCAGGATTTTGGTTATCAATTTCTATTCCATCTTTCATAGAAACATCGTTATTATTGGTATTCACAATATTGACATCATCATTTTTTTCGTTTGAATGTTTTCCTCCATCGATTTCTATTATATCTTCGATAACAACAGCAATAGCATTGGCATTCATGCGCTTCAAATGAACTTCATTTTTCTCCGTTGACTGCTTTTCCAAATTCAACTCTGAATTTTTTGCTTCATTTTGAGTTCCAGGATCTTCATTTTCCATTTTTTGATCCTTTTCACTTCTAGTTTCATTACCACTTTCAATTTTATCTATTATTTCAACTTCTTCTTGATTCTCATTACCATTGTGCATTTCAATTTCGCTTTCAAGTTCAACGTGCATTTCATCACTGCTATCGATCTCAATTGCCACCCTATTTTCATTCAAAACTTCTATTGCATCACCATTCCCATCATTATCTTCAACCTCAACAGTTTCTCCGTCTCCATCTATAAGTTCAATATCATCATTTTCAGAATTACTTTCATTTAAGTCTTTCTCATAAAGAACTTTCGGCGAATTGTTAACAAGACTTTTATCGACACCTTTTGCTATTCTTGCTTCCCAAATGCCTTTTAGCTTCTTCATTCTTGGAACATATTTCGATTGCGCCTGCTTGATCCAACGATAGATCAGCTTATGCTTCAAGCCAGTCATATTCTGCAACTCTTGATATTGATCCATCAGAGGTAAAGTGATATCAAGATGGAAATAAAGCCATTTCAATAAAGCACGATGGATCTTTTCTGGTAAAACTCCTGAGCGACGACGGGGGACAAAATCTTTAAATGGGAAATCTGTTGGAAATGATGATATGGTATTGCCGCTTTGAATTTCCGGAAAAGGGCTATCATTGATTTGAGTCTCAGTAAAAGCATGTGATGCTGGTTCACTTCCAGACTCACTATCAGAAAGGCTTCTTTCCTGCTGGTTGCTTCTTTGCTTCAGATTCTGAGAAACTATTGGAATTTTAGGTTCAGAAGGATTTGTGTTGTTTTTGTGAATGTTTTTGAATTCTGATCTATCCTCAGCGGTCATAGCTTCAGAATTGTTGTCATACCTATATCCCAGACGATCATCATGCTGATCTTCTAAATCAGAGCCCGAATTTGAATCTGATTCCGAATCTGAAGCACGTCCCACTGTAATACCAACCATTTTTGTTGATTGGGAAGCCGATTGCTGCGAGCCAATGGACTTAATTGCAGGGGAACCGTTATTAATCGACATCGACGTGTCTCGTGTGTTTTCTTTTCTATATGTTTCATTCTTATTCCCTGTATTGATATCACGTTCTTCATCTTCATTTTCGCTCCACCAACTTCTATCAGCATTCCAGCCTCTCGATGTGCCCAAAACAACTATTGGGGCGCTTGGATCCTGTATGCTCTGTTCAATCTGCGGTCTCTTGGATTCGGGAATAGTCTCCGGTTTATCGGTGAAATTGGAGATTGGAGGTTTAGTGACTTTTCCATCATTCTGGCTGGAAGTTATCCGTCTTCCTGGCATACCATGATCTTTCATTGTATCTTTCTCGTTGTTGTTTTTCGGTGTGCTCGAGATATTATTTTTCGGTGAGTTCAGTCCATCATTTTCAGAAATGCCTTCAGCAAGCTCAAGTATCTCATCATCGACAGCAGTGGATTCCACATGATCATTGGCCCATCTTTCCACAAATGGCAGAAGTCCTTGCTCGATTTTCGTAATGATCGTTTCATCTTCTTGGCGTGATTGGAAGAAAAAGAACTGATTCTCCCTATCACCATGCAATCCAAGGGTTCTGATCAAGAATCGGGTTCTGTTAGCCACCCACGGAGCCAAGAATTTCGCAAGAATTAACAACAATTGGAACTGGGCATCTTTTGATTGTAGTGATTGCGATTCAAGCTGGGCACGGTATTGGATATCGGCAAGCACCGCATCGCATGCCAATAGCTTTACAGAAGTCAATTTTGTGAAACTATCAGTGATCTCAATTTTCAAGATCAATTTCCATATTATTTGACATTTTTTGCAATCATTAGGACACTGAAGATACGGCGAAACAGAACTGTATTTACTGTAGGTCCTGGTGGTATCATCAATATCATCATCATTAGAAAAATACGCCTGGGCAATATATTCAAGGTACTCTCGTTGTTTATGGTCCATCTTGGGAAGCATATTCTCCGTCAAGCTTGGCTTTGAACCGGTTTTAGAGCCATGTAAGCTGGCAAACAGATCGACAATCTCTTGTTGGTAAACTGGTTCTGCGGGTGACCCATTAATATGGATCACTTTATGACAGTTACGACAATAAGGTACCAAGTAGCCATCCCCTAAAGAGTTTATCGAGCCATGTATAGCATTTGAAGGCATTCGATCTCTTTCTGTCATCTTATGTCGCAGAGATTGATAGATATAGCACTATTCAACTGTATTAATATTGTTTGAAACCTTGGGTCTTCTTCTTTCCTTTGTATTGCTCATTCAGGAATTTATGTTTTGACCAAATATGAATGGAGTTGCTTTATCTCATAGATCCTTTGTTTTGTTTGTCCACTCTAAACAGTGTTTGCTTCCAGTTGCGATACTGTAGAGACTGTGTGTGTGTATATACCTACTAAAGCCTCTTATTTCACTTCCTTTGTTTATTATTTTTTTTGTCTAAAAAAAACATGGAGGGCGCCACACGCTGACCAGCTAAACAACGTCAAATTTTCTGGCATCTTTTTTCTCTTAATTCACAGTCGTTGAATAAATAAAGTTATTCACAAAAAGCTTTTATTATTAAAACTAATACCCATGATATAAACTGATAATATAAAAAGTGGAAAAAATTTGAAGAAATAAACAAAAAAACAGAACGAGGAATAGTAAACAATAAGATACAATGTGGCAAATGTATTATACTTTTTCAATAATAGGAGTTCCTATTATGATCTATTGCTTCAGAATTGACCGATTGGTCATTAACTTTTTTTTTTTATTTTTCTGGGTCCCTTGGTTTTTTCTTAATGGATAAAGACTGAAGCGCATTCGCTAACATTCTTTTTCAAATCAATAAAGTAAAATCTAAAATTCATCTCCTTTTCAATGGCAATAATGTATAGTAAATGATATAGAAGCCATCAAACTATCTCCTTTCAACAACAAAGAAATGCAAGCATGCAAAGCCGGCAACTAAGAACACCCCACACCAAACTCCTAATGCAACAACATCTTCCCACAATGCACCAACGTTGAATCCAAAAGTACTCAAAATAGTTGCTCCTGGAATCTCTATTTTCAAACCATACTTGGTTTCTCTTAAAACCAAGGTCTTTACCTCGTTGATAATCAACGACTCATACCCATAGTGGAAAGTAGAGAGATATTTAAGCACGTTCAAATCAATCGAAGCAAATACGCCACTTTTTTGAACAGTACCGGCGGCGGCAGCAGCAACAGCATTAGCAGTTGTTTCACCTGTTTTGATATTGATGAAGAGGCCAGAAAAGAGCATTGAAAATAATAGTATCAACACTCCAATTAGAGTAGCATTTCCACTTTCTTTGATTAATATTCCGACAATCAAAATTTCGAGAGCAGTAGCCAAGTTGAACAAAACAAGGATCACAATAGCCTTTGTGAAGCCATTTTCTTCCATATTCAACCCGACTAATGGGTATGTAATGGCAAGAAGAATCACTGGAGGGAAAACACGTAGTGGCAAAACATCGCAAAGAATCTTAGTGAAGTAATAAGAGAAGGAAGAATAGTAATTGTTGGACCTTTCACGCATAAACACAATCCGCTCGATTGAGAATGAATGGAGCCCGGTCAACGTTGAGAAGCCGAAGAAAGAGAGCACAAAAAAGAACAAACCCATCCGATTTTGGAATCCGCTTATATCAATTTCAATATCATAATAAAGAATACCAACAAAGCAACCCATAAATATCGAAAGAAGATACTGAGTCATAAGAAGTCTTGGATTACGGTACAAATTCTTGAATGTACGGGAAGAAAGAATGACAATCTGTTGAAGTGTGGACGCTTGGGATAAACCAGAAACTGACGCAATTTTAGAGTTAGCATCGCTATTATAGCTTTCGTTGGTTGTTTTGATATCTTGGAGAATTTCCTCTGCATACGCTGAGTCACGGAAACGCAACAAGCTTCTTGAATCTTGCAATTTAGACCCCGCAGATGTTTGTGATTGACCTAAAGTCCCAGATAATTCGTCTCGGTGAGAGGCAAAATGAGCCCATTCATCTGTAGTATTTATCTGTGAATCACGGCGGGAAAGCAAGTTGGCAACATCATGATGATGGTCTTCATCGTCCTCACCAGCATGAAGCAAATTTTCTTCGTCAACACCTTGTCCAAACTTAATAGGCTCTTTTCCTTTAGCAGCAGCATTCCCTTTGGCGTCTGAGGTAATATCAATGAGATAGTCTGCAATATTGTAACCTTGAGGACATTGATAACCTTGACCATTGAAAAATTCTGTACATTTTAGCATATCGCCAGAATACACGATCAGACCTTCTGATAAAAGTAACAACTTGTCAAATAGAGCCACAATATTACTACGTGGCTGATGAATGGTGAAAACAATAGTACGTTCGTAGTCACGGGAGAGACGAACAAGACATTCGACGACCTTTTTGGCATTATAAGAATCCAAACCTGAAGTTGGCTCATCAAGGAAAAGAATTGATGGAGAAGTCACAAGTTCACAAGCGATAGCCACACGACGCTTTTCACCTCCAGAAATTCCACGCTCCAAGCCAGATCCGATGAGACGGTCTTTGATCTTAAGAATACGAAGCTCGTCAAGGACCTCGAGGACTCGGAGCTGTTTGGCAGCCACGGGCATGTTACGTGGCAAACGAAGTAGAGCAGAGTTTAGAACTGTCTCATAGACTGTGAGGGTTGGGATGAGATAATCTTCCTGATCAACAAACCCAATTATTTTTTTGTACTCATGAGACGTTAATTGCTTACCATTAATGAGAATTTTACCGGTCTTTGTGCCATCTTTATTTTTGCCAGCCAAAATATCAAGAAGGGTGGTTTTACCAGCACCCGACCCGCCCATTATAGCCAACATTTCTCTTGGCTTGACAATACCAAATGCATTTTCAAGAACGGTTCTATTCTTGACTGTGTAGCTGATATTCTCAAATGTTAACGACACTGGAATGTGTGTGCTAATTAATGTACTATTACTCATTGAATGGGCGCCATCATTACTACTAGAATCGTCATCAGATAATACAATAGTACTATCGCCAAATAGTGGAGACTTTTTGATATAGAATACCAAAACCACTATAAGGCAAGAAACCCCTAGCACCACGGCAGCAATGAAGAAAAGATTGTATAGAGATAAGGCCCTCTTTGGGGGAAGCAAATAACCTGGTATTTCACTATAATGAATACATTCACCCGATTCGCAATGGAGAGTGATATATGGGTCCCCAAACACAGATAAAATTAAGTCGTTCATACTTGGTTCAGAAAACTGACAATTACGTTCAGCCAAGTTACAAGAAAACTCACCTGGTCCACGGATGGTTTCTGTAAGGAAGTCTGAGATATCAATTGAACCGTCCTCACCGCAAAGCATACGGTCAGGAAGGCATTTACAAGCCACATCTTCACACTGGTAATGACTAGTATTGCTTGCCAAGTCATATTTAAGGGAACAAGTGTTTAGATCACAGTAGAAACTTTCTTTTTGGTCAATCCAGAATTGAAAATTGCAGTTTTCTGCGGTTTTGTTACAAGAAAAGGTAACTTGTGGTTTCTTACCATTCAAAATAGCAACAATTTTTTTGTTGGTGACATCACACATCTGATGGAACTGATTGACAAGAAGACCTTGCTTATAACAGGTGCCTTTAAGACCTTTTTGAGGCATGAACGCATCACAAACAGTATCCTCTTCACAGATATTACAATTTATACCTGACCAACCAGGCTTGCAGTCGCAAGTAGTTTCGTTTTCTCCACGAGGAGGACGATGATCATTGCCGTCACTCAAAGACCCACAAACCGGTTGGGCGCAGTCAACCCCACCAAATCCCGAGATACATTCACATTGACCAGTGTATTCATTGCACTGCGAGAATTGTTTACATTCAAAGATCGGAAGCATGCAATTGAAGCATGGAGGGCATTTGTCGATGGACTCATAAGTAGGGTTGTCGAACACCAGCTGACCCGCCATCAACTCATCGGCATCGATAGCGTTGTTTAACCACGGTAGTTCGTTAGCGGCATACCCTAAACAGAGTTTGAGAAAAAGAGAAGAGAAGAGGATCCACCAAGAATGTATCATGACGTTCCTGGAGGAATGTTGTTGTTTTGTGTTATGTATATTATAGCACTTACGAGGGCGATGAGATGGCTGTTTACAAAGGGAAAGTATTATTGTCATGATAAAACTGTATCATGTGATCATAAATACCTGGTGTCAGGGTGTATTACATCATGGGTGTCCAGGTGTTTGATTATGTACGGATTACATAACCTACAGTAGGCACTTACGTAATATGATGGATTGACAGTTTTGTTTCTTTTTTTTGTTGTTCTAGAAATCCCTAGTTCGACTCGGACAAATTTTCTTCTCATCGCTGATACTCCCCCTCCCATTTTCCCAGACAGAAACTCACAACTTCAGACATGGGCGTTCTTTCACGGTCTTCTTCTTCCAATTCCGTGGCCAAGAGCGTCACCCCTCTCTTTGAGATCCGTCTCGAGGGTCTTGACCACGACGTGGTTGTCGTCAAAGGCGCGCCAAACGAAGCCAATCTGGTACTTTTGTCCGGGAAAATTGTGTTGGCCATCAACGAACCCATCCAAGTGAAAAAATTAACCCTTAAACTCTTCGGAGATCTACGTCTTAATTGGATAGAACACTTAGAATCTGCAACCACTAGTTATTCTAAACCAACTCGCTTTATCAAGCGTGTTTATGAACATAATTGGGACAATTTCACCATCCAAGGCTACACCGATGCAAATGGAGCTCCAGGCGCTCATCATGAACATCATGACCATAGGCTATCGTTCCATCTAAAGCACTCGGCAAAATCCTCAAATTCCCTCCTTTCCATGAATAAAAAACATGAATCACATAGCAAAAACAGCTCTGTGAGCTCATTGACCCGGCCCGATGCTAATATCATCGATAACACCCCAGCAGCACCCCAAATCATTTCTCCAGCTGGTACACAAAATGGCTATCCATTGGCTAAGGGCAACTATGAGTTTCCCTTTTCTGTGATTCTCCCAGGTGATATTAGTGAAAGTGTCGAAGGTTTGCCTGGCGGTTCAGTTGTCTATAAAATCGCTGCATCGCTTGAACGTGGGAAATTTAATAAGCGCAAGATGTGCACCAAACATTTTAGAATCATTAGAACATTAACACCTGATGCTCCTGAACTCTCTGAAACAATGTCCATTGATAACAATTGGCCTAATAAAATTGAATATACTATCAGTATTCCATCTCGTGCCATGGCGATCGGTAGTGCATGTCCAGTGAATTTTCTTATGGCGCCATTAATTAAGGGTCTTCAATTAGGAAAAATCACCATCAAACTCGTTGAGTACTATTCATTCATTGGTTCTACCACAAGAGCAAGTCATTCTAATGATCGTGTCATTTCTGAGGTTGTTATCCCTAAACCTGATGATGACGTTTATGAAAATGAAGATCCAACCCCTCTTATTGATGAATCTACACCTCATTTGAATCCTGTCAACAATTTCATGAATCTTTCATACGACAGATGGGAAATTGAAAAATGCATTCAAATTCCTCCAAGTTTGAGTAAATGTACCCAGGACGTCACCATCGCCAAAAATCTCAAAGTACGTCATAAGTTATCTATTGTGGTTGCTTTGAAGAATCCAAACGGTCACACTTCCGAACTTCGGGCAACTTTACCAGTGATTCTCTATATCTCACCATTTGTCTCTGTTTCTGCTAGATATGATGATTCTTTGGTGCTCTATAATTTTAGCGATAACCTACCAGAACTCTCGGTCGAGCATAATATTTTGACCGCCAGTAATAAAAAGAAAGCACCAGCAGCAGTGGCCCGGAAGAAAACTACTGCTGTTGCTTCCAATAACTCTTCTACTACTGACATAAGGGGCCTCGGAGCTCCTGCTGATAATGGTACTGTCGGTGATGATAATAATAATGATGATGATAATAATAACGATAACGATGAGCAAGATAATGAGGTTCTTTTCAGTGGTGTTGAAGCTGCCGCTGTTACTGACGGCTCAACTGGAAGACCCGATCTCGTTGCCCCTCCAAACTATGGTGAGCATATTTATGATAGACTCTGGTCAGATATTGAAACTCCAAATAGCCCGGGAGGTATCAGCCCAATTGGATCACAAACTCCTTCTATTCTTACACCACCTGGCCTTACTTCTGGAACCCAAACCCCAACCCAAATTCAAAGAGTCCTGTCGCAAACTAAATTTAATTCTCAGTTAACAAAGCACCTTAATGAATTGCGGTTGCAACGTCTTGAAGAAGAGAATAGTGGTACTATTGACGGGATAACTGAACTGCCATCTGGACCTGGCTTTTTCACTGGCGCTGATACAGCAACCCCAACAGCACCAGCGAATCCAGAAGCTTCTTCTGCAGAACATGATTATTTTTCGTTGCCAACTGCTGCTGCACGCGATGTTGTGGCGACTCCTCTTTCTCCCGACTTTTTCCATCTATCCAGGAGTAACTCTTCTAATTTACTCTATGCACTTTCTAATAGTGGGATACAAACCCCAAGCGAACCGCAGAGTTGGAATCGTGGTACATTGTCTAGAGTTCCATCCTATGAGACTGCTATGCGCTCTAGTAACAATAGTGGAATGTTATCTCCAGCCTATAATATACCTGGTAGTGGATCCAGCTCAGCAAGCGGGGTCACGCCTACAACAGATGCTGTTGGTTTTGCGAGTGCTGTCAATTCCGGATCTTCTGCGTCACAACCGATGACATTACGCCTCCCAAATAAAAAATTCAAAAAAACAGGTAGTAATACTCTTCTGGGATCCGGATCATCTGCCCCATCTGGGACCATAGCTAGACCACAGGCAAAAAGAAATTCCAGTTTCTTAAACTTGAGATTCGGAGGCGGTGGTAGTGGGAGTAATTCCACTTTGAAGGTTCTGAGCAAATCTGCTATCGCTCTCAACAGCCTGTTGACCACTTTGCAATCATCTCCAAAAACCAGCCAGTTCTTGAATACAGTAGAAAACACCATTCCATCGGCTAGTAAAGAGAGCTCGAGCTCTGATGAAGATGGTATAGTCTTGGGAGTCAAAAAGAATAAAAAGAAGAGCAAAAAATGATCTTTTTATCTTTTTTTTTTATTTAAACAGTATCTCGTCTAGTTTACAATTCGAGTGAAAAATTTAGTGACCATTACCAATCTACTATAGAAAGTTAGAATTTTCTTTCATTCTTTACATTTTGTTTCCTGTTTTTATTATTTTTTTTTTTATCATATTTTTTTTTCGGTTATTTGTTTCTTTGCTTTTTAAATTTTTCACATGCCTGTTTTAGTTATTGTTTTTTTCCTTCATCATCTTCTTATCCATCATCAAATTTTAATTGTCATGATTTTTAATGTTTTGTCTTTTCTGTTATTGCTTTGGGATACTGTAGCACAGTAAATGATGACGGTTTTATTGATATTATACATGTGGACGCTAGTATCATGTTGCCATGAGCGACATTCCGGGAATTGATATGTATATTATAATATATCAAGTTTTTATTAGGATGTTCAAATAGTATGGTATTGTCTCAAGCTATATAATACCATAGAAATCGCATCTATTAGCGTAGTTTATACTCCACAAATTCATTATTTAAGTACTCAACATGGTGGCATGAACTTAATCTATGAGCTCCAAACCACTTTTATGAACTGAAATATGGAGGATGTTCTGATCTTTACGATAATGACAAAACTCTGGTAACTAAGAATGCAGCAATTCTATTTCTATACAATGCTGAATATCCTGAATATACACAGTGGCCATTGAGAATCCACCCATCTAAGCAAGCCTCGTACGTTGTTTTGTATATTCCCCCAGGTGTGAATCAAAGAAGCTGGACAAAGATGGTGTACATTATTAGTATTAGCCTTATATATACGGTTCTTGAGAAACAAACAGTAAATAATTTAACCACCGCAACTCTAGTATTCATCCATAGTTGAGATCCGAATTCTCAGCAACTGGACATCCGATTATTAACCCATAATTGGCTTGATAAAATTTAGTTTCTCACACACCGCAGCATTTTCCGTTTTTGCCACGAGCTCAACATGAAGTGGTAAAAAAAATAGAATTCAATCTAGAGAATAAATGTCAATAAAAAGGCTCGAGAGAAATTTTTTTAAGCTCCCTTACTTATTATCTATTTGTTGATCTAATATCTGTTGAAACATTTTAGAGAAAAAGCCAGAATTGTGGTTTCTGAAAGTTAGTGGTAAAACCTGTCTCCCTGGTCAGTAAACAGTGAACCATACTTCAATAATATTGGCTTCCGAGCTCTTGACTTGAATCTCTTTTCTAATAATTCACCACTCAATCTGGCACATTCAGAGTCCTTATCATTTAGCTTGCAATTAATATCCTGCGCACGCAGTTCTGATACCTTCAACTTATCTTCTATTTTTTTTTTTTCAGTAAAAGCATTTTCGAATTGCTAATTTGGGATTTGAATAATACTAGTGTTTTAGAATTTTTAATTAATGCCAATGACTTCTGTTCAATTTTCTGTTGTAAATTTTTGTTCCAAGTGATTTCAAATGACGATTTTCTTCTTCTTTTTCAAGATATTTATTTTCTAACTTTAAGGTATCTTGTAACATCATATTATCATCCTGCACATGATCAGAGGCTGTTGGGATCTTGTATTGATTAAGCTCAGCCCTTGATCTCGCAGCGCTTGGAATGCCAACACTAGTTTCATGGTTCGTTGGCGGGTTCGTAGTAGGCTTCTGGAGGGAAAATTTGGCGCGAGACTTGTAATACCCAGCAGATCTGTCCCTAAAGAGTCACATCAGGTGGATTGACTATTATTTTTTGTGTATGTTTTCCACTTGGAATGCTCAACAAGCGGATTTGGAGTTCGGGAACGGAACATGAATTTTTACATGTTAATGTTATGTTACATAGGATATCAGTGCCTTTAGTGAACACAAGAAAGAATCTACATAACATGTATTCCGGTACAAGATATGAGAAAAAGCCATCTATTTTTGAATTGGATTGTCAGTAGACGCAAAAAACATTAGAAAAAAAAAAATTAGTAAAATTAATAGGAATAGTTGAAAGCTTTGAAGAATTGCTTGAATAAGTAGACAAAAAGTCAGAATAATCCAAAACCGACCGTACTTCAGGGCTTATGCTTTGTTTGCTTACGTTTGGTCAAAATGCATTGGAGAAAGGAAGTTGAAGTCAAATTGACTAAAGGCTTCAAAGGACCTTTTGGGGCTCGGACATTGCAACCCATAATTCGCGGCTTTTTGGACGGTGGAGGATGTAATGGCAAATTACTATTTTTATTAAGATTAATAAGACGGGTTCGGTGTAACCGGCAAAATCTGAAAATAAAAAAAAATAAGCATTCTAAGATGAGTTTAACCTCATTAAAGAAAGCAAATCAATGGATCGACAAGTTGAATTCTTGGGAGTCTGGGTTCAGTAGACGACACTATTTGGGTGATTAAAACATGCTGCAAAAATCCTGTACCATGCATGTGTAGCCATGTACATAAAGAACCCCTTTTGTCAATTACACACTACTTACTATATTGATTCTACATTAAGCGGTCCATACCAAATAATATACATTCTGTTTCGTAGCTCATAATATCATATATTCCTTGATGGTTTTGTTTTTTCTAAAGTACACAAACACAAGTATGCCTCACCAATGCAGGTCAGTGATAATATACTCTTCCAATTCTTTAAACGCTTTCTTCAAGTCACTTCGTTTAATATTCTCTTTTAACATCACTAATTCCAATGGTACTTTCCCATTCAAGTATTTTAAAATCTTATAGAATACATCTTTAGTTTCTTCAGATTTCCCCATCAACATTCGGTAAATATATCTTTTCTCCATCAATGACGGACGATCAGGATTAAGCAAAATACTATCTTCTTCCTCCATATTCAATATTGTTGACGGGGTACCAAAAAAACTATTCCCGCCACTTGCATGACTTCCAGTAATGTCCTCATTGCTGCTGGCTCGGGATCTGGTGGATGATTCATTAAGTACCCTTTTGATTAAATTAGATGAATGCAGGGCCCCCAACTCAGGCCTGGAAAAATTCTCGTCACCACGCATTCTAGCAATTGATGGAACTCTAGGCAATGAGGAGTCGCTATTAACACTATCTCTGTGCTTCCAACGTCCTCCTAATTTGTTTGAAGTCATTGCCTCGATTTCTTGAACTTGCATCTTAATCTTAGACGTGAGTATCAACCAACCAAAAGTGAAATATTGAACAATCAACCCATTTTTAAATAACCAACAACAAGCGTCAAGATACGTATACGTTCTATTCTTATTTTCTGAGAAATATTTGTAAGTTCTTGGAACATTGAAACTTGCTAAAAATTCTGATAATGGGGGTAATGAGGGGAACTCGTGAGTGAATTCTTCAAATAGTTTTTTATTGATCCCTTTGATCCAAGCTTCAAAAGTTAATGGATCTAATTGACCATACTTTTTAGGACTGAATGGCTTTTGGTTCTTTTTTTGCCATTTATTGTTCAATTCACTGATATCGGTACCAAGATTTGCTAACGGAGATATCACAAACCTGGTTCTTCTTGTAATAGGTAGAATAAACTTGACTTTTTCCCAATAAATCAAATGATATATGATACTGATCATGATAACTTCTTTATCTTCTTCGTTGGTGAAAAAATCAAACATGCTCACTTTGCTCACCAGCTTATTCTTCACCGGGTCTATCATAGTGCCAGTAGACCCTTTCATTGCACCACCAGCAGAGCTGGCAATGGCCAGCTTCCTGAGTTTTGAAGTCAACTCAGCTTTATTATTTGCATATTTTGCCAATTGTCTTGCTCTTTCTTCAATTACGGTTTTAATAATTTTTTTCAATGGCACCGTGGCATCGATATTCTTAATAAATGTTTTAAACGCTTTAGCAGCCGCTGGTCGGAGATCCTTAATCACATCGTTCATATCATCAAGAATCAATAATGAAAAAATATCATAATTGCAACTTTTAAAAATCGTGATAATTTGATAGTTTATCAAATTCAAATCTTCCCAAGAGTCAGATTGAAAACTATTCAAGTAATAGTAGTTTCTGATATACGACAAGTTAGACACATTTGGAAACAAATTATTTTGATGAAATGATTCATCTAGCAAAGTACTAATGAATAACGGCTGTGGTTTTAATTTCACTTGACGATAGTCAGTCTTTTTTTGATGATCGGGCGATCCCATTTCATCAAGAAAGTTGTCAACATGGGATGAATTATTTAAAATCGAGTCAATGTCCATATTTTGTAGCTTGACTGAGGAATGTGGTAACACTGAGAAATTCTTCTTCACAGGGATATTGAATGGTGGATGGAGATTACCAAAATGCAATTCAAAAATCTTGGCAGAGAAAAGATTATGATAGCAGTCAAATAGGGCTCTGGCTAATGCAGACTGTGATAAAATTTCTCTGTATAAAGCCTGAACGGTATAATGATTATTCAAGTATTCTTCATCCACAAAATTTTCATCATCATCAGAGTCGTCAGAAGAGCTATTGGAGTCCTTAGATTCTCCATCAGAAGGGCCTCTTTTCAGTTTACTAGACGGTTTCTTATCACCTCGAACCTTAAGTCCTTGCCCATTAAAATATACTTTTTTAAAAAACTCATCTCTGGTTTTAATAATTTTAGCAATTTCGCTCTCCATATAGTTTTGTTTCCCTTGTTGAGTTGTTAAAATATGAGTCAATTTACTAAGAATATTCTCATACAACTCAACCCTTCTGCGGTGATATTCATTTGCTGGAGGGTTAATCACAAATACAATGTTGAACATGGACAATTTTTGTTCGTTGTTAGAATCGATGTCATCTTCGTCACCTTCGTTCTCATAAGCTGGAAACTTATGGCTTTTAGAACTTGGTGAATCATCAGAATTTTCAAAGATAGTTCCATTGCCTTGATTATGGTAAGTTTCACTCAAGAGTTCTGACGAATAGTGATCTTTCTCAAACAGTTCTGAATTTTTACCTCTTTGTCGCTGTTGACGTTGCAATCTTTTTTCTAATTTCTGTAGATCGAGTCTTTTTCTATTTTTGGAAGACTTTTTCTTGTTCTTGTAAAATCTTGACCATCCAGAAGCACCGTTTTCATTAACCGGATGACTAAGAAAACAATAGTTATCAATTTTCAATTCGTATTGGTCATTACAAAGTCTTTTAGCAGGGGTTAACATCTCACAGAGATACGTCTTATCAAATGAAAATATTTTGCTGAGTTCTTGCTTCAAATTCTTAATTTTTTTAGAGAGTTCGGCTTTTTCAGCTTTACCACTCGCAATATTTTCCCCTGATTTGATGGATTGGCTATCATTTGTGTCGGCATTAGATGCTTTTCTAGATTTTGATTTCAATATGCTTCCAGTGGCATCAGTTACTTTAGTTTTTTGTTTTGGAGGCGCAGGTCTTGTTCTATGATATCTATAATGAGAATGTTTGTTATGATACTTTCTTTGTTGTTGCTTTGCTTCGTACAATTTGGTACTACATTCATAACTCACCTTGTACTTCAATTTGTCCAAACTGAACTCATCATCAAGAATGTTATTGATGAAGTAACTATTATTGAACTCTTCGAATCCCATAAGTGGATTGTTGCTGTCATATTCACTTTCGACATCAAACCCTTCTTCGATCCCTGCTTCGTCCTCTTCATCTTCATCTTCATCTTCTTCCTCTTCCTCTTCCTCCTCCTCATCATCATCATCTTCTTCTTCATCATCATTGTAACTATCCGTTACTGAGGTCTGTTCAATTCGCAGATTATTGGCACTTTTATCCTCATCATTGTCATCATCTGACAGGAAGAAATCCTCATCAAATTCATCGTCTGAGTATTGCGTATAGTAAGAACTGTGAACATTTGTTGAATTTGGAGCAGCAAGTTTTGTATTTGTAGTATATGAGCTTGCATGTATGTTATTACTGATAGATTCTTTACCTTCATCATTTAGGGCAATTCTTTCATCATCGTTGATATCCAGACTCACCCCAGTAATGGTTTCCGTGCCATCAGTGGAAGACGATTCCGTCGGAGGGTAGTGAAATACCACCTGGGAGCCTTGTTTTGTGGTGGCAACAAGCATGATACCCAATATATGGGTATTGTAAGTGTAAGACTCACTCATGGTTGGAGCATGGGCTGATGAGGGCTACAATGTATCTCTATTACAGTTAGTTGCCGCCCGCTTATCACCACCATCTCTCAAATTTCATCTTTACAAGAAAAAAAGTTTGTGCACTCAAAAAAAACTACGCGCGCGCGGGCACATACATGTATAAGAACCAAAAAGTCACTTAAATTACACCATATAACTGTCGAAGAAGAAAAACGAAAAGAAAGAAGAAATTTTAATCATCATCATCATCAGAGAATTTTGGATCAATATTAGGAAATGCAAGGGAAAATGATAATAAGTAAAGTGTTGTGTTGAAACAATTACACCACGGATTTGACTTCGAAAAATCTCTTCAAGTAATAGACTTGGAACACAGAGTTAACACCAACAACAATCAATTGGAAGACAGACCACCACTTAACTCTGGAGTTTGTAGATTCAGCGGTATTTCTGTGGGTTCTTTCTCTAATAATAATATAGTTCTGTTGATCCTTGACTTCGTTGGTAAGTTGTGACAATCTCTTGACGGAGGCTTCCAAAGAGTTTGAGTTTGGATCATTGACGTCAATGTAGATCACCCCATGGATGTTGAATGAGACGTCCTTAGTGGCAATGGAACTACCTTCATTGGAAAAGCAGTATTGGAATTTACCAGAGGTTTTGGCAATGGTGGAGAAGTCACCATGGGAGACTCTGTCTTCTCTCTTGACCACTTGTCCTGAAGGATTCAAGATCCAGAAATCACAAGTCAATTGTTCGGTACCTTGAGGGTTTCTGTCACCAACTTGGAAACTCACTGCCAATTCATCGTTAGCCTTGAGAGTCTCAAAGAAACATTGCTTGTTATAAGGAGCCAACAAGACATTATGAGCGGATGCGACTACTAGAAGCAAGACGACTGAAAAAAAACGATTCAACATCAACATGGCTGCTGGAGTGTTTATAATATACGTGGCTGATCGATAATTTATTTTGATCTGATCTGTTTTGAACAACAAACGCTCTATTTTTTTTTGTTTTTTTTTTCGTTCCTTGTCAAAGTTTCCCTGTCTAATCACGTTCTGAAGCACGTGATGTCTCTAACATTTATCTCTGCTTTGGCTTGGTTATATATCTTTAGGAACTTTTAAGAAATAATATAGATATAGGTATATATTTATTGAGTTTAGATTGTTAATATTCAAAATCACCAACGAAAATTTTCGAAGCAAACCGATGATTACCATTGTGTGCCAATTAATTAAAAGGAACAATTCCAAAGCATGAGCTCAAGGGTTGAGGTAAGAGCTCAATATGGATCTCAAAGAATTCCAAACAAAATATTATGAGCATCATGAAACGAGCCAGCTAAAGCTTCAGCTTGCTTGTGGAAACATTTTTTTTTTTTCCTGTATTTGGTTAAAATCTTCACTGGAGAAGCGATGGTGTTGTCTCATATCACTACAGATTAGTTATCTTTTTGGTTTTTGTTAAACTGGATAATAAACACTTATTGCAAAAACATGGCCATCCCTCAGTGATAATGTGATTATTATCACCTATGCTCTATATATTTGCAATTCCATTTACTCCTTTTTGTTTTCTGTATACAGATGTTGGAAATCACAAAAAACGAAATATCTATTGGAATGTCTTTTGCAACGTGCATTCATTTCTACTGTGATAAATCATTTAGTGAGATTATATTCAACAGTTATAATTGACCTTCTTATGACCCAGCAACCCGAAGGGCGCTAATAAATCAATTACAGTTAGTGCAATACTGTTGTTACACCAATAATAAGATGATATCACTAACTGGTAGCAAATCACATACTCATTTCATGAAATGAACGGACACAGATTCAGCCAGGAATAAAATGTAAGTTGACTTTCCAAAGTATTTATGCAATTGGTCCCCCAGTTATCTAATGATGAGGAGCAATAGTCTATATCCATAAAGGATAAAGGGCTGAAAATATTTTGTCTATAAAAGACGCTAGAGAGGTTTAACTGTGAGAAGCTTTTGGTCGTCTGAGTCAAAAACATAGATCCATTGTGTCGATCTTTGAGTCAACAACTTAACAGAACTGATTTGAACAGTCAAATATTCATACTACGAATTTTCGATAACAAACAATTGCTAACAATATCGACAGAATCACCATCAATGGTACTTCTTTTACGATTGCAAATTTAGAGGTGAATGAGTTTAGTTTTTATATTAAACGTTAGAAGAAATAGAAAAAAACAGCCAATTCATAAAATATACATATAACAAATATTATAGATTAATATCCTTGGAACCATCAAATTTACTTTCTTCTGAAAGAACAACCTTCAGTCAATCTAGCCTTACCACCAGTTGGTTGACACAAGACAGTGGTACATTTGTCACAGGTAACAGCGGTTTGAGCGTGGGAGAAGACGGTGGTGATGGCCATACAACCTGGGCATTTGACATCCAAGAAGTAAGATCTTGGGGCTTGAACCAAGGTCTTCAATTTGTGTTTCTTGAGTTCAGATTCTTGAGTTGGGTGCAACAAATCAACGACTAAAACCTGTACAATAAAGTTAGTAAAAAATGATCACTAATCAATAAAAATCTTTCCAGAATGCTAGCAAATTCGAGAACATGCACTACCAAACCATTGGATTATCAATCTAACGTTGATTACCTGTTGCTTGAATGAAATAATGATCCCAAAATAACTTTCATGTTTTCATTATTTCAAATATTCCCATTCAAGTTTTTTAATTTAACAAGGTGAAACCAAATAAATCATACAAGATATTCGAAGTAGATATTATTTGTTCATACAATGAGTCAGCAATATTTTCAACGTGAAAACTTTTCAACTTATTATTTCAATATAGCCCTCTGAATTCCAACAAATCAACGCATCATCTCCATTACGGAACAATAACAAGTACAATATTCACCGTGAGTTTTTCCTTTGTGATTTCAATAATGATATGGAAAGAAGGGAGAAAAAATTTCACATTCAGTGTCTCGTTGAAGTTATCCATCCATGTTGGTAGATATTTGTTAATCCATTATCACTGTTTTTTATTATATTGTCCACTATTCCACTTCAAATCTCTTACGGTCCCAATATATTCATCTATCTTAATAATAATCTTTTGTGTTCCTATTCTTCATCACTTTCAAAAATTTTCTTTACCCTCTGAATCATTTTCTCAATTTCCTCGCATCATTTAAATAAATCTTGATTAATCTAATGGTTGGTAATTATATTTGTGTTTCTCATATTGACTAGCTTGGTTGTTGATTTTATTTATTCTCACTTACCATCTTGAATAATTATTCTGTGATATATCTTGGTATGGTACTATATCAAACACTAGATGTGAGTAGAAAATTTTTTGTAATTTTCACCAAAAACTCTGACAATACCGGTGATTGCCCCCATCGTGTGCCAGAGACGTTCCGTAGGGGGAACGACGACCGGGCAACCGTGAGATTTGTCACTCTAATCACGTGTATAGGGGTTATGAAGCGTCTCAAAACTATACAAACGGTCACAGGCTGGATCGCAGATATGTCCAGGGCTATATATCTAGTATCACGTGTATGTGTCAAAACAAAGCCCTGGGATATCGATCAAATCTTCGATCAATTGGATTGATCAAATTACTATGCAGAACCTATAGATAAAGTAGATGGGACAAAAGTGAGGACTCGACAAACAACTCTAGTAGTACCTCCCAATTGACAAGTTTCTTGAAAGAGACGAATAAAAGATTAATAATATCAAGATCTTTTGCGAAAAGCATACCATTAATATGAGGGCTTTATTCCAGATTTACGGGTTATAATGAAACTACTGTAAGTGATCAATAATAAAATTCATCGAAAATCAAGGAGAAAGATCGCCATACGGATGATGATATGTAAATAAAAAGGCGAAAAAGAAACAAACAAAAAGAAAGAGTGACGCTAGAGACAAGAAGATATAATAAATATATAAATACATTTATATCAAAAACATAGATCAATCAGAAACCATTAGAAATCTTATTTCCCCTTCCACACAAGGTATGGCAATAAGAGCATCACGCATAAACGTAACTGAAGTTCAAGTCAGTGGAAATATTACATGGAATTGATTAAGACGATAAAAATATAGAAGAAAAGCAAAAAGTAATGGAAAAAAAATGTCAGAAAAAAGAAATATAGTTAGAGAATGGAGTGCGAGTGTGTAAGATAGAAATAAAGTAGGGCCGCATAAGATAACAGAAAATAATTTCACGGTTAAACAATAACCAGATAATGATAAACATCGAGTGACAATACTTCTCGATTAATAATGAACAATTGCGAATGTTGGGCATTGCAAGCAGCAGATGATAAGGAGGAAAAATAAAAAGAAATATTGGGCAGTAAATGGCAACAAAAGAATAAACTTGTAAGATCTCTCATCAATATATAAAGGAGAAGAATATTCGTTCTAGAGAGAAAAGTATATAATATATTAATCACATAAACCGATTAGAAAACAAAACAAAAACATAAAAATAATAGTAAGAAAAAAAAAATCATATTCTGATGAGTACATGATAATTTGGAATCGACCCAATAGGTCCCAATAACGGTTCATTGATTTCAATGTTCTCATTCCTTATTATTTTCCTCCTTATATTAACAAAAGATCGACAAAACACAACAAATACAATCCGATATCTTCAGGATGGTGCCATTTACCCAAAAACGCATCAAGCAGAGTATGAGAAACGGATCGCCAAAAATTCAGTGCCCCCAATTTGTTATCATTACCTTCATCGAAAAAACATCACTTCGTTTATTTGGTCACCTTCTTTGGCTTTCTTGGTGGTGTCACAGATCTTGAGTTATTGTTAACATAGCTGTATTTCACCTTCTTTTCAGCAGGTTTCAAGATTTGGAAAGAACATAACAAACTTTCGTCCACACTCATCATGGCACCGGCATTATCAAACTCACCACAATAATTTGGAGCAGAGAAAAGAGTCACTAATTGACGTTTACTGAAAAATTCATAACCATCTTCTACAACTTGATGGGCTCTACAAATCAAATCCATATCTTGTTTCTGCAAGAAACGCGAAATAACGTCTGGACCAAATGTGAAAGAAACCCCTCTATCGTTTTCTGACCAGCCGGTGATATCCTTATCTGGATCCGACCACAACAAATCACACAACAAACCAACATCTGGAATATCCGTTGGTCTCATAACTCTTCTAATTTGTTCCATGGAGTTTAAGTCTGGACTCAAACCACCGTGCATTGTAAAGATCTTCTCGTCAATGATGGCCGCAATTGGTAAACAGTTGAAACAATCAGTGAAAGTTTTCCACAATTTGATGTTATAACGTCTTTTACATTCATCGTAGAAACCGTAAATTCTGTTGATGGAGGCACATTCGTGGTTACCTCTCAAGATGAAGAAGTTTTCAGGATATTTGATTTTGTAAGCCAATAACAAGCATATAGTTTCCAAAGATTGTTTACCTCTGTCAACATAATCCCCCAAAAACAAATAGTTGGCTTCTGGAGGGAATCCACCGTATTCAAATAATCTTAGCAAATCATAATATTGACCATGAATATCACCACAAATCTAAAAAGAAAGAAATAATGTTAGTACTCTAGCGCCGAATTATATCATTGTTTGATTTGTCTTTTTGCTCTTTTGGATGGCGCGCAACACGCGTATTTGTCAGAAAAAAAAAAGGACAACGCTGTCAACTGCAAAACAACCAAAATATATATAAGGTTGTAGACTCCAAATGATAACAAAAAAAAGACAATAGTTTTTTAAAAAAAGAGTGAATAATAACATACCTTGATAGGAGCTTCTAACTCTAATAAAATTGGTTGGGAAATAAAGATCTCTCTGGCCTTGGTACAAAGATATCTAATTTCATTTTCTGCCAATTGGACTTGTTTGCCAGGTCTTGATCCTCTAACTTCTAAAAGTCTGTTGACGATGGAATCGACATCTGGTTCCTGTTGTTCAGCCATGGTTGTAAGATTTTGTCTGTTGGTGTACGATGAGTATTATTTTTTTTTTTTGGTTTGTAACGGGTTTCACGGGCGGAAGACAGCGAAACAACACAAGAAAGGGTAGTGTAAAATGAGGTTTCTAAAAATCGTAGTAGCACAAGAAATGATTCAGTGTCAGATACAGCTTTTATTTAGATACCCGATAGTTGATTAATCTTCACTGTTTAGGTGATTATTGAAGGACACTAGGGAAAAGGGGCGAAAATCGAACGATTCAAAACAAATAAAAAAAACGCAACTTTGACAACGAGGGGAGTGACAAAGTATATGTGGATAGATAATAGGTAGTGGCACTATAACCTGGAGGTTTGGGGAAAATATGGAAGAAGCTGATCCAAAATAAGTTGCGCTATTCCAAGATAAATCGTGTGATGGGACAGTAGTTAATAAAGGGGTACGAAATCGTTCATTTTTTTTTTCTTCTTCCTTGTTTTTTTTTTCTACGACAATTTTCACTCACAAAACGGGCGCCCCATAATTGCTTAGGGCACGTCATTTAAACCTATCAGATAAGTACACTATCCGGAAAGAATATTCACAGAACACAATAGATTAATAGCATATATGGTAAGAAGAGATGATCCCCTTAATCATGACAGCATTTCTCTGTCTTTTTCCTTGAGATCTGTGGAGTGGATCACTGTCACTTACGTTCCTATTATGCCGGGAACTGCGGGTAACGAAAAATCCCTCGCGTGTTTATACACTTTATCTATCTAGATAACTATAATTCCTCGATCTACAGATAGAATACACTTATCATTAAGTAAATACTAATGAAAAGCCGTTTATAATGTAAGACATACTAAAAAGAAAAAGAAAAATAATAAAATAATGGGATCAATAATAAAGAATGAAAAAAAAAAAAAAAAAGAATGAATGGAAGAAAAAAAAATTAAGATTGATACTATATTATCTCTTAGATTTCAGTCAACTCCACGCCCCCAACTGACCAAATCTCCTTCTCATCTTCAAATCTATCGGAAAACATTGCTTCCACATCTCCTCCAGCTTCAATTCTTTCTCTTTCAACCTTGGCCAATCTGGACCCAATTCTCTTGGTGTACTCATCAATAGATCTCATTTGAATGGTAGCCCCAGCTGAATTAGTAACAGTCTTACCAGCTTGTTCCGCCATTTTCTTAGACCATTCATTGTAGCCAACCAAGTTTTCATCCTCTACCAAGTTGAAGACTTCTAAGTAAGTCTTTTCGGCCGCCAATTTGATAGGAATAATAACATCTCTAACACAACTGAACACATTTGGAACGATCTCATCCAAATTGGGTTTGATCACCTCATCATATTTCATTCTGGCAACCGTCTTGAGAACCACGAGGGATAATCTTCTGGAATCACTGGAGTTACTGTTAGGCTTCACCACCGATTTGCTCAATTCAGAAACAATATTATGGATCAAATCTTCTTCCACTTCAAACTTTTCAGTGTTTTCTTTGACCTTATTTTTACCTTCTGACAATAAGAATCTCTCTGGAGCATTGGTTTCACCAATCAACAACAAAAGCTTACCAGCCGCAATGATCGATTGGTCACTAAGGTATGGTTCAGAAGAGGTAATACCTCCAATAGTAAACTTCACGATATTTGGAACTAAACCACTGACAAAGACGGTCTTTGGAGAATCTTTCAAGAAAGCGTTCAATGTCAAAATGCTGAACTTAATATTCTCGTTATTCAAGATCTTTTCCTTGATAATCTTGCTACCTTCGTCCTTAGTCAAAGTTCTGGAAATAGAACCAATTAATTTAGCGTAAGCAATGGTTTGTTTTTCATCAACTTCGGTGATTTCTTGTTCAATCAATTCCAAAATACCGCTCTTTGAGGTTTCGTTTAACTTGAAGCCAACCTTGTTGACCACTTCAATCAAAGCCTTTAACATGGCGGTTCTGACACCGGAATCCTCATTACTCTTTACTCCGTTAATCAATTCATTGACCAATGGATCAATCTTTGCTTGGTACAAAATCAAGGTACCCAAAGCTTTGGCGGCTCTTAATCTTAAAATCTCACTAGTTTGATCACCCAACGACTTGATGAATGTTCTTTGCAATTGAGGAGTAAATGGTCTCAAGAATTGTGGAATCTTTTCCAACAAGATGTTCAAAGCTGACAAGATAGCAGCCTTGACGTCACTAGAAACCCTTTCACCAATGACACGGATCAATGGACCAGTAATTTGAGTGAAGAAAGGTTTCAAGTTCATGGCAGGAGTCTTAGACACTATATCAGCAATACCGACGGCAGAAGTTTCTCTTTGGCTTGCGTTACCATACATCAAACCTTGAATGAAAATAGGCAATATACAGTTTGGACCCTTTGGAACAATCTTGAAAGCCTTCAAATCACTACGTGGAGATCCAACCAATCTCAAAGATTGTTCAGCAGGAGAAACTAAGGTTTCCAACATTTCCTTAGATTGATGCTTCACCAACGCAGTCAAACATTCACAAGAATACTTGACTAATTCATCATCCTCATCATCTAATGAAGAAATACATCTTTCAACAATATCCACGGTGTAAGTAGAGTAATCCAAGTGGGAGTTCTTGAAGAATTCCTTCAAGTGCTCGTAAACCACCTTAACCCTGTTCTTATCTTCATGTTTCAATAACGATAACACTCTTTGAATCAATGGATGGCAACCTTCCTCATCATCAATAGATAACAAGAATCTGGTGAAACTCTTGGAAACTTGAGATCTAAGGTCACTTGCACTATCAAGACTTACCAAACTATCAAGGAACGAATTAATAATACCAGTCAAGTATCTGTATAAGATAGGACCAGCGACTTCAGACAAAGCACCAAGCGCCACAGCCTTGGTGGAATCTAATGGTGGGGATAACAATGATGGAATCAACACTGGGAAAATTTCCTCAGATTTATTACCCATAAGTTCTCTCAAAGCCTTAACTGCATTCTCACTTTCGGTATCATCATCCAACAATTCCAACAAACGAGGAATAATGCCATCAATGGCAGGTTTACCAATAGATTCCAATAACGAATCAAAAGTGAGGGCAGCGGCTTCACGAACATTTTCATCTGAATCAATAATGGCGTCACCAACAATTTTGATAAAAACATCTTGATGATCGATGATATTAGATTCAACAGTCGAGGCCATAATTTCCTTCAAAGCAATACAGATACCTTCTTTAGCATTAGAATCACCGCTAACCATGATTTCCTCAGAAGTTGGCAACAATTGGTTCAAAACAGATGGACCGATTCTACGAACCAAGTCACCAAGAGCCAAAGCACTGATCATTCTTTGAGTGTCAAATGGACTTGCCAAACGACGGATAATGATACTGGCCAAAGTTGGCAAGATTTCTTTCAAAGTCTTTGGAGTGTTGGCCACAAGAGGATTCCAAATTTCAATAGTGGAAGTGCGGACCAAACCAGCAGTGTCAGAACGACAAATAAAAAGCAACGACAAGACTCTGTCACGAGTTTCTTGACCCAAGACTTCAACAAGCTTAGCACCGACCGCAGAGTTACCAATAACAAACACTGCTCTTTCTTCCTCTTCTTGAGGTTCGCCATCTTCGCCAAACTCTTCTGAAGTAACTTCAATGGTCTTTTGAGTTATATCACCAATCTTGAACAACAAGTCACCAATTAATTTAACAGATGACAATCTGATACGGTAATTAGTATCGGACAAACCATTTTCTAACTCTGGCAACAACAAGTCAACAGCCTTGTTGGCATAGTTAGAAACAATCAATTTACCGGCTCTGATAGCAGTGTCATTGATGATATCATCATCATCGGCCAACCCTGCCAAAATTGCTGGTAGTATCTTAGCAATATATGGGGAAAATTGAGCACCAAAACAAACAGGCAAATATAACAATAATGGCATATAACCTGCTCTAACATAGCTACGACTTGATGAAGCACCAGCCAAAATACTTGGTAAAATGTCTTCCAATCTGGAAACACCAAGACCCGACAAAACTTCAGATAAGGCTTGGGCGGAACCCAATCTGTCACCGGCCTTACGCTCATCACTCAAGGTGCCCAATAATTTATCAATCAAATCTGGGAAGTGTTCTTCGCCTAATTTTTCAACCAAAGAACCCAAAGCTCTAGCGGCAGTAGCTCTGGTCATGGCAACAGGATCAACCATGGCAATTTCTAATTCACCAATCAAATTTGGTAAGTATGGAACCAAGTCTTTACCATCAACCAAAATGGACATGTTACCGACAATTTGACAAGATTTTCTTTTAGTGGCAGCAGATCTGTCTAACATACCTCTGTGAATGACATGAATAATCAAAGCCAAAGATGGACCATCGATGTAATGAACGAACTGGGTCTTGATAAGAGCGTTAAGAGCTTCTTCGGTGTGTTTGGTTGGGTCACCAATAGCCTTAATCAAGATTGGAACGGACTTTTGAATTTCTGGGTTACGAATAACAAGACCAAACTTCTTCAAAGATTGATCAGCTGCTTTACGGACTTCCTTATGGGTATCGTTCAAAACCCCAACAATTTCTGGAACAATGACCGACAAGGATGCAGATAATTGAGTTGGATCTAAGTACGCCATAGAACCCAACAATTCCACAGAACCCTTTTTGGATCTCCAAGAGATTTCGTCCAAATTTTCAATTGCCAAAGGAATCAATTGTTTGATACCAAAAGAAGTGGTATTCTTCATAATGATTTGTGAAGTCTTATCGGCGGCAGCTCTAACTTCAGTGATGTGGTCACCCAATGATCTCAAAAGTAATGGAATGATTTCGATAACATAAGGTTCAAAATACTTGCTCACAATTCTAGATAAACATTCAAAAGCAAACATTACACTTTGTCTCTTTTTGAAATCTTGTTTATCTTCAGCTGCGTCAATCAAATTTCTAATGATGTCAAAGTCGGACAATGCTCTGATACCATAACCTTTAACTAATCCGGCAATACCATAAGCAGAACCTCTTCTCTGGCTAATTTTGAAGTTACCATTAAACAAAGTTTCAAACAATAATTCAACATAAGTGCTTAACTTGTCGGAAAACAAATGAACAATTGGCGCAATATATTTAGCAATAGTGAATTGCACAAGTTCACCAGTAGTTGGATCAATCAAGGTCTTCACTAATTGGTTAACGATCTGAACAATCAAGGTTGAGTCCTTGTTACCATTCAAATGTTTAGCTAACACACCGTAGAAAATAACCGTACTTTGCTTGATCTTAGGAACTTGATTGTCTTGAGACACGCAAGTTTCAAAGATTTCAATCAATTCATTCACCAAGTTCAAGCCATGGATATTGATGATTTCAATACCAGCACTTTGTAATTCGACATGTACGTCGGCGTTGGCATCAGCCAAGAACTTGTCATCTTCCAAAATCAACTTCTGGAAGAAGATTAACACCGCCTCGTCTGTAAAATGGGAAGCCAATTGTTTAAAGGACATAGCAATACCATTACGGTACTCCCACATATCCTTTTGTTGTTCAGAAGTTTTGACCACTAAACCAAAGTCGTCCAAAATTGGAGGAGGTGGTTTAGAAAATTGTTCGAATAATTCAATCAATCTAGTGAATGTAGAATCGAAAACGGATGGGGAAGCATCGACACCAGCAGAAATAGATTTGGAGATCGATACTCTGATACCAGTATCGGCATGGCCCAAATGGTTCAATAAATCATAGATCAAATCATCGGTCAATTTCAATTGATTTTCTTGCCAGATGGAATTAGCCAATTCTGCATTGACCTCTTCATTATCGTAACAAGTGATCCATAATTGAGCGTAATCTTCTGGTTTTAATCCTTCATAATCCAAAATAAATTCCTCGTCAAGTTGTTCCAAAATAGTCAATCTGATGAATTTGTTAGATGACATCAAGTTATCGATCAAGATATTTTTCAAATCACCAGAACTGATATTGTTTGAAATATTGGCACAGATAGCATTAAAGCATTCCTTGACAAGTTTGGCACGAGATGGAACTTTATCAATCAGCAAGATCAAAGAGCTCAAGATATTGGCTCTTGGAATGAGATCATTTTGGAAAACTTCGGCGTGGTTTGATAATATATCAACCGCCAACAATAACAATTCTTCATCTTGATCTTCTTTTTCAAATTCTTTAGTATTCATTTTTGGACCTTTAGCCTTCATAACATCTGATTTTTCATCGATGATTTTCATCAACAATGGAAGCAAGTAAATCAAACCAAAACAATCCAATGGTTTGTTATCGGTCATCAATTTGAGGGTGAACAAAACCTTGAGAACAATATCATCCAATTTCTGGTGAAGAACAAGTTTTTCGTTTTCAACTTCGAACAAATTCAAAATAACCACCCCAATGGAGCTTCTGATTTTGTTCAAGGAAGCAGAATCATTATTAATGATCATAACATTACTGCAGTTCAAAAATGATTCGACCGCTTCATCATTCAATAAATCAACACTGTTAGGATTTTTAATCACATCCAACAAAGAATTCACAGAGTTAGAGAACCAATATTCATAACCATTATTGATCTTTGATTTTAATGCTTTCGCTAATGAGCTGATCAATCTAACACTTCTAACACATTTCATATGGACATTTTGAACGTCAGCTCTAACGGCAGATTCTTTTTCAGTTTGAACTCTCACCAATTCTTGCTCTTCTTTGCTCAATTTCTTGGCGGTTTTCCCCTTCTTTGCTTGGATTTCACGTTTCAAATCTTCTTCCCATTTCTTGGTTTCATAATCCTTAGAGTTCTTGTTAACTTGATATTTGGATCCCTTATTTGAATCTAATGGATCATCCACCAATTCTCCTTCAGAAGATTTCCAAATTTGTAAAGACTTTTCACTGATTACGGTTGAAGGTAAACTCAAATCACCAACCACCAATTGGTCTACTAGTGGACCGATCAAATCTGGTTTGATGAATGAGACTGTTGACAATGAATCAATTATGGCATCATAAACCTCTTTAGCACCAGGATCGGAATCATTATTGTAAGATGAAGTATTAATGGTGAGTAATTTACCAACAGAAGCTTGGAAAAATTCTACCCCAAAGTCATCTACAATTTTCCCAGGATCCATACGACACTGTTGTACCAAGTCAACCCACCCAACATGCAAATCAATGGATTTATAGTGACACAACACAATCAATTCAATCAATATTTTGCCCAACACGGTGTTTGAAGAATTCGGTTTTTGTGGAACATACAACAATCCGCAAGTGATGGCATACATAAGTCTCTTTGACCATTCAAGGTCGAGAGCTAATTTAGTGGTTTCTTCAGAAGCTCCGGAAGATAGAATGCTATATAAGGAACCGCAAATCAATTCTCCCAAAACTAATCTCAAATCATCAGAAGCGGTGGAAAAAGAAGCATTGAGCTTTGTGAGAGCCTGTCTTCTAAGTTCGTAGCTAAAGTTGGAAGTCATAGTGGAGTATATTAATGCTTTGCCGAATTCTAAATCATCAGAGGCACACATGTCAGTGTTGGAGTATAAAGCATCAATAAACCATGATTTCTCAACATCTGTGTTTAACTTCAAGTAGAATTTTTGGTTGCTCAATATAGGAAGAGATTTATTAATGAAACTCTTGAATTGATCTTCAGAAAAACCTTTGATAATACAAAGAATCACGTACACAATAGTGGTTGGGGATTTTAATGGGTTGGCCTCGAATTCATTAAAGTTATCAATTAATGCACCCGAAATATCGTTGATAAATTTCTTAGAAGCCTCGTTTTCTCTAACTTTAAGGAAATAGGATCCCATAGCCATGAGCCAATATTTTCTGTTGACTTGTTTCTTATCTGACAATCCTCCCTTGATGATCTTCAAGCATCCGGCAGTATCATAATTAGCATCAGCAGTAATAATCTTAAAAAACCAGTAGAAATAGGATTTCAAAAACTCAAAAAGTAGCCCTTCATTTTGATCCTTGATGACAAAAGGATTCAACACATCCAATACCTTGATAGCCACTGGAGAAACCGATTTGGCGTCAGGAACGATAGATGTCAAAAGTCTAACATAACTGGATTTGAAGTCGAAATTTGAAGTGCCTTTCCATGATTTAGCCAATTCATCAATTACTTTAAAGAGATTTTGTTCGGTCAAATATGGGGTAACTTTAGACAAAATCAATTGCAAAACGTCCAGTGCGCCAAGACGAACAGCGTCATTTGAAGATTTCATATTAGAGATCAATTGGGTAGTAAGTTTAGATAAACCAGGACCTTTCACCAACAAGATTGGGTATTCCTCATCATCTTTGCGATCCAATAAACTTTCGAAAAAATGTGGGATAATCATAGTGATGATGAATTCCGATGATCTCAAGATCGATTTCTCAATGTCCGGTAACAATTTCTCTTCCAACAATTTGCTGGTCAAATATTGTGAGGCAAAATATTGGTTGAAATACTTCAAGGTGTATAATTGGTCCGAGATTGTTTTATGATTCTTGTTTAAAAGTACATTAGCGGAATAGAACGAAATCACCACGGTAATGTTGGTGTCTTGTAAAAGTCTCAATTTAGACAAGGCAGCCACAAGCAATAAATGAGTTGGCCATTGAAGAGCCTTGACATTGAACAATTGTAAATATACTTCTTTCATATGTTTTTGTGATACAGAAGTTACTAACTGATTGAATAACCCATCTAATTTTTTATGGACATTGACCAATGAGTAATGGTACATCATCTGCCCGAGGATTTCTAGTTGATAAATTGATAATTTAGCCAATGTTTTGGCTCCCAAGTTTTTATTTGATAAAAAGTGGGAAGACCATTGAAACAAGTATTTTAAATCTGTTGGATCCATACCAACGTAGCATTTCTTCACATTGACAGTATTCTTGAAAAAGCTTAACACCATGGTTTCGTAAAGATCGGAATTGACCATCAAAATTGAGTCTAATAATCCCAAAACTTTGAGCTGTAGAGCAGGCTTATGAATATGGTTGTAAGATTTTAATAAAACCAGGAGAATATATTCATGGTCTTGAGGTTGAGACAGAATTACCTGAGGAAGTTTCTCCAACACTTGGATTTGGGTTTTTTGGGGAGATAAATACAAGAATGCCTCTAGCTGAGGACCCAAGTCATCCCAAGTTGTACTCTGGACTTCCATTTGGGAAAACAAGTCTTGTAAAGATCTCAAATATGATGAATAAAAATAGGTCTTAGTGATTAACTTTCGGTCTTTAGTAGTCTTTTGATGGCTCCCATAAATAATTTGATTTGGGGGATGTTGGAAAATTTTTGTGTGAATAATTCATGTGCAGGGGCTGCGCAACCACGGTGCTTGAAGCAATTTTAATTGTCAAAACACCAAAATTATATTGGCAGAGGGTATGATATTTAATGTTATTCTAGAGAGTATTTTGGTAATAATGAATATCATTGATAAATTGGAGAGTCATGATTTCAACTATTCGGGTAGAAGGACCGATAAGCCTTCGAAATATTTGATGAAGAAGGCCAAAAGATCGGCGGCGGGATTAGATGATTTGGAAAAATCATTGAGGTCTTCGACAGTTTACGTTGGGGGTTTATCAATCTATACTACAGAAGAACAAATCCATGAGCTATTCAAGAAATGTGGGGAAATTGAAAGAGTGATTATGGGGTTGGACAGATTTAATAGAACACCATGCGGGTTTTGCTTTGTGGTATACAAGGCGCGTTGTCTGGCATTGAATTGTGTTAAATATTTAAAATACACCAAGCTTGATGATGAAGTATTAGAGATTGATATCGATCCAGGCTTCCAAGAAGGTAGACAATTTGGGAGAGGTTACAAAGGTGGCCAAGTTAGAAATGATAGAAGAGGTGATGTTTTTGAACCAGGAAAGGGTAATTAGTAATCTACTGAAGAATGCCAATTTATTGCAGGAAGAAGAAGGACAGATGTTTCTATTCTATGATTTTCAATGATCTTCGATGCGATAATTATCTATTCCTCTTTTGATTTTTATACTTTTTTGTGTTACTTGGCTATTATTTAACATTATTTCCTTTTTCGTGATTATTGATTTATTTTCCTTTTCATTATTTATGTGATATGTATTCTAGTTTTGAAGATCTATTTTTATAGATCTTTATTGATAATAAGCTGTATCTTCATTGTAAAGACGAGCGTCGATTTCAGAACTTTGGGCTTAGTCCCAGCGAAAAACTATTGGCACTGGCTCTTCTGTGGCACTAGAAGAAAGAGACAAAAGCATATTATCGCTTTTTATTTATATTTATTAAAACAGTTAATGAAACTACAGATTTATTTTCATATTTTTTTCTGTTGATCCCCATTAGCTGTGCTTCCTTGGGGACAATAATAGTAGGGTTAGGCAAAATATTCTCGAGTATTACAACAGGATAAAGTTATTTTTGGTTCGGTTGCATTCTTTTTAGTTCTTTCTTAGTTAACTCTAAGCTTACTTCTTCTAAATATCTACTTACTTTGTTGGTTAAAAGATTACTAGATCCTTAAGTAACATTCTTGTATTCCTTCCGGAAGACACCATATTACCAGATTCTGAATCAGAGCATCAGAAATTCAGAACCAGGGCATTACAAACAAGGTGCCTCACACTACTTAATCTATTTATAATAGTAATTGGTAAATATTTCAGTAAATCTAGGGGCAATTTCAAGCACCGCTACGGGGATATACTGGATGTTTCTTAGATCGATGTTTTGGTGCCTGAAAATCCTACGAAAGGAGATAAATAAATGACAACCTAACCCCAACGGTGAATAATTATTACAAATGAGAAATTGGAAGTCATATAGAAACTTGAAAACCTCGCATTTCTGATAGTCATTCCAATTATTACATATGTGTCAAGTTAGTGGAAAGCTCTCGTTTTGGAGGGCGCTATTTACAAAATTACAAAATAATATTAAACGCAAAGGGTTTTTCCAAGAGAGAGTGAATTAGAAAATTTATCAAATTTGTTCCTAAGTCATTTGTAAATTGACCAGTAAATTAATTCGCAACAAATTTTTTTTTCTGGATTTGGTTGTTTTTATTATCTTCATTTAACTCGATGAAAACCCCATGATAATTATTGAACAGTTTCTGGATATATGATACAAACACTGTGAATGAGGGCAGCGATGATTCTTTATATTTTCGCCATATTTTATATATGAAAAATAAACTTAGAAAGAATGTCTACTGGACCATTTCACTGTAGAACTTACAAAAAAAAAAAATTTGAAGTTTGAAGTTTGTGTGAAGATCTCAAGCATCACCAAGCTGTATCAATAAATTAGTGCTTTTGATATTTAGACAAAGTTTGATCATCAATAAAATCACCTTGTAAAAATATTAGATAAAACCACTTAGAAATTCAAAATATCCTATGAATAAGGAGCTTCTTTGGCTGATTATAGATCCTATTGGATAAAAACATATATGTTTTAGTCCCTGGAACTTGATGACGAGATCTCCTGTGCACACATATTTGGAAGGGAATCAGCATATACCAACTCATTCCTGAATTCTATCCTTTGATTCATCTTACAATCAAATAAAGTTATATTCATAGTATGATAACAAGAAATCTTTCATTAAATAGATCCACTAATAATAATACTGATGATAATATTTATAATAATAGTAATGATGATGACCCCACTCCTCGGTAGGTGCGCCGGTGGTTACCCACCCGATTTTTCTGCGAGAAAATTCAGTCCTTTAGTGCATTATCTGATAACCTCCGAATCATTTTTTTTTGGTGTTTCTCTTCTTTACCATATTTGTCCATCTCTCTCTCTCTCTCTATCCATATTGTTATTGTTATTTTTATTGCCATTTTCTAATTTTCCACCTCTCCCATTTCTGTATTGTATTATAAATAATACAGACCTTTATTCCTTTTGGTGGTACATCATCTGTCAAAGCCCCTGTTACTAAAGAAACTAGAGAATGAACCTTCGAGGTTCTGGTGCCAAGGTTCTATGAAAAAAAATATTCTTTTACAGAACGGGAGTATCTTAAAAGTACAGCCCATAAGACAGCGGAAGATTTATTCGTGCGTGGCGTGCCATACTAAGAAAATAAAATGTTCGAAAACTCATCCTGTGTGCGACCGATGTACCAAGCTAGGCTTACAATGTGAGTATTATGTCAATGATCGGATTAGTAGAAGAACTGCTAGAAAGCTAAAGGATCAAGAGAACCATGCGAAGGAGGATGATACCAAAAGTGAAAGGAATAAAGGGGTATTAGAGAAGCCATCGGTGGATAGGAAACCAGCCAGTACAAATAAGGAAAAGGAAATAGTTGAGGAGCAAACGATGGGTGATTTGAGGAAGAAAATAAATAAAGAGCCCCATAGGATCACCAAGCAGAAAGTACAGACAATCACAAAGAAACCAGCAAGCCCGATTTCTCAACAGCAGGAAATGATACAGGAGGATATGGAAAAGAAAATATTGTGGTCGGAAATTCAACATCAAAATAAGCAAGCAATAATCACTGGAAAATCACAGTATAAACCATCACAATCAACACCAGCTAATCTGAGCTTTGGATTTTTACCACTGCCGAATTTACCCAAATGCGAACGTACAATGCTAGTTGAGCTAATAATTTCCAACTTGCCAACAAGATCGGTTTCCAATCAATATTTCCAAATATATGCCTCCAAAATAGATTATCGAGTTCCAAAACTTGATCTACCAGAGTTCAAGACTCAATACAATTTGCATTGTGATACACACTCACTCAAACTGGAGTCATTAGATGAGTCTTTGGATTATTATCTCACATATTACATCATCCTATACGCCGTATCACATAAGGTTGGAAATTCCGCCAAACTAGCCAAATATCATCATGTTATTCAAGCTATCTTTAAATATTTAAAGTTTCCACAAAATTCAACAAACTATTCTCTTAAATATCTTCAATTATTTGCAACTTACCAGTCGTTTACCCCGTTCACTCCGTATTCAGACACTCAATTTTTGGTACAAATCGCCAAATTATTCAAACTTGATCGTGATCCCATCATTTTCCACAAATCTTCAGACATGGCGCTCATTCAGTTCAATCGTTTGCTTTGGTGGCATATAGTATACTTGGATTTAAGGGCAGCAATATTCTGGAATAAATTGCCAATGATTGAATTGGATAAATCGGACACCTCGCTCCCCACAGAGATTGGTTTACACAAAAACGTCTTGGTGAGAATGGTGTTTTGCAACTCTAGATTTCGGTACGCAATTTTAATGAACGAAATCTTGAAGAGCTCTACGCAAGGTGGGAATTTGAACATTGTGAAAGATAAGGTTTTGGAATTGGAAGTGAGATGTAACGGGTCAATCATGTCATTGAATTCTTACTTGTCTAAATCCAAGAAAAATAACTCCCAAACATCAGCACATTCAAGAATATATCAAGATCAGCAAAAAGAAATTGAATTATTAATTGAAGAAATTAAATGTTTACCAGATATGGCACTTTTATTGGCGTACAAGAGACTACAATCTCCCAGTCAATACCTTTATAAAGTTAGTTTCCCAAAGTACAGCGATAATTTATCGACTGGTTTGGTGAGCAGTTCCGAGGAAATTTATTTTAATTATAATAACTATGGAATATCCGATGGATATGGCTATGTGGTACTACATCTTTTGAATAGGTTGGACAAGATTGATGAAAAATCAACGGGAAGATCAAACATGTTACGTTACCCAGTCTGCCCATTTTGGAACTTGATTGCTTCCAACTTCATCAGCCCTCAATTCCTTATCCACATTGTTGGTGTTTTACTTTTTAATATTCTTCAGGATATTGGATCATTCAAACAAGGAAACGGGGCGAATTCCATGGAACTGGCGATTGACCGGCTACGTAATGATGTGAAGCTCAATATTTTGAATAAACTATTGTGCCCAATCATGAGTAATTCACCAACCATTCCACAGTTGGACAATATTTGTGGACTCGTCATTGGGGTAATAACGTTAGTGAAAATTTATCCTTTGAAAATTTATCAACCACGGGAATTTGTTAATAGTATCACCAATGACGGGATGGGTTTTTTTGACGGGATCAGTTCTTTTGAAGATTTGGAAAAAGAAATTAAGCCGGCATTTACCACTGTTGAGCAATACATATCTCATTTCAGTCTTGACGAGGTTAATAGTTGTACTTTCCCGACTTTTGTTGATTCTTATGAAGATTTGTCAAGTGAAGCATTGAGTACTGGAACTGACGATAAAAATAGCGGGGTCAGTAGTAATTTCGTGGGTCCTAGTCTTAAAGAAAGTAATTCTAGCAGTCCAATCAGTATAACCAGTCCTTCTACAATTAGTAGTAATTCACCAAATTCATTTTCCTCACCTACAACATCTGTTTCCAACATATCAACAGCCAATAATGGCAAGCCGTTTGTCTTCTCACAAGGAGTTAGCTGTTCGGATATTGCTCCGAGATCGATGACTGCGCTAGTTGCCGCTAGCACAATTGCGAAGATCAACGTATTTGGAAGATCATCTATTAGCTCTTATGAACCAATTTTCGAAAGCGTGGAGCCTGAAAACGATGGCGCGACGAATGAAGATAAACATAATAACAATTCGGTGGCTAGCATTGGTTATGGTAAGGAAAATATGGATTCTAATGCTGGAAGAAAAGAGGTTAATAAACCAGAACCCAATGTTGCGGATGAATTGGCGATCGAAAAAAATTTTCGCCCTGGTGGTTTGTCGAAGAGCGCAGATTTATATAATCAATTACTAGCGGTGTCACTAGACTTCCCGACTGATGAACGAGGAATTATCAAAGATAGTGGATTTAGAAGATTAGTGCAACAAATGGTTGAAACTATTGAAAATTGGAGAATAAAAAACAGTCAAGTTTCAGGAAACAATAGCACGGAACAGGTCAAAGATGAATATCTTTTGGGATTAGAGAAAGGAATGTGCAATATGGTGTACTCTTTTTTGCTTTCAATATGAGGAAATATTTTGTCCTACTGAGTATAATAACGTCGCGTTCAAGTGAAATTACCTGTTTTGTGGAAGCACTCAGAGGAAGAAATGGAATCAACGAAAAACCCTTCTAAATATTCAAAATTAATAAATGTTCCCCTTTTAAAAAAAAAAAAAATATAATATATTGGAATTGCATACTTGGGTCTGGTAATGATAATTCCCAGTAATCAGATATCAATTACGAGGATGAACAAATTTGATATATCACTAGGATTGCGTAGTGTGCAGGAAAAAAGTAAAAAAGTGTTACAAGAGGCAAAGTGGAAAATGAGAGGTATGATCCATTATAACTTTAGGAGAACTGAAAAAAAAAAAGCATAGCAAAGCAAAGCAAAACAAAACGTAATGATAATAAGAATGGTGATAAATGGGGTTACAGCAAAAGAAATGAAGTTAGTAAAGATAAATAACGAAAATGCAAGGGAATTTTTGTTTGAATTGAACGATTATTGTAAATGCTAAAATAGGAAAAAAAAAATGAAAAGAAAGAACAGAAGGACAAGCAATATTTTTCAATCACAATGAGACTCAGATTTATATGTATATATAAATGGCTGATGATGTTTGTCCGATGGCAAGAAGCTCAATTTATTGACTATCTTAGACTTTTCACAAAAAAAAACCACCTCCTGCTCTTTGATTGACCAGAAAAAAAAATCAACTTATCCAAACCCAGAAAAAACATAAAAATACCGCAAAGAAGAATAAGAACCAGACTTTCCAAGTGATTCCTGCATTTTTACTCATGACAATCATTCTATTATACGTTAACTTAACTTTGGTGCTGGCCATTCCAAAAGTATCATTCAACTGTTCCATAGTCTTGCTACTGCTTCGAATCTCATCCCCCATCTTGACCCCCAAATCTTTCAAGAGCTTTACTTTCCCCAGAATCGAGTCCAATTCTTCGTTATTTTGGGACTCAAGCGACGACATCATCGATTGGCTATACGCACCGACTTTGGTATTATCGTACGGCGAAGGAGTGCGGAATAGTTCTGGCTGTTGCTGTTGTTTGATGGCCGGGTTAGTTTGTTGGGCAAATAGGTTTGTTCTCCTGGTAGGAGCGTCGCCAAAAAGCGAGGTCCGTTGTTCTTTGCTGTACATTGTGTGGATATATTGATTGTAAAGTCAAATGACGGTTGATGGGTGGTGATAATTTTGTTGTGTTGTTTAAAATTTGGCCTTTTTTTTTTCCCCCACCGCATTGTAAATTCCTGCTGGAGTTCACCGGAGCGGAAGTATGGCCGTCCGTAAGTGCCGCATTGGAAGCGACGGATAAGTTGTAGTTAGAGTTATCTTGGGACACGATTAAGTAATAATAATGAGTTGTTACAAGTTAGATTGGGGGCTGGATGATTTGTGTGTCGTTTATTCCAGCTTGGGATTAAATGGTATCAGAATTTACGATAAAACAAATTCGGTCAAAATCGGATTCTCTCAATCGCAGCTCTCCCTCCTACCAGTGGTAGGATATTATGCTTCTATATATAAGTATTTAAATCTCTGAAGGTCAATTTTCTCCAGTATTAGGATAGCTGATTCGCTGACCCGGATTTCCGTATTTGACTACCACTCTCAGATAGAGCCGTTAGTAATGAGATTTCACAAGAACTGATGAGACATTCGTGAATGAATGAATTAACATGAATGAATTGTATATTAACGAGCCACAGAGGCTCTAAATAGCATGCAAGCCGGGCATTTTGTGCCGGTCTATCTAATAGGTAAAGTAAAATACTATAACTTTCTCGCAACATCACACTCCTTGCTTTAAGGATTAATCACATCACCGGTAAAAAACTCAACAATCAAGCTTATTAAGGGAAAAAGGTGCAATGTGGAAATATGATATGAAGTCGCTAGTGAATTACCCATCACTAGGAGCTTCATGAACTGAGATGGAGGTCTTTGTTAAAGGATTTTGGCACTATATCTCAAATACTAAGTATTTTCGAAGTAGTGACCATCAGAATTCTGGGGAGAATTATAAAAATTAATAAAATAATAAAAACCAAGTAAATCAAAAAAATGATAATGCCGTGTCCGATGTAAGGTCACATCAGCTCCACTATCTAGACGATAACCGAAGTAAAGATTATCACGACACTTAGCCACCGCTTTGTTATCCCACGGTGGACTCTCCACCAGTCTCTCCTTCGTGTTAGTTTGTGCCTTACAATCCTCGATAATTATTGGCGCCGTTCATCGTCTTTCTGTGACTCGGTCATCTTGACCTTTTGATAGATTTCGTCACATTTCTTACCATCACCATAAGTAGTAAATGCAACGTTTAATTGCTGTCAAGTTTTAATATTTGGAAACATAGATACAATATCTTGATAAAAAACTGGTGGTCTGAATCGATTAATTTTTCTCCTAAACCACTTCATAAGCTTCTGATCATGCTGCCCCTTCTCAAGATCAAACGCATATTTATGGATTATACCATCAACCTTTATTTGTGTTGGATGTGGTATACCGCATGAAGCACACCAAGGTTCACTCGAGCGCTCTTAATATCCACCTGACGGTTTCATCAGTTTCGATCCCGGGGTAATGAGCTCGGCCTTCATTCCGACTAAAGGTCGCAAACTCAGACGTTGATCCATTTGGAAATGATCGATGAAACCTTTTCATTAATGGATCTCAATGGTCGAGCTCATCCAATCCATATTTGTCTCTCGCTAATAGGTAAAACATGATCCACCTCATCATTTTTTGTTCTTCCGGTGTCAAATACATGTAACGCTTTTCAAACCTTTCGGCTGCGTCTTCTAGTGTACCCTCATATATTCCACTTTCGAGGAATTCTAACGTTTGGACGACTTTGAATGGAAATCCATCTTTTTCGTATTCATTCACTAATGCTTCCAATACATCGGCAACTGATCTTCCGACTTCTCGAGCCCTTTGGTGAAGCTCGTAGTTCAACGTATACGCGATGTGCATGAGTACTTTTTCATGTAACCTCTCGTAAATTACATAACTCATACGCATAGCTTGTTCTCTGGGATTCGCATCAATGTCAGCGCGTAATTCTGGGAACTCCAATATTGATTCTTTATTCCGCACTTCTGGTATTCTTGTACTAAACAAAGCAGCAACTGGAGGCAGAATTGACTTATTGGTTTGGATGTAATCGACAAATTCAGCAGCTTTTTTAATAACACTGCTTGGTGTAGTTGCAACCCATCTTTCAGCACTTGGCAGACAGATTGAGTCAATCTCATTCATGTATCTTGACTCGGCCTTCTCCCATAAGTGCTTTTCGAAGTCCAGCATCACCATCGAATTTGTATCCGACCCTGACACATTGTATCAGTAATTTTCCCTTAAAAATTTTCTTTAAACTGGTCTAGTTGGTTAGAGCAGTTTGTTCTCACTTCTAATCTGTTAGTACCCGGATAGAGCGTCAGCTTACTTAGTTTCAGGATGGGAGTGCAGACCAGGGGTTCTAGTCATTCTAAGCTTCATTACCGTACTCCTTCTCCTCTTGAAGTCCGAGTGTATTTGGAGGATATGAAAGTGTTTATACTTACGACTATGTAGTCCGGTTTACTGTATCCGTACCATAATCCAGACGGTCCAGCCAGGAGACTCCGGTCCACTACCTTAGTGCTAACAGATCATGTCGACATGTTCCCCTTTTGTTTCTTTTTTGAAAAGATTATATCTTAGTTTCTATCTTTTCAATATTTCTATCTTAGATTCTCTGTACTTTTTCAATTCTTGAACTATATTACCAGTAAAACTTCGCCATCTCAGCGTGATAAAATCCGAGTCTGCATAAGTGAATATTCTACTCTTATCAAATTTTGTTTTGTAACACCAATGGCTTGTGACTATTTAATGCGTGATGAAGAAGTTGTTTTTCAACTGCAATGATTTACGCATTATGGCGGTAAATGAACGATGCAACATACTATACTCTGAATGAGATATTAGGACGTGTGGTAACGGCTATATAATTCAAAGACCCAATAATTTGCTGTAATAACTTGTCATTCACATCATTGTCTTTATAGCGATTCTCTGGGATCAAAGTGTTCTCTATATTCTTCATTTCAAATTTATGCTTCATTCTGTTGCATTCATCCAATACATCTTTGAATTTTTCTTTCATATTTCCCACTAACTTTTTATTTGATAATTGCATCCGATCAATAATTTTTTGTTTGTATTCTATATTGATTGAAAGACCAATAAATTCAATTTTTGTTTCACCATAATTATAATTATTTGTCTCCTTAAATTTTCTCAATAGTTCTCCTGTTTCCATCAATTCTTTCTCACCCTAGTAAACGACTAGTAAGTCATCTACGAAAACAGTCAGAAGTTTTGGATAAATTTCAAAACCTTGGGATTTCAAATATTGTGATAGGTAATCCTATCAACTTTTTGCATTTGATCGTAAACCGTAAATAGCTTTGGACACACTAACCACATTACCTCCAATAGAGCCTATTACTGCTTTTGGAGTAGTACATATAAAGACGAAACAAAAGCACTAACATATAATAACAAGAACTTTAGATAATAAAGTTAAATATAGGGACAGTAATTAGGACAAACAGCACGACACCTAGCAACCTCAAACCAATAATGGCTGTAAATATAATCTTGATAACAACAACTATAATATTTATTAGTAGAGATCTAATTATCTTGTTCCTAGTATAAGACCTACAGACCCCTTGATTGTAAGACCTCGAACTTGCAACAACAGAATGCACTTTCGCCAGAAGAGGCGATTACTGTACATAAGTCACCGTATTTCTCGCATAGTTTGGATCATCAATTCTCATTTCCAAGCGTAACTTATTTTTCATCTCTTCATTGAATGCCATCTGGTTTATTCTTTTAAACACTCTGATGAGTCTGTCAATGCCCATGATTTCTTTAGCGCTGTAGCATTCCCTGAATATCATAGTTATGATGTCTTCTTCATATGGATGCAAATCACTTGATACAAAATCTTCTTTATTAATGATTTTTCCCAAACAGGATACTTGTAAAGCATATAAAACATTTTTGTATACTTTTTGGAAATCATCTTATACAATGCTCCTTTTTCGTCCACGAACCGTCTCATTTGTGTATGATTCCATTCATGTGTCCCAGGTTCGGTGCCATGTAAATTCCTGCTTTTTTGAGAAAATCAGATTTTGACCGAATTTATCTTATCGTAAATTCTGATATCATTTAATCCCAAGCTGGAATAAACGACACACAAACCATCCAGCCCTCAATCTAACTTGCAACAACTCATTATTATTACTTAATCGTGTCCCAAGTTATCTTAACTCTAACTACAACTTATCCGTCGCTTCCAATGCGGCACTTACGGACAGTCATACTTCCACTCCGGTGAACTCTAGCAACAATTTATACGCATGTTTGGTTACGCAGCCCCGCCAGTTGGTTGCTTCTCTTACCACGTTCTGGGGAGGGAGGGACAATAGGCACATTATCATTATCAGCCAGGAACCAGAGCATGAGAATCATCAGCTTTATTTGTCATTAGCTATTCATTTCTATGTTTACTTGGGGAAAACATCGATAAAACAAAGAGAATGCACATCATTGAAGGGGGAAGGATATCACACCGGGTAACTCCCTAGATATACTAACAACAAAAAATTAAAAATTACTGCCAACAGGTTCACATCATTATCAACAGCGTCGGTAAACAAATTAACAGGGGTGATTCCAGATGTTGTTTCTACGATTGTACCAGTTATTAATATCCGTTGCACTTCTTGGAAGTGTTTCGGCGTCTGTGGTATCCAACGAACTCGATGCAGCCTCAGATAAACGAGCTGAGGCCGCAGAAGAAAATTACGATGATGTCGAACTACCACCGCTGCTTACCCAAGATGATTTCGACCCTAAATTAACAGAAGGTCTTCATATGGTGGAGTTTTATTCACCATATTGTGTCCATTGTACCCAATTGATGCCTATATGGAAGAAGGTTTATAAAACTTATGGTGAAGAGGCAAAGAAATTGGGGATTGACATACATCAAGTGAATTGTGTCGAACAAGGTGATATTTGTGATAGAGAATCTGTGAAATATTATCCAAACATTAGAATCTACGGGCCAAACCCCGGCCGTCCGGGTGGTAAAGTTTTACTGAGTTTCCCTTCGAATATCAAGAAAACTGAGGAGAATTTGAAGAGTTTTATCAAAGAGTCTGCGTACCAATTTGGTGAATTGGATAAGTTGAATTTGCCGAGTCAAAGTAACTTGATTGACACTGGATCTTTGGCCGAAATTTTGGCGGGTAAAAGCCAAACTAATAAACCTATACTATTGTCATTCTGGCCAAGTAGTGATGACAAATTTACCGATATTGATGCCGATCAAAATGTATTTGACAATTGTGAAGTGTGTCGTGAATTTAGAACTATGTGGAACATCATTTCTAACCAACTCGTTGATGATATTGAAACTGGGCATGTGAATTGCGAATCTAGCGGTATCATTTGTCAAGAATTGGGGTACAAGGAATTGTTGCAAAATGGAAGAAACAGAAATAGAAATCCAAGGGTTGCCGTGGTGTTACCAAGATCTACCGGTAATTTCATTAAATATTCTGGACCTGTAAATATCGGTGAAGTTGTTACTTGGACCAAACGTTTCTTACAGAACTATAAAGTTGAAGATATTAATCCATATGAATTATCCCAAAAAATGAACTTGGTTAATAGATTGATCAATGAACCGAAAACAGAATTACCAGGAGAATCAGACAACAAAGTGTCATTTATCTATTATTATGGTAATAACGTTGGCGACGAGTCATTGGCCACTAATCCAACAACCGCCGAAGATTTTGAGGTTTTACCATATTTGTTGGACCCAGTGATGAAATTACCAGATATTTATCTTTATAAATCTAATGATACTGGGTTCCTTAAATTAATCGAGAGACAGACCAAAAATATGTTGAGATATATTCATTATAATGTATCTGAACCGGTCAAGGAATTTGACAGAGAATTGTTTGTCTCTAATACCGTTACTTCTCTTCCAACAATTATTGGTTTCAAGGATAATTGCTTAATTCCGTACGTGTTTCAAAATTTCGATCCAAAGGATATTAGAAACCCAAAGCTTGTTGAAGCGTTCATTAGAAGAAACTCTTTACCATTCATCTCTGAATTGACCCCAGGTAGCTTCAAAAAGATCTTTAATTTGAAAAACAATAATATTGATAAAGTGGTGGTGGCATTCTTTGATAGTGGTGATCCAGGTTTCAACCATGGGGCCCTTAACAACTTGATGTTGGCAGCTCATGACTATCATTACTATTGGAGCGAGCACGTTTTCAAACAACTTGCAAAGAGAAGACAGGCCAAAGCTGATAAGGTGGCCAAGCTTCGTGCCAAAGGCGCTGACTCAGTGTCTATTACCCTGGCAATGGCGAATGAAATTGATTATGATAATGCAGGACAGGTTGTCTTCACTTATCTTGACCTTAATAAGTTTAAAGACTTGATTAGTGAAAAGGGGTGGAACATCCATGGGAAGGAACATTTTGATAGAGGAGATGCTATAATCATTGAACGTACTGGGAAGTTTTACTACGAACATGATAGCTATGGTAATCCTTTGCGTTGCGAACCTTGGGCTATCCGTAACACTTTGATGAGTTTCCATGATAAGAATTACGTTGTTCGTCCATTGAAGAAGAACTTGATTAATAGTCCTTACGGTAATTACTTGAGACCAATGGATTACATCCACCGTCACGGTATCAGAGGGTACTTACTCGTGATCATTGTGGTTGTTGGTTGTATTGGCGTGCTGAGAAAGTATAATATCACCGGCAGAAGATCAGCGTTAACGAAATTGAATGCTGTGAAACAATACTTTTATCAAGGATATTCCAAATTGAGTGGTGGAAGCGGACATTACGCCAGTGGGGCTAATAAAAGTTTGGGAATCTTGGGGAATATTCCTGGTCAAGGTAGTGGAAAGACCGATTAAGCCATAAAAGAGTGGGGGTCAAGTTTTCTCTTTCTTGTTTGTTTTGATACGGGCTTAAGCACCAACTCGCAATAATAATGGCATTTTTTTTTCTTTCTCTCTCTTTCTTTATTCTGACTAATTCCCTCCCGCATTAGACCTTTTTGATGATCATGGTCTTTTTAATAACAGATTCTAACGCTAAACGAGTTTTTCCCCCACCTCTAACATTATGTCAATTTTTCTGGATTCATTTCTGTTTTTCTTTTATTTATTTTTTTCTATTTTTTAATGTTGTTAAATTTTTGTTTATATTTTTGTTTTTGTACGTTAAATGGTGAGATTAGAGTGCAAAGTGATTTGTAATGATCAAACAATAAAAGGTTTAATTGTGAGAAAGTGTTAATGCCAAATATGGAAATTATTATTCTTGTACTATTGATACCATCAGAACTATCAATGCTAGTGATACTGGCTAAACTGGTTATGCCAAGTTTGTGAACTACTTTAACCAGTATGGCTTTCTTTTTTCTTTTTTTCTTTTTTTCTTTTTTTTTTTGTGATTCTTCTTATATTATGCTATACTATTTGGTGGAGTACTAGAAGCCATGTAGAGTTTTAAATACATCAATGACAATTTTCTATTTTGGTACTTTCAAAAATTTTATCCAGATCCGCGATAATGGAAAATAGAAGTCTGATTTTGTGGTGGAAATATATCACAAATATTGATTTCTTTACTTTTTTTTTTTTTTTGTGTATTATTTTCCTCCGCCCAATTCAATATTTAAAGAAGCAAATTGGCATAATTCATTATATTCATAGAAGTGATTCACTCATCAAAAATAAAGCACCCTAAATCAATATCAAACAACGAAAAAAAAAAAAAATAAAAAAAAAAAAAATCAATAAGAGGGGGAGGAGAGGGAGGGGAAAATTAAATAATAATTATCGAAATGAAACGGGGGAAAAACAAAACCAGAACAGATATTTATCAGAAACCAATAATATGTATATATGTATAATAATAATAGTAATAATAAAAAAAATTAAAACAATTGAAAAAAAAAAATGAAGGAATGAAAAAAACAAAATCTAGAAAAAGGTGTCATCTATCTCTTCAATTTTGATCAAGTTGAAATGATGAAAAGGATGAAGATGATGGGGGAGTGGTTAATGGACCTTCTGTTCCTCTAGATCTAGATCTAGGTTCTCTTCTTATTATTTTACCATGTTTTCTCTTTTGATGCTGATTTAAATTATCTTTTCTAGTGAACTTCTTTCCGCAGCTGTCACACTCAAAAGGTTTCTCCAAGCTATGCACCGAGGTCAAATGTCTCTTTAAATGTTCTGCTCTATAAAACTTCCGACCACAAATTGGACATAATCGAAGATCCAAAGGATCTTTAGTGAGTATGGTTGTCGAACAATACTTGTTAGGGTCCTTTCTTGAACGAGGCTTGAAATTTTTAGGAATAAGTTCAAGGTATTCCGGACCATTGGCCACTTGAATACCATCAATTTCCACAATATTTTGAGGATCCCTCGCATCTTCGGTAATATAACTAAGCTCCCCATTTTCTGCGGCTTTCTGCATGTCAATGTTAGAAGATGACGACGCTGGTGGAGTAGAAATGATGGGCAAATTTCCTTTACCATTGTCGTTTCCAGCTTCCATTATTGTTGGAATAGAACTTATTGGTCGAATAGAACTTATTGATCGGATAGGATTGATTGAAGGAATAGGATTTATTGATGGAATAGAATTTATTGATGGAATAGAATTTATTTGATTAGAAGGTCTAATTCCATCCGTTGTAGATGAATTACCTGGTTCATCAGCCGCTGAATCGATTGATTTTTGATCCTTCCCTAATGAGTTTGAGGTAGTATTGCCATCATCGTCATAATCACCATAACTTGAATTATCCGGAGCACGCCAAGATTCCGTATCCCGAGTTCCTGTCTCTTCTATTTCCTCATAATCATCCTCCTCGCTGGTAAAGAAATCCTCCAATTCCTTAACTTCCTCATCTAGTGCATTCACAGGGTCAGAATTCAACATTGATGATATACGAAGCATTGAATATGGTCTTTTCTTGCTTGTTGAATCCGAAGTGGAGTTAGCATTAAAGTTATAATTGTTGACGGTGGAGCCATTATTATTATAATCATTGGCAGCTTCTGGAGTGCTCCAAGATTCAATAGCCGGAGGGTTTCTGCTTTTCTGCAAATAATCTTCGAAATTACCGTTTTGGCTGACAATTTTGGAGATAGGAATCTTTGTGGAACGTTCTTTATTTTTTTGAGTCTCTGAAACACTAAGAGTTTGTGAATGTGGTGGTTGTGATAGTTGTGGTGGTTGTGTAGGTAGTTGCTGCTGCTCTTGTGGTAGCTGCGGAGGTTGTAGAAGTTGTGAGGGTTTTAGAGGCTGCTGCTCTTGTGTTAGATGTGGAGGATGTGATGGATGTGACGTACGGGATGAATATGGTGGATGTAGAAGTTGTGGAGGATGTGTAAGTTGTGATGGATATGGCGGCTGTGGTCCCATATGGGGTACAGGCGGTACGAATTCTTGTTGTGTACCCTGGGGAATAGGATTTAAGATCTGGTTGAGTGATCTTGATCTAGGTGGGGTTTGATGTGGTGATGATAAATTGGTATTATTATTCGCCCCAGTTTCATTAACTGGATTAACGAGGTCGCTTGCTTGTTTTTCTTCATGATATCTTTCCAATTCTTCAATTGTTGCGTCCAGTAATTTTGAAATAAAATCATCAGCATTCATTATATTACCAATGTTGGATGATTCGACGATGCTTTTCAATTGGGCAGTTAACCGATCCTTAAACTTTTGACGAAATTCTTCAATAAAATCTTCATCATGGTGACCACCATATGCATTTCTAATATCATTATTTCCAGAATCTGATATCACTCCTTTACGGTTGGTGTCTGAATTATTTGAATTCTTCCGCTGGCCATTCTCATTAAATACTCCATCTATATTCACGTTGAGCAAATCTGATTCGATACCCAAAACATCAATTAATACATCGTTACGGTTAAAATGCTCCCCGTCGTCCCCGAAATTAACTATGTCACTGTACTCTTCTTCTTTATTGTTAATATCGCTCAATCTCCACAACATATTCTTGGCTGAGGTCTTGTTATGAAACATCATAATCTCAAGGCAACTCTGTGAAGAATAAACCTGCACTTCAAATCGCATCTTTATTAGATGCAACTGGCTTTCGAACTGCAGGACGATATAATGGTTCTCGTCAATAAGACTTTGACGTAGACGGAGAAGATAACGAAGTTCTAATCTTGGAGAGCCATTGGCGTAATACTTTGGCGGATTATATTTTGCATATATATCATATGTATTGGGGTGCTGCATTTTTATTATTGATATTTGGAATTATTTGACAACAGTGGCCTCAAGGGCTAAAATATAATGGTGACGTTGGTTTGGGAAATGAGCTTGGTCATATATGGATGGACGTATGCGATTTGGCAAGACCAGTGTAAACCTTTGAGATTATGAAAGAGCAGAGGTTCGGACTTCCTCGTCAAGTTGGCAAATAAATGAAATGAGCTGAATAGATGTATTTATATATTCTCTCCGGACACAACCCACCTAAGAAGAGAATAATAGTCTTGTGAATTATATTAGGTCGTTTACTTTTGTTAATGCATTCAAAATCATGAAACTTCCTAACAGTCGCAGAGCACAAATCTATGACCTGTAATGATCAAGTAAAAAAGGAACAAGGAAAATCAGTCCGGTTCCCAACAACACAATTGGGGTTCAAGCTATATATGGAGCCAACTGAAAGTGCCTTCAAATGCAAATGTATAAATTACCCACTGGAGCTTGGTTCCAGAAGACTGATGTGGAAACGGAAATTGGGGGAAGGGCGAAGGATGTCTGACAAAACTCTGTGTAAATTTCTCTTTTATTACAAAAATTCCTCCAAAAAAAACCGCGGTGCCCACCGCATCGGAAATGCTGATACGTGCACACTTCTTGATGCCCCAAGGACGGCAACAGCCGATCCGGGACCACATTAGTCACCCTTCAAAGATCCATCGGTTTGTTTTGTTTCATCAACAGACGCTTGGGTACCCGAAGGGACTTGTTCGGGTCGGCTAGCTAATCGCTGAAGGACAAATAGCTTGGTTTTTTCATCCAGGCCTTGAAAGGTAGTATGGTTGTTGCACTAGAGAACGCCGATCATCCTGTGGATCTCTTAGAACTCTTGACTCTGGATGTTCTCGACTCGGAATATCAAAGGGGTTTAAACTTTATCATGAAACGAAGCTTATATTACCAAAGGATCTTATGGTCCTGTGATCTTATCTAACCTGTAGATACAAGAGCCGGCCAAGTTGACACAACAACTTATTACACCACTATTTATCTATCCGCTTCAACTGGTAATGGATAACCAATCTAATCGCTACGCACTGGCGCCTCAGCTGAAACACGAAGTTAGCCCCACACGTGCTTCTCTCTGTTACAATAACCAAGCGGTTTGTTTTAGATCTGAGATTTACCCGAAGGCATTGTTTGGAATTGTTACCGAAGAACCTTGTAAACGTACCTAAAATTACGCTACAGAAATTCCCTCAAAAGTTCCGATTTTGTAACTACAAGATAAAGAGTAAAATATTGGTGATTGAGAAATATCAAAAGGTATATCTGTCACATATCAAAAGGCATATCTTTAAAGTATCAAGAATATCTGCAAAATATCAAAAGGTACACCTGCAAAATATTAAGGTTAGCAATTTTGGCCGAACTTCACAATTTAGGGTTGAAATCAATTTTTTCCTTTTCGGTACCGGTACCGAGGCAACCCTCGTCAATCCCAGCATCCATCAATGATAACCCCAATTTTGAATAAGCGCCATATGATCCCGAAAACTTCTCGGCAAAACCACTACTATTTGTGCCATTAATCACTCTAGCATGAATTCCTTGAATAATCACTGATAGTCTAAAACAAGAAAACGCCTTGGCTGAGATCCAGTACTTGAACAAAACACTGGAGGACTCCAATGGAGAATCGTAAAAACTACCAATGATATCTTTGTAGGTGTTAAAAGATGAAGATCCATTATTGATGTGATTCAATTCTTCGTTAGTAGTCATTCTTGGCTGAGTTATCCATAGGAATAAGTTACCATCGTCCTTGGTGATTGAATTACTAGGCCAGAGATTGCACACAATCTGATAATATTTCTGCAACACTAAATTTACAAATTTGGGGTCTGGTGACAAATCTATACCCAAGAAATGAGAATTGAAGGCCCTTGGAAAATAGTAGTTTTGCAAAGCGTTGGCTAAATCGAATATCGGATTACCAATGGTACATAATTCCCAATCCAATACCGCAATAATCCTATAGGTTTGTAAATCAAAGATAAAGTTATCGATCTTGAAATCTCCATGAATTAACACCGGCAATTGAGGATCGGGAGGACAATTGTGAGATAAGAGGTCACAAAGTTTTCCAAAACCGTATATTGGAGGGGTGTTGGATTGAGAAGATTGAAATTTATGAATTGCCGCCAAGGATTTGATCTGTCTTTGGAAATAATTCAAATTTCCTTTTGGCGCTTTTCCCCTTTGAGGGAAACAATGGACCAATCCACTTACCGGTACTTGATGAATTTGTGAAGCAACTTGAACCACACTTTCCCAACACTTATCTCTTTCAAAGTTCGTCAATGTTGGCATCGAAGGATCATGAAATATAAAACCTTCGACAAACTCAGAAATATAGAAAACCATACCTAAACACTGTTCATCCTCTACTAGTACCAAAGGCATGGCCACAGGAATGGAAAAGTTCTCAGTAATGTTTAAATTCGCAATATCGTATGCAATCCAGAATTCTCGTTCGATATTATGAGCTTTTCTGGATAATAACTTGGAGTTGGCAGAAGGTTTTCGACGGAGGATATATTTGTTATGGTTTGCGTCTTGGATGTAGTATGTGGGATTGGATTGACCATATTTAAATTGATTAATCTTAACAGGAAGAGAAATAGATAATGAGCTCAAAGGACCAAGATGGATTTTGGGATTAGAACTCAAATTGGAACAACCCGATAAGAATTTGCATAACTTATCAATGTCGATTGGCGATCTGATATCCCCAATGTCTTTGTCTGTGGCAACAGCTGATTGCATATTATAACAGTAGTAGTTAGTCAGTTCGTATCTATTTGAGCAGCATTATAAAAAATAAATAGAAGATACTGCTAGATATATATTATCATTGCCAAATTGAGGGGTCTGCGCTTAGAAAGAGAGCGCAAAGACTTACCAGAAGAAGCCCCGGACGGATGTAAACAGCGGTCACTTGCCGCACAGGCCTACTCAACATGCATGAAATAATAATTATCTTCATTTTCCTTTAGAATTTACTAGGGTGTAAGAATTACCTGAAATAATACTGTGGTGCTACAGTGTGATAAAACCTGGTGGTTGCAATTTATCTCTTGCCCATGTGGATTTGCATTAAATTTTCTCATCTAGGACTCTCTTATTATAGGATTGGATGTGAAACTCAGCTTTTAAACGAAATGTCGATTATTACTATTTATCAGAGAACTACAAAAAAGAACAACAATAAAGTGAATAACTAAAAAGCTTGATGTGAAAGAATGGAAAAAAAAAACGTGCTGTAAGTTTTGAGAAATATTTGTTTTGGAGAAATTCAGAAAAGAATTATTAAAGAATGGGAATTATATATATAATTATCATAAGTTAATTATCGTAAGTTAATCAAAAGAAGTGAAAGAATACAAATATCAGAAAGGAAGAACTATTCAGAAAAAAGTGTTTTGTGTTTGGGATGAAAATTGTTGTGATTGGCCAAATCCTGTCTGCTGGGCACCGGTCATTTGGAATGGGTTTGCCACTTGTTGTTGGAACTGAGGTTGTCCAAAACCAGTTTGTTGGAACTGCTGTGTCTGTTGTTGTTGTTGTTGTTGTTGTTGTTGAGCTAATTGGTTTTGGAATTGCTGTTGTTGAGCCATAGCAGTAGCTTGGGCTTGCAACATTTGTTGCTGTTGTTGCACCTGCATGAACTGTTCCTGCTGTTTTTGAGCGGTCTGCTGCTGTTTTAATTGTGATAACTGGTTAAGAGATAGTTTACTAGAAACTCCATTGTTAACAGCATCACCAGTGGTTAATGATGTAGCAGTACTTGGAGGGTTGCCGAATGAAGGTAGTTGAGATTGTGATCCAAAAGGTGATGGAGTAGAGGAGCCAGTCCCTGTGAATATCGAGTTTGTAATTCCGAAACCTGTAGCGGACATTTGTTGTTGTTGTTGTTGTTGTTGTTGTTGTTGTTGTTGTTGTTGTTGTTGTTGTTGTTGTTGTTGTTGTTGTTGTTGTTGTTGTTGTTGTTGCATGAACGGATTTCCGGTAACCATTGGCTGCTGTTGTTGCATCAAAAAAAGATTACCAGTGGCCATTGGCTGTTGCTGCATTGCAAATGGATTACCAGTGATCATTGGCTGCTGTTGCTGAACAGTTGCAAAAGGATTTCCGGTTTGTTGCATTACGAACGCTTGCGGTTGAGCAGGAGTAGTATAGATTATTCCTCTATTTGGATCAATCATGGCAGTAGCTTGCTGAGATTGTGGTTGTTGAACTCCATCGCCATCGAATAGCTCTTCAACTGGACGCGATACTTTATCAGCGACATCAATGATATTATCATCCTCCAATAGATTGTCACCATCGGCCCAATCGGTAGAACTTTCAATTGGTTTATCGACATTGGTACGTCGAGGTAACGCAGGTTTCTTTTCACTACTGTTTTCACTTCTTGACTTATCATCATTAGAGGGATTTGAAGATGATGATTTATTACGTGATTTTTTTCTAGATTTCTTGATGATCTCAAATGCAGCAAAATTATCACCGTTGGATAAAACAAGCGCTTCGATAATTGAATCAATATCTCTAATTCCCGTCTTCTTGGCAAATCTAATGGCTTCTTTATGGAAAACTTCGTCTTCGAATTTAGTTATTTTACGACCAGTCAAGGTAGGAAGCGATTCGGAATCAAATTTGTCTTTCTTTTTTGAGCCACTAGACATGAACTTTGGTTTTGAGAACCGGGAGGAGAGACCCCCAAACCGGGAAGATTTGCCACTGGACCTTCCACTATTATTGTCATAGTAGTCCTTAGAATCCTGACCTCCAGTATTGCTGTACAAATCATCTTTAAACATATCATCGTTATTAATTGATGAAGATCTATTTCTTGAACCAGTGCGTCTTGACCTTCCACTAGATGAATTTTTATGCTCATAATCAACATTATCCTCATCAGATTCGTAGAAAGCATTTCCTTTAGATCGACGACGTGGCTTCTCCTGGACGTCAGCTTCAAATGCATCATCCTCGCCCAACGTTAAGTTTGGGTCATCAGAACAGTACTTCCTCAAGACATATTTTTCACGAAACCATTTTTCAATAGCTGAAGAATCATCCTCATCAAATGGGAATGGAACTTTCTTCAGATTCCAAGCTTTGCTCGCCCTTTTGTTACCAATACGACGTAAATTGGAGATTTGATCCTCGGACCAAGTGTCCATGGTGAGTGATTTGACTTTGGTAATATGAGATCCCAACTTACGATGATAAGAAACGCAACGACCACAGAGAAAAATTCCAATACTATAACTTGCCCATGCTAAAAGAAACAGAGTGTTAGTAAATTTCACAGGCTTCACAATGGATGATAATATCATGAATTCTTCAGGTAATAATAAAAACGCCGCTCGCGACCAATCATATACTCCATAATTTGAATATTGAAAACAACACTGAGCATATAAATAGAATTCGTGACCTTGAAGAAAATATTATTCCAAATAAACAATTGCGCCTATTCTTTTCTATCAATTTTATACTCACTTGGAAAGGCAGTTTTACATTCACCACATTCATTTCGATTATCTGGCAAGTTAATGATCTGCTTCAACTCGTCTCGCGAGCGCATTTGTTGACGTTTGGACATCGTATGTATTAATTCTTATCTAAGATATTGCAGTTGTTGAAAAAGAAAGTTCTTGAGCAAATTCTTCTTTTTTTTTGTCCTTCTGATGGATGATGCTCTATCTTCGATACATACATATTTGTCAAGTTCATTTTTGTTTTCCTCAGTTTCCCATTTTGATTGGAGGGGGGTGAGGACATTACATGCCATATTTGCATACACATGCGTCCTAACGCATACTGTCAAAGACAAAACAATAGTTATCAACAACAAAACAAACAGAAAACTGGAAATTTATTCTTGTATAAAAGTTGGTGAATCCAAAGAATTTTTACAAGAAAAAAAGAGCGTCAACTAAAAAAAAGTTCTTCACTACAGCGCCTATACTTTTTAAAATGGCAGTGGTATGTATTCTTCATAGTAAACGTAAAGATAGCATTTACATTTTGACAAACTCGATCTAGTTTGCATGGTTAACAAAATTACCGATACCATATAAATGAAACTTCTAATTACCTTGCAATCATTGGAAATATTACCTGCTAACCTATTACTAGAAAAAAGCTACCGCTGAAGAAAAAAGAGACAAGCTTCTTCAATTTTTTACGGATGACTTTTCGTTCTATTCAATAAAGGAAATTGAAACAACCGCTGCCAAAAAAACTGGGATCAGTTCTATGCAAATTAAAGATGTTCTTCAACAGTTATTAGATGAAGACCTTGTGAAGTTTGATAAATGTGGATCTATGAATCTATATTGGTGTTTCCAGTACGATCTGACCAAAAATATGATTGTCAAACATCGGCGCTTATTAGAAAATATTAGGGAAGCAGAAGACGACAAGAGGCAGATTGTATCTGCAATTAATGTAGCTAGAAAGGAAAGAGAAGAAAATATTTCCAATGATAAAGATGGTGCAAATAATATCACCAGAATATCACTTCAACGGGAAATTAAGGAATTGAAACAAGAGCATCAGGAGCTTTTATCCAGGGTCCGAGAATTACAATTAAATGATCCCGCAAGGATCGAGCAAATGCAACTGAGTCTCATTAAGACTCAGTTGGAATCAGAGCGCTACACTGATAATGTGGATTCATTAGTTGGGTATTTGGCACGAGAAAATGGGATAAATTCCTCTGACCTTAGACGGGAGTTAGGAATTCCTGATTATGATTAATGACTTGTTGCTTAAACGAAGTTTAGGAAGATGGATTTCACTACTTGAGTTAGTACACTTTAGGATTACTAATTAGCTACTATTTCCTCCAATATTTAGTTGGTATACTGCTATTGAAAATCTAATGATCTTGCGGGAGCCGAAGTTCACTTTTTTTTTTTTTTCATGTTATTGCGCTTAAAAAGAGCGTCTTAGAGAATATTTGGTGGTCATGCGGGAACAGAGTGGGTTCAGAGACGGTACACTATTGGACAGCAGCTGCTTGCAAAAACTGTTGTTACTGTAGATATGATGATGATGATAATAATAATGTTAATAATATAATATTAATACGAAGACAACAGCCATAATAAATACTCTTATCGCATTAGGTGATCTGACGTGCAGCATTGCGTAACCGGTGTTTTATCTTTTTTGCCGCACGCAGTTTGGTAGATCCGGCTACCAGGAACCTATATGGTGTGTTTGAACAATTTAATTTAATTTAATTTTTCTTTTCGGTGTTGTTGTTTTCACTCATCCAACTGCAATACAATCAATAATTGCTTTCTCTGTTTGCTTGATATCATTTCGTTGTGCTCACCACAAGATATTCAACAAATAGTACATACAACCTGATACACATTTTAGCTTTTTTTTTTTTTCTGGTTGCCTTTTCTGACGGGGTCTTAAAATATTTCCGATCTTTCTCATTTGAAACAGAACAGAAAATGGCAAGTGAGAACTGCTCGGGCTTTCATTTGTTCTCTCCTCCATCCTCTTCAACACAATTGGGTATCGATAGTGTATTCGTGTTCCCTCAAGAGAGCACATCCTTGATGAATAACCCCGATAAACCCAATTTGGGTGCCGATAGTGACTATCTTTTGAACCAAATTTATTCCCGTGTCAACCTCTTGAACGTGGACCACCATTCTTCGCTCTCCACAATGGCATCCGATAGTAATAGTAATAACAATAATAATAATAATAATTCCAGAGGCTCGTCTCCTAACGCCTACCAACATGAAGCCCCAGTGCTTACTCCAAATTCTCATATGTCGCTTTCACCTCCCTCCACCGCAGAAGCTCCATCATCCTCTCAACAAGACAATTTTTATCTATTACAAAACAACCAAAGTATTCTTGCCACCTCCCTGGCAATAGATCTACCAGAAAACGATTTCACAGGATTTATGAATGGCGGGGGCAATCATAGTGATTGTATCCGCTCGGAAATTAACCATAATGACAATAATAAATTCACCATCATGCCTCATGATTTGACTTCTAGTCATTCGGCCATGAGCTCTCCATTACATTTTACTACCACGTCAAAATTACAACACGACTCTCTCATGATTGACGATAACCTCAGTGTCATAAGCACGATCTCACCAAACAGAAATATCGATCCTCCTGAGGATTTAGCGTTGAGTGATTTTGATATGAGTAATGATCTATACAATAATATTAAGAATGATAATGACATTGGTTTCAAGTATGATGATATTAATAATATTAATGACAAAAAAGAGCCAGAGCCAAAAACTAATACCAATAATCCTAAAAAACTACAGCCCAAAACAGAGAAGCCTCAACGGTTAGATTTCCGAACCTCAAATGGCAGTTTGTCTTCGCTAGGCCGGACATTCACATTTTCTGTCAATGATAATTTCATTACCAGCGGGATTTCCTACAAACAAAATAAACCCACACCGCTTCGAATTCCTACTGCAGATAAATCCAAAGCAAAACATAATCGGGAAGGCTCACTTTGCACAATGATGGGGAAAACTAGCTTGCAATCGCCAATCACCCCGATTTCAGCATCCTCTAAGAAAAAGTTTCCTCCGTTATGTGTAGATATCCCTCATACCACAAAGGATTTCAAGATGAACGATCATTTATCAACCCCAATTTTCCAAACCTCAGTTCTTGATTTCTCTAACGATAATAAGAAAAAATCCCACAAGGTTCAGAAATCTGGCACCGCTAAAAGTTCTATTCAAAAAGTTCATAAAAAATCCCAGAGTTTGAGTTCACAATCATTGACCAACCTTTCCCATCATGATTTGGTGGATCATAAAAAATTACTGAATGCTTCATCAACCTCTATTCATTCCTTGGCTAATAACTCATCATCGAGCATCAATAATAACCCACACATAATGAATTCGAGCACCAATACTCCAATCGCCACTCCAATTAATAATGCCATCAAGAAACTTCCACCATCGCTCAATAATTTGCGAAATGGTGGAATGTACAGTAGCAGCTTTTCTCCAGTTAATTCCAGCTTCACCAACTTGCAAATTCCTAACAAATTTGTGGCCCAAAAAATCGAAGAACCTTCGGGGTTATCCACGAAGATGTCGTCTAATAACAATAACAATGTTGATAATTCGTTTGTACTATCACTTTTGAGCACTGGTGAAGAACCTAGTGATTCTGAATCTTTCAATCCAACCACTGGTTTTGATGCAGGAGGAAAAAATTATTTTTTCAACAATGAAAGCGTGAATTCGTTTGTTGATGGGTTAAGGAACGAGAAAATCAATCAAGATGATAAAATAAAATGCGAAAATTTTGGAGATTTTTTGGATGATAAAGATTTGGCGAAGTTTTCTGGGGATGAGAATGATAGTGATAATTGGAAACCTCATGGTAATCCTTTCGATAATGCGAAATCGTCAAACTATCAAAGCCCTGAAGCCATCAATGATGCTGACAAGAATTTCATTGACCAAAAACAACCATCAGAAGTTTCAGGGATAAAAAACGGTACCACTATTAATCCTTCTAAATTGACCTCTCCGGTACTGAGTTCTTTCAACAATTTTCTCAAATTTAAAGCATCAAAATCAATTGATTTCAATTTAGATAATGATATCAACAAGATTCTACCATTGGCAACGACCACCGAAGATTTTATGGAATTTGGGCTGGTTCTTGATGCAAAGGCCAACGATATGAATGGGTCGGATGTTTTGCGGGATTCTGACGAGGATTTGGCGAGTGATGGGGTTGATACTCCAAATTACAAAGCGTTGTTCAACAATGTCAGTTACAAGATGGTTAAAAAGAAGAACAGCAAAACTGAAGTCATTGGGGGTGAAGAAGAGTCTACATTTAGTGAACTGGATATAAATGATTCATCAAGAAAAATTGGTGCTGCTACCAAAGCTACCTTGAAAGAAAAATTGATCAGGAAAAAAAGTAATGATGGCGAATTCCAACATAAGAGTTCCATAAGTTCAATGGCCGCTAAACTTAAATCGCCGATTTTGAACAAGAGGAATAAATCTTCTCTGGATGATGGAAGCGGTGAAAATGGTAATTTCCCAAATCAATTTCCAAGACCTTCAATTCAAGTACCACCAATCCAATCACCTCATTTTGCTGAGCAACCGATTTATTCTGAACATCAAATGATTGTCCAGAAAACCTATTCTGAGCTTGTCAACGCCGCGCGTAATCGGGCTGGATCCATCAATTCCAGCGTTGAAAATCTCAGTACTGTGAACTCTTTGAATGGTGGAGCGTCCTCTGTTTTCTCAGCCAATACCACGGGGGCCAGTAGTATTTATTCCACGTCGAATGAGACTTTTGATGAACCAAAGAGAACGGTGGTGAGTGATCTCAATGCTAATAAATCATTGGGGAACCTGCCTGATTCTTTAACTAGCATGATAATCATTGCCTCTCCTCATCAACACCATATCCAACAACAAGAACAACAACAACAACAACAACAACAACAACAACAACATTCACCATATACTAGCACTCCATTATCGGTGATAGATTCTCGCACCCCATCACCAGAGGAACGTTCGGAGATCGAAGAACCTAATTCGTCATCTGGTGGTACGCAATTTGTGAAACAGCCGAACCGTCGTGGTCGGAAACCGAGCTTACAATATGATCCCACCAAGATCTTCAGCTGTACCTTGTGTCCTAGAAAATTCAAACGTCAGGAACATTTGAAAAGACATTTCAGATCGTTGCATACTGGAGAAAAACCATTTGGATGTAACATTTGTGGGAAAAAGTTCAGCAGAAGTGATAATTTGGGCCAACATTTGAAGACTCATAGTAGCTAGCTGGGAGATGATTCTTTTAAAAAAAAAATCTTAATTTATCAAGTTATTGTTATTGGACCCAGCATATCTTATTCCCTTTTTTTTTTTCAATATTTTTTTTTTTTTATTACACGGATGGAAGGAGGATTTTATTGTTATCATTATTCTTCTTATTATTATTGTTTATCATTATTTTTTCGGCTTATTCATTTACCTTTACCACTTCAATTCTTGGCTACGAACTTTTAATACCTTTTTTCCCCACGGGAGTAACTAATTACTACACAAAAAATACATATCCTGAAAAATAAAATCGCTATTGATGATTTCTTCTTTTTTTTTTCAGTTGTAGATTATCTAGGATCTATAACTACTTTTTATCAAAAAAAAATACTCGCTCTGTGCTGATGTCAGTGGCCATTGGTAGTGGTGGTTGAGCTTGGTGGTATTGATATTATTGATGATAACCATCAATAGAGAGCACTGGTACGAGAAGTGCGTTTGTAAGCTATTTTATCTCAATTTTTGTTTGTTGATTAGGCATATAAAATGATAATAAGTAACTAAGACTATTGGTAATCCTTTTACAGTGAAATAATCAAAAGGGTAATAGAAACAGAACAATAATGATTAAGATAAACAAGGATGGAAGGGATGCTCAGGAAATGAGAGATAACTACAAAATTAAGATGAGCAACGATAGAAGAGATAACCAAGAACTTAAGAATGAGCATGGATAGAAGAGATGTTTAGGGAAATAAAAAAATCCAAAATAAGAATGTTAGGGACTAAAAGAACATTAATCCTGCTATATATTACTTGTTGAAATGCTTTATTTATTCGAGATATTAATTGAAAAAAAAACAACAAACGAATAACATCTGTTGAAATAATAACATTTTCTAAAATAATAACTTCAAAAAGCAAAAAAAAAAAAAAAAACCAATGCCAATAATATTTGTTATAAAAGGTTAAGTCAGAAAACAATGCAAGAATATATTAAAAATAAGCTAAGGAAAAAATAATGATAATAAAACAAAACAGCAAAACGATGCAAAAATATTAAACTAAGTGTAGAGGTAAAAAAATATAAACTTTTTGGTGGGGAGAACTTTCCAATCTATGGAAAGAAATGATAAACTTATAATAATAGAAAATGAAAACAAAAACAAATGCAGAAGGAAATGAAAAAGAAGGCTAATGATGAAATGCGTATTGTGAAATTCTCAAAGCTTAGAGAATAGCAGCAACACCGAATAAGCCCACCATCATACCAGCAGCCAACTTGAAAACATTGTTGACGGAGTTCTTACTCTTCAAAAGACCAGAACCAGAAGAGGCTTGTTGGATCGACAAAGTGGTGGAAGCTTCTCCGGAACCGTAAGTGAGTTGTTCGCTCAAAGTACTTTGACCAGTGATGGTAGCGGCGGCGGTGGTGTAAACTGCATAAGAGTTAGAAGCAGCAGCAGTAGCAGCGGTGTAGACCTTAGAGGCAGACACTCTGTGATATGAGGAAACCACGGCGCTAGTTTCAGCGGCCTCGGTGGTGAAGGATTCGGCATCCAAAGAAGTGGTACCATAGACGGCAGAGGCAGAGGCAGAGGAGTAGACTTCAGCAGAAGCAGCGGAATAAACAGCAGAAGATGAAGCGATTGTACCATAGGCAGCCGAAGATGAGTATGCTTCGTAAGAGGAAGCGACAGCTGAGGTAGAAGCAGAGGCATAGGCAGAGTAAGAATAAACAGCAGAAGATGAGTATGCTTCGTAAGAGGAAGTGACAGCCGATGAAGAAGCAGAGGCATAGGCAGAATAAGAAGAGACAGCAGCAGATGAAGAGGTAGCAGAAGAGGAAGAGACAGCAGCAGATGAAGAGGTAGCAGAAGAGGAAGAGACAACACTGGAAGCATCGGATGAAGCAGCAGCATCGTCAGCATCAATGTTACCCAAGATAGTACCACCATTAGATTTGATACTGGTCCAGTCACCGCTAGTATCGGTATATTCATAACTAGAACCGGTAGAGTAGTCGGTAACCACCAATTCTTTGAAATAAGCACTCCATGGAGCAGTGGAGTAATCAGTTTCACCACCGGCCCATTCAACAGTACCAGCAGCGTCAACACTTGAATCACCACCAACCCAAGTACTAAAAATTGTTAGTAAAAAGAAAACAAAAATGAAAAATGAAAGTAAAAATAATACTCACCCAATATAAAGTTTACTAGGGGTTTGTGGGTAACCTTCAGATGAAGTGCTCAACAAAGTTCTGACCAAAGTACCATCGATGTACCATTGGAGCTGGTCTTCAGTCCAATCGAGGGTGTAATTGTGGAAAGTGGTTTGAGGGTTGCTGACGGTATGGTATCCACCACGGTCGTAAGTGGTGGTGTCACCTTTAGAGAAGTAGTTCGATTGCACCTGGTTGGTATCGCCACCTAACCATTCGATGTCGATTTCATCAAGATCTTCACTTTGCAAGTACAAAGTGGTGACGATCCCGGTTCCTGGAGCGGCCTGGCAGATCACCTCGACACGGCCGAACATGATGGTGAAATCGGACACGATAGAAGGATTGTCCAATTTTTTGGCGATGGTGAGCTCAAGACCATTTTCTGTACCGTATTCGACCTTACCAGCACTGCCGTAAGTGGAGAAGTATGAAGAGTTGGAGGAGAAGTCGACGTTGATGGACTTACCGAGGGCAGGAACCGTGGAACCGGCGGTGATGTTGGCGGTGGAGGCGTGGATCCCTGGATAGAGCAATGAGAAAGCAGCGATAAGACAAGCGACAGGAAGCATTGGTGGATGTTTGTATTTGAGTGATACTGATAGTGATTAAATGAAGGAGAAATTAGTTTGTCTCAGAGTGAGATTAAGGGCGATATATATATATATAGATATAGTAATAATAATAATAATAATAATAATAACATCCATGATTATACGATGCATGCAAGGCTGACGGGCGTCCAGCGTCGTCTATGGTAAGGGTCTGCAAAGGAAAATAGAGCGAATTTTTTTTTTTTTTTTTTTCAACCGGAGATTATTTGTGTGCACAGTGGATAATTGTCGTTTGACAGATATATTTGATGGATGAATTGTGTTGTCCGATGTTATATTGTATGGCAAACTGTATTACATATCGCTATCACTGAACACTGTAGATAGTAGCGGATAACCACTGCCTGTATGCTTGTTTGTTTGTTTGTTTTTTTGCTGTCTCACTTCAGGTAATGATTGACGATGGCTGGTGGCATTAGTTGATTAGCGCAGTCGATCCGCATAAATCTATAATTATAACCATCACCACCATAACCACATCACTCTACACGATCCTCAAAATAACAACAACAATCCTCTATTATCAAAATATAAAATATACACTCTTAAATTAAAGATACCAACCATTAAAACATCAAACGCAGACTAACCAAATAAAAAATAACTAAATAATGATAATAACAATAACAATAATAATAAAAAACCACAGCTACGCATAAGTTATTTATTTCTCTTCTTTCTTCTCCACTGATCCTTGCGGTTGTTGGGACTGATAATTATTATAGTACATGTACTGCTGGTTCGGATAATACTGAGAGTAGTACTGGTTATATGGGTATTGATACATCGCGGGATTCTCCCCCGTGACATTCCCACCAGTACCGCTAGCATTAGTGTTAACAACATCAGCACCTGTATGATTCCCAGTGGCAGAAGCACTACTGGTAGCATCCACTCCTTGAGGAGTGGAGGTCGCCACCGGCCCCGAAGGATATCCATAAGCCGCCATATTCTGTGCTGGAGAATAAGCATTGGCCAGCGACCCCCCGTTAAGGAAGAACGATTTGATATCCCTAACAAACAACGGGAATAAACTATCAGCAATCCCCTCGTTTCTCGCCAATTCAAATGCCCGTTCAAATGGAATCCACACCCCTTTCAAGTTCATGGCCCCAATCTTCACAACGTACCTAGTCTTCTCGGTCTTTAGAATCCCATCACGACGACCACGCGTCATTCCGGTGACGTTAAGAAGCTTGGTACCATTAATGAAGTTCGAGTCTTCACGTCGAGATACCGCCACTCCTCGTGCCTCCACTTGGTAACACACGGTATTCTCGTCTTCCCAAAAAGTGGTGGTGATACGTGGTTTTGTTGGTGCTTGTGTGACCACCGGACGCATCCATGGAGAACCAGTGGCGGTGGCAGCAGCAGCAGCGGCGTTCATCATTGGATACTGATATCCTGCCACCGAAGTAGCCCCGGTATTTTGCCCAGTGCCACCAACAACCCCAACACTAGGGGTGGCAGCAGCAACAGTGGCGGCGGTAGGAGTCATCGAAGCTGCTTGGTTAGTGGTTTGCGGCGCTTGGGTGGAAGGTTTCTTGTCATCCTTTTGATAATAATTTTGTCCCATTTGTTGGTACAACTGAGGATAGGCAGCGTACGCCGTTTGTGGGTCGTACATCCCACCACTGCGTTGAGGGTAGTAATATGATATACTTGGTTGCACAGAAGAAGCTTGGGAAGTAGTCACTTGCGCCGAATGTTGATGTTGATGTTGTTGCTGTTGTTGAGAGGATCCTTGTACATCATCATCTTGTTGTTCCTCGTAAGCGTAATTTTGGTTTGTGGACATATTTCACTGTTGTTGTTTTTGTCTGTCTATATTTCTAGGTTATTTTTATTTATTTACTTTTCTTGAACCAAACGCGACTAGCTGTATAATAAATAGTGAGTACGCGATAAGTAATGACTTGAGTAAAACTGGAGAGAGGAAACGGGTGTTCGGACCCACACACGATAATAATTATTGAGGTGTGGCCAAGGATATATGCTGGGGAGGTTTTGGCAAATAATAACGACAATAATTCCAGGACGATCTGTGGATGGAACAACATCAACAGAGACGCGGTGTGTGTTTTTTTCTGGTGATGTCGCGACGTCCCCTCCTCCACGTGACAAATAATCGCTTACGTAATACATAACAAAGTAGCAAAAAGTGACACATTTTTGCAACACACGTCAAAAAAATAATAATAATATAGATACATGTATGATACGGTATAATACCAAACAATCACACCATCATTAATGGTCCAGACACACAAACCACGCTAACAAACACCACTAAAAACATGGAATAAATCTTCCATCCAATACATATATTAGCCTAACACCAACAACTCCTATCAATCGTGAAATGGCCTGTCTTGTACAACACCCCCCAAAGTGCAGGGTGATCCAAAACCCCTTTCCTCATACTAACAATAATGATATTGTTCGATTTGGACTGGCCTCGGCCATTGGTGGCCAGTACCTATTTATCCATGGAGGATCATCTGGTCTTATGGACCAACAAAAGTGCATCAACAAGATATTGGGGCAAAAACTCTCGTCAAACATCAATATCTTTGATGATCTTTGCCTTCTAGATTTGGTATCTCTTGAATGGACACAGTTAGATGGGACCCCACATTCAAATAATATGAGCAAAGATCTATCGAATGCCACCTTTGTTGAAGAAATTACCCATAATACTCTTAAAAACCCCCCAGGTCCCGATCCTCGGTTTTGTCACTCGATAGTCTATCTTAAACAAAAATTATACCTATTTGGTGGCGTGTCTCGCCTGTCAAAAAATACTATTGAGATCCTCGATGATTTGTGGGAATTTGACCTTGTCTCCCGTAACTGGAAATTACTTGAACTTCATACTTCATGCGGTCGTTATAACTCATCATTGCTAGTCATCAATGATGCCAGCTCGATTTTCACCCCGTCGCCCACCCAAAACAACTTGCATTGTGAAGATTGCTTAGTTATTGTCGGTGGTCAAACCATAAATGGACCATCAACCAATGTGTTTGGATATGTGCTATCTACAAAATCTTTAGTAGACCAAGCATGCTGTTCGCTAATGCAACTGTTAGATACCCATTCATTTATCTTGTCTTTCTCCCTGAGAGGAAAATGTCTGATAAATGATGCGTTACTCTATTTTTCTAGCGCCACCAACGTCTTACAAGTTTGGTCAAGCCATCATAAGGGCCTGGAGGCAGTCCATCTGAAAACTCTTAGGATACCGATTTCCAAAGATTTAAAAAAGCTTCAAGGATTTTTTGTATGTGAAAACACTCTATTGATCACCGGATACGACCAACAAGGAAACTTTTTGCCGCTTTTGGTCAATATTTCCAGTGGGAGCTACTCTAAATTAATCACAAAATTTCCCATGTATGAAGTTGGCCAACATTTAATATTATTAGTACAGTATTGGCAATCTCGAGGAAAATTGGTACTTTTAACTACACCAGGATCCAACAAGAATCTTTGGAACTCAGTTATGTTCAGCCTTTCTAGTAGCATTTTGCAATTTGGAGAATCAAAATACTGTCCTCATCAACAAGATAATTTCAAAAAACTAAAAGAAGAGTACAAGAGATCTGTTCTTTCTGACTCTTCTTTGGAAATGGTGCCGTTATCTGACGCTGGCAAATTCGCAGAAAACGATAGTAGTTTTGTACGTTTTGAATATGAAAAAGAAAATGACAATGAAGATGAAGCCAACAGAAAAACTGATTTAGAGTTTGAAAATTATGTGAAATATCTTGTCCCCGACTCGAAACCAATTTATGGAACCGCAAACTTAACCGCTCCGTTTTCTTCTCCCGCGGTGGCTTTGGGCCGTACGGTTTTTCAACACTACTTAACCCCGAAAAATGATAGTCTCAGCGATTTCCAAATGATCGGGTACGATGAAGAGTTTGTTCCAATTACATTGAAAGTACTTTTAAGTCGCTGGGGTACCCATTTCCAACTGATTCTTGGCGTGGCGTACGCGAAAACTCTTAAATTGTTGACGGAAAAATTAATAGCAGAAGAAGCTGATAACTCGAAAAGAAGTATCGTTAGCAGGGTATCGACGGCCACTTTAGGTCATCGAATAAGCTCGATTGCCAGCAGTTTGGAAAATGATGCTAATATTGACGATGCCTTGATGGAAGAAGAAATATTGGAACTTTTCAAGAGCCCATTGACGTTCACCTTATTAACCAGACCTGGGAATGAAAAAACTATTCGGAAATACTCCAGTAGCTCGTACGCTAGTAGTATGACTGGTATCCCAAGACCTGCCACCGCTGATAGTTCTAATGCGGCTCATACCCCAAGTATTGAAATATCACCATCCAGATCAAGTACGATAAAGCCAACCAGGGATCCTGCTAACGCCGCCACCACCCATTTGTCACAGGTGAAATCTGCATTTAGCCATAAAACAACAAGTCCTCAAAGTAGTTTGTCAGAGTTCATTAATTATCCAGGCATTTCATCAAGGAAAAATTCGGTAATTTCTAACAATAGTAGCACTTCTAGTGCTTCTGATTCATTAATTGATAGCAGGCTTAAGTATGATCTAAGTGGGAGTAGTCCGTCTCACAATTTTTTGGGTCCGTTACCTAATGCATTGAGGCGGCCAAGTGCAATAAGTACCAAAAGTCCACCTCTTGCTTTATCTGACGAGAACCGTAGCTCTGGCCTGTCCGGCTCAATCACCGTGCCACAGGCCTCACCAATTCCAGAGTTTGCTCCACCAGAAGTTCCGGTGTCACCGATATCAAAACCAAAGGTGTCACGAACTTCAGAACTCCCACCTACTTCTGCGAAAACCCCAGTGGTATTCAAGTATTCAGACAAGATCCGATACAAAGATCATGGGCTCATGGAAGAATCTTTGCCTCCAAAACCCCACCATCCTCTGGTGAATATTTTACAGAGTTTCGGTAGTAACCCATTTCGAGAAGCAAGTTGGGCCGGTACCAGTGAAGCAAGAATAATGAAAACGATAATTGATGAATACAAGAGAAAATTGGAAAGTGATGGAAACGCAAATAAAGCGGGTGCCGGAAGGGATCCATCATCCCAAAAATCACTGCATTTTTTGCTTGAACCACTGCTCATTCCCAGAACATTATACTTGCCATTCCATTCGAGTGTTATCCGCTCTCTTTCAGAGTTTTTCTTGACCGGCCAGCTTAATGGTAAACTATCCATTGCACCAATTGTCACCGATTTATACATTGCGGCATCGCAATATGATATACAATTGTTAGGAGACTTGTGCAGCGAAGTATTATTTGCGGTGGTGAAAAAGAAAGAGCAATCGGTGATGAACTATATTGAGTTTTTGGATTGTGAATTGAATGAACTTGAAAAGAAGAACCAAGATGAAGCGCAAACTGGCGAATTAAAGCTGTTACACAAAACATTCAATGATAAATTCTGGGATTTTCGATCCATGGTTTCTGGAAATTTTAAAGGTGATCATTCTTTTTATATTGCCAGGGCGTTGGCAAAATATAACCGGTTATTAAGGTCCAAAAAACTTGAAAAATCGAAATCCCTTGATGATGGGGATGAGCATCAAAGTTTTACTGATGAGGAAGCCGCGAAAGAAAAGGAAGATGTTTTTGTTGACGATAGTGAAGACGAAGGGTACGATACCGATGAATATGATAATTTGTCATTTGGAATTTGCGACACACAGTATCCCGCTGAAAAGCACAAAGAAGTTGCTGGCAAGCGTTATTTATCGTTTAATATCGAAGATATCAATCAAGGTATCAGAATTCCTTCTAATGAGCTAATTGCCACGATTTATGAAACTGCTGGGCTTGTCATGGATAATCTATTGTTGATGAGATCGATGTATCTTTTGCATATCATTGAGTTAGTTGAATCAATGAAATCACCGATTGAATTGAAAATTAAAGCCGACTATGCTGCCATGGCCGCAAGAGAAGAAGCAGAAACGAAAAAACGGCAATTGGAACTTAAGAAGATCCATTTTGAACAGGAAGCCAAAGAAAAAGAGCGGAAACTCCAGGAAAAATTGAAACTTCAAGAAATGGAGAAATTGAGCGTGGCCAAGGAATGTATTAGAGAAGAGCAATATAAGCGACAACAGCTGAGAAAAGTCGCCTTTGATGAGCAACCAACGAAAAACCGTTCGTCGGAATATTCTGTTGGCAATAAAATTTCCACCAGCAACTTGGAAATCGCTATGGATGCTAACTCTTCGAAGGCATCTTTAGGGTCTACCAGAGATAATAATGGCATGCTCGGCCTCCAACGTGTGAAATCAGGACCTTCATGTGGCGGCTCGGTTCAACCTACTGTGAGATCATCCACTGATTCAATAAGTGATCCTGTGTCTAAAACGGAACTGAAAGATTATTTTTCAGATAGTGAAGGGGGTGGTACTATCCCCCATGGTATGCATCATAATCATTTTGCTAAATTGAAAATTTTTGCTCATGGCCACTCTCTTAGAAGTTCCAGGACCGAACCGTCTAATTTCAGCAACTATGTGAAGCATAATTTAAGATCGCTAAGTGTTGCTGATATGGACCAGCCAATTCATGAAGAGAAAAGTCACCAGAACCGCTCTAGTCCACCTCCAGCTGCAGCGGCTCCTGAACAACGAAGCCAACGGCATCCGGATTTCTCAAGAGTGTTGAAGTTCCATAAATCGATACTTTCCATTGACAAACATACCAGCGATACCAACCTTGAAGTAGAAGTTTCTACTGGGGAGCCACAGGAATGTTATTCTGATTTATTTAATAACCCGAAGAATAAAGCCATGGATGGCCCTGTGGTTGGCCCAGAGCCGCCACAATCATCACAAAAGAACCGTCAGAATAGTGTGGCGTACTCGATGCTCACCGCCAGTACCGCGGTGAATGAATCAAGTGGGTTTGCCCCATCACTCGGTAACGGGTCGTTTTTAAGCGAGACTTCAACCTTGACTGATTTGAGCATTTCAGCGACTCAAAGTACTACCAGCGTGGTGAATGAACACCCGCATCGTCGTCATCGTCCACGGTTTGGGTTGTTGCATGGTCACCAGAAGCATAGTCAGCTTGGGGAAAGTGAACAAAAGTGAGCAAAGAATCTGTGGGAGAACTGAAACTCTGATGTGATACAAAAGTGAAAAAAATCGAGCCCGACAAAAGAAGCTACAGCATATTGAAGTGAACAGATTTCAATCTGTCACAATACAAAAAATGAAGCACACACAGAATTAAAAAAAAAAAAATCAACCCATGAAGTTTTGGAGTGAAGTTGTACTATTTTCCATAATCTATGAGGAGAGATATTTTACCCGAAAAGGGGATTTGAAGGTGATGTGTATTGAAAAAATATGAGACTTGTTTTTTTGTGTTTATTAATGATTGATGTTTATTGCCAGTACTTTATTTTTTCTCTCTTACTAATTGTTATTAATTGTTATTAATTGTTATTAATTGTTATTAATTCTCCTATTAATTCTTGTCAATTCTTTATAAAAGTGCTTCCCATCGACGGTGTATAAATATTTAATGATGATGATCAGCGTATACTCATGTACTTTTTGTACTCTATATTTTGGTGTAGCATTATTATTTTTTTTTTCCCTATAAAATTTCGACTTATTACTAAATATATAATTATACATCTATAAAAAAATCTTTTAAGCGTTGCTCATTATTATGATTATTACCGAAAGTCAGTTCTAAAGGCCCCACTCTAAAGGCCCCGTTCTAAAGGCCCCATTCGAAAAGCTACTCGAAAGATAGCATAAAAATAGCGCGCGCGTCGTTTTCGTTGTAGCACCAATCAAACTTTACTATACGTACAGAATTAGCAGTATGGGGAGAGAACCAACCCACCAAAAGGAATTAATGGATATTGAAGCTCTCAAATTGAGAGTTTTGTTAGCTTTTAAATGATGGTAAAACAAACAAACAAATAAATAAATAAAAACAGAACAGAACAGAACAGAGTAGAGTAGAGCAGAAAAGATCTCTCTCTTAATAAAAGGATCCCTCAAAGAAAACCTCCGGAGCGTATACAAATAAAATATCTTGACATGAAGGGGAAGGTAAAAACTCATTCTCCAAATTCAAAAACATTTACGGTTTGTGATCTCAAGGGAAAAAGTCTATTAGAAATTAAAAAACTAAAAAAAAGGCCAGAAAAAAAAAGGACCAAAGCTCATTCTACAAATTCAAACACAAGTATGATTTGTGATTTTTTTTTTTTTTTTGAAAAAAAGTCGATTGGAAATTAAAAGTACATAAAACAAATGACCCATTATGCCCCTGGTTATATAAATAAAAATAAAAATTATGAAAGGTGGTGCGGTGCAAGTTGTTCTATTATGGTTAGAAAAGCAAGCACATTTTGGTGTAAAAAAAAAAAAAATGAAAAATAAACAAACAAACAAACAACAAACCAACAAGTCAAAAACAACACAATAATTAGAAAAATAAATAAGATGAACAAGAAGGGAAATTAAAAATTCAATCTATAATCAGATATCATCCAATAAGATGATTTTGAAACAGAGAAAAAAACAAAATGCAAAATAACACAAAACGAACAAATCAATATTACAAAAGAACCTTTATTCTTAGACTTGCCCCACCAGTTTCCTTGAAGCAAAATTGAATGTCAATTCTTGATCTGAATCATCTCCCGAGCTTTTAGTGCTATATTGGCTTTGGGCTCTACTAATAGGACTCCCCCCTGCACCAAAGGCTCGTTGCGCCATGAGTTGCTGCCTCAATAAATCAGGCCTTCCAAATGGAACGTCGTTCACATAACCATCGTTACTATCATCGGTATCATCAGATTCATCACTATCGCCACCAAATTGAAATTTAGATTGCTGGTGATCTCTCTTCTTTTTTGGCTGGTGGTGGTTATCAGGATTAATATTGTTAAACAACGATAATTGGGTTTGCGATGGGGATTTCAGATTGTCAGCAGAGTTCAACTTGGAAATCAATGAGTTTGGAACCGTCACCACACTATCAACAAGTTTCAATTCCGTTTGGTTCACGGTATTAAATGATTCGCTATCGCTATTCTCTCCACTGCTCCCCCCATTCAAAAAGAATGATCGTCCACCGGTACGGTCACGATAGTTGTCAGCATTGAATTGTATAACATCATCTTCATCATCTCCATCAGTATTATCACTCTCATCATCCCCTTCAGAATCCGCCCTTTTTGGTGGCCGGAAATTCGTCACCAGATTTTGTCCAGATTGAATTTCGTTAATCGTCGACACTGAAGGAGCTTTACTAGCAACATAATTGGAGTCACGTTGGGTGGTAGATACCGTGGTGGGAAAAATCCCTTTAGGTAATTTTTCAGCAGTAGCCGCAGTCGTCGCCGCCTCCAGCGCCCCCGACATTGATTCCTTCATACTGTAATCTTCAAGTTTCGAGAGATCCCCATTTTTCTGTCCATAAACTTTTTCCCTGATGGAGTCTTCGAAAAACCTAAATTTTTGTACTTCATTGTTGAGGAATCCCGAGGCACTGTTGGCATTATTTAAAAACCCTGACACATTTTGTGGCATCCCCACTGTGGCAGGAGGAGGAAGCCCAGTAGGAGTAGTAGTACTATAACGTATCATTCTATCAGTAGTATTAGCCGCCTGCGAATATAACAAATCGTCATCAAAACTATTGAGAGAGGCATAACTCGAATTGACTGGCAACGAAATATTGGAACCTTTTCTCGGTAAGGTGATTCCAATGTTGTAACCGTTCAAAAAACTGCTATTTCTGGATTTGCTTCCTGACCCAAAGAAACTGCCACTGTGGTTACTCTTCAATCCTGGGGAATTTAATGGACTTTCATTTACTGCCAATTGAGGAGTCGAGTGATCACTAATAACGCTAAGTTTCCTATCATTTCTTTCAACAATCCCATTCAAAGTATTGGCCACCGGTTTAGTGTGCACGAAAAACCCACCTTCAATGAACGCATCAGACAATTGGGCCGATCCATTGGAAGCGGTTCGGCGATGGCTACCACTGGCCAAATTATTTATTGATGTAGATGAGTCCGCGGTTTTGTTTGCTTGATTTAATTGAACCACAAAGTTTTTACTGCGAAGACTGATCTGAGAACCCGATCTAGAACCGACATAATCTTCATTATTATTGTTATTTTCTGATCCTGGGTGATGACTGAAGTAATCTTGTGATTGGTCCATCATTTGAACGCTTTGCAAAGATGGGGAAATGAATGATGTGCTCGTTAGGTTGCTGTGCATATACAACGGTGGAGATAGAGTATTTGGGTCATGGTTTGATTTTTTACCATTACTTGGATCAGAAGAGTTATCAGAATTGATAGAAAATCGCGACCTCAATGACGAAGAGGAATCTTCATGACTGAGAGTTTGAACATGAGAGGGAGTGTATACCGTATTATTATTATTATTATTATTATTATTATTATTATTATTCCCACCGCTATTCTTTTTACTACTGGTAGTACTGTTACTTCTGCTATGAGTGCTGCCATTCTTTCTTGAAAAAACACTGGAAATTGATAATCTATGACGACGAGATGTCAGGTTTCCTTGGAGTTTTGGACTAGAGGTCGGAGACATCATTGGTACAGATTTTTTCGATGTCAATGATGGGGTGGATGATGAAGCTGATGAAAAACCGGTGAGATTAAGCACCTTGTTTAAACTCAGTTTTATCTTGCCACCAATATCAGTTATGGCATTGCCCATTTCTTCTTGAGTTACATCGATTTTGCATTCATCACCATTACGTTCAGGAGAGCAGCTTTCGGTGAAATCCAACGGGTAGTTGATCAACAAATTATTTTCAAAATTATAAGCTTCTTCTTGGGTTGATAAGCTACTTCTGAGAAATGCATGGTCCTTGATTTCTGGAATATCGATTCTCTGGTATGGGTTCTTTTGCAACAATTTTTCCAATAAATCAATAAAATCATCATATTCTGACGGTTGGAGTCTGTCATTTTCAGGGATCCCTAGCGCTTTAAATTCTTGGAAGCTTAAAACCTTCATTTCCGCCTTATTAATTCGATCAAACAACTCGAAATCATTTTTCCCATAAAATGGTAAATTGCCAAATATCAAGCAATATAGAGTGACCCCCAATGCCCAAATATCAATTTTATGACTAATGATACCGCAGTTGATTTCTCTATCAAGTGAACATAGCTCTGGCGCGTAGAACGCCGGAGTACCGGCGGTTTTGCACAATTCGTATTCATTATCTTCAATCAAAGTGATGGAAAAAGAAACTCCGAAATCAGAGATCTTCACAATATTATCATTTGAGATAAGTAAGTTAGCAGGTTTAATGTCTCTATGAATGATTCCTTGGTAATGTAAATACTCAAGCCCAAGTACCACATCCCTGAATACCGCTCGTGCCTTTTTGAATGAAAGAGCAGGCTTGTATATGTACTCCCTCTCCAATTCTTGTTGGCAATGTTCAATATTCTTTGAATCATCGTCAACTTGCCAATTGATTTCCCCTTTTTCTAAATACTCCAAAACTAAATAAATTTTTCTCAATCGGTGGTCATCAATCACCTCTCGTAGCTTGACGATATTTCGATGATTACATTTCTTCATAATTGCAATTTCTTTTCTGATCTTCAATTCGTTTTCCGACATAAATGATATTTCATTATCACTACCGTTGGCCATATCCCAATTATTAACCCCTGCCCCACTACCGTTTCTTGCAACTAATTTCCCATAGTATCCTCCTCCTACTTTTGATTTTCCAGTACGATCGAGGATCTTGATCGCCACTTTATCCCCAGAAACCGTATCAATAGCTAATTTCACCTTTCCGTGCTGTCCTGATCCCAAGTCTCCAATAATTTCATAGGTATTCAAAAGCTTGCGCTTTCTTACTGGGTCGTACTCGAGCTGAATGTGTCGAGTTTCAATGACTGTCGAGGATCTGCTATTATTATTATTATTATTACCATTACGTGAGCTAAGCCCCGAAATACTATTGGTTCTTGATCTTGATTTGTTTTGGTGAGAAAACATCGGCGATGCAAATAGTGGAGACCCTGGTACTACAGCCGGAATAAGTTTTGGTGATGATGAGCTCCCCAAGTCGGCTTCTTTTATCATCACACCACTGGCTTCATTTCCCAGAACTTTGTTTTCGCTAGGCAAGGCTTTGGCGTTCATAAACGGAATCGGACTGGACTTTGCTGGAAGGTTGAATGGTGTAGATAAAGCGACGTGAGCATCGGCTTTTGTTTGCGGCAAAAGAATCTCAGGAATACTTTTAATCTGTTGTTGCTGCTGCGAACTATTTGAGATTTCACGATTATTATTATTATTATTATTATTCATATTGTTCTTATCCATCTTGTTTCTCTTTTTGTTTGTATTATTATCATTCATGTTTGATGGTGGTAGTGATATTGGATCCAGGGATAGTCCCTGCTCTTCAAAAGAGTGTCACCTCTGGTGTGTGACTATAATATAACAACTTTTAGATTGTCAATTGGTTAAGAGATGTTTGTTTGTGTGAACCCAACATAATCAGTCCACAACAAAACACACACAAAATAGAATTGCTAAAGTATAGTGGTAACCAGATGTAGCAAAAAGCAATATAACAGCTTAGAATCGCGGAAACAAAAGAAAGAAAGAAAAACAACAACAAACAAAGGTAAAGAACAAAAACAAAACGTCAATTAGGAAATGAGTCCAAATAAAAATGAACTCGATGTTTATGTGGCTGGGAATTCCAAAGTTGTTTTTTCTCGCTTTCCAAAACTATTTGGTACGCTTTCAAATTGTGTCTGATGTTGTTTGATTTTCATGAATTTTTTTGTGATTTCGATCTTTTTGGCACCGGTTTGCGACCCTGGCGCGGGGTTGACACATAACGGCAACTACGAAGAAACACTATTAACCAAACATAAATTATGAAAGAAATGGCAAAGATGTCGATTGTAATAGTTAAGAATCAATTTGTAACACGAACTAAAAAGAGACGGAAAAAGTAGCCTGTAATCTAAGTATAGACTTTGAAAATGAAAACAATAAAAAAATAATGAATTAGAAAAAAGCAAAACAAAACAATTTAGTATGATTAGTATGTGCAAGGCTGATATATGCCAGAGAGTTCCGATCTGATTCTCATAACATTGAAAAGAAAAAAAAAGAAAGCAAAAATGTGTGATAAAGATAAAACCACATTTTCACTTATTCAAATTAGTAGAACCCTCATTGCTCATAAGCTCAATCTTCTTTCGAAGTACATTCAACCGGTTTCCAATACTGACAATGAATTTCTGGACCATGGCTTTATCTTCCTGATCTAATCTCACGTCTTCGATTTCGCTACTCTTACCAGCCTGACCATCATTGTTGCTGTCAAGAATAGCTTCCAACATCCAGATCGAGGTGCTATATGCCAATTCACAACCCAACAAATCTTCACCAACAAGTTCATTAACTGCTGCATTTCGCGATATTTCCAAAGCTCGGTCAAAAATCAACTTTTCTGCAATCACATCAGAGTTCAAATTACTCTCTGGATCGAGCCCTCCAAGACCCAATTTTTGGTTGGCTTCGTTTAACTTCAACCTGATGAAATCAGCCTTATCCAAACAATCATTGAATATATTTCTAATCCATTGCACCAACGAATTCAATCTGGTAGTCAAAGAACTGTCAAAGTTATTATTACCTTGAAAGCCTTCGTTGTAATGCGATTTCAATACTGCCCCATTTTCACTCAGGTACCACCAATCACTAGTCAAATTCATTGCTTTGGCCAACAACGACAAAGTTTTGATATATAAAGCGAGACCTTCTTCTGAAATACTTTTCACCGCCACTGGAGGTAAATGAGAGGTCTTCTCGGATAAGAATTCTGGGTCCTCATCATCACTATCATCAGCAATGGCAGAGGATAACGAAGAAGGAGTGAACGGAATCAATTGAGAGTACTTTACGTGGGCAAACAGATTGACGGCATGGGCCTTTGCAGCAAGTGATTCTAATTGAACAATGAGATTAGTTAAAAAGTCTTCAGAATCAGGATTTACATTGTTGTTGGTTGCAGTGGGGCTAGTGATAAGCGCATTATTTGGAGTCCCAACAATTGCTGGAGAATTGTTGACAGTTTCGGATATGAATATATTATTGGATGGGGAGAATCCTTGTGGGATATTGGATGGTGAGTCGTTAACGACATAATTAGGTATTTCTTTACTCAGATAAGTATTTGCACCCCAAAGCTTTGTTGATGCAAGAACAATCGCTTTGGACAACGCATTAGAGGGTGATAATGAGATTGAGAATCTTCGATCTCCAAAACTCGGTCTTTTTTGACTCGAACTGGAGCTTCTGCGCCGTCTATCATTAGATTTAGTGGTAGTAACCACCTTATTATTAGAATTATTTGTCCCCAAATTTGCAAGTTCATCAGCTAACGCATTGACTTCAACCGACTTTTTCTCAACCACGACGTAATCCCTCTCATTGAGAAGCTCGGTGGCATTACTTTTTGCCTTGAGCGAATTCGACGAGCCTTTCATTTTCGTACTGCTTCCTGACAGATAATTACTAGCACGGGGTGAATCAATGATCCCAGGAGGTTTAGAGGTTTCGATTTTCTCGACAACTGAGCCATGGTTCTCCAATTGTTGTTTAAGTAGTGAGTTTTTCGTTGGAGTTTCTGATGGTGGTTTAATTTGTTGTTCGGGCTGCGATTGATTTTCTTGCTTTGGTAATTCCACGACTGGATCAGGAGCTTTAACGATTTTTGGTGAGCGAGGGGACTGCTGCTGTATTGGTAGGCTATGTTTAATTTTGTCATTCTGGGGCAAGTATTCACTAATGAATAAGTTCTCATCGATTGAGGAATGGTCCAACAACTGGCTATCATTTACTTCTTCGCTAAAATCATCTAAAATCAAACGATCATTGAAAAACTCATTAAAACTCATTCGTTCAATTGGTTTCAACTTCAATAATCCACAAATGACTCTCTTGATATCTTGGTCTAATTCGATAGTCTCTGGAAATGAAATATTATCATGGGCGTTCTCAATTTTTTTAAGTAATTCAACGTGGTTATTGGCTCTAAATGGCGGTTTCCCGATACTCATTTCATAAAGCACCGCTCCCACAGACCATAAATCAGCTTTGGCATTATACTTATGATAACCCAAAATCTCTGGAGCCATGTAAAGAGGAGAGCCGCACAAGGTTTCCGCAAGAGTTTGATTTGGTAAAAACCGGGCAAACCCAAAGTCCGCCACTTTAAGGATTGGTAAGTCATAGAACCCAACGTAGTGATTCTGGGTGAATTCTTCTTTTGAATGGGCTGGATAGCAAAGTAAAAGATTTTGGGGTTTGATGTCTCTATGGACAAGGTTACGTTGCCTAAGGAATTCGAGGGCAGACGCTAGTTGCTTGAGAAAATGAATAACCATTATACGATGAAGGCCATTGGAATTTTCTGGGGATGGATATTTAATCAATAGTTGGGATATTAGGGGATGTGATTTTACCAATTGATTTCTTTTTCTTATAAAATATGACAAATCACCAAGCGAGCAATACTCCATGATGATGTGGAAATAATTTGCAGATTGAACACAATCAATGAGCGCCACAATATGAGGGTGAGCCATTGTCTTGAGGATTTGAATTTCGATTTCTAAATTTTCAAGGAGTTTCTTATTTTTGAGTTTGGTACGCAATACTGATTTGACAGCAACTGGCGTGTGAGTTTTCTAAAAAAAAAAAAAGAGAGATGTTAGTTTCAAAGAAAATGAATCAATGGAAAAAAAAAATGACGCTAATATGATAGTGAATTTATAATACATACCAATACTACACCTTTATAAACATTAGCAAATGAGCCTTTACCTATTTCAGTTCCTATTTGATAGCCGTCTATGGCCTCGGCCTGAGGCCCCTTCCTTGCGTCATTAGATGATGACATTGGGGGAAGTGGATATAAGGAAGGAACAAAAGGATGTGGTAAAGATTGAAAAGGGGTTTCCAGAGGATTCCGTGCGAAGATATATTTCCTGAATACTGTTGGGTGATAATATATATATATATATACGATAGGGGATGTATGGGGTGTTTGCCTTCAGTAGACAAATAATAACGATAACACTCCGCGATGAGCAGTCTGGGTGGGTGTGTCGGGGATTACCCGGGATGTATATATCACATGAAATGACACGTGTTTATGATGCAGTCAAGCGATTAAGATGGCATATTCATACAAAGAGTATTGGTGGTTGGGAATACACACACACAAACACATACACACACATGTATATATATAGATGAAGAGGAAGTCAACACACACATATGTTTTGGTATTCCATCAGTGGTGCTGTGTGGGGACGATCAAAGATTGGAGTCTTAATCACGTGCCGATAAGTCGAAACTCCCAACACCCTCATTGGCTTTATAGATATTTTAGTGGGAGTGAATGTGCTTTTGTATTGATGGGTAAATGTGCTTGTATTATACAGAGAGTATTGGTGGCGACAGTTTCTGAAGGTGTGAGATGAGCACTTCAATCCATTGAATCGTATCTGTCGTGTGGGTACGTGGTGTACCATATCCCTGGGTGCACCATCGGGGCAAGGTTACGTTAATTACCAATCCCCGCGATGTGGCAGCAAAGGCTTTGTGATGTGATATGTGTCAAGAGGCGGTGTTGAATGATCATGAACATTTATACGAATGGAGTGTGTACTCCTAATAAATAACCGTAATAACACAATAATATATATATATATATAAATACTGTAACATCCTCCCCACCATCCTGGTCTAGCCCCCCACCACCCACCCACCTTCGCCCCCTTTTGGGTGATCTCCGGGTACTGTTCGCTGTTACCACCGTTGATGCTCTGGTCAAATTTGACAACTACGCCTTGTTAGTAAAAAAAAAAACCACTTCTAGGGGAAAAAAAAATAAAAAAAAATAGTTAAAAACAAAAGTAGGATTCTAAACCCTTGCCTTTGATTACTAGTGCTAAGCAATATCCCCTCTCTATATCACATCAAACAGTCATTGTGATACCTGGTGATTCTGTTTGACTTTTAACACGGTGTTGTTCCTATTATTTGATTTGCGAGTACTGGATTGGAAAGTCCATACATATATAAATAAATAAATAAAAAGGGGACCTCAACAACAATAACAACAACAGTAACAAAACACCACTAATATCAATCGTCTCAGGTACAATGATTCTTCAAAGATATCTCTTTTTCTTTGTGTCTCTTCTATTTCACTTCAATACCACGTTTGCCGACACATACATCGAAACATCGTCACTTTTGACATGTATGAAAAACTCTCAGCTTACGGCCTCCTATTTCAACGTTATCTATACTCCAAACGATACTAAGGTCGTATTTGATATTTCTGCAATCACTACCATCACCGGGAAAGTCAGAGCAAGCATCGAAGTCATTGCTTATGGGCTAACTGTGGTGACACAAAACGTCTCGTTATGTGATTTGGGATTTTCAACTTTATGCCCTATGTCAGCAGGGAGAATCGACGTTGATTCAAATTACGTTCTTTCGTCCTCGTACACGAAAGAAATCCCAAGTATCTCGTATTTTGTTCCTGACTTGGACGCCAAAGTCAAGGTGACGGTTTATGATGAAGACTCCGATAATAACACTGCTTTGGCTTGTGTCGAAGCCATTTTAAGTAACGGCAAGACCGTGCAAACCCGGTATGCTTCATGGCCCATTGCTGCCATCTCTGGTTTCGGCTTAATCACTTCGGGGGTGATTTCTGTCACCGGCCACTCGAGTACTGCCGCCCATATCGCCAGTAACTCATTATCGCTTTTCGTGTATTTCCAAAATTTGGCCATCAGCTCGATGATGGCGGTTAATACCGTGCCTCCCATCGCTGCTGCGTGGTGTCAAAATTTCCAATGGTCCATGGGGATCATTCACTTGAAAGCGTTGGCGAAGATTGCTAATTGGTACGTTCAAGCAACTGGGGGTACTGCCACTTCGGTGCTCGCCAATAAAGACATTTTGTCGATCTCCGTGCAAAAAAAATTACTCAAGCGTTCAGGGTTATCGACCCTTCAATATTTGAGTGATATTTATGAAAAGGCTCAAAATAATGGGTACTTGCTTGTGTCTCCTAAATATAAAACAAACAATGTCCACGTTGCCAAGAGAGACGATAGTAGTGACGCCCTTGATGATTCCAGTTTGTACACTTCTAATGAGAAAAATTCTACCGAATTAACATCGAAGATTTTAGTTCTTAGAGGGATTCAAAGAGTGGCATACTTGGCAGATATCGAAATCACGTCATTATTCTTCACTTCGATGGCGTTCACGATCTTATTTGCGTTTGTTCTTGTGGTGGCGCTTGCAGTTTTTAAAGGGATTGTCGAACTTTTGATCAAATCAAATGTCATGAATGAAGGGAAATTTGGAGAATACAGATTGCAGTGGAGATCGATCATTAAAGGCTCTATGTACCGATTGTTTCTCATTGGTTTACCTCAAGTCACAGTTTTATGTTTATGGGAATTAACCGAACGTGATTCTGTTGCTTGTGTGGTTATGGCGATTGTGTTGCTCGTGCTTGTATTGGGGATTTTGACTCAAGCGGCCATCAAGTTGATTTTGATTGGCAAAGAGTCAGTGCAACTTTACAAGAACCCTGCGTACTCTTTGTACGGTGATCCTAAAGTCCTCAACAAGTATGGTTTCCTTTATGTCCAATATAGTGCTGGCTGCTACTATTGGGTCATGGTGTCTCTTACTTATATTATTATCAAGTCGCTTATTATTGGGATTTTACAAGGGAACGGTAAAATCCAGGCGGTCATTGTATTTGCTGTGGAATTAATTTATTTGATTGCTCTCTGTGCCATCAGACCATATATGGATAAAAGAACAAATGCTTTCAATATCTTGATCCATGTGTTTAATCTCATCAATTCGATTTTCTTTTTGATTTTCTCTGAAATTTTCGGAGCCAAAGCAGCAGTGATTTCTATTTCTGGGGTGGTGCTTTTTGTGGTCAACGCGGTATTTTCGTTGATCTTGTTGATTTTCACTATCTGGACTTGTACAAAAGCCATTGTTTACAAGAACCCTGATGCCAAATATACTCCAGTGAATGATGATAGAGTGTGCTTCATCAAGCCAACTGATGGTGAAGAAAAAGTTAGAGGGGGTACCGAATTGGACGCCTTGGGATCGGCAGCGCTCAGGGGTCATGAAGATGTTGATCTTACCAAGACGTTATCGCATCAGTATACTCCAGGGGGTACTAAATTGGGGAATAATGTGTTTGAAGATGATGAATATGAAGATAAATTCCCTTCGCTGAGACTTCCGACTGGAGGTAGAAACCGTGCTGACTCGCTTACGAACAGTAGTGTTGTGCAACCTGGATCAATGATTTATCAGAACCATGGGGCCAGTGCGTCATCGTTTGGAGTCAACAGTAATACAGGAGGAGGAGTTAGCAGACCAATGAACACACATAATGAATCAGGGACAGGATATCAGGGAATGGACAATTACGGATCACGAAATATGTATCCATATGATGCTAGTGGAAGCAGCACTAATTTGGGAAATCCTTATGGAAACCAAGGTAACAGAGGTTATTATTAAAATTTTTTAATTTATGATGAGGTGATAAAAAAAAAATCCATGAACTTGTATATATATATGTATATATATATATATTAAATGATGCAGAAAAAAAAAAGCATGGCATTATTAGAGTGATGAGATTTTTGGTAGTATAAACTTGTCGATTTCATTTGACCCTATACAGTTATGATATACTTTATATTTGATGAATTATTTTTTTTTTTTGTTTTTAAGAGTCCATATTTTTTTTTCTATTAGTTTAATTATACCATATCGCAACCTCGGCAAATGTAGTTTCTGCAATGTCCTAACAAACATTTTTCAAATGCATTTTGCAGCCTCAACATGAACATATATGCTTCACAACTTGTGCATTGCTATATTTGTTGTCTGCTATCTTCCAAGCGTGCGAGAAAAATTAAAGTGAGAACGCTGCAAGTCTACCAAGTACTTCATATATATAAAGACGAAATAAACGCACTCTCGTATAAATACAAACACTTTGTACTATAAGCTTGGTCTCATGTTGATCGACGGATTGAGATTTTTATATCATAATTCGATCTACTAATGGTTGCATCGAATAAAATAAAATAAATTGTTAAAGTAAGCATAAACACTGTGTAAAGGTTGAAGCGTGTCCTCTAAAATAAGAATAATTAAATGGAAAAACAGGAAAGATCGCTCTATTTAAGTAGCTCGATCTTCTCTTTCTTTATTAGATAGTTCGAAAAAATAATAGAAGATAATAGAATATCCTGGCATGTTCAAATACCTAAAAAAGAATTCTTCGAAATGCTAGGATTTTCTACGAAGAATTATTAGTGAACTAATGTATCCTAGAAGTGCATTGACAAAAGGATAATGATATCTTGAGCATGACCTATGTTACACACTTTAGATAATAAAGCTAAATATAAGGACAGTAGAGAGGACAAACAACAGCAGAGAGCACTTCTACTAGAAGAGGTATACCATATATATATATATATTAATATCGCCTAAGTTAAGTGATAGACAAAATCAAACTATTGGAGCTTGCACTTTGCTTGGAGCCTCATTTCACCAAAGCGGAGCTTATATTATTAAATGCCTATATACTTATTCTACCATAGCAACAGCCATACACACGCAGGAAATAAGTTTTTTTCTTTCACTTGCTTAGCAAAAATCTGGCAATAGAAAGGAAAACTGCACTACTATTTAGCGCCCTTATTAATTCGTAGACCGGATTCTATCTAACATTATTCCTTACTTTTCCCGTATGCTTCTGCCGCCACAAAAACAGAGTTGGAGCATTTTGCCGCCTTTAAATAAGTTTTACAGCCTAGACTAATATCAACATAACACAATTTCAAGTTCGCTTATTCAAATAACAAACCATTTATTTCCGCAATGAAGGTTCAACAGACCGATGCTACGGACAGGCATACTGATCCAAATTACATCCCCAAACTATCAGAGGTCATCGACCTCACCCAGGGAAATAATACAGAAAACTTTATGAATATGGTAGAAAATGGCTCATCTTTTGAAAAGTGCAAGCTTTGGGCTACTGTTATCAGATATTTACCTACTTCATACTACTTTTCAGACAGATTTATAAAAAACGCCACAGCAAAGCCAAGAGGAAGCATCTCAAACCGTATCAATGCTCACATCAAAAAAAGAGTTAGGTTCCCAGATGCCGTGAAAATCAACGAGAAAGATATCGTGGAAAACTTTATGAAAGCCATCAACTCGCCGGAAGGAACGACTGATGAGTTGAGTAAATTTAACCAGAAGTTATACGAAAAATTGCAACATACTTGTGAGGACTATGAAAAAACAAATGCTGACTTGAATATGGAAGAACTTGAGTATCAAGAAAGAGCTAAAATGCACGTTATTGAACCGTGTAAAAGGGTATTATGTTCTCTCACGAAAACAAAAATGAATATTAATACGTCCATAGGAATTCAAGCAAGAATAGGGGGCAAAGACGCTAGATTGAATCTTTATCCTGATCTTAGCATTGCACTTTTTGACGGTAGAAAAATTTGGTTAGGTGAAATTAAAAGACCGAGCCTTCAGAAGGTGACAGCTTATTTGGATTTCCTTTCCTCAGAATCCCTGGTCATCAAGAAAAAGAAACAAGATCTTGATGATCAGGAGCACGATTCTGTAGCGGTTTCGATAATAGATCAAACCGCAAGTTATCTAATGATAACAAAAACTCCCATTGGAATTTTGAGTGACAGTTTTACTTACATTTTCATTCGAATTTTGGACTTGAAAATCGTTAATGATGAGATCCACTTAAGATTGGAGTATACATGTACCAAGTCATCCAGTACCCTTAATACAGAAGGTCCTATGTCACCCCTCTCAACACTTTTGGCTTTGTCATACGAAGAAGTCGAAAAGTCCAAATTGGAAATAGCATTACAGAAAGCTCGTTTATATGGCGATGCCTCGGAATTACTAAAAAAAGACTATCTCGATTCCATCTTTTGTGAGGCGGCAATAGATGATTTCCACTCATACACAACCAGTTACTTTGAAGTAATGGCGAAAAGTGGGATACAGAGAAGATTTAATGAAAAATTTGCCGCTGCGAATCAATCCTTGGGATATCACACTGTTTATATTGATCGCGGAGATCTTGTGGGTGAAGGTATTTCCAGAAGCATACAAACTGATTTTTTTCAAAACTCGCAAGTTTTCAGGGTCAAGATTAAAGAGCTTAAGGACGCAGGGGTTTCGATTAAGGATAATAATGAAAAGCATTTAATTTTGAAGATCTTCGACGCCCAAAAGTATATGATCAATATGGAATCGCGCATGAAGCATACAGAAGTCATAAGAGAAATGGTGTCTCATTTCAGCAACGAGTACATGAGTTATAAATTGATTGATCTCTTCAACGGAACAAATAAACATAAGAAAATAAGTAAATTGAACGCTTATGGGTTTGCATTCTTCAGAGTCTACTTCAAGCCAAATGATAAATTAAAGGATCCACACAGCTTGGAAAATTACTTTGCAGTTGGACCGGGCTTTCTTGCCGAAGAACTAACAGAAAAGCCTGAAACTGTTCAGGATTTTGTGGAAGGTGCTAAACAATTGCTGCATATGCACGAGGGTGGTGTGTATCATCACGATATCAAACTATCAAACGTTTTCATGAGAAACACAGAGCACAAGAAAGAATTTGTCTTCATTGATTATGGCCTAAGCGAAATCGAGTGTACCCCAGAAGAAAAGGGAAGACCAAAAAGTTCGGGGGGTATAGATTGGAGTGACTTCGAGACTCTTGTGGAATCGATGGGGATCGAGAAAACAGAATGGGAAAGAGCATTGTCTGACATGGGGGTCTGATTTTTTCTTAATTTTCTTTTTTTTTCAATTTCTAATTTCTAATTTCTAATTTCTAATCTGGAGATATTTGAGCAGAAATGTTTGAACCAGCAGGTCTATCATCGGAGAATTTTTTTTCTCATTAGCTCAGTAGGTTACGGGTGGTTCTCGCCAAAAAAAAAAAACAAAAAAAAACAATTGAATGTTGTGGTTGTCTTAATGTATAGTATAATATACTTTTGCTATGATTTATCGTCTCAAGAAACGTTGGGAAGACAACTCAAGTGAATGTTCACAACGTGGTTATCATTGTCTTTTTGGTTGGCTTTAATGTTTATTGTAAGTAGATGCCGATCAACTGAAGTTAAGTTTGTATAGGTTTTTGGCTAGTTATCATTTACATAATATATGGCTATGTATGAATTTATAGCAACGTTGAATAAGATCAAGAATACTCTGGGGATACGGGGACCCACCGAACATTTTTATGCTTATGTTCTAACCAATCAAGCAAATGTGTGTTAGCACAAAAATTTGGCGCTAGTACTGGGGAAAAAAAAGCCCGGAAGAAATTAAATATACGAATTTTTAATCAATTATCACTACTTTCACCTTGTTTTTGACGCAAAAGGATCATATAGAAGGATATTTATGTGTAGTCGAGTGATTGAGATTAATCAACGGTGGTTAATGAAAAGATTTGCTTATTACAGAGGATGAAAGCAATCATCCATTTTTTCTTCTTCTTTTTCTTGATACCTCTATTCATTACTGTGACATATGTTTTTTCAATACCCTTTTTGTCTTTTTTTTTTTTTTTTTTGTTTTATTGTTTAGTCATTTTGTGATATTTGTTTTGTCTTTTATTCCTTGATTAGTTTGTATCTATGCACATTGATGGCTATTGATATGGACATTTTTTTTTCAAAAACTAGGGAATTGAAAAAAAAAAAAAAAAAAAAAAAAAAAGGATATTTTCGTATATGTTGCAACTTTATATTGTGATTGTTGTTTGTTTGATTTGACATAACTGGGTCACCGACGGGTGCTTGTATACCGTGTATGATGTCGTACAACAGATTGACCTTTATGGTTACGTTACGTACTTAATTATGCCACTTCGATAATTATGTATTTCCCGCAGGCAGCGGCCATAATATATTCTCGCTTCCGATGATAAATCTCAGTACAAAAGAGGTAGCCCACATTAATTATACCTTTATATTTTGTTTGGAATTTCCAAATCAATTGGGAGAGAGTGAAAATTCCCACCGCACGGCCATACTTTTCAGAAAACCAACCATGTCACATTAATTAGAGTGAGATTATTAATAATCGCCCCACCGTAGTTAATTACCAGAAATGTAAGAGGGGGGGGGGAACTGCGTAACAAGCGAGGGAGGAGACATGAGAAATGAACAAACGTACAATCACTGAGAGATATAAGAAGTACAAGCAAGAAGTGTAAATAAAGAATACAATACAAGAAATATAGGATGAAAACCGCCCGCAAAGATTGTGTCACACAAACAACAAAAGGGACGCAGGGACCCGCAGTGCTCGACACCCCGTCCCGCACCGTCCCTGTCTCGTTTATCACCGACCCACCGTCCCACCGTTAAATTGACACTTTTCCCACCCACCCACTGCAACAAATTCGAGTCATCTTGGGGGATTTCTTTCTTTCTGAAAAAATTGTTGAGATTTTCCATCCACACATTATTATTGTGCCATTCATTCCCCCACAGGACCATATATATCACCCAAGAAGACCATCATCATTCTTTTCTCCATCTCTCTAACTTACTAAGACTTTCGTTGCACTATTAGGAAAAAACATAAAAAAAAAAAAAAATCAAAATCGATTTTGCGCCTCCAATAAGCGAGAACAAGATCAAGATCAACGATCATCCCAAAAAAAAAAAATAATCGATAATATAATCAACGCATTTGATATCCCATATGTCTTTCGCTACTCAGCCATGCCTTCAGTCTCTCTTTTAGATTTGTTTTATTACGCCAGCGCCGGTATATTTGTGGTTGGCCTTGGTTCGTGGTTAGTGATCCTTGCTTCCCACCGTCTTATCAAGCCATGTATAATATCACCATTCACTTCCCATGCCCGCTTGGCTTCAGCTAATACTATCATTACTACTACTACTACTACTACTACTTCCAAGTCAAACCATTTGCCAGACTCCGGACCATTCAAGTTAATCATTCCTTTAATTACAGTTCAAGGCATCTGTTATATCATATCTCTAATCCTTGCAGAAAATTTTGCAGCTTCGTTAGCGTCATTTTCAAACACCCCATTAAAGTTCAACCTTGATCTTGTCAATTGCACCACAATATTATTTATTATCCTTCCTTTCCAGTGTTTCGATTTCTTCCCTAGTCTTAGATTGATATTTTGGCTCTGTCTGTCGGTACAAAATTCCTGGTTATTGGTGCATCAGCTATTATCGTCGTCGTCTCCAATGTCCATTAATGTCCTTTTCCAGCCGGAATTTTTCACGCAAATCGCCATCAAATCCTTGTTGGCTTTCACCGCCATTATCTTATTGAGTTTTTCGCTTCGGAACTATTCCAGCGGTTTATCCAACTTCAAAAATTCCACTACTTCATATCTTTCCCAATTGACTTTCTCGTGGCTTAATCCTCTTTTACATCAAGCATCGGTCGCCAAATACTTGTCCAATCAAAACGTGAAAAGCTTGCCATTTCAAATTTCTAGTGACCAGTACCACCAATCACTTTGTACTCGTTGGAAAATATCCCACAAATTATGTCGTAGCTTGGCTGCCACTTTTTGGAAACCCATGCTTGGAGCGATTTTTCTACAGGCCATTGAAAGTTCGGTTGGCGCGGTCCAACCAATCTTGTTGAATAAATTAATCCATTTTGTGAGAATATATCCGACAAGTGATAATCACGCATTCTCCTGTGGTTTCCGTATCTCGTTGGCAATGTTTTCCCTATCCTTCGGCACCTCGTTTCTTTCGTCACAATCTTCAATTCTTCTTTATCGAACCTCACTTCACATTCTCGGAGCCTTGACCCAACTTATCTACTCCAAATCTCTATGCCTATCTCATCATGCTCAAATAAACCATTCAACCTCCCAGATTTCCAACCTCATCTCTATTGACTCATCGCGTTTACAATCATTATCTCAACAAATCCCCCAAATCATTTCTTTACCATTGAAACTTTCCCTCGCCATATATTCTCTTTATTATATCCTTGGTAATTCAGTTATATTTGCCCTTGCGATTCTCGTGCTTCTTTTACCATTAAACACCATACTTCTTCGCCGTCTCAAAAACCTCAAACGCCAACAAATGCAATACCGTGATTCTCGAACCCAAAAGGTTCATGAAATGGTGAGCTCCATCCAGTGTGTGAAATTGTACGGTTGGGAGCAAGCATTAATGGCAAAAGTTAAAGAAATAAGAATCGGGAAAGAATTGGATGGGATGTGGTGGATCGGGATGTTGGGAGCGTTAGTGAAAGGGTTATGGGGCATTGGAATGGTGGTGGTAATTGGCGGAAGTTTTGCTATTGTCATGATGCCAGAATCAGCAGCCAAAGATAACGTATCCAATATCATGCTCAGCAAGATGCCGTTAACTTCTGAAACCATTTTCCCTTGTCTTTCATTATTCAGCTATCTTCAAAAAACCGTGGTTTCAATGCCGTCATTTATCAGTTCTATCATTGAGCTGAAGATCGCATTAGAAAGATTGGAAGAATATCTATTATCGGAGGAAGTACTGACCAATCTTTCAACGGAGGAAGTATCAACTAATGAATCAATCACTATGGCCAACAATGATAAGCCATTCATTTCAATAAATAATACTTGTTTTTTGTGGGATGAAACTCATATGAGCAAGCCAAAAATCAGCGAAACATCTGATGAAGAGCTGCTTGTTGGGAACTTTGATAATTTCTCATACTCTAATATTGCCCTTAGAAATATCAACATGTCAGTCAATTCTGGGGAAATGGTGCTTGTTGTTGGAGCGGTCGGCGCCGGGAAATCTACCCTCTTGAAAGCAATCATTGGAGAATTACCAATTTTACGAAACCATGATCATTCTCGTGCTGTCAAAGGCTCTATATCCTATTGTTCACAAATCCCTTGGATTCAAAACACTTCTTTCCGCGATAATATTCTTTTCCATATACCTTATGACCCAGAACGTTACCATTCAACCCTTTATGCTTGTGATCTTCTTGTGGACATATTGCAATTGCCAGACGGTGACCAAACTTTAGTTGGCGAAAAAGGTATCACCCTTCTGGGGGGCCAAAAGGCCCGGCTTGCCCTAGCCAGAGCAATTTATGCCGATAGTGACATTTACATCCTTGATGATATTCTCAGTGCGGTAGATGTTCAAGTGGCCAAGCGCATTATTTATCGGTGTTTGGGTCACCATGGGTTATTGGCAAACAAGATTAGGGTATTGGTGAGCCATGGGTTGGGGAATTTCCAAAAAAATGAGATTGATAAAGTTATCTATTTACAAAATGGGGAAATCATCGCGAATGACCTGTTTGAAAATATGCAAGACAAGATTAAAGAGTTTATGGGCGGTGGTAGTCAAGAAACTGTTGATTATTTAACTGAAGGCCCAATCGATGATGATAATGATGATGATGATGATGATGATGACGCTGCCAGTGATTTGACCATATCTCCTATATCGTCGTGCTCGGTTGATTCTTTGAATTCCTCGGAAACCTTGGTTGCTAGTGATAAGGATGATGATGATTTGGATAAACTCAAAAAGCCAATTAAATTGAGTGAAGAACATACAAATCGCGGTAGTGTCAAATGGAAAACGTATTCCGAGTATGCGAAATCATGCTCGATTCCTGGGATCATAATTTTTTTGACCATGATATTTGCCAGTTGTGCCTTCCAATTGGGAAGCAAGTATTGGCTCAAGATTTTATCAGAGAAAAATGATTTCCGGTCTAGTTTCACCCATTCTCATGATTCAACTATAAATGATTCCAGTGTTAATTTCAGCTATTTTCTTATAATTTATATGATGCTTGGGACCATCTCCCACATTTTTGATTTCCTCAAGACTTTTGTGCTTTACCAATTCTGTTGCATCAATGCCTCGCGTCATTTGCACGATTCAATGTTGAATTCCATTATCAACTCCCCAATGTCATTCTTCAATACCACTCCCGCAGGGAGAATTTTGAACCGATTCACCAATGACATCAACAAAATTGACGACAATTTACCCAAAACCTTCATCAAGTTTTTCGGCGCCATTATTTCTGCATTATTTACCGTCGGGGTAATTGTGTTCAATTTACCGCTATTTTTCATTCCGTTGATCGGATTAATAATTATTTACCGGTATTACCAATCGTATTATATTCTGGTTTCCCGAGATTTGAAGCGGATCAGTTCTGCTTCACGATCCCCGATATTCAATTATTTACAAGAATCGTTGCTGGGAGCAGAAACCGTTCGGGCTTTCAGGAAAACCGAGAAATTCACCGCCATCAATGCTGAAAATGTCAATTTCCACTTGAAGGCCCTATACGTCTTCAGGGCCATCAATCGCTGGTTGACGTTCCGACTTCAAATTATTGGAGCGTTGGTGATATTGTTAACTTCGGTGTTGGCATTATTATCTCTTGATGCGGGTACCCCATTGACCAGTGGGGTGGTGGGGCTAATGATGGGGTACGCTTTAGAAATCACCGATTCGTTGAATGTCATGGTCAAGACATCGGTGGATATTGAAACTAACGTGGTTTGTGTGGAAAGAATCTTGGATTATTCCAATTTGCCTAGGGAAGGAGAGTCAATTAGCCAATCATCCAACACAACTAAACTTTCAAACCATGGTATCAATAGAAAATTCTCCGATGCTGCAGCAACCCAATGGCCATCGAATGGTGCCCTTGAATTTCGAAATTATACCACCAAATATCGTCCAGAACTTGACCTGGTGCTCAAAGATTTATCACTTCGTATCGAACCGGGGGAAAAAGTGGGGATTGTTGGACGTACCGGGGCCGGTAAGAGCAGTTTAGCCATGGCGATTTTCCGGCTCATTGAGGCATCGCAGGGACAAATCTTCATTGATGGGAAAGGGATCGATCAAATACAATTATCGAGATTGCGAAGCAATTTGAGTATCATTCCTCAAGAGTGTTTAGCATTTCAAGGCACGATTAGACAGAATTTGGATCCCATTGGAAAACACACCGATGAACAATTACTTTGGGCGGTGGGAGTTGCTCACTTGGACGATCATTTACCAATGAGGATGGGGTCGATGCACCATAATGTTTTTAATGATAATCATGAAATCATTGGTGGGAGGGAGAATGGTTTCGATGCCGACTCTCTTGCTTCATCCAGCATCAGTTGTTTTCAAGAAGGTACTTCAGTGGGTTGTCAATCTTCCAGGTATTCCGATTATCCAAAATCACTGATTCTCGATATCGAAATCCAGGAAGCTGGACGGAATTTCTCGGTGGGACAACGTCAATTGCTTTGCCTTGCCCGTGCATTATTAAACCCATCGAGGATATTGATCCTTGACGAAGCCACTGCGGCGGTCGATCCATCAACTGATAAAATAATTCAAGAAACCATTAAAAGAGAATGTCAAAATAAAACTATCTTGACAATTGCCCACCGGTTGAACACCGTGTTGGATTGTGATCGGATTATTGTGTTGGACCAAGGCAAGGTTGTGGAGTTTGATAAACCGGAAGTGTTGTTGCAGGATACCAAGAGTGCGTTTTACAGCTTATGCCACGAAGGGTGTAATTTATGATTAGCAATCAATCTATTATCCAAACTTTCAACAAAAATTTTGCCCTTTTATTGTTCATTATTTTGGAAGCCAAAAGAAAAAAGAAGAACAAGAAAAAAAAAAAAAAAAAAGAAATGGGAAAGCCGATCCTGAATCATCTGCTCCAACAGGAAGATTGCGTCAATTCTATTATATTATATTATTATCTTATATTTCTATATTATACCATTATACTAAAACATAAAAAAGCCAACACAAAAAATTGAATAAAGTGTTCTCATCAAATCTTTTGTTTATCATTCATTATTATTATTATTATTATTATTTTTTTTCTTTTTTTTTTTCTTTCCTTTTATTGTCGACATTATTATACTATACTACTGCTACTATACTAGAATATCCATGGAGATTATGATTCGACAGAATTGCAAGTTCTTTATGGTATTTCTCTCTATTTATATTATATTTATATTATACTTATTTATCCTAACTCTAATCCGTTGGTAAGCTACTTATTTACTGGAATTCCAAGCTATTCATAACCCTCTTGTACCTATTTACCCAAATTTCAAGCCATTTGCAATCGACTTTGCCCATCTATCCAGATTCCAAACCATTCAAAATAATCTGCTCCACTTATATATTTGCATCCCCCTTGATTCATAAGGTGTAGAAAACGTTCAATCATTTTGCTGGAGGAATTTCATCTGTGCTGCGCCTAGTAAACAATATTTTACAATTTTTCCACCATCATCAAAAACTAAAACATATCATGATGCATCTATCTTTCTCTCTCTCTTTCTTTTTTTTTTTAATTTTCTATCCCACCCATAAAATGACCAGTGTTTCATTTAATTCCCTCATTGATCAGCTCAACTCTGCCGAAGAGGTAGTTTCATATAAGGAAATTCTCCTTCGGTGTCCTTTTTCCCGGTGTAATTGTCGGATCATCCCGTTCAAGTATCACTTATCATCTTTCGATGATAAGAACACTGTGCAGATCAGCGAAACCCCAGAATGTGCGGTTGTTGACAATGCCACTTTGGAAGTGATCAACCCACAAACTTCGAAAGATGAAGAATCTACAAAGAACAAGAACAAGAAGAAGAAGTTCTTCAAGATTGGTGACGCGTGGGATTTCGATAACATTGGGGTATCGCGGCCCTCAGACATTGCTCAACCAATCATCCACGGTGCTGAAGGTAGCCTGGGACCAGTAGAAGATCAAGGAAAAATCAATATCCAGCGATACTTGGTATGTGCTGATTGTGATCGTGGACCTCTTGGATTTGCGGGGTTTGTAGTTGATGAAGATGAGAAAAAATATGGGGAAGAAGAAGAGGAGGACGGAGATGCAAGAATTAAAAATGCTAATAAGTTGGTGTATTTCCTTAGTTGTGATAGTGTGAAGTATGAATTACGATAAAAAATAATAATAATAATCAGAAAACAAAAATAATGAGATTTGCGTTGTTGACAGTTTTATCCTTGATTTGTGTCTTAGAGTGTTGATGTTTCTTTGAAAGTGATCTTTTATGTGAATATGACTTTTTCTCAGTGAAGATGGAGATTTTTCTCTTCTTTTTTCACTTCCACTTTTTTTATTTTTTTTTTGCAATTAGAGTGAATCCAGTTAAAGGTAGAGACTTGACTGGTGGTTGTAGTTTCAAAGATTTGGAATTGATATTTTATTTTGTTTTGTTTTGCATGATTAAATTTCGAACGATGGCAAGAAATAAAACATCGATTCATAAAAAATTGGCTTTTTAGATTTCCTTTTAGCTCTTTGAAATTTGCATAAGTGATCATTTATCATATCATGTGGGTATTGGCTGGTTGGAAGAACTCTTATGGTTGGATTCTGTTATTTTTATGATTATATTACGACACATTTATGATATTATATCATGATACTTTTATGATTATATCACGATACTTTCATGAATATAGATTACGAGACTTGTTTAATGTGACTGGTGTTTTTTTTTTTTTTTTTGTGTTGATGGAAGCTCTGATTGAGATGGAAATTAGAATTTTTCAATACTGTAATTATGACGACCCATGGGAAAGTCGACTATCAGTAGCTCATAGCCTATGCTTTATTCCTATCATCTATTCATCTCAGGACTATAAAATTTAATAAATCTTTACCTTATTTTGTAAGGTTCTCCATTAATCTAGGTGATGAGAAACAAAAAAAAAAAAAAAAAAAAAAAATGATGCTTTACACCCATAAGTTAGATATTAAAGAGATGATGATTCATTCAAAATATTATAGATTCTTCTGATTTTAATTTATCATACGCAAAGCAGCCGAAGATAATAATAATTCCTTCATGTTTGGTGTATACACTCACTCATTCAATGCCAAAATGCTACGGGGAGTGAATGCGAACCGTTGATCGTGTGAGTGACGATCATTGACTCGTGTGACCATTCTCTGGCACTCATTCAAAGGGAATTCATGAAGTAAACATCTCGAGGAATAAAGTTGGGAATATTAAAGAGGGGGGAAAGTAGCTAAATAAAAGACAATAGCTAATGAAAAACAATATAAAATGTATTGGCTCATAGAGAAATTAGAAAAGATGAAAAATTAAAGCAATTGATAGTCTCGAATAAGAAAAAAGAGAGGAAAAAAAAAAAAAGACCAAAATAATTAGGGAATATAATGAAGTTTTTATACCTTTTCAGTGATATCTTGCTTTTTCTCCTCTGCCAACCGCTCTTTCTCTATTCTTTCATCCAACCATCTCTGACCATGGCAAGTGACAATCCATAGTGGTATTAAACTGAGGCCACAGAATCCCGCCATGAGGGTAAAACAACCACCAATCCCCATGGCATCTTGCATTCTACTCAACGCTGCCACTCCGCACGCTGCCATTAGACATCTAGAAAGGTTGACACACGCGGCCCCGGTAGAAGTCTTATCAGGGTACATATCGGCCAATAAGTTCATTGACGAGCCCACGTATGGAGCATTGACAAGTGAGGTAAGGAACGTCCCAATAAGAACAGGGGCAAGGGGGGCATTTTTCTCCAAACACCATGAGAAGATCAAAAGTCCAGAAATAAAAAGAATCGAGCACGGGAAAAGCATGGCGAGACGGACTTTGAAAATTGAAAACTGGGGTTTGGCAGGGATAACATTGGTATCATCATGTATCATCGAGTTAGATGAAGAAGAATCATTGCCATATTTTGCTTCCCATTCACTAAGTTGTTCACGATATTTTTGATGGCATTTTTTGTAATACCAATCAAGAATTTTCCCATTAGCAAAACTACCAATGGTCCCTGCAATTCCTGGAGCAAGGAAACAAAGACCAACGCGCAAAACCGAATACCCTCTTACTTCTTGTAAAGTAGTACTCAAAGAGGTGAACATCATTGTCCAGGTGGTATAGTAAAATGATGCGGGAATTAAAACACAAATGACATCAATATTGGTGACAATCTTTGGAACATCAAAGAGTTTGGAGAGTAAAGATTGGGCGGTATTAAGTTCCAAAGTTTCGATGTCGTTGGTCAACTTCTTCTTGAAATGAGGAACTAACCAAATTGGTGATTTATTGATGAATTTTTTTGGAGGAATCGAGCCATTACCAACGATGGAACGCTTAGTTTCTGGTAAGATGAAAAAACTCAAAATCATGGTGACCCCACCACCAATGGATAAGAACCAGAAAATCGCTCTCCAAGAATGAAACCCCGATGCCAAGACCCCACCAAGTAATGCACCGATACTTTGTGCCAATAATTGGATCCCGGAAGTGAAGCCGATAAGGGAAGCCCGTTTTGAACGAGGGGCCAAATCGGCACAAATACCACTGTTGATGGCGATCACTGGGGCGATCCCGGCAGCTTGAACACATCGAAGGACAAGAATTAACCAATAAACATTGGAGTCCCCGATACAAGCACAAGCGATTACAAACACCCCACAACAGAAGATCACCACCGGTTTACGACCGATGGAATCAGCCATACTCGCACTAAACATCGGGGCAATCCCTTGTAATAAGAAATAAAGCACCACTGACACATTGGCAAGCTCTTCAGTGACGTGGAATTTGTTTTCAATGGTATAAATGATTGGGAAATAGATGTTATTGGAGACGGCGGACCAGAACCCTGAAATCCCACAGATAATGGCAATCATATACTTCTCACGTAGGTTGAAGACAGTATAAGGATATTCTGGGGAATCTGTAGAGGTCTTTTCAGTGACAGCTGGTTCATTATTATCCTTGGCTTGGCTTGCGTTCTCCTTTACTAGATCTCCATCTCCCTGCTTATTAAGCACCTCCTTGGGGGGCATGCTGCTTTCCATTGATAAAGATGGCATCACCTATTTCTTATTCTTTTTTTTTTTTTTTCCTCTTTACTAAAGTATTATATAATAGTTATGCCAGTCTATGACGGCTTTGAAGAGAAATGCAAAATTGACATAAGATGTGTCTGCGTGTTTTATATTAAAATATATATTTGAGAAATCAGAAACAAGCGTCACATATTATTAAATACTTTTTTTTTTTTTTTCTCTTTCTTTTTTTTCGGGATTACCTTATCGGGAAATCCGCAACGTCCATCGTTATGAGTGTCGGCCTGGTGGAACTGCCGCACCGGTGTTAACGCCCATAAACCCCGTGCCAGCGGACTCCGGAGATTGGAAGTGTAATCTGGGTCATCCGATGCAATTGATGGCCATTCTGTAGTGCACACCTAGAAGCTCTCCCAGGTATCAACTCTCACAACAATTATTTGATCATTTGGATGGGATGGAGCAGCTTCCATACGGTTATTATAGGCTTTCGGCTATTTTCTGTTTTCCCCCCTTATCTGTGCGATGGTGTGATCAATACATATTGGTTCATTGAGTCGCATGCTAGTGCATGATGATGATTTATACATATTGCTGCATCATGATGCTTGAAGATGCGGTATACAAATAAATGCCCTTTTAATGGTTGTTTGAACAAGGGAGTTAATATCTATGTCATTGGATGAGTGTTTGTCCAAAAAAGAAGTCGAAGAATAAGGTATCACTTTTGTCTTGTTTTTTGTTTTTTTTCTTTTTTGTAATAAAATAGGCCTAGAACAATCAATACATCCACCTCCAGAAGAACCCAGAACAACCCCGAAGTAGAACGTCATGATCCAACTATGAGATATTGGTAGAACACGAAGCACAGGCCATATATTATTTGAAGATTGCTATGATGATACCAACAGCACAGAAACAGACCCATCGAAGTCCAACTATCATTCGCTTTTCACTCCGTAGACAAGACCTGTCAAGGTCGTTTAAATCATGGTGTTGCTGTTCCCCATACCTTTTCACCCGAATAATGCGCATATTGTTATATCTTCCCAGATTACAATTGCATCCTCTATTGATAAGCAAACCCGGGGGGTAGCGTCATCTCCCTCTGCATAGTATTTACTATCTAATATTATTTAATCCCAATTTCCCTGATAACGTAATAAATATTGGTTTCTCTCTGCGATGTTGGAAACCAACTGCCGCATTCTAAAGGCACACGCAGACAACCAGCCACAGAGAAAAAAAAAAAAAAAAAAAATGTGATGTCCGCAGATACTTAACAACATGGTATTCGTCTAACCACCAAAGTGTAAACAAACCACTATACCACCTCAAAGATGAACAAGGCTGGTCTGACGAATATGCGATGTCGTCGTTTATGACCTCAAATAAAAACAATGTGAATTCCTGTCCTTTGTTTAATTAAAGTGAAAATACTTTTCTTTTTTTTTTTCCCCTTAGATATCCAATTGTTTCTTGCCCTAGTAGTGTTTTATTGGTTCATAGACTCTTTCGAATTTTTGGGCTCTTTTATTAACTGTTATTAATATTGAGTAATAATAACCAATTATAATGGGTGCTAACCCTAATAGAGGCTCATCGACCTCCAATAATCATAACAGTGGTCTGGATGCCTATCACTTCGACAATTTCTCGTATTCCAGATCCTCCCGTCACAGACCTTCTAATAACGTTAGATCCAACTTAGCCACCCCATTCCAGCTACCACAAGGCTATTATTCCAGTAATCACAATGGGGGAACCAATAACACTGTCAATTTTAATGATACGTCCAGTCAGTCCAGCAGAGATGCCATGGAGGATGCAGAAAAAGGATTTAGACCATTTCCAGAAAGAAGTGATACTTATCCGCTTAATGTTTCTGTGAATTCCAGAATGGAAAATCCTAGAACACAAGAAGATGAAACACACATTATCTCTCCATTACACCATTCGAATACTGCTCCTCCAAGAATCCCCCCTATCCTTGCAGAAGTACCTGATCATGCCCATTTTGAAAACGACACCGAATCCACCAGCTCGAGCATTACGGCCACCGATCATGACTATGTCACGGAAAAACAGCTCCCATATCCTGTGTTTGCTCCTCATTTGGAACCGGCGACCACTCTTAATATTCCTCCACAAGCTCCGCTTCAACAAGATTTACATGGTAATTTGTACGGTGAAGCAGTATCTTTTAAAACCATGCCAGATGATTCAGATGTCAAAGAAGAAGAAGTTCATACCACCGTGAAAAAGTTCCTTACCACCAACGGTAATCTTATTTTGGATAGTGATACTGCTTCTTATTTATTGAAAGAATATAAACTCGAAGCTAAAGGGAATGAGTTTGCGTATATGAGATACTCTTCGGTGACGTGCGACCCAAACCAATTCCGGGTTTCCAAATTCAACCTCAGACAAAACTTCTACAAAATCCCTCGTCAAACAGAAATATTGATTTGTATCACACTATACGATGAAGAACCGTTCCTTGTGGCCAGGACTTTGAAAGGGGTGATCCAAAACATTATTCATTTGACCAAACTCAAGCATTCTGAAGTGTGGGGTGACGAATCTTGGAAAAAAATTGTCGTGTGTTTTGTGGCGGACGGTCGTAACAAGGTCAATCCTAAAACTTTGGCATTATTCTCGTCTATTGGGGTTTATCAAGATGGTTTTGCTCGTGGGCAAATTGGCGAAAAAAAAGTGCAAGCCCATTTATACGAACATACCACTATGTTGGGGGTGCAAAACACCGATGAAGGCGACATTACTTTTGTTCGTAACCCAGTACCGGTCCAATTGTTATTGTGTTTGAAAGAAAGAAATAAGAAGAAAATCAACTCCCATCGTTGGTGTTTCGAATCTTTTGCGGATGTTTTGAATCCAAGAGTCGTGGTTTTATTGGATGCCGGTACTCAACCAAGTCGTGATTCTCTTTACCATCTTTGGAACTCATTTTATATGAATCCACAAATCGGTGGGTGTTGTGGGGAGATTAAGGCCGCGTTAGGTCCGAAATTCAGTAACTTATTGAATCCCCTTGTGGCGGCTCAAAACTTCGAATATAAAATATCCAATATCTTGGATAAACCTACGGAGCTGACATTTGGGTTTATTTCTGTGTTGCCGGGGGCCTTTAGTGCCTACCGTTATGAAGCCATCTTGAACGATGAAAATGGGGTAGGTCCACTTGAAAAATACTTTAAAGGTGAAGATTTGGATAAAGATCCGAGCGCTGGGGTGTTCCAGAAAAATATGTACCTTGCGGAAGATCGTATCTTGTGTTTCGAACTTGTTGCTAAAAAGAAATCTAATTGGACCTTAAAGTATGTTAAGGCTGCCACTGCCGAAACTGATACCCCAACCGCGATTTCTGCGTTGATCAAGCAAAGAAGAAGATGGTTGAATGGTTCATTTTTCGCTTCATTTTATTCGATCACTCATTTCTGGCGTATCTGGAGTTCTGGCCATTCATTTGTTAGAAAAATGATGTTGATGGTGGAATTCTTTTACCAAACTGTCCAACTTGTGGTTTCGTGGTTCAGTATCGCTTCTTTTTTCCTTGTTTTCAGAATCTTATCAGTTTCATTGGAGGGTTATTTCGGAGGAGCGAAAATTCTTGCTGGTATTTTCCTTTGGATGTACGTTGCTACTACCGTTATCACTTTTGTTCTTTCCTTTGGTAACCGTCCTGAAGGTACTTCCAAAGTTTATTTTGTGATGTTGATCTTCTACGCAGTGTTGATGAGTTATACCATGTTTGCTGCGGTGTTCATGTCGGTGAAAGCGGTTCAAGATTTTTTGAAAGAACGTAATTTCCAAGAATTGGTGTTCCATAATTCCCGTTTCCGTGATTTGACGGTTTCATTGTCATGTACATACGGTCTTTATTTCCTTGCTTCATTCTTATACTTTGAACCATGGCATATGTTTACTTCTTTCTTACAATATCTTTTGATTTCACCAACCTACATCAATGTTTTGAACATTTATGCTTTTTGCAATCTTCATGATTTGAGTTGGGGTAATAGAGACGACGAAATCATCGAAGAAAAACCGTTACAAATGACCAAGGTCCAGAAAGATGAACTTGAGGAATTGGATGTCAATGAAGAAGTGTTACAAAATGAATTTCTTGTGTCGATGGATGCCCCAATGGATAGAAGGGACGTGGATATTCAGTATGCTAAAAAGTGGCATGAACTTAGAGAACCAGGGAAATCCAATTATGAAACCAATAGATTTGGCATGAAGGTCAGGATCGATGGTCGTGATGCCGATACAAAAGCAAAAGATTATTATGCCTTAGTTAGATCTTTGGTGGTTATATTTTGGATGGCGACAAACTGTTGTTTGGTCGCTGTAGTTTTGAGTATGGACGGTTTCACTGATAGTTCTCATTTGGAAAGTGTCTACGAAAGAAGATCGGAAATCTTCTTGACGGTGATTCTTTGGATTGTTGCGTTTTTGGCAGCGTTCAGATTTGTTGGGTGCGTCATTTATTTGATTAATTATTTGGGTGAAAGAATGATCGATTGGGATATCAGGAAACAACTGTTGAGATACCCAAATTACGCTATCTAGCTCATTTTGTTGGTCAACTTTTTCTTTTCCCTTTGAGGTATGATTCAATTAATGCTTGAGGGGGGAAAAAAAATCACTACTTGTACTTTTATCATCGTCATTATCATTATCATTATCATTATCATTTTTTTTTTTTTGTTTGTTTGTTTGTCTTTATCATTACTGCATGCCTGTTGTTACTAATATTTTTTTCTTTTTCCTTTTGGCTTTTTAAATTTTGATATTTCTACATATCTTTTGATTAATATATTGTCATTTCCCTTATTTCATCAATGAATTCTTTCATACTCCGTTGTTTCCCAAATGCAAATAGTCTACCAGGCTCTTCGAAATTCTTGATGTCCTTGAGTTGTTCTTCAGCAATTAATGAAATCGCCACTTCGTGTGGTCGCATGAAGTCACGCTTTCGGGAAAGCTGTTGTAGCGATTTTTCCCATTTGATTGGGAATGTGTCTTAATTTGTTCCATTTTGCTGATGGACTTGATGAAATTCGCTTTGAGAAGACACAACGTCTCCTCATGGATTCCGACAGTGCGGAAGAACCGCTTGATCTCTTCATCCGCGTGGAAATTCCCAGTAAAGTCTGGTCATCCACCATCAAATCTGGCGGCAATGGCCAGACAGATCTCTCTTCTATCAAAAGTATTTACCTCGACCATTTTTTAAATTCTTGTATCTTATGGTTAAATCACACTAATTTTGTTCATAATATGATTTTAGAAATAATATGAAATTGCTTTTTGGAGACAAAATAGATCCGTATGGAGCATGTTTTGATCAGAATCCGCTCGAAACTATTTTTTAGTCAAAATTGCAAAGATGGTAAAAGCTTGTCAATTGTTAATTTTTCCTGGTCCCCTGTGGACCAGTTGATTAGGTGTTCGTCGGTGACCTTCTCTAACGGTTATTGTTGAAAAAAAAAACAACAACACCATCATAGCTGAAGGCAGTTAAGCAGTAATTGGATCGTCTTGATTCATAATTAGTCTAGTATCTTATGTGTTCCAGGTATATATAACTATTGTATCGGCTCGGCCCCCATCTGCTAGCGGGTACGCTGAATAAGTATAGAATCGAGTAATATACACCTACTTAAGAGAAAGACGGACGTCCACTGTTTGTAGTAGGCTCGTCCCACAGAGCACTAGCTACCCTAGGCTTACCATCTCCTTGGTCTTGGTCTAACTAGTGGCCACATTATTGCAACTGTTTTATTTATCACTCTTGGTTGGATGTTGGGACCGACACCACCACTGTAAGCAGCATTATGGTGCATTGCGTCATCCCGGGTAAATGATTCAGACGAAATCGAGTCATCTCAAGTGGCCACAAATACGTTATCTCATCGCTTTCCTGAGATGCTGTCTCAAAATTAATGACAACCAAACTCTTTCACAAACAATAATAACAAAAAAACAAAAAAAAAAAAAGGTTAAAACATTTCGGGAGCCACGTTTTCTTAAAATAGAAAGCTAAAAAAAAATAAAAATTGAAAAGAAAAACCCGCTACAAAAAAAAAAAAAAAAAAAAAAAGAAAAAAAGAAACGAGGCATAAATAACCCATTTATATTCTTTGATAAGGATCATTCCAAAGAATCTGATATAACACCATTGGAGCAAGCACACACTAGATAGATAGAATAATCATGGGATTCTTCACCGATGACAAGCCATATACCGCCATAACTGCCTCAATTAACCAACTTTTGGGCGAAAAGACGGTTGAGGAATTCGAGCCAGAAATCCAGTTGCCTGGGTTGCTTGAAAGCATCAAGATCCAGGGTGCTGAAGGGTAAGTTTACATAACCACATGTTTTTGCTTCTTATATTCTTGAAAATAATTGGGATTTTATATTGTCCTCATGAAGATCACTGTGTTTGGGGTATTTTGATTTGCTTTGCTTTACTAACTTGTTACTTTAGGGCAACCGAAGCGGCTAGAGCCATCAGAAAGAAGTTGAAGTATGGGACCCCAACAGTTCAATATAAGGCCCTTGTGGTAAGTTGATCTTTTTTTTTTTTTTTTCATTCTTGCCTTTTGCTACTCTAAAATCCTGAAATTATGGAGAATGATTCTCTTTTTTTTTTTTGTTTTTTTATGATGTGGGTAATTAGGATCCTCATTGAGACATTTAAATACTAACATTTTTGCCTAGCTTCTTGAATTATTGGTCTCAAACGGTGGGAAGCCATTGACTCCATTATACAATGATACCAAATTATTGGATCGACTCAAGGTAATGATTAGTGACGATACCCTTATCCCAAGAGTCCGCAAGAAGGTGATTGCTATGGTTGCTGGGTGGAAATCTGAGTTTTCCAACGATCCAAGATATTCTGAGCTAGTTTCCTTACACAAATATGCTAAGAATTATTACAAAAGTAGATCCGGAGGAGCCAATCAGCCCGTCCGAAGACAGGTTCCCCAATTTATGGACGACAGTGCAGACGAGTTTTCTGATAGTGAATACGACAGAATATCCCAAGTTGGCAGTATTAGAAGACACGGAGGTTCTGTTCCTGGAGAAGTTACTGGCACAAGCAATGCTGCTTTGGACCAAGCATACGAGATTCCAGATATCGATCTCAGAAAAGCCGGTCCAGAGATTGATAAAATACTTGCGGCGGCCACCAGTGGGGCAACTTTATTGAAAAACCAGTTATCCCAATTGAATAGGTCTAGAGGTGAAATAGCAATGGACAATGATATGTGTGCTATTCAGTTTGAAAAATGTCGTCAAATTCGTCGAAAAGTATTGCGTTACTTACAGGTCATTAGCGAGGGAGAGTATCTTGGATTATTGATCCACGCCAATGACGAATTGGTTGAAGCGCTTCAGAAATATTCTGACTATTCTAAACCAGAAACCTCCAACCCTTCAAACCCCTCCAACCCAGTGGCAAACAGCGGATTCATCAGCGAAAACTCTGATGATGATGATGACGACGACGACGAAGAGTCCAATGCTGCTGCATTTTCTGACTATGAATCTGAGGAAGATGATGAAGATAATCCATTTGCCGACCGTAACAAGGTCTAGGTTGTGTTGTAACTACTTCGTGTATAGTTATTGTTATAGTTATTTTTGTTTAGAACTCTTGGTGGACGGCGTTTGATATTTTTTTTTTTCTGTCTTTTTTAGTTGTCAAAATTATTTTTTCCAGTTTCTGTGAATGTACAAGTTGTCTTAGTTTAATATCGTCTATTGTCCATAAACTGTCTGTCATTTTGGAGGCTTAAGCAGCGATGAGATATAAATAAACTGTCAAAAATAAAAAAAAAAAAAGCGCTGTGACGTAACTTTTTATTTTTAATCTCTTCCATATGATGCATGCGTCGCTTCACGTATCTCTGCAGAAGATCACGCGGGACGGACCAAAATGGTGGCTATTTTTATCTCAGCCTCCAAAAATGGGTCAGCCCGTCAATCATTATAAATATATCCCTGAATTTCCGGCCCAACTTTCTTTCCCTGCTCGTTTTTTATGGTTTAGCAAATATATATCGACCACTAACCATGTTAACTAGACTAAAAGCAGCACTACTTTTCAAATCTTTGGAAAACAACAAAGCCATTCGCCAGTCGTCTGCCAACATCCAAGAATTGAACAATGAAATTTGCAAATTAAAAAATGAGGCCATTCAAGTGCCGGTTCTCAAGGCGAAATTGGACCTTCTAGAAAATGAATTGAGGTTAGAAAGACAGAAACTTATTGACCAACAACAAGCCTGGGAAGCCTTGAGAGCTCAAGAGGTGCAAGAAGAAGAAGAAGAAGAAGAAGAAGAAAGCAATGCAAGCTTGTTCAATAGTGACAATCTCTGGCTCAGCATTGAGGAAAGGATCAATGAGGAGGAGGAAGAGGAAGAAAGGGCTGCAAAAGAAAATAAGAAACAAGTTTTGAGAAACTCTAATGGTGGTGAAAACTTTGCTCCATTGTTGGTTCCTCCAAGATCTCATAGAAGACTTGAATCTACTTCCACTACCTCTAGCAATGGTTCATCACTTTTCTCAATTAAGAACGAATCATGCAAATCGAACACCGAACTCGACTTACAGTTGGCATATGAGGAAACTAATACCTCACTTTTGGAGAAACTTAAGTATCAAGAAATGCAAAACACCGTTTTGAGTAAAAGACTCTCGGAATTACAGGTGCACCTTGATGAAATGAAATTGGCTCCTGAAGTATCTTCCCCACCAACCTCCAAACAGTCAGATGCTTTCCCTAGTACCCCTGTTTCTTATAAATGCAATCCTAAAAATTTGACTGTCAACATTGATCTTTCTGAGCCTTCATTGTCTCCATCTTCCAACAATTACATGTATCAGCAAAACGCTACCAGATCAAACATTTCACTAAACATTCAAATTGACTCCCCTACTTTTTCACGGGTGACCTCTCCTGCGATGTCCAATTACTCGCCAAATTCTTCAACTTTTGAATCCCCATTCATTTCCCCTACTGATTTGGCTTACAAGCAATTGACCGATCCCGAGAGAGTGATCCCTTCGTCTGAAACAAGTTTGGTGCGTAACCAATACTTCAACAAGACTCTCAGACGGAAAGGATCCCATGAAAGTTTATTGTCGATGAACAAAGGTCCTTCTAGTCTTTCTCGTAAAGTTAGCAGACCTCAGTATTATAACTTCATGGCCAAAGATCAAGGAGAACTTGCCAATTCTACTCATCATCATAGTCCTGGAAAGCACAATAGTATGGGGACCGCAATTAAAAGAAGATCAATGAACTTATATCATAACCAACTAAACAAAATATCTAGCCGTCCAAAGTCTACTGGATTCTTCTAATTATTATTATTATTTTTCCTGTTTTTCATTCTTTCGTTTTTGGGTTAGTTAAGGGCAGAATTGTTTTTCTTTTTTACCACTTCATTTTTTTTTTTTTTTTTTTATTTTGCATTTTTGGCATCCAACTTATAAGAAAATTTTCTTTCTCTTGTTTACACCCTTCTTTCTTTTTTGTTTGTTTTTCTATCATTATTTTAGGTTTTCACTAGCTTCACTCATTATTTTGCATTTTAATATCGGCATTATCTTTCTACTTCAGGCAACTGCTTTTTACATCTAATACCCTTGCTTTTCAACCTTCGTCATTTATTATGCTATAGATTTATTGGTCCTTTTTGTGATTTTTCCCTTCTCGAAATATAAAATATCAAACCAAATTGAACTGTTGTAAGTATTTGTATTCCAGCTGGAATACTAACTCGAGTTGAAAAAAAAAAAAAAATCATACTATGATTTCTCCTGTTCAGAGTAAATGCTGATTTAGACTTGACTTTGTACGTCTGGGTAAATTGATTGGACACCCTGAATTTTCAAAGCAATATTGTGCTAGTAACACAACTAGAAACATTTAAGAATACTTCTTTTTTTTTTTTTTTTTGGAAAACTCAATATAACTTAGCATCAAGAACCTCAGGCTTTTTATCTGTTTCAAAATTTCTTAAAAGTATCATTGTGATTAGATCCTTGCATGAATCCAATAATGAAAGCCTTGGAGTGACAAATATTAGAATTCTAGGGATGCGATTTTGGGAGATGTTTAAATATACTATCGGTGAAAAATTTACAATTTCAGCTTGTAGGCCTGGTTGAGTGGTATCTGCTCTTCAGAAGATTTAATAGGACAGTCATAGTTTAAGAACTTGTGGCTACAAGAATATGAAAATTAGTATTGATAGATTAAGTAAATTGTTGGGATATGGCTGAACCATATTTGCTACAAAGTAATTAGATGTCTGAAAGTTACTTTGCTTTCACTCTTCATTAGTGAAAAACTGTACATATTAGAAAGATCATGAGTTTCAGGAATATCTCTCAAGGAATAAATTGGATAATTTAAAGAAGTGCTATAAATCAATATCTTGGTATTATCTGATGGGTCATCTACGATACAGAACTTTTACTCACTTGTTTGTTTGCCATACAGAGAAAATGCACGAAACAAAGTTTCTTGAAAATCAGTGTATTATAGAGATTATATAACTCGATATTTTGTATTATTATAATTTGCACCCACAAAAATCAAGCACAACATTCCATAATTTCCCATTGACCGACTAAACTTAAAATATTGATAATAATAATAATAAAAAAAAAAAAAAAGAAAACAGAAAAGAAAAGAAAAGAAAAGGAAATGAAGTTTTCACTCATTAATGGAGTTGGCAACAGAATTTTTGTGCTCATACTCCCTCTTGATATCAATTTCTTCAACATGCTGATCTAACTCTTTAGCATAATCTCTAGAAGGCTTCCAACTTGGAATGAAATACGGAGCTTCCTTCCAATAGCTGTCCATGACTTCAAGCGGAATCTTTCTGGTCTCCGGCATGAATGCCCAGAAGAAGATGGCATTACTCATACAACAGAAAATAAACGTGTAATAAAACTTCCAACCAACTTGATCCATCGCCACGGTGGTGACTTGACCAATCATTGTATTGAAGGCAAATGATACCATTGTGGCAAGACCAACCCCTTTGGCTCTCATGGCTAAATTAAAAGATTCTGACGGAATGACCCAAGTCAACGGACCAACACCATAACTGAAGATAAAGTTGTAGATCCAGGTGCTGGCAATGAACCCAATTTGTGCTCCACGATTATTGGTAGTTTCTGCCGGGAATTTCGCAAGTAGAATTGCTCCGATCACAAAACAGAAAGAGCATCCAACGTTTGAAAGGATCAACACCCAACGACGACCAGTGAGATCAATTGTGGCAATACATAGTGCTTGGGCTATCAAAGCAATAATGGAATTCACAGACTGATATAACAATGTACGACCGGTGCTCAAACCAATATTGGAGAAGATCACAGGGCTGAAGAATTGGATTGCACTGACCCCAGTCATTTGAGCTGAAGCTTGTAAAGCACAGGTAAGAACAATTCTTCTTGCCCTATCCTTGGTTTTGAAAAGACCAAGCCAACCAACTGATGGTCGACTTCTTTCAAGCTCGACTTCGCTCATAATTTCTTCGTATTGTGCTCTGGTTTCTGAAGCATCAATGTCACCATGAGAATGAAGTTTCGCAAGAGTTCGCAACGCAAGGTCTTCTTTATTGTTCTTGGCTAACCATCTTGGGGATTCTGGAAGGAAGTAAGTTGCGAAGAATAAAATTCCTATTGGCACAACTTGAAGGCCAAGTGGAAGACGGAATTGATTTTCGCTACCAGCGAGACCAGTGTAACAACCATAGGCGATCCAAGAAGAACATAGGGCACCAATACCCAAAAAGAACTGCTGAAGAGCAGTGACCGTACCTCTAATGGAAGGGTGTGATAACTCCGCTTGAAACAATGGGATGATCATACAAAGAGTACCGACGGCAATTCCGCTGATAAAACGTCCAGCCAAAAGCATCCCCATGCTAGTACATCCTGCTTGTAAGCATCCGCCAATGATGAAAATCAAACTGGCAGTGGTGATGGTATACTTTCTTCCAATGTAATCTGAAAGATACCCTGCGAAAAATGCACCAAAGAATGCACCTCCAGTGAACAATGAAACGACTGCACTGCTTTCATTGGTGCTTGGATGAAACCTTTCGATGAAGGTTTCACTAGCAATTACTTGAGCAATGACGGAAAGGTCTATGGAAAAATGTTAGTCAGGTATCCTATTATTGAAAAAGAGGAAGATACGCACCATAACCGTAAGCAAAGGAGCCTATTGAGGCAAAACAGCATACCAAGAACTGGTATAATTTAGGAGGAATGGCCATTTCTAATACATATCAAGATTATAGAACAATTGTGCACCTATAGAAAGAGGTATCAATGAGTAAATGTGGGGGATATATATATATATATATATATATATATACATGTACAGATCCGCTATGTCGAACCAGAACGGGGAGTGGACGCATGTCATTATGCAGCGTGGGGGTGCATTGATCGCGCTTATCTTTGACGTCTTCGAAGCCCCTCTTAGGGTCTACCCACCATTAATCAGCACCATTCATCCAGGCGGTGATATATTTGGAAATAATAGTCTACTTCTGAAGTTGAGGGGTTTATTTCTATTATGATATAAGACATCCCCTCAGCTGCAAAGATTCCAGGCGGTATCGCAATTTTTTGTCAATTCTTTAACCTAACTACTCTACTTTCTTACAAATAATGTCGGTATACGGTCAAACCATCACACCAGTTAGATCTCTTAAGAACTCTTCCATCACTGTTGATCCGAGAAGAATATTAGCCCCGGTGGATGAGCGCATCTATTCTGGATTTGTGGAGCATCTCGGAAGATGTATTTATGGTGGTTTGGTAGACTACAACAAAACCCCGAAAACAAAGGTCAATGGTAAACGTCACAGAGAAGATGTTTCCAAGGCCATCAAAGATCTTAAGATGCCAGTGGTTAGATGGCCCGGTGGCAATTTTGTTTCCTCTTATCACTGGATCGATGGTGTTGGAGCTAGAGAAAACCGTCCTAGAAGACCGGAACTTGCTTGGTTAGGCGAGGAGAGTAACCAGTTTGGAACAGATGAGTTCATAGAATGGTGCCACGAAATGAAAGTTGAGCCGTACTTCTGCTTGAACATGGGAACCGGAACTCTTGATGAAGCGCTAGGATGGATAGAATATTGCAATTCCACCGCCAACACCTATTACGCCAACTTGAGAAGGAAAAATGGTCATCCTGCACCTTATAATGTCAAGTATTGGGGCCTTGGGAATGAAGTTTGGGGTGACTGGCAAGTAGGACAGATGACCAAAGAAGATTACGCTAAGAAGGCTGCTGAATGGGCCAAGGCTATCAAATTATTGGATCCAAATGTCCAGTTGATCTCCTGTGGTTGTACCGGGTTAGATAATTGGGATCATCATGTCTTGGATAAGTTGATCAACTGGGTCGATATGCACTCCATACACATGTATACCGCTCATGATGAGTATATCAAGAACGTCACTGCACCAGCAGCGGCGGAGACCGCGATTCAAGTTACCAAAAATTTGATTGATTTGGCGACTATACAACACCCACCAAAGGCTAATGGAGTGAACTCATTGGAAGCAGACTCTAAAAAGAAGGTCAAAATTTGTTTTGATGAATGGAATATTTGGGATCCAACTAGGGCAGATGGAACCAAAGGTGCTGAGGAGAAATACACTCTCAGTGACGCACTTGCTATTGCTTCATGGCTCAATGTATTTATCAGACAAAGTGAAAGCTTAGGAATGTGTAATATTGCTCAGTTGGTGAATGTTATTGCTCCGATCATGACCAACGACTCGACAGTTTTCTTACAAACCACTTATTGGCCATTGATGTTATTTTCCAACTATATGAGAGACGGCCACGCTTTAGATTTGCATGTTGAAACCAAAATGTACACCGGAGCTACAGGAATAAACGATGGTAGTTATAAATGGATCCAAGGCAAGTTTGGCGTGACTTTATTGGATGTCAGTGCCGTTAAAAAGATAGGGTCTGATACAATTTATATTGCAATTGTCAACAGGAGCGAAGATGAAGAAGCCAACACCAAAATCGATTTCCATACAAAGATCTCCGGGATACATGCGTGGGAGCTCTATCACGATGATGTTTTGGCTTCTAACAGCTTTGAAACTCCAGATAAAGTTGTATTGAAGGAAAATGACTGTCAGATTATTCAGAATGAGGACAAGAGTGTGAATTTTACCTTTCAGAAGCATTCCTTTACCCTTTTGGAGGTTAAATACTGATATTTTTTTTTTTTTTTTTTTAACTTCCAACTCTAGTCGTACTTTGCAAATACAAGAGAGATATGACACAAATTTTTCCGGGTCGAGAGGGGATTCGCGTAGTTTGGACAAACACAAAAAACTTGTTTGTATTTTTTTTTTTTTTTTCTCCTCGCAACGAAGGTCCATTTTAATAACAGAAAGCCTATCACTATCGGATTACAGGAAGATATTCTGGTGGATCCGGTGGGTGTAAACAAACAGTATCGCATATTTTGCTGAGATCCCGAATAGAGGAATGTTTATTAGGAGGTTATTAATGTGTTTACCGTGTTTACCTTGGGTGAATTAATAAATGCGTTTCTTGAAGTCTTATTTCATTCATTCTTATTGTAGGTTTATTGAGCTTATCTCACATTTGCAGGGTTAGGACTCCTCACGTTACCCTCCTTAGGGAGACCAGCGAAATATCGCCATCGCACATGGAGAATACTTATTTATCAGAGATGGGGATGGCAAATTTGTTCAATATTATCGATTATAAATGATAAGCTGGTTATATCAGACCTTTTTCCAACCTAGAAAATTATTATCACCAGAAGAAATGAGTGCCACCGTGGACAAGGTTAACGCCTGGATCAAAGAAAAGCCAATCTTTGTGGCTTCCAAAACTTACTGTCCTTACTGTCAAGCTACTTTGAAGACTTTGGACGAATTGAAGGCTGATGCTTATGTTGTTCAATTGAACACTATCGGTATGTTCTGAAATCCATTTTGCTTTTATCTACAAAACCTTTTTTTTTTTTTTTTTTTTGCTTTATTTTATATGTTCGTTCAGGTTTTGTAGAATACTTACTAACAATGCTTGTAGATGATGGTTCAGACATCCAAGATGCTTTGTACGAAATCACCGGTCAAAGAACCGTTCCAAACATCTTCATTGGCGGTAAGCACATTGGGGGTAACTCTGATTTGCAAGAATTGAAGGCCTCTGGTAAGCTTGATGCTCTTTTGAGTGATCTCTGATGTGATGGTCATTACATTGAAAATAATTTAGAGATTTAAGCAAATATTCTTGTGCCTTGTTTTTTGATTTTTTATGGCGTTGGTATACTTAATTGACGTCGTTCCTTATTGATGAATAAGATTCTTTAGGGGGAGGGAATTCAGTGTAGATATTATTAATATTAGGTTTCTGAAAAAAAAGCCACTTACCAATTGTAGCATCAATCAATCAATTACGAAATGGATGTGAATCAAAGCAGGTAGATTTGGATGAAAATACAAGTAGGCTTTGATAGCAAAAGTATGAATTGATGCACCTTTTCTTCCCGAAGCACAATTTTTGATATATCCATCTGTCTATCTGTCAATTTTTATTTTATTTTGATTGACTACATTGCTTTCTTTGTATTGATAAAAACCATAAACTCGATTAAAGTGCTTGCAAAAAGAAGAGGGATTTTGTAATTGGAATCAAGCGCCACCAACTTTTGCATGTAGAACATGATCGAATGCAAAGGCATACACCTACAGGTTACAGTATAGCCGTATATCCATTATTATAATAATATATCCTTTTTTCCTGGTGCTACTTCTTGTTGGTTAACTGAACGGGTGCTTTTGCAACCGCCGGCGTATTGTAGGTATCGTGCAACATCATGGAAAAGGGTAAGTGACCCTGCAACTATTTGGGGAGTTTGTCCTCGATTGTGGTAGCCCAGAAGCTGTCAACAATGACTTTCGCTGCCACCCATTGCGATAAGCAGAAAAAAAAAGTATAATAATAATATATACGTCAATCTCAGAGAAGATATTAATATATCGGATCATTAAGACAAACAATGAGACAGTTGGTTGAGGGGATGGTGCACTCATACGCTTTTTGTGTTGTTCCAGAGGTAACTCGCTTAGCGCACGATCTATAAACACTCATCAACCATGGGAAGTGCAGCCTCACGATACGATTCGGCTGAGACCTACCGCCACAATGTCACTAAGAATCTTTTTCAAAAGGAAACAATTGGAAATAATAATCACCAATTGTGGTACTTAATGTTTGCCCATTACATAAATATAAAATGGAATCAGCCGTTCTTCAGTGTGGGATACACACACAGTGTATCATTTATATTCATAGATATACATATTTCGAAAACTTTTTTTTTTAATAGCTAATCAACATCTAAATAAAACTTGTTGTGAAAGCTTTATATCAATTCATATATACAAATGTTAATGCGGCTCACTATCCTCTTTATGGCCAGCTTCTTGGCATACCTTGGAGATGCTTTATCAATTCAAAAAAGATTTGTCAACATAACCAGTACTACCAATAATGTGACAAAAAATGGTGATGGGCTTCTTGAAGGTGTGGCAATCAACAGAATCAAATCAACGATATCTCAAAAGATATTGGGGATAGATAGCAACAAAACTTATGTCCATATGGACTTTGCCGTACAGTCTAGCGATGAACTTATTGAATTGAAAACTGGTTCATTGCAAAGAATGGCTACCAATTTAGTCAGCAAAACTATCAATACAGACAATGGGGTTTCTAGAAATGTTATGAGACAAGTTTCCGCAATGCCTAAATATGCCAAATCACTATTAAAGAGACAACATTTGCCTTTTGAAAATATTGTCATTCAGAATAAAAAAGTGTATTATTCAGTCGAGCTAGAAGTCGGTTCTGATAACCAACCGGTTTCTGTTGTTTTGGACACCGGCTCATCTGATTTGTGGGTTCCGACTTTTCAACTTTCTGCTGGTATAGGCTATTTCAATCCAGACACATCTACCTCTTATCAGCTGAGTAATTCATCATTTGGCATCAGCTACGGTGACGGAACCTACGCAATTGGAACTTGGGGAAATGACACCGTTTCCATTGGCGAAGATGTGAATGTTAACAATGTAATCTTGGGGGTGGTGGATAATTGCACTGCAAGCCAAGGGGTTTTAGGAATCGGATTGCAAGGCAACGAGGCACAAGGGAAGAATTATTCTAATATGCCAATGTTGCTACAGCAGCAGGGATACCTTGATAACATCACTTATTCTTTGTACTTGGATAGTGCCGATAGTGGTTCCGGTAGCATTTTATTTGGGGCTATAGATTTGGAGAAATATCAAGGAGAATTGACAACTTTGCCGCTTGTGAATATAAATGATGGCGGAATGAGCACTGAAGTGCCAGTGGCGTTCTTCGTGAACGTTACATCGATTGACGGTACTGATAGTACTTTGGCAGAAACGACGTATCCCGGACTATTAGATTCTGGAACCACACTTTTATACGCTCCGACCGAAGTTTACGAGGCCATTGGCGAGAAATACGGAATGAAAAGCGAGGTTGGTTACGTTCACTTTTGTGATGCCTGGAAAGGACAAAATCTCACTTTCAATTTTGAAAATGACCTCCAGATAAGGGTTCCAATGGACGATATGATGTACAAGTTACTGTACAACAATGGCTCGACGGTTTCGGTTTTAGGGTTAGACATGTGTTTGGTTGGTGTTTTGGAATCCCCTGGAGACTATTATGTCTTGGGAGATAACTTCCTTAGGAGTGCGTATGTACACTATGATCTCACAAATGGTGTTGTACTGATGGCACAAGTAAAATATACTGATAACTCCCTTATTCAACTCGTTTGATTTTTGGAGATACCATCAATTGATTAGTAGCTTGCTTATTTGTGAGATCTCGCTTTTCACGTTTTTACCCGCTATACTTCATCTGGTAGATTTCATTTTTTAGATTTCATTTTTTTTTTTTAGATTTTTTCTTCTAGACTTCATTTGTTAGATTTTATTCAGGTTTTATTGTTTAGTGTTTCTTTGCAACTTTGAGTGCCAGTTTATGTAGTAAGATTCATAGGAATTGAACAATGTAAATCGAAGACTTCTAATAGACTTTCACCAAAGCTAATTTATATAAGGAATTAGTACAAAATCTATTATAAGGAAGAAATCACAAGCTCGAAAAACCAATTCTTTAAAAAGGCAATACAGAAATCGATTAAAAAGAAATAAAAAAAGTTCAATTAAAAAAGAGTACAGGAACACATAAAATAATAGATCATAAACAACCAGCACCTTAAGAAACAAAGCAAAGAAAAAAAACATAGTATAAAGCAATCCGTATAAATAAAATAGCAACTGAAAAAAGAGGGGGGGAGGTAGGGAAAAGCGAATCGTAACACAAACATATAACGAGTCAAAAAGAAAAGATCAAACCGAATTGACCTATACCTTTCCTAACACTTCGTCAAGCTTATCAGTGTATAAATATTTACTTTTTGCCTGGACAACAAGAAATTCTGGCAATTTGATAACCCCAATAACTGGAAGTGTTAATTGGCCAACACCGGCCTTAGGTCCTAAAGAAATGCCAATAGGTTTCTCTCTATTTTCAAATTCTCTAAAGACATTTTTGGAACCGGTGAGAAGGGCATGAACATTTGTCTTCAAGACTTGGATTTGTTCCTCTCTATTGACCATCTTTTTGCCAGGAATGTTATTGATATCACCAATTGCAAAGATGTTAGGATATTTTAAAGTTTGGTAGGTCTTTTTGACTTTAATGAAACCTCTGTTGCTAAGCTCCAAGTCGGTTAAATTTGTACGTGGAACGTTTGGTTGTGGGCCGGTACAATTGTAGAAAACATCGACATCTTCGATCACAGAATTGGAGGATCTGAGAATAACAGTACGTGGATCAGACTCATCATACAATGCAACATCATGAAGCATCAATGTAAGATTCATTTCTTCTAGTTGTCTTTGAATTGAGTGTCTGATGGTGTATTTATAGTGCTCATCCAAAACGCTATCGGATGGATGGACACAAATGATTTGTTTTTTACCGGTTGCCAATTGCTGCTTGAATCGATAACCCAATTCGCCAGCCAACTCGCTCCCGACAAATCCCAAACCAGCTACCACCACTTTCTTTGCATCTTTGAGTTTTTCAATTTGGTCATCTAGATAATTCTGCATGGACTTTAAGTCTGAGCCAAAATCTTGGGTAGCAATTGGATGTGTCCATTTGGCACCAGTAGCAAGAATCAAGATATCATGGGGGATATTTAGATCATCGTCATTAGTAATGATGATATCGGTCGATTTATCGTCGAAATTGAGGACATCCTTGGCAACAACAATCTTGACACCTTTGGCAACAACAGAGCTAAGAGGTCTTGTCACCTCTTCTGGATTAAATCCTTCGGTTACAAGTCTATGGGTGGCCATCAAATTGAGAGCAAAGTCTTTTTTGGAAATCAAAGTGACTTCATAATGTGGATAGGACTTGGCAAGGGTGTTGGCAGCATTAATCCCAAAGGTACCGGCACCAATGATGGTGACTTTTGGAATCTTGATATTCCAATTTGAAGAGGACATGGTGATAATTGGATAGGGATTACTGTTTTATTTTTTTTTTTGTCTTTTTTTTTTTTTTTTAGCAGATCGCTTATTTCAAGCAGGCGAGAAGTAAATAATAGAAATATTACAAGCTGAGAGATATGGTTACGCTTTTATACGTTGGCTGTCCGGGGTTGAACTGATGAAAAAAAAAAAAAAAAGAAAAAAAAAAGAATCTAGTTGAGCACACTACTGTGCAATGATAATGTACTAAAAAAACAGACACATAACAGTACTCCAAAATGACGAGCAAAAGGAATGCGAGAGAGACTAATTGTGACCGCCACAACATTTATATGCTCAAATCGTGAAGAAAGACCTAAGCTGACTTGTCATGTTGACTTCTTATTAACGTCGGAGTTGTTACTGGGCGCCGTTGTGATGTCGCACTTTACAACCGCAAAAAAAAAAAAGAAAAAGAAAGAGGAAAAAGGTTATCTGCAGATTAAAAACTCAAACAAAAAAAGCAAGAATGAAATCGGTCTTTCTTCCTCCAGTTTTGAAGAGACAATTTCACACAATAAAGACCGATGTCACTGAGCTTGATGACCTCTGTATTTTTCCCAAAGTTGTAATTTATAACAATATATTTCCTATAAAAAACCATAGTTCATATAAAACAAATGAAGATAAATAAACTGCGATGTCATACCTTTGATATAGAATAGCAGCAACGTGTCTAGATGCATTGGTAGACAATGCCAAGTGATAAAGATAACAACAAGCAAGAAAACACACACACACACAACAGAGATAGTAACATATGGTCGATGTAATGGCAATAATCGCTTCCTAAATATTACAGGCTCTTTATGTTCACACAATCTATCTTGAATCTCAGTTATTCCACAAGGAGCCACAGCTGAGGAATAAGGGTCTTATCAGTAATTCATGGTCATAATGTGGCCACTACCAGCCACACCTTCGCTCCAGCCAGACAACCACTCTGCGTTACCTGGGGTCTATAATGAGACTCCACCGGCATCCTTTGCTGTTACTCTTTGGATATCTAACCTTTACTTTCACATTTGCCATCTCTCTTACATCCTCATCGAATGAAATAGTTTTCTTTTGACCAATTTGATTTTTAACTTTCTGCGCGGTGAGCTAGCCTCTTTTGACCATTGCAGCACACTGCAGGGATTGGCGTCTTGCGAACGCAACGTTTCTTTTAAGGTCCGTCAAGTCTATCTCTGTCTCACCACCACCATCACCATATATTCTTCTCTGTTGTGGCCTGCCCTACGTTTCTGGTTTTATTATTTACTGCAATTCGGAATGCTGAAGCTTATTGTTAAACACAGCACCAGCTCCATTGACTGAATATACGCGTGGCCCACCTGGCTTTAATATTCCATCATATTATTAAGGGGAACCTGTCAGAATGTGGTCACAGTATGCCACATCACGCCTCCGACTCCTCCGGATAGCCGCACTGGATCTTGCTGATCAATAGAACTTGGCTTGGATATCCAATACCCGGTGTCTTCCAAATACATAACCTTTAATTTCAGCTCTTATTTTTCCTTTCGTCACTAAATTTATACTCTTTATCCAAATGCAACCGCGCTGTTTAATCTATTTGATCTGACTTCTCGTTCCCAGAATTGTGTGAATCCTAATAGAACCCATTTTGGGAATCATGCATGTCTGTTAATAATTTTTTGTCCCGGACGTTGAAAAGCGTTTTTTCTTGCATACTACAATAGAAGACGCGGTTCCCCAGGTTCTTTTTCATATATTGGAAACCAAGTCATTGGGCTCTCCGAAAAAAAATGTCGTGGTGATCGATCTGAAGGTTATATTGTACGGTCGTCATGTCATTAGTCTTGATACCTGCTATCTGGCCTTATACCTAGATTCACCATAAAAAGAATTTATTATTATACGTGAGTGCGTTTTTTTTTTGGTTCGTCTTCATATATGATGAGACATACCACCACTGTGCTATATTACACTTACACTAGTATATTGTTGACGAATGGGTAACTTCCATTCCACACAAATTATATACAAATGATGCTTTAGTAGATAATTGGTTTCTGGTTTATTATAATGCTACCGTAAAATGCGAACAGTGCTTTGCTAGTAAGCAAGGTGTATAAATATTGCCGAGTCCAGGTGACATTGGACTTCCACTGATGTTGGAAGTAAGGGATTATTATTTAAGAACCTATTTAAACGTGCGCCTTCCGTATGAACTTTATGGATTGCAGATATAACTAACAAATTATAATATTATTCAATATCCATCAATAAAACCCAGCCAGTGGCTAATTCATGTAATGTCTGATGATAACTTACCACTAACGATGGTGCTACCTTAAGACGAGCCGAGACGAGAAAAACGAAAATCATGTTGGGTCTGACACCATGAATCTTTCTATCAGATTATTATGCTCGTAGAGAAAACTGAGGTGCTACTGCTATTTGTTTTTCTTTATCTAAAGATAGCTACCGGTGTACTCAGAGATGGCGGTTCTGTCCGAGGTGAACAGATACGTTACCCTGCGTTAGGATGAGCGGTGATTATCAAATTATGCCAAAACCAGGTATCTCTTACGACAAGAGATGATTTACCGGGAACAAATCTCACTTTTATCAAGCATGGAACCAAAATCACCTATTGCTTCTAAGAAAAAATCTTTTCTAGCTTGTATATCGTGTCGATCCAAGAAAGTTAAATGCAATATCTTATCGCAATTCCCGTGTGCCTCCTGTCTGAAGTTGGGGCTAAAATGTGTCAGGTCAACCATTGATAAGCGGAAAGAAAGAACAGAATCTGAATATATCAAGCAGTTGGAGAGAAAAGTCAAACTCTTCGAAGAAGAAAATCTCAGAATATCTACGCAGCTAGACGGCATTGCTACTGTGTTGAAAGATCTATCAAACTTAAAGGATCCTATTGTTCAAGAACCTATAAAAAATAAAGACAATATACCCATACACGATAACGATAATAATGATAATAATAACAGCAATAGGAATAGTAATGATAACTTGATATACCAGCACACTAATAATGCTTATGTCAAAAACACCATCAATAACAATAGTGACGGGATCTCTTCCTTGCTAGATCAAAGTCAATCCCAACAAACACATTCTTCATCAGATAACACTGTCAATTTCCATGAAAGATACCCGACACCAAACGATTTGAAAAAAATTGAGAATAAATCAATTTCGGTTTATGGGCCTACTAGTGTTTTTGATAGTGTGTCTTTGGTCAAATCAGGAAACAGTCAAGAAATGGAAGAAATCTTCATGCTCAATAGAAACCCAGTAATCGTTGAATGCATTAAACAATTTTTTAGCTGGCAATATCCTGATATTCACGTTTTTATATTCAGAGAAGCATTTTTGCTCGATTTTTACCACGCTAAACCAAATTCTTCATATTGTTCTAAAGAACTTGTGTTCGCCATTTGTTCCATTGGATCTCTACTTTCGGAAAATCCAAATATTGCCGCAAAGTCTATGGATTATTACGAACAGGCTCGTGCGTGGTGCTTTGCTAAGTACAATAAACCATCAATAACCTTGTTGCAGAGCCTATTGGTCCTTGGGTTATATGATATCTATAATGGCCGCAATGACAGTGGTTGGATCTTGACAGGTATAGGCATGCGAATTGGTTACAACATCGGGTTCCAATTGAGCCCAAAAAGTTGGTACTTGGATGACGACCCAGGTCCCAAAAGTGAGTTCAGCATAGAAATCAGAAGCCGGATTTTCTGGGGCACTTACTTGGTTGACCATTTGATCGGGCTATTATTGGGTCGGCCTTCACTGTTAAAAATGAATGACACCACCATGAGTGAGACCATAGCCTTACCAGACATTGAATGGATAGACGAATATTCATTTCATTACAAGGATTTAAAGCCAGAGATTCTTTTAATATGCGACCCTCTTATTTCCGTGGTGAAGTTGATGGATATCACAGAGAACATGTTGAACGATATTTTCAATGATAGGCAAGATAAGACCACCAAAAATTACGAAATCCCAGAGAAATTACTCTTGTTAGGAAAATATAATTTGAAAATCTCACAATGGAGAAATAGTTTGCCGGATACAGTGGCATGGAATGTTCATGATTTGGAAATAATTGGAAGTGATCCTACCAAACTAACATTCAAACTATTGTATTACATTGTTGTGCTTTGTTTGAACCGTCCCTTTTTAAATGTCGGTGGCACGAAACAGAATAGTAACTCATTATTGACGGACTCAGCACTCATTTGTGAAACTGCTATCAATGATTTGTCCGTGGCTGTTAGAAAGTTCACCACAGTGCATGGATATAGTAAGTGCTCTATTTTAATCATCTACTGTTGTGTCATATCCATATCTGTTATGCTTTTGTCTCATGGTAGCACAATTGCAAGAAGTATAAGAGAAAAAGGGGTTTTTAGGTATAAGTTTTTGCTCTTTATGGCAACACTAAAGAGTTGTGCTAGGATCTGGGGATTGAGTGATAAGTCTTACAAGATGGTTAAGGCTAAATTGCTCCAGGATTTTAGTGTGGATGTGGATAAAGAGTTGGAAATCTTTGATTTTTCTCAGCAATCTCATGGCGAGATAATGACAGCACCAGAGCAATCTTCTGATGATCATACCACCAATTTTGGCATTCGTAACGATGTGCTATTCGGTGCAAGCCAGCCATACTTTGGTTGTGTTGAAGACAGAAATCGAATGGAAGGTAATAATACCCATGACCCAAATCCTAATCCACTTCAAGGATTTTCCGAAACCAATATCGACAACGCGGGTGATTCATTTGGCGGGCCTCCCATATTCATGAATTCCACCGTTTTTTCCAGCTGGGAGCCATTGTTCCCAGATTACATATTTGATAATTTCAACTATAAGAGCTAATTAACACAGCTGATATAATATTTAATATTTATTTAAAATCATACTTATTTGCTATATATATATATATATATATATTTTAATCACAGTATTAAAACTCTCAAGATTCAGGACAATTCATTTTCATTTATGAATAGACTGCTACCGGCTACTAGTGTGCCTGTTAGTACCACGAACTTGAAGACATCATGACACGCAGAGTTATAAGCAGCAATAATCAACGACTTTGCAAACTCTGGCGCACTTGTGTGTGCATAATTGACATTTATAAGGGCTTTGCGAATCACCTTTTCTACCAACTGTGGATTTTCCTTGACATATTTGAAATTATTCATCATGTTATCGTGCAATGATTTTTGCAATATGGCACTGGCCAATGAAACCCCCAAAGTGCTTCCTGTAGATCTGAAACCATACTGAATAGATGTTACCAAAGCATGCTCGGTGTTTGACACCGAAGAGACCATTGCGATAAGAATTATGGTGACCACCGATGCCATACCAAACTGGCAAGGCACTAAGATGGTCATTTCATAAAATAAGGAGTTCCCGTTAATTGAAGAACAGTATATGAGAATTGATCCGCAAAGATTGATCAATGAGCAGACAATCAATAACATTTTGTATTTCTTGAATATCTTAATGTAGACCCCTGCGAATATTGAGCCAACTGACGCGGCAACCGCACCAGGAATCAATCTGATCCCTGATTCATAACTTGATCTATCGTGGACCGCTTCCCAAAAGAACGGAAGATATAAAAGAATGCTGAATGTGTTCATTGACAATACCCAGCATGCAATCGAGCTCGAAAAAACAGTAGGGATGCTCAATAACTTCACAGGTATGACGGGATCCTCGATGCTCAATTCGTAAAAGTAGAAATGGAGTAATCCTAAAACCCCAAAAATAATGAGTAGCACAAACCCAATACTATCAAACGCAATATCCTTCCCTCCGACAGATGCGGCAAGCATCAACAAGAAGATCGAACCAATCAAGACAACAGACCCATGGAAATCAATGCTCTTAATTTTTTCGGTATAAGTTTTTCCGTTGATTTTGTGGTGGTCTGCATGGATTTCCAAGTACAAATAAGTCAAGACCCCCGATATCACACAGACTGGAACCTGTGAGAGAAATGCCATTCGCCAATCAAAGTACTTTTGGAAAAACCCGGCAAATACTCCACCGAGTCCACTTCCCACCCCATAGAAAATATTGATATACCCTTGATACAATCCCCGTTGATCCAAGGAAACAATATCTGATAATATGATTGCCCCCATTGTGTTGAACCCTCCTCCGCCAATACCACTGATCAATCTTCCGAAAACCATAAGAGATAAGGAGTTGCTGATACCAGAACATAAACATCCCAACCCAAAGATGAGAACGCAGAATAAGGTCACCTGTTTTCTGCCAAATATATCCGAGAATTTTCCAAAGATGGGTTGGAAAGCAGCACAAGATAGTAAATATGAGGTAGCTACCCAGGAAATAGATGGTAAACAATCAAGGTCGCTGGCAATTACACTTAAAAGGGTTGCAACAACCGTGGAGTCCAAGGCAGCCAAAAAGACGTTGATGAATAGACATGAAAGAATAATCGCGAATTTAGTGTTGCTGAGTTTCTGGAAGCTGTGCTCTTGTACCGAGGATTGTTCTTGAGAGATGGAACCATAATCTGTTGACAATCCCGAGCCCAAAGCTTGCTCCTCTTCTTCACGAGCCATGGTTCTTTAATAATTTCAATTGTATTGTTACCACGTATGAGCAAAGAATATCATAAAAGAATATCAGCATGGTGTTATTTTCCGCGAGTCAATCTGAAGAAATATCTGAAAAACTCGAGATTTTTAACATTTCCAGAGTAGTTGTTTTTTTATCGTGCCTTATCTGGACCCAAAACGGACATGATCTGCGCTCAATGGAGATCAATGCCCGACAGACCCTTTATTGAAAATCCTGAGCCCGAAAATTACCATTTTGATCCTTCGAGCTAATGAGGATAGCTTTGCGGTTATTGATAGTAGTATGGGAGCTATCAATAGCTGTAGGAGCTCAGTAAGAAAACCTATAGAAGGTGGAGTACATCTCCTGATGTCGGCTTGAATAATATCAGGTCGCAGTGTAACACCATGACCACCGGGACCGGAGTTAAGGCGAATCCTAACAGTTATGGTCTACTTACAGCAAGCAATATTTTACTAATGATCACTATTATTATTTTATAATCTAAGAAACACTATTATTATTATTTTATAATCTAAGAAAAATTCTCACGGATTTGCAGAAATAAGATTAGAGATTGTAAGTGATAAGATTCTTATAGCCAATGACCGAGTCATACAAATCGGTGACAGTGACGAACTCTGCCTGGGTATGGGCAACACTAATACTACCTGGCCCATAAAGGTACTTTTTCACATCGATCGATTCAAAGTATGGGATATCGGTGGCGTAAGCACAAGCAATGAGCTCAAACCCAGGGACGTCAAATGAAAGATATTGTGGCTTCAAGTATTGAACAATGGTCATCTGGGAATGCTCGGTGTTGAAAAGCTCTTCCACATAAGCCTTCACCTTTTCAATATCGTCAGCGACACGAATGTACATTTCTGCCTTGACGTAATCTGGAATAATGTTAGCAGCCACACCACCGTGGATTGTTCCAATGTTAACGGTGGTTGGTCCCAATACAGGGGAATATGGCAATTCAGCATTCAAAAGGGTATTAGCCTTGCGCAAGTAAAACTCGATGGCACTGAATCCAAGCTCAGGGTACCCAGAATGACTCTTCTTACCCCAAGCTTCGACATCAAAACGGAAGTTGCCTTTGTGACCTTTACTCAATTTGTTTTCTGTAGGCTCACCAAAAATTGCGGCTTTGCTCCAGGTGGCATTTAAAGATTCAACAGCAGTCTTCATCCCAATGCCATTGTACTCCTCACCAATGACAAACAACAATGAAACATCGCCCTCCTTGATGATACTGGCGTCCCAAAGCTCGAAAAAGGCGACGATTTGGCCAGCAGCTGGCCCCTTGGCATCACAGGCACCGCGAACGTGGATTTCCTCTCCAATTTCGTGGTATGGAATGTTTCCCTCTGGGTTGGTGTCTATATGCGAGGAAACAACAATACTGGTGTCTCTGGTTTTTCCCATGTATGCATAAATGTTGTGTCTTGCAAGTCCAGTGACACTTTGGTGTTCATCTTCGACTAATTGCATTTCAACAGTCATACCTTGCTCCTCAAGAACATCACGAAGCCAGTGCATGACTTCGTATTCATATCCCACGGTAGAATCGATCTTGGCCATAGCTTTCAACATATCAACGACATCCCATCTTTTTGAAGATTTCACTGAATGATGATCGCAATCTATTTGTGAGTTTTTGGAAGACGATAATAGAGGTTGTATCACTGACATCTTGAATGGAGACAACCCCATGATGTTTGCGGCATAGACTCTCAATACCAAGAGCGAGTAAACTAAGAAAACTGATTTCAAAAACATTATTGGTTGTCAATTGGAGAAGTAATCCAAAGCTCGAGTGGCCGTAAATATCGTAGTGACAAATATCAAGAGTTTTATATTCTCAGAATTTCAACCAGTGTAATAATGAAAAATAGAAAAAAGAAAAGAAATCTGAGCTAAAGAAAAAAAAAAAATGATTTACTGCTGATTCAAGGAAATATTTGCCCGACCTTATCTTATCAAGAGTACCGTGGCCTGCATATGCACCACAGCCCGTCCCGGGGGTCAATATCCGAGAAAACCTAAGCTGTCCGGAGAATAACATGTTGCAGGTAAATGAAATGTAGCAGGTATCCCTTGTATAAATATACATCTGCTTCTTTCTATCTTCCGAGATGTAGTTATTCATAATATTCAAAACATTACAACCCAAATAAATACAAACCATACACAAGAAATACACATCATGACAGACTATCAAATCACGGACAAGAAATTCTGGGAAATTGCTGACTCCAAGCTTTTGTTTTTCGGTGCTCAGTTCACCCGTGAGATCATCACAAGATCTGAAGGTGTTTACGTTTACACCAGTGATGGTAAGAAGATCTTGGACTTCACCTCTGGTCAAATGTCCTGTTTGATTGGCCATTGTCATCCTGAAATCAACAAAACCATTGCTGAAAGTTCCTCAACTTTGGATCACATTTTTTCAGGAATGTTGTGTCCATCGGTCATTGAGCTTGCCGACAAACTTACTGGTCTCTTGCCTCCTGGTTTGGATAAGACCACTTTTTTCAGTACCGGTGGTGAATCCAATGAATTTGCTATCAAGTTGGCCAAGTGTGCTACTGGAAAGTTCGAGATCGTTGGTTTATCTCTCTCATGGCACGGTATGACCGCTGCTGCCAGTTCCTGTACATACCAAGCAGGTAGAACTGGCCAAGGCCCCTTGACTCCAGGTTCCTTGGTCTTGCCAAGTCCAAACGCTTATAGATCCATCTTCAGACACCCAGATGGTAGTTATGACTGGAAGACCGAGTTGGAATACGGGTGGTCTTTGGTTGATGCTCAAAGCACTGGGTCTTTGGCTGCTGTCATCATTGAGCCAGTGATGTCTTCTGGTGGTATGCTCGTTTTGCCAGACGGGTACTTAAAAGAAATGAAAAGGCAATGTGAAAAGAGAGGTATGCTTTTGATTGTCGATGAAGCGCAAACTGGTATTGGTAGATGTGGTTCGATGTTTGCTATCGAAGACATGGGAGTTACCCCTGATATTTTATGTTTAAGTAAAACTTTGGGTAATGGTTTGCCATTGTCAGCTATTGTCACTAGTGACGCCATTGACAAAAAGGGTCAAGAAAACGGATTCTTGTTCTACACCACCCATGTCAACGATCCTATTCCTGCTGCCGTCGGTGCCAAAGTCTTAGACATTGTTATTCGTGACAACTTAGTGGAAAACTCCAGAATCAGAGGTGAGCAATTATACCAAGGGCTCCTCAAGTTTATGGAACAATACCAAGCCATTGGTGATGTCAGGCATAAGGGCTTGATGTTTGGTTTGGAAATCGTGAAGGATAGAGCGACCAAAGAAAGTGATCCTACCAAGGCAGCTTTGTTAGCCAGTATTATGATGAAACACGGTCTCTCGGCTAACCTTATTGCTGTCAAGGCCTTTGGTGGTGTTTTCAGAATGGCTCCACCAATTTCTATCACTGAAGAAGAAATCAATGAGGCTCTCAGAATCATAGGAATTGCTTTCAAGGAAGTTTATGGTTAATCAGATTTTCTTTACTTGTATTCATCATTTTTATTCACTTGTATTCATCATTTTTATTCATCCTTTTATTTGATAGATATCTCTCAATAAATCGTAGTCTATTTCATTATTAATGTTTATCTCTACTGTAATACACTAATGCCAAAAGGATTAGTTATGTTATACTAACGTAAAAATTATCAAGAGCAGTGACTTCCTTGGCCACGTTACGCAGGTGAGATGTCCGATAAGTAAATCATCAATAAGTTGAGCACTGAAGAATGATCACTTGCTGACGAGGAGATTTGATTTTGGTATCATCATCAGTAATAGTGATGTTTCATAAGATAAACATTAGCATCTGAAATTTTTCAGAAGCTGACTCAAGGATGTAATATTATTGAAACATCGTTGACACCTTAACACTAGTATCTCGACGTTACTACAGATAAATTCCCTGTGCTGAAAAAATAGTTCTCCTAATCTTCGGAAAAGAAAGAGAATCGCTGTACCGCGTCTGATTAAATTTCTCATTAAAGCTCGGTAATATAACCTTAACCAAACCAGGTCAGATCAACATGGTGTCCCCGATGCACCAAGCCGCATTATCAGCGCAACCGGCCTGCTTTATCTTGCACTTTCGGGGGATAATCCCCGGATATCTAAAAAACCCACCTGAAAGGCAAGAAAAATTAATGGAAAAATAAAACCGGCGATTATTGTTCTCCGATAAGCATCACCATATCTTTTCTTTTTCTAGCTCAACTATTTTCATGCACGCTTATTATTAGATGTCATCAGCCATTTTATTATTTCCATTAATTTTTTCTCTCTCTCCTGTCCCAAGAGAAATTTGCTATATAAATAGGTTGATATTCCTCTTTCACTGACAACAGATTGTGCCTAGACTCCAATACAGACATCTTGGGAGAGATATTCAAATATTATACCGAGAAAATATCAATTCAATAAGTAGTTGATACTTTAAATAATGTCCGTTGAAAAACAATCCCATAATTTGACTGAAAAAGGTTCAATTGAACCAGAAGATATCCAATTGGGTACCGTTGTTTCTACATCTGGCAAAATGGTCAATGTTCATGGTGATATGAAACATATGGATCAAGCACTTGGCTTGGCTTTACAGACCAAGGATATGTCTTTCACTGAGGAAGAAGATAAAAAATTACTTAGAAAAATAGATTTTGCTCTTATTCCTTTTGTCTCGTTTCTTTATTCATTATTCTATGTTGATAAAGCCTCTAACGGTTGGGCTGCCGTGATGGGGATCAGAAAAGATATGCATATGGTTAATGATATGTTTAGTTGGTCAGGTTCTGCTTTTTACCTTGGTTACTTGGCTTTCCAACCATTCGCGAGTTTTTCGCTTCAAAAATTCCCATTGGCTAAAACTTTTTCGGTCTATATGTTTTCTTGGGCCGTCATCATTTGTCTCCAAGCCACCAATGTGAACTATCCTGCTTTTATCTTTTTGAGAACACTTTTGGGTTGTGCTGAAGCTTCCGCATCTGTTTTTACCACCGTTCTCACTTCGCAATACTACAAAAAGAAAGAATCTTTCCTCAGAGTGTCTTTTTGGCTTGCAACTTCTGGATTTGGGGTCTTCTTTGGTAACATGTTGGCTTACGGAATTGCTACTAGAGCCGACAGCTTTTCAATTGCTCCTTGGAAGATCTTATTTATTGTAATTGGTTTAATCTCTTTTGTTGTTGCCATTATTCTTGCTTTCCATATCGCTGATGATCCATCAAAAGCTTGGTTCTTGAATGAAAAGGAAAAGTTGATGGTGGTCGAAAGAATTAGAGAAAATTATCAAGGTTTCGGTAACAAAGTCTGGAAAAAGCATCAATTCATTGAAGCCATGACTGATATCAAGACTTATTTATTTTTCATTTATGCTGTTGCTTTTAATATTCCAAACTCCGCTTTAGCCTCTTTTGGTTCTATTCTTTTATCAAGTGACTTGGGCTACAGTTCGACTGACTCTTTGCTTTATGGTGCTCCACAAGGTGTCGTTGAATTCATGTGTTTGCCACTCATCGCTTACATGATCCAAAGATTCAACTTACCAAGATTGCTCAGTACTGCGGTTGTTATTACTATCACTATTGCCTTTGCTTGTATGTTGGCTTTTGGCAAGAATCACGGTACCCAATTAGCCGGTTACTATTTGTTGTATCTCATGCAAATCGGACCAATTGGTAGTTTCTCATACTTTGCATCTAATGTTCCAGGTCATACCAAAAAAATTACCATCACTAGTGTCTACCTTGTTGGCTACTGTGTTGGTTCTTTGATTGGTCCTCAAACCTTTGTCGCTAAAGACTCACCAAACTATGTTCCTGCTAAGATTGCCATCGTTGTTTGTGTCAGTGTCGCTGCTGCTTGCTTCTATGGAATTTATTTCCTCTGTTTGTTGGAAAACAAATCCAGAGACAAGAAGGCTGCTGAATTGGGTGACCAATATGTTGTTCCTGAAAACATTGAATTTGGTGATTTGACTTCTAATGAAAATATCTATTTCAGATATGTTTTATAGTCATCCTTTTTTGGTTTACTTTGTTCCCTTTACTTTCTATATTTTTATTAATCGTTTCTCGTGTGTTATTTTTTGAACGCTGCGCATTATCTATTACTCCTATTACTCCTCTTTTGTTTTTGTTGTGTCTTGTTTATTACTTCTAATTTTTTTCCAATTACTTTTGTAACCTTACCTAATATGGTGTTTGACTTTAATTCACGGTTATCCTCTCTAACATTTAACTTTCTAAATGCAAAAATGTAAGATAAATTACACAAGTATATTAACAGTAATTGGTGACTTTGCAACTTTGGTATTCTTGAACCAAAATATACGCGAGAAACATCAAAACTTAGCAGTTTTAATCTAATGAAACATGAGATGTGTATTACACTATGTGTTGATCGGAAATGTCTTCGGTCTTGACCTGTACAGAAAGATAGTATTTGTAACCAATATCGATTGTTCATATATTTTGAGCGAATGCATCACTAGCTCTCCAAATATGCTCTTATTGATATTTGATCCAGGTTGTCTCATTGAGTGAGTATTTCAATCTCTGAAATAAAAGCAGAAAAAACAACATGAAAAATGCAAAAAAAATGCAAAAAAAAAAGTTCGTGAAATTCGTCAGTACATAATAGAAACTCATTTTCTACCTTTTCCCCCTCTACTACCCTTGTTCAGCCTTCCACCTCTATTACTATTACTCTTATTATTATTTCTTTTTCTTTTTAGTTGCTTCTTAATCCCCTCTAAGTACGCATTTTTACCACCCACGTTACTTGAAGTTGGTTTGATGAAATTCAACATCCCATTATCAAGAATGGCAATTAAAATTCTGTCATGGTCATAACATTTTTTGAAGATTGATTTGATTTCGTCCACTGTTGGAAGACTTGTCAAATTGGTATTCACAATTATTACTTGAAAGTCCGGTGGAGTGTTGGCCTTTTGGTGATTATTGGGCTTCCAAAGATTGTACACAATCTTGAATTTAGAAGTATCAACCGCTTTAAAATTTTCATAGTCAAGAACCGTGCCATAACTAGTTGCATATAAGCTTTCATACAATGTTGACCATGAGTACCTACTCAACAAAACTCTTAATTTGGGCAATACTGCTAGTAATGGGGCGCCTAGTAATTTATAGAAAATTGAACCTACTGTTAGTAAAGGCTTCTTGAACATTATATTCCAAAAGGTGGTCGACAACCCTGGACCTCTTTTTTTATTATTCACAGTTGGTGGTCTTTTAATATCCTCCGTGGCCCGTCTCACCACATATCCATATCTTTTCAAATAACTGTAGACGTAGAACATGTCATAATCCTCACTGGATTTTAAGAATGCAGAATAGCACATTTGTAAATTCATTGGTAACGCCTTTTGTTCGCTAGCATCTTTTGTATTGCCAATGAGATAACAATCCACACTTCCTCTTTCTACCAAATATAAAATCTCTTCAAAGTTCAAAAAAATATGACGTTGGGAACTCGGTATGCCCATACTGTTAAATGCACTTCCTTTGGGTTTTGGGACCACAGCATATTGTTCTTCCCCCTCGTTACTAGATGCATCAGCCAGCCAGAACGCTTCAACGTGGTTTTTATGATGATGGCCACGGGAAGAGTTTCCTATGGTAGCGTACATAATATCTCTCTTATTTTGTAAAAGTAAATTATCATAGTTATTTGCAGTAGGTTCAAACCCTTTATCACCTCTCTTTGGCACGATATGTGACTGCGGGGTCAACCCCAGGATTTGGATATTCGATGCCTTTAGAAAGGATCCCCAATCTTGGATCTCATCATCTAATTGATCTTCATCTTCTTCGCCAGGGTTCTTTTCAGAGGGTATTGAACTCTTTCCTTGTGTGAATTCTTCAAGAAGAAGATCATCTTCATCAATCATGGTATATGATAGAAAGAGGTGAGAGTCACAGCCAAAATTGAGTTATCCAGTTTTTATCTTTCCAGATAATAGAAGTCAGTCCTTCAAACACTCAAACTTTTTTCTTTCTAATGATTGATCTTTGAAAGTATTGCACTCCTATAATTTTTTTTTTTTTTTTTTTTTCAGATGAGCCCATGTGACAATTTTCAAGTTCACACATTTTTTCCCTTTCCTTATCCAGCAGTACAGAAGGTTCAAGGAAACAGAAGGTTCAAGGAAACCCAATATATTTTCTGGTGATCTATACCATTTTCCAAGCAACTATACAGAATACCTATAATAATCAATAAGACATGTCACTGCCAACGATAGCCTCACTAGTACGTGCGTTTACCTCCCATTTGAATGGGGTCTCAGATTGCTGATCTTCGTATTCAAGATCACTCAAGATTTGATCTTTCCTCAAGAAGCCCAGTATCTTGTGATGAGAAAAAAAAACAGTAAAACTAACACTATTCCTACAGAGCTCCGAAATCCTTCTTGAAATGCTCAACTCAATCACACACGAAGTGGTAGCCGAAGAATTACTTAAAGAGGAGCATCTACGATCTCAATACGGACGACCTTTGGCTGTGACACAGTTGCCACGGCCAACCACAAAACAGAAGGATAAACAGATTAAAGAAAGATTTATATTTAATAAAGGAAACTCTAAGGACATATTTGGCAATGACAAAGTCAGCGATAACAGCGTATATTTTGTTTGTACAAATTGCAATAGAAACATTGCGGGAAGCCGGTTCGCCAATCATATTAATCGTTGCTTAGGGGGAAGAAACACAAAGAAGGAGAGGATAAGTGACTAAACTCTGCAATCATCTGTTGACTTTTTGAACTTACGAAATCAAGTGATTGATTGTGGTTATTAGCGAAGTGTGAATTGAAGCCATTTTTACAGGTCCCTGCGCAACATGATTGCAACAAACGAGAAAATGACACTGCTGTCTTTTTTCAGATAAATACAATCAACCAGTATTATATACATTATTATTTTTATTAGCCAACTTTTCAATGTAATTCAATTTGACAGTCCGCCAAAACATAAAACCCGTGGAAATGGCACCTCTGTATCCGGCGACGCCTCCCCGATTTTGACGATGCGATGAGGTGAGAAGACTCCAGAAAATTACTCCTTCTTTTCCCTATCTTATCCGATAAGTAATATCATTACCGGAAGATAATAGAAAAATGGCGGCCAATAATAGTGTGTTCCAGCTGCTACTAGGCGAGTATGGTAAATTCAGGCAAAATGGAAGCACCCAGCCAATGTTGACGGAGACAAAGGAATTGATTTCTTATTTGAAGGAGGTTGAACAGCAATTACAACAGGAGATTGACTCAAATGGGGGAACCCCAGATAATAACACCAAGCAGGGCACATTGAAAGAAAATACTCCAGTGACTAATAAAATCAAATCTAAAAACTATGATTATAATCAATCAATAAGATCTAGGGTTGATTTATGGAAAGACAGGGTCGGTAAAGTTCAAAAACAATCAAACAATCATATGTCCAAGATAATGAAGCTTGTTGATAACAAGGTGTACGAATTCGACCTATTGGAAGAACTTGAACAGTTCAATCCTGCGATCACTAATGGGTTGAAACTAACCAGTGCCAACCAAGACTTGATCAACCAGACAATATTGAATCATGTCGTACGAGAAACTAATAAATACGGCAAATTCACTAAGAAGGAAGAATCCGAATCCAATAACAGACTAGTAGAATTATTGGAAAATCAATTCAATTATTCTATATCAGCAGATTTCAAAAATGATATGGCAAAGTTGAAGAGCATGATCGACTCAATAATTGCGATCGATGAACCAGATTTGACTCCAGCCTTCGAATGGTGTAAAGCTCATTCCAGAGATCTTCAGAAAATCGGTAGCGACATCGAATTCCAATTACACGAACTTCAATTCTATTTGCTATATTATGGTGTCAATTCATCTTTGAAACATATTGCTGACGAATGCGACGATGACGAGACCACCAGCTATGGCAATGATGTCCATGACACTAATAGGTTTGGCGCTTACGTCTATGCAAAAAGCAACTTTGGTAAATTTCTATACTCTAAGAGATCTGTTGAGAAAATTGCTACCGCTTCAAAGTTGCTCACTTCAACAATTTTATCACAAGAACTCAAGGACGCCCAAGGTGGTGCTGTGTCAACGAATCCGTATTCCAAAATGTTTGCTAAAAATTTGAAAAATTATAGAGCGACGATTTCACAATTGGTGGAAAATTTCTGTCAAATTCACAATTTGCACATGAATTCGAACCTATATTTGGTATTTATGGCTTCGTATATGGCTTTGCCATATATTGTTAAATTTAACTCTGTTAATAAGAAGTTGCAGCGATCACTATCAACGGCTTCGAAAGAGGATAAAACTGATAATGATATTATCTATCGAGGGTCTTTTGGAGAATATTTCCCACGTAATAGATCAGTTTCTATGCCAAATGAAACAAGAGAAAGTGATTGGGACGAAAGCGAATATAAGAATGATAACCCTCCAACGGAATGGGGTTCTAAGGATGAGTTGCCTATTGGTATTGATTTACCGGAATTTTTACAAAATGACCATCCTATCTTCATTTGTCCAATTTCACGACAAGAGACTACTCTGAAGAACCCTCCAATATTATTGCCTTGCAAACATATTATATCAAGAGAAAGTTTGAATAATTTGCTAGAAAGTAAACAATTTCAAAAAAGAAGAAGAGCGTATCGAAGCTGGCTTGAAAATGATGTTTTCCATGATGATGGGAATGAAAATAATAGTGAAGCTGCAGATCAGCAAAATACAACTAATGGGAGTTCAGATGGCTTTGATGATTCACTAGAGAATGAATTATCAAATCAAAATTATGACTTCCCTGACTCCGATCAGCAAGATGAAGGAGATGAAGATGAAGATCAGGAAGTTCAAGGGGAAGAAAGTTACATGGAAAATCGATACAGTGAGGGTTACAATAATTCGACATCTTCGGCCAATGCTATATCACAGCCCCTTGACATGGATGACAATAGTTACAATGATAACTCATACGTCACCTTTAGAAGATTCAATTTGACAGGAGCACCTGGAGAAGTCAGTTCTGCCAGAAACATATGGAGAATAAATAGTTCTACAAACAGATCAATTGGACAGGACAGCGTTTCTTTCAAATGTCCTTATTGTCCACAAATGTGCAGAAAGAGGGACACAAAGGAAGTATTCTTTAGTACATGTTAACCTAGTTGAAAAATTACATTTTATAGCCATTATTACACGGTATAAAAAATTTTTGTTCAATTAGTACAAGTAGGCGGCATTATTTTTGCTGTGTTTTGTTCACTCTGTTTTTCTGTGTGTGAAAGAGATTTGAAAGCAGCTATCTGCTATGTAGGTTGAAAATATTTACATTGAAAGGAAATGATGTTTTAGTTGATCTATTCTTGGGTCTTGTTGGTGTCTTCTCCGACAACCTTCACCCCACTCAACGGCTGGATCGCCTCGTACTTTTTGCGCAATTCTAGCTGTAATTTATGTTCTTGATCATTGATCATCTTCTTCTTTTCATTAGCTGCGATCTTCTCTTGCATTCTTTTGGCATCCTTTTTTGGACCTTCATGTAAGGCCTATAGTAATCATGTTAGTTGGGGATTGACACATTATGGTGCAACAAAAATAAAGAGATCAGACACGTACCGCTCTTTCTGCTTCTTGGACATAGTGGACCCACACGACGGTGGCAGCGCATGTCAACGAGGTAGCCGCTAGCGTGATCTTTGAAGCCCTAGACATTTTCTATGGTTGTATTCTGTTTATAGACATATAACTACTATCATTATATCATACATCGTCAGAGAACGGAAAAAAATCACACAAAAAAAAACGGCCCGCCGCTTTGGATCTCCTGCCCAGGGGCTCTGTAACCAGCGGCTCACGCCGCCGCCGGTTTCCTCCTTCCCCCGGGTGACCGCCCAAGTTGGCTTATATAGGGAACCGAGCGCCGGGTATCCGCCCAATCGACAGTGTTTTTTTAATAAGCAATTTGGGCCCATCACATTATTATTGGTTGTAAGATCAAAAATAGGTTGCCGCACTGTCCGTTCTTTTATAGTCTTGGGTCACAAGCCAGCACAATCTACAAGGTGTAACTCCGACATCCAAGTGACGCAGGTGAGTATCCGTCCTTTTCAAAGACTTATTTTTTGCCTCCTCTGGAGACTTGGTGGAACCAAACCAGATTATGATGATCCCAGAATTTTGGTCCATTTTAAAGGAATACCGTCTAAAGCTTATATTAATCTCTAACATCCAATTGGATGTGCGCAACAACGAAGCACACCACGAGTCGAGACAGGGGGGGAAAGAATATATTGCATTAAACGATAAGAGTTAATTCATTAATGAACAATTTACTAATGTTGATCAACTCCCACAGAATAATAACGACATGGTATATCCCATAGGAATTCCTGGACATCAAAATGGTGCCTCCGTCAACAACACAGCAGGAGGTTCGTCGTATGATGTCAATAACCCACAAAACTCACTCACACAAAATGGAGCTTTGCCAGTTAATACCAACACACCATCATCGTCCTATTTACCACAAGGTGCGGATTTAAGTCAATATGCTGCAAGTAGCATTGGTAGTAATAGTAATTTCACATTTAATAATAGTAACACTATGGGAAATACTGAAAGTCCTTTGCCGAATCCCTCTGAATCTCATTATAGAAGATACTCCAATAACTCAGTTAGTGACCGATCGGAATTCATTAATCCTGGACCTCGTGCGTCGTTACTTACTTCCAAACTAGCAAAAGTTCAGAAATCATTAAATTCAAGTCCGAAAGAAAAGTTACAACAAATCGATGACTCAAAGTCAAACTTCCCTTATCCTAACCCTAGAGATCGAGGCTTGGGTCATCGAACGTATAGTAATTCGAATATGAGAGCTGTTCCACCACCAAGTAACCAAAAGTTTCCTGTGGTCGATAACTCGACGTCGTCTTTGTCGTCTTCTTTCAAGTACAGCATCAAGCAAGATCAACTTAATAATTACAATGCTGCGGCATCATCATATTCTTCGGCCCCAGTTTCCTTGGGTAAAACTAACCATTTTATCCCAGTCTCGTCCGAACCAAAAAGTTTCAATAACTTCCATCCTCATTCTATCGCTGCCCCGGGAATGCAGCTGGGAAGCTTTAACTTTCATTTCCCTCAGCCAGCTCCAGCAATTACAACCACCAATATTTCTATGGAAACTGCAAGCTCCAATATTCAAAATAATAACATCAACAGTAACAATGGCTCGGCAAATGTCAATCCTCAAACACATACCCATCATCATAATCACCACCATCACCATCAATTACTGGAATCAAACGAACCATTTAATGCAGCCAAAGAGATTTATGATCCAATAATTCCCCATCAAAGCCAGAATGGTATTATTATTGATAGTAGGGGTGAAGAACATTTGAATATTGTTGATTATCCATCTCAAGAGCTATTACTCATGCTCGCGTCCTTATTACAAAAAATCATTGATGCCAACGATACTTTGCATCCAAATCACTATAATCAAGCGTCTCAATTGCACGAAACTAACAAATTCACTGCCAACGTTTTAGCCTTTCATGGGACCAACGTTCCAGCGATTCCTATTTATAATTATTTCCTCAGAATTTTGAAGTATTGTCCGATGACCAACGAGGTTTTTTTAAGTTTATTGGTTTACTTTGATAGAATTGCTAAGCTAGCAAATATCAACTCCTCCAATGATGATTGTAACAGTCAATCATCACTATCAGCAACATCTCCTGGGTCATTAGGGGGTTTCAAAAGGCATACTTCTCAATCCCAACTTTTTGTCATGGATAGTTTTAATATTCATCGATTGATCATTGCTGGTATTACCGTCTCATCGAAATTCTTCAGTGATGTTTTTTACAAAAATGCAAGATATGCTAGAGTTGGAGGATTACCATTAGATGAATTGAATCATATCGAGCTTCAATTCATCTTGCTAACAGATTTTAAGTTGTTGATCCAACCAGATGAATTGCAGCGTTATGCTGATTTGCTATTGAAATTTTGGAAAAGAGAAAAGGCCAAGACTAATAATAATAATAATGGTCCTCACAACACTAACCCCAATAATACCGCTACTAATAATCCTACCGTACAACCTTCTCATCCCGTTGATACAGAGATGACAGATCAATGATAAATTTTAGATAATAATGGGAGGTGTTTTATTTTTTTTTTTGTTTCTTTTTAGCTTTTTTTTTTTCTTTCTCTGTTATTCATATTTGTGGTATTACGGTAGATATTTGGCTATATCTGGTTAGTTGGCGACGTGCTTTGGTTTGAAAAGCATATGGTGGTTGAAGATGTATTTTTACTGTTTATTGTTGTTATTATTTGATTGTTCTGGGTTCTCTTTTTTTTTTTTGTCTCTCTCACTCTCCTCCTTATTCTTTTGTAACTCCTAAAGTTCCTTCATTCTTTTTTTGTTGTTAATTTTTTCCTTTCCTACTTGTTTGTTTGTTTGCTGTCAGTGCTCCTCTTTTTGGTTTCAGCATTAGGTTTATGATACATGCGATGAAGTCATTGATTAATGAATGGTCTAAAACAAAAAACAAAAAAAAATTATTCCTTTCTTTTTATTAATTCACCACTAACGATTTAACGAATTACAAAAAAAAAAAAAAAAACTCACTTACTCACTTACTCACTCACTCACTCACTCGCGTTTTTGGTATTTTTCATTTCCTTTTGACAAGCATTTGAACAATCCAAAAATTTCACTACAATCTTGTGGTTATTTTTTCTTTCCTTCTCTTAAAAAAAAAAAGACTTAATCTACAAATTCAATATACAATTGATTTCATCCAAATATGAAGATTTATTACAATAGGTTGATTATTATATAAACACTAATGAGCCATCAAAACATATTCGACTTAACAGGATTTTTGGAATTATGTAACAAAAAGCAGCAATAAGAGTCGTGAAATGGAGAGGTTTATTTTGAAAAATTTTGTTTGTATAAAATTTGTAATTGTAAAACTCAACTTAACGCAATCTTCTGGCTTCTCTTTCAGATTCCATAAGACACAAGATGTCGTTTTCTCTGACTGGACCCTTGACGTTTCTGACAATGGTTCTGGAAGAGTCATCGATGAATTCGACTCTGACTTGGGTGACACCACCTCTGGAACCGGTTCTACCTAAGACCTTGATAACTTTGGCAAGAGTAACTGGAGCGGCTTTAGAATCCTATCATATAGAGTTAGTAAGGAATGCCGTTTGCAATAATAAAAAGTAGCAATTATAATAGCCGGGAAATATTATCAATGATAAGTTGGTACTTTAAAGAAATAAAACGGAAAACCATTCACAAATCATATAATTGAAAAAAAAAAATCTTCCATAGTTTTTTCGCAGAAAAATTCTTCAGAATATTCAACGATCCAACGATCCAGCACATAATTCACAACACACAAACTAGTTGAGAAAAAATGAAAACATTCATTTTATGATTTTCAATATCCATGATCGATAGACAAATGTATATTTTGGAAGACCAGATTTTTTACCGAAATCAATCAATTAAAAGTTTCGTCATTCTGGATAATGGTCATGCCTCATCCATCCATACTCCGGTACTTCCAAATATTCAGAGCCATTATTATATTGCTCGCCTGCTTCATTCATGACCAAAGAAATTTGTAGCTTTCCAAACTCATTACGGATTCAGTTGGCCAGAAATCAAAATAATTTTCAGGATCAATATCTAATTCTTAACCAGTCCCTCTCAGTCTAATCAATAGATAATATCCCAGTATTAACGTTTGCTTTGTTTCCATTCATCATTCTTTTGCCAAACATACCATTTTTATTGATTGTAAATGCTGACTTTATTTTGTGATAATACAAAAGATCTTCCTATGTTATTGCCAGGGAAAATTTTACAAATTTCAAAAATCCCCCCAAAACAGAAAAAAAAAAAATCAAAGCTTTCGTCACCCGCAAGTATTTTTGTGCGTCATTTGCGGGTAAATAATATTCAAGTTGGTGTTCGGGTTAAAATGGATTGGTAGTCAGCTGACTTGAAAGAGAAAATGTTGGTGTAAGCGCTTACGTCAGCATATGCTTGTTGCTTTTTTTTTTTTTTTCCGGTTTTCTCGCTTTTTTTGGATGAGTCAAAAACGTTGTGTAACCACTTTTGTTCGCGTCATAATTTTTCAATCTTCACAATCCCAGATCAAGAATATTTAGATATATACAATAGATTTATAGGAATCACTCTATAGAATGGATTTAGTGAATCACTTGACTGATCGTTTGCTTTTCGCCGTCCCAAAGAGTACGTATTCAAACCTTGATTCTGAGATACCATTACCATGGGGAAATCTGTCAATGCAGCAGCTACTAACAAAAGTTGCAAAATAGAGGGTCGTCTTTATGAAAAATGTATTACCTTATTGAAAGGCTCGGATATCTCATTCAACAGAAATAACAGATTGGATATTGCCCTTTGTACCAATCTACCAATAGCCTTAGTGTTTTTGCCAGCGGCTGATATTCCAACTTTTGTTGGTGAAGGTCGTTGTTCACTTGGTATCACTGGGGTTGATCAAGTTAAAGAAAGCGGAGTGGATGTCGAATTAGCCCTTGATTTGGCATTTGGTAAATGTAAATTACAGCTACAAGTACCACAGAATGGACCATACAAGGAACCAAAGCAATTGATTGGTAAGACTATTGTTTCATCGTTCACCAACTTGACAAGACAATACTTCGAGGAATTAGAGGGGGTAAAACCAGGTGAACCAATCCAAACTAAGATCAAGTATGTCGGAGGCTCCGTTGAGGCATCTTGTGCTCTCGGAGTTGCTGACGCTATTGTTGATTTGGTCGAATCTGGTGAAACCATGAGAGCTGCTGGGTTGACCGACATTGACACTTTGGTGACCACTTCCGCCCACTTGATCAAGAGCAAACACCCATCTCACCCAGAATTGGCAGAAACCATCACTTCCAGAATTGCCGGTGTTTTGTTGGCCCAAAAATACGTTTTGTGTAACTATAATGCCCCAAGAGACATTTTACCAGGGGTGTTACAATTGACTCCTGGTCGTCGTGCCGCCACAATTTCCCCATTGGAAGAATCTGATTGGGTTGCCGTGAGTTCAATGATCGAAAAGAAAGAAAAGGGTAAGATTATGGATGGCTTGAAGAAAGCTGGTGCTTCGGACATTTTGTTGTTTGATATTTCTAATGCTCGTGAATAGGCAATCTGGCGCTCATTCCATAGTCTCCATTAAAACCTTCCTCTATGATAAATGGTACACTATTTTTATAGTATTGATCTGGTTAATTAACATGTAAAAATAAACATTTTGTTTCTGATGGAGAAAAAATGAAAGAGTGTGTAGTGTAGGAGGAAAGTGTCAGTTCCTGGATTTTTCTTTCATAAAAAAAAAAAAAAAAAAAAAAGAAAATCGATTGCCTCATTATTATTAACAATAAATGACGGTTACTTGAATAAGGACTGGGGAACTATGGAAATCTTCTAGAAAGATAAAAAAAAAAGATGGGGTTCTCATCTTCCTTCGGTCATTAAGATAACTCCAATTGCAATGTCCAGTAATCCTCACTAATTTCTATTTCTTCTATTTGCTCCTTTTGTTTTTTGTGCTTATTTAGTAGTTCTTGTTTCCTCCCTTTATTTAGAAGTGACCTTAAGCAAAAAAGATCTATCGTTCTTAGCTTTGGCAATTTTTTGAAGTAGTGTCTAGTCTATGCACACACTCTGCATTCGCATCAGCGAATTTTTTTTTTTTCGATGGTTATCTATAAGTTTCTACAATAGCGAGTATGACACATCGGCTCATTCGTTTTCACTATAAATTACTCAAATAAATCAATTCTGTAGAATTCCTCCAGCTCTAAATCCATAATTATTAATATAATAGTCATTTCATTACGTTAGCCAGTTGCTTTTTAAAAGTTTCGATGTCTTACCCCAGTACAAGAAACACTATTACAAAAAACTAGTGAAGCATCACTGTTATTATTGTATTAAACCATATAAAATTCAAAAATTCAATGTACTACCCCATTTTTTATGTTCATATATATATTATATATACATAAATATAATTATGATCAATATTGATGCTGTTGTAAATTGTTTCTCAAGATCTTGATGAAGATCAATGGTTGCTTCGAAGGATTGATAAAATAACCTTTCAAGCTCCGTTAATTATCTGGGAAAAGAGAAAATATGTTTTAAATTTCTCTAAATTCATAATTCCACAGAAAATATTAGCAAGTTGCACTTATTTGGATATGTATTGGCTTTTGTATTTTGTTCACCGTCTTTGTGGCAGAAACGTATGCATAGTAATGAACATACATGAATAGTAACAAAACACAAAAAGTCTACAGGAGCATAAAGAATGTTAAAAAAACAAAGAAAAAAAAACAAAAAAATAAAGTAAATGATATTTTGAATAAGCTCCCTTTATCGGTTATAAAAATTTCGATTATCTTTCAAGTCCAAAAAGTCCAGAAGGGAATCGATTGGGAGAAGTCTCACTCAACAGCACAAAACAAAAGTTTTTTAGTGATCTGACTTTATTCAAAAAAAAACAAACCGTGATCCAGTAGAATTGAGAAAAGTGATTGATAAAGATTCAAATTCTTCTTTTCTATTCTTACAATCATACACATGGTTAGACTAATCCCTATTACATGCTTATTAGGTTTTGCGGAATCAGCATTATTCACTCCATATTTTGGTGATAATAAACTTGAAACTGACAATGAAAGAATTCAAGATGATAGAATTAACAAAAGAGAATCCTTAATAAAGACAAAAATGAATAATATCACCTTATACAGCTATTTTGCAACCTCTACTCCATTATGTGTATGTATAATACTCTATGCACATAAGAATAAGCCAGGTTAATCGATGAACATTTTTACTAATATCCTGTTTACAGACGGAGAATCAGTATATGAAATGCCTTGAAAAAGCAAAAAAAGGATTTCAAGTTTGTTCTATGAGTAACTTTCATTGCCAATGTTATATTATTGGTGCTTCCATAGTGGAGTGTGCTCAGTATTGTTCAACCCTCGTAAGTACATTGTTCTTAAGTTGTTTATTATACAATAGTCATTAAATTGATTATCAAATACTAACAATAACTCTCTTGCTGTTCAGAACTCAGAAAGTTATTTGAATTTCAAAAACCTTTGTGACACCAATCCTTACATCTTGAATTACAATGAAACATTGTATGAATCCTTTAATGAAAACCTTGAAAATTTGACACAAGAATTGCGAATTTTCCAAGAAATCACTTCCTCTAATTTGACTAGCATTGATTTGGCTTTCAATAACCAATCAGCACATAACATCTTTGATTACCCAAGCTTTGATTCTCCTAAAGTTAAATATCCTTTTGAGAAACACAATAGCCTTTCTCCACAAAAACAAGAGTCCGAAATTTTCAAACAAAGGTTTCCCGAAAGAGTTAAGAACTTAAATACAGATAGTTTTCCAAATGAAACAATTAGTGATGATGATAAATACTATGATAATACTGATATTCTGGATTCAAACTATACTAATTTGAATGGAAATTATAACGACAGCTACACCTCTAATGAAGATGAGTACGAATCAGGAGCAGCGATCATTAGTTCTGTGTTTGGTATTCTTGCGGTTTTTATTTTGATATTTGGTTCTATTTAAATAATTATCCTTGATGATTAGCGATACTTTTATTTTTGTATAGTTCAGTTAGGACTGATACCAAAAAAACAACAAAAAAAAAAAAAATTACATACAAATTAAGAATACACAGTAGATTGAAAGCAGACTTGTAGGAAATTATAATTCTATAAATGTACAAATAAATTAATCCAAGCTAAAAATGATGATATCACTTACTGATTTTCAAAGACGAACTCAATTCGGCTGCCAAATTTCTAGCGATTTCTGCATCTTTTTTAAAGTCTTGAGGTTGAAACTTTTCGTTAGTTACAGATTTATCATTTATTGGTGTAAGCAACAGCTCATCCTTTTTCATTTTAGCATTATTGCCAGCTTCACTAGATTGACTAATACCATTGTAGTATATGAAAGTTTTCGTATTTCTTAAATTTTTTTGAGCTAAGCTTGGGAACCGATCATACCTAACGGTTAATTTTCTCCCTTGGAACTTAAAATTATTGAACAATTCGATTGCCGATTCGGCACTGGTACCGGACTCGAAAGAAACAAGCGCGTAACCTCTAGAAATTCCATCTTTTGGGAACTCGATACTGAATCGATCAAGATCATTTTTGTAAAGCAACGATTTCAATTCTTCCAAAGTGGTGCTATAAGGTAAGTTCCCAAAGAAAAGCCGGTTAGGGTTGATCGTTTCTAAGTGTGGAGGATAGGAGAAGCCGAGGGTTTCTGAAGATTTATTAGAGTCAAAGTGAAGAATCTGGTTATATTTATTTGCTGGACCAAAGAAGATATCAGAAGACGAGGATCTTTTAGTAGGTAAGTTTGGGTATGAGTTGTTATTATTGTGATTTTTCTTGCGTGGGGAAGTCATTGTAGAAGAGGACGTTACCAAAGATCCGGATATAGAAGAAGAAGAAGAAGAAGATGATGATAAGTAAGGGTATCTGCCCTTATGATGATGACTGGAGGGATGATAGTTTTGAGATGGATAGCTGCTATTTCGAAACTTGTTATTAGTATTATTGTCGCTAGATGGGAACATGCTATGATTGCGACCTGAAAGATAAGGAGGAGCAGAAGCAGGAGGCGGAGGATGAGGATTAGAAGAATAGTACCAATCCATCTGGAAAGGATAATTGAAATTAGATGGATTCGGAGGGGGGTGGCCTATTGGGAAAGTGGAGGTTGGATCTTGAGAAGTGAATGGGATAGTTTGTTTTATGAAATATGGATCAAATGCCGTTAGTTGTTTGTGTTGGGGATTAGTAAGTGAAGAAGGCTCCGGAACCTCTCTGGAATCAGGTTTGGAAAATGGGGATTGGGGTCTATTGATTGGAGGAGTGGCTCCAAAGTGTACTGGCATGAATGCTGGTGGTGCTTCTGATTTTTTTTGAGGACCAGAGATTGAAGATACCGATGAGCGCTCGGTGGATGGTTTCCTAGAGAAATTAGAGTCTGAAGAGTTTGAAAAAGTCCTAGATGACACTGATCCGTGGTTAGGATAATAATGATAAGGATAATTTAAGGGATCTCTTGGGATATTGTACATGGGGTAGTATTGACCGTACATTGGTTGTGGTAGTATCAGCTCTTCAGGAATATAAGTGAATGAAGATCTCGGGGAAGCCATTACAGAAGACGATGTGATTGGAAACACATTGTCATTGGATTTGCTTGAAAATTGCAATATCAATGTCTTATTTGCCAAAGTTTCTCCATGTAAAGTGGCCACACATTTCCAGGCTGAATTATACCCGATTATGTATACTAGGAATATTCCCGCTGATGAAGACTTAATGGACGAAATACGATTAGGATCGATCACTCTTGATAAAAAATTTATGATTTCAGTCTGAGAAATCGAGGAGGATGGGGGTTGCGAGGTGATTCTAATGAGATACTCTTCTTCTTCTTCTTCATCGGTATTATCTAGTGGTTCTTGTCGGGGGATGTCATTTGACACCGGATGCAGCATGGTTCTGAAAAATAATAGATAAAGATTAAACTTTTTTAGATGACGGAGAAACTTGGTGGGATTTCAAATTGTTTTGAATATATCAAAGAGGATTATAGTTGGAGGATCACTAAGAAACCAAAGAGATAGAATGTAGGAAAATGCCAAAAAAAAAAAGAAGAAGAAGAAAAACGGAAAGAGGGAAAAAGGAATTCATAAGTGAATCAGTAAGTGGTGTATAGTAGCCCCACCCCCTCTTTGGGGAAAACATTCAGATCCGCGGAGGAGATCGAAAAAAATTGATATCACTTATCTATATATATATATATATAGATGTCCATAGATGTATAGATCTATGGATATAAATATCACCGGAGCATATTTAGATATAACTGGTGATGAATCAAATTGCAAGGAAACGACTACCTTGATGATTATTGAAGTTGTGGTCTCTTTACTAGAGTCGTCGTAGACTAAGACATCATCCTTTTTTTTTTTTTTCCTTTTTTTCCTTTTTTTTTTTTTTTCCCTCTGGTCCCTCTATCTGGCAAATCAGCCTTAAACTCTATCTTCTGATCACCACCAACTAAGACATTTCGCGGCATTCACCAATGGTTATTGTATCTGTTGGCAAGAGAGTTCTTAGTCCTTCCTTCTCCCCCCCATAAAGAAGTTTGGGATGTTTGGATGCTTTTTTTTTTTGGCTGTCGCGCGATCCGCATAATGCACCACACTGCGCATTGACGTACATCACTCACACGTGATAGAAAATAACGCGCTGCACTGAGGGCCCAGAACAACGGATACACCATGAGATTACCAGGTGCAACATTTCCTACAGCGACTGGAAAAATAACAAAGCCTAGCAAGGGGGGATGGTATCACTCGTTACATGAATTGGTATTAAAAATGGGAATAAAGAAAGAAAGAAAGAAAAAGAAAAAAAAAAGTAAGAGTGTGAACTAGCTAGCTGAGTGGGCTGGGTGGGTACTGACTGAGTCTATCACATGGACCGTTCCGATAATCTTTAATGTCTCACTTATGATTCAACGGCGGTCATCAGCGATCCCGATGTTGCAGAGCATTAAGATCATTATTGTTATTATTATCGCCATCACTATCTTCTTCCTCATCTTCTTCATCCTCATCATCACTACTATTGTTATCCACCTTCAGGGACGCTTTTCTCTTTGGTCTCTGGAAATCCTTCACATGAGCCAAAGTCATGGCGTGGCTAACGGCCCGCAAGAACGATTGTACCCCACCAGTTGGTTTAGTCAATTCATTTTCTCCTTCTTGCTCAGGATGATCATGATGTAGGATCGATCCCGCATTAGTAGTGTCGCCAACATCCTCATCGCCAACTCCCACCATCGACTCTTGGTCTCTAATGGATACATTGGCTGTACGATCATGATCATGATGGGGCTTGGAATAATACACCACAGGGTACGGCAAAGGAATTTCTCTCGAAGCTTTCAACAAGTTAACATTCGTACAATGTTCATTTTCCATCCGGAAAAAAACCCAGATAAAACGACGGATAAACTCGGCAAACGCAATGAAAAAACTCGTCAACGACGATTGTTGAATCCGTTGGGCAAAGAACGCATAGAAAACCCATTGGAATCTTAGAATCACATCCAGAATCATCGCCATGTAATATAAATGATTCTTTTTCTTGTAACCCAAATTATTCCGCAAGTACTTGTTTTTGGAATCAAATTGCATCAATGACCAATCCATGAAAATATCCCACACACTGCTGTAAATGGAGTTGACAAATGCAAACACTATGAAGGCAATTTTCTTATTACTATCAGCTTTGTCAATCCGATAAATACTTAACGCCATATAATATACCACGGATATAGTATATTTCAACATATTCGCTAAATGTGGGAACCATTCACCAGTATCTGCATAACGTCTAAAACATTGCAATAATCTCCAAATACTCGGTAAAGTCGCTAAAAAACCCATCAATCTCGATTGGCTAGACCCACATCTTGCTTCATTGGTCCAATGTGTCGCATATAAACAAATGAAAAATGAGACGTTACTAATGGAATATGTCAAACTGCAAAAAATATCCCCCAAGAAGAAATCTTTGAATTCCACCGGATAAAACCCAGAAAAGAACAATCTCCAAAGTGTTACTTGTAACCATCTTCTGGATTTATAATAAAATACATTAACTGGGTTCAAAAAAACCGCTAATACTAATCCAACGTAAACCCATGGCATGTCTCTTGGTAAAAAACCGCTGGGCCACCCACCATCGTTTTCAAAGCTGAAGTACGCAATTATCGAGCCACAGAATAAAAAAAAACTGGGCATCACAATATACTGACGGAAATCCAAAGCTGTTTTGGGATGGAAATCAAAAATGAATTTGTAATTGATCTTATAATAATCCCAAGTACAAAAGTGAACTGTGAAACAAAGAGCCATCATCATCGAAATGAAAAATCCTCCCCAGATTTGCAATAGTAAATGATGTTCTGGAAATTGATGAATTTTCTTCGCTGCTCTAAGTATGGTGAATATAATTATAGGAATTGCGCATCCAAGTAATAAACCTCCACAAAACAACGGGAAATAGTGTTCTTGAACTTTGCTGACGCTTCTCAATTTCTCAATAGCCAATTTCCGGTGTCCATTTGCAAGATAAAATGTGTACAAGTCTTCAACTTTTGCCATCAATTCATCTAATACTTCACTGGAGGCAAAATAGCTGTCATTAACTTTTGCCATGAATCCCGGAAGTTGCAGCAGTCCGGTGGTCTTGTCGAATTTCTTGATCATTTTTCGACAAGCGGTACGATTCAAGCTCCGGTAACTATTGAGCAACTCCAAACTTCTATAGAATTCAAGTAATGCATGTTTCAATTGTCGTTTGGCCTGAGGATATGGGGGAATATCGGTTTGTGCCACAGTCTTCTTGAGATAGTCTCTTCTATTGTATGCAGGATCATTACATTCAATCGAAGGGTTATTTTCAACGTCATCGTGGTTGCTAGTACTGGCAGTACTTTCAGCATCATGTTTACCATCATCAAAACTATTTCCGTTTTCATTATTAGATGATTTTTTCAAAAAACGAAATCTTGGCAAAGATGGTAATTCATATTTCCCGACTGTGGGGAGTATGGTATCGGGACTCCTCATCGCGCTCAACTTTGGATTCTTATGATTATGATTATTATTGGTACTATCATCATTATCTTCTTCTTCTTCTTCTTCTTCTTCTTCTTCTTCTTCTGCTTCGTCATCAGCATCATCTGCCACATTTTTATTAAAAAAATTGAACACCGGATGATGATGTTTACCATTGGTAACTTTAACTTTACCATTTTGTTTCAGCTCTTTGCTCAGTCTAAGTTGGTATAACTGGTCTTGCAACAACAAATATCTCTGGATTGATTGATTTTCTTTATCCTTGAAAAACTCATTGATTTTTATCAATTCCAAGTCCAACCATTGCAAAAACTCTTGCTTATCTGTGTCAAAAGAATTCTGTAACTGAATCATGTCATGCTCATTCATTGCGGTACTAGGTCTTCTAGGTCCTAGGTGGGCAATATTCTCTGGGTTGAAAATCGACGAATGACGTTTGATGGTGTTGAAAACATTCAGAGCCCCAATATTAATATTCTCCACAATGGATTTCTTTCTTGTCAAAGGGCGATCACCACCATCCTCAATAAACGACGGTAATTCAAAAGATGCATCGCCGATGTCAAAAGATCCGTGGTCTGCATTATTATTATTGAGATTAGTCTCATTGATTGGCGCGAGTAATGGAGTTCTTTCATTATGTAATGGAGTTCTTTTTTTCACTGACGCTACTGGAGATGATGACAATTCGTCAACCAGGGGGTCTTTGGAATTAGAATGTTTGGAAGATTTGCCGTCAAAAATCGCTTCGTTCAATTCTGGCGGAGGAAGGAAAAAAGGATTATCATGATTACTCTTAGAATTAGAAATATTGGAGGAAAAAGATGATGATAATGGGTCAGCGCGAGACTTTTTTCTAATTTGAGCATTCAAACGAGGGCTCTGAAATGACGCTTGTGTCGCTCCATTGGTATTCCAGAACAGCAGGGGCTTAAGATTGCTGACACTGACTTTGTTTGGGAAATCAGGCCGATTGATCTTTTTAAGTTTCTTCTTCCCTTGCTATTTATTGGTTAGTTACAAAGTGTTGAAATTTGGCTGGGGCGAGGTTGACATATCTCTGTCGAATACATACCTTATAATCTAAATATTGCGGGCGCCATTCAGGAACCTAGATAATGTTAGTAAATTTTGGGAATGACCATGGTGAAGTTGATTAAAGTATAGATAAACCACATACACAATTATCATTGAGATATCTATCAAAACATTGTTAGTAAGAGCGCGAACATAAATTAACAAATAAATCTTGCCAATGAGTAGCATTTTGTCATGAACCATGGCAATGGCAGTGGCTTTTGTGTGCTGAGAAAACATACTGCGCAAACTTCATGACGAAAATCAGCAGTTCACGTTATGGAAACACTGAGTCTATCTGGCAAGATCTCTTCGGTAGTAGTAGTAGTAGTAGTAGTAGTAGTAGTAGTAGTAGTAGTAGTAGTAGTAGTAGTAGTAGTAGTAGTAGTAGTAGTAGTAGTAGTAGTATATTTTTCAAAGTGACTAGGATACATACCAAACAAGAAAAAAAAAAACTGATGGGAAACACGTGCGTGGTAGTGTTAATATATCTTATAAGTGTTCCGTTGTTATGGGTCAATCAATCAATCAATCTATGGCAACTGTTAACAGAGAGTCTAAATATATGATACCACAACTCTACGTTGGTTGCATTATATGATGTGAGTAAAGTGAAATATTATCGTATTATTATAATGAATTGGAAGTGTCATGAAAAAAAGTTAAGTCATAAAGAAGACATTAATTAAATGTGGCATATGCAGGCAGTATTTGATCAAAAACCATGGGGTAGAATGGTTAGAAATAAAATGAAAAAGTGAGTCTGAAGATCTCATAAATTACAGAGAAAAAAAATAAATAAATAAAGAAATATATGATGTTCTGAATATTCAAAGAGAACCCAATTTCAATAAGATTTCAAGTCGCTTGAATTAGTCCAATTCCAACAACCCCGTGGGTTCCTCCAGTAGTTGGCTCCAATTTCTTTTTACCTTTCTTCTTTTTACCCTTCTTCTTTTTCTTTTTTTCTCGCTTGATCAATTCATCCAAATCAATAAATTCATCATATTCGCTACCATCGAACTGCGGATCAGCCTCGCCAACTTTACTAGGAAGCACTGGGAACGCAAATGATGAGGTCCCCATTTCCGATGAGAAAATATTGTGATGACTGGGTTCGCATGGAAGATTTATAGAATCAAAGAAAATGGGATTGGTGGTAGTCAAGTCATTATTAGAAAACTTGGCGACAGAAGGAACCAAATCAGCTTGTGGAGCTGAAAATTTTGGAATTGACAATTGTTCTGAAAGGATTGAAGATGGTGAGATTTTTTTGTGATGTTCTCCCCTGAATAACAAAGAACCAGCATTGTTATTTGAAGCATTAAGATGAGTTGGTATATGGGATGACGACATATCCGAAGAGGTACACGATAATGAGGAACAAGAAGAGGAGGAGCAGGATGAAGGAAGTGGGATGCTTAAATGTGAAGGGTGCATATTGGTAGCATGGTCGGAGGTTATGGAGTTACTTGAGTTCGACAAAGGTAAATTGAACCGTTGAGTTGATCTCCCAATAGTATTAAACAAGTGAGAATCAATGCTCGGCTGTGATTCTTGCAAACACCCTAGTCCTAGACTGAAAGTATTGTGTTTTTCATTTCCAAAATAGTTGAATGCAGGATTATCGTCGACCATTGAAGTGATGGGAGTCCCGCATGATGAGGAGCTGGAGAAATCAGAATTGGGACTGAGCAAATCTGGATGTTGCTGTTGGGGATGATTTGTCGTCCTAACGTGAGAAGATTTATCAGGGCTATTATAATACAGTTGAATGCTGGGATTTTGAGAAGCTGCACACGACTTCGCAGGACGCTCACACGACGAGTCTTGTAATGTCGGGAAAAAAGTGTTGATCTGAAGTTTTTTCAAATTTCTACCTTCACGTTCCATCAAATTGTCGATATTTGTGGGGTTTTTATTTGTACCGATGTCATCACTATTATTGTATTGTGTTGAAGGTATGGTGCTTTGAGGAAAGGCAGTGAATGATTTCTTGAAGACATCCAGGATATCTGATTCCAAAATCGCGGTGTATTGGTTCTTATAAAAATCATGCATTGAATCTTTACTTGCCGTCGAACAGAGCGATTTCGTGCTTGAATTCTCCTTTTTATTCATATGGCCAAGATCAACGGTATTGGATTGGCCAAGGCCATGATCCACTGGCTTCTGTAGATCCTCGCCAGTTTCCGAGAGGTCATTGTCGCTGAGATTTGACGATGGTTTGGAGATGGCGAGTCCATCGACATTGCCTGATAGGTTGTCTTGATTAGAAGATGGGGCAGGATGTTGAGGGAATGTTGGGGTAGACAAGTCTTCGTTGGACTGCCGGAGCAGTGAAATGCTTTTCAATGTGATGATGCTATTGGAACTATTGTTTCTTGATGTGAATCTAAATAGGGACGATGGTTTCTGGATCGAGGGTTGGTCAGCTGGAGGTTGCTGGTCGATTGAGATTGGAGGGTCTTTCATGTTGTGCTATTTGGGATGGACGAAATGTTATAGTTCCATAATATCGCTGTTATTATTAATGATGTTTTGTTATTGATGATAATGGGTTGTAACTTTGTGGACAATTTATTATCGATTGTTGTGTTGGTAATTATCGGTATGATTATTGTTGCTGTTGAAATATATATATTTATATATATATCAGTAGGTGCCTGCCTGCCTGGTAATATAATATAAATATATGCACAGTGAGTAGGAGATCAAGGTGTTATTATATAAGGAAATCGGTCAAGAATGCCGATGTATGGAAGCCGAATAATCTTTAATCTGTGGGGGATAAACTGGGAAAGCACACACCTCACCGACAACAATAAAGAGGGAAGGCAAAACAAATATAATATATTTCCATCTAATTTAACGAGGCACCAGAGCAAAACCGTTCCAGTCGTCACAGCAAAAAGAAAAGAGGAAAAGACAAAAAAAAAAAAAGAAAGAAAAACCCTCGCCGCGATTGATTAGGAGAAATTAAACTCTGCAGTGGGGACGGCACGGGCTGCTGCTTTTTGCACGGCAGCAAAAATGTTAGCCTGGGTTTTGATAATAATAAACACTTTGGCGACAGTTTGTACAGCAAAAATCGCGACGGCAAATTGTCACCCACCACCCCAGCAATCCTTATTCTATTGTTGGACCCCATGTGAGCAGATCGGACTTTTAACCCTAATCCTGGAGGTGTAACTTTCATTCTGGCTATAGAATAGAATAGAACAGAATCGTCGTTATTAACGGCTACTGGTGTAACAGTGGTTATTGCTTGGGATATATATCCATTTCAGCATAGGTAGGGATCCATGTTATTTTGCAAAATGTATATATTTATATATCTGGGTGTATAACAGTAGTAGTAGGCTTTATTACATCTATCTATCTATCTCTCAGCGGCGATCCAGGCAACAAAATCAGTCATATTATTCGCCGGGGATCGAGAGAGACATTTGATCACCAAAAGCATATCTTAATTAATATGATTCAAATCGCCTCTGCCTGTTGGTCTGTCGAGATAGGATCAGTTATGTTTTCTGAACAACAAAGCAGAGCATTAGACAGCCTTGATTACCCGCTAGCGTGTTCGAGAGCTTAACTTGACCACTGTATCAAGACGCACGCATCTTACTCTATCCATCATCATACACACTTTCCATTGACTAATGACGTATTTTGCTAACTTTCCTTGATGATTCTTTAGCAACTTCTTGAATATATATTATATATATGTTGTGTTCATTTTCTTTCTTCTTTTTTAACGCTTCTTCATCTGTTCAATCCTCCGAAATAACAATTGGGCTCTTATTATTGCCATTAGTCAACGAATTATGCTTATGTTGAGATAACAAACCTTAAACTATTCATCAAAGATTAGTAATACCAGTGGCTGCAAGATATACACAAACAACAACAAGGAAAACGACTACAATGCAATAACAGCGAAGTCAAAGTGAAAAACAGTAATAAATAAAATAGATTGAAAAGTTACTTACTTGTTTGATGCCATGAATAATGCAAATGGCACACCGTACCAGTCTACTTTAATTGTAAAATGCAACAGCAACAAAAAAGAATTCAACAAATTGATAAAAATACACCAACAAAGATGATAAGCTATAACAAACACATATGATTGACAGATCCTGAATTTTAACAATAGTAACTTGAAACAACAATTAATAAGAAAAACAAAAGTATGATGATGATGATGATGATGATGATGATGATGATGATGATGATGATGATGATGATGATGATGATAATAGTAATAATAATAATAATGATAATGATAGAAATTAATTATGGAGCCCCTTTTTCATTTTTCTTTTAATAACCTTACCGATGGCTCTATAGATCATTAACAAAGATCAGTCCTTGAATCCTCTTTTTGAGAAATATTCTTTCCAATTATTGATCGGGTTCTTCTTTAATAATTGCTCTTCCTCGGCACTATCACGTTTCCGGCTATTTTCCTTCGCTGCAACCTTCTTGCTTTTGCCAATGGGCGCGGGGTGCGGAGGTGCTTGGAAAGGTTTCAATGTCATCAACACTTTATATGGAATATTATCCATTTCTTTGAAATGCTCAGTCCCCACTGCCGAATTATTCCACATATTTGGCACAATAAAACTGGATGACGAAGAAGAAGTAGAAAATGAAACCTCGCTGGTCGAGTTCCCTCCCACTAGACTGTTTCCGTTGCTCAAGGCATCACTGGCAGAACTGGACATCCCCTTGCCAGATTTATCGAATCTAAGAGGTCGAAACTCATTCTTAATTGGTAATAATAACGGGCGATACCCAGAGAAAAAAATATCATTCTTAAATTTCCGAAGATCGAGATGGGAGGTGGAGGGGACTCTTGGTAAACTGTCTTGATAACTCATTTGGCCATTATTGTTCGATGTTTTGCCAGATTCAACAGAAAACACCCTCAGATCCGGACTTGAACGATTGAATTCCCTGATGAACTGTGAAAACTTTTTCTCGGACGAAAGGTCTAGTTTCGATTTTTTAGGCGAGGTCTTGACTGTGGTCTTGGTAGCGACAGCTGTGGTCTTGGTAGCGACAGCTGCCTTCTTGATACCCTCATCTTTAGACGATGATTTGGATTTAGATTCGTTATCTTTTGGATCAGGTTCCCCTAACTTGATCTTTCGACTGTATAGTTTGTTATTGACCGAGGAAAACTTTCGTGTAGTTATAATAATCCGCGTATTAAAAATGCGGTTGTTGCCACCACATCTCATCATCATCGTTATCCCTGATTTTCTCCGATAAACCGATACCCACAAGAATGAAAAGCTAGAAAGAAAAGAAAAGAAAAGAGAATATTAGAAAAGGATCAACAAATGAGAAATAAAAATGAAAAAAGATCCCAGACCCCTAGGTGCAAAATAAACGTATAGTGTGTATGTTTTCACCCAAACGATTTAAGCTTTATTGTTATTGTATGATGATGTTTTCCTCATAATATAAATCGCACCTCATACAGGATGATGTGTGATGGGCTGATTGATTGGGCATGTCAGGTGGACAAAACATTGCTAGGGGCACGCAGTAATTCCCAACAGCATCCACTATAGACACAACATATAAATAAATATACCATGAAATACCACGTGTGAGGCCAGGTTAATGGTCCAATGATTTGATATATTTCCAAAAAAATAATAAGAATAATAAAAACAACAACCTTAATCAATTTTATAATACAAATATAATATAAATAAATCCACAAATCCCAAGGAAGTCATTTGAGAGACTCACTCCTCTCAATGGAAGATCAACCAATAGAATGATTTTTTTCTAAAAATCCGCCAAAATGTCCACAAATATATTGACAATTGACACAATCACTTCCACGGCAATTAAGACAATGACAATTACTTCCAAATACTCTTCGTGAGAATGACCCAATTGTTCCTTTAACATTTGCAATAAGTCAGAAATCACCTCCAATCTTTGGTTCAATAAATCCACACGTTGATTGATTTCTAGATATCCCCTTGTCGCTTGATAAATCGGTTCCAAGTGGGGTTCGGACCACATCAATTCCGGTGAATCAAGCACCGAACCATGTAGGTTAATATTTATTCGCAAAATGAACAATTCTCCAATACTCTTCATAATATCACTGCGCTTCATGTCGACTTTACCAACCAAAGCAATTTGCTGGGGTATATCTTGGGTATCTTCAATAGTGTTATCGACCAATTCTTCAAATAATGAAATCTTGGTTGATTGAGCGATGGCATGAGAAATTGAAAGTTTCATCATATAATTGTTACCATCCCTAAGAGTGATAAAATCGTTGTAAATCCTTGGTTGATAAGATTTTGTAATATAATAATTGAATTCTTCAATTTGAATATCTTCTTCTGCCAATTTTTCTTTTTCAAATTTCTCAAGGTATGTCAAGAATTTCGATTCTTCTTCTTGTTTAAACCCCCAAAGTACCACCACCCCATATTCGAACAAAAATACATCTTTTTTATTTTGCGTCAAATCAATTTCTCCTCCTTCTTCGTCTAGTCGAATCAAATCGTCATGGTTATTATTACCACCAATCTTCTTCTTCGTTCTATCAGCTTTGTGAAACTTGAACGGAGTATAGAGACATTCGTCAATCAATTTAGGCCAGGTGTGGTTTTTCTTCTTACGATCATTCAACCAACGAACCATTTCCTTCATTCTATAGGAGCTTGCAGTGCAGTAAGCGGTAACCCGAGGCAATAAAGCTCTTTCTGATTTTCCAAGTCTTTCGGCATCTTTTCTTGCAGAAGTCTCTTTAATTCTTGTCACTTGAGAGTACACTTCCCTACCACTTTCTTCATCCTCTTCAAGAGATGGTTCCTCAGGAAGAAGTTTCAATTTCTGGGTGGTCCTCGAGGTTCTTTGGGGCCCAATCTTGGTGGTTGGCTGTAAGGGCTGAATCTTTTGTAGTGTGTTGTTGTTTTGCGATGAGCTAGGGATAGTTGGTGGAGGTAGCGGAGGGATTTTCTTTCCCAGTGGGACTGACGGGGGCTTGTTGGGGAGTAGCGGAGTGGTTTCGGGCATTATTGTTATCAATTAATTAATATATATATATATATATATATATATATAAATATATATGTGTAGGTATGTTCATTGGATTATTAACCATTTACCTCACTGTGTATATTTTAGAGATTACAAAAATGCACAGTGAGCCCTGTGTAATAAAATGGGGGTAATTGACCCTGTAATAATTATATCTGTCCTGGTGGTATACGTTAACATATCTGTCATATTTAAAACAGATTCAAGTAGCATAGATATCCTTTCTCACTATTCCATGATGTGATGCTTGAGGTCTCAAAAAGAAAAAGAAAAAAAAAAGCATTGCTTACTTAATATTTGACTAACGCAACCGTATATATAATAATGACTGAGTTAGATGACTCAATGAATCTTCATCTTCAGAACGTTAATAATAATGTGTTTGTTTTCTAAAAGTTCACTCTCCCCTCGACCTCACTTTCCACTTCAATCCCGAAATTCGCAATTGACTGTTGTTTTTGTTGTTGTCGTATATGTAGTATTAGAATCGTGTTGAAAGCAACCATCTCTCTAACGTATTTCACTTCCATGATTCCACACATAAATGAGTCCAGTGATTATTTTCTGAACTACGTTACCGTGGTGGGTGTACGGAACTGCTGTCAGCCAGTCAGAAAAAGAGGAAGAAAAGAAAAAAGCAAATAAATGTTATTGTTCCTCATACAACAGCAGTTGTGTCACCACCCATCGCTCCTCTTCCCCGGTCGATTGCCCCCAGATTACCTTCCCTTTCGATCACAGGGGGTGTGGCAACCTTCCCGCAGCAGCGGAGACTCAACATGAGCCACCATAACAATAATACCCTTTCTCCAGCGATTACCACATAATATTACCCCCGGGAGGAGAATTTCCATCAATACTCGTCAACAAACAATCTCAAAAAGTATAAGTATCCCAAAAAATTTCCTAAAACTGTTTTTGTTTTTTATTTGTTTATTCTATCTCATTATCATCTATTGCAAAGCAAAACAAAAAGAAAAGAAAAGAAAAAGAAAAGAAAAAACATTCATTTACTGGATTCCAATCAAATTTCAAAATGGCTTATTCTATAATCGACCTCAATGCTGAAGAAGCTTCTTTTCAACAAGAAATAGCCTCCATCGAGAAATGGTGGTCTGAACCTCGCTGGAACAAAACAACGCGTATTTATTCTCCCCAAGAAGTCGCTGCTAAACGTGGTAGTATTAAGATCCATTATCCTTCATCGGACCAGGCTGACAAACTTTTCAAGTTACTTTCCGAACATGATCGTAACAAGACCTCAAGTGTGACCTTTGGTGCTCTTGACCCCATCCACGTTGCCCAAATGGCAAAGTACTTGGATACAGTTTATGTTTCTGGCTGGCAATGCTCTTCCACCGCTGCCACTTCCAATGAACCTGGCCCAGATTTGGCTGATTACCCTATGGATACCGTTCCAAACAAGGTTGAACATTTATGGTTTGCTCAATTATTCCACGATAGAAAGCAACGTGAAGAACGTTTCAGATTATCCAAAGAAGAACGTAAAAACACTCCTTACACGGATTTTCTCAGACCAATCGTTGCCGATGCGGATACTGGTCACGGAGGAATCACCGCAATCATCAAACTTGTCAAAATGTTCATTGAACGTGGTGCTGCTGGTGTTCATATCGAAGATCAAGCTCCAGGTACCAAGAAATGTGGCCATATGGCTGGGAAAGTGTTAGTGCCAATTCAAGAACACATTAACAGATTGGTTGCTATCAGAGCTTCTGCTGACATGATGGGTTCTAATTTGCTTGCCGTTGCCAGAACCGATTCTGAAGCCGCAACTTTGTTGACCAGTACCATCGACCCTCGTGATCACTACTTTATTTTAGGTGTCACCAATCCAGAAGTTCCTGATTTGCATTCAGTTTTGCTTGAAGCTGAAGGACATGGAATGAGTGGCGATGAGATTGCCAATATTGAAGCTAGCTGGTTACAAAAAGCCCAATTGAAATTATTTGACGAGGCGGTGATTGATGAGATCAATGCTGGTACCTATTCAAATAAGTCACAACTTATTAGCGAATTCAAGTCTAAGGTTCATGCATTGAGCGGAACCTCGAACAAGGACGCCCGGGCTTTAGCTAAAAAACTTCTTGGGAAAGAAATTTATTTCAACTGGGAATCACCAAGGGTCAGGGAAGGTTATTACCGTATTCGCGGGGGTACTCAATGTGCCGTGAATCGTGGTAGAGCATTTGCTCCATATGCTGATTTGATTTGGATGGAATCTAAATTGCCAGACTATGCACAGGCTCAAGAATTTGCCCAAGGAATCAAGGAAGCATACCCAGATCAATGGCTTGCTTATAACTTGTCTCCTTCCTTCAATTGGAACTTGGCCATGACCGCTGCCGATCAAGAAACTTATATAAAAAGATTGAGCAAATTGGGATACGTGTGGCAATTTATCACTTTGGCAGGTTTACACACTACAGCATTGGCAGTTGATAATTTTGCCAGAGACTTTGCCAAGTTTGGAATGAAGGCTTATGGTCAAAACGTTCAAGCGAAAGAAATTGAATCAGGGGTTGAAGTGGTGAAACATCAAAAATGGTCTGGAGCTGAATTGATTGATAATATTTTGAAGATGACCAGTGGTGGGGTTAGTAGTACTGCAGCAATGGGTGAAGGGGTGACTGAAGACCAATTCAAGAGCTCAAAGTTGTGATAAATTTGCAAGAGATTATTTTGGAACTAATCTTTATGGCTATTACTTCTATATTTTTTTGGAGCTAACAGTTCCTACTTTTTTTTTTTTTTTGTTATGTTTTTGAGATGTTGGAAGTTTATGATTTTCGCTTATTAGTGATTTTTATCTGGAGGTCTAAACATTTTTGATGATTAATATTATGCTGGTTTTTATGTGGGTTTTCCTTTGTGGTTAGTAGATTCCAATGAGGGCGCTTTTTGTAAAAGGTTGAAGATAATACATCAAATTTCTGGGAAACATTCAAGTTTCGATAAATCCATGTTTATTTGTTCAATAGGGCGTCCCTTTTGCTTGTAATGTTTCTAGACACGTTAACACATGGAGATTTCTATCCAAAATGTTAATTGCCATGGACGAGCTCTTCACGGTTACTCAAATCAGTAGCAATTCTCTCAATTTCACAATCTATTATCATTAATGATTCATAGATTTCTAATTCTTTCAACGGTAGCACTTGACAACTTTCTAGGTCATAATTCCCCAAGGTTATGCATATTTCACAAATACAACAGCTCAGTGGAGTGGTGCCACCAGCAACGATCTTCAATGGCTTCCCTTTTTAAACTTTCTAAATTTGTCCTATCTAGTCTTTTAAATAGCTTACAGAATAAACCACTTGGAACTATTGAAGAAGCATCCGATATTATGAAAGATATTTGTCTATTGCAGTCAATGTTGCATCAAAAATTACCAAAAAAGGGGCACCAGCACCAACACAAGCACTACGCACCACCAGGGAGTACTTATTCAAAGCAATAAATTCCGAGTATAAAGCGTTCATGATCAGAGGCCTTTACAAAAAACTTAAATATTATTCAGCTATTAATCCTGCAGAGCTATCCGGTCATATCACTATCTTATCTGCCAGGAGGTGATGCTCAATGCACCTGTAAACGAGGGATGACATGAACATGATAACAGTAATAATTGGTTTGAGATATTTAAAGTGGACTAAACCTTTAAAAAAAGTGACTAAGCTGGACATGACGGGAGTAAGCCTCTAAAATATACTACAGTATTCAGACCTTTGAAGTAAAAAAGAACCTGTGAGAGAGGAATTGAAATGAAACTGACAGTAAAAGATACAACTTTTGTAACCTAACTGAATGCGGATTTTGTGTAAACTATGAAGCTCCCTCTGAAATTTTCTCCAATTTATTACAATACAATATCTCACAAGTAGGTAGATCAAACATAACAAGATCATTTATAATACAAGCAATTATGCAAATAAAAAAAAGAATAAACAATGCAACAAAAGCACAAAAAACAGAAAGAAAAACACCCCTAACCATGAAATGGAAAATATTATACACATATAGAATAGCTAAATAGAACTAAAATAAATAAATAAAAAGTTGCTTCGAAAATATAAAGAGCAAGTGAATATAGTACTATGAAATGATCATTTCCCATAAAGTCCAAGGTAAAAGATAATTAAATAATCTCACCATTATTATCGACGAATTTCCGGAAGTAACCTTTCCCTTTGACCAGAGAATCATTGCCAAAAGGTTTATAGAACTTGTTTTTCACAATAGTCCCCGATTTAGATCCCTCTTCCCCAGTTAACCAGCTTGGAACATTATATGGATCCACAATTGTCTTGATTTTGGTCGAGGTAGATCTAGACGCGGCTGAAACAGGGGTTACTGCTAATTCATGAAGTCCAGCAAAGACATCATTACCACTAAGCTTTAACGTGAATTTTGGTTTTGCCAATTCTGTCTCTATGGATGAGCATCTTGATTGACTATGAGGGTGATATGTTTTAATATCTCCATGGATCGCAAATTCAACTTCTTGGATCGGGACAATTGATGAGAATTGACTTTGATCAAAGTTTCTTTGTAATAATTCATTATTTTTTTTATCAATTTTTTCATCATCCTTCTTTACTTTTGAGTTGGCAGATCTTCTTAGTCTCTTTAACGGAGAACGCAGATTTTGATAATCTTCAAATAGCCGCTTTGATTTTAATTTACCATTGGCAACACCTTTAAAACGCAAATTGGCGACATTGATAAGATTTTTACGATCGATCCGATCAATTTGGTCCTGGTCGCTAATGATCTGCAAATCATCATCATCATCCTCATCAAGATTACCCTCGTTATTGCTTTTCGATTCAAGTCCATTAAGCTTGCAAAAATTCACAACATTTTGATGTAAGGTGGGTATATCAAATGGTGAAATATCCACATTATCATCGGCATACACCGCCCAATTTCCCTCACAATTCGCAAAACGAGAATTACCATTTAATAAGAAAATTGATTCAAAATTTTTGATTTTCATCGAGGGATCGTTGACCAAATGAATTTGACTGTCTGGCCCACATAGTGATCTTTCTAGTGATTGAAGGATTAACTTTCCGGAAATATCGTTAGGGTTGATAATATTGTGGATGATGAAATTTGAAGAGGAAGGGATCATTACAAAGAAAGCTTTTCTTGAAATAACGTTCGCTTTCAAAGAATGATCCTTAGAGACAATATCGAATAGTTGGATTCGTATGATGATCACAGGATAAATCGGATGATGACACACATAAATGTGGTTCAAGAACACTGAGCTCAAATCGCTGGACAATGATTTGAGTAATTTTTGATTGTTGAGATGAGGAAGTTTTAAAGGCCTCGTCTTTTCGAAATTATCAAGAATTTTTGACGAAGTCCACATGAATGAATTTGGCTTATCTATTAATAATTGACAATCGATTTGTGATATTTGAAGCAAATTCAAACCTTTGTGCCAGTACTCAACGAGTATTCTATCCAAGAGCTGTTTCTTTGTGCATAGCTTACCACCAGGAACTTGGCCGGCAATTACCTTTGAATGGGCTGTGAAGAATGCGAGAGCATTAAAAATAAGCTGCAGGCGGGATAAACGGTTGTGTTTATATTCTTGAGATGATTTAAGGTCTGGCTGAGTTGAGGTAAGCCTACACCAGAGATATGCAAGATTATTGATGCTCTTTAGCGATAGCCTTGTTAGGGACCGCCTAAGAGTTATAGGAGTGAGCGAAGGAATATAGTCATTGGGCAAAGAACCTTTGTTCTTCATTGTATTTTTATGAATGAATCTGTTATTATTGTTGATTGGGGCTTCAATGTTTACCAAACAAAAAAATTATCTGTAAAAAAAAACAAAACAAAATAAAAACAATAACAAAAAAAAAAAAAAGATTATGTAATCACAACAGATTGCTTAGTAAGACGCTTACATAATCAATGACATAGCAACACCTGGACATCTATTTTTCAGAAAACCCTAACACACATAATAACCAAGTGCATGGTACATTGTGACGACATTTGATTAGTAACCAATTACACAATCATTAGGTGTTCGGATGGCTTTAGCCAAAAAAACACCTGAACACTCAATGGTGCCGTTGAATTGGTATACTGCGAATTGGACCGGGAAGTCGTGACTTTCCCCGTGACAAAAATGACTTACGGGGGGAGTCGCAAGTGGAGACGATCGCAACTTCCCGCCAACCTATCAATGACCAATCACAGCCTACCGCTTAGAAAGCAGCATCGCACAACTCATCTGTCATATCCCTAACAAATCTATGTTGGCCCAACCCAGATAGATACATACAGACATACCTAGATAAATACATACATAGGTATTGGATATTCTTAAAATCAACAATAATATCCATTACCTCCACCAATTTCTTGATTTATAAATTGATTTATAGGTGTTTGTTTTGCAATTGATCTTGCCAGGTATTTTTGGTAGTGCGCGCATCATCATCACCGCTCTCCTCATATCGGCGGCCCTAATAAAATATTGATCCTACTACGTATATAAACAGCAATAATTCCTACAATTTTTCATTTTTTTTCAGATGTCGATAATTTTGTTTTCGCTTCCCCTACTTCATTTTCTGTACAAGCAAAACAGAAAGCGATATTAATAATGTCTAATAAGAAAGTTTTCTCCACTTCTGAAGGCTGCCCAGTCAGCGAGCCATTTGCTACCCAAAGAATTGGTCAGGATGGTCCTTTGCTTTTGCAAGATTTCAGCTTGATTGATTCCTTGGCTCATTTCGATAGGGAACGTATTCCTGAGCGTGTGGTTCATGCCAAGGGCTCTGGTGCCTATGGTTATTTCGAGGTCACTGACGACATTTCTGATATGTGTAGCGCTGCTTTCTTGAATCAGGTTGGCAAGAAGACCAAAACTTTTGTGAGATTTAGTACTGTTGGTGGTGAAAAAGGCTCTGCAGACACTGCTAGAGATCCAAGAGGCTTTGCTGTCAAGTTTTACACCGAAGAAGGTAACTATGACTTGGTCATGAATAATACTCCGGTCTTCTTTATCAGAGATCCTTCCAAGTTCCCACACTTCATTCACACCCAGAAGAGAAACCCAGAAACAAATTTGAAGGATCCAGATATGTTTTGGGACTATTTGACTTCAAACCAAGAAGCAATTCACCAAGTTTGTATCTTGTTTAGTGACAGAGGCACTCCTTACGGATACAGATTTATGCATGGTTACTCTGGCCATACTTACAAGTGGACCAACGCCAAAGGTGAATGGAGATATGTCCAAATCCATTTCAAGTGTGATCAAGGTATCAAAACTTTTAATAACGAACAAGCTGGTGATTTGGCTGGATCTGATCCAGACTTTGCTCAACACGATTTGTTCAATGCTATTAAGAAAGGTGATAATCCTTCTTGGACTGTGTATGTGCAATCAATGACCCAAGAAGAAGCTGCCAAATTACCTTTCTCCGTCTTTGATTTGACCAAAGTCTGGCCACAATCTCAATTCCCATTGAGAAGATTCGGGAAGTTTGTTCTTAATGAAAATCCACAAAACTATTTCGCCGAAGTTGAACAAGCTGCCTTCTCCCCTTCACATACCGTTCCAGGTATCGAAGCTTCCGCTGATCCAGTGCTTCAATCGAGACTCTTCTCGTATCCAGATACTCACCGTCATCGTTTGGGTGTTAACTATAATCAAATTCCTGTCAATTGCCCATTTGCTGCCCGTTCAGCATATGCTCCTCATATTAGGGACGGTGCGATGCAAGTAAATGGTAATTTGGGCTCTGCTCCAAACTATCTTGCAACAAATGTTCCAGTAGAAGTACGCAGTGATGTGAAATTACAAGCACATCAAGAAGTATGGACCGGCCCGGCATTTGCTAAGCACTGGAAAGTGGTTGGACCAATTGATTTCCAACAAGCTACTGACTTGTATGCTAAGGTGATGTCAAAGCAACCAGGTCAACAAAAAGCCTTGGCCCACAATGTTGCAGTACATGCCTCAGGAGCAAAGAGAGATATCCAAGACCGTGTCATTGATATGTTTACCAAGGTTCATCCTAATTTAGGCGCGGATATCAAGAAGGAAATTTACCAGCTTGATCCTCGTGATAGTGACAAAAATGTGCAATTGTTCAATAAGAATGGAAAAGTTTCCGCTTGTCCTTTCCATTCTAAATTGTGAAAAGTTATATGTTGTCTTTTTTCTTTTTTCCTTCCTGTTACTGTGATTTTCATTTAATAGGAAAATAGGATGCTGGAGCCAAATCTTTTTGTATTATTTTCTATGTTTCATTCTTGGTATCTTTCAATGCTTGTTTCTTCCTTTATTTTGTTCGTTAACGATATTGCTTTTGAATTTTGTCAGTATGTGTGTTGTATGTAGACTGAATGACGATAAGAAATTGAAGATTCCAATTGGGAATTGATTGAACAATACGGCTCGGCTAAAGATCTTTTATTTACAAAGACATACATGCTCAAAATAAACTGCCATTATTAAAGCATAAAGAATAAAAATTGGGAAAATTGAATTATATATCACAAGCGAATAAAGAATAAATATTTGGAAAGAAAAACTCAAGAAAATATGCCCGCATCACTTATCAATTGATCAAGTTTTGAATCTTCTCATCCTCTTTAATATACTTAATACAACCTTCCTTTAATTCTTCAGGGTTCATTCCATGATGGTCCAATTGCCATTGAAAAATCAAATCATTGACTTCTCTTAACCACTTGCCTGGTTTTTTATTCAAGATTTGCCCCAATTGTTTACCGTCAATCACTGCCTTGTCCTCGTATACTTTTCCTAATCCAGAAGCACTAATGTAACTAAAGATTTTGCAGAAATGCTCACGTTTGGCATGATCACCGTAAGTTTCAAGATAGTTCATAATTAATGAAAGTTTCCAATAATCATCGGTTCTCATTGTTCTAATCAAGTTGAACCCCAATAGAGATTTTTTGACAAATACTGATTCATCAAAATATAATTTGAGATTTTCCTGGTTAGTAACAATGACTTTATCCACTAACTCGGCATCATGCTTGTGGAAATGGAAACATTCTTTGATCATGTACTCTATTGGATGGAACCCCTTTGGCTTCTTTCCGGCCTTGGCGTTACCTGGTGGCACCATTTTGATCTCATAGGTTGGGGTTGGGAAAATCGATTTGGTAACTAAGTTCTTGAATATAAAAATCATGTAGAAATTACGTTGGAAATTTTTCTCCTCATCTGATTTAGCATCGTGTTGTTCTGGGTCAAGGATGGCCAACAATTCTTGTTCCAATGGCGACAATTCGGAAGATGCTTTCAAGTCGTTGTAGATTCCATTCAACAATTCAATATCGTTGTTGAATACGGTAGGGAAGTTTTCGTAATAGAATTTATCCAAATGTGGATCGGTGAAGTCCGGATCAATGTTCAAGATGATACTGTATAAATCGGCCTTGTTCAATAATTTCAACCCGACCACAGGGTATTTCGCACTCAATAGTTTCCCAAATTCAATACCGATTCTTTCTTTAGAAACCTTGCGAAGCAAGTTGATCTTAATGTTTTGTTCGTCATGAATTAACACATCCATGGCATTATCGTCGATTTTGAATCCAAATTGACCAGCAAATCTCACCAAACGGAGAATTCTCAACGGATCATCGAGAAATGTCTGCAATGGTTCCAATGGGGTCCGCAACACCCCAAGTTCTAAATCCTTTTCCCCTTGGCCAGTATAATCTTCGATTTGTTCGGTGGTCAAGTTATAGAAAAGGGCATTTAATGTGGCATCTCTTCTTAACGCATCTTGTTTCGCAGTACCAAATTGTACGGTGGTAGGCACACGACTATTACTATCTGCGTACTCTTCGTCTCGCAAGTTTACAAAATCAATGCTTTGATCGAAAAGTTTGGTAGTCACCGTTTCCAAATGCTTAGATTTTTCAGGGTTCTTGTCGATTTTGTGGATCTTACTACTGCCATTACCGGGATCATCTACCATCGCCGAATATTGGGGGTTTTCTGACATGAAATGTTGCAATTGAGTGGCAAATGATTCTCCAGAAAGTTTGTTGATGGCAATATCGACATCATGACTTTCTTTTCCTAACAACTTATCACGAACCCACCCACCAGTGATTCTTAACATAAGAGGCTCATGAGAATTGTTCAACTCTCCATCTACCGGAGGATGCAAATCATTGTAATATTGACAGAAATCTTCAAGCAAGTTCTTGATTTTCAACTCATTCTCATTAAGCTGAATCTTAGGATGGATCTGGAACCCCACCTGTGGCTTGTATAATGATGGAGTAGCCATTTGTGTATAATGATGGTGATGTTGATGGATTGATCTGATTTGGTTGAATAAATAAGAAGGTTTGATAATTTTTCTTAGGGTACACATCAACAGATATCGATATAGAGTTCGAAACTGTGAATCAAGAAAAACAAGTAAAAAACAATGATCCCCTGGATTTCCAAGAGTAGATATTTCCAATGGGCATAACTTGTAGTACTAATGGAGCTTATATTGGAAAAAAAAAAAAAAATTAATGCCTGCGGGGGCTTCTATGCGGATTATTGAGAATCTTCAAAAACAATCTTTGGACCGCCAGTGATGATCAATCAGCACAAACACCTCATCATCCAGGCCAGAAGCATCTACTCTGCTGTCGAATATACTCTTTATGCTGGTTATATATTACCAATAGAAAAAACACAACCACCAAACCAACAAAATCAATGTCGAGCACCGTGCCAGAAATACCCATTGAGGAAACCAAATCCTTGGGAGATCAGATAACCAATACTGAGCAACCTCCTGCTGCTACTCAAGACAGTGCCAACTCCAATACTTTACTGGGTCAAGAAGAAGTGGTTATACCATCTCCGGAATCAGTATCCTCAACCGAACCAGCACAGGAGGAGGAGGATTCAGAGAAACAGAATCGCCTTAGTCCACAGGAAATACTAGCGCATCGTTTGGGTAATAAAGCTGAATACTTTTCGAGGAACGAGGAATACAGTGAAGGCGAAGAAGAAGAAGAAGAGGAGGAAGAAGAAGAAGATGATGATGATGATAGTCAGTTGCAATGGGAGGAGAGTATGAATCAACTCGTGGGGTTGTTGAATTTTGTTGTTTTACCATTAGTGGGAAGAATTTTGGGGAGAAGGGTTGCAAATATAAGTAAGTTAGGATCATTATCATTGTTTTTTTTTTGCATTTTGTGTCATTTGTCTGTTTTACTAACCGATCATTTAGTCTGGAGAAATATAGCAAAAAGAATTTGGAATTAAAGTTTTAAAAGAAGACTCTTTGAAAGAGTTCAGATAAAGTTGAAGAAGATCAATGCTAATATTTGTACAAACTATTTTTATTCCTTGCAAATAGATAATATTTTAACGTATTTATTATTCCAAGCTCATTGCCGAAAAAAAAATGGAGAAAAGGTTGTTACAACAGCGTAGTAAACAGAACTATTGATTAGAATATCAATAATAATGTATTAGATGAAGACTAACGATATATTTGTAACAAAAAAACAACAGATCTAGATTGAATAATACATAGAGAACTGAAGAAAAATAAGGGGAAAAAAAATTAAATAATTAATGATTTGCCTTGAATAAGGGGACTTTAAATTGAAGAAATGAAATTAGTGTACTAACAAAAAGGACAATAAGAATAATACAAATAATAATAATAGTAATTAGCAGAGGGTGACGAGCTATAGACAGAGTCTTTTTGTCTAATAATGAATTAAAGCGACAGTCCAAAGATATAAAGAAGGTTATTAGGTTATTGGTAACAGTAAAAGAAAAAACAAAATTCAAGAGTAATATATAGTAACCCAAAACACAGAGTGTAGCGAAAAATACCAAAACAAAAAAACAATTAAGGGAAAGATCAGCAAAACTAAAATTCAAAAAAATGAGATAAAAAAAAAAAATAAAGCACATTTAAAATCTGAAGTGAATAAAAATTTAGAAAAGAAAATAGAAATAACAATAATAACAAACAAATTAAAATTGAAAATTGAGAAAATAAAAGGCGAAAGAATCACCAACACTCACCAATCAGAAATGAAATTTTCGGAGATATTTTAGATGAATTAGAAAAAGTCATCATCGTTTCCATTTCCCCTACCCAATATTTCAATCAAGTTATCTAATTCATGATGCATCACACTTTCTCCAATCGTGTCAAATACTTCAAAGATTGGTTCAAATACATCCTTTTGAATCTTCACATCTAACAGTTTGAGTAAATCAACGGTGGCAGTGTTAATCCCTTCAATTTGCGGAGTTTGAAAGACTGGAGGTGGAGGAATCAGAATTTGGGCAGGTGAGCTTGGGAATGAAAGCTTGTGATATCCACCACTCATTTGGTGCGAATGGCCACTTGGGGTCCGGAAAGGCTGTGAACACTCAGAAATGTTATCTGGAGTCACCCCATTATTGGTATATAGTTGCTTTTTGGAAATAGCTCCTGGAGTAGAAAAGACTCCATTGGAGTTAATGTTGGTACTATGGTTAGATACCGAACTTTTAGTAGTAGTTGGAGACCCAATGGTTCCGTTATACGGCAAGCTACTATCTCTATCATTAACATTAAGATAATTCATTGAAGACGATGACTTGGAGGTAGTCAATGAAGTGAAGGAGTTATTCGAATGTGGAGGTGGGAAAAATAACGGTCTTGTGGCGGGAGGTTGAGAAAAGTCGAATGGTGCATCATCCGTAGCGATGGTATTACTGGAGTTAGATGCCACAATATTTAAAGTCGAAAGATTTGATGGTGATGGAGCAAGGAGGCTGTCAGCATGTTGTTTTTGCATCGCCTTTATCTTCATAATATTTGGATTGTTTTCATTGATATAAGCCAAAAGCTTTTCAAAGAATTTGAGTAAAAGTGTGAGGAAATTGTTCAAAGAATACATTGCATCCATTGGGAAATTGATCGGGAAATTCTTTTCGGAAAAGTGTTTTGTAAAGCTTCCTGTGTTCTTGTTATTCGAAGCTGACAATTCCAATTTAGAATTTTTGATCTCCAACTGTGGTAACGGTTCATGTTTGGTATTATGTCCATGTAGCTGGTCATTAGAGGTACTTTTCAAAAGCAAAGTATTTGAAGATTTCATTTTTCTTAAAGTTGAAGTGAGTCTATTTGGGGTCACTTTTTGCTTCGTTGGCGTGGTATTCATCTTTCTCTGATCATGTTGCCTTGCTGGCGATCCCGTAGGTGAAGGAGAGGCAGGATTTTGGAATTTCCCAAATGAAGGACTACCAAAATTTCGGGCTCCAGCACCAATACCAGGAGTGCGATTACTTTCACTTTTTGGGGATAGGGTGTCATTATTAAGATTGAGTAATTTATTCAAATCCCCAATCGACCTAGAACTTTTCAACCGTCTGGATGATGATTGAGAAGGCTGGTGCCTGGAATTCGTGTTATTGCCACGAGTATGCTGGTGGCTTCCAAAACTATGTTGTCTACCACTATTTTGTTCTCTCTGAATATCCATGGCAAACTCTTCTTCTAAATTATTCAACGCGGTATCTAAATATACCTCATCGGTCAACGCAATCTCACTAAACACATTGACGATATGTTGAAGGACCTTGTTTACTTTGGCAGCCGATGTTATTGGAAGATTCAATAATGACCCGATACTCAACCCCATTCGTACAACACTGTTCACCTTCAAGGGGAAATGGTGGACCAAATATTGGATGTGTGACGGTGTCAACTTCACACTGTTCATATAGTAGAAATCACCATTCTGGAGGCATAAGAGATAGTTGATATGGTTTATCCTACTCTGGATAAGGGTGATAATATCTGGACTATTGTTCATGATATGTTAAATTTTGCGTGTGATATAAAGTTGGTATTAAATATGATCAAGTTGTCCTTTCAACCTAACATAATCAAAAAAGAAAGAAAAAAATAATCACGCGTTCAACACCTTTGCAAATGAAGAAAATAGGAAACGATTGGACAGAATGACTGCACTAGAGATGATCGAAGGTGATTGATACCGTCTATTGAGTCAGATGTAGAATGTCAAGATTTTCAGTTTCTGGCGGTTATTCTTTTTTAAGTGAATCCAGGAAATTAATTCCCTTTTTTGACGTTGTTGATTTGGCTTTTTTTTTTTCTTTATCGTTTTTTTTCTCTCTGCGCACATCGTATAGATTCTTACCAACAACATTAAAAAATCAAATTGGACATTTATTTATTGTCTTTTTGTATAGAACAAATTTAAAAACAGGTATAATAAGTATAGTCAAATTAAGGGTTATAAAAAAAGATAAAAAAAAAAAAAAATCAAGAGTTTTTTTCGTTTATCACAATTGCTCAGATTTTAAATGAGCTTCATCATAAGGGGAGGTCAAGAAACTTGACATACTTTTCTATTCTCCCATTTTTATTTTTTTATTCCTTCTTCTTTTTTTTTTTCTTACCAATTAGTCACGTAAAGCAATGTCTGCTGCCTTAGAGTCCATGAAATAATACTTCAAAACGGCTTCCACAACCCAGGCCAAACTATAATCCAAGATCATTGAACCAGTCAACTTGAACTTAAATTCATCACTCATTTTAACAAACTGAATACCTTCATTCAATTCAGGAATGAATTCAGTGGATCCAGCAAAGGCCAAGCACGCAACACCCAAAATACCATAATACATCCCTTTATTGTCACGAATGTTTTCCTTGAATGGGTTACCAATGTAGTTGACAGCAAAAGTAGAAACTTGTTGGATCAATTGAATCAAGAAAATACCAGTGTTTAATAACGATGGAACAAACTCTTTTTCCAAGTCAGGCTTTGGCTCTCTTGGTTCTAATTTGTAAATTTCTCTAGTAATATAAATCAAGAAAAAGATGTGAACGGCAAACTGGCCAAGAATAGAACCCATGATGTAAATGTTGAAAATACCCGGTTGTGGTCTTTCCTTGGACAATGTTTGCAATGGCTTCCCTTTAGAGATACTCAAGAAACAGACAGAAAGCAAAATACCAGAAGCAGTTGCTTGACCATCACCAAACTTAACACCGGCTAAGTAAATGACAGACAAAGAGTAAGCAGAAATCAAACAGTTCAAGGCCAAAATCTTGTACATTTGAATAGTAGACACTAAAGCACAACGCCCTTGACGAATAACATTGGTAACGGTAGCAACACTTGATAACTTAGAGGTAAATGGAGCGGCAACTGACGCATCACCCAATTTCAAAGTTGGAGCCTCTTCTTCTTCTTCCATCTCTCTCAAGCTACCCATCAATTGATCAGCAATGCCACCAGTTGGAGCAGAGTTAGCATTTGGAACAACAGGAGCGGCGGCCATAGTGACAGCAATTTCGGCTTTTTGTTCATCAGAAATTTCCACACCACGTTTTTCCATGGCCTTGATATAATGTGGGTTCTTTGGACCAGGAGGATATAAGAACGCAATAGCTTCAGGAACCGGTGGAGGAGGTTGGTTCCATCTCATCATCATTGATTTCTGACTTTCGTAGACCTTTTGCATTGCTTGGATTTTACGATTTTCTTGAAGTTTCTTCATACCTTCTTCAGTACCATTAAGCAAAGCAATACCAACGTGGGCCTGTTTCAAAGCACCGACATCATTAGTACCATCACCACACATCAAAGTGTTGTAACCCATGTTTTTATAAGAGTTAATAAGGAATTCTTTTTGAACAGGGGAAGTTCTAGCATAAACCCAAGTATGTCTAAGCAATGATTTCAACTGCTTGTGTTCTAACAATTTACTCAAAGCGTAACCAGTGATACAAATATCGTTTTCCTTGAAGAGGGCTTCATCAATCTCACTATCAGCATTCATTGGAATGATCTTGGTTTCATTAACATCTCTCCACACTAAGCTTTCATTGATATGGTCATAATCTTCAGAAGAGTCCAAAATAAAGACTTCTCTTTCAACAATCTTAACTTCCTTGGCAACATGGACGGCGGTCAATGGATTGTCACCAGTAATCATGATACAACGGTGGGAAGAATTATTCAACATTTCAATAGTTTCAATAGCATCAGGTTTCATAGGACAATGGAAAACGATAAAACCAGCAAAATGCAATTTAGTTTCGACATCATCTCTATTAAGACTATTGACTGGGATTCTGTCATCAAGGTACTTGTAAGCCAATGCTAAAACTCTGGAACCGGATCTAGTATAAGACTTATAAACATCTTCATAATTGCTTGGAACTTCAATCAATCTGCCTCTAATGGTTTCTGGAGCACCTTTAACAGAAACTAAAGTCTTTCCGGTGTTAGAAATCAGGGAAATGGTAGAGGATCTTTTCAATGCAGAACTAAATTGAAATCTTCTCAAAATCTTGATCTTATCATTAGAGAACTTCTCGGTATCCTTCTTGTCAACAACATTATTCTTAGTCAAAAATCTAATATCTCTCTCAACAATGTTCTTCTTAGAATCGGATAATTTCCAACCACTTGCCTTCAAAGTAGCTTGTTCCATTGGATCACCGACTAATTCACCATCATCTAATCTAACCAAAGCATGAGCTGAACCCAAGACGTAGTTGGTAACAGCAGGGACTTTTTCATCAAAGCATTTATACAAATGTCTGATGTTATCGGAACTGAAACCAGCCAAACCTTCAAAGACTAAGTCTTCACCAGTCAAGGTACCAGTCTTGTCAAAACAACAAACATCAATTCTACCAGCTAAAGGAATTCTAAATGGTTCAGTACAGTAAATGTAGAACTTACCCAAAGCACTCAAAGAGTTGTTAACAGCCATAGTCAATTCCATTGGCAATTCTGGAGGAACAACAGAGGTAACGATCAAAATACAATCTAAAATCAATTTTGATTGTTTTCTTCCCATCCTAGTACCCTCATCCCAAACGTATTTGGAAGCAGCAATAGCGAAAACCAACAAGAATAAGATGAAGTACAAAGATTCCTTGTTACCAACGGAAATTCTTTCAGAGCTGAAAATCATGACTCTTACCAAAGAACCTTGAGAAGTTTCGAAACCAGTCTTACTAACAATGGCCAACGCACCATCATCTGGAGGTCTTGAGACAATAGCTTTTTCAGCTGGTGGAGTGATTTGTAAAACCTTGGTACCACCGTGCAAAATAGCGTTCTTGTCAATACCATCGGCATCAAATACTTCATGATCAGGTCTCAACTTGATGGATTCCTTCAACAATGGGGTACTCTCACCACTTAACATAGCTTCATTAACAATAGCAGTCCCATCGATTAAGACCAAATCACAAGGAACAGCATTTTCATCAGTGTTTCTAATGATGGAAACCAAATCTCCTGGTAACAATTCGTTAGTCTTCATTTTGACCCACTTGTTCACACGGTGAACATAAATGTCGAAAGGCTTGATCCCCATAGATCTGAATTCATTCATAGTGCCTCTTCTTTGGAACACGGTAGTAAATTCAAATGAAACAAGCATGAAAAGAGAAAACAAGGAGTAGTACCACGAGTCATCCATAACCCACAATGCAACACAAAACACTTGGAATACAAAGAATGGAGCAACTGCGTGTTCTTTGAACAATTCAAGGAAAGATGGGATAGGAATGTCAAACTTGTTTTCGCCATAAAGCTTCAAATCGTTTTCGATTTTTTCAGCATTATTCAAACCCTTGGAATGCTTGAACTGCTTGATGGTTGGGTTGCAATCAATCAAAAATTCAGGAGGGGCAAAACGATTGGCAGTAATATCATACAAAAATCTTCTTTGCTGGAAAACAAAAGTAGTTTGCACTTCTTTTTCACTGTGGACTACTCTGTTAATCTTAGTAATTGCCCCAACACCGCGATTTGGCAATGGGTGGATCAAAATGTGGGAGGCTTCATCAATGGACTTCACGGCTTGGTAATTGAACTTGGAATTGATGTTAATATTCCAATGAGGCACAAGAAAAAGCAAGGCATGGAGCGAAAAAAGAGCAATCAAGTAGACAAACGTCCATTCCGAACCAACAATATATTCATCGTAATGGTTGTAGTAGATATTGGCAAACACTGGGTAAAGAGTGAAGAAAGGAATAGTTGATGGTTTCGTAAGTAAGGGGGCTGGTCTCAATAGTTGGGTGGACTGGATACCAAACTTGGTGTCCACCAACGATGACGCATGGCTGACGCTTGTCTTTTCACTGGACATTCTCTAGCAATATCCAGCAATGTTTCCAGGCGTTTATCGGTTTGGTTTTCCAATGAACAAATAATTCCAGCGATTTTTCCAACTCATCGAAATCAAACGGCCGCTCTTTTTTTGTGTTTGGTTTGGAGCGCGCGTGCAGCGATGCTTCCTTAGTGGAAATTTCTTCACTGCAAAACCTTCATTGTAGTGAAGATGATGGTATGTACCACAATCAAGCTGCCTGGAAGATGATACTAAGACAAATAAGACGCTTTCATAATAAGAACTTCAAACTTTCTGTTGACCCAAGTGTCAATTCCCTGTTTTCGGAGCTCAAGATGGTTCCCAGGGTTACAGATGTGCTTCCAAATATCAAAATCAATCCCAATTACCCCACGACCACTCAAAGGAAGATTCTTTCGGTATTATCTGCAAAGTATTCCTTGTTGTCACGTCACCATCCTGGGACAGGCAAATCTATGTCATTCTTACTTCATTCACTAAATTTGCGTGTGAACAAGGTTCTGAACAATGCCACTTTGAAGAACAAAAACGATATTCTTCCTTCAGGATTACTACTAATGAACTCCGCTAATTGTGTTTTGCAATGTCGTGATTTGTTCAGGAAAATGTACCCTACCCCTAATGATTTGCCATTTTCTGTTGAGTTCTTGTATAGAAGTTCTGAATCGGAAGTGGAAGAAAGACAAGTCGAGTCGCTATTATCCAATTCTACAAAATGTCATTTAATCGTCAGTACCCCCTCAAGGTTGTTAGATATTATTTCTCAGTCCTCCCCTTCTTCTTTGCCTGATTTGCAGAATCTAAGATTTATTGGTGTCGATGATGCTGATTCCCAGCTATTGGATGCTAATAATGAAGAAATCATTGATTATAATCAACCTCATAAAGCTCAGCCTGCGGAATTACTTATTGATTATTTAGTGAAGAACAATAGAAAATCAGAATTTCTTCAGCTAGGTTTCCTAAACTCTACTAGCATTAACGCAAATCTACGATCTTTTCTTGAACATAAAACTGATGCTTGGTTTTCGGGCAAAGATACTAAGAGTAACAACTGTGTTACTATTGGAGCACCAGAAATTGATATATACAAAACAATCTCAGGAAGACGCATCCTGAAAGATATTGAAGTTATCGGAATTGCTACCAGTAAATCTGAAGAGAACCAAGTCATATTGAAGAATATCAAAATTCCTGATATCCCTGAAGCAGGATCACAATTATTGAAAGAAATATCATCACCGGAAACACAAAAATTTGATAAAGAATTCAAAAAATACAGACTTTCTGCAGATGTGAAGTCAAAAATCAACAATGAGCAATTCTTGAATGAAAGTTTTGAATCCTTAAGATTTTTTCTCAAGGATATATTGGGAAAAAAAGAGTCGCCTCTTTTAGTGATCCCCGACACAATTTCCATTTTAAAAGTACAAGAATTGTTGGTGAACAATAACATTGATAGTAAAATATGGAAGATAAATGGTCCTAGCGATAAATTGTATTCAACATTCGAAGATTTCATGAAACATAAAGCAGGTGAGAATCCAAAAATATTGATTAGCTCCATGCATGGCATTGGTGGTATCACCTTCCCACAGTTGAAGACTATCATTGGATTTGGCATCGATACATTCAAGGATTCAAATGCCTTCGTGAAATTGGCCTCAAGATTACGTTATTGGCGTAAAGGATTGGTGGATCCTGTCAAAGAATTCACTTATGTTTTAGATCAAATGGATAAACCATCCGAATCAACAGGCAACGCTGTCGAATCAGAGGAAACAATACATGAGACTGGCAAAAATGAGGTCAAAAATACGAGCAAAATTATCCTATTTACTAGCAAAAAGGACTTCTGTGCAAGAGAAGCGTTGGCATTATACAGAACCATTCTTAAGAGTGGACTAAAGCGGTTGAATCCCATTAACCGGTGCCCCGTTGAAACGCTCTCCGACTACAATTTCGATTCGAAGCAAGACCAGGCGTAATATCTCGGTCGACAACTATTTTAAATTGAAGTTCTGACTTTAAATCTTCATTATCATTTGTACTATACTGTGCCAATTGTCCTTTGCTCATCTATAGATTCTTCTTTATCTGTTATGTGCCGTAGCAGTGGTTTTTCATTTTATTTTTTTTTTTCCTTTTTTTTTTTTTTTTTCTGCAAAAATTTTTTACTCCTCTTCACTATTGTACATTATATATTCTCTTGTATATTCTTGCGGGTTGTTTGTTTCTTTATTTTAATTTTTCTGTCCATAATAAATATTGCCATGTCGTCACTCGATAATATCACCGAAGTCCCTGATCATAAACTCTACATTTCTTACAATAACATCCACAAACTCTGTCAACAGGCCGCGCAGAAGTTAAAAGATGATGATAACATTCCGGATATCATCATTGCTATTGGTGGTGGCGGTTTTATTCCTGCCAGAATCCTCAGATCTTTCTTGAAGAAACCAAAGGGCAAGAACATTCCTATCCAAGCTATTGGTCTATCGTTGTATGAAGCTATGGGTGATGATGAAGATGACACCAAGATTGGTAAAGAGGTTATCAGAACTCAATGGTTAGATTTCAGCACTTTGGACAAGAAAATGTTTGTTGGCAAGAAGTTGTTGATCGTTGATGAAGTGGATGATACCAGAACCACTCTACACTACGCTTACAATGAATTGCTTAAGGATATTGAACTTCAACAAGAAGAATTGAAGAGCACTGATCCAACCAATCTCGGGATTTTTGTTCTCCATAATAAGAATAAGGAAAAGAAGGCTCAGCTACCAGAGGAATTGATGAACAGTGGCAATTATCTTGCTGCTGTCACTGTTGACGATGCATGGATTGCCTACCCATGGGATGCTGCTGATATCGATTTGCACACCAGATATGCCACCTTGCAGGGAAACATTTGACTCACTCTAATGATTACATATTCAATGCTGCTCCATATTATCACGATTATTTCTTTTTTTTTTCTCTCTTTTTTTTGACTCATAGACCTTTCATTCTATGGTTATAGAATTTAACAATTTTTCTTCTCGCTGTTTTCGTTTTTTCTTTTACAATTAGTGAAATCACATCAGAATAATAATAAATTTTATTATAAATTTTACAGTTTTTTATTGCTTAAAGCTATGCATATAGGGGTGAACAAAAAAAAAGAATAAAAATATACTTTTAAATGCCATCACTCATCGTCCTCTTCATCGCTCAACTCTTCCATATTATTTTCCTCGTCTTGTTCAACATCGTCATCATCAACTTTTTCATCGACTTCACCATTTTCGTAAATGATGGCATCATCTTCTATAAGTTGGACCCCTTCATTGCTATCAACAGCCTGTCCTTCTTTGATAACATTATTTAAGAGTTGATTATGGGTTTTGGTAGCATTACCATTCACAAGAACAGCATCATCATCATCGAAGTCGTCGGAATATCTGTTATTCTCTTTGGTACTACTTGAGTATATTTGGTTTCTGAGTTCATATTGTGATTTTAATAATGACAATTTCCCTTGCAAATTCAAGAAATCATTCAAGTGGTTGTTGTTTTCTCTGACAACGGTTTGAAATTTCTTCAACATTTGAATCTTTTTCTTTTGTTCAGCGGCATTCTTGATTATATATCCACCATTGTAGATCAAAATCATTCTAAACCAATTATAGAGTTTTAAATAGGTCATATCTGCTTCTGGGTTCTTGAAGAAGTGCTTCATATAGCAGTTTAAAATGTTATCAACATCTTCATTTCCAGAGTTTTTCAAAATCGTCTTAATTAAAGGCACGTTGTAGTTGTTTTTAATAGAGAAATCCACAAGCTTTTCCACGTCATTCTGGATACTCTTAAACTCTCTAAATAACTCATCAATTGTTTCGTTACCAGTGATAACCACTCTCTTCTTTCTCTTTGGTTTCAGCTTCTTCTTCTTGGCTGGAGTAGTTATGTCCAAAGTATTTATGCTTTTCACAATGTCAGTTTCATCATATTTCACATTGATGTCAAGATTGACAATCTTTTCTTTTGATGCCAAAATTTCCTCTACATTGAAGCTGGTAGCCTTGGTGTTCTTTTCAATCACGCTGATGACCTCTGAATTAGTAAAAGCTTCTAATGAACTGATTTCTAAATTCTTTGGAACCCCTCGATAGTTGATTTGAACTGTGGTGTTGATATTGGTGGCATTTCTTCTGAAGACACACTTAAACAATGCAAAAGAGTTGGCAGCTGCCTCATCATCTGGGTTGAAGTTGCTGGAAATCACATACTCCATGTTCTTGATTCTGAAAACTTTGAAATCAACAATAGGTTCCACGCTGTTCAATCTATGTGTAATCTTGTTTGTTGAAATGGAGTATATGTAAATATGACCATCATCTTTGCTAAACTTCAAATATACCAAATCATCATGAATTTTGGAGACTTGGATTGCGCTAATGACATTACCTTCTGACTCATCTTCTTCAACATCACTGTCTTCATCTGCATCCTCAAGATTGATTTCGATGGAAATTTTATTGCTTTTTTCAACCTTTCCGGTAGATGAGTTGAAGGTATCCACTGATATTTCCGAGCTGGTACTATCATAAGATATTATTAACATCCCATCATCGGTGGTAGATACTAAATGGGAGTCAGCATGTTTCTTGGTACTAACCTTATACTTTTGTAACGATTTTTTAATGGCGCCTAATACTGAGTAACATTCAATATTGTTTTGAGAATCGAGAATCCAAAACCTATCACCCGACAGTGTTGCTGATTTAATGTCATTCTTCATCTTAATTTCCACTGGTTCCAATTCATCTTTGGAGTCGCCACTGACATCATATACTAATATACTTTTATTTGACAAAATGACCACCAAAAAAGTCTGAGTTCTCACTGTTTCTGAATCGTCATCTAATTTTCTCTTGTTATTGCTCTGCTTCTCACTTTCTTGCTGGCAGTTAAGAAAACCCAAAAAGGTAATGTTTTCATTCTTTCCATATTGAATCTTATTATGGATTTTCAACGATGGTACCGTTTCATCAGAGTCATTTGTGATCAATGATTTATTGATGGAATATATATTTATTTCAGATCTTATTTCTTTATTAAAGCCGTATGCATAATACACGGTTTGCTGGTTACTGGAAAGAGTATCATTTAAAATACAAAATTCCCTGTTGCGGACTTTAGCTAACAGCATTCTTATATATATAAATATATCTCCACGGGCCACTTGGTAGTTTCTGATAAATGAAGTTTTCAGAGAAGATAATAACAGAATATAACAAAAAAAAAAAAAAAAAAAAATTTTTTTGGCTCATCAAAAATTTTCAGGTACGGAAATATGCATTGCGGCCGTACCGGAAGTGTTGACATGAAAACTTGGATATGCCAGTAACTTCTTAGTTTAATTACCATGTCTTGTTATTATTGTGAGTATGTATGCTGAATAGTAGAAACAAAATCAGTTTCAATTCATGTCTTTATTATACTAAGTTTTTGGAGTTTGCCATTTAGACTGTGGCTGTATTTTACGTAGAATTCGATGTTTTCCTCAATAATAACATCAATCACTTCCGGACTAATCGACAAGGACACCTCAATTCGGTAAAAAAAAAAATCTTAAAGACGACAAGAAATTTAACAACATAATATATTAAAGGGCTGTGAATCTTACACCTTAGCATTAATAATGAGTATTTGTCAAGTCTCCTGTTATTTTAAAACATGAATATATATATCGGCATATCTGCTCATTTATAATTAGCGATAATATCTTCAATTAATCCAATTTGAACAGGATCCCAACCCAAAATTTCTCTGGTCTTCTTACTAGACACTGGATTGTTAATGGAGAACACCATTCCAAAGAATCCCAATTTCTCAGCACCTTCTTCATTTGAAATTGATTTAGTTTCACAACTGAGCACTTTACTGATTGCTTGGGCAATATCTCTAGTTCTAACTCCTTCCTCAGCAACCCCATGGAAGGCTGATCCCGCCGGAGCCTTTTCAAGAGCCAATGTAAATAATTTGGCAGCATCCAAAACATGGACTGCAGGCCAGACATTTTGACCATCACCAATGTAGAAAGAATCCCCATATTTCTTATCTTGTGAAATGATCTGTGGAATAAAACCATGATCTCCTTTTCCGTGAACGGTTGGCGCAAGTCTTACGCAACTGACTCTCACCCCTTTGTTAGCAAACTTCATACCACACATCTCATTATGCGCTCTTGCTGAAAGAGGGCCCGAGACCTGTGAAATATCCAAGAGCTCATCAGCCACACCTTCTGACATTTGAGAAAGAAGAAGGGTCCCTGAGGTGAGAACAAGAGCTTTATTAGTTCCTTCAAGAGCTTCGCAAATGGTCTTGATCGCTTGGGCATCGACCTTAATGGAGTGCTCGAAGTTGGCGAAATCATGGATGAATCCAAGGTGAATCACCCCATCCGACTCAGCAGCACCTTTCTTGAGCACATTAATATCTTCTAATCCTCCTCTGAGCGCTGTTGCCCCCATAGCTTTAAGCTTTTGAGCAGATTCATCTGATCTAGCAAGACCGACCACATGGTGACCCTGTTTAATAAGCTCTTGAACTGTAGGGGTTCCAACCCATCCAGTAGCACCAGTAACGAACACCTTCATTGTAATTTATTAATTTTTGATTTTAATTTTGATTTTTTTATGTATAATAGAATGTATTAATGGTATATTATTCTTTCATGGTGGAATTTTCTTGTGTTATTTATACACGGTGGTTGCAGGTGTAGGGCGGAGTTACAAGCGGGGGTTCGCAAATAACGGTTTCGGGAATAAGGAATGCATATCCGCAGGATTCGGGCGAATACTTTGAAAACATGGAAATACTGAACAATTTATCTCCATTTTCTTGATTAAATAGTAATCTCTGTAATTACACTTATTGGTCGCAGTAGTGTGCAACATATTCCAATAATATCGAGAGATGAAAGGTGATTACATAGAGAGCGGGCCGCATTTCCTACAGTTTTCTTTGATCGGATATTTCATAGGATGCGAAAAGTTAAAACATAAAGGCATAATTATAACTCATGTTCTATATGTAAGCAAGAAATTCTCATGTAACAATATATAGACGTGAGTGCGAGATTTTGAACACATCCGGGAGAAGTACAATGAACGACAGGTGGTGATGTGAGTTGTTCAATTCATTAATAATCTGAATAATCAGGTTTCACACATTCCAAATAATTGAAAATCTATAATAATCATGCATGGTTGCCCTAGCCAGCCCGAGGATCTCACTGATTCAGTATATAAAAACTATGTTATGTATCTTTCTTTTGTAGTCGAGAACCTCATCTCCTCATACCTAGTGAGCACAATCTTACTCATTGATAATAGAACAGACATTGATTTCTATTCAAGCTGTGAACCATTCTACTTAATTAAGATATAAATTAATCTAGGGCGAAATTTGTGCGGCTTATTCCATTACACAAATAATATGATGCTAAGAATTCCAGAAATATACTACGGTCCTATTATCATAAGATATATCAGAAAATTTTGTATTTAGTCGTGTTGAGCGAAAATGTATTGTTCTAAAAAAAAAAAAAAAAAAAAAAAATTTAATGAAAGTTGGATTGTGAACATATTATTTGGCGGATCAGGTTTGACTGAAAATGGCTTGAAGCATTGCCACTTGAGACTCAGTCAAGCTTTGAGAGAATGCTTGATATTTCGCATTATCCGCTTGTTCAAGATGATTCAAGGATTCCTTGACTACCGCAAAAATGTTAATGGTATCTAATGGATTGCTGGCCAATGGGTCTTCCGTGATTTCGTCATCAAAGAAGAGATCATCCTCATCATCGTCATAATCTTCATAGTCATCATCATTGAATTGAACTTCAAGCTTCTCACGCTCGGATTTCAAGAAGTCGATGAATTCACCATTTCTGATATCCCCACTAGTAACAATGGCACCATTACCAAGCTTTTGATTATCTTCACTCATCAAGTTTTGTTCTTGCTTCAACCAGTCATCATTATCATCATTTTCATCGCCATCATCATCGTTTGCTCCCCCGAACCCATGGAATTGGTTTTCAAATAACTTTTGGTCTTCAGCATCATAATCAAATGAAGCTTCATCAAATTCAGTTCTTCTCTTTTCCAAGGAATTGATTGCTGCTGGAAGTTTTTCAATGACATAGATCAATCTACTGTTTATATCGTTAAAGATCAAGTCCAATTGGTATTTTTGGAACTCTTCACTAGTTAAGTTATTCAATAAACTCAACAAACCAAGAGCGGAAATTTTCAAATCAAACACTCTTTCTAATGAAGCATGAGAGTTCTTCTTCTGAGGGATAAGGGCTTTGAACCAGAATTGAAAAAAGAATACAAAATTGTACTTGATCAATAAATTCAAGGTAGTGTGCACGTCGTAAACTAATCCACTAACAATCAAATTAATAAAATTGACTTGGATTTTATCGGTAGATGCTGAGAGAATACTTTGGAAAACTTTCACAAACACTGGATTGCTTTCATAATACTGTAATTCAGGGAATTGAGAAGCCTTTTGAGGGTCATCAGAAGTAATTTGAAGAATAGTTCCTCTTAACAAACAAGTAATACTCATATCCAATAACTCACCGATATAACCTTGTGAAGCCTTGATTTTCAAAGTGAGAATTAAGTTAGTAGAGACTTCATTGAACAATAACAAATTGTCTTGTTCTATATTCCCGTTACCTTGTTCATCAGCAAAGTATCCGTTGTTGAAAATGATCTTCAACATCTCGACGAACTTCAATAAATATTCATCGTTGTTAATAAGTTCTTCCCCACCAAAATTCAAGTAATTATTCAAAGCAGGAGTAAGTTCCGAAAGGTAAGTGAAAATAATAGAATCGTTTTTATGGGCCTTGAAATTATTGTCAATGATAGATTCCATCAAGATTTTCCACATATTTGGGCTGATTTTACGGGAAAGGAAAGTTGAATTTTCAATGAGTTCGAAACATTCTAAATAGAAATCATCCAAATGGTGGTCAAGAATAGCCTTCACCACAAACAAAAAGGAATCTTCCAATTGAATGATGGAATCTGCAGAATTTTCGAACGACAATAGGATAGTGATCATGGTGTTCATGATCCCATTGACAACCATAATCTTGTCAGCATTCAAAGACTTTGGGTCTTCTTCTTCTTCGAAAACATTTATTATTTGTTGTGATAAGTTTTTCATTAAATCAACACCAAATGGTTGTAATTGCTCGGAAAACATTTCCACAATTTCCTGCATGACACCACTAATGACATCCAAATCAATTTTTTCAGACAAGCTCAACAATTTTTGCATAACTAAAACAATATCCTTGGAAATGAGCTCTCTGAACCCGTCAAACTGTAAGAATGATTGTAAGCAAAGCGCAGCTTGTGTTTGAACTGGTAATAGACTATCTTCTTCTTCTTCGTTAACGTCGAGATGTTCGCCCTCCAATGAGATAAATTGACTAACAGCTGGTCCTGCCGAAGCTGTTTGCTCATTAAAAATACTAAGGTTAACCATAATACCTTGATAAATAGTGAAAAACATGGAGGAGACTTCTTCAACGCCGGTGAACCTGGCAAGAACATCAAGAGCTCTTAATCTCATGAATCCGTATCTATTCAACAAGTTTGGAATCACAAAAGAATCCAAAAATCCTTTCAAGCTGTCGTGGAACTTATTATTAGGATTGACCAAAATGTGCAGGATAGTACCAATAATTTTGAACGCAGCCTCCTTCTTTTTGGCACTTTGCAAAGTTTCTTGCTCAGTATGAAGACTCACCAACAACTCATGGGTGATTCTCAAGATAACACCCAAAGCAGAAGATTCCCTAACTTCGGCCAAAGTGGTGATTAATCCTAAAGCTGCCATGTCATGTATCCCAGAATCATCATCGAAAATATTCATGCTAATGTGAATGTATTCCATAGGATCTTCTTCAATTAATTTTAAAACAGAGTCCTTAATGGTCAATATTGGGTAAAGGAACTTTGAAATTATGTCTTCCAAGTTATTCTTGAAGAACTTCTTCCACAACTTGTTAATTTTGATGGAATTATCCAAAAACAAAATTAAATAGTATAAACAACTATTGGCTAAGAAAAGTTCATTGTTGCACCAACTGGTGATCAATTGGAAATACAAACCAAGGATTTCTGGAACAAAATCATCCAAGAAAAATATTTTGAATTCCAAGTAATTTTTCTCCTTTGATGAGCTTGAGGAAGAAACTAAAGAGTTCATTGGGGTACCAAATTTAGTAAACAAGTTTGATAAATTAGCAAAACTCCATTTTTTTGCCTTAACCCACTGTGAATTTTTTATTTCCATCAAAGCTGAGGAGTCGTCATTATTGACAATGCTCAAAATATAAGGTGGTAATGGTTTATTGATGATTTGTAGTTGCAAGTTCACCCAACTAAAACAGACTTCCTTGGATTGTAAAGGCGCTGGTAAATCATAGTAAGTGACAAATTTGAAACATTTGACAATAAATTTTAGTAATTCACCATGCAATTCTTCAGCAACAATACTCAATTTATCATCCACTGATTGGGCGGTGAATGGTACTTCTAACAATGAGTTGGAGATTTCTATCAACACCGGGAACATCTTGGAAATTATAGGATCCAAGATGTCACTTCTACTTTTATTTGGAGACCATCTGAAGGTTCTGCAAATTTCCTTCAAGCAGTATAACCCAGAATAGATTTTGGCAAAATCGTTCCCGCTATTGACAATCATGTCAGCCACACTTTCTAGAAATATATGCTTATCGTTAGTAGCACGGAAATCAATATTTATGATGGTGGACAAAATTGGCAAGAGTTGGTTTTTCTTTAGATTAAGAAGATCATGAATATCCTCGTACTTTGAGTTAGAGTTGTTCAATGACAAGTGTGTGATGTTCATAATGATTTCCATGAGCTTGGATTTGATGACATTCTTCTCTTCATCGGAAATAAGGATATCTTTGTTGTTGCCAGAAGAAACCTGTTGCAAACCACTGACATTTGACCAGTTTTGAGAGATAATATTTTTGATGTTAATGGCTGTAGATAATTTTACCAAACTTTCAACCTGGGGGTCTGCAATTAAGTCTAGACATGATGACAAAAAGCCTGGCTGGTGAGACAACTCGTACAAACTTGATTCAGCGTGTTGACGAATGGACTGATCTGGATTATAAGTACCAGCGAGCACATCGCGTAAGGATTGGAAACTCATTGTAAAGCCTATTCACTTCTGCTGGGAAGGTGTATCTAAAGCTTGTAAGAGGAAATCACGTATGAAAATTTTTTTTTTTTTTTTTTGCTCTATGCAAATCATCGGATTTTCATAGAAATTTTTGATTAGCAGACAACGGACTTTTTTAGAATCTGAAGGGTGGTTTTTTTTTTTGAGAAGCATCGTATAGATTCGGTTCACTATAGCAAATGATTCTTGGACGGCGAAAGGTTCTATCGTGGCGGAAAGTGTACGGGGTTGCAACTGCTGGTGTCCAGAATTATGGATCCGGCAGGTTGGCGATGATGGCGGCCATCAAACATACTACTACAAAGACTCAAAGTATCAGCTCTAGATTTTATAGTACAGAAGACCATAGATCATCATTCAATTTTGGGAATATTAGCGAGAAACTCAATGAGTTAAAGAACGTTGCTGGAGTTAGTAAACGGGCTCTAAGGCAGCAATACAATGAGCATTATTATCAACAATACTATCAAAATCTCACAAAAGAACGTTCACAACGTTTCAAAAGATATTTTTCAATCATCTTGGCGGCAGTAGTATCATGGATTGTGTTCTCATATGTCTACAATAAGCAGATTAAAGAATTCATTGCCAGGACATTAGGTAATTACATCACCAAAAACTCGCGATTTACCGTGATTTTTGAAGAGGCAAGTATATTGCCAGGGTGGAACAAGATCTATTTTAAGAAATGCTTTATATCAAAAAGACCCAAGAGTGCGAAGAAGTTTGTGAAGGGCAGTCAACAAGATGCCATAGATAATGCAGTAAAGGAGCAGGAGCTGGCGGTGGAAGACTACGATGATGGTAACTATACACAATATGATTTGACCATCAATGAAATCAACATGAGCATTTCGTTTACGAAATGGTTCAATAGTAAAGGTATTTTAAAGGACGTGGAAATGAAAGGAGTGAGAGGAATTATCGATCGAACCCATGTCAATTGGGATCCGAACGACGATGCAAGAAATTACTTGAATGTTCCATCCCCAGGAGACTTTAACATTGAAAACTTTCAAATAGAGGATTTCTTGGTGACATTATATCAACCTGGGGGATTCAGACCTTTCAATATCAGTATTTTCAATTGCCAACTAAGTAAATTGAGACAAAATTGGTTTTTGCTTGATTTCTTGTCGGCAAACAACATCAATGGTTCTTACGATGGATCGCTATTTACGATAAACAAAATATTTGATCAACAGAAGAATGATTATTTCACAAGATGCCGAATTGACGGCTTAAACGTTGATCATTTGAATGCTGGCATGGATGGGCCTTTGGGATGGATTGTCAAAGGAACAGTTGATATGTGCGGAGACATTAGAGTTCCAAGAAATAATCATAAGGTTCAAGAATTTTTCAAGCTTATCAAGGATGAAATGGCCGAAAACATTTTCGGGTCGGATAGCGCTAATGATGTTAGTGAAGATTATGAACGAGAATACAAGGCGTATTATCACGAGGATGACAAGTTTGGCCTAAGGTTAAGGCTTCAACTTAACAATGTGAAAGCGAAGATCCCTCTTTTTACGAATGAGTTGTCGTATATAAATTTTGCGCTTATGAGGCCGATTGTCGGGTACATAAATTCCCGACAGACGTTTGTGGCAATAAATTGTGAAGTAATTAAATCAATGAAGGACTTCAACGGTTCATGGACTATTTATGATTCTCTATTGATGGATGATATTTCTGAAAAAGTTTATGAAGAATTTGGTAATTACGTTATTGATGAAGAGCAAAAGAGTAAAAGAGTTAAGAAGATTGGATTTTGGGCACTTCAGATAATGCTCCAGGTGTTCTTATTTGGCTTGAGTAGTATAGGTTGAAGCAGCATTACATGTATATAGAGTACCATAATTAATGAATGATGATGATGATTATATGATACCATACCCTTAAGTAATGAGTAGTAGATATTATTGCAACAAAAAGTTACCACTGGTTGACATTCTTATTTGAATATTTCTGTTTAATGTTATTATTTGTACAATTATCTTCAATTTTATTTTATCTCGGCCGCTGCTTGCAACAGATGGGATGGAGCTATTCATCAATTAATGCCTTTTCTGCTTTCCTTGCGTTTAAAGTTGACCAAAATTTATAGACTAACTGCCAATGCACGCTATTAGCAAGGCTGCATACTAAATTGGATTTTTGGTGCGTCTAAAAAGCTATGGTCGTCAGTACCAATCCATTTGGTCACCCAAACTGTTTCAAAGGCAAACCATGAGGAGTGTGATGAGGACACCTATTGACGGTTTGCAAAGCTTGTCAAGAACCGTTGTCTTTAGTCCGATCGATTATTATTACTCGCCCAAATATGCAATCGCCAAACCGAGCACCATTTCTTTCTATTGAACGTATACACTATAAGTATACGGGAAGAAAAAAAAAGTAAATAGAGAAAGTTAGTAAATTGAGAAAGGAAGTAAATAGATTCCTAACATTTTGCAAAAAGAAAAGAAAAGGTTTGAGTGCAAAAAAAAATCATAATAAGCTGACCTAAAGATACTTAAACAATGTTTAACATTTAGCCCAAAAACACCCCTGTAGGTTTGCGCAATTTCCAAGTCTCACTCTATTAAATCACTGGTTTAATCAGATGTTTTGGTGATTTCAACGTGACTATTTTATTTTTCTTTTTATATTCACATCTTTCTCTCCAGACTTGCTGAAAAAAGCACCACGGTGACATTAGTCTGCTTTCTCACCGCTAGATTATGCTTACCTCACTAATTTTGAACGTAAGTCTTATGCAGCTACATAATTAGTAGCTTATATTTGGGAACAAAGAAAAATGAAACCTGATGGATCCCAACTAATATAAGACCCTATTATCGCGTCAGTACAATATTTTGGAGGAGTATATATTTGAAAACATACATTGGGCAAAATATTCATAAGCTATGAACTCACTACTGAATGAAAAAGTCTTCACTTCCTCGGGGTTTGAGGACTTTGACCAGGAAATCATTGACACAACCCCAGACGATTTCTACACTTCGGAAAATACAAAAAAATTGAGAGTTGAAGAACTTGCCAACCGTTACAATATCAATGAAAAGAAACTTCTTTGGAAGCTTGATGTTCATGTGGTTTTTCCCTTTGCCATAGCGGCCTTCATCTCGTTCTTATGTCGTTCCAATCTTGGTCTTTTACAGATCGAAGGGATTTATTTCTCCCTTGAAATGACAGAATTATCATTATTTACAGCTTATGCGCTTTTCTTTGCCCCTTATTTCGCTTTCCAATTCATTTCAAATATCATTTTGAAAAGAGTTCGTCCTCACTTTTGGATCGCACTTTCCGTGTTGTTGTACGGCTGTGTAACTTTGGCTACCGCTTGGGTGAAAACTAGAGGCCAATTTACTGCATGTCAATTTCTTCATGGATTATTCCAATCAGGTGTGGAAACCGCGATGTACTATATCTTGGCCCAGTATTACGAGCCTTCAGAATCCCAAAAAAGATTCGGGGGTATCTACTCGGTACAATGTCTTGCAGGTGCCGTCAGTACTGCCATCACTTATGCTATCGATACTACTTTGATCAACAAGTACCATCGCGCGGAATGGAGATGGTTGCTAATTATCGAAGGTTCTATGGCAATTGTTTCTTCGGTGATCTTGTTCTTCATCATTCCTGACTTTCCTGAAAATGCTAGATTTATTGATGAGGACGAGACCTCATTTCTTGTCAAGAAATTGGAAATTTATCAAGGTAAATCTGGTTTTGACTTGGAAGTTTCCAACAAAGAATTGTTCTCAATGTTCGTCGACCCAGTGGTTTTGCTTCCCGCTATGGCTTCTCTCGGGATTTGTTATGCCACCTACTGTTACGCTTTCTTTGAGCCAATTTTCTTGACGGAGATTATGGGCAGCAGTATTGCCAATGTCAACAAAATGTCGGTTTTCCCATGGATTTGTGCTTTTGTTTATGGGAATTTCATAGGATATTTGTCAGATAAACTCAAAATGAGATTCCCATTCGTGGTTTTGAACCTCCTTTTGACCTTGGTCGGCGGTGCACTTGCCTTCTCTCATCCTCTTAGTACTGTTCCTGATTATACCAAGTATTCTGGGTTATTCTTAATTGTTTCTGGATCCTATGCTGCAACACCTTTGTTGATTTGTTGGGCAACAACCAACCTTGGTGGCCATACCAGAAAGAACCTTGGAATTACTATGACTATCAGTTTCGGAAGTTTGAGTGGTCTTGTGTGTATTTTCCCATTTCTTAATGACAACCCACATAGATACACTAAAGGATTCAGCACTGGGTTTGGATTCTTGCTTCTTTCGTTAGGTTCTTCAATTGCTTACTTCTTTGTGTTAAGGTCAGCAAACTTGAAAAAGAGAACCAACGATTATAAAATGAAATTTGGGGAAAATAGTCAAAGAAAGCAAATCATTCTAGGGGATAGAAATCCAGCTTTTGATTATAACTATTGACATCAAAGTTCCTTTTTTTTTTGTTCTTTTTCTTTTTCTTTTTCTTTTTGTGAAGACAATTGTCTATATTATTATTACTCATCTAATTGATTATTTTATCATTTCGTCGTTTCATTCTCAGTTCATGTTGGTTCTTATTCTTTTCTGATATCCACGCTCTATAAGTTTGTTTCTTCTTCTTTTAGCTGGCTTTCCTTTTTCATCCATTGGTGGTTATTTTTGGGATCTTTTTTTTTTTGTTGTTGTTCATTTATTTATTTTATAATAAAGGTGGTGATGCCTACGCCTCAAATATTCGGGTTTAATAGAAGAGCACAAATTCTCGCTGGATGTATACTCTAATCAGTGTTTACTTTTTATCTTGACGGGGATTATCGTAGTACAACTAAGAAAAAATTTGTAAATCTTCTTTAAGGACCTTTATCGTTTGTGTTCAAATAGCAAAATCAACTGGAATATCCTGAATTTCCATTTCGGAATCGTAACCTAATATCACCCTATGCAGCTACCGCAACACACTAAAAATAGGTGCACTTCATCATTAGTAGTCCTTCTATAGTTCACCTCAGCGAGCAGCGATTTTTAAATTAATTAATTAATCAAATCTTAGTGCATCTCTTTATTGTATATCACACAAACGACACTGCGATCTGTGGATGGTTGATGAGACATAACAATCAACCTTACCCTGTTAAAAAAAGCATCGCATGTGACCGGGCAACACTTGGTGACCGCCCGCCAGTTGCCATCCAGCAACCACCATGGCACGTGTGTGCTGGTGTATATTACCCGAATCAGCGTTATTAATCGGAGCGTATGTACGCCCGCCCCACTCATTATAGCTGTCTCCGCATTTATGGTGATTGATAAGCGCAGAACTATGATTCGCTAGGCAGAAAAACAAATATGGTATGCACCCACTACTAATAAAACAACATTTTTGCAAGAATTACCTAATACCTCTATCTCAATCCCCTCTGCTGACAAGTGTACATTCAGTAATCACTACTGGATAAAACCGCATGCCAGCTCCCCCCGGTGGTCACGTGCTGGGACGACCGACACGTCAGTCGATGGGAATTTTCTTTTTCTATCATTTCATCGAGACCTTGTGTTTATATTTAGATATTAATAATATGTGTGTGCGTGAACATTTGTGAGAACCAAACAATTGACAACCAATAGACCTTCAATACATTCCTTTCAAAATGGCTTCAGACAAATTATTCCAAGTCCAAGGTGGTGAGTAGATGATATTCCCCATGTATTGCAGTTTTTGAACCAGCTACTAACAAGTCGTTCTCCAACAGGTTATCAAAATTACGCTTGGGGCAAAGTTGGCTCAGCTTCTGCCGTGGCTCAATTTGCTGCTAGCTCTGACGCTTCCATGAAGATTGTCGAGACCGACCCATACGCTGAATTGTGGATGGGTACTCATCCAAAGGTTCCTTCACTCAATATGTCCAATGGCAAGACCTTGAGAGATTTGATCACTGCCTCTCCAGAACACTACTTGGGCTCAAGTATCATTAAGAAATTCGGCTCATCCGTGGAATTGCCTTTCTTATTCAAAGTGTTATCTATTGAAAAAGTTTTGTCGATCCAGGCCCATCCAGACAAAGCTTTGGCTGCACAATTGCACGCTGCTGACCCAAAAAACTACCCTGATGACAACCATAAACCAGAAATGGCCATCGCTGTGACAGAATTCGAAGGTTTCTGTGGGTTTAAGCCTTTGAAGGAGATTGCTACTGAATTACAGAAAATTCCTGAATTTTTGGCCGTTGTCGGGGAAGCCGCTGCTAACGATTTCATCAACAACATCAAGCCAGAAGCCCAAGAAGGTTCACAAGACGATATTCAAAACAGAAAATTATTGCAAAAGGTCTTTGAAAAAGTCATGACCACCAGTGACGAAGTTATCGGTTCCGAAGCCGCTAAGTTGGTTCAAAGAACTTTTGATGAACCTGAAATTTTTGGCTCTAAGTTGGTTAACTTGATTCACAGATTGAACAAGCAATTTCCAAACGATATTGGTTTGTTTTGTGGTGCCTTGATGTTGAACTATGTGGAATTAAATCCTGGTGAAGCGGTTTTCTTGAAGGCTAAAGACCCACATGCATACATTTCCGGTGACATCATCGAATGTATGGCTGCCAGTGACAACGTTGTTAGAGCTGGGTTCACTCCAAAATTCAAAGATGTCAAGAACTTGGTTGAAATGTTGACTTACTCTTACGACCCAGTTGAAGATCAAAAGATGGCTCCACAATCTTTTGCCAAGTCTTCTGGTGAAGGGAAATCCGTATTATATGACCCACCAATTGAAGAATTTTCTGTTTTACAAACAGTTTTACCAAAATCTGGTGAAGTTAGATCTTTTAAAGGTTTCGATGGTCCAAGTATTGTGATTGTAACTAACGGGGCAGGCTCTATTAGTTTGAAGGGTGAGAATGTCGAATTAACTGCCGGTTGCGGAAATGTCTTTTTCATTGCCCCAGGAGCTGAAGTGGATTTCAAGTCTACTGAAAATCACTTTGTTTCCTACCGTGCTTTTGTTGAAGCCTAAATTTGGAAAATGTTTCTTATAAATTGCTGTTTTTATCTTCTATTCCTATCACTGCTTTCTTAGATCTCTTCATGATTTACCTTTAGTCTTTGTTATCAAGCTTCTTTTTTTTTTCGCCTTGTTAAGCCAATCATGCTTTTGGGTTCAGTTAGTATGTATGATAGTTCATTTAGCTCATCATTTTATCTATTTCTCTTCATAGACTGTTTAATTATTGTTGCAGTGCTTATCAATGAATGTAATAATCATTGTAGTGATGTATTTCTGAATGAGATAGTTAGAAAGGCTCTAATTATCCTTTTTTTTATTTTAACTGTTCGAATCATTTTATTGTTTGAAGGCATCAAGAAAGCTATCTTGTCATCCATCTGGATCGCGCAAAAATACGGTTAGTGACCCTTGGCAATGGCGTACCAAATAAACAAAAAAAAAATAAAAAAAAATACCAAGGGCATTTTTGTTGATGCGAAAGGTAAACAAACGTCTTTGTTCTTCCATCAACGTCGCTGTGGTTGACTGAAGACCAGGAGAAAAGATACAAATGGAATTCAATCTAGCAGAATTTACCAAAGGCTTTCAGGAGGCTGACAGAAACACCTTAACTGTCAGCTCTCCGGAAGATAAGTTGATGAATATCACCGATATGCTTGCCCTTACTCCGGACGCCGTTGCCAGAGAAGATGTATTTGATTCAGTCAATGATCTTTGTCTAGGGTATGGTACTCTTGAAGAACAGTTGCAAAATCAGCTTGTTTATATTATTTGCACTTCTGCCGTCAATCAAGCCGAAAATACTCAACATATTGTGGATATTTCTGAAATTGATCTCTTTTTCCAGCACAGAAAAATTATCGAGATATATGGATATTTGCTAAACATATTATTAACCTATATTGGAGAAGAAGATATAAGCGCCTGCCAAGCCGTGGGTACCAAAAAACCGTCAGTTGCCGCTATACAGAAGTTCAAGAATAATTGTAAACTTATTGAAGAATGTTTTAATGCTTGCTGTGCAATTTTCAAAATCAAATTGAAAAAGTTATTTGAAACTACCCCAGAGTTGGACCTTTATGTCTCATTGTTCACTAGACCGGCATATTCTATGATGGAATCTGAGCAGAGAGTCAAAGTACAAGCAGTAAGAATCCATCTTTTCACCGCTATTTGCCTTGCCATCAAATACCAAGGGCATGGATCAGCAGCTCAAGGTGCAATAATTCAAAACTTGACGTACTTCACTCATTTGACAGGTTCTATGGCAGAATTATTACAGCTTTTGGCAACTAATTATGACTGTCCTCAATTAACCGAAGAAACTCTCCAGGAAGTTAGTAACAAGCAATTTAGTGCTAATGATACCAATGGCCCCAAATCAATCTCACAATTTATTACCCGTTTATCTGAATTGTTACCAGACTTAGTGTTGAAGCAGATGATGTCTATTGGAAAATTACTCGATAACAGTGCACACCAATTGAGATGTTCTGTTGTCGAAGCTTGTGGTAATATTATTGTCAATATTTGTCTGAAAGAAGAATCGTTGCAAAGACATAGACCACAAGTTGAAAAATTATTGGACTTAGTTCAGGAAAGATTTGCCGACCAAAACCCATTTGTTAGAACAAAAGCCGTTCAAGGGTTGATCAAAGTTGCTGAGTTAGAAGTGAAATTTATTCCTAGAAGACAAATATTTACAGATTTGGCGGTCAGATCTTTGGATGATAAAAGTTCATTGGTCAGAAGAAATGCTATTAAGTTGATGTCTAAATTGGTGATGTCCCATCCTTTTTCCACATTTCATGGATCTTCCTTAGATCTTAAAACCTGGAAAAAGAGATTAGGAGAAGCCCGACGCAAGTTAGAATCACTTACTAATGCTGATGTTCCAGAAGATCCTGCTCAACCTGATATGTCTTTAAGCAATGTCTCGCTGGCGGAAATTAATGGAGCTGATCTTATTAAAGTTAAATTGACCATGAAGTATTATGAAGAAGCTATTCGCTTCATTGAGTCTATTGAAAAGGGGGCTGTTAGAGCGTCAAAGTTACTTCATTCCCGTAATAAAAACGAAGTTTTGGAAGCAATGGACTTTTTCGTTTTAGCTGATGCTTATGACGTTTCTAAATCTAAAGTCGGTGTTAAAAGAATGTTACATTTGGTGTGGATGAAAGGTACTAATGATGACGGTACTAGTATAACCAATCATTTGTTTGAATGTTACAAGAATTTATTTTTAACAGCACCACATAACTCTACTGCAATAGAGGCAGCCGCATACGTTGCAAAAAACTTGATTTCCTTAACGTACCAAACCTCGGTCTCTGATTTGGCGTCTTTAGAGAAATTGCTAAGTTCCATGTATGAGGATGAATTTATTGACAACACCGTAGTGAAGATTTTATGGCAAATCTACAATAATTCCATTGGAGGTAAAGGTGTTTCAAAGAAACAAAGACGAGGGGCCATCATCATTTTAGGTATGATCTCTTTGGCAAATCATGAGGTGACTTTGAGATACATTGATTCATTGTTGAATGTTGGATTTCCGAACAAAAAGATTGATGATATGATTCTCGCTAAATACACTTGTATTGCTTTACAAAGGGTGGTTCCTGCTCAAAAGAGTTTGCAGAATAAGGACTCCACTTTCAGGATCTCTAAAGAAAAGGAAGCATTAGAGAAATTGAGCAATTGTTTAGTTGAATATACCGAAGATCCTGAATGGTATCCATTAGCAGAGCAAGCATTGAACGCAGTTTACAGTATTGCTTCTCATCCCGATGTTACTTGTACAGATATTTTGAAAAAGAAAATCAAAAGTGTTTTTGAGAATGATGAGGATATTGTGATGCAAACTGAAGAGGAGGATGTTAGTTCCAGCAATAAGTCTTCAAAAAAAGAATCAAAAACAATCGCTTTGTCTCAATTGCTATTCATGGTGGGTCATATTGCTATCAAGACCATGGTTCTCTTAGAAAAGTGTGAAGCAGAATTCAAGAAGAAGAAAATTGAAGAAGAAACTGAAAATGCCAAAAACAAAAAGCAAAACCAAAAAGAAGAGAAAGATGAGTTGGAAATGATTGGTGGTACCAGTGAGGATGACTTCGCTGATGCGGTGATTTACATCAAAGAACGTGAATTATTATACGGTGAGAGCTCCTTATTAGCCAAATTTGGACCAATGGTAAAGGAGATTTGTTCCAATAATGTGAAATATGATAGTCTAATATTACAGAGAAGTGCAGTGTTATGTATGGAAAAATTAATGTGCGTGTCTTCTAGGTATTGTGAAGAGAATTTGACTCTATTGATAACATTGATGGAGAAATCTCCAGATCCAATTATCAGATCCAATGCAGTTTTGGGCCTTGGAGACATGGCTGTTTGCTTCAATAACTTGGTTGATGAAAACACAGATTACTTATACCGTCGTCTTAATGATGATAATATCATGGTACAAAGAACATGTTTGATGACGGTTACCTTTTTGATTCTAGCTGGACAAGTCAAGGTTAAAGGTCAGTTAGCAATGATGGCTAAATGTTTAGAGAATGCTGATCATGGAATTTCCGATATGTGTAGATTATTCTTTACTGAATTGGCAACAAAGGACAATGCCATTTATAATGGGTTCATTGATATTTTTAGTGGTTTGTCAAATGATTCAGATTTAGCTAAGGATTCGATGAAGAGAATTTTGAGGTTCTTGATTGCTTTTATTGAGAAGGAAAAGCAACAAAAACAATTGAGCGAAAAATTGTTTATCAGATTGAACAAAGCATCGACGGAAGAGGAATGGAAAGATGTTGCCTTTGTGTTACAGACGTTGCCTGTTAAGAGTGATAAAGTCACGGCTGCTCTTAATGAGGGATATAAGATGGTGGGGGTGAGAAACTAGTCTTTTTGGCATCTTTGTCAGCTTAGCTTATAGTTGTATATCCCGGGACCATATTCTTTTAGATACCATAAGTTTACTAGTGACCTTTGATTAATATTATTATTTGTACAGTATGAAAATTTTGGCGTGATATGTTTTTTTTTTATGAGTAAGTCTTATTCCATTGGTTTGTGTAATATAACATCAAAGTTGATTAGGCGCAACATAGAGGTATCAAGTAAAAGTTTTTGAAAGCAAGTGATAGCCTCACAAAAATTCCCGCGCAAATACGACTGAATTATTGAAAAAAAAAAGTCTGCATCATTCGGTATGCGATCGGTATTTCTTTTTGTTGTTACATAATTACGTGGATGAATCTAAAGATTCTTTGAGGGTGTACCTGTTTTTGTTTTTTTTTCAATCATTCACTTTCATTATTCCTTGGTGTTTTATGGACACATGCTTGAGCTCCGTATGAATCGTTAGTAGAGCCTTACGATTATCCATTAAACAGGAACTGAATTTTCGAGCATGCAGATCCTTGCTGATATACCCGTGCTATCAAAAATGTAGGAAAATTCTGAATATTGGGGAAATAGATAGATATAAATGTTTGATTTGGCTGTTGGTTCAGCGTGGGTTTATTTATCATTTCAAAAAAAAATAAGAGAAAGGAGTTTTAATTTTGTTCAAATTTGTCATTTACCCTAAACCCTTTAAATAACATTGCGATTGTGTTGAGATCGAAAAATACAAAAACCCCCAGTTAAGTCCCAAGAGCTTATTGGAAATACAAACAATATTTGATATATCCTGAATGGACTTAGCATCTTTTCTAATCGAAATTTTTTATGATCTTCAATAAGCATGAGTTATCTAAAAGAATACAATGCCGAATTCAACGACAGCAGCGACTCGTTATATTCAGGAGACACAGTATATGATGAAAAGTACCATGGGTCTATTGATGATATTCATTTGATGTCAGATGAATCCAAGAGGCTCAAGGTTGATGAGTTTGCGAAAAAGGACTCCATAAACCAGCATAACCTTCTACTCAAAATAGATTTCCATGTGGTTCCTCCGTTTGCTATTGTCTTCTTCTTAGCGTACTTGAATAGAAATTTTGGGCTTTTGCAAATTGAAGAAATTTATTCGTCCCTTGGAATCACCCAGCTACAGTTTTTCATGTCATACGTTGCGTTCTTCATTCCCTATATCATTGGTCAGTTTTTTTCGAACAATCTACTCAGGTTTATCAAACCTCATGGGTTGTTATTTCTAGGGGTATTACTCTGTGGAGCGACAAACCTTGGCACTGGTTTTGTGAAAAACTACCGGACTTTTGTCGGTTGTCAATTTCTTCATGGTTTATTCCAGTCGAGTACCGAAGCCACCATTTTCTATATTCTAGCCCATTATTATAGTAAAAGGGAATCATTACCGAGATTCTCGGCAATTTACTCCACAAGTTGTCTTGCAGGAGTGTTTGCAACATTCATTGCTTATATTGTCGATCTGAAAATAGTTGATAAGGTCAATCTCACCGAAGGCTGGAGATATTTATTGATTATTATTGGGGCCTTCACTATCGGAATGTCAGTGATTGTGTTTTTCACCGTCCCCGATTTTCCAGAAGGAGCAGGCTTCTTGACGGACAAAGAATCGGTGTTTTTAATCAGAAAGCTTGATATTTATAATGGTAAATCAGGTTACGAAGTCAAGTCCACTTTTGGTGATATTTTCAAAATGATATATGATCCTGTGATCTTGATCCCAGCATTGGCGAGCATTGGGATTGCCTATGTGACTCTTGCTTATTCATTATTTCAGCCAGTATTTGTATTGCAAGTTATTGGTGTTAGTGTGAGTCATTCCAATGAATACTCTATTTTCCCCTGGATCACTGCCTTTGTTTGGAGTAACCTTGGCACCTATTTTTACAATAAATGGTCCAATCGGTATAGGTGCGGTTTTTTCTTCTTCAATGTCGTCTTGACGATTATTGGAGGAATAATGATGTATTCTGTGCAGAGTAGTACGTTACCAGATAATTTGAAATATGGTGGATGTTTCTTGTGTGCTATGGGTGCATTCACTGCTGCTCCTATTCTTATATGCTGGTCAAGCACAAACCTTGGAGGTCACTTACGTAAAAGTGTTGGGATTGCTTTGCAGATCAGTTGTAGTTCCATTGGAGGTTTGATTGCCATATTTGCATTTTATGATGATGATGAACGGTATCAGCGTGGTTTCTTTGTTGGTTTCGCTGCAATTATACTTTCTGTGGTGTGTGTTGTAACTTATTTATTGGTTATAAGATGGGCTAATAAAAGGAAAAGAACTCAGAAATACAAGCAGGAATTTTTCGCGAAATCTGGAATTCAGAAGCTCATTCTCGGAGATAAGAATCCTTCCATTGACTATTTATATTAATCTCCTTTTTTTTGTTCTTCTCATAGCATTTTTATTTTTCTTATCTGTCTTTTTATTTTATTTTATTTAGCATAGCATAGCATTCTCTAGCATTTATCACTAATAGCATTTATCATCTTATCGAGTCCTTTGATGTTCAGATTGCACGTGACCAATTAGCGGAAAAACGTAAAATTTGCATCACAAAAGCAAAAAGAAAACAAACAACAGTCCACCCCCATCGCAGCCGTAGATCTACATATTCCCCACCACCAGCAGAGCAATTGACACCTTATTCTACTAGTCGAAGATGTTTCTTACAATTGTCTTCATTGCGTCGGTGACGTTTTTGTTGCCGTTCATAGCCCTCATCAATGAGGATTATCTTCCAGAGGTATTTATCCCTATAGCTAGTCAAATGAGACTATACTTGCCAGACTCCTTTGCTGTTGGAAACAGTACTGCGGATCCTACTGCTCCGGTTTTAGGAGTTGACAACATTGTTAAACCTACTCTGGAAATTACTGCTGCTCCATTTCTTGAAATCCCGCTTCCCACTAGTTTTATTGAACATATCCCAACCGGGGTCACAACTGAGGACATTAACAATAGATTCAAGGATCTTTTCAATATTGCGAAAAGCTATTCAGATGATGCCTGTGATTTCATTTTGAAGCACACGTACTATCAAAATAGTGTGGAATTCATTGGTTATTATATCAACTTAGTAACTGAATTTATTAGTCATTATGCTAACCTTGCTATTGAGAACATCAAGGAAATTGAAGATTCATTGTTCTTCAATGATTATGTTTATCCAGCGTATCAACGCTATTGGTTGCCAATTCAAGAATACGCCGAAGAATTATTAGAAAAGCATTATTTCAGCTTGAGCGATGAATCACAAGAAAATATTTTGAAAGGATTGATTGTTTTTGTTATCATGATTGCTCTATTTTTACTATTGCCTGTGCTCAAATTCATCTTCAACGCTTTTGTCAAGGATGCAAAAGAGTTTCATGACTCTGCAAAAAGCCAATACAAGTCCACAAAGACAAAAAATAATGAGGGGGACATCACTAAGACAGATTCCAGTTTAGATTCTGTTCAGAAAACTATCGATGAAGCTGTACGCAAACAAGGAAAAAGCAAAAAAAAATCTTCCAGAAAGAAGAAGAAGATTGCAAGTGGGTACGATAATGATAACTTCAGAAGATCTTCCTCTTCTTTTGTGGGTCTCAATCAAAAACTTTTGTCGGTTGATGATATTAATGAGAAGATTTTATTGAGGTTCAGGAAATCAGCTGAAACTCTCGTTGCAGATAAGATGAACAGCACAAGTATCAATTTGGAGTTACCTGGACAAGAAAAAAGCAATGTTGCCTTAAAATTTGAAGGAATTGTTGAACTTAGTACCGCTGAACGTAGTAGTTCTGTTAGCTCAAGCCTACGGGACTACTTGGGGTCTGTTGACTCTGATTCTGAAATTGCCAAATCCACCTTTGACAGTGATGATAACCGTCTGTCTATAAGTAGCCAAGACTTCAATGAGCACGTTGATGAAAAAATCCTGAATGTTCAGGCCAGGAACATTGGTTCATTTCTTCAAAGTAGCCAGACTCTAGACCCCCATGTGGTTGTTAGGAATCTTGACATATCAAATTATGAAATCGAGAGCGAGGATAAAAATGCAACACAAAATACAAAGGAGGATGAGGATTTTGAAGTTTCTACGGTCACTGAAACTGATATCATCCAACTCGCATCACCAGCTCAACACTTGGACATCGAACCTGCCTCTAGTGCTGAATCAGACACTTATATTGAAGAAATTATTAGTTATACAGAGACTTTAAGTACCCCTACTAATCACGATGACGTCAATATTCCTCTCACGCCAGCTGATCACAGTACAGAAACGATCCATTTTGTTCCAGCTTTTAGCCCTGTGGCCTCACCTGTTGCTCAAACCATATCTACAAACAGGCTTGATGGCTCCCCCTCTAAGTTGATTTTCAAGGCGGCGTTTAACACCACTAGTGGGATCACTCACAACAATGTTTACTCTGCGATTATTTTACCTCAATCACCAAGCAAAAGCAAAAGCAAAAGTGATGCTATGACACATTCGCCATTGAAGGATAGCCTAGATTTCCTTCAAACGGGACACCAAGTAAAAATAGTTGCGAATGATGCTTCAAGCAGTTATGTTGAATAAAACATTTTTGATTTTCTTGTTTGTTTTTTTAGTTTAATGTGTTTTGTTTTATATTCCTTTTGAATTTGATTTTTAATTCTTATTTTTCTTCAATGAATTTTTGTCTTCCTCTCTTATGAGTCCTCGATATTACAGGATTACAGAAGGATGTTTGGTAATTGGGATTTTCTTTTCTTCTTTTCTTTCTTTTCAGTCGCTACTAATAAATTTTTTCACTTGAACTTTTTGTTTTTGTTTTTCTTTGCCCTACATATTTTGACACAATCAAAGAGATTACTGAGAATCATAATATTTCCGAAGAGATTCTTCAAACACGCCGTAATTGTGTACTATACGATAGCTGACTGTATAGTAATTGTGAAATTACTAACATATCACTGTTCATATGATCCCCGTAATTAACCATGATAATTATTCCCGGTTCAGCATTGCTTTGAGTCATATTACGAACTTCCGGCTGTTCATTGGCTGATGCTCAATTTCGCCGCTTCCGGCGCACGCTCTCCGCTTCAGGGAAGCATTGCTCATCGCGTATAAAAGTTGAAAAATCTCCACACTGTCTTTGACCATCGTTGTCAAAATTTAAATACAATTAATCATTGATAACTCAATTGATAAATCTTTGAATAATAGTTCATGATGACAGCTGGAACTGCTCCTAAAACTTTATACGATAAGGTCTTTGAAGACCATATTGTCCACAAAGATGCTTCTGGCTCAGTCTTATTGTATATCGACAGACACTTGGTCCATGAAGTCACTTCCCCTCAAGCATTTGAAGGTTTAGAAACCTCTGGCAGAAAAGTCAGAAGAACTGACTGTACTTTGGCCACTGTTGATCACAATATCCCAACCATTTCCAGAAAGAACTTCAAGAATGTTGAAACATTTATCAAACAAAAAGATTCCAAATTGCAAGTCCAAACCTTGGAAAAAAACGTCAAGCAATTCCATGTTCCTTATTTCGGTATGACCGACTCTAGACAAGGTATTGTCCATGTTGTTGGTCCTGAACAAGGTTTCACTTTACCTGGTACCACCGTGGTTTGTGGTGACTCTCATACCAGTACTCATGGTGCCTTTGGTGCATTGGCCTTTGGTATTGGTACTTCTGAAGTTGAACATGTCTTGGCCACTCAAACTTTGAACCAAGCTAAATCCAAAAACATGAGAGTCTTGGTTAAAGGTAAATTACTTCCTGGTATCACCTCTAAAGATTTGGTGTTGCACATTATTGGGAAAATTGGTACTGCCGGTGGTACTGGTTGTGTCATTGAATTTGCAGGTGAAGCCATTGAAAACTTATCCATGGAAGCTAGAATGTCCATGTGTAATATGTCTATTGAAGCCGGTGCCAGAGCTGGTATGATCAGCCCTGATGAAATCACTTTTAACTACATTAAAAGCCGTCCATTGGCTCCAAAAGGTGAAGAATGGGAGAAGGCTGTCAACTACTGGAAAACTTTGAAGACCGATACAGGTGCTCACTTTGATTACGAAGTGGTTATTGAGTCTAAGGATGTTATCCCAACCATTACCTGGGGTACCTCTCCACAAGATGCTTTGCCAATCACCGCTTCCGTCCCAGATCCAGCCAACGAGACCGATGACATCAAAAAATCTGGTATGGTTAGAGCTTTGAAATATATGGGTTTGACTCCAAACACCCCATTGCAAGATATCTCTATCGACAAAGTTTTCATTGGTTCTTGTACCAATTCCAGAATGGAAGATTTGAGAGAAGCCGCCAAGGTGGTCAAAGGCCAAAAGATTGCCAGTAATGTTAAGTTGGCTATGGTTGTTCCAGGTTCTGGTTTAATCAAGAAAAAAGCTGAAAAGGAAGGTTTGGACAAGATTTTCACTGAGGCTGGTTTCGAATGGCGTGAAGCTGGTTGCTCAATGTGTTTAGGTATGAACCCGGATATTTTGGATCCAGAAGAAAGATGTGCTTCTACTTCCAACAGAAATTTCGAAGGTAGACAAGGTGCCAGATCTAGAACTCACTTAATGAGTCCTGCCATGGCCGCTGCTGCTGCCATCGAAGGTAAATTCACTGACATTAGAAACTTCCACTACAAATTTAATGACGAGGCCAAGATTTCAATTGAAGTTGACGATGAACCTGAAGCTGCTCAGCCATCCTCGAACAAGAGAGTTAGTGTGAAGCAATCAGTTTCGGATGATGAAAGTGAAGCCACTACCCAAAAAAAGACTACTCCTACAGAAAAACCAGCTGGTCTTGGTCGTTTTGAAGTTGTTACTGGTCTTGCTGCCCCATTGAAGAAGGCTAACGTTGATACTGATGCTATCATTCCAAAGCAATTTTTGAAAACAATCAAGCGTACTGGTTTGAGAGACGGTTTGTTTTATGAATTAAGATTTACTAAAGATGAACAAGGTCAAGATGTCACCACTGACTTTATGTTGAACGTTGCTCCATGGAACAAGGCTTCTATTTTGGTTGTCAATGGTCCTAACTTTGGTTGTGGTTCTTCCAGAGAGCATGCTCCTTGGGCTTTGAAGGATTTCGGTATCAAGTCCATCATTGCCCCATCCTTTGGTGATATTTTCTACAACAACTCTTTCAAGAATGGTTTGTTACCAATCAGAGTTGACCAAAACATTATCACTGAAAAGCTTATTCCGATTGCTGATAAGGGTGAAGATTTGGTCATTGATTTGCCTAATCAAGTCATCAAGAACACTAATGGTGAAGTTCTTGTTGGTTTTGAAATTGAAGCTTTCAGAAAGAACAATTTGGTCAATGGCTTAGATGAAATCGGATTGACTTTGCAAAAAGAAGAATATATCAAGGCTTATGAAAAGGAAAGAAAGAACAAATTCTCGTTCTTGGAAGGCGGTTCTACTTTGTTGAGCTTCTAATTTTACTTTTCTCTTTTCCCTTCTTTTTCTGTTTGTATTTTATATTTCAAACTCTGTTTTGATTGTTTTATGTATTTCTAGCATTTGCGTTTATTTATGTCTAACCTGTTCACGATTTCACTGATTATTATTATGTTTGTCTATTTGTAGTATTTATACATTTGGTACTCGATATTGGTTACAGATTTCCTTTTTTTTTTTATCAGGTATTCTTCCTTTTGTTAATTATTCTTGGAGTTTGCTGCTTGACAAACTAACTATGTAAGTACCTCCGATTGGGAACACGCATAGACAGGTACCCTTTTTTTTCCCCATCCCAAAAAAAAATAAAAAAATAAGGAACCTGGCAAATAACACATCTCTTGCAATTTTCCAACAATAACACAATTCGCACAATTCAAAATGGATTTCAATACCAATTTAAACGATTTGTCTGATCGTGCAAAGGATGTTGACCCTGATATTCGGTTCATGGCTGTCAGCGACATTGATAAGATGCTCTGTGGCCACAAAAATCAATTGGCGAGCAACAGCTACAAATTGAAGAATGTCGCCATTTTGTTATGTCAATTATTGCAAGATTCTAACCCAGATGTCCAAAATCAAGCGGTCAAAACATTTCAATCTCTTGGGGCTGTATTTAATGAATCCCATATTCATTTGCTTGATGTCACTATCGGTACTGTTTTTGACATGGTTCAAAAAGACCAAAGCACAAGAAAAGATAATGAAATGGTGATGGCAAGCTCCAATTATACTATGGCGTTAAGATATTTCATCCAGAATTTGAATTATTCGAAACAGAGTGCTGCTGAAGCAGTTGTTAGCAGAATCTTCCCATCTATTGTCAATAATCATACCCAAGTAATCCAATCATTGGATTACATTGAGATTTTGTCTGATTTGATTAAATATAATGGCTTTGCGCTTGATGGTCCTAGAATTAAACAAGCATTGATCTTGTTGATTAACTCCTCATATAAATGTTACGGTATTTTGAGTACTAAGTCAATCAGTACCCTTTCTTTGTTGATGAGCTACTCCACAACTGCTGCCCAGGCTGAAAATATTGTGGACCGGGCTTTCTTGGACGCTGGAGGAATACAATCTATCAACCCAAGTTTAGATCAATTCCAGCTTGAAACTGTCAGATTGAATATAATGCTTAACCTCAGCAAGACCAAAAATTCTGAGAAATTTGTTTCAAGATTTGATTCCATCTTTGAGGTTTTAAAAGATGACTTATTCTTGGATAGGTTTGAAGATGTTGAAATGGATGACGAAGATAATGAAATCAATGATGATATAGCGAAATTTGATGAACTTAGAGATGTTTCCTTAAGTTGCATTGAGAACCTTCTCAGCTTATTTTATAAGAACTTTAATAACCACAATGAGAGCATCTTAGCCATCACCAAGCTTTTTTTAAAGTATGATCCATTCAATTTTGGGGATGATGATGACGAGGAGGAGGAGGCTGATACTATGGATGAAGACGAAGATGAAATCGATTTCTCTGATGATGATGAGTATGAAGATGATGGCGGTAATGATGATATCAGTTGGAGATTGAGAAAACAGTCAGCTAAATTGATTGGCATTTTGGTGAAAAAGTCCAGGGGTGTAATTTTACATGCTTTGTTTGATGAGCGTCACTTTGATTTGTTAGTTACCAAATTGAATGATAGTAATGATCTTGTCGTGAGTGAAGTTTTGTGTACCTTAACCATTATTATTCAACAAATTCATGAGCTTGGAGATTCTGATAAAGAGCTTTATGGAAAACTAATCAACAAGCTTGAGTATGTGGTTAAGTCAATCACCAAGAACTTGGCCAAATCCAAGAATGTTAATTCGTTGAACAATTACTTGAGTTTTGTATCCAAACTACTTGACGTTTCCAAATCTTATTTCACTTCAAACTTTATCTTGTCGATTTTATCCGCCATTCAGTCATTCAAGGCCTCCAGCGCTTCTAATTTCCAGCTTGATACTGATTTAATTGATCTCTATACTGGTCTTTTCCAGCAACACAACTTGGTTGGCTTGAAATCTAAATTAGACTCTATTATTTCCGACTTGGTGGTCGGGATATCTAGTAACGCTCGTAATGCTTCATTGGCTTCCATTAACTCCTCGATATATTTGGTTCAAAATATGACAAAGCATCATATTGATTACTCAGAATTTCCAAGCTTCAACTCGGTTTTATCCTTGGCTATCGAAAAATCAGGCTCAAAGAAATTCGATTCAGAATTAAGAGAAAAATGTTCCACATTTCTAATTGCAGTTTATAAGGGGTTTAGATTGGATGATTCAAGTATTTCGGAACAAATTTTGGCTGTCATAAAAACAAATTTGACTTATGATTCTTTAAGCGAACCTACTCTTGTCAGTATTGGTAAATTATTTGGTTTTGATGTTACTGTGAATGATATCCCTCTGTATTGGTTGGTCGAAGTTATTGACATATCGTTGAAATTTATTTCCAGCAATAATCAAGTAAATCAACCGAGTCTCCATAAAGAGGCATTAGAATTGATTGTTAAAATTATCAAGAGCTCTCAACTTGAAAATAAGTTGGATCATGACATTTACGTGAGGATTATTGAATCCTTAATACTGAAACAGTTTATCGACATCAAACAATATGAAAATAAATTGCTTGCTATTGGAATTTTGCTATCAAAGATTACTCAGTGCAATATTTCACTAGTGGAACAAATTGTGATGTTAATTCAAGACGGTATTTCTTCAAAGATTGAAGATGACTACCCATTAATTTTGATCACCAAGCACCTTACTCACAAAGTAGATGGTGAGAAACTATACGATGAATTATTTAATAAGGACTCTTTTGATAAGCCTATATTGTCCCCAGCCATCTTGTCTACAGTGGTTGTTGAAAGTCACTTACATCACAAAATTGCGGAATTTGAGAAATTATTGATGTGTGGAGTGAGCGATGAAAAGCAATTGATTTTTATTTTGAATTTCTTGGGTAATGTTTCGAAGTTTAAGAAATTGGAAATTGAGTTGAGTGTTTTCCTCGAATTGCTCAGAACTTATCAAAGCAATGAAACCGTCAAATTGACAATTGCTGGGAACATTGGGAAGTTCATTTCTAGAGACATTAATTCATACTTACCACATATTCTCAAGAGCTTGAAAAGCGCTAGTGAAAATGAAGCCGAAGAAACTAAGTCTTTAAGATATTGCTTATTATTAGCTCTCAGACAAGAATTGGACATTAAGTATCGTGATTTTGAGCATAACAGACTTAATTCCAAGGCTCATAATAATATTGTTAATGAGTCCAGTGCTTCAAGTATTTGGAAAGTGGTGGAGGAAATTGAGTCAAAGGAGGAATTGAGCGTGACTGAGTTAGGAGTTGCTTCTGAGATTTTGACCCTCATTGTATTAGCTAGAGAAGATTTCATTGGCAATTTCCAAAGATATTTGGATGCCGAAGAAGCTCAATGGAATTACTTGTCGATGAACTATTTATTACTTAGTGCTATCAAGCAATTAATCAGTCAAGAATATTTCAGTGATGACACCAAGAAGCAATTCTTGAGGGGCGATAACTTTGTGAGGTTCGTAAACCTGTGCTTGAATTCCAGTTCTCTTGATCTCAAACAGATGTCATTGAACTTACTATTGAGTGTTTTCCGGATTGATTTTGATGAATACTTTAATCGCAGAATCATTCAAACCAATATTTTGATGAATATTTTGGTCGAATTGAAACCAAGAACTGAGTTCATTAAAAAAATTCAAATTGGTCCATTTAAAACAAAGATTGATGATGGGATTGAGTTGAGAAAGTCAGTGTATGAATTACTTTTTGCTATTTTGGGCAATGATTTGTTTATTAAATCTATTGGTGAAGATGCAGCTAACTCCAGCAAAGGAATGCTCGAGTCGATATTGCAAAATATTGTCGATTTTGGATTGAAGGATATCAGTGAAATCATTTTGATTGCCAACTTGATGATCCAGAATATTTTGAAAATATCCAAATATGCGATTTTCGCCGATCCTGCGGTGTTTGACAATTTCATGACCAGAAGCAATAAGTTATTGAACAAGAAGTTGAATGACAAGTCTACCAAGCAGCAAGTGGAAGAACAAAAGGAAAGCGTGAAATATATGAGCAAGACCATCAAGCAATTGGACTCGATTATTGAACATGCTGATTCTGATGAGGTGAGTGGCACATTGGTCGGTAAGTGGAGGGAATTTGAACGGGACAATGTTCAAGCGTTCCAAGTTTAACGTTACAGAAATGCGAAGAACAAATATCTACATATGTACAAATAAATGGAAAATTTTTGCTGGAATATTCAGAGACGTAAAAATCACCGTATTTTCTACAATTGCACAATTTAACTATTATAACTGAACCTTGTTTTTATATTTCTTGATGCTTCACATATAGATATTATTTACATCCCCAACTTTCCTCATTGAACCCATGATAAATTACGCATTCTTTTGTTTGTTTCATGTACTTCTCAATTTTCATTATATCCAGCATCCTCATGTCCTTATCAAACCTATTGTTGGTGGTGTTACCAAAGATTTCCCACCAACTTTGACAACAATCCCGAGGGCAGTCCCGAGGGCACTGTCCGCCTATTTCACGTGATTTTTGGCTTAACATTTTTTTTAAAACGTCCCTCATCTCGGTGGTATCCACCCGGGGGAGGAACCGCCCAACATGCAGGAGGATATTACCATGGATACATTATCTTCTGGTAGGTGGTAATTGATATAACATTATTATGATATTATATGTATATATATATATATATATCTTTGGAGCTGTCACTTCATGTACAATTTACTTCTGCCTTTCTATTGTAACGCCATACTCTACCAAGACTCTCGATTATTATTAGGATATTCCAACTATATACACTCTTTATAACCACTATATCTGTCCTAATAAACCAATCAGTCATTTCCCCACACACATACAGATCCACCCATTAACAAATTCATTCATAGGCTCATCAATTGTTTCATTTATTTCTTGATTCGCTTATTCGTATATTCATTCATTCGTACTTTAGAAAATAGGAAAAACAAATATCACCACTCTATCAAAGTTTCAGAAATGCTCTCCAGATCACTCTTATTCACCAGTTTATCGGCAATTTCTGTCATTGCCAGTCCAATTACCCTTACTTCTACCTCTGCAAGCTCCACCACAACTCAAACCATTATCACTACCATCACCAGAAGTGGGATTTCTGGTACGGTTACCCAATATCCAGCATCGACCACCACCACCACCTCCTCCTCCTCCTCCTCCTCCTCCTCTTCTTCTTCTAGTAGCAAATCTTCTGTTGCTGCAACCACTTCTTCCACCAGCACCAAGGCTACCTCGGTCACTAAACTTGTGACTTCCGCCAATAACAAAGCAGTTATTGAAGCTGATGAAGACCCAAAAACCTCCGCTAGCAATAGTACCATTACCTCCTCTTCCTCCTTGAGCACTGTTAGTGTGAGTCGTGTTGCAGCCATTCCAACAAAGGATGTCTCTTCTTCGAGTTCCAACAGCACTTCAACTAGCACAAAGCATTCCAAAGGTGATGCAATGGGCAGATACGTCGGGGCTAACCAGGGATTAATCGTTGCTGTATTAGCAATGGCTGGAGCTTATTTGGTTTAGAATTTTGGAGTCAAAAAATTGATGACGAGAAAATAAACCAAACAAAAAAATTGGTGAGAAACTCAATTAATCAAAAAGAAAAATAGAATATACTAGAATTAGAAAAATTGTTTCCTATCCTTCCTTCCTTCCTTCCTTTCAGTTCAATCTTCGATAGTTCAACTTCATACTGTATTACTTCTTTTCCATTTTCCTTATTATACATTCATTATGATGTATTTTCTTATAAAAGTTTTATTATTATTGTAATTATTATTATTTTCAGCAAAATTTTTTTTGCTGCTATATGCTCCCATAGTTATTTAAGTTCAATTCTTATTATGTATTAGCTATAATTTTTTACTTTTTATTGTTGTATCTTTTGTTTCATGTGTAATATAGATTATTTCCTCATGACACAGGCAATATTTTTTGTAGTTAGAAAAGAAAAGAAAAAAAAAAGGTTGATTTGCCTTTTCTTGTCATACATATATCAATAAGATCGGCCCTGTTAATTGCAGTTGTGCATGATCTGGTGTTATTGTTCTTCTGATACGTTTATTTTTTGAAAAATTCCCTTACCATTCTTGTTGATTTCAGATTACACAAACGAAGCCCACGAAACTGCATATAAATATTTTTGAGCATATAAAAAGGAAAAGAATAAAAAACCCGAAAAATAAAAAACCAATACCCGCAAACTAATACAAAATAGCTTAGATCCTGAATACTCTCGTAACAAATCCTTATTGACGCAAGTGAAATTTCTTATAATTTTCATGATCGAAAACATGTCTTGAAAAATCCCCTTTTTGGGCCGTATCAATTTTTATATCATTAAATTGCCCCTCTAGCTTACTCGATCCACTATCCAGCTCTTCAGCCTTTTGGATTTTTTCCCCAAAAATTTTCAAACTTTGATCATCTCCTTCAGTACTCTCGTCACTAACTGACATGAGCAACCCATTTTTTTTATCAGTGGTGTCTGCAATTGGAAACAGCCCCGGCATTACACTATTCTTTTTTGATGATGTTTTATCTTTAGGAGACAATGGATCCTCGGCTGGATGCTGATAACGCGAATGTAGTTCTTGAAGATGATTGTGGAGTATATGTTCATGACGATGGTGGTGATGGTATCCGCGATTTTTCCACCGAGAATATAACCCACTGAAGTTCATCAAGTCTCTCTTTTGGTCCTGTAATGACTGGCTGGATTTTGGAGCATTGGCAGTCCTTTCCTCTGCTTCGATAACATCACTTTTGTCCTCAGTGATTGGAATACTACCATCAAAAGATTTTCGGGAATTTTTTGGGCTGTCACCATCGTTATCATCGTCACCAGTACTACTGCAATTGCTAGTCAAACTATTGCGACGTTCCAACGCCTTCTGGTAGCAACAGGTGGCGCTGCCTTTTCTTTCAATATTTTGTTGTAATTGGGGAGGGATGGTGCTTTCAAGAGATTTACCGGGATCGAAATCTTCACTGGCTTGACGATCTTGATAACCATAATTGTTGTTGCTGTGGTGGTGAATATGGCTGAAAGGAGAAAAACTCATAAACTCTGGGGTCCTGACTGGTCTGATCATTTCCTCGGTATCACTAACATTTGGTACCCGCAACTTTTTGTCGTTTGCTTCATCTATGTTATAGCTTCTTTTTGGTTGTTGGGAAGAAGATAACAAGGAAGGTTTAGGAGACCGTGAGTTCGAGTGCAATGGAACAGGTGATTTGATATTAATGTTTGACATTGTCAACGCTTATTACTGTCATAAAAAGGATAATAACAAATATATACAAAACTTGAGCAATAATTTTTTTTTTTTATTTACAGAATTGAAAATATTCTATTAAGATTTTGTCACCACACTCTCAGGTGGAGCCACAAACATTAAAATTGCTACTTTTTTGTACAAACTTTAGTATAGAGAGTCACTTGATTTCCCTCATTGCCGTGAATGCAACTGGAAAAAAAAACAATCTCAGTATATTATTTATATTGATTGGTTTATTAATTTTATCGCAACATATCACATTGCTGGGGTGGTTATTGTGTAATTCTTAATATTGTCAATTGTTGTTTAATGGCATGGGCGACGGTGCTGGTTTTTGTACATTTGCGTAACAGTTTACCGTGTTGAAAGGTATCACAAAAGTAGATGTCTTTCAGAATATTGTAAATTAACGAGAAGAACAACAGGAAAACCGATAATAATTCAATAATAATACTCTCTTAAAAATTATACATATATATATATATATATATCATAGATTTATCGGAAATTAAGTAAGCTGATTCAATTGACCAAAAGGAATCTTTACAATTACATTTATATGTTCTTATCAACGATGAATGAGTCCCATATATATTCAGAGCATTAGGATCTTTAAGAGCAAAATGAACTATTCACGGGCGAATGAGACGAGGAAAGAGCGATAATATCATTTTTGCTTTTACAATTTTTCAGAGGAAATCAGAACTGCACTCGAGAAATATTCCACTGTTCCACAATACATAACCATTGTTGGGTTGAAAAGAATTATGATCTATATTTCTTCAGGATAAAAAAATAAATGTTCTTTTCCATGTGTAATTCCAGACTTCTATTTCCAAAAAACAAAAAATTAATGACAAAAGCTAAGCCAACTATAAAGAAAAAAAAAAAGAAAATTAGAGTCCACCAAAGATTAAAGAAAAAAGTAGTAATTTGAAACATCCTCACCATTTTATATATAACCTTAGAAGAACAAAAAAATAAATAAAAAGAACAAAGAAAAGTCGAAAATAATAATCTAAAAGAAGGTTACAACTATAAAAAGTACAAAAAAAAATAACAACAACTATACAACAAAAAAACATTTGAAAGTCATGACATGAAGTTATCTTCAAAATAATCATCCAATCACAAAAGTCAAGAAAATTGACATTAAATGATCGTCGACATACATATAAGTATTAGAATGAAAATAAAAAAAGGCCCACACGGATTCCACGGATTGAAAATGTTCTTTCAAATCCTCTTGTACCATCATTATCGCATCCACGTCGCCAGGATGGAAATTCAGACGACACATACTAAAAAAAAAAGAATGAAAATAAAAAAAAGCTTAGCAAACTGAACAAACTCCTCATAAGAAACCAAAAATCATCCCTAATCCAACCAACCCACCCATTTGGGCCGGAAATCCCATGTCGGCAAAGGCGTTTGGCGCATCACCTTTAGAAGAGCTCGAGCTGGTGGATGACGAGCCCGCAAGGAAATTACCTGATGGGACGGCGTTAGAAGTTTCAGTGAAGGTCATGAGTTCTGGGACAGAATATGATGAACCAGAGGTGCTGGAGACCGTAGAATTTGCACTAGAGGCATCAGCGGCATAAACCGCAACGGCGGAACAAAGGATTGATAAAAGAGCGGAAGTGGACTTCATTATTGCTATATTCCTTGAGGAAGGTCTTTTGTTTTCAAAAAAAAACAATAATCTAGAAATGGCTATTGGTTGTTCTACTCAGCCAGGCCGTAAAGTTTTTTCTATTCCAAAGCAAGATGGAAGAAGAAGAAATGATTGCTAGAGATTGTTAGTGCGATAATTTTGGTTTCAGCTTGTTTACTTTTTCCCGCCTAATCCACCGTGAAACACCCCCTGTCGACAACCAGGAAGAAAACTGGCCGTCAACTGTTTTAATTTTAACAGACGGTTACTTATTATTATTATTATCATCATAATTTTTATTGTTTATTTAAACCAAGAGACGATATATGATCAAGACGTCTAATAACATTGGGAATAATACCAACAATAGATTGACACACTGTCAAAGACTGTAAAGCAATTGCTAACAGCACCCACCCAGCACGAGATGAAAAAAAAGAAGGGAAGGGAAGTCACTGGATCTACCTGTTTGGCTGCAATTTTCCAGTTTTTACACAAGAAGTGCTGTATGTTCACACAAATTAAAAATCGTTATACTCGTAAAATCATCTATAAAAATCGATGTAAGTTCTAATCTTAAACACACTACCCCATTATAATAGGAGAGAATGAGACAGAAGGAAAGAGGGAAAAGGAGAAAGAGTTGTTATTGTCACAGAAACTCAAAATAGAAAGTACTATATAATATAATGCAACCAAGAGCAAGAAAAAAAAAATGCTCTTCGGAGTACAAGGAACATGCTCAATTATAGAGGAAATTTATAACAAAGCAAGGATGGAACCGGCCAAGATGGCGGAAAAGCCAGTAGTAGCCAAGCCGGCGGCAGCACCCGATCCAGTGGATGAAGCAGAGCTAGAGCTGTCAGAGCTAGCGCTGCTAGAACCAGAGGTAGAAGAGCTGCTGAGAGTAGAAGAGGAAGCAGAAGCAGAAGACCTATGGGTAGAAGAAGAGCCAGATCCAGAAGCAGAAGAGCTGTGGCTAGAGGAAGCAGAGGCTGTTGAGGAAGCAGAAGTGCTGGTAATCTTACTGTTGATGGAACTTTTTAAAGAGGCGGCATCAGAAGTAGCATGGGAGTAAGCACTAACAGCTCCACTGGTGATTTCACTAGCAAGAGTTCCGGCTTCACTGGTAATGTGAGAGGCAGCATTGGTGGCGACAGAGGCAGCACCGCTAGTGGCTTCAGAGAAAACAGAACCCAAAGTAGAGGTTACCCCAGGAAAAGCAGAGGTGACATCACTGGCAACATTGGTAGCAGCAGAGACGACACCGCTGGTAACATCACCGAAAACACTGGTGACGCCAGAGGCAGCGACAGTAGCCAAAGAAGCGAGAACACTAAGGCCATCTCTTTTTTCAACGGCAGCGGCGGAGGCGGAGGAAGCCAAGATTAAAACAGTGGAGTACTTCATTGCGATATTGAGGTTGAGTTGTTTTTTATTATTACTTTTGAGATATTAATGTGGTGAGAGCCAGTTATATATATATATATATATAAAGAAAGATCCCAGTGTGAAATTTCCAGGATTTATCAGAGGTGACACAACAGTACTTATATATATTTACTTGTATGTATGTATGTGACTGACGCGCATATACACAAAATAGGCGCAAAATGGAAGCTTCGGGAAAAGCAAAACAACGCGAGAGGGGCCGAGTAAAGGAGATGGATTAGTGGGAAACATACACACAATAGTGATGGTGAAAACACCCTGTAAGAGGCGGTATGGTAGTGTGGTATAAATATATAGAAACGTCACACATCTTGTTATTGTTATTATTTGTTCTGTACACCCACAGCAATCAATCGGTCCAGGCCCTGCCCAGCCATGCTGCGCATTTCTTGTTATTATTATATAGGGGCACAGGTATGCATCAACAACAATTGGGGTTTCTGACTATTTGGATGTCGGTACTAAGGTATGATACAACTGCAATTGTGATTGTTAGCAACATGGTATGCTCAATTATGTCAGTTGACACCCATAACACCACTTTTTCTCTTTCTTTTTGACAGTTCTAACGTTGTGGTTATCCCATACATGGGATACAAAACGTAAGAGGTCCCACACCCCTGTTTTCTTACCAGAAAAAAAAATCTTTTTTACCCGGCGTCATCGTTGGTGAAATTTTTTTTTTTTTTTTTTTTTTTTTGATTTACTCCTGTAATTCATATTATCATTATTCCATATATTCCTCCAAGGAATAAATATATATACATAAACTGAGTTACCAAAATGGTTTCCGGTCATTCCCATAGATCCACTGTTAAGAAATCTAAAAAACCATTCAAATCAAGACATGCTTCCAAGGGCCAAGTGAAGGCGCGTAACCAAGGGAAGGTTGAAAAAACCACTACTGGTCCTAAAAAGAAGCTTAGAGGGGCTAATAAATTGGAAAGAAAGAATTTTGCCGATCAGTTGAAAGAAAAAAAAGTATTACAAGCTTTGGAAAATCGTAAATTGTTCCAATCGGCCAGCGGGGTGCAAAAGATTGTGACAATCATCAGCTTGACCGATGATATTTCAGAAGAAGAAATCTTCCAAAAATTGATCGATAATGACATTGTCATTGAAGATAACAATAACAGTGAGATGATGGTTGAAAATACCGTACAAGACAAGGCCCCATTCATTAAAAACTTGAAGATTTCCAAATTTAAATCGAACTTCAAATTCATCATTCCTGACACATCAAACTTCTTGTCGATTCTCGACGCCAGTAGAGTTTCTGATTTCGTGATTTTCGGTCTTAGTGCCTCAAATGAGGTTGATACCGCCAAGGGAGAACAAATTATTAGAGCCATTGAGTTGCAAGGGATCAGCAATGTGATTTGTGTTGTGCCAAATATTGACAATGATTTAAAGGACAAGCAACAAAAGCAAGTGTTGGCATCGTTAACCAGTTATTTCACCCATTTCTTCCCTGGAGAAGACAAGATTTTCAACTTAAACAACTCTTCATCTTTGTCAAAATGTATACATACCCTCTGTAGCGTTATTCCAAAAGGGGTTACTTGGTTGAATAACCGTGGGTATGTGGTTGCCGAAAATATCAAATTCGACGACCAAGAATTGGTAATTGACGGTACCGTTAGAGGTAAAGGGTTCCACGTGAATCAAACCATTAATATTCCTAATGTTGGAGAATTCAAGGTGAAATTAATTGAAAAATTGAATAAGCATACTGGGGAAGTGACTGATGTGATTAGTGAAGAAATCATTCTTGAAAATGAAAGTATCGATGAATTGTCACCTCAAGATGGCGGTAATGACGATGAAATGTATATGGATGACGATGACATGATGAGCGATTACGATGATGATGATATGGTTGCCGACGATCTTGAAAAGAAAGATACCGCCGCCGCCACGATTCTTGATCCAAACGATGATGATTTTGACCCAGAAATTGAAGATGTGTTAAAGGGTAAAAACCAAGTGAGTATTGCCAACGATAACAACGATATTGAATTTAATGAAGATTATGACCACAATTCCCAGTTGGATCAATTTATGGAAGAATCGCGCAACCCAGGTTCCACCGAAGAATTCTACCTTGATCCAAAAGAATCTGCAGTGGAAAGATTGCACAAGTACAAGTTCTCAATCAAGGACATTACTGATCAAGATGAACAGCCACCAAAGGAATTGCAAGAAGCTTATGGCAACTTGTTGAATTTTAGAAGCTTCAAGAGATCAACACAACGTAACTTGAAAATTTTCAATGGTAAGACCCAAGTCACCATTGGAGAGTCGGTGAGACTTCACCTCGTAGCACATAACCTTGTCAACAGTAATACCGATCATATCACCTCAATGTTGAATAATTATCAAAGCCAACCAGTCGTGGTGTTTGGGCTTCTTTCACACGAAGAAAAGAAATCATTGGTTCATTTCTCATTCAAGACCTGGGAATCTTACGAGGATCCTGTCACTTCCAAGGACGATATTGTGGTGCAATATGGTTCTCGTCGTGAAGTGATCAAGCCAATGTACTCTGTGAACTCCAACAATAGCAACGGGAACGCTCACAAGTACTTAAAATTCAGCACCCCCGGCAACATCAACATCGCATCGGCAATCGTTCCTGCCTATTTTGGCCGGATTCCAGTGCTCTTCTTCAAGCCAAAGCAAGGCAACAACTCTCTGGGCTCCAATATCCTTTCTAACCTCGATCTTGAGCTCATTGGTTCTGGGTCGCTAGAATCCATAGACAACAGCCGGTCGATCGTCAAGCGTCGTCTTCTTGTTGGTCAACCATTCAAGATCCACAAGAAGGTCATAACTATCCGTTACATGTTCTTCAAGCCTGAGGATATCAGTCATTACGAAAGTGTGCCATTGTTCACCAAGTCCGGAAGCAGTGGCTGGATTAGAGAAAGTTTGGGTACCCATGGTTACTTCAAGACTAGTTTCAACAGAAAGTTGAGTGCCCAGGATTACGTCTACATGGCGTTGTACAAGAGGGTATGGCCAAAGGGTTCTACTCCATATATTGCTAATTGAGTTACACAAATCGTTGTGATTTATTTCATCGTCTTTGATATTTTATATTATGGTCTACATTAGGTATTTTATTTTGCATTAGCTTTAATAGACATTTTTACATGTACTGGATTTATTTTGTAACTGATGGTAGCGTATATTTTCGCTGATATAAGATAATAATACTATCTGCTTGGGGTGTCTCCTTATGCTTTTTTAGTCGAACTCCGATAGCGGGAAATTTTGACTCATATTTTTTTGCATACCGCTTGTAGAATTTCCTCCTTATAAATTGACATTGTATCATTGCCCATTCTGTTGTGTTTCTTCAAAACAGTATTCTCATTGAGTCATTAATATTACTATTATATATTTTAAAAAAATAACCTAAAGCAATGTTGAACAGAGCCGCCAGATCTGTGAATCACACGATCCCAAGATTTACCGCCCCAAAGGTATCGCTAGCAGCAAGCAGATACTACTCGACCATCAATGACAAAATCAAGGTGAAGAACCCTGTTGTCGAATTGGACGGGGATGAAATGACTCGTATTATCTGGTCCATCATCAAGGACAAGCTCATCAACCCATACTTGGACGTTGATTTGAAGTACTACGATTTGTCGATCCAAAACAGAGATGCCACCGATGATAAGGTCACCGTTGATTCGGCTCACGCTATTCAAAAGTATGGGGTCGGTGTCAAGTGTGCTACCATCACCCCAGATGAAGACAGAGTTAAAGAATTCGGGTTGAAGAAGATGTGGGTGTCGCCAAACGGTACTATCAGAAACATTTTGGGTGGTACGGTTTTTAGAGAACCAATTGTCATTGACAATATTCCTAGATTGGTCCAGGGCTGGGAAAAGCCTATTGTCATTGGTCGTCATGCCCATGGTGATCAATACAAGTCGACCAACGTGGTGATTCCTGGTGCTGGTAAATTGGAAATGTCCTTCACCCCTGCTAATGGTGGGGAAAAGACCACTTACAATGTGTTTGATTTCAAAGGTCCGGGGGTAGGTATGGCCATGTACAACACTGAAGAATCAATCGCTGGTTTTGCTCACTCGTCATTCAAGTTGGCATTGCAAAAACAATTGGACTTGAAATTTTCTAGTAAAAACACCATTTTGAAGAAATACGATGGGAGATTCAAGGATATTTTCCAAGACTTATACGATACTACTTACAAGGCTGAATTCGAAAAGCACGGTATCACTTATGAACACCGTTTAATCGATGACATGGTGGCGCAAATGATCAAGTCCAAGGGTGGTTACATCATGGCCCTCAAGAACTACGATGGTGATGTGATTTCCGACATTGTTGCCCAAGGTTTCGGTTCATTGGGTTTAATGACCTCTGCCTTGATGACTCCTGATGGCAAAGCTTTTGAATCTGAAGCTGCCCATGGTACTGTCACCAGACATTACAGAAAACACCAAAAGGGTGAAGAAACCTCCACTAACTCTATTGCCTCTATCTTTGCCTGGACTAAAGGTTTGCACCAAAGAGGTATCTTGGATGAAACTCCTGAAGTTGTTAAATTCGCCAACCATTTGGAAGATGCCACCATCGAATGTGTTAGAGACGATGGTGTCATGACCAAGGATTTGGCTTTGACTATGGGTAAGACTGGTAGAGATAGTTATGTCACCACTACCGAATTCTTGGATGCCGTTTCTGACAAGTTAAAATCAAAAGTTTCCAACTAGATGGAAAAAAAAAATTAATTGAGGTTTTTTGTATCTTATATAATAATGTGAACAATTCTGGCTTTATGTTTTTATTTATTGATCTTTCTTTATTTTAAGATACAATGAAATGTAATGATATTATCTGGCTAAATCTCTACGAAAAAGTATGCGATCGAAATTCAGACTGTATTAATGAAATGTTGATTGCTATTATATGATTTTCCAAACATACTCGTTTCTAGTTGAAACCAGGTCTACTTATGGTCTATATCATTACTCGCCTATATCTTTTCAAGTTTATTATGCTGTTGAGTTTCCATCTTTTGTGTTTTTTTGTTTGTTAGCATCATCCATTCACTCAAACTTCTTCTGTCTTTCTCTGTTTATTTCTCTACTGTCCTGTCCTCCTCCTTTAAATCAACTTTGATGCTGCAAATCTTTTCCATGTATCCCAATAACATCATCCTGATATTTCATCAATAGTTCAACGACCTTAGGGAAAACTTGCTTTCTCAAAATTGTTTTCTGCTCGATCGATAAGTCCTTATTCTTGATATCAAACTGATAATCATCTTCGTCCATATCGTGTATGAATTCCGGGATTTCTATCGAAGACTTGAACCCTGCATCTTCTTGTTGGTCCTTGGTAGCTTCGACGTCAAATACAATCTTCATATCGTAGATCACTATCGCTTTACCCTTTCTTTGACTGAGGTCAGAGTCCCCAGTGACAGAAGTCACGGTAGGGATCACGACACTAAAGTCCGAGGAGGTTGTGGTGATGGCGGTGAGTTTCTCGGTGATGTAGGTTTTCGACCATGGCAACACGTTTTTATCGACCCAGTGCCAATTGTTTGGATTATTAACAACCATTATTAACGGAAATTTTTATTGATATGCAAAGATACTAAATAACTTTATTTGAAATACAAAGCTGACTCTACCGAGAAATTGTGATCGCAAAGGCGGAAGAATATTCAAAATCATTGAAAGATTTTTTTTTTTTTGGTGAACCGCCGTTTCGCTTACAAATCATTTAGGTCATCGTGAAGGATGATATATGACCACAACAGAACCACAACAGAACCACTGAATATGAGCCTTTGGGGATTGATAAGCAAAAAAGTAAAGGAAAGAAGAAAGGAATACTATTGATATAGAGGACGATTGTAAAAAAATGAAAAAAAAATTACAATTTTTCTGTACGGGAGCTTTTCATCTTCAGGGATCCTCCGACCAAAAAACTTGTTGATCAACTTCTATTCTGTAGCATTGAGAAAGAGCTCTTCAAGATGAGCTAATTATAGACTTTTATTTTAATCATTTTATAAACGCTATTATAATAATATGACCTAAGCAAACTTTTCAGATGAGGTTCTTCCTTTGGTGTTTCATAGTGTAAGTCTTTCATGAGCCTGGTGTGACTTAGGACATTCGTGACTATGAGTTGATACCAATAACAGATATCATGTCAATAAGCCAAGCAAAAAGGGCAAGTTTGTTGAATCATCAGCAGATCTTTCCGATACTCAGAAATATAGGAGTTTGAGCCCAACTATTCCGGCAGCCAGCAGTGAAAAAATCAAAATCACGACTTGTTCCGGAAAGAAGATTGATGGATATGAGGAAAAATACACGATAGAAGTTAAAATGTAAATATTTTAAAGAAAATTTTGGTAAGGTTTTTTGGGTAATAGATTTTTAAGGATCTTCTGGTTCTTCAAAAGTGATAACAAGCATCTGGGTGGAGTAAATGGTTTCCTTCCAGCGATTGCACCACGTAGTAGATAATAGTACGTGATAGGTGAGTTTACTGAGAAAAATAGAAATTTTAACTTGGCGACAAACCCCAAGAAATATAAATAAATAAAAAAAAAGAACCCTCTTCTACCGATATTCGGGATAACATGTATATTCATCAGTCTCAATTTCAATTTCTCTCGTCATTTCACTTTTGGGAGTGTCGTTCCCATTTTGTAATTCCTTTTCAACGATTGAAAAAACATATTTGTGTAAAGATTTCACTACTGTACCATCTGACATCCATCATGTTTCCTGAGATGGCTATTGATCTAATTTTTCCTTATTCTGTTTATGGAAATGATACTGTATCCAACCCTTATTTATTTTTTGAATACTGTTAAGCATGATGGGGACAGATATTTATCATTATTTAAGTAGGCTCTCTCTCAAAAAAAAAAGAGAAAGAAAACACTGGACGCTATAGGTGGTAGAGACTTGGGCTTAAACCATAGGTCATATCCTCAACATTGTCTATCTATTCGCTATGTTTTTGATGATACTGAATATATGTTACAGTAGCAGATGTTTGAAGGAGTTCATTTCAATAGGAATGTATTGTGGAATCATCCATAATACATTATAATTTATCATATCAAACTCTGCTGCTTCAGTTACATTAAAGAAGAAATAGCAATGAAAAAATAAAACAATATTTATGAATTATTCAGCAAACCTCGAGGATTCATCTTTATTTTTACTGATGATCCTCATTTCATATAAAGAATAGGTATACTATCAGGTATGCATGCCCATCCATATGCATTTCTCTATGAACTTTTGGTAGTAACTGAAGCAAATTAGGGGCTTTGGTTTGAATAATTTTTTTTTGTTAAGCTATTTATCGATGTCATATTATATTTTATCCTTTTTTTTTTTTTTTAGAGAAAAATCCTTTTAAAGAAATTTTTTGCAATGATTTGGAATAACCCATCTTGACTTGTCAGTATGCACGCAGAAATTTTCAAAAAAAAGCGAAATTGAGAAAAACGCTCACACACACATACCAAACACCTTATCAATATCAACCAACAAAAGCTGATCTGGCATCAACTTAAATAGAAAACCCGTCATTAAACGATAGATATGCTTGCTTGGAAACTCTTTGGGGGTCGTACCCAACTAAAAAACACCCTGATCCAACCCACCAGAAGATGGTTTCAATCGTTGAACAATAGCATTAAACAAGATCTTAAACCAAACACCAAAAACACCCAGAAATTCACTAAAGAAGAGTTGCTCGAGTACATGCACGCAAAGAGAAGAGAAAATTCGTCTCACAGAACCAGGTCGACAATCAATTATGCTCTTAGTTTAGGTATTGGATTCATCACGTTGGCGTACGCTGCGGTTCCGTTATACAGAGCGCTTTGTTCAAGAACTGGTTATGGGGGTACTCCAATCACCGATCAAAGAAAATTCACCAATGATAAGTTGATCCCGGTAGACACCGATAAAAGAATCCGTATTGCCTTCACTGCAGAAACTTCTGCGATCTTGCCTTGGAAGTTCACCCCGCAACAGCGAGAAGTATACCTTGTACCAGGGGAGACTGCTTTGGCGTTCTACAAGGCCCGTAACAATTCAAACAAGGACATTGTTGGGATGGCTACTTATTCTGTCACCCCAGGGGAGGCAGCTCCGTACTTCAACAAGATTCAATGTTTCTGTTTCGAAGAGCAAAAGTTGTTGGCAGGAGAAGAGGTCGACATGCCTGTTTTCTTCTTCATCGATCCAGACTTTGCCAAAGATCCTGCTATGAGAAACATTGATGATATTGTGTTGCATTACACTTTCTTCAAAGCGCATTATGACAGAAACAACGAGTCTTTGGCGGTGGAGAACGTTGTTGATCCTAACGCGAAAGCGCTCAGTCTATGATGTGGCTAATTGACTTAGACAAATCCTGTACATAAATATATACAATATATATATTATAATACTACTGGTATTATATGATTATAAAGTCTACTACCCGTGCACCACCCTCACCAGTGCAAACACCCGGACACATAGAGACACACACCAATTCTGAGGGTCCTTTCTCCTCCTTCTGGTTTGCAGCCCCTGGGGGGAAATCTGTAACAGTCCTTGAACGTGTTAATAATAATTAGCTGTTTTCTTCACCCACCATCCTCTCTCTATTAGTAGATCAAACATCAACTTCCTTGAAATCACAAAACCCCAAATAGGTTGTCTCGTCACTCTCAACATCTACACTTCTTCAGAGATTATCCCCCCTTTTGTATTTATTTCAGTTGGGCGTGTGTGTGTTTTTTTTCTTGTTTATACAACCCTATTTTGGTGACCGTATATATATATATATATATATCAAAGCGTGCTTTTGTCAAACCCTAAGCTGTCTGAGAACTTTATATCGCTCACAGTTTTATTCTTCCTGCTCTCAGACAACAGCAGCAACAACAACAACAACAACAACAACAAATACTGGCTTTTGTCACTTTTGATATTTTGTGACACACATCACCATGTCCCTTTCAGCAACAGCATCACCATACGATTCTGATGCTTTCTCTAATCCTAGAAAACCTCCACAACCCCCTCTGAAGAATGGCTCTCCTTCCAGATTACCTCCATCAGCCAACCAAGGAATGTCTCAAAAAGGTTCCTTTGGCTACGCTAATAACCAGGCAATTGGCAAGGGTCCTAACCCCGCGACAGGAAACTACCAATTCAACTCAAAAGTCGCGTTAGGACCATTATCACCCACCTCGAATACTTACAAGATCCAGCCGTTGCAATCACAAATTATGAAACAAGGGTTTGTTTACATCAAAGAAGAAAATATGTTTTTCAGTAAGTGGACAAGAAAGTTCTTAATCTTGACATCAAAGGATTTGGTATTTTATAAAGCCGTGAAAAGCAACGAAAGCTCGAGTAATTCATCATCAATCATCATCAAGAATTTATCCAATCCACAACTTAACAACTTCAACGATGGGAAGGGCGATGGGGTTGATTATTTCAACAATGATTCTCTTATCACCCAAAAATTGAACTTGAACTTAATTAATAATATAGTAAAGACTCAAACCAGCAAGCCGTGTTGCTTCCAAATAAATCACAGCAAAGACAATAGTAACATGGTTATTAGTGTGAAGAACGAAATCGAAGTTAAATCATGGATGCATGACATCTGGGCTCATTGCCCAGCTAATACTCTTGGCTTGAAATCTTCATCTTTTGGCGGCCTTAAACATTCAATGACTTCCGTCAACAGCGGATTTATCGATCAAAATTCTGTCTCTGGCCCTTCAAACTTTACCCATAAAGTTCATGTGGGATTTGATCCTAATAGCGGTGATTTGGTTGGGTTACCTGATACTTGGAAAAAATTGTTAAACAGTTCCAAAATTACCGATGAAGATTTATCCAAGGATCCACGTGCTGTCATCGAAGCATTGGAATTCTATTCTGCTGTTAATGGTGGAAGTAATGGGGAATCAACCAAGATTCCAGAAGCGATGTTGACGGCAGGCGAAGGAGCATCTCCATTTGGCTACAGCCCTAGCGTTCCTAAATTGGACAAGATTAATGAATCTAAATCTAGCTCACCTCTTTCGAGCAGAAAGCCTAGTACTAATAACAGTTTGTACAGTCATACTAATAACAGTGGGCTTAAACTCGATAATAATGGTGGTAATCCAAATAGCAATGGAGCGTTGGACCCAAGCGCGGGATTGAAACCGTTTAATTTGAGAAAGGGGTCTAGTGGTGATGGACCAGAGGAATTGATCAAGCCATTGACTTTAAGAAGTAATACTTCTCCTCAGAGTAAACCTCAACAAACCCAAAATTTCACCCCGACTAGAAAAGCGCCTACCGCTCCAGGAAAGCAAGGACACTCACACCAACAGAGTCCTCTGAAGGCTAATGATTTGGTTCCAATGAGAAGAGCTCCAGCTCCACCAAAACCTAATAACATGCAAAAAGTTCCAATTGGTTCTCCTTCCCGCCATAAGCCTCAACCAAGTACTCCTTCGCATATGCAACCAAAATTCTCTAATGAATCTAGTAAGATGATTGAAAAGCAAAAAGCTTTGCAACAACAACAGCAGCAGAGAATTCAGCAACAACAGCAGCAAGCACAACAACAAAGATTAAAACAACAACAACAACAACAACAGCAACAACAGCAACAGCAACAACAGCAAGCTCAGCAGCAAATGAAACCAGTGCAAACTAGTAATGCTTCTGCTAAACAAGTGCCAGAACCAATGAGTAAAGAGGCTTATATTCAAAAGACACAACAGAAACTTCAACAACAAGCACAACAGCAACAACAACAGAAGAGTAAGCCTGAAGCAGAGAAGAGAATTTCAACGATGACGGAATCTCAAATCATGGCCAAACTAAGATCGGTTGTCATCAATATTGATCCAAAACCTTACTTCCAAATGATCGAAAGGGTTGGTCAAGGTGCTTCTGGTTCGGTGTATTTGGCCAAATCTCTTAAGAGAAACGGCGCTAAGGTGGCAATTAAACAAATGGATTTGAGTGCCCAACCAAGAAAGGAATTGATTGTCAATGAAATTTTGGTGATGAAAGATTCTCAACATAAGAACATTGTCAATTTCTTGGAAGCGTACCTCAGAGGTTCGAATGAGTTATGGGTCATAATGGAATATATGGAAGGTGGTTCATTGACCGATGTCATTGATAATAATTCAGGAAAGATTACCGAGCCACAAATTTCGTCGATTTGTTTACAAACTATTCAAGGGTTACAAAACCTTCACAGAAAGCATATTATCCATCGTGATATTAAGTCAGATAATGTGTTACTTGATTCTAACGGTACTGTGAAAATCACCGATTTTGGTTTCTGTGCCAAGCTAACCGATCAACGTTCTAAAAGAGCCACAATGGTGGGTACTCCATACTGGATGGCCCCAGAAGTTGTCAAGCAAAAAGAATACGATGAAAAAGTCGATGTTTGGTCTTTGGGTATCATGACGATCGAAATGATCGAAGGTCAACCACCATACTTGGACGAAGAACCGTTGAAGGCATTATACTTGATTGCCACCCACGGTACTCCAAAGTTGAAGAACCCTGCTGCGCTCAGTGAAGATATCCAGAAATTCTTGAGTATTTGTTTATGTGTCGATGTTGGGTACAGAGCTAACACAGATGAATTGTTAGAACATGATTTCATCAAGATTGCTTGTCCGGTCAGCGGGTTGAGTAATTTATTAGATTGGAAGAAGAAGAAAGATAATCTATGAGATGTATTTTCTCTTTTCACTTTTTTTTTTTTTTTTTTACCTTTCTATTGAACCCATTTTAATGTATTGTGATGCTTTTTGTTGTTCTGTTATTTTGTGTATTGTTTATTTACTTGTTATTATCACTTTTTGTTTTTCATTTTTTTTTTTTTTTCAATTCATTTCATTTTTTTTTAAATGGATGGAATGGATGTGCATGTTTTCATGATATATATATATATATTGTTCACTGTTACTTCAAAACTGATTTTACTCAAAGTTTGTTGGGAAATGGAAGAAACAAAGAGGGAAAAAAAGAGGGAAGTATATATTAACACCATAGTGACAGATAGCTAGCTGCCAGATCCCAATTGTTTTAAGATCGATTTTTTTACTACTAATAGTAACTGGATTTTATCCTGATTTTGATTTTTTGTCGCTTTCTCTCCTGGCATTATTGTTTTTTTTTTTTTTTTTTTTTTTTTAAATAGTTAGATCTTTGTTTTTAATGCCTATTCTTTTTTTTTATTGTCTCTGTTTTCTTTTTCCTTTTACAATTAATAATACTAATTTAAAAACTAGAATCTTTTTTGAATAAATGATTTGAATAGAAAAGAGCTTTTCATGATTGAGATACCATTGATTTGACCTGATACGGTGAAAAAATCAAATATTAAAAACAAGGATGTATTGGATATACTAAATATGATATATGAGAATGAGTAAGAAATGAGGAGGAGGAGGAGGAAAAACAAAAACAAAAACAAAAACAATCAGGATATTAATATTATATTAAAAATTTTATTTTTTTTATTGGACTTTAACGTCTGTTGCCACTAAATGTGAAAACCACAAGAATTGAAATAGCTAAACTAACAATAGCACCAGGAAGCAAAAGTTGATTTGGAACACCAGGGATAAATTCTTCCTCCTTTGGAGGGGCATAAAAGATCTTTGGATTCTTTTGGTGATGCTCGGAATTATTATGAATATTTTTGCTCGTTGGGATATTTTTAGTCAACGGTTTGGAAACTGTAAGGATATTTTCAATCGATTCTCTTGGATTATGAATGAAAATGTCAGCTTTATTGAACTTGAGCTTTTTGCTGATTAAAACACAGTCTGTCAAATCCTGATCCGTGGTGATGGCGACTAAATCACCCTCATCATCACGGTAAGAAATTGCAAAGTTCGACAGTTTGTTGTATTGCTGGTCTGTCAGTTTCCGTGCAAACCCAACTTCACTATCATCATCATCAAAGCACGCATCATCATCGTCACTATCATCAACCGGTGCCGGTCCCAGTAATAACTTTAATTCGTGTGCTTGAAGTTTTTCCATGATTAAAGATCTCAAGGTCAAAATACCATCTTTGGGTTTGACAGTAATTCTATGAACTCTTCCTGTAGGAGATTTGAATTTGAATCCGAACGGGAGCTCTGCAGTTTGGAATTCTATAAATGAATGTCTCGCATCGTCAGCATCGTGGACTGAACTACCCCCATCATAACCAACCCGTTCGTTGGCACAGGAAATCGAATCGGTTGGACGAACCTCACTATTAAGACGGGTCAATTCGTTATGTGGATGATGATTAGAAATTGGCGAATATTGGGTTGGGTTAGTGGAACTATCTGGATGAGAGAACGAGTCAGAATGCATAGAATCAGTGTCATCCAATGTGGTCCAAAATCTATTCCAAATAGGATTTTCGTTATCTTCGTTAGATTTCACCACTTTGAGTTGGTTCAACGTGGCATAAGTTAATTTCAAAACTTCGACAATTCCAATGATTTCGTTATCCTCGATAACTGGTAAATTCAAATAGTGTCCATCGAACATTTTTCTCAAGGCCTCATGAATTGTCAAGTCCTTGGTAGCACAATCTGGTTGTGGGGTCATGACTCTAACAATACTACAAGTAGAAGGATTAAGTCCACTAGCAATGACTCTGAGGACGATATCCTTGGAGGTAAAGATCCCAGTAACTTCTTCGTTATTAGAGTCTTTGACCAAAACAGCTGTGGTTCTATTTTCTTCCATTAGTTTAGCTGCTTCCAACACCGATGACTTGACATTGGTATACACTGGCAAAGTTGTTTCATCTAAAACATTTTCCAACACTGGACCTCCCATCAAATCTTTCAAATTTTCAAAATACTTGACCACTTGGAAAGGTTGCTGACCCATACCGATTTCTTGATTGACATTATCCAAAGCATCGTACAATTTCTTAGAAGATTCGTACATTCTTTCAAGTTTTTCCATGGCTTCTTGATATGATTTGGTGATATCCAAAACCCCAGAGATTTGACCTTCTGAGTCCAAAATCGGCAAATGTCTAAACCCTTTTTGGACCATCAAATTCAAAGTATCACCAGCAGGGGTGTCGTCGGTTACACATAAAGGATTTTTTGTCATGAATTTTTCCACTGGATGGAACGGAGCTTCTTCACTGGCAACCACTCTGAAGGCTAAATCTTTGGCAGTTATGATCCCCACCAACCGGTTCTTATCATCGACGACAAGAATGCAGTTTTCTCTTTTGGCCCCCATCAAGCGTGCTGCTTCTAATACAGTGGTGGTGGTTTTACATAATATTGGCTCGTTGGGGCGTAAAGACAGAACTGACCCAGGAATTGCCTTGTGGCGGGTAGACTTCTTCAGGCCTCTGCCAGAAATCTCTTTTCTCTTTTTAGAGAAGTCGTTTTCTATCTTTCTTCTAATGGCCTCATCTCTCTTGGCTTGTCTTTTCCTTGAATCATTGATTTCGTTCATCAGAGGCTTTTGCACCAACGTGAGACTGTTGGTAGAAGACCCACCAGTATACGAGCCTGGGGCCTGTTGTTGGTGTTGTTGTTGCTGTCTTGAAGGAGCTCTGTAGGACATGAGCTATTGCCAATATAAACAGGGAACGAATCACAATCGATGAGGGTGACGGCGATGTTATTGTTTATTGTTTATTGTTTATTTTTTGGGTGGTTTTTTTTTTTTTCTGATCCGATGCTGGTTACGTGCCCTCTGGCATACCGAACACCATCTGGATTGGTGATGGATGGCCACCCAAAGAAGCTGGTGGTGTTTATATATTGGCAGTAATCTTCTGCCAGAAACTACGTCTTTAATTATATCTACTTACCTGCCAATATCTATTGACAGTGTCTTATCATTGCGACCCTTCAGAAAGTGCACCGCACCACACAGACAGACAGACCCTGTTTTTTCATACTTTTTTTTTTACTCTGTCTTTTTTTTTTCATGTGTTTTTTTTTTCTGCTGATCACAACGATATCAGAAAAAAAAATAGATAACACCGTCAAATACAGGCCTGATTAGCCGGTAGTAAATATTGCTATTAGTGGGAACCCTTCTTCTGATATCTGTTTGTTGCCTTCTGGCGTTCTCGCAATGGACCTCCCCTATTTACAGCCGCGAACCGCGAAATCAAAGAGCAACTCGTTGCTTCTGAAATCAAAGTTCAGAATTAAGAGGTTCTTCTCCAAGAAGGTCAAAGTCTTTAAAGTCGTTTACTTGCCGGTATGGATCATTTGTTTGGTAGCTGGACTCCTATTTTACAGCCAATTGCACCATATTTACCCAAATAACCGTGCCATCCATACCAAGGGTCAAAAGATGCCAGATTACCTGAGAAAAAAGTATCTGGAGAAATTCGATAAGAAATATTCCCCTGTTGATAAATCAAAGGTTAGTAATAGATGGATCGGGTCAACCGTTGATGAGCCATTCAAAATTGGGTGTGTTGAACCAGAGATCTCGCTTACAAAAAAGACTGCCAACGCTTCGCTTGTGGTGTTGGCGAGAAACAAAGAACTCGATGGAGTTATCAAATCTATGAATACTTTGGAAAGACATTTCAATCAATGGTTCAATTACCCATGGGTGTTCTTAAACGATGAAGAATTTTCTGATGAGTTCAAAAAAACCGTTAAGAAATATACCAGGTCAAAGGTAGAGTTTGGGCTAATTGGTGATAATATCTGGGATTTCCCATTGTCGAAAGAAGAAACCGAAGAAAATGATAAATCTGATAAAAGCAGTAGGTATTTCAATTTTTTCGAATTCTATGAATTCATTGAAAGACAAGGTGATCGGGGTATTATGTATGGTAATTTGGATTCTTATCATAAGATGTGCCGGTTCTATTCTGGTGGTTTCTATAGACATCCATTGGTTAAACAATATGAATGGTATTGGAGAGTAGAACCTGATGTCAATTTTTACTGTGATCTAACCTACGATCCATTCTTAGAAATGGAGAAGAAGGGGAAAAAGTATGGCTTCACGGTTATTATCAAGGAATTATCTGACACAATTCCAAATCTATTTAGATACACAAAATCATTTATCAAGGAAAATCACATCAAGGTGAAAAGTACATGGAACTTGTTTGTCACTCCGCTTAATACATTTGATTTCAAAGGTTTCGATGATCCTGAATTGGAAGCGGAATTGGCCCATTTGGAGGAAGTCGATGACTTGATTTTGGCATTAGAGAAACAAGTACAAATAGAACATATTGTGAGAAAGCTCAAAAACAATAAAGATGGTCAAAAAAGTAGTAATAACGACGATCAAATGCTTTTAAAACAGCTTGTGGACAAGACGCACAAAAGAAGCATTAGCAGCTCACCTGGTGACGCATTTGATGGCGAGAAGTACAATTACTGTCATTTTTGGAGTAATTTTGAAATCGCTAGGGTCGATGTATGGGATAATCCTTTATATAACGCTTACTTTGACTACTTGGAGCAATCAGGAGGCTTTTATAAGGAAAGATGGGGTGATGCCCCAGTGCACTCGCTCGGAGCAGGAATGTTTTTAGATTTGTCAGAGGTCCATTATTTTAGAGATATTGGTTATAAGCATTCTACCATTGCCCATTGTCCACATAACTCTTTTGATAACCAATTAGGATATGGTCCATCTGAAAATTATTTCAAGTTTGGTGACGTTAACCGAATTAGAAGACAGGATGCCAAGTGGTTAAGTCCCGATTCCCCTAAAAAGAATGGTGTTGGTTGCCGATGCAAATGTCCAAGAAAACAAAACAAAATCGAAGACACTGGGGGATCGTGTATTGGGGAATGGATTCTGGTTACCAAAGATGCCGAAGCTAAGAAATTTGATAATTCCCAGAGAAAGTACGCCAAGAAGTTGAATGTGAAGAAATTGAAAAATTTGATTGCTTTCGATTATCAATATTCCTTGAAATTGAAAACCATAAAGGAAAAGTATATCAGTAGTGCCCTTATAGCTTTCAAAGATCTCAAGAGATTCGAAGAAGACGAAAATACGGTTCTTCGGCCGGATGAATTTGACTTGAAGTTACTTGAGATGACTGAAGATATGATCAACCAGAAAAGATTGGAAGTCCAGGAAGAAGAAATTATGAATAACATTGTTCATTGATATTTGAGAAGGAGAGGTAGTGGTAGTAGAAAATTTTGTTTTTATAGCTTCTACATTATTAATTTTTTTTCGATGTGTACATTTTAAGTGCTTTTACGATGAGACTATGTTGTGGTTTTAACTTTTTTTTTTTTTTTTTCATTTATTTATATATTCATGTCATTTTATTTGCTGTTAATAACTTTTACGTTGATACCTAATTCTTTCTTTTCTATCTTTTTTATGTGTTCTGCTTTTTATACTTCTTTTGTTTCACTAAACTTCTTTTTCTCCCTGTTCTTTTATTTGTTTCCGCATACAATTGGCATCGAGTTTGAAAATAAATATTATTTGTTCTTGACTATACTTCAAATTATTATTCAGTTGCTCGAGACGGACCTCGTAGTTTAACGAAGACATGTGTTCCAATTATAGAAAGACTCTTTTGAAAGTTTAATACTAATTACATCACTCAGTGTGTTTTATTGTTTTGAAAAAAGTTGAAAACTGCATTAAACTAAATATTACACAAAACCCCATTATAACGAAGTATACTTTTTATTCGTTAGCAAGCACGGAATGAAATAAGATCGAATAAATTAAGCTTCAGCAAGTTCTCTGAGACGTCTGATGGTAGATCTAACAGTGAAAGCAGCAGCAGTAGAAACAGTGTAAGCACCACCGGCAGTGGTCTTCTTGCAGCTCTTACAGGTCCAGATACCAGCAGCACCTCTAGTGACGGTTCTCTTACCACAGAAGGTACAGTCGTACTTAGAGTGTTGTTGGATTTCCAATTTCTTGGTAACTCTTCTCAAAGAGGAACCGTAACGGACACCATATTTACCAGTGATACCAACCTTCTTAGTTCTTTTAGACCTATAGTGGTTGTTAGTAAAGAGAAACTCCTTGAGGAAAATAAAAAGTATAGAAAAATGTTCAGTGGTTTCCAATCATTTGTTGTTCAAAAAAGCCGAGTTGAAATTAGTGCTATGATGATACAATATCAAATTGGTTCATAATATTCTTATAACATATGATAAAATTTTCATGCTTGACCTTGAAATTTCGTTGAGTAAAAAAAAAAAATTGATTCCTTGAAAAATTGTTCATAAATTGCAATTGTTGAATATACTGATGATTTTGTAAAGCTTCTGATCCTGTTGAATGGTATTAAAACTCTTTGTTTGATTCATATTGAGACATTGATGATGAATATTCATTTTGGTATTGATTTTTGAACAAATTCGAAATTTCCCAATTCTGACCTTTCTTGAACAATTAAATATTACTCTTGACAATTTGATAATATCTGATAAACACCACTACTCTTCTAATACATATTGATATATCCTTCACATACATTTTTGATGATTATATTCTAAGCTGTTGTATAATAGGAAAAAGTTTCAAGACAAGTCAATTTGCACACTACCAAAAATTGTAGGTCGAAAAAAAAAGTTGGTACTGGCGGAGGCACAAAACCTTTTGCCAGGGCACACAACAGGAAGACCTCCAGAGTCTTTTGACATGCACGTGGTAAGTGACAGGTAAAAATCAAAGCCCTACACAAAGGCACATGATCAACATAAGCAGGGCTAATAGATAAACCGCAAAAAGAAAAACACAGGGCCTGTGAGAGGTGCATATAAGTACGCAAATACACGTCGAGCGATTAGCGCTAATCGCCAGAAAAAGAAACAAGAGACAGATGACCCATGAAAACAGGAAACCTTTAATACGGCAACAAAGCAGTCATCACATCGAATGATTCATCCCTTTATTATCATCAATACTATTGACCCAATTTTCTTCTTTCTCAATTGAAAATCCTCAAAATATATCTTAACCTGACACAGTGAACTATATAAAGATATCGCTCCCAAAATAATAATGGAAGATTTGACAAATGGCCCACCTTTGGCCTCCACAATCTCTTCGATTGCCAATCTAACCAAAACTATTGTTGGTGCTGGTATGCTTGCCATCCCTTATGCCTTCAGAGCGGATAGTATTATATTTGGAATATTGATCATTTTGCTTGCTGGGGTGGCCTCAGGGTTTGGGCTCTACCTTCAATTTAGAAGTTCCAAGTTTTTACCGCCAGGCCACGCCACTTTCTTTAGTGTTTGTTCCATCACATACCCTAAGCTATCAGCGATCTTCGATTTGGCAATTTTTTTGCAATGCTATGGGTGCTGTGTATCGTACTTGGTGATTGTTGGTGATTTATTACCAGACTTGATCAAGCATGATAGCTTTCAAAGATCTCAGGCGATTTTGTCAAGCGCCATCATTATCTTCCCTTTGCTTTACTTGAAAAGCCTTAACTCGTTGAAGTATACTTCAATGTTAGGATTGGCGGCTATCGCTTACCTTTTCCTTTTGGTAGTGGCACATTTTGTCGTTGGTGATGTTTCTAGTGAACTCAAGGGAGAAATCAGGATCATTGAGCCTCTTGGGTTGGTTCCTATGTTGTCGACTTTTTCAATCATCGTATTTGCTTATACTGGTCATCAAAATATGTATTCAGTTATCAATGAAAGTAAAGACAAATCTACCAAGAACATTTTGGTGATTATTGTGTCATGTGTTGCCATTTCAACGACGTTGTTTATTATCATTGGTCTTGCTGGTTACTTGACTTTTGGTTCCAACGTTTCTGGTAATGTGATTTTGATGTACGACAATAAATTACCAAATATTATTGGAAGATATGCCACAATCTTCATGGTTATTTTCTCTCTCCCATTAATGTTCCATCCTTGCAGACTCAGTGCCAACAATATCGTGTATTATATTCAAACTAATTACTGTTCCCAAACCGAGATGAAAACCATTACCGAGGATGAAGAAACTCCATTGCTTCAAACTGACGAACCTTCTCCATCAGAAATGCAGCCGGTGATTGTTCCGTTCTCAAATAAGACTTTTATTGTGTTGACCACTCTGTTAGGATTATTGGCATATGTTCTTGCCCTTAGCATCAGCGAATTTGCATTGGTTCTCTCGTTGGTTGGGGCAACTGGGTCCACTACCATTTCTTTTATTCTTCCAGGGTTGTTTGGTTATAAACTTCTTGCCAATGATCACACCGACATCAATTACAAGCAAGACAGAATATTCAAGCTTTTTTCAGTAGGATTGACATACTGGGGATTCCTTGTGATGTTTGTTTGTGTTGGTGCCACCCTTTTTTTCAATTGACTTGTTTTAATTTCTTTCAGTTATTATTTTATATATGATCCGTTTTATGACACTAAAAAAATGATTTAGCCACACATGATACGGAGATTTGAAAAAACCTAAAAAAAAAAAAAAAATGTAAGCAAAAAAAAAAAATGTCATGTCAAGTATCACCATAGAATCCCAACACTTTTTTCATTGACAGCTTTGTTTGTTTTCTTTGGGATCATCTCTGGATATTATTTTCCATCCTATTTCGTTCTCTTTTAAGTCCATTAGACCTTTGTTTCTTTGCTGGCGGATTTCAAAAAGCGGAAAATGTCCAGTGAAATTGGCGACAAACAGCTGTCAACAACCATGAACAGGACCCCGAAATCAAATCAGGGGTCTTCGGGGAAAAAAGATAACAGAAGCAAACTTTTCACATTACTCGATAAATTACAGCTTCAAGTGTCTGTTTTTGTGTTTTTTGTGGCTGGTGTACTTTATTGGATCCCATCAACGTCGTCGAGCGTTGGTGCAAAATTCTTTATCCTCCAAGGCCAGAATAGCCCTAATACCTATTTACCGACCAAAGACGATGGGTATTTTGTATTTATTTGTATTTTCTACATCATCTTCACTCGGATCTTTTTCATGAACCATGTGTTCAAGCCATTTTGCATCCACGTTCTCAAAATGAAAGGGCAAGGTGCCAGACAACGATTTGCCGAACAAGGATGGGCCCTTGTATCATATGGATCATCGTTCCTTTGGGGGTTCAAACTTTTCTACCACTCGCCGTTTTTCAATAATCTCGATAATTTGTACGCTGGATATCCTGAACAACACACCATGGATTGGGAATGGAAGACGTATTACCTTGTGGCCCTTGCCAATTGGACCGCACAGATCTTCATTCTCCATGTGGAAAAAAAGAGAAAAGATCATTACGAGATGTTTGCCCACCATATCATCACCATCTTACTTGTGTGGGGATCTTACGTGAAAACTTTTATCAGAATCGGGGTGTTTATCCACATGATTATGGATTTTGTCGATATTTGGCTCTCGTTGGCCAAAGTCTTGCGGTACTGTGGGTTTTCTAACGCTTGTGATTTCACCTTCTTTATATTTTTCTTCAGTTGGATCGCCTTGAGACATGGGTTATACAATTACTTACTTTATTTCACAATGTCCCGGATCTACGACTTAATTGGCTTTGATGCGTGCGCCGACCGTCCTGAAGATCCAAAATGTCAGAACCTCGAGTTCCTGATCCTGTCGCTTGTGACGCTTTTATGCGGATTACAAGTGATCATGATGTTTTGGATGTTTATGATTTTGAAAGTGTTGTACAAGATCATGATGGGAGCAAATGCCGAAGATGTTAGAAGTGATAGTGAGGATGATGACGAGGTTGAAGGGAAACAAAATCATAAAGAACAACAACAGGAAGAAAAAGGTAACAATAACGAAAAAGAAGAAGAAAAAGAAGACAACGAGATGAACAATACCGACTCTGAAATAGACGAAAAGTCCGCGCTTCTCAAAAATACCGAAAATCAAACAGCCCATTAAACTAATTACCCAATAAAAATTCATGTTATAGATATAAATGTTCATACCAGTTCATCTATGGTCTACTTGTTTTCAGATTTTTTTTTATTTTTGTTACTTCAGTTTGAAAATATGACGTTCTATTCACTAATATTTATTTCTTTCCATTCTCTCATTACATCTCAGCAATAATAATAGACAATTCATGACATTTGACCTTCATTTTTTTTTCCTCTCCCTCACCCTTTTTTTTTCATTCATCCCCCTTAGAAATTCATCTTGATTCAATTTACTTCGACTTTAATTTCTGTAGTATATCATAACAGTCAAGGCAACTCCAAATTCCAAATTCATCATCAATAAAGTTTACGAAATCAGACAGCTAGTATAAAAAAGGTCATCACAAACAAATTAGAATTCATAAAAAAAAAAGACAAAAAAACATATTGTGCAGAGACAGAAAACACAACAACAGCATAGACATGCAAAGAAAATGAAAATTTTAAAAAATAATACACTGAGCGAATAGTGATAATAAATCACACACAGAGAATATATATATATATAATAAAGAACTAAAATCGTACAAAACAACAAGGCCACCATCAAAACTCTGGGCTCATATTAACATCAAACCATCCCAAGAAATCATCCGTACTTTCGGTCCAATTAGATTGTTGTTGAAGAAACTCACCAAAAAAATTACTATTATTCGTCCTGCCAGTGGTACTGCTAGTACCGTTTGGAGAATTATTATTCATCGCTCTCAGTTTCCCACTATCTATTGTCCCCATTTGAGGTTCAATGTTATTACTTTCAGAATTAACTTGGTTTGGGTTGCGAGTATTATTCACAGACTGACGATTGGCAATCTTTGTAATCGATTGCCTGCCGACATTTTGACCAGATCCCACTGGTTGACCAGCAGCATTACCTTTGAAATCAAACAACGAGTTCACATTACTAGATTCCATGGAATACAGATTGTTAATAGGGTTAATAGGGTTAATGATAGTATTGTTGACGGGGTTTCTGGAAGCAATGTAGGAGATGTCATCACCACTAACACTTTTATCATCACCGACATTGCCAACTTTTTTATTGATAATACCACTATTAATCTTCCCAGATTTATTGGAATTACCAGCTTTTGAATTACCCAGACCAGGAGTTTCACTATTATTGAGACTGCTGGTGTCACTATTGCTGTTATTCTGGAAAATTGGGAGGATCAATTTTTCATAGTTCGTTGGTACGGTTTCTTTAGAATCAGCTACAGGCAACGGGCTTTCCTTGCTCAATAAAGGACTAGCATTGATACTCCCCGTGGCTTCCAATAATGGCAAAGGTATTCCATTGATATTCGTTGGTCCTGATAAACCATTGGCAACCGCGTCAGCTTGAGCATTGGACATTGCTGTTTGAGTTGGAACCAATGTAGTAATTGTCGTCCCGTTTGGAGAGGTGGAGCTAATGGTTTTGAAATTATCCCTGGTAATCTGATTATAGAATGGCAAAGGAACCATTTTTCTCATGGGTAGTTCCTCAAATATTCGTTCACTAGCGTCAGACTTCGAGCTGAAATCAGGAATCGGTAGGCCATTCAATCTGGCTTGTTCAACAGCTATATTCCTTCTTCTCGCTTCATGAATACAGGAGACTAAATCATAGAACAAAGAATTAGATAAATGACTCCTATTAGACTTTATAATGCCTTCTCCTTCGAAGAAAATGCTTGGCTGGGTGATCAAAACATAATTTAATTTTTCCAAAACCTTAGCAGTTCTTGAAATATCATTATCAACATCTTTCCAAGCTGCCAACATATTTCTAAATAATCGATGCACTGTAACAATTGATTGTCTTGCACTGTCAATATATTTATCAAGTAATAGCGGTGTCAAATGCAACTTGAATAATGTGAAACACGCGTAGGTAACACTATGCCTGACGTAAATTGGATATTCACTCAATTGTTTAACCTCTACTAATTTCGAAAATATCGTCACGATCCTGGTCGCTGAATGATAAGCAATAGTAACATATTTGGTTTGATCTTCTGTAGGAGTTTCGGGCAAAAATGCAAATGCACAAACCAATAATTTGACATAAAGATAATACATCTCAGTAATTGGATCATCTATCTGTAACTTAAACACCAATCTTTCCAATTCTCTTATTAAAATATTCAAGCTTCCTGCTCTGTTCTTGGCGGTCATCAATCCATCTGGAGAGGTCACTGACGATCCCATAATATTGACAAGTTTAGACTGGAAAATAGATAAACAAACTAAACATCTAAAGTTTTTCGGTAGAGTTTGATCTAGTCTTGCATTTTCAACCAAATAATCAGTTTGGATACATGGCGGTAACCCTAATATACTCGCCCATAGCTGTTCACTGAAAAACACCAACAACCAAGTCCTAGTTCTCCATTTTTCGGCATTAACCAAACTGACTTGGGTCCGACTAAATTCACTGATGAATTTTCCTCTATGCAAACCTAGCTGAAACCCCAAATTCTTTGCTAACCCTACAAACCTGTAGGAGCAATCGTCGAGAACTTTTTGGTTTGGTAGCGGCCAGCAACTTAGAATCAATAAAGATTGAACAATGTGTGTTGATCTTGGGGTTCGTATCCAACAAGTCTCGATTGCCAATTGTTTGATAAGCGATGCAAGTTGGTTGTACAAAGTTGGATCTGGATCGGAAAGACAGGCAGTCAAGCAAACAGTCCAAAATAATAACTGGGATTGCGAGTATAACTCAATTGCGCTATTTGAAGTCAAAATCGGCAAAAATGGTAAATAATCATGTACAAATCTTGCGTGCAACTCAACAGCTTTAGATAATGGTAAACGAACGTCCCCCAAAATGAACTCTTTAATATTGGGAGTTTTGATATTGGTAACTAATGGTGGCTGATTTGCATTAGATTCTGTGAGCAATGTTTGACCAGCACTAGAAGGGCTTTTGGAGTTGACGGGACTTGCAGAATTACCTCTAAAACTCTCTTGTAAGTATGGAGGAAGATTTCGACCATTGTCATCATTAGAAGGTGCTGAATCATTCAATAGTTCAGGAGACCTACTATTTGCAGGATTTGAAGAGTTGTCAGGAGATGAACTCACTGATTTTGATTGTAAGAGTTGTGGATCCCTTTTCAAAAAAGTTTTTGCAATTATTGGGGGGTATTGATTTGGCCTCACATATATTTGACTACTATCCGAGAGTGACCTAGACATCCCAACAGGTGAGATCATTTGCACAGGACTGTTTCCATTTTGGTTTGCTTGCTGAAGAATCTTTTCCAACTTCTCGTTATTTGTGGGACTTCCAATGCTAGGGGATGATGATGCCCCACCCCCTGACACCAAAGTCCGCCTTGAAAGTAGGGCTTTCGCAATGAATGATTCGTTCTTATGAAGAAGTTCCAATTTGGCCTTTAGTTCATCGACATCATTCCTCAAAGTTTGAATTTGACTTCCCTTCTTTGGTCTAAATTGAGGGTCAATTTCACAGTTAAGCCCCATTCTTTCACATCGTTGACAAGGTTTCGGATAGTTCTCGCTGGCATTGCACTTTATTTTATGCTGGCGACAGTGAGTACACGATGTAACTGGTCTATGACCTGAGGAATGTGGGATGGAGGACTTGCCATCTTCTGTCTTCACTGTTGTGTTCTGTTTCTTTCTTTTGGAATCACCAGAAGGTTCGCTCTTGCGCTTCTTTGGCTGCTGATGGGGTTGCTGGTTCTGCTGCTGTTGCAGTTGAGGTTTTGAAGTGGCAGGCGCTATGTTCATGATTAGCACTACTTAATTTACTAACCTTCAATCGTAACAAACTGTTATTACTATAAGTGCACGATGCTCACTGTAGCCGCTCGTTGGGTATTGGCTACTTCAAAAAAAGAAAAAGAGAGAGAAAAACAGAGATACTAAAAACCTGTTTTCTACCAGTAATACCAGAAGTTATCCAGCGGCTTGGGAATTATTTCTCTTATAATACAATGATGTTGAATCAAATATAACGAGCCAATGATCAACAAATCTAGACTTCTCTTGAATACATATTTTGATTTGGTAGCGGCATATTGGGACCTCACAGACGTCAGTTCAAAGATTTTTTTTTTCTTCTTCTCCGTTGTTGTATCACGTGCAGATACCTCTACCAGTTGTGTGGGGAGTTTTCTTCTTACACTTTACCTTGAACATTTATTTATATTCGCAACAATAACTGATCGCGATCTCCTTGAATTTTTTTTTTCTTCCTTTTAGATAATATATAATAGCAATAGAAAGAATTATGTTCCAGATATCTCCCCCCAAGTAGCAAAATCAATCTTCGGTCTCCGTAAATAGTTCCAATGTGTACAACCCAAGCAATATTAGCATATTTAACCAATTCCAGAATTGTAATTGGTTGACCAAGACCCAGTCCTCACTACTGGCCATCCACCAACCCCATATTATCAAGTTTTGGTCGATCTCATTCCGTTGAAGCAACATCAAGTTTGTGTAAACGGCTATAATCACACAAGGGGAATACGAGTATATTAAACGGACTTTGTCCAAAGGTTTGCTGTGGGGATTGTTTTGTATTTTGTGATTCATTTTGTTGTGTGATTTCTGCCTAAGCAATGGAACGCTTGCATTGGGTATGGCAGTTGTAGTTGTGGTAGATGATGAGGATAAGGAAAACACATCTGGTTGGGGATCAGTATACAAATTCTCATTCAATTCTTGGATATCTTCTACTTCTCCATCATTATTGATATCGCTATTGTTTGGAATAGCATTATCTGAAATGATTTCCTCAGAATCAACCTCGGGCTCTGCATGAGGAATAAAACTGGTTGATAAAGAACCATTCTGGATCGACAGCTTCAATGCTGGAATGATTCTGGTAGCGGCATAAAACACCAATATTCTGTATGCGAGATCAAAAATCAACAGCACTTTCAAATATTTAACTGCATCTACCATATATACAAACAACGAGAAAAAGGAGTTTGTCAAATTTAACGTTAGCATCTTGGAAAACATCTTGAAATTATTCATTATCAGTGCAAAAGTTGAGTGATGAATATTTGAATTTATTATTGGAGCGTCATTGAAAGTCTTCCCAATGAATTTAGTGTATATAGATTCATCACCATCCATCGGAATGAAGAACTGTTTGAAATTCGATTGGTAAAAACTGATGAAAAAGTTTTTAGTGAATAAATCTGAGCTAGTTAAACTAAGAATATTATTGTCAAATTCTTTTTTGAAGTTTGAACTGGTTTTGGTGATCCATTCATTGAATTGATCGTTTGTGGAAGTTGTCAACTCTGGGAACGTTTGGTAAATGCACTTCACAATATAAGAGAAGATTAACACAGATTCAATCAAATTTCCTTTGGAAGATAATATCCCAAATAATGATAAACCTAGACAATACGTGATTATTGAGCCCAACAAGGTTGATGATAACAAATTGATTTCCAAGTTGGGTATGATGAAGATATTGTACAAAAAGTAAAATGAGATAGTTAACGTGGTCCCACTAATGAGCAAATTCAATAGTACCTTGTAGTCGTTACGGCTTGTTGTTGGGGATGTGGGGGTTGGGGCGTGGGTGCTAGAACTTTTAAGCTCGTCATTGGATTTGTAGATCAACCAATTGAATGATTTGCCGATGGCCTGTATCAATAGCAACGAGCAAACCCCTTCTAATAATATGAACAATGCGGTCAAGTTCTTGATGGAGAAATTCCATATAAAGATGTAATATTCCAAGAACTTTTGAAATTTGTGGTTGATTAATGTCAATTTACCAGAATTAGAAAAAGCCACACTGAGATCAAAATTATAAAATGACTTGATGCCATAAGAGTTTGTGAAGATACTCAAAAAGAAAATCAACAAAGAAGGAATGAACAAATGCTGGAGGTAGAACAAATACCTAAGGGATTTGAATTTCTTGTAGGTAGAGGAATTGGTTGATAACAACATCGATAAAATCCTCAAGGTGTTCAAAGTGGCATATAATAGACACAAAGTGAATGTGAATGCTAGACCACACTTATTACCTCCTACCTCAAATGACAACGGTACTGTTAATATCACCTGGATCATATATATTATTGAAAACACTGACTTGACAGTCTTTCTGATTCCTAATATTTGCTTCATTTTTAAATGTGTAAAATCTAAGGGGGTGTGAGCAGAAATACCGGGGAGTTTGGGTAAACGAAACCTATTACAAAGCCTGGTAGCCTTTTTTTATATCCTTATTTTCAGTGGTTTGAACTATGAACTGGTGCGTAGAGGGGGATTATATCGACCTCTCCTTAAAAAATATTTCTCTATCTTGTGACTAAAAATATATGATCGCGTATCACCAAGAAGTCACTTGAGAAAGATGATGCTTGGACAGCAATGAAATGTCGATACCTTTATAACCTTGACAATTGTTGAGGTTATTATATATCTTGATAGTAAGGCTTTTGAGACAATGGAACTACGAAAGAAGAAGGAAAAGATTAGTGGTCTGCTAACTACTTTTACATTTTTTTGTGAGATTATTTTTTTTTCTTTCCTTTGGTAAAAAAAAAACTGGTGTTTACAAGTGACGATGTGGGAAGCAGTAGAAGAGACAGACAGGCATATAGGAACAGGGGCAGAATAGTATCTGGGTAATATGGAAAGTGCTGTTGTTATTATTGTTCACGAGAAGAAATTTCTTAAAACTGTGAAGACAGCGTTGGAACATCATAAAATCTTGGATCATACCAGAAAGATTAGCAAAGATGGATTAGTTTACACCACGATTAGTGAAATTGAAGACTTGGAAAAATTTCCGACTGTGTGGAATATCATTGTACAGAATCGTGATTCAATAACTCTTGAAAAGATACAAGTGGAAAAGCTGAGGTCTGTCGAAATTTTGAATATCATTGATCAATTTTTACGGGAGTTTGCTGATCAGAGGAACATACAAAAAAGTCATCTACCATCGAAGTTGCCGAAAAAGTGGTCTATATACCCACCAATGGTGCTTTTTGGTGCCAATACCTTTGATGATCAAGATTGGGGTCTCTTTTTCCATAAGAATAATATTCATGAGAATGAATTTTATCGACAATTATTGGACTATTGTTTCAAAGATCAAGAAGAGGAAATCACTCATATAGCAATTAACAAACCGATCCCATTATCAAACATTGACAGTGCGAGAGAAAATATTAAACGGATTCCGTTAAACATTCTCCCGATATACGGAGACTTTGGCCCAGAACCTTCATTAAACATGATTCACAACCCCACATCTACCGACCTTCAAAATGCATTCTGGTGCCATTCTAAACAAAATGGTGTTTATCAATATTGGGCTCCACGATTCATTATGTTCAGTCGAGGAAATATAAAGGAAAAAATCAGAATCTTTGAAACTTTTGATAATATTGCTGGCAATGATATCATAGACTTGTATGCTGGTATAGGTTACTTCACGTTGTGTTACTTGAAGAAGGATTGCCGTAAACTCTACGCTTGGGAATTGAATCCTTGGAGCATTGAAGGCTTGAAAAAAGGTTGCGAGAAAAATGGGTTCAAGTACCAAGTTATCAGAAACAATATGCCTTGGATTTATGACCCAACAGCAAGAATTTACATTTTCAATGAATCCAACGAGTTTGCTCCACAAAGGTTTGGAGAGTTATCATCGATATTGGCTACCTCTCAGATACTTAGATTGACTCATATCAACCTAGGATTGTTACCTAGCTCAAAGCCTTCGTGGGAAATATCGATGGAAATCATCAAGAATTTCAAAATAAGCGATCTCGACCTTGATAGCATAGTTCACGTTCATGAAAATGTCCACATAAGAGAATTTGATTCTTTCATTAAGTCTACGGAATCTGAGTTGTCGAAGTTAGTGAATAATACTGGTAGTAAATACAATGTGAAATACCTCCATTTGGAACGAATCAAAACTTATGCCCCTGATGTTTGGCATGTTTGTGTGGACTATTCCGTTGGTTCTTTGGCTTAAAATTTTCTTCTTATCAAGTACTGTTGCATATATATTAAAAATACAGTAAAGCGATTTGTATTATAGAATAAATGCATTTTAATACCATTTTTTTCACCAGATACTCGATGTGGGTTGTCAACAGTATTGGGGGGTAGAAAAGCCTACAGGAAAAAAAAAATATAAGAAAAAAAAACAAAAAACGATGAGATATTCCTCAAATGAGTAAGTGACATTTATTCAAGTAGATTGATTGAATTGATGATAAACAAAGATTCATACAATGTCTTGTCACCATGAACATAATCACGGCCACCATCATGGCGACAATCACGATGAGGCTGACCACATCCTTCCAATTCCAACCAATGCGTCGCAAAGTCTTCGAAACCAAATCGATTTCCAAAAACTTACTGCATTGAATATTGAACAGCAAAATAGTGACATCTATAAGATCTTTGATAAATATGACGATTCTAAATACCAAATCAAAGATTTTATAAGCAGTGACACCGACGAGCAAATAATATTGAACATCCCTTTCTTGGATAGCAGCGTGAAATTGTTTTCAATAATCTTGAAGACCAGCGGTGGGGATCAATGTCCGCAAACCATTAAGCTATTTAAGAACAAGAATAACATTGATTTTGATAATGCCGAAGATATGAAAGCTGATTTCACTTTGAACCATCCCCAGGTCGGTTTTGAGGGAGATAGCAATGTTCAGGAGCAAGATATTAACGATGATAACTTTGTGGAACACTTTTTGCCCCGTCACGTATTTACAAACACTACTCAGTTAACGTTCTTTATTAGGGATGTCTATGACGAAGATGAAGATCAAAGTAAAATATATTATATCGAACTAAGGGGGGAGTTCAAGAAATTGACCAAGGACCCGGTGATCACAATGTACGAAGCAGCTGCCAATCCAGCTGATCATAAGAACACTACCGCAAGTCTCGAAAGAAACCAACACTCTATCCAGTGAGCATAAAAATTCTCAAACAAATATATATGAGGAAACTAGGCCAAGATTTGTTGTTTGGTGGTATCTTTTGTGGTATCTTTTGTGGTATCTTCTGTTGCATGCTCGGGTTTTTTGATCTCTTTATTAGGGTCAACCTTAGGAAATATAGGGATACTGTTTGTGTCGGATATTTGGTTGATCTTTTTGATCTTGTCAGTTTCGTCAACCGACTGTTGTTGTTCTTGTTCAGTATGCAATTCTTTCTCCAATCTTAAGAAATCTTCTTGTATTTCCTCATCGGTTACTTGACTAACAATGCCCTGGCCAATCATGTCACCGATTTCGTTTTGTATGTCTATCTGTTCAGAGGCATTATTTACAATGCTTTCTACTTTATCAGGGCTGCATTCTTTGTTTAGCGCTTTCAAGATTTGATTTCCTGTCTGTAAGCTCTTTAAGAAATCCTTTTCGATCAACTTGAATTGAATTGTAGATATGAGTTCTTCCAACGAGTCTATTTGTTGTAGGGTTTTGCTTAGAAGTTTCTGGTGACTCTTTTGGCGTTTGAGGTATAACAAGGCTCTTTGACGGTCATTTTTTGATAGACTGAGTTTGGCCTGATTTAGGTCATTATTGATAAGGATATTGAGGTTTTTGTTGTACTTGAGGAGGCTATCTCTTTGCAATTTGATCTTGAAAACTGCCTGGTCGGTCTTGTTTATCTGGGGGGTCGAGGATCCTTGTCCCATAGTATGATAGCAAGGGGTTTTAAGTAACAGTAGTAGATAGGCAGATGGATAGACCCTATAGTTCTCAGTCAGTCACCCAGTCAGTCAGTTAAACACCCGTTTTTTCTATGTGATGGATCCCACAGGGGCTCGCAACATGTAGAGGTTTGGCACCCCTTATCCAGAGGACGCGCGCACAACTTTTTTTCATCCCTTTTTTTACTTACTGTCTTCCTTTTCCTTTTCGTTTTCGTTTTTGTTTTCTTCTCCTATCTCTCAATATATACCATCACAGCTCCCTATTTCTGTCGCTCATACCACTCCTTTTATCAGCAACAGACAATAGAACACTCATTTACCACCTACTGCTCATATCTTTTCTTTTCTTTTCTTTTTTTTTACAACCCCTTTGCCCAAATCCTAAGTCTTGGTAGTTGTCATATATCAAATACCTGACCCCAATATTTCTTTTCGAGATCCTGTGTTTCAGTTACTATCAAGTTCTTGTATATATCCTACCACAGGGAAATATAACCAGAAAACACACGGTTTCTACATTCATTTATCACTATCAAAAACCTGGCTATTCATAATAATACTGTGTTGTTTTTGACACCCAATAATTTTTTTACAAGATGTCTGATATTCTTTTGGAAATAGAATCCTCTTTGGCAGACCAGGAGAACTCATCAAACTCCATTAGGTTGATGCTTCTGAACTTGAAAGACGACATCAGTGACAATGAAGCTTTTGAACAAGAACCAAAAATTACCAAGAAACAAATTAATGAGTTATGTCAAAAGGCCGATGATGTTGATGTGGTATTAGTGTGCCCCAAATGTAATAATTTCTTGTTCACCGATGACCTTGATGCCAAATCGGCTAAACTCACTGAAAGCTCTGGTGATTGTTGTCAACAGTACTATGAAAAATGTCACAAGATTTCTAGAACCAATTTGGAGTACTGGTATTACTTTTTAAATAATCCTTTCAAAACCATCAATACTTTGCCAAACTATACCAGATTCTTGTTTTATTCTATAGAAGGTATCCCAACACAATTAAGATCCAGAATCTGGGGTATGTTGTTAGGATCTTGTACTAATTTTGGTGAAATCAACAACAACTGGTGTGAAAGCCTATTTGCCAATTTAAACGGTGAAAACTCTCCATATTTAAGAGTTATTGTCAACGATTTGAACCGGATTTTCCCAAATTTGGACTACTTTCAAAACAAAGAATTAGGTCAAGCTAACTTGAAAAAAATATTGAATGCCTATTCGTTATATGATGCAGAAATTGGGTATTGCCAAGGTTTGTCCTTTTTAATCGGGTTAATATTATTTCATTTTAAATCCAACCCAATGACCTTCTTGGCAACTATCAATATCTTTGAGCAGAAGAAGAACTTGAATTTCAAGAAGATTTTCGATGAAAAAATGTCCGGGTTGAAATTATGGTTTTATCAATTTGAAGAAATTTTCAAAAAACATAACGTCACTCTATACAATCATTTTAAGGAGTTGAATATTGATTTGAGAATATTCACTTCTAAATGGTTTTTATCCTTCTTTGCCGTCGGTTGCCCAATGCAGATCTTGATCAAATTGTTTGACATCATGTTCATTGAAGGCTTCCAATCATCGATTTTCAAAATTTCTTTAATCATTTTGAGCAAGAACAGTAACATTTTGATGGAATTATCTGAAGCCGAAGAAGTTCATCAATTGTTGTTGTCCACAAATATTTGGGATTGCTATGAAAGTAACTTGAATTTGATTATTGATGATTTGTTGAGCTTGAACCCAGATTTAGTTTCGCAAGAATTCTTACAAGAACTCGAAGACAAGTTCAAGAAAGACCAATCCAAATTGTCACACTCCACTTCCTCTTCATTACTTGCTCCAAAGAATTCCTCTGGCCATAGACACACAAAATCCGCTAATAACTTAATCGTGAATGTCTCTAAGGCCAACTGTCACGAAAAAACTTCTAGTATTAGCATTGGCGCAACAAGCAGTGATATCTCTGGTGACACTGAGGCTCCTATAGATAGAGCACAACAAGTATCCAAATCAGTTTCTAATACCCCAATGGAGGCAGAGTCTTCTTTCTTTAGATTCTTCAAATATGGTTTCTCAAATCCCGCCACCGCGATCCCAACTCCAACTGATGATCACTATCCTATTGAGGAGTCTGCTAATAAATCTATCACCCTTGATGCGCTCATTGCTGCTGAGAGTACTAAGAATGATGTCTCGGTTGAGAAATCTGGTGATAACACCCATGAAGAATTGGATTCCAGCACCAGAAGCTCGACATGTTCGAACCTTTTTGATGATGACAGCTTCTCTCAAAATGAAACTGAATCGTCTAATTCCTCCACTAATAGCCCAATTTTGAGTAATGAGGAAACCGAGAAGAATAAGAAAAAGTTGGTGAATGAAATTATTATCAACTCACCAGATATTGACTTGGAAAATCAAGCAAACTCTAACAATAATGGTGGTTCGCTAATTCCAAAACCACAAGATTCTCAAAAGCAACAACAACAACAATCACAATCGAAATTATCAAACTCTTTCTCCTGCTCCACCCAGTTAAATGATCAAATCAACTATTTCTCAAACATTCCTCCTCCACATGCCAAATCCAATTCTGGACATGCCCACGTTGGTCATTCCAGAACTGTATCGGAAATGAGCGACTATCATTCTTTATCCAAGAACACGGTTACTGGTCTTTCGATCGAAAATTCTAAAAAATACCACCATTCCAAAAATTACTCTGTTTCCAATGTTTCTCTCTATTCAACATCGACTGATGGCTCAACATTTAGTGCCCAGCCACCAACAATGTTATCGCCACTGTCACAACTTGGTGAACCAACTTTTTCTTCCTTCAATCATATCATGAATACCTCAGCCCCAATAGGCGGTTCAGCATTGAGTCCTTCGCTCAAAGGCATGAGCAATCACCACCGTGGACATAGTTATACCCCTAGTATCAGCAGCATCTCTTCTATAAATAAGAGGAATATGGCTGAAATGAGAGAAATTGAAATGGCCTCAGAAATGGAATCGTTAAAGTTTAAATTGGAATCGTATGAACGTGTCATTGAAGATGACAAGCAGTTGATCAAAAGTTTATTTAAACTATACTTGATGAAGGATGACTTGGCTGGCGATGAGTTAGATGAGGCAGGCAAAGCCAAGTTAGAAAATAAGTTGAAGAGAAGAGAGTATAAGGTGTTGAAGGAGGTTGAGGAAAGGTTGAAGTTGTGAGTTACAAGTACCAGATTTTTATTAAACAAGAACTTAAAAAAGAAAGAAAAAAAAAAATATTAAGCCATTTTGTTTTTAAAAGCCAACAATTAGTTTTAGATCCCATGCCTTTCCTTCTAATAGGATTTCTCTTCTGTTTTTTTACTCCCCCTGTTTTTATGATTTTATGATTATTTTTTTCTTTTTGTTTTTTGTTCTACGCTGTTTCATTCTACCCGTTTTTTCTATTCGTTTTTGTGTTTTTTGTTTGTTTTGGAGTTTTACAGGATCCACATCTTAAATTATTTATACACACTCATATTGCTCTATATATATGTAAATTGATTAAATTTGCAAAGTTTTGACCTTAATTTTCTGTCCTTAGTTGGATGGCGATGTGTCTGTGTGCGTTTAGTAAAAGAAAATCACCTAAAATTTGCTTCACAAATAACAATAATAATAACCAATGCTTCGTGTTTCCCTCAAATCAGGTATTATCCTCAGTGCTTTTTTCCCCAGTCCTTCAATCAATCAATGGCAAGTAATGAATCAAAAGAACTCCAAGCTACATTTGCCAAACTCAAATATCTTCAACAGCGGCTCAACGAAATCAAACCAATCGACAACCCTGGCCATCATCATCATTTGATTGAAAGATTTGGAATATCAAGACTGCTGCAACTACTGGACCAGTCAAGGGTTCATAAACCTCAAAACATAAATAATAATGAAACCCTAGATCTCTTTCGTTCGATTTCACGGAGACGCAGAAGAACAACCGACAATCTTGGAACCGCTGCTTCAAGCGTATCGGCAATTGACATTAGCGATAGGACGGTAGAACATCAATATGATTTTCCCATCACAGAAGGACTAAATGACCAAGAATACTCAAAAAAAGCAACCATAGAAACCGTTACTGCTACTGATGCTAAAAATATTGGTAGTAGTCCTGTCACATGTACGAAAACCGCGACATACTTGCCATATGATAAAGAGTTCATGCTAAGCTTGATTTCCACATATTCCTCCCCTTTGAACTGGAACCTTGGGTCTGACATCCTGAACTCATCAAAATTGAACCCTCTAACCTGTTCATTAAATGGATGGAAATGTCAGGTCAATAACTTGCTTTGTTGTGTATCCTGCCATGCTACGGTTTTAATCCGGTTCCCCAAAGATGAAACCACCACCGAGCAGGAATTCCTCGACGACATAACTGGTAAATACCTCGACTGTATACATTCAAAACATCTCGATAATTGCCCTTGGAGATTGAACCCATCGAAAAGATCGTTGAGCTATGACATCAGCTCGGTAAATGATAGTTATGAATTGAAGAAGTTTGCAAAGAGAGTGGTTGGTTTAGCCTCGATGATGGAGTCCTGTAAAGGATTAAAGACAATATTATATCAATTGGTAGCTGGAAGTAATGATAAATTCGGCACCAATATTAATGCGGTCAAACAATGGTGTCGTTTGAAGAATATTGCTGAAACCAATGGGGAGTTGGACAGTGTTATCAAGTTGGCGTTGACTGGATGGTATGTGAAGTTTAATTCTCGCCAAAATGTGATCCTACAATGTGATTGTTGTGGGTCAGAGAGTATCATTCCAAAAGATGGGTCAGCGCAAAATGATTATCTATTCGACTTTATTGATGATCACAACTTCCATTGGTGCTGCTATGTTCAAAAGGAAAGTGGTCGATATTCGTTTGAGACGTTGTTAGACTTTGTGCAGGTGGACATCAATGATCAGAAGACTACTTTTCAGGATGTTGGAAAATCGTTGAAACAGTTGATCTCGCTGGTTGGATCTGTATAAGTTGCTTACTGTATGATGGGAAGACTAGAGTAGTAATCTTTGAGGGTTGTTTAACTACGCATATAGTTTCTTTTTTTTTGTTTGTTTGTTTTTCTGTAAGGATAAATGAAAAGAAGGTATCAAAAGGTCTCGACACGACGTTAATGGTATGAGACTGTAGAACATAAGGAAAAAGAAAGAGGGGGAATAAGAAAAGAAAGAACAATTAAAAGGTAAATTAAAAAATTTATGTGGTATCTATAGTAATGATACAATCCAACTTGCTTTGTGAAAATTATGCAATCTCAACATGAACAAAATAAATGTAAAAAAAAAAAAAAAAAAAAGAAAAAAAATGTAAAAGGCTCAAAACTTCAATTAGCTTTCTTCTTCATCATTCTCATCCCTTGGCAAAGGGCTCTTACTGAGGGCAGCCAATCTTCTTCTCTTTTCAACTTCAGTTTCTTCGTCGGGTTCTGATTCGTCCAGTTCTTCTTCAGAGCTAGTGGCGTCATCGTCATCGTCATCACCATCATCTGCTTCGGTATCAGCCTCCTCTTCACCATCATTTTCGGTCTTATATGTTGCAGAATTAACCTTCTTATTAGAGTTTTCGCCCTCAACAGGCCCATCGGAAGTCAATTTCTTCAATCCTACAGCACTCAAGGTCTTTCCCATAAGGGATCCTGAGGCAGGTTTAAGGTCAATACTAGCACCATCGTCATCCTTATCATGTTGATGAATTTCATATCGTCTAACAACCTCGCCATCCTCGTTTTCAATCACCAAATAGTTATCCACTTTATATGCATAAGCCTTCTTCCGGCCAGATAAAGTGTGTACGAGGTTTTTCATCTGCTTAGCCGAGCTGATCCTGGTGAGTGACAGCGGAGAGCCACTTTTGTTACTGATAGCAGAAGCAACTCTGGAAAGAGGACGTCTCTTTGATCTTGTTTTTTCTTCATCTGAATCAAAAGACTTATCACTGTCCTCATCATTATCACTGGCGTGAGATTTCTTTTCAAGATTAATGGTATCGATCACTTCTCCATTTTTGGCTTCAACAATGATCTTGTTGCCTTCACCATAAGCCATAAGTTTCTGATGTTTTTCGGAAGATGAGCTTTCCAATTTTTCATCAGTGGCTTCATCTCCAGAACTGGTATCAAGTTGAGTCTTATTTTCAACAGCAGCAGCCGCTTCCAACATTTGGTTCTTTTCGTTATCGGTTTCGCCATTATTTTCGGTAGTCTTGTCTTTGGATAAATAGAATTGTTCTGCTGCAGGTCTACGCTTCTCGAGATAATCTTGGCGTGATTGCAGTTTCGATAATCTATTTTGCCTTCTCTTTCTTCTCTTTTTCTTATCCATCCCGCCAGCAGGTCTGTACTTTATACCGCTTGTTTCAATAGTATTAGCTGGTAATATTTGTTCATGGGCAACGATATTATCATCATCTTTATCATTATTGTTCTTCTTCTTCTTCTTTTTCGACTTGCGTTTGATAGCTTTAGTGTCAACTCTTTGCAAAGAAAATGATCTGCCATTGGTATCCAATTTAGGCAACCTATTAAGCCATGTAGTACCAGTGGTATTGGCAGTATTGGTGGCAGTGTAAGACATCGAAATTGCCATACTGTTGAGATGACGGCCCAAAGTAAAAACCGCCACAGATGAACCATGAACAATAATGGAAGAAATGATCAAGAAACAGACAATCGGCCAAATACAGGCAATTAACTGATAATTTGGTGAGCCAGGTAAAGGCAATTCTTTTAATGGAGTTTTACTGTCTGTGTCCACGGATTCCAACTCACCTCTGGCCAAGATCGCTGCGAACACTGCACCAACACCAATCGGACCAAAATGGCCACAAAACAACGCTTCTCTCCAAGTCTTGATATCGGGGATGAAAGGTTTTAGTGCCAAAACTGCTGGAATACGACGCAAAAATAAAACGACAATTGCCAAAACAATCAATCTCCATACGTCTGTGCCAATACTAGGATTATTAAATTGTTCCCACGGGATGATGGCACCGAAATAAACAAAATATGACATATTTAATAACAAATCAATTACTGTAGAAACATGGGTTTCTTCAGTCTTTTTGGCAAACCATCCGTCCCAGGCAAAAGTCGCACCGGCCGCAAATGATACTAATAAATCGTCGACACCCAACATTGAGCCAAACCCAGCACACATTAAGGCAAGGACAATATAGAATGCCAAAAATGACTCTCTGTCAATCAAGTTATGTGCCTCGGCAAACTTAATTGCGTGCCTGCCACAATATCCAATAATCACCCCCAAAATGCAACCAAATACACATTCGTACAAAATAGAAACACAGATCCAATCCTTGATGATTTCACCAGCATGGCCATGATGAATCACTAAATTAAGACCTAAATAAATGAAAGGGAAAGCCATACCATCATTACACCCCGATTCAGCAGACAAGATATTTCTCAAGTGACCTGGAACCCTTTGGGCAAACTTCCCTTTACCAACAACTGCCGCAGCCAAAACAGGATCTGTGGCTGTAATACATGCAGATATAATAAGAGAGTCTGAGAAATTCAAGTTAGGAATCAATAGATAAATAAAGGCACCAACAATCAACCAGCCAGCGGTCATCACTGGTACCAATAATATGAAAACAGATAACCAGTGTCTCAACATATATTTCTTTGGCAATTCAACCGCAACCGCAAAGATCAGTACAACCAACGTTATTCGAGAAAGTTCTAAGGTGATATAATCACTATTTCCCCATGTTGTTGGGGCAAACCAGTCTAGGCAATGGGGTCCGACAATCAACCCATAAATGGTAGCAACTGTTGCTTCACCAATGTAGAGCTTCTCCTTGACAATAAGAGATATCAAAGAGAACACAACAGTGAAGACACCAATTACAGCATATGCAATATGGGCCTTGTCAATCTACTAAGAGTTAGTATCCGATCCTTAATGGGGCAGAAAGTGATCTAAACACAAAGCCGGGCCCAACAGAATTGACGCAGCTGGATCCAGAGAATAAGACACTCGTTTCCATCGCTTTCCCGTAGGTCACTATTGTTTCCTCAGAAGCATCTCCATACTTACATTTAGATGCTCCCAAACCATTATGTCTCGGTGTCTGAGGATAAGCGAGAAGGGGCGAAGGTTAACAGAAAAAAAATTATCGAAAGAAGCAATATCCTTCCATCTTATCTGCAACAGCCCCCACCTACGGGCACACAACCGCCATCAGGGTCCCTACCCTTTCGGGGCAATAACCGCTCTTTGAGGCATAAAAGCGGTGTCTATTATACGGTTTTAGAATCAGAGAGAATATAATAAGAAACAGATAGAAAAAAAAAACGTTATATTAGGGTGCAAGATTATTGGAGTATATAAAAGTGCTGTGGGTGGGTGATTAAACCTTTAACTTTTATGTCTATATATACAGAACGGAGAGAGTAGAAACGCAATCCCTAAACAAAGAGATCGGAGCCGACTTTCTATGGTTTATGGCATATCTCGAGACACATTTTGAGAGCCAAGATATTCATTCATACGAATATTGCCATATGATTTATTTTGGGGTGCAGTTGGAAAGTAAAGCAAAAAAGTCAAATCAAAAAAAAAAAAAACATGCAACAGAATCAGTTACCACTGCCAGAGAACTTGAATCTCTTTCTAGTTGGAGCAAATTCCCCCAACTTAAAACCAACCATATCTTCTGTCACTTTGAAACTAACGTATTCTTTACCATTATGAACTTGGAATAATATACCGACAAACTGTGGCAAGATGGTGCAAGATCTGGCATTGGTTCTGATAGGCACTTTTTCCTTGAGAGCCTTGGAGATTGGCAAAGGCACGATGTGGGGACCTTTCCAGGCTGATCTTGCGAGATTTACCACACTTCCTTTCATCTTTTCTTTGTCGCTTTCTTCTATATCTCTACTTCTCTATCCTTCGACCAAAATTATTTTGGACTTTTTTTTTTCACTCTGTGCCAGGCCGGCAGTGCCGCTAACCAAAATCTCGAATCCCTCCAAAAAAATTTTCTGACTGCGATGAGCCGTTGATGGAGATGAAACAGAAAAACAGGTAAAGAAGGAGGTGCTGATACTATGTTTGCTTCAAGATATGTACCAGAGTCTAGTAGAAAGAGAAGTTATGAGAGCAGTGAGAGTGAAAGTGAAAGTGGCAGCGACAGCGACAGCGATGGTGGTGAGCAAATAGAGAAACCTTTGGAGGTTGAGCAGGAAGATAGTGATAATAATGATGATGAGACCTCACAGCCATCTGATAAAGAGGAGAAAGATAGTGAATCAGAGTCTGAAGATGAAAGTGTTTCTAGTAATAAATCAGAAGACTCTGAATCTGAGTCTGAGAATATGCCAAACGAAGTTGACGATTCAAATCAGACGAAGCACTCTTCGATTTTCAAAAGATTGAAGGCCTCATTAGATATACTGAAAAAGCTTGTTGACATAGACCAAGATCAAGAAGAGATGTCTGATGATGGTTCTAGAGCTGTGGAACCTGCTGAATTGGTGCCAATTCCTCAGCCAGAACTTCCTAAGGATAAGAGAGTGTATCTTTCGTCAAACGTTAATGGCGGGAATTTAGATTACATTGCCAAACCTGTTTATTATGCCTCAACCACCACCAAACCATTTGATACCTTATTTAATGAAATATTTGGGCTGTCACCTAATAAATATCAGCAATTGGTATCTAACCTCAAGTCTAACAATTTTGAAAGCGCATTTTCTGTTCAACTAGCAGTGTTCAACGAACTCGTTTCAAAAAATAAATGTTTCACCTCTCCGATTAACAGTCCAAATAATAATAATGGGGATTTATTAGTCAATGCTGCCACAGGTTCGGGTAAAACTTTGGCGTACCTCATTCCAATCCTTATGTCACTTTCCAACAGAATTGTGCCAAAACTTTCGTGTATTATATTAGTCCCAACTAGACCTTTAGTGAACCAGGTCCTTGCAACCGTGAATTCTTTGACAAAAAATTTGGGGTTGAATGTAATTGCCTCCAATAGTAACTTGTCTATCAAAAAAGAGATGGAGAAATTCCAAAATTTCAAGCCAGATATATTGATTAGCACCCCAGGTAGATTGGTAGATTATTTGACTTATAACGATAAGAACGATGATTATGAAACACAGCTGACCGGGTACAAGTTGAATTTAAGATATTTACAATTTTTAGTAATTGATGAAGTTGATAGATTGTTGAACCAATCATTTCAAAACTGGATAAATATCGTCAACAAAAAGATTGAATCAGATAAATTGCCAGTGGCACATAATGAAGTATTCAACTACAGTATCCAAAAGTTGTTGTTTTCTGCTACTTTGCATAATGACGTTAATAAGCTATCATCTTTCAATTTCTACAAGCCAAAGCTTTTGGTCGTTGATGATGATAAATTTGCTAATAACGATGCAAACACCGGCTTGGATTCATCATTTTATAAAGTTCCAGAGAACTTGCAAGAATTTGAGATCTTTGTCAATAAAGAATTTGAATCGTTTAAACCGTTGCTTCTTCTCAAGTCTCTTATTGAGAATCACTCTTTTAAAAACATTTTGGTGTTCACCAAATCTAATGAATCGTCACTTAGGTTAACAAAATTGCTCAACTTATTATACACAAACTATCAGCGCTTTTATTCCCAAGAGCTTCCTCAAGAAATAGAGATTCATTATTTGAACTCCACCGTCAGTGGTAACAACAAAAAGAAAATCCTCAATAGATTTACCTCTGATAAGATCAACATCTTGGTGGTAACTGATTTGGTTTCTCGTGGTTTAGATTTAACTAATGTTGAGAAGGTCATAAATTATGATCTTCCTATTTCTTCCACGGATTACGTTCATAGAATTGGGAGATGTGCAAGAGCGTATAACTATGGTGAAGCGATAACCATGATTTGTGGTAATGGGGATAGAAAATGGTTCAACAAAATAACAAAACCGATTAAAAGAAAGAATGAAATCAAGAAGTTGTTATTCAGCCAAGAAAAGGAAAGTGAGGGTGCTAAGTTGGTGCTCACTGAGTTGGAGAACAAGTTTTATAATGACTCTTTGGCTCAATTACAGGATGCAGTTTTAAGCCGTGGTTAGAAATTCAAATAAATATTGTTTGTTAATGGATGATAATACATGTAAGAATTTTCTATTCAAAAAATGAAATGCATGACTTGATGAACAAAAGCAAAAATCAAAAAAAAAAAATTGATTTTTTTTTGCCTAAAACGGTTATGCGAGATTTCAGTTGATTAATCAATTTCAAACTAAATCACACTCATTTACTATTGTACAATTCTTATTCTTTATTTTAAGAAGAGCTTTTCTTAGCTATTGCTTGCTGTTTAATATTTGATTTTCGTGGTCTTTGAATTTTCTTTTTAATATTCTTTTTAGCATTCTTTTTAGCATTCTTTTTAGCATTCTTTTTGGCATTCTTTTTTTTTTTTTATTATTTTATTTTTGTTTTCTTATATAGTTTTGATTCCTTGTAATAAAGAAAAAGAGTTGATAAAAAAAAAATATATGGTCAGCAGAGAAGCAGAACCAAAAGAGAAAATTTAACCCCACAGCAAATGTGCCAACAAAGTTTCACAGAAGAAAGAAAAGCGCGACATATGTTGTCAGGGACAAGTAAGCCACTTTCGAAATCTTCCCCAAATTAGAAAATGCTCCAATATCAGATACCCAGCATACCGAAGAAACGGTTTGAAAGTTCGTGTTGTTTAAAAATACAGCAGACCTTCAACTAATAAGGATTGAATCCTCCTCTACCTCTGTAACCCCCTCTGAAACCTCTGCCTCTGAAACCTCTACCTCTACCACGCCCTCTTCCACGGTTAAGACCTGGAATATTAGTACGCTTTCTGGTCACTTTCAACTGTCTACTTCTAAAGATGCTTTCATTCAACTTCAAACCTTCATTGACCAAGGTAGGGTCGGAGAACTCGATATAAGCAAACCCTTTAGGATGACCGGAGATCTTGTCCAACAAAATTGTCACACGATTGATTGGACTGGCGCCGGAAGCTTGGAAATGTTGCTTCAATTCTTCGGGAGTGGCACCATAATCGACATTCCCAACGTACACACTGCGGGCATCAATGTCAGCCTTATCTTCCTGTGACACTAGCGAGTTTTTCTCCAATTGACTTTGCATTTCGACCAATTTGGCAGACTCTTTTTCCATTGCTTCTATTTGCGACTTCATACGCTCCAATTCTTGATCTTCGGTGGATAAGGTGGTAGTGGCGGCGGCGGCAGAAAATGAGTTCAACGAACCGGCAGCAGGGGCAGGGGCATGGACAGACAAGCCGCTCTCTGAAACATTATCTGGGATTATATGTTGCTGTTCTTCGGACATTATTGCTATGTGTTTCTAGAATTAAGTAACTACAACTATTCAAGTAATAAATACTTGATCAATTGCAGTTGTTTAAGGCAAAAAAAAAAAATCAGAGCAAAAAAAAAAAATGTGCATTTTGTGCTCCAGGCACTGCAATTTTGACGTTTCCGCACACCCAAATGACGAATCTGAACAAATAATCTTTAACAATAACGATTCTTCGCTTTGTTTGGTAACAATCACATACTCTAATGTTTTTGGGGATTGCCTTGCCTTATTAGTGGATTCCTATTGTGTTAGCTCGGCGAACTGACCGATTCATGGTCACATCACGTGTGGGCGATGAGGGTGAGTACCCAACGAAAGGGAAACAAACGTTCCTTTCTAATAAAATGTTTATTTTCCATCTTCTACTTTCGAGTAACACAAAAAAAAAATTGTGCAGAATAACCAAGTAACATTCAATGTCACCCAGTTGCTTAGTTTTTCTACTCAACTCCCTCATTGTTGCCGCTAGTGTCCATGCTAGTGTTGCTTCTGTGGCTGCGCCCGCACTGCTGCTGCTGTTAGCAGTCAACGATGGCGACAGTCTAACTGTTATAGACATATTGTCAAAGAATGTGGAATTTAGCGTGTTTTTGAGAGTTCTACAACGAAGTGGGCTAATACCGACCTTGAATATTCGCAAAAACTTCACACTTATTGCTCCTGTTAATTCTGCTTTTGCTTACTCCAATTTTGAAGATGACTTGCTGGTAATTCAGGATAACATCCATCAATATATTATTAACAATTCCTTCTTGTCTTCTGATATCGAGGGACTTCAAATCTTTGAGACCACTAAGGAACCAGTCAATAATGTTTTCACCCCAATAACCGTGGAAGTTTTGCAAAATGATTATGATGATAATGAGAATATGTTCACCATTGATGGGGTAGAAGTGGTAGAGCCTAATTTAATTGCCTACTCGCAAGATTCTGTGGTTCATGGTATCAATCAAATTTTACCAGTAAGTGCGTCTACTTGCGAGTTTGTTGATACTTTATCCAGTAACTATAATGGGAGTTTCGATATTTTTAGTAAACTAATGGCTGTGGATTACTGTAGTGCAGACAAACTGATTTCAGGAACCACATTGTTATTACCATTAGATGAGAATATTGAAATCAATGATATAGAATTGAACTATTTGCTGTCCACTCACGGCTCTGCCGATAGAAGCCTCCTTGTTAATAGGAATATCTTTCATGGATATGTTGGCGGGCAAGTTGCTGGTGTTTATAAAGATTTTAATGAAGATGATGTTGAGTTCCAAAACCTTCATGATGGTAATATAGTTATTATTGATGGTAAGAAAGCCAAATATTCAAATGTTCTATCTGATGATGGGATCATTCACATTGTTGGAGAATTCGATCCATCGCCTGTTGAGTTTACTCCAAGAAAATATTTATACGGTTTGAATAGTGATGATTTTGTCGATGAGCTTGATTTCAGAAGCTTGTCCTATTTAATTGATGATAACAGTATTTCGCAAACCTTGTTCCTCTTCGAAGAAGAGGATGATGATAATGAGGGTAGTTCTTTTGGAAAACGAGACTTGATCGTCCTTGACAAAAAATCTATTAAAGCTCAAAGTTCAACTCATAAGGATCAATTGCTTTATCATTTTATTGACGGAAAGATTGATGTTTCAAGCTCTGGACTTTACGACAGCAAAGTGTGTAGAAACAAGAGAATCGGTAATAATTGTCAAAAAATCAAAATCAATCACAACGCAAACACAGGGTCATTATCTTTGAACAATGAAGTGAAAGTGTTAAATCCATCAGAAAAAATCTCTATTGCTAACACTGATATTTATCACATTGATAAGGAGTTTTTCTTGCCTCTGAGTTTAGAGAGTGCTGTTGGTTCGTTAAGTCGCTGTACTACTTCCATGAAGTATTTAAATGCTTTCAATCTATTGGATTTGGCAAACAATAAAAAAGGTTATACTGTTTTCTTACCTTGTTTCAGCAGCTGGTCAAGATTAGATTTAACTCTTGATTACTTGAAGAAGAATAGCACTGCATTATTATCTATTTTGCAAAATGGGATTGTTAATGGATTGGTTTATAGCGATTTTGATGAAGATATTATCACTACTAATCTTAATAATGAGTTGGTTGAAATTAAACCTGTGAAAAGCGATGACCATGAAAATTTCAACAAGTTGTTAGTGAATGGTAGGGAAATCAATGTTGAAAGAAACCGTGATATCATATTTGACAAAGGGGTTGTGCAACCAATTAATGGTGTTGTTATTCCTCCACATGTTCAGATAACTTTGACTGATCTAATCAAAACTGCTTCCCCAGACAATAATTTGTTCCTTGAGCTAATGGATTTCACCAATTTATCACACGTTTTGAACAGCCCAAATTACTCTGTTATTCTTCCCAGTACAATGGCCTTAACTGCCGCTAACTTCACGAAGTTTACGCCGTTATCAATCCTTGAAACTTTTTTGAAGTTGCACATTGTTCCAAATCACGTCTCCCATGGTGAAAATGATATTGATCATGATAACTTATTCGACTGCGGTTCTAAGATCCCAACATTGTTGGACAGTGTTCACTTGGCTTGCAGACCGTTCAATGATAGATCCAATTACTTGCAAATTGTTGAGGGTGCTGACTTAGAAGTTAGAATCTTGAAAACTGGTTGTTCCACATTAAGTAACCAATCATGCATTTTTGTGATTGACAAGGCAATTTTACCAGATTGGTTGAGTCCTGGAAAAAAGTTGAAATTTCATTTACCACTTGCCGCTTACGGGGTTGGGTTCGTGTCGGGTATTATCTTCATATTCCTTTTATTACCATGTTGTTTGTTAGCTATTGTTAAAAGCAGCAAAAGCCAGAATGTGGCGGATGATGAACAAGATCCGGAGTCTGGAGAAGATCAAAGATTATTACCATCGACCTCCAATGACCAGCATAATTATGATCTGATCTCCAATAGTACCCTAAGAGAATCTATTCCTCAGCCTATTGCCAACCACAGTGGTCAAAATCAAATACCTATATTTTAAATTTTCTGTTCTAAATATCTACTACTACTAGATTTTTTTGATTATTATTTATTAGGGATCTATTGTTTCTGTAAACAGAAAAAATAGTGACATTTTATGTTCCAAATTTCTAATTTTTATGTTTTTTATTTCAAACCTCCGAGTTGCTGTTGTTGTTGTTTTTCTTTTTTTCAAGTTCTAATTAATATATTATTGAATTGTGCTTTGTTATTAGCTAGCAAATTTTTCAGTCAGTCAAGATTGGTTTGATATGAAGCTAGAATCATACTGTTATTTATGGTTTACTTGGTGATCTACAGTTCTGGGCATTTATAAAATCATGAAAATAAATAAAGTCATATATTGGAGATACTAAAGCAGTGAGTATATATTTTTCTTGTAGGTTGCAATTCCGTTTGTCAGAATCATTACATCATCAAAACCACATTTCTTAATTGGAAACAGTGGTTGGGTTTGGGTTCTTCCAGCCGCTGGCACCAACCACACCGTGTTTTTCATCATCGTCAAACACGATGAATGGAGACCAATCTGGGTTAACAAATCTCTTTTGAGCATTCTTACCAATGGCATTAATTTTCTCACCATCTTCATTCGATAATTCCACGGTGAACAAGTTATCGTGGATTCTTTCTGCCTTCACGGATTTTGGCAACACGATGGTACCTCTCCACAACGCCCAAGAGATCAAGATTTGTGCAGAAGATGCCTGGTATTTTTTAGCCAATTCGACGATAACTGGGTTCTTCAACAACTCAGCGGCATCAGCACCGCCCAATGGGGTGTGGGCTTCAACATGGATCCCCTTTGATTTGCAGAAAGCCAATAATTCCGGTTGAAGAAGGTACAAATGGGCTTCGATTTGGTTGACACAAGGAACAATCTTGGTGGTTGGCGCTGCCAACAATTCGGTCAACTTGGCAATCGTGAAATTAGACACCCCAATGGACTTGGTCAACCCCTTTGCAACCAAATCTTGGAAATAAGTCCATGTCTTGACAAAGTTATTCGAGTGGTCCAAGTCTCTTTTACCATTTGGTAAATAAGAAACATTGACAACATTTCCTGCAGCGTCAAACTTCTTGGTTAAGGCAACGGGCCAGTGGATCATGTACAAATCAACGTAGTCCAATTGTAATTTTTTCAATGAGAGTTTAATAGCAGATTCTGGATCAGCGTAGTCAACCCCCCACATCTTGGTGGTGATGAAAAGCTCTTCTCTTTTAACCAATCCCTCCTTGAAAGCTTGGGTCAATGCAGTGCCGATTTCCTCTTCATTACCATAAGCATAAGCGGTATCGATGTGTCTGACACCAGCCTTGATACCATCCAAAACCGCTTGGTATACTTCATTTGGACCGGATCTGAAAGTACCCAACCCAATGACTGGAATTTCATTTCCATCGTTGAGCTTCACAACCTTGGTATTCTTAGTCAAAGGCATGATAAATGAGATATGAAGATGATACAAGTAAAGGAAAGAAAAAGAAAAGAAAAGAAAAAAGGAAAAACTAGTGATGATGAATCAGCAATCTAAAAAGGTTTGTTGTGGTTAATTACTTGGACACTCTCAGGAATCCTTCGAGGTTTATATATTGCAGGAGATTGACATCTCCCCCACACCAACACCACAATAGTTCCTGTCGTAGGCTACCACAGAAATCTCCGAGGTCAATGCGGCTAGGCTAAACTGCGTGCGCCCAGCAAGAGAAAATGGCCGAGACTACAATAAACATATAAGTCAAACGAAAACTTTTCAATAGAACTATAACATTACCATGACAGTAAAAGGGAAATATAAGCGCAGGGGAAGGAAAAACCTTGGATTTTAAAGAGGATAAAAAAATATATATAAAAAAAACAAAAAAAAGAGACTCAAATCACCAAGCACAACACACACCACACAGTGCAGTTACATCATCAACAAAAGAAGTCCGCAAAACTGAAGATTTCTGTCCCATTTGTAAAATTTCTTTTTGATCTTGAAAATCAAAAATCTCACAGAGAGAAAAAATTGATGATCAGGAAAAAAAAAAAAAAAAAAAAACAGAAGTAGGTTACAAAAGAACTCCCATTCAAACTATTCACCCCGGGAGAAAACAAGATTTTTCAATCGGAACCCCCAGGACTATAATTGACCAAATGTAGGACATTGATCCAGCCTAAGATTAAACAACTCTCTTTTTTTACTTCGTCTATCTGGCAAAGAAAACTAAAAAAAATAAAAAAATAAAAAAAGAGCAAATATTCGAATCTTAAATCTAAATCGCAGCATGCTGGAATCCGCAAATTGATGAAACCGGTTGAACCGTGATAATGAGCATGCTAATAGTGCTAACAAAACAAAAAGATTGTCATAATGAGTATTAATAATACACTTGTCATTGCTTGAAGTAATTGTATGAACAACAACAAAACTGTTAAATGCTAGACACAATGAAACAAAAAAACAAAAATAAATACTATCTTCATAAGTCATTGTTTTCCAAGAAGAAGTAGTTACCATTAGCCTTTTGTTCTCTATCCATTTGAGAATCTAACTTGTTAATTCTTGGTCTGAAAGAGTTTGGATCTCTTCTGAAAGTAACATTCAAATTCTTCAAAAATCTGTTACAACCAGTAAGCAAACTTTCTGGACAGTTAGCATAAGCATCTTGAGAAGGAACACCTTCGAACACAATAACTTTATCGGCAAGATAAGTAGCCATGATGAAATCGTGCTCAACAATAAAAGCGGTTTTCTTGGCATGGATAATAAATCTTCTGATAACTTTGGAACAAATAATACGTTGTTCAGAATCCAAGTATGCAGAAGGTTCATCAATAAGGTAAATGTCGGCAATTTTACCCAAAGCCAACACAATAGCAACTCTTTGCAATTCACCACCAGACAAGTGTTGAACTTCTTGATCGATGATATCGTCAATTCTCAAAGGCTTAACAACATCGGTTTGGAATTGGGAATTTAAGAATTGGCCTCTGATCTTCTTGTAGAACAATTGACGGACAGTACCGGTGAACTTTGGAGCAATCTTTTGAGGTTTCATAGAAATGTTCAATTTTGGAACCTGACTACCATCGTCTGGTGGAATGGCACCAGCCAACAATTTACAGAAAGTGGTCTTACCTGTACCGTTTTCACCCATCATAACAATAATTTCAGAGTCGGTAAATTCACCTTCCTTGACTCTCAATTTGAAATCACCTTGAGTCTTAAAGAATTCTGGGTAAACAAATCTTCTAGAAGCATCGACTTGGAAAGTGTCATTAGCGTCAGCCAATCTGAATTGCAAAGATTCAGTTCTGAATCTCAAATTTTCGGCTGGCAAATGACCATCCAAAAAGATGTTGATACCTTCTCTAACAGAAGCTGGCAAAGTAACCACACCATAAACTGATGGAACACCATACAAGATACAAACAAAATCTGACAAATAATCCAAAACGGACAAATCGTGCTCGACAACAATACAATAAGTAACTGGAGACAACATAGATCTAATGATTTCAGCCGCCTTCAATCTTTGCTTGACATCCAAATAAGAGGATGGTTCATCAAACATATAAACAGTGGCATCTTGAACACAGGTCATTGCAATAGTGAATCTTTGCAATTCACCACCAGACAAAGCAGCAACATCTCTCTTCAATAAATGCTTCAACTCCATGGTAGTCAACACATATCTGGCGTCTTCCTTTGATCTCTCTAATCTAGCGTTAATCAACTCCCCAACCTTTTTCAATGGACCTTTGATGGCTCTTGGGACATTATCGACGTATTGAGGCTTGATAGTGGCCTTGATATCATCTTCCAAAACCTTTGTGAAATAATTTTGCAATTCCGACCCTCTGAAATGCTTCAAAATTTGCTCCCAATCAGGTGGATCATCGTATCTACCCAAGTTTGGCTTTTGCTTACCAGCCAAAATCTTCAAAGCGGTAGATTTACCAATACCGTTAGTACCGACTAACCCCAAAACTTGACCTGGTCTTGGGGTTGGTAATCTATGCAATTTGAAAGAGTTAGCACTATATCTGTGGGTAACTTCATTATCCAAGTTTGTTGGGACGTTAATGATAGTGATGGCATCAAATGGACACTTTTTCACACAAATACCACAACCGATACAAAGAATTTCAGAAATGAAAGAAATCTTGGAGGCTGGTGTCACTTCAATACATAATTTCCCAGTTTTCACCACAGGACACCCTTTTCTACATTCTTGACGACATCTTTTTGGTTTGCACTTGTCTTCAGAGACAATGGCAATACGGGTATTCTTCATTTTATCAGACATCTTGAACGGATTATTCACGCAGCCTTTTTCCTTGTTTTTGCAATGGATTCTCTTTCATTTAGTTGATGTTGGCTGATTTGGTTGATGAAAAAAAAAAAAATTTTCGATGGGGCCAGGGCTTCTGAGCGACGCACTGAAAAAACTTATGGGGATTAGTAATGCTGGAATGTGATTGGCTGAAGTGCCTTCGTAGAAATTTACTTTTATAAGTATGTTCTTAGCATATAAATAAATTATGATTAATGGAGGTTATTGTTTGTACAGATTTCCATTACTGTGTAGGAGCAAAGGTCTATTCCTTTGCATTAGCAAGATCTAGGTATTTGACATGACAGGCAGGGTGACGAACAAATTGCGGCTCAACCTGGATGCGGTGTTGTTACTACTGTTTCTTGTTTTCCCTAGCAGGAAAAGATTTTCGATATGATATAATTCTGTTATATATATATATTATTCCTTTATATTTTGTGTATTGGTTGTTGTGGCTGGTGTCACCGTTGCCAAATATAAGTAGTATTTCGATCAATACTAGAAGAAATCGTTGCAATTTTCCTATTTCTTGTAAGATATTCCAGTCACTACTTTCATTTTTGTCAGTTAAATTCTAGGATGTCATAGCATTGAAGAATATTACTATTGCTTTCAGCTCCTAGATTTTCAAAGATAACTAAGCTGTTATTCTTTGGGGCAAACAACTTAATGGCTCAATAAACGAATACAGAGGTCAAAGACAGTTCAAGGATGTCATTAATAAAATACACATTTAAATCACTCGATAAAGAGGAATATATAATCAAGATGACAAAGAAAAAAAACGTCTATTCTGTTGCATAATAAAAGAGATTGTATCATCTTTGTGTTCGTGAAGGTTGTATCAAGATACATCCTGTATGAAACATTTGGATAAAAATACAACAAAAAGAACTTATATTTATAAGGGCTATTCAAAGAAATGATTTTTCAGAAAGTACAATGATGGAGCTCAGGTACAATTCTGTTTCCATTTTGAGTTTGGTGTCCTATTTTTAAGAGTTGAGAAAGATGCTACTAGTACTGTTTTTAAAAACAATATAATAAATGAAATAAAAAGAGAACAAACGAAGCAGAAGCAACAATTCTTTCAAAACTGCATTTATCTAACACATTTTTGGATAAGATACACTTAGATTACTGTACATAAGATATTACAGGCGAATAGTCTGTCTTCCCAGTCTAAGGATATAGGAGCTTGTTCTAAATCTTGAATAAATGAGAAATAAATGGGAACGAAAAGCTGACAAAATGACTACTATTGAAAGTCTTTCACAGCAAGAGGAAACATTGTTAAGTCAATAACGTAACATTCTACCTCATCTTAGCCCCACTTTTTTTAGGTGAAGGGTACTGATTACAGCTAATATTTCATAAACTATTCTTATATGGTATATTTCAAGTGATTTTGTGGCTAAATCATCAGGGTTTGCTAGGTCTTTGTTGAATTTAGATATTAGAAAAATTTGTGATAAAATTCTAATCTGGTTTATTGGTTTCGTAGTTTTTGAAACACAATTCAATAATAATAACACTTTTATATCTTCATTCATCAATTCTGTTGATCGTCCAAGAGCTATTTCCTTTTCCTTTTCAATAACGCCTCCTATTGGTTTTAGATTTTTTTTCAATATGAGGCAACCATCGAATGTATTCTAAGCAACATCAAAGGTTTCCCTTCACCCATACCAAATCAAATCCCATATATTTCGAACCCAAGGCAGACAAGATCAGCGTATCGCGCAAATCATGCAAAAATACTAATATATTATGGATGTGCGCCATGCTAAAACGTGAGATCTTTTGACATATCTTCTCGAAGAGTACGAATTTACGAGATCGCAGACAACCATCGTATGATGGAAATGAAACAGGTAACTATTTACCGAAAAAAGAAATTACAGTTTAGACAGGCTGTTTTAAGTACCACAACACTGTCATTTTTTTTTTCCTTTTTTTTTTTTTTTTTTCCGGCTACTACAGTTATCATCGATTAATAAAAAATCGTACCACAATAATAATTATGGTCATTCTTGGGCAGCAGCGCAAGCATGTAATGGGGCACATTTTTTTAAAGTTAATCAACACCTCCTTCCTGAAGTCATATACCCTTTTACGGTAAATACTTATAGTTTTGTGGCTGTTTGAGAAATCGCAACTAGCTAGTAATTACCTTGCATTGCCCATCATGTTAATTGGAAGATTAAATTGCTAATCAGTGGTGAAACTGCTAATGAATAAACATGTAAAATATGTATCTCTTTCAAATACAAGGAGGGGGCAGCCTTCTAAATATGTGCACTTATTGAAATGATAATTGAATTAAGTCCATATTTTACATTTCTTCTTAAAAGACATGGAAATTCTAAACGAGATTCTAAACTAGTGCAATATTTAGAAGTTGAATCATTTTTATTCGCAGCTTTTATTGTACGCAACGTGGCATGTGATTTGCTTTTACTGTACTAGTCGTACTTGTACACTTTTTGCTAACAACACCCTAGAGTGTGAGTAGCCATAACACCATTACTTCTAATCTGTATTTTCCTACTTTCTATTTTACTTACTTATTCTACCTTATTATCTCACTACTGCTTTTAGAGAGGCAGCACATTATTCAATCATTATATTTTACTACGTTGTTAACTTTATTAAGTTATTGCTTGTATTAATCCAGAATCATCTTAAATCCGATATTCTTAGACTCTACCGATCTGATAGATCTTACCCTACCACAAGTCATAATCGCGCGAAGTCGCCAATAACATTACTCTATTCGGATGCTCTTTTGTATATTCCGTCTTGCTGCAGCTGCAGTATTTTTCTTCAAGAGATATATCTGCTTTCTCGTTTAGATCCAATGAAGGTAAAGTGAAAATTAGATGTATAACCAGCTAGCTATGAAGCATTCGAAAACATTTCTTGCAAAGCTTGACTTTTCTACAAAAGAGCTATTGGCAAGAAGACTGACTATACATGAAACCAGAATCTTCGAATAGGCTGTTTACACCCAGATTTTATCGTATGTTATTATTCAATTTATCGCAATGCTAAAATGCAGAATTATCAATCAACTTGAAACCGTGTACCAATTGACACGGGATTATGTCACCAAAAGTATACATAAATACCAAATCACAAATCTAACTAGCCTGAACTGAAACTATAATCCATTTCTGATACCTAATCGTATCAGGTTGGTAGTGCACGTTTTTTTTTTTTATTTCCTCAAAAATGTGCTATAGCCCTAGTGATAACCAAGAATTTGCAAAGGTTTTGTAGAAAACGCTGGAAACTCACTCAACAATTGTAAAATGTTGTGTTATTTATGGAGCTCCAAGGATTGAATAGGGGTTTCGGACGATAGGCGAGCGTCGCACCAGTGTTAAGTGTCTGAAACCTTAACATATGTGGCAGTCACCCTGCTTAACTCATTTTCAGGCCTCCAGGAGTGGGACGCTAAGAATAAAAAACAACAGAAAAACACAAAAATTGCGTATGCATAAAGTGACCCAAACCAAGAGATACCGTATTTCGCGGTATTGGCTTATCTGATTGAACAATTGTCACTCTCTTCTAAATCTACAGCGAAAATCAGCCTCAAATTCTGTTTGTTGTCTTTTCTCTCTCTCTCTCTTTCTAAAATTCCATCACACATTAATGAATGAAGCTTGCTCGAGCATTATTCAAATTTACTTTCTTTTGCGTCACTAACTACTCTTTAGATACATAGAGTAATATAAGTAACTTCTGAGAAAACAATGTGACAGACACTAATTTTGCTTGACTTGTTTCAGCTTGACTTGTTTTAGAACTTCTATTTCTTTCACTTTTTCACTTTTCTCTACTTAGAGTTCCAAGCTGCTGACAACAATAAGAGGCAATTTCAACGATAGGGCGAAATCCAAAAATCGTCAGAATGTGGATGTATTGATGCTAACAATAAATTAGACCCTTCCTCCCTAAAATATCTTTAGATCTAATTTGTATGAACACTTACTAACGGCAAAGTAGATTTGATACACATTTTATAATCGCGAGACACTCAAGGACAAAAGACGACAGAGCCTCAGGTGGTAGCTCTAAATATAGGGGGGTTCAGATTCCTCTCGTCAGTAAGTTCTTGGAGTAACATATTATTTATGTGTGCAGCATACTAGATATGAATATTGTCTTGCTGATTCGAATTTTGAGGGATTTTTTCTCAGAAAAGTAAATAGTGGCCAACTAGCTAATTTGAGAACGTCTTTCCCTCCGCAAAATAGGCATATAATAGAATAATCTGAAAAGTGAATCCCTTCATTTCAGATGGAACCATAAACTTTAATCTTGTATTATGCAAGCCACCAATTTCAGGTAGAAAGTGAAAAGGAAAGAGATACAACAGCAATTCTTTTATAAAACAAGTTGTGGAACGTCATGCCTCTCTTTCTCTCTTTCTCTCTTTCTCTCTTTCTCTCTTTCTCTCTTTCTCTCTTTCTCTCTTTCTCTCTTTCTCTCTTTCTCTCTTTCTCTCTTTCTCTCTCTCTCTCTTTCTCTCTTTCTCTCTTTCTCTCTTTCTCTCTCTCTCATTTTTTTCTTCTCCTCGGAATAAAGCCCAAGAATTGATATTATTCCTATTGCATATTTCTTATCTCAGAAACGCTATCGCATTTTCCAAATACGATACAAAACCCTAGCGTCTGTTTGAATGCGTCTTGGCCTCTGCTTGTATGTGTCAAATAAGCATATGCATACAGTTTAACTAGTGTGCAGTAGGACACGTTTTCTGGATAGGTAATCCAATGCAGCACGTGAACATCCTCAACCTTATTTTCATCCGGAAAATCGTTTTATCGACACTTCAGCCACACTCTGTTGAAAAAATAACTCTACAATCACTGCCAGAGCGTATCATTCTTATGATACCATCAGCTTGTGTTGGTAGATGGCTGATTATTAGGTTTCTACCCATACTAATGATGTCTTGTGCCGATAGTAAGGATATTTCATGGATGATCAAGAGCTTATCGAGTCCTCCTACTGTCAGCCTCACAAGGTGCAACAAGACAGATTGACCGCCTAGCTAATACGTCCTGACAGTTATAGATTACAATATTTACATTCCGAGCTTAAATGGAAGGGGTCTCTTTTTTAATGATTTCTGAGATTGCCTTACGGCTATAATTTCTACACTTCCAAAAAATTTAAAGTAAAAGGCTGTGTATTAGGTGTATAACTTTCATATTGATTTCTATCTAAAAACTGGAAACGCTCACTGAAAAAAACAAAAACAAAAGTGCATATCATGTTTGCCTGTTGTAATAGAATTCCAGAATATAGCCGAGTAGCTTGTAATCAAATACAACAATAGTAAATCTGAAGCTGCGGTACAACGCATACCACATTATTTAAGCGCAACTACGGTAGCACATACCCAAAACAATTGTACGGACATAGACGAGCTCGAAGGAGCTGTTGGTAAATAATCTGGACCCATGAAGAAAAGCTTGGCTGGATAGTGAAGTTGCCGATCTAGCGGACTGCCATACAGTGGAAGATCGATGAAATAAAGAAGAAAAATAATCCTGAGCATAAGAGCCTAATAATTTGCTATTATATGCAATGACTGTCAGTATTGACAGTATTTTATTCTTCCACGAGGCGTGTTGTTCGAGACATCTACCTGATATTGCAATTTTTCGAACAATTTTTTCTTCTTTACCTTTTTTTCCTTTCTTTCCCAACATAAAAGGAATTTTCAGATTTCTCTATTGTCCCTTCCTGCGTCTACTATGCATTGTTGTTCTATAGTGCGGCTACCCCGTTATGACCCACGATGATGTTATTATAGCGGATAGAGATATTTTTCATATTCTTCCGTTTAATACAACTACCTAGTTTTGACCTCAAGTAGAACAATCCCGCACTTGGTCGCACTATTCATAATATTTTTTTTTTTTGTTTTTTGGGTGAATAAAATAAAAAAAAAACACCCCCTAAAGACCCAAATATGAGGGGACTTTTGCATGGCAAAAAGTGACGACAAAAGTTTCTTTGATAACTAATATCCACAATAAGAGGTGTGATTTGAAAATAAAAAAACAGGAGTACCAAACGCATGTTATTCGTAGTTCTCTAGAAATTATTAAAGCCTAGTACTGATTACAGAAGTGGTGGTTCCCACGTACATTCAGTAAGTGCAAATTGCACGGCTACTCTGTATGATGGTACATAAAAGAGCGGGTCAATCAATGCTTGTTCTTCTCTACTTTTTTTCTTTTTTTTCTCTTTTCTATTATCTATAATGTAAGTATAGTTATGTGATTATTGGCACGCTTGGGTACATTTCCGTGGCTCCATGCCAAAAGATCTTTACGCAACAACATGCAGTGAATGGCTAAGCCAGATTATTGAGCTGAAATCTTTCGCGCGATTATTACTTGGAGTGGGATAATAGTTGCCCAGAGAGACCTGGTAATCTTCTTGAATATTGTTGTAGGATTATATTCGCCATAGGTAATAAATAGCAACAGTTTAACAATAAAAGACTTTGGATATGTTTTTAAAATGAACTAGATAAAGAAGAAGAAATGTGGTTAGAAGTAATGGTGTATGACTACCTATATCCTATAAATCGGAGTGAAGCGAAGTGGTATCGTATATGCATCAAAGATTAATCAGTGGGAACGACGATGAGCATTTTCTCACAGAGATCGTCAAATATCACGAATAAAAATTTTCAATCTAATTTATTCCCTGTCGTCCAAGTTAATAATACCAGAACCTATTTATTTCCACCAAAAGAACAACAAAAAAAAAAAACAACAAGAAAAAAAAAAAAAAAAAAGAGAAGGTTTTTTTTTTTTAAAAAAAAAAGAAAAGAAAAAGAAAACAAGGAAAAACTTTTACGTTAATCATACCACAATAAAAAACTAAAACAAGTTGGACCTACACAGAGGAGCTTTTTGTAAGGATATCAGGAGAATTAATAGGAAAAAAAAAAAAAGAAAAAAGACTTTTTAGTAGATGTAATTAGGATAATTAACACCGTATAAGTTAGTATAAGATACGAAACAAAATTAGTCGATTAGATGATACGCTTAAATTTCTCCTATTTTGAATTATTATTAAACCTAATCGTCTTCACAACCAAATTTATTTCGCCAAATATTGCTTCAGGCGGTATGGAAATAATCATCGCTTCTTGGATTATAAAAAATAAAATACGGATGGTTCGTTTTTGCCTTTTATGCGTAATTCCCAGTAATGTAATTAAACCGAATCCTGGTCTGTTTCTATTTTAAACCGAAACTTGTTAATTTCAACCACCTTCTGTGCATCTTCGGATCCTGGTCAGTTTTCTCCTGATCAGCAATCATCAGCCCGGTCAACCTTTCCCCTGGCAGTAATCAATTGTACACATAGGATGAATAATATATGAGAAATGATATACAATGTATGATTAGCTACGTCCTGATATATAAAACAGGCAAGGTTACAGTAGCAACGAAAAGAAACGTCAGCTGCTACATGACGCCTATACATTAATAGGCAAATCATGTACCCGCTAAGAAAAATTTTAAGGTAAAACAGTATTTTATGATGCGGTCGCTGTTGTGCATAAAATAAGCTGCTATAATTCCGACCAATCCTGAGGTTGCTAGGCTCGTTTTTTTTGTACCTCGAAGGGATACATAATTTGGTTATTATTGATGTCACTATAGCACACACACACACACACACACAAACTCTCTCTCTCCTATAGACACTTGGGTATCCCCAACCGCCATGAAAATAAATACACTCAAATTTTATTTTATTTTTACACAAAAAATGAGAAAAAAATTATAGAGAAAAAAAAATTAACATCGACACTTATTTTTTGCTAATTAATAGATTGTAACTATTGATATTATGGAAACTATTTATGAAAATCGAATGTAGCACTCTCTCATCTAATAATCTCTGGATTCCTAAGCTTCAAACACGAGAAATTAGTTCAATCACGGTAATACACGCGAACCAATATCTTAAACCTATCAAACATTTTCTACTATTGAAATTGAAGAGTATACCCAATAAAATGTATGAAACATTACCGTTATATTATTATTAGAGCCCAGGAGGTAAAACACAAGAAAAGAAAAGAAAAGAAAAGAAATAAAAAATATGTAACAATACAATAATCTTTCGATTCAGAAGTAGACGAAAAGAAAAAGTTTAAATGCCGTTGAAAAAAAAAAAATGTCATAAAGATTCATTAATAGAGCAAGTTTAACCCGCTCAAGGATGGAAGTTTGATCTTCTGCCCAGCGTCCGGAGTGCCTTTGACGTTGTTATCACCATCCTTATCACCATTACCTTTATTGTCCCTAACATTGGAATTAGCAGCCATGATTGGAAGCCCACCAGATACTGGAGGCATCAGAGCTGGGTAACGATTATAAGGGAATGAAAGACGGCGTGGAGGTGAAGATAAATTACTACTACTGGAGTGTTGGAATGTTTGAAGTGACGGAAGCTCGGGATACTTTGATGATTCATCAATTGATCGTCTTATTCTTGGGGGAGGGTTCAAAGTAGGAATGCTATGTTGTCTATAAGCAACAGTGACGATATTGTTAGGTCTGTCACCATTGTTGTCCAGCATCATTGGTGCACTAGAAGGAGGAGCAAACAGACCTGGAGGTGGATATTTTGCAAACTGGTGGTGGTGGTGGTGGTTGTGGGGATGATGATGATGATGAGGGGGTTGGAGGAGAGGAAAGCTATTGCCATTTGTTTTCTTGTGGTGATTAAACCCATTGTTAATCACAGGAAAAGTCGATGACATTGGGGATATTCCCGGAGCTGCCGGGCTGGGATATGAACCACCGGCATTCGAACCAACGAAATATGGAAACACCGGGGATATTGGAGGAGAAGTGTTATTAGTGTTATTATTACTACTACTCAGTTGACTACCAGTAGTCATTGGTGATGGTAATGGTGAATTGCTGTGGAAAGGAACAGGAGAAATGTAATGATATTGATTATTGGTCAAAGGCCTTTTATGATTTGAATGACCTTGGAAACCTTCTGTGGCTGTTAGACTGAAACTTCTTTTTTTGTCATTGGCATTAGATAGCTTATCATTGTTATCATCATTAGAGACGTTGATAGAAGAAGAGGCAGCAGCGCCATTCGTAGGTTCAGTTCTTGATTTTCTTTGTCTGATTCTAGCACCATGCTTGTATAAGAATGTGTTCAACGGGGTTGATGGAATAGAGCCTGGAAACTTCTTCTGACTATACACTGTAAACACATCACTGAGGATCTTGTGCTTGAATTGAATTTTATAGTCTTTAAACTCATACAACTTGAATAATAATTTGAATTTTCCCAACTTGCGCACCGAAATGTCCCCAAACACAAAACAGACCGCATAGTCGTGGTTTCTTTTAGTTGCCATTTTATTCTCAGCTCTTTTTTTACCCTTATTGCCGGTTGATGTCATGCTTGAATTGCTCATTGGTAATTTGATATACATCCCACTGCTAACTTTGGATCCGCAAAGAGTATCATTGTCCAACGAAGATGATGTTTTATTTTTGGAGTCCTCGGAAGAACCTTCGGTATCAGGCTCATTGAGATCAACAATTTCCGCGGTTACAAAAAACGTCGAGTAATATGTGTCTTTTGGAAGTGGGGTTTCATTAGCTAGCAGAGCTAACACTTTCCTGGTTTCAAAATTATCTTCTGCCATATTCATGCTATCATCGACTATTGAAGGCTCAGTTCTTGGGTGATTGTCTCCCGAGTGATTGATCACCAACTTCAAAACTGGTGGCGGAAGAATCGGGCGATGTTCAGAAAGTGGAGGCAGAATTCTGTTATTATAATGTGATCTTGGGGTCACTTTAGAGTGTATTGGCTGTTGAAGAATTGATATTGAACATTCTGTCTTTGATGGGGAGCAGCTTGTGGCACCTCCAATTATGTTATTGTTAACATTACTATCACCGCCACCTAAGAGAAAAGAAATACTAGACTTCTTGGACATTATATTATTATTGGTAAACGAGGGTAAAATAAGTCGGTGTTAAGAGAAGTAGGTGAGGCTATTTCAGTGGGATACTTCTTTTGTGGGTGTTTGGGTTTTTTGTGGTAATTCTTTTTTCTTTCCTTTTTATCTTTTCCTCTATTTGTGATATGAAAAGTAAGGAGGTGGAGGGAAAGAAGGGAAAATATAAAGTAAAAGAAGAAAGGCACGATCGATCAAAAATCAAAAACCAACAATAGGAGCTAGAAAAGACAGGGATATATCTCCGGTCTTATATATTTAAAGAATCCCCTAGACATGGTTGCAACCAAAAGTAAGTTTTTTATTGCCTAAGAAGTGAGTGAGTTAATAGGTGATTTGTGAGTGTTTTTATATATATGCATGCATATATGCATGTAAGCTTAAATGCATGTATGTGTTTAACTGCGTATACATAAGCTTTGACTGGCCGTCGTGAGCGTCTCGTCCGCTGCAGCACCAGACAGAAAAGAAAAAAGAAACAAAAGCGTCTGAGAGAAGGAAAGAGAGATGCATATCAATTACATTATGGCCAAATGGGCCCACTGGCCCGCTACACTGAGTAGCGTGGCAGCGTAACTTAATCTCTGCGATTCGTGGGTCAGTTTCTTTGGCCTCACTTCACATACTCGCTGCCCTGCAAGAAAAACATAAAATAAAAAGAAGGACATCGATATGAAAATTATATGCCAAAGAATAATTTCCTGGGGGTTTAATGGGTTGTTGTTGTTGTTGTTTTTTTAAAAAAAAATCATTTTAATAGATATCTATGCATGTATTAAAAAACAAAAACAAATCATCGAATGCATTGCTTGAAACCATTGCTAGAAACTCACTTGTCTATTTTCAACGGATTTTGGTGGTCAGCGTAAATTTGAACCAATTTAATTAAGTATGCCGAAGGAGGTTGTAAGTTGCACCCAACTAGGTTAATGAGCTCCACCATGCTTGTCGACATTTTTAGACAAATACGGAGAGACAGAGAGGCAAGTTAATTTAGAAATATTAAAGTAATGAATATAATTAAAAAAAAGCGTGTACTTTTTTTTTTTTTTTTTGAAAACTCACTTGACTAAGATGCCGGGTTTTCCAGTATTGACAGTTGATGATTTTGTGGTTTCATTATTTGCCTATCCTTTTCATCTTTCTATAGCAGCAACGATGCAAGTTATTAATGAATCAGCAAAATATTCATGGATGGCTTTAGAGAACAAAATTAATAACAGAATTTTCGCTCTGTGCATTTGTAGACCTTCTCTCCTTCTATGCATAAAAAACCTCCACACAGTAGAAATTATCAGCTCATCGAATTACTATGAGAAGGTTTGGTTGCTGAAAAAAAAAAATGGTAATACAAATTCTTTTTTTTTTTTTTGCTTTTTTTGTATTCATCTTTTTTATATTATAGTGGATTGATGACTGGATCAGTTGGTATTAGTGAATCACTTTATTGTCTTTTTTGTTCATGATTTTTATATTGTGAGCTGAATGCTACTTCATCATCAGATCGGATATTAGTTAATCAGTTGATTGTCTTTTTTTATATTCATCTTTTTTCTATAATGTGGATTGAAGATTCCATCAGATCGTTTTATTCAGCCACCAATTTTTGACTTTCGTTGAGTCGCATTTATTGAAACCTTAAAAAAAAAAAAACACCTTGTACATGTTATTCTTTTCAAAATTGACCAATTTATTTTCTTTCAAAAAAAAGCCTAAAAAAATAAATAGTCGGAATAATTGAAAAATATGCTCATCTATCAAATAAATAGAATCTCTATTCAAAGCTTAATTATTGCAAGATACAAAATGTTTCCCATCATTCGTATTAATCGAAATGGAGTAATATCGGTGAATAACTTGGGAGAATGAATGGGCAGATTACTACAATGCAAGAAGATCAGCATCGTAGTTTTCTAGAAAATATTTGAAACAATTCAAAGCACTGACAGATCCTCTGTGTTGGCTTTCTTATCATCAATGTTTTTCTAGCTATACGTAAGTATAGCCACCATTTTCTTCCATGCTATTTGAAGAATTTTTTTTTTTTTTTTCTTTCTCTTTCTTTTTGGTTACTACATTAGAAATTTTTTTTAGTGGGAATTCCTTCAATGCCAATATTTTCATATTAAAAATTTCGGGTGCTAAAGATTCTCCTAAAAAAAAATGCCTTGTTTTCATTTTTGGTTTGCTTTTGCTTATAATTAGCCAGTAGTGGTAATTGCGAACTTAATTTATTAACCTGCTAATAATATACACTTGATTAAACTGTCTTTATGTAATTGCCTATTTTAAATTACATTAAGAGGCAGTATAAGTTGGCGTAAGTTTCCGTTTCCCGCAATCCTTTTGAACACTGTTTCAGTACGAGCATGTTTGTTGTCACTACATCTATTGCATAAACTTAAGATCTGGAATCATATTTTCGTTCTGTTCAATTATTCCTGATGTCTTTTTTTTCTTTTTTTTTGTTTTCGTTTTTCTTTTTCTCTGTACAAAAAAGCGTATGCGATTCGAATTGAGCAAATCGGCATCGTATCCAAAAAAGTTCAGGTATTGAAAGACGTTGTAAGACCACCATGTGGCACTTTATTTAATATAGTTTACTCTAATGAATTGAAAAGAAAAAAAAAAAATTAACATGAATTACGATTAATTATTATAGAGCCTGTGTGATGTTCTTTTTTCTTTTTCTTCTTTTTTTAATTTATTAGCTAGCTTGAATTTCTCTCGTGTTGTTGTTTGCTGTTCGTGTTAAGATGTGCACGTATTGAGCCATCAATCAGCAATAGTACCATATATTGCCAACACTCCGCCTATTCTCCACTTGCTTAACAGTGTACCCTATTATGTGTTCCGAATATATACACACTGTGTGTATCTACATAGCAAGATTCCTGAAACCTTCGCAAAGCGGTTTCCACCTCTGGTAATTGCAAATACAGTTTGATGACATGATCTTTGTAGCATGAATAATCCCAATGATACAATGTACACCAAGGGAAGGCTGCACCATTTCCCAAGAATCTCTACTCGAACTCACTTCAATAACACAACAATTTTGCTAATACATGCAATCTTTTTTTTTTCTTTACAAATTAATCATAGCAAGCCAGTGTGCGCCTTCTCCCAGAAAAACGTTGGGTATTATTGAAAACGTATGTACTACTATTCTGAGGAGAGCAATCAAATTACGCAACTATTAACAGTTTGGGGATAGCAATCTATCTTTTTTTTTTTTTATATTGGATGAAGTAACTGTTGAATTGGTTTGACAAATGGATGGCCATTGGTGGTCGGAGCAGCGGATTGTATCATACTGAACATATTGGCTTCGTATTGTGATGCTCACTAAATCCCCCAATAACGACAACTATTGCGATGAAATTATTAATTTCCCGAGGAGTTGCAATTGTATTTCATTCGTTTCTGAAGGCAGTTTTAGGATTGATGGCTATTTTGGATGGATAATTAAATATCACTCTACAAATACCGATGTACGAATAATAAATATCCATGTAATAATAATAAATACTACTTTACTAATAATAAATATAATAATAAGATTAGGCAAATTAATAAGTTATACATTGAAATTCTGTTGGAAGGTCTGATTAATTTTATATACATAATAAATAGCATTAAGTAATTATTGTCAAAAACCATTAAATACCGTTCGAAGCTTCTAGTTAGCGTTTTGCAATTGTGAGTAATTACAGATAGTGACATATTGAGAGATTTTTATTGTCAACAGAGTGACAGTAACCAAGAAGAGAGTATCTATAAATACATATTTACTTTGGTGGTTATTTAGTTACGATCTAGGTATCTTATCTATGACAAGTACCAAATTGAAACCGTATTGGAAACTCCAAATACCACCTAAAATCATGCTTGAGTAAAGATAACCAAATTATTTGATGTTGAATTGAGTAGCAAAGAACAACACAACACAACACAACACAACACAAAACAAAACAAGCAAGCAACCAAAAGAAATTGTCATGTTGGGGATCTCATGCAGATATTCACTCTAGATTACCAAGGGGGTGTTCCACAGGTTACGTTATGTTACCTGCCTGCACCGAAAAAACTCGGAGTATATATATATATATGTCTTAGATAATAAGATAACGGGGCTACATTTTCCAAACCACCGCTATATTATCGCTAGAATTTTCGTTATTTTGCCTAGTGAACTGCCAAGAATTTTTCCCTTCATTGATTCTCAGTGAGTATTATTCTCTCAAAATGATTTCTGGAATTAGTTTCACCACACAAAACTGACTACTCTGCCTAATTATTGCTCGGCCGCCCCGCCCCACGCTCACTGCTATAGTGATGGCAGATAAACTGAAATCCTAAATGCAATGCATCCGTTTGAGGAATATGAATACCAACCTTCCCTTACCAGAGAAAAATAATACAAGGATTCAGGTTGATATAATTTGATGATACTTGCGTGGAAAACACTTGGTGTTCACAAAATCAAAACACCTGTATATGCTGCAGCATATGAACAACATGAAATGTAGATCAAATAATCTAATAAACACGGCTTTGTATTGCATTTCTTTGGTGAGGAGGTTCTTGTACAGGAAATTTCCTAATATTCTATTTAATTCTAAATTTTAACGACGGGAAAAAAAAAGCTCTCTTTTACAGAAAGGCTCAATAAACAACCGAAAAAAAAATAAAAAACATAGAAATTCTACAAAATCGAATTGAGCTGCCAGTAAACTTGGCAAATAATTTTTTATTCTTTTTTTTTTTTTTTTTTTTTAATTATCATTATTTAGAAAATCTGATATTACCTACTTAACTACTCATAATTACATCACCTGTACCAATATCCGTTTTTTCCACAGAAGAGCATCTGTTTTCTTTTAGTATACTGCCAGAAACTTCTTCACTTTCTGCCTCTTTGGCTTCTCTGATTTCTTCGTTGATCGTTTTGATTGCAACCGCAACATTCTTCAAGTCAACATTCAAAAACTTCATCAAATCATTCTTTCTTGTCAACCATTTCTGGCTTTCCTTATCAAGTTTAATCTTTTCGATAGTTAATACCTCATTGATCAAGCGATTTTTGAGCTTGATCAACTTAAGATCATTAACATATTCAATGTATTTCTTGGACTTTAATAGTTTCAAATCAAGGAATTCCAAGTCGCTTTCAATAATTTCGTCCGCTGCTTTCTTTTCCTTTTCTCCTTCATCAACAGCTTCATGATCTTGTTCATCAATATCCATTTTGTTTTCCTTATTAACATCAGGTTTATTTTCCTGTTTTTTTGTTTTAGATTTAAGTCCGTTAATATCTTCAGCGGACAACTTGAAGTCTTCATATAATTTAACATCTCCAAATCTTATAGTCTCATCACTGCTCGGGTTGGGACCCACATCATTTAAATTTGGAAGAATTTTCATTCTATAATCCAAATCTGCTTGGTAAATATTAACATAATAACCAGCCAATTCTTTTTCCAAGGTCTTTTGAATTTCAGGAATGCTCTTATTCTCAAGGTCAGAGACTTTCCCTTGAACATTTTTCGAAGGATCAGGGTTATTTATGGCACAACCCAACCAATAAGTTTTCATAAAAGAGTCCCTGCTATGTTTTGTGATAGTTTTCCGAAACTTTTCATTTGCTAGTTCTTCAACAAATTTTTCATGTAATAGTGGTCGTGGCTTAGGTGGAGTGGTTGGTGTCACATCAATATCCATCTTATCCTCATCCTTCGTAGCTTCCCCACCATCTCCAACCTTTTCTGTGTCTCCATTCTTTTCTTCGTCATTTGTTGTTTCCTTCTTTTCTTTGACTTCTTCAATCACTCCGTTACTGACTATCAAATGGTCCAATATATTAAGCGATGAATTAAAGGATTCATCTAGGAGCCTAAGATTATTGTTCAAAACTTCATCAAATTTCTGGAAAAGTGCCTCGGTATCGTCGTATTTGCTCGCTGGTGATGGTTTTTGGGGGAGGACTTTAGAAGGATTGGCAGCGGGTGTTGTTGTTGAGAATGCCAACGGCTCTGATTTTGCGGCAATGCCAGTATCGGGCACGGTACTTGGTTTTTGTGGGAGATCCATTATGTTTATGTGATAAATAATATGTACACCGCCGTCTTCTAATTTGGGCTATTGGAAACTATATATTCCGTGGTAGATGTATCAAAGCCTAGATATCCCAGTTTTTTCTTCGTTGTGGTTTCCCAAGATTTCGTGATGCGTGCGCCGAGAATATCCAAAAAACAAACATAGACAAAAACAAAAACAAAGAGAAACACAAAATTGGAGACGATGATTCACAATAATTCCCACAATACCTATTCAACCAAATATCCCAGGAAGTATTTTGTTATACCAATAATATGGCTGAGGACAAGCTCATTGAATTATACCATTTCTTCCAAGAGTCAGCGGTTATTCTATCGTCGACAGGTCTCTACAAAGCTGCTAAATGGTCAGCCGAAGTTCTTAATGGGTTACCATCATTGACAAAACCTCAAACTCAAAAATTGGAAATGTTCCAGCTGCTGCTAGAGGCTAAAGACAATAAAATTTGCCAACATGAAATGCAGGAGACGAGCAAGATAATTCTCGCAAAAGCCTATTTTGACTGTAAAGAATATGATCGGGCTGTCAATTTATTGAAGAATTGCAAATGTTCCAGGGCGATATTCATCAAGTTATATTCAATGTATATTAGTTGTGAAAAGAAGATTCAGGAGGAATTCCATGAGATTTTGGGAGAAAAACATTTGAGTTATGAGAATAAGAATGTCTCTATGATTCTTAGAGAAATTGAGCAGTTTTTCAACACACTAGACTCAGCAGAAGAGGCCAGTTACTTGGAACAAATAAATTATTCACTATTATATTATTTGGCAGGAATGATATATTTGAGACAGAAAGACTATAAAATGGCTCAACAAAATTTTTTCGAATCTTTGAAGCTATATCAATATAATTGGGAATGCTGGAATGATCTATTATCAAGTTGTACCTCCTTTGATGAAGCAGTAAATGTCTTGAATAGTATAACGGCGTTTGGTATTGGTGATTCCAAGTTGACGAAAAAAGACGATAGACACGGGAAAAGCTCTTTGCTGGGTAGTAAGCATGAGTACAATGACGCATCTGAGGCAATTTATGATGATATTATGATGAAAATATTTACTATTGTCATTTATCAAGAATTTTATCAACAGAATACAGGGTTATATCAACTGCTAGACAAACTTATAGAAATGGTACCGGGGTTTGTTTTTTTGAAAACTCAGAAGGCTTTGATTTCGTATCAAGCCTTGAATTATCCATTGGCAGAATCACTTTTTGACGAGATTTTAATAATTGATCCTTACAATTTGGATCACATGGACACATACTCAAATATTCTCTATGTCATGGAAAACAAGGCTAAACTATCTTTTCTTGCACAATTTGCCAATTCAATCGACAAATTTCGTCCCGAAACCTGTTGTATTATTGCCAATTTTTATTCGTTGAAGTTCGAGCACGAAAAGGCAATTATGTATTACAAGAGGGCCTTGAATTTGAATAAGAATTGTTTGAGTGCCTGGACTTTGATGGGGCATGAGTTTGTTGAATTGAAGAATTCTCATGCGGCGATCGAAAGTTATAGAAGGGCAGTTGATATTAATCAGAAGGATTTTAGAGCTTGGTACGGTTTAGGCCAGGCTTATGAGGTACTCGATATGTATCTATATTCATTATATTATTATCAACGAGCTTGTGAATTGAAGCCTTTGGATAAACGAATGTGGACGGCTGTGGGTAATTGTTATGAAAAGTTGGGTAAATATAAGGAAAGTATTAAATCTTATAAGAAGATTTTAAATATCAATGTTAGTGATGACGACGTAACTTTTGTGTTATTCAAATTGGGGAAATTGTATGAAATGGTTCAAGATACGGAAAATGCCGAAATTTATATGAAATTGTGTTTTAATGAGGAAGAAGCCACGGGAATCATGACCGAAGAAACCAATAAATCGAGATTATGGTTAGCTAGAAGAGAATTGGGGAAAGGCAATTACAAAGCAGCTTATGATTATGCCAGTGAATTCAATTCAGGGACCAGCCAAGAGATTGAAGAAGCCCGAGCTATCATCAGGGAATGTCGAAAAAGGTAAATTAAATGTCTACATTGCAAACATATTTGTATGAATATATAATATGACTATATAATGACAGTGTTTAGCAATAAGTATACTGCAAATATTGATAGCTCATTAGGCAAAAAGAAACCGAATAATAATAATAATAGAAAAAAAAAAAAAGCTCAGAACATCATTTGTAAAAATTAATTTGACGAGAATGAAGGTGGAATGCTGATTTAATTTTCAGATTTTAAATGGAAACGACAAGTGTAATCTCTATCACTGAATAACATAAAACGTAAAATGATGATGAATAAATTTGGAAAATACACACATGAAGTTAAGGTAAAGCAAGAGAGGCAGGGCAGGGGGGGAACGATGCTTTGATGGTAATAGAATAAAAAATAAATAAATAATGATTTGATCTAGCAAAATTATTTCTTCAAGTTTTCCACGATTTTTTCATCTTTAACAAGATCAGTTACCTTAGCTGGGGTTGTTGCTTCTGGCTTCTTAGCACCATTGAAGATATAATCAATAACTTGTGGCATGGAATCACCTTCTGCCAATCTGTAGTTGACCACACGGGTTAATTGGTACCCGGCAACCCCACCCAAGAAGAAGTTAACGGAGGCCAAAAGCATGTTCTTTGGCTTGATGATCAAAGACCATCTTGTCCATATACAACCAGTGGCAAACAAGGCTATTTGTTGGGTACCTGATAAACTTTCCGCAGGACGGGAAATATCACTAATACCGGCGATGACCAATGACCATTTCAAGACTGGAGCCTAAAAAAATATGACGGGTTAGTATATATATATTACGAGTAAGGAAAATCTATATGAACAACAGCGAGAGAAAGAGAGAGTGTGTGAGAGAGAAACAGGCCAATATTATATAAAGCAACAAAATATGAAGTGATGGTAAATATTATCATCTCTGGTACGATTTTATATCCTATTGATTACTGTTTGCTGCCCCCTTCATCTCGTATTTTCCTCAAACTTACCCAAAAGTGAACGGTTCTTGGACCGGTTTCTGAATTAAGGAATCTTGCAAAGGCGGACATTTTCTATTATTATTATTATTAATTTTATTGATATTGTATTTGGGTTGTAGTGTATTACTTTTGGTAAGGAGCCCCTTGATGATGATGAAGTTTTTTTGGTCTAAGTTGATGTTCCTTTTTTTTTTTTTTAAGTTTTCTGATTTTTTTTTTTCCCTTTGTGAGATTTCCCTATTGCACTATGGAGAGCGTGTTGTGGGTGGGAAGTGTGGGGCTCAAAAAAAAAAAAAGTAAGTGCACCATCTGGTGATGGGTGGTGGCAGCGGTGGGTGGGGGAGGTGTTGACGGGGTGCGAGTAGCAGCAACGAACTGACTAAGCGTTACGGCCATTGATTACGTGAGACTGTCACGTTACGTCTTTATGTAGCTATATGCTCTGCCATGTATGTATCTTAAGAAATTGAGTTGCGGAGCCCCGTTCAGCATCACTTATTTTTTTTTCATTTTCTTTAAATTCAAATGATGATAGAAAATTTTATCTAGCATTCTGTGGAAGCAGTAATACACAACCACAAAGGCCGGTTTGGGGAGGATATAATAGGTAATATCAATATCCATTGTTAGAGTTTCTGCTCCAGCTCTCCTTTTTTTTTTTTTTTTTCTTTTCTCTTAGCCTATTTATTTTCTATTATTATTGATTCATTTTCCTTTGCATTTTTCTTTTTTTTTTTTTTTTTCTTGGTATTATTGTTTGTGTTCAAATCAATGGAAACATCACAGATCTCAATGGATAGGCAAGGATATGTTACTGGATACAATCTCACGCTCAAGAATAGTTGTGTGGGATTGTCAACAGGTATTGATGATGTTACAGATCCCGAAATTCGATCGAATATTAATCCTGCCAATTATCAGATCAAGCAAACCTTGATCAACGGGGTGTACATCAAAGATGATAAGAGTGTGACGGAAGCGATATCTGATTTGGTGAGTTTAGGGTTTACATTCAATGATATTGTCGAGCGTAGTGGAGTGAGCGTACCGTACTTGATAAAATGTTTTGAATATTTGAAATTGCCAATGATGATTCCAAAGCCAATACCATCACCACCAGCACCAACAACAACAACAACAACAACAACAACAACAACAACAGTGATAGAAACGACGCGAAAGAGAACAGCAGATGAGTTTTCAGGCGATAATGAAGCTATTTTTGTTAAAGGACCCGGAATGAAGATGGAGGAAGATGGGTTGTTTGAACATGCCCAGCATGATGATGATGATGATGATCATCATCATCACAAGCGGAAAATGATCTCTGGAAGTTTGGGATCAAAAGTATGGTTGTCACAGTTGGTGTTGGAAGAATCATCGTCGGAAGATGAAAATGATACGGATGGTATGGGAAAGAATGTGTTATTTATGAAAAGAGAAAACTCATTGAAAGATAAGGATGTTCATGAAACCTTAAAGAACAATACAAAGAAAATTGAGGAGTTGAAAAGAAAGATTCAAGAACATAAAGAAAAACAAAGATTGCAACAGCAACAACAACAAGACAAGGTAAAAGAAAAAGAAGACAATGAAAGTTTGGCAAAACAAAGTACCAAGATATCCATCAAAGATATCAATGAAAGTATAATAACTAAACAAGCTTTTGTGCAACGAATAGAGGGAATGGCCAAAGATTGCTATTCAAGAATCCAACTGCATGATGATGAAATTAAAAAATTGAAAGATCGACTAGAAACTTGCCAGAAAGCACTTGATAAGGATAAAAAGGCGTTTTCATTTTATAATAAAAAGATTACTGACATGAAAACAGATATTAAGGATCTTAATGATGAGAAAATAAAGAGGGAGAAACTACTATTAATTGAGCAGAATGTGAATATAGAACAACATACACCACCAGTCATGGAACACCAACTAATTGGAGTGGAGAAAAATGTGGAAAATCGTATAAAGACAGATGATCAATTATTGATTGCAAAAAATACCCCGGCTGCGGGTATGGTGGTGAATAAAGTGGTTCCTAACGATAATGTAATTGAGTTGCCTGTGGAAAAAGATAGTGAACTTGTTGGAACATCAGAGATCAGTAGTATATCTAATGGATCACGAGTTGAAATTCCTGATCCACTGATTGTTTCAGCTGAGGGTGATAGAGAGGATGTATGTTTAGTATCAACTTTGCAGGTTTGTTAACAATTTTGATCAATGCTTTTTTAGCTCAGTTTTTTTTTTTTATTTTTTATCATTTTTCTTTTTCAGTTTCTAACCATTTATTAACTTTCTAGGCAACGAACTTGGGTAAGAAGGAGAAGAGCTTATTTTCTCCTTTCAAGTCTTCATTAACGGCATTCAAATCTTATAGGTTCAGTCCGTCATTTAAAAGTGACGCAATTACCTCTGCCACCTGGAGTAACAAAATTGATTATTCCAAAGCTTTTTGTCCTAGCGAGACGGCAGGTGGACGTTGCAATGATAGTGAGTGCACATACCAGCATTTCAATAGTATTCTGGTTTCAGAATTAGATATCATTCAAGAGATTGCGAAATGTTTTCCTGATGAAAGTAAGGAAGCACAAAATGCTTATAAAAAAGAGTTGAAGAATTATTTGATATCTACTAACAAGGGAAATGGTGATAATGTGAGTCTTTTGAAATCAATTATTGAATTTCGAAATGGCAAGATGTCAAAAGATTCATTTTTAGATTGGTTACAATTTAATAAGTTGTCCAAATAAAGTGAAACGAAAAGAAAGAGAAGGAAATGAGTCTCATTTTCTTTATTCGTTTCATGAATAAATGAAATTGTATTATATGTTTCATTTTTTTTTTGTTTTATAGATGAGCGAAGTAAATACTATATACGTATTAACACTACTCAACATGCATTTGAAGAAAAGTCAATGATTGTTTAATCATTGATTTGACTTTAAGATTTTCTAATTTTTTAAACGGTGCCATGTAAATAGAAAAAAAGAAAAGAAAAGAAAAGACTAATTTGATCATTTATACAGAGTAATCATTTACACAAGGTAATCATTTACACAAGGTAATCATTTACACAAATTGTTTATTTATTCTTTTTAAAAAGTTAATCTAGTATGAATGTTAATTAATGTTTCTTTTCTTTTCATGAATACTCATGATAATTAATCTATGGGTTGTTGTTTTTTTTTTTTGTTTTTTTTTTTTTTCAATCATCATTATTATTTAGTTTTAGTTTTAGAACTGGCCAAACGACGAGCGTAATTGTCGACCCAGAACGCCATGAACAAGATAGTCAATGGGAACAAAAACCCGACATTGACATACAATGCAAAGAAATGGTTCCCGTCCTTGATACAAGGTTGGAAAGTCTTTGTGGAATATTGATAATATTGGATAAACAAGTGGACGGTGGCCAAGCTTCCCCCCACAATAAATTGGATGATTTGCATAGTAGTCAATGATTGTTTGAGGATTCTAGGCACTCTGATGTGGAGGGTACTCAAAGTATAATAAAAGTACATGATTGAGTGGACAAACGAGTTGAAGACAACAAAGATCCAAATTGGAGGAGCTCTGTAACGAGACCCGGCCCACATCGAGAGCATGGCACCGGAGTGATGATAACTTTGCAACAACAAGGAAGGACGGCCTTTCAAAAGAATGATGACGGTGTCAAAAACTTCGTAAAACTTGGACAAATAGAACCAGTACGCATAGAATGAAAGCCCCCGTTCCAAGGTAGGGTTGAAGATCCCATCATCCACGTCACAAATGGCGTTCCAAACAAAGTGTTTGTAGGTGGTGAAGTCGTTGGCGGTATCGATGGAAGAGGAAAAAAGTTGGGCGTAGTCGTGACTGCTGTGCTTGATAAGGGACACTGCACCATAACAAGTCCATATTGAAAACACGCAAAGCCCGAGGTTGTGTAAGATCACCAAGAGTTTGAAGACCTTGGTAGTGGCGATTTTCACAGGCACTGGCGGGAGGCTTTTCAAAGAGTGGGCATCGTTGATATCGTACTTGATCCCTTTAGCATCGGCCTGTTTCATTTGTTTTTTACGGATCAAACTATTGAAGAAATGGACCGAGGTGAAGTAGATGAAGGCGATGGTCAATGGAACTTCAGCGCGGAAACTACCTTCATAGAGCCATTTGAGAGTTTCATTGGTCGATGTGAATGGAGGAGGAGGAAGAGGTTGTGTTAAGTCAGGCACAAGCTTCAAGACATCAGCCGCAGGAGTTGCGAACCTGGCGAAATGTGAAAGGTCCATGATAGATAATTCCACTGAAAAAAAAAAAGAAAGAAAGTAGGGTATGATTATATCAAGTCAACGAGTGGATCAATAGTTATATATAGACTATCGATGTGATGTGACGGGTCCCTTGACAAGAAAATAGACGTATGTATAATATAAATCTACGATTATCCAACAAAAAAGGTTATCAAAAAAAAAACACAACAAAAAATGTGAAAAAAATTGGTGTTGCCACGACGATCAGTGTAAATCGGATGGAAACATGGTGTCAATCAAGGACTACCTGTCCTATCTGGATGGCATGTTACTGCCAGGATGATTAGCAGTCCACTACTGTGACAGTTGTTACCACTACTACTACTGTCTTATTCCACCGTAACATATACTATTATTGTACTGGAGACTCTATTGTCTATTCACCGCTTGGTGCAGGGTAAGAGCTACCCGGAACTATAGCCTGATGCTCAACAAAAACCCTAAGTTCAGCCATCTTTTTAAGCCAGTAAACTAATTGTCCAAGGAGAAGTCGAGATGGGAAAAGGAGTCAGACATAACGGAGTCAGAGTTAAAGCAGTTAGACGATGGAAAGAAAAAAAAAAAAGGGGCAGAAGTAAACGACATTACATTGGACGTGGCGATGTAGTTAGTTAGTTTTATATTCTGTTCTATTCCCTTTCCTAGTAATAACTACAGTGCCATTTGGGGGGCTTTAGTAAGCAATTATTTACGAACAGTGATTCGAGGGGTGGCTGCCAGTACAGTGAGTAAGTAGTATAATGTAGTGCAGTAGATGATGTCTCGACCAACCATGACGATATAGTATAAGCTCTACATTCCGACCCACCTGTCATCCAGTTTTTCCGACGGAATATTTTTGTGTGGTAAACCTTTTTTTTTCTTGCCATGTTTAAACAATAGCCTTTTAAGTTTAGTGAAAATTTTTTTTCCCTCAGTGCCTCACTTCCCCAGCTCCTCCATTAATTGGTGTAGAGTTTATTGGTGTCACTGTAGTTCCTTCCTTCCGTCTTTCTTACAATTAATTAACTTTTGGAAGGTTGAAAAGAGAAAAAAAAATGAGCAATTATTAACGGTTAAAGTATGCAAAATTGTAATAACGAGTAGCAAAATAATAAATTAAAACAAAATATCAAATGACCTTTTAAAAAGCAAAAAATTAGATAAAATGCAATATGATTAAAATATGAGAAACAAAAAATAACAAAGTAGTAAGTAATTAATTGTAACTCCGCAAGAATTGAAATGGGGTGAGGAGGAAAAGGTGCCATAAAAAAAAACGAATAGTAAAACTACCGATCAACAGTAATTCTTCGTTGTTCCCCCTTTTTTTTTGGTTTGTTGGATATATTATAAAAGCGTGAGCAGCAATTGAGGGAGGGGATCATCTTCTTAACTGGAGTGACTTTTGTCAACCCATCTAGGGTTGGCATACCCTTTGACAGTAAACTGAACATTACTGTTTTTCATCACTCCATGGGCCTTCAATGTGACCAAAGGTCTCTTTCTGGCATTGATGGCGTTGCTATCAAATTTCATCCACGGGGTAATGTCATCGTGTTTCAGGCCAAAGTTGTTGATCAAAGAAGTGTCATCATCTTGACGGCCAGCGACATCAATGTATTCGACATTCTTGAGGCTGCTTTCGATTGGCAAATCTTCGCGAGGTTGGAGCTTTATTTGTTTGAAAAGCTTGAGCTTAGCGGCTTCACCTAAGGCAAAGTATTCTTTCGAGGTACAGTAATTATCCTCTTCTTCTTCTTCATCATCACTATCCTCATCGTCGTCATCGTAGAAATGATACATTGAATGGTTCGAACTCTCTTCTTCCGATTTGAAGATGTTTGGAATCAAACGTTTCAGTTGGGCAGTTTTTTCAATCGCGTATAATTTCAAAAACAAGGGACTTGATCTTATAGAACGACAGTTGTTGAATGGATAGCCCACGGCTTCTTCGGAATTGATATTAGATGGCATCGAGTCAACGAGATCCCAGTTATTGGCCAAAGGAATTGTTTGGATATTGAAAGTTTTAAGCGGGACAATTTCGCATTGTTCGACATTGGCCGGTTTCGATTGGAATAAGGTTGGTTGCGCCCCACTTTGTGAGGAGCTGTAGTTGGACATAAATGAATAGTAACGGACTGGAGGAATGACCATGGTATTTTGGTTAGCGCTGTTGGAAGACTGGGCGAATTTTTTGAACGACTTGATAAAGTTGGTTGTTAAATCGTTCAACCCTAAACCAAGAGACGAGGAGTTCTTCTCTTGATCATCCTTTGATTTTTTGGTGATAAAAAATCCATCATCTTCAGAAATGATATCATCGTTATCGCTGTCGTTGAAAGACAAAGGATGGCCGTCCTCATTTGAGCCAAGGGAGGTCACGGAGCTGAGGCATGATTTGGAGATAGACGGATTAGAAAATGGTAAGCTGGAGCAATCGTCAAAAGTGGTGGTAAATTCAGAAAAAGTTGATTCTGGAGACGAAGATAATGGGGAGTCAGATGAACAATCAGCAGTACTGTATTTGTAGAAGTTGGTGGTGTTGTTATTATTGCTGTTGGTAGTGGTCACGGTGAAGCTGTTTCTTTTTGCCATAAGCACGGTGGCCAATGCATCTGTACAAACTGGGTGCTGCTGACGAAGCGCCTCATCAAACAGGCTGACCCGTTGCTTCTGGGGAGAGCAGGATGAGGACGATATCGATGATAATGGGTTGTCAAGGACATCTCTTGAGCGGAAAAGTATATGAGGAGGTATTTTAATCATTGTTGACTGGAGTATCTCATTGGTATTCATGGTATTGAGAGATTAGATAGTAGTGTTAGTAGTATTAGCAGTAGTGTGTGGCGGTGATAGGGATAGTGATAGTGATAATTGTATCATTAGTCTGTGAATGAAATGGTTATGGAGGATGTGTTGAACAAGAAAATAATAAAGTTGGATGGATGGATGGATTGATTTTTTTTTTTTTTTGATTGGTTTGGCCAAGAAAGAACGAGGTCATGATGGATATATATATATATATATATATATCTAAATGGATGTAACAGTGATGATAATTACAAGGCCTATTTCCTCAGTGCCATCCCTATGCACGACGCTGCAACCGTTACTTTTTTTCTTTCTTTTTTTCTTTTTTGTCGAGATATGTGATACCCCCGGAACACTGGTATTCCGGCCGGAGTCTCGGCCGCTCCACGCGAGACACATAAAAAAAAAAAAACAGCCGCAAAAAATTCCCATCGCAATTTTCTACTAAACAAAAAACAAAAAACAAAAAAAAAAATTGAGCGGTGATTCTCAGTGTTACTGTAATGGGAGAGGAGCCACACACACACACACACACACACACACACACAGAGAGAAAGAGAGAGAAAAAAAAAATAAAACAGAAACTCGTAATTGCCAATTACCAGCATCCCAATGTTATGAACCCAAGTCAATCTTTAAATATACATATATATATATATATATATATTAGGATCTATCTAGATATATGGATTAGTAGATTACAATTAATTAATGGGCCGCACCTGCCCATCCTCATTCACGATCATATTTGATATCCACCACTCACTGAAAAAAAGCCTCTCCTTCCCATTAGACTGATTGCCCTTCCATCAGATCTCTCACTGCTTGTACGCACCGCCAAAACTACCGGCAGCTGCTGCTGGGAGTTCCGACTGCTCGGCCGTTGGATCAATCATCGCCGTGAGGTACGGCCGGATGCACTGCACGCGCGCGCGCAAACAAACAGAAAAACACCAGTAGTTTGGTTCTTATTCATTCACTGGGAACGCCAAAATGATGAAGCATTAAAAATCGGTTTTAGGGGAAGCTGATATCCTTCTCAGCCATTGCCGCTTGCTAATTGCCAACACGTTCTGCTAGTTTACCTTTTGTACTGTATCTTGCGGTGTCGTCGATTTCAATTATTAAATACCCAAATTCTTTATCTACAGAATGCCACTCTAGTTATGCTATGTCCATAGATCGCCTCGGTCTGTACCGCTTTTGTGGGAGCAGCGCACCGCGGCGATAAAAAGCCGCCACTTGATAACCGCCAGATCACGAGCCAATTAAAACTCCCCAGATAGATTATTATTAATGAAACCCCAAACACGCCCACATCGTTCGAATAAGCCTATCGGTATATTTATTTGTTTTTGACTTGGATAACTTTTTTTTTATTAGTTGTGGGTATATTACTATTATTTTTTTTTGGATCCTGCTGCAATGTTACAGTAGTTTGGTTTCACGAGTCTCTCCGTTAGCGTGTAACGGTCTTAGTATCAGGTGTATCTAGCATTGATGAAACAAACTAATCTCTTAATAAATGTACCCAGCTTACTGCAGTTACCTTAATTATTACTAGACTTTATTTCAATAAACGTCTATACTCCTCACCATTTTTTATTTCATTTTTTGTTTTGTTTTGCCTCTCCTTGATATATTTCCTATACGCATATATATGTCTTAGATATCGTTGATCTCCAGATTGCAAAACAAAAATCGCGCTCCGGTAGAATAAAAGTGTATCCAAATGGTATAAAATATCTTGTGTCTATACTTATATGCCAATTGGACACATCCATTAGTGTAACATTTGACTTGAATCCCACTTATGGAATGGTATGGTATGGTATGGTACGTTCTTTTTTGGTCTACAAAAAAACGCAAATATTTTGAAACACCTGGATGTTGCAATTTATTTGAACACACCGCGTCTCATAAAAAATGTATTCAAGAAATGATGATCCCTTCCCTACGCTAGGAATTAGAAAATTTTCAATTAATTCACAATTATCCTATTGTTTGATACACGTATTGGATTATTATTACTGTTATTAATTTTTTTTTTTTTTTTTTTTTTTTCACACTTTTTATCGTAGATCAATTCAAAGTAGTAATATTATAATTAACAATTGTTGCTCCAAAATTGAACAAAGAAAAGGTCACGGTGAAAAGAGACCGAAACTCATACGGTGCTTAAAACCGTTAATCATTCAAAATGTGGATGCCTTTGTTGTTTTACATACACAAAAAACAACCAACCGCAAGTTAAACCTATGGTTCATTGTTTTTCTCAAATTGTGCGTCTCTATTATAATTATTATCTGAATCATTGGCTCTTCAATTCTCTTCAAATAGGGAAATAACTAGAGACAATCTATAATTTAAAGATACTGTTGCAACAATTGACTTGCCCTGGCATGTGTTGCGTTAACTTACGCTATCTAATGATAATTACCGTACTAACGGTCTTAAACTTCCGCGGGCCAATGATCATTCCCATGACAACTGTCCCTAACGAGAAACCGACAAGAAGCATAAAAAGTAGAATTGAGAAATCCGACCACCATTGGGGAGGGGGAAAGATTAGGCAGCGCCTCTTGGTTTCCTAACGGTCCTTGGTGTTTTTCCCTTATCAAAGGTTGTTTTTCTACACCATTATGGTTGAGATATGGATAAGACGGGGGGTGCGCATTGCCCCCATAGGGCCCATAGTGCTTCATTTCTGCAATTCCAATTCACCAAACTGATTTTTTTTTATTTTTTTAGTTCTGTTTTTCTAGTTTTAGGATCGTAATTGATTGGGACAATCAATGAGTTAATCGGAGTAAATCACCACCATATTTTTTTTTTTTTTTTTTTGCTCGCATCTATCATTCAACAGAATACAATCACAATCGATCTTATTCAACTCTGTGCGTACCACCCAGCTCCGCGGTTGATGCACGGATAATACCTTGTTGGTTTGATTTGGCTATAAGTTTTTCTCTAAGGAGAAAAAAATAAAATTGCCCTGTGTTGAATGGGTCTATCTATCTATCTATATATGGCATTGCTAGAAACGTGGTGTCTTGATCCACATGGCACACAATAGTTGATTTGTGATTAGTATATTATTCCCGTTCATAACCGCAGGTCTTATCAACCAATCCCGGATTAATCATCATTTCCATGCAATACGTTATATATTTATTTATCAAGGTAACCAATTGGCTGTTGGTGATCCAACCACCCAGAAAAAAAAAAAAACAAAAAAAAAGAAAACAGTGAATTTCTATCGATACACCATCATATATGACAACAAAGAAATAACATAGTCTTGCAGTTTGTGTTGATTAGTGTTATATATACTCTTAGCAATTCCAATCCTTGTCCAAAACAAATTATACTAAACGGTATCCAGTATCGCATAACACCACTCTATTAATTATATGCTTGTCTTACCTCTAGGTATAAGCAATACATTACTTATAGGGGGAGATCACCATCCAACACTTCCCTTCCCTGCTTGTACTTGTATGTTATCCTCTGATTATGTAATTTCATCATTAGGTAAGCGTGTGGCACTGTGATTACGTAACAACAATTTTACCCAAATATCTGGGGATCCCGCGAACATTTCGTCATATGTCGACATTGTGGTTACCCACTCTAATACCAAGGACATTTATTGTAAGCGTTGGCAATGTGAATGTGGAGCAGTCGCTCCCCGCCCATGTCATCTTTTTCTTTTTCTTTGTTTTTGTCTTCGTACTTGACAGTGTTTTTCTGGGTGGTGGAATCCGGCCATCAGAAGGTGGTGGGGGTGCGGGTGGGGTAGTCTAACTAAACACCGTCGAATACTTCCACCACCGAGATTATCATCAATATTCCCATATCATTACATATTGATATATATATATATATCAACCACCTCCCACAGAGTAACGTTCCTATTTGCTTCATTTTTTACTTTTTTTTCCAATGATTTTTTTTTTCATGTTTTTTCTTTGTTCTGCATATGAATTTGGGATTCTTCAACATCTTTCATTTAAACATGGAGGAATGAACAAGGACAACAACAACCAACTTTGATTGATGAATTTCAAAAACAGCGTTACCCAAAACAATCGCAACCCAGTAGCTTTGGCGCGTATCGACTATTTGATTGGCGAAATCACTAGTAAACTTGAATCTTTATCTAATCATTATCATCATCTTTCCTCGGATAATAATCTTATAGAATCAAAACTTGCAGCTGTTAATGACGAATTAACCGAGATTTTATCGACTCAAAACAAAAAAACACCGGATCTTGTGTTAACAAGACTTCCTCATGAATTGCAACTTAATGTCTTCCAGTTACTACCTATCATTACCTGCTTGCCTTTCACAAAACTTGCATCAACCGCTACCGCGGCTAATATTAGATCGTACCATGACGTCTCAATACTTGGAATGGCATGTATTGGACCTACCTTGAACCAACTGACCGCATACTTTACTCCATGGTTTAAAGGATCGGTTGGTAGATCTAAGGTGGCCAGTGACCTGCCGATAACTATATCAACAATAAAGAGCCACCCATCAACTCATCCCTTGGGGTTTAGTAAGGCCAGCGGTATTGGGGAAGATGATTCAAAGACAAACCATCGAGATCGAGGCATTACTTTTGATATATCTCAGAATCAAGAAATGGAGTTTCTCATCGGTATGAAGTTGAAATACGTGAAATCTTTGAGTTTTTTATTTGTTGGTGGTAACTCTTTTAAATATCAAGCGGTTGATTTCAAAGAATTGATGACAAACAAATTCCGATATTTTACAATTGCTGCCAATTATCCCAATATCGATATGTGGTTTATTTTCGATAATGTTCTACTTAATCGGGGGGCTTTTAGCTTTCTTTGTGAAATGATGGATCGTCCCACCTTAAAGGGAGTTTGGTTTCAAAAAAGTTATGTGAATGAACCACCTCCTACTGTGTTGCGTTCGAATTTCCCAATTGATAGTTTTGTTCCTGAAGATATGCGAGCTTCTTTTGAGACACAGACCAATGATTCAAGGTTGTATGACTTTCATGATATTGGCTGTCAATGTGAAATATGTTGCCGGTCAATGGTAGTTGATCGAAAACATTATATCTTGGAGGTTGCAGGAAATTTCAATTTCTATCGAATGGGTGAGCGTATCAGTGAGAAGGCTGGTGGGGTTGAAGAACTCTCAATGAAGCTGATGGGGATATTTGGATTGAGTGAAAATCTTGATTGTCGATTTTTTCAAAGCTTGAAGAGTTTGGATTTGTCAAACAACCAGCTTCATCATATCGATATGCTGGTATTTCTGAATTTGGAAATCTTGTGTTTGAACAGTAATGCTTTTGATGGGTTTAATGATTTACAAAACTTGCAAAACTGTTGGAAGTTGCGAGAATTCCATTTGATGGCGAATCGTTTAACTGGATCGCTGGTATTTGATGAAGCTCCGGTAATGAACAATGTCAGGATATTGAACTTGAATCACAATCGAATATCCGCTTGGGATTCCTTAGAGTCTAAATTTCCAAACTTAGAAACATTGTGGATGGTGTCAAATGGGTTAGGAGAAGGTCTTTCGATGAAGGAAGATGTGTTGGGTTTGAAATTGCGAAATCTTCAGGAATTGAATATTGGGGAAAACTGTTTACCAAGAGTATTTCATCTTCAAGGAAGCTTGCCCCGACTCAAGATTTTGGATCTATCAAATAACATACAAACCAGTAGCTTGATGGAGTACCCAGGAAATTCGTTACAAATTTTGAGGATGTCAAATTGTCTTGTACGAGACTTAGGATGGTTGGCCCATATACCTTTGAAATATTCTCAAATAAGGCACTTAAATTTCCAATCAAATCGCATTAGAAGTGTGGAGCTGAATTTGGAGCATTTATCATTGCTTAATTCCATTGACTTGAGCTACAATTTGCTATTGAATATTGGCGATTTTCAATTTGTTGGAAATACAAATTTGTTGAAAGTTGACGTAACAGGCAACCCTCAATTGAAAAAATCGGCGATTCAGCAATGCCGATGGTTGATGTGAAGACAGAGTATTTTTTTTTTTGGGGGGAAAGCTAGAACTAAAACAAAAAAAAAAAAAAAAAAAAAGAAAGAAAGAAAGAAATGCTTCAATGAGTATTGTGGAGATGATAAATTAGGATCAGCTCACTTTTACTTGTAACTAACTAACTATTTATTGGTCATCACTCAAATGTTTTACTTCCCAGAGATTATTAATTTCACTGTCAACTTACAAAAAAAAAAAAAAACAGAACAACATAACCACTTGGGTGCATTGTCTCTTATTCAATAATAAACGGAGTAAAATGGGTTTCCATGTCCGATGTTTGGACCGAGAAAAACAAACAAAAAATGAACACTTACTGTGTGTTTGTTTGTGTATCATGCAGTGCTGCTGGATCAACAAAATAATTTAGCGGGTTAGTGGTAATCAAAAGCATTCCCATTGGTCCGTGTGGTGTGTTTTTTTAGCTTAAAATATGCTAGCTACGTTACAGCCTTACGGTTGCCACACTCTGGTAATATTCTTTTGTCTGTCCATGGTGGTTGATGACGTCTTATTTTGATTCTGACATTTGTGATGGAGATTAAGGAAAACTCCATGAACGAACCAGAAAGGTCAAAAAAAAAAAAAAAAAAAGAAGAAGGAATAATCAAATAAGAGGTTCGTTGCTGCTTATTCAGCATGAGTACAAAGATGGAGTTATCCGCATCGGAGTTCAGATTTCTCACTTATTTTTTTTTCCTTTGTTTGACAGCAACTCCTGAAATTAGTGGGGTTATTACTTTTGTACGTCTTTTTTCCAGCGGTCTCCACCGATGCTAATGATAAAATTAGCCGATTTGTTTGCTCCAGCCGCATGGCTGATTAAGTTTTTGGGAGCATGTTACTGTATGGGGGGGTTTCTCTTGATTATTTTCCCCTCTCTTACTATAATTGAGCGTATGTATATATAGCCTTGGACTTTTCCTACATCCTTGGACTCCCTTGGCTCAAAGTTACGATTATCTTCATCAAACAACCACAAGTGCGATAGTCGTTAACCCATCATCAACAACTAGTTAAAAATAGCAAACCTTAATAATAATAATGTCTAGTCACGAGGATTTCGACCTTGAAAAGCAAGCGGTGAGAGCCTACTCTCCAAACGAACAAGACAGTAATGACAATAACACATTTGATGGGCGTACTCAGATTTCCAGAATCGAGCACTCGATCCATGATGATGGCCGTGAGGTGTTGTTAATTGGAGATACTAAAGTTTATAAGGACGAGTTTGTGCGTGCCTTTGGCGGTACTTTAAACCCAGGTATTTCGGTGCCAACTAAAATATCCAAAGAATTTGCGGTCGCTGGTCCGCTTGGGTTGTCAGCGTTTGCCCTAACGACTTTTGTACTTTCTTTGATTAATGCTCAAGCCATGGGGGTTGATATTCCTAATGTAGTTGCCAGTGTGGCGTTTTTCTACGGAGGAGTTGTGCAACTCTTGGCTGGTATGTGGGAATTTCCTGCTGGTAATACTTTTGCTGCTTGTGCATTCAGTTCTTATGGAGGGTTTTGGATTTCGTACGGTGCACTCATTACTGACGCATTTGGAATCAGTGCTGCCTACGAAGCCGAAAATGCCACTGGACAATTGAGCGATGCCATCGGGTTCTATTTATTAGGGTGGGCGATTTTCACATTTATGCTCTGGTTATGTACCATCCGGTCCACTTGGGCGTTCACCTCGTTGTTTTTCTTCCTTTTTGTGACCTTTTTGTTGTTGGCGGTTGGCCAGTTTACTGGTGAAGTCGGATGTACCAGGGCTGGAGGGGTAGTTGGGATTGTGGTTGCGTTTATTTCTTGGTATAATGCCTACGCTGGTTTGGCTACCAAACTGAACACCTATATTACCATCAAACCTTGGTACTTGCCGGGCGCAGAATAGGTGTTTCAGTTTTACATGCTTTGCTTGTGATATATATCATATAATGAGAATTCTATTGCTCATTTTGTTCTTTTGCTTTCGTTTTTTGCTTGATTGCTTGTTACGTTTATGTGTGTGTGTGTGTGTGTGTGTGTGTGTGTGTGTGTGTGTGTGTGTGTGTCTTTCTCTTTGCTTTATTTTAAAATCATATTGTTTTGTTTTTTGTTTTTCTTTGATAGTTCAGGTATCTGTTACGATTATTAATATTCTCATATTTGGTTTTTAGTTTTATTTTCTTAGTTTGTAAAGTGGTTTTTAAATGATTTGAGGGGGGGCGAATTTGCTTTACACAGACAGTGTTGTACAAGAAAAAGACTGAGGTCCGAGCTGTTCTTCATACTCGATTTTCCGTGTATTTGCCCATTATTTGCTTATTTGGTGGTGTATTTTGTCACTCATGTTCGGTGAAACGCAGTGGCTCGCCGAGGGGCGTTAAAGATTATTGAGAGGAGGGGTTAACGTTGGTGGGCGAGAGGGGGGGGGGGGACATTAATTTACTAGCTGCACAACAGGTACAGGTACAGGTACAGCCGTATATCAATATTATGGCAATGGCAACCTATATAAAAGCGCACATATGAGGGTGGACTACACACAATACGCGTACACCCAAAGGCCACTTACAAATCAAGGAAAATAGAACGTAAGTACCGTATCCCAGATAACACCGGCCGGACGGCCAGAGATCATTAATTAATATAAACTGAAGGCTACCCACCATTCTCTACAAAAGAGAGCACAACATGTGTTTCTTTTCCACACGTTACCCGCAGATCAGATTTTTTTTTTTTTCACCTGCATTTTTTTTCTTCTTCTTTGACTCATGGAGAAGAGATGTGATCATCATTTAAGTAAGTGAAAAATATTTATTTATTGAGCAATTCGCATCATCCACAAACAAATATCAAAAAGAAGTGAAGTTGCGTCAACCGGAATTTCATTTTTCAATTTGGTATAAATTGATTGAGGATTAGAAATAAATAAATTAAAAAAAAAAGACAGACATGGTGGATTCAACTCCTGCAAAGACAGAGTACCAATTTGAATCTCTTGATTCTTTATTGAAAAACTCTAAAAAAGTCATCACTTTGGATGGTGGCTTGGGTACCGAACTTGAATCCCGAGGACTTGAGATGGACTCTGCTTTATGGTCTTCTGTGGTGCTTGTGAAGCAGCCGCAAGATGTTGCATGCCTTCATCGTGATTATTATGAAAGTGGGGCTAATTTGGGGATTTCTTGCTCGTACCAGGCGTCTAGTAAACTGCTATCTATTTACGGTAATTCGATCAAGTCCACCTACGATGGTGAAAACATTTATGACACCGAGGCCAAACGGTCCAAATTCTATGACAAATGCATGGACGCCCTTGTCAAAGGCCGAGATGAAGCCGTTGAAGGGAAGAAAGTCAACTCATTGATCAAACCTTTGATCTCTGGGTCGATCGGTCCTTATGGTGCTGCGCTTTCCGACGGGCTGGAGTTCACTGGGACTTATTGTGAGTCAGAAAGTTTCTACAAAGAGTTCCACAGTGAACGTTTGAGATACTTTACTCGTCATCCAGAAGTTGATTTGCTCATTATTGAAACCATTCCAGTGTTTGGGGAAATCAAGGCGGTGGTGAGCTTGTTAGAGGAAGATTTGGTGAAGGAAGGGATCGCCAAGCCTTATTTATTGAGTATGAGCATTAGAGACAGCAAAACTTTAGCCGATGGCACCCCAATTGCCGAAGTGGTCAAGTACCTTAGTGAAGAAACTTCGGCGTTCAAGTCGGGATTGTTGTTGGCCATTGGTGGGAACTGTCTCAAGTTGAGATACTCGGTGGATTTCTTGAAGAATCTCCAATCGGTGGCTCCAAAGGGGTTCCCATTGTCGATCTACCCAAACTCTGGCGAAATCTATGATGGCATTTCCAAAGGCTGGTCGATCGACCCTGAATTGGGTGACGACGTGGCCTACGAATGGGAAAACATCGTGAAGGAATGGATCAAGTACGGGGCCAGATTTGTTGGAGGATGCTGCCGTGTTGGGGTGGCCGACATTGCCAGAATCCACAAAACTATTGTGGAATACAATGAAACAACACAGTAAACGAAGTAACGTCTCTCTGTCTGTCTGTCATATGCTTGCGACAATAGAAACGTAAACTATAGACAGCTGCCTGTATAGAAATATATGATATAAACACTATAGACCCCCTTGGAAAGAGATATAATATATTATAAGATGATGATTATGATGATGTCGAGGTGCGCCAGCGCCGGCGCCAGTCACGCGGAGGGCGGGGTGCCGGACCCTGTGACTTTCGGGGCAGGAAGAATTTTTTTTTTTTGTTTCTCCCTCTCGTTGCTGAGCACAATTGTGCTTCTCCTCTTCTTCTTCCTGGTTTTTCTGGGCTGACTTGCACTTTGTGATCACCGTCAGAGACTCTCTTATCGTGGTGATTTCTCAAAGGTTCCCTTCTCATCTGTGATCATCCATATTCAGTGGCGTGTGGTTGTAGCCACTCTTCCGTTCCTCGTTGGCCACCCACGTTTTGATGCTCCATACTATAGTTAGAAGAAAAAAAAAAAAATTATCATAGAAAAAAATTATTAGAGATATCCATTCATAAAAAAAGTACGCTTACAAAACATCGGATATTTTTCAACGGATTTTAACCAACATCACCTTTGATTTATATATTATTATTACAAAGGAAGTAAAGCATTCGGCAGAATAAGGTGAAAGAAACGGAGAAGGAGAATATAAAAAAAAAAGAAGGAATATCTTGTTGTTTGTCACTCATCACTTATATTAAGCTAACTTTGGTTTTCCAATTTGTTGGTGGTTGCTAACGGTACTCATTCCCTTTTTTTGTGAAATATCATTTCATATCTTTCCTCCCTTCCTTGGGATTTTCAGCTTGTTTTCACCATCATCAATATCTCTACCCAAGACCAGCTTATCTTCAAAAAAGAAAATATACTTGAGCGCTTATCGTACCTGCTGTCAAGTAGCAGCAATCCCACAATAGCATATCTCACTACTAATACTACTGCTACCACAACTACTACTACTAATAATAATAACCATTATCATTATGCCAGAAGTTGCAACAAGAACTAAGAGATCGTCAACAATCTCCAAGATCGGAAGAATCTTTGGGGTTCATGAATCAAAGACTCAACAACCTTCAGAGTCGAGCACCCATGTCTCTATGGTAGATACCTCGCCTTCGGAAACTACAGTTGGTACATCTTTTACAAACTCAAGGACCCCATCATTAAAGAATAAATCATTTAAGGAAGGGTCTACTTTATCATCTCTCAACACATCTCGTTTGAATTCGATAAATACTTCGTCGGCTAGTTTGAACAAATTGCCAGAACCACCGTCTTATCTCGTAAATGAGGCAGATAACAGAGCTCTCATGAAAAAATTGAATAATTTGAAAATATCGAATGACGAAAAACTACGATCAAGTAGCAATCCAAAAAGAAATTTCAGTAATAGCGCTGTGGCCATTACCATAGATGAAGAGCTACCTGATGCAGCTCCAATAACATTTAGTTCTTTGACGTCGACTGTCAGCAATCCAAACATCTCCCATAGCAATTTGGTCATCAAAAATACTCGGAAATCCAGATCACGCTCGGTTTCCAAAAATACCTTGCATTCAAAAGAAAATGTCCAAGAGTTTGTCGACAATTCAACAACCTCAAAGGCTAATAATCCACCATCTCGTCGTGCCACTTCAAGACCACCTAGACCGGCCAAGACCCCAAGAAGCAAAAGCAACTCAGAAACCAGTCTCAAGGATAAAGGTAATAGCGCTAGCAATCATGCTGCCACCATCGCCACCACCACCACCACTACCACCACCACCAAAAAAGACTCGGGTAATCAAAACAAGTCGTCATCATCCCTTCACAAATCCTCGGCAGCAAGTAACAATAATAACAATATCAAAGACAAGTATTGCGGTCGTCTCAAAATCTATGAAGACGGCACTCATGAGCATTTGCTAAGAAATGCCAAGCGTCAAGAAAAGCTTAGTACGATGATTAAGAATTTCTTGGGTGCGAAAAAGTTACGTGACGAATCGGTTTCCGCAGTCTCCAACATTCTACCAAATATAATGCCTGATGGGAACGTACCACCTTCATTAATGTCCAATTTAATGAACATTGTCAAACAAAATGAGAATGGCAAAATCGAATTGGTGTTGGAAAATGAATTGAAAATCGCTGGGTCAAATGGTGGCACCCCATTTCCTCAAACCATCGAAATCCAAGAAACTTTGATTGATCCAAGATCTTTTGCGGAAAAATACGGATCGTGCCAAGAAGTTATTGGCCGTGGTACGTTTGGGGTGGTGAAGATTTCTCACAAAAAAGTCTCTGAAAACAAGGAGAATTTATACGCGGTGAAAGAATTCCGTTGTCGGGCTCATGAATCAGAAAAAGAGTACAGCCAAAGATTGGCAAGGGAATTTTGTATTTCTTCATCACTTAAAAACATTCATATCATTCAAACTTTGGATCTTTTGCAAGATGCCAAAGGTGATTATTGTGAGGTCATGGAATTTTGCACTGGCGGGGATTTATACTCTTTGATTGTCACGTCTGGTAAATTGGAATATATTGAAGCCGATTGTTTCTTTAAGCAATTGGTTAGAGGGGTATCTTACATGCATACCATGGGGGTTGCCCACCGTGACATTAAGCCAGAAAACATTTTATTGACCGCCGATGGTAATCTTAAGATTACTGATTTTGGTACCAGTGAATGTTTTAGTTTTGCCTGGGAGTCCACGATCCATCTTTTCGAAGGTATCATTGGTTCGGCTCCGTATATTGCCCCAGAGCTTTATTCAAACAAGAAGTATGATCTTAGACCAGCGGATGTTTGGGCGTGTGGGGTTGTATATATGGCCATGAGAACTGGTCGTCAGCTTTGGAGATCGGCAAATTTCGCAGAAGATGAATTTTACCAGGAATATTTGAAAGGTAGAAAAGATGCTAATGGTTATTTCCCGATTGAAAGCTTGAAAAGAGCAAGGTGTCGTAATGTAATTTATTCTATTTTGGATCCAGTTCCAGGAAGAAGAATTACTGCCAAACAGATTTTGAACAGTGAATGGGGTAGAGAAGTGAAATGTTGCGAAGCCGGAGAATACGGAACAAAAACAGACAACGTGATGATTGATGACAAGCAAACCAAGCCACAACCTCAAACGAAATCTCAGTCACAGGCTAAAAAGCAACAATCTGCGTCTCCATCTTTATTATCGATACATTCCCCTGCCATTGCAAATAAATGAGGGGAATTTTTACTATTATGTTGGAATTGGACTTTCAATCATTTTATTTACAAGAACCTTAACGTTTTGTTTTTCCCCATTTATCATACAGTTTTTTTTTTCGTTGGATGGAATCTTAATTTCCCAAGTCCACGTTTTTTGTTTTTGTTTTTTCTTTTCAGTTGTTTTATCATCGTTTCCCATCTGTCATTATCTTTTCCAAACCTTTGGACCAGACCTTTTTTTTTTCAATTGATACTGTCACTGTTTTACTAACATTGATACTCATTCCATATTCACGTTGATACTTATTCCATATTCTAATCAAACTAGAATCATCATCTTCTTTTTTTTCCTTTTTTTTTTTACGTTACTTAAACTAGCTAATTCCTCTGCTATAATGATCTTTTTTCCCTCTCACTCAAACTAGCTAATTGCTGTTCTATAATGATCTTTGTTTTTTTCTTTTTTTTTTTTTTTTTTTAATTCCCTCTAATAATCTTTTTATGGTCCACATTTATTCATACTTGATTTTTGGATCTATCAATGATTATGTCTTTTGTTCACTTTCATATGGTCGTAGGGGATGTTCCCCATTATGTCGTTTGACAACTCAAATGTCTGTCTTTTCAGTTTGTTTTTTACCTCCATTTTGTAACTACTCAAAGTTTTTGTTAGACATATTTTATCGTTCTCCGGATGGCGGATCATGTGTGATGATGATATATATATATAGGGCCTACCCCACCCTGCGATAAGAAGAATCAAATATTCAAACTTCCATGAATATTTTCAATCACCCTATTCACTAACATTGTATCTTCTTTGTTTCGTAACACCTCAAGGGAATTCTGAATCTGGGTGAATTTTTCCAAACTGATGGAAAATTCCTCGCTCAAGAACCGTTTCATCCTCTGTAATCCTAGAATCCTGTCTTGTACTAGAAGTTCAGGAGAAGAATCTTGGTATGTTAGAGACATGGTTTCCATTAAACTGTCGATCACAGCTATGGTGGTTTGGATATCTGATTTGGACACCATACTAATAGTTGCAGGATGATCTGGAGGAATAGTAGTAATGGCCTGGGGAGAACGAAATGAAGGATAAAATAAAAAGAAGAAAAAAACGAAAGGGGGAGAAGGGGGAGAAGAAAATCGAAATAATTTCAATTGATACTGAGTTCTCAAATATTATATTAACAAGAGAGAAAGACTATTATAAATTTTTGTATATGAAAGGGAAAAAACCAAACAAAAAAAAAAAAAAAAAATTAGACAGGAAGAAATGAAAATCAATGATGATTCGAATTTTACAATCATTGGATTCATGTAATAATAATAAACTCCACAATTACTCAACAAGACTAAAAATAAAATAAAATAGAAAATATCTTAAATGAGTGACAAAAGGTCATATAATCATGATGACTTGCCATCTCCTTCGCTGAAAAGATTGAAATCAGTAAACAGTGGTGATGACCCAGATGCTGCGGCAATCATCCCCAAGACGCAATGGCCATCATCGTTCCAAGAACTTGACTTAATTCATTTCAGATTCAATAGTTACTTCAGTTTTATATCCACAAGAAACCATGTGCTACCAACTTATGATATTATCAAACCCAACGTCGAGAAACTGATCAAAAGACTGTTGCAACTCGAGGATATCGCCAAGCTCATGGTGTTGTTGCCGCTGGATATCTCATTTAAATATGTTGATGAGAACCAGATTTATCACATCAAGGAGAAAATCGTTCAGTTCAACAATGACGGGGAGTATCTTAGGAAAGATGTCGATATGTTCAAATTAAAAGATATCGAGTCTACCCAGAAGCAAATATTACTATTGGAGTTTATCGATGGCAATCCCCTCAAATCAAAAGCCAATGAGAATTATAAGACCCAGAATTATTCGCATCCTTACAACCCCAAGACATTGAAGAAAGTGATTGATAAGCGGAACAAGAAATTCATCAATGGAGTGTCGAAATTCTTGACCAATTGTGCCAGCCAGGGAATTGATGATCCAATGGCGGAATTAACCAAGCTTTGTCAGCAATTCATCCCCGAAATAACCGTCCATATTGATCCAATTGAGGCCATGAAACGTAACAAAGATAATGGATTAGTCAGTTCGGAAAGACCGAAAATCGTCGATTTGGTGGAAGAATTGAAAGCTGATAAACTTTACAAGAACCAGATTGTGGAGGATGGGCTATTTAAATTTGCCTCCCGGCAACCGGTTTTCAAAAATTTGGAATTTGAACTCCCATTAGACATTTATGAGGCATTGTTTAACAATAAGAAAGTTGAGAAGTTTTACTCACATCAAGCAGAAGCTCTCAATGCCATCAATGATTTGAACCATGTAATCATCACCACTTCGACTTCATCGGGTAAATCTTTGATTTATCAATTACCAGCAATGAAATTCATTTATGATTACATCATTGAAAAAACCGGTGGTGTTGCCACCTATGATAATCAATTGAACCAAATCGATTTGCAAAACGTTCCTACTGCGATGTATATTTTCCCAACCAAAGCATTAGCTCAAGATCAAAAACGGTCTTTGAAAGAATTATTTAGCGAAATAGAGGTACTACAAAATATTGTTGTGGAAACCTTTGATGGTGATACAAGCTCGGAGACTCGGAATTTCATTAGGGATAATTCCAAAGTGATTTTTACCAACCCTGACATGCTCCATGCAAATATCTTGCCCAATTATCAGAAATGGCGGAATTTTTTGAGAAACTTGAAAATTATCGTCATTGATGAATTACATATATATCGAGGGTTGTTTGGGTCGCATGTGGCATTGGTTATAAGAAGACTTCGAAGAATATGCCATTATTTGGGTAATGATGATATCCAATTCATTTCGTGTTCGGCAACCTTGAAGGACCCAGTGGATCATATGAAATTGATTTTTGGGATCAACGAACTGCGGGCCCCGATTGTCCACGTTAGTGAAGATGGTTCTCCTTCAGGAGAGAAGTACTTGGTAGTGTGGAATCCGCCATTGATCGATGAACGGACTCGGGAACGGGAATCTTTCATTACCGAAACCGCGAAATTATTGATCAAGATGGTGTTGAGTAACGTGAAAACAATTTGCTTTTGTGTGGTGCGAAGAACCGTAGAATTGTTAATGAAGGAAGTGCGATCGATTTTGAAAGATCGTAATGAGCTTCACATTGAAAATCAAATCATGAGTTATCGTGGTGGGTACTCTATTTCTGATAGACGTGAAATTGAAAAAGAAATGTTCGAAGGAAACTTGAAGGCGATCATCGCCACCAACGCTTTAGAATTGGGGATTGATATTGGGACTTTAGACGCGGTACTAATTTGTGGATTCCCAATTTCAATTTCCAATTTCCATCAACAATCAGGTAGAGCGGGTAGAAGAAACAAAGACTCGTTGACTTTGTACGTTGGGGCTGGTGATCCGGTAAACCAATATTATATGGATAATCCCAAGCTTTTGACTGAACGGAAATTCCAGGATTTGGTATTAGACTTCAATAACGTGATGATTTTGGAACAACATTTGCAATGCGCAGGGTTCGAACTTCCCATAAACTTGGTGAATGACGAGCAATTTTTTGTTGATGATCCAAAAAATTTGCCAGAGTATGAATCGATTGTGAATTCTAAACTTGTGAGAGATGACTATGGGTATCACTGTCACCCAAAATATTTGCCGTGGCCCTCGAAACATGTGTCATTAAGAGGAATTGAAGAAGATATGTTTGCGGTGGTGGACATAACCAATGATCGAAACGTGGTAATTGAAGAAATCGAAACCTCAAGAACCAGCTTTACATTATACGAAGAAGGGATCTTGATCCATCAAGGGTTACCATATATTGTGAGAGAATTCAATGCCGAAGAGCATTTTGCCAAAGTTGAGCGGGTGAGTGTTGACTGGGTGACAAAGCAGCGAGATTTTACCGATGTTGACCCAATGGAAATCGAGAAGATCAGATCGCAAAAGGGTTCAAGTGATGTGCCAATTTATTATGGGAAAATCAGAACCACCATCAAAGTATTTGGGTTTTTCAAAGTTGATAAACGTGGTAAGATTCTTGATTCTGTGGATGTCAAGAACCCTCCGGTGGTGCTTGATTCCAAAGGATTTTGGATCGATATCCCCATGGAGGCGATTACCATGATTAATTCCAAGCAATTGAACGTTTCTGCAGGCATCCACGGGGCAGAACACGCGATTATTAACGTCATGCCATTGGTGATCGTTAGTGGGATCGATGAAATCCAAACTGAGTGTAAAGCACCAGAGAAAGAATTTGCCAAACGACAAAGCAAAAGAATACGCCCAGCAAGATTGATTTTCACCGATTCTAAAGGCGGGAGGTTTGGATCGGGGTTATCGATCAAGGCGTTTGAAAATATCGACGATATTTTACGCAAAGCTTATAACCGGGTGAGAACCTGTCCTTGTGAGATTGGATGTCCTGAATGTATTGCTGCTGCGTATTGTAAAGAGAACTCATTGGTGATTTCCAAGCTGGGGGCCCTTATTATATTGGGGGTGATTTTAGGAGAGAAAATCAACCTTGATCGTATTCATGGGGGGCCAGAAAAGAATTTGCCGGATATTGATATTGAAACAATTGAAATCAACAATGAACAAGTGAAGTTTTCTTCTGATTTGGAGATTATCGATGCTAAGCAGATCGAAGCTGGTGAGGAATTTGTGATTAAAGCAGAGGAAAACGAGATAGAATATGGTTCGCTTTGAGGGTGAGGTATTATAGAATTGTAATATAGCATGTAAACTATTTAGAATAGCAGTATGATGGGACAGAAAACTATTTCTTGAACGGTAAGAGGTATAGTGATATAAATGGCATGTTGAGACAGCCGCTGCCACCCGCCCTTCCGTGCCGCATCAAAGGACGGGTGACGGGCCCACACTTCTCTCTTTCTCACGCACACACACACACACTCTCTCTCTCTCTCCCCTGTCGTGTGTGAATGTAAAAGGTCGATTTACCGGTGATGCCCTTTTTTACTTGCTATTGATTGCCACCACTTTGCAACAACAACAACAACAACAACAAAAACCATTCAACAACTACACAATGTCCTGGTCCGGGTTCAAAAAAGGGGTGCAAAGAGCCACCAACCAAGTAAGTATATGTCATTTCCAATGGCAATCGGCGATAATTTACTAACGTTATGTTGCTCAGGTGCTAGTCAAAGACGCCGATAAGGTGAATGACCGAGGGTTTGAGGTGGAAGAACGTCGTTATAAAGTGCTTGAAAAAGCCGGAAAGAAGATGCAATCAGAATCCAAAGGGTACTTGGATAGTTTGAGAGCCGTGAGTGCGTCGCAAGTGGCAATGGGTGAGATCATTGCGACTTTTTATGAAGATGCCAAAACCAGTGCATCCATACAATCTACTGGGGATTATTACAATCAATGTGTCAAGGAATTGGACACCCAAGTTAGCACCTCGATTGATGAGCCATTCAGAGAGGCGGTATTTGACCCGATCTCCAAGTTTTGCAACTATTTTACCGATGTCGAAGAGGCTTTGAAGAAAAGATCGCATAAAAAGACGGATTACGAACAAAATAAGGCCAAGGTCAGAAGATTGGTGGATAAGCCAGCAAAGGATGTTTCTAAATTGCCTAGAGCCGAGAAGGAATTGCAGGCTGCCAAAGATATTTACGAGAACTTGAACACTCAATTGAAGAATGAATTGCCAGAATTGATTTCTCTCAGAGTTCCGTACTTTGACGCGTCATTCGAGGCATTGGTCAAGATTCAATTGATGTTCTGTACCGAGGGCTATACCAGATTGGCCCAAGTGCAAAATTATTTGGACCCTGCCAGCAGAGAGGAGTACGCCAATGGGGTTTTGGACCAAAGAATAGACCAGATGTTGGGAGAGATGTGGAAGTTGCAGATTTGTGCATTGGGAGCCAAATGATATTGGTGACTTTTTTTCATTTGATTTATTCTTTATTATTATTATTATTATCATTATTATTATTATTATTTTTTTCTTTCTAATGTTTGGAGTTGTCTTTACGATTATGAAGTTTGGTGATCTGTACAGTTATTTTATATTTTTTCTTTCAACATTTTTTGATATTTTTTTTCTTTGCATCTAATTGAATCTACTTATTTGGCTAATTATTATATTATATTATCACTGGCCACATACAAAGGAAGAGGAATGTTGTAAACAGGGAGAGAGATCTTGCTTGCTCAAAATGATTTGCGGCCAAAAAGCAACCATTCCTGTCGGGAAAGTCTAAAAGAAAAAAAAAAAAAAAAGGGCCAAAAAAAATTTGAAAAAAAAAAAAAAAAAAAAAAACACGACGCAAGTCATATAAAAAAATTTTCAGAAAGTAGACAAGTTGATGAAGTCTATTGTACTGTCAGATATCACTTGCCACTTAGACTCTTCAGTACAGTACCTCCTTTACGCAAAAGACCCTTTAGAAAACAACTCTGTTGTATTCGCTCCCCACCCCCTCTCCATCGCGTTCCCTTGCTTCGTGACAGAGCGCTGGCTATTTATTTTTTAATGACTTGAAAGATATCCAAGATTTTTCGTCGTGACCCAAAACAACAAAATGGTGTCACTACAAAATAACAGCAACAGCAGCAGCTCGATCAGAATAAGAATATCTACTATGATATACCTACTAGTGGCGAACTTTCTCAATGCCATCAATGCGTTTCTATACTCGACAGCGTCGCTGCTTATCCAGCTGTACTATTTGCGACTCGCCAACTCCATTACTCGATGCCCTAGAGTCTTTATATTAGTCCCAATGTCCATTGCCTTTATAATATCATATCCAACCATTTATACACTCTACACAACCCCTAATCTAATCTCACTATCATCGATAGAGAATTTCAAAAGTATTAAAGTCATCAATGAGTTCAACAGCTCGACCCCTGCGACTTACTTGAACCTGTCATCACTATTATCATCATCATTAAACAATAACACATCCTCTTTGATGATAAAACAGATATGGTTGCTGTACAATATGGGGGACTCAAATATTGAAGTGTCGTCTTTTGATGCGGGAGAAACCTACCAGTATAATGCTCTCGATAAGCAATTCCTATTGCAAGCATTAGATTTCCAAAACCAATTATTAAAAAACATTGATTTATATAATCCAGGAAGAAACAATAATATTAACAATAATCACGAAAGAGTTTTTGAAAATGAAGATATTTTGCACAGTTCACATTCCACCAGCTTCTTGTACTCTCCATTAAATTTCTGGAATAATTGCCACGAGACTTTGCAAAATGACCCGAATCATTTGAAAACAATTCAATTAACTCTACGAAAGAAAGCAGGTTCCTCAAACACAATACCAACAAACCCAATGGGGCTTCTAGGTGGAGTAGGTAAAGTCAATGGGCTTGTTTATTCTGCAGAAGCCTTAAGAATCTCTCTCGTTTACACAATAAACTCAAATTCTAAACATAAACAAAGTCCTGGTGATATTTGGGATGACAATTTGAAAAAAATCCTACTGGAGAAGGATTCAAAACTTTTGGTACTTAGTAGGGATCCAGAATATAAAACTTACACGGAATTTGTCTATCAAATATCGAAAATGTCATTCATCGACAAATTGATCCTCTTCATATCTAATTTACTCATCATCATTTATTTCTCAATATCAATGCTAAATGTACATGGAGTCAAATCAAAAGTTGGGCTTTTATTGGCGTTTGTGGTGGAAATGATTCTTTCAAGTTTATCGTCGGTTACAATAACCTTTTATTTCTTCAATGATTTGGATTTATTGCAAATACCGGTGCAAATACTATCGTTCATCGTGGTGGTGGTTGGCATTGAAAATATGTTCAGATTAATTTCCACAATATCAAACTTGAAGGACTCTATTTTCGTTCCGACAAAATTTTCTTCTTTGGTGTCAAAAAGCCATATCACATCGTCAATTATAGTGGCGGTGGACTTGTTGATTTTGATATTTATCACTCCATTTGTTTCTGATTCTGCTAGACAATTTTGCGTTTTTGCTTCTATTGCCTTGATAATTGATCATCTTCTTCACCTAACATTTTTCACTGCTGTTTTAAGCGTGGATATTAGAAGACTTGAATTGGAAGATTTGTTGGAAAAATCAAGAGATGATGCATTATCAATGCAGGGAAACAACGGTCTTGCAACTAGCAAATTTCTAATGAAATCAAAATTTAAATTCACTTCTTTCCTATCATCAGCTTTCCCGTCATCGTCGACCCAAAGAAGTGCCTCGGCTTCAGTAAGGCATGTTCTTGCCCAATTCTTATTGAAGATAAAATTGCCATTTTCAACGAGTATCACTAGCTCAATCATTATGGTGATGTGTATTGTTATCATCACAATTAGATGGATAACTGAAGGCATCACTTTTAATCTAGTGCATTTGATAGGGCTCGGGATTTCCAGTAACAACAACAATATTATTGGTGCAAATAACCTTTCTACCAGCGATTCCATCATTTCGTTCCTCAAAGATTTTCCTATCACCACCTCGACATCATCCATTGAAGAACAAAATGTCGATATTTACAAACAACAAATTGACAAACTTCAGAAAAGATTGAACAGCGATCCTAAATTCCCTCGCAGTTTATTTATGAATGAAAAAGTATTGGGAATGTCCATTAGCAATTTGCTCGGCAGTTATGAAGATACCATTTTCCAGCGATTTTTGAAAGGATCTTTGGATAACATGGAACTCAAGATTTTTGTCGAAGAACCATCTTATGCCGGGCAAAAGAGTAAGTTTGGAGATTTACAAACCCTTTCCGACTTTTCATTGAGTGATTATGTTGATAATATTCCTGCTGCTACTTACAAATTCAATATTTATTATCTTTTGGAATTTTTGGCGTCGTTGGCGTTCATGTTGGCGGTTTCCGCCATTATAATCAAGTACTGCTTGAGAGCAGACTCTCTTGCTATTCTGTCTTATGATGATGGCATGGGGGAATTGCAACGGTTAAATGAATCTTCTGAAGAAGAAACCAAATTCCAATCAAAAGAATTGTTCGGTGGCCATGCATTGGATATTGTCAAAATTAGTAGTAATAAAGCCAGTCCATTTGTGGTATCGATCGGGATGGATCATCGAGTCCTTGTTTGGTCTCCTGCCGTTAATCCAATTCCTCAACCAACGAATCTTCCAGTGCTGAGACAAATCTGGCCAATCACACATGCCACATTATCAATGCACGGGAATTTGATTGCGATTTTCTCTAGAAGGGGATCAGTTAAAATTTGGTCAAGATTGACGATGTCATGGATTTGTTCTGTGGATCTTCCAGATTTGAAGAATCGGGTGCCATTGGAATCTTTTTTCAGAAAAAAGACAGTGTTGGGAACTATGATGAGACGGAAACAACAACAGCAACAGCAACAACAACAACAATCACAAAAACTTCACTCACAATCTCAACATCCGGTGCATAAGTCTCCAGAAAAATCACAAAAGGAGGCGGTAATTCAAAACCTTGGGGTGCAAATTCCGCCAATCCAACAACAACAACAACTACAATTATCACAGCCACTGACCCCGGTTAAACATTCAGTATCAAGAAAAAGTTCGATCTCATCATTAAGATCCAATACCAATAAATTGCAAGCCACCAATAACAATTCATACCAGTCACCACCGGTCAATGTCCGAGAAACACATACCGAATCCGACTTTGAATTGACAATTGTTTTGAAAAATGGGAAGATGTTCACCATTAATTGTGCCGATGGGACGTTTTTGGAAACCGTGGTTGTCAAAGAAGAACTTGTTACCGCCAAACTTGTGGTGTCCCCTAGAGTCAATGATCGGTTAGTATTTGGTAGCAAAAGTGGTAAAATTGTTGTGGCGACTGTGGTGAACAATAAATGGAGGATCAGAACCTTGTTTATCCAAGAAGAGCGTTACAATAGAGGTAAAGGATTGATGACTCCTTTAGCGATGCAAAGAACCACTATGAGGATGATGAGCGGCCATCGCGGTGGTCAACTTTCTCGTCAATCATCAATGGGATCCATGACCAATGTGGTGGTTCCTCCTCAGGTACCTCCAGAAGATTTTGAAGAGTCAAGTATTGTTACCGTGGCGTTTGTCGGGATGATTGTAAGAACTCATGGGTTGACTGCCGAGTTGATTGATGTACAAACTGGAACGTTAGTGAAAAGATTCCACGTTGGGCAATTCAAAAAAGACTCATTCCACGTATTCCACGAACAACCTACCCATTGTCGTTTTTGTGGATGTGCTTCTGTGTCGTCATTATCGATTGTCTACACCGAATTGGACACCAATGTGTTGATAATGCACACATTTAGCAATGCTAACCGTGCCAAGAACAGTATTTGTCTTCGTGTGGAGCGTGACCCGAGAGAAACTAGATGTCTTGGATTTGACTCTGTGGTGGAACATCAACACTGGTTGGAGAATGTCGAATGCTGGGAACTCACTGAATTGAATATGGTTCAAGGAATTAGGAAAAAATCCGATTGCGAAGTGTTGAATGGGAAATTCGATGAAGGAGATTTCAGCCGGTACAATTTGACGAACATGCGGTCAGGCAAACGTTTCACTTCACCAAAAAGAAAACCATGCAATGTTGCTCCGACGCATATTGCCGATATGTGGGAAGGGTTTACCATGAATGCCAATGGGAAAGTATCGTACTATGATATTCCTAATGGTGAAAATGAGGGATTGTTGGTGAAGAAGATCAGTTCGATTGCGAGATTTGGTCATAAATCGATTGTTGTGCCATTCGGCAATATCATGAAGGTGTTGTACATGGGGAACGACGAGTTGATTTTACAGAATCTTGATGAAGATGGGAATTCGAACCAAAAGATCTCCGGGTTGAGTTTTGTCAATAAGCGCCGGTTGAGAAAGACCGAGTTGATGAGCTCGACGAATTTTGGAGAATTACCAAGAATGTTGCAGACCCAGAGGGTGGTGAACGATCCAACGAACATTGTGGAGTTTTGATTTCAATTTATGTGTTGTTATTTTGTTGTTTATATGGGATTGATTTTGTTTTGTTTTTTGTGTGTTTTTGTTTGTTTGTTTGTTTGTTTTCTTTGACGTTCATGTTTATTGTAGTATCTTTTTGAGTTCATTTCTGTTATTTTTAGTGTTTGATTGATGTCCAAATTTTTTATTTTTTTTTTGTTTCTCTTCATTACTGTTATGTGCATTTTCTACCATCTTGTTAATTATTATTCCTATCATCTTTCATTTTCTCCTTCTTTTTTTTAGACTTGTTATTGCCCCTCTTTTCTTTTGTTCTTTATTTTTTTTTTTTTTTTCTTCACTTATCTATACTTCAAATTCTTATACTCCATACTTGGTATGGTTAATAATGAGAGGCCACATTACTACTTTTTTTAATGCTCATGATTTTCTTTTCTGTTAGATGTTATATATTTTTTTGGGAATCTGTAATATCTGTGGATGGGTGTATTGGAGGAGTTGTGTGGAGGTTCAAATAATTGTGGTAAATCCTATTTTTATTACATTACCGGTAAGAAAACTTTATAGCCCAGGCATTAATGACCTACAAGAATAAAATTACAAGTCTAGCTTAGCTGACTTACCGATGTTCAAGAAAAAGGTTTGTTTTTGGTCCAAACTGATTGTATATAATACATATATAAAATAACCCAAGGAGAAAACCGTCTCTTGATTGTCTTTTTTTAATTTATATATATACCGAAGCCATATAGCTTCTGTGGTGAAAAAAAAAAAAGAAATATATATATACATACATACATAAGCTAGTTGTCATTTTTTGTGATTTTTTTCTTTTTCTTTTTCTCACAAAGCTCTTCTAGCCTTGATGGCATTGGACAATGCTTCCAAGGTTGATTCGGTGTCTTCGAAAGAAATACAAGCGTCGGTGATCGAACAACCGTAAATCAAAGCGTCTTTACCCCCTTGTTCTTGAGGTGGGACTTTCTGGTTACCTTCAACAATGTTACTTTCAATCATAACCCCACAAATTCTCTTGGAACCCTTTGTAATTTGATCGGCAACACATTGGGCAACCTTAGGTTGGTTCTTGTGGTTTTTACTCGAGTTACCGTGGGAGCAGTCAACCATGATACGAGGACCGGTGGTGTCGATACCTTGTTTTTCTAATTCGGCTTGGGCTTCCAATACCGAGGCTTCATCGTAGTTGGTACCCTTCTTACCACCACGCAAGATCACAAAAGTGTCCTTGTTACCTTCGGTACCGACAATGGCGGTGATCCCTGGTTTGGTGACCGACAAGAAGTGGTGAGGGTGAGAAGCAGCACGGAGGGCATCGATGGCAACCCCAAGGGACCCATCGGTACCGTTCTTGAAACCGACAGGGAAGGAAAGACCCGAGGCCAACTCACGGTGCAATTGGGATTCGGTGGTTCTGGCACCAATGGCACCAACCGAGAATAAATCCGACAAGAATTGTGGAGAGATGGTATCCAACATTTCTCCGGCGATTGGAAGCTTTTCAGTAAGTTTGCAGAACAATTCACGAGAAATCTTCAATCCTTTGTTAATGTTAAAAGACCCATCGATATCTGGATCGTTGATCAACCCTTTCCACCCTACAGTGGTACGAGGTTTTTCGAGGTAAGCTCTCATGACGATATGCAATTCACCCTTGTATTTTTCACTGAGCTGGAACAATCTATCACAGTATTCGAGGGCAGCCTTTGGGTCGTGGATGGAACATGGGCCAATCACCACCAAGAGACGGTCGTCCTTACCGTTGAGGATATCGCAGGCTCTTTCTCTACCTTCAAGGATGTTTTTCTCAGAAGCTTTGCTGAGAGGGAATTCGTGCTGAAGGAGATCTGGAGGAGTCAATGGGTCGTACCCGGTGATACGCCAGTCTTCAAGACGTGAACGGTCACCAACGTGCTGGTTTTGAATGAACATTTTGTGTTGACCTACCATTTTGTATAATATATATATAAATTGTAGTGGCTATTGGTATTTATTTATTTATCAATTTTTTTGTGGTACTTTTTGAGTGATGAGCGGAAAATTAGGACGAGAGGGAATAAAAGTGTACTTTAGGGTATTATTGTTCTATTATTTGTATTTTATTTTCTTTGGAACCCCGAGTCAGAACTGATTTGTAGGATCTTCTCTAGAGACAAGATCTTTTATTTTATTATTATTATTCGACACTTGAGAGTGGTGTTATGGACAAATGCAATAACGGATTATTTACAAGTTTCACAAATGAAAAGAGGAAAAAAATTTTCCGTTCATTGCTGCATCTTCGAGCAATGACTAACATTTCGCCAATGACCAAAAATGGTAGGAAACCTGGTCTTATTAGTGTGCTAATGTTGCAATATCGAGCGATCTTTCTAAATGACTAAATAATTCTAGTGTGAGTAATAACTCTAAATGGGTGCACGTCGTATTCTCCTCTTATTATACCACCAAAGCACACTACACTATGCCTTGATCGTTATCTGTAGATACCAGATGAGGGGTATCCCACCACCAACCATGATGTGCTCAACTAGCCCTTTTCTTCAACATTATTGATATTTTCTACAACTTAGAGCTTGAAGTGTTTTGTAAGAGCCCCTTATTGATCATAATAAACTCTACTTTCTCCGTGATTCCCCTTTTAGCCTTCAACTGCGGATAGATCCCTTGCAAATGATCGACAATGCTCTTTACACTGTAGTCGCGATGGTGATCAAGATACTCATCCACTAGGGCTTCCGTGGGTAAGGTGAATTTGTTCAACACATAATCATGAGAATCAGGATATAATGCCCAGTTTCCCAGGAATTTGTGGATCGCTCCGAACCGCTCGATTGTTGGCAGAAAACACCATTTTTCCACGTACTCATCGGGGATATTATGGATATTTTTGAACTTCCAATCAGGATCATTAGTCTTCAAAATAAGTTTCTTGAAAATCCCTTCCGTAAGATCTAGCTTATCGTGGTTTATGTTCATATTGTTCGATAAGGTGAGCTCTTCTGAGAGCGCTTGGTAATTATCATGGGTCGCCCCGTATTGAAGGATCTTATACCCGATTTTGATCGATAACAATGACCGATCTTCAAACTTCTTCAACGTCTGTTTAGCAAACCAGTTATTTTTCTTGGCAACAAGATCTTCCAAAAACTCAAACACCCCTTCGATCGTGGTAGTTGACGAAAACATCTCGTTAATAATCTTCAACTCTTCCGTTGAATACTGATACTGGTATCCCGGGGGCGCGGTTTCCGCAAACGATTCAATTGTTTCATTCACTATACCGTACCACTCATGATAATACCCAGTAACTTTTCCCACCTCAAACTTGTCGCCGTACTCATTACTTATTGCCACCAACGCCTTGGTCAATGCCCCCAACTTATCATTACGAACAAAATGGGTCCCGGTCCCCGCGAACATATTATCATATCCTTGTAAAATATCCCCGGTTAAACAAAGATACCATCCAAGATACCCTTCGAGCCTACTGAAAAAATAACTGGCGCCAACATCGGGGAAAAATCCAATCGCCATCTCTGGCATCGCGAGTCTTGTCAGCTCAGTAACCACCCTGAATGGCGAATGTAACGATAACCCACACCCTCCTCCCATGGTGATCCCATTGAGTAACGATACCACCGGTTTTTTGAACCGGCTCAAGAAATAATTCATCGAGTATTCGCTCACAAACAATCGAATGCTGTTTTCAGGATATCCAGCATTGTCAAACTTTGCAAGGGCCACCACATCGCCACCAGCACAAAACGCTCTCGAAGTCGCAGAAGTTTGGATAAATAAGTTCACCTTCGATTTCGATTCCGTGATATAAAATTGGAAAAGCTTGTCAATCATCGAAATATTTAATGAGTTGAGCTTTTTGGCCCGGTTCAACGTGATGACCCCACAATATTTGTCAACGTCAAAAAGCACGTCACTGTCGTCTATTGTGATATCACTGTCGGTTGGTCCTATTGGATATTTATTCCCCATCTTTAATTCTGCTAATCTGTTCAATGGTGCTTTCGGTTCTTCTTGATAAATCAAAATACTACGACAATTCCTCTGCGTTAAATAAATAAAGGAGGAGGAAAAGGCGGAGAGAACAATGTAAAAACCACACTCGCTTACACCTTACAAAAAATTGAATCAATTCTTTCCTTCATTTCAATTTCCTATCACACCCAAAAAGAAATTAATCATCTCAAAAATAAAACACAAATAATAATCAAGAAACAATTAAATTAAAAATCATCAATAAATAAATAAATTAAAAAAAAAAAAAACGTCAAATAAAAGAGAGAAAATAGAAGTTATTTAATATACACGACACCTTTCTCTTTTACTTAAGCAGAAGTTTCAGCAGCTGGAGCAGCAGCGGCTTCACCTTCGGTAGCATTAGAGTTCTTGTACTCTTCGTAAGCAGAGAAAGCATCAGCAAAACGGGATTTGAAGACTTCTTCGTCATCCAACATTTGGAGAATTTCAGTGTTGTCCAAGTCCAAAATCATACCGGTGATCTTACCAGCAGCTTCAGCGTCTTGGTTCAACTTTGGGTTAGAGAAAACCTTTGGGTACAATTCTTCACCCAACAATCTCTTTTGTTGTTCAATTGGGTAAGATGGCAAGACAGAAGCCAATTGGGCAACGTTGGAAGTTGGGGCATCAGATTGTGGACCTCTTGGACCTCTTTGGTTTCTGTTTTGGTAGAAACGGTTGTTTGGACCTCTCATGTTACCTTGAGGACCGCCAACGAATGGTGGCATACCGTAAACTGGGACAGGCTGACCATTTGGACCTTGACCAGCCCATTGACCTTGTGGTGGTGGTGGGATACCTTGACCTGGTCTTGGGATACCTTGTTGCATCATCATTTGAGGGTTAACTGGACCTCTAGCACCTGGTGGCAAGAAACCTGGTTGACCGGCTTGGTTGTAAAACATGGCTTGCATGAATTGGTTTGGAACACCGTGAGCAGCTTGTTGTTGCAATCTCATTTGGTTTCTGGCTTCCATTTGTTGTTGCAATTGGGCTCTTCTAACGTCCTTTCTTTGAGCCAAGGCAACGTACAATGGCTTACCAGCAACCATTCTTTGGTTCATTTCAGCAACAGCCTTGGTAGCTTCTTCTGGGGAGCTGAAGCAAACGAAACCGAAACCCTTAGATTTACCGGCATCGTCAGTCATAACCTTAGCAGAGGTAATGGTACCGAAGGCAGAGAATTCTTCCTTCAATTTTTCATCTTCAATGCTGTCATCCAAGTTCTTGATGAACAAGTTAACACCTTGATATTTGGAGATTTTTTCCAATCTAGCAGCTTCGTGTTGCTTGGTCAATTCTTCAATTCTTTCTCTCTTTTTTTGAGCTCTGCCGACGTACAATTTTTTGCTCTTGAGTTCGACATCGTTCAATTTTTCAACGGCTTTAGCAGCATCTTCGTGGTTTTCGTAGTTAACGAAACCGAAACCCTTGGAGTTACCTTCTTGATCCTTTTCAACAACAGCGGAGGTAACGGCACCAATAGTAGCAAAGAGCTCGTTAAGTTCTTGGTCAGTGACTTCAGAGTCAATGTTCTTGACATAAACGTTGGTGAAGTTGTTTTTCAATTCTTCCAACTTGTTTTGTCTGTCCTTCTTGGAAACATGAGGACCAACATAAACTTCTCTGTCATTCAACAACATACCGTTGACAGATTCAATAGCGGCCTTAGCAGCATCATCAGTTTTGTAGTGAACAAAACCGAAACCCTTGGAGGTACCGAATTCATCGGTGGCAACCTTACAGGACAAAATGTCACCGAAAGCGCTGAAGGTGTCGTGCAAAGCCTTGTTGTCGATGGCTGGGTGCAAGTTCTTGATGAAGATGTTGGCAGAACCACCTCTTCTGACGGATGGATCTCTTTGAGACCACATGATACGACATGGTCTACCCTTGATTGGAGAATAGTTCAATTCTTCCAAAGCACGTTCACCATCATTCTTGGCGTGGAAGTTAACGTAAGCGTAACCCAAAGAACGCTTGGTGATAGCATCACGACAAACTCTGATCGAGGAGACTTGACCGATTGGGGAGAAGATTTCAAACAAAAGAGCTTCGTTGACAGATGGGTCCAATTCACCAACGTACAAGGAAGCTGGGTTTTCGACAGGTTCAGTGGAAGCTGATTCTGGGTTTTCAGATTCAGAGGTGGCGGAAGCGGCAGCGGCAGCTGGGGCTTCGGTAACTGGGGCTTCCTTGTCGTTAAGGGCCAAGTCGTTCAAGGTCTTGGAGATTTCTTCAGTAGACATGATTGATGATGGGTTTGTTTTTTTTAGGGGTTTTTAAAAGGATTTTCTGGTTAAGTTGAAAAATATATGGTTTTTTTAAAATTTTTTCAAGTTTTTTTGGGGTTTTTTGATTATTTTCTTCTTTAACAAGATGAAAAATATTTTTTTTAAAGGATATCAAGAGCCACGAGGGAACTTATTTATCCAAATAATAGTGATGTGAGTAAGCTTGGTAAGGGCTAAACGATGAGGCAGGAGAAGGTGACACAAACAGAAAAAAGAAAAAAAATTTCACAAAAATTTTGATGAAAAAAAAAAAAAAAAAGAAAGAAAAGTGAAATCACCTCAGGGCGCTCTGGGCCGGGTGAGAGGAGGAGATCAGTTCTTCCCCTAGAACTGGAATCTTCTAGATTTACATTGTATTGTATTACATTATATTATATTAAATTACATTATATTATATATATATATATATATATCATATGGATGTGTGTAGTGTGTTGTCCTGAATATCAACAGATAATCCGCTGCGCTCATCCAAAGATCTTAGACAATGCAATGGAAAAACGGCGGCATCTACAGATCGTACAACGGAAACCCATGTATGGTGGTGGTCACCATAAAGGATGATATATAGTGATTTAATAGGTAATCTTAGTACCATCTACAATATATGATATAATGTTAATATTCTTTTTCTTTTTTATGGTAATTGATTCGTTTTTTGAGTTTGCCTTTATACTCAGAGACAAATCTTGCATCTTGGAAGCATAGCTTCCATTCCCTGAACTGGTTGAAGCATAGACCCACCTATAGCCAGTTGATTCCTCAATAGGTCTAATTATTTCTTCCTTTAATATATTCAGTATTGGTAGTTGCTGTTGATTTGATATTCGATTTGATGACGCTGTTTCTGGGGGCTCAGCCGTGAGCGAATCACTGGAATGGTTGACATACATGGTTCCAGAGCCATCTTCATTGGTTCCAGCAAAAATAGTCTGTAGTCGTTCAGAAGGCAAAATAGGGTCAACATGTTGTGTATTAACTCCTTTGTCTGGTTGAGTGTTATTATTCAACCCATTTGGAAGGTGAGATATTTCTCCCTTGAATAGAATATCTGAATTACACGATCTGTTCAATCGAACTTTGGTGAGAAAATCATTCCAATCAGCTATAGGATGAGGCCTATTACATACTAATTGGTGTGGCTTTTTTATCAGTTCCTTTCCAGAATTTGTTAAAAATCATAACAACGCTTTTTTCTTTTACCACTTTGAAATAGACCAAATCTGTTAATTGGTTTCCAAGAGTAACATCTATCACATTTTCTAGTCTCAGTTGACCCACTCTGATTCGCCGATCTCTTCTGATTTGTTGACCTCTTCTGAATCATTTGACGGATGATTTCGTCAATAGTATTCGACAGGGTCATACCGCTCCTGATTGAGGGAGTTTCTGAAGAGTGTAATCAAGAACTGTGAGCGTCATCTTTTTGTTATTTCCATGATGATTTACTTCACTTTTTGTTATTGTTTGTCCCATAATGGGAAGAAGCCGCTGAAGGGTGTTCCCTACCCCCAGCAAGAATGATCCAAGAAAAAAAAAAGGGAAAATCAGCGTCCATTAAGTTAGTGCGATGACGTTGACGACGATCTATCAATAGTAGTAGTAGTAGTATTAGTAGTGCCACCACACCATGAGTGCCGTCACTCTGTGAGTATTCATAATTGTACTTGAGAATGCCGGAAATACTGTTCCTTGTTGAAAACTACGCCCCAATAAAGAATATCTTTACTAACCGCCGACCATTAGATCCCTTAGCATCCCAATGCAGTCAGCCAGACAGGCTGATATCAGCAAAAGAGTGATGGAGGCCGACCCCATCCTCAAGGAAAATGAGATCTCTGTTGATTACAAGACAGATAACACCATGTTGACTGTTGATTTCGCTGCTTCCAGTGATAGAATCCTTCGTACAGTGGTGAACAGCACCATTGAATCGTTGAAGAGTGTGATCGAGTGTTTTGATGAGTTTGATGAATAATGATATATATTGATGATAGTAATAGAGAATGTCTGCAATACGGATTAATTAAAGATACAGATAATACAGGCAGACAGTTTATTGTTGAGTAATTTTGGTTATTTTATTTCATTTCATTTAATTTCATTTTATTTAATTTTTTTGTTTGTTTGTTTGCTTGTTTTTTTCACATGTGCCCTTTGTTTTTCATGTCAGTATTGTTGAGCGATGGCATGTGTACCCCATATATATATATATATATATAAATTTCAATATTTTGCCACCAGTTCTTGTTTTTTTTTTTCGAAAAATTTCACTTCATCTGTTGATCAACTAATCAATTGCAGATACACAGCTGACCACCTACCATCATGGATTTCCCCCAATTACAAGCAAAGATTGTTCATGTCAACAATGTCTTCCACAACCTCGCTGCGGATGTTGATTTGAATGACCCGTCTTATATTTGTAAGTGCTGAATAGCATACCATTTTCTTTTTTTCACATTCCATAACACTAACAGTATCCTCTTTAATTGCAGTTTCCCTTTGCTTCATTGCTTTCAATCCCATCTTTTGGAACATTGTTGCTCGCGCCGGTAAGTATCGTTCATCTACCTTCCGTTGCTACATCTTTTTCGAACATTGTACTGACAAAATAATTTGTAGAATACAATACCCACTTCCTTACAAAATTATTCGGATCTGCTCGCCGTGGTTGTTATTTCCTAGCATTTACCATTTTTTCTCTTGGTATTGCCCGTGACTTTGTATATGAACGTGCTCTTGCTGCCCAGCCAACTTCCCAACTTCTTCTTTCCTATCCACTTCTTACAAATTACGTGTCGGTAGCACTTTTTGCTTACGGGAACATTTTAGTTTTGTCTTCAATGTATGCCCTTGGTGTCACCGGTACATACTTGGGAGACTATTTTGGAATTCTAATGGACCACAGGGTTTCAGGTTTCCCATTCAATATCAGTGATAACCCAATGTACCAAGGTTCTACTTTGTGTTTCTTAGGGACCGGTTTGTGGTATGGTAAACCGGCCGGGATCTTTGCTTCTTTGCTCGTGCATTATATGTACAATATCGCTCTATGGTTTGAAGAGCCATTCACCGGAAAAATTTATGCCGAAAAGGCGGCCAAAGATGAAAAAGAGGCTGCCAAAAGCGAAACAGAAGCTAAGAATGAATAAAAGGATTGGATTGGTGTGATTAAGTACTGTGTAATGTTTATGTATGTATCACGGAATTCATCTGTTGTTGTTTAACCTGAAGAAATGATAATCATGTGCCATTTTGACCCCAGATCAGTACATATCAGAATAGTTGTACCATCCACCGCCGCAAATCGCAAGTAAATCTGGGGCGCAGCAGGATGTCTTCTATTCTAATAATTACAATATTAAAATAATCCTATATACATGTTAATAGTCATATTTATTGGTAAATGAAGTAAAGGTGTAGTTGATGCCTGGCCTGAGCAATTAACCTTAGATAAGCACACGTGCTGTTGGCTGCTGACGGTTGGCTATCAGCCAGGGATTTGGCAGCGCTGCATGGCTTCTCTTCTCCTTTTTTTGTTGTCCTGTTCGAGTTATCTTTTGTTATCTTCATCAACTAATTCTTTTAAAGTCTGTTTATTTACCAGCGCTTTTCCTTTTTTTTTTTTTTCTGGCATCTCCAATCTCACCCAACAATCCCTGTTTTTGCTGCCCCTCATCACACGCCCTGTGTTGCTTTTTTCCTCAAGTGGCATCTCATCATCTCATCTCATCTCATCTCATCTTATAACTTGAAGAGAAGCGCCAGAGTTTTTCTGAGATATAAGGACCATCGCTTATCGTGTGGTTTTGGTTGTCTCGTTTTTTTTTTCAATTATTATTATTGTTACTATTTTCTTCTTTCTTTTTCCTTTTTTAAAAAAAAAACCTATGGTGATTCCTGAAGATCAGCAATAAGTTAAAAAAAGCAATGGCTCACCAGTTACAGACTCATCAAGAGAAATACCACCAAAGCCAGCGCTTTACTGGTGATGCAATCTCGACAAACATCGTCGATGATTCATCCGGTCCGATTAGCAGTATTAACTCGGAATGGGTGTTATTCGACCCTTCTGATGATGATAATGACATATTGTCTTCTTCTTTTAGTCAGGCCTCGCATGCAGCGTCTCAGGTAAAGTCCTCAGTTCTAACCCACACACAAGCCCCTGTGGAAGATGAAGCATCCGAAGATGATCGGTCTTTGGTGAGTATCCTTGTTGGATTGAGACCTAACAGTTCGCATATTCAGCTACGTCTTCCAAATCACGATGGCGTCGGGCTTTTTGATGAGTCTGTTGTGCCATCTCGAAATTCTTTTGTGTCTCTCAAAGATCGGATTAATGAATGGCAACGCGAGCAAGCTAGAAGCGTTCTTGAAGAGAAGCGGCGGCATTCTCTAGTGAATCTTGCGTCACATCATAATGAAATTGCTGAATCTTGGGGTATTGATGATAGAGCTCATCTTTATTCTTCTGCTTTCAAGTCATCACCATTGGCACCTTCCCCATCAACTGGCACCTTTGAAACACTTGATCAACATTTAATTTCCAAAGACAGAGCTTTTAATCTCAAAAATTCCGTTGATTCTAAAGTCCCTTCTCTTGTTAATAAAGGCAGAACAAACAGATTTTATGGCGATTACCTTCTCAAAGGCTTAACTGACAAACAACTCTCTAAAGTGAAGAAATGTGCCCACGATTTGTCTTCTTGCATCGGGGAAAGTATCAATGAGGAATCTCCGTTTACCGATTCAATTATCGAAAACTCTGCGTCTACATCATATAATACTGCCTACAATTCATCAGGTCATGTCAGTAATGCAGTAATACGTAAAATATTGGAAACCATCAACTCAAAATTTTATGGCACAATGACTAGGTCTGAATCAGGATCCTCAGTTGGTATTTCTGATAATAATAATGTAACTGGGAATTCTCGAGTCGGTGACAACTTTTGGCATGAAGATGCTCAAAGTATCTATTCATCAAGGCTCAGTGTGTCAAGTCACTGTTCTTCGCTCTGGAGAGTTGAAAGCTGGGGCCAAGTCATTTAGATTGAACATATCTTTTTTAAAAAACAAAAAAAAACAAAAAAACACAGGGAACTTATGACATTCAGACAAAATTTCCCGATGCATCCCTCATTTCATATACTATAATCATTTTCTTGCGGTTTTTCTTTATATTTTTTTTTTTTATTTTTGATTTTATAACAGGACGACTTTTTACATTGGTAATAACTACAATAGCTTTCCCTCTTCTGATTTCAATCTTAATTTTCATGTTTATTATCCTTTTTTCATTATTATCCTATATTTGTAATTATCATCTATGGTTGGACTCGTTAATCAAAAACCCATTCCCAGCTTTGGTCACCATGCTGTGGCTGATCCATTAGCTGAGTTGGAATCCGCTTAGGAATTTGTTGATAGGGAAAATCTATCCTCTCAGTCAAAATTTCCCCAAGAAAGAATCCATTGTAGGAAATCTCATTCCAATATATAAAGAAAAGAAACGAAAAAGGCTCTAATATAGGGCTGCCTTCCTCAATATTCATCAGTAATGACGCACCTATTCCTACGCGCACCTGATCGATGAGCTCACAGAGTTAAAAAAAAAAAAATCGAGTTATTAAGCTTTGGGTGTTAAGCAACTCTTTATACTTAAACTAGATTACTCTGAGAAGTATGGCGTTTCAAGCTCAGAAATTATATGGTGGGGCGGTGGCCACCTCAATTCCAACAGGTCTTCTTGATGCGTCACAAGTTCGTCAGATCCCTGATACCCAAGAAGTATTTGTCAACATGAACAATCCATCGCTATCGCCAGAAGATTCGTTGATCTTCGATTTACTAGAAATGGTCGAAGCCTCTGATGATGCTGGTGCTGTTAAAATGCACCTTGATGAAATCTCTCAACTCAATGGGCTTGTGGGGGATGCTGCATGGAAATTGTTGGAATCACAAGATATCTCGAGCAAGCTTCGGCATTTCACCAAGTCGACGTCGTCATCCACTAAAGGCTACGTTGCGGTTGCTGCGGCCCCTGCTCAAAAATGGGGCAAGGATAAAGCTGAGTGGGTGGTATTAATTTTAGGATTGATAAGACATATTGAAAAGGATGTGGATATTTTGATTTCCGTGAATTTGCCATCACTCAGCGTAGAATCTTGTGAAGAGCTTCGTGATATTGAAAGTAGTGATAATGAAAAACACAAACGAATTAAAGCTGGTAAAGATATTGTGATTAAAGCGATGGAAAACTATGAGATTTTGGACGGCGGACTCTTTGGTTAAGCGAGCTAGTTTGTGATGTGGTATGCTTTTTTCAAGATGTTGCTACATTATTTTATGATAATAAAAATTAAATAATATAACAAGAGAAAAATATACCAAATAAATCAAAAGCCAAAAACCAATAAATAAATAAATATATGAGAACCGAAATTAGAAAGAAAGAGTGCTAGAATACTAATAATGTACAGAACCTATGACCCGCGGTTTGTCACTGAAAAAGCTGAAAGCCAATTCACTAGCAAAAAGAAAACCTTTGGATTAGAAGTATTAGATCGACTGGGTGTATTCGAATCTAATTGCCTTGACCCTCTGGTCTTGGACATTCAAAAGGAGACCAGTGGGCTGGGAAGGGATTTTTTTGGAATTGGCAGTGGGTGAAGGTGTGGCAATAGGAGTTTGTTCAAGAACCAAAATCGGGAAAGTTTGTGAGGGTTGATTTGGAGGCACATACAATGCGAGTACTGCTTGCAAGAAAACAAAGATGGCTAAGAGTTTTTGGACCAGCAACATTTTTTATAAAGATGAGTTTAACAGACCGAGCAACGAATAGGAAATACAAGACCAAATAAATAAAACGATGATAGATTGGTAAAAAAAAAAAAAAAAGATAGCCAAGATTCATTTTCACTGAGGAAAAGGCCTTGGAACAGCCTGCTTTATATATAATCTAATATAATAGTGTTATTCCACACGGAGCTATACTAAAAACACGGTTGTCGGCTCCTGAATGTTTATGTACACACCTGGACGGGTGCGCGTCGCACATACACCTGTCAGCAAAGCTTTGGCTGGCCCAATAACTGATCCTGGCAAGCTCTAGGCTAGTTACAAGCACGTGTGATATAATACAATAAGATATAAACCTAATCAATTATCACAAATAGGAAAGGTAAATGAAACGAATAGGATTATTGTTATTGCCTCCGATCTAAAAAATTGCAGCAGGCAACGTTATATGAGATTCTTTTGCATATAGTCCGGGATGAAAAGATGATGTGATTTTGCATCAAAAACATTTTAACATTATCAAAGGAGTATCAAAATATTAGGTTCGGCTCTCGTGGTCGGATTTTTAGTGCGCTAGCGTTAGTTAAACCTTCTTTCTTTACGTGTTTCGGTTTACTTTTCTTTTTTTTTTTTTTTTTCCAGTTAGGTAGCTTGTTGGGATTAAATTAACTAAAATTACGGTCTAATTATAGCCTTCAATAGTAATTTGAGTTCTTGGTTCTGCTGCTTCATAATAGAGTTTATTTTCAGCTCCGACATTATATAATTAAGATCTGATGAACCATGAAAATGCTAAGCTTTTCATCATGCTGTTTCTTACAAGGCTTGTAGAGGGAAACATTTTCATTAAAACTAAATAGTCAATCAACTTGCACCAATACTCTGCTGATAATTCTTTTCGTCTTCCATCACTCTCTCCATCATTACACTTAGACTGTTCGCTACTCTCCCGACTTCTCCACCTTCCTTGACAATACTGCGGAGTTCCTTCATCATTCTTTCAGTGAATACATCAACAAGAACCTTACGTCTCACTAGTACATCTTCGAATCTCATATTATTCAAATCCCCTTCGATATTCACCGCCCTAGCAAATAATCGCAAATGCTGGAAAGGTCCAGGAACGTCTGGGGTAACGTAGCATTGGGTCAGGACATGAGGACCTTCCGCCTCAATCTGACCGGCCTCTGTATCAATACTCTTCACTTCCACCGCGCCTTGTTCAATAAATTTCCCAAGTACTTGTAAATGTCTCACTCTGGCGGTTCTTGCCGCTTGACCTCCTCCTCCTCCGCCAGCACTACTCCCAACGGTCACCGCCAACCCTACCCCTGCGGCATTGATTGGCCAATGTAACAAACTGAAAAAACATCTCAGTAGCTTGATCCAATGATTGTCAACAAGCAACTTTCCACAACCTCCATCTTCCATTAAAACCTCCAAGAATTTTGAAGAATCATGGCGCACCAGGGCCCCAATGTGGGTCATGGCACTCTGTACGTACAACACAAGCACAGTATAATGCAATTGCACACTAGCGGAGGGTAAAGTTTTCAAAAGCTTCAAGACTTCCCCACGAACCGAACCAGACTGATCAAGTATAAGCTTGGCAATCGAGCTGATGACCGCGGCGAGCATTGTAGGATGCGAACGCCAATGCTTTGCAAGAAACAACACTGCTTCTTTCCGGACCTGAGGAGTGGCATGGCGTGTCAAGCTGATATTCTTTGCGAATTCTGCCTCGTTGGTTTTCACATCCAACACCGATTGGCGAGGTATTGAGATTGATTTGGCAGTAAACGAGACATCGGTATGATTCAGGGCCTTTGGTTTATCCTTTCCGACCTTGAGTCTCTGCTTGATGAAATCCTTCTTCTTTTCTTTAGTTTTCTTTTTAGACCCCATGGTTTATATTGTTAAAAAAAGATGATAATATTACTGTTGTCAAGTGGGATATCTAAAGGGTGTTATTCAGCATCATCATCTGAAAAGAAAAAAAAAAAAAATTTTCTGGATCCACACTTTTGGCACTCTTTCGGGGTTACCCTGTGTTTTGTAATCAAAGAAATTCATCAAAAGAGTCGTAGAAAGAAAGATGTTTCCTCGAAAGCAGGCAATCTTGTCAGTAAATACATTGCAAAATGAGTGCCCGTCAAATAAAGAGGCTACAAGCATTACAGGAAGAGCGCGAAAAGGAGAGTGTTGCTTCACTGGAAATTGATGCAGAATCAGATGAGGAAGAAGACCAACAAGTCAATGCCAAACCCAAAGTGAACTTATTTGCCTTGTTGGGTGATGAAGAAGAAGATGATGATGATGATGATGAAGATAGCGATAAAGCAGAAGCAGAAGCAGAAGCAGAAAAAATTCCTGAACCAGAAATAGAAGAAGAATCGGTAGAAACGTCAGAAATCAAACAGCCTTTGGAAGTGAAAGAAACACTAACTCCGGTGGTCGATAGTGAAACAGAAGATGTATTTGAAGATGCCAAGGAGGAGCAACCAAAACCAAAGAAGAAAAATAAAAAGAAGAAGAAGAAGTCAAAGAAGAAGAAGAATTCCCTGGATACTGCTAAATTGGTTACTCTAGAAGATGCTGATGATGATGACGAGTTTGAAACATTTGGGATTAAAGCCCTGATTACCAACAAAGCGACAACTGCCGAAATAATTGACCCAACTTTTTCCAATTTTTCTCTCAATGATTTCAAAGACTCGCTTTCCTATTTGGAATTCAACGTCCGTGATTTGGACCCAGATAATGAATATAAGCAACTTTTCGGTCACATTTCCGCAAAAGTTTTAAATGAAGCGGACTCCACAACATCCAGCTTTGTCAGTCCTGAAATGTTGAACCAGATTAAAACGCTTTCAAAAAGAATTCCTGGATGGGGTGGAAGAGACCGCAGGGGAATTCCAGGAAGTACTCGTAAACTCACGTTGACCAAGATCAGAGATGATTGGATCCCCACCCGTCAAAAGAATATCACCATGAAAGAATTAAGTACCAATGAAGTCATTAGTTTCAATACTTTGAAAAATGAATCAGAATATGTCGATCTCCAGTTCTTGCGTGAAGAATGCTTTGCAGAATTCAATACGGGTATTCGTTATTTCAATTTTGTAAATAATATCAACGAAACCCTCGTGAATAGTCAATTCCTTTTATCGGTGGTGATCCGTCCGGATCATGAGTTCCTCATAAAGCTTATCCAGCAACACCCATACCATGTGGAATCCATCCTTCAAGTATCGAACATCTTGGTTCGTCAAGGCGATCGTTCCAATAATAGTGGGTTGGTGGAACGGGCTTTGTTTGTGTTCGATAGAGCACTTAAGGCAAACTTCAATCTTGGCTCTGGTCTTTGCCGTTTACCATTTGAAGGGTTTTTAAACCGTCAATTTTACCTTGCGATATTCAAGTATATTGCAGTATTGACGCAAAAGGGTACTTTCGCCACCAGTCTTGCATTCACAAAATTGTTATGGTCTTTTGCCCCTGCTGAAGACCCGTATGGCGTTCGTTATTTTATTGATTTCTACTGTGTCATGTCAGGAAACTATCAATACCTTATTGGCTTGTGCTCTAGTCCATTAATCACTCGCTATAGATCGTGGCTCACCCCTGGGCTTGCCTACTCTTTGGGGCTTGCGTATCGGAAACTAGGAAAACTTGAAGAAGCTCAAGACGCTGTGGCTAAAGCATTTGCTATGTATCCATACCTTGCTTTGGAACTCTTGGAAACCGTTTGCAAACAACCACTTTCCACGCTAAATGCGGTACCTACTGCTTTGATTAATGAGATTTACAGAACCCACGTCTCTGACGCCATAAAACTTGCTAACCAAACCTATTTGGTCCGGGCACCAGGGATGTGGAAGTCTCGTGAAGACATTGACTTCTTAGGAACTGAGCTTTTGAAACATATAACAAACCAGGATTCAGTATCAAAGCTCCAAGGTATCAAAGATTTACAGAGCAGTGGATACGAGAGCATCCCAAGAAACTTGCTTCGATACGCAATTTTGTCAGGGGAAAATGGATTAATGGCCAAAATTCCTGCTGCTTTTTGGAACGACACTCTGGTGTATGAGTATGATGCCTTACCACCACAAAATAAGGCGGCAGAAACGTTTGAGTCAATGATCGATGATAATTTCATTTCCGAGGCGTTGTTGCAAGAATCTCAACAGGATATGATTGATCGATTAGAAGCTATGGGCATTGAAGGGGAAAATAATTGATTAGATGTTTAAAGTCTCATCATTTTGATCTTTGGGAATTGCAATTTCTCGATCACTGAAAGTTTACAATGTTCTTCTCAATAATTATGACGACCATAATAATCAAAAAGATTGTAGTAGGTAACACTAATAGACCAATCCGCATTTAAGTTCACTATTATTATTATTATTTTTAGAGGTAAATTAGACAATAATAATAATTTAAAATACGTAATATTTCTAGAAAAGGACTAGAGAATAGAAAATAATAAGAAAAAAAAAAATCCAAAAAAAAATAAGTCTACAGCAGAAAGGTAACAAGGAAGTTGGTGAAAAAAGTCAACTAAATGACAGAGAAATAAAAAATAAAGAGAGAGAAAAAAAAATGGATAAAAATTGGAAATTAAAACAAAAAATCGAAAATCGAAAAGCAAAATATGAATGTTTATAATTATGCAAAGGTTGGGTTCATTATGGAAATAACTGTTGAGATATGGTCATCACAAGGCAGCTTACTGACCTCTTTTTTTTGATTTTCTTATTTTCACTTGATTAATATTTTCTTGTCAGCCCATTTCAACTTAAAAGCTCTTGTCCTTGGATCCTGCCAATGGCGAAGAAGATGAGCCAGCTACCGGTTCCTTATGCTTCCAGTTGCATTCAAAGTAATGTCTGACAAAAGCCAATGGATCATCTTCGTCTTTTGAACCCATGGTGCCAATACCAGGACTGAAACTAGTGATTGGCAAAACCAATACATCGGATACCAATTTTGGAACTTCCAAATTGATGAAATCCTTCCAAGTCACCTTAGTGTAAATTCCACTCAACACGTAATCATTGAAGTAGGTGAAGATCACATCGGTCCACATACCGGCACCTGTCCATCTCATTATATCCAAGTTGGTGTTCACAGGATCCAAGAAAGTCTTACCATCCTTCTTCTTTTTGTCTAAAGTTTTTTGGGTGATTTGGACCACAATTTCTCTCAAGATTGGATGGCCAGGTTTAGCTTGAATAACCCATTGTCCAAATTGCAATCTTCTGGCATACACTTTCTTCCATGAGCTATCATCGGCATCAGCTTCAATACCAACAATCATACCAACTTCATTTGGTGAAACATTTTCAGGGATCCAATTTGGCACCGCCTGCAAAGGATGGGTGTCAATATCAGCGTAAACACCCCCTCTTGCTAACAAGATCAAATAACGGAAGAAATCCATCTTCAAGATGATAGAAGGCAAAGAACTATAAGCTTCGATAATTTCAGGGATCCCTTTGTATAAATGGTGGACCATGGCTGTCAGTGTGTCGTCGTTAAATAATTCATGAACAAAACCAGGATTTCTGACGGCCCAAGCAGTTTCACCATCTTTGAACTTAGTGTCAAAACGATCATCATTCAAACCATACTTCCAGCATTGCCAGACATAAGCAGGGAATTTTCTAGTGCTGTCATAAGGATAAATGAACGCCAATTTTTCTCTGAGACTGGCATCTTCTGGTGGATTGCTGTTACAAACCAATTTTCTTTCCAAGGATTTACGATCCATTTCCAACTCATTGATCCTTTCTTCTTGTTTTCTCAACAAATTAGACGCTATGTCTTCCAATTTTTTGCTAAGTTCCTCGTTTTGTTTTTGTTGTTGTAACGTCTGTTCGTTGTTCCGTTGCAAACTACTCAAATAGCTTTCAAAAAGCACCTTTTGTAAGTTATTATTAGAATTGATTGGTACAAACTTGATCAATAATACCACCAAACTTATGAGGGTGAATATTACGACCAAGACTCTTCTCATCACAGTGGCCTTCATTTTCAAGTTAAAAATAACTTTGCAGAGCTAGTATTGATAATAACGTCTGATGTGTTCCCACAGAGACCAACTAAAAAAACAAAAGTTTCAACCAAAAGTTGCAATTATTAAAAAGAAAAAACAGGAAAATTTTCGGAAAATGAGCCAGAGGGGTGGTGATAGGATATGTGGTAAAGCTACCTCGACGGGCGAGTTTGAACAAGCTGTTTTGTTCAGATCAGGATTTAACGATCTAGAAAAAAAAAAAAAAAAAAAAATAGGTGAAGAACCGTATGGGTTGCCCGGCCTTTTATCGCTGCAGGGGTGTCTTCCTGCATGGTTTATGGCGTTGACATTTTGCACTGCTGCTTGGTGATGTGAGGAGGTGGTGATGGGTGGCAAAAACAGCGGGCCATTGGTGATGCTGTTCTGTTGTGGTGTCAAAATTCTGGCAGGAAGAAAGTTTCATGGTGGTGGTACAAGATCATTTGCTCTCCCTGGTATTCTCCTGGTAAGGGAAGCGCGCCGGAGTATGACCTCTACAGGTTGATTGCATTAATCCCCAAGGAGTCGTCAGAATAAAAAACATCACAAGGAAACTTGTCCTGGAACTCCCTCTTAAGTTGAAATATAATATTATTCTGATATGATGTGTATTCATCATAAAAGATATAATAATAGAACAATATCTAACAAGAACGCCGCGCTTCAGAGTCATTTTGGGAAATTTCAACACTTAGAGATTAAGAATTTCCGCTTTCAGACATGTCAATGGTGCACCAGACATAATCCGAATGTTACCTTTTATACAGAAGCAAGGCATGCCATGACACTGATTTTCTTATTCTTCTGGATACCTATTGTAAAGATCTCTTTTTTTTTGTTTTGTTTTGTTTCCACTAAGAAGATATTTGCTAGATTTTTTTCCATTCAATGATGGTAAAGGAAGAAGTTTCTAAGACTCGTATGTCTTTAAATTTGCCTGCAAGCTCCAATATTCCTGATAAAAATCCTGATAATGAGAAAAAAGTCCTGTTTAATCCCTTTATTTTCCTAAAAAAGGGTCAATTTTTTATGTTGACCTTTGGTATCTTGTTGGCCATTTTTAGTGGATTAGTTCCGGTAATTTCAACAATCATTTTGGGCAAGATATTCGACGTATTATCTGAGTTATCTATGGGGAATTTTGACTCAATGTCAAAGTATTTACGTGAAGCGGCCTTAAATACATCTGCATTATTAATTCTTGGTGCTGGCAATTTGATTCTTTGTTGGCTTATGTTTTATGTTTGGTTGAAACTCGGAGAACATCAAGCAGCAGCAGCGCGAAGACTTGTTTTGCAAACATATTTTCGCAAACCTTTTTCCTGGTACGATACCAATTCAAAAGTCACTGGTGATTTAAATCAAATCAATAGATGTATTGAAGAATTTAGAGCTGGTTCATCAGAAGCCTTGGCCTTCACTTTACAATCCACCACCACCTTAGTGGCGAGTATTTGTGTCTCTTTTTATTATTCTTATCTTCTAACACTAGTCATTTTGGTATCTTTCCCAGTGATTCTTTGCTTGACTGCGGTATTCAGTATGATGATTCATAAAAGCCAAATCGAAGAAAATGCGGAGATTGCCATTGCTTCGGATATCTTTGATTGGATATTGAGTGCTAACAAGTTGATCAAACACTCTATGACTCAACAGGTAGAACTTAACAAGTTTGAAAACTCCATCGCTAAATCAGCAAAACATTATAATAGGACCAATTTTTTATCGTCTTTACAATCAGGGGCTTTGAAGATTCTTGTGTTGATGATCTTCATCCAGGCATTCTGGTTTGGCAGTCATGAGGTCAAAAGGGGGAAATTAGAATCAGGCTCCGTATTAATTTGTCTAACCGCTTGTTTAGTATTCTCTGAGACCTTCTCAAGTCTAACCCATCACTTCATTTTCTTATCCAAGGCGCTGGTGTCTGCCAGGAAGATATTAGAATTCATTGATCATGATCATGAAAATCATGATGGAAGTTGTAATGATCCTTTAATCAATATCAATGGTAATATCATATTTGAAAATGTTACATTTGCCTATCCTTCAAGGCCTGATTTCCCGGTATTAAAAAACATCACTTTGGATTTTCAACCAAATCAATTCACTTACGTTATTGGCAAATCAGGTTCTGGAAAATCTACTCTTGGTGGGCTTTTGTTGAAACTTTATGATATTGGTGATAATGGAGATATCAAAATTGATGGGTTCAGCATAAAGTCATTAAGTAAAAATTGGTTAGCAAACAATATTACTTATGTTCAACAAGATCTGATGCTATTCCATACGACGATCAAAGAAAACATTGCACTAGGGTTTAGCGACATGGTAACTAGTAATGATCGAGAAGATTTTATTCAATTTGCCATTGACAAGGCAGTGTTAAGAGAGATGGTTTCACAACTTCCAGAAAAGGAAAACACTATCGTGAACTCCTCAGGCTATTCACTTAGTGGTGGTCAACAGCAACGTATTGCCTTGGCAAGAGCTATTGTCAGGAATTCTCCAATATTAGTACTTGATGAATCATTCTCAGCATTGGATAAGGTTACTAGATCCATTGCCTTAAGAAATATCAAAATTTTGAGAAGTAATCGGACTACTATTGTGATCACCCACAATCTTGATGATATTGAAGATGATGATTTCCTGTACGTCTTGGAAGATGGGTCACTTTTGGAAATGGGTAAAAAGCATCAATTGGTACAAAATCCTCAGAGTTTATTTTGGAAGACTAATTGTGATCCATTTGATGATGAAAATCAAATAAAAGATTCTTATGCAGGGACTGAGAAGTTCAATAATGTGAATAAGCCATTGCTCAAATTTTATGATGATCAAAAACATCAGTCGCAATTTTCATTAATGTCCACTACAAAGTCCCAAGATGACCTTCATTTATTGAACTTGGATATTGGGCACTATGATTATCATCGTCAAGTCAGATCAGGAAAAGAAGAGATGTCCAATGATTTTGATGACGAGAAACTACCACCAAATAAGAAGAAATCGTTTTTCCGCAAGACAAACGAGATCAACGATATCGAAAAACAAGATCCCTTGGATGACAGTGATTCGGAAATCGAAATTCAAGAACAGCCAGAAAAAGTTAAAGGGATTATTGAAATATTGACTTTTATGAAATCAACTTTTGAAGGACATTTTATCCTATGTATTGGTCTTTTTGTATCCTGTATCAATGGATGTTTAACGCCATTGTTTTCTTACTTCATTGCGAAGGTTGTGGATGGAATTATACCTCATGATAATGTGGGTACTGAATCTTATAATATAAAATGGTCTATGGTTGTGGTTGGGGTTATAGTGGCTGATGGGTTTACCACTTTTGGAAAATCTGCCACTCTTGGATACGTTAGCGAATTTTGGATCTCTTCATTACGGAAATCTATCTGTGAGAAATTGTTGTACCAAGACTCCCTGTGGTTCGATAAGTATAGCTCCCAACATGCGGAAATAACCGCGTTACTATTGAATGATACCAGGGATTTGAGATTCTTAGTTTCCGAATTCATGTCATTAATTTGTTCGATAGTGGTGATGATGTTTTTGGGATTGATTTGGGCTATTGTTGTTGGTTGGAAAGTTTCATTAGTAGGAATGGGTCTAGGAGTTTTATTTGCAGTATTGACAATGTTGTACTCTGGAGTTTTGCAAACCAGGGAAAATGAATACAAGTCTGCAGTTTCCAAAGTTGAAAATATCAACTATGAAGCCATTAGTGGTATAAAGACCATTCGTTGCTTGAATCTTGAACAATATTTCCTTGGTAAATTCAATGACGAGATAAAAATAGTGGAAGAAAAAGGTGACAAAAGAGCGGTGTCTACAGGGGTTGGGATTGCCTTAGGGACATTTTTATCGTATGCTGCCCAAATGATTTTGTTGTATTATGGTTTAAAATTGGTGGGCGAAGGAACATATTCCACCGAACAGTTAATGACGGTTTATAGTTTATTGATTTTCACCATCATGTCCATGGTTCAATCTATTTCTCAATTATCAGATATCAGTCGTGGACAGCGAGCCGGTACTTATGTGATGAAATTGGCTGTTTTGGAACGATCATTATTAGAAAGTCCTGGAGGTAAACAATTTAACCAAGACAAGGGTTTTAATAGGAAATTTATTGAGTCTAAAGATCTTAGTTTCCAATATGATGATGAGTCTCATGCTGTGCTTAACGGTGTCAATTTTGCCATCGACCAAGGTGAAGTAATTGGTCTTGTGGGTGAATCTGGGTCCGGTAAGTCCACAATTGCCGCATTGATGGCTCGGCTTTATCCTGTTTCCGATAATTCTCTTTTCATAAATGGCGAGGATATCAAAAACATTGATGTGGGAAGTCTTCGAAGATGTATGGCAATAGTTCTGCAAAAAGCGGTGTTCTTCAAAGGTTCAATCAAGGATAATTTGACGTATGGTTTGTGTGAGTTCAAAGATTACACTGATGAAGACTTGCATAAATATTTAGACATGGTGGACATGTATGATTTTGTCGTTAGTTTACCCAATGGTATGGACACCATTGTGGGAGGCCAAGCTTCTAATAGTCTTTTGTCAGGGGGCCAGGCTCAAAGACTCTCTATATCTCGGGCAATGTTGAGAAAGCCAAAGATTTTGATCATGGATGAATGTACTTCAGCATTGGATCCTGAAAGTTCCCGCAAGATTTGTGATTTCATCACCAACAATTTGGTGAATAATAATCACAATGGTAAGATAACCACGATTCTCATCACTCATTCACAAGAAGTTATGGATGTCTGTACTAGAATTATAACGTTGGATCAGGGTACCATCGTCTCAAAATAATTTTTGACATTGATGAATTTTGTTTCAAAATCGTTTTTAGTTGTGAGTTTTTTGTTTTTAGTTGCGAATTTTTTAATTTTTTAATTTTTTTTTTTTTTAATTTGGTATTGATATTTAGAGTTTCAATTGATGGCACCACTTCTTTTTCTCTATTTATCCGTTTGTTACACTTTCTTTACTAGATACCGTTAATTAATTTGTTTATTGTTATTATTATTTTTTTCAAAAAAAAAAGAAAGCCCATTGCGAGATTTGCACCCGCGATCTCTTCATTACGAGTGAAGCGCCTTAACTACTTAGCTAAACGGGCTCCTAACTGCATACAATTTGACCATGCTGCAATAACCATCGGGAAGGGACACACTGTTATTTGATACCCATTAATTTTCATTGGTCACGTGATTTTCATGAAATGCCCGGCTTGCAAGTTATTTAGAACCTCTGTGACTCGTTAATATACAATTCATTCATTCATTCATTCATTCAGATTTTCTTAATATTAAAGTGTTCAGTTGGTACATTGATTTATGGAATCAGGATATGTGTCTGGACTTAAAAAGTGTGTGGTGACACTTAAGACAGACCCATGGTACTGGTTCTTATTTGATTTATTTGGTTTATTTGGTTTACTTGGTTTACTTGGTTATTTTGACTTATTTGAATTATTTTTTACTTGGATCTAATCATTCTATTGATTTTTATTATTTTTATCTTTATTATCCCCTCAGAATTCTGATGGTCACTACATTGAAAATACTTAGTATTTGAGATATAGTGCCAAAACCCCTCAACAAAGACCTCCATCTCAGTACATGAAGCTCCTAGTGATGGGTAATTCACTAGTGACTTCATCTCATATTTTCACATTGCACCTTTTTTCCTTAATAATCTTGATTGTTGAGTTTTTTACCGGTGATGTGATTAATTCTTAAAGCAAGGAGTGTGAGGTTGTGAGAAAGTTGTAGTATTTTACTTACCTATTAGAAAGACCGGCATGAAATGCCCGGCTTGCATGTTATTTAGAACCTCTGTGACTCGTCAATATACAATTCATTCATTCATTCATTTATGAATCCCTCGATTTATAATTTTCCCTTATTATTTCGCATTAATATCTGATTTTTGTTGTTACATCTATCCTATGGAGACTCTATTATTCTCCAAGGCTTATTGTCATTATTATATTTAATTTAGAGATAAAAATATATCCTTTGAGTTTTGTCCTTTCTTATCACATATCGCTGCCTGTCACTACGTGAAAAAAAAAAACTTTATTATTTGTTGTATAAAGCGTTCAACTTCTGTCATTATATGTGAATCATATAGAGCCCCTATTATTCAGAAACCCTTGTTATCTTTATTACATATAACCAGATGTTATTATCTACTTTATGTTTTACTCTTTTGCACTTATTATTACTTATTACTGCGTCTAAACACGCTGTTGTTAATCGGTCTTTGTAGATTCTTGACCTTTAGTGAAGTTTTGTCTCTGTCTTTTTCTAAATTTGTTAGTTTCATAAATTGAAAATCAAAGTGGTTTCAGGATATCTCATTTGTCAGAATCAATAAAATATGCAAGTCCTGATGCTTCCAGATATTATTGAAGTAAAATCTGTAAATGAAAGAAAGAATTTTTTGTGATCTTCACCATATTCCATTCCCTAATTCTCTTCCTGAGAATACCTGATATGTTTTTGAGAGGAGTTGGAAATAGAAGAAACTTTCATCGGTTTGTATTCGATTGTGAGTTCAGTCACTTTTTTTTTTTTTTCTCTTTTTAGGATTTTCCTAGAGTATAATGGTGTAAGAAACTAAATATTTGATAACCATGGCTTTGTAGTGGAATCGACACTTTCTTTTTATCACAAAAATAATGTAGTTTAATAACGAAAGGCCGCAATTGATATTTGTTGTTTATTCTCCAATTTCTATTTCATGGCTATTTGTTGATCAATGAATAAAACAATCATCGCTTTGCAACCTTTCTTCATCGAAAACTGTACTAGTGATGATAAACATCTTTCGTCAAATATTACAATCAATATATGCAAGATCACAAAAAAAAAAAGAAAAAAGAAAAAAGAAAGACTCAGTGCCAATATTGATTACTAGTACCAAAATGATAAAGAATTAGGATGAGGTTGGTGACACTTAGATGATATCAATATTTTGCCAATGACAAAGGCTCATCTTTTCTTCTTCTTCTTCCTCTCATATAGAGGTAATGAATAATCATACATACACGATATCGTTGGCCAATTAAACACCTCCAACAATCGAGGTAGAAAATAAATGACAGAAATGAACTTTAATTTGGTGGTCTAGTCAGATGAAATAAAAATAATAATTACATATATATATGCCAGCAAATAACAATAGTAAAGAAATAGCAATGGCAAAGATAGAAAGAAACAACACAAAAATAAAAACAAATGCATATCTATAGTGACACAAAAAAAAAAAAAAAACGACAAAAATGGTGCAAACGAAAAAAACAACAACACTATGGTATTATAAAATCAATTTTTTTTTTTTATTTCAGAACAAAAAGTTCGCTTAGAGATCAATATAAAACAACTATTGCAACGGGATCTGGACTTGATTCATCTCATCACTGTATTTTGCAACTCGTAACGTTAGAATCCCATTTCTGTAACGGGTGTCAATATCCCTTTCATTGATTCTTGGGGCCGGAGGCAATGGGATCAATCTTTCAAACTTACCAACCGGTCTTTCAGACACCCTCACATTGTTCTTATAGTATTCTGGTGGGTATTTTGCAATCTCCCCACTGATGATCAAGGTGTATCGATCAAAATCAAACACCACGTCTATTTCTTCTTTAGTGGTACCAGGTAATGGTACATTGATAACGTATTCTTCATCGAATTCAAGAATATCAATTGGAGGAACCACCCCGAGTTTTTTTTGATCGACGGTTGCTGGGTTAAATGCCGATAAATCATAAAGATACTGTTTTCTGAATCTCGAGCGGTTCTTGAGCTCTTTACGAAGTAAACGTTTGTTATCGTACTTCCTTATCACTTTATCAATGATATCATCCTCATCACTATCATGATGAATCTTGCGTTCCTTTCCAAGACTGCTGATCGAAGATCGACGGCTTAAGATATGGTTCACTTCGTCACCTAGTCCATCTTCAAAATCCGACAAATTCCAAAGACTTTCCCCATCATCGTCATAATATTCATCATCGCTTGATCCGTAATCATCTTTAGGTTTCTTTTGTTTATTGGCGTTTTGCATTGTCACAAATTGTTGGGCGTATGCCGCGTCAGTTCTGAATCGATACTCGTGGACCATTTGGGGAGTCAACCCAGGGGGAGCAGTTTGTGACATTCCCCTAAGATAAAAGAAAAGTTGGATTCTTGCTTGAGGAACAAGACTAGCGTATAACTGTTTTGCCGCATCTGGTAAAGTATTATAGAACTGGGTCAATACCGATTGCATGAACGTTTGTTGCATTTGATCTTGAACTCCAGATTGTTGTGGTTGTGGTTGTGGTTGACCCATTAGTGGAACACCAGCCATCCCGGCTCCATACTGTGGTGGCTGTTGACCATAGAGGAACTGTTGGCCAGGAAAACCTGCTTGGCCAGGAAATTGCTGGGCGAATTGTGGAGGCATCTGAGGATTAGAGGCAAATTGATTTTGAAAAAACTTCCCAGCAGCAGCAGCTTGTGCCTGTTGTGCCGCTGCCTGTTGTGCTGCTGCTGCCTGTTGTGCTGCTGCTGCCTGTTGTGCTGCTGCTGCCTGTTGTGCTGCTGCTGCCTGTTGAGCTGCTGCTGCTTGTTGGAATTGCTGGGCCATTTGTGGATCCATTCCTGGGAATCCACCTGTTTGGTGATTCATTTGAGGTATCCCAGATACTGGAGTCCCATGAGGAGTCTTAGCCCCTGACGACTTCCGACGATGATGATGTTTGGATTTGGCACTATTAGGAGTGCCTGCTGGTGGAAACTGGAACATGTCGTGATATTGTTAATAGATCTCAAATCAAAGAAGAAGTGGGAAATCGCGACAGTTTTTTTTTCTTTTTTTTCTTTTTTTTTTTCGAAATATCCCCAACTAACATTGATGTCAAATATTGCCAGCCTTTAAAGTCCTCCCCGTCTACCACAATCAAGACACGCTGATAGTCGCATAATACTGCATAATACTACATAAAAACATGCGTGGTGAAGAACTTTGGTGAATCAAATCATCGTATTTAACTGTTTATACAGGTGGCTATTCTATAGATGATTAAATGTATAGTCTATTAATATATTTGTGAAATGAAATGAAATGGGATATAACTTTTTATGAGAAAAACCAAAAGAATTGAAAACTAATATCCAGCTAGTCCGACAAAAAAAAAAAAAAAAAGAAAAAAGAAGAGAAAAAAGTTGTTCCAAATATCATATAGAGGCTTTCTTGATGTACGAATGTCTCAAGGGATGATTCTAATAGCAGGGAGCTTGTGTATCAATGAGTTTCAATAAAAGATTTAACTGCATCTGGCATCAATCCAATGATAGAGAAATTAAAGGGTCCGTATTTTAGGTGATGTAGCAATGTAATCAAAATAACATTAAAAGCCAGTAACCTGGGGGGCATTATCCATATAGTAAATAATCAACGCATGCGAAATAACTTGGTTTAATTCTAATTGTGTTTTGCAATTTTTTCAACAAGGGTCTAATGAATTTTTCTTTCTTTCCTCAATTTCCTCTTTGGATCCTGCCACAAACTTACTAGTGGCAAAATGCCAGCCCATTTCCCCGCCATTTGTTAAGAATTCGGTGTTTCCAGTAAAATTGACTCCCCATTGCTTCTTTACCGGGTCCATCACGTAGGAATCTAAAGAACAGGTACTGGCATCAATCCTCAAGTTCTTACCGTCCCCGCCGTGTTCAGGCTTAAGAAATTGATGGGCGTTATCATAACCTAGGAGAGCCATTCCAAGGGCGATTTTCGTTGCGGCATGGCTCACCAACATTATACTCTCGACTTCTGGGTATTGTTCCTCCACCTTCGGAATGAAACTTTTCCAGAAAGCTTGACAACGGTGGAAAATATCAACTTCATCTTCGCCAGTAGGGTCTGCAATAACGTCAGAGTTATCGTACCAATCGCCAGATAACGTTGGGAAAAATGTTGAAAGTATACGTAATGATGGGGGGTCTGGAATCGGACCACGGTTTTTCTTGAACCATTCACCAATTCCTTGTTCGAGGAAAATCGGGATGTGAAGACGGTTTGCGGCAGGGTTTGCGGTTTCTACGCATCGATAGAACGGGCTAGAGAATATGAGTTGAGGTTTTGGGATTGCTTGGTCATGGAGGTATTCACCTAATTCAGTTGCTTGGTCAACGCCATGGGGGGCTAGAGGAGGATCACAAGCGATTCCTGTCAACGGGGCCACGGTATAGGGAAGCCAGTCGGAGCGGTAGCCATGACGGACGATGTAGATGCTCCTGAGGGTCATGTTGGATAACGAAGAAGAAGACATGAGATGGGTTTTGGAGATTAACAGCCGGAGTTTGGGGCGTAATGATCGATCTTTTTTTTTTTTTTTTTTTTCTTTTTTTTTTTTTTTTTTCTTTTTTTTTATTTCCCTTTTCGCTTATTTTCAGAGTGCGCAAAAGGATAGAAAAACTGGTGATGTGGTGATGCCAATGTTGTGAACAATAGCGGGTTGAAAGAAGGTAGTAAGTTATGTTTGACGGGGGGTGGATGGGAAATATATAGTAGATGAGTGTATTTTAGATGGCTGGAGGGATATGTACCGCTTATTATGTTTATGCTAATCTGTGTTGTGTTGAGTGATGGTGCTTGTAGATAGATATATGGCGATGCAATCACATGCGTACATGTTGTAACAGAGAGACAGATGATATCCACCACCACAAAATTATTATTATTGTTGTTATGGAACAGACGATCTTTCAGAATGCAATAAAGAGAATACTGTTGAATAGTGTCTTTAGAAGTTATAACCCAAAGGCCTCTCAACAATGATAAAATTTTGGAATTACTCCAACTTTAATCGATGGTTTTCAAAGATTTTTTAAAGGGAAAACAGAAAAGCAAGAAAAACGGAGAGATAAATGAAAAAAAAAAAGGGGGGTAATAATAATCACATAGTCTTTGAAAATCATCGTATAATTGAATAAATTAGTATATATCTCGTGGCACTTCTAAATGCCTTTGGTTCATCTTCAACACCAATGCGACCCCATGGCAGCTTGCCGACGAGTTCCATCTAACGGCGGATCCAATTCAAGCCACATTCATCGCCATCAGTAATTCTATTAATCAAACAATCTTCGAAGTTTTGTACAATTTTTTAAAATCAGATCGCCCAAGAATTTTGAATGGTTATTACAAAAAAAAAAAAAATGTTGTAATACACTCCTACATTGTGAAAGGTTGATTTTATCTGTAATTCTCAAGATTACATTATTTATTATATTTTATTTTAACATTCGTTACTCTGTTGATTATTACGCTCTTTAATATTTTTTGACTTTCTTTTTCATTCATGATGAGTATGTTGGGCCCATATATAAATAGTACTGTGCTATCAACTATTATTTCGTTACAGAGTCAAGCCACTTTCATTTGGTATGATACTACATTTTTTGTTTGTTTTTGTTGCTTTCATATACCCATCTGTTGATGTATTTCTTAGTATAAAGATTTAGCAAAATTTTAATCAAAATTAACACTAATACTTTTTTTTTTTTTGTCTTTTTTTATCAATAATGGCAAATTCATATATCACTTGATGATGAATCATTTTAAAGGTTTCAATAAAGCTTGAAATGGAAAAGAAATTAGACAAAAATTGACCAGGCCATCCACCACCAAAATATGATCATCTTATGGCAATCTATATTTTTAGAGATAGGCTCAGTGACACTGTTCTTCTTTTTCTTCTTTATTTCCTAAGCTATTATAGCTGTCGACCATGAATGTGATGTAATGTTTCCTCTTGAAGAATGAAGTAACAATGCACAAGGGTTGGTGAGCCTGTAGCATTACATCGTAACTATGTTGATACTTCTTATCATTGCTTACACATATCAAGTATAATTATTTTTATATATATATATATATATATAAATACAATAATTATATGGAATCACCAGTGTACAATATAAGCAATATAGCACAGCGGAAAAAAATAAAGCTAAAAAAAAAAAAAAAATAAAATAAAATTGAAAGCATCACGTTAGTCAAGAAAACGACAGCTCACAAGCCATCAGCAAATATATATTTCTAGTTTTTACCAACACCAGGATTATTGTTCTTACACTATCTACAAAAGCAACATAATAAGTCCATTAAATATGGTTTCATTCGAAGATCACTTATCACTTTTCAACCTTTCCCTCGAGGAATTGGAACAACTTCAAGAAGGCACCACCTTGAAGAAGTTCAACGCCGATGAGGCCTGGAAACTCGGGTGTCTTACCAGAGTTTTGGCGATTGAATTGTTTCCTAAACAATCGTTGGTGATTGATATCACTTTGGCCAGCGGACAAGTTTTATTCCACACATCTTCTGGTTCGGGGACCGCGGTGGATAATGATGAATGGGTGAACAGAAAGAAGAAGGTTGTGCTAAGAATTGGTAAGCCATCGTTTATGGTGGGACAAAAGTTGAGGATGAAGAAGATGACGATGGAAGAGTCGCTTGGGATTTCTTCGATGGAATATGCTAGCCACGGGGGGTCTGTTCCAATCAAGATTGATGGGTTTGACAATCTTATTGGGGCGTTGACGGTCAGTGGGTTGCCACAGGGACAAGATCATTTGCTTGCCACCACTGCGTTGAAGAAGTTCAGGGATTTACAATAGAAGTGCTTATTAGATAGTGACTACATATATAGGATAAAGCAATGTAGCGTTATACCAGGAGTTTTTTTATAAATATTGTAGTCAAATATATATATATATCTATCTATCAGAAGATGTGGGGGAGGGGGGGAAAGAGAGTCCGGGTAAGCAAAAGAAAAGACCACCGTTCCCAAAGAGGAAATCCCCAATCACTGGAAATTTGAAAAGAAAAAAAAGACGCGACGCGACGCGTAACGGTGGTGGTGGCCGAGGAAGGGTAACCGCCGCTTGCAAACTTCGAAGCTCAAAAAAAAAAACAAAAAACAAAAAAAAACAGTTTGGTTGGACACCCCAAAACAACAGCAAGATATAATAAAACACCGCTTGAACCTCTCTCTGCTCTGTGCTACCTTGCTCATCGTCATACTACCTTAAGCACACCATATATTGCCTCGGCTCGGCTCATCACTCAGGCCCCCGACATTCCTCCCAATTTATCTCTCTCTCTCTCTTCAAACCGGCTTGTGTGTTATCATCACTGCACCCTCCCTCTCTTGCTGCAACAACCCTTTTTGTCCCACTATCAACATCAACGACGACGACGACTCAGTCATCTTTGCTTTCGACAGAATTATCCATCCATCCACATCCACATTCACATTTACATCACATAATGCACCACTTGACCCTCGACTCCCCCGATACCACCATCAAACTCAAACTTCTGGAGGTCACCAAGGCCATCTATGGCTCCAAGAAAATGGTGGTCCTCACCGGGGCGGGGATCTCCTGTAACGCCGGCATTCCAGACTTCCGCTCTGCCCACGGGCTTTACAACGCCAACACTTCTACCACCGTCAAGGGCAAAGATCTCTTTGATATCTCGCTCTTCCGCAATGAAGACACGCTCCAAGCGTTTGCCAGCTTCATGGAAACCCTTTATGGACATACCACCCAAGCAATGCCCACCGAAACCCATAAATTCATCCACCATTTGAAGAAACACAACAAGTTGTTGCGCTGTTACACCCAGAATATCGATGCCCTTGAACGGAAACTCGAACTTCACACCGGGATCATCGAGGCGCAAACCAGCAATTTCCGTAAACACTGGAAAGATCTTGACGTCGTCCAACTTCATGGTGATTTGCACGCCCTTTCTTGTACCGCCTGTTTCGCCCACTTTGACTGGTCCGCTGACCTTCGTGTCCAGCTAGCTGCCGGAGAAATCCCCGAATGCCCAAAATGCCTTGAGAATTATCACCACAAAAGCGCCGAAGGTAAACGTCTTTCGTCGCTTACCGTGGGAATGCTTCGTCCTACAATCGTCTTATACGGAGAAAACCACCCTCATTCAGAAAGTATTAGCCGAGGAATCAGCATGGACATTCGTTCTCGTCCAGACTGTCTTGTGATTTTCGGGACCTCACTCCGAGTGGATGGTGTGAAAAAGTTGGTCAAGACCATGGCCAAAGAAATCCATGATCGTAATGGGAAAGTGATCTTTGTCAACAAGACTAGCCCATCGCACGCAGTGTGGGGGGATTTCATCGATTATTTCATCGAAAGCGATTGCGACTCTTGGATTCGCTCGCTCAAACAAGACTATCCAGATCTTTTCTTGACCCAACTTGAGCTTGATCAATTGAAACTTAAAAAGTCGAAAGGGAAGAAAAAACAAATGATGTTGACCCCTCCACCAACTCCAAGCACCAATAAAAAATTCGACGTGAGCATTGATCCGAAAAGCATCAAGTCAAATGATAAAATCAAGCAACTACTTGGTGAACGTGCCCTGCCCGAATACTCGCCGATAAAGACCAATCGTATTATCGACCTCAGTGACGAGGAATTGGACGTGGTAAAACAGGAACTCAAGAAGAAAAACCCATTAAAGCAGATAAATGGTAATAAAAACAGCAAGAGACCTACCAGACCACTGTCAAAAGTGTCCAAGGATCTTGATAAAGAAAACCAATCCCCAAAACGGTCATCTCCGAAAAAACAACCGGTTATAAAACAGCGACAAAATATCGCAATTATTCCTAAGATATGTCTATGATTGTGGACATGTTTTGTTTTTCTTATTATTATTATCTTTTCTTGTTTTCTACGATTATTTTCTTTGGCGGTGTGTATTATTAGTTGGTTTCAAAAAACATTTAAAATGTGTCTCTAGTAATTGTCCGTAAGATCTCGGACGTGAGTATTCGTTCGGGACCCGTGATCCTCCACCCCAAAATTTTCATTCAAAAAAAAAAAACAAAAAAAAAATAAAATAAAATGAAATAAAAAAGGCAGAGTACACACACACACAGGGTGCTTCCTAATCACCGGAAGTAAAACGTAACAGTCAAAAACACACCCAAGCAACCCCATCCATCACACCAGGAGTATAAAAACATATACAACAATCACATAATGGCCTCTTCATCTCCAGGAAATAATGAATTCCAAATCACCGCGTTTCAACGGATGCTCAGCGCCTGTGCTGGGCTGATTATCAATTCGCTAGTGGTTACTCCGTTCGATGTGGTGAGGATACGCCTTCAACAACAACAACTTCTTGAACCTTCACAATCGGTAGCAGTACCCACAGGTTGTTGTCGGACCCAGCCAGTATTTTGGCTATCTCCAGTTGACTGTTCCAGCCCCTGTGCCACCGTCCAACCATCAACCGTCAAACTAACCGGAACTTGGCAAGGACTCAAGTTTATCGGGATCAATGAAGGAATCACTTCGCTTTGGAAAGGGGTATCTTTAGCGCTTTTCATCGCTATCCCTGGTAATATGGTGTATTTTGCTGGCTACGATCATTTGAAATCTAATATCCCATTCATTCCTTCGTATTTCACCCCGTTGGTCTCGGGGGCCATCGCCCGTACCGGGGCAGTTATCGCCATCGCCCCAATCGAATTAGTGAAAACCAGATTCCAAGCCATGCCATCATCATCATCATCATCTTCTTCTTCTTCCTCCCCGCTAACCACGCTTTTGAAAGATACTATACACGCAGTACGGGTTCGTGGGTTGGGCCAGCTATTCAAAGGGCTTGAATTGACATTGTGGCGAGACGTCCCGTTCCTGGCGATTTATTGGGCATCGTACGAATTCTTCAAGCATAGACTCTCATTATTGAATCGGATCAATAATAGTAGCGATGTGGCGTTTGTATCGTTCCTTTCAGGCTCGCTTTCCGGCACCATTGCGGCCATCGCCACCAACCCATTTGACGTGGGGAAAACTCGACTTCAAGTGGCAGCCGATGAGCCGGCTGATACTGCTGGGGTTAGAAATACCTTGATTAAACGATTACGCAAGAAACGCCCATCTATGTTCAAATTTCTCGGAGATATTGCCAAAAATGAAGGGGTAGGGGCGTTATATGTCGGTCTTACTCCAAGAATCCTCAAAATCGCCCCATCTTGTGCGGTCATGATATCGTCTTACGAAATTTCTAAGCATTATTTTGCTAAACAGTATTACATACAAAATAGAAAGCTTGGTTGATTTGCATCTACCATAATAATACTGCCAATTTCTTTTAACTCTTCTTTTCTGTCTGTGCATTTTTTTTCTTTTTTTTTTTTTTTTTTTTTTTTTTTTTTTTTAAAACAATTTCAAAACAAAACTTTCATGTTTATATTATAGACCTTTTCCATTTCTTTGCTAATGTATTATAGCTAACAAAATATTTCTTGTACATAGTATTATAATAAGAAAATATTCCTGATTTGTTATTATAGCCAGCTAATATGCAAAAAGTATAAGGAAAAAACAAACAAACAAACAAAGAAATCCAGGGAAAAGCCATCTTTCGACATCATATTAATTGTTACCTTTCAAGTCTAAAATTACTGCCATTCGTGACTCATATCCAAACTTGTTGGTCTACCTTGGAACCCTACCGGTAACTCTTCCTGGCTGAAAGGAATTGGCTCCAAATTTTTGGCAATTATGTTCCCTGAAGTGGATATAATATTCTCTTGGCCAGGAACTATGATCTGATGATGCTTTGCCTTTTTTTCCTTGAAATCAGGTAATGGAATTTCATCTTTAGTGCTTGCCCTTGATTGCAATGGTGAAGAATAAACATTATAATGTTGCAGCGGCACCATTGGCATCGAAAAGATAGCAGGCTCACTTTGGATCGAAAAACTGGGTTGTGACTGAGTCATTCTTATGTTTCCATTTTCAAGAGTGATTTGCCCCTTCTTGAACTTTTCGCTAGGGTGGGCTTCCAAGAAATCGTCAGCGAATTTCCTAATTTCCATACAGTTGTTATGCAACGTCGCCAAATATTGGCCTAGAGTATCACTTAATTCCCCATTGATGGACCTGACAAATTGTTCGTCGACAATATTCTGTTGTGCCGATTGTTCTTCTAATTTTTCTTGCAATAATAAGGTTTCTTGCTGGGGTTTATTACCTCTGGTAACTTTAAGCTGCTCTCTTGTTCTTTCTTTCTCTAATTTTGTATCCGCCGATTTTTTTTCCCTTATATAGACTTCTGAGAATTTCTTCTTCAACGCCTCTTCTGCTTGGATGGCTCTATCAGTATTTTCAAGCCCTTGTTGTAGACAGTTGAGAAAATCAATGATCAACTTTCTGCTCTCTTTTTCTGGAATGGTATTGGACCACATGTTGAGTTCTCTTATCACCTCGTGCTCCTGGAGACTCAACTTCTTATGGATCCGCACAAGTTTAAGGAGCTTATTGCTGATTGTTTGGGCACTGGGACCGTTCACTCTAGAAGAAAACCGACGAATCATCACGTTCAAAGGATTGCTGCTGGTGGTGGCCGAGCCAATCACTGGTGGGAGTACCGCGGACATAAAGCTGTAGTTTGACAACCTAGATCTTGGGGGATTCAACCCATTTGTACCGGCAAGGAGTTGGCTTGAATCAACCCGGATATTGTTCATCGTGTACTACCAATAGAGAATGATAAATGTATTTGGATATTTATCACACGTACACCAGGTTCCCCCTTATATTATATTATATATTTCGGTTAATTCCTTCAATATAATTGTTGTTCTGATTTCTCAAAAAACAAATTATTATTATTATTATTATAATAATAATAATAATAATAAAAGTTATATGACACAAAAGCCACATTTTTTTTTTTTTTTTGGCTCTGCATGCCAAAGGTACTTACTTACTTACTTACTTTACTCACTTACAATCACAATCACAAGAAACAAAAAAACAACATTTGAACCAGAAGGAATAGTAATAGTAATAATAATGATAATGATAATAGGTGCTATAAAATTGATATCGTATAAATATATATATATATATATATCTAGTTTTTCTTATTCTGTCCAATGTTCAACCCAGTAATAGACGCGATGTAGTTTTTAGTGCACTCAATAGCGCTATCGACAGACTTTATGGTGGAGGAGGTAGTGGACTCCACGGCCTCAATGGATCTTTCTACTCCAGAGACAATCGAGTCTTGGGCATTAGCCACCGCTGGAACATTTTGTTGTTCCAAATGATACACGAACCCCGTGGTGTTGGCAAAAGTGATTGGCAAAGTCCAACGGAACACCGCCAACCCAACCACCGCTGGTAACAACACACGAGCCACTGGACCCCGGCGACGGGCAATGATCGACCCAGTCAAGATCCCTGTGACAATGTATAATCCTCCTGGCAATAAATCTTCCCGTCTATCGTGCAATTTGGCCACCGTACCAGTGACATGATGTTCCAAATCATAATAGTCTTTGGTCACCCCTTCGGCCCCAGATTCCGCCGACTTCAAAACATCAACGGTGGATTTTCTGGCCTTGTTGAAGAACCCTTCCAAGTAGTCTGGCGAACGCACAGAAATCCCATCGACAAGTTTGTTAGGACCTAAGGATTCGATCTCACTGGCAGAAGCCGGTACAATAGTTCCAGGAATTGGGGTCACATTATCATCGTCCTCATAAAAGTTACGCTTCTAATTTGGGGGTTAGTAAAAAAAATTAATAGATAATGTATGTATAAATACATAAGCTACCAATCAATATTGGTTACCGCAAATGAAAAAAAAAAAAAAAAAGAAAAAAAAATATAATATAATATAAACTCACTGATTCATTGTGAACTTTGTATGATGGAAGAAGAGCCAAACCAGCAAGACCAACAAAAGTGGTCTTAAAAAACGTTAGTAAAAACTTTTTCTATATCTTATCAAATGAAAAGAAAAAAAAAAACTAATATTCATAGCAATATAATGGGAACGTAGATATATCCTTTATTACTTACCAGGAAAGCTTTAGCAAATGGGAATGACATTTTCTGGTTGAAGGTACCTTCTATCAATGGGGATGCCTCCCCGATGTGATTCTCAGTAATTGCCTGAATTTTCATTTGTGTGGGATTTTGTCGTGCTTTGGTGATCAATTACGTAAACACACAGGAAATTGGCTACCAGATTATGTAAAGTATTACATAACCAGAATAATAACCCAATAACTAATTGTTATATTTGACATACTCACACCACCAAAAAGCAAAGAATGGATATATTAAAAAAAAAACAACCTCAAGAAGCAGAAATAAAAAATAATAAGTAATAATATGTTTGTGTAATAGATTATAAAAAAAAAAAAAAATGCCAAATCCTATTCATCATCATCAATTCTGAAGCGATCATCATCATCATCATTCTTGTCCAGAGAATCACCACTGATATCCCCAAGTTCGATATCTCTATCTAAATTGAAATGAATTTCAGGATCGTCAAAGTCTCCAGAGCTACTACCCAATCTTGTGTATTTTCTCCAACGGTTTTTCCCGCCAATCTTATGGAGGATCATTTGCACAATCAGGTTTCTTCTCTGTTTACCAATCAACAAGTACGCCACTACAACAAGCATACCCAAAAACACTAATGATCCCGAAAGACGATGGTCTTCTAACCTGTCCCAATGGGAATCGTCACTATCGTTGGTTTTGTAGTTTTTGTAATTGTCGGCACTGATGAAATCCGGTCTTGCTGCAACTCCTTCCACTTCCCCACCGTAGTAGAATGTATCGGTGGCCAGACCATGGACGAAACCGACTTTATCGGGTTGGGAATTGGTTTTGGAAGCGAACGCCGCCGCGCCTTCAGCAGAAGAATACAACACCGCTCGTCCAAGAGTCCATGAGAAATCTGACCCATTGATGCTTTCTGCCACATGAATGCTCGATTTCAAATCTTTTGAAACGTCATCGTCATTACCATCAATCCCGTACCTTGGGAACCCTAGCCCACGATGCAAGATATTGAGAACCCACGATGATTTATAACACAATTCCGATAATTCCTCATCGGACAAATCCGACAAGTTTGCAATTTCCGCAGTATTCCCACCATCGTTCAATTTTTTCAATTCGCTCCAGTGGATATTACAAATCCCGGCGGTTTTCTCATAAAATGACTGGTACTTGTAAGCGTTAGAGTATTTTTCATCGATGGTGGCATCGAGATTATGATCTTCTTGCAAACCCAACAAATTCCCAATCGAGTCCCAATAACCACTGACCCCAATGAATCTATCGATATCAAAGTCCAACGCTGGTAAAGTTTCCGATAACAAACAGGACGAATCATCTTGAGGGTTGGTGATATCACAGTTGGAAGCCCCACCATTATTCAGGGCAGTGGTGGCGAGTAATGGGTATAACGCATCGAGACAACTGGTGAAATTCCCCGAGCCTTGTACCGTGAATTGTTTCCCAGCATTAATGGTATCGAACTGCAATACCGTGCTGTATCCCACCGGCAAGCACGGATCTTCAAGCACCAATTTCTTGTCGAAATTCTTATTTTCATTCTTTAATGAATCTTCCACAAGGATATTCAAATATTTCTCGTGTGATTGATACATCCCATACCCTAAAAATGACGCGGAAAAAACATCGTACGATAAATCTGCCGTCGATTGGCCAAACGACGCCAATTGTAATCTGAACAACGTATTGGAATGTTCCACCACCTCGGTCTCATTGGGCTGGAACGCAATCTGGGTCGACGCCCCACCCATATCTAATAACCCATAAGTATGGTGGTTTTTCCCATGGTCATGGTCTTCAGGATTATTGAACGATCCCATCAAGTAATTAAGGCCAATCCACCCGTATAAACCTTCGACATCCCCATTGATCACGTTGATGTGCGACGCGCAGTCCGGCAAATAAAAGTTGGAGTTGTCCTGGATGTACTCGCAAGTATTTTTCAATATTTGATACTGTTCACTCGGTTTAAGCAACCGCATTCCTGCGGTGGCATGGAGAAAGATCGGGGTACGGTATTGCTGTTCTTTTGGGATGATCTTCGACGCTTCTTTCAATAAGCTCTTGATATGGGTTTTCCCCACCTTGCCAGGTTTCGACTTGAACGACGAAATCCCCGGTTTTATTTTCTTCTTCCATTCTGGTCGGGTGTAGATTGATGGTAATGCATCGTCAAAAGTTATTGAATCAGGAACTCCATTCTTTGAATCTCCATGGCCATTATCCTCCTTCTCCTCCTCATCATCATCATCATCGTCATCGTCATCGTCATCGTCATCGTCATCGTCAGTATCTTCATCAACACTGCTATGACCACCTCTCTTGGATAAACTTATTCTCTTCACCAACTCTGGCTTCGACCGGGAAATGGATATTCCTTTATCTACCAAGTACTTACTGCTCAACCAATTGTAAATGTACGCCCTTGATCCTTTGGAACCCGAATCTATGATGATGATATAATCATAAGGAATGTTCTCCTTATTCAAAACAGGGCCCTTTTTATCCATTCGTCGCAAATCCATCTCGTCTTTTATTTTATTTTATTTTATTTTTTTTTTTTTTTTTTCCTGTGTTTGCAAAAACAAATCCGGTTTAATATTATAATTGAATATATTCAATTATCGGGGTCAAAAAAAAGTTCCTCAAAAGCCAAGAAAAAAAAAAAAAACTAGAAAGAAAGTCCCGGTGCTTCAACGAGGGAAGATATCCTTTAGAAAATATAGAGTATTTGTTATAACGAAGTCTCCGCGAAAATACAACCACGTATGTAAAAAAAAACCACACAACACCTTTCGTTCGCTAAGCTTCCTACACGTTAAGCATTTTCTGGAACCAATAATTTCCACCGTCATTATTATCATCAGCAAAGCGCGGTTACCCGTGTTACTCACCCAGATCTACTACGTCCGCAAACGGTAATAAAAATACACTTTTATTATTATTAACATCTGGATATTTACAAACCGCAGATCGCCTGTAATAGTCCACAGATGATAAGGCACAAGAACCACTATTAAGAAACAGCATTAGGTCGAACCATAACATCAAGTCTGGCAGTGCAATAATAATTTTTTTTTTCTCCATTTTTCAACTAATTGTGTTATTTGTCACTAATTTTTCATTTGAACCAAAATCATTCTCTTTCAATTGGGTAATGATTGATTGTCAGCCTGTAGCCCTCAGCTTTGTAGAAGTTCATTTTCTTTTTCTTTATATATATATGTATAAAAAAGCACCGTTTTGTCAACTTGAAGCAGCAGCGGTTTCGTCATTGTGATTGGACGTTTCACCACCTTCCGATCCAGTAGCACCGTTTACCTCATTACTCTTAACCTTCTTAATCTTCTTTGCGTTCTTATCGCTCTTTCTCTTTTTCCCTTTGCTTTGCTTCACTGGTCTTTCTTCATCCTCAGAATAAACAAAGTCTGGTAAATCATATAATCTAACCCCTTTTATTTGCAAGTCGTTGAATTTCTCGTCATAAGTTTCAAGCTGTTGGCAGAATGATAAGAAGTCTTTACAAATCATATGAATATCAACCTTTTTCCCCTCACCGTTACTATTCGATTGCAATTGCAAACCAATGTAAAGCGATGTTATATGGACAGCCACATTAGACTCGTCTTCTATAAGTTTTTTCGTTTCTTCAGAATTCTTATTTTCATCGGTGATCTCAGTGTACTTTTTCATTAGTTCTTCACCTTTCAACGTACCAAATGAGGCTAGAAGTTCCCTGCGACCTTCGATATCATCACTAGGTATTATGAAACTATGTTCAAAATATTTGACGTATGGATGGGCCAAGCTTATAGCATCATGGACCTCCAATTTTTGCACTAAGAATCGAAGTCTTGATTCAATCCACCCACTCCATTTCAACGCTTCTTCTTCACTACCCTTGGTTGCCGCAGTGACCGCCAAGTATGACTTATAATTGTGGAAAAATTTGTGTCTCTCAAACAATGAAGACCATGGCTTTTTTCCTAAAGATATATCGGTAACAAACTCACTGCCTCTTTGAAATTCCGACAAAATCACCTTCATGGTAGAGGTGGTGATATTATGGGTGGCACACATCGATGGATAAGCTGGGGTAATCACTGGCATCTTATGCTGTCTATCCTGAGCGTATAGCCGTGGATTCCACACTCTCACTTGTAGAGGCCCATCTTCAATTTGTTTCAACAAAACCGGCTGAGGCCAACTCCATTGATTAAGAATATGAAAGAATTTGATAACAATAACCGCACTGCAGGCATTTGGGTACAATTGACAGATTCTAGCCACCAACATTGCCCAAGCAACCCCCCCAGGAAACCCAAATACGTTACCGTAAACCGCTCTTCTCTGAGCCCATAACTTGATGGTTCTTAACGCATATTTGAAAGCCATAGGTTTCGGTACTAGCTGTAAGATCTCGTCGGTGACTCTTGTACCATTGAGAGCTCTAATATCCTTTTCATCGATATTTCTTAATAGATTCTTATCGAGTAAACTCAAACTCAAAGGAACCTGGTTGACATCCAATCTAGCACAAAGCATATCAATGGAAATCCCACTATATTTGAATTTGATGACGGGCACGTACGCTTCAGATACAACCACGAGTTCATCCAAATCCTCTTGTTTTCTTAACATATCCGCAAACACGGTGAAGAAATCCTCCCTGGTGACATGTTTTGGCACGACTATCAAAGTATCAATATCGGATCCTGGACCATAAACCCCCAATCTGTACGAACCGAAAGTAAAAATCTTCCCACCGGCATCCTTGGCCATACCTTCGGACATGTTTTTTTTAATTGACACGTTGTAGACAAACGTCAGGGCCAATTTTTGGAAAGTCTTCAACACCTCGTATCTTTTTTTGGTGGCCTCTTCACTTTCAAAAGATCCCTGTTTCTTTAACTCACTGATCATGGAGGTATTGAGAGAGGTTTCCGCATCTGTTGATGCTTCTAGGGAAATGGGTGGTGTAACCCCATAAGTTTTAACTTGAATCATGGTTGACTGTGGTGGCACGCAAGGAATTGAAAATCAAACACAAACTGAAAAAGGCAAAACAGCGAATTGTGCAAAAATTAAATAAGAAGTGAAGAAACAAACAGAGAATATAGGGTCCGGAAATAATATTATCAAATCAAATCCTGTTGATGATTATATCACGAAATGAAAAAATAAAGAAAAATGAATAGTTTCCACTAATCGTACAAAAGCACAAAACACCGAGACCAAAATGAATCTTTGGGTTCACAAACACTCCAAGGGGCAATCCTCAAGAAAAAAAAGAAAAGAAAAAGATTGCAAGTAATACAGATATCAAATGAGAATACAGGATATTCGTGGCAATGACAAATGATCTATATTCTTGGCTGAACAGTTCCAAACGGTTGGAGAGTAGTTCCTAACAGAGGCGAACAATTGGAGATTGGCGTTTTTTTTCGTCTTTTTTTTTTTTTTTTTTTTAAGAAATTTTGTTAGCTAAAAATAAAAGGCGGGCGCGTTTTTCTACGGTCACGTGGATGGATATTCTATCTAATGCCGTATATGTTCAACATTTTACTACTCATTAATGTATATCAATATATATATATATATATATATATCGTTGATAATTCTAAATATATAAATCGTCTTTAATCACATGGAAGTCTCTGCTGCGTGGTAAATATTGATGGTGCGATCGTTGGCTGAAGAAGCAGCGAGAACCATTTTGTGAGGATGTAATGCCAAATTCAAGATGTTCCCGCTTCTATGAAACCCTCCTGTTCCTCTCGTTACACCACCATAAAGATAACTTCCCGAGCTTCTCTTGGTATCTAGGTTCATGTTTCTTTGGTCATTGTAGAAATCGGAAATCGTGTACCCTGAAGTACTCCAAACCTTGACGGAGTCCGATCCGGTAACGAATATCGGAGCATGTTCGTGAACCCTCATACTCTTTAAAAGAGAGCCTGTAGCAAAGCTTTCAACAGGATCATCCAGTCTAATATCCCAAAGCTGTACTAACCCATTGTTTGAAGCACTCACCAATTCTCTAAAACCCCCTCTTTGCATATGGATACTGTTGAGAGAAGTTCTAGATGGTTTGCTCGGATCTTTACTTCTGCCAATCCATTCTTTCACCATCTCGTCTCTTGGTGCACTTCTTTTATCATAAACTCTAATATCACCATTACTGAAACCAGCAGTAAAAATACTACCATCAAGTTGATCGCAAGTGAGTGAGGTGATTGGGAATGATGATCTCTTAGGAATAGTTCTATAGCATTTTTCTTTAAATGCATTCCAAATGTTGATCGACTTGATATTACCAGTGGCGATCAAATCACCCCTTGCTTGCTGCCATTCAAATAGGAAATTCGTACCATCGTTGATACCCATCACATTACTCAAAGTCTGCCACGAGGAAATGAGTCGGCATTGATCAAGATCTTCGAAATTTTTATATAATTTCACCGTACCATCGTTACAACCCGCCAAGAGAATCGGCTTATCATCCTCATTCATGAATTGTATCTGAGAGATCCTACTACCCACAGGATTGTTATTGGAGAACAGACACAAATTTTCGCCGGTAGAATAATCCCACACACTGATAAGGTCTCTATTATCCGAAGTGACAAGATAATTGTCAAATTGGGTGAATTCAAACACTTTGGTTGAAGTTTCCGTATGAATGGTCTGCAGGGAAACCGACCAATCGCCTCTTAATGACAATTCTTTATCACGTTGAGCAGAATCAATCAAAGCGTCATTTCTAGATTTTCTCCACTTACCAAACTTCAAATCATGATCATCGATTAGGGGATGACACTCTGGCCACACCAAAAGTTGCGGGAATTGATAATACTCTTTGGAGAATTCGACTAATTGAGATTTCAATGGGATGGTAGGCTTGGTGGTCTTCAAATCCATTGGTATAAATCTTGGAGGTAATGGATGAGGTAAAGAACCAAAAGATTCTCCATCAAAAAATTTATGATTTCCCGCTGATTTGAATTGACTGGAGAAGCTACCCGATCTTTTACCAGTTTTATCACCGTTTTGATGATGTTGTTCATGTGGATAGCCAGTCATTGATTTGAAGAAATTGGAAATCGAAGTAGTTTTGTGCAACAAACCTTCTACCCCAGAGAAGGATTTTGCAGAGCTAACGGAATTGATTGATTCATCATCACTTTCCGCAGAGACTCTTCCTGGTCCATTATGCTCATTAGGATATATATATGCCGATACCACTCTTTTGTTTTTTCTTCTGCCATTCGCTCTATTGTGCATACCATTGATCGGTTTATTATCATAATATTCGTAACTGTCATCATAATTATTATTATGGTTCTTGGATGAGAAATCCTTATCATCGGCTCCTAGCTTTTTCACCAAGTAATCATGACAGTATTCAAATGGCTCCTTCAACTCAGGAGATTCTTTCAAAGAATTCAAAACATAAACAATCACTTGCTCCGAGAGATTTTGCACCTCATCATGGGGATCAGAACTGAAGATCAAAAGCGCTTTCCAGCACGCACTATAAATAGTACCGTATATTTGTGCTTTTCTTCTAAACTCAAACAATTCTTCATGAGCTTCAATAATGACAATTTCCTCTTGCAAAGATGAAAACGCAGCAAGCCTGAAAAGTGGCAAGTATTTATATATGAATGTTGATAAGAAAATAACCATCTCTTTTCGAACAGATACCGATGCATCATAAACATTACTGATGACTTCTTCCGCTAGTTTAATTTCCAATTCTTCAAGCTCTGCGGTCAACTTATTTGATGGATGATCATGAATTGTCAAATAAGTGGTGAAACTGCAAATTATTGCCGCTCTCAAATCTGGCATACTATCTTTATCATGGAATATCTTGATTAATCTGGTCAAAATATTGGATTTGTAACAGATATATTTAGCTTGAGGAGACCCGTTCCAGACTTGGGAGAAGAATAACGCACCCCAAAGCTGCAAATTTGGATGGGTTTTCTTGCCCCTCTCGATAAATACCATAACTCTAGCAAATAAGTCGTGGTCAAATAGTTTATCTCTACCAGTAGGATAGTCCTTGATGAATAATGTCAAAACTACCAACGAAATCGTCAAATGATGATAAGTCAACCCCACATCATTATTGAAATCGATTAATTTATGCGGCTTAGCTTCAAAATCCTCATCCGGAATATCCTCATCCAGGGTTCCTTTGAAAACGGACAAAGCTGGTTTACCAATTTTAGCTTCAAGTCTTCGTTGTTCTTTTGCTTGTTTATCAATACTTTCAAAATACGCATTTTTGTGCCTCACCTGGGTTTCGCTCAAGATTTCCTTTTCAGGTAACAACATGTAGTAGAAATACTTGAAACAACCACTGTTAGAAGTGTTCAAATCATATTGCATACTTTTATAATCACAAGCCAATAGTTTGGCCCACACAAACGCCAACATCGGTTTTAATTGTATCACTGGTGATTGTAAAAGTTTCACCACATAAGCGAAAACCCCGACATTCAAGGCTAACGACACCGCCCATGGACCCAAATCAACAAAGAACGCCAACATTTTCAAAGCCCTGGCTCTGTACTTTGGTGTCAATAATAATTGCAAAATCATTGCCAACTGAGGCGGAGGAACTTGGGTATAACGACCATACTGAATCCAATTCTTCAAATGGTCTAACGAAGCATCAAAGAAGTTCGAAAAAATATATCTTGGGCTTTCGGTTAATGCCACAGTCAATGATTTTTCTGGATTAATCTGCTTTAGTTGTACCAATGAAGTCAAAAAATGTTCAATTGCTAAATCCCAGTGGGCCCATAATTCATTTTCATGACAATCAGGCAAAACTGGATCAGAAACGGGGTTACAATTATAGTATTTCATGATTCTTTGAGCAAGCAAAAAGTTTCTGAACAACGCACAACAAACGGAGTCTTGTCTAAAACAACGTCTAAAAAGGTTTCTTGGAACGCATGTATAAGCAATAGTATCTGTGATCGAGGTGTAAATGTACGATAGGTCAGCAATCTGGTCTTTTCTTTCCGGGGTTCTTTTGAAATACGAGGTATCAAAATCGCTCAATTTGTGAAACTTCATTTTATAATCTGAGGTAACCTGACTCAAATCTTTGTCGAATAAACCACTATAGTATTCCGCGGTCAAAGGGTTTCTTAATAAAAAGAATTTCACAGATATTTCAATAGGAGTAGTCATACAACAAGTGAACAAATCTGCTGGAACTTCTGGTAATGATGGTAAAGTTTCATCTGACGAGCATGCAGCAAATTGATAGCAATCTAGAAACAAGGTTGGATTCATAGACATATTATATCCGTTTGCGCCATTATTTTTCATATTGGGGTTTTGGAATCCATTACTGTTAGCGAATGCAGAATTTTGATCATACTGTTGTGACTGTTGTGGTTGTTGTTGCTGTTGTTGCTGCTGCTGTTGTTGTTGCTGTTGATTCTGTTGTAGCTGGTCCTGTGATTTCATTTTCCGTTGAAGCTCGTTATAATTATCAATTTTAACCTGAGTACAGTACTTGAAACTGTTTACCAAATTTCCAGCCTTATTACAATCATAGATAAGAACGCTTGGGGCACTCAACCAGTTCTGCAAATCATTGATGGGGACCGGGATATATTGTGTGTATTGACGATTGAAAACCCAAAATTCACCAGATGGTGTTGGATCGGGCACCCCGTGCCCATTATAATGGAACAAATATCTGTTGATTTGATTAGGGGTATCTTTAACCGATCTCCTCCATGTTATCAAGGCTTTTTTCACATCGTCCACTACCGCATCTGGAAATGCTTTAAAGGAATTCTTCACGCTCATCGATTTGTATTGCTTGACGACATTGTCGGCAACCGCAGTAGCTGCTGCCGTATGATTCCCATTGAAAGTATAAGGGTCTATCCAACCTTCAATCTTAGAGCAAGGCTTACCTTTTCTGCCTTCAGGAGGTTCAACTGATGCATTGAGACAAATGAAAATCCCACCATGCGACGTTTGAATTTTGGTTCTTGGCGCCTTCCAGTCTGGGGTGAAGGTATAATAATCACCTTTTAATTTTTTTTCTGCTTCCTCAATTGGTTTGAAGTTATCACTATACTTTTTCCCGTAGAAATAGAGATAAAAGTGCGTCAAGTGTTCTTTGTAGTCTTCGTACGCATCCTCAAATCCATGTCTCGTCTTAATATTCAACGGCTTGAATTCAAACTTTCCCTCATCATCGACCAAATTGTCGTCTGTAAAAGGGACATCTTGAATAGGAGAAGGAGCACTCATATTTTTTTCTTTATGAGAATTCAGGCAATGCTCCTTTTTCTCAGTTGTGAGCAGTGTTAGATTCTTCGTTATCAGAGGAATGGGTTTATCATCAGCTGCCTTTTACTTCTTTTTATTTTTCTTTCCAAATTTGTCAGGTATCTCCGTGCACCGTAACCAAACTTGGCAAGCTTATACCCTTTTAGTTTTCTACGCTTCTCACCTAATTGGGTTCAAAAAGACTATATATGTTATATTATAATTTTTTCGTTACGAAACTATATAACAATCTTCTTATTTCTCTTCTTTGCAAGCTTCCCACGAGACACCGAATCTGCAGCTTTCTGCAATTTTGTCTTAGCGGCATCTTTCTTCACAATTCTTCTACCACCCTTTTCTAATTCGTGGTTATCGAGGAAATCATCCAACATATTTTCAAAATCTTGTCTTTGAGTTGACATATCAAATTCTGCTGGTTCTTCCTCGTCCTCATCGTCATAATTCAATTGTAATTTCTCGAATCGATCATCCAATAAAGACAATCCCTCGGTTCTGAATAATGCCGAAGACGACATAGAAAATGACGAAGTATCGGTCATAGCCCCTTTCTTCTTTCTTTCCTTGGTCTTACTTTTTTTCTTGGTGGCAGCAGCAGCGGCAGATTTTGTGAGATTAGCACCCGACATGTCTGGCAATTCTGGAAGTACATCATCCTCTTCTTCAAACTCATCATCAGAGTCCCAATCATTTTGTTTACTCTTATTTTCGGCTTGGAACTTTCTGAACCCGGCTTCCCACCCTTGATCACCTTCTTTTTCAAATTCTTCTGTGTCATACCCGGCATCGTCAAAATTATCCATATCCCACTCATCCTCATCATCAAACTCATCCTCCGATCTTTCACCACCTTGCAATAGATCATTGAACACATTTTCATCATCATCTACATATTCTTCGTCTTCCAATGCTTCGAGAACTTCTCTCAATTTGTAGTCCATGTCCGGCTTGAAACCAGCGATTTCGTCTGGAATATTCTGCATGGTCTGGTAGTTGACCTTCTTTTTGTCGCCATTCCCTGAAGCCCCAGCATCTCCTAGTAAATCCTCTTTGAACAATATTTCATTGAGCTTGTTTTTATCTTGCTTTTCTTTCTTTGGGATGAACACACCATTGCCACCTCCAATGGTCTTGAAATGTTGCATATAATCGTACTTGGAGTCATCATAAGTGATCCCATAAAGCGCAGCCTCACCTTCATTGCCTCTGATTTTCCCAGATTTTATGTCGGCATCCAATTCCTTTTCTAGCTGTGATTTGGTTTTAATCTTGTTATTTCTCTTGTTTTTTTGTCCTATTGGCATAAGAACATTCTCACTAGCGTCTTCATCGTGGAACTTTGAATCTTCGTGCGATCTATAGACCACCGCAAAGGTTTGGGCGTTCTTCTTGTCCACCCACTTTCTGGTATTTCTTCCACTCATTTGTCTCTGTTAATATTCACTATATTTCCCACCAGTCTTTATAATAACTCGAAGGGTGTTTTATTCTGTCAAATTCGATATTTTTGCACTCTAAAAAATTTTTTTTTTTTTTTTTTTTTTTCTTTTTCTTGGGAATTTTCCTCATCGGATTTAATTAGCGGAGATCGATCCTCCACACTCATAATATACACATATTTATATCTACGATAAATATTAGTAGGGCCTCCACTCAATCCCATCTACAGGCAACAGAAAACATAAGATATTCCCATCCACCACCATTGGCTGGCTACTCTGACTCAAACAGAACCGGAACTGTTACCTCCAGGGATGCTGACCCACCCGCACGTGCCCCTCCAGGCGAAATGTCAATTTTCCATTTTTTTTTTTCATTCACAGTGATGCGAGGAGAAGAAGCACAAGAAGAAGCAGAAGTAAACCTCTAATTATCAAATATTTCTACCCACTATCAGTGGCAATTTGTTAAAGGGTGTTGTTATTACCTACTTGGTTTTTTAAAGATATCCATTGCTAGTAGCAAGAATCTGTTGGCTCTTTGATAGTATTTTTTTTTTTTTTTCACCATTTTTTTGTGATTAAAACATTAATAATATGTCATCGAATAAGCAAAATAAAATAGCCAATAATAGAGCTTTACACGACGAGGAAGCCTCTGCTAATACATTGTCCCGCTCTCTAAGGAAGCCATTGCTTGTCGAGCCTCAGCAAAATTTTGATAATGGCGATTTTAGCTCCAGTCATTACAATAAAGTTACCACCGACCCTAGAAGTTATAGGAATGTTTCCAATAGTTTGCGAGATGATTCAAAAGTAATCTCAATTAAAGGGGGGTTTGATAACAGTATTGGCACGTTGAAGCCAATTGCGATAAATAACACCAACTCGTTCCAGAAAGAGTCGATGCTTTCTCAGAGTTTGAGGAATACAAATAATGCTTTAATGAGTAAAATTTCACCAAACCCAAACAGTTATACAACGTCTTTCGGTATTGACAGTAATACTAATGACAAGTTATCCTCTTCTTTCAAAACTGCAAAATCTAACTCAGTGGCCAGTAGCAACCAGCACAATTTGTTTTCTTTGAACCCTTCATCAGCGGGTGTCAAAAGTCCTCGACCACTGAACATGGCAGTGGATGCTGAGAACCCTGATCCTGCTACCGTTGACATTATTTCCCGTCATTTGGTGGCTGGTGATTTAGAGGCGAACTCTCCTGGAAACCAAGAGGTCAACTTATACAACAATCACAGCAGCACTGAAAATGAGACCGATACTGCGTCATCGGTCATCGGCGGTGATGAGTTTGACAGTTTACAATTACAAGGTGGCGATATAACTAGAGAAATCTATAATTGGAAAAGAGATCATTCACGGGCCCCAAGAAGAACAAAATCCTTCAATACTATTTCTAGAACAGGATCATTTTCAAGTTTCCAAGCTAATGGCGGCACTAGTAATCTTCCTAGCTTAAGTATCGGTGCACCAAATGACGGCAACTACCATACTTTTGCTGAACCTGATTTGAATATCAGTGAAATTTTACTTCCAGGAGGATTCAGAAGAAGTTTTATTGCCCAAAAGCAAGCTAGACTCGGGAAACTTGACGGCAATCAAAAACCAACCTTTTTCACGAGAAATTTCATTGAATTTTTATCCTTGTACGGACATTTTGCAGGCGAAGAACTTAGTGATGAAGAAGATGAAGACGAAGAGGACTTCGATGAAGCCGTCGATGATAGAGAGGCTCTATTCACCGAAGAGGATAGATTGTTGCCAGATTCTCGTGGCACAAAGAAATTCAGAAACCCAGGCCAAGAGTCAACAGTTTCAACTTTCAAGGCAGTATTATTATTATTAAAGGCTTTCATTGGTACCGGTATTTTATTCCTTCCAAAAGGCTTCTATAACGGTGGGATTATCTTTAGTGTGGTCACCATGGTATTTTTCTCTGTTTTATCGTACTGGTGTTTCTTGCTCTTAATTGACACCCGAATTAAATCGGGCGTTGATAGTTTCGGTGACCTTGGTAAAAAATATTATGGTAGTGGTATGAGACTTTCTATTTTAACATCTATTGTGTTGGCCCAAATTGGCTTTGCATCGGCATATATCGTTTTTGTGGCCCAAAATTTAAGGTCAGTTTTGGTGGCACTCTTTGGAAAAGATATCTCAATATCGTTTTTAATTTTCAGCCAATTAGTGATCTTTATTCCATTATCATTAACCAGAAAAATCTCCAAGTTGTCAGGAACAGCGTTAATTGCCGACTTTTTCATTTTGCTAGGGATCATTTACATTTACTATAATTGTGCCTTTGAGATTGTCCGGAACAATGTCAAGCATGTGGAATTTTTTAATCCAAATGAATGGACCGTCTTCATTGGGACAGCAGTTTTCACTTACGAAGGTATTTGCTTATTGATTCCTATCCAAAAATCTATGAAACAACCATCCAAGTTCAGTAGCTCTTTGGGTGGTGTTATGGTTGGTATCACTGTTGTTTTCATCTCTATTGGTTCTATTTGTTATATGGCCTATGGTGATGACGTCCAAACTGTTATTCTCAACAATTTTCCCCAAGAAAATAAATCTGTCAACTTTATTCAACTACTTTATGCATTAGCAATTCTTTTATCAACTCCACTACAATTATTCCCAGCTATCAGAATTCTTGAGCACGGCATTTTTGGAGCTAACAAATCAGGCAAGTACAACCTCAAAATCAAATGGAAGAAGAATTTATTCAGAACCGCTCTTATTATTGTTACATCCCTAATTTCCTGGGTCGGTAATTCCGATCTAGACAAATTCGTGGCTTTGATTGGTAGTTTTGCCTGTGTTCCATTAATCTATGTCTACCCACCTATTCTTCATATAAAATCTTATGTCGAAGAAATCAGCACTGGCAATGCCTTCAGTGAAGATAGAAACTATTGGTTAAACAATCATATCGCTTGCTACGCTAATGTCATTGTGACAATTTTTGGTGTTGTTTTGATGATTTATACTTCAGTTGACTCTCTCAAGGCCTGGATCCAGTAATATCTTGGTTTTTTTTTTGAACTAGATCAAATTAGAAAAAAATAAATTTTAAAAAAACAACAATCATCGTCAAATTCTTTATTAAACACTCATTCTTAAGAAGAAAAAAAAAATACTACATAGATGTAGTCAGCAATTTCATAATTCATTAATTAATATATTTTACATAAAAATGTTCAAAGTTGAAGTTTCCTTGACAAAGTATACTGCAAACTTGCAATCCAGGTTTTCCTTTATGATGTAATTTGGCACGGGTATTTCGAAACTCTCTGTTTTTGTTCTATACTGAGGATTCAAGTTCTTTAATAAAAGGGATTTCTTGTTAGAATCATAATTCAACTGGTAATCATTCGGAGATTTAATTTCTGATTTGATAGTAATTAATAGCTGATAACCTTTGGATTTGTCCATCAAATTGCAAAACCTGAGATCAAAATTCAAGAGCTTCTTAACCAGTGATACAGGATCCTTATTTGCTTCAGAGATATCCATAATCGAAGGTTTTTTAGGCTTTGAAACGTATGATGATGCATCAATTTCCTGGATTTTTGGTTTATCCTTTCCAGCACCCTGTAGCCCCCCACTAAAAATCGAGATCAGATCATCTACCTCGCTCACTTTATTTTTTGATTCTTCAACCGCATCCAACATTAACAAATGGTCTTTTTCATTAGCTAATCTTTCGAGTTCTTGTTTTTGATTTTGGAACGATTTTTTTTGGATGTCATCTTTAATTACTTCCAAGGATGTTAGGGCCCCCTTGTAGCTCAATTTCGGGTACTTGACGACATCTCGATCTAGTCTCACTCCAAATCTCAATTCAACGCTTTCTAAACACCATTCAGTCACGATCTGTCTCAACTCTTTATGTAACTGAACCCAGCTCATGCACTTGTCGTTGATGAAACAATCGTAGACATACGACAAAGAACCCTTATTGTCCGTGTCCTCACGCTCATCCGAGGTTATTATAGGGATTTCCCAACGGTCGTTCATGATCAATGGATACACTATTTCCGGCTTAAAACTTTCATTGTTATGGTCTGGAAGTGGGACATGTTGGTTCGAGCAGATATTAATGAACACTTTAGTTAGTGGCCTACGGAGTGGGTCTGCCGTACCGGTTTCCAACCTTGTTTTCACCACAAAGCCCGATTTTGGATCCATAATTATCTTTTCCTCATTTTCTGCCACCAATGCCATTATTCACGCAATTAATGTAAAAAGTACCCAATTTATATATAACTGTCCATACAAAGCAGTGTCAAAAAGAATATTTTTTTCCGTCTTTACAGTGCGTGGTACATAACCAGTGGTGCATGCGACTAACAATCATCATATAATCTCATGTATATATATTATTGATAAATTCTATCAAAAAAAATTGACTCAAATGACTGGGAAAGCCAAATTTTCTCTATGTGCAACATATTCAGAATCGGCGTAGCCCAATACCTTCTCAATTTCGTTACTGTGCAAGCCTTTAATTTTCGCCAAATCAGCCGATGTGTAGTTCACCCGGGCTCTACCGATTTCTATTAACTCTTTTGAAGTGTCTAGTTCACCATTTGGCAATCTAGCACCTTGCATCAAAGTTACGCACTGATCTTCATGGAAAGATCCTTGCACTTCAATGATACCCACAGGCAAGAGTCCAGCTCTATTCTTTCTGGTCAACGCCTTGGAGGCACCTTCATCGACGATAATTGTACCATATGGTTTCAACCCATACAATAACCAAAGCTCTCTATTTTTTGCAGCATTTTCCTTTTGACCAATAAATCTAGTATGTAATGGAACATCGTGCTTCACCAACATCTCGAGTTCCTTCTTTTGTTTGTCTAAAAATTGTACGTCATCGTTTTCCAATGATAAATTCTGTAGATCGGATTCGTTAGCTTGAATGTAGTCAACAATACTCGCGATATTACCTGGGACCGAACTCTTGGTGACAATAGTGGTGACCCCACCACTAGTAGCAATTTCCGCAGCAATAAGTTTTGTGGTCATCCCCCCGGTTCCCACATCACTACCCCCCGACAGAGTGTCTACCTGCAAATCATTCATATTTTTGACTTCCAATATTGGAACTGCATCTGGGTTATTTCTTGGGTTTTCCGTGTAAAGACAGTCGACATCGGTCAACAAGAACAAATAATCAGCCTGAATCATTGCGGCGGTGACGGCAGACAAAGTATCATTATCACCAAACCTGATTTCTCTAACTGACAAAGTATCGTTTTCATTGACAATAGGGATTATATCCATATCCAACAACTCATTAATAGTATTTCTAGCATTTCTATATTGGTTCCAAGCAGCAATATCGTTCTTGGTGATCAAGATCTGACCGATTGGTTGGTCCAATAATTTGAAGAGATCATCCCATAACGCAATCAATCTACCTTGACCAATAGAAGCCAACGCTTGAACTTTCGATAGTTGTTTTGGTTTGGATGTGAGCCCCACTCTCTTCAACCCAACAGCGATGGCACCAGAAGAGACGATGACTATTCTATGACCTTGTCTTCTTAATTTCACTAAGGTTTCTACGATGAGCGACATATTAGCGATTCTTGGTTCTCTTGTGACCTCATCGACAATCGACGAACTGCCTAATTTCACAACAATAGTTTTGCAATCACTCGTCATTTTCAAATATATTATTACTATTATTATTACCAAATATCCTTCTATTCAAAAGGTCTCCTTTTGTGAAATCCTTAATTGAATGATTTGAATTGAATCATCTGAGAAAAATCAGCCGGAAAAATAAGTCATGTGAGCAGGGCACATAATTTTTTTCTTCTTTTCTTTGTAGACTATTAAGATTAGTTGGGAAGAAGTGCATGCGAAAGGATCCAACAATAGTTTGCCATTTAATAGGTTGTGATTGTTGCCAGTTTGAAGATGGTTCATTATATTACACTTGCCACCTGTAACCTTAACCAATGGGCCCTTGATTTTGAAGGTAACAGAGACAGAATTGTCGAAAGTATTAAGATCGCCAAGTCTAAGGGGGCGAGATTAAGAGTTGGTCCCGAATTAGAAATCACTGGATATGGTTGTTTAGACCACTTTCTTGAAAATGATATTTTCTTGCACTCCTGGGAAATGCTTACCACTATATTGACCAACAAAGATTGTTTTGATATCTTATTAGATATAGGGATGCCGATCATGCATAAAAATGTTAGATACAACTGTAGAGTGTTGGCTTATAATGGGAAAATTATTTTCATTAGACCTAAAATGTGGCTTGCTAATGATGGTAATTACAGAGAAATGAGATTCTTCACCCCATGGTCTAGACCTTATTACGTTGAAAACTTTGTGTTACCTAGGATGATCCAAAAAATCACTGGGCAGTTGAGGGTTGATTTTGGGGATGCTGTGATTTCTACTTTAGACACTTGTGTGGGGATTGAGACTTGTGAGGAATTGTTTACTCCAAACTCTCCACATATTGCCATGGCCTTGGACGGTGTGGAGATCATCACAAACTCTTCAGGATCGCACCACGAGCTTCGTAAATTGAACACCAGAATGAATTTGATTAAAGAAGCAACTACCAAATGCGGAGGTATCTATTTATACTCTAACCAAAGGGGTTGTGACGGTGATAGACTATATTATGATGGATGTGCTTTGATTGTCGTTAATGGCGAGGTTGTGGCCCAAGGTAGCCAATTTTCTTTGGATGATGTTGAAGTGGTCACCGCTACCATTGATACTGAAGATGTCAGAAGTTACAGATCTTTGATGTCCCATGGCTTACAAGCTGTCAACCAAAAAGAAAACTATAAAAGAATTCATGTTCCAATTGAACTATCACCAAGCAGTGAAACTTTTGACCCTTCGGTCTCGCCATCTAAGCCTTTCCCAATTCATTATCATACCCCAGAAGAAGAGATCGCCCTTGGCCCTGCTTGTTGGTTATGGGATTATGTGAGAAGATGTAGGGCCGCCGGGTTTTTCTTACCGTTATCTGGAGGCATTGACTCTTGTGCTACTGCGGTGATTGTTCATTCGATGTGTAGATTGGTTGCGGATGCTGCCAAAAATGGCAACGAGCAAGTTATCAAGGATGCCAAAGTTGTGGCTGGATTGTTGCCAGAAAGTGATTATAAACCAATTGATCCAGCGGAATTTGCCTCCAGAATTTTCCATACAACATTTATGGGCACTGAGAACTCTTCTGCCGAAACCAGATCTAGAGCTAAAGAATTGGCGGCCAAGATCGGTGCCTATCATGTTGATTTAAATATGGATTCCTTGGTTGGCAGTGTAGTCAACTTGTTTGAGGTGGCGACTGGTAAAAGACCAATTTTTAAAATCTTTGGTGGGAGTCAAGTGGAGAACTTGGCATTACAAAATATCCAAGCCAGATTGAGAATGGTTTTGGCTTACTTATTCGCCCAGTTGTTGCCTTGGGTTAGAGGTAGAAAATCAGGAGGGTTATTGGTCCTTGGCAGTGCTAATGTCGATGAATGTCTTAGAGGATATTTGACCAAATATGATTGTTCTAGTGCGGATATTAACCCAATTGGGGGGATTTCCAAGACTGACTTGAAGAAATTTATCGCTTATGGTAGCACCAGCTTTGACATGCCAATATTGGATGATTTCTTGAACGCCACTCCCACCGCTGAATTAGAGCCAATCACTAAAGATTATGTACAGTCAGATGAAATTGATATGGGCATGACATATGAAGAATTGTCGGTTTTTGGTAGACTCAGAAAAGTTAACAAATGTGGTCCTTATTCGATGTTTTTGAAATTATACCATGAATGGAGTCCAAAATTAACTCCTGAAGAAATCGCGGTCAAAGTGAAGAGATTTTATTTCTTCTACGCTATCAACCGTCACAAGCAAACTGTTTTGACACCATCATATCACGCTGAACAATACTCTCCGGATGATAATAGATTTGATTTAAGACCTTTCTTGATTGATCCAAGGTTCAGTTGGGCAAGTAAGAAAATCGATGAGTTCATTGCAAAAACCCAAACAAAGACACTTGACGAATCAGATGTTTTGAAAGTTGATTAGTCGTCTACTTTTATTTTGTTTGTTAGGCTTTAGAGCTTTTTTTTTTTTTTGATATGCTTCATGATCGTTGAATATATACCTATTACTACTTACAAATGCTTAATATACAGGGTATCTATCGTGTTTTTTTATTTATTAATAGTGTATTGATGTAATTTTACACCCTCCTCAGTTTCTCATATGACCCCATAGGATCGGGATCTTCTTTTCATTTGGCTTGAAGTTTCTTTTCCAGAAATCAATCAAGCTTATAGCAGTTTTGTTCGGTAAATCCTCGTGAAGAAAATGACCACTCTCCAAAAACACAATCAATTGAAATTTCCCTTGCATTTGGCCAATCATCAACCGTTTGTCTAGATTATCATTGCCAGCCAAAATTAGCAACTTTGATTGGACTGGGGCATTGACAAATCCTCCAGATAACCCAGTGAACCATGTGTCCCAAAATGGTTCTGTTAATCTTAAGTCGCTTCTCCATTTATATTTGAATAATGACGAATCCACATCAGGATCATTGTCTTCCACGGGCATTAATAACGCCGGTACTGAAACGAGTGGCGATTCTCCTTTACGCAAGAAATTTGATTTAATATGCCAATCAATAGCAATTTTCAAAGACCTAAACCCTTTGGGTCTTGAATTTAAAAACTTGTTCATATGAGCTAACGACTCCACCGCAGTATCTTCCACAATATCAAACATAACTAGGCCTTTAATAATGTTAAGCTCAACCAATTTACTGAAATACCCATCTTTCATACCATTGTATTGGTGGAGAGCCTCGGTTAACACTGAGCCACCTAAACTGTGACCAACAAGCATTATTGGAGGAACTATAAGCTGAGGATCGGCCTCTTTTTTAGAGATGACATCCTTGAATAATGGATCTAGTTCGTCTAAATATGATTTTAAAATGAATGAAAAATCCTTGACAAAAGAATTTCTTGAATAATCATTCTCGGCAACTTTAGTCTTTCCGTGGTTTCTAGCATCAAAAACCAATATACCAGGCTTGATTTTTGGGTGTGGGGACTCTGTGGCGAGATATTGTTCAATCTGTTTGCCCAATACAGCAAAAGTTAATCCTGATGATCCAGCACCATGGTGGAAAATAAAAATTGGAGAGGAATTGGAATTGGGCAAGGAATAGTATATCTGGAACTTATTTCCCGTCTCCTGCTGCTCTAACACCTTACTGTGTTCAAAAAACTCGCACCATTCTTTTGGTTTGATATCTTCCCTTTTTTGGTATTTGAAAGATGAAGTAAGGCCAGTTGTGTTTGCTTCAGCTCCTTGTTGCAGATTCTTGAGTAGTTGTGATAGTAAAGGACCATTTTTAGCAGTAGGCAAAGGCGCATCCTTAGCAAACGGACTGCTGCTGTTGTCTTGTTCTTCTTCCTGATCCTCTAATTCTTCACTGAAATCAAACCCCAAAGCCTGTTCTGCTTTCTGGAGCTTTTTTTGAAATATCAGCTTCTGGAATTGGGACATTCCTTATATCTATATTTTTCTTTTTCTTTTTCTTTTAGTTAACCCTTATGTATTGGTTGTTAGTTTAAGACAGCTTGTGGTTTTTTTGTATTTTGACAGATGATTGCGTGATTTCAATTTAGACACTTGATGATCATCACCAGCAACACATACAGAGCAATCAACATCACAGCAAATCAACATCATGAGCAGGACATTGGCCACAAAATCAAAACAAGAAATCTTTTATCTTACAAAGTCTCTAATCCCCCCACTTCTTCCCAGTTTCTACAAAGGCCAACAGGGAAAGATCCTTGTGTTTGGGGGTGAATACAATGGAGCAGTGTTCTTTTCAGCAGACAGTTCAGCAAAGACCGGAGCTGATTTAGTTCATGTTGTTTGCACTAAAGATGTGGCACAGGTCATCAAATGCTACTCCCCAGACCTTATGGTACATCCGTACTTGATTGATGGAGAGACTGCCGATGGCCATGATGAGGATGAGCTTATTGCGAAATACGTGATGCCGAAAGTTTCCACATTATTAGACAGAATTGATGTTGTTGCCATGGGATCAGGACTTGGAAGAAGTTCTATGAACTTGAAAACCGCCGCGGAAGTGCTAAAGGAAATCAAGAGGCGCAATTTACCGGTGGTTTTGGATGCAGACTCGTTGTTCTTGCTTGCACAGTCTCCAGAACTCATCCAGGGATACCAGAATGCCATCGTGACCCCAAATCTTATGGAATTCAAAAGATTATTCGATAAATTGGAACCAGGAACATTTGAAGCCCGCAAAGATCCAAGAGATCCGAGTAATGCCATCAGATTATCGAAGTTGCTTGGTGGAGTGACGGTGGTGCAGAAGGGAGCCATGGATATCATTGCTAGAGAAGACGAATATATAGTTAATGACTCAATTGGCTCTAACAGAAGATGTGGAGGCCAAGGAGATACCTTAAGTGGGTCAATGGCCACGTTCTTAGCCTGGGGTCAAAAATATAAGGCCAAATTGTGGCCTCATGATGACGAAATCGATGAAAAATGGGTTCCTTTACTTGCTGCTTATGGTGCTTCTTCAGTTGTAAGAAAGGCTTCGTATTTAGCTTTTCAAAACAAGAAGAGATCAATGCAGGCTACGGATTTACATAGTGAGCTCGCGAATGCCTTTGAAGAGTTGTTTCCAACGGAAACGCATCTATAAGAATCCGAACGCCCAAAAAACTCAGGGCATAGTAATATAGTATGGTAAATATTCTTGATTCATTATTTTTTAACATTGTGTTATTTGTAGGCATTGAATTGTTGTTACGTGGTATGTTTATAAATAACCGCCACAGTATTAAATAATAGGAGTCTTTGCATTTTATTCAGAATATGTATTTATATATAAGCCATTTCTTTACTCAATGTTTAAAATTTGAAGACGTTTTCCTTGGTGTAACCCAATTCAGCCAAGGCACCAGTAACTTCACCTTGGTCAGTCTTGGAAGCCTTGGTACCAGAAACGGCCTTGTACAAACCAGCTGGACCACAGACAAAGGCTTGGGTCTTTTCGGTGGACTTTGGAATAGATTTTTCCAAGAATTCCTTGCTAACAAAACCAACATGACCTTCGAATTCACCTTCGGCCTTGTCAACAAAGTAATCGACCTTGACTTGTTCAGGGTACTTCTTAGCCAAAGCATCAATTTCTGATTTCAACAAAATATCAGCAGGGGTTTGGGAACCGTAGATCAAGTGGACCTTGGTGTTGTCTTCTGGGTTTTTAGCAACGGTGCTCAAGATTTGGTACAATGGGGTAATACCAGAACCACCACCAATCAAGGTAACAGAATCAAAGGAGTTTGGAACCCACTTCCATTTTTGAATTGGGCCCTTGAAAGAAACAGAGTCGTTTGGCTTCAAACCGAAGACGTGGGTACCAAACTTAGAGTTTGGGTACTTCTTGATCACAAAAGTGATTTCTCCCTTTTGGTCATTGTCAGAGATTGGAGTGTAAGGTCTGATGACTGGGTTACCCTTGGCGGTCATGTATTTACCGAGAACCAAAGAGGCGGTTTCCAAACCAGAAACGTGGTTGGCGGATGGCAATTCGAAGACGAATTCTCTACTGTCGTGAGAAAGGTCCTTGAAAGACTTGAGCTTCAAGTCAATCCAGGCGCTAGAGTCGGTGAAGGCCTTTGGAGCTGGCACTGGGACTCTGCTCTTTGAGAAGTAGTACAAAGCACCGGTGGCACCAGCCAATGCGGTGAGGTAAAGAAGTTTGGAGGAGGTTTTGCTGACAGCCATTGTGTTGATAGTTTATCCTGTGCTGAAGAAGAAAGTGTGAAACTATTAGTAATAATAATATTTTCAGCTCCTCCAGAAAATCCATAATCTTTGGGGTTATGTCCGGGTAAACCATATTCGGGTAATGCTTATACGTCAAATCCACGTTTCGGTAATGCAATAACGCCTGACAATCTTTTGGAAAGCAGTACCATGTCAAATCAAATCTAATTGTATATTAACGAGTCACAGAGGTTCATGGTTCGTGGAATTACCTTTCCAACACTGTGCTCTCGCACTAAAGGTAATTCATTTCAAATATCACCGACAGACGAAAAAAAAAAAAAAAAGAATTTACACAGTACAAAATATATCAGGTAAAGTGTTATTGAAAATAAATAAAGCATAATAAGCTACTCAGAAGTAAATGAAAAGATAAACATAATTCAATGAAAAAGAGAAAGAGAAAGAGAAAGAGAAAGAGAAAAAAGAATCGAAGTAAAAGATAAGAGACAGAATAATCAATGACAGATCTGATCAACAGATCTGAAACGAAAAAGTTGCATCAAATGTGTTTAAACACTTACAATCTTAGATTCGGTAGTGTACTTAGCTTGAGCCAAACCAATCTTACTGTCATCCAAATCATAGTAGATGTAAGCAGATCTCAAGAAGATATCCCCCAAAATCCAAGTGTTTTCACTAGTGGTAAGCAAAGAGAACATACACATTTCAGTACCGTCAGCATTGGTGAAAAGAGAGGTGTCATCAGAGACGTTGTACAATAAGTTCTTGTATGGAACATTGATGGTCAAGTTTTTGAATTGGAATTTGAAGTCTTCACCTTCACTGCTGCATGGAGTAATGTAACCACCAATAGTTTCGTTGTATTCACCGTATTTTGGAGCGACCTCTTTGTAAATAGCTGGTGGAGCGTACAACAAAGTAGAACCAGAATCCAACAAAGCTGGGTAGCTTTCATTTACCAATTGGTTACCGCTTTCGGTAACACCATCTAAATTGACAAAGAAGGCAACAGCTTCTTTGGTAGAAATACCACCATCATTAACGTGAACTGTATCGAAATAAGTCAAGTCACCATCGAATTTAGCTTCATCGATACCACCGAACAAAATGGTACCACTTTCAGCTTCAGGAGAGTTCAAGTACAAAGAGTAAGCATTCTTATCAACAATACCTTGGGACTTCAATTGCATTGGGAAGTTTGGATATTCTTCGTTAGGGTAAACACCTTCAGTACCGTTGTAAGAGATACCAATAATACCTTGTCCAATGTCTTGATCAGTGGCAAGACCGAATTGCATATCTTTAACAGTAACGTCACCCCAAGTGACAGTTTCCTTGGCCCAAATACCCTTGGCGTAAGTGTAGTAGCCTTCGACTCCGTAGTACAAAGAGAAGTTTTTGTTCATGTCTTGAAAAGAGGAAGATTCAGTTTGGTCAAAAGCACCCAATGGACAAGAAGAAGATTCCGCTGGCAAGCCACTCAAAGTGCTGTCATGCTCAACGGTTTTACTTGGCTCACAACTGGATTTAGATGGGAACCACAAGTCACTGGAACCAGTGTCAACAATTACACCAAGTTCTTGGTCATCACTTCCGATCTTCAATTGAGCCAAGAAATAGCTACCTTCATTTGGAATAGTGATGCTGTGAGTGTTCTGGTAGTTTTCAATGAGACGGTAACCTTGAGATTTTGGCAACTTGGTGTCTTTGGAGTATTTTTTAAAAGTGTTTTCCTTAATAACCTTGAAGTCAATGGCAACTGGGGCGACCTTGGATTTCTTGGAAACTGGGGCAGCTTCGGTAATAGTGGCTAAAGCAGCCAATAAACTAAGAGCAACTTTGGTAGTGTAAATCATATTGAAAGTATAATTGTGTTTTTGTCAGTATTGAATAATAATAATAAAAAATAAGAACACAGACAACTGATACTTCTTGGCGGGATGATAGGGATATAAATACATTATTCTTGGTGATTTTAAAAAATCATGGCTAATTTATTTCTTGACCAATTATATTTTAGGTATCCTGGTGAAATTACAGCTGCCTTGTCTTTCCATGAGGCAAAAGCTTCCTCTGAGAATATCCATACTGGCTGCTATCTTTAGTGCAAGGCCCCATATGCCAATATCGCCGCGCCATTCTCAACGGTATTTTTGTAATCTGCATGTCGAGGAATTTTTCAGATGCGTCTGCCTTACCAATGGACGAATCGAATATTTCCCCCCAGAATTCTCCAATAATTGGTAGCAAATTGAGAATTATTGTCGGATTCTCAAGTTAGGCGCAGATAATCAGAGAAGGAGACTTAAAAATAAAAATAGAAGAAAACCTCTTGTTTGAGTAGTGTGGTGCAACGAGTGAGAAAATATGTTTACTTTTAAGTATCAATTTGGTACAGCTGTTAATTAGAAAATTCCACAGACTTTTTGGGCAGAGAGAAACACTAAAAATATTATTTTCCAATAGTAAAGAAGCAATATGCTGGTGCTATTGGTCAATGAAGTTGTTGTTTTTTTGTTTTTTTTTGGAAGTCTTTTAATTTCATTTTTTCTCTTCTTGTGAAACAAATTAATGGAATACTTGTACATATCACTCTCTGTAAAGGTTGGAATTCTCAAAATTTATAGTGAACTGATCTATTCAACCCTCAGATTTGTATTTCACTAATATCCAAGACGCGATTTTTTTAGAAAGCAGAGCCGTCCCAGAAATTGTTCTATATACCAGAGAATTTATTGAGAACATTTCTGTGCTACCTAATTAAATATTATGAAATAAGCCTCTCTGAGTCACTGTTAGCTATCTTCTTGTACAAGCTCTTGAAATATGACACTTATGATGAATATACAGTAGAAAGTGAAGTTCCCGATTGGAAAATAATAAAACACAATGAAAATGTTACAATCTACAAGTGTGAGGGAAAATAAAAAACGAAAATATCTTCCAGAGAAATTCTAAATATACCCAAGATAATGAAAATTGGATAACAAAATAAAAAAAAAGTAGGGCCCTTTAACCAAATAACAACTTTTTTTCTTCTTTAAAAAAAACAAACAAACAAAAACCAATTACCACTGATTATCGCCTTTACGACACAGAACCCCAACATATCGTGCTAGGGAATTGAACAAATTGATTATTTCCTCTTTGCCGAATCTTCCAAAATCTTCGTAACCCTGTTCTTCAATATTCAATTCTTTCACCTTATCGGCAAGAAAGTCCTCAAATTGCTGTTTCTGCTCGTCGCTTGGCGGAAGTATCTGATAGAACCCACACAATTCCACAATTTTTTTATCATTGAGCTCCTTGAATTCTGCCAAAGTCTTTGGGAAGTTTTCTGGTTCAGCACCGTCAGAATCAGGCAATGGTGCCAATAAATCGTTAGCATTGGTCTTTGTCAAGTTGATTCCTCGGCGAATGGATCTTTCTTCGAGAAAATCTAATTGACCCTGAAGTTCCCCAACCAATTGAAAAATGTCCTCATTTGTAGCATAGTCGGCCTCTTCAATTGCTTCTACCTGCTTCAAATTTCCAGCACCGCCATTGAGTATCGCTTGTGGATCAGGAATGTCCTGAATCTTCTGTTTTTGCGCTGCCAATTGGATTTCCAACACCTGCTGACCAGTCTGGGTGATCACCTGCGATTGCTTTTTAACCTTGGCGGTTAGGGACTCTACCTGGGCCACCAAATCCTTAATAGTGAGTTCTTGTTGGTTCTTGGACATATCTTCTTTATTGAATGTGTTGTTTCAAAAAAGAGGTGATGGTTCCAACTGCAGTTGAATCACATATAAACAACCGCAAAAAGGTTGCTTCTTTTGCACGTGACAAATCTTCTTCCTCTTTTTTTTTCTTCTTCTTGTCCTTATTCTTTTTTTTTTTTTTTTTCCTTCTGACGTTCCATAGATTTTTCACAATCTGTCGACATCAAAACAGTGAATTTTATCAATATATAATGGCAGATCAACAATATTTCAAGTCTTCGGTACAGATATCGAGGCCGTTTTTGACATCAAAGGCGGTGAAGTTCTTGCAAAAGAAAACCATCCCTGATTACCAAACTTATAAACAAAGAATATCACATGTCTTGAGTTTCCTTCTAAGCTTGACAAGGCTACTCAAGTTTCCATCCAGAACTCTCGAGTCAGCAATGCTATACTACCAAAGATACTACCTTTTTAATCATTTTTCGACATCAAGCAACATTGACGTTGCTATAGCTGCATTATTTATTGCCAGTAAAAATGAAGATACCATCAAGAAATTAAGAGATATAATAGCTATAGCAAATCCATTGAGGAATGCCCCAAATACCAATGAAGCAATCGAGGAAAACAAAAAAGTGATTCTTAATTTCGAAAAGAAGATGTTGGAGACTATAAGCTTTGATTTCAGAACCTACCATATTGATGAATTATTGATTCGTATAGCTAAAGACTTGAAACTATCTGTTGATTTGACCTATTTAGCTTATATGATCGCCTTTGACTCATTCCAGACAGAAGTGAGTCTTAAAACTCCTCAGCATGCAACTGCAATCGCTTGTATTATTATTGCTGCGAAGTTCCGGGAAGAAAATAGCGTCTTTCCATTAAACTCGGCCAAGTACAAGTGTGATAGAGCGTTGGTAAATGAAGCGCTATTTGAAATATTGGAACTTTATATCAATAACTATAACTATGGTAGTTTGGCAGACATGTACCCGAATGATAAGGAATCTTTCATAAAGATTAGAATTAATATCAAAAACGAGATAAATTTGAAAGATTTGGATGAAAGAAGTTTGTTAAACGACGGATTTTACAATATTAAAAATTATAATGTTAGTGACACAGGAAGTGCGAGATACATGCTAGGCAATCAAGAGAAAAGGTTTTATGAGGAAGTGGATGCTCAAGAAAATTATAAAGAATCAACAGAGCCAAAAAAGGTGAAATTGCATTGATCATTAGAACTTACAATGGTCACCATCAAATTTTTTCATAGAAAATTTTGTAATATAGAATATAGTGTAATATATGGTACATATTTATTGTACAATTGAGTTCCAAAATCTTTTGCGTAAATTGGGGGATATCAAGACCCGTACTTATCGAGAAGTGCTTTCTTGTTCTCTGAGTTTTTCGCCATAATTTCTTCCTTCTTTTTCTTTACTAGAAGTGCGGTAGCCGTAGGAGTCGCCTCCGGATGGTTTTCTAATAAATGCTTGAGCATTTGCTGCTCGTCTTCATTTGATGGTTTTGCAGTTTGTCTGGCATTCCACGCAAATTGCTTCATCTTTTCATATTCCACGGCTTCACCATCAAAATGCCTGACAAATAAATTTCTTTCATTATACTCCCCAGCAGATGGATCAATAATGGATCTGGTCTTTGGATTATATGTCAATTTCTTGATGCGACCCTTAACAACATTTGTATCTTCACCTTCATCTTCAACTTGTTCCTGTGCAGTGACGGATTCCAAATACCCTGCCCTATCTTCAAGCAATCTAATAATTTTCTCACCTGGAGCTTTCTGGCCCTTTTGCTTCATAGTGTTTTGAGGTTTTTCATCCCCTAGTAACCCAAGTTCAGCCAACTCTAGAGCTTCCTCTTCCTCTTCAGAGTTCATCTCCTTTGCTTCACCTTGTTTCAATGCCTTTTCCTTTTCAGCATCCCTGTACCTCTGTATATTATTATCCCAATCTTTGACATCATAACCATAATAGTTGTCTCTCTTCGCATCGTAATTATTTAGAACTTCCTCATCTCTGACTTCAATGGTGTCCTGTGGTGCTGTGTTTGTTGAAGAATCTTCTCGATATTTAAACGATACTTTGCGCTGTCTCTCTAGACAATCGCTCTTCTTGTGTGACATGGAGCCGCAATTCGAGCACTTTATCTTTTTATTATTCTTGAACATTAATAATTTTTTTTTCTTCTTCTTAACCTCCGAGTTTTCATGATCATTGGACCTCTTTGCCATCAACACATTTTTATCTGAAATTCGAGTATGTGAATCATTGATCCCTTCACCTCGCAGAGCGATGGAGAAGTTTTTTGGTTTTTCATTTCTGTTCTTTCGTTGATGGGCCAAGTAATCTTTATCATCATCCTTATCCTGCTCATCTCTATTGTTCAGCTTATCTCTGGATGACACTGGAACCTTGTCGATACTCAAATTCTCAGTTTGGTACCATGGAGCGCTGGCAATAAATTCTGGAATATACTTGTTCTTTGTGTTGTCTTTTGCTAATCTCGCACGGCTCATTATTATTGATGGATATCTTGTTGATGGATGAGTAACAGCAGAACTGAAGGGGAAAGAAATCACTTTTGATCATCTCTATTATGGTCTTTTTCTTTGCACGTGCAGGCCATCTCATTTTTTTTTTTTTTTTTTTTTATGCAGAATTTTTCTTGATGAATTTTTTTTTTTGGGGGTTGAAACCTCTGGATTTTTCACTCTAATTACCAAATCGACAACTTTAACGATGTCAGAAACCACATTTGTCAAGAAATTAGCTTCTAATGGTATGCATTCATTTTCGTTTTCTATCTTAACCTTTTGTGTTGTTTTTCTTTGGCATTTCCCAGACTCTGTTGCCTGGCGTTGTTTTTTTTTTGAATAAGATTCAACTGACATCTTTAAGAACGTCCTGTACGTGAAAGCGCCATTGAAGCCTTGAAACAATATTTATCAAGGGACAAGAAACTCTCTTTGTTGAAATACCAGAAACTATGGAAGGGTCTTTACTATTCGATGTGGTTTTCTGACCGTCCAAGACCTCAACAACGTTTGGCCATGGTTCTCGGAAAGTTATTTTCGGAGACCATCCCATTGAATAGCTTCACCGTATTTGTGGAAGCCTTCTGGTCCCTTATCATTCGTGAATGGCCACAAATAGATCGCCATAGAATTGACAAATTTTACTTGTTGTTGAGAAGAGTTATAGGGTGTTGTTTTGAAAGATTGAAGAAGGAAGATTGGGATGTCGAGCTAGTGAACAGTTACGTTGAAACCCTTCAAAAGAATGTATTGTCTGGTCAAGTTAAGATCCCATTGTCATTAACATTTCACATAATCGATGTTTACATAGATGAGTTAGAAAAAGTCATGTTTGAAGATATTAATGACGAAGAGCTTGCAAACGAAGATCTTGATGAGGAAGAGAAGGAGAAATTGATGAAAGAAATAAATGAGCAGAAAAAAGAAATACTCGAGGAAGTCCCATTGGATGAATTATTCAAAGTGTTTGGCAAATTGAAACAGTCAACTGGAATTAAAGTGTTGAAGGCCAAAATAGATGAAGATTTGATCGCTGATGAAAGAATCCAAGAATGGAAGATTAAAGTTGAAGATGACAGTGATAATGAAGAAGAAGAAGATGACGAGGAAGGTGAAGAAGATGAGGAAAGTGATGAAGAATATTTCCAGTAGTGGAGAACGTTTGCGAGCATTATATTTTTGAAAAAGATTTGTTTGATATAACTTTAAGAATGGCTGATTAAGGCCATGTTGTAAGAAATTTCTAAACGCACACACTTTTTTTTTTTTTTTGTTTATTGTGTGGATTTTTTTTTTCTTTCCACTGTAGTCGATGGGACAAAATATTGATTATTATTTAATCAGTGGCAACGCTGCCAATAATAGACAAGATATTTAATTTTATTCAACGGTTTTTTAATGTTCTCCTCCCTAATATCACAGATAAAGGGAAAACCTGCCCTGAGAAACAGAGGGGGTCCAACTGTCACAAATAAGACAGCTGTTACATCATCACTATCGTCGTCGTCGTCATCGTCGTCGTCGTCGACATCATCAAGGAACAATGATGCAAAACCAAAAGCCAGACCCCAAAAAGCCGCATCACGCAAACCAAGTTATAGTGTAAATGTGGACCCTGCTGTGGCAAGACTTAAGGCTGCAAGGGCAGCTGAAAAAGAAGCCGAGGAACAGAAGAAGAAAGAATTGAAAAGAAATAGACTCATAGACTTGGGAATCGACCCTGATGCACAGAAGAAGGCCGTTAAGGCTAGATCGAAAAAGGAGAATGGGAATCCAGATAAACCGAAAACCAAACGAGCACCACAGAGTCGGAAAGCTAGAAAAGAACAAGAGTTTGGAAACGACGAAGATTACGCTGATAGTCAAAGGACTAGTCAGCCAAGAAGAATGAAATTCACAGATCTAATGAAGCAAGCATCAAAGGTAGATAATTCTGTACTAGCTATAAATATCAAATCCAAAAGTGCAAAAGCGTCAGAACCTCGAGATAACAAAGAATCTAAGAAGTTGCCAAAGAGGCAAGCATTGCCTGCTGAAGGTAGAAGTGTGAAAGATATATCTCAAAGGAGTTCAAGAGGGGCAATGCCATCTAAACAAAATACTTCTAGTAACAGAAAACCAGAATCGTTTAAGCAGAAGGCTTCCAGGCCTACGCCGCCTCCTCTTATAACCAATAATCGTGCCAAAATAGCAGCTCCTTCAGAAAAACTTAGAAAGAAACTTGAAGAAAGAAAGAAACTGAAAGACCTTAGAGAAAGACAAAGGAAACGATACGGTGATTATGATGAAGATGATTATGATGAGGAGGATGATGACTTCATTGTTGATGATGAGGAAGAGGAAGAATACGGCTCAGGATATTCTCGGAGAGGAGAAGATCCAGGCTACGATCGTGACGAGATCTGGGCCATGTTTAATAAAGGAAAAAAGAGAAGATATAATGACGATTATGATGATGAAAGTGATATGGAAGCCACTGGTGCCGATGTGTTTGAAGAAGAAGAACGTTCCTTCAAATATGCTTTGAGAGAAGAAAAGCGTGAAAAGGAGCTTGAAAAGAGAATAGCAAGAGAGAAGGAAGATAGATTGAAAAGATCTAGAAGATGATGCATAAATTAGCTATTTATCATCTGATCTTCGGTTCTATATTTTATAGTAGCATTTTGTTCAGCATTTTATTTTAATACGACTACATTTTCTGTTGCACATGCTTTGATGTAAAAAGTCAAATTAGTATCAGATATCTATTCATAAAATTTATTAGAATGATAGAAATGACATGATGAAAACTCCAAAAGAAGTAAAGAAGAAAAAAAATGAAAATCCTTGTCCCTCAAAACATACAAAACTCACTCAGAGTCACTATATTCAAAATCATACTCTTCTTCTTCTTCTTCTTCTTCTTCTTCTTCTTCTTCCCTATTATTCTCCATCGCTTGGTCTTGATTGGGAATTCCGCTTCCACTTGTAGAGATCTCATCCACCAGTTGTTCAGTAAGACTATTTTCCGACTCAATATTATTCTCTTGACTATTTTCCGACTCAATATCATTCACTTCTGTTTCGTTTTTTCTTTCTGTACATTCAAAACCTTCAACATCGATCGCCGTTTCATATTTCTGTCCTTTAGATTCAAAATCTTCAACATTGATTGCTCTTTCTGAAGTTCTTCCTATATTTGGCATAGTAAGGTCAATTACTTCATCCTCGGGTTGGTATTCAGCTACTCCCTTTGAATAACTAATACTGTCTTGCAAAATATCATTGTTCATGCCACTCCCAGAATCTTCATAAGATTCGTGATTAGAGGGCTCTTGAGTATCATCAACAGCGATCTCTTCATCTAAATCAATTTGCTCGTAGCTTCCCACTTTCTGTTTCCCACCACTAGGTGAAGAAGTATCCTCATCATCTGGATTATACACAAAGTCTTCATCTTCCATTTGTTTTTGGAAATCTTCAAATTGCTTGTCCAAATCTTCATCAACAACATCAGCATCATCATGAATTTTCTGTCCACCGCTTTCATTATTATCATCTAAGAAGAAGCCGCCACCTCCGTCGACTGGGGATTTACTGGGCTCTTGTGGTTCTAAGAAACCACCACCCCCATAAGAATTTTCATTACTATCTTCAGGGAAAAAACCGCCTCCGAAGTCTTCTTGGTGTACGTCACGGGCATTATTACCCTCAAGGAAAAAGCCTCCCTCGACCTGTTTTTTTCCTTCATTTTCGATCTCATCATTCTCAGGGAAAAACCCTCCCTCAAAATCTTCTTCTTCTTCATTAGCAGAACCATTATCCTCAGGGAAAAATTCATCCCCAAAATCCTCCTCTTCCTCGTTTCCATGTTCATTATTATCATTATTAAATTTTGCCCTCTTCTGTTCCCTCCTCTTTCTTAAATCATCTTCCTTCAAGATATTCTGATCCATATCTGTAGGCAAGAAACCCCCACCGCCATATATGTCAGTATCTATAGCCGCATTATTATTATCATCATCATTATCATTATCATTCTCCTTTGCGTAGTCTATTGATTCTTCAAAGTTTTCGTCAGCGTCATCAGAAAGATCCACATTTTCCTCAGGAACTTCCCCGTGTATACGATCCAATCTTTCAACGATTCTGAGCTTGGCGAACACCAATTTCCAAGCCTTTATGCTCTTTGAAGCAGTTTGTTTCCTTTGACGTTCAATATCCTCATCCTTCAAATGCTCACTGACAAGGTTAACCGCCTCTTCGTACTCTTTCGCAACAACAACCCCTCCAACTTTAGGTTTCGTGGAGTTTCTATAACTAAAGCTGAAACCAATCACTGCAGGAGAATAATCAATACCCAAAAGTTTAGAAGACTGAATTGCAAACTTGGATGTAATGAGAACACCTCCTTCTGGTACCATTGAATCAGTGTAAACATCAATATTACCATAAGCGTTTTTAGGAACGACACCATTCTTAATCGGATCGGGTTTGTACAACTCAGTCTGAAACTCTGCGTACAATCTCACAGTGTTATCCTCATTATCTTCCTCATCATTATTCTCTTCCTCATCATCTTTCTTTTTGAAATTGAAAGCCTGGCGAACATTCTTTTTTTTTTTTCTTTTCACTCTCAATGATCTTTCGCCCATTTTAACCATTCTACCTTGGTGAAACCAACCTCTAGCAGATCTCAACTCCTGAACGTGCTGTCTATGATATACTGGAATCGACATTGTGTTTCTCCCATTGGACTTTTGACAAACGTAACCACATGGTTCTTTCGGGTATAAAATCTCATTAGATTTCAATTGAGATTCCAAAACATAAACAGGATGATTTCTAAAGTCCCCGATATTGTTTGGCATGCCTTCTTTGATATTCCTTTGGGTGAAATAATCATCTTCAAGGATATCCACTTCAGATTTCTCATGCTTTATCATCATGCGATCAAAAACTTTATCGTACCATTCTTTTCCTTTGGAATCTCTGGTGATTCTCTTTTTCCTGGTCTTTGAATTGAAATATTTGGCATATCTACGAGTGACGTCTTTCATACTACCAGTTCTATCGAAAGCAATAGCGTATAGCAAATTATTTCTATCATCACTCATTGGAGGCTCTAACTTTGAAACTTTTTGAATATCTTCAATGATCCGAAAATTGATAGGATCTATGGTTATCCATTTTTTTGAATATGGATTCCAGGCCTCGGCCCAAAATACAGGATATGCAGACAAGTTTGGATTTTGCTTCATGATCTTTTCCAAATAAAAGTTTGAAGTTGGATTAACGTCTAGTTTTTTGTTGTGGGTGTCTATGATTTTCTGAAGAAGAGACTTCGAATTGGATTGGAACTTAGGGATTCTGCTCCTAGCCAGTTTAACACCCAGGGGGCTCTTCAGTTTCTTGGTCTTTTTCTTCTTCTTCGTCTGAGAGTTTTCTAGTTCATCATCACTATCATCACTAGAATTATCTTCAGTTTTCACAAGACTGGCGATTGTAAAATCCGGTGGCTGAATACTGAAAACTAATCTTGCCTTTACTTGCACACTTCTTAACAAAGCAACGAACCCTTGACCTCCTATATCTCTATTTCCTGTAAAATTTGACAAGTTATACAAGTACATTTTTTTATTCATCCCTTTTTCTCTAAGCTTTTTCATTTGTTCGCGAAATTTTTCATCCACTGTTTCAATTTCTCCCCAATTTAATTTGAAAATCCCCGTAGGTGACGATATTCTGAATCTTTTCACCCATATTTCCATTAAATGTCTCAAACCATCCAAAAAATACCTTGATTTCACCCCATTGCTCCATTCACGATTCTTAATGCTCGGGTGAAGCTCGGAGTATATATTTTTCGGCACTACACTCGAGTACTGCAATTTCAATTGACTATTGTTTAACCAATTATTACGTTGACGTCCGTACACAAGCATACACACCAAATGCATCATATGAACTTCTCTACGTTGCAAACGATGTTCTTTGCTGATAACGTGGGATTTGGGTTTTCTTGATACTTTTCTGGCTTTGATGGTCACGGAAATTGAATCATTTTGGTTGTATGCATTATTGCTAGTCATGGGCTTTGAGGATGAGACAATTTCCACATCCTCAAAATCATCATCGTCGAATTCCTCATCAGAATCTTCGTCTCCATCAGAATCGCCATCGTCATCGTCAACATCATATACTTCTGAGCCTGGTGTGGTGGGAAATTGTTGCTTAGGCGGTATGCGGTTCGGAGTTTGCGCATCCCGTGGTATACTATTATGAGTTTGTTTCTTTGTCAATTCAACAACCTTCGAGACAGAGGCTCTGGAAGGATGTTGGGACTTTCGTACCATATGTTTCTTTGGGTCTTTCCTCTGTTCAAGTTTGATATTTGACGTTGTTTGTTGGGCTGGGCTTGCTTTCCTCTGCCTTCGAGGCCTCTTCAATGATCCCGCATTTTTAGACTCTGATTGTAAATAATCAGCCATCAATTCATAGTAAGCTCTATTAGAATTGTCTTTCAGGACATCATTGTTTGGAGATGGCATCGGAGATGATATAATGGTTGTTATTTCTTTCGTTTTATCTCTTCAAAGGATGAATTGAGATGGAGCGATGAGATGGTTGATTTATTTTTCATGCAAAAGGAAAAAAAAAAAAAAAAAAAATCAAAATTCAAAAATCAAAATTCAAAAATATTTCTGCGAATTTTCGTGGGGATCTTTAAAAGTATCTTTTAGGATAAAAACGGTCAAAGGAACATTGTGCAGAGGAGTTTACTAGGTATAAGATTAGACCAAGTGAAGAAATTGAAATGCTATGACCTTGAGAAATGTTCTGCTCCTTAACATCACATTTGGCATTGGTAAGGAGAGTACCCATTCTGGTACCGCGACTACTTCCCTATAGATCACTATCAACAGAATCGCCCAAGAATCTATTGGCGACAGACAAAAAGCTAGACAATGTTCCTTACATGGACAATTGCATGTTAATGAGAAGTAAATCCTCACAAATATCTCGTGTTCTTCGGAAAAAGAGATATCAAGATGAAAATCTTTTGAGCGTCCGCTACAATGTCATTGGATTCACACATCGAATAATGAAAAGTTACAATATTAATCAAAAACCTGAAAAGCTTAACCAAGATGATCTCCAGACTTCCAGTGTTGATGACAATGTTGAGGCGGCGTTGAAAGTATCGTCAATGAATCACCATTATTATATGGCAAATATGTTATTTGGAATATTATACACTCTCCATTTTGGCCTTCTCGCACAGTATGGGCATATCTCCAAAAAGGATTCGTTGAAGCAAGTCCAGCGGCTTTTGACAATTCAAACAGGACATGGGAAAAGTTCGAAATTACTGTGGATTCCTACGATGTTGCAACACCACAAAGAAATAGACATCAACACTCTGGATTTAGATTCAGCTGTTGTCACATTAACAAACTTATATGTCACTGGGAACATTACGAAATATGAAGAAAAACAGCAAGGAGAGCAATCAATCTGGGTAGAATCAACCAATGTTGAGAATATTTCCAACAATAGCCCAGTATTAATGGAGAAAGAATTTAGTGATATATTGAAAGAACTTTTAATTTTTTTTATGAAACTCAATGATCTTCATTACAACAAACAATACACCCTTGATGATTTGACATTATGGATCTCCTCTATTTCCAAAAAAACAGTAAAAGAATCTTGGGGAGTACTTCAGGGACAGGCGGTTCCCCCGGAGTTTATTTTACTCGATGTGATTTTTAAAAATTCAGCAACCACAAAGGAATTAAACATATGCGTTAATATATTCAAGAAATTTTTTAAACAATTCCACCAGAAAACTTCCACATATGTGTTTTTTTATCTAGTGGGCTTATATCAAATGATTGATTACACGGTTGTGTTACCAGTGGTGAAAACTTTTTTAGACAAGTTTCAAAAAATCTCAATTCCTTATAATTGTCAGCATCCTGGTTATAATGATGCGTCGTACCTCCTAATGAATGGATTGGACTGGTCGTACCAGAATACACGGGGACTGACACAAAATCAACAAGATACCATCGAAATTTACGTTTTGAACATGATGTTGTGGAAATTATCCGACTCCAGCATTAGAAATCGATCAAAATATTATCACTTAGAAATGATCAGATCGCAAAACTTCATCATTGAATTTCTATCAAAAACTCCAAAAACATATATCCATGACTACCCTGATGGCTCTTCCACTGCAGATGATACCATTGATACCTTACAAAAAAATCTTAACATTTTAGGAAATTTGGGATTGGTCAATGCATTGGTCAACATTTCACAACCAACCGCAAGAAAATCATTGGATATGGTAGAAGCAAAATACATCCGGCCTTTTATGGAAAACTTATCAAAATGGAAAGACACAACCCCGTTGAAGGAATTAATCAAGAACGATGCTGGTATGAAATATAAGATTTATCAACTCCTATCAAGGTTTTATTATATCAAGCTTCGAAACTGCAGAAATGAATCTGAGTTAATCAATGTTTTCAATGAAGTATTGAACTTCAACCAATATCATAAAGATTTGAATTGGTTACCCAATCCGATAAATCGATCGGCGTTGATCTGGAGAGGGTTTATAATGAAGCTAGAGGAATTGAGGATATTAACGCAACCAAGAGTTGTGGCGTTAATCACCAAAATTATCAATAATGAATTTGGCTTAAAATCAGCTAATTTTCAGATTCTTGAACTTTTGATGAGAAAAAACAATGATTATCAAGTACTTCAAGAATTTGTTAACAATTTGAGTTCTCGAGGGTTGATGAATTCTCAAATCACTACTGGTTTCATTGTGAAATTGTATCGACATGCTATTAATAAGAAAGTCCATGGATTGCAGAATGTCAGTTTAGAACTAACTGGGTGCGATGACATATTGAGTTATGTCCGATCTATTGTCAACTCTATGAATGAGTTGAATGTTCCAATCATCGGTGAAGTCTTATATCACGAAGCAAGTATACAACCAAAGAATATTTACAGCCTTTACACACACTATTTGAAGAGGAACGGTGATGAGAAATATTCACTTTCACCCAACAAAAGCTGTATCAAGTCACTATTGGTTGCCGCATTGAAAGAAAAGTATTTGGTTTGGGACAACAAATATGCAGTACAGATTGCAATTGCCGAATTCAAACGATGGATGACCCCCTCACTGAGTGATAAATACATTACACCTGATAAGACAACTTGGCATTTATATCTTGCCCTTCTACATGACTATAATTATCAAACAGAATTGATGGATGTGATTGGTTTATGGGAAGCTATGAGATACGTTCCAACAAAGGCACTATTGGTGAAATATTTATCCTTACTACCCAACGATGTTAGTGATAGAATCATTAAGTTTGGCCAGGAAGCCATTATGGAGGAGAGGAAGAATGATGAAAATAAATTGACATTACAGAATGATGACTGTGGAGGATTTTTAGAAGATTTTGGTTTTATGGAGAACGAGCGTAGTTCTAACGAGCTACCAAAAGATAAGATAATGCCATCACCACTTGATAAGCACACACAACCTATAGAATATCAAAGAAAAAGATGGTGCAAAGAGCACGATATTTACGTTCCTTTCAATTATGATTATTCCACAAAAATGTGGCCATGGCCGTCGAAGAAAGCGGTAATGAATTCAAAAAAATCTTTGAGATTAGTTGGGTTGATTTGAGTCTCCGGGCAAAGAGAAACAACACTTATGATGTATTATATTTTTTTAAAAAAAAAAATTGTATTTTTAGTTATTGTAAATAGATCACCTTGAACAATGTACAAAATTCTGTTTCATTCAGTACTAACAAGTGGTGTATATTGCTTGTAAATGCTCTCTTTTAAAGACATGTCAAAATGTCAACATTCAGAATCTGTTGGCAATCAATGAACCTAATTATATAGTCAAGTCACCCACCAGGGATCAGCCATAATAGCTACTGGGCCAAATGAAAAGATGAGTCAGCTTTACAATCAAAACATTAAAGAGTAGTCATGAGAATTATACTATATAAAAAAGTATGAGGGAAAAAAATCAAAGCCGGAAAAATTTTTTTTTATTGAATAATACATAAGACAATCAAAAAATTTATTTCTTAGCCTTCTTAGCTTTCTTGCTCTTCTTGGCTTCAGCAGCGGCTTCCTTAGCAGATTGTTCCTTGATAACTCTCTTAACAATCTTTTGTTCTTCAATCAAGAAAGCTCTGACAATTCTTTCCTTGACAGCGTTAGCGGATCTGGAACCACCGTAAGCTCTGGAAACGGTCTTGTGAGTCTTGGAAACGTTAGCATATTGTCTTGGTCTGAGAGCAGAGATACCCTTCAATGGAACACCAGTGTCACCACACTTTGGGATGGTACCGGTCTTCTTGACGTGTTGAGCCTTCAAGATACCACCTGGGGTCTTAACAACCTTGACTTGGTTGGAACGAGTGTTGTCTAAAGAAATAAACCAGTTAGTATATAAACCCTAATGTTTTGCGATTGAGGAGTCCTTGAATGAACGAGTAGTTAACGAAACAGTGATTGGAATATCTTTTTTTCTCTCCAGTCACACATAATTCACCTAAGGCACATTCTTGAAAAGACGATACGTTTAAGGTTGTAGGTTATATCCACACAATTTGCTCTTCCAATAGTCTATGGTTTTGTGATATCCACTACGGATACAGACAGCCCTCTTTTGAGATATTTCAAAAATATTCAAGATTCCACTTCACCCATCAAAAACAATACCATTTGGATTCCATATTGTGATTCCCTTTAGAAATGAAATGATATTAATTCATTTTTTATCCCAATATATGTCCAGGATTCTTTAATTGACCTCAATGATAGAAAAAATAATCCCACTTTATTATCCATCACAGTCATTTGATATCTGAATATTGTATTCCGATAAATATGATCATCTTATCCCAACTCTTTAAAAGAACAATATTAAATTTGTTTCTGTGCTAATACAATCCAATATATCAAGAAAAGCTATTCCATAATCCAGTAAATTTTCGCAAAACCCCCCCATTCATCGCAAGGAACGAACTCCCGATACTAACAATCATTTAGCCCATGAGCTTTAGATATTGGCTGAATACATACATGGATTTCTCTTTCTGAAGGTGATTCTTTGAGCCATCTTGAATACTGTGTTTTTACCTACTTTGTTCAAAAGATTGATTCAAACTGCAAAATAAATTTTTCAATATAAAAAATTTTTTGTTTCCACAACCAACCCTCAGTGCTCACCAACACAGTAACGATCGAGAGTGTGCGCGGTGGCCAGGGCAGCTAGGCTGGAATAGACGTTACCCGTCTGGTAGAGGAAAAACGATGCACCCATACATCAGAGGACTTTCCTCTTTTGGATGTGACTGTGACTTTTCCCGTGCGCTTGTAAGGGAAGTATACCTGAACGGCGGGTACGATGATCTGCACCATGCCAACATGCATGGGCAACTGCCCTGACAACATGCTAGCACTAGGAGCCAGTTTAACAAATGCTATTGTTGCTGTCGATCTCATTTATTAACTTTATTTATTTGCTTTTCCCTTTAGATCTTCTTTTTTTCTACAACCCTCCAGCTATTTGGCCCTGATTCAATTGCCAAATTAAAATTGTGATCAATTCGCGATCATTTTTGGGAACCTAGTAGTAAGAATCTGGTATAAATGATATATTTGAAGTCCTAAAACGTCCAACATAATTCTCTGTCTTCTAAAGAGGGAGAGAGAGAGAGAGAGAGAAAAAAAAAATCATGTAAAATTTCCAAGAGCAACTTTAATGAAAACATGGGTTTGTAGGATGTATATAGCACCGTAATATAAAAAAACTTAAACTAAACTTCCACAAATTCGGTAATAACCATCAAATTTGCCAATACCACCGCAATAAACACCAGCCAAACCCATACATAGTGATGTAATGGAGCTGGATAAATTCTACCAGCCAAGAAGATAATGGAAATTGTCACAAGGAAAAACGCTATTATCAAGCCAAACACCAACAGAAACATGATCAAAAGATATGACGTGTGGGAGTATTCAAAATCTGGATTCAAGATTATTGAGTAATTTATTCCGAGAGATGAACCGGTGATAATAGCTGCAATTGTAGGTAAGACAAAATACAAGAATGTGGCAATGATATCATGGTTATGCGCTCTTTCTAATTCAGGGTCAGCAAATGATCTATGGATATTGGTATTGTCGTTATCATTATGCAACTTATTGGAATGATAATTATTACTCACGGATCCATAACCATTGTTACCGTTAGCCGACCCGTACATTCCAGCACCAATAGATTGTTCCTCGTCTGAATTATCAGAAACACTGTACATATCATGAGTACTGGCCAGGCTTCTTCCGTAGTCGCCATGACCTGGCAACAAAGAATCCTGTTCATTATAAACTGATACTCTATTATTACCGGTTTTGTTTATCTTCTTACTGATTGACGATTGCAAAGAGGTGATTCCTGTGCTAATACTTGTTGACAAATTCAATAAAAAATCAATAATCGATTCAGATATCAATATACCGCGAGGCTCATCCTGGTAGAACCCATTATTCACATCAAAACCTCCACTACCCCATTCTTCTGGATTGTCATCAAATTCGTTCCAGTACCGCTGCTTGCCAATCTGGTTTGGATGACGTCTATCAAGAGAAGAAATTCTGTTGAATCGCTGCTTGTTTGCATCCAATGATCCATGTCCCTCCAACAGTTTTTGTTGTTCGCGTTGAAGCTTCACCATAAGATCTTTCTTTTGATTTGTTCTGAATAGTCGGTTTTCAATCACTGCATCCAACTTGAACTTCCGACTAGTAATTTTATGGAACCAATCTAAATCGTAAACAAGTTCTTCATTTCCATCTTTGTAAACAACATTTTCCTCTTGCTGGTCTCCATTTCCACCCACGACGCCAAATACCAATAGTGAATAAATAAAAGGACTAAAACTAGGAACTTCATACAAATAGTTGGAGTTCACTAAAGTTTTGATAATATCATCAAATTGAACATCAGTGTCCCAGTTGATTTCGAGCAAAGAATAACCAAAGAGACAAGTATTTTTCTTGTGGTCCAAAGAACTTCGCTCATCCTGAAACTTAACATTGCAATATAGAGTCATGTAGAAATTTGCAATGTCATCAAGTTTCGGGTGTTTCAACTTGTAATTGTAACGCTCTTTCGTAGTCTGGAAACATGAATAATTGTAAACTTGTTGATTGAATAACTGCTGAAACTCTTTAAACTTGGCCTTATCACCATGGAAATATTCATTGATTTCCTGAGTGATCAGTGTGAGATCTTGAGCATCAAGCAATTTTTTGGCAAGATCAGGAGTGTTCAACAATTTCAATACTTGGCGATCCAATCGAATATCAGAAACTTTTCCTAAAAACCCACTGGTCCCCATCGCCAAGATTGAGTTGTCTAATGAGGAATCATACACGTATACTGGTTTTGAAGAACCCAAATGATTAGATTGTATTTCAGAGTGAAAGAAGTAGCACATCTGAGGGCTCCCTGATAAACATTCATCAGCGTCAAGTCGTGAATCTTTTTCTTCTCTTTTATTATCATTAATAATGTTAGCTTTCATATATTTTTTGGATTCAACCTTGTTTCCATCAAAGTTTTCCTCTTCATTCAGTTTGGAGCCAAAAGTATTCATAATTTTCTTTATTAATTGACCAATTCTTTCTTGCTGCTCGGCAACATCCCCTGTTGTGTGGCCAATTTTTTGAAACATGGAATCTAACAAAAACCGCACCTCATAAATATATTGATTTGATACTAAGAACCAAGCTGAATTCCCACATTTTGTCGATGCCACATCAAATTCTGATTCATTAATCCTCGATTTTGACTCATTACCTATGGCCAACAAGCGTAATTGGTCAGCAGGAATCAAGTGTTTTCCCAAGTTATTAAGTTGATACATATAGTTCAATTGGTTTGTATTGTACACCAATCCACGTTGGTCAAATACACATCGAGCTAATTCCAGTATTGAGTCATAAATTCCAAAATTCAAACTTGAAATTCGTAGGATTTCGTGAATTACAAGATATGCGCTTGAGAGATCAAGGGTCCAAAATTTCATGGCCGATGATGAGAGAGAAACTAAGGTTAAGAAGGAATCATGAACTAAGGGTATAGTATTGAGAGGAGTTTCAACGTTCAAGAGCGGATTGGAAGCATCCTTGGGACTAGTAGTTGGCGCATCAATGCAAATGACTGTATCATTCAGCAAACTTGTGTTAATTTTTCCGAAATACATAAACTCGCGCTCATAAACTGTACAACCAACGATTTGTGTAATGATAGCCTCGTCAAATTCAGCAACCCCGAAAAAGTTTTCAAAAATTGTTTTAAAAATGTCATAACGTTCATCAAAGGATAATAATAAATCTGATTGAGAGTTCTTCAAAAAATTTTGGTCTATTATTATATTGGTATTATTATCGTTGGCTGAAGGAACATTAAAGCTATCACTTCTAAGTTGGGTTCTCCCGGTTACAAGATAAAGTGCATCAACATAATTTATCAAACTCTCATCACTATCATTCAAATCATTGTTTTCAGAAGAATGGTAATATTTTCCAACTTTGCTCAGCTTAAGAATTGACTTGTTTAAAAAATAACATACATGAAACAACACCGATTTTTGGAAATGAATGAATTTTTTCAATGATAAGAATAGGTCATTTTTGAACTCATCGACTTTATTATGTAGCTTGGTATTATTATTATTGATAGTTTCCAAATTCCTCGCTACCACGTCCAAATTCAATAATTTAATACCTTCAGTATTCAAGCATGGGATGCCTTGATTATTGCCATTACCATCATTGATGTCTGGATTGTTCTTGATTTCATTTAGCTCCGATAAAAAGGAATTATTGGCCTTTGTCTCAAGATATAAATTTTTGTGGTACTCACTGAGCTTTTTATTGATATTGATCACTTCCGTGATAATGTTCTTATGATTTCTTTTGAAGTTGTTGCTATTGGATTGAAAATTCTTGACCAATTCGAGATATTTCAAATTGATGAATAGATCAACTGTCTTCAATACTTTGACGAACGAACTAAGAAATTGCATCACCGCCTTGGTTTTCTGCTCCTTATACGATTCAGTCAACTGTTTCAACTTGTCCTGAAGAATTACTGATCTTTCGATAGCCTTGAGCTCATCGACTTCGCCCTCTTCATCAAATTGCTCTTCATCATCTCCATTGCTTAGGCTTATACTAGATAAGTTATAGCTAGAATTGGTGCTTGATGAACTAAAAGAGCTGCTCATCACATCCTCGTTCTCCTGAGAGTCACGTTTGAACTGACAGGTTTGGGCATTTGAATTCAAATTAGAGACTGAGGCCAAAGAGTCATCAAAAATAGCAGGGTTATTGATCAAAGCTTTCGAAGATGATTTGAGGAGTTGTGATACTTTTGACTGGTAACTCTCATGGATACTTGCCAATATCTTGACTAATTTGGCGATGTCCAACTTTAACTGGGTGTGATCGATACCATAATTCTTCCAACTGTCCACGGGGCACTGTTTAAGCTCCGATGCCTTTAGGACCATATTGCAATGATTTTGGAAGATATTTTGAGTGTTAATGATAATAAGCTGTCTCGGCTAGTAATAAATGTCAAATTAAAAAAAGAAAAAAAAATTGTATGAGGTCGCACGACTGGGATTATATTTGTTGCATCCTCGGATGGCTGGTTTAGCACGTGGGAGACCCTATCTTATCACTATAGGGGCTGGTACGGATTATCCGTATTATACTATACATAACATACTATATGATATTTACTATGATCAATATGTGTCCAATAGGACGGCAAGAAACACATTGCGCTTGTACAAAAACCCACGTTTGCCAACGCATGGAATTATTTATATATATTAGATGGGATTTGACATGTACAATAGTTGTCACTTGGTAATAGCATTTTTTTTTTCTCCTGACCGAGCCGAATTCAATTATTTGCGACAATTGGCTATCTGGAACTTCTAATACTGCATATTTATATAAATATATATGATACAGTGTTTTCATTTTTTATTCGTACCAACCACCGGAAATGTTCATACCAGTGGCAAAAAATAATTCATACCGACCCCCGGTATTTTTCGTACCACCGCAGCGGGATTTATTCAGACCATCTAAGAAAAATAGTTCATACTATTGCACTTTAATTATTCATACCAACAGAATACAAAATTCATACTAAATGCATAAAATTCTTATGCTTTCATTAATATTTTATCTTTGATATTATTAAACATGTTACAGGGGACCCGCACACCCAATAAAGCCCCTTTGCAATACTCATTTACCATTTCAAAGGCTCATAACCAAATTTTGGAGTGGTTTCGTCCTTCCTTAAAATTTTAAATTTTCATTAATTTGTTTTGGAGCTTTGTTGCGTCTTTATGTAATTTTTTTTATAGTTTTTACTTTTTTTTTTTTGGTTTGTTTTCTGTATTTTGTTTTCTAATTTTTTTTCTTCATCTTTGGTATTTGTTTTCAAAAGAGCTGCTGTTGTAAACAGAGATCAATATGTCTAGAAGCATGTCTGCAGAATCCCTTGTAACTATCAAGGGAAATATTTTCTGTGGCTTCTTTCACCCTTGGAGTTAATTGCTCCTTCTTGCTCAAGTTTGATCTTTTGACTTTACTCTTACATACTGACCAGAATTCTTCTATAGCATTCAACCCTGGAGAATAAGGAGGTAAAAACACAAGTTCCAAGCCACTCAGTGCCACTAGTAACTGAAGATCACGTCGTTTATGAATGGCAGCATTATCAAGGATCAAATATTTCATACCTTTGAGCTCCTCGTTATTTTCTATTTGCTGGATCACTGACTTTACAAAACTGTAGAAGTGATTAGCTGTAGTACCTTTACTCACTTTGTCAATGGTCGTTTCTGAATCAAGTTTTCTCTTCTTATTGGATGTAGCCACTGGAGTTCTGACCTTTAATTCAATACAACCTTTGACAGAAATTGCCCCAATGAACGAAATATTAAGCCCTCTGGTTACGGGAACAGTAAGAACTGCTTTTTCACCCACAGCAGACCATCCATACTCACGCCGCATACTGATATTGAAACCTGCTTCGTCGATGAAAATACAGTTTTGACTAAAGTCGAGCTTGTCTTTATACTTCTCTGCCCACTCGAGTCTCTGTTTCTTCAATTCCTCCAGACTTCTTCTCAAAGCCCATTTAGAAATACGTTTGAGACTTAGCTTACAGACCTTGGTTACAAAGTTATAGATTGTTGTAGCCTTGGCTCTTACATTGGTGAAGGCTTTCTTGAGTCTCTCCAACATAAAATCGAGAGTCACTGTAGCATCTTCCTTTATCAATTTTTGAAGGAATTCCTTATGTTCATCAGTGAGAAGGGGTTTACGACCTCTTTTCTTTATTGGCTTCGAGATACCATTTAATTCATTGACAAGTATTTTGTTCCACTTTCTTTTCCATGTGTAAGCAGTTTGCAAAGGTATATCTTCTAATTTTGCAGCCTTGTAAGCTGATACACCTTCTTCCATGACCAAGTGCCAAAATCTTTGTTTGACAGCTTGATTATAATACCGGTACGAACCTCTATATCTTCGTTCTTTCATTTCAATTTCCATCTCGGCATTTTCTTCTTCTTCGAAAATAGGATCAATTTCCATGATATCCATGATACCTGGTTTTTCAAAATGCTTATAGTCACTGTAACTAAAGCAAGCTTCAACTGGTGCTATTTCAGACTCTAAAGTCATTTCACTGGGTTCAGCATAGAATCTATTACCTAGGCCATCAACATACCCATCAGTTAGTAGCTTGGCTTTCAAGTCCATACTTAGTTTTGATGGTAAAATCTTATGCTTTTTTTTGTAAGTAATCTGGTGATCATATAAAGACCGAATTGAATGTCAAAAGTGGGAATTCATCATCTTAAATGGAGAACAGCTCCTACCATACATTCGTTCCCATTTCTTGAAAACCGTAATCACGTGATATTATTGATATTATTATAGATATCCCGGTTTTATAGAAAGTAGCACAGAATTATGGAAAAAATGAGTATAATTTGTTTAAACTGAGTAGCTTAGAGGCTTATAGAGCCAGTCACATAAAAAAAGAAAGGAATTAATATGAATTTTATATACTGTTGGTATGAATAATTAAAGTGCAATAGTATGAACTATTTTTCTTAGATGGTCTGAATAAATCCCGCTGCGGTGGTACGAAAAATACCGGGGGTCGGTATGAATTATTTTTTGCCACTGGTATGAACATTTCCGGTGGGTGGTACGAATAAAAAATGAAAACACTGTATGCGTGTGTTTACTTATTGTTAATACATCAGTACTTTATATTATTATTGGTGGTGGTGATACAGTCTAAATTGCACAACCTGTCAAAAAGATTATCTGCAAGCCAACTTGGCTTATGTAAGCACCACCATGAAAAGGCATATCTTTTGTTGTGCCACCAGCACCAATTTATTTCCATAGTGTTCCAGTGATGTAATAACGATAACAACGTTATCGTCTTGTCTGTGTATATAATATTCCCCTAAATGCAGTGCTTCCTATATTCCTATGGTACGATAAGTGGGTGAACGGCTGTTGTGTAGTACTTATGCGAATACAAATCTTCACCACTCCACCGGCTTTTAATTTGTTGCCATGCAGTATAAATATATCGCTTGACCGCCCATCCACCTGATGACTTTTATTCAGTCACAAACAAGCCATCTTCCTCAACTTATTTCATAAACTTATTTACATATTATTTCACCAACACTTCCATTTACCACAATGAAGGGCCTCCTTTTTTACGATAAGAATGACATCAAATTCTCCAACGATGTCAAAGAACCAAAAATCAAAGTTCCCGATGAATTGATCATCGACATTGCTTACTGTGGGATTTGTGGGTCTGATCTTCACGAATACTTGGACGGGCCAATTTTCTTCAAGAAGGCCAGTACCGGCGGTGATGAATTATCAAACGAAAAACTCCCGTTATGTCTCGGACATGAATTCTCCGGAACTGTCAGAGAAATCGGCGCCGGTGTCACCACCTTGAAACCAGGTGACCACGTTGTTGTCGAAGCTGGGGCTACATGTGCTGATAGAAGAAGATTCCCTAGTAATAATCCAAGAATTAACACTGCTACCTGTGATGCTTGTATAGCCGGAAGACCAAACGTTTGCCATTACTTGAACTTCTGTGGCTTGGGTTTTTCGGATGGAGGTTTAAGTGAACGGGTGGTCACCAGTGAGAAACATGCCATTCCAATCCCTAAATCCATTCCGATGGACATTGCCGCCCTCATTGAGCCACTTAGTGTTGCTTGGCATGCTGTTAGACTCTCTGGTTTGAGAGAAGGTGATTCTGCCGTGGTTTTGGGTTCTGGCCCAATTGGTCTCGCTACAGTATTGGCCTTACAAGGGCATAAGGCCGGTAAGATTGTCGTTAGTGAACCAGCAGAAGTTAGACGTTTGCAAGCCGCCAACTTCGGGGTGGAAACATTCAATCCTTTTGAATACAAATCTCTTCAAGAAGGTATCGATGCCTTGAAAGCCACCGCAGGAACTGGGGGATTCCAATATTCTTTTGATGCCTCAGGGGTCCAAGCATCTCTTGACACCTCCATCGGTGTCCTTGCCGCTGGTGGTAAAGCTACCAATATTGCCATTTGGCCAGATGTGAACAAGAACTTCAAACCAATGTCTGTAACTTTAGAAGAAAAATCCTACTGTGGTTCTATGTGTTACACAAGACTTGATTTTGAACAAGTGATCGAGGCAATCCACACTGGAAACATTGACATGAAAAATATTGCACAATTGATTACTGGAAAGGTCAAGCTTGAAGATGCCGTTGAAAAGGGTTTCAAAGAATTGATTAATAACAAAGACCATAATATCAAGATTTTAATTACTCCTCGTGATATTTAGGTTAACTTGCCCCCCTTTTTTTCTGTTATTTTGTTGAGGTTTGATTATTTTAACTTATTCATATTTTGTTGTTCTCATTGCTTTTGTGATTTTAGTTTTTTTCCCTTGACTATCGTGTTGAATGTACTAATAATGTTTTCTTACTGCTTTTCTTTCTCTGTCTGTTCTTTTTATAGTACATGTTTATAGTCTCTATTTTCCTCATTTTGAGTGAAAGAGAAAAAGAGAATTGCTCCAATCTATTGAAAAGAATTATCATGTAAATGCAATAATGTTCATATCCATTTATCTAAATGAGTGATAGGAGATCACCTGTTCATGAGGAGTCCATAACTCGGCATTTCATTGGTTATCTCAATATGACCAAATAGTACTTAAATAATTATTTCATAGGCACATACTTGTCCTATATGATTATATAATTGGTATTATTCCATTATCACTGATAATTTTTTAGATTGTTACAATTTCATTCCTGTCAGTACTGTGTGACTATAAATAACGAATGACGGTGGTAAAACCTAGTCAATGTGCTGTTTGTACTAATATCAGATGTTCGTCGTCTTAATTAAGGTGAATGTTCATTTAATAACAGAAACTTGAACGTATGAACAACGAAAGAACGTGAATATTAGATATGAGAAAGAAATAACATAAGGATTCTAAACATTATCAAGACTTTCTTTTTCTCTTCATCCATTGAGGAGTCTTGTGAATACAGTAGTGATAGTTTCTCGTCAATTGTGATATCCTTGATCAAAACCAACAATAAGAATAGCATCGCATTAAGCGTAAAGTTCAAATACAAAAAACGTTTCTGAATTTATGGAAAAGGACCGTATTTAAGCTTTGAGACCTAATCCACAGATAATAATAGGCGCAGTGTTGAATTACTAGCTGACGATCATGGAACGAACTACCAACGCAATCTCAATGGAAAAATTTTGACCCAGGCAAGTGATGTAGAATTGCCATGAGTATATTGATAGTGTTGGAAAAAGTATGCTATGAATGATGTATAACACAAGACTAAACTAAACAGCAATGGCACGAAATTCTTTAGCTGTAAAATCTCAAGAAATAGTCGACATACAGTCTTCACGAGTTTGTTTGGATAACAGCATCAGTAATGATGCATTATAGGGATGGGGAGTGTTTTCTGACCTTAGAATTTAAAAGAATGTAGTCATGTAAACTATGGCAGAGTTACAAGCATTTACAGTTTCGGTCAATCCAAAAATTATCAACAATAATTCAAGTACAAGAATTCCTAGGAAAGTTCAGATTGTGCAATTTCCAATTATCATAAGCAATATCTCTGTCTACTGAATTGAGGTTGGGCCATAAAACAACAACATCAAGGGAATGAGTTATGAAAGAAATTGCCAAACTCAGATGATATTGGACATTTTCCCAAATACGGTTATGAACGCTCCCAATGTGAGAGCGTGAGCAAATAGAGCCCAAAAAATAGGATATATAAATATTTTGAGTTCTATTTGAAGCGATTCCCGGGTGATAATTGTTACTTACCAAACATGGTTCTATAGGAAGCCCAATTATAACTAAGGTGTACACAAAACAGCAACTGCAACCTCTGCTGTTTTGACTCACAGATTCACCGGAGATAGAAGAGGTTTTGATCAGCATGGCATACAAGGGGCAACGGATAATGAAGATAATACTACTAATAAAATGAAAATAATTTGAAGATACTAGTGAATATCGCAAGAAGAATATTACGCTAAAATTCTAGGAATAAAGATTAAATATTGTACGTTTATTCATGCGTTGATAACAAAACCCATTCGTCGATGTGCTCGCCGACTTTGACAATCTCTGAGATATGCTAGAGATTGGCCTGCTGTTCTGTAAAGAAAGAAAAATATCTCTTGAAAGTAACCATAGGATGAAGATATGATGAGAGTATCCAATAGGTGAATAAGCATATTATGTATATATCTTGATACTCCTCCAGTTTTGGGTGATATTGCGCTGACATTTAAGAACTGACCCCCGGAATTAAAAGGAGTTATCGGAAAAGACAAAAAAAAACATGTCAGAATTTGGCAGTGCGCGCAATGAGTACAGGTGGATATATACAATCATATTAATTATGCTTCTTAAAAGAACGAGAGGGAGAAAAAAGGACAACTATAACGTAGTCAACCGATATCTAGTAGAAATTAATCTTGAAAGTTGTATATCTGCATTAGGAAGGTGTCCATTGCATAGTTCAACCTCATAATGCCATGATTTCACTTTGTATTGGAATTTACACGAGCCACCTGCTAGATCATGGTCATAATAGTCGCTGCGTCACCTCATAATAACTCTATAGGACTAGCTTACTACGTATAACCTTTTCCCGAGTGAAAAGAAGACGGCTTCTTGGCACAATAAAGGCCAATTAACCCAAGCCGTTGGCTGTGAAGAATACAACCTTGATAGATTCTAAAGAGTTCACTAATTTTGATGTTATCACCTCCCTCTTCCGCCCTGATAAGATTGTTGTTTGGGTCACATGATGATATACAGGGCAGATACAACAATGCGCGTGCGCACATCGCACTGGGACTTAGTGACTCTGTGTGACCATCTGACACGTGAGTAGCACGCCTCTCTCGGTAACTCAGTATCGCACAAACATCCCACGTCGAACAATCGTTACCCAATTCTGTGAGGGAGGGAAAAGTAAAAAAAAAAAAAAGTCTTGATCAATATAGACTTGCAACCAAAAAATTATAGTCGACGGATTGAATTTTTGTTTAATTTATCAGATAAAATAACATCAAAAATGGCTACTCAAGTTGTATGTGAAAATTAAAAATGAACAAGGCTCTACATAGAGCCGAGTAATATCAAGGGGAATACTGCTTATAATGATGATGATAATTAATTGTGGATGAGATGGCGATGATGAATAATAATCATGGAATGAATACTTGCAATGAAGAGATTTAATAATATATTTAAAAGTATTAAAATGTGAAAGGTTCTCAACAAAATACAGCTTCAGAAGTAATATCAAAAAAGATGAGTAATTAAATTATTATGAATATTCCATATGTGAATGAAAAATTTATATGAAGGGTCTATATGAATAATAATATTATATTCAAGAGATATTAAATTGGGAATAATGTCATAAATGAGTTTAAAAGAATACAGTTTTTGGTCTGAGTAATAGGAACCATTATTATCATGAAGAAAGTATCATCCAATAAAATACAAGAGAACTTCCATCTAATTAGATCTTGGTTTCCTCGAGGATTCCTCGATTATATCAATGAAATTTATAACTTTGAGAATCATAATCACTTGAGAACAGGGAAGTCCATTTATTATTATCATCATCACGATTATTGAAGCATTATTTTTTTTCCTAAATTTATTCTAGTTATATTTTTGATATAATAATACTAACAAGACTTTAGGCACCAAAATGGTATCCTGCTGAAGATGCTCCAATTGCCAAGAAGACCAGAAAGAGTATTCAACCACAAAAGTTGAGATCTACTTTGGTTCCAGGTACTGTTTTGATTTTGTTGTCTGGTAACTTCAGAGGTAAGAGAGTTGTTTACTTGAAGGCTTTGGAAGACAACACTTTGTTGGTCTCTGGTCCATTCAAGGTCAATGGTGTTCCATTGAGAAGAGTCAACGCTCGTTACGTCATTGCTACCTCTACCAAGGTCGATGTCTCCTCTGTCGATGTTTCTAAGTTCGATGTTAAATACTTTGCTAAGGACAAGGCTGCCAAGAAGTCCAAGAAGACTGAAGCTGAATTGTTCGAAGAAAAGGACTCCAAAAAGGCTGTTAACCCAGAAAGAGTTGCCGACCAAAAGAAGGTTGACTCTGCTTTGATCTCTGCTATCAAGCAAACCCCATTGTTGAAACAATACTTGGCTTCTTCTTTCACTCTCAAGAAGGGTGACAAGCCACACTTGTTGAAATTTTAAATTTATTTGATTAGGGTATATGTTATTTTTATTAAATCAAATTAATTTATATTTTTTGTTCATGTTATTAAAATCGTTGTAGAATCTTTTGACATGAATTTGGTACCTCTTTTGGAGATCAAAGACATATTTGCATACCACCCAAACAAACTTGATATGGTGGCTAACCTCTATTTGTTTTTCCTTATTATATATACATTTTTTCTTCCTGTTTTATTGTTGGGTCTGAGAATTATATTATAAGCTTTCTTATTATTACTGATAAACAAAGATAGTATAGGTACATATGTGTGTTATGACTAACATGCAACTCCAATATAAGTGAAATCTAAGATGCATGCCACAATAACTATAAGACATGATTCTTTTAAAATATATCACCATCAACTAAAAGAGAAACAATTCCAAGCACTTTCTAAACGACTACAGTTTTCTTTATTTATCATTTATATAAAAATTTATTTTCAAACTGGACTCTTTAACCAGAAAAAATATATATATAGATATACAACGATAAAAAAAAATAGTACAATATATAAAATGATTCAAATCAAATAAATGACACTGAGGGAAAAAAAAAAAAAGATAATAAAAGGGTAATGATTAAATGACAAAATAAAACGCTAGACAAAAAATAACAACAGCAGTTAGAATTAAAAAATAGAAACTAAGTCAGTTGATATTTTTGCTTAGAATTCATCGTCAGATGAAACATAGGCGTCACCCAATTCCTTCTTCTTCTTCATTCTTTCCTTCTTCTTCTTTCTCATTTCAGCACTACTCAACTTCTTCTTCTTCTTGACAGCAGCAATCTTGTTACCCATGGCATCAAACTTGTCTTCTTCATCTTCCTTCTTTTCAATTCTTGGACCAGCACCTTGACCTTGGACCCAGTTGTGACCAGATGGGGTCATAGTACCGTTAAGAACAGCCCAGACTTCTTCAGTCAAGTGCTTGGTGAATTCAGCAGAGTGAGTAATGATAACAACACCACCGGTGAAACTCTTAATAGCCTTAGACAAAGCACCAAGAGAGTCTCTGTCAAGATAATTAGTTGGTTCATCCAAAACGATGATGTGTGGTCTTTGCCAGGTACAAGCAGCCAAAACCAATTTGACCTTTTGACCACCAGACAAACCTCTGATTCTGGAGTGGGAAACCAATTCAGCGTCAAGACCCATCATAGCACAGTGGTCTTCGATTTCCTTTCTGGTAAGAGGTCTGAATTGACCAGAAGCCAAAGCTTCCTTCATATCAACTTCAGCAACCATCTTAGAGTGGGTTTCGACCAATTCACCTCTTGGCAACCAAGTGTTGTCAACAGACATCATTGGGACTTGTCTTTCATTCTTCAAGCCTGGGTTTTCAACCAAATACCATCCAATTTCGTACTCGTAAGAGTTCTTGAACTTTCTTCTGGCAGTGATTTCTCTAATTCTTCTGGCGGTACCTTCGACCTTGAACAATTTCTTCATACCTTGTTCATCAGATTCATTGATTTGTCTAGAAGCTCTGTCCATGGTTTCTCTATCTTCACCAGTTTGGAATCTCCATTGAATATATTCAGATGGGGTCTTGTCCAAGTGGGAATCAATATGAGCGAAAGCATGTTGCTTAATGTAAGCAATACGACAGTTTTCGTGGACGTAAACTTCACCAGTAGTTGGCAACAATTCACCGGTCAAGACATTGACCAAGGTAGACTTACCAGCACCATTTGGACCAATAACAGCAATTCTGGAGGACAAAGAAACTTGGAAGTTAATGTTGGTTAATTGTGGCTTAGTAGTACCTGGGTATTGGAAAGACATTTGAGAAACCTTGACGATAGCCTTTTGCTTGGTCTTGACACCTTCCAAGTAACCTGGTTCTGGGAACTTGAATTCAATGTCAGAGGCACCCAATTCGTAGTAAGATTGAGCAGCTGGGACTCTCTTGACGAATTCAGACAAGTTACCCTTGTACTTTCTCAACTTGTAACCTTCGTAATGGATAATGTATTGACAAACCTTGTCCAAGAAACCAGAATCGTGGGAAACAATGATGGAGGTAATACCACAAGTGTTCAAGTAGTCCACCAACCAAGCGACGTTAACGGTATCCAAATGGTTAGTTGGTTCATCCAACAACAAAATGTCGGCGTTTCTCAAGACAGCTCTAGCCAAAGCCAACTTCATCTTCCAACCACCAGACAAGGAGTGGATAGACATATTGATGTGTTCATCGGTGAAACCGAATTCCTTCAATTTTTGGGTAACGTGTTCCTTAGTACCAACTTCACCAGTACCGTGGACGAAGTCAACAATAGAGGTGTCATCTTCAGAACCATCAATGTCGTGTTCGACGTAGACGGTCTTCAATTCATCTTGGGATGGGAAACCTTCAACTTGACCGTTAGCAATAGCTCTCATCAAGGTAGATTTACCGGCACCGTTAGGACCACACAAACCATAACGTCTAGCTCTCTTCAATCTGAATTGAGTTCTGTTCAACAAGATCTTAGCACCGTAAGCCAAGGAGAACTCACAGTTACAAAGGTCTTCACCTTCATCTTCTTCATCGTCGAATCTTGGTGGTTCTGGAATGTTGTCAATGGCAGCCTTTCTCCATTCTTCAATAAGATCCTTAGCTTCTTGTTCGTGCAAGAAGATGGTCATGAATGGCAACAAGTTAGTCAACCAAGAACCTGGGTGAATGTCTCTTTCATCAATCAAGTCACCCGCAATACCAGAGGCATAGTTAACGGCAACGTCGAATCTAGAGTCAACCTTCTTGTCCTTGAGCAATTTCAACAATTCGCCCTTGGTAACTTCGATATCACCAGCAGTAGAGACTTCTGGGATCTTGTCATCGGCACCAATGTTACCGACTCTTCTCAAAGTGTTCAAAGCTCTTTGGGTAACACCTCTGGCTTCTGGGTCAGCAATAGTGGACAAGTTAGTCTTCAAAGAAGGCAACAAACTTTCCATGAATGGAGCAACAACTTGTGGATCGTCGACCAACTTACACATGTTGTCAACAATAACGGCAGCCTTTCTCTTAATAGAAGTATCACGTTCAGCCAAACCTCTGGACAACAATGGAACCATGATGGACAAGGTAGCTCTGGTAACTTCAGCGACGAAAGTAGTAGCACCCAAAGTGTGGACGGTTTCTGGAACTTCAGTTGGCTTAGCGATACATTCAATCAATTTTGGAATGAACTTTTCAATATCCTTGTTGTCAACGGTTTCAGTGGCCTTGGTCATGGTGGCGGTAGCAGCCTTCTTGACATCAACCTTGGTATCCCACATAGCTTCAGACAAAACTGGAACCAATTCAGTCATTCTCAAGGCAATTGGACCCTTGGCAACATCAACCAAAGCGGCAATAGCGGCCAAGACGGCAACCTTTTCAGTCCACTTGTTGGTGGTAGACAATCTGGTGGTCAATTTTGGCAAGATAGTCTTGATAGAGGTTGGGGTGACGGATTGAGCGATGGCCAACAAAGCAGCAGAAGCAGACTTGCTGAGATCGGCGTTCTTTTCACCGGCCTTAGCGGCAACATCTTCGGTCAATTCAACCAAGTATGGTTCAACAGAGGCAGACAAACCTGGAGTGGCAATGTGACGGACGGCTTCCAAAGCGTTGATGGAACCGTTGACATCCTTCTTGTTGTTGACGGTCTTCTTCAATTGTTCGAAGAATTCCAATGGAATATCATGTTCGATGATAGAACCGTTCAAGAAAGAAGAAACGTTGGCAGCAGCAGCGTCTCTTTCATCAGCAGAGGCGACAGTTAACTTGCTGAACAATTCAGTAAGAACCTTTTCAGATTGTTGAGCAGCCATTTTTGTAGATGATAGTTAAACAACAAATCGAGATATCTAAAGGTGGAAGAAAAAAAAAATAAAAATTTTTTTATAACTTCTAGTGAAACAAAGAAAAAGAAAAAAAAAAAAATTTTTCAAGGGATACGGTTACCCGCTGGTGATCCATGTGCTGCTGCTGTTTTTGGTATGCAAAAGGGCGGTCACCCGGCCTGTGTCCAGCGATCAATGATCATTGGTGCATTACCAAAACCTCCAACATGTATATATATATATAAGTATTATGCCTTGTAGATACACATTGACAGACTATGCTTTATGCTGTAGACATCTCTGTTAAAGATAATAAGCTATGGAAGTTATGACGTTCCAACTTTACTGTAACAAAAGTGATTGCAACTATAATAAAGAAAAGAATAAATGTATATCTCTTGAAATATTACTTGTGAGAACTAGATCGTATTAACAGGTAGAATGCATGAATATTGATGGTAAGAAGAATATCTTTCAATTAATGTGCAATTGTGCTAGTCAATTTCAACTATACGGACCTTAATTATGCATATTCTTCAATCCTTCAATATAATGTAACCATTTAGTTAATAAATACTATTTATTATATAGGAAGAGATTAGTATGCAACTCCTCAAATTTTCTATGGGAAGTTTTAATTTTCCTTTGTACTAAAGTACAGTGTTACCAGAGAACATTTTACATTTAAAAGGAATACCTTGTTGGCACAAATGTTGCACAATAAACATGATTCACCATGATGAATTGTTTCATGTATTTTTTATAATTTATTATATAGAATCAGAAATATCTTGAGAATGATGTGAGAAACATAATCAAACCAGTTCTTGAAGTGTCAAAATTGATAATAATAATGCCACGTTTGATGCCTACGGGACGGAGGCATTACTCGAGAGGTCGTTTTACGATTAATTGAAATGACTTGGTTTCTTTATTGCATATAGGAGAAGATTTACTGCCATATTAAGTAAAATACCAGAAGCATGAGCTCTCTATAGCTGAAATAATGTAGTAATCGAAGGTTGATGCATGATATCTGACTTTTCTTCATCAACGAATTAATTTGCAGATGTCGAAATGTACGTTACTCTCTGTTATATATTCTAAAATTTGATGACACTAGAATTTATATAGTTTTAAACTTTTTAAAGAGATTAGGTCACAGTTCCATTAAAGATACAAGGTGTATGATTTCGTTTCCTATGGAAGTCTACGCAAAAAATAATTATGATTTTTAATGCGACCATCAAAATCTATTCGCTATCAAACTACCTTCACCTCAGGATTTTCTCGGAAATGAAATATCATTTAAATGAGTTTATCGAAGACAGAAATAAACTCCATAATAAATAACCATTCCATATCTCAATAATTATATCATCATTCTAAAGATTATTGTTCGACAACGGGGGTGTATTTTTTCTGAGGGGGTGTGATATATACCCATAAATTTTTCTTTTGTTTACCTGTGAGATTCCAAAATCAACAAGCAGATATCTTCTGGATGACCTCACCTAACCAGTAACACCCAAAACACTTTGTGGCATCCTACTACTACACGGAGTAATATCATTTTGAACAGAGTCACACCTCTGTATTTTCAATACAGTCGGTTAATATACCACGATTATTCAGGGACGGTGTCAACATATTGGCATTTCTTCCTTTTAGCATTACTACATTTTTAATCTGATTCACAATGTCTACTTTACATGATGAGCTTCTCCTAGACTCAATTGATAATTACAACATAGAGGGTGCAGCATACAGCTCAAATAATGCAAATAATCTCCAAAAACAATTGATAAATTACAAACTTCAACAGAAAATTTTATCGGACTTGTTGCGTCAGGTATTAAGTGGTGATCCTAATGAGTATAAGAACGATTTTAATCCTATACTACTACACCCATTGGTGAATCAGTTGATAGATCTTTTAGAAGGATTGGTAGGAAACAACAAATCAAAGGTAATGAAATACAACAATGAAGAAGAGAAATTGACAATTGAGGACCAACTATTTAAAATACGACAAGAACCAAGCTTATTAGCCAAGTTTCAAGAAGTTATAAGGTTTTTTGGGGTTTTAGCAAATGAATTGAATTCAAATTTCGGCAATTTGAAGAAACTATTATTCATTCAATCTGAAAAGATCGGATACCTACAATATCTTATGACGAATCATATTAAAGAATCCGGCCATATTATTCAAGCGATTGGAAGCCAGCGACAAATCTCCAAAGATATCAAATCGGAGGCAGCAGCCACGGAAAATGATTATCTTATCAAAATATCAAATTTGAATTCTCAGACAAATTATCTCAATGATACCATTTTGAAAAAGGATCAAGAATTGCAAAGTTTGAGGGACGAAGTTGGGTCATTAAGGAAATTAACGAAAGTTAGGGATGAATTGAATGACAGAAAATTCAAAGAATTAGAAGATAAGTACCAAGAGGAATTAGATGAAAAGGATCAAATCATTGAAGAATTACGAGCTCAATTGGCGGGGGCAAGAAATGTCACCACCACATCCGCGATAAGTAGTTCCAATTCATTAGCTAGCGAGGCTCTAAAGATTCGTCAACTTAATCGAAATCTTGAGGAGCTTTCAAATAAAAATTTCCAGAATATAATAGGTGAAGATGCAAAACAGATAAATATTTATTCAAACTTTACGGAGGAAAACCTTATTGAGAACAATTTGGTGGAAACTATCGGCATCCTTAACAGTAAATTGATTGAGAAAAACGCCATGTTAGAAAAAATCAATGCAACAATCCAACAAATTAATAAGGATCATAACGAATTGCTAAACGACCGCTTATCACTAAAGAAAAAGCTCATGAGTCAACAAAGTCATATGAATGCCCTCTCCGAAAGATTTGAGACCTTGGAAGGCGATATTCAGAATTGCATTTTCAATTTCCATTCTTTATTATCGTTGAATATTGATACTTACAGATTCTTCTCAGATGCCCTTTTTAATACCATCGACAGAGAATCTATTGAACAAGTGAGGACCAAGATTCAGAAACTAGACAAGCTCAATGGTAAGAATTTGAACTTCGAAAAGATTTTATACTACGCCCAAGCAGTTCATCGATATTTTGAGACAGCAGTAGAATCTGTTGTTTCAGATCATAGAAATTATATTGCTGATGCAGAAGAAAAACAAAGAAAGGACACTGGCCAAATCAAGGAGTTACAAGTAGGGAATGATAAATTGAAAAGAATGTTGATAATGATGAAAGCCGAATCGGGGCAAACAAATGAGTTATATGAGAAGATGGAACACTTGATGATTGAAAATGACGAACTAAGACAGCTTACTAAATCCCAGCAGCGAGCAATGATGTCGACAGCTGATGGGCCCGCTGATGGAATGCATGGGTCCAGTGGGAATCTAAATGAAGTTGATATGAAAGTGGAAGAATTACAGAAAAGGTTCAAGGCGGAAAGGGAAAGGAGAGTATTAGAACACAGGTCAGCGCAGTTGAGCATCCAAGAATTGATGGACGAAAACAAAGAATTAAAGAATTCATTATCAGAATCAAGATTAATGCTTATGGAGTGAATATCACTTCTTGTTTTTTCTTTTCCTCTGCTATTATTTTTAGAATTTTGTTTTGCTTCTGATTTTGGTGTTTTGATTTTCGGAATATTTATCTTTTTTTCTTTTTTTCTTGAGAAAACCTGGACTTGTGATATCCATTTCTTAGAAATACACATTTAATAATTTTCCTTTTTTTTTTTTTTTAACGTAAATTCAATTGTTTCATACTTAGGTAGCAGTAATCTGCCATATAAATGATAAATTTTAAAACTAGCTTTTTTGGGGGAAAGGATATCTGGTCATAAATCTTATTGAATAATTACAAACTGACGTGCTTCTTACATACAGTATATTTTGGACGAACATTGTGATTTTCAATATAGTGTACAACCCATATTGTAGAAGATGGCTAACAGCAATCATTTATTCCCCTTTTAATCATCTAATTTTAGAGAATAGAGACAAAGCCAACAATAGTCCAACCAAAATATCACAACTGATTAGTAACTATGATCTAATTAATAAAGCCATATGAGGAACTAACATCATGTTGCTCAGTAAGATATGAGAAAACAAATCACACTTTCAACCGCGGCTTAATAACCATAATATTCTTCCATACCAAGTTTGGATCCACCCTTATTTTTAATTCCTTGTCATCATCTAGGTTTGAGGTTCCCAGGTCATTCTGAGCTGCTATATCATCTCTTGCAATAATATACGCTCGCAAAATACATAATGATGCGGCAGCAACAAGAAAACAAATTCCAGAAAAAATAGCCACATCATTATATTGATTAACCGACTTTTCAGGTCTTTTCAATGCCAATCCAATTATGGGAGCCACGATACCTGCTCCACCAATAAATATCCAGGACATCCCAAAAGTCACCGGTGACCGTTTGAGTCCGGTTATTCTTGGAATTATTGCTCCCATGGCACCCCAAATAAATCCCATTGTAGCACCCTCGATCATGGAGAAAGCATAAATCGTGGCCAAGTTGCTAGCCGGTAACCACATTGCTAAACACAAAACCCCACAAAGTGAGTATGTTAACATTCCAATGGTGATGGAGCCAAATGCATCTGATAAATGCCCCAATATTGGTCTTCCGACAATTACTCCGGCAGCCATGAGAGCACTGGTTATCGAGCCTTGATCTGGAGAGTATCCCAAAGATTTAGTTGCATCAGCAATAACGTATTGTAAGGTCACATAGCTCAACATGGTGAAGACGTACCACAGAGCTAGCATCCAGAACGGGAATGAGCAGGCCACTAAATTATCCCATGCCGTGAATTTAGGTTTGATAACATCCCCTCTAGTCCGAAGCAATAATGAGCAAGTGAAAACAACGACACCAACAATAATTGCCTGGGCGCGAATGGCCCATTGAACAGACAGGATATCAATAATTCGCTGCAAAGCTAAGTTGAACATGAGCCCTCCACAACCACTGCCAGCGGCAGAAATCCCCATAGCAAGACTTCGTCTTCTGCTAAACCACTGGGGAATTATTGAAGGAAGATTGCTTGCCATCAAAGCAAGAGCAAATCCACTAAGGACACCCAGGGTTAGGTAAATTTGATAAATTTTCGTGCTGTAAGAGGCACACATGAGGGAAGCGAATTGAGCCAAGGCTCCAATACACATTATCATTCGGAAATTAGTGATTCCTATCAAGTAAACAATAAAAGGGGAGAATATTAGACCTGAGCCAAAGCAAAGACCTGAAATGACCGCGTAATCAATTTTTGTACCACCTTCATAAGTGTTGAATTGCAAGTAGTGAGCTAAAACCACTGAAAAGCCAGAAATACCACCCCAACAACAGCCATTAATTAGCATGCTACAAACCACAACAACCCAGCCATATCCGCCGTCGGGGATATCAAAATCCACAGATTCAGAAGTAGAATTAGTAATACTGTGCTTCTCAAGGTCGTTGCTGCCTGACCGGGGCAAGGGAGCATTATTCGACGATTGTGTTTGTTGTTGACTGTCTTCTACTATTATATTTTTGCAGGACATGATCAATCATTATGATTTGGAAAGACACAGATTGGGATAGCATGCAAACAGAATGGGTCCTGGCAAAAGTGCTGTTACATGATGACGACTGACAACAATTAATAGTTTAGTGTATGTGGTGGGGCTGATCATCATCGGAAAGATCACCGGAACGACTCTTTTTTTTCTTTTTTTTTTTGCTGACAATAACATTCAACTGGGAAAGCTGGTAATGGCCGGCTCTGGTGTGATAATTGTACAGTTTCTTGTTTTTATTGGTGTTTGTTGGACAATGCTATTCAAAAAAACCCTTTCAATCTTGACTGAATAATGGTGTTATCGCAGTTCCCTTCTGATCTGCTCGGGATTCCGTAAAGTGACAACCATAAAAATGGGTTTTCTAATAGATTGACTATTATGTCATCCCTTATCTTAACTTATCTTAAAACTTCATATTTTGACAGGCTCTTTGATCCCAATGGCCAATCGCTTAAGAGGGATGCCTGTTCAATAGATTATAAACTCTCCCACCGCCTTGGTATTTGGTTTTTTCCTAAAAAAAAAAAAAAGACGTCACCTAAAAAATTTCAAAGTTGAGCCTCATCATCTTCCTTCCAGTGGCAAAACCATTAAGCTTCATCATGACAACTGAAGTATCAATCCCTTCAATTCATCCTCCTTCCCCTTCTGCCAATGTTTTCAAGGATCAATGTCTTTTCAGCTTTCAAACTCCGGAATTGCCTGGTGGATTGAACGTTTGCCTCCATTGCTATCAAGGGTTTGCCCCACTAATTCAATCTGAAAATTCGAACTACACTTTCGCCCACTATTCAATCACTGGACATTCGCTTTATTTAAATATCCAGAAGTTTTTCCAGAAAGATGTTCAGGAAGAACAACTTCAAAAACGTTTGAAACTTGATAAAGTGCAAATCCTTCAAGAAAACGAGGATGATTACTACAAATCCCAATACCAATTGTTGGAGGTCGACAAAGATTCATATATACCTTTGAGTATTGTCCTGAACGCGACAGGTTATGAAGTGTTGAATTCTAACATATCGAATAATATTAAATCAACGATTGCGGGAATTTTATCTGCCACTTCCATGAGTTTGAAAAATGATATTCAATCATGGGAGCAAGAAATTAAGCCTTGCAGACACTCTGAATCTCTTGCGAAATTCATTCCAGAAAACTATTCTTTGGCAAAGCATTGCAGCAGCTGTGATGTTGATGAGAATTTATGGCTTTGTTTGCATTGTGGTAACATTGGTTGCGGGCGTCAACAGTTTGGTGGTCTCAAAGGAAACTCACATGCTTTGGCTCATTATGACCAAAATAACGACCACCCAGTAGCTATAAAACTCGGATCTCTTTCCTTAAGGCAGCAGAAGGCTGATTGCTACTGTTACCAATGTAATGATGAAGTAAAGGTCCCAAAATTAGCAGAACATTTAAAATATTTTGGTATTAATGTCGATTCATTCGCTGAGCAGAATGAAAAAACTTTAACAGAATTAAATATCCAGCAGAATTTGACTTGGCAATTCAATATGGAGTCTGACAATGGTGAGCTTTTGAAGCCAATATTCGGGGAAAACTTGGTGGGATTGAAAAACTTGGGAAATTCTTGTTATATCAATTCTACCTTACAAGTACTTTGTCATCTCAAAGGTTTTGCGGAGATTTTTTATGGAAAAGATATTTTCAATTTTGACGATGGCGCTCTATCCAAACCATTTGATGACTTATACTTACAAATGATTAAGATTTTTAATGGACTAGTGTCGAATAAATATTCCATTCCCAACGAAGATTCTACCGATTCGATAAAATGGCAAAAGGGGCTCAGTTTGCCAATTTTCAAGCAATTAATTGGGAAATCTAATGCAGAATTTGCCTCACCAAACCAGCAAGATGCGTTTGAATTTTTGTTATTCTTCTTAGATCAAATTGAATCCTACTACTGCAAGAACGTTGGTAAATATAAGGAATCTAGTTGCTTTAAAAGTAACCCAGTCAATGCCTTGAAGTTTGTTATTCACAATAAATTGTCTTTGATTGGCACCGAGAAATTTAAAGCCCTAAATGAATTGAATCAATACCTCTCTTTAAATATTGTTGATGAGGTCGACCATGTTGACGAAGACGGGAAAGTTCACTACAAACCAGTAGATATCAATAATGCGCTCGAATCATTTTTCAAATCTGATGAAGTTCTAGAACTTGATGGTAAGAACTTTGCTAAAACTTCGAAGTTGGCTTCATTGCCAGACACATTATTGGTACAAATCCAAAGAGCTAAACTTGTGAACTGGATACCAACCAAAATCGATGTTCCAGTGGTTATTCCTGATGAGACCATTGATTTATCGAAGTATACTATAACCGGGTCGCAAATTAAGCTTGATGCCCAATCCGAAAATTTGATAATTGACGAGGAAGACGCACCAGAAACATCGTCGTCAGGCGAAACATTTCAGCCAAACCAGGATGTTATGAACTCACTTTTGCAAATGGGATTCCCTGAACCTCGTTGCGTAAAGGCATTATACAATGTATCCAACTCCTCTAACCCAGAAGACGCCATGAACTGGTTGTTTGCCCATATGGAGGACGATGATATCGATGATCCGTTGGTGATCCCTGCAGGCGGTAATTCTTCTGCCCAAAATCCTAATGAACCAACGCAAGATGAAATTGATAATCTTGTGGTTATGGGATTCAGCTCGAAACTTGTCAGAAAGGCTCTTATTTTGAATAATAAAAATCCTGAGGCTGCCGTGGAGTGGTTATTCAACAACCCCACCGACGATGGAGAGATTCAAGCTGATGCTTCTACCACAACTGGTGCACCATCGTCCAATGATCAAGTGAAGAGTATCCTTGAATCCGATGGTATTACAGATGATGCAGAAGCAAACTACTTTTTAAAAGCCGTGGTTTGTCATAAAGGCAGCTCAATTCATACCGGTCACTACGTGACATTTGTTAAGCAAATGGTCGAAGGTACACTACAATGGGTATTGTATAATGATGAGAAAGTTGTATTGGCCAATGATGGCAAAAGCTTACATGAGATGAAAAAGAATGGATACTTATACGTATTTGTTAAAAAGGGTGGTAAAGATGATATAAATTGATATAAATAGTATAGAGAGCATGATTTCTAATGTAATGGTGTTGAAATTCATAGAGAATTATGTACTGGAAAATATTAAATGTCAATAAGATATAATATATAATATATATATAGATTGTGTCAATTTTTTTTTTACCCCTTCTTTTTCTTGTTTGAACGTAAAACAGTAGTGAAGCTTAGAATTAGGACCAAAATCAATGAGAATCTTGATGACAACCCAAGGAGAGAAAATACTGACATCCCAAAAAATCTTTTTCAATGGGTCGTTTTAATATTTTTTTTTCCTCTTCTTCCTTCTTGTAATCAAATGCTCAGAACTATTTTATACTATATAAGTCCACTTGTGTGATGACCAGCGGCTCTCAGGCCAGTAGCAGGCAGCCCCGGGGAAACGACATCCGGGGACAGAACCAACGCTATATCCATGACCGTATCGGAGCTCCGGACATCCTATCCGGTCAGACCACCATGATGTCGCCTAGTGAATTGCCCAAGTCCTGACAAATTTTGTTGTTCTATCGGAATCATGCAGGAACCTAATTATTTAGCAAAACTTTTTATCTTTCTCACTTCTCATTACTTATTACTGCGTCTAAACACGTCACTGTTATTCTATTTTATTATATATATAGGGTTAAACATCGCAAATTAATTATTGTCACAGGAATAAAATACTAACTGAGTTAAACAAGAATATACAACCATATCTCTATAAATTACAACTCCAAAAAAAAAAATAGACAATATCTCACTGGCAACAATAAAAGTTATCAATAAGTTAGTATTAGCTAGCGCCACTACTAACGCTTCCACGCTGTTTTTGAGTAACAAGCAATTTGAAACTGGCAATAACATTGTTAGCGCCTATGGTCTAACAGTAAACAGAGCTGTACTTACTTATAATACTTATAATAGTACCAATATGACAAAGAGGTCGGGTGTGTCTGTAGCTCAGGAATTTAACCTGGATCTGGCATCATTAGTTGTTACCTCTGCTGCTGCTTTATGGAAGTATGCGGGATCTGCCGGCTGTGTGGCATGTATTGTACCACTGTTTACAGGTATACCTGCTTGTGCTATTTGTGCTGGTGCACTCATAGGTGCGGCTCTAGTGCTAATTACGGATAATAACTCAAATAACAGTTAGGCCACAGGCACGTACAAAGTGAACTTTCAAGCGTCCACAACCTATCCAGTGAAACGAGAACTAGGCGGTAACATATTTAATGCGGAGCCACTGAAGATTGAAAAGGGGGATTTGGTAGGTTATACTTTGACTGTTAATGGTACATGTCATAATTATGTGTATATTCAGGATGGTAATGCACCGAGGACCGCCAATGAAATGCACAGCTTGGCACAGAGCAAGCAGGGTTAGCTGAGCTATAAACGTGATGAGTATGAGATATCATGGTCATATGATAACAATAATGAAGCATTATCGCGCAACAACTGGTTCAATCAGTTAATGAGTTTAGATAGTCAGGATTGGTTCGCTGACCACGTAGGGGCAGTCATGGCAATAGGCCCTACAACAAAGTATTGTATCAGTGCGGTGTACCCAGGTCAAGGCACTGCATTACACGATGAGATATACACTAACAATTATGGAGGCATTGATCTGTTTTGTAATGCCGATAGCGACAACTTTGATTCAGGCACAACGTGAGCTGGGTGGCTAGATGAATCATCAGGGGCACTGTGAGGCTGTGCAAATGTTTCGAAATCTGACTTTAGACTGAATAAAATATGATTCCGGTTTCTATATATACTCTAAACTGCGAGGACCTGGAGCTTACATACCTAAAAAAGAAGAAAGCAAAAATAAATAAATAAGTAAACAACCAACAAATGCCATGATATTCATTACTAACGAGATATGCAAATAAAAATACAAAAAATATCAAACTAAGAAATATGCAAAATAATAAGACCAACGAAGAAATCATTTTTTTTTTTTGAAAAAAAAGAATAACAACTGTAACAGTTATTTATTTTCATTCCACTCTAACATGTACCAAAACATTCATCACTTTCTTCACTGCCCGAATATGCCATGGCATCAATGACTCATTGTTGATGCTACTTTGGCCTATTTCACTATCAGGAGCACAAATATTAGTGAAGCCGTAGTCATTAGAAGAATATTCGTCACTTAAATCTCCTAATAAAGAGTTTACCGCCACCAAATTTCTAAACTGGGTCAACAACTCTCTCAACAAGCTCATATGGGTGAAGTAACTTGGATAACTTAGCAAGTTCACTTCAAAAGTTAAAAGACGCTCATCAGTAGTGTTATTCAAAGGCTTGATTAAATAACCTGTGCGGAAAGCAAACTTGTTGATAGAATTTGAAAGGGGTATAGAACTTTTCAAAATAACCCCATAGAATTCCTCGCTAGCACTCATGATTTTAATATCATGTGTACTAATCTCACCATTTTCTAAATCATTCAAACTCAAAGTCTCATTTGTAGACAATAGTGAATCATTTGCAATTACTGACTTACTTCCTTGATAGAAATCAGGGCTTTCGGCCGCATGCGCGCCATTGCTTTCTGGGGCAAATTTGTTGGTGCTCCCCTCGTCCTTGATGTGATCAATGTTGCTTTGAATTTTAGTTATCTCCGAATTATAATTAGGATACATTTTCTTTTTCGACGATTTCGCATGACCTGACCCATCAGTTTGTTGCAAGTACATTTTCTTGAATGGGAAAGGACATCCGAAATTTTTCAAAATCAACCTGGGATTAGAGTTAACTGTGACCAAAATGATTTGCACACTGGTTCCCTGCGATAATCTTTTCCAGTGCGCGAGTTCTTCGTCTATAATAACCCCATTCAACCTAGTCAACACCAAGAAGTATTTGCCATTATGATTTTTTGCAAACTCTGCAGTCTCTTGCCACATATCATTTGTAACTTGCTCAAATGTCTTTCTAATGCTATCCTTGCTATTGAGTTTCCCTCCATTGCCAATTTTTGATAGGCTGCTATTGCTAATTGGGTAAACATACCACGACCTAACTTTCCTAGTTCTCCCCCATTGATCGGACCAGCTAGCAACACACCAATTTTTGTCTGCTGATCTTTCGTACGCCAAATGAATATATAGTTCTTCATTCATCAAGGTGTTGGCAATTGGTTCTTTGGTTAATTGGAAGTTAATCTTTCTTGGGGTTCTATCCATTAACTTCGAAAAAAGTTCCTGACTTTCATCGGTATACTTATTGTATAAGGATAAGGAAAGCCGGTGAAAAAAATTCTGAGAAGGTAAAGTGAAGAAATTGTCTTTGAGGAAAGTCTTTGTTGGGAGGATTTGAAATGAAGGAGCATTCTTATCGTCAATCTGCGAAATTTGCGAGTGAAAATTGGAAAATACTGAAACTGTTTTTAAAATAGCGGACAAATCGGTAAACGTATTACCGAATAAAATGACAATTCTGGGAGCATCAAGATCATTAATTCGAACAAGGATTTTACCCAAAATATCGAACTTTTGTTTCATAGTTTCAAAGTATTCGTCCCCACTGTTTCCCTGGTAATTGATATTGAAGACTCCATTTTTAATGCGTGTCAAAACCTGTACAGTTGAATTGTCGGAACCACTTCTAAGCAGCTCAACCAACCCTCCAGAAAGCTCAAAATCCTCAAAAATTTCACGTCCAGAAACTAATCCAGCAGATCCCAACCCGCAACTTTCGTAGCTTTTCGCTATATTATTAACCATCATCAGAGAAATCTCTAGAATGTTTTTCGATCTTTTTGTCCCCGCAAACGGCTCATTGATTACAAACAATAACCTGATATCGTGCTTCTCATACAAGGGTGAAAATGACAATATTTTCCACATCTTTAGGGTAACCAAATCCACCGTCATTTCCTGGTTCATTCTTCTAACTTTGCATAAAGGAGGTGGAATATCGAACACATATTCCTGAAGTTCTTTTGCATATGCTTCGTTACCAAATTCTTCTAAATAATTGTCGTTCATCATGGGATCATCGTAATCATTGTTATCGGTGGAAATCAAAGAGTTAATAAAATCATACTTGTTTTCGCAGTCATCGGCAAGTCCAACATATTCGACCAACTGGATTTTTTTCATAGAGCTGAATAAACTGTTAATGACTTCTTCAATATTTTTGTAATCTTCCTGATCCTCAGTAAATTTTTTGACTGTCAGGGATGTTTCATCATTGAAATCGAGTTCATCAAAATAGTTTTCAAAATCGTTCATATCAATAGTATCATCCATGTGAGACTCCGTCGTAGTGGATTGTATCAAATCCGCCAACGAATTATAATCATCAAGACACTTCAAAGGCTCTTCTTTCAATTTTAAACTTCTGGTAATAATCCTCTCAATCATAGATCTATCAAATGCCAATGCATTAACCAAGAACGGCAAAATGACTTTCAAATCTTTTTCTGAAATTATTGGGTTATTATGAAAATATCGTTCTGGTATAGTATATAGGGGAATCCATTTGGTTGAAAATTGAATCCAGTTAGAGAAATCGTGATACCTAACGGTGGCCTGCTTTTTGGCTTTAGCGTTGTTGGAGGATCCCAAAACTCCACTGGTAGGTGTTGAAGAATTAGAATGCTCAACATTTGGAGAATTTGTGGTTTCATTAGGGGTTACTGCAGCACTTAACGGCGTTGGTGCCTTTGGTGCTTCACTGTACTTTTGGAACGTCTTGGTTTGAGGGAGTTCCGGGGTACGAATATTTTGATAATTGATATTAGTGTCTAATTTTGTATTGTCAATATTTTCCAAGGAATTGAAATTAATGCTTGAATCATCCTTGGTGTCAACTCGAGGGTCTAATTCTATGTCAAATCTTCCATTATTCAAAGAATCTTTTGCTCCCACTACCTCTGCTTGTAGCTCTGCAATACTATGTTTTGTCAGAACCGGATTTGGTTCCTTCAAACTGTCTTCACTATTATCTTGATCATTGTCATTTTTAATTACGTCTTGACTATTTCCTTTTAATATATTCTCATTACCCTCACCATTTTCTTGCTCTTTACCGCTTTCTTGTAGCTCTCCCATATCATAATCATAATCATCGTCGTCTTCATCTTCATCTTCGTCTTCATCTTTTTGACTATCAGAATCACTATCAGAGGTCAAATCTTCATCTGAAGAATGTACCACAATTGAGTAATCTTCGGATTGCACTGATGGACTGGGCAAAATTTTATTGAGATAGCCCTTGTTATTGATATTGGTCGAGCCACTGTGATCTCCGGAAATGTCGATTTTTGAGGTTGGCTTCATGCTATGAGGGACGTGAAATTTCCCACCTTTGTCATATTTGTTATCCACAACCTCTCTTATTACAGGATTAAACTTCAATGGAGAAAAAATACTTTGATGTGTTGACGCCGGGGTATTTGTAACCGGTAATGGGGCACCTGGATCATTATAAGGTGTCGATGGCAAACACATTTCATCTTTTGGAATATCAAAAGCTGGTTTATTATTATGTATTTCATTTAATACATTTTCATCCACATCCCTAGCCATTGGTGCATCACTTTCATTACCATCGATACTTTTAATGATTTCCCTGGTCAATTCAGATTGCCGAGTCTCTGACGGGGAGGTTTTATGTCGTATTTCGTTCATCATTACCTCTTCATGGTGCTTTTGCTCCTCAGGAGCCATCGCATCTTCATTGGCAATTACGTCATCATCGCTATCATCAAAGAAATTGAAATCAGCATCAGTAACTCCGTTATTTTCTCCAAAGAGTTCCTCATCAAGATCATTCCAATTGTTGCTATTTCCAGAATCATCTTGAGGTTCTTGGCTATCGACATTTATTGGTGTAATGGTTTTGTTGCTTTCAACTTTCACATCATCATCGTCGTCATCATTATCATCATTATCATACTCCACTTTTATTTCTTGAGAATCTTCTTCAGGTATTAGCTTTGCATTAGTTTCTTCAATTTCTATGTTGGCGGCGTCAATTTTCGTATCCTGCGTTTTTTGGGATGCATTCATGTTGGAGCTCACTTTTTCAGAAACATGCTGAAGATCAATAAAGTCGTCAACAAATTCAAATGGGTCGTTCACCGAAACCTTAATATTGGAGGAGTTATTAAAAAGTTCTCCTTTTTGAATATAACATAGGTCTAAGGGCCAAATGACAAATTTTTGATTTTGTACTGGCTTAAGATATTTGGATATTTGCGGGGTCATACCATTCAAATGGCGCAAATCAGGAATCAATTTGACCCATCTGATTTCATTAACTTTCTTATTAAATAATATCCCCATCAATACATGAAGCATTATAAAAAGGTTGTTGCAGTTGCTTGGGGTAGGAGCTAGAGAATCCATCAAATTATGGTTAGCAAAGTAAGCTCTGATGCCTGATGGAGCCAAATATAAAGCAAAGTTTGAATTATTAATGTAGCTGTTATTAATGCTTTGAGAGTTTATCAGATATAGGTATTTCGACAAGTTTATTAAATTTGAAGGCTTCGTAGCAATAGAAATGAGAACATCGCCGTTAAACGCAACTTGAGGGTCAACAAGCAAGAAATCCGAGAGTCTGTTTTGAGAATTTATGATAGACGCATCACCAAATGGAGTAATGCAGTTTTTGATTGACAAGTTCAACAATATTTTTTTCTTGATTGCATTTAGAAGAACTCTGTAGAGGAAATTGGGATACTTTGGGTCTCGGTTAAGTTGCGGGTCATTGGGATTGGCGGTGCTATTGGAATTGTCATTTGTTCCAGCGCTCGAAGATTGTAACGCGACAGAATAGTCAAGATTTTCACTATTTTTCTTTGAGGTATTGTTATCAAGACTGTTACTGGTATCACTGCCATGATTATTGTTAGAGGTAAAAATCATTGAGGGTAGTATAATGTTTGATTCTTTGCATTTCATGTTGAATTTCTCCAAAGGAACCGGAACTTCCTCATCGTTCAAACCAAATGCCCATAATTCTTTATTGGTCAGAAACAAGAGTCCCTCTTTATGCAGGTTTCTCATATGAAGCTCAGCTTCCAATAATATCTGCTCATTCTTTGATGGTACTGAGGAAACAAACACCGAGTACTTGATCTGGCGGATTTTTAGCACCCTGTAAAAGTTTGTGAATGAGTCTTCGGGATGTAGACCTGAATGCATTATTAGCTACAACACTCCCTTGTCATCTATCTGTTGAATGTTTGTGTTTGTGGTAGAGGAACAGTTGGGAGTTGTGGTGATTTCCTGGCTCCCTCATCACCATCGAAAACTCTGCCGGATCATGTGACTGCGGTTGGCTTATTTCTGGCCGTTATCACAAAGATAAACGATCAAAAATGGGTAGATCAGTCTCAAGAGTATCGCTGATTTTCGGCTTATCTGTGCGAAAGTATCTACTGTGATGAAGTAAAGATCGACCAAGACCTTTTTAAGGTATACAGACTAGTAGTTGAATGAAGGAAATTTGAAGCAAAAGCCAGTGGATGACCCCAGAGCTCTCATGTATGTGCTTGCTACCTTGAGTGCTTTCCAGTAGGGGGTTAGCGGAACCCATAGATAATACTCAAAATATCCCAAAGAAGCCCCAATATTGATTATATACAAGTTACTTTATCAATTACCTTGTACTAATGCCTTTTCAACTGTGTCTTTTCACAAAGATTGGCATGCAGCTGACGTTTTGCCCACTTTACATCCTTGCTTAGCCGTTGAAAGACAAACGGAAATTCTCTTTTTGTTCATCTCACAAACAATATAGTCGATACTGAACACACATGGCAAAGGATTGACTGTATTGGGTCTATCTAATCTAGTTGGTTTCCGCTAAAGACATAATAGGTAAAGTGGGGTGACTGTTGTCGTCACCGGACCGGAAAAATAAAATGAAACCAACATAGATCGGAAATTTTCAGCCTACCGCACAATCTGAACGACCGCAGTTTAATACTCGAAGGACGTGGGAATCAGTTTAATCACAGTTTGCTAGTGTGTCTATCATCTTTCTCCTCCATATCCAGCAGAGATTTGAAACTATATAACCATGTCTGAAACGATCCACCACAAACCAAGCAATAAGACCATCGATGTTCGTGCTCCTGTGGCAGATATCAATAATCTTCGGAAACTTAATGATTTCTACTGGACAGACAAGAAAGAACCACACACGTATCGACGCAAAGAAATCCTCCGCCGTCACCCTGAGGTATCGAAGCTCACTGGCCATGAACCACTCACCAAATATATCATCTTCTGTGTCGTGTCTCTACAATTTTTTTGTGCTTATTCATTGAGAAACACCCCAGTGTTCAGTTTTAAATTTCTTTCTATTGCTTACTTGATCGGGGCCACTGCAAACCAGAATTGCTTCCTTGCAATCCATGAAATGTCTCATAATTTGGCATTCAAAGAGCCTTTGCATAACCAACTCTATTCGATTGTTGCCAACTTGCCAATCGGTATTCCATATTCGGCAAGTTTCAAGCCTTATCATCAATTACATCACAAGTTTTTGGGAGATGTGCAATTTGATACTGATTTGCCAACACGATTTGAAGCAATCTTTTTATCCAACATCTTTGGGAAGGCGTTTTTTGCCACCTTTCAACTTTTCTTTTACGCCTTGAGACCAATGTTCATTACTAGTGTCAAATTCACTATAGTACATTTCCTTAATGTCTTGGTACAGGTACTTGTAGATTATGTCATGGTGGAGCAATGGGGTGTTAACTCATTATACTACTTTCTTATCAGCTCATTTCTTGCTGGCTCATTGCACCCTTGTGCAGGTCACTTCATCTCTGAGCATTATATTTTGAACCCTCCTACCAGTCAAGAATATATTCAGTCCAAATCATTATATATCAATACTGTGATGGAAAATGAAACCGTTCCTCCTCCAGAAACTTACTCTTATTATGGGATTTTAAATTTCTTTACTTGGAATGTGGGGTTGCACAACGAGCATCATGATTTTCCTTACGTTGCATGGTCGAAGTTATTTAAACTTAATGAGATTGCCAATGAGTTTTATGAGCCATTACCAAAGACCAAGAGCTGGGCATATACTATTGTGGATTTCGTGTGCAACAAGGATATTACTTTGTGGAATAGAGTGAAAAGAGACTTGGCGGATGCAAAGGCCAAGGAGAAAGTTGATTTGAACGTTAATTAGGTGGAAAGTTCCGGGAACTGTTTATTTCTGAGATACCATCTCAATTCTTGGAGATCATCTTGATGATATAGAATCCATTTTTTATTTTGTTCTCTAATAGATGGCACAATAGATGATACAATAAATGATATCTACGTTCTGTACTACTTCAAAGAAAGAATGTTTGTTGTACATTATAAAGATACGAATACTTCACCTTAATAGATTAAATTATTTTCCTTTGATAAAAAAGTAGGAATTATATGCTATTATGATATATTAATTAGAAATTAGAACTACAGGGCTCTGTAAACTGATTTTCCAAGAAAACAAGGTAAACTCCCAGAGATTGAGTTTCTATGCGCCCATAGGCGAGTGCCTGCAATTTTTTTTCAAAAAAAATTGTGATGAGCTGCAGTGGAAAGAAAATAAATCGATTGATCATAGAAAAAAATACAAATTATACCGCGGAAACTCAAAGACTGAACCACGAAATATAAACGAAGATGCTTACTTTCTGTCCTTACTGCTCGAACATGTTAACTGTGAGTATACTGCTACCAATGAGGTGAGACGGACGAAGTTCAGGGTTTACTAACGATCATATTAGGTCTCGAAGAGCGGTACAACAGGTCAAAACTGCTTTGTGTGCCCTACTTGTCCTTATGAATTCCCAATCCAGGGTGTCAAATTATACAGCAGAAAGAAGCTTGAGCGTAAAGAAGTGGATGATGTGTTGGGTGGTGACGGGGCCTGGGACAATGTGGATCAAACTGGTGCCCAATGTCCAATTGAGTCTTGTGGTGGTGATAGAGCCTATTTCTTCCAGTTACAAATTAGAAGTGCTGATGAACCGATGACAACGTTTTATAAAGTGAGTATTGCGCTGTTTGCAAAGATTGGTACTGTTTTGATATATTTTACTAACCTGGTAATATAGTGTGTTAGCTGTGGTAACCAGTGGAGAGAAAACTGATCCCTCCGCTTTATTGCTGTTGCTGTTGCTGTTGTTGTGTGTGTTGTGTACTTTTTCATATCACTTGTACTATATCATAAATCTACTATAATGTCGAATAAAACTCCATGAGGAAACCCTTTGCATTTATATCGCCCTCTCCGCTGTAAGGAAGCCCCTCGCTATGTGGTTGTGTCGCCCTGGCACGGTTTGCCTCCTCCCAACATGAGAGGTTCCCAATCGATGCTTCCTGGGAAGCGGGCCGCTCGCCTATATAAAGGAACCACGATCCCTCTGTCCTTCTCTTAAACTTAGTAAGCTTCGTATCAGGACTTTCTTGGGAACCAGCCAGCACCATTGAAAGTCCATCATCTTCCCTAATACACTCAATTAGGAAGAGTGCCACAGACAAGAAAGGGTGATATATATGTGGAAAAATCCCACTATTGCTAGACACACAAGCAACTTCCTCAGTATTGCCAATTCTTAGAATCAAAAACACCAAAATGTTTAATGCAAACCAATCAGTTGATAATAACCCCAAGAAAAACATTTATACTCAATTGATTAGCTTGAATAACGCTAATAATAACAGTGGCGGCACCATAACCACCGCTAATAACAACAATGACTTGTCTCTTTTCAGTAACAACTATAACAACGGCGTCAATTCTCAATTCTCCTTCTCTTCTCATGGTGCTTCTTCTTCCTCTTCTTCAGCTGTGGACACTACGAAAGTTACCCATTCTACTGGTCAAAGATCCCGTCATCAGTTTTCCAGCCCTAATGCCACAGCCAACCAGAACAATACCGAAAGTTCCATATATGGCATGGAGAATACCAGGGCTTCCCAATATTTCACAAAAGATTTTGGCACCACTGCCTCTCAACCTTCTTTTAATTCCACTTTACAGAAATTTGACATTAAAAATATTAACCAACCTGCACCTGCTTTCAATTCCAGTGTCCATAATTTTGGCTTACAAAAATTCTCCCAAAGTGATTCCGGGGTAGTTGTCTTTAGGGATTCCACCCTCAATATTTCTGATAGCAATGCTGTCGCTTATGTTTCCAATAACGGTGGCATTTTGAACTCTAACAATAGTCAAGGTTCTTCAACAGCTAAGTATGGTGCTTTCGGTGATAGCACAAGTTCTGAATCTTCCAATTTTATCCACTCTCCTTTGGGAACTACATATAAAGAGTCCACGATGGTTAATGATACAGATTTTGCCAATAACGTCCGCTTAGAAGGACAAATAAATGAGGTTCTCAATAGCAAATTACACCAAAGACAAGAGCTTGAAAAACTTTCCGAGGAACTTAGTTTGACAAAAGGTGGTGCTCTAAAGGAAACTGTTGAACTCAGTGGTGCTGCTATTAGATTGTATGCACAGTTGGTTGAGCACACAGAGTCTCAAGAAAGAAAATTAAAAGACACCAACGCTCGTCTTGAAGCCATAATGACTGCCATGGCCATCGCTCCACCAAATGGTATCACCAAATACGGGAAATATGATGTACAGGAGGTTGCTCACAGATTCTTGATTAAACAAGAAACTTTGAAACAAGAGAACACAGAATTTAAGAAATTGCTTGACTATGGAAAAGCAAAAGAACATGATATAATTATTGGGTTGTTAGTTAACGAAATGAAGACTTTAAGTAGGCAAAAGGAAAGATTAGAAAAAGAGATTGCAACAACCAATTGAACTCTTTTTTTTTTTTATGTTTTCTTTTTGAGATGATGAATCATATTGGATTCTTCTAAAAATAATCTTTCCAGATTTGTGACAAAACATTCTCTATTAAAATCCTTAATCCCCATATGATTATTTTTTCTTTTTTTTTTTTTTTTTTTTTTTTTTTTTTTTTTTTTTTTTTTTTTTTTTTTTCACTTATCACTTTATTTGTCGTTAAGTTCTTGAGACAATTTCTCAGAAGACTTTCTAAACCTCTTCATTTTATTTTATTTTATTTTATTTACTTAGTTGCGGCTGAAAGCTTAAAGATGTTTTTTTGACCATTGAATTACCTCAAAATAGGATTAGTTTGTTGATTTTTTTCTAAAATTTGTGGCTTCACCATGTTATGATTTTTTTTTTTTAATTTTTTGTCATTCATGTATTGTGTGTGTATTTTACTTTTTGACTGATACGGATATTGTTTCTCTATATTATTCTGTTTCTTTTCCCAAATCTTAAACCAAAAGGGTTAATCTTTCCAAAGTGGGATTATCGACTTGAGTCAAGACGCGAATGAACAAAAATCTGACGTACTCCAGGAGCTTCGTAAATACTCGTAATAATTTTAATGATACCCCTGAACAGAAACAAAAGAAATTATATAAATCTTTCGTGATGGATGATGACCCCCATTTATTTTCTTTTTTTTTTTTTTTCAGAAGGTGTACTTCATTACAATAATTTCAAGGCACATATATACATAGGTATCTTATAATACAAACATCTATTTCAAATAGCATGAAAAAAAATACACTTTATAGGATTGTTTGTAGGGATCAATGAACATGCATCTACAGATGCCATTATTTATCACTCCCCTCCAAGTAAGAGAAGGCTAAACCAAATATTAGATCACTTTTAAACCAATATCAGCCGCCGCCTTTCCTATCCTCTATTTAGCAAATAATAATTAAAAGTCGTAATTTATGTCTAGAGCTTTATAGCAAGAACGCACACATTAAATTGCGCAATATAATTAATCTAACAACGCAGTGACTTCAGTACCACTCTTCACTGACGCATTATCATCATCATCAGATCCATTGGTTTTGGCAACACCCACCTTAGAATACCCCAAGGCTTCCACTTCCTCAAGCATCTTAGATCTAGCTTCCTCAGTCAATTTACCAACATCTTCTTTGGTTAATCCTTCGGTTGGGATTTGGTCCAAACAATTGATCAAAATTGTCCCAGAATTAAAGATTTTTTCCTTAAAATTGATAAGGTTAGAAGTGTTACTCACCACAATAGGGAAAATCGGAAGTTGAGAATCAACAGCAAGATGGAATGCCCCTTTCTTAAAGGCTCCCAATGTCAATTCTTTAGTATATGATCTGGTACCTTCTGGGAAGATCCAAAGACTTCTGCTTTGCAGCTTCAATTTAGATAACGCATCATTCAAAGTTTTAATGGATTTTTCACGGTTGCTACGGTCCAAGAAGAAGGTGCCACTTAATGTCATGAACCAACCAAGGAAAGGAATCCATTGAAGTGATCTTTTGGAAGTGACAGTACAGCCCTTTGGGAAAATTCTACCCAAGATGAGAATGTCCAAAGTGGATTGATGGTTACCGATAAGAATCCCAGGAAGGTTATTAACAAGTCTTTCTTCATTAAGGACTTCGATCTTGATCCCAAGAATTCTAGAAAAGCTTCCATAGAAAGCCCGAGCAGTAGCCCATTGGCAAAGATGTTGTTTCCCAATAAGAGTTAGAACAATAGATGCCACTACCCCATAAATAGCACATCCGAAGAACACGTTCACCGCAACGAATGTCTTGAGGTAGAATTTGGAAGTTTGAAGAAATCCCATTTTTCTTTTCGTTGTATGTTATAACAGCTACCTATGGAGCAGAAGATGATTTAACGATACGAATCAGTTGTTTATTAAGATCTGGTAACAGAATAGACTTTAATCTGTTGGGCTTTTTTTTTTCTTTTTTTCTCTCAAATACTATGCGCACCAGCTGACCGGATCTTTATGTTGAGACCACTGCCCTACAAAACATGTCAATAATAGCATTGAGTATACAAATTAATAAAAGAGGGTCTTCCATTATAGTATATTTATATAATAAAATGCACAAAGTCACGCAAAAACATAAAATCACATGCTTTCCTTGCATTTATCAATGGCTGTTATGAGATCTGGTCCACTCTTAACTCTGATAAAATACACTTCAACCTTCCCGTCGTTGAAAATTGGAATTTTGAGAGTGTTCTTCCCAGCTGTTTCGTATTTGACTTCCTTCATTACGTAAGTGTTCAACAACACATTGTTGGAACCCTCACTACGCAATACCAAACGGAACTTCTTGGTTTCCTTGTTCTCAAGAATACGAAGGAACCCAAGCCCTTTGGTTACATATTTCCCATCTTCAATCTGTAGAAGCTTGGCTTTCTTGTTGTATGTGATCTCTTCATTCTCTTCTCCGGCAAACTTTTCGTCATTTGGCTCAGTAGAAGCTGCAGGTTTTGGTTGATCAGAAGGTTCTGAAGAACTTGATTCAACAGGCTTAGATTCAGTTGGTTTGGACTCAGCAGGTTTAGCGAATGAGAAGTTGAATTTACCAGCATTGCTATTACCGAAAACAGGGGCACCAGAGTTAGCACCACCAAAAATCGAACCACCTGTGGCACCACTGTTACCAAAAAGTGAAGCTTTAGCAGGTGTTTCAGCAGGCTTAGCATTAGCTGTATTAGAGAAGTTGAAGGCGGCGGTAGGTTTGACAGAATCAGTAGTAGTAGTTTTACCGAATGAGAAAGATGGGGTTGAGCCTGTAGTGTTAGATGGTGTGAACAGGAATGCAGGGGCAGCAGGTTTGGCAGCGTCTTCGTTCTCTTTAGTTTCTGTCGGTTCTGACTGAGGCTTAGATGCAAAAGAGAAAGAAAATGCAGGCTTGCTGTTGCCGTTGGTATCACCAGAAGCAGGAGCGGCTTTCATGGTACCAAAGTTGAAAGCAGGCTTTGGAGCGTCTGAGGTTTTTTCTGAAGAGCTACTAGAAGCAGCACTAGCTCCAAAGCTAAAAGCAGGCTTTTCTGCTGAAGTGTCAGGTTTGGAGCTCATAGCACCAAAATTGAAACCAGTCTTTGGAGCTTCTTCTGACTTGTTGGCACCAAAGGTGAAACCAGTCTTTGGGGCTTCTTCAGTCTTGGCAGTGCCAAAATTGAAACCAGTCTTTGGGGATTCTTCTGTCTTCTTAGCACCAAAAGTGAAGCCAGTTTTTGGGGCTTCTTCTGTTTTTTTGGCACCAAAAGCAAATCCAGTCTTTGGAGCTTCTTCTGTTTTTTTGGCATCAAAAGTAAATCCAGTCTTTGGAGCTTCTTCTGTTTTTTTGGCATCAAAAGTAAATCCAGTCTTTGGAGCTTCTTCTTTCTTTTCCTCTTCTTTCTTTTCTCCTACAATAGCTTTTTTACCCCAGGTGAAAGCAGTGTCAACCTTTGTATTTTTAGCAGTCACATTGGAAAGGGTGAATTCTGGACCTTTGATTTCGATTTCATCCTCACTATCACTATCACTTGTCACCTTCTTCTTTTTAGCAGCTGCTCCGAATTTAAAGACAGAATTGGATTTGGTACCAGTCAGTTGGGTGAACAGGAAGGTTGGGCCCTTGATCTCGATCTTTTCATCATCAGAATCATCATCAGAATCTTCAGTAATTGCAACAATTGCAGGTTTCGAGGCAGGTTCTACTGCCTTCTGAGCATCAGAAACTGGGGCTATTGATGGTTTTGGAATGCTGGAAATCTTTGCTGGAAGAGCACCAGGACCAGACTTAGACACTGATCCATCTCTGATTTGCTTGAAATATTTAATATACTTGTCACAGTAATCAGTGTAATCACCCAATGGAGCCTTCTTACTAGAGATAGTCAAAGCTTGCATGAAGTTCTCATTTAGAGCCTTAATTTGTGATGCGATTGAACTATGTTCATTGGAAGTTGAGGAAGGAGCAGTGACAGTGCTAGAAGAAAATTTAGATAAGGAGTTGACAGGGTAAAGATTACTAGTTGTGGAGGAGACTTCGGAATTTGAGGTTTTGAATTTTCCAAAGGGGTTTGGCTTGGTGCTTTCAGTAGTAGAGCTGTTGCTATTAGAAGAACCATTACCAAAAATTGAGGAAGTAGAAGATAATGACTGGCTTGCTGAGGCAAAACTCCCGAATGGGTTTGCCTTAGGTTTATCTTCATCAGCAGCCACCGAAGTGTTTTTGCTGTCTATCTGAGGGGAAAATTTGGCTGATCCAGTCAATCTTGATCTCGGCTTGAGGATTTTTCTTTTTGAGAGAATATCTTCAGAAGCTAACTTGGCTTCTTGAGGGACATCATCATCCTCGTCCTCTCCGCGCCTATCATCTTTTGTGGCTTGATAGTTAGCAGTTCTCTTGTTCATATTAGATGTTGGATAGAGATATTTTTTGTCTCCTCTTTCTTCTTCTCTTTTGCCTTATGAGCTTAGAGTTCCTCAGGTTCCAAAGGCTTCTCGTAGTTGTTTTTCATATCTATGTTATTTTTTTTGCAAAAGAATTTTTCACCCAGCGCACATTCTCTACTAAACGGACTCAGACGGACTGACATCAAAATATAAGCGATGTCTTTTGTGGATTTGCCACTTTATCCTCTTGTATCGTCCACAAAGTCCAAGAATTAAACTTAATATTGCTGAGAGAAAACATGTCAGAAGAAGATCAGCTGTTTCCAGTGAAACTTTATGTGTATGACCTTTCCCAAGGGATGGCTAGAGCAATGTCACCACAAATCATTGGAATACAAATTGATGCCATTTATCACACCTCTTTGGTAGTTCATGGTAAAGAATTCTTTTTCTCTAGAGGCATAAGCTTCACCAACCCTCCAGGAAGCACAATATACGGCCAGCCAATCGAGGTGGTAGATCTCGGGGAAACCTTCATCACCGAGGACTTGCTAAATGACTACTTGGATAACATGAAGGCCGAATACCATGAAAATAGTTACGACTTATTCCAACACAACTGCAATCATTTTTCTAACGAATTGTCAGATTTTTTGGTCAACAAACAGATTCCTTCAAAGATTCGTGACTTACCGAGCTTGGTATTGAGTACCCCAATGGGGCAAATGTTTAGTCAAATGCTTTCGTCCCAATTGACGGCGTACGCCACCTCCGTGGGACCAAACGATCATAGCTTATGAGAGCAAACTTGTAATGAATATAGAGACTTATTAAAAATATCTGATAAAATTGAGCTGAGTTTTTTGACTCTGATTATATCCAGAATACTGGGACGCTTCTATGTCCTAGTTTCTTTTCACCTACGTATACTTTCAGAGTGTTATATTTGATAGAACGGCTCAGAATAGAAATTTACATTATACAACTTTTGGAAACTCAGATTGAAAATGTAAATGCTTTTGTATTTCTGAAGAGTGTAAAACCTATTGTATTATTCAAACAAGTTATATATATATATATATGTATGTCAAAGTGGAGAAAAAAAAAAAGAAGACAAAAACACAACTACCATTTTTAACGGTGTAACCCCCATTCATCATCAACACTACAACGTCTAGAGTTTTTTTACCAAACCTCTGAATTTTTGAACCTCATCCCAACAGTTCAATGGCTTATCACTATTATCCTTCAAACACTTCAAAACTTCTTCTCTGGAGCTGGACACGGTAGTATTGGCCTCTTTAGAGATTCTATCCTGGAAAAATTTATTGGAGTTAATAGTGTTTAGTTTTTGAGTCAATTCTTCTATTTTGGCATCCAACTTGCTAGATGATATTTCAGGAGTGGAGTCGGTCAATTCCAACTTAGATGAAAGAGTCTTGGACAATGATTCATTAGTTTCTTTTTGTAAATCTGCAAGTTTTTTGGAGACTTCTTTTTGAATGAATTTCTCAGACAATTGTGAGCGAGCGTAGTTTGACTAGGAAGAAAAATGTTAGAATTAGGCTCTATAAAATTTAATAACGTAAATCCAAAGTTACATACTTCTTCTGAGTTATCAAGTTGGTTGAGGAACTCTTGGGAAAATTCCACTGGAGTAGCAGGGGTAAAAACCTTAGTTTGTTCTGGTTTTGAGGCACTTGATCCCATATTTTAAAATATAACTTGTTTTGAAATTCTTCTTCTGAGATTCTTCCTTGTGGACTAAATGTTCCCAGTCTCGAATTCAATTCATCCAGATAAATTATGCCAGGCCTTTTGGTGTTTTTTTCCCAATTTTTCATTCTGTGAATTCTGTATGGACACAGTGGCTCCCAACCGCAAAATTTCCCAACATGCACCAAAACACATAGACACACAATGCTTCAGTGCAAGAAAAAAAAGGTTAGTAGATGTATAAAATTTACAGATAAAAACAATTCTAAAAAATTATTAGCTAACTGTTTACGGTATCCTTTAGACAAAAAAAAAAACAATAATAAATATCTGATTGCGTAAAACATGAAATAGAAGGGGGGAAAGACGAAATAAAAAACTATAGCCTCATTAAAGGAATTAGAGAACCCCAAAGAAAATAAAGAGGAATAAGCCATTCTTGTGAATAAAATAAATAGAAAAAGAAAAAGTTACTGAAAAACTTGAGTCATTAAAGTTAAAATCGTGAAGCAAAGAAAAAAAAAAAAAGGTCAATGGGCAATGAAATAAATAGAAAATACAAACTAGAAATGAAAAAAAAAAAAAAAAAGAAAGCAATCATAAACTGAAAACTGGTGGTTCGACAGTGGTATTATCATCATCAGTGCCTGCTTCCCTGTCACAATGATTCTTTTGTCTTTTGAGCCCATTTTCATAACTACCTTGCTTCTCAAATTGATAATCGTCCTTGATAACTACCAAATCGTCCAAATAACGTAATGCAACTCTGGCATGGTTAAAATCGGGGGCCATGGTAGTCAATTTCCAATGGAAATCTCGGTAATAAGCAATGAATTCTTGCTTCTCTTTTTCAAGGTGGACCAACTGATCCTGCACTTCTTGGGTATCATTTGGCAGCTGTGGTTGGTCACGAATAATTCGAGCTTTGGTAATTTCTAAGTTGACGGTTTTGACAAGCAAGCCAAGAATAACTCCAATGAAAATAAATGACCGTCTGGTGTTCAACAACCAGAACGATTCTAAATTATAAGGTTTTAGATTGAATAAGAAATTGTAAATAATACATTTCAAAAAATCTTTCACTTCTGGTTTGACTTTTTTAAGCTTATCAACAATTTCTTCAGTTTTAATTTTCAAGGATGATTTATCCGGGCTAGATAAATATGACTCTAGAACATCAATATACTTACTGACAATTCTTTTGTAGATCAACAAAACTAAAGTGTAATACAATAAGTTCAAAGACCCGTTTGATAACAAACTGAAGCTTTTATAGTCGAAATAATTACTCTTCTTCCCTCCTACCAACATGAGAGATCCAATATCTTGTTGATTAGAATTGTTATTCATAGCTCTATGAACTAATTTAATCAGTTCCGGTAAGGATTTGAACCAATTTTTGAGATTTTCAACTAAGGGAACTGACTTTCCATAAATTGTATCAAAATCATCAAATCTAAGAGACTTTAAGCTATAAATGCTCACCAAAATCTCATCCATACGCGACGATAAATTCATCGTCTCAATGAAAATTAGTTTAGAAATGAATTTGTTATCACTATCTTTGCCCAAGTCAACATCTTCAGTATCTTCTTCTTTGAGTTCAACCCCATTTAGCGCACTCTCAGTAGTAATCAAATTGAACATTTTGTTGCTAGACATCAAGTCATTTTTCTCCAAAGTCATTAGACTTTCCGTGTCAATCAAGAAATCATTGTATTTAAATTCATCCAACATCCAATTATTTTCTAAATCAATATTACTCAGTCTTCCATCAAATAAGGAGTACAATTTATCATGGAAAACCACTGCCCAGGAAACGATCTTCCTGACTTTTCTCTCCCAGAGCGGAATGTCATCCCAATCTGCAGAAGGCCAATTTAATCCTATTTCCTCGGAAAAAGTGGTCATCATGGAGGAGATTTTCCAATAGGAACCAGTGCTGAATGGATTATTATTACTTAGAAAATTATAGTTGGAAAGTAATAGAAGTGCTTGCATGAATGAAAATTTAGGAGCCTCATAAAGATTGTCTTGCATTAATGCAGTCGCAATCAGTTCAAGCTTCATAATGTTTGGTTTTTCAGCACTCTTGGCAAATGTTTCATCAGAACTAAACCTCCCAAGAACATCAAATTCATTAACATCAAGTTCCCACCAGTTCAACGCCAACAAATAAATGGTTACTAAGAGTAATGGATGGATTTCCCTATAATTGCGGCAATATCTTTCGTAGAAAACTTCCTTTGATAAGATAGGCAAAGTGGGATGTACGAGCTTAAAGTAAATATTTAGTAAATAGTTACTGTTCTTCCCAACAAGCTCTTCAATCTCATCACATTGCAAGTACTTCAAGTTGGTGAATTCATCCACATCATCAGCGATTTGAAAAAATGTTTTCTCATTTAATTTTCTAATGATTGTGTTGTCGTCTTCCACTTCAGAGATCGGGCTCTTGATGAGACTTATCGTATTAGAGTCTTCTGTTTTGAAATCCAATAATTTTTTATCCACAATAGAGCATTCACCTATAATTGTGGCAGATTTAGAGCTTAATAAAGATAAAGAACTCGACATGACTGTTGGTTCACGGAGCAAACTATAGTCTTTCACCGGCTTTTCAATAGCAGTTTCATTATTGTTTGTGAGTAAGCTAACTTTTCCAATCACAGGGAATGAATTAATTAAACTCAGAGGGTATGTGCAAATTGTATTTCTCTTTTCGCATTCGACACACGAGGAACTATTTGCCAGCCTGATACATTTTGATCTCTTCTTCTTGCAAGCCTCACAAGGTTTAGCTCTATGAGATTTCCCACCAGAAGTATTCTTTTTCACATCTTTTTCAATGGTTAATTGTGATGGCAATTTACTATCGGCCTTCATCAATTTGTGAGTTCCCGAAAGCAGATTTATGTTGTTGAATAAAAAAATCTTTTTGCTGTCATACTCACATGGCTGGTTTCTCTTGGTACATTCAACACAACTTCTTTTATTTTCAGGAATTACACATTTAGTTTTCCTCTTTCGACATCCATCACACGGTTTAAATCTCGATTTCTTGATAGGTTTTTGTCCACCACTAATGCTTCCGGAATTATTGCGCTTCAACACATTGTTGCTTTCAACAAAGACCTCGCCGCTCTGTTGTTGTGTCATAGCAATTTCCGGCAACTCTAGAGAGTCCAAACTGAGAGGCTCCTTTTCTTCAAATCTTTTACCTGATTCATGATTTGCAGACAAAATCGGGAGCAGAGGCTCATATAGATTATTTTGTGTATTCATGTTTATCCCATCGAGATGTAGAGGAGCAGAGTCTCCATTAATATTGGGTATCACCATATTATTAAGATTACTAAGGAAATCAGTCAGACTGTTATTCATCAGTGAGGGATATGGAGAATTGGAAGAGTGAGAGCTTCCAGGGGAGTTACTGTTGTTGGTGTTCATCGGAAATACATAATTGGGTGTTGCATATCCCGAAGGATTTGCATTAACAGAAGGTTTTAGGCCATTCTTGAGATTGGATTTTAGGACATCTTGCGGGTTCGAGCCATTCATATTCTCCTAAACTAAGCTTTCGGCCCAATGAACCAATACAGTAAGAGTAACTGTTTCTTCTGCTACTTCCTCTACTGATTTAAATCTTTAATAGAAAACAGCTCTTAATTATTTTTCTCTAAAAAAATTGACGAAAAAAAGGGGATAATGCAGCATACTTGCAGTCAACATTATTATAAATCCAATCAAAAAAAAATTTATTAGCATTGATATATGGGGTTTAGTAGTTATATCAGTTTTAATTCAATAAAGCAACACACCTTTGATAAAGTAATAAAGAACATGAACTCCGTACAGACCAAATCTCGAGGCTTCCTAATCATGCCAATGTTGCAGATAATAGCAGGAAGACACATTGCGACTCATATATGACGTATATATATATCTTCTCTGAATTTTCCTTCTATTCTTTGTCCTTTTGATTACCATCATCATCATCATCATCATCATCACCATCGTCATCATCATCACCGTCATCATTACTAGCCTCACTATCTGTGTTTCTATTGCTAATGCCATCATCATTATTGTTGGAATCTTCATCATCGTCATTGTCATAATCTGATGGTGGTCCAATTTTCTTAATGATTACTTCCACAATATCTGGCCATTCTCTCATTCCAGCTAAACTGGTATTACCTTTACCAATGACCTTCTCCATAGGTTGCAATATTTGAATAAAGGGAAAGTATTGTTTCATTAAATCCAAGTGCATCCTTGTAATTGGCTGAGAATACGCCATATTATTAATGCTAAGGGCGGCAATTATTGGTTTTTGTCTATTCCAGGTGGTGACTATAGTCGTCAACAAGTTTGTTGCCAATCCGTTAACTATCTTCGCTAAAGTATTCGCAGACAATGGAGCAATCACCATCAAATCTGCCCATTTCCCAAGATCCAATTGCAAAATAGGTTCTGGGTGGAAGTGCTTCTCAAAAGGCTTTTTAGATTTCAAGTATCTTGATTGATAATTATAGGCATCTTTATCAGTCCAAATTCTCTCGATTCCCATATCCATAATTTTTTGCCAATTGCTCTTTTTCTTCAAATTTGGCTCGTTCTTACCATTATTTGCATCATCTTGTAAATTCAAAATATTTAAAGCAGAATCTGTCATTACAATCTTAATGGCAATCTTATCCGGTGTATAGGTGCTGAAAAGCTTTTTAACAACTGGTAGCACTTTGCTCACCGAGGTGCTCCCTGAAACACCGAGTAAAATATGGATCTTCTTATCATCTTTGTAAGGATAATCTGAACTAGCAATTCTATGAATGTTATCATTTGATAAACAGGGTGACCCTAAAACACTAGATATGGTGCTTCGATCATCCATGATCCTCACCAGAGAACGAGGGGTTTCGTCTGCTATTAGTTTTCCTATGCTGGTGGGATCACCATTCAAGATGGAAAATGCATTGCTTGGTTCGTTATGCTTTGCAGTTATTGGTTTAATTAGATCATTACCACTCAGATCAGCCCCATGGATTGCTTGTCTTCTTTCTATTGATTGATCTAAAATAAAGCACGGATGAGCAACAGAATTTGAGTCGCTGTAATTGCATTCAAACCTCGATGGCGATGACAAGTTTGATCTAGGGAGTTTCTCATTTGCGTTATTGATTTTGAGTATCAATTTGGAAGTCAATTTCTTTTGCTTTTCTCTAACTGTTGTTTCTTGCGGCATAATTGAAATAATATTTTTCCTTTCAAATTCTTATAATTATCAGATTTTGTTAAATTTTGATTTGATTTCAAGTAAAAAAAAATAGATGGTGCGATGAGCTGACGCTTATTATTGCTCTTGGCACGTGCCAATAATTAAAGCATGAAAAAGCTACTACATCAACTCATCTCTGGATCATTGACTCCGGAGTTCAAAGGGAACTAGAACATGGATTACGACTCTGCAACTATAATTAAGAACTGCAAAGTCACAATCGATATTTTGAATATTGATGACGGGAAAATAGAGATTCAGGAGGCTATCGGGGCTCTAATATTCTATTTGCAAGATGGCCAAGTGCCAAGTGCGACTAAGCTATCCTTAGAAGCCATTACTTCAACGATTTCTGTTCGGAAAAATTTAATTTCTAAATATATTGATTCTAACATATTGAACTTTTTGAGTACCCAACTTTCCAGTGGTGATGATGAAGTCAAAAGATTAGTTTGTGTGTTGTTGAGGTTGATCATTAAGGAAGAAGATGATACTGTCAATAGATACAAACACTTGAGCCATATATGTGCGTCATCAATACCTGATTTGTTAATAGCATCAAGTGGCAGTGACAATAGTTATGTACAGTTCCATGCCTTGTTTGCTATATCTAATCTTATTAATCATTCTTCGCCTCAGTATGTTCGCTCATTAATATCCAATCCAAGCATTTTCCGAGTGATGGGTAATATATTGGATTCAAAAACCGGAAAGAATACCTTTGATGAATTGGACACAATAGTAATTGTGAAAGTCTTAACGATAATATCATTATTGTTGAAAGCTCCCGAAAATTCTGACGCTTTTGGAATTGTGAAGGATATGGGATTACTATTCAAAATATTTGGGCTCTTAACAATAGACAACCCAATAATATTAGAGTATACCATTGCTGTATTCATCAATATCACTTGTTATGCCGATACTTCGATTAAAGAAGAATTGATAAATTTTGGAATATTGCTTCTGATAGCAACTGCTATCCAAAGATTTTCATACTCAACAAATTCTAGTAACTTGAATATTTTACTAAACTGTGCAAAAGTTTTGCTGAACTTAACCAATTTCCCAATTGCCGAAGTAAAAAATCCAGAGAATGTGAATTCAATGGATGTGCTATTCAATAACAGGGAAATTATTGTTAATTCCTTTGAATTGGTGAAGACAAGAGATTATAATATTCAGCTTTGTGCTCTCAAGACACTTGTGAATCTTTTGAACTTGCTGAGCACAGCCAATATTGTCAAAGACTTCAAAGATTACAATATTCTACCAGAAATTAAAAAAATATATTCTAGAATGTTGAAGGATAATAGTACTGACGAGCGCGAATTTATGTATTCTCATTCTTCTATGAAAGATGATATCAAAAATCAGGTCCTAAATATTTTGGGTTTATTATGTTTGTACGATGATGCATTGATAAATATGAAATCGGAAATTGTGAATGAGGGATTTATTGCTCTTTTGATAGATGAATTAAAGGAGCAGCAAGTATCTAATGAATCGAAACTCACCTTGAAGGTGTTGGAATGTTTATTTTGTCTAAGTCTGAATAATTTTTCTGCCCAACAGGAAATTTCAATCCACAAAGAAAAAGTTCTAGAAATATGCAATGATGCTCCCCCATCATCTGTATCACGGGTTCAAGAATTGGTTTGTGGGATATTTTGAATATTTTTGCATTCCTGGGCAATCACTACCAAACTAATCCCATGAGAAACTCTTTAGCCTCCAGTGTTATCACGGTCTGAACGTCAATATCTTTCAAATGTTTGACATGCTCACTTTCAGCGAGCTTCAAGGCTGCTATCCCTAGTGCGGAATGATAAGGATCGGGTGTATCGTCGTGCACTTTTCCAAAACCTCCGATCAATGAATGTTGGGTTCCATTTAATAAATAGTAATCTACGGCTTGCACATTAACAATATGCTCCTTTTCCAATATCTTCAAGGACCCGATAACCCAAAACGCATAGCAAGTGTCTGCATATTTGTTCTCTCTTCCATTAAATCCCCCTAAATCATCAAAATCTAAGTATTCGTTATCTTTAAATTCTTCTTTATTGTACTTGTTCACCCAAAACTGTCTCCTTGAAAGCCATTGAATTGTTTTGGAGAAGGTTTGATCTATATTTTGCTGCTTGATCCTGCCAATCAATTTCAAGGCAACTAAACCACAAAAAGTGTAGCCAGCATGGGCTTCATCTAGTGGGTTACCTCCTAGACCACCATTGTAGCTTATGCAACTCATAATATATCTTTCGAGGGAATCAATATCAATATCGTACTTTCCTTTTTCTTTGTCGGAGAGTTTATCAATTTGTAACATTTTTCTAATTGAGCTGGCAATAAGACACATGCGTAGATCATTTTCTCCGTATGGTTTTCCGTGAATGTCAAGCACCGATGAAAACGAACCACTTGACAATTGGCATTTTCTGAGATATGTCATAATTTTAAAGCGGTCAATCCTTTTTGTCAACGAATCATCTTTCAAAGTAGATAATATGCAGAGAGCAAAATAAGTAGACGGTAAATGTGGGGGGTCGTAGCCATGATCATCCGTGGCTAAATCATGAGTTAAGGAGCCTCTAAAGCCTTCTCCCATGTAGTGTTCATAAACCCAATTTATGGTTTCTTCTCGTTCTTCTGGTTTTTTGAAAATTGAAGTTTCAATCTCATTAAGCATGTCAAGGGCTACCAAACTAAAGTAAACCAATGATAGTTTGTTTGAATCTTGGGTTTGAACTCTAGCAGGTAGAATATTCAAGCACATTTGGAAGTATTTGGCATGCTTTCTGGCTTCGAAAGCTAGTTCTTTTCCTGCCAAATTTTTATACTCAGGGTCTTCTTCGAAGAATCGAAGGGTTTTCGGTAACTTCTCCATTATAATGCTGCAAATATATTTGACTTGTGGTGCCTGATAAGGTGTTTCTTGATTTCTTTAAGTTTTCGGTGGCAGCACATTTATTAAAAGCGGGTCAGCACCCAAAAAAAAAACTGAAATACGAAAAATTGAAACTCTCAGAAGATTATTATCATGATTATAACACTCAACTACATATCATCCAAAGAACAATTAAAGAAAATTTCTTCTCAATAATGTATAATAAAAATAGGCGACAGGTAAACGATCAAAAGTCTTCAGCACAATCATCATCATCATACCTTCAGAACATTGAACAACAATTGGCATCACAGCAACGGAAAACAGCACATAGAAGAATTGTTGATCATGGGAACATCGTGGGTAGATGGACATTGCAAAGAACCATGGGTATAAGGAAGCAAAGATTGGGGAAAGTTAGGCCTGAAGCATCATTCTTAATAGATTTACTACCTCCAGCAGCTTACAAAGATGAGTTTCCCATCCTTGATATGCAAACAAAGTTTATCCATTTGAGTGCTAACAAGGCAAAACATGCAATTAATACTGTTGCCTGGACACCAGAAGGGCGAAGATTAATCAGTGCAAACTATGCTGGGGAATTTACTCTATGGAATGGAATGACCTTCAATTTTGAAACTATTATGCAAGCTCATGATACCTCAATTCACGCCTTGAAATATTCACATAATGACGACTGGTTGATCTCTGGGGATCAGGAGGGAGTGATTAAATTTTGGCAGCCCAATTTTAACAATGTTAATATCGTCAAAGGTCATGTGGATGCCGTTCGTGATCTTGCATTCTCTCCAAATGACTCTAGATTTGTTAGTTGTTCAGATGATAGATTCTTGAAAATTTGGAATTTCAACACTGGTGAAGAGGAAAGAGCTCTTAAAGGTCACAATTGGGATGTCAAGTGTTGTGATTGGCATCCTAACTTGGGGTTGATTGTCAGTGGCTCTAAAGATAATTTACTCAAATTGTGGGACCCAAGGTCTCCTACCGCTGTTAATACAATTTTGGGTTTCAAGCACAATATCGTCAAGACAAAGTTCCAACCAAATGGTACACAAAGATTAATTGCTAGTGTTTCTAAAGATAGGTCTTGTAGAATCTTTGATATCAGAGCTATGAAGGACATGCTTATTATCAGAAGTCATGAAGCAGACCTATCTTCGGTGGCATGGAACCCCGTTCATTCTTCAATGGTTTCAACTGGTGGATATGATGGGTCAATAAACCATTACTTCATTAATTCACATCAGTTTGAAGCAAGCTTAACGGAATCAGTCTCCAGTAGCAAGAATGGAAACGCTGGAAACAAAGATTCTACTGGTGATGAAGCTGGTAATGATAACATGGCTATGAATAATAAAACCTTTTACCAAGCTCCATCTATAGAACCGACTCATACTATCCCATACGCACATGAAAAGGGCATTAACTGTTTGGAATATCATCCGTTAGGCCATGTTCTTTGCTCTGCCGGGGCTGATAGGTCTGCTAGATTCTGGTGTCGTTCCAGACCGAATGATCCACATGCATTTAATGATGAGTTATACACCAACAACAAAATTGGTGCATGGCATTATGCTATCAACAATAATGTTAATGCTGTTAGGAATGCTGATGACAAACCAGCCTTCACCAACGTTACAGGTCAAAAGCTATTTGGGAATAATAACAACAATAATGGGAAGAATAATACTAATAGCATGAATATTAATAGCAACGAAAATGACCAGAGCAACAATAATAATACTTACAACAATAACAACAACAACAACAGCAGCAGCAGTAATCTTTCAGGTGGTCCTCAAGAAAATGACAATATACAAATGAATCAAGATAATTTGAACAATACTGGTGATCCCCGTCGATATAATAGCAACAACAGACCAATGTCGTCTCTTCCTGGTCTTGGACGGAGAAGAGCATAGTTATAAATGTATAATAATAGTGACACTAATAATAATAAAAAAAAAATTAGATAATTTGTTATTTTATTTGATCAATATGTGTGTGTGGGTTGAAGATATATGCCAAATCTTCTGTTACCCGGGGTTCAACGTTCAATCAAGAGCGGGTAACTTTTCATATTTCTCGTATCTTGTAAAAGTGGCAATTTTAGCAGTGCGAATCCATTCCTCCACTAAATTGAATCCATCAATATCGCCTTTTGACACCTCAATTATTGCAAAAAATGTCTGAATCCTTGCTCCCTGTTGTCATAAGACATGCAGGTAAAACCCACAATGTCAGTGTTGACTTAAACGAACCAGGAATCTTATTCAAATCGCAAATCTTTTCGTTAACAAATGTTCCACCAGAGAGACAAAAGGTCTTGGTCAAAGGCGGTCAGTTGAAAGATGATACTGATTTGAAGACTTTAAACCTAAAACCAAATCAAAGCATCATGGTTCTCGGAACTCCTGATAGTACTGGTATTCCTCAGAAGCCAAAGGAGAAGATTGTTTTCCTTGAAGATTTGGAGAAGCAAGGTAAATTAACCGAATTTTCTGCTGATCCATTGGGATTCCAAAATTTGGGAAACACTTGCTATTTAAATTCTACTTTGCAGGCGTTAAACAATGTTGATGAATTGAAAGGTGCTTTACAAAAATACGAAGGTAATGATGCATTGGTCAAAGAATTGAAGCAAACCTTCCAGAGACTTCAAAAGGGTAAAATATCAGGTAACGGGCGCTACATTATTCCTTTATCTCTCTTAAATTCTTTGAGATCTATTTTCCCGCAATTCGCTGAACAAGATAATCATGGTTATAAACAACAAGATGCTGAAGAATGTTTCAGTCAAATCTTATCCAATTTGAAGCTGACATTACCAAATGATTTTGTTGACAAATATTTTGGCCTAAGATTTAAAACTTATCAAAAGTGTCAAGAAAATGACCCAGAGGATCAAGAAGTCATTGGCTATGATGAAGGTATGAAGTTGTCTTGCCATATTAATATCAACACAAATTTCTTGAAGACTGGGTTATCTGAAGGTACCAAGGACATCATAACTAAACACAATCCACATTTTTCCAGAGATGCAAACTACGTGATTGAAAGAAAAATCACCAGATTACCTAAGTACTTGACAGTTCATTTTGTGAGATTTTATTGGAAGAGAGAAATCAGAGCTAAGGCAAAAATTTTGAGAAAAGTAGCGTTCCCATTCCAATTGGATGTTACAGATTTATTGGATGAAAGCGTTAAACCTACTAATATAAAGACAAGGGATGAAATATATAAAGTTGAGAAAGAGAAGGAAGATGAATTCAAGGAACAAAGAAGAGCTAAGAAGATGAAACCTTCTGAAGATAGAAGTAGACTTCTTTTATCTAGCAAAGAAAAGTTTGAGCTTGAAGAAAAAGAATTTCAAGAGAACGAAAAGAAATGGTTAGGCGAATTTTCTAAAGTTTTCCCAGAGGATCTAGGCGAAGGTGAGGCTCCATCGCCATTATATGACTTGGTCAGTGTTATCACTCACAAGGGTGCTTCTGCAGATTCAGGTCATTATCAGGCATTCACTAGAAACGAAAAGGATCTCACTGGTAATAGCTGGTGGTACTTTAATGATGATAAGGTTTTGAATGTCACCAAAGACAAGATTGAGTCTTTAGCTGGTGGTGGTGAAAGTGATAATGCTTTGATTTTAATTTACAAGGCTAGTGGTTTATGATACAAGCTGAAGGAACAGGATCCTATCTCATTAAAAAAAAAATTCGCTTTATTGATTTCAATAAAGTATATGTATAATTATAATAAATTGGAGATATAATATATATGAGATACATCCAAAAACAAAATTGTAGTCATTTTGAAAAAGCGGCCTTAATTTATGTTGAACTCAATTTGATGCTGATGTTATGAGCCCCTGTAAAAAATATCCTGTCTGTGTTTTTTTTTCCTTGAAAGGTTTGGAGAAATGAGTAGATGTCGAGAAACGAGCAGCTTCAGTTGTTCAAGGGTGACTTTAACTAGATCATATTATTGTTTGGCATCAAAGGGGAAATAGATGTCTATCAGTATTCCCCAAATCCCATTCATAAATAACCCATCGGGGTATTTCAAGCGGCGGGATGAAAGGCATGATGGAAATAAGCGTTTGACGCGTTTAATAAAAGATACTAGATCCTATGTATTCGTCCCCTTAGAAGATTCCTTTGAGAAGCAAAATCAATTAAATCTTATTCGATTAGAATCACAGGGTATTTCTGGTGATATTGAAGCTTTATGGTCTGAAGCACATGAGCTCAGACAAAATGAAAGAAGGGAGATGATTGATCGTGGATTTTTGGATGATGAAAATTCTAGAAGAAGTTTAGACCAGGCAATTTCGTTTAGGGGAACATGTATAGATATGTGTCCTGTTTTTGAAAGAATTAAAAGAACCAGGCAAAATAATGTTAATTCTCATGAAAAAGATCCGCAATCAGGTGTAATATCAAGAGAAAGAGCTATCAAGTCATTTGCGCGGCCCGCTGCTGGTCAGGAGCCACCATTGCCATCTGATGTTAGACCACCTTCTGTTCTTTTGAACACATTAGACTTTATGGTCGATCATCTACTTGATAAGATGCCAGAGACCCAATCATTCATATGGGACAGAACAAGATCCATTAGACAAGATTTTACTTTCCAGAACTACTTTGGGCCTGAAACAATTGAGTGTAATGAGAAAATTGCACGTATACATATAATGTCACTACATATCATGGCCAACTCTACAATCGACTACTCGCAACAACAAGAATTGGAACAATTGGAAAAGTCACTAAAGACATTGGCTGAAATGTATGATGAATATAGAAAAAAAGGTTTCCCGCAACCGCCTAATGAAGCTGAATTTAGAGCTTATCATTTGCTACTCAAGATCAATGACCCCGATCTAGAAAGAAGCTGCGAAAAATTACCATCAAAAATATTCAAGAGTAACTTCATTCAGATTGCTCTACTTTTCAGAAGGCTCTTCACCTTCAGGCTGCTGCTGAATAGTTCAAATCTTTATACAACTTTCTTTGACGTTGCTTTAAGCCCCAAAGTTCCGTTTTTAATGGCTTGTTTACTAGAAGTGAAATTCAATGATTTAAGATTTAAAGCCTTACGAGCACTTCTTGCCTCTAACCATTCAAAGAGTAAAAATGTCACTCTCCTTCATTTATTTGAAGTTTTAAGGTTCCCGGATTATAAAGAGGTCAAAAAATTTCTAGAGTTTCATGGTTTGAAATATTTTGCAGACTCAAAGGGAAATGAGTGTGTTGACATGAGTACTGTACCAAATCTTTATAATCGTAATGGGAAGACAGATGGAGCTCCAAAGGTTTTGAAAAGTGCTTATGATCCCAGAATCAATGTTAAAATGGCTAATATGACAAGAAGTCAAGTTATCAGTGATGGTAGAAGAAATAATTTTAACATTGAGTCCTCAAATATCAAGCAATTTCCCATTAGCGTGAACCAGAATATTGAAGCAATCCCTAAGGCGAATGGGTTTCTGTTCAGCAACGAAAATCAAAAGCTGTCTATGTTTTCAGGTGCCAACCGTGGCTTTTCATTTGCAAATCCGATGTCTGACCTGAATGAAATTAAGCAGCAACAAATTGAACAATTAGAAATACAGCGAAAACAAGAAATTGAGAAGCAAAAACAGGCTCAAAAATTGCAAGAGGAAAAGATAAAGCAAGAGAAGATGAAAATCGAGTTCAAGAAGCAAGAGTTACTAAGGAAGCAAAAAGTTAGAGAAGAAGAGTTGCAAAGGAAAAAAGAGGAAGAATTTAGAAAACAGCAAGAGATTAAACGCCAACAGGAGGAAGCTATAAGGCTTCAAGAAGAGCGGATAAGAAGGGAGAAAGAGGATGCTGCAAGGAGAAAGCGCGAATTGGAGATCCAACGCTTTAAGGAAGAAGAGAGGAGATATAAGGAGGCATTATTAGCGAGGAAGAAGGCTAATGCTGCTAAATTATCCAAAGATTTATTTGAGTGCTTTTTAAATGAAATAGTTTATGAGAATGTATTGGTAACTATTGCTGATAGAAAATGGGAAAAACTGTTGAAGAAACATTACTTGAAAAAGATTGTTGCCATGGCACGAATCTGCAAAGAAAATTATGATGAGAAGCAGCGAAAACTTGATGAATTTTACAGAACCCAAAGGCTGTTTGGTTTGACGCCTAATATTGCCCACATCACGAAACGAATTGGTATAGTTAATGATGTCAAGAACAATGGCACTCTTATTTCTCCTACTGCAAACCAATCAACAATGATTGAAGCTATTAAGCATCGTGTTGATTCTGACGAGAAAGTGAAAAATCTTTCCAAACATCCAGACAAAGTGGATATTCTGTTTTCCAAGCCGGCCCATGAATTGACTATCATATTGCCAGAAGAGGAAAAATTGCGCATGCGTCAAAAGGAACGAGATGATGCTATCAAACTTTGGAGTCCTTTAAATTTATCCTCCTTTGTAAAGCTGTGCTCAAAAAATGTATTGTTAGATGTATTAGATAAGAAATTGGATATTTCAGTTTTGATCTCTGTTCCTAGTTGGGAAAGTCCCTCTTCTAAGTGGTTGAAATCAAAGTTTGGGTTATCAAAAAATAACATATTGAAGACTTATGAAAGAACAGAGAATAGCAGCAAAATAACTGTCAGATTTACCAGTTACCATGAATCATGTTTAAAGAGTACTGCATTTTTAATATTCGAATGTGGATTTAATGATAACCATAAGGATTATTCTTCTGGGTCAAGTGCCAAAGATAAACTAATTTCTGATGGGAAGCTCCTTCTCCAGTTTCTTGACCTATTAGATTCAAAGAGTAATTTCAAGTTTCAGTTAATGTTGTTATTTTGGAAAGATGAAAATTTGAAAATCACAGAATTGGATATTTACAAGTTATTGAATATTGACAATTTGAAATCTAGATTTAAAGGAAATCTTGTGGACTTGTTGTTCTGCCCATTAGATATCAAAAGTGGCGATTCAGTTGCCATTGACAAACGATTATCCAAAGCTATTCTCAGAATGGCAAAGCATTTTAAAGCAGCACTAACAGAAAGTGGAAAAAATGCTATAAAGTTGAAACCAGTGATCAAACCAAAACGTATTAGGAATCCATTGCCTACTATAAATGATACTGAAATATCAAATGTTGATGATACCATTGCCAAGAGGAGCGTTGACTATGAAACCTCTATCGTGCAGCAGCATCCATATTTCAAGAGATATCAGTTCTATGACCAACCATTTCTGAGGAAGCAAAAGTATCTTTCGCCTAATAAAACTACTATCCTTGCACCTTTGGAAGTTTCGGCAATTGAAGAAGGGGTCGATGATACCAAAAAGAGAAATATTACAATCCAAGGGGGAAGTACATTGAAGAGGCCAAAGGTTGGTGCTAATAACTCTATGAATCAATTACGTGGTAACTCGAGTTTCTATGAGATTCCTTTAGCGCATAGTTCCATGGTCCAAGGCTCGCATGATGTTCTTTTGAGGACAAAGGGATTTAGAAAACCATTTTTGTCAAGAAGACCAAATACTACCATGAATAGTCATGCTAGTTTCAATAGCACTTACAATGATAGCGTGACCAATCATAGCTTCTCTATTTTGAACTCCCGATTCAATAGGATTTCCAAACCTAATGAAAATATTAGTGAAATGCAAAATCCAAGTAAAACGAGAAATTTTTCTAATCTTTCATTCGCAAATAACAGTCGCATTGAAAACTTTAAACGCAATTCTCCATTTTCCTTGTTCAATCTGACTAACGCTACTCAATTTTCAAAGAATGGAACGTTCAAAACACCCCTGTTTATTTCGAATCACAGTAATTCAGAGGCTAAAAAACCTGGCAGCACCAATTTCACCCCACCATCTAGCCTAAAAGATGCTGATGGTAGTAGTTTGCTTGATTTAAAGAAACTTGTTTCTAGTGTGAAGTCGAAATATAGCAGACGAGATTGAAGTCTTCTATTAATGTACAGTATGTCTTTATTTTATTTATTTTTTATTTTATTATTTTATTATTCTTTCCATTCTTATTGCATTTGATTTATTTTTTATTTTACACGTTGTTTTACGTTTTTATTTATTACTTGATGATCTTAATCTAATACAAATTCTGAGCCATTGCGGCGTCTCATAGCATTGAGATTGCTTGTTTTTGTTACCTATTTTTTTATCCTCTTTCAACCCGAATTACTGTATTTTAAATCATATACTAGTGTTCTTTCTAAGTAGCTGTTCATCTAAGGAAGAAAAGAAAGGGCCTGCTTGTGTTGGGGTGTGGCACCTCCCTTAAGAAATCAAAAGATGTTTTTCTTTCATTTTTGGAAAACTGCGATGTCAGCCCAAATTTCTGTCAATGAATAACATATCAGAAAAATCTAAAGCAGGCATGGGTCTTAAAAAAGGGACGTCGATAAAGAAATCTGTCACCTGGGGAGACGTCGACGATGGTGATTCCAAGAATTTAGCGACTGGTGCGGAACCAACGTCGCCAACTTTGAAATCAAAATTACATCTGGCCACACCAATGATCCAGTTCAAATTCTACAATATTCCTTTCCAAAGTTTGGGAATCATCTATTATTTATTATACGTTGACTATCAGCTGTTGATAAAATATGATACTATCAACTTTACTCTTCTCAAGGCGTTACCATTGACCTATTTCGGCCAGTTGTTATGGTTGTCGACTTTCAGTGTCGCCGTTCCGATAAGCGAAAAGAAAAGAAGTACCACCACCACCACCACCACGACGGCCACAAGAACTAAAAGATTGGATCTTAGCCCTTCGCTCGTTTTTGCTGCCACTTTGGCCGCGCTTCTATCGTCGGTGGTAATATATGCGGTCGCGGTGCTACTAGGGTCACCGATTCTTGCATTTCAAAGCCAGACATTATTGTTTTCTTTGCACCTTTCAATGCTTGTGACTTTCCCATTAATCATGGTGTATCAGTTCAATTCTAACCATTGGTGCAATCTCATTGTGGAATTATCTAATTGGAAGTTCCTTTTGAAAAACTCTGTCTACTTGGTGGCTTTGGCTAGTGCCTTGGGTGGTTGGGCAGGTGTTTTGACTATACCTTTAGATTGGGATAGAGATTGGCAGATGTACCCAATTAGTTTGGTGATCGGTGCCTACCTTGGTAGTTTAGTCGGTGGAGTTTTATGTTTTATCGGCTCTTTTGTGCCTGTTTAAATTATTCTAATATATGTTAGACCATTCTTCCCGTCAACGAATGTTATTCTTATCACACTTGGTTTTTTTTGTGTAATGAATAATTGGAATTTGATTAAACTAAAAAATTATTATATTAATTTATTAATAGTAACGAGAAACCACCACTGTGTAGAAGAAAAAAAAAGTAGCTTGAAAAAAAAAAGACCCAGAAATGATAAATTTAAACCCAAGAAACAAGAATACAGATGACGAACAAATAAAAAAATAACAAATTGCACAAGCACTTAAACAACCAAAAAAATTGCAAACTGCATAAACGCTTAAACAATCCATACCTTGCCTTCAGCGATCATCAATTGGTTCTTGTCACTCATTTTGTTCAACGCTTGCTCAAATTCATCTTCGCTATATTTCTCTTCAGTTGGCAAGTCCTCATTCACTTTTTGAATAAGTAATTCGGTAGCACAGGAATCATCATCGAATATTTCACTTTTGGCCAATTGCGCCATGATCTTGGAGAACTTGCTCAATCTGGAAGCAGAAATTTCAGTAGCGGCAGCATCAACGACAGGAGCAGATTGGTTTTCAGCAGCTTCATGCAATGGCAAGTTACTAGTCGATTCTGGATTATTAACCATTTCCCATTCAGTTTCGGGACTTGGTTCTTGTCTTTGGCGGGTTGATGATCTTGGTGGTTCTTCGCTATCCTTTGAAATATGTTCCTGAACTTCATCCATATCTTCATCCTCATCTTCGAATTCCATTTCGTCTTCTTCATCATCCACTGATTCAATATCAGAATCATCTTCTGTTGCCCTTGTTTTGGCAACCTTTCTTTTCTTGTGTTTCTTTTGCTTGATAACTTCTTTGAACAATGCAAATCTGAGAATTCTTTCAGCTTCTTCAGCATCAACTATGGTGACTGAAGAACTCAAACGTAACTTAGCGTGTGCCGTGGCCAAACGAATCAAAGTTTCCAAAGTTCTGGCAGTGATTGGTGCAGTATTTTTGGCATTGTTTTTAGCAGCATCATTTCTCAAACCAGCATATACTTTGACAATATGGTTGGCGGCTTTCTCACTCAAAATTGGTTTCTTATCCTTGGCGTATTGTACGTATTTTCTAATAAATGGTAAAGAGAAAAGTTTGAGTTCCTTGATGGTTCTTGTAGACTTTGATTGGAAATATTCAAGAGCACCACCATGTAATAATGGATTGAACTTTTCATACACATCTGTAGTTTGATTCTCTGGATCTTGAACTTGATCTGGATCATCGCCTGTGTTTAACGAGAGATTCTGGAATTGTCTAATAGGTTCGCCTTCCGCATATCCCTTTGGCAAGTATCTGTGGATTTTCAATACATGCTCAGAGATCTTTCTATCTCTGGTATCGGTGATATCATCAGTCACGACAAATAACAAGTCAAAACGGGATAACAACGAATCTGGCAAGGCAATGTTTTGATGAGGATCTTTATGAACGTCATATTGACCGAAAACTGGGTTAGCAGCAGCGATAACCGAGCATCTGGCATTCAAAGAGGTGTGGATACCAGCTTTGGCGATAGTAACGGTTTGTTGTTCCATAACTTCGTGAATAGCAACTCTATCGACATCAGACATCTTATCAAATTCATCAATACACACCACACCTCTGTCGGCCAAAACCATGGCACCGGCTTCTAACTTTCTTTCTCCAGTTTCTCTATCAGTGGACACAGCAGCAGTCAAACCAACACCCGAAGAACCTCTACCGGTAGTAGCAATGGCCAATGAAGCAGTATTTAAGACAAATCTCAAAATTTGAGACTTAGCAGTGGAAGGATCACCAACCATCAAAATATTAATATCACCCCTCAAGTGAGTACCATTATCTAAATTCTTTTCAACCCCTCCCAAAAGCATCAACAAAACTGCTTGCTTAATCATGTCATGACCATAAATACTTGGGGCCAAAGATTGGGACATTTTTTCAAGAAGTTTTCCCTTCTTTTTCACCGAAGTGAAGTTTCTAAAGTCTACGTCGGTAATAGTCTGCAAAGTCACGGTGTTAGTCGAAATTGTACGGATTGGGTAAACCGAGTTTGCCAACACAACGGTTCTAAACGAGTTGGCATTGTTACCACCACTTCCCAAAGTTCTGTAAACCCCAACGACTTGAACTCTGTCACCAGGTTTGACACTGTCTACCAAATCGTCATCCAAGATGATTTCAATAGATCTTGGTAACTGACCTGGGTCAGCTTTTTCTGGCATTTCTTGTATGGAAACTTTTTGGTGATCTTTGTAAGTGGAATAACCGTATTCGGTGACAATCTTATTTCCATCAGGATCCTCAGTTGGATAAACTGCAGCGGAGGTGATGGGGTTGAAAGAAGTAGTTTGATCACTGTACTCTCTGTAGTAAAATTGGCCCTTAGCTTCGCTGAAATGCACTGACCTCACCAACTTTGGTCTAACAAGGGAGGTTTTAGTGACAATACCTTCAATAGATACCAATTTAGACAAAAAGCTTGATTTGATGGTTTTTGGACTCAATTGATGTGAGCCAAAGGCACCCTTGAATCCAAGGAAGAAACGAGTTCTGTCATCAAAATCAATATTTGGCATTGAGGAAGGATCAAACACAGCATTGACGGTATCGGTCAACGCTTTTTCAAATGCAGGTAAGAAATCGGCAGGTTCATTGAGTAGACCATTCCAATATTCCCTGTTCCAGTTTCTAATATCATCGAGAGAAACAATCAATCTTTTGGAGCCTTTCTGGAGCATAGATCTGATAGCCTCTCTGTAATCGGTGTCTGTGGTTTGATTCGTCGAGCTGGAATCTAAGAATTCTTGGAAAAGGTGAACTCTGTCCCCAAACAAGGCATCATTAATATCTATTTCTGTTGCATCAGTCATGTCTGAGGTGTGGATATGTGAATAGATGGTGTTGAGTTGAAGGGAGAAAACTGTAGGTTGCAATTCAGTTATAGATTTTTTCTGGACAATCCCTCCAAAAATTTTCGTGTTTTTTCCTTATTGTTCCCAATCGGGAAAATTGTTGAAGCAAAAAAAGGTTCGCGTCAGTGGGGGTAAGACGCGTTATTTATCAATTGAGGGCTGTTGAGATTATTATTATTATAATCATAGATCAACAAATATTACACTACAAAGATAGCATATTTGAGAAACTGAAGTAAGCTGGGATTATAGTGTATCAGATAGAGCAAGAAATGACAAAAAAATTATCTAAAAAAGAACAAAGAGTAAAAAAAATGAGAAAACAACGGTATCCGTTTGGAAAATCAAGGCTGGCTTGATTCGCAGAAATGAAGGGATAATGAAAGAGACAGGAAATTAGAATGAGATTAAAATACTTTTCAGTGAGTGGATTGGAATAGAATTGAGGTGAAAAAATGTAACAGCAGCTCTAAAGTAACACAATAGCAGCAAAACCAGCCATGAGAAATCCGGAAGAAACACCGTAAGCATTACCAGCACCGTGTGATTTAGAACTGGTTGCGTTACCTACAGATTCTGAATAGGAAGTTGAAGATGCAACGGTAGATGAGTTACCAGTAGCACTAACCACACTGGTGATGGTACTATCAGAGCTTGATTCACTGGCACTATTAATAGAGGATGTATCAGAAGCGGTATCGGTTTCAACGAGCGATTCGGAAATCGAAGAAGAAACTGCACTTGAAGTGCTCACACTTGTTGCTGAAGAGGTTTTGGTGGAACTAGTGACAGACCCGGTAGAGGTACCACTAGTGGTGCTAACACTGGAAGTACCAGTAGTAGAAGGGGAAGAACCGGTTGTAGCAGTACTGTCACCAGTACCGTAGAAGGTATTAATGATCAAGTAATCACTACTAGTGTAGCTTACAACAGTGTTGGTGCTGATGACAAGAGTAGAGCCAGGAATTGTGACGGTTGTAATGGCGGAGGTGACAGAGCCCAAAATGGCAAGAGCAAAAGCGTTGGAAAACTGCATCTCGAAGGTGATAAGATTATAATATGATGTGTTCTAAAAAGGTATGTCTGTCTATTTTACCAAAAGTAGATACTTTGGAGATGAATATTCATCGATCATAAATATCTGAAGGATGGGTTCGGCTACTTATAGGAGAGCCCAGAAATATGGAAGTTATGTTGAGAAGACATGCATACAGTTGAAACGTTGCAACTGCACAGACTAAAAAAGCCCAGCAGACTTTTTGGTTTCCACATCACTTGCCCACGGTTGCGGTTCTTGGGGGGGTTGGGAGGCTGTCGCCAGTGTTTTTTTATGACAGTTCTGGTTTCAAAATTTGTTTTGTTTAGTGTTTCATCTATTTGATGCTACAAGCCATGGTCCATGCTCCTACACAAATTGGTTGAAAAGTGGCAAGCCTAAAAGCAGATACCGCAGTTCAGCACAGAAGACCCTATTATCCATACGTCATATGGAAATTTCAGTCTACATAAATTAAAAATAGAATGCTGGATTTCCCAACTACCTTTTCTCTATTTGTTTGGGCAAATATGAGGATACATGATTATATTAGAATCACCACCGGATGCGTTTAGTAATTCTTGCACGGTGGCAATTTTTGAGAACAATCACAAAAAAAAAAAAAAAAAAAGGAAAAAGAAAAAATTTGGTTAGCGCGTTTAATGTCATCTCATCTCGCCTTTGGTATTAGACATATTCGCAGAAATTATATAGACTGAATATTGTTGCTTCTTAAGGTATATGCCAGCATGCTGAGACAACTAAGTTGTTGTTTGGACCATTCAGCGATCCTAATGAGGCGTCTCTCTCGCAAGCGACTTACAAATCCTCAAAGGCACAACCTATCATACTTATTCAACTCAAATGACCTTTCTAGATATAGACTCACTCCAAAAAGACTGATCTACCTATCGTCATCAAAGGCCATTTCTGGTGATGCCGTCCGTTTTATTTCCTTCACCTCGATACCCAGGTTTGCGTTCAAGATCATTAAACTTCCTGCAGCGATTGGTGGCGGATTGGCTGCTGGTGGTACTTATGTCGCCTATAAGGTCGAAGAAGCTACCACTTATACCACTTACCAGCTAGATAAAATCAAAGACTTTGCTAAATCAAACTATGATTGGTTTAGTGGTGCATTTGAAAATATAAATATCAAATTTCCTGGTGGTCTGTCTGGCAAAGATGGAAATTCTGGCGATAATCAAAACAATAAATCATCTCCAGGTGCTGGAGGTGCTGCAGCTGCAGCTTTGGCAGCAAGTTCTGGTAATGATGGAAATGATAGAACTAGAATCCCAAGATTTGTTGAAGAAGAAGAGGAAGAGGAAGAGGAGGAAGAAGAAATATATGAAGATGAAGATGAAGATCCTGACAGAGCTAAAGGGAATATGGATGATCAGATTTTGAACTTGACGAAAAAAATGATTGAAATCAGTAACCTCCTATCCAAAGTTGATCAAAACGATTCTTTGAAGCTACCGTCCATTGTGGTTGTGGGTTCACAATCTTCTGGGAAATCTTCGGTGTTGGAAGCCATTGTAGGAAAGCAATTTTTACCAAAAGGTGATAACATGGTTACTAGAAGACCCATCGAATTGACTTTAGTGAATGATCCAGAGAATAATTTGGAGACTGCAGAGTTTACTGACTTAAAAATGGATAAGTTCACCAATTTTGATGAGGTTTCCAAAATTTTACTTGAGTTGAACTTGGCAGTCCCTGCTTCTACTGCAGTATCTAATGACCCGATCAGACTTACCATTAGATCCCCACGAGCTCCAGATTTGACTTTAATTGATTTACCAGGTTATATTCAAGTGCAATCAGATGATCAACCAAGAGAATTGAAGCAAAAGATTCGAGAGCTTTGTATGAAATACTTGGAACCACCAAACATTATTTTGGCAATTTCCCCAGCTGATGTTGATTTAGCTAATTCATCAGCTCTTAGAGCGGCAAAGTTGGTAGATCCTTTGGGTGAAAGAACTTTGGGTGTTATTACAAAAATGGACTTGGTCGGTGCCCAACGTGGCAGAGACGTTCTTAGAAACAACCGCTACCCTCTTAAGATGGGCTATGTTGGGGTTGTTTCCAAAGTGCCAGCTAAATCATCGGCTTTATTCCTTACAAAAAGAGAAACTAATTTGAGTAAAGATTTGCAGGCTAATGAAAATGCTTATTTCTTTGGTGAACAGAATGAGAAGTATTTCTATAATGCTACTGTGGGTACAAAAGTTTTGAAAAAAAAATTGATGAAAATTTTGGAGAAATCGATGTCAGCTTCGCTTAAACCAACCCATCAAGCCATTCAACAAGAATTGGAAGATGCTTCATATAAATTCAAGGTCGAGTTTAATGATAGAATGTTAACTCCTGAAACCTATTTGGCATCTAATTTGGATGCCGTCAAGGTTGGAGTGAAAGACCTTAGTACCAAGTTTGGTAGACATGAGATCCGTTCATTGTTACGCTGTGAGTTGGATCAAAAAGTCTTGGATTTGTTGGCACTTAGATATTGGAATAAGCCATTGGCGTTGGACGGTAAAGCGCCAACCCTGTACAGTGAGCCAATTTTGGAGGATTTACAAAATGCTTCGGATACTGATTTATACTGGCATAGAAAACTCGATTTGACCACGTCGAGTCTTACAAAATTAGGGGTTGGAAGATTATCCACTAGTTTGATTACCAATGCATTATTAGATGAAATCAACGATATCACCATGAACACCAGTTTACAAAAACATCCGTTGGCTCAGGAAATTGTCATGAAGTCAGCGATGTCGGTGTTGAACTCCCGTTATTACCTGACGGCTGACCAAGTTGAAAATTGTATTAAGCCATACAAGTACGAAATTGATTTGGAAGACCGTGAATGGAAAGTTGCAAGAGAACATACCATCAGGCTACTAGGCGAAGAAATTAGACAAAGCTCTGAAGCTTATAAGGCTTTGAAAGATGAAGTTGGGGGACGTAAATTGAAGAATGTTGTTTCTTATATTGATAAGTACATGGGTAACAATCATGATGAAACCAATATTGCCCCACATGAAGAATCGTTACAGTTTTCCAAGAAGCTTCTTCTTAAAGGTAGGGAAGCAATGTTCCTTCAGGATCGGATTTCTCTTCTTCAATTGCGTTTGACGGCGATCAAATCCAACGGTTGTGCTACCAAGGAAAATAAGTACAAGTGTCCGGAGATTTTCCTTAACTCTGTGGTTGACAAGCTCACACAAACTGCGATTTTGTTCCTCAATGTTGAGTTATTAAGTGATTTCTACTATAACTTCCCAAGAGATTTGGATCAGAAATTGAGTTTGGGTGCGCTTGGCAAAGAAACCATTGAGAAAATTGCCAAAGAGGATCCAAAGGTCAAACGTCATATTGAATTACAACAAAGAAAGGAATTGTTGGAGGAAGCAATGACAAAGATTGAACATATTATTGCTTTGAAAAATAGCGGAGTTCATTTTAAATGAAATAACATAATTGAGTTCTTGTGTATAGCCGTTTTTATTTTATATTTTTGTTGTTGTTTTTTTTTTTTTCCTTCTTATTTGCTTTTCATCTCGTTTTCTTTTCTTTTCTTTTTGTTTTTTTTCTCATGAGGATTGGTTTGTGTTGATGATTATAACGCTTGTTTTTTTCTTGTCTTGTATTTTTAATATCTATTACCTGATATACTTCTATATCTAGTAGATATAGATATTATCATCTACAATATGATATCATCTAATTTGTAGTTTTCTTTTTCATTATTTTTTTTTTTTGTAAAGAGAAACTAAATTGTGCATTTTTTTTTTTTTTTATTTATTACAAAATTGTCAAATTATAAATCCTTTTTCAAATCAACCACCCCGTATTCTGATTCATCAACAATTAATGACCCACAAACTGCGGAACCAATCCATACTGGGATCCATCCAACAATTACGATCGACCAAGTCCAACAATCAAAATCTTTCCAACTGGTCAACAATCCTTGCATGACTTCGACTGGACCATTGGTAAAATCACCATCGAGAATCCCAATCAACAAGACAATGAAGAACGGGCACGATAATAATAGCGATACCGCGTTGATGTTTTCTTGGTAGTTGCTTGATCTGAGAGTGATTGGTCTGACAAAAGTGAGGGGGAGCATACAAATGCTCATGGTGTAAGCGAGGGAAAAATTCACCACGAGGATCAGAGTGATGATAAGTGAAGCATAAAGAAGACAAACCGCATGAAGAAGGTGGGCGGAACTTGCGAGTTGAATATATGGATTGGCAGGATTCAGTTTCCCCCAGGGACGAGCCAATGCGGCAAGAAGAAGTTGTTTTGTAGGAAGTGATGCGACGATAAGCCCAAAAATGAGGAAAGTATAGTATATAAGTGATGCAGGGACGGGGAAGAAAAGCACTAAAGAGCCAAGTAATAATGATGAGGCAGTAATGCTGAGGAAAGTAAGGAGGACTTTAGTACCGGATCCTACCAAGACAGGCAATGGTAAGCCACAATTAAGGATTTCTGAAAGCGCGGCAAGGGCAAAGGCCACGGAGAAAAACACTGCGGATGGTAAATAAGTACCAATACTGATGAAATTTCTTGGGGCCAACATGAGGTAAAAGAAGAATGATTGGTGGAATTTCTCGAGCAAATTGTTGACGGAACGGAAAGTGGCTTCAATCACCCGACCCAAAGTGGTAATATCAACACTGCCATTATCACCCACGGCTCGAAGAGTAATTGCTTGGATACGATAACCAGAAAAGACCTCACACCCATTAGATCTTTTAAGGCCTGCCAACGCGAGGGCTTTAATACCGTTGAAAAGTACGGTGAGTCTTGACCAATAAGTGTTTTCACCAATTTGATCTTTAGGGGTTTTTTGTAACGAAACTTTCATTCCTTCATGTTCAGAGATGGAGATGGCGGTATTGAGAAGGTCCAAGTTTGGTAATTGACCATTGACCCCTTCGTAAGAAACTTCGAGATAATCATAATAATCACCACTTCCTGGGTATTCAATGACAAGTGCCGCTTCAATCGATCCTGCGGTCAAATCAAGGGAGCTATGATACGATTTCACCCAGGAGCGCAAGGCAAACTGGTTATTTTCAGGGATCACCAAAATAATGTTCTTTGACCAAATGGTCCACCTAGCAAAATAACGAGCCATTCCCATGGCCAACGCGATACCATTTTCGTTGTAAGTGCCATCGGAGGTAGTCCATGGAGCCACAATCACCATTGCTTCGGTACCATCACCTCTGGGGGCGTTTAAGATACCATAAACGTTTGATCCCGATTCGTTGGCGTTGGACGGGGTGTAGTGATGTTCGGCGGCGGTGTATCCTGCTTCTGTAAGGTAATTTTTCACTTCGGCGTTTCTTTCGATGGTAGAATTGGCCACAAGATTATGAAGCTCATCGCGATAACCTCTGAGAAAGTTCCATTCAGATTCACGATAGTACGAGTATGCCTGGGAGGGCATCAATGCGTTTTCTGATATATAAGTCTTGCGGTACTGTCCATCGATTGGGAGGTACAAGATCCACCCAGTGCCGACAAGGGCGCACACGAGGGAGATGATGGGGAGGGCCTTGATGAGCTTTGGAACGAGCCCATACTTGTGTATCTTTCTCTGTAGCACCTCTAGAAGCGCCATTGCATTAGTGTGTGTATACTGATACTCGGTGGAGAGCTGATCTGTGGTGGTCTTTGACGGCGCTAATTTTTGTGATGGTTGGTGATGTGGGGGTCACCCGGATATTATGGTGTACACCACCAGTGCGGATGAATGAATGGATAAAGAAGAAAAAGACCGCCATGATTGTTGGTTGGTTATGTCCGTATGGGTGGGTGGGTATCTGGCGGGGGATATGATTCATAAGGAAGAAAGAGAAGGAGGAGCCGACGATCTCTAAATAATAATGCAATGGTAGAAACTGGTCCCTCCCCCCCCCCCCTACCGAAAAACCGGCTGCCCAGCAGTGTTACAGCCTGGGATCATGCCACAGCGACAATAACGGTAATATGATAGGCATTATTAAGGGAATTGTCAGCCAATCCTGGAAGAACCGAGCATTCACATGGAAACCCTCCAGTGGGTGCTGATGGCGGTATAATAATTACTGCGATCGCCAACGATACAGCACTAACCCACCGTGGTGGTTATCTTCCCCAACGGCGCAACCACAACAGTGTGAAAAAACTTCAGGAATATTCTCGTGGGAATCGCTGTCTTTGGTATTCCACTGCCAAACCACCCCAAGAAAAGCTCTAAAAAAGAAAAGATACTTGAAGAAAATGGAAAAAAAAGGTTGAATCACCATGGTGGTCAACAGTGATTCAACTGCGAATACGCAGCAGCCCCTTAGAGATCTCCGATCTTTACTCTATTAACCTTAGACGATAATGCTAGTAATATCTTAGCAGTCACATAGAATAATAATAGCCGCTAATTATAGCTCTGGTGACAACAGGATACATAGCATATGGCTCACTAAAAGAAAGGTGATTAGTAGTATAAACTCCTGTGTCATTTCATACCAGACCAAACCCGTGGGAAACTTTAATTCTTTTTTCTTTTTCTGCAAGGCAAAAAAAAAAAAAAAAAATTTGATAACCATGGTGGTTATTGCCATTTAGCGATTATATAACGATCATCAACCCTTCGGTTTTCTTGTACAGTTATCCCCTATTCTAGTTTAAATTCTCTATCAACAACGGTCTCCATTGTCCTCAGATCTACCACTCCTTGGATCTCCTTCATATAATCATATTAATACCCATCATACCCTGCAGCAGGTCAAAAAGAATAAAATCAAAATTATTTACAACATAAATCATGGTCAACTGGGGTTTTAGCGGCGACGTCGATGAAATCTTCCTTACCGACGAAAATGTCTCCGACGCTTTCAAAACTTGTGTCCTCCAAGGCTTCTACGATGCCGGTCCAGCCTTCACTGGGGGAACCGGCACCAGAATCGGTTCGATCTTCGTCATCTTGATCGTCTCAACTTTCGTCACCCTTTTACCATTGCTTTGTAAACGTCATGGTCTCAGAGTCCCTCTTTACTTTTATCTATTTGCCCGTTACTTTGGTGCCGGTGTTATCGTCGCCACTGCGTTTGTTCATCTTATGGACCCTGCTTACGGGGAAATCGGTCCAAACACCTGTGTCGGTGGTTGGGGTAACTGGGCAGTCTATTCTTGGCCTCCAGCTTTGATTCTTGTTTCTGTTTTCTCCATCTTCTTGGTTGAACTTGTGTCTGAAGTTTACGTCGAAAGAAAGTACGGATGTGTTGGTGCTGAACCAAACGTTGAAAAGCTCATCACCGGCCAACCAGAATCTTCCAACGTCCATTCTCACACTCCAAACCACGTTCACGGTGATATTGAAACTGCCAACACCCAAGAAAAAGTCAAGGAAACTAATTTCGATTACGAAGAAGACTCTGTCCAAGAAACTGAAGTTAGTGAAAGTGGTTTCAAGAAACAAATTGCCGCTTTCCTCATGTTGGAATTTGGTGTCATCTTCCACTCCGTCATTATTGGTTTGAATTTGGGTTCTACTGACTACGACGAATTCAAGACTCTTTATATTGTCCTTGTTTTCCATCAATCTTTCGAAGGTTTGGGTATCGGTGCTCGTTTGTCTGCCATTGAATGGCCAAAAGAAAAATCAATTTTCTTGGCTTATGCCCTTTGTATCGCCTATGGTCTTGTCACTCCAATTTCCGTTGCTATTGGTTTGGGGGTTAGAAACAGTTATGCTTCTGATTCTTTCACCGCTTCTATCGTCTCTGGTGTCCTTGATTCTTTGTCTGCTGGTATTTTGATTTACACTGGTTTGGTTGAATTGCTCGCTAGAGATTTCATTTTCAACGATGAAGCTAAACAAGACCTTGTCAAATTATCTTTCAACATTTTCTGTACTCTTTTGGGTGCTTTGCTTATGGCTTTGATTGGTAAATGGGCCTGAGTTTATTTAAAACCAGCACTCTAGTTATTTTTTTGTCATCATTTCTTTTTTCATCAATTCTTTTTCATTGTTATTCTTGATTCTTTCATTTACTTTTGGATTTTCAAACCGTTTATCTAAAAGTCTTTAATACTCATTTATTCTTCTTATTTTTATTCATCATCATCATTCTTTTTTTTTTCCTTTCCAAAGGTTTGATTTTAGTCATTTGAGTTCTTTTTAGTTGCCTCTCCTTGTTCTGTGAAAATTTGTGGTTTTTGTAATTGATATAATAATAAATCATAACTTTAATTAAGTATTTGAATTTCAAGTAGAAAAGTTTTTCGGAACAATAGCTAATGGTCGTATTATATGCATATTTGACTTTGACTTGGCCTAGGCCTAGATTGGCATTGATCCAGATCGAAAATATCAACCAAATGTGAATCAAACCTATTTTCAACTTTAGCTATTTTTACCATTGATTTGTTCCTAATAAATCATAGATGCGTTATAGATCTGCTTATTTAGGCAATATATATATGTGCATACCGATCAAATTAATAAATGGTGGAAAAATTTTACATCAAGCAAGAAAAAAAAAAAATTTACTTAACTTATAATATACTAATCTGAAAAAAAAATCACCAAAAACTTATCCTAAACAATATATATACTTATATATAATCATTGATATTCACTCATGAATTCGTTATGGAATTTTTCCCAAGCATTGATCCATTCAACCCCTGGTGGCAAGAAAGTGGTTCTACAGTGGTAAGTTCCTTCAACTTGACCAAACCCTGAACCTGGCACGGTACAGATCCCGGTGTTTTCCAATAGTTCCAAACAGTACAATTCATCTGGTTGAACCCCCTTTTCTTGAGCTTGGGCAACGAATTTCTCAGGCAAGTGGATTCTTGGGAACAAATACATGGCCCCTTCGGCCTTTTGACATTCAATACCGTTCATCTTGTTGAAAGCATCGGTCATGTACTTGGATCTGTCTTGTAAAGCTTTGAAGATATCACCACGTTGTTGTTGGTCAAGTTCGTAACTGGCATCGCCAACACTTGGAGGGTTGACCATCATTTCCATCACTGCTTGCCCGGTGACCACAGAACACAAGTTAATCGAGACCATTTTCACGAAAATGGCTCTGACTTCATCACTGAACCCAATAAGTTCCATGTACCCTGCTCTTTGACCACATTCCCCAGAAACCCCCTTGGAAGTCGAGTGCAATGATGCTAATTGGACATTACCGTAGAAAGTTGGGTCTTGGGCTTGCAAGTTCTTAAGGACTTTTCTGGTACTGATAAACTTCCCTTCGTAAACATTTTCTTGGTACACTTCGTCGGCAATCACCACGATCCCGTATTTAGCGGCGATGGTCAACAATTCACCAATGGCTTCTTCGCTCAAGATCGCCCCGGTTGGGTTACCTGGGTTAATAAGCACGAGGATCTTGGTCTTGACACCGTTAGCCAATTTTTCCACCACGGATTTTTCGACTTCGGTAGCGTCAATCGACCACCCACTTTGTTCTTTAAGGTAGTATGGCATGGCAGTAGCTCCTAAAAGACTGATCAACGCGGTGTATAATGGGTATTGAGGAATTGGAATCAACACCCCGGATTTTTCCCCGGACAAGCAGGTTTCAAGGATATATTCGACGGCAGCAGAAGCCCCGTTGGTCAAGAAGATATCGTCCTTGCTGGCAGGATAACCATCTCTTTTGGAAATGTATTCAGCAACGCTAGATCTGGCGGATTCCACCCCTTGGGAGTTGGAATAAGCGCCAACCGATTTGGCACTAGCCAAGAATTTACGGGCACGGGCCACAGTATCTGGAGGATAAGCCGCGACCACCGCTTCAATGTCAAGAAGATCAGGGTTTTGGATAAGGGAAGTCACACGACGGTAGAAACTAAGGGGTTTCTGGTCCAATTGTTGAGGGTTCCCGATATTGGCATTGATGATGGCTTTGAAAGGCACCGAAGTTGGATCAGCAGCAAGTTGCTTCTTGAGCTCTTCGGCACGGGTTGGAACTTTCCCACGAACGGCGTACTTGGCCTGGAGGGTCAATGGGTTGATATCACCAAGGGTGAGTTTAGGGGCTGGTGGGGCTGCTGACATTTTCTGACAAAATGTTTTGAACCAAATATTAGACGGACGAATGGTGACGAATTTGATAAAGGTAAAAAGACCAACCGAAAAAGAAAACGCTCTTGGAGACAAAAGCAAATATAAGAAGTACCTTAATCGGAGACGAGTGGATCCAGGGTTTAAATAACCAAAAAGACAGGAAATTACTGGTCGCTTGCCAACGGGGGTCGTTCACCGAACCAAGTATAGTTTTTTTTTTTTTTTTTTTTTTTTTTATGTGTGAAAAATTTTTTTGAGATAACTGACTCATATCGATGATGACTCCTAAAAAAGCACTTATCACCGCAGGATGTCTCGTATCGAATATACTGGGGTATCGTTCCCCGAAGCGATGGTTATTTCGTAGATCATGGTGGATGGGCAGTTGGGTTCATTGCCACCAGTGGTAGGTATCTAATTGTCATTGCTTCTCTAACTGACACTGGTTGTATCAAAAACTGGAATATAAGGGTCGGGTGTCACAAAATAAGGGGTTGATTTTGATAAGTAAATTAGTGATGCATATTAATTTTGATTAGGTTGACCAAGTAATACGTTAATTGTCGTAAGAAGAATTAAAAAATGAGAAAAGTCAAACCATTTTGTATCCAGATAAAATGTGGTTAAAAGAGAATATAAAGATCGGAGATAAAAGAGAGAGAGAGAGAGAGAGAGAGAGAGAGAGAGAGAGAGTGGTGACAGAGATAAGGAAGTAAGTAGTAATATAGTAGTCAGTAATGGCCAAATGAGGGGCTGGAAAGTAAAATATTATAATGATTGTTGGCTGAACAATATATTTATTTAGTAAATAGTAACTTACTATGTCGAATAATTGAACCACCATTTTATATACCATTGGAGGATATCGGTACATTCCATCGATCTGGTAAACACTGGAAAGTGTACAGGCGGGGCACGATACTTCCACAGAATATCAACAAAACATTCAATACCATTTAATTAAACAATAAAAATAGATACAAATGATCCTGTTTATTTAAAAAAAAAAAAAAAAAAAAAAACATTCATGTAAAATAAGTATCATTTCAATAATAAGTGTCATTTTTACTTCGATGCTTAGTAAGTAATACATGCTGCCACTTTGACATCACACCAATCAAAAATATCCCACGAATGATATACATATGATTGGCACATTTACTTGATCTCTATTATTAACAATACCATCTTTCAATGCAAATTAACGAAAATCATTTGAGAAAATTAAGGATATAGTACAACTTTTATTCGATTATGTATGGAAAAACGATGAACAATGAAAGAAAAGGAAGAAAAATGACAAAAGAATATAAGAAGTAGGGAAAAAAAAAAAAAGTATGAAGAAAGTCTACTCAGCCAAATAGTCTTTTCTATTAGCGGTTCTGACAAATCTTCTCAACTTCCATTCAACATCGGCATCCTTGTTCTCCAAAGTACCCAATCTCAACTCGAACAACTTCAATTCGAATCTTGGCCCCACTTCAGCGATTTCCACTCCGTCTCTAGTTCTCACGTACACATGCTGCCTCACACTGATGAAATCCCCATTATTGATGAACGATATCACTCTAGGACTGTCTTTCTTGACTCCTGGAGGGAACAAATGCTTGAGGATTGTCACCACACGTTGACCCAACTTGGTGGTGAAGTTTTCGAAAATCAAATGAGGATGCGCCTCACTCTGGTTCCCAGCATTGAAAATATCGTGTCTTAACACGGCGTTGTGAATGGTGAAACACGCGGTTGGCCCATGGGGTAAATGGGAGATCGTGAGGGAGGTCGGAACCCCACGATGTTCATGCACCACCAAAAGATCGGTGGTCCCACTGGCTTTACAAGCAGTCACAAGATTAGGCATAATATAATTACCACGATTCAATTTCACCGAGGTAGGGAAAAGAAGTTTGATCTCTTTGGAAAACTGGAGCAACCGTGAACTTGGGTCTCTGGAGGTGGTCACTACCACTTTTGGTTCTTGAATCCCACTAAGGGCAGCGTACTCATCATCCACAACGTCCTGAATCGATTCATCGTAAAGATAATCTTTTTGAAGCTTGTCATCCTCGGCCACTTCTTTTGGAAGGGGTTTACCGCTGGCGAGCGCCGCTTTGATTTGTTGACGCTTTTGTTGTAGCGATGATTCCTGAAGCTCTAAAGCTTTACGATAGAGGTATTCTCTTCTTTCACGGGCCTGTCTTCTGATCATATTGGCTATATTATTATTATTATTATTATTATTATTATTGTATATGATTTATATGATGGTTCTTATTATTTGTTAGCGCTAAAAAATTTCACGTTTGAAAAAAATTCTTTCCGGGCGATGAGACACGTGCAGGAAGACCGGATGTCCCGTAACATCTTTTATTATTTATTGACTGTTCTGCCAGTTACTGTTTGTGATTAATTACAATTGTTGATGCAAATGGTGTATATTTTAGCAGCCATCTATTTATATATATTAAAGGAAACCAACTTTCATGGTTTTTGTCGCTATTTTCGCAACTAGTCATCTCCCTCCGTCTTGACCTTCTTGGACTTCTTTTCTCCAGAATCTTCAGAAGATTTTCTCTTCTTGTCTTTCTTTTCCTTCTTTTCTTTCTTTTCCTTCTTAGATTTTTTTTCCTTCTTGGACTTCTTTTCCTTTACTAATTCGACGCCTTCTTCCTCTTTTTTGATTTCTGGGGTGGTTTCTTCTTTTTTTACTTCAGGAACAGATTCTTGCGCTTCTTTTTTGATTGGAACGTTTTCCTCTTCTGATTCTTGTTTAACGTCTTCATTTTCAGATTCTTCTTTTTCAGACTCTTCTTCTGGTATTATTTCTTCTTTTTCTTCTTCCCCTTGCTCTTCCTTGTTCTCTTCTTCTGGCTCATCGTCATCAAACTTTATGTGTTTCCCTGTTGATTCTGATTTGATCTCGTTAGATTCTTTCTTGTGATTCTTTGTGTTATTGTCCTTTCTCTTCTTTGTGAATGCGCTAGTGGCTTCCAAAGTTGGTGGCAACCCACGCAATTCTCTTTGGACTCTTTTAAGTTGTGATATCACTGCAGAGTTGGCAACAGCCACGGTACTCTTGTTTTCTTCGCTATCATTGTTGAAAGCCCCGGATAATACATCATGATCGATCGATTCTTTTTTGGCGAGGAAAGCTCCTAATATTTTTTCTGCTTCAGCGTTGGATACTGGGGAGTCTGCTTGGAGACGCACCACTGTTGGCTTTATCACGGCAGAGAAATTAGATCTTCTTGGTCTGAGAGTGGCCATTATTATTGTTATTATTATTATTATTATTGATAGTTGATATTTGATAGATATATAAATAACCACCAATTTGAATCTGAAATTTTTTTTTCTTTTCTTTGAAGGGCATCGGGCAGGCGGATTACCCTTCCTCCTTTTCTGGTTTTTCTCTGGTTTTTTTTTTTTCTTCTCTTTGACCGAAAAGGTGATATTCCACCAACTGTGCCAGATACATATAACACCATTACATATATCTATACCAAACACTAACCATGTCGTTGTTCTTCTCAGCGTTGAAGTTGTCTATAAGGTACGTATATCGTGTAACCACTGTGATTATTATTATTATCCTTGTTATAGCTTACTTACTAACTATCCATGTCAACAGCCAGGCAGCTCCAAGATCAAATGTCATTTCTAACCGTTCATTGACCACTCTCAGTTCATTCTCCCCATTGCGTTCTTTCCTCAATAATAACAACACTAATGCCACCAGTATAATATCCAGAGTGTCACCAACCACCGTGTTGGGTACTCCAGAACTAGGCGTGTCGTCGTCGTCACCATCATCCATCACCGGGATTTTCCAAAGAAGATGGAAGGCCAGAGGTAACACTTTTCAACCAAGTACATTAAAGAGAAAGAGAAAGTTCGGGTTCATGAGCAGAATGAGTAGCAGACACGGCAGAAAGATTATTGCCAGAAGAAGGGAGAAGGGTAGATGGTATTTGGCCCACTAATCGAAAAAAAAAAAAAAAAAAAAAGAAAATTATAAAAGCAAGGATATTTCCTCTAATAGATATGTGTGTGCTTAGCTTCCCTCGCCAATTGACAAACGTGTAAATATTCGTTCAATATATTATTATTATTATTATTATCATCATCATTATTCTCTGTGAATTTTAGCTGTTGTTGAATCATCTTTGTAGCTTTGTGAAGCACCGCTGGTTGCGAGCCCGCTGGTGCACTGCGACAGAAAGAACGAAAAAAAAAAAAAAAAACCGGTGAAAAATTTCCATCAAATTGAAAACATCCAATTGTAGATTAGGACAGGGGGACAAGATATCCTTATAAAATACAAAATAATATAAATACCAATATGAATAAAAGCAGTATATCAATACTATCACTCAAACCTTTGTCATCAAACTTATTGGGGAGCCGTGGGGCTAAATTCTCTACCTCATCGATAGCTTTGGCCAAGAAGGCCCAGGTCAGCAGAGACCAACTCAAAAAGAACGCTGCCAAAGCGTTAGCCAAAAAAAGAGTCGAAGCTAAACTCCCAGTCGCCAATGATCCATTATATTCTGATATTTCTACCGCATTACGTTACCTCAGGTCTGCAGAAGTAGGAAGATCCGAGACTGCGTCGACCATCACCGTCAGCTCGAACATCGTGGGGGATAAAGGTGCTCCACCACTCACTGGGGCCATCAGTTTCCCTAAACCTTTGAAAGAAGTTAGAGTGTTGGTGTTCACTGAAGATGCTGTCCAAGCAAAAGTTGCCCAAGATTTGGGGGCTGCGTTAGTGGGGGGTCAAGAATTGGTCGAACAGATCAAAGAGGGCAAACTTGGGTTAAATTTCAACAAGGCCTTTGCCACCCCAGATATGCAAGGTCAATTAGCCCCTCTCGCGAGAACTTTGGGTCCAAAAGGTTTAATGCCAAATGCCAAAAAGGGAACCATGGCAACCGATTTGGAATCAGTATTGAAAGGTGCGGTAGGAACCATGCCATTCAAACAGAAGTCAGGCTTGTTGAGCATTGCTGTGGGGAGAACCAGCTTCAGTGATGTAGAAATCATCAAGAACATCATGGCTGCCTCAGAAGCCGTCAAGACCGCCACTACCACTATCAAGTCAAAGAGACCACCAATCATTGGTCATACTACCATCACTTCCACCAATGGTCCAGCGTTCAAGATTGACTTTTAAGTTTTGTTATAGTGAAATATATTTTGTGTAAATAGGATTATGAAATATCATCTTTCTTCTGTTGGAGTACATGTGTAAGTTCTTTTGTTTCTTTTGCATGATGGTAAGTGGGTATGTGTAAGTTTGTTTTTCTTCTGCATGATGGTATTTAATGGGTCCATTTAACTGGGGTTTATTTTACAAGAGTTTACAGGTTTGTGAAAGAAAAAAAGGTATGCCATTTGCAAATTATGATTGAACGTATTTTATAATTTGAAAAATTTTTGATCCCAAAACATACAAAAGACAATAGCTTTATCAAAAAAATTAAAACGTTTTCTCTGTTATTTTTTAATTAATAAACATTTTCATTGTCCCCCATCAATATAATTATTCGAATTACTATCAACATTTTCGTCATTACCACTACCACCATTACTCTCCTTGCCATTATTACTGCCATTACCCCCAGTATGGCCATCACCTCCGTGCTTCTTTGGTTTAACAATCAAAATCATTAGTAATGCACATACCACCAACACCAACAAGAAGATCACTTTACACTTGTTATTTTGCTTCTGGTACTCGGTGGCCTTTGTTAATTCCTTATTAGCCAGCCTAAGGTCTACCTTGGTGTTTTCCAAATTGTAATCTATTCTATCCAATATGGTTCCTTGCTCAATCACCATGGTCTGCATCTCTTTGAATATCGCCGATACTTCCAACACCCCTTTGGCGATTTTATTAATTTCTTGTTCTCTTTGGCGCACCAATGAATCAAGCTGGTTGGACTGTTGCAAATGGCTTTGGGTCTGAAGTAAAGCGTCTCGCGAGTATTGTTCGACTTCGGCGGTTTCCAACTCCTCAAGTACTGGATCAAACTCATTGGCCAATGTCGATTGACTCTTATTAGTGGTGATCGGCTCGAAATCATCCTCTTTCAAAAATTTAATGTAATTATTCTGGATTTTCCGGAAATTCAGCGACGCTTGCTGAATTTTCAACGCGTAATTCTTTTTGATGTTATCCAACATAATCACCTCACTCTTGTTTTTAAAACTATTTTCCGCGGTCTTGCGTTTCCTAATATTATCTAATCTCTTCACTAAAGCAAAACAACTTTGGAATTTCGAAGTTATGAAATAATTCAACTTCTCAATCTCTTCCTCATCGACACTCCGATCGTTGAAGCCCGGCAATAAGTTCTTCTTGTACAATTTCGTTAATGTCCCAGTCTTTTGGTCAATTTCTTGTAATAACGAATCGATCTCATCAGCAATATCGATAAAAACCGGAGGTAGGGCACTGCTGCTGCTGCTGCTACCACCACCCATTTCTCCATCATTGAGATTCAAATCATCGAATTCCCCAGTATCATCATGGATATTTGTAGGTCCTTCATTATCATCATCAGATATCTCGAAGTCCGCGAATTCGTCTTGTTGTTCCGGCAGGATCAATCCTTGTTCTTCTTCGGGCAAAAGATCGAATCTGGTCTTCTTGGTGTGCGACTTGGTTTTTTTATATTTCTTGTCAAATGAATGATGGGGAAAAGTACGACGGTACGATATGAATAAATTGGTTCTATCCCTAAACATTTGGAAAGGTTTTTGGTTGTTGTTTTTTTTTTTTCAAATTGACAAAGAGGAAGTATATAAAAAAATTGTAAGATTATAAGATCATGATACATAAGCAGAGATGCTATCCCCCAATTTTTGTTTTTCCTGTCAATTGAGTTTTTTCATCCAGCTAAGCACACCGGAAATGACCCCATACCGACTGCCCGGTAACCAACAACAAATATTCGATAATTCATGCTAATAAAAGAAAGATTAATCTTGAGGGGAGAAAGGGTGGGGTGATGTCTTTTTCTTATAAGGAATTCATATCTATATCCTACTTTGATTGATTTCCATTGTATTCATGAGATGGTTTTGCGTTTTTGTAGATTTTAATCTTGGAGATTGCTCTTCTTTTCTGGTTTAGCAATTGCTACAAATCAAAGACTTTCTTTCGATGGTTCAAGAAGGAAAAGCCTCCTTTTTGAAAAATCCAATCTCTTTATATACGAGAATGCTATCTAACTGATGAATGTTCACAACCGTTGATATGTAATAATGATAATAGTAGAGAAAATGAATAATAGTACTCCTAATGGTTGTAGTAGTCTATTGGTATGTCTGACGACTATGAATTGTGTAATTCTCACTGTATAAAGTGATAGAATATATATCATGAATTTTATGCTAACTGTTGACAATCTTAGCTTGAGAAATATTACATTTTTGTCTCCTCGCTGATCAGAAAGACGAAAAGGTTATCTATCACCACGGGTAATTTGGAACGCGTCAGCAAACAGCATAATGAGAATAATGATGGCATAAAGTAATGCAACAATAAGTTCATATTACTTAAAATCTCTCCATCAAAAAACCTCACTGCAAAATCGTGCAAGAACTACTATTCAATAAGCAAGCTAATATTGTTTCTTTGACAATCTACCAAAGTTCAGCCATGAAGGTCACCTATGAAACGAGAAATACATTGGAGAATGGATATGAACCTTGTTGATATGAACTAAGTCTCTCATATATCTAAATATTTAACATATTATGAAAAATTTAATATGGATATACTAGATAATGATATATTCAGATCCATTTACAATCTTCTGGTTAACCAACGTTTAAACCAACGTTCCACTGGGCAATTGAGGTTGATAGATCCACAAGATCTTCATGAGCTTACAACTGCAATTTCGAGCTTAAAAATTAATCACATTTCGAATAATGGCAGGTTTAACAGTATAAACAGGACAAAAGGAAGATTTAAATGTCATTTATGTGATCTTTATGACCATTTCTCAAAAGATTGCCGTTACAGTAACAATTGTAGAAAGAATAAAAAGATTTACAAATCATCCAACATTCAGAATAAATATAAACTGATTAAAATAGAAAACAAAAATATGATAACAAAATAAAACAATTGGAAATGCGAGACACAGAGAACTTTTTCTTTACAATAGTGGAGCTGATGTTCACGTCATTGGTGCCAGAATTATTAAACGTAAAAAAAACAAAAAAACGATTTGAGATTGAATTATATTGAGAATTTTCAATCAAGTCCTGCAAAATTTGGTGATTGCAATGAGCGAGCACTTTTTAGTTTTGTCAATATGTGGTCATATTTTTGATTTTTGCAATCAGATTACAGAAGGTCATACTTTGAATAAGACGGAAATAAATATATTATGATGGAATGGAAGTGCAAAAATTCTATCATAATACGGTTCGTTTCAAATGTTTCTGTCAAAGTTTGCTTTCATGATCGGTTTCGAGCCTCTTAAAATAACAGACAAACAAATAAACAAATATCGTATAGAAGGAATACCCATAATGAAATTTCATTAGACGAAGAGGAATCCAGAGTTAATTATTATGATTTGGTGTCGTCAATAGTGTGTCCATTGGTTTTCTATTTTTTTTGAATACTCCTTCAAGATTGGATCTACAAGGTGGTTTCATATATAGACATCCAGGGTTTTGTAAAAGTTTTGACAATACTACATTCCCCATTTAAATCCATCTACCCTTTAGTTATACCATGCGAATGTGAGAAGACTCGAAAAGAAATCCTGGATGTTTGATAGAAGTCGTCATTCTCACCCCCCCCCGTACTGTTTCTAAACGCAGGGTGATTGTTTTTTTTTTTTTTTGAACATGAGAGATCCGTGATTGTGGGCTGAGAAGTGACAGACAGACCTCTCCGATTCGGAGGGAGTCAGCTTGGTATCACTGTTATGGTATCAAAACCTCATAACCACAATCGTCTGATCAAAGATGACCTAGCGAGTGCACTTGTAATTACAAACAGAAAATACGACTCTTCCCCCCTCACCTGCTGAGCAAATTAATTTTTGCTGGGGTTACTTACAGTCTCCATATAGTTGGATATAGCGATAAATTGCAATTTTTTTGCAGAATTTTTTTTTTTTTTTTTTAAAGAAAAGACTTCAATAATAATACATGGAATAGGATTTTCGGTGGAAATAGGGATATGATTTTCAAAAGCCCTGGTAAATATATATATATATATATATATTACTGCGCAAATTATCCAATGATGCATGATGAGCTACCAGGATTAAAGAAGGATAATTTAACCCCTGGAAGTGTAAGGTTTATGGCCAAAAACGATGGATATGAAAATATATTTTTAGAAAAGCTAATTGGCAAATGCTAATGTAGAAGAAGAGACTTTTTTATTAGAAAAGAGAGAGAACGCGTGGGAGAGAAAGAAAATTCAAAATCTTTGTCGGTTTTTATTTAGTATAATGAGCAGCAGTATCCAAAATCGTTCAGTATCCAGGCTGAGTCTCCCACCTACTCCCCAACATTAATTTTTTTTTTTTTTTCCACTGTTGTTATTACGTATTCAATTGGAAGAGTACGCATATTCTAGAAGCATAACCGCGGCGTATTTCGGTGTAATTATAATGTCCACGGTTAAATTCAATTTTGCTGCCTAATAAGGCAGCCATATCGATACATCCTATCCTGATATATACCAAGGTTCAGAAGAGCGACACAAAAAGTGGAATCCATACAGAAAGAAAAAAAAAAAAGGATTGCTAATGTAGATCTAGTAATTACTGGGTTAAAAGAAACCAAGAAGCTATCCAACCCACCAGGTGGCTCCAAATAAACTGTAGCTACTAACTACACCTACACATTCCAAGAATAATTTTGAAGCTTTTGTTCTCCATTGCAATTGTCTCGTTTCAGTTTACGGTTGTCCATCTATCTCGCTTTTCCACTCAATTGGGAAAGTTTATTTTATTTATAGTGAAGTAAGTAAGTAAAGTAGTATGGGTAACTAATTAATTAGCATCAGCACACACTACTCAATAATTGGTGAGATCAGGTGAAAATCCAATAATCTTCTGTATAAACTCATTTCAAATACCTACCAATTACAGCCTTGTTGCTGCGATCTTCAAAGTAGCAGTGTTAGGAGATAGAAGATACACAATCATTCGTTATTATTACTTTGTTAGCGGGTAATCAACCAACCTTCCTGCATGATCGCGTCCATGTATGTACTTAAATGTATACTGACGTGTACGTGGGGGGTGCCAACCGAGATTTCTGCTAACTTTATTTTTCAGATCACTGGCAAAGTACAACAAAAAGTGGGTAGTGATGATGATTTCTATATTTCATTTCATTAACTTTCATGAGTTGGCTGAGCAATAAACTAAAAATAAAAAAAATAAATAAATAAATAAATAAATAAAGATAATAGCAATTTAAGCAAATTGGTAATTATAACAATAATGATGAATATTAGAGAGAGCTGTTGCAAGAAAGAAGAATAAATAAGATAATAATCTGACCATTAAAAAATAAGAGTTGAACCGAAATATGAAGGTATTAAAGAGTAAAAAATTAGTAATTAAATAAATTTGAAAAACAGAAGAATAATGAATAATCACGATATCAAACCGGCGATATAATTGGGAGGAAGAGCATAACAGGAGTAATATTGATTGTAAACAGGAAAAAAGCAAACAAACCGTATTCAATTGTTGACCATCATCATTGAAGATTCTAATGCTTTAGAGATTTGTTCATTCATGTTGGCGAAGTTTGACGCTTGATCTTGGATCGTATCCACCACAAAATCACCATCATCAATAAACACTTCGTACTCATTATTATTGTTTTGTGAAAAGTTAATTGGCGATTGGGGCATCTCCTCAAACAAGTTAGTATCGTATTCTAAATCCTCATACTGCAATTGTGTTGTTGTTGCTGCTGCTGATTCTTGTGATACCTGCTCATCATTGACGATTTCAAAGTCGTTGACAGGATTTGCCATCATCAATTTTTTGTAATGGTATTGTTCGCAATCATCGCCGCACACTAGCCCATCATCATTATGAGCTTGTAAGTTTTTCCAGAAATCATCGACATTGTGAACGTAACTGATGTTTTCGATGTGCTGTCTGGTTTCTTGGTTGTCACAGATCAAAAAACTTGGGTTCAAGTAGTTGACAAAGTGTTGTGGGTTGCCGACTTTGAAACTATTAGGATGATATTGTAACCAATCTTGTAGCTTTGAACAATTGGAGGGGGCGGTTGAGGAGGCAGAAGTGAAGAAATCAAGGTTATTTTTTGTAAGGGTTGGGGCGATGGCGGAGAATAGAGGGGCGTTAGATGATTGATAAGATGAGCATGAGGAGATGTTTGAGTAGACTGGGCTGATTAGAGGGTCATATTGGTTCTGTTGCTGGGTTTTCAAGATTAGTGAAGAGATATGGTCGATGGTCAAAGGATCGAATTTTTTTGGAACAGTGTTGGTTTGGATTTTTTGGAGGTTTCTTGGTTTACTGATTTTGAAAGCTGAAGGGGCTGTTGTTGTTGTTGTTGTTGTTGTTGTTGTTTTTGTTGTTGCTGTTGTTGTAATTGTGAGAGTGGTAGCCATGGTTTTGATATTTGTGTGAGATGTGGTGTAGTAGCAGGGGGACAAATGTTAATTTAATCCAGAAGGGGATGTGATATATATATATATATATAGACAACATGTATTGAGTGTTGATTGTCGCCAATTTGTGTTGGTATGCCATCGTGCATACAGCATGGTTTATTTCGGTGTTCTTGTGCATTAGGGTGCATTAGCATTCCACAAACGCCTTTGAAACATTTTTGTTGTACAAAACCACCCCGATTGGAATTCCTGGTGCAAAGTATCCTGCAAAGCCTTGAATGCTCGTCATAAGGGTCTGATTATTATAGGTAGGGGAATTGATGAGGCATAAACCATGAATATCCAGGAATTGGGGAATTTCCCAGTCTATTATTATTATCATTGTTGTTGTCGTAAGCGTATTGGTGTGTCTATTATTATTACTATTAGTATTACTATTATGATACTGCTTTGTCGTTCATGATGTAACACTTGTTAGATCAGAATGCTACTTCTGTTTTGTCTCACAACATTTTGAAACGTTGGGTACTCTTACCTCAATTTAAATTGATTCGAATATGCTGCGGTCACCCTGTTCCATCTTAAAACATTGGTTAATAGTCGTCCTATGACAAGAATAACAATAATAATAAATTAACTACAGATCATTGCACATTATCACACACTCGCTCCCTATCACCTAAGTCCATGGTATATATTCCCAAACATTCGAATTTCAAAGATCCTCATCCAAAACATGCTTAATATTCTGTCACAGACAAATTCTCCGCAAAACGTAGCTAAAAATTTATGGATTCCCTTTACACATAATAGAGAACAATAGCAAGAAAAAAAAAAAGTACAGAATGACAATAACAGAACCATGAAACAATAAGAGAAATAAATAACAATTATATAGACAGTTTCACAATAACCACTGGATACCCAGGTCAAGACCAGGGCTCAAAGTACGAGATCTGCAAGAAGAATAAAGGAAGAAAATTTTTGGTTGCAATCCTTTCATCTCATCGCATCTCTTTTACTAAAACAATAGATCATAGATTAAAAAATATAGCCATGGCCCAAGGGAATTTAAAGCTCAGTAAAAAGAAATCCAGTGGTAGAGTCACCAAACACCAAAAGAACCCAAAGAAAGCTGCTCCTAAAATCTTCAAGTCGAAAAAGGGTGGGATCAGTGAAAAATTGTTGAAACAACAAAGTAGCACAATTCTGTCAAGTACCGAAAGATTGATTGCCTCAAGAGTCGGTCACTTAGAACTAATTAAAGGTTCCAGAAGAGAAATCGAAAAGAAACAAAAGGAAAAAGAAGACAAGAAGAAGAAATAGCCCAGCTTTTGAATTTTCTTATCTTTTCTTTCTGCTTTTTTTTTTTTTTTTTCTTTAAATTGTTTTCTATGAGCATTTGTGTTTCCCATTTTTTTTTTTTTTTTTCTAAATAGAACTTGGTGTTTGTTTTATTGGTGTACTTTTATTATTTTTTACTTTTTTATTTTCATCTGTTCACTTTGCATCTTCAATCATAATGTCCTCAAATTCCAATGATAATTTTCAGAGCACTTCCCAAAATGATGAGCAGAAGAAATTGAAATCTTGGTTGCAATTTCATGACAATATCGACATTCAAACAAAAGAAATACTTGGAAAGTCAACAAGATCACGATTAATAAGGGCAAGAAGTTTGCAACAAAAATATAGTGAAGAATCAAACTTAGACACTCTTCCCACTGGGAAACATAAAAAAGTTGCTATGTCCTCTTCCTTTTGTCCAAAAACAACCTGTGACGGCTCAAAATTGGAAGTTAATGATTTCCGTTATGATCCACTTAAGTTCCACTATTATAACCAAGTGACTCAAAAATTCAAAAACCAGGATACTACACTTCATAGTGGTGAAGATTGCAATGAGATCGACCTCTTCGAAGTAAGACCCTCAATTGGCAAGTTCAACTAGTTGATAATGAAAACTGGTGGGGGATTTTGAGCAAATAATTGGTACTACTGCCCTTTTTCTTCATTTAATTCTTAGTTTTATTTCTGATTTTTATCTTATTACACTTTGTCAATAAAACACAAAACCTTAAAATAACCTATTATTAATCCATGATGTATAAACAAAAATTATTCTTTGAAATTCTGTTTAATAATAAAAAAAATAAAAAATAAAAAAAAAAAAAGAAAAAGAGAAAGAGAAAGAGAAAAAAAAAAATTACCATTCAATGCTCAAAAGTCAATATTTTTAGTCGTTGATTTGCTTGTCCCAAAGATTTCTTCATTTTTTTTACTGGTTTGATTTCCTTCACTTTTATTTTTCTTCCCATCATCTTCTTCTTCAACCGGAATACTCCATTCACCAACTTCGAAGTTCCTTCTGCCATTCCGGAAAGCATACTCGTTCATTTTGATACACATCATACCTTTGTCACTAACATTGTAAATCTTCGCCACGTTGATGAACCCTTGTTGGATTTTCGTTGGTTGGTTTTTATAACTTGCTTCAAGCAACTTCAACAATTGCTCGTTGAACGGATCGAGTTGAAGAATCGAATGGAATTGGGATTCCAAAAGCTTCACTAACGAGGTTTTCATCATCGATGCTGACGAGCCGATTGTAGATGATCCGTGATCCAAATTGAGGGAGAACAAGTCGGTTGAGATCGAGGATATCAATGTTAAGTTATTGGAATATTTCATAACCAAGCTCTTCAAAGATTGCAAGAACGGCAAAATTTCGGATGTTTGAAAATACGATGGGTGATACGTTGAAGGATTGAGTAAGTTTGGCAAGATGATTCTGATGATCTTATTATTGACGGACTTCCCCTGCTGATCCCGGGTCTCCAACTGGTTCTTCACCACTGATTCAATTTGTTTATACAACGCTATCATTTGGGATTTTTCGGGTTTATTTGGTGATCCAGGAAACGGAACTGGCAAAAATGTGATTTCTTGGGGTCTTGGACCAGGAATAAGTCGGGTGGTAATATCAAAAGTATTATTATAGTAAGGATAGGTCAAATTCATAAAATCTTTAGCGTCGGCACTAGCATCTGAATTCTTCGAGTTTGAAAGCCCATAACGCCAAGCGATTTTCAAATTAGGATTCACCAGGTTAGTGGTGGTTGGATTGGCAGGTTCCTGATTATTGATGATATTCTGCACACTTAATTTCGATTCATTTTCTCTAATTTTCTTCTTTTTCAATTCTTTTCTTGATCCTTTATAAACTCCTGGTAATTCTTTCACCCAACTAGCGACGTTCCCACCACCAATGACAATTACATGGCAATTTGTAGTGTTCTTGAGGTTTGGATCTTCAATACGATTATGAACAATTCCTTGGGCAGCAAAGAACTTGAGAAGAATCGAAGAGTAGTCAGTCGACCCTGTCTCCTCTAGTAGTAGAGAAGTACCGACTGGTAAACCCCCATGGAGTATAAGTTTATCAATATCAGAGGTTCCTGTGGATATGGTTGGCTGAGAAGTAATAATTGAAGGTTTAATTGAAGGATTTTGCTGTGATGTGTGATCTTCTATAGTCTCTGATTCTGTTGTGGCGGTTGTTGTTGTTGTTGTTGTCTGAGGATGAGATGGTGCCACTGTACCACCAACAGGTCTTCTATTAGAAATTGCTCGACTATTGGAAAGAAGAGGATTAGGTGATCTGCCGGGCACCAATCCCACATTGGGGATTCTTCCAGGCAAATTTGGAGTTCTTCCAGGAACAATTCTGTTAGGAGCGGGTCCACTAGCACCCCCGGGGCGTCCTAGAACCTTATTTTTTCTTTGGAAACTCATATTGTCGTATTTTTGGGGGGGTTATTCTATTGTATGTTGACAAAATGGTATCCGTCCATCATGATGTTATGAATATAATGCATCCATCCATCCTCATAAAATTTTTTTTTTTGTACTGCTTGTGAGAGAAACAGGGTCTCACTTGTATCACATGTCAAATCACATGATAACAAAAACCTATCGTAATCAGTTACATAATCGGTAATAAATCATAACCACCCCCCTTATCATCATGCATGCACGGTGCATGGGCATACCCAGATAAGCTATCCCTAAAACCTGAGAATGAGCAATGGCTTTAAAGATGCCGAGTTACAACTTAGTTACCTTTGTCATGCTGCTGGTATTCACCATCAAGATATTATGTTATCAAATGTTTTCATAAAATATATTGTTAACAAGAGAAGCTTTTTGTTGATTGCGATTGCGGGCATCTGAAGTACAGTCTTCTGAAACAATACCCACGAGTTATTCTGAAAATACCGCGTTCGAAAGTAATTCCCAAACTACTAATTTCTTAAACTTTGCAAAAAGAAAAGGATGAGGAAGATCTTGAGAGTCTCAAGGATTCAGTATTAGGAATGTCAACAATATTAGAAAGATCATCCGATGAAGTTGACCTCATAAATGGGAATGACCAAGCATCAGAATAATGGAAACTGCAAAGCCAGCTAATTTTTTCTTTTTCTCTTATTATCATTTATATAATTGTTAATATTAGAATACTGAATACTCAAAAGCTCTGATATGATCCCCCAAGCTCACCTCAAGATAACTATGCTGTTGGATAGCAATCTTGACAAGATTCGATGGGGATCATCAGTGGATCACCACACGTCATCGCAATAGGTTTATGAGTTGATGCAAATGATCGAATTTAATAGTTCCCATAGCCCTCAATGTTGCAATTTAAATGATACATCAACCCCTGCTCAAACAGAATTATTACATTTTGGAGCCGGGACTCATCATCATTATTATTGGTTTGGGAAAAATCACCGTTTTTTTGGACTGTTTCAAGGGTCTCTGCAATGCTTTTTTACTCTGTGTTCTTGAATAGCGTTAATATCATAAACGTAATTATCATTGACGGCATGGCATTCTTTTCTGGCTGGATGATCTTTAAAAAAAACCCTCGCCGTCTCCAGCTGATTTGGCAATCATTCTCTGATAGCTGGGAATAGATCTTCCCGGATCAAGGATAGATACATCCCGCTGGATAATTACGGTGATTTCTTCACACCGCACGTAGGTACGTGATGGGCTCCTCGTGGCTGTCTTCCCACGTGCCAGAGGGAAATTAAGCGAGACTCAACAACACGTGAGCCTAAACGAAGACGCGATGTCACGTGTGTTGCTTCGATTGGGGTTCCGGTGTTTCTTTTGCATGTGTGAAAATTTTGTACGATGGAAAAAAAAAAAGTTATCTGTGTTTTTCCACATAATATAAAAACATTTTATCCCGCAACTTTTAAAAAAAAAAAAAAATCTTCTCTTAGTTCTTCTTTTTTCCAGAACTATACAAACAATCTTCTTTGTTGTGTGTTTACTTTTAATATCAAATAACTCTCGTTGAACAAAAATGACCGTCGAAACTTTCTTCTTTACTTCTGAATCTGTCGGTGAAGGTCACCCAGATAAGATTTGTGATCAAATCTCTGACGCTATTCTTGATGCCTGTCTTGCTCAAGACCCTCTTTCCAAGGTTGCCTGTGAAACTTCTGCTAAGACCGGTTTGATTTTGGTTTTCGGTGAAATCACCACCAGAGCCCAATTGGACTACCAAAAGATCATCAGAGACACCATCAAGCACATTGGTTACGACAGCTCCGATAAGGGTTTCGATTACAAGACCTGTAACGTCATGGTTGCCATTGAACAACAATCCCCAGATATCGCTCAAGGTGTCCACATCGACAAGGCTTTGGAAGAATTGGGTGCCGGTGATCAAGGTATCATGTTTGGTTACGCTACCGACGAAACCGAAGAATTGTTGCCATTGACCGTTTTGTTGTCCCACAAATTGAACAAGGCTTTGGCTGACGCTAGAAGATCCGGTGAATTGGGCTGGTTGAGACCAGACACCAAGACACAAGTCACCTGTGAATACAAGAAGGAAGGCGGTGCCGTCGTTCCTATCAGAGTCGACACCGTTGTCATTTCTGCTCAACACGCCGACACCATCACCCTTGAAGAAATTCAATCCGAATTGAAATCCAAGATTGTCGAAAAGGTTATTCCTGCTGCTTTGTTGGACGAAAACACCAAATACCACTTGCAACCATCTGGTAAGTTCATCATTGGTGGTCCACAAGGTGACGCCGGTTTGACTGGTAGAAAGATTATTGTCGACACTTACGGTGGTTGGGGTGCTCACGGTGGTGGTGCCTTCTCCGGTAAGGATTTCTCCAAGGTTGACAGATCTGCTGCTTATGCTGCCAGATGGGTTGCCAAGTCTTTGGTTGCTGCTGGTTTGGCTAGAAGAGCTTTGGTTCAATTCTCTTATGCTATTGGTGTTGCCGAACCATTGTCTATCTACGTTGACACTTACGGTACTTCCAAATACTCTTCCGATGAATTGGTCAAGATTATCAACAAGAACTTTGACTTGAGACCTGGTGTCATTGTCAAGGAATTGGACTTGGCCAAGCCAATCTACTTCAAGACTGCTTCTTATGGTCACTTCACCAACCAAGAAAACTCTTGGGAAAAGCCAAAGAAGTTGGTTTTGTAAATCTAGAAGGTTTTTCGAAAAAATCAAATTTACACATCATCATTATAGAATTTCAACAAGTCTATTTTTTTAATTTCTAACTTATAACAGATATTCATTCATATCATAATAATTTGGTCATCTTTTTTTTTTTTTCTCTCTCTTATGTTATTATTTGCTCACGGCTTAATGTTCAACCTGCTCGTTTTTTGCTCATCCTCATGTTAATGATTTTTTTTTTCTCATCACTTTATGCTTTTTCATACCACTTCTGTTCAACCATTGTATTAGGTATTTTATATATATTTATGATTGGTGTCTTGTTTTTTTTTTTCAAGGCATCTCTCTAGGAAATCGATTTATTTTTTTAGCTGGCGTTTTTTTTAATATAAAATGAAGCTCATTTTTATACAATAATAATAATAACTGTAGTTGATGATTCTATTTTTTATTGAGTGGTGGCTATTGCTTCCCTTTTAGCGGGTGCACAGGGGTGTTTATTTTTTCTTTCATGATTTTTCCCGATTCTTGAAAATTACCCAAAAACTGCCACAACCACGCCTTAGCACGCAAGTGATTATTATTATTATTATTATTATTATTATTATCATCAAACTCAAGAGACAAGAATGCCATCGCTATGCATACAAGATTGACACTAATTACTTTGCTACTACTTGCCGTGTCCTCCCCAACACTATCGCCTTCTATTGCCACATTTCTCAAGACCAACACGTCGTCCCAGAATGATACACTCACAGTGATCGGGGATTCCCAGCCGGATCCTCAAATAAATGAGATGATGGCCTCTACATCATCATCAATCGACCTGACAAATGTCATTTCTAATGGTGGTGGGGCAGTGTCTTTGCAAGACATTTCGGATTTCCTCGTATATTATGGGTCTGCAGAATTCATTGTTGGGCCAATGTTGAAGAATTATCCCATGGCATGGAATGAAGTTCCGTATTCGATGATCTTGTCGTTCTTGTATCAGAAACTATACCCTCATAAATTTGTTTACAAAGTGCCGTTCCTTTGTGTGCCTGGTCGTGATGACTATGTCGATTTCCATGATTATAAAATCCAAGTGGGAATCACGTCATTATTCATTTTGATGAAGATATTGGGAAGCAGAGTATTTAAGAATATTGCCAAGGAGTCAATGACTATGCTCGAAGTAGAATTCTTCCTGGTGGCATTGATAAATCTCTTGTTTTTCACCGACAATGATACTTTGGAACTAGCGGTGTTCCGAAACTTGGTGATCTCGTTTATGATTTCCATATGTTTAGTGATCATTCCCTTTTATACCAGAACTCCTTGGAGATCGTCAAAATTTTTAGAAACTTTTATGTTTGCCACATACGTCATGAGTTTTCTAACCAATGTGGTGGTTTTGGAGTACTGGCATTTGAAAGAGAATTTCGTCACTTGGCTCTGGCAGTACTTATTTTTCGAAGATTCAGCACAGCGGCGCTTGATCATTGGATATTGGATGGTGTTTGCGTTGATGATTGCCTATGTCTTGATGACCATCGTGGGAAAGTCTACCATCAAAGACCACCAGCATCAAGATTTAACTAAAGCCGACAGCTTGGGGAAAACTTTGAATTTTAATAGGAAAATCTGGCATTTTGTGATCTTCATGATGTTTGTTCCGTTCATGAACCACCCACCACAAATTGAGTTTTTAAAAATGATCCTGGCGTTGCTAATTCTTGTGTTTTTAAACGTTGAATTGGTCAGGTACTTGGGGACCCCGATCGGCACCACGATCAACGAGATTTTAGGGGTGTTTAAAGATACCCGAGACAGTAAAGGTCCAATATTGATTTCATATTTATATTTGATCATTGGGGTATCTATCCCGATGTTTTTCAATGACAGCGTCATTGGATTAGTGGCTTTAGGAGTAGGGGACTCCGTGGCATCGATTGTTGGTAAACGTTTTGGTCACATTAATGAGAAAAGTAATAAACAATGGAGACTAACTTGGAAATGGTTCGATACTTCAAAGACAGTCGTTGGCACCATGGCATTCATTGTGGTTTGTTATGTTATTTGTGATGCCTTGAAGAATTCATTTCAATTCGAAAGTTTGGAAAATTATTCTAACTGGAATCTTTTCATCACTTGTACCGTTGGAGGACTAGTAGAAGCCTGGAGCGATATTAATGATAACTTATTGTTACCGTGTGTTATGGTTGCCACAATGGAGCTGTTGAAGAATGTGATATAAATTATATCCCCTTTGATTTATTCATGTACCCCATCATCTTCATTCCAAATTTTTATTTTCAACTTAGTTTGTGGTTTAATATTATTAGTTGTATTATAGAGTGTTGTTGATTTGCTTGTTGTTTTTGTTGTCCTATCAGCATTATCGTTATTTTTTTTTTTATTTTTTTTGTTATTATTATCTTATTGATACCATTGTTAGTTTTTCATTGACACCATTATTATTACTATGCTACAATTTTTTTTCATCCATATATATATCATTGTCGTTAATATTGTCATCAAATCTAAAACCGTATAGACCGCAACATCCATGGCGCTCGGAGCTGAGCAATTATTATTATTATTATTATTATTATTAACCATGTTGCTTTGAAAATGCAATATATATGTATTAAATGCCATCCTCTATCAAACACTAAGATCCCCTTATTTTTATTTTCCTAATGATTCACTCTAAAATGGATCCTCATATGGATCTTCTTCATCATAATCATCGTCTTTTTCAAACTGGTAGACAATTGCCCCACCATCTTGGAACTTTTGGGCGTCGAGGTATGGCAATTCCACTTGGTTTCTTGCTTGTTTTTGCTTATCACTAGTCGACAAATTGAAAGTACTCAAGTCCTTCAATAAGCTTTCATCACCTTCAACCACCACCGCAGATTCGCGGGCTTGCAACGCGGCATCTGGATCATAGAGACTAAACTCATGGGTTTGGGAATCCAACAAGAATTGGAGCTCGATTTTTTTACCGGATTTTTTAAATTTCAGGAGCTTTATTTGGTTGCTCTGGGGTCTGTTGAGTCCTTGAGGCACCATGAATTTCTTATAATATTGATCGTGCAAGTACTCATCATCAAAATCGCTGGCGTCACCATTACTATTATTAGGGTGGTGGAAACTGATGTCAAAGATCGTGGTGGCAATATAGGTTAAAAGATTAGATTTTGAAGGGTAATATGGGTTCGAAGATCCTGATTCGGGAATTGATGAGTGTAAAGTCGACAATATTACAAAATTCGGATGGATCCTCATCAAATCGGCAGCGAATTTGGATATTTGGTGACCTTCAAGATAATTCAACGTGTCAATGATGATCAAGATCTTTGAGTCAGAACTGGTGCTATTGGCCAATGTTTCCACAATACTGGCATTGGTAGTAATTTTCGGTGATTCATTAAAATGGCTGAGTTGACTATTAGGGATGATTTTCCTCATGAACTCCTTGATTGGTATCAAAATCTTGGCAAGTCCCTGGTCAGTGTCACCGTCTAAACCCAAACAATCGACAAATAAGTCTTTTTCCTCGTTGATAAATGGTGGTTTGCTGAAAGTTTCAAATGACAAGTAAATCTTGTGAGAAATCACCGAGGCGCTCTTGTAAATGATTTCATCAACTAGGAATCGAGATGACTGGGCAAAACTGTCCTGGATGATAATAAATGGAGATTGATCTTTCAAAGAAAGCGACCTGTCAATTATTAGAGTGTCACTGTTCATTATCGTATTACAAATTGTGAACTTTAGATTAGAATGGATCAACTATTTCCAATAAAAACGGGAAACTATATTATCATTTTTGAATTTTTTTTTAGCCATCGATCGCATCGGGGCACGAACCAAGTCATGTCATGTCATGTCGAGATATATGATCATTTTGTTCAATATAGTTCATATTTAGAGAGGATGTTATCTCATTTCAATGTTCTTATTCTATGCTTTATTGTTTATTGTTTATTCGGTAAATATACAATGTTGATGCGATTTCATATAACATGAAAAAGAGAATTAATGATGTATTCAAAAAAGATTGATCAATCAGAGTCGAAAACTCACTTAATGTAGCAAAAGTTGACCATTCATTTATTCTTCTTTTGCTTTGATTTCTGTGCCTTGACAGATCTTTTCCAAAGCAAAGTCTTGAGCTCCAAAACAATACTCCGCACGGTGATGATGGCAATGTACATTAAAAACCCTACAAAAACCAACCCTAACACCGCAACCAACCCCTTATTTTCACTGTAGAATTCCGGGGAAATTAGTCTAATTTCATTTTCTTCATTCTTCAAATCCTCCATCCATTGCTCGTACTTGTTCTTGCGCTGGATGTTATCATCGTTCTTCGCCACCGTGAAATCAATCTCTCTAAATATTGGTTCTTCTTTCAATCTCCGTTCGTCGTTGGTCAACCAGCTCATTGGATCAAAAGTTCTAGAGATTTTTTTGAAACTTGACAATGGAACCCCCATGTTTTTAGGATGATTCGAGAGAAATGCTTCGTCGTTGATGGTGGTGTCCAAAGAAGTAAAGATAAATGAAAGATATGGCGAAGGGATCCGTTGCAACACTTTCCTAATGTATTTGTCATTCTCATGAATCATTTTATTTCTGTATTCGATATCCCCGTGGGTCGGTAGCTTAGGCAAGTTCAAGATGATGACTCTTGGTTTTGTATCTTTGTATCTTGGCAATTGGTGGCCCTCACGCAATTCTTCTTCATCTTCCACGTTGATTCTGATCACTTCGATATCTTCACAAGCTGATAGGATCTGTTTGGTGATTTTTTCAAAAGATATTCCATTCTCAACATATGGGAAACTGGTCACTACCGAGTCTTCGTTCAATTTTGATTGAAGGTTGAAAAAGATTTTGTGATCATTGACTTTAAAATCATCATAAGTTAACCCTGGCTGGTTGATCAAAATGTAAGCGTCCGAAGAACATTTCTTAACCAATTTCCGTATTAATATTTCGGCTCTGGATAGTGGGAAAGGGTTAGGTCTAGGGTTTTCAATATTCTTGGTGAAGCCCCTAATTAGCTTTGTTGACGATAACACTAATGGAGCATAGACGGCTAGAGCAAATTGACAGGAAAATATTAGGCAGAGAATGCTTGGTATTAGCAATTGGGGTTTCATGGTTTATGTTTAATTTATGGTGTTATATTTGGGATCATCGGTGTCAATTAGAGATGGATTTTCGAATTTTTGAATTTTTTTTTTTTTTTTTTTTACACGATTTTTTTCTCCTGTGGCGGTGAATACTCATTGATAGAGAATCAATACCCATCGATAGAGATAAGAATAATATAATATCTCTCTCTGTATATTATATATAACAAATAACCACTAGCTTGTGAAAGTAAGCACACATGGGGGGGGAGGTCTTCGGGGAAACTTCGAATGTGTGATCTCTCTGTGTGGAGATTGTTGTTCCTGTATCATAAAATATTACGTGAAGAGCGAACGAGTATTATTTATATACTTCTATTTATCAGATATATTGTCCATGATAGTAATATCACCGTAATAATTTAAGACCGATGAAGAGATAGACTCACAACCCGCGTATATCATTGACAATAATAGCTGATCATTGAAATGTAGGAGATGTAGAAATGGTTTTTTTTTTCTTTTTCGTATCTGTCTCTATATTTGATCTTGAGACCACTAAATGACTAATGATGGCTCCAGTTTCAATCAAATACTTGCTGTGAAACTCTAAAATATCGATTTCTCCATTTGGGGAATATACCTTTTAAGTCTAATAATGGTCATACCAGCAATCCTAATGGTTGATGCAGCTATAGAAAATACCCGCGAGTTGGGAGAAGACCGTTGCTGATACCAATGGCATTGATTAATAATCTTGGTGGTGTTCAGAATATTTACGGATAAGGAGATAGATACACAGAGATAGAGATAAAAGATAAAGAGCAATCAATAGAGAGAACCTTGTTACAGAGACAGATACCAATTGTATGTATGTATTTGCGGTGTCACAGAACAGCAGTCATACGAAAAGAAAAGACCACCAAAAAGGAACAGTGAGCAATGTACAACTTTATCACCTCCATAATATTCCATGCTCTCCGCCTTTCTTTTCCCACTCATCGTCAGTCACCGCTGACTTTCCCTCCCCCATTGGTCAGACCACAGGCATGGGATGTTGTTCCTGTCATGTCATGGTCCGTGTGTACCAGCATAATTCCCAATTAACGAATATTCCATTATCTGCCAACATGCATTTTTTTTTTTGTGTGTGTGTGTTGAGTTGCGCTTTGGCGAATATACACACAGAGAGATGGAAAAATATCTTCATATAAATATCTCCCCTCAGGACTCTGTAAATTCCAAATGTCTATTATCTATTCGTATCATTATAACTATCATCATCTGCTATCCTCACTGAGAACTATCCTCATAAAGTGATCCGAATAATACAACATCTCTACACAAACACACACTCTAATAACAATGTTCACCATGCCTGTTCAAGCCGCTTCTAGAAAAATGATGGTGTCCACCACCGCCAGAAGAGCCCTTTCCACCAGCAGCACTTCTGCTAGCGGAATCCCTCCTCATATCAAATACACCTTGGTTGTTTGTATCGGTGGTGCCTTCGTTGCTGCTGGTGCCATGACTAAATGGTACTACCAATCCTCTCCAATGAAGAAGATCTTCAGAGACCCACAACACAACTTGCATCACCACTAAGTGGTTGGTGGTTGCTCCATTTTTAAAAAATGGTATTCGTCCTCAAGTAATTGGTTAATTAATCTTATTCCTGTTTTATATTATCTCTTAATGCTTTCCTTCTTTACAGCTACATTTTATCATCATGATTAGTCTTTATATTCGTTATTTTTTATGTGTCAATGAATCAATTTTTAAATATTCTCTATTTTATCTATTTTGTTTGTAAGAAAGAAAGAAAAAGTTGTATCTTTTTTTTGAATTATCAGTGATGCGGCGGTGGTCTCGTTATACTATAATGCTACTCATTTGCTATTGGAAAAGTGTATGCACAAAACTAATCAGTATTTGCACTGCACTTTGCTTCCCCACATTCTAGTAATTAAGAAGAAACTAAGATTTATTTACTAAATGATATAGGTAGAAGCAAAAAGAAACACACATATATTGTACAGTCTAAAAAAAAAAAAAAGAAACAATTAAGCTCTCCAATATTGGGCTAGAGAATGCAATTTGTCAATCACCACCGGTAAAAACGCATTGACACTATCATTAATCAAGTTTTGGAAATAGACAATAGCTTCCTCATCATTCAAATCCAACATAAATTTCTCTTGTACTTTCAAAATAGCATTTTTCCCATCGACTTTCAAATCAGGAATGTTACCAAACATCATCAATTCCAACAAATTCAAAATCAAGTTACTATTTTTCCGTAACGTCAAAAAGCATATAAAACAATAATTCTTAAAATCTTGGAAATGTTTAGAGTTCAATCCTCCAAAACCATCAATGATTTCAATTGGTAGTTTCATCAATGGAGGAAATGGCTTGGGATCTTTACCTAAAATATACCCGAAATCAACATGGAAAAACCGGCCATTTTGACAAATGAGTAAATTATCCAAATGTCGATCACCAATCCCTAACAAGTATGTAATAACACAATAACCAGCACAAGATTTCACAAAATTATCCATGATCTTTGGATGGATTCCTTGAAGATTCGGATTGTCATTATTAGGGCCATTGTTTGCAGTATTGATTGCTTCAGCAATACTGGTTTCTAAACTATCTTTCTTAATAACATCTTTTACCATCCGATCACTGCTTTCCCGTTCCCCAATATTTTGACCTTCAAAGTCTCCATAAGGGTTTTCAGTTTTGAAAAAATTCAAAATGTTTTGATACTTGGTTAAAATTTTATCGACCGTTAAATTTGGAATGAATTCAATCATCCCTTCATTCAACCCGGTAGCGAGAATTTCGTAAGGATTCAACTTCAATTTCAAGTTTTCGTCCTTCAATAGTTTTGCAATCATCTTGATGATCTGAATAATCAACTGATCTTGTCTCAAATCATCTCCAATTTTGTACATAAAAGAATAAGTATCACCATCACCAACTGCATCATCATCATCATTATCATTATCATTACCATCATTCTTCGATGATTCCTCTTTCAACACTCTAAATGTAAGCTTCAATGGAGATAACGAAGACTTGAACACTGCACACTGTTCAGCGATAATATAAAGAATCTTAATTTTAGGATTCAACGGCAATGTCAATGGCTGAGTATTGTTAGGATCAAAATATTGATAATTGGCCTCATTCTTCAAAAGATAGCTTCTCAAAAACTGCTGCTTTTCCGGGGTGCTTTTCTTCAAATTCTTAATCATCATTGTCAACTGTGAAATCTTATTGACAAAGTTTATCTGATCTTGTAACAAAGATAAATCTAATTCGTTACCTGTCAATTCAATACCGCCATTATCATCATTTGAGGACTGCCCCATAAGCTTATTGGATTTATCAAAAATTTTATGAACCCCGCTCTTGATGGTTTTGTAATACCCTGTGCCACTCGCTTGTAAATCAATGTTATGTTCACTGGTCTTCCTTGCTTGCAGTATATCCTCACTTGAATCCAATTCATTTATGTCGCTTTCTACTGAGTTGTTTCTGGAAATTAAGCGTTCATCAAGCTCACCATTCCTTCCCTTATTATTCATAGTACTATTGTTGACCAACTGCGATGATTCTAGTTGTTGTTGTTGTTGTTTATACAGTTCCAAGTTTTTTAAATGTTTCTTGAACACCTTGATGATTTTCTTAAACACCAATTGTTCTTTAAAATCATTCTCACTGTCTTTTGATTCAAGCTTCACATACCAGTAAAAATAATTACCCAAGTACTTGTTATGGATCGCTTTATAAATTAAAAAGTTTGCCAAAGGAGATAAATTTTCGTCTAGGTTATACCTATCATCATGATTTGTGGTATTTTCACCATTACCAATACCATTAACTTCGTTCGAATCGTTGGTAGAACTTAAATCATTATCAAACGATGAATAGCTGTTATTTATCGGACCCGAATTCTTATTATATTTCAAGGACTTGTATAAACTAACAAGTTCTTCCTTTGACCCCACATCGATAATTGACAGAAAATCATTATTGTTTGATGACCCGCGGTTGTTATTTTCAAAAATATAATCATCAAACTTTAATGCCTGAATCAATTGCAACAAATAAAGATTCAATTCTTTGTCATTAAAATGCTTCAAATTGTTGACAGCAAAATTTCTCACCAATGTATTGTTATTGAAAATAGGTCCCAAGAGCTCAAGGGTATTGGTTAGTGAAATTTCCAATTTATTCATGGTCAAGTTGGTCAAAATCTCCTGGATTTCTTGGATTTCACTGTTTCTTTCCCAATTTATGGACTTCAATAAAAAATTCAAAAAATTTGAACTGTTCAAGGAAAAACTGTTTAGCTTGAAATTATTAATCAAATAATACTTGAATTTATAAATCAAATTCTTTTCCCGATTATTCAACTGACGAATCGATGAATAATTTAAAATCTTGTTCAAATGTTTCTTGAGTTTCAAATTCGGTTTCAAATTCTTATCAGCTAGTCTCTTATAATTGGAGTTGTTCAATGATCTTTCTAATTCGTGATACTTGAGTTCAATCGGCTGAGTATTGTATTGCTCAGGGTCATAAACCACCGCGGTTGAAAACTTGGCATTATCATTAATCGAGTCAATATCTATTGATTGTTCTACTACGAGGCCGTTCGTGATATTCGTTTGGTTGCTGGTTCTAATTACCCCATTATTTTTCTTCTCGGTGATTACACTATTATTCATCGAATTATTTTTGCTGGCAAGTATGGAATCATTAGCATTTGTGGTTTTCAAAAGATTATTGTTTTCTTCCGCCAAGTAATTCCTTGTAGTATAGATAAAATCGTTGTAAATAATGGGCACATTGAAATTTACCAATTCGATAAATAAATTGAAATTATTCAAGTTATTTTTAATAACTTTTTTCTTTAGTTTCTCAATCTTTTTGATAACCATAGAATTTAGCCAATCATCATTGCCCCCATTTGAAGTAGAAGAAGACTCCTCTTCATTGACTAACGTTTCCATCTTTTTCATCGCCAGCTCCAATTCTTTCAATTGCGTTTCATACTCCTTGTCAGTAGATCCAATTGCCATTCCAAATCTCTGAGAGTTCAAATCTAGGCGTATTAGCTGGTGTCCTCTCTGTAAGCTACCATCTAAAAGATCAAATAAACTGATTGAGCATTGCCCAAACACCACCTTCTCGTTGTTTACATATTCGTACACTTTGAACTGCAATTTGGATTCCAAAGGTAGTTGGTTATAGTTAATAGGCATATCGATCCATTGATTGAACACTCTTCTATATGGGGTATTAACACTGTCCGTTATTAACGATCCATTATTCTTTTCGGGTTTGGAAGAAGTCCCATTTCCACGACCAAGCGAATCACCAACATTATTTAGTCCTTCTTGGCGATATAGATGTTGATTGTAATCAAAGGATACATATTTTGTCTGAACTGGTAAAGATAATGGGATGTTTCCATTGAATAGCTGGGCAACAATGAACAAATCTGAGTTGTATTTTATTTTTGATAAGCATTGATAGAGTTTAGGATTGGAGATTCTTGCAGATTGTGATACTAGTTTTTCAAACTGTCCTTCAATTGCAAGCACTTTGAACTTGAAGGTTGTATCAAGCTCACTCGAGAGGGCAAAAGAGGCGCTGACAGTCCCTTTATCCATAGCTTTTCTCAGTTATTATTGCCCTTTTAGTACCTGATCTTCTTGTTTGTTTGATAACGGTTGTCATTTTTTCTTGTGATTTTTTGTTTTCCTTGGAGAAAGACCCGCAGAAATGGTGTAAGTGCCCAGCACGTGGAAACAGCCTTGACCTCCCCATACATTATTTATCACAGCTGAAATAATTATTTGTGTTGAATCCTTAAATGTGATGCCGCATGTCTTCATTTCTCATTATTCCTTGATAGGCATTCTGGTCTTGTGAAGGGTCCTTTTTCGAAAAAAGGGTCTAGCCCGTTTTTGTTTATCGACACCTCTGCATTCCCAACAAGCTGACATTGCCGTGCGCGCTCGACATGCCTCAGGGAGAATTATGTCACAATCCATTATTTTTAGCTAGCAAATGGCAATAGAGTGTTCATTTTAGAATGGGAAAAATTCATTAGCCTCGTATCTCTACAAAGCATCCATATTTCCAAGAACCGTGAATGGCGTTCTCATTCTCATACAGACTTTTCAATAGAGATTCTTTTTACGCATATATATATATATATATATATATATATATAAAAGGTGGCTTACCCAAACAATATTCACAACTTGCAATTCTTTTGCATTACTAATAATCATCTTTGCTTATTTTTAACTCTTTCATATTATTATCTTCTTCATCCCTTTCAACACAATGCAACTCACCCAAATCTTAACTCTCACCGCCCCATTGATCGCTCTCACTGAGGCTGCTCCATCTGCCGGTATGTTAGGTAACATGTGTAACGATGCTACCCACAGATTCCAAAACTTTGGTACTTGTCTTTCCGAAACCCCAACCTTTCAATCCTTGAATAGCACTTTCTGGTACCAAGCTGCTAGAAAAGCCTTGTGTGGTTACTCCATGGAAGGGAACTTCACTAATTATATCCAACCACACAACAACATGGCCGTCAAACAAAAAAGTGATACTCAAATCGAATTGGAAGCCCAATATTTGTACGTTTTGAACAACCCAGACTCCAGTATTGATTCAGAAATTGATTCTGAAATGAAAACTGAAGTATCCTCTGGTGAAGTTCATGCTGAAAAACGTGATGGTACCTACGGTTTGGCACAATGTTTGAACACTTGTGAGCTCTTCAGAGAAGGTTCCAATGCTGTTCAAAACTGCTGGCAAGTTACTGGTTTAACAGTTATCTATGGCGTTTGTGAAGCTGGCTGCAGATACTATTACTAATTTACTCATTTTCTTTTTTTTTTTTTTTTTTTTTCGATTTGTTTGACACAAATACTTCTTCAATTCTCCTCGATCTCCTTTTATCTATTGTTGACTCATTTCGCTCAATTGAATAGTAATTTTTCGCTTTTAATATTATGATTCTTATTATTTCCTCAGTTTTTAATCAAGTTTATCCATTCGTAGTGTAAATTTTATGATATTTACTGACAGCTTAACTTATCAGGATCCCATTGGGCAGTTTTGGTAAACGCAGATGTATGTATCATTCTGCAAGCATCATATATTTCCAGCCGGGCAACATTTTTCAATTTTTTTTTTTTTTTCTTCTGCAATTTTTGAAGAAACTCACAATAATAAAATTGAACGATCGGTGCTGATAGAATATTTTGGTGAACACTTTATCAGGGAAAGAAAAATACACACATAGATAAAATATGCTTAGATCTTTGCAAATAGGGACCAAGTCATCAAGATCTGTGTTGAACAGCATAGCATCCCAAAGATCATTGCACACTGTTCCAAAGATTGAAACTATTGATGAATTGAAAGATACCGGTCTCAAGGGCTTGTATTCCGCCAAAGGTTTGGAAAGTGCCTGGTACTCTAGAGCCCAAAGCTATGTGAATAATTTGAACAAAGAATCCACCGATGGTGTAGCCGGTGGCAGTTTGGAAGACATAATTTCTACTTTTTACAAGGAACCAATCAAGAGATCATTATATGAAAATGCTTCATTATTATACAATACCAAGTTTGCCTTGGAATGTCTTGCCCCAATAAATACTTTCAACAGCTCTGAAGAAGTGGCATTACCACCAAAGGCCACTGTTAAAGATTTGCTTGCGGGACCGGTGTTGAACAGAAACAGCGCTATTAGCAACGTGCCAACTAACAACAACTTGAAAGACTGGTTGGTAGATTCATTTGGATCAATAGTAGAATTCAAGACCTTGTTACTCAACTCTGCTATGGCCATCAAGGGTGATGGTTTTGCCTGGTTGGTCGTGGAGAAGTTGGTTAGAAGAGCCGACGTTTACGAAACAATGTTTGTTTTGAACACTTACAACTGTGGTCAACCAAACTCCAATGCCTCCAAATATTTGGACGATTTGAAATTATTCCACCATACCAAAGAACAAGAAAACAAATTGAAAGATCCTGAAGCAAAATTGGCTTATGAAGAAGAACAGAAAAAGAAAAATAAGTTGGAATACTCATTCCAAAATACTTTGATCGAAACAGTTGACGAAGCTAAAAGTATACACCATGCCACTAAGAGACAATTTGTGCCAATATTAGCCATTGACGCTTCACCAAAGGCTTACTTGCACGATTATGGTGTCTTTGGTAAAAAACAATATTTGGAAAGAGTTTGGGAATCCATTGATTGGGATAAGATCGCTGCCAGATTACCACAAAGATCTGAAAAACTTCAACTCTAGGTGGGAGAAACATTTCACAGCATTGTACATAGCTTATAATAAAGAAGAATGTTCATATTCGTTTTTTCTTTGATTGACGGGCATTTTAAATTGTAAGAAAAATAATGACACAAAAAATACTGAGAATCTTAGATTTCCAAATCTCTAGCTTTATATCACCTAACTTGATTAATTTGACTTATAAGATATTGCATGATAGTAGTAGTGGTACTATCAAATTAAGAGATCGTTTGGTCCATTCGATCCCGATCCATCAATTGAGCCTCCTCAGTAAAAGTTTCACTCAAAGGTACTTCAGCTATTAGCTGTCAGTATGTTATGTGTTTGGGACAACTACCAGAGCAGCTTTGTGTTGTCACTAACCTGAATGTTCATGGAAGAATGTAAAAAGTAATTCTATCTTGTTGAGTTATTTATCTAATTTTCTTTTCTCTTCTCCTCATGAAATTCAAACATCATAATCAAAAGTACGTAAACGGTTAAAAATGACCATAACATCACAAATTAATTCCCAATTCCTTCTCGCACGGCCACCAAAAAGGATATTGAAGAAAGCATATAATATTGACGAATGGCGGCATGCTGTGTAGTAGTCGGGGTTCCCCCACCAGGGCTGCAAACACCATGCTTCCGCGGGTATATAAAGGCCTAGGAAAAAATTTTTTTTACTCTCTCTCCTCTTCTTTTTGGAGTTTTCTCTTCTTCAGTATTTAACCCACTTCTGGATTACCAAGCCATAAAAGTATGCATCGATCTTTGAATAGGCACAAATGGCCGGAAGGAGAGAAAATTAAAAAACCCTTTATAATATAGTATTAGAATATTTACTTCTATCTCTAATATCTGTTTCGCTTGGGGTTTATATTTCAAATCATTTTACTTATTTTTTTTAGCCTTTTTTGTTCTTTATTTTGATATTTTTAATCTCTGTAAATCCACAATCTTTCGTAAATAACCATTCAAACTACAATTTATCGCACGTCGTTTTGCTCGTTTCCTCAGTGCGATTATCAGGTTTTGATTTTAAGATTTTTTGGTCTTTTTTTTTTTTTTTTTTTTCACAAAGCAAAAAATATTGATGAGGCGATGATTCTGGCAAGCAATCTCTGTAATAAAGGTAGCAATTTCATATCATTTTAAAACAATGCCCTCGAGATCAGTTGTCCCATTGGAATCAGATCCTTCAATCTTCACCAATTTGGCCCATTCGTTAGGGGTTTCTCAACATATTGAATTCACGGACATTTACTCGTTGACCGACCCTGATCTTACAAGCTTTATTCCTAGACCCATCAAGGCCATCGTTCTTTTGTTCCCTATTGATGACGCTTTCGAAACATTAAAGAAGCAAGAAGATTCTAGCCGCAACGCCTACGAAATTCCTAGCAACCCCCAAGATGAGAAAATTTACTGGTTTCCTCAACGAATCAAGAACGCTTGTGGGTTATACGCTTTGCTCCATGCGGTTTCCAACACCGCCACCCCAGGTAATGGAGGTTTAGTACCAGACTCTAAATTGGCAACCCTCTTGGGCAAATTGCAATCGACGCGTGATTTTGACTCAAGAACCTTGTTGATTGGACAATTAGAAGGCGAGTATACTGAAGCGGCGCAAGATGGACAAACTGAAGCGCCACAACCGGACGATGAGGTTGGTTTACATTTCATCAGTTTTGTCTATAATGCCAAAGATAACCATTTATACGAATTGGACGGGAGAAGAAACGGACCGATTGATTTAGGAGAAAGCGGTGCCGATGGGGATTTATTGGAGGAAGCTCTGGTGGTTGACAAGATTCAGCATTATATGGAGATTGCCAATGAACAAAACCAATTGAAATTCAATTTGATGGGGTTGATTGCTTGAACAAAACAAACAAAAAAAAAAAAAAAATAAAGGAAACGATGATATTTAATTTAAGAAGATGGTATGACGAAATTATTATCAAATATATTCGTATTTAAGCAATAATAAGAAATACAACTTACGTAAAACTATGGAAGATACTTATACAAAATCTATATGTAGGCTTACGATCCAAAAAATAGGCCACACGCAGAGGGATATCAAAGAAAGATGATAGTGATGTAGATCAAATACTCACAGGTAGCCAAAAACACTCATGGATAACCACAAAAAAAAAATACTCACGAAATTTATGGCTGGTTTTGCAAGAATGAAAACATTAGCAAAAAGCAAATCACAGCAGCAAAAGTTAGACCACCGTGTTTTATATTTGTCCCTTAATATCAACTTTGTAAGATTTCTTATAAATTGCAAGGATTCTATTTTTGGTCTGACTATTAGTAAAATCAAGGATTTTCACCTCCCCTTTAGAGGTCCTACCAGTTTTCACGAGATGGTTGAGCCCTTTTTTCACCATGTACTCATCGAGTTGGTCAGGAGAATCGAATTTCAATTGTTTTTCGATGGCAGGAAGGTTCAAACTTCTGTAAACCCCCGACATTGTGTATAGAGTTCTGATACGGCATTTTTCAAGGATATTCGCCATCAATTTGATAAAAGTGTCAAAAGCTTGGTTATAAGTTCTGGATTTGTTCAACTTCACAATCTTCAGGTAATTACGATAAAACCCGACATAATTGTTGATAACTAAAGCGTCAAAAATCCTCAAAGCATAATCAATGAAAACATTATTCATTCTCATCTTGACTCGCGCAACCTTTTCTTTCTCTAACTTCATATTTGGTAAATTTGCCCTTCCTTTTTTCTTTTCAGAACCACCAATAATTCTTTTTTTTTCCGAAAATCCCCGGGGTTCTTCAAGTAATTCAAATAGCTTCGTTTTGAATATTTCTGATTGATTATTCGTAAGAATAAAATATAAAATTCGATAACTCAAAAATTCCAATTTATTCTTGCCTTCAACCCCCTCTTTATTATAAAGCACTTGGAGCCTAGTCTGACACTGGTTGAATTCTCCTAGATCATCGTTATCGATGGCGATTTTCGCGTGGGTTTCGTAAACTTTAACGGTAAAATCATCTTCAATCAACTGCACCGTCAAATCTTGACGGATCGATTTCAATTGATCACAAACATAATTATATTTCACCGCGCTGTTAGTGTTGAACTTATTTAATACGAACTCCAAAGCTTTTTCCAAAACTTCCGGTGGTCTAACTTTTTCTGGGACAGCTTCTGATGTCAATCTATAGTAACGTTTTTCCAAAGTTTGGCAAGTACCGACTAGTCTATCATCAGCACTGGCAGGGGTCTCGATCTTCGCCCGCTGCTGCGGTTCTTTATGGGCTAGTTCTTTCTGGAATCTTTCACTCCTCATTCTTTTACGGGTTTCTGAGTCATAATCATTCTTTGAATGTTGGTGTGGCCTTTTTTTGTTTGGTTTGTTAGTAACCACCTCCTGCTCCTTCTCATTGGCGGTGTATTCTGGCATGTTGCTCACCAAGTTCAAAGGGAACGATGCATCGAACGAAGGTAACTTTTGTAGTCTCCAATTATTGGTCAATACCTTCCCCTCCTTCATTGCTTGTTCAATTAAAGACTTGAGTTCTTCCTTCACTTTATTCTTCTTTGCAGCATCGAACTTCAAAATATCACAACGGTTGAAACAATCCAATGAGAATCTCTTCAAGGCCTCAGGATACCCTCCTCCTGCCGCTTTTTCAATGGTTTTCTTTGAAGAGGAGGAGTTATTTACGTTTTTTGTCCCCGACAACTTGGTTGGTTGAACTTCATTGTAGTGGGACATTGCTGATGTGATAAAGCACTGGAGTTGAGATGAGAAAGAAAAAAAAAGAAAAAAAAAAGATCAATTAAAAAAAGTACAAGAAGAAAAGAATATTAGAAAAACAAAAAAAATAAAATTGTTATAGCAATTGGGTTCTGTCCAAGAAGAGAACACAAAAAAAATAAAGAAACTAGAGATTATTATATCGGGGAGAGGTCTTTGTACGCCTTGTTTTTGATTAGATTTTTTTCCTTAAAAAAAAAAAAAAAAAAAAAAAACGAAAACCAATAAACCGTGGTTGTCACATGAGCCTTTTCATTTCATCACCAGCATTGGCGTAGGGCCATGACTTCATTCATTTACTTCATCAGTGTAATAACTATGTATTTTATTCATACACCTTTTACATTAAAGGAATTCATACTGGCGATCAGTTTTTATACATATAATAATAATAAACACAAATAAAAGAACATGTCCACATCGACTCTTTTATTGGAGCATGGATTTGCCGTATTCTCTTGATTTCTGGATCAATAAACTATCAGCCAAGACCAAGGCAGTCATGGCTTCAACAATAGGAACAGCTCTAGGGACGACATTTGGATCGTGTCTACCTCTGGCCTTCAAAACACCATCTTTCCCTTCGTAAGAAGCGGTCTGTTGTTCTTGAGAAATGGTGGCTGGTGGCTTGAAGGCAACAGAGAAGTAAATGTTTTCACCGTTGGAAATACCCCCTTGAATACCCCCGGAATAGTTAGTCTTTGTTCTGAATCTACCAGTGGATGGGTCCAAATAGAAGGCATCATTATGCTTGGAGCCCTTGATGCTGACACCGTAGAAACCAGAACCGATTTCAAAACCCTTGGTGGCAGGAATCGATAACATGGCATGGGCCAACAAGGCTTCCAATTTGTCAAAAGCTGGTTCACCTAAACCGGTTGGCAAGTTTCTCACGACACAAGTCACCACCCCACCGATGGAGTCATTGGCATCTCTGGTTTCTTCGACAATCTTGGTGGCTTGCTCAGCAACCACTGGGTCAGGACATCTGATTGGGTCGAAAGTGTCGACTTTTTCTCTGGTGATGTTTTCTAATAAATCTTGGAATTCTGGACTAGATGGGTCTCTGTTGATGGCGGCGGACCCAACAGCAGAAACAAAGGCAACAATTTCCACCCCGTGGGCTTTTTGCAAAAACTTTTCGGCGATGGCACCAGCAGCGACTCTACCAATGGTTTCTCTAGCAGAAGATCTACCACCACCACTGGAGGCCTTGATCCCGTATTTTTGCAAGTAAGTGTAGTCGGCATGAGAAGGTCTTGGGTAAACGTCGGTTTCAGAATAGTCCTTAGGTCTGTGGTCTTCGTTGAGCACCATCATACCAATAGGAGTACCTAAAGTCTTGCCATGCTCGGTACCGGACTGGATGGCAACCTTATCCTTTTCGTTTCTTGGGGTAGACAATTTCGACTGGCCTGGTCTTCTTCTGGTCAACTGTGGCTGGATGTCTTCTTCAGTAAGATCCAATCCTGGTGGAACACCATCAACAATACAACCAACAGATTTACAGTGAGATTCACCGTAAGTGGTAACACCTACATTATCATGTTAGTAACCTTTTCCGGTGGACCACAAACAGACGGGCATAAACACAAAATAAAACAAAACCAAGCAACGTTGTGGACTGTAGACGCAAAAAAATTAATTAATATATCTTGTAATACATACGGAACAAGGTACCAAAGCTAGACATTTTTTTATATAGATGATAGGGGGAAAAAAAGGTTTGCTTGAGAAATGGCAAACCAATTAGAAATGGGTTGAAATGGTGGGGAGGAAAAAAACCGATGGGTATGATTCATTTTTTCCGATGATGTTGACTGATTTTTTCACTTTTTTTTTTTTTTTTTTTCTTCATTTTTTTTTCCTGTCTGATGATGATCATGACACATTTTTGAAGAGCCTAAGAAATCAAACTTCTTACAAAGGCTAAGTATATAGATAAAAAGTATATACACCACATTTGATTTATAAAATCTGATTTATAATATAAGATATAATATATGTAAAAAATGATCAAGAAAAATACAAAGATAAAAAATAAAACAAAAAAACAACCAAAACACAGTCAACAAAAAGAAGAAAATCAACAGTTCGTCATGTCAAAATGGAAAAAACAAGAGCCACTTAATAAGAAGTAAACTCTTTTTTTTTTTTTTCAAGGACTTCATTCCACATAACTTTTTTTCCGGTGCCAATAAAACTATCATTTCACCTGTATCTTTTTTCAAAAAAGTTGTTTCCGTAATTCAAAAGAGAAGTCTTTAGATAACCAAATAATAATAAAGCAACAATAATGATCTAACAAACCAAAGACGAAAATAACACACAAAGAAATGAAAAGAAAAAGTGCAATGGAGGAAAATAACAAGAGTGCATGAAAGTGAGAATGGGAGTAGAAGGCAAGGTATAATATATATTCTCAAGAAGTCATTAATAATAACAATGAAAAAAAATAAAAAAAAAAAATAGGAAAGAAACGAAAAAAAAAGACAACAAAAACTAATCCCATAACCATGTTGAATTAGTTTCTACCTTGTCTTTCAACAAAAGAATCTCTTTTCTTATTGGCCTCAGCTTCTGTGATCCGCTGTTGAATCTTTCTAGCGTATGGTGTATTTTTCACAAATGGCATCAAAGCACCAATTTTATCAATGGCCTTATTTCTCAAGTCACCATCAGCCACTTCCAAGGCAGTTTGGACAACATAATTACCATATGGATCTTTCAAAACAGAAGCCAAGTTGTTGAAATTCAACACTTCTTCAACCAAGATATCACGAAGTTCGGTATCGGTATTGATATACTTCAAACATTTTTCTACAACATTGGAGGCAAATTTTTGGATGGACAAATCTTCCAATCTACCAATGATCTGTTTCCCAATGAGTTCGGCAAAGTTAGGAGTCAATTCATAACGCATCTTTGGTAAGAGATATTGGATAACATAGTTACCAAAAGGATCTTGCATCAACACCAACCCATTTTTCAAAACTTCTTGTCCTAATTTGACAAATTGGGTTTCATTGGAACGATCAAGACATTTTTGTAAAACACAACAACCATGACGGTGTGTAGCAACTTCGACCACGCTAGAGCAGATACCATTGATGATAAATTGACAATTCTTGGAGTTGAACTTGAACAAACATTTTTGAATAACGTGATTACCATTCAAATCCTTGATCAACCTTACCACATGATTGGACAAGTTATTGACAATTAGGTCAGTTTGTTCCTGAGTGGTAATGTATTCAATCATCTTTTGTAATGCTCTAGTACCATGCTGATTAAGAGAAATTTCGTCAAATCTACCACTGCAAAGCTTGATCAATTCTGTGCGTTGCTCTTCAGACAAATACTCAAAGATCTTTTGAATCAAATAGTTACCAAATGAATCAATCACCAATTCATAGATGCTAGGCTTGATTTTACGATAAATAATATCGATAACCAACTTTCTGTCGGTAGTTGAGTCTTCTAATTTCTTTTGCAAGAAACGGCAACCGTTTTGATCAACGCTAAGTTTCAAAATCTTAGATTCCAACTGTTCAAAAGGCACATTCTTATACTTGTTGAACAATTCCTTTTCTGAAGATTTCTTATCATCTTTCTTTGGATCAGATTTTCTTCTACCATTATATGGCTTAGGATTATTGTTGCTGTTGGAATTCATGTTGTTGGAATTGTTGCTATTATTCGGATTGCCATTGTTTGAGCCATTAATGGCTTGCATATTGATGTTTTGTTGAGATGTTTGTTGATGAACTTGCATTGCTTGGTGATGTTGTTGAGCTTGAACACCGTTTCCAGAATTAATGATAGTCCCATTATCAACGTAAATTGGAGCGAAATTCATTTTATCCATGGTCAAACTACTAGTAGGGCGATGGTTGATTTGTCGGTGACCATTTATAAAAGTATCCATACCATTATTGTTCAATTGAACATTGGTAGCATCGTCAGCAGTTGGCAAGTATTGCATTTTAGATAAATTAAGAGATTGACTCTTGAAGTAATGATGCTTGGATCCATGCAACCCATTCATATCATTATCGGCAAGAGATCTTTGTTCAATCAAAGATTCGTTGATTATTCCATTTTTCAAATCCTTAAAAGAGCCAACAGATCGTAAGGAAGGTTGCTGTTGCTGTTGCTGATTTTCAACAAATCTATAATCATTAATGGCACCCAATGAAGAAGTGAATTGATGTTGAGATTGAGATTGATGTTGCTGTTGCTGTTGAACTTGGATGTTTTGATCAAATTGACTGTTTATAGAATATAAGTTAAATCTAGAAGAAAGATCATTGTCAACATAGACAGAATCATATTGTTGAGAGGGATTGACAATCTGTTGGTTACCATCAAGAGAGTTCAAACCAAAATTCATGACGTTACCAACCGAAGACTTTCTAAATTCTTGCACATTCAATGTACTGGTAGAAGAAGTTTGAGATTGATTACTCCCCAACAAGATGTTGTCATTATCAAAGTTGTCGACATAAGCAAAAGAGCTATCATTCACTGTAGGTAAAAAGCTACTGGAGTTGACATTATTGTGGTTCGAGTTGAATTGCATGCTATTTTGCTGATAATTGTTCTGTTGAAGGTATGTATATTGTGGCTGTTGTTGTTGTTGTGGTTGAGATTGTTGCCAATTGGTCGATCTGAAGTTAACAAATCCACCATCCAAAGAGAGAGGTTTGTTACTATTGATACCAGGGTTGGAGGTAGGGTTTGCAGAATTCAAAGTTCCCTTTCTAAAGTTTTCATTAGAATTGGTGTATCTAATTGTATCATTGTTGATGGCAATTCTCAAAGAATCGTTTGATTTGGCAATTCTGAGGGACTCATTGGATGAAGCAAACCTTAACGATTCATTGGATTGAGTGAGAGAAGATGATAATGATGGAATTGAGCTAACCGAACCTCTGTGGTTTTGGGTAAAAGGTTGGTTTCCGAGACCATTCATACCTGTACTATTAATTACCTGATGAGAGGCAGGCAGGATAGTGTGAGAGTTGAAGTGTTCAGAAAACATGATCATGAAGTTTTCTTGATCTCTGCAGATTTTCTAGCAATTTGTATGGCACAAAGGGAGCGTTAAAAAAAATAAAGGAAACTATAATAAAATAAACAAATAATAACAAGCGGTTTCTCCGAGTTTTATAGTATATGGAGTATAATATAAATGTTGGGATGGTATAGTATAATAAGCGGCGACAAAAATTGAGCACCAAGAGTAGCGAAAATGAATTTTTTTTTTTTTCTTTTTTTTGTATTCAGCCAATTTGCGCAAAAGAAACAAGGGTGAAATCAATATTGTGATTGATATTGGGTTAAGACAAACAAGCCAATTTGATTGTTGTTGTTGATTTTGATTTTTTTAGGGGATTTTGTATTGGCGCTCAGGAAATTCAGTAGTCAAACATCAAATATTCTCAATTGAAAGACGAGTAAAATGAAAAAGTTCGACAAGTTGATTTTCTGGCAGAGGAAAAAAAAAATAGAATGGTTTTTGATGATGATGGCGATTTATATATATATAATATAGGATAGATTTTCTCTTGATTGATTTCTTCTTTTTCTTATTCTAGAATTCTTCTTTTCTCGAATTAAAAAAGAAGAGGAAGGACAAACAACACACAGTTATCGGTACAAAGATGTTAAGAGAGACATGCACTATAATACTCCACCAACGATCTGGAATGGTTATTGTGATGGTGGTATTGACGATAATAGCGTATGGAAGTCAAATAATTTGAGTGGGTGGTGAGGTGGAAATGCTTAAATCTTGTTTTCTGTTGCAAAACGAATCTGAAAAAGTAGTCAATAACCTCAGAGGAGTCAAAAACTGGACACTCACTGATACTTATAAAAAAAAACCGCGCCAAAAAACAATTTTCTGCAAAAACTTCTTCGGTGAGGGTTGTCGATGCAATCTCACGCAAGTATCAGACATACCGATTCTCACTGGTGCCGGAATTATGCACATCTAACTACATAATGATGCATAGTAGTAAGCCTCTGTCGCCGTGGCATGCCCACCCCAGCAGTGGTGGCCAGAGTCAACTTTTCGTTTACGCGAATGCGGTGGGCGCTGGCGATGGCGGGGTAACGGAATAGAGTTCGGCTGCGATAGCGTGATAGAGGCGTGACCAAGAACCATTACCGATCACTGATATACATACAGTGACAGTTGCAGTTGCTGGACTCTAGTTTTACATATATATAAATAATTGAATCATCAGCAATGGCTGCTACCGCGACTTTCAATGAGAAAGTGGTGTCCGTGACATTTTCAGACAGATTCAAGTCACATTACAACCATATTTGGCTCAGAGATAATTGCCATTGCAAACAATGTTATCATGATGTCACAAAACAAAGACTACTTGACACATTTAAGATCCCAACAGACATTCAACCATCGTCTGTTGAAGTAGATCATGTCTCCTCATTTCTTAAAGTGGTTTGGAATAATGATGAACACTTATCTACTTTTAGTTTAAGTTGGCTTAAGGCAAATGCTTATAATCCTTTGCCGCCAGGTAATGAAGATGAAGATGATGATGTGGATTATGGTTCTTATTCGCCTTGGAATAAGAAGGGACTCAGATATTTCACACCAGAGGTTGAATACGATGATGTAATTTCTACAACTGATGGGGTTAAAGATTGGGTGAACAAGACAAGTGCGTATGGTTTTTGCTTTGTGCAGAACGTTCCAGTTGATCCAATAAAGACCAAAGAGTTGATTGAAAGAATCACATTCATCAAACCGACACATTACGGGGGATTTTGGGACTTCACTGCCGATATGTCAAAAAACGACACTGCCTATTCCAACATTGAGATTCCGTTACATACTGATGGGACGTATTGGTCAGAAGCTCCGGGGTATCAGTCTTTCCATTTATTGAAGCACAATGGAACTGGAGGAACGACTTCCTTATCTGACGGATTCAATGTCGCTTATACTTTAAAACTTTTAAATCCCAAATACTTTGAGCTCTTATCAACTGTGCCTGTCGATTTCCATTGCGCCGGAGAAGAAGATGTGTTTATTCAACCTGTTGTCTCCAGGCCAATCATTATCGTGGATGAGCAAAATAAGGATAAAGTTGTGCAAATCCGTTGGAACAATTCTGATAGATCGGTATTGAAAATTCCAAAAAGTTTCTACCAAATGAACTCTACAGCCATGAATGTTGATTTTGTGGAGACCTTCTATAAAGCGATTTCTGCATTCAGAGAGTTGTTGCATGATGACGAACAAGAGATGTTTTACCAATTGAGGCCTGGACAGCTTTTATTATTTGATAATTGGAGAGTATTACATTCAAGAACTAGTTTTACTGGTGAGAGAAGAATGTGTGGGGCGTATTACTCTAAGGATGATTTCATAAGCAGATATAAGACTTTGAATAACAAAAGAGAAGACTTAGTTGCTGAGCTATAAATAAGAGTGAATTGCGAAGATAATATTGTTATGTATTATGGTAGGATGAGTATGTATTTTTCCTGTTTGACTGTTTAGGTTGGTGTATCAAGATTCAAGATTTGAATATATATCTTTCCATCTTTGTGTATTGTTATTTACAAGGTTCTAATAATTGACTTTCACCCTTAACGGTAATTTAAAATATAAAACCTTTCCACCCTTTGTTGCTTGTGTGTATATATATTATATTATATATAAGTGAATAATAAGTGTGCACACAACCAATTTACAACTGATTTCCAAGGGTATTCATTGGATGCTATTTAATTTAATTCTAGGAGAAGCTTGGATATCCATGTTGGACAGTCTTTTTTTTTTTTTTTTCTTTTTTTAGGGGGAATGGATCCTTCAAAAGACTGGATTTCTTGCCAAATGATTTGGATCTATTTGCAATATATAGTTTATTACTGAGACGTACCAAAAAGCTAATCGGATTTCTCATCCTGTAATTATTTGTGGAGAGATGGACGGTTGTACCTCAAATATTTTTGTTTTTGACTCTGTCCTTTTGCTGATTACATGTGTAGTAGTCGAGCACCCACAATAATTGTGCTACATGTTTTATATACACATGAAGCCGTACCGATCTATAGAGACGTCACAGAGCGCTAAGAGTACAAAAACAGGAATTTTGGGATAATGGTTGGGTGTAGCCGATTCCTCAAAATGATGAGGGGAGCTAATAGAGTATTTTGATGAGATTAATAATCTGTAGCGTATTATTATTGTGATCGATCGATGTTGAAGTAATCAATATGTTATTAATCGGCGATGGTGCAGAGCATTCCGGTCTGGGTGACCTCCCTCCACAAATGGCATGATTCAGCGACAACAGAGGCTAAAGTTGAAACACAAAAATAAATCATGACATGAGAATCAGAGGTATAACAATAGCGGTCCTGATAATAATCGTAAAAGCCATGATAACGCAGCAGCATCCACAATACTGTGAAATAATCAATGCCACTGACAACATCAATACACATTAGATATCTCGCACTATACGATAATATGTATCATCTGTCAATAAATAGCAACTCTTGACTTGGGATCGCATATCACTGACGATCTTTTTACGGCTAGTGAGATGATTGACACAAGCGAATGTGGAACAATCGCCCAGACTAAAATAATACTTGCCTCAACTCTAAGTAAGGCCATCTTCTACTTTCGTAACCACCCCGTCAGCGAAAATAGTGGGAAAAAAAAAAAGAAAAATATGTCAGAAACTTAAACATGGTGATGATAATACACACACACACACACACACACACGCGTGCGTATATTTACTCACCCAACAACATATCTGTGAACATGAAATATTATGTTGTTTTCCATATCTTCTCTTCTTGACCAAATATATAAATGAGACCAAACATTCTCCGATGTTTCAACCGAATCTTATTTATCCTGAAACTTAATCTTATTGTTCATTTTCACAGAATCGCGTGTTAATTGCTGACACTTATCCGTCAAAGATCTAATTATTCAAATTTCCCTAATTACCTCCCCTCCCCTCGCCAATCTTATTTATTATTTTTTATATTGGATGACCAAACCAATTAATTACATGTAGACATATCCCTTTTGTCTTACACTAGTCTCAAGTCAAAGATTGACGATTCTTTTTTGTAGATACTCCCATAAAAGACATGTCTCAAGCTCACAACCCAAGTCTCAAACCAATTTATGTTGTCAGCCCATAGAAACTCAAAGTAACCACAAATTGTAAAAAAATAAACAAAAATAAAATGATTATTCTACACTGTCTTCCAAAAGCAGAAACTTTTCCCTCCAGTAGAAATCACGTACGCTTTCATAAGGAAATCGTCAGCCACTGTTGTAAGATTAGGTAATCATTGTGATCCAACCTGACGGTGCGCATGGGCATCCGCACTATTAATGTTTATGTCATTGCAATAGCTAATTGCCACTGGTATCATTAGATACCAAGAGCACTAATACTGAAATAATAGATGAGGAACTCAGTACCTACCAGTAAACAAGAGAAAACTGAGTAAAGAATAACAATAAATAGTATTCATTTATTGAATACCACACCATCCCCAACAAGAGTTTCTCATTACCCGCAAAACCATAAAGTAGATACCCTAACATCTTAATCGTTTAAACCACTATTTGTACCTGTTAAAACCAATCAAAATGAATAATCAATAATGAAGAGGTGAGATTGGATTTCAAACAAGAAAGGGAGGATCTAGCTGATCTCAGTAACAATGTCTCTTCTACTATGAAAGGTTTGTCTTATCTTTTATAAGCTCAAGAGATTCTGCAAGAGCGCTATGCTCTAATCAGAAGAATAGCACTTGAAGATAAAAAAGAGGCCGAGGCTAATATGAGTGATAGTGACGGCTATATGAGAGTCTTTTCTTTTGATTTTGATATCACACGTCCATCAGGCCTGCCAGTTGAGAGAAAATTTCGTTTCAACAGAAGACAAGTCCATCGCCTAGTGGAATATTTAGGATTGGATAATACAGAACTTACAAAAGATGCATCAATTTGGACGCCCTGGGCTGGAATGTCTCTGTATTCCTCTTAGCCTATTGAAGGCCCCTCCTAGTCTCTGTGATATGTGCTATCTTTTCGGTAAAGATAAATCTGTGCTGTGTAGATGCATCAATAGCATGCACGAGATTCATACATGATAACTTCAACTATCTTTACGTATTGGTAGCTACAAAATACTAGATGAATGATTATATACCCTAAGAGAAATAGGACTCTAAAAGCAGCCTTATTATGACAATTTACTGTCGATGATGCCGTGATGATAGTTAATAACCTGAAAAAAAAGGGAAGCAATGTGCTTTACAACGGCCATGGGAAGCCGCACTATTAAAAAGTATCGATTCCTTTTGCGAGATGATGATCTAGTGTACTTGATGAAAGGACCAGTAGATAGTCCTGCACATCGTCCTAACCCATTTTGGGATGTGGGCCTTGAGAATAGGAGAAAGATTGCTGCCCCATGAACTTGTTCTTATACGAACGTTGAACTAGATATCCTAAAAAAAAAACTAACTGATCACATTATCAATCAGTGATATCACAAGCATGACAAAAAAACTGAATAATTACTAAGTGAATTTTATCATAATCTTCATGGAAGATTTCTTTCTCCCTCCCCCCTATATGTTTAGAACATGTATATATAGGATTGGGGGGAAAGGGTCTTTGTTTTGAAGTCTATTTTTTCATGATATTATATATTGTGGTAGAATGAATATATGGTCAATTATATTGCCCCCTCCCCCCCCCTCCTTTTTTTTTAATATCAGCATTGATCCATGCGTATTCTATATTATTTATCTGAAGTGACTTTTCTTAAGCTTGTACAGCTCCTCATTATTATATGAGTGTTATAAGCATAGTGGTAATATTCAATTTCCTTTTTCAATTTTTCAAGGTCTCCCTTATATTTTGTTCCCTTTTCACAGAACTCCACATCTCCGAAATCTAAAAGGCTTATTCTGTCTAAACTATCAGTGCAAATATTCAGAAGCCCTATATTTGTATATATTATACCGATGTCAGACAAAATTCGCAACTGGTGTAATAACTTCTGCATTTTTTTCTTATCATTAACCAAATCATTTGCATGCTTGAAGGTTTTCTTTTCCAGAGTAAGCAAACAAATACCGTGAAAATCATCACCGTCTTTGCACCAATCAATATTACCATATCCTAAAAATGTCGGGGCATTTATTGGGTCAGATTTTCCAGCCTCGGTCGAGTTGTAATGCCATATCTTCTTGTATGCAGAGATTTCTCGGTTGAATTTCTTGTAAGCTGTACTCAACCAGAGCGTCTCTTGGTATCATTAAATTCTTTGTCACTTCAAAAGGTGCATCACTGTCTAGGATCTCACTACGTTTAGATCCACTCGTTATATCTGGCAAGCCGGAATTATCTGAATGAAGTCTTTGAGAGTAATTTGACCTTGTCTCATCTATTTCACTTTCGCTTTTTTTAACACAGGCGTACACTTCTTCAACGATCATTTTAGACCTATTTGTATCAGATTTGAAATTTTCAAATAAGTAATCTGCGAGCATAGCCCTCATAGTATAGAAAGTGTCGGTCATTTTAACCTTCCGGAATTTGATTTTAGAACCTACTTTATTCCTGAGATTCCGCTCTTCAACAAATTCTAAAATATAAAATGTGAAACAGTCGCTAATGAAGCCATAATTGGAGCTCGTAAAATAACCCTGTTCCATGAGCTATTGTAGCAAGGTTCTGCCAGCATTCAAAACTTCTTCATCGTTAGTACCATTTATCATACTGTCCATTGTTCTTCCTAAATCAAACCTTTTAAACTCAATTGCCTGCTTTTTTTTCATCATCAGCACCGAGATCAGGGTCTCTCACATATGGATAATTAATCTTCTGCCATCAATTCTTTTGCACTTGTTTTGTTTTTATTTGAAATAGTTGTGGTATGTCTGCGAATAACAGGAATAATAAATGAGCAAGCAATCAGAAATTAAAACATGCCGGCCAGAAAGGCACCACTTCTTTTTTTTTTTTTTTTTTTTTTGACCATTTTCTGGGGAATTACAATTTAGAAGGGTGTATAGTACTGTTATCGATATCAAGGAATTGTAGCTAGCAATCCTGTAACATCGGAACTATTCGGTATTGGCTCAATGCTTAGAATATATCGGGCACATGGCTTAAAAAAAGACCCATGTTGTGGTATACTCTTATACATGCATGTTAGCTATAGCTATTAACCGAGCAGTGAATAATACAACGTTTAAAACACAACAAATGAAATGACTGTTAAAGTGACTAATGGTATGAAAATTAAAATGAAAAATAAAATTTAGAACAAAAAATAGATAAAAATAATAACAACAATAATAATAATAATATGCTAACGATGATATGTTCAATTTTTTTTTCTTGGTATCTTAAGTAATATGAGGAATATGTGTTTGGAGAAAGGAGAGAGGAGATGGGAGAGAAAGGCAAATGAAAAATAATTGCACAATTGGCAATATCTATACATATATATATATAGATTCATATTTTTTTTTTGATTTTTCAACCATACCTCAGCTTCTTTTCCTTCTTTGACTTACTTTTTGAATAGCCCCAGTAGAGACAACTTTCTCATTGACGCTAGTTTGGCTAACGATTCTGTGTCTGACTCGAGCACCCGAACGACTACGAGTCTTTGCCACTTCAATAGAATCTTGTTCTTTTAAGTTATCTTTGACAGCCTTACCAGTAACAGATCTAGTGTAGTGTGCTGGCGTTGAGCTCAGCACTGGACTTATTTTCCCAGAAACGACAGAAGAAGAAGAAGACGAGGTAGCAGAAGGTTGGGGTGGTGGCGACTTGTTGGAATTTGGAGAAGTGATTGAACGTAACACCCTCCAAGACGATTGTGGCGACCTGCGTCTTCTTTCCGCACCACTAATGGTTGGTGTTCTTTCTTGTTTTGTCGAAGAAGGTTTTGACCTAGGGGTTTCTGAATCATCTTTCTCATTATCGTCTCTGACTTTGAAACTTTGTTTTTTAGTAGCAGTTGTATGAATAGTTTCCTCTAAAGAATTGTCGATCTGATGATACACTTTTGGAGATTTCTTAACCGTAATGGTTTGTACCTTATTATATCCATTTTCTTTGCTCAGTAATATGTCTGCTTCTTGATCTTCTTCTTCTTCTTCATCATTGGCAACATTTCCAGCCACGTTATCATTGTTTTCTTCGTCAGAATTGGTGACAAATGAATTAGACACATATCTCCCATTATTTCCCTTTCTTGGCTGGCCTGGAGACGTGATTGGTACAGCAGTATTCAAAGAATTCTTCATTCTACCCGACACTCTTCTACGGCTATTGATCATCGGGGAAAAAGTTCGGCCATGGGCTTTCCGTTGCTTTGCCTTGTAAGCTTCATAAGATATTAATGAGCAATATCCTCCTAACTTGGCAATCGGCAGCGTATCCAAGATCATGGTAAACTTCCAATTTCTAAAATCATTTTGATGTAAATATAACCAATGTTGTTGCGGACCAACCACCATCCCTGGACGGATCATTCTCATATAACCGATACATTCATTAGCAGTGAACCCGTGGGTATAAATCAAGTGGGCGCCAATCAAACAACCGGTTCTTCCTAGCCCCGCTTTACAATGGACGGCAATCTTCCCACCTTCGGCAATAACCCCTTCCGATACCCCAATGAAGTTCTGGACAAATTCCATGGTTGGACAAGTCCCATCGTCGAAAATCATATCTATATGTTGGATCCCTCTTTTTGTGAACTCGTTACTATCGTATAAGTGACTGTTTAATCTGACCACCATTTTGACATCATGCTTTTTGAAAAACCCTAATACTTTCTTGAACGGTTCATTTAATGGCATTCCCGGCTTTGATTGTTGCGGAGATGCAAACGCGATGAAATCCTTCGAGACAATATTCAAATCCCCTTGGTCGACCCTTTCATATTGTTCGAATTCTTCTAGGTTGAAATTGGTCAAATCAAGCATTCCTCTTTCTTTCGCTCTCCATACACCGTATACAATGTCTTGGATGGTAATTTCAAAATCCGCCGCTGAGTAACCCGCATCTCTAAATGGCATCAAAGGAGGTTCTATTTGAGAAATCGGTTGTAATACCTGATGCGGCGACCATGATTGGATTAACACCATATAACAGCAGAGCAAACACGTAGCATTAGCTCTGGCCTGAGGACTGCTAGACGAGTAAAGAACGATGGCTTTGCCCTGATTCGAATCATCATTCAAAATATTGTGTAATACCACTGCAAATCTGTACAAATGCCCCATATGCAATGGCCCAAAATCTAAATGGAACGCATTGTAAGGCAAAGAATCTTCAACCGTGAAAAATACAAAATCGTCATTGTCATCTGGAGCATGGTTGTACGAGCCTAGATATATCCGACCTGTGAAGTATTAATGTGTTAGTATTTCTGTTTTCCTTTAAGATCGTAAAAAACAATAAACAAACAAAGATCATCAAGTCTGCAAAGTCACTCTGTGAAGTTGAAAATAGTCAATAACAAAAAAAAACAAAAAAAAACGTACCTCTGAGAAACTCTATCATCGGAATACTAGAAGGATGTCTGGCCATGACAAATGGGTACAACTGTTATTGTAGAACAGTCTGTAGTAGTGGTTGTGGTTGTGGTGATGTGATTGTTCGTATTATTTAACAAAGAAAAAAAAAAGTAAACAAACGGAGGAAAAAAAAAAATTGGGGTTACGATACCTGGTCGCACCGATCTCATGGTAGAAACGATTGAAAAGTTTCTGGAATTATTATCGTCGTTTTGCCACAGACAGACAGGGCCGGCCATCCAAATAGAATAATAATTACAATAACTATAATAATAGAGAATGCTAGTAAGTTTAAAAGTGATTGAACAATATCGATTTTTTTCAACTTTCATATACTAACGCCTTTTTTTTTTTGCCCAGTTCAAACCGTGGTCAGAATTCGAACGAGCACCCCGTCATGCTTTATCTGAGGATTACCAAGATGAAGACCCTTTAACCAGTAACAAAGTACCATCGTTCAAGTTTTCCCAGAACGTCAGTTCCACGCAAGATCTAGAAATCAATAGAAAAAACCCACTTATTGTGGCTCCTTATAATTTGAAGTTTGTGCTCGATGCATTACCAGTGACAAAATCGATCATCGCCTCCATCACCATTACCAAAGGTCGCAAATCGGATGAAGGATCAACCACAACAACAACCAGCGTTAATGATGATGATGATGATGATGGTTACTTACAAGATCAACAATTGTACTCGGCTACTGGCCAGTCCGAAGCGTTTTCGACCTTTGTGGTGGACATTTTATCCCTTGAAGGGTTGCAAATCAACGTGGTAGCGATGCCAAATTTCACCAATTCTCACCCGATGATAAACAACCAATTGACAAGATATTTAATAGAACAGATACTATCGCCGGAAAACATCCTCTTATTGAGTCCTTGCTGCATCAACTACAACGAATCGTTAGGAAAAGTGATCAATTTCTCCCACGATGCACCATTGGCCCAAAAGTTTGCCAATATCAGCTTTTTAAAACCTCCACATTTCGTCTCGGGAATCACCGCATCCGTGATGTCGTTTGCCACATTGAAGAATATCCCAACCGTTAATTTGGTATTAGACTCCGAAGGGGTGGCCAATTTTGAAAGAATTAATGAGGATTCGGTGTTGGAGATCATTCAAGTTTTGGGGAAAGATTATTTCAAATTCGATCAAACCCAATACAAAAAGTTCAGAGATGTTGCTGTGAAGAAATCATCATTGAATGATTATGTTACTTCAGGAATGTATATATAATGTTTATGTTTTTCTTTCTGTCTTGTTCTTCTTTCCGATTGTAATGTCATTCTAAGCAATGTACCACTTAAACAAAGTCTCGAATCAGGATTTTTAAAAAAAGCTCAGATCCAAGTCTGTTGTCCTACTCGAAAGAGTCAAATTAGTAACCCCAGAAAAAAAGAAGAAATTTTTTTGTTTTATATTATGCAATAGCGAATGAAGATGACGAATTAATTGTATAGAAAGTCAACGGGATGATAAAGTTTAGAATGATAGGTATGAATTTTAAATATGCAATGGTGCGATTGTAACAACAAATGAAATGGGAAGAAAAAACGAGTTTTGAACAGTTTTAAAATATAAGACAAGAAAAAAAAAAAAAAAAAAGATGAAAGGGGAAAACAAAGCAATAATAGTGGAAACAAACAACGGTTTGTAAGTCAAATGAATAAACTAATCAAAATGAAAAAGTCTTGAAATCCTTATATTTTGGACCAAATTCCTGTTAATTCCCTATTCTTACCATTTCTTTCTCCTTTTGGATTATGATCCAAAACAAAAGCAACATTAATATGTCAAACAAAATGAGTGCCTCAAGTGCCTGATATTGCAAATCAAACAACACAACATCACATTTTGGACTTCTTTCAAGAGAGAAAGGACATAAGCTCCTTCTCTTCTTCTGGACCCAAGTAACCACCCAACAAATCAACAGGTTGGTCCATTAGCACGTTATTATTCTTGCCTTCTGTGACAGCATCGTCATTAATGGTGTTACGGGCATCAATCGAAAGTAACTTGATACGTTTTCTAGGCGACACTGAAATCGGAAGAGTTTCATTTTGAGTTATCGCTGAATTAACCGTGACATTATTTTCTTGGTGATTACTATTGTTGCTTCCGACCCGATTGTTCATGATAATGCTATTTTCAGTATTTGCATGGGCAATGGTGGAAGTTTCTGCAGAATTAAAAGAATTCACACTGCTATCGGTCATATTATTGAGACTGTTGGCAAATGAATCATCATCAAACACATCACTCACCGTCCGAAATCTTTTTTTCAGCCCTTCGATGTTGCTACCAACCGAAGGTCTGATAGCACCAGCGTTAACCGGAGTAGTGGAATTGGAAGTAGAGGCACTCATCAAATTTGGTTGTTTAATGGAATCTGGCGGTAAATCCTGATTATTAATGAAAAACTTCTCACCATGAATTGATAAAAACCCACCCAATTCACCATACCAATCCAACCATTCACAAACCCAACACTTGATGTTCCATAATGCTTGGAATTCCGTTGGACGGGATCGGGAAATTGCTTTCAACGCAGAATCAAATAAGCAATTGAACGTCAACAAAAATAATTCTGGGGAAATTCTGTTAGAATTATCTGGATTCAGAGGACTTTTTGAAACATGGCAAGCTAGTTGTGCAAAATAGCTCAACCACGTAGAGATGATTCTTTCCATAGGGATAGATGAGGTTTTGGAATTATGTATTAAATGTGGAATATCTTGGTTGAACACTTTTATCAAGTTGGCACAAACAAATGTGTTAGTACCAGCTAGCAATGCCAAAGGAGAACTTTCATTGATGAGCTTTTCGGTATTTACATTCTTGATCCAAGCATCATGCAAAATTTCACTTTCTGGAATTTGCTTTTGAGAGGATACCTCCTTGACCATGGCAAAAGTTTTACGATTCTTCCAACCAAAGTCACAAACATCAACAATCTTACCCATCAATTTACCAAATTTTCTCGCGACATTGACTTTGGACATGACCATCTTTTGAGGCAAGTTGATCAAACTTTCACTGAGAAGTGCCGAATAGTTATTGGCAATTTCCCTCAATTGGTTGAGAACATGTTGCGCTGAAGCTTCATCACTAGAATGCTTTACAAACAACTTGAATAGCATCTTAAGAATGGATTGGAACAACACAAAATCACATTTCAATAACCATGGCAAGATTGGTTCGGAAATATAAAGTTTGAACACTGGGTTAGTTAATGATCTTGGAAACGATCCCAATGTTTTCCCCAAATCTTTAACTTTCATGTAACGAACCGATTCAAAAATTGCGGTACAATGAGACTTGTAGAGTGATTGTAAAGTTGTGGCAATATCTGAATTGAAGTTTCTTGGAATGTACGGATCAATTGGCGGAAGAGTCAAGATAAAGCTGGAAATATCATTCTCGCTGAATGCTTCCAACGAAGGGAACAAATCTGGGAAAAATTTTATTGGGAAATTGCCCAAATATTTGTTAACATTAACGGCGTTCTGAACTGGTAACGACAACAGCAACTGTGGGATATTTTTTGTGTCAGTAGGGTTCCCGACGGAGTTGTTGTTGTTGGCATAGGAGGTAGATGAAACTGGGCTCAATTCAGTGGCGGAATAAATAGGAGAATTAACTGAAGAATCGATATCAAATACGCTTCTAAGAGGAGATGAAACCTCTGAGTTTGATAACTCACTTCCAATAACACTGTTGTGGTGGTGATGAGCAAAATGATGGACTGGGGTACTAGAACCACTGGTTGGGATCACAATAGAGCCATTATTAGGGGTGGCGATACCGCCGAAAATGGCGGTTGAAGCCGGGCCGATTGGTGTGTTATCAAGGAGAGTTATCCCACAATAATGGTATTTACTCTGACCTCTGACACCATATCTATGAATAGTAATACAAGGGTAAATCATTCTAATCAATTTACCAAATAAAGCTGGCGACAAAGAAGCAACGCCATGATCAGCACACACGGTAACGTATTTGGCGAAAATACGATTTCTAGGAATATGACCTTCAGGTGCGACTTTACAAGCTTTTTTTAACCAAGCAATCCCAAATAATTGCAATTTTTTCAGCTTTGGCAAAGTGGCGAGCTTATTTTGAAACTGGACTCTATCAATTTTTGCCAAAGGATCCAATGATGCGTTATCAGTAGGATTGGTGTTATTAGGGTTACTTTTACCATTTTTTCCGACAACTTGTTCGGTTGCTTCAATTTGACGAATTAGTCCAGCCAATTCTCTCAAATTTTTAAAATCATCGATGTTGTTCAGCAACAACTTCAAGTCTATATCTGATTGCGTCAAAGGCTTAGAGTTGGCAGTTTTCTTTTTTTTATCCTTTGAATCAACAGCGGCAGCTTTAATAGGGATTTTTGTTGAACCTGTTGGCTTGGCTGCTTGTTCTTTTAACATTGGACCGTTTTCTGGTTGTTGAACAGATGAGGGCAACATGGTGGTAGTTCCGTTGAGGTTAATGGGCTTTGAAGGCACTTGCATGATTCTAGTGTCAGGTTTTGGGTTTTCTTTGACAGAACTGGATATTACTGGACCATTATCAAGGGAACGCAAATCACTAGAGACGACGTCACCACTGCTAGAAACTGGGGTACTCTGGTCCTTGACTTGGGAAACCAACTGGGGCAAACTGTTTGACTCTTCAAAGCTTGCAGCGGGTTTGACAGGTGGATTTCCATTAATGTGAAGTTGTTGATTGTCGTAGGGGTTATTGAAGTTAGGTTTGCCATTTCTATTTAATGGGTTGTTGGCCGTGTTCATGACAAGTTGTTGTTGTTGTTGTTGGTTTGCGACATTAAGGAAGTTTGGCGGAGAGGGTTGAAGGACGTAGCCTGGAAAATGGATGTTTTGCTGGTGGGGAAACTGATAAGTGTTGTTATTGTTGTTACCAATGACGCACATTTGCGGAACGTTCACCAAAAATTGATGTTTTTGTTCAGGTAATATCGTATGGGAGACTGGAGTATAATCATTGTTGATGTTATTATTGTGGGAGTTATTAGACATCTATCAAGATAATATGAAACCAAAAAATTCTTAAACCAACAAGGGCCAAGGAGATTAAGGAAGAGCGAGGCCTTTGGAAAATAGAATACAGACGGTAACAAGCAAAACAATAAAACAATGAAACAAAAACAACAAGAAAAAGAACAACACCAAAGGAACCAATATCAACGGCCAGAGAAGCTTGCAATGTGAATTGTGACCAATTTTTCAATTATCGTAGTCCCGATGAGATTTTTCCTTTTTGGGGCAGGTTGTCACCTTGTTAACAGCGAGAAACAAGATGGGATGAATAAACGGTTGATATGATATGTGATACCAACAAGACCTTTATTATTATTGTTATTATGAAAAAATAACTATGACTGTTAGTAGAAGGAAGGATGGCAGGTTTTATTTTATTTTATTTTTTAATTATTATTTTTTTTTTTTTCTATTGGTGTGTGAAGAAAAAACTTGTGTACAAAAGATAAAGCAACAGCAGCAGGGAACCAACAATTACAGAAGACGCACCAGTAATTAAAAAAAGGGGGGTTTGGAATTGAACAGCCAGGGAAGCAGTGGAATATCAATCTAGGAAATATAATAATATATATAGTTCTTTCTCTAGTGGGCGATACTGACATGACATGAAGGGGACATGGCACGGTAGCTAGCTGGCTGGCACGCTGCTGGGAAGAAAATTTTTGTAGGGGAAAATCAACTGAGAGCTGACAGTCGGCCAGACTCTCACTCGCTCGCTCACACACCCATCACGATCTCCCACCGACAAAAGAGAGCCAGAGAAAGAAAATAGTAATGGTGATGATGATGATAATGATAATAATAATAATAATATAATGATGATAACAATTAAGGATACTCACTAACCAAAACACAAGATAATAAAGGGGCAAACCAACAGACACTGAGCGTTGATTCACTTTACTGGGGATATTTTTTTTTATTTTTTCTGGCAATCAATCGGCCGAGAGAGAGAGAGAGAGAGAGAGGAAGAAGCACAGTGGAAAAAAAAATCAGTGTCGGTGCGCCCATTTACCCTCCGCACAGCTTTTCTTATAGCCGGGCGACGCAGTTTTCCGCGGTTGGCCCCCATCCCATCCATTAGTGGAGAGACCACTAATTAGCCTCCGTATTGTTTAGGACTCCAATTGCCAGCAGGAATACTTCATGGCATGTCGGTGACACCCCTAAGCTGGTCAATCACCTCACCTGGCCATCACAACCACCTTCTTTCCTTCGGTCTTTTTTCTTGCATACTTGATGATAAACTTGTCGATTTTCAACTTCTTCACATTCAACTCCTGAATGAATGGCTCGATATCTTCAAGTTCCCAGGTCCCTTGCACTTCAAACAATTCCTGGAACCGCTTCTTGGCGTCCATGCTGAGGAAGTCTTTTGGAAAGTATTGAATTCTATTGATCAATGGTTTGGCATAGTACCCTTGTAACCACCGGAGCTCAATAGGAACATTGTAGAATTGAGGGAATGATGTTTTCCACTTAATCAAGAACTCGTTAGGAGCCACCAATTTCTTGGCGTGAATCTTGAGGGCCTCGATTCCGTACCATCTAGCCACTTTTTTCTCATCCAATGAAAAATTTTGTTCGTCATCTTGGCTGGAGAATTTCCTTACTACCGTCTTGACCACCAGGTACGAATAATTGTCGTCATTGATTCTTTCACAGAGTATTCTAGGGTCAATGTTGTGGTAGTTGCTGGCATCATCAATGTCTTTTCCAGCAGTGGTTGCCAATGCTTGGATGGTCATGATTATCCTAGTAAGACACTGTGAAATCATCGAGTCTGATAATATACATGCGAATCCGTTGACCTCAGAGCCCTTTAGCTCATAATAAATCTTGTCGAATTCGGCAGAGGAAATCGGGGAATCGTCGATCAACTCATCTAACGAGCAACGTAAGTGGTACGACTGTGGCTGGAAAGTTAATGGATCGGATTCGTGGGTGTATATCGGCAACGAAGAAGTGTTGATCGAGCCTTTTTCTAATTTGCATTCGAAATCAGAATTGAAAGAACTGAAGGTGACGATTTTCTTGAATTGCACATCCTGTTCCGTAATTTTATTGTCTGTCATCATGTCATCTTGGGTAAATTCGTGGTACCCCAAAAGCACGGTATTCGAGTGGTTTTTCCTCTTTAGTTTGAATGTCTTGTCATTTGAACACAACACTGCAAACCCATCTTCTTCTTTCAATGGAGCTTTGAAAAATAACCTGGACAATTAAAGAATGTTAGTGACCATGATAAAACCCGAGAGAGGGGGAGGAAATAGGATTGGTTGCGATACGTACGGCAGGGAGCCTGTAGTGACTATTTGTAGAAGATCATCATTGAGCTCGATAGTTCTGTAGGACAGGTCTTCTTGCAAACTGGTGTACACGTCCATAGTATAGATATCTGTTGAGGCATCAATGATCTGGGGGAATGAAATGGAGGGGAAAGAAAAAAAACTGTCGCGTTTTTTTTTTAATTTTTTCGCGTCATGTAAACAAAGCGTGCGCTGAGAAATTATACAGTCGTGAATTTCACGTGAGAGAGCCTCCCCAGACTCTGTTTAATATTCAGCAGTACAAGGGAAAAGAGAGAGAGAGAGAGATGTTGCGATAGATATGGAGGAATATCGAGTGATTAATAATCGCTGACAATTAGCATGCTGTGGCATGGCCAATACAGTCCCCGGTGTTTGCCCAGTTGGCGGTGGAACTGGCTGTAACGCCCTGCTACTTTTAATTGTCCTGTTTTTTTTTGCGGGCAGGAACCAAGAAGAATGTTGCAAAGAAAAAGAAAAAGTAAAAAAAAAAAAAAAAAAAAATAAGAAAAAAAGCAGATCCATCACTTCATACATAAATAAACTAATTCACATCTATTTGGCAATATCCTTTAGTACATAGTTGGGGAGTTTCCATTACTTCATACATAAAAAAAAAACCAAAAAAAAAAAATACATATATATATTTATATAATCTTATCGATCTGGGAAACTTGCACAAATACTGAGAACGATTTCTGACAACTTTTGTTATTCTTTCCAGTGGTGCTGCTGTTCCAAGGCAATTGACAAAAACACAAATACCCCCGACCCCATAGTCTCTCCATTATTTCCCATTATTGCTACAAAAAAAAAAAAAAATACCAAGCAAGGAAGAAAATGCCTCTGGTCAGCCTTAGTACCACCAAACTATACCCTTCAAATGGCGCGAACCCGACAAAGACTCCATCATGTCAGGACATAAGGTCATTAAGTCTCATTAGAACCTCGGATGACCTGCTGAAGCACATGAAATCTCTATACGATTGGGAGAAAATCATCCCAAACGCCGCCTACTTCGTGGGCTCCGATAAATATTTGTTCGGCAACTTGATTGCAATGGTATACGAAGACCCAATCACTGAAAAAATCAGTACCGTGCTTATCGCAAGACACGGAGAAAACCAATATAACTCGCTTACAATCGACGCCAGGTCAAGGTATTTTCCAGCATGTGAGAACTTGTTGCCAGAATACCGAAAATCTAATGTCAGAAGATCCTTGGCCATCACCGCCCTTAGAGCCTACGCAAATTTGGATGTACCGTTAAGAAATGTATTGTTGGAAAATTCAGTATCAGCATTAGAAGGCGAAGAGATAAACGCGTTTGATTGGGATGAAACAACCGCTGGTGATTTGGCCACCTCAATGCATTTGATTGTCAACAAAATACCCAGCCAGATTGGTGAAAAAATATTGAATCTTGGGTACTTGCAGCAAAAATTTTCTAATGCCTTGATGTTAGATATTGTTTACATCGATAATGAGAACGAAGTCGACAAAAACAACAAGTTGGTATTCCTCCTTGGCGAACAATTGGATCTGTTGTTCGATCCTTTGACTGAATATTCACCCGAATCTACAGAAAAAATTTATAAAGTTCCTTCCGATCCAAATACCCTCCAAGAATCAAATGACAATGAATTGACCGAGTCAATAGTACAGGAACTTGTAAAGGTTCAAACTAACTTCACCAAGAATTTGGTTCAATTTTTACAAAATTTCGTGGTTCCCCTTAGAATTAAGGTTTTGAATAATGAAATTCCAAACATGACAATTTCCAAATTAAATTTAATATTCCCACCAACTATCGACGAAATTACTAGAATAAATTGCATCTTTTTGGATTCTTTGAAAAATGCTTCTCCTTATGGAAGCTTTGAGGTATTAAAGGCTTGCGGTACAACCATCCCATATTTCTATAAAGCTTATATGAGACATGAAGCGGCAACAAAAAACTTCACCCAACAATTATCATATTTTTTTGAAAATTATTCGGCGTATTTAAAACCATCGGCGGGTGGTGATAAACCATTCATTGATATCGAATATTTTACCAAGCGGAAGATTGATTCATTGATCCATGGCTCGTTGAATTTGATTAAATTGAAATTAATTTTGAATCGTTTGATGGAAAACAGCCAATGGAGTGCTAGTCTTAGACTAAGGACTGAAAAATACTATAAGTCGGCCATCAATACTATCGACGCATTTGGACGCGATAAATTAAAACCGTACAACAATAGAGTATTCACCCCAACTGGGAAACTCTTAACGGAATTAGCCAGTGATTGGCCAACAGAATTGCAATACGGGTGGTTGACTAGAAGGGTGGTGGCGATATTCGGTGGCAAGAACTTACTTTGTAATTCCTTTTATGACGAAGATATCATCATTATATTCAGTGACCATATTTTGTTCTTAGCAATTGATGATAAGGACTTTTATCGCAAGCAGCGAGACCTTACAAAGTCCGATAATTCAGATTTCCCTTCGCCTGGTTTTTATCAGCATTCAAATGACTCTAATTTCAAAGTTCATGAACCTTCTATTCCTGATGTTCTTATGCATTCTTTGATTAATCAGATTCCTCTAGCAAATATACCAAGATTGAGAGTCAGCGGTTGGGCAGACATCGGAGACGTTTACCCTTCTACTTACAATGAAGGCAAAATGATTCAGTTCTTTGTGCTCGGATCCGGAATCAGAAAACCTTCCACCACTAGTTCTACTAATGTGGAGTCAATCAAGAAATACCAAATCAATGATGTGAATAAATTAAACAATGGATTGAAGCTTATTGATTTAGTAAACAAGGCCAAGATTTTGAATAAATCATCTCCTTTCCATTTATTCAAAACCAAGAACTTGGGTTTATCTATCTACTCTACTGCCCATGAGAAATCTGTATATCTAGATGAAAAATCAAAATCGCCGTTTGCTTTGTTCTTGAACATGAAGGTCAATAAGAGCTTACTATTTGAAAATGATTTATTTGCAGGGCTAAGTGCTCATTTCGTTAAGAATAATACTAATTCTGGTGGTAATGATGACTCGTACAGTGAATATGATGCCAGTGAATTGACAACCATTGAAGGAGATGATTTAGTTGAAGTTTTTGGGATAACCAGGGACGGTTCAAAGATCCATGAAATTTTACCATCATCAGAATTTTCTACATTCTTGGCTGAACAGTTGAGCAATTTGTATTCAAACTTTTTAAGTTACAAAAATGATCGTATTATTGATTACTTGATCTCTGCCAATGACAAATTGACCGATTTTTTGATTCAGTACGTGGATAATGAAGATCAGCTGCAAGATGATGTTTTGTTCGAAACTAATGAGGAGTCGGAAATCGAAGAAGAAGATGCTATTGGAGATCAAGGAAGTGTTAGATTTCACCAAGCCAATAAAGATACTGTGGAAAAAAGAAAAAGTGTCATCAAATTATTGACTAGTCCTTCAAAGACTAAATTATTGAGGTCTAAAACCGATCTCAAAGATTCGGTATCCAAGCATTCAAAAACTCAATCAACATCAAGTTTCAAGCCAATGGTCACCAACATATCTTTGAGTAGCAAGCCTGTTTCTGCAACCACTAGTAAAGTCACTGTTGTCGGTGCAACCACCACCACCACCACCAATGTTTCTGTTAGTCATCCGACAGAAGACAATGTGATTTTCAGAGAACATTCGCATGAGGAAGACTCTGCTTTATTTGAGGATAATGTTCCTTTGAAAAAAAATGATAGATTAGGTCTGAAAAGCAAAGAGACTTTATCATCCGCTTTTACCTCAACTAATGATAACTTCAACCCAAAGAGTGATCCTGCAAAGACTCCAAAAAGAAGAAATGATTCGTTGATTAAACCGGCTGTCAAGACTCCAAAGGAAAAGATCGTGACAACTACTTCAGCTTCTCAAACACGTAGCTCGAATGCCAAGAAAAAGACTAGCTTCTTTGATAAAATTTTCCGAAGAAAACAAAAAACCCCGACCCATATTAAATCTCCAACCGTTAACAGCGTACATCAAAAAAATTCACCAGTTATTGCTGATATAACTCCAGTTTCTGGTGATAATAATAATAATGATGAAGATAATGGTAACGATGTCAAAACATCAACTGCTGAGCCAAACTCGGGCGCTAGACTCCTGAAATTAGGAAAAATATTCAAATCGTCACTCAGTATATCTGGTGACCTCAATCTTGCGGCAAATAAAGTGGCGGTTCCAAGCAACAATAAATCGTCTAGCAAAGTTAATCTTAAGAAATCACCTTCTAAAGAAAGTATTGTCACTTTCAACACTACTATGGATCATATCATCAATACTCCTTATACCACGCCTTCTAAGCAGAAGCAGCAGCAGCAGCAGCAGCAGCAGCAACACCACCACCATAATAACAGAAAGTCAGTTTATTCGAACAAACGGAAGTCCATGGGCACCCCTACTGCTGAGGATAGATCCAAGAAGTTCTTTGTCACGGATAATAGTCTTGATGATGGAGAGAGTATTATCAATGCGGTTTCTACCCCTATAAATTCCAAGACTAATCAATTAAAGGCCAACGACTTCAAAATCAGATCGTCAACTTCTGTCAACGTTCATGATTTCGAGGAAGAAATTGACAATAACAGTAGCACCATTCGACCAGTTTTGGTCGATGAAGATGCTTCTCTACCTGCGTTCAACAGAAGATCAGCTAGTATCAATGGGTCACCAATTCCAAATCATAATAATAGGAAGAGATTTTCTGCTGGGTCTTCTATTGCCAATAGAAAAAGAAACTCAAAAGTCTTGAGTGACATTTTAAGAGTTGAGGATCAAAGCAAGAACAGTAGAGCCAGTAGTATGAAATCAAGTGTTGTTAAATTCGGTGCCACCAATGTTGTTACATCTGCCAGAAGCTCGTTTTCGGAAACTGGAAAAGAGAATTATGATCATTTGGAAGAGATTGCGAGAACGAAGCTAGCCAAGGAAAACCAAGAACATTTGATGACAATTAAGAACCGCCTTAAGAGTGTCAATTCAAATACCGTTGATACCACCAATATCCTTGAAGGATTGACTACTGAAACTATCGGTCTCAATAATGAATCTACCTATCTTGATAAGGATGATCCTCGGAAGTCAGGCTCTTTCAGGGGTTCTGCTAGAGATAGTTTGTTCGTCGATGATTACAGTGACTACGATGATGATGATTTGAAGAAAAACTGGGTTATCGCCAGGGAGAATTCCTCATTAGCCAATATTCAAAAAGTTGGGAGCTTGATGAGTAACAATACCAACTACAGTGATGTGGCAAGAAATATCAAATCGTCAACCTCCAAGAATTGGACTTCATTGACCCGCGAGACTTCGAGCACGATGAATGTGTCCAAGTACTCGTTTAAGAAAACTGAATCTGGTTTTAGCATTTATAATGACCTTATGGATGACTCTATGGCTCCAAATTGGATAATTGCCAGAGATAATTCTACCTTGTTGAATATTCCAAAAGAAGTCAGTATGAAAAACCAGCCGGTACGGAGTATGAGTAGATCAAAGAATATTTATTTGACTCCATATCAAAATAAGATTAAGAGCTCTTTGAACTCATTCAAGAGTGGCGAAAATTTGGATGATGATCAAAAGATTTATGCGATGTTATTATCCAAAGAAACCTTTGACTCAATGAACAACATCAGCGGAGAAAACAATAAGGGTGTTGGCAAGAATGATGCCAAGGTTGAAGCCACTGGATATGATGATGAGGATGAGGATGAAAACGATGGTTATTATCTTACAAAAGGCGGTCAATTATCTGATGATGAAGGAAGATTCGATGATGATGGTGATGACATCGACCTTGATGATGAGGAAGAAGAAGAGGAGGATGAGGACAACGACGATGACTTCGATGGTGAAGAATTGGAACTTGATGGTAAACATGGTCAAAGAACTGATGATGATGAGTTTGTTGCTCCAGATAATATTGCCGATGATGAATTTGAAGAAATCAAGTTTGATAAAATCAGTAACTCTGTGATGGTAAATGAGGATGAAGAGAATGATGAGGATGAAGAGAATGGGCCTGAGGGCCAGGTATACCAATCTTCATTACTCAGAGGCACTTTTGGGTTTATTAATCACCCAAACGATGATGATTTTGACGATAATGGCCATAGTGATGTAATTGATGAAAACTTAATTTCTGGTTTTGATTATGACGATTTCGATGATGATGATGATGATGATGATGATGAGAGATCATTTGATGAACCAAAGCAGCATGGACTCATGAGTACATTGCCAACGATTTCTAGTTTCGGAGGGCATGGTGAAAATGGACCAATGGTAGCCCGAGGCTACGATAGCGATGAAGACGAAAATGGCTTACCGCATAGCATCAGTAACTTGAGCGGTGGGCTTCCAAGAAGTATGAGTTTAGGAGGCAGAAGAAGTCAATCGTTTCTTGGGATTTTGGGGCTCGAAAATAGAGAACATTTGAAAGATATTAAAGAAAATGGCATTTCCGAGGATTTTCACAACGAATCACAAGAAAAATTGAAAACCCCTCTTGAGGATTCCGGAAACAGACTTAGCGTTGCTGGGTCGATATATTCTTCTTTATCCAATAGATCCAATAAGCGTTCATACAGTGATGTTCATGAAGAATCACATTGATCTGTTTTGTTTTTCACCCCATCCACAACACACACATTTATTCCACCCCTCTATGTTGAAATATCTGGTGAAATCCAGTCTGTTTAGTTTTTTTTCTTTTTCTTTGACAATTTGTTACTATTATTTTTTTTTTTTTTGTTTGCTTTTACACACTTTCTTACAAATTTTGATACCTTTTAATCTGTTTTTTCCTTTTTATCCATTACTTTATTTTTTATCTTATCGTTTTGTTCGCTTTTTACTAATCCTAGTTGATTGCTACATTCCTTTTTTTGTTTCCTTGTTATTTTATTGTGTTTTAATCATGAAGTTTCTTTTTGCATTCCCCAACATAAAATTCCCTTATCGCTATCAGTGGGATGTTTGCTCTTCTACAAAGTGTAAGGAACGTGCCTCCAAGAAAAAAAGCACAATCTGAAAATTCAGGAAACTTAATGATAAAAAACGGTGGTGTTTCCCAAATTTTTATTTTTCTGAATTATTGTTCCACCCTAGATAATTGAACCAAAGATTTAAAACTATACTCTTTTTTTTTTTTTTTCCTTTCTAATGAAAGAATTTACCGATTTTGTTAATTGATATTACTCAACAATGAATGGCCAGGGCGATAACTTCGTGGTGATGAGGCCGGATCCCCTCAGATCTCCTGTGTCGATGTGTATTCAATTCATCAAGTTTTTATGTTTATTCTGTTACAATTGTGCCCGATGGACGGCGTATAGTTTCTTTATTAACCCGGTGGTGTTATTGTTAAGGGTTTACCATTTGTTGATCATCGAGCCAGTGCTCACCTTATTTATCTACGTATTTGTGGAAATTCCATTGCTTCCCATCAATTGGTTTCTCATGATGATGTTTGATTTCAACCTTGTGGGGTATCTTTCGAACTTCTACCATTTCAACAAGAATAACCTCCATTTTGCGGGGGAGGAAGACTTGTGGAGCACCACCATCAACAACATTTATCAATCGCATCAATATAGCAACCATGCGCTTTACATGAAGAAGCTCCGATATGGGTACCAAGATAGTAAAGGCAATGGCCATAAAAATAATAATGGTAATGGTAATTCCGAGAGTTTCTTTAGGAGATTATTTTCGAAGAATGTCAGATCATGGTGGGACACTGCGGGAACCAGACCACATTTGGATTCGATGCTCGTGGTGTACTTGTTGTACAAGTTTTTGTTCATTTCGGCGCTCTTTGGGTTTGCGTGCGCTATTTTCACGATTGCTGGGTTCTTCATCACCAAAGTGGTTGTGAATCCCGTAACGTTGGAGATTTTTTTCAAAAAAGTGGTGGCATTGATTGTGGAAGACCGGATCATTGTGGAAGAACCGGCCCATAACAAGAGAGAACATTTCCAGACCACCAGTAATAATAGCCTTCATATCAGTTTTGATGGTGATGATCAAGTGGCCAAGAGCCGGAAAAGTAGTACTGGTGGTGGTGGCCAAGAAGTGGCTGATGTTGTCAAGCCAGAGATTGTTCTATCGTCATCTCCGGTGTCGGTGGTGGATACATCAATGGAACTATCACAAACCATCAAGGATGATGATGGGGAAGAGGAGTTGATCGCCGATAAGTATAGTAATTTGGAGTACTTGAGGAGCTTGAACCAGGAGGAAGTAAGTACCGGGGTGAGCACTTTGAGAGGAGGAGATGGTGGTAGTTGTAGTGGCGGCAGTAGTGGTGGTGGTGGCACCAGCGCCGCTGGCAGCAAAGTGAAGAATAGGAAATCTCGGACCAGGCGCAAGAGTACTGGTAATGGTAATATTTCTCCCCGTACCAGGATAAGTGACAGTGGATCATCATCAGCGCGGAATTTCAACATTGCGAAATCGTCATTGAACGAAATCACCACTGCGATAAATAACCACAATATCATGATTGACAGCCCTGAAAAATCGCCCGTGAGATTACCATCGAGTGGATCATCGTCAATGGGCGCTGGTACCATGAACTCGGTGTTCAGTAACAAAATCAAGGCTTTGGACGCTAGTATCACCGAAGAGTCGGAGACTTCTGGTACAGAATCACCAAGTTGAGGTCATGTCATCAAGATTGATGAAAAATGTACGGAACAAAAAACAAAAAGCATCCCAACAATTTCTGTTTATGATGCTTGTCTTCTATTTATCATTTAGTCTTGCTAATGAATGATTTGCAATTATGGCTGGAGAAGAGGTAAGCATGTATGATGCATGTGTTTCAGGTTAATGAAATCACATTGCTAATTGCATCCTCTCTATGCTATCTCAAGAAACACCACAAAAAGAGATCATCATATTAAATAAATCGAAATGGTAGGGGACAGGATCTCCTTACCGTATTCCTGAACATGAAATAAATATTATCATTAGGGGAAATCACCATTAATTCTCTGCACTTTTTTCTTTTTTTTTTTGTTGCTTTTAAAGGGTGGGGCAAGCTGCCGATATGTGATTGATTATTATCTTTTTTTTTTTGTGCTTATTCTTGAAACCCTTTTTACTATTCCCTGTCTTTAATAGGTTTATAAATACTTAATGGTGTGTGTTGGAAGTTGTAGCATGGCTTTGGTCTTGAGATAGTAGTATATATATTATGGATCAACTTCCCGATTTGGTTTTAGGGGGATGTTTCCCAATTTAAGGAGCCTTTTTTTTTTTTTCCTTTAAGAATCTTACAGTTTGATAGGAGTATCAGTAGAAGAAGAATACCCATTAGGAAAAAGCGAAGATATCACTTCTATTGAGTAAAAACAGATGATGAAATAAAATAAAATGCTTCTGCTAATAATGAGAGCATCAAACAATAATACTACTCCCCGCCATCTGTCGATGCTAATGCTGATAAGCCAACAGTAAGTAAGCATTGCCCGCACAAACTAAATCGACAGGTTGTCTCTCGAACAAAAATAAAAAATGAAACAAACAAAATAAGACAATTTCAGTCAATCAAGTGGTATGTATGTGTGTATATCCGCTGTCTCCCACCGGACAGCCGCTCCAAAGCAAGATCTTCCGATTGCAACAGTAATTTATCCGTGGGGGGCCACCGAATGGATGGATGCCCCGTCATGTGATTTATCTTCTTTTATTATTTCCCTTTTGTTGTTATTGTTATTATTATTATTATTATTATTATTTATTCATGCCCAAATGGGATAGTTTTATTGTTATCTTGTTTAACCATCTGTTGAAGGATAGAGAGGTGTACATGTGTGTTTGCTCTAACCTTCAATGATGATTGCTGCTGGTGAAATAATCCAAATGAATGAAAAATGAAAAAAAAAAAAAATGTCTAACGCCTTGTCGATCAATTATATTTGACAGTGTGAAAACTCCGAAGACCCGGCCGGCACTGCAATCGTCTCAATTAGGGGGGGAAGGGGGAGCCATCATCACTTTGTAGAGACCCAATTGTATAATAATACACAAATAGCAATGGTTATATAATGAGTAAATGATAATTGTGATGTCACTACTAAAAATCATCTACCGTGTATTACCAGATATCATAATATCCGTTAAAGTACATGAAGTCCTTATTATTATTTATTATCTTGATAAAATGTGGTCACTCCTCGGTGAAAATATTTTTTTTTTTTCCATGCAATGCACTAGTGCAACGACGATCTCCGACAAACTTCCCTGACTCACTCCTCACGTATTATTAATCATGAGATCAATTGAGAGAGAGTTATTTACATCAATTGAAACATTAAAATTGATATATTTGGCTTGGTTTACAATTATTGATATTCTTCAAAACACATAACATGACATCAATTCAACAATGATGATAAAATAAATACTAACAATCATTAAATACATAATTAAGCCTTAGCGACATATTCAACCAAGTCAATGACTCTGGTAGAGTAACCGTATTCGTTATCGTACCAAGAGACCAACTTGACGAACTTTGGAGACAACCAGATACCGGCGTCAGCATCAAAGATGGAAGATCTGGAGTCACCCAAGAAATCGGTGGAGACAACAGCGTCTTCAGTGTAACCCAAGACACCCTTCAACTTACCTTCAGAGGCCTTCTTGATGGCAGCCTTGATTTCATCGTAAGTGGCACCCTTGACCAACTTGACAGTCAAGTCAACAACGGAAACATCGACGGTTGGGACACGCATAGACATACCGGTCAACTTACCAGCCAATTCTGGGATAACCTTACCAACGGCCTTAGCAGCACCGGTGGAAGATGGGATGATGTTACCAGAAGCGGTTCTACCACCTCTCCAGTCCTTGTGGGATGGACCGTCAACGGTCTTTTGGGTGGCGGTGATGGAGTGGACAGTGGTCATCAAACCTTCTTCGATACCGAATTCGTCGTTGATAACCTTGGCCAATGGAGCCAAACAGTTAGTGGTACAAGAGGCGTTAGAGATGATGGTTTGACCAGCGTACTTGTCTTCATTGACACCCATGACAAACATTGGAGCGGTAGAAGATGGAGCGGTGATGACAACCTTCTTGGCACCAGCGTCAATGTGCTTTTGAGCAGTGTCCAATTCCTTGAAGACACCAGTGGAGTCAATGACAATGTCAACACCATCAGCACCCCATGGGATGTTGGATGGGTCTCTTTCACCGTAAACCTTGATGGCCTTACCGTCAATGACAATGTTTTGGCCTTCGGAGGTGACTTCACCTTGGTAGACACGGTGGGTGGAGTCGTACTTGAACATGTAGGAAGCGTATTCTGGAGCAATGAATGGATCGTTGATGGCGACAACCTTGATGTCAGATCTCTTCAAGGCAACTCTGAGGACAAGACGACCGATACGTCCGAAACCGTTGATACCGACAGTAACCATGGTGAAAGTAACAAAATTGAGTAGTAGTAGTAGTAGTTTGTAATTTGTAGTGGTAGTGATTAACTAAAATAGACTGAGAAGAATGAGAGAGTCAATTCAATTCAGTACAATTCGATGTATAAAAACTATTTGAAGATGATGATAGAGAAGAAAGAGAAGGAAGATATGGCAATTGGCAAAAGGGGGCAAACCCTGCTTCTTATATAGTTGCTGAGGGGGGTGGTGGTGCGTGAGGGCGTGGGCGGTTGGCTCTGGTGGTGGTTTTTTGGGCGGCAGCTTTTGGTGGTGGGGCGCTTAGCATTTCAGTGCGGTGACAACATTTTTTTTCCTTGCGCGGTGGGCTCGGACCAGCGGTCATGTGCCGTCAGGTGGTGGGTACCACCTCCCTCCCTCTCTCTACCGTATGGGTAACCTCTTACTGGCCTCACTCACTCACTCACTCAGCTGATTGACAGCAACGACAACAGTACGTTGCTGGAACATGGCCACACACTAAGAGAATTTCCCCCATCACACGCTGGCTGCCTGTCTGCCTGCCCCCAGTGATCACATCACCCAACCCATCTGGATCATTCCACGCCTACCCAATTGTAAAATTAACCCCTAAAACACTCCAACAAGAAAATTAATTATACTAAATTAATGCTAATAATAATACACAGAATAAAAAAAAAAAAAAAAAAAACAAAAATAGAAACTGACAAAAATATAGACAATCAATCTGACAAAAATATAGAGAAATAAACTATTAGATCGAAAATAAAAAAAGAAAAGAAAAAAGAGAAAAGAGAAAAAAACCAAAATATAATCAAAACAATGTTACACACAAAAAATTAAGCTATCCCCAATGCCATCAAATCCTCACTCACCTCTTCTTTGGTACTTCCACTGAGCTTCTCACCCACACTAAAACCATAATTCTTGTTCACATAACTCAACACATCAATCTCTTCTTCAATGTCCATCACATGCTGGATCTGATCTGCCTTACTCGGTACTCGGAAACTGTACTCAGGGGTGATCATGTTCATTGTCTTTCTGTTACGATTGATGTCATACCAATTGATTGTAGCCTTATCAATAATACTCATCTTGGATTCCGCCTTTTCTTTCAAGAATTGTTGATGGATCGCCAACCTCTGGGATCTGGTCTGCCGATCAATGCAAAGAAGTTGGTATTTTTGACGGTTCTGCACTAATTGGAGCTTCTTGGTCCGGTGATTCTCAATCCGTTCGTATATCGACTTCAATGCTGGGTGAGTGCCATTAATACACATTTGGATCTCCGATTCAAACGCTTTGAGCTTATCGTCATAAAGCTTGTCTTTCAACCTGGCAAATTCAATTTCAATCTCCGTAAGCTTATCGATGGCCTCTTTGCGGAATTTCAAACGCATTGCTTCTTCTTGTTTTTTCTGTTGCAATAATTCTTCATCTTTCGCAGCTCTCTCAGCCCTACCAGCCTCGTCAACTTCTTCTTCCTCCTCTTCTTCTTCATCATCATCTTCGACTTCCTCATCCTCTTCGACTTCCTCTCTTTCATCAACACCTTCATCCTCATCATCTCCATGACCAGCTGCTTCCTCACTATGATTTTCCACTTCTCCAATTTCATCTTCTTGTTCATTATTGCTCTCAATCTTTCTTTTCTTGGCCAACATATCACTATTGTCATCTATTTTCTCATCCTCTAGCTCCCTCTTAGCCTGCGATGGTCCTGGAGCCTCCTCGGAGTCTTCTTTTTTTAACTTTTCCTCATCCTCCATCTCCACATGCTCCTTCTCCTCCTCATTTTCTTGTTCTTCTTTCACTGTTCCTTGGTCTTCCACTTGAACATCTTGATCCTGTGATTTGACATCAGGATTCTCACTTGAATATACCGTTATATTGGATTCCTTCTCTTCATCTTGATTTGGTGTAGTCTCTTCACTAGAGCTTTCCTTATTATCTTTTAAAATGTCTTTGGAAGAAACTTCTGGTAGTTCCATTTCCTCGTCCTCGTTTGGATCACTTATCCCCGAGTCCTCTTGATTGTCTCTTGACATTGCTAATAAATGACTCTCGAATTCCCCGTTAGCATTCATAGGAAATCCACTTTTTTCCTTATCTGTATAATTCATCTTCTCAGTCTCGGCATCAGAGTCACTCAACTCGCTGAGCTCACTTGACTCGCTGCTGAAGGTGAACCGCGTGGCAACACTTACTGGATGGTCGAGGAGGTTGTTAGAAAGACTACTAATGTCTTGATCAACCTGCTGCTTTTCTTGTTGATCTTCTTGTTGATGTTGTTTTTCTTCGAATTGAGATGGTACAGATGGCTCTGGCTTTGCTACTATCGTTGCCGATGTGGTACTGCCACGGCTTGTTGGTGGAGTATTGGAACCTTCCTTTTCTGTGACGCCAAAAAAACTGAGGGTTGCCGTTGTCGATGAGGCTGATGGGATCTGATCTCGAGGGACTGGTTGGTTATTGATACTGGATTCGATTGACTCAGAAACACTGGTGGACATTCTTTGTGGATGTGAGAACCAGAGTTGAAAAGAAAACGTAGAAAGAGAAAAAAAAAAGAAAGATAAAAAAAAGCTTTTGATTAAAGATCTAAATGAAAATCAAGATTGTCGATGGTTGGTGATGGGGAAATATGAAGACCAATTTTATGTTATTCTCTTTTTTTTTCCTTCAGTTGGTGGTTGAAATATTTGTTGTTTTGTTATTTGTTGTTGTTGTATTCCCTTCTTCTCGATAATCAAATTGCCATGAGAAAGGAAAAAAATAAATGAAACAAACTAAAAGAAAAAAAAAAAGGGGGGGAAGAAAGAAAGAAAGAAAGGGAGATCACGAATTCTGTATTCTTATCTGGAGGGTAGTCCACTAATTGTTGGTTGGGGCGTGGTGTTAACGGTGGTAGAGATCTTGTATGGGGAGGTGATGAGGCAAATAACAACTCTTGTTTTGCCAAAATCCCATTTTAGCGCACCAACCAATTTCGCAGGAGGGAAAAAAAAAATCCGTGCGACCCTCCCGCACGGTATACTCGGTCATGCTACTCGGGCGAGAGAGAGAGAGATACTGTGGAGCACGTGCAACTCATCGCACAGGAAATCTTTGGTGTGCGAAATTCTTTTTTTTTTTTTTATTATTATTTGTTGTTGTCTTATCATCTATTTTTATTAGTGGTTGCCCATTATTATTATTAACTACCCCATATTCTTTTAAAATTCATCACAAATGACCACCGCTCATAGGGCCACGTTTACCCATGCAAAGGCCAAAGATACCTCGCTATCCCAGACTTATCAGGCAACGCTTACCCATAAACGGTTTCTTCCCGCGCATACCCAGTTGAAATATCGATCCAAAAAGCTTGATCCTCAGAATAATGACTCTGGGGACCTTAGTGATGCTGACAAGGTGCATGAAATGAAGAAGAAGTTGATGAGGAAAGAACACGCTCATTTTACCCTGGTGGGCCATAAATTGGCAGATAAGTCTACAGAAGATCAATCACAAGAACAACCACGACTAGCCATCACCACAGGATCCCGGGAATTGGATAATGATTCTAGTGATGATGAAGAGATGATGTCCCAAGGAAACAATGGGGTTATGGGGATACTCAATACCGCCAGCGATAGTGAAAATAGCGATGATGATGATGATGACGAAGATAGTGAAGACGACGACGAGGATGAAGATGAAACAGCACAGCTATTGCTAGAGTTAGAAAATATCAAAAATGAAAGAAAGCAACGAGAGCAACAGAAGCAAGAATTAGAGGTGACAGAGGTAGCGAAGACCAGCAATCCACTAGTGCAATTTGCTGACAATAACGATAATGAGAATGAAAATCAGGGTGGTCTAAAGAGAAGTTGGAGAGATAGTACATTGTTCAGTAATAAGAAACGAAAGGGAACTAATGAAGTCAAAAATGGGGACGATGGGTTCTCCAACGATTTGTTGCACTCGCAATTCCATCGAAAGTTTTTGGAAAGGTATATTAGATGACGATGATCAATATTTTTCTGTCAACGATAAAACAGATCATGTATTCTACAATGTAAAACTTCATTCCAAAAAAAAAAAAAAGAGCAGCATTTGCATTTCTTGATTACTGTATCATGCGCGTAAAATGTATCTTGAATATATAAATGAATATAAACCAGATTGTTAAAAGTGATGCCTATCTTTTTCAATTAGCTTCAAACAATTCTGGTAATACTTTTGGTAAATCATGTATGGTACTGATGGATAAACATCCTTCTGGGGTATTTGTCGCATCCCCGTTTTCGACAACATTCACCACCTTGTTGAACCCCAAATCTATTGCTGTTTGACAGTTCTTGTAGCTGTCGTCTACAAAATAGGCATTTTTAGCATCGCTAACCCCGGCGTCTCTCATGGCTTTTTCAAAGATTCTTGAATCAGGTTTGCAAATGAACTTTTCTTGTTTTTCGTAATCGCAAAAGGTCATTCCGTCAAACAAGTCACCAATTCCCAATAATTTGATCACTCTCAAGCCATGATTCTTATAAGCGTTAGTGAAAAGCCAAAACCGCTTCAAATGATTAGCTTCGCGCAACTTGATCAACATTTTTCTGAGTTCTGGGTCTGGTTTCAAGATCTCATGTAGTGGCAACGAATCATCCACCTCGGTGTTATACTTCATGGCATCAATCTTATGGAAATATACTAGCCCCTGGATCGCTAGACCATATTCTTTATAATACTTCACGTTGATTTCTTTTGCTTCGGCTTCGTTCACCCCCAAGTGTTTGCGAATATATTTGCGGATGTAAACCTGCATCAAATCATGAATCCTGTAGCTGGCATGGTACAAGCAATTATCGATGTCAAAAAAGAAAACCTTCTCATCATCCAATGGGACGGGACCAAATTGGTAAGGAAGTTTGATAGTGGATCCAGGATGGTGCAAATGGCTTTCTATAGCGATATTTGCTGCTGGGGTTGAGAGGTTCGTCTCCGAATACGACGCGCTTGAGTTGGTGGTGTCAGCGGTAGACATTACTTATGAGTTCCAATGTGTGATTACTCGGGCAAAAAGACAAGAAGTGGATGGTTGCTGTTGTTGTTAATATGGTGTTGTCGAGATCTAACAAAGCCAAAATCAGTGCCAATTTGACAGAATCCGATTATGGACACTAAGGTGATGAAATATAAAAGGTTTTATCACCGCTGTGTATTTGGCGTCATCATCCCCGTGGGTGGCCGAACCGGGTTACGCGCTGGAACACCAACCGAGGGGTCTTTGCTAACAACAAATAGAGGATTTACAATATATTATCCTATTTGATATCATCAAGATGATCTTGCTCATTCAGCGAGAAAAAAAAAATGCTTGAGAAATTCCAATTTCGTTTCTTTTTGATATCTTGGAGGGAGGTTATTACTGGGCAGTACTGCGGACTAATATATCTGGTGAAATGACTATATATGCAATTGAAAATGATAGGTTTACTTTGAACTGAAAAATAGTATTGGATCATGGGTTTGAAAAAAATAATGATGAGGTAAAGGGATAAATCTGACGCAATAAAGAAACAAAGATATAGTTAAAAGCGGTGGCAGAACCAGGTATATTTACATGGAGGGACGTTGATGGATCCTCGGCCTCTACGAAATAAGAGAACTTCTGCCGTATAAATAAGCTTACTTTTTAATCATTCTTATAGTAGTAAGTTTATATTGAGATTCATCATAATATCGCCACAAGGACAAACCAATGTGATCTTGATAAAAAATTAAAAATAGCAGGAATCTAAACAAAATAATCCAAGCAAAATAATAAAAGCGACATGATAATAATGGTATGGTAGGTGATAGGGATTAGGCGTTGAATCTAAACTCTAGAAGTACAGCTCTTTTGACTTTCTGGAGTTTAGAATTAATTTATATTGAAAGCATACTCAATGGCATAGAAATATAAAATCTCATTAATTTGGTTGTGAGTGCTTAGCCTGTTTAGATCCTCAAGTCCGTCAATAGGATCTGTATAATATTCTCCAAGGTTATTAGGCACAGGTTTCAAAATGTCACCAGAGTGGTAAAGTGAATTGTTGCACAGTCATGCATGCATTATTTTGGCTCCTATCCTGTCTTGGATCTTTTGGGTGTCATAACCAAGATATTGGAGAATGTATTGAATATTGTCTTCATTATTCTCAAGGCCATAAAATTGCATAATTCCAGCCACTAATCATTGTTTTCTGTATTAATGAAATTCTCTAACGTAATAAACCTCTGGTTATTTGGTAATACTAAACCTTGGTCATTTCTTGGGTAATTAATTTGTTCCGTTAACTTGGAAGCAAAAGAATTTTTGAAACGAGTTTCCTGTAGATGAGACTGGATAATATTTTTGAATTTTATTCCAATGAAATTAAGAATGTCGGCTGGTGGATTATCTATAGGCATCCCGTAGAACGCATTTACATCAATAATGGTTTGTTGGTCGAGACCCGAAAAAGTGAGAATAGATAGCTTTTTGTTTCTAATACTTTCGACCATTGGCAAATTGTAGAAACTTAAGAATACGTCAAGCGATTCTACTTCTTTTGTATTCAAAATAGAGGCGATGTCGGGGAAAGAGCTGTAATTTGAAGGTAATTCGTTGGCAGCATTGGTAGGATATCTTATGGGACTGTTGAAGAGACCAATGTTTGAGTTAAATAATTGATTTAACTGATTACCAATATTGGCAACTGAGGAAAATCGCTCTGTTGTCTTTAAATAGTGGCTATATTTTACTTTCCTGTATAAGTTCTCAGCGCTGTCTAACTCACTGGTAGGAGCATATCTTTCAGACAAGTTTTGACAATAGCACTTAGGAAGATCAACTTCTTGAGTTTCATCACCGGCGCTTAATGTAAGCTGTGGTTTTATAACATTAACAGAATTATCAGGAATGTCGCTGCCTCGGAAGTAAGCTCTACTCATGATGGAATAATGTATAGATAAATCAGGGAATGCTCTCAAGAGGAAATAACAAGGAAGGAAAAACTGAGAAATTTAGTATATATAATATATTTTATATAGCAACTTCTCTTATGCATGCAGTTAGAGCACATCGTATACTCATGACCATTCCTTTTTGTCAGTTTTGGTGCTATACCATTACTAACAGCAGAGCTCGAGGGTATGAACTCCATTCAGCACACCTAGTCAAGGTATTGACTAAATATTCACTAACACTACTAATCAACCAATTGGATTTGATAGAAGTTTGATCTACACAGATTTAGCCAGTTATATGCAGAAGCATAATATCTGACAGCTGGTAGGAGGGGTAGCTGCGATTGAGAGGATCCGATTTTGACTGAGCTTGTTTGAGCATGAACTCTGTTGTCAATTATGTCCAAGCTGGAATAATTGTCACACAAACCATCCAGCCCCCCAATCTAACTTGTAACAGCTTATTACTAATTATAATGTCCCAATATGACTGTAACTCCAAATTATCCTCCTCTGCCAATCCGGTTCTAATGCACGGTCATACTTCCGCTCCGGTGAACTTCTCCATACCAACCAATATATTTGCCATAGCTTTAAAATTATTTTTTTTTCCTGACCTTAAATAAACAAATCACTCAACAACAATTTAAAACCATGTCAGATATTAATGAGCCAGGTCAGAACAGCCAACAGGCAACTAAGAAAACCGTTCTGGTAGTCGCCAACGACGATGGATCGGTGGTAATAACCAGCGCCAATGGTAAAGTCAAACATCGTAAAGGTCAATCCGAAGAAGCCTTCCAAGAACAGCTACGAGACTTTTGGAGTGCCGGCCCGAAGATCAATGAACATGGTTGGTTGACTGAATCATACAATGCAGAAATGATCCAGTATCAACAACTAAGGTCCCAAGGGTTGTCAAATTTAGATATAAGAGATAAGTTGACGGTGTTTGACGTTCGGGAAAAATCTCGGAAGAATCAATTAATCAATACCGCAGAAAACCACTATTATCATAGAAAGTATGCTAATGCAATGGAAGTATGTGATCTTATTATAGAATTGTTTGATGTGTTTGATGTGGTGAAGAAAAATAAACGAGAGATTGAAGAAGTCAATAACATCAAGAGCCATTGCCGAAAAAAATTGGACAGTCAATAATGTCAAGAAAAAAAAAAAGAAGAAAAAAAAATTCCTAATGATTATCGTGATAGATTGTTTATATTTGTCTTATTTGCATTTGTAGAGAAATAGAAAATACCTTGTTAGTGGTGTACAAAATTATATTATATTAGTAGATATATGTTGTGAAGAAAGAAAGAACTAACCAAACAATTTGATCCCTGGGGAGCCTGGGGCAGATTTGTTTGATTCTGTGCTATTGTTTTCCTCTTCAGTTTCATCTTCTTTTATCGAGTCTTCTTTGGTAGACTCCTCAGTTTTTTCTTCCTCTTGTTTTTCCTGTTTTGATTCTTCATTTTCTTTCACGTCCTTCTTAACTATTTCCTTTTCATTCTCCCCAACTCTGGTATTGGTTTTGTCTCCCTTATCATCACCATCAAATTTCAAGTACATTTGGTCAACATTATATCGACTGTACTTTTCATAATCATCAGCCACACTCATCCCAACGTTATTTTTGAAACATTCCACCATGACCAACTTATCGTAATTTTTAAGATCCACTTTATGGTCATTTTCATGGCCCATGCACTCGGCAATCTTTTTAATCAATTCTTCCCTTGGCACAGTGTTGAAATTTCTTTTACTCACATTAATCGCAAACTTGATCCCTTTCTTCTGATCTTCTGGGTTATGGAAATGGCGAGCCAAAACCTTCTTGGATAGTTTTTGGATCTCTTCGATACTGGCACTGGAAGACGATTGTACCGGGGTCAATTTCAACGTGAAACGAGTTCTCCGCTCTTTATCATTGTACAAATCGGTAAGAATACGATGAATAAACTTCTCAGGATCGATTGGTCTTCTTAACTTGATGAACACAAGACATTCTTGACCCAAAGTGATCGGTTGGAGTAAATTATGCTTATTGTTCAGCTTCTTCTTGGACCCTTCAAGTTGTTCCAACTCGGCCTTGATCGAGTCCTCAATAGATAATTCTTTCTTGTCTTGTTCTTCTCCGTTGGTTTTCTTTTCTTCTGTATCATCTTCAAGAGGCTTAATCCCGTATTCTTCGATCTTATCATTGAAAAGTGCCATCAACTCATCGGTACATTTCTTTTCACGCTTTCTTCCACAGGTAGCATAAACCCCAGCAGTTCCTGGTTCTAGCATCCCTGTACAGACTTTATATCTCTTTTTACTTCTATCTTGGCCTCCGCCATTTCTTCTTTTGCCCATTATTAGTTTATTTGTATGGTACTAGTGATCTGTAATGCCTCACTTCTCTTCTGAAAATTTTCGGAATTAATTTTTTCAAGAATTTTTTTTTTTGCTCCTGCCCTGTGAGGTCAATTTCCCATATACATTACATTATCTTAGAAATTCCACAAATACATATATATATAAATATATATAAATAGAGCACATTAACCAAGATTTGGAAAAAGAAAAAAAGTACTATCATTTTAATAACTACTCAGAAAGAAAGAAAAGATGAATCATGGAAACGAAAAAAATAAATGGGAAAAATGAAAAAAGAATTACGAAAAAAATGCATTACTATACATAAAGAGAAAAAAAAGTCAAGAAGAATGAAATAAATCAACACTCAAATTATTTTTTTGGATAACTGGCATAAGAGATATTCAATTGGCGACCACCATACGTGTAGCCATTCAATTGCTCAATGGCAATCTTTGCGTCGCTCTCATTTTCGAAACGAACAACACCGCTACCCTTTGGTCTGCCATGAGATTTTTGAATTTCTGCTTTAGCAATGGCGCCAACACCTTCAAGAAGATCGTACAAATCTTCATTATGAGTGGAGAATGGTAAGTTACCAACAAAAATGGTATCAGATTCTTCACCTTCACCTACAACACCGCTAGTGAATTCATTAGTGTCCTCATCTTCTTGTTCCTCAGTGTTTACCGCTTCTTCAATAGGCTGCTCAGCTTTGGTATCCATTTCAATATCGTCACCATGATTGACCGCCACAGTATCTGCAGGAGCCACAGAATCAGCTTCCTTATCCTTGTCAAAGTAAGCATTGTTCTTTCCATCACGAACGTCAATCTTTCTTCCGTCAATTTCATGATCTTGGAACTTTTCAATCGCACGGTCAGCCTCTTCTCTGGTGGCGTACACCACAATACCAAACCCTTTTGATCTACCACGTTCATCTTCACGAACGTCAGCGTGGAGAACGTCACCAGCATCACGGAAAAGATCCTTAAGATCTTGCCAGTTGGTTCTAAATGGCAAATTACCAACAAAGACCTCGTAGCCCTTTGGAGGTAATCTGGACGATCTTCCATCTCTTCCTCTGTAACTATCTCTACCTCCATCTCTTCCTTCATATCTACCGCCTCTGTAGCTATCTCTGTCTCTGTAACTATCTCTGTAGCTATCTCCGCCTCTGTAAGAATCTCTTTCTCTGTAGCTATCTCTTCCCCTATAACTATCTCTTGACGAGTATCTATCATCGTCATATCTGTCTCTACCTCTATCAGACTTTCCTGGTGGTGGGTTATCTTCTCTTACGAAAATTTCACGGTCCAAAAACAGGGTGTGATTAAATTTGTCAATAGCAACTTGGACATCACGTTTGTCCTTAAACTCGACAGTCCTAAGAAGAAAAGTTAGTGAATATTATTAACCTAATGATTATTAATCAAGAACAAATAGTACTTACCCCATACCTCTGGATTTACCATGAGAAGTGACAATGTCTGCACGACTAACATCACCAACTAAAACTTGTTAGAAACTACCTTATATGGAGCAAATTAGAAGCATTGGTTTTTCCTTTGACAATTAAGCAACCAGTTTCAAATACTAATCTAACAGCAAAAAACGAAAAAAAAAATTAAGAAAAAAACTAGCAACATCTTTCCTAAACATACCTCTCAGGAAATGGTCTTTCAAATCCATCCAGCTACAATCGAATGGCAAGTTACCGATGAAGATACTCGAGGAGTAATTTCTGTTGCTCTTGTCGGCATAAGCACCATTGCTACTGAACCTGGCTGGGTCCTCAAGGTCCAGACTTCTGCCACGTCCACTGTATCTGTCTCTACCCCCACCACTATATGAATCACCTCTTCCACGGCTATCGTAACGATCTCTGCCGCTATCACGGTAGTCTCTACGACTTCTGTAACCCCCACGATCAGACCCCCTCACTGGCGATCTGTCTCTTCTTGGAGATCTTGATCTAGAGCGTTCGCGATCTCTTGGGTAGTCATCGATATCGATTCTGTCGGACATGGTTTTCTTCACTAGTGACAATCTGTCGTGAATTTTTTTTTTTTTTTTTGAATAATAATAAATGCCTATTCCCCTTATTGGTATTAATTTTCTGTTTTCCCCCCAAAATAATTTTTCAAGTTGACGGCGATGGGTGAGAATGGGCCGGGTGATGGTACTCCTTCCCCCAATGTGTGTTTCCATTTTTTTTTCCTCAGTGTTTTTTTTTGCTGATCTGATGTTTATTTGATTGTTGATTGATTGACGATAGTAATATTCTCATACGCTATCACAAAACAATAAATACTGCCAATACACCTGGGTTGGCCTTTTATTGTTCAATTGACTGTTTTTTTATGGCCCTGTACTCTTGCTGATTTAGGACTGCCACTCTTCACGGTATCTTAGTTTCGTTTTTGTTTTTGTTTGTCGATATCCCTGCTGAAAATAAAAAAAAAAATAAAACAATAGTACCACTTTTTTAATAGACACTTTGATAACACTCCATATATTCCCCCAATAATGACTTTCGATAATCATCTTTTGGACGTCATCAATAAGCTCCAAGATTTGGTCTACAACACCATTGGCAATGATTCATTGGACTTGCCACAAATTGCCGTCATTGGGTCACAATCCAGTGGTAAATCATCGGTTTTGGAAAACGTTGTGGGAAAAGATTTCTTACCTAGAGGTATTGGTATTGTCACCAGAAGACCTTTGATCTTGCAATTGGTCAGTATATCTGAAGACTCGCCGTTGATCTATCAAAATAACCATGATTACGTTGAGACTGCCAATAATCCAGAAACCATGACCTTGGATGACCACTTGAGAAAGCAAAGTGGTGCTAAGCCTAATGGCCCTCCTAATGAATGGGGTGAATTCTTACACATTCCTCACAAAAGATTCTACAATTTCCAAGATATCAAACGGGAAATCGAAAACGAAACTTCTAGAATTGCCGGTAAAAACAAAGGGATCAGTAAATTGCCAATCAATTTGAAAATCTATTCTCCAAACGTTTTGAACTTGACATTAGTTGACTTGCCAGGTTTGACTAAGGTCCCAATTGGCGACCAACCAACCGATATTGAAGTGCAAATCAAAAACTTGATTACCGAATATATTTCCAAGCCAAACTGTATTATTTTGGCAGTTTCTCCTGCAAATGTCGACTTGGCAAACTCTGAATCATTGAAACTCGCTAGACAATTTGATCCTCAGGGTAAAAGAACCATTGGTGTCTTGTCCAAATTAGACTTGATGGACCATGGCACAAATGCCTTTGACATTTTATCTGGCAAAGTTTATCCATTAAAATTGGGATTCGTTGGAGTGGTCAATAGATCTCAACAAGATATTATGCAAAATAAAAGCTTGGACGACTCTCTAAGATCCGAAAATGATTTCTTCACTTCTCATCCTGTGTACTCGAAGATTTCTAGTAAATGTGGTACCCAATTCTTATCGAAAACTTTGAACAATATCTTGATGAACCATATTCGTGAAAAATTGCCTGACATTAAAGCAAAATTGAACACTTTAATGGGTCAAACTGAGCAAGAACTTTTAAGTTATGGGGATCCTAAACAATACTCAATTGCCAACAGAGGTAACTTGATTTTAAAATTGATTAGCAAATTCGCTAACAATTTCACTGGCTCCATTGAAGGTGACAAAATTGATAATATCATTTCTACCAAAGAATTATGCGGTGGTGCGAGAATTTACTATATCTACCATAATATTTTCAGCAAGATTTTGCGCTCCATAGACCCTTGTCTAAACTTGTCCATGTTAGACATTAGAATTGCGATTAGAAATTCCACTGGTCCAAGAGCCTCGTTGTTTGTTCCAGAATTAGCATTTGATTCTTTGGTTAAACCCCAGATCAAATTATTACAAGAACCCTCTGTGAAATGTGTGGAATTAATTTATGAAGAATTGATGAAAATTTGTCACAACAATTGCTCTTCCAATGAGTTGATCAGATATCCAAAATTGCAGGCCAAATTAATAGAGTCGGTGTCTGATTTGCTTAGACAAAGATTGGGCCCAACAACCCAGTACGTTGAAAGTTTGATTGAAATTCACCGCTCTTATATCAACACCAATCACTCATCATTTATTGGTGCCGCCAGTGCCATGACCCAAGTTTTAGATGATAGAAGAGCTAAGGCCCAAGCCATCGCTAAACAAAATATCTTGGAGGCTAAGAAGAGTAGAAAAGTTTCTGGAAGTAGTGATGTTATTTCTGAAGATGGTGAAGCCTCAGATAATGATACTATTTCTGATGCTATTTTGAATGGCACTAAAAAACACAATAAATCTGAATCTGTTAACGAGAAAATTGGAAGTAAAAAGGTTTCTAGAAAGGCCAGTAATAGTGAATTATCTAATGATCTTGATTCATCTAGCAAAGAATCATTTTTGAACTTCTTCTTTGGCAAAGACGCTCAAAACAAGAATGACCCTGTCAACGGTAATGTCAACGGTAACGCCAAAGGTGTCTCAAATGGTTTTTCTGCACAATCTTCTTCTTTTAACACAGGCATTTTCTCCAACCTTGATACCTCTGCTGATTCAAGTAATACCGCCTTGAACAATATTGATGGTGGTTTGAATTTCATCAACAGATTGCCAGAACAAATCGAGCAGTTGTCATTATCCAACCCACAAAACCAACCTGAGAATAATGTCGATGAACTAACCGATCGTGAGCAATTGGAATGTGAATTGATCAAGAAGTTGATCATCTCCTATTTCAATATTGTCAGAGAAATGATTGAAGATCAAGTTCCAAAATCCATTATGTGCTTATTGGTGAATTACTGTAAAGATAACGTTGGAAATAAGTTGGTTGGCGAATTATACAAAGAGGATTTATTCGATGATTTGCTAGAAGAGGACAAGGAATTGAGAGTTGAAAGAGAAAAATGCTTCAAGTTGTTGGAAAGTTATAAGGAAGCCAGCAAGATCATCGGAGAAATTGTGTGATATTTTGATTTCTCTACTCTTTTTAACCTATTACATGCAAGCATAACTAGTATTTTGTGCGCAACGTTTTGGTTGTCTTTTTCCTACACTTTTTCAGCTCTTTCATTGTACATAGATAACTGAAAAAAAAAAAACATATTTAGCATCTATATTATAAACGACAATTGTAGCGGTTTGTGGTGGTTTGAAAAGAAAAAAGTTTACAGTAAATCTGAAAGAGAGGCCGAGAAAAAAAAAAAAAAAAAATAAAAAAAAAAAAGTTCCCTAAAAAAATCCAAAAAGGAAACTCTGGGAACCTGTCTATCGGACAGCACCCAATGTCCAAACACTTTATTTGATGCTACGAGATGCCTTACAGATAGCTTCCCAGCTGCTCAAAGTATGATGAGTCTCAATTGCTTGTTGCTGAATACTGAATATTTTCATTATACTAATACGTGAAAACCATCTAGGCTGCTGCGTTGATTCATCAGATTCAATATCACAAAGCAAAACGATCAGTATACGGTCTTTCCTTTGACCTTGTACTTCTCACGGTATGTTTATCTTCTTGTGTGTTTTGGCGGTCAATTTTGCACTTAGTTATTAACATTTTTTATGTATCAGCTTTTGCAGAACCTTCATCTAGCTGTCTCTTTTATATTCTACAGTTTCAGCTTATCAATAAAGCAGTACCAGGCACGATATCCTTTATCATTTGGTGATGGTGATAATTTCCTGGGTATTCCCATGTCTTCATTGGTATTCCTAATCAATTGTATCAGTCTTTTGGCAGCATTGGTCCTATTGGTACAGATTTTCATCAGTTATAAAATCACCAGAAACCTCAGTCAAAAGTTCTCTTACACCTGCTTGATGATTATTACAGGACTAGAGTTAAAAAACTTGTACGTATTATTCATGGCAACTAGTAAACAAGGATCCACAAACGGTATGGGAAACCATAGTCTTCTATGGCTTGATTTCATTTACTTTTTCAATTTAGACAGTTGGATATATGGTATGTTGCGGTTTATGCCTCAGGCATCATTAAACTTTGCTGGTATTTCCAGATTTGGGTATGCTGGTCTTTCTATCAAACTTGAACTATTATCGAATATATTAATCATAATCCAGGGCCTTTGCAATGGGCAAGATTTCGAGCATTATCCAAACCTGGAAATTATGCTAAATTATGATGTATCGGTACTTTCTGGAGTGATTCTGCTAGCAGCGTGTTTAGTATTATTGTATCAAAAGAAAATTTACAAGAATGAAAAACCAATTTTTGTGTCAAAATATCAAATGATTGATGACAATAACGATAACATGAATGAAGTTTTTGAGCTATAAACAGGGTATTCTTTTTTTATGGTAATGGAAGAGAGTATATGGTAAATAAAAAACTATAGTCTATTAGCGAAGATTTTTGCAAGGATTTTGACCCCCCAAGAAATATTTCTGTCAGGGTCCTTATTGTCTTCAAAATCTTTTATGGACAATTCTCTAGTGTGCTGATTTATATTATCTATTTCTGACTGCATTTTGCGCTTCAATTTTTCGTCCTTGGTAATCAATACCACATTAGTTTCCAAGTCCAAAGAGTATGATCTTTTAGTGTAATTTGAAGACCCAATAACTGTGATCGATGGGATGGTTTCATCAGGCTCACTTATCCAAATCCCTTTGGCGTGATATGACCAGCCATTTTCAGTGTTGACAACCCCTTTTTCCCATTCCTTGACCTTAATGTTATTTTCCTTTTCTTGTCCATTGACTTCTCTGAGAAACTGTTCACAAAGATATAGATAAGCTGGAGGAATATACTTTGAAGGCCAAGATGATTTGAAGAAACTATTGGCCTTAGGTGATGCGGTGATAACTTCGCCTGATTTGGATGTTGCCGTTAGAAGTCTTCTTTTAATTTCTGGTTCCATATTGAAATATCCCGCGGTGAAAGTCCAACTGACAGTAGAGGAATCCAAATACGATAAAAGTCTAAGAATTGCCGGTTTTTCGGTAGAAATATCAGGTTTCAACAATGGTGTTAACTGTGAGACTGGGAACACGATGGTATTTCTGTCGTTGTATTCTGGATCCTCGGCAAATTTTTTGTTTTCGATTTCTTTGATTTGTAAATCCTTTTCAATAATCTTTTGATATTCATCGTTATCATAATGTGCCACTCTTTCACCATGAAGGATGGGTTCAAGCAAATGAGTGGTTTCCACTAAAAATCTTTCTAGGTTGAGTTTTGGGTCGGCAGTCAAATTTTTTGTTGGCCAGTCAATCAATATTTTGTCTCTGTGGGGGAGGTATGAGACTTTATGACTTAATTGACTGATAAGCTTGCCCAAATTGAAGAAATAGTCCGTCAAATTAACATTCTTGAAAACATAATATCTATCTTGTCTGTTAGAGAAGTAATCCTCGGACAAGTTAGCACCGGATATTATAACTTCGTCATCGAATCCGTATATTTTCATGTGTTGCAACCCAAAGCCTTCATTGAATCTTTTTGGGACAATTTTTTCTGACATCCCACTCAATTTTGGGGTATGATATAATCTGATATCAACTCTATGGTTCCCGAACTTCTTCAATAAAGTGGAGACGGTTGTCAATGATGATGGATTTGGGTATTCTCTGGTGGCTCTCAAATAATCGATCAATATATGTAACTTTAAATTGGGTTTTGCTTCTAAGGCTTGTGACAAACAATCAATCAACTCATGTTGGGTTTTCCCAATGTACAATGAAGACAAAAAGATCCGCTCGTCTGCACTGGAAATTTTTTCTTTAAGCTGGTTGTAAAAATCTTTTGGTTCCGTTAAGATATCAATTTCATCATCCTTCAACAAGAATCTTGGTGCAATCATGTTCAATTGGGAAATCACGGAATTCACCCTAGGATGGAACCCGAGCTTGGTATTGGTGGAGTAATTCCTGTTCATGTAGGAAACCGCATGATTCTTGAAATAGCTTATAGTTGCCAGACCAATCATCTTTGCTCCACTATATTCATTAGAATAATAATAAATAAAAAAAGCTATAGTAGGTACCTGAAAAGTCTAAGATATAGAAAAAAATTGAAAAAAAAAAAAAAATAATAAAAAATAAAAATAAGAACCACGTGCAGGGCATGTTCATCACCCATCAAAAAATTCAATGATTTTTGGTGAATGAACTGCCCGCAAACTCAGTAGTAAATGAAACTTGACCAGGTGATAATGACCAAAAGACAGATAATATGTTGATGGTTTCAGAAGATGAAAGGACCCGATTTTGCTACGATCTTTGTATTCTTACGATCACTCTAACTGAACATTATGTCTCGTGTATGAAATCATTAGAGTTTGTCTACGATACAATGTGCACCAACCTTCAAATTGCAACAACCCCAATATTTATCAACCATTGCTCATATAAAGTGGGCTTGACAACTGGCGATCATTTTGTTCAAAACTCTGCATATCACCTGCTCTTAAAGGACTGGGCAGACGTGGATGCAGGCTCAAATACACAACCGCTAAAGCAGTTTCTACAGATCACAAAGGCGTTTCTTTCCAAAAGTATCACCATCACCAAGGTATACAAACAGATGAAGCGAAACTTTTTCTTGAAATTCGGGAAAGTTATGGACGACGGCAATAGCTCCTCTTTTAACGAATTGCGAAGATTTTTCAACATATTTGCTTCTAGTGGCAATACAACCATAGTTGGGGAAATAAACCAGATCAAGCAAATATTGAAAGTGTACATAGAATACGAGATTTCCAAAGGTGAAGTTCAAAGAATATATTTTAGAGATTTTATGCCCAACGTGACGGCATACTTGTATAACATTCTTATTGTTATTGACCAAGTAAAGAGCTTTCTTAATTCTTTACCGGCCCTTGATGTGAGTGATCCCGAAAAAGAGAGCATAGATTTGACCAGGTTCGACATAATCAAGACTTTGAAGATATATTTGACATACTTAAATAATATTACTGAGAAGACTGATGATTTGATCAAGTATAGCTTGGATCAAAACTATTTGAAGCGGATTTACTCCAATAATTTCATAAATCAGGAATTGCATAATTTCAACAATAAACACAAGTATAAACCTTTGACTTTACTGAATATTGGGAAACTCAAATTCAAGAACCATATAAATTACATGAAAATATTGAGCAATAACAATAATGGTGGTTCCAATGGTTCTGAGAATGGTAGAAATGAAGAACCTTGCAAGCATATATTTCCAAGCTTTGAAGACTTCATTTTAAGTACAAGGTTATTGAGAAATTGGAACTGTTGGTATTTGTTTTCAATTATCCATCTTTTAGGTTTCAATTTTTCTGATTCCTCCTCTAGCCCCTTAGCAACTGTCGATAATCTAATCCGTGAAAAGGTCAGTGCACATTTTCTTGATCATAAGAATCCTAAAACTGAAAATGATGGTCCATTGGACAGTTCGATACCACAGTTTCATAGAATCATTAAATATTTGCAACTACCGAATAGTTATAGTGTGTTATTGCTAATATTTAATTTTGAAGCCATTACTGATCTCCTCATTGCACTCCATAACGAAATCTTATCAGAACTCAATGTTAACCTTCAAGAATTGGATACGGGTGATCTTGATGAAGCTATTTTTTCGTCTATCGACGATTTTTCTGTTGCAGGCAATGCATTGGCGTCAACATTTGGACAAGCAGGTCAGGTATTGACAAATAACAAGGGAAGTGATATACCCAAGCATATTCCGAAGAGTAAAGTTATTATAGATAAAAAGATTGACATAATCATCAAGAATTTGAACTTGTTAACCGATTGTCGGAGCCTTTTTTTAAAAGAATTGCTCAACAAAAAGATTTTGGTAACAGAATTCTTTGACCAACTTGAAGAAATTGACAAGGCAATGAGTGGCAATGACAATAAACACAAGAAATATAAAATTCATAAATATACTAAGAGAGAGGAGAAGATAATCATATCGTTATTTTTGAGTCAAATCGGTTCTTACTTACAGGTCTTAGAGAAAGTGATATATGATTTTTTGATCTTCATGTTGCCTGAAGAAAAGGACGAGTTTGATGATAAAGTCCAAAGCTTAGCTAAACTACATGTGCTCACTCCATCAGATGGAGGCATAACATCATCATATGATACTTTGTTGGAGCATCATCATAAAGATTTAAGACTTAAATTCATTAGTGTTTATCTTACAAAGTTGGTTTTCACAACCAATAACATTAAATCTATGCTTAATAACAACCCAAAACTTGGTGAAAAGAAGAACGACGATGTTTTAGATGAATTACTTATTTCTTGCAACAATTATATTGACAGTTTGATGAGGGCTTTGGGTTATATAGTTTAGAATTTATTGGCATTTGAGATTCTTGTATATTAATGCAGGGTGTGACACCTCTGTTGGGTACGGTATTTTTTTTTTCTTCTGTGTAAGAGCTTATTCATTTCTCCACGCCACTATAGATTTAGTGGAGGAGCACTGAAGCCATTTTTATGAGCACCCAAGGTTCTTGATTTGCTATTTTTAGTCTTGTACCAAAATCCAGTCAGCTTTTCACAGTAGTACCATTTTGAAAATGAAGGATAATTGGTGATATTTGTGGTATTATGGGGTCTGACTGCACGAACGCTATATTTCCGGAATTAGAAATGTGAATTCTTGGGGCGTGAGGCCCGGTAATATGCTTGGGTGGAATTTCCTATTTAAATATTGGAATATCTTCCATTTATTTATAATCGCCAAAAATTTAAACGTGTGGTCTTCTATATTATAAACTTCATTAGAAATGTTTGGTGTTATGAGGTTCATTTCCACTATTTCGATTGTTCTTTTATTCTCGACACAAGTATCGGCTTACAATCAGACAGTCAATCTAGTGAACAACAATACCATTTGTTTCCAGAACTACAACAAACAAACAATTATTGAGAAATTTCTTTTTGGAAATCGTTTTTTGATAAATTTAACAAAGTACTCATTTTTCAATTTTGGAAATAGATATCAGAATGGACACATCAGAATCACGTTTGATGAAGATTATTTTAATGAAAATTTGGTGGCCAATTCAGAATCCTCTAATTTCCAGGTCCCTATTTTCTTGATTAAAGGTGATAGTGAAAAACAACCATTTTCCCATCATGTTGGACAATTGAAGGCGGTTTTACAATTTTATGAAGATTATTATAACGAAACCAAGTACGAATGCTCTAAACAAACCGCTAATGGTGTTGATGTGTCAAGAGCCCAAATTTGCAACGTTTTTAATGAAGGCTTGTTTAAGGATTTTGCCTCCAGGTATAATTTTGCTTACCGTTTGATGAACCGCGATACTAGAGAGGCGATATTTAAAATTGATGGGTTCAATAATTACTGTATTTTCAGTAAAATCATTCACTCCAAAGATTTTGAATATCACATGGATGAAGAGATGCCAAACAAAAGGGCAGTTCCTGTGAAAATCATCAATGAAATTTACAATTCTTTTGGAAGCTTGAAGATTTTTGACTTCTTGAATAATGTGATTATTTCAGAATTATTTGCGATTTTATTATTCTGCTTTGTGGTATCTTTCTTATTATTATTTGTTGCTAAATTGCTTTTTGGTCAAACTCGTTATTTCTGGAATGTTTTGACCACTTATTCTATCAGTTATATTCCAATGGTATTTGTTCAATTATACTTGCTTTATTTCGATGCGTACTTATTCAGTTACATTCACCATTTAATTAAAAATAACTTTTCGCAAGCTGAATTTGAAAATAGTTTTATTCAAGCCTTTCACTGGAGAACAAACTTGATCCCTATTGTCTCGAAAATAACCGAGTACTTTATGATTGTCTTTAAAATTTTCTTGACAAATTTTATTGAAATCTTTGTGAGTGTTCTCTTTTCCAAAGGTTACGGCTTCTGGTTCAATAATATCAACTTCAATATTTTTAAAACTGAGAACCATAATATGAAGCGAGTAGTTACCAACTGGAAATTTCTTGCATTTGTGGCCATTATCGTTATTGAGTCAGTTTTATACATATTCATTTCCCATTCAAATGGTACCACTGTCGACAAAATCAGAATATTGATTAACATTTCTAAGGAATCTGTGTTATTGTTCATTATCTTGAGTAACTATTTCAATCACGTTGACGTCAATAAATTGTCAAGAACAATTGGAAACATTTTATACACCAATGATAAAAACCTTAAATTTCAAAAACCGAAGACTATCATTAATGATAAGTTGGTGGAATTGAACTTGAAGTTATTCATAAAAAAAACTTTGTTGAAATACAATAAGACAATTTTGTTGTTGATAGTGAAATTATTTTTCCAAATTTCGTTAAACTTCATTGAAATGGGTTTTATTGACAACTATTCGTCTGACTCTTTGACCAAATCTATTTTTTCTGACAGAATACAAAACAACGATAATTGTTTGACAGTTATCTTATATTTATTTGATTACGTCAGCATTATTGGGAAATTCTTCTTTCATCCCTTGTCGAGTGAATCTATCTCCAATAGCAGTAACCCAGTCATCATTTTGAATAGAAAATTTGATGAAGAAAGAATCATCTTCATTACCCATTGTTTGAAAAATGGTATTAACATTTTCGTTAATTTCTTGATTTGCTTGGTTAACATTAACGTCGATCTCAATAACTTGCATGATGAGCAGTCATCCTAAATACTGCAATGGCTTCTTGTATTTCTTTAGAAAAAAACAAGCCGAAGCTTCTAATTTTATTCTGAATTCAACGCCACATCTGGCGAAATTGATTCTATTATGTGCGTTGCTGGCTCAACTGCATTCCATTACTATTTTAATTCTGTTTTGTTTCTTTTGTTCTTTCTTTCTGGGAGGGGGTCATATGATTCCCATTGTATAATAATATTCTTCTTCTTCTTCTTCTTCATCCTTCGTTATTTATATTTAAGTTATATTGTATATTAGCAAATCATAATATTAAACTGGTTTCTCACATCAAGATTTTTTAATATTTTTTTTTCGAGATACTTGTAATATCATCAATTCTCTCTGGAAAAACTTCTAATAATAGCGAAGTACTTTAATTTGAGAAAAATTGGGAAAAATTCATGTGTTGAACAATATACAATGCAATGTAATCTACAGTAAGCCATGGCTATACAAAAGTGAGAGTAAAAACAACGAGGGTGTATGACCCCTCGTGTCGCCTTTCACTGGTACAAAGTATATCTAATTTGCATTGATGATTGACAGCGCCAAATCCATATAATTTCATAGTTTTATTATATTGAAACATTATACGGTCATAAATTGTTATATTTATTGAGTATATTGAATACTGTATCTTTTTTGAAACATTTACTAGTAGCAGGCCGAACCAGAGCATCGAGTCAAGGTTCATTTTTGTAAAGATCAGGTATCAATAAATTATTCAATTATCTCCTGCTTCCTACTTTTAAAAATAAATAGAGAAGCCAAACGTTGTGATTTGCTAACTTTATTTGGCTCGTTATTTATTTTCCTGAAAATTGTTGAAATTTGCGGCGCGTCTTTCTAAAAGGAATTGAACATGCTTGCATAGTTACAGCGATTATCTTATAACTAATAATGAAAATTTCTCAAGTTAAAAAAAAGAAAAATCCTATTTATTGTTTAAATTTTCCTCATTTGTAACTTATAGTCTTATCATTTGTCATTCCAAATTTATGCGAGTGTAGTATTAAGAATTGCTTTTAGAATGACGCGTCTTTACTGTAGATTCAAAATGATGATATAGATAAAAATTGAAGTGAACAGCCTGTCCTTTTTCATAGAAAAAACCTTGATGATTAGGCGATATTGCTTTAAAAGAAATATATTCTTTAATTAGCTAATTTGAGTAGGATATTATCGCTCATAAGACTTTTGAATTGCCTTTTTCTTCTTCTTTTTTTGAACTCTTTAGAAGTATTACTTCGTGTCCAGTGAGGTTTACAAAATCATCGTTTTATTTAGTGTTATGAAATTTCAATATTTATCAAACCGAGAATGATTGAACGAGTTACATATACTTATATTTAAGTATTATAGTACTGGATTTAAAGATGATATAACATCTAGATCACATCTTTGCGTATTTTGTTTTATTTATTGATACCTGTAGTTTTCGTTATCTACAAAAGCTTCACTAAGATCTCTCTGGACCTTCTAATGAAGAAAAATTCTCCTTTACGAGATACATATACTAGTTGAGGATGATCTTGAATATAGATATTTCTTACAGAAAATACCAGGAGATGATAAATAAGTCTACAAACGTTTTTGTAAGGTACGCATGTTTAAGAATCAAGTGTATCTGTGAAAAGGACAGTATATTTTACGTAATATCTACGGAACGCGTAAGTAATCTTTCAAACAATTGTTTTAAAACAATATACAAACTATATGTAAATATAAAAAGTGAGAAGCATTGATGTGAATAACATAATAACACCGAGATTTTCCACGCACTTTTTACCAATATCATAAAATTTTCGCTATGCACCTTTATAGTGGTACGTTCACTCACCTATTCATCAACAAATAAATAAGTGGGTGAATGCTCGCCAATGGATAAAGTTTCCAATTGAAGGTCCCAATTATTCATGAGCAATAAATAGAGAAAATATCTTTATATCTAGTGTTATTTAAAGAATGAGAGGGTGTGTTTTTAGGGTCTCCCAATCCTGCAGACTTCATTGAAATATAGAAGCCAGATATTTATCCAATTAGTTTACTATGTGACAGAACTAATCTACAAGCGCACTATACAAACTTGAAATAATTTTTCCAGCTATTTAAGGATGCTCATGATAACACATTACTAAATGACTCTATTAAGAATCAAGTTCAGACTTACAAGCAATAATTTTTCTAGAAACTAATATACAAATTTATTAAAATGAAACCCCCTAGTATATAATAAATAAAAATTGAGAAAAAATATTGTTTAACCACCGAAACCATACAAGGTTCTACCTTGTCTCTTCAAAGCATAGACGACATCCAAAGAAGTGACAGTCTTTCTCTTAGCATGTTCAGTATAAGTAACAGCATCTCTGATAACGTTTTCCAAGAAGGACTTCAAAACAACTCTGACTTCTTCGTAGATCAAAGCAGAAATACGCTTAACACCACCTCTTCTTGCCAATCTTCTGATAGCTGGCTTAGTGATACCTTGAATGTTATCTCTTAAAATCTTTCTGTGACGTTTAGCACCACCTTTACCAAGACCTTTACCACCTTTACCACGACCGGACATTGTTGATTATATTATTATTGTATTAAATTAAAATTTGTTGATAGGTAAAAATGTAGCAGGTAATGTAAATCAGTGGGAGCCGATCTGCTTAAGTAGTAGCTGTGCAAAAACCACAATGCGGCCTGTCCTGTTTTGGATAAGTGCTAGCGTTCCCGAACATACCCCAGAACACTCGTTCTGGGAACGCATTTATACCGTGCCGATACATGCCCCTTAGAATAACGTGCGTAAAATAATAGGCAGTACATAAGAAACAGCTTTTCCTGTTACACTTTAGGGTTTTCCATGAGTTAGTTATTTTAGTATCACTTATAAAATAAAATACATTCATAATGGCTAGAACTAAACAAACTGCTAGAAAGTCTACCGGTGGTAAGGCTCCAAGAAAACAATTGGCCTCCAAGGCTGCCAGAAAGTCCGCCCCATCTACTGGTGGTGTCAAGAAGCCTCACAGATATAAGCCAGGTACTGTTGCTTTGAGAGAAATTAGAAGATTCCAAAAGTCCACTGAATTGTTGATCAGAAAGTTGCCTTTCCAAAGATTGGTCAGAGAAATTGCACAAGATTTCAAGACTGACTTGAGATTCCAATCTTCTGCTATTGGTGCTTTGCAAGAATCCGTTGAAGCTTATTTGGTTTCCTTATTCGAAGACACTAACTTATGTGCCATTCATGCCAAAAGAGTTACTATCCAAAAGAAGGATATCCAATTGGCCAGAAGATTGAGAGGTGAAAGATCTTAGATCTATTATTTTTTGTTTCTTAGTTTTATTTATTTCATTAATAGGGGGTTAATATATTTGTACATTAGAAGTTTTATAGAAAATTGCATGTAAATATTTTAGTGGGATAAAAATATGATACACTGTTTATTTCTTTATTTGTTTCTATTTATATTTAATTAGTAAAAAAAAAGATTTTTTGTGTCCGCATAAATTCATTTGAACGCAAGCTCTTCAGGCAAAATGAAACTAACGCAAAACATATACTTTGAAGGTGCAACTTTTCTCACTAAATGGAACTTAAGATAGCTCTTTTCAAAAGTATGTTGCATGATTTCATTGATTCTTTTATGAACTCTGCCTTCTAAATCTTCAATAGTTGGTACTGGCACTTCATCTTGAGAGAACTTTTCAAAACAATAAACGTGAACATATGGTAATTTGAATTCCTTGTCCTTAATAAATTGCTTGTAAGTTTCATTTGAGTAAATACCAACGTAGTTGTCAAGGAATGTCAAGGCACTATCTGGTAAGTTCATAACGTAATGGCTAATGTATCTTGGCATCTCTAAGGTTTCAGTTGCAGTCTCAATTTTCTTTGAATCCTGTCCTCTTCTTTTCTTGCTTCTTGAGCCCAATTGATAAGTAATTTTTCCTTCCTTCTCATCATACCAATCCATTAATAATTGCGACGATTTCTTAATCATTTCAGCACCGTCGATATTAAAACATTTTACGAAATCAGTGGCTCTGTTTGATTTCGAATTGTGCACCAAATACTTGTAACTTTCTGGATTCAAGTCATTAGCCATAACCATTGTTTTATTTCTCCCTGCTGGAACAGCAAATGGCCCAACACCTGCCATAACATCGCAAACAACCTCACCTTTTTTGAAATAAGTTTCAATTAAACGATTATGTTCACCTTGCAATCTCGAGTTCCAATATACATTTTTGAAATTGAATTTAAATACACAACCCAGCTCAGATTGCTCAACATCAAATCTTTCTTCACCGGCAATAACTTCCATAGGGAAAGTTCTAAATTCAGTACCAATAGAACTAGTCTTATTCACCACAGTTTTGATTTTTGGATTCTTATCGATCACTGCCTGTCCAATAAGATGCTTATATGGCAAGTAGTTTTCCTTTAAATTGAAATGGGCAATATGGCCAACAATAGTGAAACTTGAAGGGATTTCTTCAAGCAAATCTTCTGGTAAAGTAGCAGTCAAGATCTCTTCTAATCTCCAGAAATCATAATTCAACTGCAATTCATATGGCTCAAGAACAGCTTCACTTTCCTTGAGGAAATTAACTGCCTCACTAGCCAAATTCTGTTGCACATTATCTGAGTTCAAATCAACAGAAGTGACTTTATCATTAAGTAAAACCACCTTTCTTTGAGGATTCGTAGGATCTTTGGCAATATTTGAAGTTCCTCTTAAATTCAAAAACTCGGATTTGTAAGCTTTTACAAAGCCCTGGAGACGTCTGCTGTCAGGGAAAAACACGGCGATAAGATCGACTTTCTTATGGAATAATTCTTTATTCAACGTCGTTCCATTTCTATGGATTGGAGGTAAATATTTCTCCGGTAATGTTGGAATGTAGGCAGTTGACATGGTCCGCGTTCTTGAGTAAAAATGTATAGGAAAACGTATCGAAGCTTTGCGAATAAAATTCATAGGCAATACAAAAAAAAAGAAGGTACTAGAGGTAAACCTCTATAAAAATTTAATAGTTTGCTGCTATTTGGCTTGATTTCTCCGATGATTAAATCTTGATTTATGGTGAGGAGGAAAAATAAAAAATTTCGGCTGTTTGCACAAAGAGCCCTGGTGCTCTGCTCTTCAAAAAAATTTCAGAAGAAGAGCAGATGAACAAAATTATAGACTGCTCGAAATCAAAGAAACATTCAAAAAACAAAGTGTAGTACAAAAAATGGAAATAATAACTATCTCAAAATTTAATAATAATAAAGGCCTCAATGATGAAGATGAGGAGATGGAAGATGTCTCAAATAACGATCAAATAGTTACCCCTGGTGAGTTGATCACTGAAGACACAGTATGGATGAGAGGTCATGGTACATTTGCCTTAGGAAACAAAACCTACTCTTCTGTAGCAGGAACTATTCTTAAAGTGAACAAGTTACTTAGTGTTAAACCATTAAAGGGAAGATACACACCGGAAACTGGTGATCATATCATTGGAAGAGTAATTGAAGTGGGTAACAGACGATGGAAAGTGGATATTGGTGCTAGGTCTGATGCTGTTCTATTGTTGGGATCAGTGAATTTGCCTGGTGGGATTCTTAGACGTAAGTCCGACACTGATGAGTTAACTATGAGAAACATGTTGAAAGAAGGGGATTTGCTTAATTGTGAAGTTCAATCATTATTTCAGGATGGTAGCGCATCATTACATACAAGATCTCTAAAATACGGGAAACTCAAGAACGGTATCTTCTTATCTGTTCCAAGATCTTTAATTATAAGGAGTAAAAATCATAGTTTTGTTTTACAGGGTAATGTTAGCATAATATTGGGTGTGAACGGGTATATATGGATTTACAAAACCCCAACCGTGGATAATAGACTCAAGACAGATAGTACGGCTTCAACGGCAAGCAAGTTGCAATCTGGAGTAATGGGAAGACAATCAGGTTATCAAGTCGGCTCGGGATCTGTCTCTTTGACAAGGTTAGAAGAAGAATCCTCATGGGAAATTTACTCCGATAAAAATGACGAAAACATCAGTGACGCTATTAGGTCAAATATTATCAGATATCGTAATGCTATACAGGCTCTTGCTCATAGTCAAATTGGAATCAATGAATCAAGAATCAATATGGCATATGAAGCCAGTATGGCGTATGGAAGTTTAGGGAGCTTAACAGAGCCCGAAGTGATGGAAAATATTAGTAATGATGTTTTGAATGGTGAAAAAATGCGTGGATCCTAATTCTTTCTTTAACAATATACAAACACGTACTTTAACTTGAAGCTCCTTTTTTTTTTTTTTTTCCATTTTTACTATTACTTGTGTAGATTACTTGGGCGGTAAAGTTACTACAGTGTTTTCATTTATAGTCCATGCAGACCCCAGTTTTGCTATACTTGTACGATATCACAACGTATACTAGTGTACATGAATAAATCAAAACCTTAAATTTTAATCCAGGGAAAGAACCAAGTAAAACTTTGTTTGTGAAAGCCATTCGTGTAAACTTCAACTCAAGATTGCAGTTGGTAAAGAATTTCAGATTCTAATGCTGTTTAATTTGAGGACCTAGCCAGAAAGGTTACTTACTCAAATTACCTTTTATTGCCACTACTCGAACCTAAAACCACTTTTCCTGTGAATTAGCTTTCGATAAAGCAAAGAATTTTAGGCAAAAGTGGTGAATTATTTTTTATGAGCTTGAATGCTAGGAAAGAATTGGAAAATCAACTATTGAAAGGGCAAAACGACAACTTGCACTACTTAGTTTAACTGGAATTAACAAGTTTGTTAAAAAGAGGACTTGAGAAATTTTAAAGAGTTGAGCAAAAAGTTAGAACGACGCAATAGTTATCATTGATTTTAAAATTTCTTTTCTGATTATTACCAGTACCGTAATGCAAATTCTTCTTATGGGAAGTCTCAGTATTATGCTGTCTACAGTCTATTGTTAGTATCATGTTGTTTGCACCTCTGGCGCTATATTTCTTACGCGATTTCTTTTCTTGGGAGAGTCTGTAATAATATTTAAATTTACTTATCAGTTGGCAGCTCCAATTCTTTCCCATATTCCAAGATGATTTCTAATCCAATATACAAATATTAATACCCTTTGAATGAAGATATTCACAATAATAATATAAAGAAACGATGTCTACTCCATCGTATAGTGTGTAATAATCTTCAAGATTTACAGTGCATTATTTGGTCACATGATTTTTATGAATTTTTTATTTTTTTTTTTTTTTTTTCTTTCACAAAATCTTCATCAACACCATCAGGTCATTGGAAACAAGGTAAACTAGATAGACAAATAATCAATTGATTATGTTTGGTTCATCTGCATCAAAGCCTGCTTTTGGGTTCAATACATCTAACAATTCTGGTAATCAAAATGGAGGTGGATTGTTCGGAAATAATAACAACAATTTGAGTACCCCTAGTAAACCCGCTACTGGAGGATTGTTTGGAGGATCAAATAATACCAACTCAACGGGTGGTCTTTTTGGAAACAACAACAACAACAACACTAATACTAACTCTGGGGGCGTATTTGGTAATAACAATAATAATAACAATAACAATGCTAACACCAGTTCTGGCGGATTATTCGGAAACAACAATAATAACAACACTGGTGGATTATTTGGAAATAATAATAACAATACTGCCAATACTAGCTCTGGAGGGTTATTTGGCAACAACAACAATAATAATACTAATACTAGTTCTGGTGGATTATTTGGAAATAATAATAAAAATACTGCTAATACTAGTTCTGGCGGATTATTTGGAAATAATAACAATAACAATGCTAATACTAGTTCTGGCGGATTATTTGGAAATAATAACAATAACAATGCTAATACTAGTTCTGGCGGATTATTTGGAAATAATAACAATAACAATGCTAACACTAGTTCCGGAGGGTTATTTGGTAACAACAACAATAATAACGCCAATAACTCAACAGGCGGTCTTTTTGGAAACAAATCGGCGACTAATACCAGTTCTGGTGGTCTCTTTGGAAATGGCACTAATACCGCTGGCAATACCAGTGGCGGTCTTTTTGGAAACAAGCCAGCTGCCACAGGTACCACAGGTGGTCTTTTTGGTAATAACAATGCTAATGCTAATGCGACAAATACTTCAAGTGGAGGTCTTTTTGGCAACAAGCCAGCGACTACTGGAGGTCTTTTTGGAAATAAACCTACAACCAGCACAACAACTGGCGGAGGTCTTTTTGGAAACAAGAATAGCGGTAGTCTCTTTGGTGGTAATAATAATACATCCAGCTCCGGTGGATTGTTTGGAAGTAATAATAGTAATACTACCAATACTGGTTCTTTATTTGGTGGTCAACAACAACAGGGTACTCAGCAACCAGCCATTCCTATAACTTTGATGACTCGTGTGGCAGAATTGCCTCAAGACTATCAGCTTCAATTAAAACAATTAAATGATTACATCAACACGCAGGTTCAGATATGCGAAACATTAAAACTTGAACAAGCAAAACATGAAGAATTGGTTAATTCTATCCCAAAAGACATTAATTACTTGACCGTGAATTACCAAAAGGTTAACAGTAGTTTATTGAACGATGTCAAGAACTTGGAAGGATTAAAACAAGAAACAAATGAGTTGATTAAAATAAGTAAACATTTCACTTTGCTAATTAATTACTTTACCGAGGGTGGCGCTTCCTCTGATGCTTCTAAGAGTACCAAAAATGGTGCTGTGACCAAAGATCCGTCAGAGCCTGTATTACCAGAAATTTCAGAAAAAGACTCCCCGTTAGGTTCCTTAAATGATTTATTGAATAATACAAATATATCTTCTTCGGTCATTGATTTTTCTTCATTAACCCCAAACATGAAGAAAGATTCTTCATCAATAATATCCTCCAATTATTTGTTGACTTTCTTCCAAACGAAACTAATCGAGTTCAACCTGAAATTCATGGAATTGAACTCTTTGGTGAATGACATCGAGTCATCTTTGAATGAAACTGAGAAATCTTCGAGCGATTTATTACTATCTTATGGATTCTTACCTACAAGCACTACTAAGAGTGATTCCAAAGACACTGTGGGCAATGATCTTGAAAGCCTCATTAACAACAAAATGAAGCATTTGGTGGATAGTATCAACGAGGAGTTTTATTTGTTTATGGATATCAGCAACAAATTGGCTGAATTACATTATGAAATTAAGGAATTTAGTTAAATTTACTATTTTTTTTTTATTTTTATAGATTATGAACATTGCGTTCGCAGGCGAGTTTGTCATGAGGCTAAATCTGCTTGTAAGATCGGATATGGGGAAATGGCATCATTGGAAACATAAAAGTTAGCTCTACCAACCAATTTACTTTCACCAATCGAACCAAAATTATTGACTAATGGGAATTTTGCACATTAGCCAAAAAGGGTAGGAAATGTTCAATCAAAAAAGTCATCATCATCTTCATCATCGTCATCATTCAGAATATTTGTCTTCATCTTGTCTTTGGACACTGAATAGATATTGATAGCTTTTTTCTGCAAAGCTCTTGTATTGTATAAGTAATTTTCTAAAAGTGAAATATCCAAATCTCCTGTTCTTTCATCATATTTTAGTCCCTGTAATCCGACCAATCTACCAGTTTCAACACCTTTCACGTAAGTTATTACGCACGGTAAAACATCGATCTTTAGTTTTGTTACAAGAAATGGACATTTTGTTGCGGAAATGAAAACGAATTTCGTGCCGGGGTTTTTTGAGGCGAGAATTTCGAGCTTCGAGTTAAGAAGAGAACAAGTGCGGAAATGTGCTTGATAGAAATGTATTACAATGGCTGGGGTAGTTGATGAAAGTCTCATTAGTTGACCTTCGTCGTGGATCTCAACTAACATTCCAGTATCCGGGTCTTCTCTAAGGTTCTTTCTTGTTTCCTTAAGGTCAGTGGAAAGCTGTTCAAGTCTCTTAGCCCTATAATTATCAATAAACCCATCATTGCCATTTTCGATCTCATCCTCCAACTGCTGAAGAATTTCCGAATCACTGAGATCTGAGTCTGGATCAATGTTCTGCGAGTTGAGTTTGCGGCCAATTAACTCATCTTGATATTTTTCTAATAATTCTAAACCTTTATCACCCATTCTTCTATCTAATAATATATTCTATTGGTACTAAGTGAGGCTTCCTTAATCCTGGATCCATCAAGTTTTTGATGACAGACAAAAAAATTTCCACCCAAATCTTCCTTTATGTCACCAAGGGGCTTCTAACACACATCACGTAGTGATCTACAAATTGTTGAGATGCTCTTGCCAAATAAATATGACACTACCAGATAATTAGCACCAAATATTTATTTATCACTGCAGTTATATTAATACCGTTAGGCACAAGTTTCAATCGTTGTGGCAGCTGTTTCCCCCATTTCTGTCTACTAATTCCAACAGTGCTGCGTAACTAAAAAAATAATGATGCGACCCAAAAAGGTCAAACCAAAACAAACAAAGCAAAATAAACACACAGAAAAAAAAAATAGGAAAAAATCAGGCTTCTTTATTCCAAAGGCTACCACATTGGGTTGTTCAGATCATCACATACTTTATTAAAATAAAATAACGCACATGTCAGAACTATCGCCCATTCCTCTTGATAAGGTCAAAAAGCAATTTTTGGCGTATACTGACTTCCCTAGAAGTCCTCTTCGATCTCCGGCATTCAAGAAGCACGAATCAAGTAAGGCATCACCGCAATTAAAATACTCACCAGCAAGGTCCAACATTGGTTCTGGTTCTAATGCTCTTCATACCTTAAGTGGAAATGCTACTCTCTCACGGGATAGTGATAATCAAATCAGAAAATCGCCATTTTACAAGTTGAGTGCCAATGATTCCAAAGCATCGCTTAACATGGATAACGAAAAACAGGTGTTGGAAATGGCAGGCTATAGTCAGAAACTTAGTACCTCGGTGCTTGATGAATTAACGAAAAAGGCTGAGAAATTTTCCAATGATATCGCCAATGGCGCGGGCTTAGATGATATCGAGAATAGATCCAATGAAAAACAATTGCAGAATATGAGCCCAGTACAGAGAAGATTCAACGCCATCCATCAGAAGCAATTCAATAAGATGGAATCAATAACCAATCATTATAGTGCTATTAGAAGAAGAAAACAGCTTCAAGAAGGCAGCACCAGTGATTCAGTTTTCAGATCAAAGGAAAAGAGAAAAATGTCACCCGAGCCAATGCCTAGAAAAGAAATTGAAAAAGAGAAACCAGAAGAACTAGCCGAACAGAAAAATATAGTGATTCCAGTTGATACTGCTTTAGTCGCAAGCCCAGCAGGAGTTACGGAAAAAGCCCATGAAGATGGCGGTGTCAGAACTCCTGTAAAGCAAGTCAAACGTTCATCCAATATTGATCTTGGTAGTGCTCTGAAGAGAAGAAGAACCCTTATAGGTCCACGAGAAGTTCCCGAGAGCTTCAAATCCCCAAAACATCAAACCGAGATTAATATTGATTTAAAATCTAACAATAATGAAAATAAGATCATATCAGATAGCGATTGCTATGAGAATTCGCTCGAGATGGCAGAAAGAGAAGTCCAAGATATTTTGGGTGAAGCTTTAGAAAAGCCTGCAATGAATCTTAAATCTGAACTTGCTGCTATGAATCAACTCGCTAGTGATAAGGAGATGAGGGAATTGGAAATGAAACATTATTTAGAAGATGATAAACCAATAGAGCCATTGAGAATAGCACCCAGATCATCGATGCTAAACGAGCCACCATCAAAACCGGAAGTAACTGAAATTGAGCTTTCAATGAGACTCGACAAAATGGATCAAACAGTTGATTTTTCCATGCTTAGGCGTTTCAATGATGCTGACATAAATAGTGATCACGATGATTCATTACTTGATACCCTGATGACCAAAGAAGATGATTTCAAAAAAAAAATTATTCCAGAGCAAAATATTACTGATAATTTGAACAGGAATACTACTAAAAATGCTAGAATGCATGGTCCTATGAAGAAGCCGGTATTGAATCCAAATTCGAGAATACTTGGAGGGTCTAGACCTGTTAAGAAATTTGAAACTCACAAACAGCCACCTCAGCCTCACGCTCGCTTTAGCGCTTCAAAATCTTTGAGCAAAGCCAGGGTTTTAAGTAATTCTAACAATTCTACCAGCAGTTCAAGATCTGCAAGTGGTAGTGACAGTGTATTCAGCTCGCGGCAATTCAGTGGATCATCAGCTAGCAGCTCTGGGAGTACCAATTCCATGCATAATCAGGGCTTCGCTAAACCACTTAGTCGTGCAAGCACTAAATCTTATGGTAATCTACGGACTGCTGAAAAACCAAGAACTGTTCAGAATACCCTCAAACCAGCAAGAAGTATTGGAAATCTCAAAAACACAGTGAAGCAGACAGGGAAATCAAACCCAACAAGAAGTGCTAGTACCAAAACTATGGATTTAGATCAATGCGAACCCAAATTGACGAAAAAATCATCCATTCCAAGATTTCGTCAACCAACAGTTGCATCATTGAGCAGACAATCTTCCAAAACAAGCCTAAATGGCTACTTGACAAAATCAGATTCTAGCACCAACTTCACCAAACCAACTATCAAGCCATCATCTTCAAGTTCCAGCTTCACCAAACAAAATATCAAACAATCAACTTCCAGTTCCAGCTTCGCCAAACCAACTATCAAATCATCGACTTCTAATTCAAGTATAACTTCCAGTAAGCCAAGCGCAACTAAACTGGTTATGCGGGCCAGATCAATAAATCAATTATATGCCGGAAAACCTACAACTAATAACAGCAGAATGAATATTGCGAATTACGGTAGCGGTGCTAAAAATGTTGGTTATAAGTCATGACTCATTTCCCTTTTTCTCGTGATTCCCTCTTGTATGCCCTTTCTTTTCTTTGTCTTTTTTCGTCATTTTATACCTTACACATTATTTCAATTTATTTCGTCTTTTTTCTTCTACTATTTAAATTTGCAGATTTGGTCTTTTTTTTTTATTTTTTTTACTGAAGGATAGTATATTTATCATCGGTTTCAAGACTCCAGATTGCTTTAGGTTAGTGGTATTAGGTTATTATATATTTGGTTCTTCAAATACGTATATTAGAGCTTATTTTCTCAGATATAATTGTACATTTTTAAGTCCTATTTCTATTAAAAGGTTCTGTGAAGTTGATTTGTACAGCTCCTGAGGGATTTTATGCCAACAAGTTATCCTAGGAATTACCACAGGAACAAACAAAAAAAGTAAACAATTGACTAAATAAAATCAATATAAGGTATTATTTCCTTGGATATAATAGATAATAGGAACACAAAAATTTGTAGCATATTGTTTAATTGTGGCATGTGTAGAAATATAAGAGTGCGATTAGACTCGATGGGCATCTCAAAAAAAAAAAAAAAAAAAAAATTGAAAATTTTTTTTCTCTTTCTAAAACATCCTAAAATAGTAGTTGGTAGGCAGATCCAAGGTAACAGGAAATACAACGGCAAAATGGGGAAGTCATCTAAGGCAACAAAGAAGTTTCAAGCTAAGCATCTTAAGAAAACTTTAGATCACAGAAAAGAGGTCAAGAAACATAAGCAGCTTTTGGCAAAACACAAGAAAGGAAAGGGAATCAGTTACAACAAGAGTGGTTCAGAAGGCCAAGTCGCTACCAAGCAATCTGAATCTGAAAAAGAAAAAGAAAATCCATTTAACGTGGAAACTGATAGTGAAGATGAAAAGGAAGATTATGGGGTAATTGACAAAAAGGGAAAGAAGTCAATTGATGCCGAAGAAAAAGAGGAAGAAGAAGATGATGACATTTTTGATGAATTAGATGAAATGGCCAATGATAATGTTGATGAAGATTATGGTGAAATGGACGAAGAAATGGGTAATGATTTGCAAGAGGAGAAACCAAGCAAAGCTAAAAAAAACAAAAAGGAGGCTGATGAATTTGATGGTGAAGAAAATGAAGATGGGAAAATTGAGGTCACAATGGAGCTCGTGAAGAAATGGGAATCCCAATTAGAAGAAGGACCATCATTGAAATTGATCAGAAACATTACCCAAGCCTTCAAAGCTGCTGTCAATGTCAATGAAAATACCGAAGCCACCATTTCTTCAGTTTACAAATACTTTGTTACCAGAGAAATTGTTTTTAACAAGTTATTATTTTTGACTTTGAAGAAGTTGCCAGTGGCCATTCAGAAATTATTTCCTTTAAAGACTAAGTTCAACAAAGAGAACAATATTCAAGTTCGTGTTATTAAAGCTGAGGGAAGCAACAAAATAAAACAATTATCTGCTGTTCTTAAACAGCACGCTTTCACCTTAATTACATTATTGAGCGATATTACCAGAAGTAACTTGAACTTGAAGTTCATTTTATTAACACTTTCTTCAATTTACGATATATTCCCATACTTATTATCATTCAGAACCTTGATGAAAAAATTGTTGGCTTCAATGGTGAACTTGTGGTCCAGTTTGATTTTGACCTCGAACAAAAATAAAGATGAGGAAGGAGAAGAGGAATCAAAAGTGAACATCGATTCATTTTTGGACATCAATGTGTTGGCTTTCTCTGTTATTTTGAACTTATCAAAAGAATATTCTAGCAACATCTTAGAAACCATCATCAATTTGAGTTATGAATCTTTTTTGAAAAGATCATTGACTCTTCCATCATCCATTTCCTTAGATAGCTCTGAAACTGATTTGGTTACCCATAAGAAATTCAGATTGATCGAATTTTTGAAAACTGGTTTGTCTAGTTTGTTCAACATTGATGTTAACTTGAGTTATCAGGTTGCCTTCAAATATATCAGAAAATTGTCCATTCACTTGAGAAATTTCTTGAAAAACAATTCGAACATTAAGAGTGAAAATGATAACACTAAAAACTTGAAATTGATCTATAATTGGCAGTTTGTTCAATCTGTTGATTTTTGGATTACTTTCTTGGCTGACGCATGTGCTGCTGCCACTGCCAACAATAAGAAAATATCTTTGCAAGAATTAGTTTATCCAGCCGTCCAGATTGCAATTGGTACCATGAAACTTAACTCTAACCCAATCTACTTCCCATTAAAATTTTATTTGCTCAAATCCTTAACATCATTATCGGAATCAACTTCGACTTATGTTCCTTTGCTCAATATCTACATTGAAATGTTGAACTCAAGTATTTTCAATAAAAACTTCACCACTAAAAAGGACAAGAAGTCGGCTGCCACAATCATTCAAAGTGGTGCTTATATGAACACTCAAGGGATAAAGGTTTCTAAGAGTTCTGTCCACACTTCAGAATATCAATTGTACTTGATTAACAACTTCTTGAATAGCTTACAAAGTTACTTGATGGTCTACGTCAACAGCTTGGCTTTCCCAGAGTTCTCTTTTATAATTGCCAAGAGATTGAAACAATTTACCAAGAAGCAATCATCAAGCTCCACCCACAAAAAGAATAAGTTCATGATCTATTTTGTTAAAGAAACAAATAACTTGGTTAGCAAAATCAATGAGAACGGTAAATTTATTAGCGTGAACAGAAGCCAACTCAAATCATTTGATCCAATTCAACAAACCAAGCTTACTAGCGTTGAAGTGACCGAATTGCCTCTCTACAAGTTCTTGATGGCCAAGCAAGAAATTTTGGATTCCAGCAGAAAGTTGCACAGTGATTTGTTGGTTAACGAACAGTTGAATGAGAATAGCGGCTCAAACGATAGAAAGAAGATTCAAGAAAACGCTAGTGAAGAGTATTTCAAAAGCACTAAAAAGCACAAGGGCTCTAAGGCGAGGAAACATGAAGAAGAGGATGTTGAAATGAGTAGTGACGACGATCAAAGCAGCTCTACTGGAAGCATCTGAGCGCTCTTTTTAATTTTTTTTCAATTTTTTTTTTATTTTCTTTTTTGTTATGCGCCATACTTTTTATTATGTAATTTAGATTTTATATACTTTAGTGAACTGAAAATACTTCTTTTTTTTTTCTAGTTTTTGCTCCTGGATTTTATCATGTAGTTCTGTCATTTTTAATTTATTTTCAACTCTGAGAGAGATAAAGAGGGAGAAAAATCAAACTGCTATTTGAGATATAGAAAGAATATAAACAATATAAGTTATAAAGAACTTGTCCGAGGAGGTATACTCGCTAGCATTCTGTTAATATGATAAAAGCTTGTAACTTGAAAGAAATTCCCTCGTACTGGCGTATAAAATTAGCAATGTTACTTATTGTTTAGAATTCTCGGACCAGAAAAAGCAAACAAACTAACAATTAACCAATTTCACTGTAAATTACACAGTTATATAGAAATAACTGAACAATAGATAGATAACCAACAATTGAGTAGTAAAATTTACCCAAAAACCTCTCAGATCTCTAGGCTTTAAACCCTTCCCCAGGGTTATTCTTTCCAAATCATAGCCGTCCTCATAAAATTTTAGACTTTCTGGCGAAAATGGAGTATTCAAGTCATCTTCATATTTCTTATCTGTATATATGCCACCCATTGATGAATACTTCGAAATCAAACTTTTTGGCAATAGATGTTTAAAGCATTTATATAGTGCCAATTGTATTTTGATGAAAGTACTAGGACAAATGCTGACCAATACCCAGTGAATTATAGTCACCAACAACAAAAAGCCATATGAATATAAAGTCACAAATGGTGCATAAGGATAACAAATTTCTGTTTGATATGTCTGGGAAACCGGCCTGTCAAGGGGGTTATATAATGAGAGCAACTGAGCAGCTGGATACCGCACACCCATATTCATCGAGAAAGACTTCACTGTAATTTCCCTGGTTTGTTTGTTGGAAGTATCAGCCCCTGCTCGTTTTTTGTTAACTATATACATGTGGTCAATCTCGCAATAATCATGGTCATCACCAGAAAAGATGATTTCTGGTTGCAATTTGTTGAGCAATTCATTTGATAAATCAGGAAATAATACTGTTTGAAAAGTACCACCATTCACCAAAGGAAATGGCTTTTTGTTTTCTCTTGGGCCTCTGCATGGCTGTTGTGCTGGATCTCTGAAGAATGGAACGTGTGTCAATAAAACTCTGGGGAACAAATTTTGATTTTTTGAGACCTGTATGCTGTCCAACTCTGGCAAAAAGCTCTCTGTTAAATTATTGAGATAGTATCTAGCCTCTTCTACTATTGAAGAGTCATTATTATTGGTGGCAGATAATGCAATAGTGTCAAGAAATAAGAAAGTATGATTACCAATATTCTGATAGTCATTACTATCACCAAATATCACTTTAAATCTATCAAGAATGGTTCTATTCATAGTTTTATCCCAACCAGCATCATGGTTTCCCAAGATATTATAATAAAACTTTCTGTTTGGATAACTTGGGAACATTCTGTTGAACCTCTTCCATTCATCATACCACTTCTTGTCATCATGCCATTCTCTTCCTCCATCAAACAAATCTCCCAAAAATATTGTAGAATGTGGACGTAATTTTTCTTGCATATGTTTGTAATTTATTGACATGTAATTATCTGATATTTTCTTTGTAATGTATTGGATCCACCGAGGTCTTGATGGATAGGTGTGATCGTCAACAATTTGTGGATCAGCAATTAATAAAACTCTATGGGGCTCAGCATCAGTGCCAAAATGTTCCCACTTTGACCACTCGCATTCGTCTATTGCATGTCCTGGTTTGATTCTTTGGAAATAAAAAAGTGTTATAAGCCATAAGAAAGACACTAGCATCAAATGACCAAGCTTAATAGAACTTATATATCTGGAGAGCTTGGTTGATCTTCTTGGTCTGAAAGTGGAGTTGTTATAATGGATATCATCAACATTCTTATGAATTCCAGAATCATATATGGATGTGGGTACATTTATACCTCTTTTCCTTAAAGGTTGAGACATTTGTTATCCTTTTTTTCTGTTTACTATAATGTTGCAGTAACAAATACTGGGTTCTAATGTTAACAATAATTTATTTATTCTGATTTTCCCTCTGGATAGGTGTGCGGATGTCACTCACTGGGGTTACGGATGTATCTCACTCTTTGGCGTAAACTGCCTAATGAATATAGCAAGAATGTTCCTTGATTAGCATAAATTATCTCAAAGTCAATTATTAATTAAAAACTGCTGAATATCAATTATTCTTCAACGTCATATAGGTACCTCTAAAGGTTCATTTTTCCAGAGAGGGTTACACGGGGTGGGATGTCCCCTGTTTTTGCTGAATATTTTTTTTTTTTGTGTTTTGAGAAAAAAAAGATTCTAAAGGATGGGAGACAGAGAGAAAGCGAGACGGTGCTTTAGCTTGTCTACTCATCAAGTCATATTATTAAAACACTATTACTGGAAGAAGGAATATGCCTGATCTTCATTGGGATACAACAACATTTCTCAGCCTTTACTCTGCTATCCAAGAAGGTGAGGAAGCTCTAGAACTCTTGCGATTGGTGAAAGATGATTTGTTGAACTTGTTAGTAGTCAAAGGTCCAAACACAATAAGCAGAAAAGCCCTTGAATCAAGGAAAATTACATCAACAACAAATGGCCAAAAATATGAGTTGAATGATGATTTTGTTCTTTCATCCATTGAGCTATCAAGTGAATTCAAAATTGATGAACTAGTCGCGGCAGAACTATTATTGAATGCGAAAGGCTATCAAGAGGATCAGAATTTAACAACAAGTATACTAGATACCGCTAGAATAGCTTACTACAAGCGCATTGAGACAATTCTATACATTTTGAATTATTACATTAATACAGGTTCTCTTGATGAATTGAAATATTTATTTGGTGATGATTTAAAGGTTAAGAGAATCTTGCAGGATAATATCTTGAAATCATTTGCACAGATAGAGGCAGAGTTGGACAGCATTCACGAATCCAGAAAAGAATTGAAGATCCTTCAGCCAACTTTTATTCCAACAGTAGATTTCAAGACTAAGGTGAACTTCAGAAGAAGCAATTTATTTAAATTCCATCAATTATTGGGCCAAATTTTCTACTCCATATCTTCTAGCCCAGTTAACTTTATAGAAGCTGGATCAAACGAGTTTTTCAAAAATTGCTTGCAAAATTTTACTCAAAACTTGATGTCAGATGATTCTTTCTTATTGAATTACCTTCCTGGTCTTTATAATTATGTGATCACAATTACTAAAAAGCAGAAGTACAATAATAATGTGATTGAATTATTTGAATTCTTTAGTTCTCAACTCACCTCAAAGAATATTGAAGCTACGTTGTTGAAGAATCCTGCGAAATCATCTATTGTTTTTTTCTTTTATTGCTTCATGTCTGAATGGTTACAAGGAGAATGGTTTTCTCCATCCGAACAACAATCAAACTTTGATAAATACTTTGATAATATCCAATTGTCAATATTAAAGTTGATAAAAATTGGATCCTTTGAGCAATTGATGGTCATTGCAGGAGAAATTTTTTCGTCCACCATATCTTCCGCTGTTTCTAACCACTCACAATTTTATGATATGCAGTTACTTTTACAAAAGCATATTCCAAAACTCATTCCGAAGAGGTTGTTAGATATTGACGAAGAAAAGACTAAACAATTACACGAATTGATAAATAGCTCAAGAAGCAATAATTTACTTCACTCTGATCATACCAGCGCTGAATATCCTAAGATTTATTTGGAGTCGCTGCTAAGCCTTCAATATGATAGTAATTTGAAGCTAATCTTTCATTCTATTTTTGACGACTTGTTAAAATTGTTTTTAAATAACTTTTCGAACATTTTGATCAGAATTTGTGATGCGGAAGAAGATTTCTATTTGACAAACATTAGGAATTCCAACAATAATGTCTCAATGACCATTGATGATTTGGCGGAACAAGCTGATTTGGAAAGATTTTACATGATAATGTTTTATAATTTTTCTAACAGAAAAACTCCAATCTTTGATAGATTGAATGATGACAGTGTGGATACTGATGAATCAAATTTCATAGAATTTCTCGAATGGGGGCTTTCTAAAACAACAAATACTTTGATAAAATCCTGTTTTACCATGTTGTTAAGTGGTTTAGCGGAAGGCGAAGGATCGGGGGTACAAATCTACGAATTGATGAGTGATTCTGTCACAGCAGCGAACGGTGGAAATATCGAAGATGGAGGTGTTGGCTCAAAGCTATTGTTATTGGATGGTGGTATTTCTTCTTTGGGAGGATCGAAGAGATCATCTTCCAATGTCCTGAGTGGTTCAAATAATAGTGATACTAAGCTATCGTGGAGCACAATTTTCAAGAAATTAAAAGATCACAATGAAGATTTTAAAAAGAAATACGAAGAATTTGTGAGCAAGTTTCAGAATTCCTACAATGAATTATTCTTGCCATCATCATCATTGAACAGTATCTTTCCTGGGAAAAGCCAGGTTACTGTTGGCTTAAATGCCTCCTCAAATACAAATGACCATAAAAAAGAAAAGAAGGATCTTAAATTGGAAGATTTAGAGTTGTCCGAAGAAGAATTGATAGAGTTATCCTCATACTTCAAGTTAATTTATTCAACTACATTGAGCAACCCAGGAGCGCAAAATCTATTTTATGAAAAGAACAGTTTTGAATTATTGGATATCCTATTCGAGTTCTTGAACAACTTGACTAACGTTGCATCATTAAAAAATACTTTTTCATCTGGAGAAATGTCTCGCTCATCTCAAAAGGCATCTGATGATAAAAATAGTGAATTAAAGGGTGAGTCATTTCTAATTGGATTAATTTTGAGCGTCATTAAAGCTTTGGTGCCGACTAGCAACCTTAACCATAACACAATGAAAATCAAACAGAAAATCTGGAACAAGTTGGACGAATGGTTATTCACTAATAAATTATGTGGTGTCAGTAACAGGAATATCAGAAACCCTTCATTTAAGAATTTTTTCAACAGTATCTTTTTGGAATTTAGCGATGTTTTTGGCTTCTTGAGTTTATTTGAAGTTTTGATTTGTGTCGGTGCAGAAGTAAATGATAACGCTGATGAATTCTATGTAGGAAATAATGTTGATGGCCAGAAGTTCCCCTTGCCATATCCTGTGAATTTGGGAGTAAATTACAGAAAAAGTGGAGTATGGCCATATATGGATTATTTCTTGAATGACATCTTCACCTATTTGACTTCTGAAAATTTTGATACTCATAGAAAAAATGCTTTATTAAAGATAATTTTGAATATTATGCTTGCTTGTTTCAAGTATTTCAATCCAATGTTGATCTTGCTGTTGAGTGCTGCAAATCTTGATAACGATTCTTTGAATTCTATTGTTGAAAGTGATGGTGATTTTGTACAATATTTGAGAGAGAATCCTGCAACAATAGTTATGAATTACTGTTACACCGACAAAGTGAGAGATATCTTATTTAATTGTGTTTCAATCGGTAATGATGAAATATCTGATAAGAGCGCCTCTGATTTGAACGTTCAAATCGTGAAACTAAGTTTGGGCATTCTTTATAGAATATTGAAGTTTGAAAATACTTACATTGATATTATTGTTCCTGCAATCACCCGGGAGGTATTGAATTCTCAAACGAAAACTCTTAGTGGGTCTGCTGTTACTGATATCAGATCTTTATTTTTCTTACCAGGAGATGTTGGAACACATGGTTTAAAAACTTTTTATAATGCTTTGTCTTTCAATTTGCCAAGTATTGGACATCTTGGATTATACGTCGGCTCTAATTTTTTTGAAATTTCATCAACTAGTATTGAATTATTGAATCAAATTTCAAAGTCAAGTCAATTTTTGGTTCCAAACAGTCTTGCATCAAATAATTTACCATTAATAAAGAGAAACAGGTTACTAACTATTTTTGAAACCATTGATGAATCCGCAAGAATTAGAATGGCGTTCGTGGACCAGTTTGAATCATCTTATACAGAAGTGGAAAACAACAAGTACAACGATTATTCTGAAAATTCAATTGATCGAAACCTAGAATTGAAGATTAAACTATTGAACTTCCTTGTGGAGGCTTTGCAGGAGTCAGGTAATGAAATGACTGTTGCACATTACTTATTGGGCTTTGAAGTTTCCTACCAAAAAAGAATTTCTTTGGGTTCCTTTAAATCGATTGGGGCAATTGGATCATCAAGATCTTTATTAGGCTCATTATTGACCTTCTTTGAGAATTGCCTTGAACAAAATGCCGAAAACTCAGAAAACATGAGTTATCCAGCAATAAGATTCGCTTCATTAATTTTGAAGATTATCTTACAACTATGCAAAAGACCATTGACTTCTTCATTGATCCTCGTTTTGTTGGATATGAAATATAATTTCTATGAAAAGCTTTTGAACTTTGAATTGCTTGTCGGATTAGATTCCACAAGATTTGATGGCCAATTGTTTGATAGTGACTTTAAGAATCTTGATAATAAATTTGTGGTTAACTCAGCTGCTATTGGGTGCTTGTTGTCGTTCTACCAAAGTAGAGGTGAGTTGTTGCAATATTTGTGTCTTGAATTAAACCGGATTTCAAACAATACAGCGGGATCACTAATGAAGCTTGATAATGTGATTAAGATGTTGATCGCAAGCAGTGATGGCTCTCCTAAGGTCTTGTCATTTTTAGACACTCTTGAGCTTAATATCAAGACTACTTCTGCCGTAAATGATATTTCCAATGGGGTGAAATTCTTTGATAATTTGAACTTGAAGTATATTTTCCTGGATAGAGGCATACCAAGAGCTGATTGGTGCTTACATGGTACACAATATAAAAATGAGTCATTCAGCTCAATTTATAATTTGGACACTCTAGAATTCATCTTGAATTTGAAGCTCAAGAAGATGACCCGTGATGGTGTTTATACTAGCGATAAAACTTTGGTAGATAAGACCTTGGAAGCTAAATATATAAAGGAACTTCAAGCGGAAAAAGAGAAGGCTAATCAAGAAAAGCCTGCAGCCGCTAACAAGCCTCTGTTCGGTTATAGTATGGCTGCTAACACTAATATCACTCTGAATAACTTGCCATCAGCTTTTAGTAAGGAGTCTCCACTGTTCTCTAATCAATTGTTAGTGGTGCAGGAGAAGGAATTGATTAAGAAGTTGATGATCAATGCTCAAGCTACACATGATTTTAAAAACTACCAATTGAACTGCTTGCACTCCTGGGTTCAGTTGATCCAACTAATATTGCTTGACAATAAAGTTAATAATTATTACACAAAAGTTGAGTTTATTCTTTCAGTTTTTGAGACAATTGTTCCAAAAATTAATAGCTATTATGATTATGATATCAATATCTCCAAGGAATTTGTTTCACTTTCATTGATGCTATTTAGTGTTTATACAGAATCTGTCGAGAAGGTAATAATACTGGAGCAAAATAAGGTCGATGGAAATGGAAATCCGGATATGACCACATTATATGAAAGACTTTATCCCGTATTTCAAACATGCGTCAGAGGCATTTTGAACAAGAATCTGGATGCAACTTTGAGATCTGATTTATATGCATTGATGAACAAGTTTTTGTTGTGGGTTCTCAATAAGGGTGACAAGGGAATTGTTTCTGCAAATGAGGTAGATTTTGTTGCCAGGTTAATCAAAAGTATTAAATTCTCAAGTGATAAGATTTTATCAGCTATTTGTGGCGATATTAATAATGGTGATGATTCAAGTAGAGTTACCGCTTTGATATTACTAGAGTCTCTTTGCAGATTAAGCAACATAGATGTCTCAGGTAAACTAGGTGATAAGAATGGGAGTGGTAGTCTGAACGTGAACAAGATTAACTTCCTTGTGAACTACCTCGTTAATAATAACAACTTTTTATTGATGTTGATTAGATCTATCACTCGGACCGATGTTTTGTTATCATTGACCAAAGACAATAGAAGTGCAAGTAATGGGGTTACTCTAAACTCTTTACTTTATGAATTGACGGCGTTTAAGGCCACATTGTCATTCTTGACGAGAGTTGCTGAAACCAAAGGTGGCTCAAATCATTTGATCCAGTTGGATATTTTCAAAACTTTGGGCTCTTTGACGATCTTATCTGTTGACCCTGACATGGGAATGAATATTATTCTAGATCAATTTGAAAATGACCACGACGGAGTTACAATTGCTAGTCAGAATGAAAGTTCCAGACATCTCAGTATCAGATTGAGTCTCGATAACCCATTGAATTTGAGAAAGAACATCTCGAACAACAATTCTTCAAGTACTGAGATATCATTATTTGAATTATTTGTTCCCGTCTTCCAATTGATTGCTGCAGTTTTGGTGAGCGTTGGGCCATCAAATCGCAAATTGATTGAAAATGTGAAATGTTTGTTGATCAAGAATAATCGTTTGTTTACGGGTATTATGAAGAGAGAAGTTCTATTAGAGAATTCAGAGCTTCGCCAAGATGACATTTCTGTGTCAGGATTACACAAATTGAGCGATTTGTTTTTATTGTTGAGCTCCTTGACTAATTATAGAGGTGACTTTTGAAGTAGGCATTTCGCCAAATTTTTGTTTACGTATTAACATAGTATCAAAATGTGATGAATAAATCAAAATAATTTTATCAACGATTTTTTTAAAAAAAGACTAATTATTCGTAATATCTTCATTAATTCTGTTTAGGGTTCCATTTAGGCCCTTGAGACGATTTAATATACCCGAACATGGAGAAATGAGCTCCCTTAGTTCAGAAAGCTTCACTTTAATTTCGTTGACGTCTACCTGCTTAGGATTTCCCGAGAATTCACTAGGACTCCTTGAAATTCTTCTAAGGTTATGTAGCTGCAGACTCAACTTAGCTACTTGTATGTTATTTTCCTTCAAGTTTATGTTTTTATATCGAAGTAGTTCCAATTGATGATTTACGTTTTTCGAGTTTTGCTCCCTCATTTTAAATATTTCCGCTCTAAGTTTGAGTTTTTTCGTCGAAATTTCCTTCAAATTTGACGTAAGGTTTGACAATACGAGATTTAAGTCTAGAATCCTCAAAACAGAATCATAAAGAAGCTCAGTATACCTTTGAACCAATTTTTCATGGCCTTTGTGTTCGTGTCTTTTCAAATGCTCAAATATTGCGGTTGATATGACATCCAATGAATTTAGCTTGACACGCTTACCATTAAGATCTTTGGCGAGCCTATGGACCTCGATTTCAAATGATTTCGGTGCATCTGGTTGTATAACATTATAGGAAGCTGCATTCTGAGCACGAGCACGTTTTTTCCCAGTCTTTTTCTTTGTGATATTGTTGGTATTTCTGGATGTAACTTGTGTGCGAACTGGCTGTATTACGGAATTGCTAAAGGTGTTATTCGATGATTTTGTGACAGGGCTGCTTGATGTTCTTCTGGTAGAGTTCTTTGAAGGTTTCAGGATAGTTAGCTTATTAAAACTCCCGATGTACTCGCTATCATCAATGGCCATACTTGTCTCATCTTCGGTAAAATGTCTATTTGGAGGAAGAATCACCTTTTTCGCTGTCTTCTTCGCCCGCGTTGATAGCAAAGGACTAGAAATGAAAGTATCAGAACGATTTTTCATTAAACTCTTTGCAAGATTCAAAGAATTAGTCAAAGATTTACGAGACTTTCGACTTGATGAAACTTTTGACTTGGGAGTTGAAAACTGTATTGAACTGGGACTTGAAAGCTGGTTTGCCTTGGGGGTTATGATTGCGGAGCTGGCGCCCAGTCTTATTTTACTCGGGGTTAAGTTAGAAGTCTTTGGTGTGATACCTCCAATTACCGTCTTTGGCTTCTGGACACTTGGGGTATACATGGGCTTTGCAACTCTATAGATCAGTGATCTTCTTGGTGTGCTGCGAATTATTAGAGATGTATCTGATTCAGGTTTCTGGGCGCTCGGGGTAGACATGTGTTTTGCAACTTTATAGATCAGTGATCTTCTTGGTGTGCCGCGGATTATTAGAGATGCATTTGATTCATCATCACCACTACTATCATCAATCGTACGATTAGATATCGATATATTCGAGAGCGATTTAGCCACCCTGGTTCTCTCACCTTCAAATTCCGAGCTTGAAGTACTAGATTCATCATGAAGCACTAAATCATCGGTTTCCACAACCCTCTTGCTGCTCACCATGTTAGTATACATATCTTCTCACCGGTCAGAAAAAATATCAAAATAGTAATACCCACGCTGATCCTCGTAGTCTGTATGCTTGCCTAGCCGCTCTATTCATATCTGAGATTTTATTATATTACTTTGTCATTGGAAATTCAATGAGTAGGGTGTATTATGGGAACATAACAAATAAGCAGCAAAAAAAAATAAAAAAATTACGCGTCTCATCACGTGTAACAATAACTCTCAACATGCATCAGATTCAGTTTTATCTAATTTTTCAAAGAAATAATAACGTCGCTTTAGCCAAACTCCGAAAACAGTATTCAATATCTCACGGAGATCCATAGATGTTATGATTCGGAACAAAAATATGCATGAAAGAGAGATCAGACCATGAGTATACAATTTTGCATCTGAAATGACGTATTCAAGCTTTTTTTCACGCGACTTCAGCTCTATTTATTAGAAGTGACATGACCAAATATAAATTGGTAAAAACTTCAGTGTTTTTCTTTTTGACCTCTAAGATTTCTCAAATAGACACATTAGCAACATGTTATTATTTTTATTGAAATTTCATTGTAACATCACTGATTTCCACTTCGCTAATCATCGTTATTCTCTGGAAAAAGGGACAAATAGAACCATAGAAAAAAAAAGAAGATCAAATTCTCTAAATGATCTACTAAGGCTACATTTGCTCCTTCGAGAGGATTGGTGATCATTCTTCAAAATGGAAGAGCCATGTACTACAATGTTTTGGATATTGCTTGCTTCTGATGATGAATCCACTGCATTTCGTGGAATTACCTTCTGCTCAATGTTTATAATCTAAAAAATTCAATAAGAGCATGGAAAACAGTTCATCATTTCTTTTATTAATAGCAACATACACTACAATACCATCAAACAATTCAATTAAAAAACTAAAATTAATTGTCATTAAGTAAAATTACAAGGTTTATTCCATAATGTGCGGTATAGTCACAAGCTTATGGCCAACTTGACCAAGCTGAAACATATTTGCTTCCTGTTTTTTTGGTTCTTGATCTTCTTCATTATCTCCTTCGACCCTCTTACTTTCCTTCAGCTTTGGTTTTGGAAGATCACACAACACAATATCTTGTAGGAACCCGATGGTAGGACTTTTAACAATGTCTAAAGCAATATCACCAATTTGCATGATAACTTTACCTGACTTATGAACCTTCAAGGTTCCAATCTTGCCCTTTTGTGTAGCTGCCTTTTTAATAAGATCTTCTTTTGAAGTTTGCTCATCAATGTCCATATCATCGGAGCTTTTAAATTCCGGTAGGAAATTAGGAAGTTGAAGCAACATGAATTCTTCATTTGGCTTTTTCAAACTCTTACTAGCAAGCTTTTCTTTATCTTTCTTTTCACTATCATCACTCTCTTCATTAATACCTGCATTTGATTTATCTGTCTTGGAGTATGCCTCTACTAATTTCATAATCTGGATATTCTCTGCCAAGAGTTGTAATTCAGAGTCTTCAGCATCTAGATCATCAACATCCTCTACTGTTTGTTTGGCTGATTCATCTCCGCTGTTGGATTCAGGAGACACCGAACGAACCTCCATAGGATTATTAATATTTGAAGCTTCATCGCTGTAATCCTCACTTAGTTTACTGAATTGTTGTGGTCTAATAGGAAATAAACTAGTGAATGCATCTTCTTCGCCTACATTCAAGTCTGTATCCATATCAATCTTTGAGGAATCTTCATCATCGCTTTCTGCACCTGCAGTTGCACTTCGAGAACGAGCTTCTTTTCTAATTGATTGGAAATATTCAGGGGTTGGTGACAAAGAATGGATCATAGTACTTCCAAGCCCAGAGTCTGTAAATGTTGCTGATGACAATGGACCTGATGAAATCATTTCTGTCTTTACCATCCCTCTACCACCACGCATACCGCCTCTACCGCCTCTACCACGAGCACCACCTCTTCCACCTCTTCCACCTCTAAAATTCTTCCCTTTACTATCGAACTTTGATTCATCCTTGATTACTGGCGCATCACTAGCTCTATCCTTTTCAGATCTTCTTGCCACAACTTTAGGTTTGAATTTCAAACCAGCTTTAGGCTTACCTGTAGTTGCCGAGCTTTTTCTGTTTAAAGACTCTAGTCTTGAGTGGCCAGATCCTCCGGAAGACATTCTATACTGAAATTAAAGTAAATATCACCGTCGATCAACCCCAATGTAAGAGGCAGAAAGATGAGAGCTCAATTTTTTTTTCCTACAAAGCTTTTTGCTGCAAGGGCTCTACACCTAACATCCGGACATCAAACGGAACCTACCAAGCTAATGTCACCTAAAGGAGCTCATCGCCTTTGTATTGAAAAGAAAGATAATATAAAAATACTTTGAAGCACCAATTTTGGACCAAAAAAGGTAATATACTAAATAAGACACACACCCAATGTTAGGATGTTTAATCACATGAACCTTCACGTGACTAGCTTAGAAGACCCCACTACAAATTATGACAATAATGTCAAGTTCAGGCATCCCCCCCGCCAAACAATCCCCAACAAGCAATAGTATTGAAGTATCATGTCTACCACCACAGAGGAAACAGAAAAGTACATAAACCAGGAGCAGCACAAAGCTATTCAAGGGATAAGGCTATTTTTAAAATCAAAATCTTCTTATGATGTTTTGCCTGTGTCTTTCCGTTTGATAGTGTTGGATACTTCATTGCTGGTGAAGAAATCTCTCAATATCTTATTACAAAATTCTATCGTATCCGCTCCTCTCTGGAACAATCAAACCTCTAGATTTGCAGGATTGTTGACTTCTGCAGATTTCATAAATGTTATTCAATATTATTTACAAAACTTGGATCAAATACAGCTCATTGACCAATTGACCTTGAACGAATTAAAGGATATAGAAAAGGCCATTGGTCTTAAGCAGATCGAAACCTCCTCGATTCCACCTTTTACATCTCTATTTTTAGCTTGTGAAAAGATGTTGTTGTCAAACGCTAGAAGAATTCCTTTGATTGATGAAGATAAATTAACACATAGAGAAATTATCGTCAATGTCTTAACCCAATATAGAATATTGAAATTCGTGTCGCTAAATTGCAAAGAAATAAGAATGTTAATGAAACCTTTGAAGGATATTAAGTTTGTGAGCGATAAGAATAAGACTACTTTGGTGAAAGCTAACTTGAAGACCCCTATCTTGGATGTCATTCATATCTTGACACAAAATAATATCTCTGCTGTTCCAATTGTTGATGAAAACGACAAATTGATTAATGTTTATGAAGCTGTTGATGTGTTAGGCTTAATCAAGGCGGGAATTTATAATGATTTATCTCTTACTGTTGGCGAAGCCCTCATGAGAAGATCTGACGATTTTGAAGGTGTTTACACCTGCACTCTAAATGATAGTTTGGCAACGATAATGAGCACTATAAAGAAATCCAAGTTACATCGTTTGTTTATAGTCAATGAAGCATCTGGAGTTGTAGGGGTTCTAACCTTAAGTGATATCTTGAGGTATTTGTTGTTCAGCAATGATGATGAAATCTTATCCTAATAGTCTGTTTTAACGGATTTCAGTATCTTTCCTTGCTTATGATACCTACGTCCCGACTATGCCATTTTTTATTTTTAATTTCACTTTTTTTTTTCATCGTACATCTTTTTATTAAGTTTTCTTTGTTTTTATCTTTATTTGTTCTCTTTGGCTTTGGTTTTTTTTTTTGACTAATTTTTCAGATTTGACAGAGAATGCAAACTAATTTGTAGTATTATAATGCAGAAATTGGAATGGAAAATCCCAAAATCGAAAGTAAAATGGTTACAAAAATATTAATATAAATAACAACAAAAAAAGTAAATATATTTCATGCCATTAATAATACCAAATTGGATTATAAAAATACTTAAATTCGTCAGTCATCACATTATAAATGTGGTACATCAATATTAGCCATAATCATATTGACTATACCAAATAAACCTTCACCTAAAACCAATCCTGAACTAAAAATAATCATATCAACCTTTCGGTTTTCCCCTTCTTTCTGATGACGTTTTAGCCAGAAGTAGGCTACCAATCCCCCGATGAACCTCGCTAAGGTGAATGACGGAATATTATACAATCCTATTCCCACTGGCACTCCACTAGGCAACCAAATTAATTTTCCATAATGTTTATGGGATGGTGGGATAGTATTTTTAAGAATAGCAATGACACCGAATATGATTGCCATTACTACTGCAAATTCAAAAACATGATCTGGCAACCCTTGTCCGGTCACTAATCTCGCACAATCGAGCCAGATAATTGCTGTTGGAATTCTGAATAAGTCATTTGGGATATTGTACACCAAATTGTAAACCTTGTACATTATTGAAGATAAAATAACTGACCAGACAGTACCAATCAATTGGGCATAAAATTGACACTTCGGCAGAGCGCCAATCAAATGACCCGTCTTTAAATCTTGCATTAAATCACCAGCTTGTTGAGCACCTGCTTCAGCAATACCTCCAGCAACCAAGTTGATTAAAATCCTGGAAGGATGTGACTTTGAGACAAGCAATGCAATGAATAACTGCGACAACTTTCCTATACCACTCACCGGATTCAAATCAGTCTCACCAAGGGCTCTGACGGCCAATATTGAGAGAAAGAATGCCAAGACAATTGACCAAAAAATTGGATAAACACTAATGTCTTTGAAAAGATACTTGATTGAAATCACACAAACAATGCTAGAGATTATGATACCAGTAACTGTAACTGTATTTGATACCAAAAACTTGGCATCCACATCGGAAAACTCCTCTTCTTGCTGGATTTCTGCTGCATCCGAAAGATTTTCTTGGTTTTGACCGTGGTAAGTAGCATTTCTTTCATCTTCATCTGACGATATACCTCGTTGCTGACGGTAATCAATTAACCCTTGGGTGGCATCATCGTATTCATTTTTCTTATTTTGTTTTGATTTAAGATAATTTACGCATGTTTTAATGACAATAGACAAGAAGGAAACAATACTGTCGCTAACCATCACACTCAAACTAATCCAAAGAATCCAACCTTGGGCACCTGTTTTCCAATCACCAATTGGGCCATCCGCCCAACCAAAATGTTGCACCATTGGCGCTAGGATTCCCCAACCTAAAATGGCCCCAAATAGCATGTATGAAACTGTCGGCAATCCCATGATTATTCCCTGGCCAACATATGCAGGCGAGGGTTGGAAATTCCAGAGATGATTAACTGACATGTTGTGGCCAAATATAGGTAAACTTCTAATAACCGGAACAAAATATGAAAAGACTGTGTATAACGAAGATATAGAAAATGTGAATACCAAATTTTTTAGGTTTTTGCTATAAATTTCCAGTTGTTTTAATTCAATTAATGATTGTGATTCTAACAAATTAGAAGTGGTTCTTGAAATGCGATTATCCGGGTCGTTATTATTAGTAGACTGCGGCTCATACTCTTCTGTATTTAGATTACTTTCTGTTAATCTTGTTTGTCTATACTTCACTCCCTGATTATGTTCTCCGCTGAATGTACCACTGGTAAAACTTGGAACTTGTTCATTTATTTCAGTATTGTGTAAAACGGAAATTAGAGTGGCAGTTGCCGAGCCTGAGGGAAATGGAAGCTTTTCCTTCACAACTACCTGCTTTCTAAGAGGAATGGCAAAAAAAATCCCAAAGAAGCCTAATCCAGTGCTCCAAACGATCAAATCCTTAATTGAAAATGTTATGCTATGACCCAAGCCTGTTTCTTCGGGAGTCAAAAACTTCTCAATTGCTGGAATTATCCCCACAAAAGAAAAACAGAGAGGTCCTGTTCCAACGCTAACACTGATACTCTGAACAAATACATTTTCGACATCGGTAAATGGATAACCAAGATTATTTGAAAGTGACCTGAAAACAGCAAAGCCTAACAATGCAGATGGTAAAGACATCATTGATACCCAACCAGTTTGCAAGCCAAATTGAAAGTTGGATATAAGAACTAGCGAGCCGATTGTAAGACCAGCCACTATTGAGCGGAATGTTACCTGTGGTATTGCGGGCTTCTTATCCCATGCTACCAATTCTTCGGCAACCATCTTTCAGAGTGATAAGCAATTAAAGTCTCGATGACTAACGAATGATTACCGGTTGCGGTAGTTGGTTAGTCTATTACTTGTGTTGCTGATGCCCCAAAAAAAGACCTCTAATAGTTAGTCCGGATACTATGTCTTCATATAAATATTATACTTTCAGTTAGATAGTACCTAAAATTTTTGATGTTATCTCAAGATTAGTAATTATTTTTTTTTCCTGTAGGGTTTTTTGGGGGTGTAGTGCCGTTTTTCCAGATGCGGTCGTTTGACCTCCCTGCTAAGTGATGGGTGACATGAATCAGCAAGAAGCACCACCTTGTGGCAATAATAAATATATATATATATATATATATATATTAGCGAATGAATCACAGGTAGAATTAATGTTTATTATCACCAAAATATCCCCTAAACAAAGTTCTCTGTACATATATTTACTAATTCCAATATTCCAATACTCCCATCCTTCCCAGTTCGAAGAAGCTCAGCTACAAATGATGAGCTAGCCACTTTCTAGTTTGTCATTGAGTTTGATAGTGGTGAAGAGCGAAACATGGTTTTGCCAATTATTTAATGAGGTCTCATTTCCGTGTTAGTCAGAAGACATTGTTGAGCCCGTTCTTCCAGGTCGTGCCACGAGGAAACTGGGGGATATATATGGACATGATGCTGCAGCGGTCAACATTAGTGCTATCCGAGATTTAAAAAAGAAAAAAAAACATTATCTATTTTCATACATATGGCTCGAATAGGTATTAATTAGAAATTGTCTGCAAATTCCGGTAAAATTCACGAACCTCATCCGATGCTCTGATTTTTTCAGAGCGGAAGTTAAGAACTTGTAATCTATCTTTTGAGGTCGCTCTTGAAAGGGCCACGTAAACTTGACCTTTTTCGAAAATCTTATTCAAATCAACCTTTACACGGTCCAAAGTTTGACCCTGGGATTTGTGGATGGAAATAGCCCAGGAAAGTAATAATGGTATCTGCATTCTGACAGCTTTCCCACTCTTTTTCGATCCTGCTTTTGGAATATTCACTGAAAATTCATCAGTTTGAACAAGCTTTATTATTTTACCATCATCCCTACTCCCTGGAATAGAGAATGCAACTACCGGATACACATCTGTAGTTCGAGACCGTAACGCGGTGAGAAGATGAGGCTTCATTCTAACTCTAGCATCACTAGAAAATGTATTCAACTTGCTCCTCATTTCCTCTTGAGGCTGCTCACCAATGCAGCTAGATATAAATCTAACTTCCTCTCTAGTGCTCAGATTATTGAAATTATCAAAATCATAATCATGAAGAAGACCTAAATACAACTCTTCAGTAAGAAAACATGAAACAATTCCGACAGACCCATTTACCACCTTATTATCTAAATTTTTGAGCATCAAGACCTGTGCATCCTCTTTTAGAATCAATTCTTCCACACAAAGCATATTGTCTAACATAGACTTTTCATGCTTGATTGCATAAGGATTATCAGAAGAGAATACATCAACAGCTTTGAAGCAGCGAGGTTTTCCCGGCAACTGGTTCAAACGAGTAGAATTAGATATTCTGACTTCCTCTCTTGTTGGATATAGTTCTGTTGGCTGAATATTATCATCATAAATCACTTGCCTGGATAAGCTTTGGAATTTCCGTGCCATTTCTATACTACATGTACCTAATCTGACAGTGTTCAACATATCGATCAACTCAGTATCACCCTTTTGTCTGAAAACATTCGTCAACAAAATGGTTTCCTCTACCACATCATTCCATTCCGGGCTTTGGAAACAATATTTAGGGGCTCTATGACTGAATTTGTCAGGCACTGGTGGTAATTGGAAGAAATCACCAGTCAAAACAAGCTGAATACCGCCAAATGGTTGGTCGTTTCTTCTGACATGTTTTGCGACAGCAGCAACCTTAGAAAAAAGGTCGCCATCAATCATGGAGATTTCATCAATAATTAATACTTTTATGTTTCTCCAGCGCTTCACATTCAATTCATTTTTTTCAACCCTTTTTATCAACTCACCAACACTACCATTACCAATACCAATACCTGCAAACCTGTGAATAGTCTGTCCTCCGATATTAACAGCAGCCAAACCAGTTGATGCCGTTACAGCTACAAAGTCTTCTCTGTAATAAACACCTTGTAAGCGCTTAATAATTTCTCTAAGCAACACAGATTTACCAGTACCAGCGCTACCAGTAAAGAAGATACTTCGACCTTCATCAATAACCATTTTTAGAACTTGCTTCTGTTCTGAGCTAAGAACAATTTGATCCTGATTGGCACCTGCAGCATCCTGAGCACTCTTGGACAGTTGAGAAGATGAGGTGAATGATGGGGTACTGTTTTCTCTAACTAATCTCGGTTTGTTGCTGATGGCAATACTATCCCATTTCTGAAACTTCTTCATTGACTTTTCGGTAGTCTCTGAATTCATGGTTGTTTTTAAATTATTATGAGAAATTTGGGTAACTGGCGATACAAAACTTCTGGAAAAGTTGTGAGGTTTCAATGGCTTTATGACTTTGTCAGATTTGGACAACACTTTGTGCCTGATTATTTGTAGGTCAGCATTATCTTCAGATTTATCTTCATCGTCGCTATCGAGGCTGATGATCTTTGTTAACAGGGAGGAGTCAGTAAACTTACTGACATTGTTTGATGAAGAAGAGATCATCGAACGTTGAGTAGCTACCTGCCCGGCTTTCTTTGGTTTTTTACTGATCAAAAAGTTGGACAAAGTACTTTGTCCCTTTTGATTGCGACGATTGGAACCTCCTTGTGAAATCATTGCCGCTAATATTAAAACTGAGCTTCCCAAGATCGATGATGGTGAGCAAAAATTCGAAATGTAAATAAAACAGAAAAAAAGAAGGACGCGTATGCTGGTCTAAGAGCGCTACACATTATAAGGAAGGTTCAATGATAGAAATTTCTGGAATTCACATAATTACTAAAATCATGTTTTGAAATGTACTAGTATTTTCTTCTCTTTCTTTTTTTTAAAAAAAAGTAATAATTTCTAAGGTCAAATGCTATGTATATAGTCCAAAGGTCATTTTTTATTATTCAATGCATTTCTTACTCTTTCTGTTAAACGATTCTGAAATCTAAGTTTATCCAAAACTTCATCGTCCTCAATAAATGTTGTTTCAGCAGGGCCTTTCCGCTCTTGGTAAAGATTGATGAATTCCGCATTGTATTTCTCATTCAAAAATTTGCCAATGGCTTTCAAGTTTCTTCTTGAATTGAAAACCAAGACAGCTTCATTGAAGAGGCTATTGATAAATTCCATGACGTGGTCATCGATTTCAACCTCCGCCAAATTGAAGTCATCGTCAAAATCTTTTGTAAGTGATTTATTCTTGAAGACTTTGGCAACAGGATAATTTAATAATAATTTCAACACATCTCCGTAGTCCTGGCAACCAAGTAACAATTCTTTCTTAATGTTTAATAAGAGCAATAACACTATGATTGATACTATGGTATTAAAATCACTATTGCTGGTCAAGTTACTAAAATTTTTAATTTTTTGAAAACTGATCAACTTGTCCCAGATGGGTAGCACTGTCGAGAGGGTCAACTCTCTTATTAACATCAATCTTAGCCATCTGATCAACCATATCTGAGATTCTAATTTCAATTTTCTGTTCAAATAATAATATAAATCATAATCAAAATCATGGAGTAATTGATCAAATTTTGCGCAATTATCCAATAAGTTTGCCTCTGAATAAAAGGATGCCTGAGGATTTATCATGAAAATAGTAAACATATGGAAAACGTCGGCATATATCTCATTTTGGTTAAATATTTCAAATATTTGACTATCATTATCATCGGAAAATCCGTTCAATGGTTTCGCAAAGCTTTCAGCGTGTACAACCATGAAGATTGTACTGATGATTTCGTGCATCCCTTGACGGTATCCCACATCTTGGTTCAATTTGTACCAGACAAATAAAACACGAACAATCCCCTTTTTAATTTCAGGATCTCTGAATAAAGGATGACCTGGAAATGTTCTTTCAATATCTATGATAATGGCATTTAATTCATTCACATCACTATCAGTAGTTGAAGACTCTCCATTCAATGGTGTGACGGCTGACGAGATACTGCTAGTTCTCAACGAAGTATTCGACCCCGAAGGTACAGACAAAGGGGATTCCGCCGTAGACAAAGAAGAAGCAGATTTATCTAACAGTGATCTCTTGAGTAAATTGCTTTTCTTGTTTGGATTAACCGTTCGTGGAGGGCTAGATTGGGGTTTCTGTTCGATAGCTTCCATCCTTGGTTTCTCAAAATATGGACTCTGCGAATCTAATAAAGAAAAAGGAGGTCGATATTGCTTAGAAAGAAACAGATAAGTTGATCTAGAAGCATCTAAATTCTTTTCCCATTCTGGTATTTCAAGGGTTTGTAGTAAGAACACTGCTTTCCATAAGAAACATCTTGAAAAATCAGGATTATTGTCAGTATAAGATCCAGTGAGTACACCTGTCTTCAATTCACCAATAGTTTTATATTCCTTCAAAGTATTCTTGACCTTCCATAAAAGATCCATTCCAGCTTTTCTCGATTAACCACACCTAAGGTCATAATTAGTGAAGTGTGTATTGCGCTGTCTCCAGCTTTGTAACTTTTGGCGCTTCGTTTGGTTAGAAGCACTGCGCACGATTACCATGGATAACACTAAAGTATGGATCCGCAATTAGTAGGTAGTATCCAGAGAAAATCTGGTAATGTCAAGGAACACACACCCTTAATTGTTCCATTTATCCCTCGATATCTTCCTGATATTCTCCACTTTTTCCTTTCTATTGTGATTGGTAATTTAATATTTATAATTCACTCCCCGCTTGTTGTATTTTCTTTTTTTTTTTCTGTCTTATATTTGCAATAGGTGCTTTATAACTGTTCACTGATGACCCTGAACCACCAAACTTCCCTTAAACTATGGCAACCACTAGGAATAATCAGAGACAATACCAGTCGTCTTTGGAAATGAAAGCGAAGCATGATGCTTCAGAAATACGCACGTCATTATTACGCCGAATATCAATGTGGATATTGACAGATCCATCGGGCAATGGAAATCTGAAGTCAGAATGTCACCAAAAGAATTCCGGTTCTACAACTAAGACTAAGAACTATGAAAAAATGGGAGTTTATAACTATTTATTTTGCTTTGGTGGTAGAATGAGGACAACAAAACAATTCTATCTAAGGCCCTATATGTTTTTCACAGTCTTTTGTATAGTGTCTGCCGCCGTTATCTTCTTCGTGTTTCTTTCCAGCTGGTACTGGCATAATATTTCACCAGCAGTAGTGATAATGTTCCTGTATATTTGGCTCCATTGTTTCATAAGTTTTTTCAAAGCATCATTCACTGATCCGGGTATAATGCCAAGGAATACTAATATTGCTGACGAACCATTTCGTTTACCTAATGAGTATTCAAACACCATCAGCTTACCCATTATCAACAAATCAAAGGAAAAATTGCATGTTAATTGTTCAGTAACTACCAAGTATTGTCCAACATGTCGGATTTGGAGACCACCAAGAACTAGCCACTGTATGTTGTGCGGCGTATGTGTGGCCAATCTTGATCATCATTGCATTTGGTTGAACAATTGCGTTGGGCTGAGAAATTATCTGTACTTCTTCAGTTTTGTATTGATGGCCTTTTTAAGTACAGTTTACCTCAATGTTTGCTCCTACTACTTCATATTTCATCATCATTCAAATTCAACTCCATTAGACATTATCAAGAAGTATCCTGCAAGCCTATGTTTGCTAATTTATTCTCATTTGTTGATGCTATATCCCTTTCTATTATTATTATGCCACACATATTTGAATTGTGTGGGTCTCAAAACCAAGGAATTTTTAAACAATCATGTGAAAGCATCCACCCTTTTTAAAACCGGTAGATTCAATGTTTTTAACACCAAGAACACATTGAAGAACTTTATCATTGGCATTTGTCAGCCTCGTGGTTTGGCATACGTGAGAGCCAGAGATGAATATATTAATGACAGAACTTTGGATAAATTGCCTCCGCTCTCAGTATGAACTTCTGCTTCCTTCCTAGATTTTTTTCTTCTTGCTCATGCTAAAATTACCATTCATTTTTTGCTTATCCTTGTATAGTAAGTTACCAGCAGTCGATAATCGTTTATGCTTTTCGTTCATTTGCTTATCACACTTTATATAGATCCCTCAATAAAAAAAATATACTAATATCAAACCAGCTAGGCGTTCTATGACCAAAGATCGTTCCAACTAACATTTTTACGTACTGCATTTGAAAACCCTTCGTGATACTTAATCCAAACCTTCAATTCCAGGTCCACTGGTGCAGCTTTTGTAGCCTCACTATTTTCCCCACCCTTGTTAAGTGTGGCATAGGACCGCTTGAAGAAATCTACAGAGCCATTATTCTTTGCTACCTTTAAATTATTTTCTTCCTTCGCTGCTGCGGCTGTGACTGTGGCGCTTTTGGCGTCCTGGGTCTCATGGAACTTTCTTTTGGTTGCAGTAATCGCCCTTTTACGCTTTTCAGCCTCAAACAATAAGTTTCTTAACAACGTTTGACGTTGAGAATCCAAAGATTTGAATTGTGAGACCTTTTGGAACGTGGTGACGGAATCCATGATCGGCAATAAAGCAAGGGCTTTGATCCCTTGATCACTTATCACATTTTCGATTTTAAAATTGAAATCATTGAGCAAATTAAGCAAATGATCGATTTTCCGTTTGCTATCACCATTGCTCAAAAACGATTTATCTTTATCCGTAAATGAGGGATTCAAGATATAATTATTAATAATTGGAAGAATTTCGATGGCAACAAAATCTCGACTATTTAACGATGAAAACATGGACGGTTTCATCAAAACATTATCAGTTATGGCTTTTTGACAGATATCAAAATTAGATTTTTGTAATTCAAAATATTCCCAGCTGTTGTGAATACTGTAATTCTTTGGTTTCGAGGTGGATTTTCCTTCCGCAAACAATGAATAAAATTTTAAAGGAACTTGGTTGCAGTACCATACTAGATCGGAATTCTGTTGGTATTTACTGTTTAACATTATATCGTAGAAATAAAGCCAATCGCCAAGAGCATCAGATTTCTTAATCAACGCTGGATCCGAATAAACGGTCTGGGGATATACTTGGAAACAGCCGTTGACAATTTTTTCAATGGAACTAACACTATTCAAATCATTTTGCAAATCGGAAAATGTTTCTGATTTGGATCTCTGTAGATCCAATTTGAAAATCATATCCACAATTTTATACCATGTCAAGTTAGAATCCTTTGCACGAACTTGTTGCATATCATCATCAATAATACTGTCACCATTGAACTGTAGTAAATTCAAGCAACTTCTTATATCTAAATTACTAATCGCAACGATCTGAGACATTTCTTTAGATGTCATCATCATATTTTCAGCGGAGCAAATTTTTTCCAATCTATCCTTAATTTGAGTTTCATTGGGTTTTCTAAATGATATAACTTCGCAATGTGGTCTCAATTTTTCTAACACCGGAGCATAAAGATCATTACAAATTGCAATTATTGGTCGGAGAATTAATTTATCCCGTGATTTAGTCTTCTTGCCACCACCACTACTTCGTTGCGCGATATTTCTGGTAGCTCTAGCATCTTTTATTACCAAATCTATAAGGACCTTGATAAACCCATTTTCTGAGGCACCGTCAATTTCATCGGCGACTATACAGGTGGGGTTCCCGGAAAATGTATGAGTATCCATGGCATTATGAATTTTTTCCTTTACCAGTTGACCAGATCTTTCATCACTAGCATTAATTTCCATAGCGTCATAATTAAGATGTTTAGTAATCATATGTGCAATAGTAGTTTTACCTATACCTGGTGGACCATGTAGAAGTAAGATTCTCTTGTTAGGCCTATTATATACATCTGTGGGTTGTTGGTTCTCAGCACTATCATCACCGCCAGCATTGAAATTTTTCCTTGAAGAAAGTTTACTTAACCCATCAGAGATATCTTCACCATAAACTGCCGTTGACCAGTGTTTTAACCATCTTAATGCCAACCTATTGGCCTTTTCATTGCCAACCAAATCAAGAAAGCTCTTAGGTCTATATTTTTCAACCCATAGAGGTCCCTTGTAACGCTTAGTTTTGGTATTTGAGTTAGATTCTCGAAGCTTTTTCATTTTTTCCATTTTTTCCATTTCAACGTACACTTTATTTATATCAACACCATAACTCTTTGGAGAATCATCGTCCGTTGTAGCTGATTTTTTGAATATTGATTGAGCCTTTGGTTTTAGTTGAAATTCAAATCCATTGGATAATCTGACAGTTTTAGGTTTTGCTTTCGAGAACATTGCCAGGAAATCGGGAACCTTCTCTATTATAAGTTGTGCATTACCTGAGTCCAGCTCATTCTCATTATTTTCGGATTGTTCAACGTTCTCCTGTATGGAACTTTTTTGGATATTGTTTTCGTCAAGATGTTGATCTTTCAGTCCGCCAGATAATATCTTCAAACTTTCATTCAAATTCTTTTGAGACTCTTCATCGGCAACAGACATGCTTTCATCAATATCATGACGCTTACCCAACAGGGACGCCCTGAAATTGAAAGAAAAGGTTGGGGTTTCAGTCCCTTGACTCATTGATGAATCAAAGAGACTACTTCTATTAACTTGTGTATCAGTGGGTTCTTGTGATTCTTCCTGGGTATCTTTACTTTGGTACTCATTACACTGGGATTGTTGATTTTGTCCAGTGGATCTTCCAAATAAAGACGACATCTTGAATGATGGCAACGCAAAAGATGATGGAGCCGATGAGGTTTCAGTTATAGGATTTCCCTCTGTCATTTGTTTTTGTCCAACTTCATTATTATTTTCTGATGTGATCTCATTATTTTCTGCAGTCAAAGTATGGGAGTTCTCATGATCTTTCGCCTTATCCTGTGCATTCAACGAGCTAGATGAAAAGTTAGGGATCACAGGAACCTGAGTCTCCTCTGGTATTGTCATTTTCAACTTGATTTAAAATATTCTTGACACCACTAAGCTTCGTTTATGGTATAAGATCAAAAGATATTTTCTAAAACAGTACGCGAAACGCGTCAAAAAAAAAAAAAAAAAAGATTTTATTTTCATCACGTGAAGCTTTGTACCCCAAGTTTTGGTATATATCAATGTGACTTAATCAATTTTACATTAGCGCACTTTTAGTCCGGTATTTCAAGAGAGAGAATTGATAGGAGACTCGGAATATACGGATACTACATTACACATTTATAAACATATGAATAAATATACATACTTTGATAGATGAGGGATCTGTTACTGGTGCCTACGCCATTATCTTCTGCCATATCGACTGATAAGGACCCCTTAACAACCAAACTAGAAAATATAGAAAATCAGTTCACAAATTGGACATCAAATGTGGAGACGCTACAGAATATCATTACTGAATTCACAGTGCAATACAAAGAGGCCTTAGCCGAGTCTGATATATCCATGATTCCATGTTACAACTATCTTTTGGGCGGTAACGAACTAGGAAACTATTTATCTTTGGATTTGGGAGGATCAACCCTAAGGGTGTCCGTCATCACCTTGGATGGGGCAAATTCAACTGCCAAAGTGGTGGTATCGAAAAATTTTGGTATTCCAGACTCTAAGAAAACTATCAACTTTGCGTTCTTTGATTGGATCGCCCATAACATAAATGAAGTGATTTCCGGGAACTGTTCAGCATTTGCAGATTCGGAAGAGATTATGGCCGGAGTGACTTGGAGTTTCCCGATTTTCCAAACCTCTTCAAGCGATGGAACTATAAATAAATGTGGCAAAGGGTATAATTTAGATCCCCGAATCTTTAAAATGTCTATCAAATCATTATTTGAGAATAGCTGTTCTAAGTACAAAATCAAGCTTAAGATTCTATCATTAATTAACGACACGGTATCGGTGTACTTAACAGCTAAGTTCTTGGATAGTTCTACCTCCATGGGATTGGTTTTAGGAACTGGTACAAACTGCTGCCTATTCTTGCCGACAAATTATATTAACCAAAATAAGGCAGATTTGAATAAGGATGTGCTAGCAGGAAACAATTATCATAATTTATGCTTATTCAATACTGAAGTATCATTTTTTGGAGAACATGTGAAGTCCAACGTCACAAAGTATGATCAACAAATATTTGATTGGCATTCTTTGGAACATGCCCATCTTTCAAATAATTTTGAAGGATTGTTCCAACCATTGGAGTTCCTAACATCAGGAAGATACATTTCAGAGCTTTGTAGATTAATGGTTGTCGATTTGATTCAACAAGGATTGATTCTTAAAAGCCAATCTCCTGGTGATGGCTTGTTTCAGAAGTACGATTTCTTCACTGGAGAATTTTGTTCCAATTTTTACAATTTACAGGATAACAAGGGATGTGCGGAATATTTCCAACAAAACTTCCAAGCTCAATGTCTGGATCGAGATGTCGCTGCCATAAAGAAAATCATTGATATGGTTATCGATAGAGCGGCAGCCATTTTGGCATGCTCAGTAGTCAGTTTAGAAAGCCTCGTTGAGCTTGACAACGGCTCAAAAATAAGAAGCATTGGGTACGATGGATCAGTTTTGAATAATTTCCATCATTACAGAAGCCGTTTTGAACATTATTTATCCATTTTAAACCCACAAATGGAATATAGATTGGATTTCATGAATGATAGCTCGATACTTGGTGCAGCTATTGCAGCAGCGGCGAATAATAATAGCGTAGGTTGATTTATCATCTTACTTGTCTTGTTTCTTCTCTTTTTTTTCTTTTCTCTTTTTTTTTCCTTTCTCTCTTTCTTTCTTCATTTTTTTTTTTTTTTTGGAATGTTTGTTTTCCTTTTCAAGGGCATTTGTTTTAATAGCAATTACAAAATATGATATAGAAATTTCGAATCAGTGATTGTTTTTCTGTAGCATCTGAAAGTATGATAAATTGAATTACTAGCGATATACACCTAGCTTATGAGAACAAAATTGAGCTTGTTTTTTATGAAAAACACAAAATAGTACAAATAAGAAAAGAAAGAAGAAAAAAAAAAAAGTCTGAAGGAACAATATATAAAATGACAAAACAGTAGATGCAATGGGGAAGATCAGAGATAACAGCATTGAAGTAAAAAAAAAAAAAGAAAATAAGACGACAAAAAAACAAAGAAATAGCAGAGTACTGGAATCATGAGCTAAACAGTATGATGGAAGGATATGATAAAACTCACGGATATATAGGATTCAAAATACTTCATCTGAGTTGGAGAATCAAAAGGAAAAAGCGATTTATTATTATGATGATGATGTGAGATAGTCAAGCTAATTTCAGCACTATTATAACTTACTGAAAACCCTTAACATTGACAAGAAGATTCATCTTGAACACCTTCATCACCAGCAACGTCAATCACTTGGCTATTGTCATGGTCATTCATGCTTTGGCTGTTTTCGGAATCCTCAAACTCCGGCAATAACTGGGCAATTTTCTTGAATAACAACTTGACGTTATGTCCAGTCTTGGTACTAGTTTCAAAAAAAATGGAGGCACCGAGTTTTTTAGCTGTCAATTCGGCCTCGTCAGCAGTGACCTGTCTGGAATCGTTCAAATCGTTCTTGTTACCAACAATCACAATAATGACATTTGAGCCTCTTTCCAATTTCACATCTTCAACCCATTTATCAATAGCCTCGAATGATTTCTTGGATGATATATCGTATACCACCACTGCTACATTGGAGTCCCTCATATATGATGGTATCAAGGATCTGAATCTCTCCTGCCCTGCTGTATCCCATAATTGTAATCTTATTGTTTTGTCATCGAGGTACATAGTTTTTGACAAGAAATCAATCCCAATAGTAGCAGCGTATTGCGAATTGAAGGTATCGTACATGAATCTTGTGATCAATGAGGTTTTCCCCACCCCTTGTTCTCCAAGGAACACGAGTTTGTATTTCTTCATCATTCCCGATGATTTGGTATTTTGCGAGCTCATGAGTATTGATTTGTTATTTTTGGTTTATGTTTATTTCCTTTTCCAAAGATCTAACAGACATTCAAAATCAACGATTAAATTTATATGAGTAATGAATAGGGGGACGGGATGTATAAATATTTAAATGAGACAACGCAGTGATCCTTGCAGGATATTATTCTCTTCTCTATATGGTCCAGGCTCTACTCCCTTCTAATCAATGTATTGTGGTAGTACGAATAATAATAAACTTATCGATGTTTGATCATCATCATCGGTTTTTTACCACTTTACAAAAAAAAAGAAAAAAGGAAAGGATTGGGGGGACATTCTTAGTCAGCACACACTTTATTGATGACTAACAAAGAGGTTGCGAGCACCCATAAAATCCCACCGCTTAATCACATAATTTCTCTCTCCAGTTTGTTGAAATGGTGGGACAACCTTGGATTATTTTTTAAAAAAAAAACGATCAAAAACTCATCGACTTAGTCATGAATAATGTGGATAGTATAGAGCTAACTGCGGGTCATGAGGCCTCTAATAATTTACTTACCACGGAAATTGGCCAACAGGATGATTCATTCATCAATAACCAGGACATCATAAAGGACGAGTTCAAAGGGTTTGACAAATTTACTACTGTCGATTGCATAATCGATTCCCTAATGTCAAATGACTACAAGCTTCATGATTTTAAGGCGAATCGAAACGCTTCTACATTTAGCATCGTTATAGGCAACATAGTTTCCTCCAGCCGAAGTTGGTTATGTTTAACATTAATCGGTGTTCTTATTGGAACCATTGCCGCGGCGTTGACGATTGTTACTGAATATCTCAATAATATCAAGAACGGATATTGTTCGACCAATTTTTACTTGAATCGGAACTTTTGTTGTTGGGGCGAGGATTTGGAATCGTGCGAGCAATGGGTAAGTTGGACATCGTTTGAGTTCTTCAATTACTTGATGTTTGTGATTTTATCGGTGTTGTTGGCAGTCACTGCTGGGATTTTGGTCAAACGATACGCTCCATTTGCTGCTGGTTCAGGAATTTCGGAGATCAAATGTATTGTTTCGGGATTTGAATTGCAAGATTTCTTGAATTGGCCAACCCTATTCATCAAAGCCATTGGATTACCTTTGGCGATTGCGTCGGGGTTAAGCGTCGGCAAAGAAGGTCCTAGTGTCCATTATGCCGTGGCTGCCGGTTATTGTGTCACCAACACTTTCAAACTTTATCGAAGTGATTATGCTCATCTTAAGGAATTTTTGATTGCTAGCTCGGCTGCGGGGGTGGCGGTAGCTTTCGGATCACCAATTGGTGGGGTGCTTTTTTCGGTAGAGGAGATTGCCAGTAGCTTCAAATTATCAACGTTGTGGAAGTCTTATTTTTGCTCGCTAGTGGCGGTGAGTACCTTGTCATTCATCAATCCTTTTAGAACCGGGCAATTGGTAATGTTTGAGGTGGAATACGATGAATCGTGGCATTTATTTGAAATTCCATTTTTCATTATTCTTGGGATTTTTGGGGGAATCTATGGGATCGTGGTATCGAAATATAATATCAAAGTGGTAGCGTTTAGAAAAAAATATTTGGGAAACTATGCCATTAAAGAATTATTTGTCTTGTCCTCGGTCACCGCGTTGTTTTGTTACTTCAACGAATTTTTGAAATTGGATATGACCGAATGTATGGAAATCTTATTCCATGAGTGTGGGGTGGGGTTCGAACATCGGTTATGTAACATTGACGGTCATAAGCTTAAGATTTTCTCATCGTTGCTCTTTGCCACAGGGTTCAGAATGATCCTTACTATTATTTCTTATGGGTGTAAAGTGCCTTGCGGGATTTTTGTGCCTTCAATGGCGGCAGGGGCCACTTTTGGTAGAGCGGTGGGGATTGTTGTTGAAAACTTTCGGAATAGAAACCCTGATGGTATCTTATTCTCCGCTTGTTCATCGGATAAACAGTGTATTACCCCAGGAACTTATGCGTTTTTGGGTGCTGCGGCCGCGTTAAGTGGGATCACTGACTTGACGGTTACCGTAGTGGTGATTATGTTCGAGTTGACCGGTGCTCTTAGATATATATTACCAACAATGATTGTTGTCGGGGTCACGAAAATGATCAATGATAAATGGGGCCATGGAGCTATTGCCGATCAAATGATCAAATTCAATGGATTGCCGTTCATTGATCCCAAAGAAGATCACGTATTCAATTTGTCGACCTCGCACGCCATGACCTCAGACGTCTACGTTATTCCTAGAGATGGTATAACAACCACTTTTCAACAACTACAAAAATTACTAGCCAAGGAAGAGCATTTCCAAGATATTCCTATCGTCGAGTCTTTGGAATCTCCGTTTTTGGTTGGGTATATTAACAGAAACAATATTGAGAAATTGATATCGTCAATTTTGTTTTCTAGTAAGATTGAAGCTTCTACAATCTGTGATTTTGCCACAGTGACGGATAAGGTCAGTGAAGAAGGAGGAGAAGAAGAAGAAGAAGAAGGAGGAGGAGGAGGAGGAGGAGGAGGAGGTATAATGGTTTCGAAATTGTATTTTAACCGTTACATGAATCAAGCGCCGATTACAGTATCGACTGGTACTCCATTAGAAGAAACCATGGAGATTTTTTTCAGAACCAGTCCGAGAACAATATTCGTTGAAGATAAAGGATTGTTGAAAGGAATAATAACAAAGAAGGATGTGATAAAATTTGAACGATATTTGGAAAAATTAGAAGAACATGGTTTTGATTTAAATGGTATTAGAAATGATCAAGAATACGCTAACAATAGTTTGAAGTATGATACAGGATATCGTGTATTTAGCAAATTCAAACAAGTTGATGATTTGATTATGAAAAAGATCTTCAAAAAGAACGTTTGATAAATGGAATATATACGGACACATGCATACAAATTAGATATAGAGAATATTATGAATTTACAAAGACTATTTCAAATAAAAGTAGAACCAAAAAAAAAAAAAAAAACATCTTCCAGGAAATTTTACAATTTCATCCCCTTATTTCTCCATTCAAACACTGGTGGTCTTCTTTTAAGAAACGCTGTCATTCCTTCTTTTTTATCATAAGTGGAAAACAATCCAATAAAACTATCTCTTTCAAACTCTGCTCCGTCGTCCAACCCCTTATTGTATCCAGCAAGCACTGCTTGCTTAGCTGCCACCACCGCCTTTCTTGGACCTCTGCTAATTTTCAACGCGGTATCTATGGCGCCTTGGAGCAATTTCTCATTATCATCGAATAATCTGGACACTAAACCACTATCAAATGCTTCTTGGGCAGTGAATGGCTCTCCCGTCATGATCAATTCCATGGCCCGAGACTTCCCCATGGCTTTAGAGAGTCTTTGAGTACCGCCGCCCCCAGGGATCACCCCGATCTTAATTTCTGGTTGTCCAAACTTGGCCTGCTTGGTGCTATAAATAATATCACAAATCATCGCCAATTCACACCCACCACCCAAGCAGAACCCATCCACGGCAGCAATAATTGGGATCTGAATATGTGGTAACGCAGTGGCCCATTGGATTGGCAGCAGTTGGTTCTGGCCGTTGGTGTTGGCACCACCTTTCCTATAAAGTTCGGAGATGTCAGCCCCAGCACAAAACACTTTGGAGTTCCCGGTGATGATGGCACAACCATATTTCAAAGGCTCGGAGTCCAATCTTTGGAGTTCGGTGAGTAATTCCGTGGTCAATTGTTCCGATAGGGAATTGAGTTTCTTAGGGCGGTTTAGTTGGATTAACACCACCCCATCGCGCAATTCTTTGACTTTGATGGTATTATAATGACGCAGCATCTGTCAAATGAAACAACTTTTTGAAAATATTAATTGAATGACAATGTATTTATTGTTGAAGGAGGACGAATTCCAGAGAAAAAAAAAAAAAAAAAAAAAGAATTGATTCTTTCAGATAAAATAGCAATTTCTCAACAATTGGTTATTCGTGACTTCTATGGGGGATCATCCAATAATGTACAGAGGTGGAGAAAGATGCCACCTCTAAAAAAAAAAAAAAAAAAAAAAAAAAAGTTAAAAAAAAAAAAAAAATTAGTTAATTAATTAGTTGACTTACCCAGAACAAAATGATTGTCGTTTTCATGTAACTTATATTTTCTTTATAGTATAAGAAACATTACACATATATATACATGTTTTTAAAATAAGAAGAATTAGGAATAAAACACAACGAAGAAGGGAAAGAGCACACAGAAATTCAAGCAGAAGCAGTATCTTTGGTGGAAACATGCTGCAAACTTTCGATATACTCATTTACTCTGGCGATTCTTCTTTCTCTACCAATTTGTGCAGCCTTACCCAACACCCCACAGATCAAGTTGATGGCTCTGACGGAATCATCATTAGCAGGAATAGGGTAGGTGACAAGACTAGGTTCGGAATCGGTATCGATGATCCCCACGGTTGGGACCCGGGCATCGGCGGCTTCTTTCAAAGCGGTTCTGTTTTCTGTTGGGTTCAAAAACACAATCAAATCAGGCTTGATGTTGGTACTGTTTTCGTGTTCGGTCAACTCTCTACCAGTGGCTTCGTCTTTCAAATCAACCTCTCTTCTAGTCCAGTTCTTGGAAATTTCGGTACTGTTAGTGATGGTACCAGGAATCCATTTGTGGGAAACGTAATAACCTTTACATCTTCTAGCAGCACTTTCCACGGCACGCTGTTGACCTTCTCTGGTCCCCAAAAACAAAATCACCCCACCTTTCTCAGCGATCCCTTCAATTACTTTGGAGGCTCTTTTCAAGTGAGACAAAGTTTTTTCCAAATCAATGATGTGGATCCCACGGTATTCCCCGTAAATGTAAGGTTGTGTGGACGCTCTAAACAACGCAGTAGAATGGCCTAAATGGGCTCCAGAGGCCATCAATTTTTCAATGGTCAACTCTTTGTAATTCACTGGATGAGCAAGGTCGGCAAATGGACGGTAAGTGTCTTGCGTCTTCGAACCTAAGGCACCAGAAGTCTTGGAGTGGTGGACCCTACGTATATATAATTCTTGTTCTGTGTATGGGTCATTTCTCGCACTTTTCTTTAAATATGGGTACGGATTGTATTGTTCACCCATGCCAGCAGCGCCAGCGTCCCCATAATTACCGGTAAACTTTTCTGAAGTGCCAATGTAGTCTTCAAAGAATTTTTCCAATTCGACGTTCAATTTGTTAAGCTTATCATCGTTGGCCTTGGCTTCTTTTTGTTGTTGTTGGATTTGCGACACAATTTCATTCGAACGGGTTTCAGATAATTGGGAGATCTCTTGCATGAATTGTATAGACTCATCGTTGATTTTTCTCAAGAACGCAATCTCGTTACTGTCACTAATGGCGGTAGTAGTTTCTTCCTGTACTGGCTCTTTTACTGATTCTTGTTGTGGTTCTGGGGTTTTCTTTGGAGCAGCAGCAGTAGCATCGGCCTTAGTCTCTGCAATAGGCTCTTGCAATCCAACCTTGCTGGCCTCTTTGACTTCGTTGAATCTAGCCAAACTTGGCTTGATGAAACTTCTCTTGGATCCTTGGAGTGGAGAACCAGAAGCTCTGACAGCCAAGCTACGAGTTGGGGTCTTCAAAGAGTTTCTGAGCAAGTACATCCTGTTCGTGGGTTCCTTTTTTTTTTTTTTTTTTTTGGTAGTCCTTCGGCCCCTTAGTGTCAGAATCAAAAGTCTATAGGATGATATCAATCTTCAACACTCTGATTTCCTTCAATTGGATTGGAAGAGAAAAAAAAAAATTTGTTTATTTCTCTCGGTGCGGTCACCTGCTGAATCACATGAGTTTTCATTCCACCCCTTAGCACCCCCTGGATTGCCGAAAATTGATGTTAAAATAAAATCAAGAACATAGCAGCGAGTATCAGAGAGCTTGCCTAATAATTGAAGGAAAAAAAGAAGAGAAGATGAGAGAAGATGGAACCAAGAAACAGAAATATACCCACATGAAGCTTCATTCATGCTGGCTCCTTCAAGAGCTCGTAATTTTCAGCCTTCATTGGTAGATAATAATATATCGGAGCTTTTTGTGTGCGCACCCAGAATACGACTGCCTTTTGGCATTATAGACCTCACTATTCATCAATCAATTATTAAATCATCAATTTGTAAATAATAGCCATCAATCAATAAAACAGCAAAGCCGCGTATTTCTCCCTAAACAAAACTCAACTTATCCATTCAAATAACTGGTATCAAATTGAATTATGTCATTTATTTATTTCAATCTCCATATTTCACATAATTGAGAGTTTCATAATCGTAAAAAATAAATCAATAGTAAAAGAAATACCGGGGAAACAATTGAAAAGTAGGTCTTAATTGAAAACTCAAATTCTGATAAAATGTTCAAAAGTCACGAAAGAAAAAGTGACAAAAGAAAAGAAAAGAGAATAGAATAGAAAAGAAAAGAAAAAATACTGTGGGTAGAAGATATGTAGAAAATAAAAATCAAGGATACATGATATACATAGCAGGAATCGCTTCAGACAGGCTAATAAATAAAGCAGGAAACACAAACATATGAAGCGCGGCTCGGGGAAGTTTTTGGGAACATGGACATGGACAACAAACATTTTACAACACAGAGAAAGACAATAACGCAAACACAAATGAATGAGAAAGGGAATAATAAAACAAAACGTGGAACAACATAACGTAATGGTCGTAACATAAAACAACAGCAAAGTGTACTTGCAAAAACAGAAAAATTTAAGAAAAAAAAAAAAAAAAATGACAAAACTTATGGTCAAACTAATGGCCAAAGTGATGTTCAAGTTCAAGACAAATACAAATACAAAAGTCTGTTAGGAGAGCTTAATTAATTCTGTTCTTCGTTCTGTTCTTCTCTTTCATCATCTTCGTAATCACCTTCTGGATTTCCATAATATCCCCCCATACCACCATACATAAAGTCACCTGCACCATTTAACATATCTGGACCTCCGCCTCCTAATCCAAACATCATTTCACCGCCAGCTCCAGTTGGCCCGCCAATACCACCCATACCAGCTGCTGCAGCAGCCGCAGCATTAGCAGCAATCAAGTTCATTGCCATGGATTGTGGAGATCCATAGTAGTTAGAAGGATTATAGGCTTGTAAAGTGTTTGGCATCATCATCTCCCCAGCACCAATCCCACCAGAAGGAGACGCAGTTAAGCCTGGGTTAGATAATACATTGGCGGTGGATCCAAGACCAGAATTCATAAGAGAATTAGCGCCGCCTAAAGAAGAAGACATGGCACCAATTCCAGAATTAATACCTGACCCATTGGCACCATAACCTCCAAGAGAACCAAATCCTCCCATTGACCCACCACTATTACCATTACGGCCATTCATACCGTTACTGCTGCCACCATTGCCATTATTTCCGTTACCTCTTGCAGGATTTTGAGATCTTCCCCAACTGAGACGAACTCTACTACCAGCAATGGCAAATCCTTGCATGCCGGCAATAGCAGCCTCGGCATCTTCTCTGGTTCTAAACTTGACAAATCCACAGCCTTTGCCTGGTGGTATCTTAACGTGAATAATAGCACCAAAAGGCTGAAAAAGGGAAAGCAATGTCAGTTCTGGAACCCCTGAAGCTAAACCTCCAATGAACACTGTAGTGTTGTTAGGGTCCGAGAAGCCCCCGGAATAATTTCCGCCCGAGTTATTTCCACTATTTAGGCCGCCTTGACCAGGGGTGTTCGAAGGACCGCCATAGTATTGTTGCATTGCTGCAGCCGCCATGGCTGGATTAGCCCCGTATGGGTTATACATCATCATATCTTGAGAAAACGATCCAGGGATTCCCACTGGAGGACCTCCCATCATATTGACGGCAGCGGCAGCAGCATTGACGTTGGAAACGCTAGCATTACGTGGGGTGGCCAAGGCCACACGAAGAGGTCTGCCTGCGCACCAGATACCTTGCATTTTTATCAAGGCATCACGACGTTCCAGCTCATCGCTAAATCTAACAAAACCAAAACATCTTGAAGCGCCGGTGGTTGGGTCAGTCATGACTCGGACTGTTTTGACAGTCTTGAAATGTGCTTGGAATAGCGAAAGCAAGTGAGCTTCGGTGGTTGTCGGAGCCAAATCGCCGACAAAAAGTGAGTATTCCGGGCTTTGAGGGATCGGGGTACTGAGGGTGGCGCTGCTAGCCCAGTTAAGACGAAAGACACGATTATTCAGGTTAGGGATTTTAGTACCGTTGAGTGAAAGGGCCATCATTGCTTCCTCGTGAGTATCGAATTCGATAAAACAATACCCGGCATGACCGGTATTCAAAGCGGCGGCAGGGGTGCCCTTTTTGGCCTTGATGAGCTTAACTAGAACATTCTTACCCAAATTGGACCAGATCTGACCGATAGTTTCTTCATCTGAGTAAGGATCAATGTCACCCATCCATAAAGTCTTTGGGGGGATGGATGATGTTGCGGCGGTTGCCACTGGAGGGGCAGGGATGGGGAAAGTGGTGATGAAGTTCTCAGGCTGAGAATTAGTGATCACGGGGTTGATAGTTGACGGCATGGCAGTTGGGTTGACAGGAAATTGTCCTGGAGGGTTATTCGAAGTATCTGGGTTAGTGCTTTCGGTGACGGTTGCGGTGGTTGCATTAGTTTCGGTGCCGGATGTTGGGGGGTTTGAGGCAGGGGCACTTGCAATGGCACCAGTTTTCTGATTTTCAGTTTGAAGTTCCATGGTGTTTGATATCTGTTTGTACTTTTAATTGTTAATAAAGCAAAAGAAAAATTGAACTAAAATGAAATGAAATGAAGATAAATGGTGTGCAGTTGATGGATAAGTTTGTAGATGTTTTTGTTTTGGGGATATCTTGAGATACAGACCAATTGTTGATTGATGATAACTGTTTGAAGATTCCAAAAATGTAGTAGCAAGTCAAACGGTTTCGTTGTTGTTGTTTTTTTTTTCCCAAAGATCTGATGACAAGAAAGTCGAAAATCAAAAACCAAAAAACATAAAACAATAAGTGGGGAAACACGCCAGGGACAAACAAGATCAATTGAGGGAATGTGAATGGATTGGGTAATATACTCCAATTATTAGTTGAACGAAACCTCACAAAAGTCAAGCAAAATCAATCTAAACAAAATCAATCAATCAATCAGCTGAAGAGAAGAGAAGGAAAAAAAAAAAAAAAAAAAAAAAAACAGCAGGAAAGAGGAGAGGCTTAAGAAAAAAAAAAAAAAAAAAATGAAAAAAAGCAATCAGGAGGAGAAAAGATAGACAAGTAGATCTGGGGAGAGAGGTTGGCTAATATTTGGGAGTATTAGTAGCAAGTACCCAGTGGTGTATGTATGTATGTATGTATGTATGTGTGTGTGTAACTGGGGAGTTAGAGAGTGGGTGTGGGAATGTGAAACAGTTAGATGGGCACCGTAAAGTGGCAAATAGTGTTTTGAGGTAAAAAGAAAAGCTGAAAAATCAATCAGAAAAAAAAGAAAGTATAAAAGACCCAACAGATCCCTGGCAAGTTTTTCTAATAATGCGTATATATATATATATATATATATATAATGATCTGCTGTTGCAAGGAAGAAAGAGAATAATAATAATAATAATAATAAAAATAATAATAATAATAATCTCTATTATTATTAGTGCGACTTTATTTATAACGTGTTATTTATTATATATCTATCTGTTGTCTTTTTCCTTCGACACTGTTTGATGGCGGTGATGGTTGCTATTATTGCACACGCTGCGCCCCGGTCTAGACCGTTTTTGCAATGTGCCCCAGAGTGTCGTGGTGGTCATGGGCGTAAACTGCTACGACTACGCATGAGAAGTTTAATGGGATAGATCTGATACGTGGTTATTGACATATTGATATAAATAGATAGGTGTAGATATAGATGGATATATGGATGTGGTATTCATGGTATATATAACTAGACACACTGTAACAGAAGGATTATTGATTATGCCAGAAAGTTTGACATCCTGCAACGCCACCCACGTTAGCACAAGCACATGTGAGAGCCAGATGACGGGACGTCCCCCCCGCCTGCCTGCCTGCCTGCCTGCCTGCCTGGTTTGTATCGGTTGCCCGGGGACAGTCAAATCAGGCAGAACCGGCCGTTTCTCTTGCACCACCCACCGCACAGCACCCATGAATATTGTAGCACTATGATGATACCACTCCCTGTCTGTCTGTCTGTCTGTCTGTCTGTCCACCACCATATATTATATATTATATATTGTATATCATTACATTGGTTGCTCATAGAATAACATATAATAATATGCAACAGCTGCGGGTGCTTCCTCATTCCGTTTGTCACTATTCAAAAACTGATACTTGTTGTCGTCCAGTTCACACAGAATTTCTTGTTTGGAAGACACATTGGTCGTTTTCTGTTTGAAATATCCTCTTGAATATATATATATATATATATTTCATTACTTCATTAATGTCCTCCCAAATGACATGACACAATTGTTAGATGACTACTCCAATAACTACAAAAAAAAAAAAAAGAAAGAAAGAAAAGAAAGCAGAGAAGCGTAAATGTACTAGAATAGAACATCTAAATACCTGGATCTTCTGCCTTTCTCTAATATCATTAGTGATATCTTCATCATCACAGATCAATTTTGGGTGAGCGCTAGTTAGCCACAAAAAACACGACAAACACGAAAAACACGAAAAACAGAAAAGAAAAAAAAAAAAAGATCAACAAAAAAAAAAACAGAAGCAAATGTTAGTTATAACCGCTGTATACTGAATCACTACATACCATAATAATTCCCGGTAATCTTGTTCCTAAACTTATATCGCTCTTTTCATCTTTAATACTGTCGATATCAATTACAATAAACATCTTACTTTCACATTACCCGCCATCACTCAGACTTCTTTTAGAGTAGTTACAATAATATAATACATCATCCTGGGGTTTATTAGACTTGAATATAGCTTTGAGTGATCGTGGACTCTGAAATAAATGTCGGCACCATATCACCATTTTAGGCCCATTATAAAGTCATAGATTTAGATATAGATCTGGATTCCTGTCCCGTTTTTCCTATTCAATTTTTTTTTTTTTTTTGGTCGTTCCTCATCTCATCTCATCCCATCTCATCACACGCCATTTTGAATAATAATAACTAATCATCACGAATGCTAGACAATCTTGCCTTGCATTCCAATTGGTTGAAAACAGAAGGCTCCAATATACCCAAGAAATCAACCGCTTTATATTTTCAACCCCAGGCAGCAGATTTATTCAAGAACGGTACCCGAGCCTTACCTCCAGTTTCAACACCTTCGACAAACCACGATGATAGAAATATAGAATCTAGAAATAATAACCAAGGAAATGCTACATCTAATGGTATCAGCGAAATAGTGGGTGGCAGTCTCGCTACTGCTAACCAAAGAATGGCATCTGCTTTCCAATCTTTTATGAATACCCCTTCTTCTCCCAATAGTAAAGCCAACGATAGCCCGAAACCACCAAACTCTGACATATTCAAAATTCCTGAACCTAGGAAACCCACTATCACTGAGACCCGGAGGCAAGATATTAGACTGTCCCTTATGTCTAATAGGCGAATTCAGCCCCAACCTAAAAGCGATAAAAATTCTGATGACTTTATTGATTTGACATTTGACAATGAGAACGCTAAAGCTGATGACTCTAGTTTTGATAGTTTCAATGATGATGATGATGATATTTTTGTTGATGCAGTCGAATCGCGACATTCCAATAACAACAACAACAACAACAACAACAACAACAACAACAACAACAACAACAACAACAACAACAACAAGAATAGGCGGACTTTCAGTAGCACTACGACAGTGGCAACATCATCTAATATACCCGACAATACCAACAATAACGTATTGGCTTCCAAGGCTATGGATCTGTTAAATAAAAACACTTCGTCAAAGACAAATATAGTTGGAAACACTAGATCTACAGTATCAATAAATAGCATAACCGAAAATAGCTCAGCGAACAACAAAAGACCTTATACTGCTATCAAGAACCACGGGGATCTGTTGCTGACCCCTATTCGCAAATCTAGAAAGCAAAATAATACTAATAGTGCTGTTAACAAGAGATCTACTTTGGCTCCAGATGGAGAAGAATTAAGTGATATGAGTGATGACTTAAGCATGATGGATGAATTACGGGCTCACAAACAAACGAGCGATATGAATTGGGATAATACCCCCCTCGCAACCCTACGACCGTCGCCTTTGACCCAAGGGACACCACATAACTATAAAAAATTTACTAATGCAAGAAAAGCTGCCGCAATCATATCAAAGAGAAGTGGAACCTTTCATAATACGTCGGGAAATCAAACAATTGCAATATTGTCGCGGCTTCATAATACCCAGGCAAGGATGATAAAATTACTAGAATCAAAAGTCTCGATGATGGCGCAAATCGAAGATAATCTTATTTCAAAGAATCTAAGTGAGAATGATAAGGTGAATCGTAATAAAGATATCAGGAGAAAATTGCAAGGAAGTGTGAATGCAAAATTACAGTCAGAAAAACTCGAAATAGAGAACCTAGAAAAGGAATTGGAGAAAGCGAAGTTGTGGGCACCTTCCAATGAAATAGAAAATGACCCAAACCAAAGAATCAACACTATCGTGTCTAATACATCTGGCAGCTCTACTAGTATATCAAATAATATTACCAAGCATGATAATTACTCAAACAATATAGAAATGGAAGAAGATCTAGTCCTTGATTTTGGAAAAGATGAAATTCCAAGAACGCAGATACCCGCAACAAGGATGGGCACCATTTTAACCCTTGATGAAGCACCGCCATATAGGATTCAGCCGTCTCAAAGTCGACCACCTAAACTGGTAAACAACAGGAATAAAGATATTTCAATTCATGGCTTTTCAGATGAAGATGGCTTCACTTCGGACGAAGATGATTTGAAAGAACTTGAAAACATGGCCAATTCCAAACAGAAAGAATTAAATCAGAAGAAGCCCGGCCTCATACACTTCGAAGATGATAATAGCCACGACAGAAGCTTCCATGGTAGTGCTGAAAATGCTATTCCTGTTGAGGATGTTGATCTAGGGGATCCCATTGATGATCATCATGAAATCGAGGAAAAGAGTAGATTATTTGAGGTTTCCAGCAGTCTTGCAGAATTTGAAAATGATGATATCGATGAGGGCGCCGATCTTGAATTTGATAAGGAAAACCGCCTTCCCGCTGTAACTAATAAGCATGCCGACGATGTTGATGATCTGGAACTTATGTTTACACCAGAAAATGAGCGTGACGATGTGGTAAATACCCAAGATCGAGAATTTGTCGTTGATGAAGAGAGTGATGGGGATGAAGATTTTATTGTAGGAGGAGATAGTGATGCTGATGAAATTGATGGTGATGATGAAGACGATGAGGTGGATGATGGTGATGAAGATGGTGGTGATAATGAAGAAGAAGAAGAAGAAGAGGATCACATTATGGGAGGTAGTGAATCATTGAGAACAGAACTAGAGAATTTAAACAACAACTCTCCGGCATCAGGAAATGATAATGACAATGTGATTGACTTAGAAGATGAGGACTTTCCTGAAGAAGAAGAAGAAGAAGATGAAGAAGAATCTGGTTTATATGAAGCTAATGACAACTTTAATGAAGAGCGTGAAGTCTACATTGTGCTATCCCAAGAAGAAGATGATTTAGAAGAAATTGAACCATCGGAATTCACCTCCACTCATAAACCTGTGGAAGTAATGTTGAAACGTGAACCAATGACTCAAGTACCAAGCAGCACGTTCGGGGATGATGATCAATTACAACTAGATGAAAATGATGTTTATCCTTGGTCCAAGGAAGTCCGCGAAAAGCTTAATGATGTTTTCAAATTAACAAAGTTTCGTGATAACCAGCAGGAAGCAATTAATGCCACCCTTCGTGGGAATGATGTTTTTGTGTTGATGCCAACTGGTGGTGGGAAATCCCTTTGTTATCAGTTGCCTGCCATTGTCAAGTCGGGGGAGACTAAAGGAACAACGATCGTCATCTCACCATTGATTTCTCTCATGCAGGATCAAGTGCAGCATTTGAAAGAAAAAAATATTGAAGCAGCTTATATCAATTCCAAGGGTACTGCCGAAGAACGCCGTCATACTTTTAATTTGTTTGTCAACGGGTTTTTAGACCTTGTTTACTTGTCTCCAGAAATGATTAGTGCCAGCAATCAGGCCAAGAATTGTATTCGAAAACTATATGATAAAAACATGTTGGCGAGAATTGTTGTTGACGAAGCCCATTGTGTCAGTAGTTGGGGTCACGATTTTCGACCAGATTACCAGGCATTGAAATACTTCAAAGAGTCGTATCCCGATATTCCAATTATGGCGTTGACCGCCACTGCGAATGAACATGTTCGAATGGATATCATCCATAATTTGAAAATGAAAAATCCTGAATTCTTCAAACAGAGTTTCAATAGAACCAATTTGTTTTATCAATTATTGCCCAAGAATAGAGGTTTTGTCGATGATGTACGTCAGTTAATCGCTTCTAAATACAAAAATATGACGGGGATCATTTATTGTCATTCCAAGAATTCATGTGAACAAATTAGTGCCCAGCTAATGGGATTTGGGATTAAAGCAGCATTTTACCATGCGGGGATGTCACCGGAAGAAAGATTTCAAGTACAAACATGGTGGCAACAAGATAAAGTCAGGGTTATTTGTGCTACTATTGCGTTTGGTATGGGGATTGATAAACCTGATGTTAGATATGTCATACATGCAACTTTACCTAGAACTCTTGAAGGTTATTACCAAGAAACTGGTCGTGCAGGTCGTGATGGGAAAGAATCTGAATGTATTTTGTTTTATACTTATCAAGATGCTAGATTGTTGATCAATTTAATTAATCGAGATAAGGAATTGGACGCAGTATCAAAGGACAAGCATATGAATAAATTGAAACAAGTGATACAATATTGTGAAAACTCTACTGATTGTCGGCGTCAACAAGTGTTGCAGTATTTCAATGAAAAGTTTGATAAAAAAGATTGCCAAAAGAAATGTGATAATTGTGTGTCATTGAACAAATCAGATTCGGTAGTCAAGGATGTAACAGAACATGCTAAAAATATTCTTCAATTGGTTAAATCTATCCAACATGAAAATGTCACATTGATTCATTGTCAAGATATTTACAGGGGGTCGAGAATTGGGAAGATTGTTAACGCTGGGCATGATCAATCACCATATCATGGAAAAGGAAAAGATGTGGACCGAAATGAGTTGCAACGTATTTTTTTCCATTTAATCACATCACAATTGGTGGTGGAGTTTCCAATCATGAACAAATCAGGTTTTGCCAACAATTATGTGAAGATCAGCCCACAAAATTGTTATAAGGTTTTGAATAATCTTGAAAGGATCAAGATGTCATTTAGTAAGGATGACGGGAGAGGAAATAATAGCTCTGCTAATAACTCAATGAATAATAGTGGCGGCTCGGGTGGCAGAAGTGGATCGAAAAGAAAACAACAACGCGCACCAGCCATCACCACAGCAAAGTCCATGCTTAAACAAAATTCATTTCAAAGTTTTGCTGCTGGAGGAAGCCTTCAGCCAAACAGGAGTGGTGGCGGAAATACACGTCGTGGTGATAGCTTTAACGCTAATAGAAGGGAAAGCAAATCATCGCAAAAGAATTCTAAATCGACGAGATCGAGAAAGAAGACCACTATAAAAGCCATGTCTATCAAGCCACCATCCAAATCCTCTGCTTCGTCAACCTCCACCTCCTCCAGTAAGCGTCCCAGGACGCTGAAACTGAATAATAAATCCTCAGCGACAACCCCAATAGTGCTATCAACTTCCAATTCTTCTCCACCGCGATTTTCTGAAGAATGCTATCAAGATCTCAAGCACCTAAGGATGAATAAGATGTCGGAGCTCAATATGAAGACTAGTTCGGCATTGTTCAGCGATGAAACCTTACGTGACATGGCAGTCAAATTGCCATCAACAAAATCTGAGTTCAAAAAGTTGAAAGGGGCGAATGTGAAGTCTATCGACGCATATTTTTCAGATTTCCGATCGTTGATAATGAAGTATAGAAATAAAAGAGACAGTGGACAGTCTGGTACGACAACTAATAGATCATCACCCTATTGGGGCAATAATTGATGATTATATATTGCAATTTTGTTTTTTTTAGATTTTTTTTTTTTCTTTATTCTTTCTCTTTTTATTGGTTCCATTGGTAGATTTTTAGTGATTGCAGGAAGTTTTTTTTGATAATTTAAGGCGATGGTTGTAGCTTTTGATATGAATGCTCTATTATGACATCAGAGCGCTGGATAGACAACAAGACAGGTATATTTCAAAAAGCGGTTTCAAATTTTTTTTCTTCGCATACACAATACTTATAATAACATAGTACATAATACAAGCATAATTGTTCTTATTTGCGGTTATTTTTGTTGTTGCCTTTTTGCTTGTTTTGTTTTTCTCGTTGACTCTGACAACCAACAACATTTATCTGAACATGTAAAATCTGCGCTACATAGCTTATGCATATTGTGTTGATAGAGGCGTTCAGGCTCTCTTATATTTTAGACACCTTTATACAACAACCTCAGGGTTTTCCTGTTTATTTGTTGTTGTTTTTTTCTATTCGATTAGCCAGCAGTTACGCTTTACAGAGAGAGTACGGGAAGTAAACCGTATCAGTAAGTTGTCATACGTGCGTTGACATTATTATTATTATCCGTAGTGGAAACTTTTTTTTTTTTTTTTGCGGCGGTTTTTAGCAGCATTTTATCATGTGTGAGACCCCATGCTGCTATGATCGTCATGATATTGGTTTTGTTAAAAAGCGACTATCTACATATTGTTATAATTATTCTTAGCTTGGGGGGATTTGAATAAAAAATACAATAAATAAATATCTAATAACAATAATAATACTAATAATGATAGTGTACAGAGATGGCGGTTTCTTTCTTTTTCCGGTTTTCTCCTAAAAACAAAAAAAAAAAAAATAAAAAAAAAAAAATTGATTCAGACTGCACACACACCCTTGTGGTTACTGCGATGTGATCCCATGCCTCATCGTTAGACCGACCGGTCGAGTAATTAATTTTAATCCACCAACAATTTCTCGGAAGGGTCCACTTTCAGTAACAGAGAGAGAGAGAGAGAGAGAGAGAGAAAGAGAGAGAAAAAAAAAAAAAAATAAACACTGAAGATCGATTTTCGTGTGGCAGTTTAGTTTCATAGTTTCTGTACCGTTCTTTTGACCTCTTCTCTTACTGCTTCGATCACAGAACCATCCCCTTCTATCTATTTTATCCCTGAGAAAATGTTGGAATACACCGATCATTACCTCAATAACGATCTACTTTCACCCACGTTGGGCCAAGGCAGCAGCCTTGGAAATGGAAATAATAGGGGCAGCTTCGAAGAATACCATCAGCCCAAGCCCAACAGCGGCGACCCCATACCCAATATCATCACTGCTTCTATCAACGAGACTACTGCTACTAATAATAAACCCCTCAATGAAATAGGTGGCCATCTACAGCCAACGCCCACAATTAAAGGCACGCCCAGTGACTGTTCATCATCATCAACCATCACCAAGATACCCACCGTTGATAGTCCTCTGTTTCGAAAAAACTATCTAACTTCTAAGATGCTTGACTCTCTCAAGAATAAGAGTGCCCTCCGTGGAAAGATGGTCTACGGCCATGTGTATAGTCATAACGATCATAATCATATACACGGTCACGTCCATAAAGAAAATTCTTCTAATTGTCAGCTAGAACTGTGGAGACCCTTGGGCAATGGTGCCCAGCTGAAACCTCAGGTGGATAACAATACTCTGCTGATGTTCAATAATAATAATAATAATAAATATGGTACAACCTCGACTAATGGTAACACGCTTGGACTTGACTATTTGCAAGCGTTTGAGCCTCAGCTAGTTACCATTTGTTGTGACAAGGAACACAAAAGAAAAGTTGTGAAACCCGAAGCATCAACGACCGATCCAAATAACAATAATGGTGCTACTAATCAGCATCACCATCATCACCATCATCATCATAATCATGATCACGGCACTCCGGAACAACACCATTTGCATCAATGTTCTACGTCCGAGCTCGATCTTATAAACTCCTGTTTTGATTTTGATTTTTGCGATGAAGTATCGTGTAATGACTTTGTATGCGATAACTATATTCATAATATTAATCATGGTGCAAACGGCAGTATAGTTAATAATAATAACAACAACAACAACAACAACAACAACAGCAGCAACAACAACAACAATAATAATAATAACAATTTCGGCACCACCATGGAAAGACCTACAAATCCCGCACAACCATTCAACTGTCCGATTTTTGTGAACCCCTCTAATAATAACTTAGACCATCATAATTGTAATAATGGTTTCAACTATGATTCTGCCTTGGAGTCCAACGTCGAGTTTCCTTCGAATTCTACTGCCGAAACGTCTCCTAATAGTGATTGTGGTGTTAATAGTAATTTCATCAATAATAATAATAATAACAAAGCGGTCCACAACAGTTTTATCTTAAACCCAATGACAAACGAACTCAGTTGCATTCTGTGCAAAGATGATTATCTGGGCTCTAAAAATATCAAGCCCAATGCTAACAATAACTGTAATTGGTTCGGAATGAATATCCAAGAGGATTTGAAGAATATCAAAGTATCCATGCCTAGCCCCAAGTCTGTGAATGGTAAGGATAAAAATCGTTCTTTTGATTATCAGCCTTACTCGTTCAACAATATGTTTTTCACCGATAATGATATTAATATCAACGCGGTCCCTCCACAAAATTCATACATTGATCGGTTCAATGACATTCAAGGATTTTCCCGACCAACAAGTTTCCTCAGAAGTGGCCTTAATGATAATAACCCCGACCAATCGAAACGAAGATTTTCGGAGATTACCGATGACCAATCAAAGAAATCATTGCCAATGTCAAAGAGAATGAAACCGTTGGAGAAACAAACGTGCCATTGGCATGATTGTACCTCAACCATCGACCCTAAAAATTTTCAACAACATATTTTCAAAGATCATTTACTTCCATCATTTAACCATTTTGCCACTGATAAAAAACCGTTTATGATGGATGGCGATACCTCGTCTTTTGATAAGATGCTCAAGATATTTCAGGATAACAATTCTGAGCAAATCATGGGCTATGGAACTTCGGGGGGCGATATTTCTAGTGTGGTTAATGATTTGAATTGTAAATGGGATGATTGTGACTTTCAAAGTCTTGATTTCGCCGGGTTGTTTGATCACGTCAATAAAGAACATGGACAAACTTTTGATAATAATCAACTTGATTCCATGCCATTGATGTCTGCTACAAAATTATCAATAGATAATACTCCTCCTTCGCCACAAGCGCTCCTGCAAGTCCAACCAACCACTGAAACTCCCAAAAAGTTTACTTGTCTTTGGGAATCGGCTGATGGTACTCATCAATGTAATGAAACCTTCAAAGATACTTCGGAGCTTACTGATCATATAATTTCCCAGCACGTTGGTCTGGGTAAATCGCAGTACGTTTGTCACTGGCACGGGTGTGAGCGGAACGGGAAAGTGTTCAACCAGCGTCAGAAAATCATTCGTCATCTTCACGTTCACACAAAACACAAACCTTTCAAATGTGACATTTGCGGGCATTCTTTTTCGGTGGAAGCGATGTTACAACAACATCAACGGGTTCACAGTGGGGAAAAACCATTCCATTGCAAATTGTGTGGCAAGCGTTTTGCTAATTCATCAAGTTTATCAATCCATACTCGGACGCATACTGGGGAAAAACCCCTCGCGTGCAAGTTTCCTGGTTGTAATAAGCGGTTTAGTGAAAGTAGTAATTTGGCAAAACATATGCGAACCCATGCTAAGAAGTACAAGTGTGATAAATGTACCAAGAGTTTCGAAAAGTTGCAACAGTTGGAAAACCACATGTTGAAGCACGGAAAGGATGATGAGAGTAGTGATAGGAAAATGAGGAAATGAGGATGATGAGTTTTTTGTTTTTTTTTTTTGTTGATGAGTGTCATGTTTTCTCCATTGATTATTTGTTTGTTGTTGTTTTATTTTCAATTAGATTTTGTATTATTACTTTTATGTTTTCTTTCTTTCTTGTCCTTGCATAATCATACCTTTTTTGTATTAGATAGCTTTTCAGTGTTATTTACTGTAGTGGTTTACAGTTATATGAAATGTGACAATGATAAATAGAAAAAAAAAAAAAAGACGAGAAATTGTGAGTAGCATGAGTTTAGGAAAATTAAAATTTACTAAGATCTTTGCTCAAGCACTCTTACGAGTGATTATTACGAAGCATTTGATTTTTCAAATAGACTACAATCAATATAAACCTTGCAGATCTGTAATTTAATAAATTCTTCCGTTTCTACAGAGTAAGCATCCTGCTAACTGCCTGGCAGAAAGCATACTCATCGTACTTAATGACAACTATCTAGATTGGATCCCTAGACATTTGATAGTCATTTATTACTTTCTATAGAAGTATGTGTCATAGTTTGCTCGCTCTGCAAATGTGGTGATTTCAATTCATTTGTTTGTTGTTTTTTTAACATCATAATGATTATTGTTTTTTTGAAAAAAAAAAAAAAGATCAGTTAGAATGGAAAATTCATTGGTACAATATCTCCATCTCTATCATACCTTCTTGATCTGTTTGGGTGGTCATAAAAAAATTATAACGGATACCCCCTGACCACGACAAATTACCTTCAAATTCCAGACAATCAATGACAAAATTATTTTTAGTAAAAAAACCTCATAAATAACAATTCCTGATAGTCCAGTGTATAAACATGAATTCCAGTTAGAGAACTTATATCCTTGATGACTGTTGTCCAAGACCTTCATTTAGTTGTGTAGGTTATCCAAAGGGTTGTTACTCAGATCCAATGTTTTCTCTAAGATTATTGGCTATATATATAGCCGGTCGAAGGAAACTTAGGAAAGCACATTTAATTGTAATTATCCAAAGAATGCTTAATGAGAAGAGGTTGGTAACATTACACCGCTCGACTAATGGGCCCTAAAGACTATTTAGCCCTTGGACACATTGCTACTACTAGTCACTACTCCTTTTATTTTCGATTATATACCATAATTCGATCTACTAATGGTTGTATCGAATGAAATGAAAATAAATTGTTAAAGTAAGTATAAACATCTTGTAAAGGTTTAAGCGTGTCCTCTAAAATAAGAATGATAAAATGGAAAGACAAGAAAGACTGCTCTATTTAAGAAGTTCGATCTTCTCTTGGAACTATTAGATATTTCTAGAAGATAATAGAAGATAATAGAAGATAATAGAAGATAATAAAAGATGATAGAAAGTAATAGAATATCCTGCCATGTTCAAGAACCTAAAAGGGAATTCTTCGAAATGCTTGGATGCTCTACGAAGAATTATTATTAATAATAATTTATTAGTGAACTAATGCGTCCTAGAAGTACATTAACAATAGTATAGTGATACCTTGAGCATGACATACGTTACAACTTGTATACTTCCAAGCTATTAACCTCAAATACTACAAGCCAGGCTGGTAAATTTTGTGCGAAGATCTAAAATCAAGGCAATCTGGTTAAGTTCCTGAAATAGCTTTCTAATCCAGCAGAGGAACCTGAAAATTGACACCGCTAAGCGGTCAGAGTTACTTCCTACCACTCCGATCATGAGGTTTCGTTTTTCAAGGAGATAGAAAATCCACACAAAAGTGTATTATCTCAGAGATTACAATTCGAAATACCAGAGCCAATCAGAACTCTTTCTTTAAAATTTGCATTGAACGCTTACCATAATATTGATAATAAGAATAGAATAATCTTAGAAGGTCGTAGCGTCTGTATTTCCGAATACATGTTTACTTTCTCCTTGAATTCAAAAAGGTTCGTTTTGATTATATTCCTGGAGTGAAATATCGCAAAATTAAAATAGAAAAAAGAAGGCACTATCTTTACAACTAGAACTGCTTTGGCAATATACCTATTTCATATTTTCTCATGTCATCAAATAAAATTACGAACACTTGGAGCGATATTTTGGGATGGGCGAATCTTTCAATTTCTTGGTTACGTTATTTTTATAATGAGCTATTAAGGAAGTCAATTATAGCAGTAATATATATTGCCATATCTTTGGCATACGAGATTTTAGTATTATACCTGTTGAGCCATAACTATGGGTGAGGGGGTGTCAATAACCTAAAGCAAAATATGTTTCAGTTAAATATTAATTACTAGCACCAATAGTTGAACAATTGAGCGGAATACTCAAATTCAGAGAATAACCCAAACCAACACACAATTCTACAAATATATATCGGAAAAACAAAATGCAATTCACTCATAATGGGAGGAGGTGTACTAGTCGTACTTGTACACTTTTTGCTAACAACACACTTGAGTGCTAGTAGCCATAACACCATTACTTCTAACCTAAATTTTCTTACTTTCTATTTTACTTACTCATTCTACCTTATTATCTCACTACTGCTTTTAGAGAGGCAGCACATTATTCAATCACTATATTTTACTACGTTGTTAACTTTATTAAGTTATTGTTTATATTAATCCAGAATGATCTTAAATCCGATATTCTTAGACTTTCCCTACTAGCCATAATCGCAAAAGTCGACAATAATAGAGAGATTGAATTATGCCAAATACACGTGACACAGATCATATACGCACGCAGGGGAAAGAGGAAAAAAACTCCAAAACAATACAGACTCTCAACATGAGAAGCTTCAATATCTCAAAATAAAGCAATATATTCTTCGCCCAATTTCAAAAATGGCAGACAGATTGACACAGTTACAGATATGCCTCGATCAGGTATGTTGGTTTCGGCTTGGAAAAAAAAATAAATAAAAGGCTACTATTTTCAATACTCAAGTGATTTATAACTAACCTGACTAGCTTCTTGAACAATTCTGTGCAACAATAAACTACGTCAACACGAATCACGATTATGAACCGTCAGATAATGAAGAAAAAATGGCGGATAAAGACGCAAATGTTGCTGATCCTAAAGAATTCAAGGATACTATGAATGAATTATCTACTGATATAATATTAAAGACCCGACAGATATTCACAATTATAGAGTCGCTACCGGGTATTGGCGTGTCGACAAAAGACCAGCTAGATAAAATTGAGAGCCTACAGAATGAGTTGCTATTAGTTCAAAAGGAGAGAAGGAAAGCTATAAAGGAGAAGAACAACCTTCTTGACTGGTGTAACCTGATGATCAACAGCGTTAGTGATGATATTGTTGAGACCGCGAGATTCAGTTGATTTTTTTCTTGTCTTTAACTTTTTTGATGATTGCAAAAGTACAGAATGAATTGAGCAGTCAATGCTCTTTACCACGCACGTAGTGGCGATTTAAGAGGAGGAGCATGAGGATGATGTTTGTAGTTTGTGTATTATATAATATATTAGGTATTTACTAATTGGGCAAACTTTCACGTGTCGCAAGTCATTGCTATTCGCAGAGCGGGTGGCGGCACCGGGTGACTTTTTAAATTTTTTTTTTCCTCTGTGATTTTCTCCTTTTTTCTTAAGCAAGAAAAAAAAATAGTGGAACAAAAAAGTGAAAGTTTTTTCGTGGATTTTGTCCTTAATCACATATAGTGCACTCTCCATCTGTTTGTGAATCTTTTGTAAACGAAAGTTATAATTCAAGATGTCTGCTGATAACGCTGGTAATGTTCCAACCTTCAAGTTGGTTTTGGTTGGTGATGGTGGTACCGGTAAAGTATGTTGTGTTGTTTTGTTTAGCCATTTTTTTTAATTGCCACGGCTGATGCTAAATTAGAAGATGATTAATTATTGTGTCCAGTCATGACAATTTGGCTTCTCTTTATTGCAAATGCCTTCTATAATAAGGTTAAGTGCGGTTGTACTTAGCTTCTCAATGGTGTGTTGATTGTAGGGGGTTGTTTATTGTCGCGATTTACCATTATTGTTGTTATTGTTTAATCCGAATCACAATAAGAAATAAGTTGCTTCAAAATATCATCAACTAAGCTCTTCACCCATATTTATATAGATTTGTTTTGTTGTTGATGAGATTGTACATTTTGTCGATGAAGTATTTGCATTTGGCGTCATCTGTGGTATTATTTATTTTTGCCAAAAAATTATGCATTTGGGTGATATCAATACTAACAATTTTTCTTTTTATAGACCACTTTCGTCAAGCGTCACTTGACTGGTGAATTCGAAAAGAAATATATCGCCACTTTGGGTGTCGAAGTCCACCCATTGACTTTCTACACTAACTTTGGTGAAATCAAGTTCGATGTCTGGGATACCGCTGGCCAAGAAAAATTGGGTGGTTTGAGAGATGGTTACTACATCAACGGTAAGTGTGGTATTATCATGTTCGATGTCACTTCCAGAATCACCTACAAGAATGTTCCAAACTGGCACAGAGATTTGGTCAGAGTTTGTGAAAACATTCCAATTGTCTTGTGTGGTAACAAGGTTGATGTTAAGGAAAGAAAGGTCAAGGCCAAGACCATCACCTTCCACAGAAAGAAGAACTTGCAATACTACGATATCTCTGCCAAGTCTAACTACAACTTTGAAAAGCCATTCTTGTGGTTGGCCAGAAAATTGGCTGGTGACTCTCAATTGGAATTCGTTGCCGCTCCAGCTTTGGCTCCACCAGAAGTCCAAGTTGACAGCAACTTGATGGAACAATACCAAAAGGAAATGGACAGCGCCGCTGCTTTGCCATTGCCAGATGAAGATGAAGATTTATAAGCAGTTTGAAAAAATGGTCTTTCTTTAGTTCATTGTTGTTTGTTTCATTGTTGGGGGAATTTGTTGAAAAAAAAAGGGCTATTATCATCTATATTTTAAATTAATTCATTTGTTTCATAAACTTCGATATATAGCTGTCACTTCTCCTCAGTAATATAAGTGTATAAATTGCTTTCTTTTTCTTTAATACAAATTGTAGTGTAGCAAGGCTCTACAGACATAAAAAGAAAACTAGAAACAGACATATATTTCTATGATAGTATCAACAAAATGACATCAGATAATGGTACATAAAATATAATTAATGAATGAACATGAAGCAGTGAGAGAGAGAGAGAGAGAGAGAGAGAGAGAAGAAAAAAAAACATGAGGAGGAAATTTTTTGCCTAGTTATTTTATAATTTTTCAACGCTTGTAGTTTTGTTATCGTAGTAAGCCAACAATCCCACTTTGAATTCCGAACAAGCAACACCAAACTGCTTAAGAATCAAAGCTTTACGGACATCCAAAGTTTCACCCTTTTCACAAACAGGGTATTCTTCTTCCAAGAAAATTTTTCCTTTCTTGATAGTGGTTGGAAGTTTGAAAGTGTTTCTCATTGTTGGATCCATGGTATGTTGCATTGGAATATCTTCATCTTCGGCTATTTGACCACCTCTAGAGTAAACAATCCCTTGAGGTATAGTGAAATCAATAGGAGACTTAGAGTTGGCTCTAGCATAGTCGTTTTTCGAGTAAGATTCGAAATAGTCTTTAACCACCTTTGGTTCTTCATCGGTGAATAGTATCCCCACAACACCATCAAACAACTTAGATAATTGGCTAGAGTTTTCTTTATATTCTTCTTCAATAGTGTCACCGAGAGCCTTTTGCAAAACACGCTGCTTACCCATGATAAGTTTTGAGCCGGCCCATTCTGATCTAAGTTCTTGAAGAACTTGGTTTCTCACACCATCGAGGTTCAATAACCATGCATATCTGAAAGTATCCAAATTACTTCTGACTTCATCGAAGATTCTTTCTTTATTGTCACGGCCCTTTTTATCTGTTTGGGTCAAACTGACGAGCTTGGATCTCTTTGATTTTGGCATTTTTGAGTGAAGGGAAAAACAATAACTATATGATTATTGAGTAAAGGTTAAAGGTTAGAAAAGTGTAACTTTTTACAGGAGTGAAAAAAATTCAAACAGCAGAATTTTTTTTTTTTTTTTTTTTTTCCTCTGTTGATGAGCTTACCCGGTATTTGGAAGATGATCTGTGGTTTCGCAGGCGGTCCTTCGGTCAAACAACGGCCAGGCAGTTCCCTCTTTCTAAGCTACTTGGAAATACCCGGAGCCCCAACTTACTCTTATTGTTTGGTGGTCTTTGGGTTGTGTTTCCCAAAATTGACTAATTATGTTTTTGTAGAAACCGGTGGTGGTTACGTATAGATAACTCTTGTGAGTGGTGCTTTCAAGTTGATGCATCAATTTGAAAAGACGATGCAATTGAAAAAGATAACAAATCGACGACCATCGCCTGTTCTTTGTAATAAATCCACACTGTAAATAAAGAATAATGCTCGCCACTTCAGTTGTGTGTGAACTTCTGCTGTCTCTGGTTGGTGGTAACCCGCATGTAAATCAGATTACCGGTTTTTTTTATCTTTTCCTCTCAGCGCCAATCCCATCTCGCCATATACTTGATTTGGGTGGTGCCCTGTCTACTTGTGCAACTTTCATTCCCAGTCAAATTTTGGTGATTATTCCAGGATATTCGCTACTCACGTACTAATTATAATAGAATTACTGGAACGGAAATAGTGCCGCAAGAACTGTTGGTTTTTTTTTAATTTTTTTTTTTTCTTTTCTTACTCTAAAGGTTACAGGATCCACACAATCACAAAGGTGGCAAACATCAGATAATAACTTGCATTCAACAAGCTGTGATATTTACAAGCATTGAATTATATTTCCTCAGAGCTCTTTTGATCACCGTAGATAACTCTAGCTCAAGACGAATCAGAAACACACAAGCTCAAGAAGCCGACTAAATCCGATTGTTTCGAAATATAGAAAGCATGTCAGGAAAAGGAGATGCTAAGGCATCCAAGACTAGAGTACTAGAAGAAAGTGGTGATACTCAAGATACACAAAGAATGAAGGACGAAAAAATGCATAGATCGAGGAATGAAGACGTGGACATGACAAATGCTGACGATGACATTTCCGAAGAAGAAGGACTATTGAGACTTTCCCACCAATATCAGAAATCAAAATCGTTCAGCAATGATCAATCGGCCAGTGGAGACGAAGTGGATGAAGACAAACTGATGTCTAACTCATATTATAAGCGTTCGATTCATTATGGTTCAGATGATGCATCAGAATTCATCCATGAGAATGATCATGGTTCTGATGGCGATGAGAATATGGATGATACTGAAGACTATCATTACAATCAACGCCATGACGAGGAAGATGAACAAGAAGATGATGAAGATGAAGGAAGAGACGATGAAGACGAGGAAGAAGAAATTAACGAGGACGGTGCATTTGATCCGTTCAACGGATCTGGTAGCGGAAGAATTAGTGGCAATGATATAAGGTCAAGATTGTTATCTGAAATGTTCCCTGAAGCTGCGAACTTTTTCAGTGCTTTGTCAGGCGGTGGAACTTCAGGAATTAATGGCTTGATTGATGGCTTATCGCGCCGCGACGACCCGTTCCTCATTCTAGAAACTTTGAATGAATTATCTGATAGGCTATTAGTCACGAACAGTTTGACAGAAGCAGGGGTTCCAGTCACAAAATTATCCAAAGCCTTGATATCAATCTTGAATGATCCATTCCTCACTGGTGAATTAGAAGTCCAGCTAGTAGCTTGCAGATGTATATATAATTTGTGGGAAGTTAATCCAGATTATGCCTATACCCTTGTGTCGGTTGGTGCAATCGAGGCAATTCAACCCAAATTGATGGAGATCAGTTATATTGATTTGGCTGAGCAATGCTTACAGACACTTGAAGTCATTTCTAGAAGTAGCGGAAAGAGAATTTTATCAACGGGTTGCTTAAGTGCATGTGTTCAATATCTTGATTTCTTTACTATACACGCCCAAAGAAAAGCATTGATCATTGCTGCCAATTCCTGCGTTGGCATCAAGGGTGATTCTCTTGATTCAATCAATGAGGTTTTTCCAATTTTGTCACGAGTTGCTGTTGAGTATTCTGATACCATTGCTGTTGAGAATGCATTAGTTGCGATCTGTGGTATCCTTAATAGCTTCAAAGATTCACCACTATCTTTGGAAAAATTGGTTAAACCAGAGTTGCTTAGGCGCATGTTGGATATCATTTCAGCTTCTTCATCAAGGAAATCTACCAAGGGCGACGGCGTTAGCAGTTCATCAACTGTTGTGCTAAATCTTGCGACAGTTAACAAATCATTGACTGCTTTGGCTAGCATATCTTCGGCTTCCCCTAAGATTTCTTTTATGTTGATTAACGAATGTGAAGTTGGAAAATTCTTCAATAAAGCCCTAGGGAGGGACTATGATGCTAAATCATCTTCAATTGAAGTCCTCATGAAAACTCTGAAGGATTTATTCATTAAGGTTTTGAACTTTATTTGTTCTTTGCTCCCAGTAGTTACGGTTGATTCTAATGAAGAATATTCACGATTCTGCGGTTATTTTTCGATGTTAACAGACGCTAGATCAAAAATTAACAGTGAAAGAAAAGAACTCTTCAATTCTGAAAAGAACTCTAATGATTTGAACTCATTTGCAAATCATGCCTTGCCATTGTTGGTTGATATGCATTCTGCTTCTGTTGATTTTGAAGTTAGAAGAAGAATTTTATTGGCAATTATCAGACTTGCCAGTATTGCTAATTTCAAAAAGATTTCAACTGGACCACAGTCAATTAATTCAATAACTAGTCTATTGACGTCTGTTGTGATTCAGGCCAAGAATGCTTTAGAAAATGATTTTTCATCTGCCAACATAAATCATCCTGCCAAAGAAGTGCGCAAAAATGCTAGTTTGTACGTCTTGTTTCTAGGCACCTTGATCGTTGTTGATTTGTTTACAAAAAAATATTCATCTATCTTTTTGAAGGAATTTGATAGAGAAGGTTTGTTTTCCAATATTTCTACGCTGCATGACATTTGCTTGAAAATTTTGGAAACTTATAATAGTGAAAGTGATAACCGTGCGGATAGCAAAGCCCTTAATATCGAACTGGATAATGGTAATGCCCCTGATGATGAAAACAGTACCAAAGAGGAACAAGGTAACAATTTCGAGGAAGGTGTTTACAATGAGAATGAAGGAGAGGATGAAGACGAAAATGAAGAGGAGGAAGAAGGCAATGAAGAAGACGATGTAGACAACGAAAACAACGAAGAAGAAGAAGATGATGATGATGTTGATGTCGACGACGACGACGACGACGGCGACGAAGATGATGATGTTGAGTTCGCAATCAATAGGTTTGGAAGTAGCCACTATCAAAATGAAAATAATTTGGCTGATGTTGATGCAAATAATTTTAGTTTTGCAGGTCACAATGATATTGCCATGATTAATATGATCGCTGAGCTATTGTCCAGTATCTCACAAGATTATACTAATGCTAAACATTCTAGCTCATTGGAGATGTTACCTCATATTAAGCTTCATAAGGAGGTGGTTACCACATTAAAGAATTCTGAATTGATCAAAACCTACTCTTATGATCAATGGCTTGGTTTATGGAAGAAATTAGCACAGAGTTTGGATTCCGACGGTGTTGTGATTTCCAGCTATGAATTAATATCATCTGGAATCATTGATACCCTTAACATCATATTTGGTGCCAATAATACAAACTGTGTTGGCAGATTGGGCTCTCCATGCTGCGACAGTTTTATTCATATTTTTGTGAGGAAACAGTTTGTGGGTGAGGAAGTTCCTTTGAATTTGTTGGTAAACAAATTACAGGAAGGATTGGGTAGAGTAGAATCATTTGAAATTTTGACTTCTGGTAGTTCCAACGCAGGATTGCGTGACTCTCAAAGTTCTACTAATAAAGCGCTTTCCATGGCGAAACAAATCAAGTTGCGCTTAAGTTGCGATGATGAAAGTGGCTCCTTACCAGAAAATTATAAAACTTTAATGTTGTCTACACATGCTGTTGCGACCTTCAAATCGATTAACAACTTTTTGAAAAACAGAATCTTATTGTTCTCCAGATTAACAGATGCTGTATTCGGTTCTCCTACTAATAGAACAAGTTCCGGCAATGAGAGAAGGGTTTCTAGCAGTAGCAGAAGGACCTCAATAAATTCTCGTGTGAGAGATGATAGCAGATCAGACGCTGATGGCGATGAAATTATTGATGATATTGATGAAGAATATGCGGCAGCTGATGATGAGATTGCCGAATGTGCCATCGAAGAGGATAATGAAGAAGAAGATGGGGGCGAAGATTCAGCTGATATAAACCCAAGTGATAAATGGTATTTGGAATTTAGCATCAATGGTGAGGTTGTTCCTTTAGAAACCACAATATATGGAGCGATTTATAAGTCACTTCAAATGGACCCAAATAACGAGGGAACTTTGCGTCATGTGAATACCAGTAATATTTGGAACACTACTCATGCTATTAAGTTCAGAAGAGTTAGCCAGCCTCCTGAACGCCCTGCTGATGTGATTCATGAAGATGGAAAATATATTTCCAAGACTGGCTCTAACGACTTGGAGGCATTGGGCGATGCTTCGAGTGTCCAAATTTTGAAATTATTGAAATGCTTGTTCCTCATCAACAATCTGGTGAAAAATAATTCAGGGGCTAACGATTCGTTGTTTTTAAATTGGAAATTGACTGCAAAGCTCAATAGACAACTCGAGGAGCCTTTGATTGTGGTCAGTGGAACCTTGCCAGGCTGGAGTGTTCATATCACCAGACAGTTCCCATTCATCTTTCCTTTGAACACTAGACTTTTCTTTTTGCACTCAACTTCTTTTGGATACTCAAGGTTGATTGAAAAATGGAAATTAAAGAACAACGAGAGTCAATCCAACTCCAATACAAACAACGCTATAGCGGAATTGGGAAGACCTAATAGACACAAGATAAGGATTTCCAGAAAACATATATTGCAAAGCGGTATCAAATTATTAGAATTATATGCTTCTCATTCAAGTGTTCTTGAAATCGAATACTTTAATGAAGAAGGTAGTGGTTTAGGCCCAACCCTCGAATTTTACTCTGTTATCTCTAAGGAGTTCCAAAAGAAATCTTTGAAGATGTGGAGAGGCTCATTGGATAATCTTACTGACAGCTCATACGTCATGTATCAGAATGGTCTTTTTCCTGCTCCAATGAGCAACGTCATGCAATCTGGCGCTATCGGAAAGAAAATTCTTTCGTTATTCAAAATGCTAGGTAAGTTAGTTGGCCGATCATTATTGGATGGCCGATTAGTCGATTTTGCATTCAATGAAGTATTTTTCCAAATTGCGGGTCTCATCGATGAAGCAGGTGCCGTTGAATATGATGGGGCTATTAGATCTGTGTTGTTTGATAGGCTCAGAGTTGTTGACAAGGACTTGGCTAGCTCCTTGCAATACCTCCAAAAGTTTATTGATGAATATGAGGAAAATGCAACATTATATGCATACCCAGATCAAGTTAAAGTTGATGGTGCCACTTTGGAAGACTTGTCTCTCAGTTTTGTTTTGCCAGGCTATCCTGATTTTGAACTAGTTGATGGCGGTGCAGACATCCCAGTGATGATGTCTAATGTTGATGACTACATTAGCAAAGTCATTGATGCAACTGTTGGGGGAGGGGTTTGCAGACAAATTAAAGCATTTATTGAAGGTTTTTCTCAAGTTATTCCTTATAATGCGGTCACCATTTTTACCCCAACAGAATTAATTGAAATGTTTGGTAACGGGGAAGAAGACTGGTCATTTGAAACTTTGTGTTCTTCAATCCATGCCAATCACGGCTATAACACTGATTCCGAATCTTTTGTCAGATTGCTCGAAGTTATGGTCAGTTTTGACAAAGATGAAAGAAGAAAGTTTTTACAATTTTTAACTGGGTCTCCAAAATTACCTATTGGTGGGTTCAAAGCTTTAAGACCAGAGTTCACCGTAGTAAGAAAGCCAAGCGAAGATGGCATGAGTGCAGATGATTTCTTACCAAGTGTCATGACTTGTGCTAATTATTTGAAATTGCCTGAGTACTCAAGCAAGGAAAAAATGAGAGAGCGTATTATACAGGCTATCAATGAAGGTTTGGGGGCTTTCTTATTATCTTGAGCTTACTATTCTATAATATTGTTTCAAATTATTTTCTTTCAATTTCCATTTCCATTTCCATTTGCATACCTTTTAACTTTTGATCATTTTAGTTTATTTTTATTTGTTTGTATCATGATGATTGTGTTTTATTTTGAATTGCTATCATATTATGTACCTGCTTAATATAATGTCCCGTTTCATTACTATTTTGTGTGTCGTGTATTTGGCCGGACTTAGACCAAATTGGTTTTTCTTTACAGAAAATCATTGTAGTTTTAGCCGTAACCTTTTGTACAATTTAGTGTAGAAGATAATGAAAGAATTAGTGAAATCATAAGAATAGTAGTAATAATAATAATCAGAAAAGCAAATTAGATAACAGAGTCTATTGAATTATTTAACACGTTCTTTTGGTAATATACTAACCAACAAGTCATTTGGCTTGTTTTCAATCGCAGCTCCCTTCAATTCACTTTGTTTGGCCTTATATCTGTCGATATCTTCAAAATATTTATCGAACAAGAAAGAAGAATCCAAAGGACCACCTTTAGCTTCAGGATGGAATTGAGTAGAAAAGATTGGCTTGGAGACGTGTATCATACCTTCATTAGATTCGTCATTCAAGTTGATAAAGTAAGGTTTGAATTCTGCAGGCAAAGTGGTGGCATCAACGGCATAACCGTGATTTTGAGAAGTGATATGACATTTACCAGTGGTTAAGTCTAAAGCAGGGATATTGTGGGCTCTATTACCATATTTCATCTTGATGGTTTTACCCCCTGCAGCCAACGCCAACAACTGATGACCAAGACAAATACCGAAAATTGGACCGTCAAAAGTTTCCATAGTTCTTTGCAAGTTGTAAACGGTAGTGGAACAATGGGTTGGATCACCTGGACCATTGGAGATAAATACCCCATCGAAGTTAGAAGCGATTTTATGAATTGGGTAATCGTATGGGAACACGGTGACAGAAGCACCTCTGGAAACCAATGATCTCAAAATGTTTTCCTTAACCCCACAGTCAATGACTGCGACGTGATATTTCCCAGTACTACTGACGTGGAAAGGAGCTTTAGTACTGACTTTATGAACCAAGTTGATAGAACCAGGGTCCACAAACGCTTCATCTTCATCTGCGTCATATTCTTCTCCGATACTGATTTTTGCCAAAGAAGAACCCTTTTCTCTCAAGTAAGTGACAATGGCTCTGGTGTCGACCCCAGTGATGGCGGCAATTCCTTCTTTTTTACACCAGTCTCCCAAAGATTGCACGGCAGTCCAGTGGGAATAGTTCATAGCAGCATTGGACACCACGATACCAATACATTCGACATTAGGACTCTCGAAGTATTTCGAAAGATTGTATTGATCTTTGGCTTCACCGGAAGGAACACCATAGTTACCGATTAATGGTTGAGTGAACACCAAAATCTGACCCTTATAAGAAGGATCAGTCATAGATTCTGGATAACCAACCAAGGAGGTGGTAAACACTGCTTCACCACTGACATTCTTATTAGCACCAAAGGAGTAACCGTGGAAGATTGGACCGTTTCTCACAGTAAGAGTGGCACGATCCAAGTCTTTCACTGATTTTTGCACTTGAGGTTGTGCTGTAGCCAAATAACGTCTTGTTATAAGGGACTTGTAAGCAGAACAGGTCGTGGAAAATTGTGATCTAAACATTATATATAAACAGACACACACAATTCAATGCCAGTAATGATTGCCACACACAGGAATGGTGTAGGAAAAGAAAAACGAAGAGTGAAGAGTTGCAAAAGAAAGAGTAGACTAAATATGCAAAAAAAAAAAAAGTTCCCCTGTATATGATTAATACTAGCTATCTGCACCACGGAGATGACTCAACAGGGAGAAAATTTGCGATAACAGCTTACCGGGACGGAATGACACATACCTTCCTGCAGGAAAACCGCAGTACCCCGTCACGGAAAAACCGACCGGCAGCCTTTGATCACGTGTAGATGCTTCCTGGTGATACACCCCACATCTTTCCCAATATGGAATAACACAAACACAATAACAAACAAACAGCAGAAAACCGCCAACTTGCAGCAGCAGCAGTAGAAAAGCCAGAAAAAAAGAAAAAACAACTTTGAGGTTCTCTTTCCCATAACACCATCGATATCAAACAGGAAAAATAATCTTCTATTCATTTCCTTCGTTCTACATTATTGTACCAAAACGGCAAAGCTTCCTGGCAAACCAAACACCCTCTCGCTATTGATTCCTGGTTTTATATGGGCCCTCCGTTGCATGGCTCTTCCCTTGATTTCATTAGCTGGTAATAAGATATCAACATAGATTATATATAGAGAGACAACAAAACAAAATAACATACTGTATTTAACTCAACAAATAGATCAAACCAAACAGAGATGACTAGAATATTGGACCACTCTTTTACAAGGCCTCATAGCAGTTCTGCTGGTAACGGTGATCCTTTTGCCAGTTTTGACGCAAATACCAGACTATACCAACAAAATATCTCCCCAAATAAAAGACTCATATTTTCTAGCAAGTCTCCAAATATTGCAAGAAAAGATAATTATTTGTCAAAGCCGCTTTTGTCATCACCCACAAAATTAAATGTCGTGACGTCAGATTGGAACGATGAAAACTCATTCATTTCCAAAGGAAATTTCCCAATATTGAGCCCACCAACTCAGCTTAATGATCTCAGTCATAATAATAGCAGCAGAAATCCTTGTCAGTCATCTCCTAATCGTAGATCTTTGAAGAAATCGGCTTCAACCACCACTACTGACAGATTTATTCCTTCAAGATATTCATCATCAGGGAAATTATTCAACGAAGGTGCTTTAGAACAACCAAAGCCAACAGACTCACCTTCAAAACACATACAATTCCAATCAAATAAAATATATCAACACTCAGTGGCCCAGGTTTGTGGTGTCAATATTGATCAAAAAATCCTTCAGTTTCAGCCTGCTCCGCCAGAACGGAAAAAGAAATATACCTTCAGCTTAGGGCAAAATACATTAAATGATGGACTTAATAATGTCTTAGAAATTTCCAGACTAAAGAATTCTAATGGGATCACTCCTACTAATGCTTTGGCAAGAGCAAGAAAGGTACCAACCATCCCAGAAAGAATTTTAGACGCCCCAGGATTAGTAGATGACTACTACTTGTCATTATTGGCATGGTCTCTGGACAACTTATTAGCAGTTGCATTAGAAAACTCCGTCTATATTTGGCAGGCTTCTATTGGTCTGGTAAACTTGCTCACCACCTGTGATGTTCTTATTACTTCTTTATCATGGAGCGACGATGGCTCATATCTTTCTATCGGAAAAGATAATGGAATGATTGAAGTTTGGGATATTGAAGACAATACAAAGCTAAGAACTATGCGATCTTCTGACACAAGAATTGTCAATCATGCATGGTCAAAGCACTTAATCACTTCGGGGTCAAGGTCTGGTGAATTGTACCATAGCGATGTTAGAATCGCAAAACACATTGTTTCAGAAATGCGTGGATATCATAATGCCGAGGTTTGTGGCATAAAGTGGAGAGGTGACGGAAACCAATTTTCCACTGGTGGTAATGATAATATTGTCAATATTTGGGATGCTAGGTCTTCGATTCCACAATTTAGCAAAACAACTCACACTGCAGCAGTGAAGGCCCTAAGTTGGTGTGATTACCAATCTTCGTTATTAGCCACAGGTGGTGGTACAAATGATAAATATATTCATTTTTGGAATACAACAACAGGGGCCCGTGTCAACTCGATCAACACTGGTTCTCAAATCACTTCATTGAATTGGGGCCAGGCTAGAGGGACTGGGTTGGAAATTGTGGCGACAAGTGGCTACCCCAACAATAGCATTTCCATTTACCATTATCCAACATTACAAAAGACGGGGGAAATTAGTAATAGCCATGATGGTCGTATTTTGAGTAGCGCTCTTAGTCCTGATGGTATTACTTTGGCAACTGCAGCCGCTGACGAAAATCTAAAATTTTGGAAAATATTTGATAGCCCAAAAAGCCTGGGAAGCTGGATTGGAAGTGGAAAATCGACAGAAGATGGGAAAGATAGTGCATTGACTAATGGAGGCAAACAAATTAGAAGAGTTATGACCATCAGATGAATTTTTTTTATCCATTTGTTCTTTGAATGCATGAAATGGTTATTGTCTTTGAAGATATTTTCCAAATCACATTCCATGGTGCGTTTTATTTTTTTATTTTCATTTATTTTTTTATTTTCGTTTATATTTTTCATTTTTTTTTTTTTTCTTTTCATTTTTCAATTTGGCATCATCAGCATTTGTTTTGTGTTTGTTTTCTCCAGGAGTTCTCCATAGGCAATAAAAGAACGTAATATACCCAAATGACCAGTGTAGCCATGTTATTGGGATGGCGCGTCTCGTCCTTCGCGTTAAGCGCACGCCGCTAAAAAAGTTTGCCTGACAGAGTGTTTTGTTATTATCTAGACAGCTCTGCTGGTACTACATAACCACTATTTTTATCAGTACAACAAGAATAATGTCTGAAATAGATAGCATAATTGCAGAATTTTTGAACGATGCTCCAGCTGGGGAAACCAGAGATGTCATAAATGATTTGAAGCTCATTCTTGACCAAACACCAGATATAACCAAATCCATCAAGAGATCTTTGGAAAGCTCGTTAGTTGATCAAGACAAGTTCGAAATCATTTCATTACCGGACGCCAAAAAGTTGTCAATCATTTCGAAATATAATAAAAAGGGGACAAAGTTTTACGACTCTCGATTGAAAAAATTATTCAACGTACAATTTTTGGACAATTCTGCCCTCGATGTCGAAGATGAAGAAGATGATGAGGAATCTACCGCTTTATTCAAGTCCTTGGCCACTTCATTGGAAAAATACGTCTCAGAACACTATCCTCTCAACAACTCTCAGAAACTACTTGCGTTTGATTTATTCCAGTTGAGTGCTACTGAAATTGCAATCGCGTTGATCAATACGAAACGCAATGCTTCGAATTTTATCAACGGAACTTGGGTATCTGCGTACAAGTATAATTCCGAAACTGGCGTTTTGAAGGGAAATATTTCAATTGACGTTCATTATTTTGAGGATGGTAATGTTAGATTGAAGACCTCCAAGAGTGTCGAGAGTTCTGTTGCTGCCGAAGCTTCCGAAATCATTACTTTGATCAAGAAGGAAGAAGAATCTTATGAATTGGCATTGAACAAAAAATTCTTGAAATTAAATGAGGTCGACTTTAAGAGCTTAAGAAGACCGCTTCCGGTGACTAGAGCTAAGGTCAATTGGGGTAAGGCTATTGGGAATTATAGGCTTGGTAAAGATGTCAACCAGGCTTGAACTATTATGGGAAATTTGTTTACTGGTGACCGTTAGGTATAAATATGTATGTTTATTTAGTTTTATCATAAATTTATAACACTCTTGTTGATCATGGTATAGCTCTCAGGCAATTTTATAAGAAATGGAAAAGTTTGCAGCCTCAGTTCAGTTTCACATAATTGTGACCAAACCCAATGCAAATTAACTAAGTTTTTCGTTTTTTCTCCCTCCCTTTTCTGAGATTACTAAAACTTTGTGAAGTATCCTACTTGATATTCAAAATAAGTTTGGGCACAGCGCAGTTACGATGCCCTGTCTTCGGAAATGCACAGAATCGTCAAAATAAATAAATGCGATGCGCACTAACAATAAGGTTGAACTTTTCAATTTGGTGAGTACCAACCTAAACATGTCGAACATTGAAGGATTCACCTCGATTTTGGGGGTATTTTTCGCCGCTTTCCACCCAGAAGAAGGTACAAAAATTCTTTGTCAAGTTCCTGAGAAAGTTGTCAATATTGAGACCACCAGTATTGATGATATCTTATTGAAAGATAGAGTGCTAGGACTAGGGGGCCATAAAAAATCAAAAGTCAGTCTTGCCACACACGAATCTGAAGATGACAGATTGCTCCTGGAGTTTGGAAGTATGGTGCTTAACAATTATAATGAGAAACCTATGGAGGACTATAGTCGCAATGATGAAGGATTGATAAATTTCGATGATATTAGAAATGTGGTGATTCCCAAGCCAGAGTTTTGCAACAGGCTACTATCGGCTAAAGCAGGAAAGTACAAGGTAATAGGATACCCTGTAAATATTCAAGAACCTTTTTACGCCAGAAACTCTTTCAATTTCAATTTCTGTTTTATTTTTGATTATGATAGCGATTCAACATGTTATGAACCTGTGGTGAGGAGATTAGGGAAGATGTTCAAAGTTTTGGAAGAGCAGCTGCAAATTTTATCAAAGTCTTCGAATGATTTGGTTTATTTCAATATTGAAAATAAGGATATCAAAGAGTATATTTCGGAACGAGATTTGAACTATAAATATTTCAAGATCTTGAACGCTTTTAGGCCCGATAATAATAACAATCATATTGACAATGGCATTGATCTGAAGAACTCGAATTTAAACATCAACAAATCAAACAACCCTTTTCAACTTCAGGACAATAAAAATGCGGAATTTTCAATCGAGAATCTTATCCAACAAATTTATCAGGATTTGAACAATTATTCGGAGTGTTCCATCAAAATTAATGCAGGAAATTCCATCGATATCAAATTATTCCCAAATATCAAACTACCAGATATCAATATTTTGCCATGCGATGTTCCTATTTCCACCGTGAATTTAGATTCACTAGTTGATTTCTATTGGGATCCCAATTTGCTCCGAATGACACAGTATATCAACGGGGTGAACAACATCAATAAAATTGCGAAGTTGTGTAATTCTGATTATGACTATACTTGCCTTTGTATCCGACATCTAATGGCATATAAGTGTATCATCTTACTAGATACGTTTTCTTTTCAAAATATTTATGCTACCACTTCCAAAGTCTCAATGTTTTTGGATCATAATAAAGTTCTTGGTGAAGAATGCAAAAGATATTGTTACAGTGGTAAGGACACCAATCCATTGAAAAACCTCGCCTTCAAGTTTATGGAAAAAAGAAATGATAGCTTTGTGTCAGAGAATGCGTCTATCAATACCGAAGCCCATAGCACACGGTCTGCTGATTTTGAATCTAGAGGTAACCCAATAAGACCTGATGCAGAAAACATGAACAATAAACATGACGGCGAAAATGGTCAGCAAAATTATTCATACGAGTCAGTTATGAACAATGTGAAAAACGGCTACATTACTAATAGTTTTGATAGTCTCAATCAATCGGGTTCTACCACTGGTTTGAATTATTCTGATAGCAAAGACTCATTATCTACCATTCAAATCTTTCAACTCTACACAGCGTTCCAGCAAGGGAGAAACGTAGAGGAATGGTATAGAAAGCAGGAAAATTTACTTAGAGGTGTTAATATTGACATTAGAAGGTTTATAACTTATGGGTTGTTACAAGGATTATTGTATCGTATTTATTCGTACCCTATGTTGGTAGAATATAATTCCAAATGGTTATCAAGATGCAAAGTTTACTATATATTGAAGGACCAAAACTATATCAAAGAGTTGAATAGAAAGTTCACGTCAGTATCTGTTGATGTGAGGAACAAGAATACGATATTAGGGGATAATTTTTCAACGATACAGCAGGATAATTCTGCTGCAAGAGCAGCACTCCAAAAGGAAATTGACCAGGCTTTAGATGATGAAGAGTACATGAAAAGGTTCAATGATCTGCATAATATTAAGCCAGTGAGCAAGAAACAGATCATTGCAAAGAAGTATAATCTTGTGGAATTTAAAACCACGATTTTCCCTAAACCTGGTACCCACAGAGATCTGGCACAAAGAAGACAGAGGAAAAATTTGGATGCTACTGCTCAGAACAGTACCGTTGGGGGAGGTGCTAGTGGGTCATTTTTCAACGATATAAATTCTCAAAATAATGGCGGAAGTATCAATAATATGAATACTCAAGGGTACGAATATTCTGCAAATAAGCTTAGTTTGCAAAAATTCAAAAATCCAAACTACATCAAGTTAATTTCAGGAAAGAGTTCCAATGGAGAAGAAGAGTTTTATTCATTGACAAGCATTTTGACTATGAAAAAGCATTACCTTGATAAAATCAAGCATTTTGATTTGATATGTACAGATTTTGAAATGAGCAGGAAGGAAGTAGAAAAAGTTTTGAAATGTTTCTGGAAATTCCATGTTGTGGAGAGATGAAAGGGAAGACTCACAATAATAGTGGTAAATAGATAAATGAGCAATCAAGAAATATATTAATGATATGATGAAAATCCATAGACCTTTTTTTTATCTTTATTTTTTCTTTTCTTTTTCTTGCATCTTCATTGTAAACCCTTTTCTAACAGCCGCAAAAATATCTAGAAAACACACACATACTATGATACAATATTATTCGCGTAGAAAGTTTCTTAATTTTTGGTCATAATTTCATTAGCTTGATCGATAGAAAGTTTAGCGTTCAAGTTCTTGTCGGTTGGCACCTTGTAAATGTAAGATCTGATAATTCTTGGATCACTCTTCAAAATTTTGCCGAGTTCTCTTTGAGTAACAGGGGAGGCATCAAACAACATGGTGAAATAACTGCCTTGAAAATGTCTCTGCTGGTCTTTTTTAATCAATTTTGGCAAATATCTTGGACCCAACGATACTACTCTTCTGACAATCCCTCTATTGTTAATGATCAATTTACCAAGGGTATTGGAGACGGCTTTGGCATCTTCGTGGACGGCTTTGCTGTGTATATGTGTCTGGGTACGGGCAATCGCAAGAAGTTCGTAAAGCATTGTAAGTTTTTTTTGTCTGATTTCAATAAGTTCTCAATCAATCTCAATATTGACAACCTTTGAAATTGAAAATTTCCTTTTTTTTTTTTTTTCCCTCTCACAAAGTTTGTCGATTACCCTGATTAAAAATATCATCCATTTGAGGTGCGTGTATCAGTAATTGTGCATAGCTCATTTCCAACATGGAAGAAGAAAATATTATTTACCGCCGCTTTGATGGGTAAATCAGTATTCGAGAAATTTAATAGTGGTTGGATTTCCTCCGGATACATCGCCAGAAATTAAGAGCATTTTTAGATTCTGAACTTTATACTACATCAACCTGTCCTAACACCTTGCAGTGGAAAATCCAACTTGATATAAAAAGCTATATCTATTACCCCAATAACAAAAAACAATATATCTGGAATTAATCTTGGTAAGAATGAACATAAAAATACAAACCGGAAAGCAATAAAAAGCAAAAAATATAAAGCAAAAAATATAAAGCAAAAAAAAATATAGCAAAAAAAATAACAACATCATTTACCGGCTTCCATCATAAAACTGAAGATACTGCCCATATCAACGAATCTTCTAGCCGAATTATTAAGGTATTTATCAACAATACTTCGGCAGAGATGGAAGAATTCTTTGTTTTGCTCTGCCAAAATGGAAACCTGGCTATCGGTGATTGGGTCTGGTTTCACAGCACCAACGGAATAGATTTGTTTCAAAGAGTTCTTTTTCATTTTCTCAACATCGAAGATTGTGCTGAAGTACATCAATTGACGATACAACTCTTGGTCACTATACTTATACCTCATTAGACCATCACAAGAAGCACTAAGACATTTACGGCCATAAACGCTCATTTGTCTAGTAGTAATTTCACAAGATGGATCATCACAAATCAACCAGGAGGAGTAATATAACGAAATGAAAGATCTTATCTGTCTTTCTAATTGAGAAGTGATTCTCAAAGTAGACATAGTCTTATTACAATGCTTGCACATAACACCACCAGAGCCAATCTTGTAATCAAATGAAGGAACAATACCACCGTATCTGAACTTCGACCCACATGAACATTGAAGCTCCAAGAATTTCGAGTATTTATATCTTTCTTCATCAGAAATAGTAGACTCGAAAGGTTGAAGACCATTGACGGAGGTTCTGTTACTAGCATTGTGTCTCTCATATTTTCTCCCATCTAGTCCCAAGCAATTGGCCAATCTAACCATATCAATACCTGGGTAGGTTTGCAACAATCTTTCCAATGGATTGAATAACTGTTTCTCAAGATAGTATTTAGGATCTGGTGTCAAATTGGAATTCTTACCAAGAACCTCTTGCAAAGATCTTGCTCTTTCAGCAGGACTTCCTTCTTCACCAGAACAGATAATATAAGTAATAACACTTCCAGCTTTGACGATTTTACCTTGTTTTCTTAATCTCAAAGCAACTTGAACTTGTGGCATACTTTTACCACCTGGATAATTCTTAGGGTCCTTAGATAATCTCGTATTGATCTTGAATTTTTCTGGTCTGATTTTATTATTCTTGATGTCAGAGGTCAAGGCTTCCAAATGATCATAAATTTCTGACAAAACTTCTTCGGAATCTTGATCAGATAAAATTTTATTCAAAATGAAATTCGAAGTCTCCTTAGTCAACGGAGAATATTCCCTTCTCTTCAAATCCAAACCTTTAACCTCGAGGGTCTCGGTGAATTTCCCATCGCCAGCTGGAACAACATTGACAGCAGCATACTTCTTTTTAGAATGCAACAAGATGCTCTTAAACACATTATCAAGACCCAACTCCAAAATCGTGTGCTTGCCATTGATAAGTTGTTGGAACTTTGCTGCAGCCTCGATGGCTTCATTATAGTCTAATGTACCAGTTTCAATCATTAAAGAATCGGTATCACCATAAATGGTATGCAAATCAATAGTTTCTGCCATTTTCCTGGTTTCCATCAAGATTTCTCTACCTTTAGCAGTCACTAACATTGCCAAGGCTTTAGCATAAAATCTACTCTTCTCAAAACCTAAATAACCGTACAAAGAGTTGGCCTGCAACTTCAATGCTAACTGCTTGATATCGAATGATGATTTCTCGGCAGAACTGAGCTTTGGATCTTTCAAAAGTTTCTTAACTTCACGACGACGGCTAACCAAAGAATTCAATAACTTGGGCAAGATACCTTGAGGAACATCAACACTTGGGTAAGCGGGCAAATCATCTTCCCTTTGAGTCTTATTGAACTCTTCCCTGTCAATAGTGGTAAAACAAATGTTAAATTCTTGGATAATACTTGGGTACAAGGAATTGAAATCCATCACAACAATGAATGTTTTGTGTAAACCAACTTCTGGCTCCAACACCAAACCACCTTTATACTGAGCTTTTCTATTAGAGGTTGTATGTTTTTCGTCATCATCATTATCACGAGAATCCTCTTTAGATTCAATGATCTTGTTCTTGTTCTGTGAGGCCCAACTTTCTTTATCCGGAACAATGTAATTATCTCTTGTAAATTCATGTAATAAAAAGAACTCACTTCTACCAGATCTGGTACCACCTAAAGTATGTGACCAAGCATTACCAGCAATGGTGGTCAAAGTTCTTGATAGAGACAAAATTTGTAATTGGAATGCGATTTCTACTGAAATATTGCAGCGATTTAAGACGTCTTTTAAAACTGAAAGTAATGCATTAGCGTCTTCAGAAAATTGCGACTGATTTAAATTAATATCCGCATTAAACAATTTCTTTTTGCACACCAAATCATACATTTCAGATAATTCCCAACTTTGGCACTTCAACGTAACAGATTTACCCAATTCGTTAGAAATATCACAAATCAATCTACCTTGGAAAATCTCTTTGAGTTTCATATTATTCATCAAAGAATTTCCTGAATTGTTACGAGACATTCTCGTCAATCTTTCAGGCCAAACTTTTCTGTTTCTTCTTCCGAAATTTGACCACGTTGGAACCTTCAATTCATGCATTCGATGAATCAAAATATCCAAAGAGGAACTTTCCAAGTTATGACCCACAAAAAAATCTGGATCGTGGTTCTTTATCAATGCACACAAACAATTGATCAATGTTTTCTCAGTAGGGAAAGTTCGAACGTTAAGTCCTAGTTTCTTTGAAGCTTTGTCCAATCCAGGAGGGAAACTGGATTTCAAAATACCAACTGGTCTGACCAAAGTAACGGATGATACTGGTTTAGTATCTGGAGAGATATGATCAATATTAACATTTGAAAAATTTGAAATGGAGACTGCAGCAACCTCCTGAGTATTCGTTTTTTCATTGAATATTGGTTGAACATGCAAACTTAAACAATTGAAAACTGGAGATTCTAGCGATTTATCATCGATCGGCTTAATAAATTTTGGAGCGCTGACACAAACCTCAATGTCACAATGCGAAGTATTGGTCAAAGATTGAAAATCTCCATTTGAAACTTCCAACCAACATGGACCCATGATGTTTCTTTGTAAGATAAACGATTCAAAAATATTGGTACTGGTACCAAAAACCTTGGAGAACGTGTCACCTTCTAAATCCGATGGTAAATTCAATGTCTTATTTTTTGCAGTTTGATAAGGCATTAATACTTTCAAGTATTCAGTTTCTTTGGGTATATCAGGAAGTTCAAACGCATACTTCTTAGTTTCTGGCTTTGCCTTGATACTATTCAAACCATACTTATCCATGATCAAAGGAACAATCTCATCGTGTATATCTTCGGGAGTCACTTCTGATGGTTCACCTTTGTCCTTGGCTTCTTCGCCATCTTCCTCATCTTCTTCATCAACTCTTCTAGTTTTTCTTGGTAAAAAGAATAATTCTTTTTCAATACCATTGACTTGCAAAATATTGGAAACATAAGCACCACTATTAGTTTTAATTTTACCAAACAATAGCAATGAGTTATCAGCTTCCGCATAGTCCATCCAATACATCTTGAAATTGCCATTTTCATCTAGAACTTCATCAGCGGTAGCACGCCCGCGAGATTGCAGCGAGAAGGAGCTGAAAGAATCAGATTTCGTTGGGGAATCTGGTACACGTTCATCTTCTTCATCTTCCGCAATCATTTTCTTGACTTTTACTTCTTTCTTAGCCTGAATGTTCACAGATCTATCAATGTTATTTGCGGTACGCCTTGGTCTTCTGGTAACAACAATATCATCATCATCATCATCATCATCATCCTCGTCCTCTTTGGGTTCAATATCTATACTTGGTTCCAGAGGTTCTGTTTTAACTTCAATTGTCGATATTTTGGTGGCTATGTTCTCTTTATTCGAATCTATGTCTTCCATGGCGACATCCGGAGTTTCATTCTGGACTTCTTCAATTTCCTTGATTTCACTATCAACTTCCAAGTACTTTTCTTTGGGTTTAATGGTCTTGGTTCTTTTCAAGAAGCTAGATGAACTAAGTTCGATATCATCATCATCTACTTTTACTTGTTTCTTAGAAAGAAGTGTGGATGCTGGTGACGACGTACGTTTCAATTTTCTGGTTTTCTTTGGAACATCTAAATCAAAATCAAATAAGATATCCTCGACGTTCACACGATCCTTTCTCTTACTTTTATTACTGCTTGTTAACGAGCTGCTTGGCTTAAAAAATTTATTGATAGGAACATTCTTCTTTTGATTTTGTGCCAGTTTACCACTTTCTAATTCGTTTCCTTCTTCATCACCGGAATAATCAGCACCTCTTCCTCGACTTCCGTTTCCACCCCAATTGTCATTACCGTCATCAACATATTCATTACCATCATCACCAACAACAAAGTCTTCTTTGAGTAACTGATCTCTCTTTCTCTTCCTGTAATCATCTTCCTCGATTTCTTCATAAATGCTATCGTACTTTGGTGCCTCGTAGACAGAAGAGATGGAAACTCCTCCTTCTCTTGCCTTTCTGAGGGCAGCAAGTTTATCTCGTTTGCTCATTAGTTCTAAAATTTTATGTAGATTTAATTTTTCAGCAATTCTGTGCTGTTTGATAATGATATGAAGCTCAGAAAGAGAGATCAAGGAAAAGAAAAAAAATCGAGGAATAATGTCGCGTACTTTTTCAAAAAAAAAAAAATTCTAAAAAAAAAAAAAAAACACGCGTCAGCTGCATCTTGTGCTTTTCGCACGCTTATCACCAATATTGAACTAATTTATTAGTCAAACTCCTTACAAAATTCCTGGCCTAAAAGAAGCGCTATCAAACTACTAATATACATCCTGTTTCTATACAATAATACTACAAAGAATCAAATCTGTGACGGCGTCGCTCCTTTTCTTCTCTCTAATCTTCTCTTACCAAGGAATCTTCCGTTACCTTTCTGTTTATCCAAAGCTAACTCGCCTGTAACCCCCTTGAGGTAGTCTGGCAAAGGGATGTCCTCCTTCAAGTAATACATCTTCCAATTTCTGGCCTTATCCTTTAACTGTACTTGATTTCTATCCTTGAGTGCTTCGGAAATTGTACCGTCCATACCATACATAGAAAGAATACCAGCCCAATGAGCACCTTTAGTCTTGAGACCCTCGCGTAGCGCGTGCTCTTCTTCTGGGGTCCATAGTCTACGGACAGATTTGCCACCAGGCCCTGCTGTAGTCTTCCGGGGCTTCTTTCTTACTGGCTCCCTAGTTAGCTGAGTGGCGACGATATCTGGCATACTAGCACCATTTTGCATGGTTGGCGTCAATATTTCACTAGAAGTTCTCTTATTAGATAAATCAGAAACGGAGTTGCTGCTAGTCGGTTCTTTGTTTGTTTCATCGTCAGTTCCGTTGGAAATTGCGACCGGAGTGTCTGCTCCAGCATTAGAGCCAGTAGCAGAAGTCGCACCCGACGGAGAATCAGCCCTCTTTGTTGTATCGCCAGAGGCTTCAGTTGTTGAAGGTTCATTTGATGATCTGGTAACACTATTGCGGCTGTTCAAGTTAGCTAGCATAGCAGAAGTGGTCATGTTTCCATTTAATCGGTTATTATAAATACTGGAGAATGTACTACCAGTAACATGTTCACTATTGGCATCCCACAAAGTCTTGTTGGGCGAAATGGTGCGACGCTTTCTCCCATAAAGAATAAAGCCGAGATTAGTCTTCATATAGTCCAACAACTTCTTCACAAATGAATCAAAACTGTATCTCTCAATCAAGTCCTCAATTGAGCTGATGTTTCTGAGGTTTCCTTTTCTTGACTTACATCTGCTGACAAAATCCAATTCTATCGACGATAGATGTTTCAATTGACGACGCGACAAAAGATTTTGTTCGATATTATCTGGGAATAAATGCTCCAAGTCAGCTTCGGCAACTTCTTTAGATTCATGGGCCATTACCGCAGAAATATAGGCCTGGGTTTTCAATTCCAAATACAATGAAGCTTGTGGCTTTGTTAGACGGCCAGCAATACCATAACCTGTCACATTACTCACGATATCATCCATTGAATCCTTTTTCACATTTACCAAATAATTAGAAGTGTCATTGGGACAAAAAACTTCCAAAAAGTTTTCGTCTAATGAAACAAACTCCATTTCAATGGAATTCACAACACCACAAATAAAAGTTGCCAAATTCGCTTTTCTTATACTGTTGTCAAAGATTTCTTCTCGACCGCTCACAAATAATGGGGCAGTTTCACCATTTTTCCAAAATCCCGGGGCAACATCTTCAATACCAATAAAGTCCTTTTCTGTTCTGGTGTAAACACTTCTTGCGATAGAAAATAATCTGACTAAAGCTTGGAAAGATTCTGCATCAGGTGATAATTCGGCCTCAATCACATTCTCTGGATTTTCAGGGTCCTCTATCGTCATAGGCTGAGTATAGGCCACGATATCTTCGTATGAGGAACTGACATATATTCTTAACAACTGCGTGGCCAAATTATCAAGAATAGGAAGAGAGTTCACACTTAATTGGGTTTCGAATGGCCAGTCATTTGGTGCTGTAATAATCAAAGGCAAAGCTGCTAATTGCGCTTGATTGGCAGAAACATACGGTATTGTTGAAACTTCCCTAATTTTTTCAAGGACTGATAAGCCTCGGGTGAGAGAGGTTGCAGCTTCATTGGAAGACTCTTCAATTTCCTTTGATGGTTGTTGTTCATTATTTTGATCTTCAGTAGTTAAGGAGTCAGCTCGCCGCGGCTGACCTTCTTCTAATGGTGACGGCGCTACATTTTTATCCGCTATATGTTCCTGATCCCGCTGCCGTTCATCATCGCTTGTTGCTGTGATTTCTTCCAAGATCCTACTCGGATCGGTTGTGATGGTTGGAGGTGTTGTATTTTCAGCAGCATCAGATTCCTTTTCCACTTGCATCGGTACTGCTTCAGGTTCCACTTGAGCTTGGTTTTCTTCAACTACTTCAGCAGTTGTCATATCAGTCGATTTATCATCATTTTCTTTGCTCTTTTCTTGTTGACTGTGTATAGATGTAATTTCTTGGATATCGGAATCATTTTCCCCTATCTCTTCGGTGTCTGGCTTTTCATTCTCCGTTGATTCCTGTGGAAAAATATCAGCACGAAACTGATTTAAAGCATTCATGACCGCATTATTCAAAGTCTCTCCCTCATTGTTATTAACTGAAGTAGCCTCAATGTTCTGATCCTGATCGTCTTTTTCTGATGTGACATTATTATCAGATAGTTGCTTATCATCATTCGTACTATCCTTGGTTAAAGCTGCAGTACCCAAAGACTCGGCAAGAGATTGTTGAATAGTTGCTTCGAGAGTCTGTTGCCATGAAGTTGCATCTTCTTGATTGTTATTGTCTTGATCATCATTACTGTTTTTGTCAACAAGCTCAACATCCTGTCCATTATTTTCTTGACCATGCTCTTCATTGGCTTCGTTGTCTTCTGTTTCCTTATGGGTCTGGAGGAGGAAATCTAACAATCTTTCATCAGCAGGAGCCAAGTCCGGTTGCTTCTCGCTATCAGCATTGTCATTATTTTCTTCGTTTGGTGATGAAGACGATGCTTGGATCGCGTTATGATCAAGGGCTTCGTTATTATTGACATCGATTCCCTCATTATTCTCAGGACGATCCTGGTTGTCAGACATAGTATCAGACTAATTATCAGATCTGTTTTTGTTATTATTATATTTCTAATCTCAAAAATCCAGATATCAGAAGCATTTCATAAAATAGATTACTTTGTTTATGTCTTTTTAATTTTTTTTTTTTTTTTTGTTCTTGCATATCCGATACGGGTATCGCATTGATGATGAAAACAACCGCACCGGAGAGTCTTGCGATGAGGGCGGCTGGAGGTGTGTGGGTGTGCTGGAGGTCATAATGTAACAGTGATGGATGAGCAGGAATGAAACGAGCAGGGACGTTTTCTGTCTACATCGTCATTCGCCATTTGAATCATCGGGAGTGAGTGAGGTCATAGAAAAAGTTAAACTACCAGAATGCAGGTATTTGAATGGGCGTTCGGGAAGCGTTTGACTCCTCAAGAACGGTTGAGAAAGAACCAGAGAGCTTTGGAAAGAACACAAAGGGAGTTGAAGAGAGAGAAGCAAAAATTAGAGAAGCAAGAAAAGTCACTTATTTCTGAGATAAAGAAGTCTGCTAAGAGTGGAAGTGTGTCTGCTGCCAAAATCCAGGCCAAGGACTTGATTAGAACTAAAAAGTATATTGAGAAATTCAATGCGATGTCAACTCAATTGCAAGCCATCTCGCTTAGAATCCAGACCGTTAGAAGTAATGAAGCCATGACCCAGTCAATGAAGGAGGCGACAAAGTTACTTGGAGGTATGAACAGGTCAATGAATTTACCTCAGCTAGCTAAAATCGCCATGGAATTTGAAAAGCAAAATGATGTGATGGATCAGCGCCAGGAAATGATGGACGATGCCATTGATGATGCCATGGGAGAAGATGAGTTGGATGACGAAGAAGCTGATGAAATTGTCAATAAGGTTTTGGATGAAATTGGAGTGGACTTGAATCAAAATTTGAATAATACCCCAGAAGGGATATCCAGCGGGAAGGTTAACGTTGCGGAATCCAGAATGGCAGAGGCTATCGGCAGTGATGGTGGTATTGGAGGAGGAAGCGATGAGGATGATTTGCAGGCTAGATTGGATGGCTTGAAGAGATAATTTAAGGAGGGTATGATTGTTTTGTTTTATTATTAATTTTTTCATCTGTTCATTGTTTTTTCAAGTTAAAAATCTTGAAACTTTTGTAAATTACGCAGTGTCATTTATGGTCAGACCATTTGTTCGTTTTCATTTAATCTTTGTTCATTTATTTTTTCCTTTTTTTTCTACATTATAAACTTATAATTTTTCAGGCGTTTACTTTCCATCAACGTAAAGTCATAATATATATTGATCTAAATTCTGATAATAAAATACTATTACATCTATTTACCACCAACCTTTGAATCTGGATAGACTATCGTAGCGTTACTGACAGTGGAACCCCAAACAAGAGGACCAATGTGAGGTTGAATATTCCATTCTAACCTAACCACGGCTTCTCTTCCTCTAAAAGTCTTTTCAACGTCCCAAACATTATATTTCGATCTTTGATTTTTCAATTCTAAGTTAGCATCTTCCTTTGAAGTGACGATTTTATCCCAATAAGTCACTTTGTTGCTGGCTTGAGAGTTTTTACCTGGGTATTCAGCAGTCAAGTACACAAACACTTGCTTGGTGTTCCAGTTGAACAACGGGGACAAATCTGCATCAATATCAAAAGTCAATTTGGTATTTTCTTTTGGTTTCTTATTCATTGATCCAAATGAGCGACTGGATTTGAAATGGCTCTTAATCGAGATATTGTCAACCGTTGCAGGAACCGACGAGGCTCCGTCGAAATATAGCTGGTAATAGAAGGTGGCGACAACAGCAACGGCCACGTAAATGGCATATGTGAGCGCTGTATTAGAAAGTGTCTGGAATCTTTGGGTTATTGAGAACATATTATTGTTGTGAATATGATCTTTAAGGGTTAATGAATGCTTTGGATTGCAATTTCCACCCACGTATGTGTTGAGATGAACAATTGTTCCCTTAAAAGGGGAAAAAAAAACAAAAAGTGAGGTCAGAAAGAACCAACCTGTTGGGGTGGTTAGAACACCCTGTGTGCTGTCATAATTCTTGGGGCTCAGTCAACCTTGTTGGTGGGCGGGCTCTTCTTCTGTTTATTCTTATTAGCTGTTTGTACTCTGGTATTTCTCCATTTTAGTTTGACGGTATCAGTTATTGATTTTGGATCGTTTCTTGCTGCTTGTAACCTGATCTTCAAAATATCGATGTTGCGTCCAGGCAAAAAAGAAATAGAAGAAGGGTCGGAGAGCGGAGTTTGAAAAGGTAAAACAAAAGAGAGTTATCAATAGATAGAGAAATAGAAACTCCTAACCATAGCAGAAGAATCACATTTCTTCTGTCAAAAACACTTTATTTTTCCCTGAGAAGTGGAAAGTACAAGATTCCCAGGCGCGGGTTGTTCCGACTGCGTTTAGCAATTATTCGGGCATCAACTTTTTCTAGTGAGGAAAATTTTTTTTTTGCTTCGCGATGAGCTAGATCGCCATACTGATTAATAAAAAACCAGAGATAGTGTCAATATAGCAGAAATATGTCAGGAAGAGTTAGAAAGGGTCAATACTATAATCCTAGGGATAAAAAAAGTATGTTTCCCTTATTACTTTCCAGGTTTTTTTGTTTTTTTTTCTTAGAAATTTTAGAGGTCGCTGCAGGTGTGTGTGTGGGATGACCAAGGGATATTTAACTAACATTATAATCACAGGAAAGGAAATCGAAAAGTCTTTAGTTCATAAGTCTAATTTAAGAAAGAAATACTTTAAACTTCTTGAAAAAGAAGGCCAGAAGGTACCGGAAAAGAAGACCAAAGCCGAAAGAAACAATGAAGTGAAGAATGATGCTGTTGAAGATGAGTACGACTCTGAAGCTGATAAAGACTTTGAAGAAGAAAAGGAAGAGTCAAAATACAGAAAGTCAAGATATGAGCCGACCAGACAGTTGACTTACGAAGAGAGATCTGAACTTATCAAACAAAGAAGAACCGCTAAGCGTGAAGAAGCGATGGAAAATATTAGAACACAGCGAAAAATTATTGCCCAAAAAAACCAAGATAGAGAGAAGAAGAAAAGACTGTTCAATAAGAAGACAAAGAAAGGTCAACCGTCTTTTGCCCCAAGAATAAACAACCTTCTTGACAAGATTAAGAAAGATGTTGCTGAAAATTAGTTAGGGGATGACAGGTAATGTTAGAAAAATTTAAACTTGAGCGTCTTTGTGTCTTTTGCTACAGAAAACTGTGCTATAGAATGTGTTTTTATTTTAACTCTTCTTTTATTACAAATCCAGGATAATTACTAGTATACAAAAAAAAAAAAAGAAAAAAAGAAAAAAAAAAGAGAGATATAAAAGATAACACAATATAAAACAGGTCGCATAGTTAAACAAAAAGCGGAGAAGGAGTGCACGCCAACCATCAACGTGTAAAAACAAGTGAAATAACATGAAAAAAAGTAAAGAAAAGGTTAGAAGGTAAAATAGAATAAAAAATACTCATAGACAAACTGAATCATTTGATATATGATGAAACCGGGCACTGGCTGGTAACAAGAGACACACACACACCATTGCCCTGTAAAAACCGTTCAAAAAAAAAAAAATCTTGGTATTTGGTTTAATTAAGCTTGGAGCCTTTTTTCTTTTCGACCTTCAATAACAAAGCCTTGTTGATGTGTGGAAGGACACCACCAAACGCGATGGTGGCTTTAATTAAAGTATCTAATTCTTCATCACCTCTGATTGCCAACTGCAAATGTCTCGGGGTGATTCTCTTGACTTTTAAATCTTTAGCGGCATTACCTGCCAATTCCAAAACTTCGGCCGTCAAATATTCCAAGACGGCAGTCAAATAAATAGCAGCTTGGGAGAAGGGTTAGTATCAAATAACTGGGACATAATGTAGTAAACAGACAATAATGAAAAAATAAAAGTAAAAGTGAAAATAAAATGATTGTGGACCACCACGAAAATCTTGCTTACCTTTGGCTCCTACACGGATTTTGTTTTGGGCTCTCTTTTTCAAAAATCTCTTGACTCTACCCACTGGGAATTGTAGACCTGCTTTGGCAGAGTGGGAAGTGAACTGGTGCAACCCACCGTCTTTGGCTCCTGATTTGCCTTTACCACCATGTACTTTTCCAGACATGATAATACTGATTGATTTGTTTATTAGTTGTCTGTTGAAAATATCCAAGAGAAAGAGGAGAGGAAAAAACAAAAGAAAAAAACGCGTCGAGAAAAGAAGAAGAAAAAAAGTAAACAATCTCACTGCATCTGCTAGTCAACAACAGATTACACCAGCAATAACCGCAACCCTCGCTATGTGATACAAGTTCTTCCACTTCTTTGGCGATATCTCTGGTGTTTCATCCTATTTTGCACTAATACTGTCAAAAAACCATTAACAATTCAGTAAAATCATGCTCTCCATGGTTAATTGCCGGGTAATCCATCTATCAGCGGTAGTAGCCAGCTAGTGTTTTTGATTCTTAGCGATGATCGAAATCTGTCAACGGTATCAACAATTGGTACTTATTGCCCATGGAAATACGGTCATGATAACGGCATTTTTCATATTTAATAGAAAAGGAGATATCCTAATCTCCAAGCTATTTAGAGACAATATCCGTCACAACATTGCCGAAGTCTTCAGAATCCAAGTGATTTCCAGCAATGAAATTAGATCTCCAATCCTAACCTTGGGGTCGACAACATTCCTCCACATCAAAAGTAATGGCCTCTGGTTCGTGGCTGTTGCCAGGTCTAACCAAGACGCATCAATAATCTTTGAGTTTCTCAACAAGTTTAGACAATTGTTGGAGACTTCACTTTGTGGCCACAGAAAAAATAGTGCCAACAGTAGTGACGGAAGCAGAGTAAATGATGTGGCCAAAAACGTCAGCCACTACATTAATGCAGTATCCACCAGTGATGGCCACCTTTGTGAAGATGACATAACTAACAACTTTACCGTGGTTTATGAATTGCTCGATCAAGCCATTGAGTTTGGGTATCCCCAAAATATGGAATTCGGAGTGTTACAAAGATTCCTCTCCACCCCAGTTTATGGCTCTAGCAACAGTGGCAGTTCATTGATTAGCAAAGTTACCAGTCCAAATCTTCTAAGATCGCCCGATTTGAATCGTCATAATACTGCAGCTACTTCAGAAGATTTGCAATTTGTTGGGGACGTTGGGTGGAGAAGACCGGGGATCAAATACAGAAAAAATGAAATATTTTTGTGGGTCAACGAAGAAATTAATGTTTTGATGAATGCCAACGGAACTGTTCTACAATCTTATGTCAATGGTAATATTCAAATGAAGACCAAATTGACAGGGATGCCGGTGTGCCGTTTTGGGTTGAATGACAGTTTGATTATGAACGAAACAAAATCGGGAAACCCCTTAGAACATTACGACGTGCCAAACACTGCTGCAATTCCAAAAGCAGCTTCTGATAAAGTGGTTCTTGAAGATTGTAAATTCCATCAATGTGTGGAGCTTGATAAATTTGATTCTGATAGATTGATCCATTTCGTTCCTCCTGATGATGAATTCGAACTAATGAAATACAGATGTACTGAGAATATTAACTTACCATTCCTCATATCGCCACAAATACAAGAATCGGGAAAGACATTATTCAACTTCAATATTTCCATGAAATCTCTCTTCCCTCCAAAATTATTTGCAACGAATGTGGTGATCAAAATTCCAGTACCTCCTGGATCGATCAAGGCCAATTTGGAATCAACTGGTGGTAAAGCTAGGTTTTCTACAGAAGAATGTGCTGTTATTTGGAAGCTCAACAAAGTCACTGGCCAAGACCAATTGGTTTTACAAGGCAGTGTTGATATTGTCCCTGGAAGTGTCACTAAAACAACTCAATCAGATACCACTTTGTCGCCTACATTAAATGATTTCAAGTCGCCTATCTTGTCCCAAAACGCACTAGGCTGGTCTAGGCCGCCGATATTAGTTTCCTTCAACTTGGATATGTTTTCAGCTTCTGGGTTGGTAGTACGGTATTTGAAAGTGCAGGAGAAATCAAACTATACAACTATGAAATTCATAAAGTATATCACCCAAGCTGGCACATACGAAATTAGATACTAATATATGTCTACTTACTCCTCCATATTTTTGATACCTGTTCTGCATGTACTGAAAGATGCAATATACCAAAAGTGGCGATAATTGAGATCAGATCACGTGTATTGGCTTGTTTTTTTTTTTTTATCGTTGTTTGTTTATTTACATTTCATTGATTTGTTTTTATTTTACTTTTTATTTACTCTGTGCAATAACCAAAGATATACTATTTATTAAAAGGGAGCGCGCCAATCATATAATACTAGCCCTACTATGGAATCGGATGAGCTGGCCAATATCAATGTGGTCGTGAGATGTCGCGGCCGAAATCGACAAGAAATCCAAGCGAAATCACCAGTAGTAGTCAAGATCCCTACCAACTTTGATGAAGGCGTACCGACAGAGATATCTATCAACACCAGTAATGAAACAGGTATATCTGCAGATATTTCATCGAAAACATTCACAGTTGACAAGGTATACGGTACAGAAACAGATCAATCGCTGTTTTTCCAAGGGACTGCTGAACCACTATTTAAGGAGTTTCTAAAAGGTTACAATTGCACAATGTTTGCCTATGGTCAAACAGGTACTGGAAAAACCTATACAATGCATGGCGATGAGAAAATTGATGTCAGAACAGGCTCTTTCAGTCCCCAAGCTGGGATCATACCAAGAATATTATACACATTGTTTGATACTTTGGCAGTATTGCAAGGTACCGATTTTATCATCAAATGCTCATTTTTGGAGTTATATAATGAAGAACTCCGAGATTTATTTGCCGTGGATGACTCAAAGAAGCTCAGGATCTTCGAGCATAATGGAAATAATAACAACAATAATGTCATCAATAAGAATGCAATAATGACCCAGAACTTGGAAGAGGTTATACTACGGGATGCTGAACATGGAATGAGATTACTACAAGGAGGTATCAATAAAAGACAAGTTGCCGCTACCAGATTAAATGATGTATCCAGTAGATCACATACAATTTTCACAATTAATTTATTCAAGCAAGCAACAACATCCGGAAATGGGCAACGAGAATTCAGAATATCGAAGTTCAACTTAGTAGACTTAGCAGGATCTGAAAATATCGGTAGATCTGGGGCTGTCAATCAACGAGCAAGGGAAGCTGGCTCAATTAATCAAAGCTTGTTGACTTTAGGAAGAGTTATAAATGGTCTTGTCGATAATGATAAGCATATTCCTTATCGAGAATCCAAGCTAACCAGATTACTTCAAGATTCTATTGGTGGCAAAACAAAGACAATTTTAGTTGCCAATATTTCACCAGCTAAGATCAATTGTGAAGAAACTCTAAGTACCCTTCAATATGCCAGTAAGGCCAAGAATATTCAAAACAAGCCACAAATCGGAACTTTAGTTTTGAAAAACATCTTAGTCAAAGACTTGAGCGTGGAATTAGCCAGAATTAAAGCTGATTTAAACGCTAGTCGTCTCAAGAACGGAATATTTGTTGAAGAATCAAATTACCGTGAATTAAAACTGGATATTGATAATTTGCGTACTGAGAACAATGAATACATGTCCAAAAATGAAGCTTTACAGAGGCAAGTGAAATCATTACAACAGCAGCTAGATGAAAATAATGAAAGAATATTCAAAAAGAACGAAGAACTTGCGCACACAAATTCAATAATCAATGATTTACATGATAAAATTAATAGACAGTCAGCTAATCACAAAAACTTAATGAACAATTCTAGCAAATTCAAGTCGATTATTGAAATGATGAATGAAAACATTTTCTATTTAATAAACAATGAAAGGCAACTAAAGGAAAAATTGCAAACTTTGATTAGTGAACAGATGCAAGCTGAAAACAAAAAGTTACAGAACTCCATAACAAAACTTTTGCAGCTTGACAGTAGTGGCTTGACCGGCCAGTTCCAGTTTGTGAAAAACAAGATCCATGAAGAATTTGAGGAACTAGAAGCGCATACAAAACAATTCTCTGTGAAAGTGGCAAACCTTTTTATTTCAAAACTCCCAGATGTTTGCATCGAAGTCAAAAATAAATTGGATGAAATCAGAGAAGCTAATTCAGATATTCAATTAACAATTGATGGCAATTTCAGATCCATAAAAGAATTAGTTAACGGATTTGATATTATCGGTAATGAAATTAATGCTGATGAAATTTCACAATCGTTAACCAAAGGCTATGAAACCCAAATAGAAGAAGAACTAAAAGCTCAAGAATCTGTGTTGCTCAAGAATGTCATTTCAATGGTTCAAGAACACAACAAGAAACAACGGGAGGAACTTGTTTCCAAACTCATCAATAAGAATAAAGAAACTATTTCTTCCAGCATCATCAAGATGAATCTCAACAATGATGGTCTTAGAAAATCCGCACAATCAAAAATTTATGGACTCACTCAATCGATTGATGAAGCGATTATTGGTACCAACACCAAGATCGATCTCTTGTCAAAGCATCTATCCACGACTATTGATTCCACTAGTAATGATCAGTTAGAATTTCAATCAGAATTGATAAAGCTTAATTCTAGGGCTATAATTTCTGCTAGTGAAGAAAGTCACAACTCAGGAAATTCCTATGAGAATTTGCTCACGAATATGGAACATAAGATCTTAAATGACTATAAAGTGGTTAGTGAGGAATCAACTAAATTATCAGCCACCTCAAAACAAGTGGACTGTCAAATATCTGACATCAATTGTGACATCATTCTTGAAGATCAAGAAAATAAACAATCAGTTTTTTTACCCAATGACACGAACACCATTCAAAAAATGATTGATGATTTTACCCAGGAGAAAAATAAAATCAGTAGGGACTCCTTGCCTACTGGCAAGACACCCAAATTGACAAACGGGACTTTTGAAAACAGTGGATTTTTCTTTGATGGTGCTAACAAAAGTCATGTAGTTTATACTCCAAACAGGTCGCCATCCAAGCGAGTCATTTCAGACCTCAAGAAGCATTGCTCCAATTTTGAAGATTTAATGAATTTGGATCTGAAGAATTTAACTTTGGAAGCCAATGAAAATCAAATTATGAAAGATGTGGATGACTCGATGAATGATGATAATGCCTCTTTGTCTGACTCCCGTATTTTGAGAGATATTACACAGAAAATCGGAAGATTGGATAAATCGGCTAAGTCAAACGGTGATAATATTATCAACAAAACATTTGAAAGTGGCCCCAAGCCGACGCTCCTTAAATCGGCTAGAATGACGCTACATCCTAGAACAGATTCATTTTTAGGTATCGATAATGATTCGCAATCAAAATCAACAGCTAAGCGGTCAAGAAGTACTGATTTCATCACTAATCGTGTTGTGAAGCAACAGCCAGGCTCTCGAAAGTTTAGAGCTTCGCTACCAAAGAAAAGGGTACTTAGATGAATGGTCAATTATACAACACCACACACACTCTCCTCCTCCCTCTTCCTGTTTCTGCTAGAAATATTGGAAATTAATTATTCTTTTTTTTTTTTTCTTTTACTTAATTTGTCTTTGGATTTGGTGGTTCTTTTTTTTTCTTTTAATTTGTGTATTATCTTTCAATTTTTGTATTACTACATTTTTTTTTTTTCGTGAAATTTTGGTCTTTTCAGCTAATAGATAATGGTTAATGATTGATTTGTTTGTTCTTTTTTTTTTGTTATTCTCGGTTACTTGTTTTATTATATATAACAGCATACTGTAATAGGGGGTTCAAAAACCCCAATAACCCCAAATTTTATTGTGTATGGCATGTGATTATATTATCCAGAAAATTCTTTTTTTTTTAATCGCATTACAAGTGAACCTCTTCTAGCGAGATCGTTTGTATTTCCTAGATGAGAACCGACAAAGAATAAGAAAAATGGTATGTTTTCTTGTGTGCTTTAATTTTTGAAATAAACGCGTTATGTTTACAATCCCTTTTATTGATATACTAACATGTTTATTGGTAGGCAGACAAACTTAGAGACAAGCAGCAGTATGAGTTGATGAAATCCAAGCACATTGGGATCGGAGATCCCGACACCTCGAAGGCCGAATGGATCACCAATGTGAAAAGAGACACATACTCTAGTATGGCGGCACATCATGGATTAGCCGAGTACTATTCTATTGGGGTCAATGAACCAATGCAACTCAGTAAGATGAAGTTCATTGATAAGATGGTGCAGCCCTATGGACCTATTGAAAAAAGAAAATGAATGAATGATGATGATGAGAGTGAAGGGAAAAGGAAGAAATAAGGAATAAATTAATGGGTGAATTATATTCTTCTTTATACAGGTGCTGGCCAATGCTCCTCTTAAGAGAAATCATGGTAGAGAAAATATGCAAAGACGCTAGTAAGTTCTTTGTGCCTCTTGATTTAGGCGTCCCTTATGGATGAGGATAAAGGTAATTAATGATGCTGTGTTTATCATATTAAAGCTTATTTTCTTTTTTTGAATTGCTATCAATAAGTATAGAACAAATGAAACAATGTTCTGCTAAGTTTTATTGGTGTGCCTTTTACATTAGGACTTACTCATTGCAGAAAGAATACCAATTACTCTGATTAATGATCAGTACAAATGGAATTGGGTACTATATAATATATAGTACATAAAGTATATTTTCTTCTTTAAAAAGATTGATTCTAGAAACCCTACATGGAAAAATGGTCAACAAGTAGAATATCTTTTAATTCAAAATCCATTTTTCCTTTATGAAGAACTGCTATAATATGAAAAAATCGAACTTGTGGTGCCTGAGGTCTTCAATTTTTTTTCTTTTCATTTTTTTTTTTGGTTATGGTTCAGTTAATTTAATATTGTTGATTTTCCAGTGTTTTAACTTGTAGCAAAAAATCTCGATTACTTAAAGCCACGTTAGACAAGAGTACACATAATTACTTGTATGAGAATTCTTGGATATAAGTTTCTCTTTATTTTTTTGTGCCTCTCTCTTTTAGCAATAATAATATTATTCTATAATTTTCTTGCGTGTCTAAATTAATGGGTAGTTGTTGTCTCAAGGATGGGAGCGATAATTTCTGCGATTTTCCCGTCTGCATTAGACGAGGACGCAAGTTCCCCAACATGAATCTCTAGACGGCCACCACCATCCCTTGTAGAAGAATCTCGCAAGGTTGCCCTGACTGTTCTACCCCTGATTTTGATTCTATACGGGAGAGAGTCTCAAAATTACTAGACTGTTTCGCGTTTTCCATGAGATTGTCTTGTCTTAGTGGGCGGCATTTTTTTTTTTTTTTTTCTTGATTTCCAATGGGAATTTCGTCTCACCGTTGCAGACTACCTCGTCAAAGCGGTGACCATATATAAGTATATTTGGATTTCCCTTAATTTTTTTATTTTTATTCTCACTCTAATTCTAATTGTGTGTTTATCAATTGCAACTCTTGCTTACCACTGGAAACACTATCATAAGCGGTTGTTCTTCTATTCTATCGCTTTAATTCTCATTCACCCACAATTGTTTTGTGCCCACCAAAAAAATTTCTCAATCACCAATCAAAAATGTTGTCTAGTTTAGGATCAAGACTTAGCACCCTTAAACTTCAATCCATTAAACCAAGACATTATGTTGTCATCATCCTTGTGTTTTTCTTAGTTTTCTACGCCCTTCTAATCTCTTCCTCCACTACCACCACTTCCAGACCTTTCCACTTACTTGAAATCACTTTCAGCAGTGGTGATGCCTCATCTGGGGTCTACTATGCTGATGCTTTGACTGAGTTACAAGTCGACATCGGTTACTTTTCTTCTTGTATCCAAACCAATTATCTCAACAATATTGACAGCTGGACCTGTGGCACCAATGAAAAACACTTGTTACTTACCGACTCCAACTTTTCTGATTCTTCCGATGCTAATGTTGATTTGCTTAACTTATACATTGGCACTGCCCAGGAATTCAGAAAGTATTGTTTGACTCCATATGTTGTCGTTGCTGCATTGGCCGTTGCCTTTTTCACTTTGGTGATGTTTGCCTTCTCCAGTCCACAATCTTCTCCAGGGATGTACAAGTACGCCGCCATGGTTTGTTTCCTTGGATTTGCTATCACTTTGGTCGCTGCTGTTTGGCAAGAAACTAACATCTTAACCGCCACACACCTTATGAAAACCATGGTAGACAGCTACTACGAAATCTCTATTAGCTACAATATTATTGCCCGTGTCTTCGTATGGATGGGTGTTGGCTTAATGTTGATTGCCACCGGTTTGTTGGCCTTCTTGGCTGTGATTGGTACTTTGATCAGAGACATCGCCGAAGAAGTCTTTGACGAAGAAAAAATGTGAACTATTTTGCATCATCTATCATTCATCCCTTTTTCCCTTCAGTGTACATTATTATTATCATCATTTTTTCTAATTTTCATTAATCATTATCATAAATGATCTGTTTATGCTACTTCTTCTTTAGTTTGGAAATTGACCCCTTATTCACATTAACCACACATACCATTTTGCTCTTGACGACTACTGGCTAATGCTCCAATTCCCCTATATTATTATTATTGCTTCTATTGCACCATCACCATCTACTGATACATTACAAAATCACTTCAACTCCATCAAACAATTTCCCAATGGACCTGTCATTGCATAAATAGATTTTTTTGAATTTGCATCTCATTATTATTATTTCTTTATTTCTCTAGCATCTTTTTATTGAGTATCATCTTACTGTAAAATTGTTTTTAAATACATTATTGAAAGAATCATTTCAAAGTTTTCTTTTGTAGTTATTATCAACTTATATCTATTTTCCATAGAAAACTAGTAAATATTAAATATCAAAGTGAGATACCTGGACAGCTGGAAAACCTTTCAATGGTAGCCAGGTACTGGAGTTGTGTTCTTATTTGAAAATTATTCTTGCTCAACCCCTGTTCATCCTTGATTTAAGCATAAAGAACCCTGAATATGAATCTATATACCCAAACATTTTTATCCTGGTGGGTTCCAGGTGTTGGATAACCATAGTTTTGAGTCGTCCTTCAACTACTATTATTCTGCGAGGTGCGGAAATATTGGATGGCGGGCGCACAGCCCGTCCGGTGGTTCTGCAGGCTCTCAACATCTCAGACACCGTCTAATTAACTACGAGCATACAATTATGATAGCGTAAATGGTGTGTTCATAAAAAGAAAAGGTTTTGTTTTGGCCCCTTAGCGTTAATGAGAAAAATCCCTCTATTTGAAAAGAAAAAAAAAGGCTGGTTTTTCTCACTTCTTTATAAGCTTCGTCACGCCCACAATATTTTTCTTTAACTATAATCAGCCCGCGTTGATTTTGGTCAACTTAACCTGAATCTCAAAGTTTTTTATTTGCATTATATCAGTCATATACAAAAGGTATATGATACAATAACCACATCCTTTTGTTTGGAGATTTTCAAAACTAGTGTGATCCAGTGATCTGGTGCTCCCTTTTGCAATGTTCTCAAGATTTGCCAATTTTGAGTGGTTCCAACTAGAATATCTCAGACTGAGAGAGAAATGGTTGAGACACACCCTGATCATCTTTCTCGTGTTATATATCATCTTTGGATGTATTGTTGTGTCTGGGTGCACTTCCAGTTCTGTCAGTGAACTCAACATTGCAAAACTTACTTACACTGCCACTGAGGCAGCTATGAAAGAATCGCCAAGTGGTGTTACCAAACTTGAGGTTAATATGGGTTACTTTGCCTCGTGTATCGTCATCCACACCAACGACTCCGTTTCTCTGACCAGTTGTTCAACCAATGAAACAACCATTTTACTAGCAAACTCCAACCAATTCGATCAAACCCAAGTCACCAACGCTGATCTTTTCAACTTCATGGTTGGTACTGCTAAAAGATTCAGAGTTCGTTGTATGGATCCTTACTCTTTGATTGTCGCAGTTATCTTGTCGTTTATCTGCGTCGTTTCCTTTGCTTTTACCTCCCCTGTCACTGCTAACCATATGTATAAGTACGCTGCCGGGCTTTCATATATCAGTTTTACTCTTTCATTAGTCAGTGCAATTTGGCTACAAACAAATATTACCACAGCAACTGGTATCATGAATAGAATGGCTGATCAGTACTTCACCTTACTGGCCACCCGTGGGTCGGTGGATAATGGTCTTTTATGGGCTGGTGTTGCGATGCAGCTTCTGGCATCTATTGTAACTGGTCTTTTGGGTGTATTAGGTCAGCAAATCGAAGAGGTTGAAGAGGATTTAGGCCTTGACGAGAAGATCTAAACTTCTAACATTCAATAATCACCAAGATTGACAAAAAAAAAAAAAGAATCTTAACAAAACAAATATTACTTCTGGTATTTCATTATATACCTTGCATCTCATACCTCAACTCCATCACTTTATTATAATACTGTTTACTTACAAGTACTGCATTTTGAGAATTTTACATACATCTATATATCCCTAGCATTCCATTTTCCGTTTTCTGATTACTTAATTTTTTCGCTATTTTCTGTTTTTTATTTATTTTCTCACTGCTCAATGAAATGACTTTTCTGGCATCACCAATTAGTTAGATTGCTTAGACACCACAGTAAACCAAGTAGTAAATTAGGAGGCACCAAACAAAATTTTTATTTTGAATTACTGTCCTGTTATTGATTGACAGACGTTTATTGTATTCTCTTGCAAGTTTAAGGTCAAAGGACAATCTGCGTCCTGATTTTGACCGTTCCGGTTCACGCTTGACCTGCAGAATGCCACTAGACGGAGTACCAACATTGGGATGGCTGGTCAAATCTCAAACATCCAGAAACGGGCACTGGGACACGACAAATGAAAATTTTCAATAAAAATGAATGTGTTTCCTTGTATTGTTATCATCCTGCTTTAAACTTTGAAAATTTTTTGTTTTGATTTCAATTCCTCAAGTTTTTTCGAATTATCGTCATCATCATCTGGTCTTTGCATGGCCACAACCCTCCACCATAATGTTCATCAATAGACAGAATATCAGTCTTCAAAGATTAGTTCGCCCTCGTCATATATGTGTGGTGTTGTTGTTTATATACATCATTCTTGAAGCGTTGGTTCTCGCAACATGTACAACCCCAGCAGTTTCGAATTACTACTTGTTATCTCTCACTTACCTTGAAACTCAAGAGAACCTGCCAATATCAGAACTCCGTCTTCGTCTTGGGTACTTCAGCTCTTGTGTTTCTGTCAATGGAGGTAGCTATTCTTGTGGTGTCAACGCTTACGATATGTTGTTGGCATCTTCAGAATTCGACTCCAGTAACGCGTCGTGTGTCGACCTTTACAACCTTGTGATCGAGACTGCTGATATGTTCCGTTCTCGTTGTATGACCCCTTATATCCTCTTGATTTCTGTGATCATGTCGTTCCTCATTCTTACAATGATGGCCTTCATCTCTCCTAGAAACTATAGAAACGCTTATAAGCCGGTGTTTTTCGTCTGCTATGTCTCCTTGTCATTATCAGTAATTGCTTCTGTTTGGCAGGAAAGTAATATCAACACCGCCAACATGCTTTTCCAACAAGTTCTCGACAACTACTATACCGTCCAAGCTCATTATGGTGATTATACTAGAGGAGCAATTTGGGCAGGTACTGGTATCCAAATTCTCATTTCTCTTTCCAGTTTAATGTTAGCTATCATGAGTAGTTGGACTGATAGGTTCGTCAACGCCTGGGACTATTATAATACACCAATGGGTAGCCAAATGGGTCCAATTTGAGTTCATCCACTATCCATCATCCACTGTTCCTCCAACCATTTTTTCCCATGACTTTATGATCTTTCCATTCATAGCATATTTTATAACTTCAACTACATTGCATCATATAATAACACCATTTTGGAGCGATGAATTCTTTTTTGCATCGCGGCTATCTCTAGTCGTTAGTTTACCCATATAATATCCACCAATCACCCATGATTTGTTTCATTTTATACTAATATCTTCTATTTCGCTGCTATTTTTATGATCTTTCTGCATCGCCATCACATATTTTTTCAATTATTACTCTGCTCTAAATTACAATTAAATTTATAGTCCAAATCATCTTTTTTTATTATTTCCTTTTATTACTGCATTTTATGTCTTTTTAATGTTTTTTATTTTATTTAATAGCTTAGCCATTTATTTATCAAGGAGTCAAGATAAATATATTTTGTGTTCATCCCTTTTTTCAAGTTCTCTTTGTAAAACCAGGTGTCGGCCTCCTGCCTTATATCAAAGAAACAGGAATCTTTCAGACCTTGCGAGACAACAGCTGGTTGAGCCTTATTCATATCTCTTTCACCTCGAGCGCTGCTTATCAAATGCTGGTATAAATTCGATACTGACTTATATCCTTTCCCAACTCTGGTATTCCCTGTATTGTCCATCATTTCCGTATTATGGTTTTCTTCAACATTGAAAAGCGGTACAGGAATAAGCTTCCATTGGTGTGCGATATTTGGATCTTCAAATATTTGGATTTCTTCACTGATTTCAAGTCCAAATTCTCTAGTGACTTCTGTTTTCAATAGCTCATTCACCAGCAAAATCCTCATGATTAATTCATTGATAATTTTTACCCCGAATCTGCTTGGGTGAATACATGAAAATGAAGATAGCTCAACGGGGCCCTCCAAAGAGTAGAGTTTAGAAGCGAAATCACAAATGTTGTTGAATAAATTCCATATAATGATTTTAACGGAAACTTTTTTAAAAATCATATCATCATCTGGGTTGAGATCATCAAAAAAATGCTCTTCTTTCTCAACTCTTAAATTTTCATCAACTTTAAGAGGAATCTTACCCATTTCCATTAGCGTTAAGTATCCCATTAATTTCTCGACACTTTGAATGATGATCACATCCACCGAATTCAACTGTACCAAGGTTTGGAGACTCATATCATCTTTGGATGAATGACCAAATAAAGACTGTTGGTATTGTGAGACATCATGATGGAATGATTCTATATCAATAACCAATAGTTTCACCACCGTACGGTAATCGTTTTCTTGGTTTACGGGAATCAGAGAAATAATGTCCTGGAGGGAGGCGAACTTGATGCTCATCTTTTTTTAACCCACAATACAAGATGATTTAGTACGGCCTCGATGATTATTATCCCAATTCATATCATCAATCTTGAGCAGCGTTACCAAAAACTACAGGTATTCCTCCAACTGTGTTAGCCCAATGTTATTCTGTGGTCGGAGTCAGTCAGGTTGGTTGTTATTCTGTAGTCGGAACTCTCTTTTGTGAGGAAAAAAAAGTGCTTCGATCTTTGCATATTCTGGGGTATCGGTGAGAGTTATTACACAGTCTCTCAGATATACATGCAATAGAGCCCAGGGATAGTATGCTCTAACAAGCAGCAACATTAAAATGATTTATTGATAGCTATATCTTAATTGAAGCTAAATAATATAACAATAGCAAAATGTAATACGGTTAAGAATAAGAACAAATGGTCACATGACCTAGCTTTGCAGTGATTAATCATTTGTTTGTTCTCTGTAAGCTATCTGTTGATCTCAAATCTACAAAAATTTTGATAAAAGATACTATAGTATATATATATATATATATGTATATATATAATATCATATCCATACATCACTTTTGTGTGCACTTCTTGTTCAAAATGATTGATAGTCTTTTCCTGCATAACTTTAACCTTGACATTCATTCCAACTTTCAGAGATAATCATTAATGACCATTGATTTTTCCAGTTGTGAATGACTTCCCTTCAAAGTTATTTTATAAGTAAACAGTTATTTCTGGCATCGGCGAAGAAAGCAGCAAATTACAACATTGCTCCTGAAGGTTTTGATATGGCCCAGTTAAGGGCGTCTGCGTTGAACTCCTCTATTTTTAATAGAGCCGCATAACCTAATATTTTTTAAAAAGAAAAAAAAAATGGAGATTTTATGATCAAATCATCTGCCATTCATTACTATTGGCGCTTTTAAAGCTTTCTCTATCAGCGTGTGAAGAATTTTTCTCCTTGGTGGTATTTTCAGAAGTGGTCTTTTTTCTAGTCACAGAAGATTCAGAAGAGCTTGTCTGCTTCTTTTTCTGTTTCTTCGTCTTTTTCTTGGTATTGGTTATGAGATTCGTTGTAGATAATGAAGATAAGGAATTTGAATTTTGTGTCATTGTGGAGCGCTCTGGTGGAAGATCTTTCACCAACCTTTGATTTTCTTCGTTGCTATCAATCTTTTCACGCTCTTCACTCAAAAGTAATGACTGGTTATACAATATTCTGAAGATCCTGAAACTCAAATCAGCCAATGATAGATCCTCTATTGGTTGATCATTATTATCAAAATCTTTCAATTTTTTGTCATTGTCCAGCTTGATTTCAATATAACTTTCAAAGTTCAATTCATCAGATGCTTCAGTCTTACTAATGGCCCCTTCTTCTTTGTCCTTATTTTCACCATTATTTTGATTGATCTCTGGTTTCTCTTCAGAAACATTGAAAATATATTTCAAAAACCTCAGTTTTTTTTCCTTCTTGACACCGGTTTCAGTTTTAGATAATTCCTGTAAAGATGACAACCTCTTTTTATTAGCCAATTGCTCTTTCAAATGGCCTTTCAAATCGTGTTTCTTTTTTTGTACCATGGTGCTCTCGCTACTAACTACTCTCATGGGCTTCTTGTTGGTGTCGTTCAACACAGCACCTCCTGTAACAAGCAAATATAATAATTCATCAATTTTAAATAAGTTACTGTAGGTACTGAAAGCACTATTGCTACCCTCGTTCTCAACTATTTGCAACTCAGCACACATGGCGTACAAGTTGATGATGATTTTTGCCAAAAGAATAGAAAATTCAAACAATTCCACCAGATTCAACTTAATCAAAGATTTTTTGAGGCTGACGGTATTTTTAGAATTAAAGGTTTCGTCATAGGAATATTGGTTCAAAATCATCAATAGATTTCTCGGTGGTATGCTTCCGATAAAGTTTGGATTTTCTCGACTTGAAACAAACTTCTTATCAACCTTGATTTTTAAAAAACCACCATCGAAATTTTCATTCAAACCATGGAGCACATATTTAAACAGGCCTTCTCTACTGGGAATATCAATGCTAAATGGAAGATTTATCAGAAGGTAATGTGAAGAATAAAATAGGAACTGGCAAATCAACTCCAATGAGGAAGTCACGAGGATATGGTTATAATGCATAATCTTACCAACGGAGAATACTGGATGGAAACCAATCGTCAAGTAATAACTTCTCATCTTGTTGAACAGCGACGCTTCATTCAAAGACTTCTTAGTCAAATACTTTTTAACGGAAATAAACTTGCAAAGGTTCTGAAATAATATAGCCTTCTCATTGCTTATCAGTGACTCCACGGTTGTCAAGCCCATTTTTCGTTCACCTATTTCCCTTTTTAATTGCTTCCTTCGCTGCTCGAAACTCTCGTTGAGCTTTTGCTTGTTGGCATCATAGTTAGCCAATTTCTTGTTCAAAAGATCATGATGTCTTTGTTTTTTAACCATTAGAGCTGTCTTAATACGGTTCCTTATTTCCTTACTCTGGTTCCGTAGCTGGCTTATCTTTCTGTTAAGGATCAAAGATTCCACGGTAAGCAACTGTGCTGATAGTGCAGCAATCGAGGAATCTGCAGGAGATGTGATTTCTTTGGCAATAGAGCTAGACAAAGCATGGTTTGAAGAGGTTAAAGGAGATTCTAATGTTGCGAGTCCGGAAGAATTCTCCTCATTTTTCTTTGTGTCGCTTGTTTGGTTGCCATTAACGTACTCTGTCAAAAACTCAATGTTTGCACTGTCATCACTCTTCAATGACATTCGAAGGACTCTGTTAATCTGCTTTTTAGATTCATCTATTAACAATAAGGTATCCAAGTATTTCACATTATTCTTCAACAATAAAGAATTCATACAAGAAGGACAATTGAGGTAGGACGAATTGTTATGATGGTCATGACTACCCTTTATCGCTGCATCCCACAAGCTTTTCTCCAGAGAAAACCGGCCATTCAAAGTAACTGGCGATTGATGGCAGATTCCACATCGTATTATCATCTTAATACGTCATATTTATTGAATTTACTCCCAGTTGTATCGCTAAATTAAGGAAAGGAATTCATTCCTTACTCAAGACGGTTGTGGCAACCAGCGATACCATTTTTCTCGTATCTCAAATGCTCATCGTGCACGTGCATGTGGTCAAAAAAAATGTCAAAAACATTGAAAATTTTGGGGAATCTGGCTTACTATCTATGAAATCACCAGGGGCAGAAGGACTAGTTTAGGAGGAAAAAATGAAGTCCTTAAGAGCTTATAGCCGTGGATTGAATGGTAAACGCCCAAATAATTATACCCGGTACTTCTCCAGAACTGCAAAGCTACTCCAGACACAGGATGTGCAAAGGCAGCTCAAACAAATATTCGATAATGAGAGTTATTGGACAAAGATGATCACTAGCCCGTCATCCCCCGGTGCTAGAGTAGCAAATATTCCTAAGATCCCTTCTTCGTCACTGTATCAGAATTTGGCTTCGAAACTCAATATTTTCCACAAAGATCAACAAAGACTAGAAACAGGGCTTTTCAGAAATCCATATTTAACGTCCTCCGAAGGCCTTGAATTCTTCACCACTGAAATGCTTGCAAAAGCGGAAAATATTGTCAACTTAATTGTCAGTGATACTAGTGACCATGGGTTGCGTCATTGTATCAAGAATTTGGATACTTTAAGTGATATGCTTTGTAAGGTCATTGATTTGTGTGAATTTATTAGAATTTCCCATCCGGACTCTCATTTTTTAGAAAGTGCCCAGAAATGTCATGAGAAAATGTTCAATTATATGAATGTACTTAACACAAACGTTGAATTATTCAATATCTTGAACAGTTTATTAAATGATCCGTCAAAAAAGCATATTAAGGAAGAATTGAGTGCGGAGGAGGTTGTTGTGGGTGAATTGTTGCTAGCAGATTTCAAGAAATCAGGGATCGATAAGGATGATAAAACTAGAGACTTGTTTATTGAATTGTCTTCAAGAATTTCGGTTATTGGTCAATATTTCAACAATAATGCCTTCGATTTGAAGGACAGCAAATTTGTATTTAGCAAAGCGGAATTAAAAAATTCTGTATCAGATGAAATAATGGACCAAATACAAGCCGAACTAGGAAAATTTTCGTCCAGAGGCACAAGGGTTTCTTTCCTGGTCAATTCCCATGTTTCTTTCTTATTACTCAAAAACTGTTCCAATGAATCAATTAGAAAGCAGATTTGGGTCGGCCTAAACTCATCTTCCCAAAAACAGTTACAATTACTTGAATTGATGTTGAATTATAGAAAGCTTTTATCATTGAAATTGAATTATCAAGATTTCAATCATTATCAACTTGAAGATAAGATGGCTAGAAACTCAAACAACGTTCTAGTATTTTTAGATAATTTGCGGAAAAAGATTGAACCATATTGCGTTGCCGAATTGAGAAAATTAGCAGATTTGAAAATCAAGGACTATCAAAAGGACTCAGGACTTATCAATTTCAAAGATTACTCAAAACAAATCAGTGGCATTGAAAATAAATTATCAAAGAAGCAGCCGTTCAGTGATGATGATGTGATAGCCTTTATTAGACCATGGGACAGAGAATATTTGATAAATCAATTGCTTGTCAATAAACGTCGCAAAGAACTCCTTCCGGAAACCAATGCCTCAGTCCCAGCGCTCAACAACACTGACTTTGAAAATCAACCGATTTCCAATTTCTTTTCATTGGGTACGATTTTTGCTAATCTCTCGAAGTTTTTAACTAGTATTTACGGAGTGAAATTCAAATTTGATAAACCGTTAAGAGGAGAAATTTGGCACAAGGATGTCCGGAAACTTCTTGTGGTCAATGCCAAAGACGAAAATGACATAATTGGGATAATTTACCTTGATTTATTCGAAAGATTGGGAAAATCCTTGAATCCTGCCCATTTCACTATTGTTTGCTCCAGAAAAGTCACCGATGGAGCTGAAATTGAAAATTGTGAAATTCTTAATGAACCACGGTCAGAACCAAAAGACGATAACGTGAAGTATATTCAATGTATTAGAAATGCTGAAGGTGAGATTTATCAATTACCTATCATCACATTAGTCTGCAACTTTTCAAAGAGTGTTAAAAGCATTAATAACAAAATCGAAAATATAGCATTGCTTAAACTTGTGGAGGTTGAAACCTTACTTCATGAAATTGGACATTCCCTTCATTCCATGTTTGGCAAAACCAACCTTCATAACGTTAGCGGAACCAGATGTCTCACTGATTTCGTTGAATTGCCTAGTATTCTTATGGAAACCTTTAGTAAAGATGCCAGGGTCTTGAAATTTCTCAGTGAACACTATGAAGATCAATTCAAAATCGATGCCGTTAACAAGCAGTTGGAAGACACCTACAAGGCAAAATTGATTAAATTACATCAATCGGAAAATGATGTTTTGAGATATTGTGATATTTACTCACAACTCAAGATGGCGTACCTTGATCAACACCTTTACCTTGAAACCCCTAATCCGGTGCTCTATAATCCGGCCACAGGAATTCATGAGGAAATCACTGAAAAAAATAATGATTTAATCACCCTTGAAAATTTAGATGCTTTAGCGGGTCTGAACTTACAATACTCGGAAACCATTTATCATAACTGTGAGAAAGACTTGAGGATTTTTGCTGATCTTGAAAGCAGCTGGTACGGCAAGTTTGGGCATTTGTTCACCTATGGGGCGACTTACTATACCTATTTGTTTGATAGGGCCATTAGTAGTAAGATTTACAAGGAGTTATTCTTAGCCGATCCATTTAACAATGTCAATGGTAATATTTTCAAATCAAGTGTTTTGAGATGGGGTGGAAGTAGAAACCCTTGGGAGTGTGTGGGAGAATGTCTCAATGATCCTCGTATTGCTAAAGGGGATGCGCAGAGTATGAAATTAATTGGGGAAATTGATGATGTGAAATAATGACATAATAAAGGAGAAATAATGACATAATAAAGAAGAAAAAAAAATCTATATTTTTGTCTTTAAAGGATAATTACAAATACAAATTTATAAATATGACCTAGAATTAAATAAAATGCATATATAAACCAATCCGATGTATCAATATCTCCGGTTGGAGTTCCATACATACACCATTTCATCCCATCCTGTAGTGACCACCCAGCCAGGCTCTCCCCAAAGTGACCAATCCCCACCAATTACAAATTCTTTATGATTATTAAACAGGTTTATACATCCTGTACTATTGTTGATTGTTCGAGGAGCACGCTTGTCGGTAACGTCATCCCAGATACGGGCCGTCATGTCATAACCACAACTCAAGAGTTTGTTGCTTGAATGAGGCGACCAAGTAACGTTTCGTACTGGGAGTTGATTACCTACCATCTCGTTTTGCGGGGCAGAGTTTGAGCCATTTAAAGAATGTGATGCCGGAAACTTATTTGTGATCATTCTAAGATCCCATACTCTTATAGTCTTGTCCACCCCCGATGTGGCAAGCACGGTCGATCTATATTTATTCCAATCCAATCCTAGAGCCTCTAATCCGTTATGGCACAAAATATCCATTTGCAAAGGACGCGCGGAACGGACATCCCATAATTGAAGTCTGGACGAGGCATTGACAGAGGCAATGAGATTTGGAGCATGGGGCGACACCTTTGCTTGATAAACGCATTGGGTATTGGTGAGGTTGGACCCTGGTTTTTGGGATTTCAGTAATGGAACACTGGATGGTTTTGTCGTTGGAGCAAACGTACTGGAAGACGACAGTAAGTTTACTAGACTCTGTTTCCGATTAGCCGACCATACTTTAATTGTTCCATCCCAGGAGCTGCTGACAAAACTGGACTTGTCGGTTAAGTTCCAATTAATTGAAAATACCTCTTTATGATGTTCATTCCACACGGCCACGGGATATGTCCCCACATGTAGATCAAACAACTTGATGGTCCCATCTCCTGAAGAAGCCGCGACATGGTTTTCGTTGATCTCCGACCACGACAAGTCAAACAATCCGTCTTGAGTATCAAAATAGATATCCTGAGTGATCTGACCATTGGGATTTATTGAGAGTATATAAAGACGGCCATTACCTGCTAATCCATAATTGGCCGATGTCGCCACAGCTATCTTATTATCGAAAAAAGAGGAGTATTTCACTGAGAACCCACTATAACCACTGGTTCTGAATTTTAGCATGAAGTAGTTTCTTATAAATATTAGGCATATAATATAAATATTTAATCTATATATATGTGATTGAAGGCCTTTTGGGGTCCCAGGAGTAAATTTGATGATTCTGGGGAAGGCTCCCACCGGGGCTCGTAATTAAAAATCCTCGCGCAGAAATGACACAGATGATCTAAAGAGCCATTATTAACTCGGGTATGGATGCGTGAGAGAAAAAGAAAAACCAACATAAAGGTAATGATTTAAAAGAATTTTAGGAGCTGATTATGCTTGGATCTGTCCAGCACTCGTTGGAGGTATCTTCTCTTCGAATATGTCTTTCATAGAATGAGAAATAACAGACAAAGAAAAAAAATCATTAGTGATTGTAAATTCTTTGAAGGCAAGCTGATATTATCGTATCCCTTTCCCAAGCCACTGTGCGAATGGCACTGATGCGGTAGCAAATGATGGTTTTTGTAGGAGAAAACAATATAAGCGATTAGTTAGAGAATAAAGAGATTGAAAATTACAGGAGTAAAAATGATAAGGCAAAAATGAAAATAAAAGAGTATAATAAAGAGATTGTGAATGAAGACAAAATGAAATCCAAAGAGACTGTGACTGACAACACTGATGCTAGAAAGATGGAGGGTGAAGAGACTAAAGCTACCAGTTTTAAGAATAAAGAAATTGCAGGCATCAGGTTTGAGAATATTTAAAATAACCAGGATTGTGATAAAAGGCCTTGATAATCCAGATGCTGTGAAAAAAAGACCTCGAAACAATATTTGGTAATCTGCAAAGAAAATTGAAGCTTTCCAACTTATTGTGACTCATCAATAAGCACAATGACCGATGATTATAATAGACAAAGATATGATGGGCATTTCTAATTTTGGCTATGATCTACCCTTTATATAAGCACACTACTTTGCAGCTATTTTGCTTCACCACAGTCTCTATTTTTGCACAATTTTTACAAATATAGCGGCTATCATTCACTTATTTGTAACAGAGACATATACTATCAAGAATATATATAATATAATAAAATATAATATAATGCAACGTAATAATACGGTGTATCTATAAGATCAATGCATCTTCTTTTTGTCACGTGTAGAATATTTGGGATTACCCGTGCCACTCACGGCCAATGAGAAAGTGGTGAATGTAATAATAGCCCTCTGCAAAATTATTATTTGTTTTCAGCATCCCCCCATCATATACTGACCGTCATTGATAAACCTCAACCTTATACATAATATCCTCGACAATAATGACCGGTGTTCTTCCATTTACCGAAGCCAACAGAAAGATCGTCACCCTTTTCTACCGTCGCTCCTTGAAATTGGCCTACTCGTGGATCAATAGACGTGATTTGTACAGAAAGAAGGCAGTGGAAATCAGACAGCAGTTTGAAGCCAACAAACAACTTGATGACCCAAAACAATTACAACATATTTTGAAGAATACCGAATCCTTATTATACAAATATAGACACCCAGATCCAATTGTTCCAGCCTCCAGACCAGGTGGTACTAAGTTCGAAAGAAACTTGCATCCATCATTGGATAAGCCAATTCCTGGTCATTATTAGAACAATAAACTGGTCTATTTAATTTGAAATAGGAAAAATAAAAAAGAAAATTTAATTATCCAATATTCAATATTCGCTTAGTCTCAAAGCAAGAAAAAAACACTTACGAAACATGAAATTTTCAAAAACAAATAAAACCAACGAAAAATCATCATCATTCCATTTATGAAGTACTGGTAATATATGTTTAATTGGAAAAAGAAAAAAAAATGTTTCAGTCATATCCCCACCTCTCAAAAAAAAAAACCCTTCCCCGACGTCATTTTTGATCAACACCATTCTTCTGTTAACCATCAATATTTTTGCATAGATCTTGTGGCTAGAATTCTAGTTTTAATCATCTCCGTCATCATTTGTCATAATAACAGTATTATAATTGAAAGTCAGCAGGCACTCTTCTTTATGTTACTATTTTTTATCATTTTTATCTACTATTATCACTATTATTATTGTATCAGATAGCCCACCAGCTGCTGATTCAATTTTCTTAATCTAAAGCATAATGTATATTTCCCTTTTCCGCCCTTGCTTTTATTTCTGTCATTGTCTGTTATATTAATATAAAAAGAATCATATAATTGAATGGTATATTTTTGTAATATTCACAATTTATCAAGGAAAAAATGTCTTATATTCCAAAACATACAAAATATTAAAACTGAGAGATAAAGAAATAAAGAAATTGGAATAATAATAATGATAATAATAATAATAATAATAATAATAATAATAATAATAATAACAATAATAATAATAATAATAATAATAATAATAATAATAATAATAATAATAATAAGAATAATAATAATAATAATAATAATAATAATAATAATAATAATAATAATAATAATAATAATAATAATAATAATAATAATAATAATAATAATAATAATAATAATAATAATAATCATAATAATAATCATAATAATAATAATAATAATAATAATAAAAATGTTGAATATACACCAACGCGTTGCGTTGCACTTAATCATACTAGAAACGAAAAAAAAATAGTTTACAAGAAGTAAAATCAGCTTCACTGGTTAGATGATTATTGGCACCTCTCAATGTTCCATATTGCCAATAATCCAAATATTCCCCTTCTAAAATACATTCTTTTATCATCTAAAGTACATCATCCTCATCTTCTTCATATTCGTCGTCTTCTTCATCTTCATCTTCTTCCTCATCCTCAATAACTAGAACATCATAATCCTCATCTTCTTCATCTTCTTCAGGCAAATCAACTTCTAAGAAAGCTTTCCATGTTTTTGGTTTGGATTCATCAGAATCTTTTTTCTCAGATTCTTCATCATCACTGAAATTCCATAACTTGAGGAACTCTCCTCTAACAAGAGACACAACAATTATGGCCAAAATAACTGATGGGCAAAGGTACAATAATGCTGGTTGGGCAGTGCTGAAATAATGCAAGCAGTAGTTGGTAAGACCAAGGCCTAAAATGTACCCAGTAATAGAGCTGTAAAAGTAAGGTTTTGAATATTTATTCAAATGATGGAATTCAGTTTGTGGGTTAGCAGCATGATAGTTAAATAAATCAAATCTGAGAGCAAGGGATACAAGGGATCCTGGAATGACAATGTCACCAAGTCCAAGCATCAGGTCCTTAATTGCTGGGATGACGCCATCGGTAATTGGGGCTTCTGGAGCGTGAGGGAAGACAAGCTTGACTGGGATATCAATTCCGGTGGCCACAGTAACCATTGCATCGGAGTAGAAAACAAAATAAATGTCGTAGAAAAACAAGAGTCCTAATAAAAGGAACGCGGCTCTAAAAGAGCTAAACCCGGTATTTTGCATTCCCCAAATTGCGTGAGATGACCCAATGATATTAGATAAGATCCAGTTTTTAGAGCCAGCGCCAGTATTTGTGGCAAAAGCATAAGTAGCCATACAAGAAACGAGTAATGAAGTGATATCTGCGCTGGAGAAAAAAACATTGGCAAGTTGTTCCTTTTTGTCGACGGTAGTGGACAATTCATCTCTCAATTTGTCTAATTTACTCTGTTTAGATTCTTTCTTTTCTTCTGATCCTTTTTCTTTTGATGAATCTTCAGATATATTTTTTTTATCATCTTTCTTGATGGAAAGGCCAATAATCGAGAGAAGGGCATTACGGAATTTGAAATTGTCGGCTTCCATTTTATCATCATTAACAATCACCCCTGATGGACTGAGCGCTGTATCGTTCGCTAACACAATTCTATACTTGCCAATGATATCAAGAGGATTGATACCAAACTTATGACAAAGCAAACGGTTTCCGGTCTTCAAAAAAAAGTTAACGGAGGAGTAATTGGACATCAACGAGGTTGCAACCATGTATTTCTTCAAAACGGTCTGGACAATATCCTTAAGAGAGTTTTGTAATGCGTATTTCAATCCGAGAAGAGCAGCTCCAGACAAAACTGGCATCATGATGGCGTTACGGGTGGTGAATTTGTTGACAACTTCTGCTTCCTCGTCTAGAGGAATTGAGCCGACATCAGAAGGGTCGAAAAGTGGATGATAAGGCAGTGGATCGTTAGCGTTCTTAGGCTTAGAAATCGAAGAAAAGGCACCGGCAACAACGAGGGACACTGCACCAACGGTCAAAAGCACTGATGGCACATAAACTGAATAGGTATTCCAAGGTAAACACCCCCATGTATCGTAGATTTTGTAGGTAGCGAGCACGGCTACTCGGTTGAGCACTGTCATGTTATCGAGGGACATTGTGGAGTTGCTCAGCGCCCCAGCAGAAGAGTTGAAATTATCTGGCATTATTATTAACACACTGAGGAAAGAAATACAATAATAATAAGAATAAGAATAATATATAAACAATACCAATAACGTCACAACATTTGTCTTCAAGAAAAAAAAAACGAGTGTCACGTGACAGGGGCAAAGAACAAGCGAAAATTGACAGGTCCAAAATCCTACTAGTAAGGAAACTAAAAATCAAATCTTTTCATTACCATCAGTCAAATACCCAACCTTTTTTGTTGTGCTCCTCCCTTCAAATGGTCTCCTGGAATTTCAAAAAGAACAAACACTCGAAATCTAACCATCCAGTCCTGTCGAAATCAACGACGATGATGACAACATTGACGTCTGGTGACCCTGGCACAACCGCAACCAACCACCCCAAAGAGTTGCTCAAGCACACTACCAAGTCCACTGGGGCCCTTTCCTCCATGGCAAGTAATAACGATGATGCTGGATCAGACCCATTATCACCTCAAGAACTTAGCACCCTTCAAGGCTCTACAGCCTCGATGTTCAATCGCAGCAACGTCAACTCGTACTATAAGTTTCTGGGCACCATTCCTTTGGAGAACAGTAATGCTAACAATGACTTTACCAGGACTCAAGACAGAATCCCTCCTTCTAAAGTGATGCATCCTAATAATACTTCTGCTACTGATACTGCTATCATTACAACAAATGAAGATTCTGAAAAAGTATCAAGTACTCCATCAACACTCAAACAAACCGGGCTTCTGTCTAACAAAAATCTATCAAGGTCTGGTTCAGGAAACGAAATAAATAAAAAATTGCCAAAGAAACAATCTAACAGGAATTTACAAAAGGATGGCGACATTAGTAAAAAGAAACCAAGAAGAAAGTCTTTATTTGGATTATTTGCGAGAAGTCTGAGTGGGGACTCCCTTGAAAACCCTCTTCCAAATCAAAAAGATATGATGACATCATTGGGCAATACCAAAATCGAAGACAATGATAAATCGACCATCAAGCCAAAAATTGATTCGCTAGATAATATTGTGGCTGCTCCAAAGAAAATACAAAACGATGACGATTCGGATGATTTGATATCGCCAGCCAGCGAGAGATTTCCTCGAAAATCTCCAGAACCCGATGATGAAGAAATCAACAGCTCCAAGCTCATTATCATCAAATCAAATGATCTGGACAATAATGAGATAAACGAGCAACAACTGCTGAAACAAGACCACAAAGCAATTGATGCTACTGCCGATTTATCTAATCCTTTCTTTATGAAACACTTGGCCAAAAAATATTCCAATGTCAACCCTATTTTGCCTTCTTCGCCAGTACTTAGTGATGTATCCTCCGGTATACCAGTTACTTCTAATCCGGATAAAAACTTTGAATTTGGTACCAACATTGATACCCAACTTAGTGGGGCGTCAAGTCCTAACATGGTCCGGAGAAACTCTTTGATTTTTGAAAGAAATGTTCAGGAACAACCGTCATTTTCTCGCAGAAGCTCTTTTCTTCATAATCCGAATTCGTCTCCTCATCAATTGATCTCTAAAAAGAGCGCCTCGTCTCTTCATCTTCGCGGTTCGTCACCAGGAAGTCCTAGCAGTCCAAATTTTTCCCATTTTTTTGAAAAACCAACGAAACCAAATGATGATGATCTCACGAGACGCAGATCATCTTCGTCGACTGCCTCACTCACTTGCCCACCAGGACTCAAAAGTATTCCAAATCATTACATTCTTGATGATTATATTTCTCCGGTGCTTGACTCGGCAGTGAATCTTAATTTAGAAACTACCAACACCTCCATTAGCGATCCATTATCCGGAACTGGTGGGGGTGATATTTCCCCAAGCAGCTCTCTGGGAATTAATTTGATCCTCGAAAAACTGCCTAGGAGACCGTCGATCATTGAAACATCCCTCAATAATTATCTCGACAAAACCCTCAATAGCAACTCGAATACTAGCGGTGATGCTGCTACTGCTACTATGACCAAAAAGTTGGCATCAAGTAGTAGTACCAGCCTTTTGTTGCGCTCAAATGACGATGCTGGTCCTGGTGTGCCACCTCCTGAATCAGATTTGACTACATCTCCGGCATATAAATCTAAAAGTAACGAAACATCTGAAGGCTCCTGTTATTCAAGACGCAACTCGCTATATGTTGGGTTATCCCCATACCCTCCACGAAAGAAGAGCGTTAGCCTGGCGACTCTCGGGCATCATTGCCATTTGAATAAAAGCGTCACAGAGTTGAATAATGGATCAACACCGGTTAGGGTCAAAAGTAATACCGTTAGCTCCAATACTTCGACGATCAGAGATCGGGAAACTGAGCCGCAAAGTGGGCTCAGAGTACACACTTTTGGCAATGGTGCACCAGTGGCAAAAGCTATTGATTTCAACTCGTACGCCGAGCTTTTGGATATGGAAAATAGCGTCGGTGATGGGTTTTACACTTATAGTATGGATAATGATAAAAACACCGCAGTTGATGATGCCAGTCCACGAAATGAGGAATTTTACGATGCTTTGACCAGCCCAGCTAAGACTCAATCATTTGATATTAAAAAAATTGAGACTTAATTAGAGTATTTAGAAAAAAATTTACATATCTTTTTTTGTTGTTGTTGTTGTTGTTGTTGTCTGGCTATGAGTTTTATGCGATTGTTTTGTTGCTTTCTTTTTTTTTTTTTTTTTTCGCTGTTCTGTTCTAACTCCATTCTAATTTTTATCTATCCGTCTACTAGTTTTTCTATTGTTTTTCGTTGCTTTATGTTTGAAGAAAATTTAATCTCTATAATCAATCCTAATTATGTGAATGGCAATGTGTTATCTTTGACAATTGACATGTTCTTTTTAATACTAATATTACATGTAACTAGAATTTTGTTCTCAAAAAAATTGATTTTGTCTTCAAAACTATAGGAACTAGCAGTCTCTCTTATCACTTTTGTCATTTAACCCTTTTGCAAACTCATTAAAATTCTTAACAAATATTTGGGGATCCCCAATATATTTTTTTGGTATATTAGCTTTAATTCTTTTTTTCTCATTTATATCAAAGCAACAACCGTTAGTTAAATCCAATAAGCTCAGCAAATACCGAGCCAAATGCTGACAACCACTAATTTCCTTTTTTGACAATTCCTCATCATTATCCATTAAATATTTCGCTACAAACCACATTGACTGTTGAAATTTTGGAAAAGAAAATTTCATTGGAACTTTCGTCAACTTTTCAATGTGCACCACCTCTAGTTGCGTTTCCATATTCATAATCGTCAAAAAATTACCACCAATCACCACGGTATCCTCCGGAGTGAAAACTGCATGGATCCAGCCCGATGGAATTAGCATCAAATCTCCCTCATTTAAGGTGATGGTAAACCCTTGGTTATTCTCTTTATTTCTGCCGGTTCTGGCATGATCCCGCAAATAATCGGGGAAAAAGACGGTATTCTGATTGTCCAATAACGACCATTTCACATAATTTCTCAAGTTCAGTTTGGTTGGTGGGAATAATAAAAATTTTTTTTGGCCCTTAATAACATTATAATACACTTGGGTTCCTGCAAAATCAAGATGGAAATCGGTATATGAGTTCTTCACCCCCATCAAGCAGTATTTAGAAACCGAAGTTCTCTTATCAAGGATATCCACCGGCCATGCTTTGTCTATTATATCTAATTGTTCAACCACTCTTGGTCGTGTAATCTGATCATCCAATGGACTCTCCGATACCTCTAGCGAGATCACGTTGTGTATTCTATCTCTATCGTCACTATTATTAAAATAATCTCTCCACTCTTTCACCAGCCATCCTTTCAAGCTGTCCTGAGTGAGGACATCCATTACTTCGATTGGTTTGGTTTCGCCAATGATTTCTGCAACTTGGGAGACCGTCAACTCCGATGGCATTTTCATCTCGATACCTTCGAGGGATTGCTTCGGTATATAAATTGGCTTATCAAAACCACTTCTCCGCATGAATTCAAGGGTTACTTCTTTACCGCATAATTGATAGAAATAGGAATGGCCGTCTGTTAAATCGATCCCATTATCATGATTATAATTCACTAGTCGTGAAATGTGGGGATGGAGTCCCTTGACAACGCTAGTGTTACTGCCTCCTTCGTTAAGGGCAACATAGTCTATTTTCGTTTTTTTCCTCGATGATATTCTTTTCTTCACTGATTCCCCTGCCAAGTTAATGCAATTGGCACAATGGAACTTTGCAAGCTGTTCCAATTCTTGCGGTGACGTCCCCACGCATTCATCATGGTACCATTGTTTGCAATGATCGCATTCGACCCAATTGTCTTTGGGATATTTGCTGTCGTCTGAGTACTTGGGGCAACGAGGACACAACTGACTGCTTTCAATTACTTCTTGTTCTTGTTCTTCTTTCTTGGGCACAACTTCCTCCAAGCGATGTTTAACCGAGGGCATCATTTGACGTATATGATTTCTGTCTTTGTGTGCCATGGATGCCCCTGTACAAAAAAAAAAACAAAAAAAAATTGTTTGATCTCTTGCAGAAATCCCCCGGGTAATTAATTGATCCAGTCGTTATCTCACTTTGACAGCTTAGCTTTTCACTTCTCTTAAACAATTCCTGGACTTTCCCATTGGTGCTCATTTACAGAGATTTTTCACTAAACATAGAAAAACAGTTCATCGCTCATTCATTTTGGCAATTATTTCTTGGTTCTAAATACATGGGAATTTTACAAGTTTTATACAATAAATGTTATCGATCAATCACCGACGCAAAAACGATTGATACGCATCAGGATCAACACTAACTCTACCAATAGATTTCATCTTCTTCTTTCCCTCTTTCTGTTTAGCTAATAATTTCTTTCTTCTGGACTGATCAGCAGCGTGTAACTTCTGTAACACATCCTTTCTTTTGGCCTTCACTGTTTCTCTGCCAATGATTTTATTATTTGCTCTTGCTTGGATTACCACTTCAAACAAATGATTCTTAACGTATGGCTTAAATTTCTTGACCCATTCACGACCGGTGGTTTCTACCAAACTCCGGTGCATCACTTGGGATAGCGCGTCGATGCTGGTACCGTTGACTAAAAGTTCCAACTTTACAATATCCGATGATTTGTAACCAGCGTCATCGTAATCAAGCGAGGCAAATCCCCTAGTGGCCGATTTCAATTTCCCAAAGAAGTCGCTCACAAGATGGGATAATGGTAATTCGTACTTTATAAGTACTTGGCCGGTGTTTAAATATTGCAAATCTTTCTGGATCCCTCTATTATTGTCACATAACTGAATGACTGCTCCCACATATTCGTCAGGGAAGGTACTCATGATTTCAACATACGGTTCTTGCAAGTCAACGTACTTGCAATTAATACCTTTACCTATAGCCGATAAATCAGGGAAGTCATCAGGGTTGGTGATGATCTGGTTCTCACCATTTCTGTCGATTAATTTGTAAGGCACAGTGGGGGTAGTGATGATCAACGATGCCCCATATTCTTTTTCTAACCGTTCCTTGAAAACTGAAGCGTGTAAAGACCCAAGGAACCCAAGTCTCCAACCTTGCCCCAAAGCATTAGAAGTCTCTTTTTGTAGAGTGACGCTTCTATCATTAAGAACCAAGTAGTTCAATCGTTCATCTAAAACGTTAAATTCTACCCCATCGGCCGGGAATGCCCCAACGAAAACCATGGGTTTTGATTCTTCAAACCCTGGGAATGGTTCAACCTCTTTGCCAATTTCCATAAACGTATCACCAATCAAAGCTTCGGAAGAATTCTTCATTCCGGGAATGATATAGGCAACCTGTCCTGCAGAAAGCTTTTCCATTGGCAATTTGTCAGGGTACATTAGCCCGACTTCTTTGATCTCGTATTTCTTTTTGGTGTGGGCCGATATAATCCTCATTCCTTTGTGAACTGTCCCGTCAACAATTCTAACCAACATAATCACCCCCACAAATGAATCATACCATGAGTCAATAATAAACATTTTCAATGGATCGGCGGTGCTGCCCACTGGAGGGACAATTTTTTCAATGATCTGGGGAAGAATCTTCTCCACATTTTGACCAGTTTTCGCACTAACACTGACGATATCGTCAACAGGCAATTCGAAAAAATCTTCGACTTGGCTCACTGCTTTAGGAATATCGGCATGCGGTAAGTCTATCTTATTGATAATTGGCAAAAGTTTCAAATCCATTGAGTATGCCAAATAGAAATTCGCCACGGTTTGAGCTTGCACCCCTTGCGAAGCATCCACAAGTAACAATGCCCCACCTACCGCGGCAAAACTTCGACTGACTTCGGCTCTAAAATCAACGTGGCCTGGACAATCCACAAGTTGTAAAAGATAATCTTGATGTTGGTAGCGGTAGATCATTGAACATGTTTGGGCCTTGATGGTGATACCTCGTTCACGCTCGACGTCTAAACGGTCCAAAACTTGTTTATTGGATCCTGGTTGAATCACTCCGGTAAGTTCGAGTAACCTATCACTAAGAGTCGATTTACCATGATCGATATGGGCGACAATAGAAAAGTTTCGATAATTTTCAATAGGGATTTTGGCAATACGTTCTCGAAGGGCTTGCAACCCGGCTTCTTTACTGCTGATACTGCTCTTCAGGGTCTTCTCTTCCAAAGGCGGCGACTGTGATGACTTACTCAGATTATACCTTAGTAGTCGATGGCTGGATGAAGCGTTATTGGCATTACTAAACAGTATGGATTTCAGAAGTCTGCCTGCAGTTGGGATGGCCTGTCGCGATATAAAGGCATGGCGGATCATATACATCGAATAAGGCTCACTGATTGTTAAACATTTAAAATTGGTGCAGAAGATGATACAATTAAACGATCAGTACTAAGTATTATTTAGTAGGTGATAGGTAATGGTGATTGAAATTTTTTTTTTTTTTTTGGTTTTTTCCTTTTTCAATTTTTCATTTTTCCCAGGCGTACCAAGGAAAGTAATCACCAATTCCGGGGAGAGAGAGAAAGAGAGAGAAGGGGGAAATCATATAGCAATATATTTTTTCAATACTTTCGTACCTTACAAAGATTCTAATGTGCCATTTTATAAAATATCAAAGTAACCAGACCAAAAATATCGAACAATAGTCTCAACATCGATTGGCCGCACAATTTCTCAGAATTTCCATGTTACAATTTTTTTTGACTAGATATCATTGCGATATTTAAAGTCATTTCGAAGTTTTTTTCTTTTTAAAAACATTTTGATCACAAACAAACATCACCTTTAGATGCTGTAAGGATATTGCTAACCGATGTTTGAATCTTGTTACTGTGGTTCAGTATATTTAGCTTGTCACTTTTTACGTGAATAATTTCCTCCGAAATATTAGTAACTCCATAATATTGAAACTTTGAACCATGGCTTCCAAAACATTTTTTCCACAGGTAGGTTTTCCCTTTTTAAGTCTTCTAGTAGCTGACCCTTTTTAAGCCTTCTAGTAGCTGAAAATTGCACATGGTCTTTAAGAACCTAATATGAATGCTTTCCGTTTCTGTATAAAGCTTACAGTTATCAGGTCATATCACTATATATTCTTGAATATCTCTAGTGCATTTTTATGCTTTAAGCTCTTTCCTGACTGTAAATTATTTTCTTCAGGCAATTTAAAATCTTTTTCCAGGTTAAAGCGATGTTAAATAACTTGTAACACCACAAACCTAGTGTGAATACCCAATGCACCAATTATATTGGGCAGGATATTGTGATTTCTATTAGTAAAATTCAAGTTTTTGGCATTGTGGCTTTTGATAGCTGAAACAAAAAAAAAATTTCCTCTGTTAACGATGCCGATGAAGATGATGGTGAGGAAGGCGGTTAAATAACGATGAACTCCCATAGCGAAGAAGAACAGAGGATGATCCTGGTAGAGGACCCGGCTCTCCGAGAACAGATCTACGTCCACACGGTTTATAATGAGATTGCTCCACACTTCTCGTATACCAGATACAAGCAGTGGCCAATAGTCGAGGAATTCCTTAAGAGCAGAGCCCTTGGGTCAATAGGTTTAGACGTGGGCTGCAGGGATTAGATATGGAACTAGAGGACGGTAGCGATCCTTTTACTGCCGAAGAATGTAATTGCATTTGTTGAGGGGTGACTTCAGAGTAATTTGAAATTTCACTCCTTCTCAACTGGTACGATTCAGGCAAAGATCTAGGAGGTTGATGGTACCTGAGGCTCGAAAAACTACCTTCTCTAGAAAGTCGATGAGCGCCTATGGAATCTAACTTTTTAAGACTAGTGCTAGAGATTGAATTGCCACTGGTGCTACTTTCTAATTTAGGAGGATTCGCCAAATTCCTTGGATTTTTATCAATTAGCGGATTATAACTGAGTTGGCTATTTTGAGGAGCTACTGAATGATCATGGGGTAATTTGGCCAATGGATCCACAAACGACGCGATTCTAGGCCTAGACTCAATCGATGGTGAAGCGTGTGCGCTATTTATTTCAGGCTTATCTGAAGCTGAAAAATATGATGGAGTAGAAAAAGGCAATTGTGGTTGGGAATTGTGATGGATTGGTGGTTGAGGAACATTAATGTTAATACTCTTTGTTTGATGGTGGTAGGGCCGACTTTGCAGGGTTTGTATAGCATCAGCTCTTGTCTTAAAACTGTATTTCAAATCTTGAATTCTCTGATAGTTTTCCTCATCAATTTGTTTTATTATTGGTTCTAATTTTGGTAAAGAGTCAGAAAATTTGATCACATCCCCCGTTGTATTCAAAACTTCCTTCTTCAAATTATCGGAAGTTCTAGAGAGGCTTTGCTGTGACATGGAAATTGAGCGGCCCATTTCTGAAGCATTGTTTACCACATCTTTTATATAGGTGTTTGAAGTATGATATGGTTGAGATACCAGCTGTTGTTCCAGTTGTAACAGAATCTTCTGAGGCGTCATTTGCTGCAGTGGTTGACGGGTGTATGGTATTGCCTGCTCCGAAACTACTGGCGGTCGCTGAGAGGGATATTGATGAGCATGGACAGGGTTGAGGGGAGGAGGTGTATAATGTCGTTGATGTGAGGTTGTTTGAACGAAGTACGGCGATTGATAATGTTGATATTGTGCAGGATATTGACTCTGCTGCCGTTGCACATGCTGAGAATCCACAAAGTAAACAGGGTATCTTTGAGCTATTAGACCAGGTGGGGCTACCCCATACAGAAGAGGCTGTGGGGGAGTATGGAAGTTATGACCAGGCAGATAGTAGTTATCGTATGCCGGTTGATGCTGCAAATGTTGACCCATGATTTGAAAATCCTGAAAACCATGAGCTTGGGGATGCAACTCAGTTGTACGAGAGGTTGACAGATTACTATTTTTTGAAGAAGTAGCTTGTTGACGCCTTTTGATTGCGGACAATGAGTCTTCGTCACCTTTCTTGAACATTCCCGATGAGTGACGGAATTCCCATATCTCAGCATCCTCTTCTAAATTGTGTTCCCTGGTATATTTTTCTCTATTGGCATTGACAGATTTATCACTGACTTTGTGAAAGCCATACATGTGCAACTGGCGAACAAAACTCCAGGACTTACATGAGAGGGAACAGAAAGAGTATGAGAGTACTCTGGAAGTACCTAATCATTGCGAATAAAGTAGTGATAAACTTTTATTAGTATATCAAAACATTATTTGTTAAGTTGTTTGGAAGGCGTTTCGCGTTCATAAAAGCAATGTTGTTTAGTGGAGGGCCGTTAAAGCGACTCAGAACGTTCTGTAATGAGCCAGCTACCGGTCGATTATGAGGCGGACACTCGTCATATGGTGCATGATTTTGAAGATGAAGATGAAGACGACGAGGAATTTAATTTCAAGTTCAACAGAGACATGGATAATGAAATTGTCACAAACGCCACTGAAACTTTGAAATCAGTCTTTAATCCTGAAGACGACAAAGATGAAGAGACCAGAGACGAAGAGTCTGCTGGTGGATTTGCTTTCAACTTGGCTGATTCGGATATTGAAGATATCGAGCCAGTAGAAGAAGAAATTGTTCTAAGAGCTTCTATTGTTGCTGATGTGGAGGAGCAGGAGACTGAAGTAGAACCTCAAATTAAATTGAAAGCTCTTTTCTTCCCACATTTTGATTCGCCGTTCTTAGTCGCACAAACGCAGTTGAACAAGTTGATTTCTTATAACCCAATGAATAACTCCAATTACGAATCTATTGTTAACTGGAAGAAAGATTTCAATGACAATAGGGTAGAGCTTATGAAGGGATTCAAGAGACGGAAAAGAGATGTAATCCGTCATAATACAAAAAGGTAAGGATTTTCATCTAGTGCTACTTCGGTTGTATAAGATAATATAAATAAAAAAAATTGAAAAAAAAATTGAAAAAAAAAAAAAATGCAGCTTTTACATTGACATGTAAACCTATACTTAATTGTAGCGCACTTTTAATAACTGGGCTCTTTTCACAAATGGGATAATGTATTTGCTCTATCTTGAGAAATCCTACTATTAGCTCTTATCTTTTTATCCTTTTTTGCTTTGCTTTGATTTTCTTGTCGTATATTTTTAAGGCCATGTGCTTTATTCTTGTTATATCTGAGCGTGTGGAAGGTTAACCTTCTCATTCTCTTACATCTATATACTTCATATTTGACTTATCTATTTCATAATATTTTTTAATTGTCTATCACATACAATGGTAACTTTAATTAGAAATAACAAAAAAAAAATAATGAAATTAATTGATTGAATAACAAAACCAAGAAAACTTAAAGCATTAGCACATATGTGTCATAATCGGTGAATTGAAGAATTCTAACCTTCAATTCTTCATTAAGAAACATGGAAGCAAAAAAGAAAAAAGAAATGTTGAAAATAAAGCACAGATGCTGAGGGAAAAACATAAGCCAGGAATAATGTCAAACATATAATATACTACAGAGCGAATATCCCAAAAAATAAATAGTACATTTATAATATATATACTTTCATGGTGAAAGTCCCCCTAGCCCACCCTCTCATTTTTTCGAAAATCGACAGCCTGGAACTAAATGTAAAAGATAAAAATGCTGCTGTGAATTGTGAAAAGTAACCTTAAGTTTATTGTCAACAATAAGGAGGGTGCTGTCCGCCTTTTCGAAAAAATGATACCAGATCTTTCATCAGAATAATTAACTTCATATAATCTTCAAATAAATAAATAAAAATGAATTCAAAAGTCCTAATTATCATCGTCATCGTCATAGTTTACTGTAGCAATCAAATCACATATCCAGTTCTGTTCTTCTATTGCGTCCTCTAGCCTTCTTCCCTGAGCAGCAACTTTGTTAACTCTTTTTTGAATGGCATGAACATCAACACATGATACGGATTTGATTTCCTTTCTAGTATAGATACTTTGACTAATCACCCCTTTGTTGGCCATCAATTGCAACGCATTTCTGTTTCTTTCAAGTTCATCTCTTTCTGCTAACGCTTCCGTCATGGTTCTCGGTACTTTGGAACCATTGAATTTAAATCGTATCTGGGAATTGGTATAGTTTATATCACTGATTAATGACTTTAAATTCTCCGATAGTCGAAGATACTTTTCAATCAAGACATTGGGGTCTTCAGCAGGAGCCGATCCTTCTTGGACAACACAATTGCTAGTTATTCTACTTCGCAACTTATCAAGATTACCAACGTAATCTTTTCTCAATCTTAAAGCGGCAGACAATTTCATGATGTTTAGATATATTGGAATAATAAATATAGTAAAACAAAAAAATTACTCTGCTATTGCTACTCGCGTTGAGTTTATATATAATATTTGGAATCCTACATATTTACCAGGCTCTGTCTACTGATGATTATATCATGCATATAGATATAATAATCATGCATTTAGATATACTCATCTTTATATGCCCATAGCTATAACATACTCCGATACAGGGAGATGTGTAAGAGATTAAGAGTCATTTTTTCATCAATATTGAAAGTAGTATAAGTTCTACTTGCCGACTACATCATGTCCAGGATTATATTTATAGAAAGCTACTGGGAAATTCTGAAATTCCAGTTGGCCAAATATTGACACTTCAAAATTTAAGGTCAAAATAATAAAACCACTACATTGAAAAACAATTTAGAGAATGAAAAATAATGTAAGATTTGAAAATGTATAATTATAGGTTAAACGAAAATTGAAATTCGAATTAGAAGAACTGAATATAATGAAAAATAATGCTATGAAATCAACACGAAAATGAGGAAGAAGAAAAATGGTAGCTTTGAAGACCAGCTTCAAGCTAATTAGTTGACAAGAGTCCCATCCCAGCAGTATCTTTGGAAACATTGTTTACATTGCTCAGTTTGTTCAACTCCCAATCTTTCTTGGGATCTTCTGACAACCGCACAACCAACACAAGTAGCAAACTCAGAATCGTCAGTCAAGTTACCTCTAGTAGCGGTTTCAAACCCGTTGGTGATATGACCTCTGAAATCTTTTTCGGAAAATGAGAACTTGTAAGTTGGGGCGTTAGAAGGATAAGTGTATTCAGTGTTGGCGGTGTAGACGATCATTGGAGGGGTGTGTCTCAAAGATGTCAAATTTCTGGCATCACAACCAAAGAACACCGGTTTGTGAGTGTAGTTCAAAGCTTGCATGGTCTTGTCATCTGGAACGTATGGAACAGAGAAACCTTCACCAATTTCAAGAAATTGTCTTTCATAAGTGTTGGTCAAAGAAGAGCCACCAGGCCAGAAATGTGGCAATTCGGCCCCCAAATCATAAGCGAAAACAATATCGACTTCTCTCTTTGGCTGAACCAATGGAATCAATGGAATCTTTTGTTGATCTTCACCACCATCGACCAAAAATAAATCTTGCGCATTTTTAAGGTTTGGAGAGTGGCCGTTATCAGTTTGGAAGAATGGGTTTGGCTCAACGATTGCAACGTGCTCTTTCTTTTTCATGACCGGGGCAAAAAGTTTCAGTAACAATTTACTCAATGGCTTGAACTTGGCAGTATACATCACGGCATCATCCATAACCATATCAAACAATGAAGAAGTGACACCAATCAAGAAACCGGCATTGTCATAATTGGTGACACATTTTTCAGCTTCGCCATCTTTGAAAGTCGAGCCCAAGTACTTCATGTCAACAAAAGTATTCCCACTTGGATCCCAGGTACCAAATTCGAATGGATTCATTTCAAAAACCGTGGAGTTTTGGTAAGTAATGACTTGTTCCACTGGTCTACCGTTGGCTTGGATAATTGGTAAAGGCATATCACCATCACTAACAGCACCGGTTTCTCTCAAGCTGGAATAACCGACGTTGATGGAATAATCATTGGATGCTGGAAGTAATTGTCTGGCCAAAGCTCTGGCATAATAATCGGTCATGGAAACATTGAAACCCGCTTGTCTCTTTTCATCAACTTCGTTGGCGATATGATGCCATTGTCTCATGGAACCACCGACGTTTAACCCATCCAAGTTGAAGAATGGGTGCTCCAAATCCCAGATTTCTCTTTGAGCCAAAATCTCATCAATCGATGGGTAATCACTCATGGCTAAACTACCAACGAGCCAACCACTTCCGGAAAGCCCAGCCAAGTAAGTGGTGGCCTGGAAAAGCCCTCCCAACCCATGTTCGAATGCCCCGGCAGTTCTGTTATCCAACGCAGCAAGCTGGCCGGCCCCAGTAAGCATGGCACGGAAACTACCACCGGATGGAGCAAGACCAATGTTAATGGTTTCGTTAGATGGTATGGATCTTAAGATTTCTTCATCAGAGAATTTGGCAGTATATTTCAAGAAATCTCTCAATGCTGGATCAGATTTGGCGTGTCTTTTGGCTAGCCAAGATTTTTCTTGATCACTGATTTCCCCATTGGCAGCTCTAGAGATTTTTTGAGCAGGACATGACACACTTACTGGAGCATATGAAAGATTGGCTGATGAGTGACTGTGTCCAAAAAGGGCGGCAGACAATTGGAATAGAAGGCCCGCAATAAAAATTTGGTTCAACAACATTGTTTTTTCGAATATGAAGCAACAGTTGGAATTAGTAAAGTACTATTATTATGATATTGTTTGAGTAATAACGGTTATACTTGTTTAAATAATATGGGGCTTTGTGTTGGTATTTATATTGTGATCAGAATGAATGAAAAGCATACCAGTGTGCCATGTTCTCCATGCCAAGGTCCCCAAGGCCCTAAAATTTAGCTCCATGAAAGGATTTCCTCGCCTGATACCCATTGGCAAAGCTCACTGTTCAAAATATATATCTTTTCAAGGACAATTGTTTTATAACAATGTGGGTCTTATATGAATCAAGGCCATTAACAATGATTTCCTCTGATTTCTATTGATTAAAATACTACAAACGAATGATACATTGATTACCTAGACAGGAGATATAAACCGTAGGGATTTTGATTTCCACAGAGAGTGTCAAACAACCATTTTTTACCCAAAGTATTTTTAGAAGTAGCTGATGCCCTAGGAAACTGAAGGAATGTTGACACAAACCCACCGGTTAGGACTCATGCATGTGTGCGTGCTGCCGCCGCCGCGGCACTTCACCGCACGTGCTCTTTGAAACCTGGATGGTCCGGGGGAGGTCTTTCGGTGCGGTGTATCCTAAATATATAATCTAATAAAAATAGTGTGGTGTATTTAATTGATATCTTTCACACCCTGCAGCGGAAGTGCTGTCTCTTGCTTGTTATATCCATCAATGGACACACAAAGAATAAGAAGTTCTTTTGAAAGCATCTACCAAAACTGAGTCTGTGTCGTTATGCAAGAGACTTTCAGCCGCACCGAGGAAACAGTCATGATTTGAGTTCATTAAGCAATATTGAAATGTAATAATGGACAACTTGGTTTTACTTTACTCGTTTAATGTCTACTGTTCCGCTGTTAAGAGAAATCGGCGATCGTAGGAGTTGATCATGAATTTCTTCATAATCAAAATGCTGGAAATAAACTAAAATTCTATTGGGCGGTGTGATATGTCATCTCTATGAATTTTTTTTTGTATGGAAAAAAAACAAAACAAATGCGCGAAAAAATGATGTCGAAAAATGCCCTATTCCAGAAATTGCAATTTTCAACCCCTTATATATCTATGGGTACTATGGGTACTATGGAAAATATAGTGAAAATTGGACCTTGGAAATCAAAATTGGGCTTTCAAATTGTATAATTTAAGATAAGAGAATAGTTTTTTTTTAAAAAAAAATCGCGTATTTTCTGTGATAAAGAGAGGCTGTTTATGCTTGTTCCTGCGACATTACGCAAGTGTGATGTGATAATTTGATGCAGAAGAAAAAAAAAGTAAAGAAAAAAAACAACAACATGACATATATCTATAGAGAAGATATTGCGCTTATTATACAGTGCTATATTCCTCCATAGCATAATGGCGAGAAAAAGAAAACTAACACGAGCAGAAAAACTCGGCTTGCCACCAAGAGTATCACTCCGCAAGCCTCGGCCAGGAGAGGAACCACCCGACCCAAACAACGTTCAAGTCCGCCTTACTCGTCTTACTCCTGGTCAATTTGATACCTTTACGAAAAAGATTGTTCCAAAGGATGGAAAAAAATTTCCTCAATCAAGCTTGCCAGAGCCGTTTAAAACCAAAGATAGGTTCTTGGATTTATTTCAAAGAATTTCAAGCCCCAATACTCTTGAAAATATGCAAAAAGTACAACACATTATTGATGAGATCCTACCTGAAAATGAGAGAAGCGATACCGAAGCTGCAAGAAATTTCAGAGAGAAAAAGTATAACAAGTTCGCAGTGAATGTTGCAGAAGGCTCATTGGCTCATTCTCGTTGCCAACGGCTCATTCCAAGCACAGTAGTGCTTGACTATGACCTTGACTATGTGGTTGAAAAAAAAAATGAAAGGTGAAGAGATTGATCCAGAAACATTGAAGTTTCGCATCAAACCAGCTGCATTGAAGAAAAAGGTCCTTGAAATGTATGGCAAATGGTATGACGTTTTGTTCTCAAAGGAAGGAAGGCTTTATGAGGAACGTGCTGTTGACTTATTGCCTACTCCTGACCCAATTAATTCAATTGATCCCGCTTCTCACGTTTTAATCCTCTTGTCCTGACTGCAAATTCTGTTCCTGCTTCTTCGACTCCTGCTTCTTCGACTGCTGCTACTTCGACTGCTGTACTCTGACTGCTGCCACTTCGACTGCTGCTACTTCGGCTGCAAATTCTGTTCCTGCTACTTCGACTGCTGCTACTACTTCTCCTGCTGCTGCTTCCCCTGGTGATAGGTGATAGTTCTTCTAATAATTTTTCTCCTACTTCTTGTTCTCCTACATCTGAACGTCTTGTTGGTTCAACCTTAATAAATGACGATGAAACCACCATACCAACCTGTTTTTTCAGATAGTGCTTCTGTTCTTGTTGCTGATAATGAAGATAATGATTTTTCGGAAGATCACAGTATTGCTAACGAAGCGATAGACAGATCCAAATGAAGGAGATTGGTGCCATTCGTATAGACAGAATTGGAAAATGAACATATGTCATCGTGCGATACTGATATGAAGGCTTTCCAAATAGATTGGCTTGAAGACTATAAGAAATTCGTTGACCTTTGGGAGGAGTTGACTGGAGAGAATGATAAATGGTTCCGCAGTGAGGGGACATAGGAGGGCTTTTTATGTAAGTACAAAAAAGATCACTGGTAGAGACTGTGTCAATATCTTCCAAGGAAAACCTTCCCACGGAAGCATTAAACGATGAATTTTGCAAAGAATGAACATAATTAGAGATGCAGAAGATGACAGTTTCACTTTCAGTATACTAAACTTTTTCTTGTTCTTTTGGAAAGCGAAAGGTGGAGAGAATACTTGAAAAAAAAAAAGGTGCAGAATAGTGAACTTATCTTGGGAATGCAGCTACAGTGCGATGGTGTGAACATCGCCAGGAGAAAAGGCGCTATAGCCAACTTTGCAAGAAAACATCTCCTATAAGCCTATGAAATCGTCCTTTCATTATTATTTATTTAACTCATTTGAATAGCCATAACCAATTGGGCGCACATGAATGAATTTAAATTTGTAAGTTAAGATGATTATAAATTGATTATGTGAACCACCATTGAGATATAACACCAAAACCCATTAACAAAGATCTCCATCTCAGTTCATGAAGATCCTAGTGATGGGTAATTCACTAGCGACTTCATATCATATTTCCACATTGCACCTTTTTTCCTTGAGTGTTGAGTTTTTTACTGGTGATGTGATTAATCCTTAAAGCAAGAAGTGTGTTTTTGTAAGAAAGTTATAATTAGTTACTTTACCTATTAGGAAGACCAGCACAAAATGCCTGGCTTGCATTTTATTTAGAACCTCTGTGACTCGTTAATATATGATTCATTCATTCATTTATTGTAGTTTTTGACAATGCATGTCGACGCAAGCAAGATCAGCGTGACCAAAGCAGCAAATGGTAATCAGATAATCTAGATTACTCACAAGTTTATAACTAGAGATTTATGAGTCTTTGATTTAAAACAGCACCAGTTTCCCCTTTTATTCTTCGAGCACCAAAAATTTTCCCGCTCTTTACTAACCAAAAGACTCCGAAAATACCTTAAACTCGCATATCTAAATAAATAATGTCGTACGGATCTAAAGCCACTGGCCGCTTAGCGGGAAAAACTATTGTACGTAGCGCAAGTATTCATTTATTTATTGTTAGAATCATGATGGCTAACTATTTTTTGTTTCAAGTTGATCACTGGCGCCTCCGCTGGTATTGGTGAAGCCACCGCTATCGAATATGCTTCTGCTGCCAAAGGTGAATTGAAGTTGATTTTGACTGCCAGAAGACTTGAAAAATTGGACAGTTTGAAGTCCAAATTGGAAGCTGAATTCCCAAATATCAAGGTTTTGACCGTGAAGTTGGACGTTTCTGACCTAAGTGCAATTGAAAAGTTTTTCAAGGAATTGCCAAAAGAATTCTCAGATGTTGATGTTCTCATCAACAATGCGTATGTGATTCTCCATCTCTTTCTCATACATCATTTTTTCTCTTCTTAACTTTGCTTTATCCATTTTATTTGTGCTTACTAACAATTAATCTTTAGCGGTCTTGCTAAAGGGTTTGCTAACGTTGGTGAAATTTCTCAAAACGATTTGGATTGCATGTTCAATACCAACGTTATAGGTAACATTGCAATGGTTCAGCACCTTTTGCCATTGTTTAAGAAGAAGAATTCTGGTGATATTGTCCAATTAGGTTCTGTTGCCAGTCGTGAATCATATCCTGGTGGAGCTATTTACTGTGCTACAAAACAGGCCCTCAGAGCTTTCACTTCCGCCTTAAGAAAGGAGCTGATTAACACCAAAATCAGAATTATTGAAATACAACCGGGTAGTGTTGATACTGAATTTTCTGATGTCAGATTCTACGGCGACAAGGTTGCTTCCAAGAAACTTAACGAAGGTATTGAACAATTGAGTGCAGACGATATTGCTGAAATGATTGTCTTCTTCACCTCCAGAAAGCAAAACACTGTGGTTGCGGAATCTTTGATTTTGCCCACTTGCCAAGCTTCTCGGTCCCACACATATCGTCATTCCAAGTAAGGCAGAAGATGGCGATTGAGATCATATGATACTATTCCACGATTTCTTTGCTTTTATTTATTGCTTCTTGTTTAGGAGGGGATTGATGATGAAAACTTTTTAGATATTGGGCAAATTGTAAACGTTCCTAAATTTCCCACATGAGTCATGTTGTATTATTTTTTTTTTTTTTTTTTTTTTGCTTACCATGAATATACTATCTTCAATCCTGGTTAAGCTCAAAAAAAAAGAAGGAGATTTGGTCCTCTCAGTAGGTAAGGATACTATTACCTCTATCTGGTATTCATTTGACGGGGAAAGATTGGAAACTTTATGGGGCCATAGTGCTACCATTTGGACAATCGATATTTGGAAGTATTCAATTTGAACAAGGATAACTTGAAAGAGCGATATTCAGAACCAATATTAGACATAACTACTAGAAATTATTTTGTCAAGGCTACGATTGTGGGTTACTCTTAAGGTGGTGAATATATTGTTGCAGCTCGTAAGAACTAACCAAGAATTCGAAGTAAGAACGCCGATTGTTTTTCAGTGAAATCAGATCGATATATAATGATTAGTAACTACTTGTTTGAATACGGAGTTCAGCGCTTAATGAGCAGCCATTTTCAAGCTGTTCTATATTATACAAAAACAGGTTTTTCTTGTGATGTTAATGTCCCGATTATCATAGAGGATATTTTGAGTTTCGCTGACAGGCTCCTTGGAAGATTAGGTTTGGAGGAGCATACACCGCCGCCAGCAATTCTCTTTATTAAATACAACAGCAGGTTTGATAATAAAGAAAATTCCCTATTCCAATAACAGTAATAACAACAATGTATCCACTTGCCACTTCTTGCTATATATTGAGTAAAATAGGTTTGTTTTCCGCTGCGCACATACATCAACAGCGATCGTAGTCTATGCTTATAAGCAAAATTGTATTAACGTTGCTAAATTGAGGAAAATAACAATGACTGAAGGAATATCTGAAACAATTCCCTAACAACGAGATAAGTAGACGCTTGTGTTGTCAAGGATCGTGAACCACACAATGTAGGCGGCTCCCACTAATTATTTTAATTAATATTTCGGGTGCCTGTGTACATGCATTGAAACTTGAAATAAATTTTAGTAATCCCGGTGATTCCATTTGAAGCAATAATTACATTCGACACGTCACGAAGCCGATTTATTGTCGTTTTGCCCAAAGAAGAAATAGCAAGAGATTTGTGCTTTGTTACGTGTCACCCAATGAATAACCAAATGATTTACGATGGGCGCACAGGCATACTAGTAATTTGGTTTCAGGGATATTCATCTATCTATCACCAGCCACGCATTACAAAATGATTAACTTTTGATCAGTAGTGATTATTATTAGCAAAACGTTGTTCAGTACAATTTCAGGTATTTTCATGAGGTAAGGCACCACCCACCCACCGGAATACTCGCGTTTCAAAAAAAGAGAGAGACAGGGTATTTTGTCTACAGGTACTGCAGTCGTACTGAGGAGATCCACACGTATGGAATAATACGGTAACACACTGTGTTGTATGATATATTGGTAAGCGTAAGCATATCCTGTGTGTACAGAAACCTCAAGAAGCTTTAAACTACCAAAGTAAATAGCAGTCCAAAACATAGAAACTCCTTACCAAATACTACGAGAAGATTGAGAATCACTGATGGACAACAGAGAGATCTAGAACATGTCGTATCTCGACCGGCCCAACTGGAAGAATTTTTTTTTTTTTTTTCATTCTTTTTTTTTTGGTTTTACGGGAAAAATTTTCGTTGCAGACAAAAGCGGTAAAACGTAAACAATAATAAATCGTAAATAAACAACAGATAGTAAATAGGGAAAAGTAAATAGTAAATAGTAAATAGTAAATAGTAAATAGTAAATAGTAAATAGTAAATAGTAAATAGTAAATAGTAAATAGTAAATAGTAAATAGTAAATAAATAATATACAAATATATGAAAATAATAATAAAAAAAAATATAAATAAATAAATACATAAATCATAAAAATAAATACATAAATAATAACAACAATAACAAACAAAAAACGATAACTGATAAATAATAGATCTTACATTGACAGCTATTAAAATAACATATTATTAATTTGTAGCCAATATGACAGTAATAAAACAATAAGCTCTCAAAGCTTCAAGAAGTGAACATAAATATAATAACAAAACAGCAAAGAAAAAAAATAAAAAAAAGAATCAGATAATTAACAAAAAAAAATCAGATATGATTGATCATGACTGTTCCCAGCAATAACGAGAAAAACATTTTTGACACTGTTCACTTTGTTCAATTCCCAACCGTTCTTGTTTCCGTCTGATAATCGCACACCCAATACAGGTGCTAAACTCGGTATCCTCAGTAAGGTTTCTCATCGATGCCACTTCGAACCCATTTTGTACCATTTGTCTCTTCAAAGTCTCGTTGTAAGCCATCTTCATGGTAGTATAGTTACTATTCAATGAATAGGCTCTATTTGGATTGTAAACAATCAAAGGAGGAACGCTACTCAAGTTGGTCAATTTGCTAGAATCACAACCTAAGAAAACAGGCTTCTTGTTGTATCCTTGCGAAACCATTTCTGATTCACTAGGAAGAGGAGGCATTGGAGCATTGGCCCCATTGGCATAGAACTGACGATGATAAGTGGCGGTCAAAGCAGTAGCGTTAGGCCAGTTATCGTCAGTATCGCCACTATTATCGTAGGCCAAGATGACGTCGACACCTCTTTGTTCTACCAACAATGGTTCCATTGGAAGGTTTTGCAAATCTTGACCACCATCAACGAGTCCCAAAGTTTGACGGTTTTTGAACGCAAAATTTGAGGCCCAAGTGGTCAAAAAGAATGGATTAGGTTGCAAAATCCCAGCATCAAGCATGTTTTCTTCAATTGATGTGAACGCTCTTTTGAACATATCGTACAAAATGCCGATTTTCTCTATATCTTCTTTAACAGAACTCAATCCCATACTCCAGATATTAGATGATACCGCCATGAGGAACCCACCATTGTCAAATTTTTCCACGCATTGTGTACTGTCGACTGGTTTCCCATCAACGAGACTGGTTCCAACATACTTCATGTCGACAAAAGTATTGGCATCGGCATCCCAACTGCCAAATTCAAATGGGTTCGATTCAACAATTGTCGAGTTAGCGATGGTCAATTCATTAGAATCATATTTAATTTGGGAAACAGAAATAGGAAATGGCATTTCGGCGTTGGCAAAAGTATCCATATCTCTGAGTGAGGAGAAGGTGCTGTTGTTAGCGGCATCGTCATTATCAAAGAATCTGGTACTCAAAGCTCTTGCCCAGATATCAACCATAGACACACTGAACCCCGATTCTTGTTTTGTGCCAACTTGGTAAATCCAGTCTTTCCAAGCGTAGTAGCTTGCTCGAAGATGATGGGCGATAGTCCCAGATTCGTAGAATGGGACTTCCAAGTCCCAAATCTTCCCACCATTAAGAATATCTTGGATCGATTGAAATTGGTTAAACACCATTGTTCCAACCATCCAGTTCCCACCAGATAAACCAGCCAAATACGTTGAAGCTTGTAGCAAGCCTCCGAGACCGTGTTCGGTGGCATTGGTGACACGATTATCGAGGGCAGCGATTTGCCCCGCACCACACAACATCGCTCTAGAACCACCACCAGAGAAACTTAATGCCACTTTGATACTCTCATTGGTATTGGTCGAGTTCAATGGGATCAAGTCTTTATATTCAGACTCACTGAGATTCGTTTTGTATTTCAAGAACTCATAAAGAGCTGGTTGGGATTTGGCGGTTCTTTTTTCGAGCCAACTTTGTTCTGAATCGCTGAGATTTGACGCCTTTCTTGTATAATCATCTTTGTCACTAGGACAGGACACGTAAGAAGGGGCGTAATTGCTTTGTAAACTATCGTATCTTGTAAATGCCTGTGATAGATTTGCAAGAAGCAAAAGTACCTGGAGTACTACCAAGGAGTTTTTCATTGTGGATAGAACTATCCTTCTAATCAATTGCCAACAATGGTGATAATAATAATAAAGAATGTGTTTCCTTTAATTGTATCTACAATAGAATTTAATGGTATAGTGGCTGGTCTTATAATAATGTGAATTATGGATAAATTGTAGAAGGTCCATTGCTACCATGGAATGTTGGAGATCGGACGAGGCACTAATTTCGGACATCCAGTGATATGTGCCAGTTCATGGATTGCCAATATTAGCGACAATTCAAATGCCGAAACGCGAGCCTTTTTGATTTATTGAACCTCGGTAATGAAAGTGAGAAAATTTATCTCATGATATATTTTTATGGAATATAAGTACGGGTTCTTTCCAATGATCGTGAATTATTATATTGCAATGTTGGAAATATAAATATAAATTGGTGTTCACCGTGCAGCAAAGAGAAAAAAAAATCGGCAAACCCAACCAGCTGTGGGTAGCGTCGGAGGCTTAGAGCATTTCCCATTGGAAGCTTAGAGCATTTCCCATTGGAAGCTCACCACCTCTAGTAGGTCAACGATAAATGGATGATTGATGTTGGTGGTATCTTTAGATGCCATGTATGATAAATAAATATCAATAATGCAGAAGGTCCTTTTATAATATATGTGAATTGGACCACAATTACCTTATATTATTCATTGATTGGCTCATTTCCCGGCTATATTAAATGTAATAATATTGATGCTGGAGGTATTTACATTTGTTGGATTGCACATTCTCTATACATTACTAAGACCAACCATTGTGAGTATCTCAGTTTACACTCGAATACCTATTTGACTATAGTATAATAATTATAGTGTATCTATAATAATATGGAATAAGCTCCGGAATATTACCTGCCGACAAGTGCACTTCCACGTGACTCACGTGTCATAACAACGCAATGCAAGGCTACGCATACACAAGTAATAAAACGCGCCTTGCACCAAACATTTTTTTTTCTTTTTTTCAATCCGATGCGCATGTCCTGCATACAGGTGCGTGGTTGCATGAACCATAAAATTTTCATTGATTGCAGTGAGTATTAATATTGTGAAACTACAGTATGGATGGATCAATAATTAAAGCTGAGCAACAGAAAATTTCATCCTTTTTTTTTTTTTTTTCTTATTTCTCCTTCTTTCTTCTCTTCAACAGCAAGCCCAGTATCGTTCGTTATAATAGTACCCATATAATACCACCGTCGTTCGTTTTTTGCTTTGGGTGTTTCCAAATGCACACTCTTTGTCAACAGAAAATTGAATAAACATATATTTCACACACATTCGTTTTATTTATTTATTTTTATTGATTTGTTTGCTAAATTTCCCTGGGACCTTCATTCATTCCTTCCCATATTTTTCAACCACACCGTTAACATCCATCACCATCGTTTTTATTAATTTATTATTGTTGCAAATAATGATATTGAAAAAGCTTAAGAACTGGAATACTCATCCTAGTGATGCCGTCTCCGGCTCTTCCTATACTGGACTGTTACTGCCAACATCAACAACGAAAACAGTGGCGGAAATGGCCCAACAGATAGGTTCCAAAGACAAGGAAATCAACAACTTGAATAACAAGATCACCGAATTAACTGAACAATTGGAAAGATCTGCCAGGAAACAAAGTTTTGACAATGATAGTTGCGGGTCTTCAGTAATGACCTCCAGCTTCCCGGTAGAGAGAAGTTCTTTGATTAATGAGCCAACAAGCTTACAAAATAGAAGAACTAGTACCTCCACAGATAGAAGCTTCAAGGGTGTTGAATCCATAATTGGTTCCAATACTGATAACTTACATCGTACCTACGAAGAGGCAAACTTCCAATTGTTAGAGAAACTCAAGTTAAAAGAAAGTGAAAATCAGATATTGGTCACCAGAATCTCTCAGTTAACTGAAAGGGTCTCTGATCTTGAAGATGAATTGTTCATAGTAAAAAATCACCTTCCCAACAATAGCAACCTTGAAGAAAAAGAACAAGGAGAAGAAGAAGAAAAAGAAGAAGAAGAAGAAGACGAACAAGAAGAGCATCACCATGAACATGAAGAGAGTTATGCTTCCAAACAAGATATCCTGATTTCGGAAGAAATAAAGATGATGAGTACTGCTATCCTTTGTCCACCTCCTCAGGTTGATAATGATGTCAACCAGGATGCCGCATCTTTTATTAATGGATTATTTGACGCCATTTCTTTGGATAATAATGAATTGGAACTCGGATGTGAGCCAAGCACCAGTGACATCAGTGATGATAAACATCTTGTCTCTAAGATTTCCAGTGCCTCCTTGAACTCCGCAGAAAGTACGGCTGATACCTCGATTTCCAGTTCCGAGAAAGAAATGTCCAACTGCAGAAACTCTTGTGACAGCTTATTATCTTTGAATAAATCGGCCATCAAAGTCGATCTGATCAATGAACCTATCAAGCCGTACATGAAGACAAACTTGAGATCCAAATCTCCTTCCACTCGGTCTCTCAAAAACTTCTCCAAGAGAAGAGTCCATCAAATTTCTTCATATCTCAACCCATCTAAAGATAATATCCCTATCCCATCATCGCCAGCTACCATTAATTCCCAAGTATCTTCCAGAAGCTCTCTTTATAATGAAGATCTGGATGCACACACTATTCCTTCTACTCCAGTGACCCCACTTACCCCACAATCTGTCAATTTTTCAGACTTCCCTGACCCAAAACTTTCCAACTACTTTGGTGGCATCACCGCCATTAAACATTCATACTCAACACCATCTTTAACCAACTCAGTTTCTTCTACTGCCATAAACTCTAACGTCTGTTCTAAAAAGTTAAACTTCGCTAATGAATATGTCACAGAAGCATTCGTCAAAAGAATTCCCCAGCCGGCAACTGCAAAGAGAATGAAGAGTGAGTCGAATATCCATAGATGTTTATCCCCAGTGTCCATGGAAATTATTAGAGAAAATTAAGATTAAAAAAAAAGAAAGTTATCTCTATAAGATCACTTTTGTTTTTGTTATTTTTTTTGAATTTTGCCTTTTCGAGTTGAGATTTTGCTTTAAGTTGAGATACTAATTATAGATTATTTTGAAGCCTATTTCCCCAAACACCATTCACTACATTATAACTCCAACTACATCAACCTCATCCCATATCTATAGTATTTCCTAGAGCAATATTTTCCCCGATCCTTAGAGTCTCAATATTGATGATTCATTCAGGCGAGGTTTTTTTTTCGAATTATGCTGTATTCCTTTACTTTCCAATTTCTCTTTGCTCAATAAAAAAAAAAGTCCACTTGCTTTCCAATTATACTATACCCTACCTATTTTAGCAAAACTCATCCATTTCCTTTTTCGCCGTTTTGCTAATTCATCTTTTCAATCTTTTTGCTTTTACTTCATCATTATTTCATTTCGCCGTGCTTTCTTTTGGGGATTCTTTATTCTATTTATTTGGTTTTCTTTTTTTTTTTAGCTTTCTTCCAACCGTTATTATATTCTTAGATTTCTTTTTCCCATTTTTTTATTCATTGTTGCAAAAGCAACCCTTATGCAAAGGTATGCTATTTTACAATCTTAGCTAAGTTGAAACTCCCATTTTCTTTATCTTTTCTAATTGTTTGAACTGAATTTGTAATAAAAAAGGTACTGTAGTGCTTATACTGCCAACTACTTATCCATGGTTCAACCGCCGGTGCCACATAACCGCACTTTTTTTTTTTTTTTTTCCAAATTTGGGCGGCGAAGATAAAAATGAGTTTGTTGATAAAGAGCAAGTAAACGAATACTTGGATTAGACCATCACAAGCAACAAGATCCCTTATTTGTTGAGATAATAAAGTGTTTTTGTACAAATACTCTGTTAAATATCTCTGATCGTCTATAAAAAGAAAACAACCTTTAATTACATCGTGCGTGGTTTTCTTTTCCCCCGAGCCTCCTAAACTCCTAAAAGCAATCTTTGAATCAATCCCACCGTTAATTATTCAATCAACTCAACAATGAGTGTGCCTATCCTTCCAAATGGCCAGCCTGTCAATTTTGGCGGGACCTCCAAAAGCTCTAATAACAAACCCCACCAGAAAAAGAAATCGAACAGCAATAATAATAACAATAACAACAGTGGACCGAAATCAAGGAATAACAACAACAACAACAACAACTCCTCAGGAAACCGCCGCTCAAAGTCAAACCATCAGGACACTAATGGAAAGAGCTCAAAGAGGCGCAATAACAACAACAACAATAACAACAACAACAATAACAACAACAACAACAACAACAACCGCAATAACCAAGTCCCTGATAGTGATGGTGACCATAGTGACTCAAATGGCACTACTGGCTCTGCCTCTTATGCTGGCTCGTCATTCCATACCTCACAACCCAAGATCAGCGATTTGCCAAAGCCTTCTTTCAGCTCCTCTAAGTCTTCAAATTCTTCCAGTGGCTTGTTGGCAGGTACTAAGCTAACAATGAACCAGTTATTTGAATCTAATAATGCAGGCGCCTCAGTGAACGCTTCTCCTCGTCAGGAACACGTCTACCCTATTTCTCAGCCTTTTTTGCAGTATCAAGGTCAATCTGGTGCTCCTCCTTGTGCTCCACATCATCCTGCTGCCCCATCAAATTATTATCAATATCCTCCAGGGCCTCCAAATTACCAACATCACCCAGTGATTCCTCCTCCACAAAACCAACTTCATACTACTAATCCCCAATTCTTTAATTCTTACCCTCCTCCAATTGGGTACTTGCCATACCAGACAGTCCCTGCACATCAAGGCCCTTATCCAATGTACCCTGGTAGTAATCCCCATGGTAGCAACGTTGGCTATCATTCTCAAGCACAACCACAAAAGTAGCTAATGAATAGTAAATGGAAATGTCAAATTTAAGGCTTGTGGTTGTGTTGTATTGCTTTGAAGTGTTTAACTTTGAAGTGTATCTTTTTTCTTTTCTCTGATGATTATATGCCTGTGATGCTACATGAAGTTTGTGTTTCCTTGCCTATTTTACTATCGGTTTTACTTTTTGTATGTTTTTGTTTGGATAACGATAATGATGCTGGATAGAGATGATATCTTTTTTTTTTTTTAATTTTTGATGTTTCTTTGGTTTTATTTTGTGCATTTACTTTGCCAACGGTGTTTGTGCTCTGTTCGAGTTCGTTTGTGATTTATTATGATGATACTACTGTCTTTTGTGTTTTTATTTTTTGCTTACAAAGTGAAACATTTGTTTTGGGGTTATGTTTTGAGATTTATGAAGCAGGTTCTTTGGATTTTTTTTTTTTTTGATTTCATTTCTGGGACTCTTTTATTTTTTATTTTTATTTTTGTTTTATTCAGTATTGCGTTTTTGTTCCTTGCTAGAAGCATGGTTTGAACTATACTGACTGGAGATTCCTTGGAAGCAACGAAAAGAATGGAAAACTAGAAAATGTTAATAGAAATCAGGAATTGCTAGTAAAGCGTCTCACGAATAACAATTAGAAACTTGAGAGAAGAAGGAGGAAGAAAGAGAAAAAGAGAAAAGAAAAAAATTATAAAAAGGAAATTGAAAAAAAAAAAGGAAAAACTGAAAAATGCATGCGTTATTGCAATCCACTGAATGGGTTGTGATGTGTATGAAATAATATAATAATAATATACAACTGGGCTGTTCAAATGAACAACCCACTCAAAAGAAGGACCAACGACGATCCATGGTAGCACCGTACTGGAAGTGGGATTAGTAGTCACCTGCCGCATCGGAAAGCCCTCCTCTCAATTTTTTTTTGTTTTTTCTTTCCTGGTTGAGTTGGGAACAAGAAGAAGACAGTTGTTTTTGAGACAACAACAGCAACTAGGAGATCTTAGTGTGTTATTAGATGTCACACAGGAGACCCTTAGACGATCTTGTGGTAGGTATCGTCTTGCAATTTATCGAATTCTCTTGGAAATCAATGTGACTAACCAATATCATTCAGACATTCCCTACCCCAAAGGAGGCCTTTGGTAGGGCCAGTCAGGCTCAACAACACGGCCATCAACAACAACAACAACAACAACAACAACAACCGAAACAGAGGAGTCAAAGAAAACCTCCCCCGGGTTATGGAGGAGGAGGAATGATGTCTCATAATCAACCACAACAACTACAATCACAGCAGACATACCCTGGCCAACGACCACAATACTCTGGCCATCAGCAACAAGTGCCTGCTGTACCACAACAACAACAACAATCACAGCGAATGCCTCAACAACCACAACGAATGCCTCAACAACCACAACGAATGCCTCAACAACAGCAACAGCAACATATCCCACAACAACAGTATGCCCCATCTCCCCAACAAAACAGAATGCCTTCTCAATCACACCAGTATCAGCAACAACAAGCACCTGTTCCTCGGCCACAACAACATCAATCAATGCCAATGATACAACCACAACAACAACAACAACTAACAGGTGCTTCTTCGTTGGCACCTCAGTTCACCGATCCTATGATGTCTAATAATTACCAATTCCAGCATCAACAATCGCCACCAAATGAGATTCGTCAACCTAATCCTTTGGAAGCCCAAAGCACTTCAGAAGCCGAGAGAATAGAAGTTAGACTACGTGATTTGTTCAATAAGGTCGACCGCAACCGAACTGGGGCGCTAACTGAGAACGAATTATCGATGGCATTGTTTAATACCGACAAGACCCAGTTCCAACCATCGACGGTCAAGCTCATGATAAAGTTGTTCGATAAAGACGGCTCGGGAACCATTGATTTCAGAGAGTTTTATCATTTGTGGAACTATATCAGCCATTGGAGAACGGTGTTTGGGATCTATGACAAGGACAAGAGTAACACTATCACCTTTAGTGAGTACCAAGAGACTTTGAAAAGCTTTGGCTACAGATTGCCAACGGATACCGTATTATTTGTGTTCCAGAAATTCAGTCATTCAGGAGGCGGGATCTACTTGAAGTTTGACAGCTACGTGGAGAGTTTGATTTGGTTGCTAAGATGTACAAACTCTTTCAAGAAGTACGATCTGCAAGAAACCGGGGTGGCAGTGTTCCCATTTGACAAGTATATCCAAGAGATCTTGGGGTTCCAATGATATGGTATATGTATACTTAAAAAGACATTATTTGTTGGAAGCACTAACTGTTCTCTTAATTATTTCATCCAACAAATTATAGACGCTTCTTTTCTTATTCACCAACGAATAGACCAAAATACTCGTAAGCAATCTTTTGCAATTATTCTTTTTCCTAAACATTAATATTATTCCCAACAATCACCCATCGATGATCATATATTCTTCCTGCGATGGGTGAAAGTTTGTTGCCGGGCAACTGCAGATGCAAGAGAAAAAAAAAAAATCCTCCAAAAAAAAATCAAAATCATCAATCCAAAAGGGCTCTCCCAGTGCCACTATCTTCACATTCTTCATCAATAATAACCTAACAAAGATGGATAACACTTTAGTTTCTGTTCCTGTCCAAAGACCTTCCGATATCAATGATATCTTGAACAGTTTGAAAAGATACGATGTCTCCGTGATCAAGGACTTGGAAGACTACTTGAAGGTCCAATGCGAACAAAATTTCAGCGACGTTAATGCCAATTTGGCCCTTTTGAAATTGTACGAATTGTCTTCGGAATCCCTCAACGATGAAAGAGAAGAAGCCACTATAAACATATTATTGTTAGGGCTTTGCAATTTCTACAACATTGACTTTGAATTATACTTACATTTGTTGCCAGTTTACGTGTTAGCCGATGTAACAAAATTCAAAGATCTTTCATCAGAAGATTCGTCAATAATCCAATTCTGCAGCTATGTTAACAAATTGAAGGAATTGTACGTGTTGTTGACCTCTGCTAAGTTTACCAAGTTCTGGAGTTTGTTGAAAACCGATGATTCCTATCAGGATTTGGTTTACGATTCCTACTTGGCCGACTCTTTCGACAGCAACATCAGAAATTTGATCTTCAACGTGGTCTACAAAGGGTACTCCAACAACAACTCGCAAATAAAGTCCAAGATCAGCTCCCAATTGTTGCAAAGCTACTTGAACTTGAACGAAGCGGACTTTGGTAAATTCATTGAATCAAAGAAATTCTTCAAGATAAACGGTGACCATGTGTTGATTAACCACGACGCCCACCTCATCAAGAACGACGACGAAGAAGAACAAAAGCATGTTTCTACAAATGCCCATAACTCAATCATCAGTAGCGAAAACATCAAGTTTGAACAGTTATCAAGATTGATCAAAGAAAGTCTTGAAAAATAGACGACCCATGCATTTTTTTTCCCTCTCTGTGTTTTTGACCCTCTCCCCCCTTTTTTCATTTTTATTTTTATTACTATTCTAATGATTCTTAATTCGTTCAATAAAATCGATCTCTATTTTCTATTCAATATTGTAAAATGGAGGGATTTATACCACCCACCACACACAGATCAAAGAACACCAGCTTGGGGGAGAAAGAAGAGCACAACTTACCCGACGCACGCACCTGAAAATTTTTTTTTTTTCCAACACAGAAAAAAGTTGAAAGAAACATTATTATTACCATATTCCAAAGCAAATTAACCAGATCCTTATTAATAAGTAAGAGGCAAAAATAGCGTCATGAGTTCTCGTTTCTTTGCTGCTAGTTTATCTGACTCCGAGTCAGACGAGGAATTGCTCAGTTCCGAAGAAGAAGAATTGCTTAGCTCTTCTGAAGATGAACAGATGGAATCTTCAAGTGAAGAAGACGACGACTTGGATGATGACATGGACGAAGACGAATCAGACGAAGATGATGATGAGCCAACCGGTCGTAACAAGTTCTTGAAGACCGAAACTCCTCAAAGAAGCGCAGCTTATTTCTTGAAGGGTTCCAATATTCCAGATTCTGATGACGAAACCGAATCCGAATCTGACGACGATAACAAGAAAGTGGTCAAATCAGCCAAGGACAAATTATTAGAAGAAATGAAAAACAGTGCCAATGAAATCGACAACGCTGCCGATTTTGATGACTGGCTCACCGTTTCCAAAGAATTCGACAAATTGAACAAGTTGTTGATCAGATCCCAACAACAAAATATTCCAACCCCAACTTTCTACATCAAGACTTTGGCAGAATTGGAAGATGTTATCATTCTTGTCAGCAAGGAAAACACTAAAATGAATGCCGTTACTTCCAAGGCCTTCAATTCTATTAAACAGAGAGTTAAGAGATCATCCAGAGACTTTGAAGATTTGATAAAAAGATTCCGTGAAAGTCCAGAAGATATGCAAAAATCTGCCACAGTGCCTGCCGTCGCCCCAGCTGGCCGCTCTGCCGCTGCCGATGAAGAAGAACTTGATATTGCTGCTACTTTACGTACCGTCATTGAAAACCGTGGTAAGAAGAACGTTGACCGTTACGAACAAGTTGCCACTTTGGAAAAATTGTTGCAATTTGCTGAGTCTCCATTCCAATTTATCTCAATTTACTTTTTATTGATTCCAACCAGATTTGATCTCAGTATGAACGCCAACTACATGCCAATTGATCAATGGAAGAATGCCGAAAAAAATATTTCTGCTTTATTGACCATTTTGGAAGACAATCATGACAAATACAGAGTTACTGAAAATGGTGAAGCTGGTCTCGATTTTGAAAACGAACCACAAGCTAACAAAGATGGTATCGTGGAAGTATTAGGTTCTATTGCATCATTTGTCGAAAGATTGGACGATGAATTAACCAGATCTTTGTTAGTTATTGACCCACACTCGAGTGATTACATTGTTAGATTGAGAGACGAATCTCAAATGTACAACTTGATCTTGAGAGCCCAATTATACGTTGAATCTTTGTCCAGTGCTGATCAATTGACCAATCCATCGAACGATCAATTGTTCAGAATTATCTTGAGAAGAATTGACCATGTTTACTTCAAGCCAATCCAATTGATCAACTTCAATGAAAAGACCGCTTGGAATGCTTTGAAAGATGGACAAGAATCTTTTGTCGTCAAATCCACTTCCACTTATGATAAGGAATATGCCGATGGATTAGTTAATACTTTGTGTTCAGTGCTATACCGTCAATCCAACTCTGTCTACAGAAAGAAGGCAATGCTTTGTCATATCTACTACTATGCTTTCAATAACCAATACTTCAAGGCCAGAGATATGTTGTTAATGTCACACTTGCAATCTACCATCCACTCTTGTGAGCCAGCCATGCAAGTCTTGTTTAACAGAACTTTGGTCCAACTTGGGTTATGTGCTTTCAAGGTTGGCTTGATTGATGAAGCTTTCCAAACTTTGCAAGAAATCGCCACCTCTAGCAGACAAAAAGAATTGTTGGGTCAAGGTGTTCAAAGATACAATCAACAATCATCCACAACCAGTGTTGCTGCTGACAGACAAAGATTGTTACCATTCCACATGCATATCAACTTGGAGTTATTGGAAGCTGTGTTTTTGACTTCTTCACTCTTGATTGAAATTCCTCAAGCCGCACAAACCGGTAATAACAACTACAATAAGAAGGCGTCCACTAAATCTTTCAGACGTGCTCTTGAGTTCCATGAAAGACAATTCTTCCAAGGTCCTCCTGAAAACACCAAGGATTACATTATGTACGCCGCCAAGAGTTTACAAATGGGTGACTGGAAAAAGGCTACCAATTACATCAAATCCGTGGATATTTGGAAGTTATTTGTCAATGGTGACGCAATCAAGAAGATGATTGAAGAAAAATTACAAATCGAAGGGTTGAGAACTTACTTGTTCCAATTTAGAAACTATTACACCAAGTTATCCATTGGCAAATTGGCAGAAATCTTTGAATTGAAAGAATCTAAAGTGTCTGCTGTCTTATCCAAGATGATTTTCAAAGAAGAGATCTTGGCTGCTTTGGACCAAAAGACCTCTTCAGTCTACTTTATCCATGGCCATGAATTGAATAAACCTCAAGAATTGGCATTGGTGTTGGCTGAAAAAGTCGGTCAATTGGCAGAAAAGAACGAACGTTTGGCTGCCGGGGGTCACCAGCAGCAATCCACCGGGTTCAATTCCCAATCCCATGGGTCTAATGGTAACACCTCCCGTAACCACCACAGTCAAAACTTCAAAATCAGCTCCTCTAATTCAGGTATCATTGCTGGTGCGTTGAATGGTATGGATAATAAAGGGAACAATAGAAGACAAAAAAGAAACAATAAATAATCGAATTGCATGTTGTTATTGATGATGATGATGATGATGCCTTACTGATATATATATATATTATTTTATTTATTTATTTATTTTTTTGCTATATGGGATGGCTCACGATATTTGCTCATGACAATTCATAGTGCACTTGGTTTTGTTTCTTCATGTTAATTAACTTTTTCTTTTTCTCTTCATCCTTTTTTTTTTTACCTACACTATTTGCCACCAATTTTCATATCTGTTTATTCGTTAGCACCAAAATATTGTATGACTCGACCAGTTTGACTGGCTGCTGTTTAAGATTAAGATTCACTTCATCTTTCCAGAGATACAGTCTTTCCTTTTGAGAGCACCACGGCGTTCTAGATGTTTTTTCCCATTTTTATCTCATGTTATACATATTTGTCAACAGAAAGCATTATTGTATATCTATTTGCACATGGATTTTACAAAAAAAAAATTTCCAATCAAATTTCGATGTATTACTAAATTTATAATTAGATATCTATTTAAAAATCTCATGAGCTTTGCTCATTATTATGATATGGAAAACCAATTTTATTTTGGTGAAAACCCCTTTTAGTTGATAAAAATATTGAAAATAATGATATTTAGAAAATATTTTTGTTACTTTTTTGATTAATTTTATTTTGATAATTTTTTTTTTCTCTTCTTTTTGTGTTGATCAACTGGTCAGTTTCTTGAAGTAATAATAAAAACCAAATTGTTAACTGATGTGTTCCAATTAACCAGATTTTGGCTTCTAAGTCGGGAACGTTTGCGCTGATAGCATAAATAGCAGTCGATCTTTTTCATTTTTGGCTTAGCATGGATTGAGGCAATCATATTTTTCCATTTTAACTCAACTGGGATATTCAATAGTGGCCATAAATGTACTGATAAAGTGCATTTAATGAGGAAGTGGGTCATTTTAATTTTATCTTGTTCTTCTTTTGATTCATGTTGATGATTATCAGCGATGGTTATGTGCACGCAATATCCACATAGTAGCCAGGGCTTGAGTGTTGGTAGTTGGCGAGCCTACTCCAGAATTGCTGTTTTTGTTGTTTTTTGATGTTCGTGATACTTGTTAATGTCAGCGATAATCTATTTTGATCAATTTTCGCTCTGGTTCTTTTACTTCCTTGTTTATGCTGAAACTCCATAACCAGCTTGGGAATTTCTGGTTGGAACCTTGTTAGTATTCCCTTGGTGATAGACATTTCTAACTCTTCTATTCTAATGTTAAATGGCTCCAAAGTTTTGGTTTAAGAAATCGGTTTTGATAATAATTGAGACCAAGCAGTAAAGTCTTGCTTTTCAACAATAGTAAGCATCGGAAGGTTGGTTAATTGCACAATAAATGGGCCTTTTTCGTTGTTGAGCTCAATAACATCACCCAACATTATTCTCCACCAGTGTTGTGTTTTCTTGTATTCTTCTGGCAGTCTTTCTCCTTTTTTTTTTGTATGTATTTTTTGATGAGGTGATTGACTCCTAGTTGTAACTTATATCTGAGGAGACGATAATAGTCGTTATCAGAGTTAGTATACAACCCTTGCACTATCTTGGCCTTTCTATAACGGGGTTGGGCGGCGATGTCAAGCACTCCATAACCACCCTTCTGGAGACTTGTCTTCAAGATTGCCAATGTGAGCTTGGCCTTTTTTTGAAATTGCTTTAAAATCGATTTTTCCAATATTGCGATGTGATATGAATCCATTGGTCGATGTATCTCATGATAATATAGTTTTGAGTAAATATAGGCGTTATAACCTGTTATTTGGCTTGAAATTGGTAAAGAATACATGTTGGTCATAAAATATTTTGTGTTGCGGTTTTTATCAAGAGTATCCGGTCATATTTGATGTCGGTAACCCATTTCAACTTCTAAATACTTGATCCTGAACTGTTTTGTGGTAGTTTCAGGTTATATATGCGTTTGACGTAAGAGGTGTGAGGTGGTTATGATCAACTTGGATTTCTGGTGGCTTATTAGTGAACCACTTATTTTCTTAAATTTCAGAATCCATTCAATCGCTCTTTTGAAATCATTGTCGTTTTTCAAGAGTACTGTAACATCATCAGCAAAGGCTAAGTACTTTCGTGGAAAAGGGGTAGTGAAGCCTTTTAGGTTGTTTTGGAACGATCTCAAAAGAGGTTCAAGAGCCATAAAAAACAAGGTGGGGGATAATAGGTTACCTTGTAAAGTGCCATTTCTTAATTTGAAGACTAGATCAGCGATTTTATTAACGGAGATTATCCCTAATGTTTTTGAGAAGATGTTCATGATGGTTTTTTCCACTTTCCCAAAATTCATATACTGGAAAAGTACTTTCAAATACTTGTGTGAAAGTTGATCGAAGGCCTTCTGAAAGTTCAAAATCAAAATTTGATTCTCAGTTTTGTGTTTGGTCTAGGGGTGCCTCTTTGGTGAGATAGATCAGAGTTAAGAGCGGATCGGTAAATATGGTGATGTTGGTGAAGGAGTGGTGGCCAGGTGATAAATCCAGTTTGATTCTGTCCTATCATTTTTCCTAAGAAATTCACTAGTCTTGCATTGATAATACCGGCAAAAAGCCTAAGGTTGGTATTTATCAACGCAATTGGTCAATAAATGGTGATTAGCGAATGGTCTTTGTGAGGTTTGGGAATGATGGTGAATTTCACCGTTCTATAATGGTAGGGGAGCTCTGAAGTTGTCATGATTGAATTAAATTCATTAAGCAATGAATTCTTAATTTGAGGAAAAAGCATTTGGTATACTATGTAAGGAACACCATCCATTCCTGGGCATGAATTTATGTTGGATGCATTGACGGATTTTTTTAATTCTTCCATTGTTATTGGTTTGTTGAGCTTGCTGGAGACATGTATATCGCATAATTTTTTTCATCTTTAAGCATAGACTGGCTGAGATAAAAGCGATACAAGAGACGGTTCCCGTCTGTGGTAGTTGATCTATTTGTCCAGTATTTCTTGATGCTGTGATTCTTACGTTTGAGAAAAATGTCTGTCAATGCAAAACTCTTAATGAGGAATTTCATTGATTTAGCTATCATTTCTTCTTGTCTGCGATAGTTCTGGAGGTCCCTTTGGATAATATAATTGTTGAAATCACCCTCTAATAATATGTTGATGTTCATGCTCCTTTGACGCTCTTTAAGATTTGTAAATTGTGTGCGAAGACGAACAGAGAGCTGATCCTGTAATAAGATTTGTTTCTTATAATTGGCGGATGGGTTGCAAATATTGATTAGCCATAGCCAGCTGTCATTTGATAGTTCTATAATAACATCTGTAATTTGTCTTTGTAATTCCTCTTGTATGCCAACTAACAACAAGGAATGAGAAATGACCTTAATATGGTCATGAATAATAATCGCTGAAGTTTGTGTATTTTTGTAAAGTTTCTTATTCTAATAGTTAAAGAGAAAGTTCCCATTAAGATTTAGATACTGGAACATGGATATTCCATGCTCATTTGTTATGCTGATGATCTTAGTATTATCCAAATTTAGTTTTTGGATGTTTTGAGAGATGATGGTGAATTTTTTCATTTGATGAGAATGGTTGCTGGGTTACATTGGAGCCATCAGTTAATTGGGGTGATTCGTCGATATTGATATCCTCCATCGTACAAAATGACATACAACTGGTGGTTTCCAGAGCTGGTGAACTGTCCATAAACAAATAAGACAAGTCGCGAAGCTCCTACCGTACATTAACAACGTTTTTTCTTGATCTGAACTTTAGAAATATATTTAAAAAAATGGAAAAAAAAAAAAAATCAAATTGAAAAATCATGTTGAAAAATCATATTGAAAAATAGTTCATAAGAAGTATGTATTTCTTTATTTATTTTCTCTTCAAACAAAGTAACTTTCTCTCAAAACACCTTCCAAATCTTCCAACTGCTCCTCAGTGAATACTTTGCTATCTATGTGCCATGTATCTTGTCTAGTCTTTTTGAAATTGCTCAAAATACCCTTCGAGGTTTTATCAACAACTCCTGAAATACCATATGAATTATTGGCCAACAAACCTAAGACGTCAGGGAACCAAGAAGGCGGAGGAGAGAGATATGGAAAAGCGGAAATCAACGCACCCAAGCCAAGAGAAGCACCGTGAAGAGTAACACTATCGGCTTGAGAAAACTTCTTCTGTGTCTTCTTTTGCTTTCTAGATAACTTTTTGTACTTCTGCAAGATTTTCGCATATTCACCAATGTAATAGTGGATCATATCCTCCCTTTCCTTGGTTGGTGAGCAGTGTACCATACCAGATAATGCCTTAGAAGCAGCTTCTCTAACCTCTAAATTTCTGTTAAACAATAATTCCGAGACGTAAGAAAACAATGCCTTTCTTTGGTCAGAATTCAAAAGTAACAATTGACGGAAGTAGAAAATCTCCGTAAATGAAAGAAGGGTTAAGCGCTGGTGCCATGAGGGATCCACAACACCACCATTATGTAGAATCAAGTCCACAATTGTTTTGATGTTTTCAATTCTGAAAGGAATTCTCGCTAAGATCAAATACACAGAGCTAGGACTGATATTAGCGAGTTTACAAACATCTCTCATATGCTCAAGATTTAGTAAAAATGGTGATATAAGTTCGGGGATGAGATCAACAAAACCAACACAAGCATTGGTTCTAAACATACTTGTAATCAACACAATAAGAGTCCTGGCACCATAAATATATGGAGTTTTCAAGGTTTCTTGAGCATTATCACCCTCGTTAATCTTGTTTCTAAAGCTTTCAACCGCTGCAAACGCTTGTCTTAAGTTGAGAATCACATTTTCAGAAATTTGAAATGGAATTAAACCCAATGAGCCATACAATGAATTGGCTTTCACAAATGAATCACAGTCTGGGTAGGACTCATTGAAGCCACAGTAAAGAGCCACAGTAATTGTCGCCGCAACCTGATCACGAACTGTTTGATATGGATGGAACATTAATTGTAACATGCTTTCAATAAGTTTATCGGCGTCTCTATATTTCCAAGTGACGCTGGTCAAATAAACTTTTAAGCAAGATAAGCGTGTTGCTTGTTTGAATGGACTGCTTTCTGTAAGAGCTGTCTCATAATTGAAGATTTCGTTAACTAATGAATCATATCTTCTAGTGTCAGTATATGATACAATCCAAAATGAGAAAATTTTCCAAATTGACTTAGTATCTGGCGATAAGTCTCTGAAGCATGTAGCAATTGTTTTAATCACATATTCTTGAACCCTTAAATCTTTTGCAGCTGGAGTGTATTTCGCTGCTAACAAGAAGCTACATAAAGCTTCACATGTGATAATATGCGTACTCTTTTCATCATGAACATAACTTTCCCCAAGCACTGTAATCATATCTTCTATGGTTATATTCGTCAAATACTTGTTGTAAATTAATACAATCAACATGTTCATGAACTGAATGTTGTTTCCTTGAAATCTGGATCCTTCCTCATTATCTTCAATAATAAGCTTTACGATACTTCGGAACCATTCTTTTGTGATGTGAGAATCCACGCCGCTAAACAACTTTTTATCATTATTGTTGAATTTCAACACCTGCTCTTTTTGGTTCTTCGCAACCACCATATCTTTCCCCCAGAACAACCATCCTCTGAATATCTTCGTGTCAAAATAATAATCTGCATCTTCTGTCTTTTGCAATTCATTAAAAAATTTATCCGTGAAATTGCCATTGGATTTGGAGTCGGTACTAATAATTTCAAACCTGTCTGAATAGCACCAAGGGTCTAAAAGCTTCTTCAAATCATACGAACAATTTGAGAGCTTCATTATTTTTGTGAACGATTTGAGAGCCCCATAAATGCCCATGTGGCAAATACTTGGATGGCTCTTGGCTGCGCTGTTCATAAACAATTCAAATATTTCTGAGTTGGTATTCATCGAAAAACTTGATTGTAAGCGGACCAATAATTCTATGTTTATCAATGAAACTTGCCATGATTTATCGCTTTTCGACTCTTCACCTAGAATCAATTTTTGCAATTGCCTCAAGAAGTGAATAGAAGTAGCCCTTTTATTCTCTTTGGCTGTCTTGAGTAACTTTATATCAATATCGACAAGTGAATCTGCTGGCCTTATGACATCCATTGAATCCTCATTAAATATACATATGGTTGATGGAACCTTGATATTTTTGGCCAATTTCCCATAGAGAAGCTTAGCAATGCTACTAGTCTTTTCATCATCAACCTCCATACAACGTAGTAAAAATTTGACATATTTAACAAGATTCTTATAATCACTGCTGATTCTATTTTTGAGCTTTGTGACACTAAACACGTTTAACGCACTCTTGATTCTCTTATAATCATTGTCTAAAAGAACATTACTTAAATTCTCAAATACAGTGTTAATCAACAAAGCATATGATCCAATACTTTTTTTCATTACCGCTTTCAAGGTCAACTGCGCAGATGCAGAGATAGAAGAATAAAGAGACAAAGACAACTTTATAAGATCACCCAAAAGAGTTTCATCCAATTTGCTTTGGAATCTGCTGCTGGCATGCATTAACATTCTTTGACGATGATACCTCTCAACACGAGCACCAATGGTAATTCTGGTGAAAGGCTTTCTAATACAAAAAGATCCTTGTATCAGTCTCATATACTTATATGAGATGTGATTATCATCAAATGATTTGAGTGAGTTTTCGGCGCCATAATCGCAGAACCAAGTTTCAACGGTATGCAAAAAAACTTTGAACAATTTCACATCATTCGGATAGTACTGAAGTAAAAACATGCATACATCATGAAGTTTCTCGCCAATTCTTCTATATAACGCGTGAACACGTCTGTATAAATCATTTTTGTGTCTTTCCTCCTTGGTGTTGCCGAAGAAATAAGAACATGTATAAATCTTTTGAGCTCTCGAGGTAATGGCAGGATTGGTAACATCATTATCTAGCTCTGGGCTTCTTACTCCGGACAAAGACAACATATCCACATTATTTTCTGAAGATTCCCTAGACATATCAATTGGGACCATATTTGCTAAGTTGACGCCAGAATCAGCCCTACTTAAAGCAATTGATTCATCGGATTCAATGAAGGGCTCCTTTGGACCAAGATCGTGGGATTTTTCGGCATTTTGATCACTGTTAGAATACAAACAAGGGGTTGTGGCTTCAGTATTTGCTACATCAGTATTGATAGCGCTATGATCATCGCCAGCAGTAGCAGATGGGTTGCCAGCATTTCCAGTGATATTGAGAGATCTTTGAGAAAAGTTCAACGATCTTAAACGCTTATCAAGTAATTGAGCGTTTAATTTGTGATTTCCTGTAGTAGCCTTAGTTATATCCTCATATGCAGGATCTAACAAGTATGCAATTCCTGAAGTGGAGTGACTCAAGTAAAACAAATTCTTTCTGAAATTATCGGTAAAATCTAATAAATCCGGACTAGAGTTGTCTGTCTGTTCAACTTCCTCCGTAATATCATCTTCCTCTGTAGCTTTACTATCAGTATCCATGCCTCTCTTATTCGCATCTCTCATCAATTTATCTAAATTTGTGAAACATTCTTGAACATGTTCTGAAAAGAAGTGAACTGCAAATTCAACTTCCTTTTTATTTGGGATATGCCACCCAAATTTCAAATTTTCTGCATTGAATCTTTCTGGTCTGTCATAGAAACCTCCCCAACATGTTTCAGTTATTCCGTTTTTTTCCACATATGATGGACTAACTAGCCTCTGTTCTTCTAATCTAATGGTTGTCAAAGATTTCAACAATTGGGTGACAAAGAAGGTGGCAGGGAAAATAATTGGCCCTTTGACCTCTCTAAGAAGAAGCCTAGAAAGATTTGATAATCTATAACTGTAACTGAGCACATTGGAACCTGCATAGCGTACTATTTCACCTAGAAGGGTCAATAAACAGTATAGAGGTTTATCGCGATGTAGAATTTCAGTGCTTCTAACTTTACCTGCACTTCCATTTTCAAGCTCGTCATTTATTTTATCCAAAACAAGCTCCATGAATTGAGGGGTTTGGCCTTTTGGATCATGTTTAACAATAGAACCTATAATTTGTGCTGTAAGATCAATTGAATCATAATGAAGATTTTCATTTATAAAATTCAAAAACTTAGTAGCAATAGAGCAAAAATAATCATCAGCCATAGATTCGAATAGGAGCAAAAAGGTTCTTGGTAAAGAAGTTTCTAAATTGAGCTCAGAATTGGATTGCACGTTTGATTGGTCAGATAAGTTTTCTAACAAAGTGAACACTTTATAAGTGAACATACTTAGAAAATCTTCAAATAACGTCGAAGAGGAAATAAGAACTTTCTTTTCATATTCGTCATCAAGTTGGAAAAATTCCTGGTCCTCATCTTCAATTTTCATGTTGTTATAAACCTTTTCCTCTAGAAACGCCAAGTGACTTTGAGTAGCTTCAAATGCTAAGCCACTATCAACAAGTACATCATCATCCTCGCATTGCCTTGATAAGTCATAAAAGGGTAAGAAGCTGGCGAAAGAGCTTATGACATTCAAGGTCAAAAAGGTTTTGTCTAAATCATTTGAATCTATTCCTGGGAGTAAAAGTCCCAAGATCCTGGTGACATGACACCGGAAAATCTTCTGCGTCAAAAAATATTTTGAAATCCTTGTTAAGATCTTTAACACCACTGTCAATCTATGATTAGTGATAACAGTTTGTAATGATTCGTAAATATCCAATAAAATCACATTCAAAACCAACTCTGGTGCCAAAGAACAAAGCATATTGAGCGCTTCACAATTGATATTCACCACCGCAGTGCTCTTTGATTGGATACCAAGCATGACTTTCGGTAGCAATATTTTCACAAACCTTTTCACACAAAATGGGCTCAACTTATTCTGTTCTGGAAGATTGTATAAATGCTCGTCTGGGTCGCTCTCTAGAATATGTCTTTTGCGGAATAAGTAGATCAAAAGCTGTATGAATTTCGTACAAGTCACAGACCAAACTCCCGTGTTAGAAGGATGCAAATAAGTCTCCATACTGTTGAGCAAAGTTTCCAAATGGAAAAATACACCGCCATCTGGTTCTAATGCCAACTCGCCATTCATACTGAAAACAATAATATTTGCGTATCCAGCGTAACTGTGGCTAGAAGCGGAAGAACCAAATTTTCGAGATTGGATATCAAAGGAGTTCAATAATTTGGAAAATACAAATAATAATTGATCTGCATTCAAAAAGCCATATTTTCCAAATTTACATAAAACATCTGGATCGTTAACATGTTCTGATAATATCCTAGCAAATCCAGTTCCCATAGTTTCGGTGATAGGGGAGTCCATACCTTTGACATTAGTGACAATCGTCCAAATGTGGAAAAGGGAGGGAGTGACGTCCACAAGCCTAGGATTACTCAATGGCAACAAGCAGCACATTGAAGTTAAAGCTAGAGAAGCAGTATTCAATGAAAATCTGCTACCCACGAGATTGAAAATTTCATCAAAGTCCTCATCCAGGAAAAAGTAGTTTGAATACATCCCCAATTTGACAAGATGCTTCTTTTGTGGAACAACAGAACCTTCCACAGTATGAGCATGTGGAAAGTACACATCGAGTAGTTTAAATAAAGGCCTGTAATCCAAATTTAAGCCTCTCTTTTTCAAGACATCAGGTTCGTACTTCGTTAATAAGGCAAACATTTTAACAAAAACAGAAATCAGGAATCCTTGACCAGCGACTAAGCAAAGGTTGTAATATACTTTTGATAAAGAGATTCTTAAATCAAAGGGCATGTCGTTTTTCATTTTAATCCAAGTATATAATTCTTTAGTCCAATGGCGAACGCTAACTACGATAGAAGAGTCTGGATGACTTGATGAGGTGCTTGCACTGTTAATGCCACCGGATACAACGCCACTCATATCGTCTTCTATATCTTCACCTAGTTCTTCCTCCTCTTCATCACTTTCTTGTTCGTCGACGTCATCATCGTCGTCGTCGTCTTCTTCGTCATCATCATCATCATCATCATCATCATCCTGATGATCTTCATACTCCAGATCATGACCAATAATATTATCATCTGACGAATCATTGCCATTGGTCATCTTCTTGAGAACTGCAGACCTAACTTTCTCCAAATCTTTTGGAGAAACGCTTATAACACCATTGATATCCAAGGATTTTATGGCAGCATACAAATGACTGATAATATGGCTCAAATACCTCGATTGATCTAACGGCAACTCTGTTTCATACGGAAGAGCTTCTTGTAACTCCAAAGTACGTGGTTTAACACGGCCAAAAAATCTTGATTGTGGATCATATAGCTCATCAAGCTTTGTAGTATTTGGCACATCTAAGTTGTAATATTCTAACCTCGTTTGCTCGACAGGATTAGGCTGAGGGGTCAACGGGGTGGCAGATCTTGAAGTAGCGATACTAGATGATAAAGATGAATAGAACACATTTCTTGCTAAGTTTGCCCCACTGTTAGATAATTTAATAGGTGAAGGCCTCACGGGCGTCGGGGCCCTAAGATTTGGGTTGCCCATACGATTGTTTGGCGCTGACATTTCAGGTGAATAATTAGTATTCACGTTTCAATTAGAAATGATAACACACCTGGACAGGGGTAAAATGGAACTTGAAAAATTGATATAACGCTATTTTATCTTATTTTATTTTGCTTTGTGTAATGCCAGAGTTTTTGGTATTTGCCACAATAAAAAAAAACCCCTCATTAACTTATCAGCAAAATAATAATAGGTACGTCACGTTGCCATGCGATCTTGCTGGGAAAAAAAGAAAAAATTCGGTACTTACATTCATTAGGAACAGTTTACTGAGAAAAGAGATTTGTATTGAAAAAAGTATAGCGATTAATATCTAATTTATGTGTTAGTCAAATTATATATCTTTTAGCATTGTGTTGCTACAGTATAGTGTTATTGGAGAATATCAGATCGGAGTTCTCAAATCATTGAAACATGTAAATGCTCTAATACTAGAGATGCCAGTTATAGAACTATATAAAAAAAATCTCATCATGTAATCTCATCAATAAAAAAAATAGCAACAGTAGTCCATAACAATTACTTACATTAAATAATTCTATACCATCCTATAGTAAAATACCCAGCAAAAGAGCATACCATCAAGCAAGAAATAAAGAATAGAAGAAGAAGAAGAAGGAAATGAAAATTTTCATATATATATGGGCGGAAAAAAAAATTACCGAGGTTCTTTCCCATGTGACTTTTATACCATCATGACGGGTCATAAGCGGCCAACATCTAACCTTTCTTTGGTTCCTTAGATTAGGTTCTCTTGGTGCTCCCTCTAAAGATTTTTTTGTTGTATTTGTGGTTTCCGGTAGATGACTCTTCTTTATTTTGTAAGCTGGATAACTTACCAGTGATGCCGTCGTCATCTGGTCTCGTGGAATTTCCATCATCACTTGAGCTTTCATTTACGGCAGCTCTAATATTGAGACTAGTTCCCGACTCATTAGAGCTACTTTTCATGCCACTCAAGTAGGCAATGTTTTCTTGAAGCTGTAAAGACCTCTTATGAAGACCCTCAATTTCTTGATTGAACTCATTCTGTTTTTCGAATAATGCTCTTTTCCACTCTTTGAATTTCATATCTTGATTGGCAACTAATTCTGCAAACTTCTTTTTCATGATACTTTGTTGATGTAAGAATTCCAGTGTATAATCAGAAGCAACTTCATCAATCTGCTCCAGGCGAATCTTTGTCATTTTCAATAAGCTTTCAAAACCATCAACATTTGGTAGGTAGTCGACCTCCTTGAAAGCATTATCTGTCGTGAATGCCCTGTTATATTGGACCCTCTTCAATTTTGGAAAACCAGCTCCCTTACAGAGAGAGTCTATCATCCAAAGCCTATAGGTCCAAATTCTTTCACGATGGATTTCATATAGCCTTTCTGTGCTCAAAATTAAATCCAACAAATTTTCCCCCATTAAAAGATTTCGTAATTTAACAAAATCACAATGCTCTTCATTTTCAACCTCTGAGATTCCCCATAGATATTGTCTCCCTCTTACCAAAATACCATTAGCATTTCTATAACTGCCTTCAGACCCTATGGTTGTGTATGGATATGTCTCCACAATTGAATGATAAGCTTCGGATCCTTCAAAATTCTTTCCGATTTTAATATCATTTTGAGTAAAAACCTTACGAAAAGACTTCTTTAGCTTCAATAACTCTTCTTTTGTATAGCCATCAGCTTTTGGTATTACAGGAATAACATTCACTCTCTTGCACAAGTCTCTCATGACTATAATATCTAATGGCTTGGCTCCCATGTTTGAGGGGGACATAAAGTATATGCAGCAATGAATCCTATTGTCTTCCAACTCCGTTCTATCGGGTTGCTCTTCTTGAAACATATAATTTCTAATATTTCTATCAATGAACTCACACATTGGACTCCAACTGACCTCATTGTTAACTAAATCACTAAATCCAGGATACTTTACCACTGTAAGATCTAGTTTAAAATCTTCTTCGTATAATTCGGCACGATAGAATTTTAGGTTCAACTTAGACTCATTCACAGATTCTTCTTTTTCGTTAACAGGGAAAATATCACAGTTGAATAAAGTATTAATAAAAGTAGACTTTCCAAGGCCTGACTGGCCAATAATCATCAAGTTGAACTTCAAACCTTTTTCAGATGCTATTTTCATTCGTTGTTCAGGTAACTTTTGAAGACCAATGGGAAATTCAGGCATCGGGGCATCAGAAGTTTTGCGTTTTTTATCTTCAACACTATCTTGAACAGACCAAGAGCTTCCAGTATTTTCGATCCCAAACTCAAATAAAAATTCATTGATTTCATTTTTTGAAGTTAGTGGCGGTGATGTTTTTCCAATGTGAGTATCTGTGGCAGCGCTTGTTTCAGAATACTCTTCTTTAGTTTCTAAAGTCAATTTTTGTGATTCTTCATTAAAAAATAATGATTCAACCAGTTCCTCTCCCTCAACAATGGATCTAAAATAATCATTGGTTGTGATCTTTGGGCTATTGCATTTCTTCAAACCAACATGGGAGTCAGTCGCCTCAAGTAAGTCAATTTCATTAGGAGGAGTTTCAACATTCAACTTCATGGTTCGATATCAACAGTTTAGAACCAGTTTTATCCCTTTTTTTTTGTTTCGTATTTCTCTCCTTTATTTTCCAAGAAAGAGACACAAAAACAGATATGGTATATATAGTAAATAAATAATCAAAAATCTGGATAACTGCAAGAAAATATAACACAAATGGAGATTTTTATTACACAAACCGCATGCATGTTTTGCGATGACAACCTGCTAAACGCCAACCGAAATTTATTGATTGAAAATCGAATAAATAAGATTTTCTTCTTCTCATTGCAATGCAAATTGGTGTCAAAAATATTACAACAAGTAGGCCATGGTATTGCATAATAATAAATGGGACAGAAGAGCAAAATATAAATATATGAAGAAGCATGGGCTTCTTAAAAAACAGCAAGAACAACTACAAGAACAAACACAGGAGAAGGAGCAAGACCAGCAAAGTGGAAGTCAACATGCTTTTTGTGAGGAGGAAATTATATTGAAGGAATCTAATGAAGATTCCGATACGAATCAAGAAAATTTGGAAGGAAACTCTCCTGCATTATTGCAAGACGATATGTTGCTACAATCAGATGAGGAGGACAAAGATGATGAAGAATTTTTAAGATACGCCAGGTTAACCAAAAATATCAAACACTCTTACAATATTGAAAAAAAGGACAAAGAAGCTTTTAAAATTCCACCCGGGAAAAAATTAGAGGAATTGGATTTTGATTCTTTAGCCAAATTGGATTTAGGATCTAGCGGGGATGAAGATGAACACAAATTTAATAGACCTACAAAGCAGCTATCTCAGAATGAAGCTGGTGACTTTGAGGAATTACAGAAAAAAATTGAAAAAGACAAACTTTTCAGAAAAATCAAGTCAAAATTTGCCACAAATCAGATATCAAGCAATTATGAGAATAATCCTGATGAAGAGAAATTTGAAGTTAATTTGGAAGAACTATTGGGTAGTGCTGCAAAACTACCTACAGATAAGACTAATAAATATGAGGCCAATAACGATATATTTAGTATGGATTTCAAGAATATTGCTGAGAAACAAAAGGAAAAACCCAGACAGCAAGAAAAGCAAAAAAGAAAAGCAATCAAAAGAACTGAGAATATTGATAATGAAGAGAAACTTTTGGATGATCTTCTAGGACTATAGGAAGAAAATCCGTCTATGTATTAAGTTTAATATTGACATGGTTAAGGATTGCGATGCGAAATTATAAGTTCTGACCCTTTATTATTATTCCTGTGATTGTGCATTTCTAATAGATAGGAAGCAATTCCATAATACGCCAACGGAGCTACTGAAAGGAACTTGGTATGGTTTTGGTAAAACCAAGAAGTTTATGAATTGCACCGCGGGCCAAAGGCAATAATTGGCTGCCAAGGTGCTTATGTAGATTTTCTTCATTTTCTTTTTGAAACTGGCTTTATCACCACCTTCCAAAATAGTGTTTGAATAGTAAAAAAATCCTGCTAAAGAAAGAGGAGAGTAGAATAGTTGGTCTGCCAATACCCGCTCCAAGACGGTGATGAATTTTGGATCATCAACATAAAGCCCATTTAGTATCATATACCAAAAGAATTGGGGAAAAGAAATGAAGAAGCCCCATACCATAAACCCGGCAAGACGATGGTAATCAAATATTTCGAAGTTCTGATTTGTTGTATTCATTCCCCTGTAAGCATCACTATTACTAGCAATACTTGTTATGCTATGGTTATCTGATTGTTCAAAATCACGCCTGATCCCGGAAGCCGGTGAAGTGTCTTCGTGATAATCGTCTTCATCACCGTAATCAACAAATATCTGGAATCTTTCCAGATGATTGTCATCAGAATAAGGAATTTGCAGGGCCGTACTGCTTATCGATGGACTTGCAAGTTCATCATACTGGTGAACAATAATGTGATGTGAGGGTCTCCGAGTTAATATTCTGGTTAATGTCTGAGCTAGACTATCAGCTAATCCGAACAATAGTAAATTTGAGATCAAAGTCGCAGGAAGGCCTAGGGTTGCGTAGAGCCTGGAATAGTGGGGAATAAATTTAAGCAATAATAGTACAAAAGCAAAAATATTGAGTAAATATATCACCGGAATTTTCAATACAAATACCCTCGACAATCGTCTATTTACCATCTGCAAAACATTATAACAGGGAGTTGATATCGTTTTCAAAATGGTTTTAATTTTTATCAATATATCTTTTGTCGCATCATAAAAATACACCAATTTATCTTGGAAGGGTGACTCTCCAAGGGTTGATAAAAGTTCATTATCATTCAAAGGTAATTGCAATGGCATATTAAAGACGATGAACTATTATCAGTTGTACGTACAACATGATCCATAGGCTTCACCGCCTCCTTCATGTCATTTTTCCCTCTCATCATAGAAATTTAGGGGCTACTGACCGCACATCCGCGACTTTCCGCATGAACTAACTTCAATACCATTTCAATACCACGAAGAATAAAAGAACTGATGGCCAACAATAATCTATTAATCAGTATAAACAATCAGGTTGGAGTTGAAAATATGTATGAATACTTGCTTATATAATACTCCATTACATATGTTAAGCAGCCGTGATTGATCCAAAACATTTACCAGGTGATTAACTGAAATTGATCAGAAGATACAACTAGGGAAAATGTTTTAGAAAATGGAATTTGATATATTCTGTATTATGATAGGCCCAAAAAAAGGTATCGTAGTAAAATGCTTTGAGTTACAATACAATTGAAAAAAAAAAATGTGACAAATTATCAAATAAATTATAATATATGTTCTATTAAAATTGATGCTCAAATATTTATCATTGTTGTTATTAGTTCTACTCAATCGGCCAACTCTTCACTCGAGAAAAAGCAAACCATTTTTCTTTGCTAAGAGAGAAAAATGTTTGGACATTTTCTGCATTGATACAATAAGAGCTAATCCACTTCAATTGATTATGCCTTCTACCACTGACACGTAACTCCTGAGTGAATTGGCAGTCTTTAACTACACCTTCACCTTCTATTGTAAGTTTCCCATCTTCTTCAAGGGTCCAGAATCCATTGAAAACATCCTTCAAACCATTTTCTTTCCAATCCTTGGTGAATTTCGGCACAACCTCGTGAGGTTCAGCAATAGTAAGCAACCTCAAACATGTGCCTGACTTAAAAAAGCGCAAATAACGATAATATGTAATGATATGGATTGGATTCGTCCATGACAATGAGTGGGCAGAGCTTCCTTCCCTCAAATATGTGCAGATACTAATATAAACACCGCCAAATTTAAGAAATGGCTTCTTAAAATACATGTCCTTCCAACCTTTGTAAATATTGTGTGATTGGAACTCGATCTCTTTCTTTGATATTGATGGGTATACAGTTGAATAAATATCCAAGGATAGGTCTCGCCATAAGGAGGAAGTATCAAATCCAAGATGTGCCAATCGTTTATTAGACCGTGCAAGACTAACCCAGTCTGGTGCCCTAGCCATTGCCAAATATTTCAATATATGGATCAAAACATCATCTGTTAATAGTTCTAATAGTGGACATCCTTCAACCTCGGCCCCTTCTTGGTCATTTGTAGGCTCCCCATCATCATGTCGTACTTGTGACACTGATGTTTCACCATCATCCGTCAACAGGAGCCTGTTGAGCTTTTGTCCTAACAACTCAGGGTTCCTCATCAAAGGCAGATCATTGGAATGATCGTGATCCTTTTGCATCAGTAGCCTATTTCTGTACACCTTATCTACTTTCTCATTAAGTTTGAATGCCTCTCGGTACAATAATATGGCATCGCTAAACTTCCCGATGGATTCTTTGGCAATTCCTTTTTCAAAAAGCTCTAATGCTACATCAATATTATCACCAGAAGTCACAAGTTGTGTAGCCATTTCTATTTTATTGTTTTTATTTCTTTGCGATAAAATAAATCTGGTAGATATGGAGATTCACCTCTATTTCCCGAGGATAATGTTATATGTACTGTATTGTGTGCTCAGATAGAGAGTCAATTTAGTAATCATTGGTATTACCCGCATAAAATAATATGGCACATGGCCAGGTAACCAACACTATGTGATGCAGATCTGAAGCATCTCTCCAACATGAAGATCCTGAAAATCACTAAATAATTGGCGGGGAAAAGAAAAAAAAAGAAAAAGGAGCCGCAAACCCTGAGCCTCACCAACTAGTGGAAACCTCACCCACCAGGAATACATATGGATATCTTATTGAATTTTAGAATGCCTCGGTTAATTAAGTTGTCTCATAACTTAAAATTAGGGGACCTGTTAATGGTTTAAGTCTCTGTGAAGCGTTTTAATGTCGAAGATATTTCCATTGGTGAAGACGCAATCTTAATCTCCAGTACTATAAATAGACCACAGAATTCCCATATATGCTGGTCCTGATGAACCTCTTTCAATGCCTACCTTCAAAATCAACATATATATATATATATATATATATATTGCCTGTTACTGTCCTGCTCCTCTGCAAAACACTTTAGGATTTTTTTTTATCTGAACTAAATAATAATCTTGGAATTTATTACATAGTCGCCTTTCATTAATATGGAAAAATCTAGAGCTATTGAAAGTGTGTGCCGATCTTTAAAAAGATCTAATGTTGATTTTGTGCTACTAATTAAGTCTGATGATGGCAACTCATGCATTTACAATTCCTCAAATTTGAGAAATGTGGCTGATAGAATGAAGAAATATACCTCGCTTTTCATAAAAAATGAGAGATATGACCTTCCAAAGTCATTCCACTCAAATGTTCCTGAAGATACTATTACCAGGATCAACACATTCCATCCAAGTCTTGTCAATAATATCAAGGTCTTGGATTTCAAAGACTCCGAAAACATCGATAGTCACTATGACAGATTATTTTCTGAATTGCAACAAAACAACTGCAAGACAATTGCTAAGTGCTGGATAAAAGAAATTGAGCCAAATAAGCAATCGATATTCCCCTACAAAAATGGAAAAGAATCAATGCCGGCTTGGTGGCCACAGAATGTGGTTCATCGGGAACCAGATCACATAAAGAAGGAAGAAAGAATTAGGTTGCTTAAGACAATTATCAGAAATGATCTTGAAAATTTTTTTGAAGATCAAAATGTATCGAAAAATGGAATTGTTTTAGAAACCCTTGCCGATAAGCTACGAGATGCTGAAAATTCCTTCATTTCTAAAATGTCCCATGACAAGATATCCATACTAAGAGAACTTTATTATTTTGCTCATAATGAAGAATTGTGGAGGAAGGGAAGGCTTTCAAACTCCTCGATTGCTGTTAGTGACTTTGACTCATTAAGATCTAAACGCTCCGAAAATCTCCGAAGATCGACGCACACAGCAGATGACTCTTCTATCTATAAAGATGATTCGGAAATTGGTATTGAAAATAGCACCATTTTGAATGAGTCTACACCTCAGAAAGTTAACAAAGCTGCTATGACTTCTCCTATGTGGCAAGATATCAAACCATTAAATCATTCATACAATCAATTATTTCAAACAAGCACCTACAGACCTCTTGACACCAATATTATTAACACAAATGTCCTAACTTCTACTAATTATTGCACTTCAAGTGATGAAGAGCAAAGTTCACTAGTTTCATTTATCAACTACTGCAACAATAATGCTTTTGGGTACGGCCTGTTGGAATCGCAAGTCCCGAAAAATATGATTAATGACGTTTTACTCGATAATGAGTTAAGCCATAAGATTAATGATATTTTTAGTGCTTCTGGTCCTTCCTTATTACGAGAATATCCTGACTGTCTCACGCTAAAGAGATCGCAAGATCAAATTGACTTTTTTCCTGCTAATACGGAGTTCAAGAGAGCTAGACGCTGATTTTGTTTTTCTTTTGCCTGTTTATTTCACATTTGCTTCAAACTATTTAATCCACGATAAAAATATATACTATTTTGAATATATTATTATTAGAACTATTTCTATTGATAAATCCTCTATATTTTCTTATAAAAAATGTGATGTGCATAAAAACGATCTGACCGTTCACAAACACAAAAATTTGTTCTTCATTTCCACTTTTCCAAATTTGATTGATTTCAAACCCAGAAGAATTTTATCTAAAAGCAAAAAAAAAAAAAAAAAAAAAGGAAACAAGTGAATCACACTGCTCTAGGATTTATTGTGTGCTGCCCCATGAAATATGAGATTGATTTACTTAGTTTTGGCGCTGATCTTTACTGTTCTCACCAAGGCGTTGGGGACTCTCGGTATCAATGAAATAAGTTCAGTAGGCGCTTCTTGTGTATATATAGCGAACAATTTCACCTCTTATCCATTCAACTGCAAAGGGCATGATATTGATTATGCTTGCCGCTGTTCTGACCTAGCGTTTCTTGGGACAGTATTAATTTGTATAGACGATAACTCTGACTCTCCTCTTTTAATCACCAATGCTTACAATTATTTGATTGATTTCTGCAAACTACAGGCACACATCTCTTACACGCTTACTGGTTTGGCCAAAATATTCAACAATGCTACTAAGTACGCAATATACCCAAACGATACTACTGTCAATAATGTGTTATTGAACCCTGTGTTACCGAATGAACCCTTATTTAAAGTATCAAGTGACTCAGTAGAAAGATTATTGTCGCACAGAGTTATTTCCACTCTCTTTGGAGGGGGATTGTTAAGCTATTGGCTCACAATAGTTCTAATCGGATTAATGAACAATATGGGAGTGTGGTGCGTGCCTTCGGGTATCCAGAAAATGAACGGGACAGTTTCAAAATGGATTCAACGACATTTAATTAATCCTCATTTATTTTCAAGAAATACTAATAAAGAAAGAAAATCGTTTCTTGGGAAACTAGTCTCGGTATTTGTTAGAACTTTGCCAACAAGATTAGAATCTTTAATAATCATGGGATATTTTATATTGATTATCATTCTATGTTGTATTGATTATAACTTACATTATCCAAATACGATTTTCATTTACAAGTCTTGTGGGAAACTAGTATATATTGCCGATAGAACTGGAATCATTTCAATAACACAGCTACCACTTTTATTTTTGTTTGCTGGAAGAAATAACTTTCTAATAATTGTTACTGGATGGTCATATAGAGCTTTCAATATCTATCACAAGTGGATTGCAAGATTCGTTTGGATTCTTATCCTCATCCATGGATGTTGTTATACTGCGTACAGTAAACAAAATAACGATTATTCCGCTAGGTGGTCATTAGAAAAATGGAGATGGGCAAATACTGCTACCATTTGTAGTGGAGTGATGATAATTTTATCATTCAGAGCAATAAGGAAAATATTTTATGAATTGTTTAAGGTTTCCCACCAAGCATTGGCAATAATTTTTCTCATAGGCTGTTGGAATCATTGTAAAACTTTGGGTTGGATGGAGTTCATTTATGCCGCGGTTGCAATCTGGGCTTTCGAACATATGATTAGATTGAGTAAAATATTTATTTCTGGGGGCGTGGTAATTGCCAACTGTCAAGCAATTATCGACTGTGAATATGATGTAAACAAAGAAAAGCAAGAAAATGAAGATGGGGTGAAACATGATACAGAAGATGGCTGCCACACTACACAAAAAGCCAAAAAATCAAATTGCAATAATAGACAGGAAAACGAGGTTCATTCTATTAGAGTTAATATTAGTCACTCTGGATGGTGGAGAGTTTACCCAGGATGCTACGTCTTTCTATATTTTCTAAAGCCAGCATTTTTTTGGCAGTCTCATCCATTCACTATTGTAGAATCATCATCAGAGGAAACCAATGACCAATTAACTATGATAATCAGAGTGAAAGATGGACTAACTAAACGTCTTGCTGATTTTCTTTGCAACATGGAATCTTTTTCTGTCAGAATTCCAGTGCTTGTTGAAGGTCCGTATGGAACTCCAATTGCTTTTAGAAATTATCAGAATGCATTGTTTATTGCTGCTGGTGTTGGAATGACTATTTCATATACCCTAGCAGTCGATCTAGCCAGACAGTATAAAGCTGAAGTATTACGCGGGAACTATAAAGAGGAAGAGCATAAAATTATAATTGTTTGGATGACTCCAAGGATAGGATATGTTGAAACTTTCTTATCAGAAGTGGAGTCTTTAGGGAAAATCTCAGGAATTTGTTTTCTGATTTACATTACAAGAGATGATGAAGAGCAAATGGTAGAACGCCTAGACAATGACGATTTATCTTCAACATATCAAAGAATTAAAAACATTACAGCAAACAATATACCAGGGATTCAGGTCAGTCTAGGGGAAAGGCCTCATTTAAAAAATCTAGTTGTTGAAGAACTTAATAAAATCGAAGGCAATACCGCAGTTATTGCGTGTGGTCCCGATTCCGTGAATCGTGATGTTCGAGCAGCCACTGGAAAATGGCATAAATATAACAATCTTAATACCCATAAAGTCGACTACTTTGAGGAAGAGCTTTTATGGTAGCAGCTGCTAAATAGAAACAACTATTCTTAATGTTGTTTTGTTTGCCCTAACATTTTTTTTTTCCCGTATCTTTTTCTTTTCTACTGCTTGTCGTTTGTAATTACTTTGATAAGGCATGCATGCCGAGGCAAGATCGACATGACCATCGCGGCAAATGGTAATCGGTTCCCGCAATCTCAGATAAATCTATAAAATCATAGACTCCGTCGCAAAAGAGTTCGTCTGTTCTTTTTCGAGTACATCACTTTTTCCGCTCTTCACAAACGAGAAAGACCCCAAAATTAAATCCAACTCCTATATTTCTATAAACAATGTCGTACGGATCTAAAGCTGCTGGCCGCTTAGCTGGCAAAACTATCGTACGTAGCACAATTGTTTACTGTTTATCGATTGAATCATGATGACTAACACTTATTTCTAGTTGATCACTGGTGCCTCCGCTGGTATTGGTGAAGCTACCGCCATTGAATATGCTTCTGCTGCCAAAGGTGAATTGAAGTTGATTTTGACTGCCAGAAGACTTGAAAAATTGGACAGTGTGAAGTCCAAATTGGAAGCTGAATTCCCAAATATCAAGGTTTTGACCGTAAAGTTGGACGTTTCTGACTTAAGTGCCATTGAAAAGTTTTTCAAGGAATTGCCAGAAGAATTCTCAGACGTTGATGTTCTTATCAACAATGCGTATGTACCTCTCTCTCTTCTCCTCTTCCTCTCTATGTCTTATAATCTTTTTTTCTTATCCTTTATTTACTCATTTCAATTGTGCTTACTAACAATCAATATTTAGTGGTCTTGCTAGAGGTGTCGCTAAAGTTGGTGAAATTTCTCAAGATGATATTGATTCCATGTTCAACACCAACGTTAGAGGTAACATTGCTATGGTTCAACACCTTTTGCCATTGTTTAAGAAGAAGAATTCTGGTGATATTGTCCAATTAGGTTCTGTTGCCGGCCGTGAACCATATCCTGGTGGATCTATCTACTGCGCTACAAAGCACGCACTCAGAGCTTTTACTTCTGCTTTGAGAAAAGAGTTGATCAACACCAAAATCAGAATTATTGAAATACAACCAGGTAATGTTGAAACTGAATTCTCTGATGTCAGATTCTACGGTGACAAGGATGCTGCTAAGAAGGTTTACCAAGGTACTGAACCTTTGTACGCTGACGATATTGCTGAATTGATTGTTTTCTACACCTCCAGAAAGCAAAACACTGTGGTTGCAGAATCTTTGGTTTTCGCCACTAACCAAGCCTCCCCATTCCACATCTACCGTAACTCCAACTAAAAGTAGGAATGGCGATTGATTGAAATGATATGACTTTATTCCCCTGTTTCCCTGCTTTTCTTTCCTGTTTATGGTTTAGGAAAATTATGATGAAGACTTTTTAGATATTATTTTGCAAATTGTAAGCGTTCCTGATTTGCCCGTATGAGTCATGTTTGATTTTTTGATTCGTTTTTTATAAAGAACTAGCCAAGAATTCAAAGCAAGAATGCCGATGGTTTCCAGTAAAACCAAACTACTATATGGTGCTTTGCTGGTTGTGGTTTAAACAACAGTTTATTAAAATGGTGATACAATCATTCACCACAGGGCACGCAACGCTTTTTTTTTCTTTGAAGAGAAATAAAGTAAACAACAAAAAAAATTTCCGGAGGTATTGAAATATAATCAAGATTATCCTCACCCATAATTAAATGAAGATATGAAGGAAACTGATCCAATATCAAATGTGATTCTATCACGTCTCAATAACCCGTTGATTCCTGCGGACAAAAGTGGTTTAGAGGTGTTCCAGGAGTCCAAACGTCATATTAAGTTCAAGTTCTCTCCTTGTGCTTCAGACAATGGTTACGTTTTCATTACTACTGAGCCAACACCTAAAGCTAAGGTTGCGCCTTTTGCTGATGATTTCAGATTAGAAGCCATTGGTGTGCCAAAGTCTTTGAGTAATGTGAACGCTGACTACATTCAATATTTAAAAGAGTTACATGAAATCTACCAAGGACTTGACACATACAAGTACCCACTCAGTCTCTATGAAATAGGCTTGATAAACAGTAATATTACCGCTAGAAAAACACAAGATCGCCTTCTATACGGAGCTCTTGATTCTATAATCACTAGCTTGGGACTTGTGATCAACAAGAAAGTTGACAGTGTTGACATGAGGAAAGAAGCGGAAAGTTCAGAAGAAGATAGTGAAGAAGAAGAAAAAGATGATGATGACGAAGATGAAGATGATGACGACGAGAGAAATGAAATTTATGGATTAAAGGATTTGTGGTGTGTTTTGAATTTTTTGAAGGCCACCTATTTTTCCTCAGATTTAATTTTTGCTAAGAACTTTTCAACGTGGATTAATAAATCAGATAGCGAAAATCCATCAAGAGAATTGCTTGACCAAGTTTTAGATTTGGAAAACCCGTATAATAGTGACATATTTTTCACTTATGTTAATCAATTGATAATTAGAGGTCTTTTCGATCAGTCTTTGAATATTTTGCTAAGTTGCAAGTACCAAGAATTGAAAGAAACCAATGATTTCACCTTTTACTTGTTTGAAAGCTTGATAAAATTGCTCAATGAATACCATATCATACATAATGCTGGTAATTCCAGCATTAACGTTGGTGAAGAAATTGTCGAATATATCGATGAACCAATTTTGCAAGATAAAATTAATGTTCTTTTCAAGGATTTTAAGAAAAATGCTCTTGAGTGTATTGATACGATTAATGAGTATTTGTTAAGTTGTGATAATGGTGATTTCAGTATTAACTTAGACGATCGAGCTTTGATCTTACGTTTGAGAAAAACTTTCCTGTTACTTTCTGGTTCCAAGTCAGTGATATTAGGCCTGTCATCCTCCTGGTTTGAGGCGTTGAATGGGTTACTCTTGTTTGATTTGCCAAATAGAAAATTGCTTCCTGATCATTTGGAAACTGTGCTCTCTTCTAGAAATCATTCATTTGAAGTCGATTATACCAATATATGGGAGACCTTGTGTTATAGTTTATTGAAGAACAACAATCTATTGCTTGTCTTGAAATCTTTGGAACAATTCAGCAGTGACACAACAGCTTTTCTATCGGTGCTATTAGATGCGAAGGGTTTCTTGAAGGATTATAATAGAATAGATTACCTTCAAAGTAAAGGCGAGCAATTGGGAGGCATTGGTGATACAGTCTTTGATTTGGAGCTCCACGATGATCATGATGTGGATGAATACGTATCCGAGATCAGTGACTTATCTATCACTCAATTTTTGTTATATAATTTCGCTGTCAATTGCTTCAGCAACAAGAAGGTGATTGATATTGGTGTTAGTATATTGAAGTCTTTGAACTTGAGAAATTTCAAGCAAATTTTAACCGATTATTTGCCTTATAATTACTACTGCGAAAAAAAGGATGATTATGAATGGTTGATGAATCTTTGTGCCGAGAATAAATTAATCTATTTATCTAATAATCTTAACAAGTTGTTTGGATTGCAATTATATCAGAGTGGAGATGTTTTACAGAGTTTAGAAACTTTGATAAAGACAGGTGATTATAGGATCGTTTCCAAAATTATTTGGGAAGTGGTGGATCAGAAATTGATTGAAAAGTATAATTACGATGAATCGACGGATAGCTCATCAATCATTGATTTATTCGACTATCAGGATGATGATATTGATATCAACGCTGTCGCAGAATTATCAAATGATCAGAAATCTTTCTTGATGGCTTACAAGCTTGATCCTGTTTTAAAGAGATTTTTGTCACCGTATATTCTATTGGTGAAATACATGAAATATGAAAGATCTAACAAATTCAATGTCTCAAAGTCACTTTTGGTGGATTTGGTCAACTTCAATTACTTACCAACCAAAACTCTCTCGATATTATTGTTGTTACTCTTGAAGTATTTCAATTTGAATTTCACAAACATGTCATCAAACGTCGGAATAGGATTATCTTTATTTGAGACTAGTGAATTGATGGAAATTATCCAAACATTAAACAAATTTCTGAAAGAAACGGAGAGAAAGTCTGAATTAAGGAAAGCCGATACATACTACGAAGAATATGTCAAACTAGTTCATACCAACCTTAATCATGAGTACACTGAATTTGGTATTGAGATACCTGAAAATATTAGTGAGCTTCTAAAAATATTGAGAAATAGAATCTCATTGGAAATCTCAAGGAAGTACCTTGAATAAAATATTTCTATATATCTTTTTTTTTTTTTTTTTTTTTCTTTTTTTTCCTTCTTCAGCTGGGTTCTATTTAGAATAAAAAATGTACATTTCTAGTCAGATATAGATATAGACGCCTTTATCCCGGGGTAGTGATGCTCACCCTACACACCCGTACACCACAATGTTTTTTTGTTGCCAAAAATAAAACGATGCTGTCACTCGCCATCTAATGAGGATATTAAATGGATAAACACAGAAATTGCCAAAGAATAACAACAAGAATAGAAAAGAAAAGACAAAACAAAATCTCTTTTCATTAATTGAAATTGTTTCCAGCTATTGAGGTTTGTGGTTTTTACGCTTTTGTTCTTTTGCCACTGGAAGAGTGAGAAATTTCTAAAGTGTCAACATAATCTTTTGTTAACCTTTTTTTTTTATAGATAAAATTGCTCATCATGTCACAACATCAACACCAACACCAAGCTCAACAAGGGCAGCCCCAAGTATCATTCAATCAACCATGGATTGACCCAAATATACTTCAGCAGATGAATCCCCATAATAGAATTGGACGTTACCAAATTATCAAGACTTTGGGTGAGGGGTCATTTGGGAAAGTTAAGCTCGCTTTTCATTTGACCAGTGGTCAAAGAGTTGCCTTGAAGATTATAAATAGGAAAACTTTGGCTAAATCAGACATGCAAGGTAGAATTGAAAGAGAAATTTCATACCTTAGATTGCTTAGACATCCCCACATTATCAAGTTGTACGATGTGATTAAATCGAAAGATGAAATCATTATGGTTATTGAGTTTGCAGGAAAAGAGTTGTTTGATTACATTGTTCAAAAGGGTAGAATGCCGGAAAATGAAGCTCGAAGATTTTTTGTCCAAATCATATGTGCTGTTCAATATTGTCATCGTCATAAGATTGTCCATAGAGATTTGAAGCCTGAGAACTTGCTTCTCGATGGTGATTTAAATATTAAGATTGCTGACTTTGGGTTGTCAAATTTGATGACAGATGGTAATTTCTTGAAAACTTCTTGTGGCTCGCCAAATTATGCTGCCCCAGAAGTTATCAGTGGGAAGTTGTACGCCGGTAGCGAGGTTGATGTCTGGTCTTGTGGGGTCATCTTGTATGTGATGTTATGTGGTAGATTGCCTTTTGATGATGATTTTATTCCTGCGTTATTCAAGAAAATCAGCAGTGGTATTTTCACAATTCCTTCTTTTTTGTCGCCTGGCGCCAAAGAAATTATCCAGAAGATGTTGATTGTGGATCCTCTAAATAGAATCACTATCGATGAAGTCATGGAGACTGAGTGGTTTAAGACAGATTTCCCAGACTATTTGAAAGCAGAAACTGTTCCTGCTGGAACCAACGATAATGAAGCTTTTGATGATGAGGTAGCACAAAACGTGGTTATGACCATGGGTTATAATTATGAAGAAGTTTGCGATATCTTGAAACAGAAATTCGTCGATGGCAATACTAGTCTTGACAATCATGAAATTGTCAATGCCTATGAATTGTTGTTAGAAAATAAGAATTATACCAACCTCAACAAGGATGATGGAAGTAGCCATATTGATACAGTTGCCTCCAAATTACCTCCTACATGGGCTAATACCGATAACACTCGTGGTAATGGGGCAGGTGGCAAGACTGGAGAATTTAAACAGATAGCCAATAATGTGGATAATGGCAGAAACACATTAGCTTATGATATGTCACCATTTGTTGATAATAATAACACCGCTGCAAATTCAACGATTTCAATATTACCGACATCCATACCTCAATACCACAGAGCTTATATGATGTCGCAAGACCCTGATATTTTGAAAAGAATTGCTCCGGCATCAACAAAGAAGTCCAAAATCAAATGGCACTTTGGTATTAGATCAAAATCATACCCATTAGATGTTATGGGAGAAATTTACAGAGCATTAAAGAATCTTGGCGCTCAATGGTGCAAACCAACTGAAGAAGAGCTTTGGACGATTAGAGTCAGATGGAAATGTGGGTTGTTATTGAAGGAGGGGCTCAATAAAGCTCATACTAACCCAGAAGATGAAATTGGAGCTACTTATACATTTAGCAAAAGCAAGAATGGCAATGAGAACGATGACGTGGAAATGAAGGACAATACTAAATCAACTCCTGTAGATAATGAATCGAACACGGAATTAACCCCTGATTTAATGAAAATGCAGATTCAATTATTTCAATTGGAAGCAAACAATTATTTGGTTGATTTCAAATTTGATGGCTGGGAATGCTCACGTAATGAGTCATTAGAGTTTGCCCAAAATGACCAATTGTCCAGCTATTCTGCTTATCCATTTTTGCACCTCACCACACGACTTATTATGGAATTGGCAGTGAACAGTCAGAACTAGCCTGTCCATTTCCAATGAATATAACGCTTGCTTTACTTGTCACGGTTTTTACGTCTTTTTCTTATTTCTTTTTTTCTTGTCTTTCTCTTTTTAATTTTCTTCATTATTTCTGATTTTTGTTTTTTTTGTTACTTGTGTTGATTTTAATAACAATAAACTACCAATAAAGGAACAAAAGATAGGTAAAAAAGAAAAAAAAAATATCGCATTATTTTCATGCAGTACGTACGTTGGTGCTTGTGGGGGAAAATATAGAGGAAAAAAAAAAGCATAAGAAAAACAAATAAAAAACAAAAATGAAGACAATAATACGTATTATAATTCAATCATAAATGATAAGTATCATTAGAGTTTCCTCCCGTTTTCTTTTTCCCAACTGATTAAATACTCTGTGCAAGTGCTTTTGGTTGCAAGCAACATTTTTGACATGCGCTTCCGTTGCAATGAGAAAAGACTTATTTAGTATATATCCTAGTGTTTGATTGTCCTCCAGATAGACTACAAATAGATAATTATTTCTGTTTTTTTTTTTTTTTTGCTTTATCTACTAGCGATAATTAAACAGGAATGGTGATGAAATATATATGATACCGCACTAAAATAGATGAGCAGAAAAAGGACTTAGAGGTAAAGGGGTGGTGAGTTACCCGGCGATGGTCCCATGAGAGATCAAAACAAAAAAATCGCTAAGGGTTGTGTCCAGATTGTCTTTAACTTTTTTTTGGTTAGGCAGAGTGGCACAAATTGAACAATAGAAAGCAATAGGCATCACTAGATACTTATCGCTATCTATTTCATCTCCCGACGAAAGGTTTTCATTTGGTGGTTACTATTTCCCTTTTTTGTCTTTTTGTTTACGTTATTTTTTGTTTTGTCCACGTCGTTAGGAGATTAACATTTGTTGATCTCACCAAGTGATTTATAGGCCCATCCATTCCTTCCTTTGTTTTCGCTTGCTCTGATCATTGGAGTGTCCCTCCTTTTTCTCCTTTGATACAACTAGAGTGCTAAATAACCTTCTGGATTTATTATCGATTTATTATCAAAAAGATTCTAGGTCCATTGCAAAAAACCCTTCAAAATGTCTGACGCCAAGGTGATAAACGACATCAAGAAAAAGATTGAAAGAGAGCAAAACATTATCAACTCTACAACGAAGATCAAGGAATCTACAAACAATGTTGCTGTCAAGGAAAAATGTAACAGCAGTATAAGAGAAGCTACGCAAAATTTGGAATATTTGCGCAAGACTTTGGAGGAGTTGTCATTGAGATCAGTTTCTTCAAAAGATAGCGATAGCTCATCGCAAACTTTAGTGAACAGCCAGAACAATCATAAGCATAATCCCCCAAATTTCACCGGTCTTGATTTGATTAAGTATGACTGCCCATCGTTAGGTCACAGAATCCAGTATATGGTACACTTGATGGAATTCAAATTGCAAATTGAAAATCAGTATAAGGAGGCCAGTGAGAAAATGCTCAAATTATATCAGTCTGATGCCGACAAAGTTTCTTCTACCGCTGCTTTAGGCGGGAGAATTGAAAGTAATAAGAAAATTCCGTTACTTACCAGGTCTCTTAAAAGATATAGAGATATGCACATTGATATTCTTGATGTAAAGGAGGAAACCGATTTGCTAAACGACCAAAGAGCCCGTGGTAAACCTCCAACTGGTATCATTACTATAGGCATTTCAAGTTTGAAAGATATTGATCATATTGTCACTAACAGCATTATTGGTAAAAAGAGCGAATCCATCATTTTAATTAAAGTAGATGATGAATTAAAGGTGAGAACCAAACCTTTCAAAAATGGTAAATTGCAAGAAAGCTTGCAGTTCCAGATTAACGTTGCCAAAAATAATGAAATTGAACTCAGTGTTTGTGACAGGGTTGGCGACCAGTTGATCCCAGTGGCGATTGTCTGGTTCATGATTGCTGATATTGTTGAAGAATTAAGAAGAAAGAGAAAACAATATGAAAATCACAATAATGGCTGGGTTAGTGCCTCTAATATGCCAACACAGCATCCAAACCCACAAACAAGTAACTTTGGCGGTGGTTTTAACGCTCATCAGTCACCATTAATTAATGACTCCAGTAATCACCCTCGAGGTGGCAATGGCCATGATTCTCCAATTTATAGTGCTAATACAAGTGCAGCAGCAGTTCCTAATGATATTACTAGTACGGCAAGATATATTTTGGAACCAAATGGGCAAATATTATTGACATTCGGGTTTGTTAAAACGGACCAAATCACAGGCAACAGAATCCAGAATAATAATTTGGATGGCCTTGGTCGTCATGGTGCTATTAGGGAGAAAAAAGAGGCTACTTTCGAACAGCATGGGCACCATTTTGTTCAAAAAAATACTTACAATATCATGATGTGTGCGTATTGTGGAGACTTCGCCAGATATTCATGCTATCAATGTCAAGATTGTAGATATCTATGTCACAAGAAGTGTTACAAAAATGTCGTTACTAAATGTATTTCCAAAGCATCTAATGAAGTTGACCCAGATGAAGCCAAGTTGAACCATAAGATTCCTCACAGATTTGAGCCAGTTTCAAACAGAGGTACAAAGTGGTGTTGTCATTGTGGTTATATTTTGCCATGGGGTAAGAAGAACGTTAGGAAATGTTCCGAATGTGGTATTATGTGTCACTCAGGTTGTGCCCACTTGGTTCCTGACTTTTGTGGTATGTCAATGATTATGGCCAATAAGATTCTAGAAACCATCAAACATTCTGGATCTAAGACGAATTCCCCAGTCAAGAGTAATTTTAGATCACCTCAAATGAGCCAACAACAGATGATACACCAGCATGCGGTATCTGGTTTTGGTGCTCAGGGAGGTCCTCAACAACTGCTTGTATCTCAAGAGCCGGATCATTCACTCTCTAAGGACACATATGGTGAACCACAACAACATAATAGATTCTCTTATATGGCTCCTCAACCAGATTCTCACAATAATCAACAAACACCAAGCTTAAAATCTGGCGGTCGTTATTCTGAAGACACTACTGTATCATCTGGTAGCAGACCAATCCCAGAAATTAAGATTGATTCTGATTTCGACAAAAGATCTGATTTCGGTGCCCAGAGCTATCCATATCACGATCCAACCACTAACTACGCTGAAAGTGGGAGTTTAAATGATATGGCTAATCCGTTTGATCAAGATCACTATGGCACAGATCTTACTCATGAAGTTTCAAATGACGCATTTGAGAACCAGTATCAACAACAATCGCCAATGGATGTTAAAAAGGACCAATACTATGATAATTATGGAACTGAGAATATGGACCATAGAATCTCCCAAATTGAATCAGGAAATAATTTTATTGAAGAAAGACCGTCAGATGAATTTTCCAGCAACCTTTATAATGATTCTAGAGTTGAACCATTAGTCTTGGAAAAGAGACAGTCTCAATTACCATATCCAATAGACGATATGGAAGATAAAATTCCAGATGAACCAGAAGATATTGTTATTCCAAAGCCAAAGAAAGAAAAACTGCGTCGCCGCAAGGTTGGTTTGGACGATTTCCAATTCTTGGCAGTGTTGGGTAAGGGTAACTTTGGTAAAGTTATGTTAGCCGAATCTAGACACACCAAGAAGCTATGTGCTATTAAAGTGTTGAAGAAAGACTTTATTCTTGAAAATGATGAAGTAGAGAGTACCAAGTCTGAGAAGCGGGTATTTTTGATCGCTAATAAGAAGAGACATCCATTCTTGATCAACTTGCATTGTTGTTTCCAAACCGCCAACAGAATTTATTTTGTAATGGAATATATTTCTGGTGGTGATTTGATGTGGCATATCCAAAAGGCTAGATTTTCTCAAAGAAGAGCCCAATTTTATGCTGCAGAAGTATTATTGGGTTTGAAATATTTCCATGATAATGGGGTAATTTACCGTGATTTGAAGTTGGATAATATTTTATTGACTACAGAAGGGCATATCAAGATTGCTGATTATGGTTTGTGTAAAGAAGAGATGTGGTTTGGTAATACCACCTCCACTTTCTGTGGTACTCCGGAATTCATGGCACCAGAAATTTTGAAAGAACAAAAGTATGGTAAAGCCGTTGACTGGTGGGCGTTTGGTGTGTTATTATACCAAATGTTGTTGGGTCAATCCCCGTTCAGAGGTCGCGACGAAGAAGAAATTTTCAACGCCATTTTGACCGATGATCCATTATACCCAATTCAAATGGCCAGAGAGTCAGTCGAAATTTTACAGGCTTTGTTAACTAGAGACCCAAGCCAACGTCTTGGTTTTAGTCCAAGAGACGCCGAAGAAGTGATGGAACATCCATATTTCAGAAACATCAATTTTGACGATATTTTGAGCTTGCGTATTGATCCACCATATTTGCCTGAGGTTAAATCCGAGCATGATGTGTCTAATTTCGATGACGAATTTACTGCTGAAACCCCACGCTTGACCCCAGTCAACTCGACTTTGGATTCTTCTATGCAAGAAAAGTTTAGAGGGTTCTCGCATATGAGCAGTGAATTTGCTATTTAATTGACAACCAAGTATTTTTTTTATTCATGCTGCTCTTAATTTTTTTTTTTTTTTTTTTTCACCTCACTTGACGGTGGATCTGTTTTAAGCTTATTATTTTTCTATGATCTTTGTATCAAAAAGGTCAACATTCTTTAATTTCTTGCAATTTTATTTTTATATTATTTTATTTTTTTTATCTTTATTGTACTCATGTATTTTTTGTTTTGCTTTTTTATAATCATCCAATAATTTTTTTTTTTTTTTGATTTTGCCCCGAATTTGTTTATTTGTTGTAATATGTTATTTTTCTGAGAATGAACGTTAATATATATATATATATATATGCCTGAAGTTTACGGTGTTCTAATATAATGAAAAGCCTTGAAAATCAACAGTATCTTTTATTGGATGGATGAGGAATATTTATATGTTGAGAAAAGCATAATGTAATTCACAGTAATTAGCAATGATATCATAGGATTATAATAATAATATAAAAGTAGCGAATAATTCCATGGAAGAAAAAAAAAAAAAGAATAACAATAATAATAATAATAATAATAATAATAATAATAATAATAATCAAACCACAGGTCCTATTTACTCATCACCTAAAAATGAAAAACAAAAAGGTATCAACATTCCCACAAAGTTGAGAATGATGCTTTGTTTTTTCTCTCTGACGGTGATTTTATGGCTAGACATTCCTTCTATGTGATCAGCTTCATTATTGAGAAGATGAACTGCAACGTATAAGAAACTACCACCGCTGAATAATAGCAACGCCGAAGATAACGAGCCAATATTATCGACAAAGAGGTTGATGATCACATATGTGGCGATAGCTGCCACGGAGGCCAGGGCCGCGAATAAAAACATTTCCAATTTGACAATTTGTTGGATATTGGATTCGACTCTAGAAAAAGAAGAAGAGGAAGCAGCAGCATCGTTGTTGTTGTTGTTGTTGTTGTTGTTATACTTGAGACGGTATTTTGTCATCAATACACAGGCCATGGCAAAGGAAGTTGGGAATTTGTGAATTATAACTGAGGAAAAAACCGCGATCTTGAGTTTATTACTGCCGGTCAACAATGAGGACCCAAAGGCGATACCGTCAGATACCGAGTGAAGCAAGAGGCCAATGAGGAAAGTTTCATTGACAATGACCAGTTTAAAATTCCCCCAAGTAGGTTTGAAGTTTGGCAAATAGCCTATAAGTTTTGAAACTCTGGCTTCTTGGGGCAGGAAAAGTGGCAAGAACCCTCCTCCTGCGGTGCCATTCCCTTGGAAGTTGCCGATGGTGATGTTTTGGAGCTTCGACAAGGTTTCTGCATCCAACGCCGATTCATCGGTGACATCTTCGTAGTAATTGACATTGCCATTTTCATCAACGTCTTTTAGACGAATCGCTTTGATATTTTCAATGACCATCATGAACGCAAACCCAAGAAGAATGGCAAATCCCGCGATATTCATGGTGAAACCTTCGGTGTCATCACCGTTGCTGCCCAAATGCATGCTGCTAATACCTTCTGGGATCACCAATACCAACGAAGTACCAATGAGAACCCCATTACTCAATTTGGAGAATTTGTCGAGCCAGGAATCGTAGTCTGTAGTGGTATTAGAATGGCCTTGTCGTTCGGCATGTCTTTGATCCAAAGATTTTTTAAACGATTTCAAATGAAGTGGAAGAAGCCCGAAAATGTAAGTGAAAATCGCCATTATGGTGGAAAGCACCACTAACGAAACAAGCCCGGTGATTGTGAATGCCATTTTTTCTTTTTTTGAAAAATGGATAGCGTATTAGCAATTAATTAATTAGCAAAGGAAAGTGATAGATAGCTGTTGATTTGACTGTTGTAGGTAATGGCGAAGCATTTTTTATTTTTTGTTTTTTATTTTTTGTTTTCTGTTTCTGTTTCTGTTTCTGTTTCTGTTTTTGTAAGGCTGAGGTTTTTTTTTGATCCTTTGACGAGATGAGATAGATAGATATATATTATATGGTAATGGGAAGACGATCAAGTGAAAAGACGAGAAAATGGCACATGGCAAACTAAAAGACAATGGCCAATGGGGGAAATAACAATTCAAGATAACGTTTGAAGAAAAAAAAAAAAACTCATTGTATATTTTGCTATTAGTGGCCAGAAAACAACAGCAAACCTGTCAAACTTCTTCAAGATGATCCACCCGATTATTTCCAGCCCAAAAGTATAAATGGAAACCACAACCACCGTATTTGATTGTTTTTCTTTTACACATGGACTTTCAAATGTTCTTGCAAAAGTCTAACATTTACAAAAGAGCAGTAAACATGTAAAGCTTTCTATTCTTTCATGATGATGGATGCAACATATATAGTAAAAATACTATCAAAAAAAAAAAAAAAAAAAACAAAAACAAAACAAGATAAAACATAATAATAAAAAGGATCAACTATTATACAACACACAATGAAAATAAATATGGTATGCAAACTTCATTAATTTATCACTCCTAATTCTTCAACTTCTTTGCCAATGATCTCCGCTTGAGCCATTTCCCACGCATATCTATCGTCCCCTGCTTTCCCCTGACAGCAGCAGGAGGTAGTTTGGTCTTATTTTTGCTTTTCAAAAGTTTGACATTGATACTACCTATAGTCTTGTGCTGTTTTTTCATTTGCCTTGCAAGCTTCAACTTTGTTTTCTTCAACTGCTGGGCAAGGTTCTGGTCGTCACCCAGAAACTCATCTTCATCTTCATAGTCGTCCTTGAAGGTTGTGTGTTTGTTCTTTGGCGATTGTTGGTCGGTCTTTTCTTGTTCTTCTTCACTATCAAGGTTTTCCAAAAGTTCCTGAGGCAACAAATCTGGGACTTCCAACTTCTTTCGTTGGGTCTTATTCTGCTTTTGTTCCTTGAACTTCAAGTCTTGGGTTCTTCTTCGTTCTTTCAAGTTCTTTTTTTTTTCTGCTTCCAACTTCTCAAGTTCTCTTTCCTGAACTTCGGCGTTGTTCTTCCCGGCGTTCACATCTTCTTCTTCTGGGGCTTCATCATCACTGCTCTGGTATTCGTCGTCGTCTTCTTCTTCTTCTTCTTCTTTTTCTTCTAGGGCTAATTCGACAATGTCACTATTACTCTCGATTTCTGCGGCCGAGTGGAACTCTTCTTCGGAGGACGAGCCTCCTTTACTGATATTGGCTGTCATTATTATTGTTGATATATATATATATCCACATAAATACACCAATTTTTTTTTTTTTTTTTTTTTTCCAATTTTCCAATTTTCCAATTTTTTTTCCCCCTCCTCATCGCGTGTGGTGGGCGGGCGGCCATTTTGTTTTATTCTCCATGGCAGGCGCCCCATCGCTGTTAACCACAGAGAACTTTAAAGACGGCAACTCTCCTTTTCCCGAAACGGATAAATTGTTATCATCATCGATTCATTCATTATATTTATATTTGTATTTATATACATATATATATATATATACCCGCACACATTTCTTGTTGTACCTACACCTTTTGCTGCACTCCCATCGAAGACGAAGAACACCCACTACAAATAGAAACAGAACATCGCCCATGGGTCCCAAATACACTGGCTACTACAATGCCAATGAAAAGGCATGCCGGAATGAGGACAATACCACCACCACCACCACCACCACCCAAATGATGGATAAGTTGGAGTCTGGGTCGTTATCATCTGATAACACTAACAATAAAAACAACTCCTCCTCCTTCAATGGCCGGAGAAAGAAATTAAAACACCTGGCCTTCTTTGTGGGACTCATTCTCTCATTCTTAATCTTTTATCAGTTGAAATCGCAGTCTTACAACAACAACAATGCCAATTACACACCAGTGGTCATCATCTCACCTTATCTACAACATAAACCTTGCGCTTTCGATGAAGCCCAGCAACTCTCGTCGGGAATCCATGACGACGATCCTCCAGCCATCAATTCAAAACTTGATTTGACCCTCAAGGACCTTAGAACCGGGAAATTCTCCCCTGACATCAAGGATATCCAGTGGATTCGTTCGAATGTCGAGACCGGGGGTACTTATCTCACAAAAAAAAATAACCAGTACATCATCAACAAGATTGAAGACCCCAGCTACGAAAAAATATTGTATGATAGTACCCAATTTGGCTACGATGGGGTCAAATACAAAATCGACGACTTGATTGCCTCGCCAGACTTGAAATACGCGTTGCTTGCTACCAACAGAAGCATGATTTGGAGACATTCATCTGTCAACTTATTCTGGGTGTTAGATGTCGACAATAAGTTTATCAAGCCTCTCAGCGTTTCCGATGGTGTTTTCGATAAAGTGTTTTTCAGTAAATGGGCGCCAAACTCTGAGCAATTGGCATTTGTCAAAGACGATAAGAACATCTACCTCAAAAATATCATCAGCGACACCGTCGAACAAGTGACGTTTGATGGCGGCGCGAACATTTTCAACGGTAAACCAGATTGGGTTTATGAAGAAGAAGTCTTTGAAGATGAGTTTGCGTTGTGGTGGTCTCCAACATCCGAATATTTCACGTTTTTGAAATTCAACGACACCGAAGTGGAGATTTTCCCATTGGAATTTTTCGTTGCTGATAATAATCCAAAAGATTCTTACCCAGTATCCGACCACATGAAATACCCTAAAGCTGGGTACAAAAACCCCGATCTCGGAGTGTACGTTTACAACGTTGCCAACAACCAAAGTGAAGAACTTTTCAACAATTATCAAGGCGAAGAATTCAATGATTACCTTGTGACGGAAATTTTGTGGGTTGGCAATGACAAACTTTTCCTTAGAACCACCAATCGTATTTCCAATATCTTGAAAGTCGTCATAGTGGACGCCATCAATATGAAGTACGAAATTGTCAGGCACGAAACTATTGAAGATGGTTGGTTCGAGTTGTCCCATGATACGGTCTACGTTGCTAAAGATTTGGAAAAAGGCCGTGAAGCCGATGGTTACATCGATACAATTGCTGTCGATGGTTATAACCATTTAGTTTACTTCTCGCCAATCGACTCTTCCGAACCGAAAGTGGTATTAACCAGCGGCCAATATGAAGTGGCGGGAGGGGTCAGTGCTTTTGATCCAGAAAATAACCAAGTTTATTTTGTCTCTTCCAAGTACAGTTCTATCGATAGACACTTGTATTCTGTGGACTTACTAACTGGTGAGAATCTCATTGCCTTGGTTGACGATTCTAATGCCGGGTACTACACTGCCAGTTTCAGTTCTAACGCCAAGAACATTTTGATTTCGTATTTGGGTCCAGACGTTCCATACCAAAAGATTGTCGATCTCAACGAGCCAGAAATGATGACATTGCAAAACATTTTCCAATCGACTTCTAAGAACCTTACCAGCAATGAAAAACTTGCGAGAACTTTGTCACAATACGACATTCCAACCGTGTCATTTGGTGAGATCAATCTTGGCAAAGATTTGCAGTACGACTCCGAAGACATTATTGCCAATCTCCGGGAAATTAAGCCTGCCAACTTTGATCCATCGAAAAAATACCCGCTTTTTGTCTACGTTTACCAAGGTCCAAACTCCCAACTTATCACTACGAGATTTGGGGTCGGTATTTTACAAGTTATTAGTTCGACCCTTGATGCGGTGGTGATCACCGTTGATGGTAGAGGTACTGGTTTCAAAGGCAAGAAATTCAGATCGGCAGTATACCAGAACTTGAGTCATTACGAAACCATCGACCAAATCCAAGCAGCAAAGACTTATATTTCCCAAAACTCTTTTATCGATTTTGAACGCACTTTGATTTACGGCCACAGTTATGGTGGATACATGACCCTCAAGACCCTTGAAAACGATCATGAGAAAGTCTTCAAGTACGGGATTTCTGGGGCCCCAGTCACCGACTGGAGACTATACGATTCGATCTATACCGAACGGTACATGTCGACTCCTCGTGCTAATAATGCCAACTACGTTTCCGGGTCAGTGGGGGGTTCCGGAAATTTCACGAATTTCCAAAACACTAAACGGTTCTTATTATTACACGGTACCGGCGACGATAACGTCCACGTGCAGAATATGTTCAAATTTCTCGATAAGTTGAATTTGCACAATGTTGAAAACAATTATGACTTGATGATGTTCCCGGATTCCAACCACGGGATATACTACCATAATGGCGGGTACATCATGTATAACAAGATCTTGTGGTGGGCGAAAATGGCGTTCGATGGGATGTTCGATGTATTTGATAATTACGATTATCATAATGGCAATTTACCAAGTGCATCGATGGTGGGGGCCGCCACCAATATTGGTGTTCATGGGTTTACTAACGATGATGATGATGCTGAATATTTGAGAGTTTAAGATATTCAAATTTCATGTTGTCAATCAATTATTTGTGCACATTTTTGTGTATTACATATACTTTATGAGTTTTGAACTTTTTTACATCCTTTTTTTTTTTTTTTTTCATTTTTCATTTTTCATTTTTCATTTTTCATTTTTCATTTTTCAGTTTTCATTTTTCATTTTCTATTTATTACTCCACTATTATTATTTTATTTATTGGCCTATAATAGACTGAATGCCTGCCTACATTCATCCATCAACCAACCATGTAAAATTAGTTTTTTTTTCTTTTACAAAATTTATCAATTATAAAAGCATGCAATGTAGAAAAAACCGTATATTACAACAAAAATCAAAAACTCATAAAAATAAACGCAGTCAGTAGAAGAAATAAAGAAAGATGAAATAAAAGATGAAAAAAAACAAACAAACAAACAAAGAAACAAAAAAAATTGAATCGAATCGAATCACACACACCCTTTTGATTGATTGATTCACTTCTTGAATCCTTTTTCTTTAATAAAACTCAAGAATCTATCACCATACTCTGCAGCAGGCACCGCACTGATTTGCTTTCTATTTTGATAAAACCCTTTAATAACGGTTTCTGCCCTCTTGATATATGAGTAGTTGGTTAGACAATCAATAATCCCCAAATAATAAATCTCGTCAGTAGGAATATCACGATCATTGGTCCCTCTAAACCCACATTCAAAATTGTAGAAATAAAATTGTTGTTGTTGCTGCTGAACACTGGTCAATTTCACACTTTCCGAATCGTTCATGGGTCTAATCAGTTGCTGACCAACCACCTCCACTTCATCGACCGGTATGGGATTGGTAGAGTTAATGGCATCACGGTTGGTAGAATCTTTCGGATAAAACACGCTGAAATTTTGGTTGGTCACATTACCAATTGCCAAATCATGAATCCCCACGAGCAACGAATAATCCATAATGTTTGCTGCTTTCAAAAATGCCACATCTTTCTCTATTTGCTCCAAGAACTTGTTCTTTTTCTTTGGTCCAAGAAGCATATGCTGGTTGTTGGCAAGCCAGTTCTGGTCCTTAAGCACCGCTTTATGTTTTTTGTGTTCTTCTTTAACCAAAGTTTCCCGCTTCCATAGTGATCCTTTCAAATCATAAGTTCTATGGATTTCCTTGTTGGCAGGAAATAAGTTGTTCATCACGATAAAGTAAATTTTCCGTTTTTGACCTGAGAAATTAATCGGCATTTTGAGACGATGTAACCCATAAAATTGTGAAACCAAAGTATTCGGGTTATTTCTGACATGTTGGTGATAACTTTTCAATATTCTTCGAAGAGTGATATGTTCTGATCTATGAATTGTTTTAATGATGAATTTGTAATCTCTAGAATAATAAAAAAACGACCCCGATTTACCAGGAGAATTGACCTCGGATAAAATATACTTTGCGGTTAATGACACCAAATAGTCTGCGGGATCGAGGCCAAAAAGCTCGCGTAACTCCCTAAACACATTTGGCGAATAATCCTTAAACTTGAAATCGTATCTTGACGACGGCGTTAGTTCATTACCGGTTATATCAAAAGTGAGCTTTTTCGAAGCTTTGAAGTCTTGTTCTTTCAAAGGTTTCATGATCCCAGAACAACGGGAAACCGCGACTCGAATACCTGTCAACATGTTATAGGCCATGATATAATTGCTGTGACCTTCAGACACTTTATTGCCCACCAAAACTTTATCATCATCAAGAAAGTTTCGCTTATTTTTCTTACTCTCGCGCTTGTTCAAAATCATAAATTTCATTCTTTGAATTTCTTGGTTGGCAGAGTCATTGAGCGTATGGTCATTTTTAAGGGTTGAAGACTGTTGAATGGAGGGATGGTCAAACGCGTGGTCGATATCCTGAGGGTACGTTCTACGACGAGTTGTCGAAAGTTGGTCGTCATTGTGGATGATTTTGACCGCTGTGGTTTTTGAGTCGGTGGTTGCTGGGTAAGAAACGGCTGGAAGCTGTGATGGAGTTGCGATTTTGGAAATTGGGAATGCTCGGTCTATAGGGGCTGACAGTTTATCGTGTTCGTGACACGAAGATATCAGATCGACCAATTTTTCGACATACTGGAGGACAAAAGGCTCAGACGACGCGCGTACTTTGACATTAAATGAAGTTTGTAATTCACTGGCGTCGAGGTTCAATACATCAAGTCGTTGTTCTTCTTTTGTCAGCAGAATGGAATTATTAGAGTTATTGTTGGAGTGGGGAGGAGCTTCTATATTATGGGATTGGTGGTAATGTAGCGGTACTTGGTTAGATCTGGCGACGAATTCTTGAGACGATGATGTTATTGTTGTTGGGATTTGCGGACTGGACCCTGCTTCCTCTTCAACGTTGGACATGGTGGTGGCTTCGGTATTTATGGAAGCATTATTATTGGAGATGAGATCAGAAAGACTGGAGTTGTTGGGGTTGCTAATATTCTGAGATTGGGAAGGCGAGGGGCCTTGGCCTGATTCCTGTTCCAATTCTGTCAGGTGAATGTCGTCGTCGGTACCATTGAGATGATGATGATGATGATGATGATCGTTGTTGTGGTGGTGCTGGCTCAGTAATTGTGGTTCTGGGTCCCTGGGTTGGCTGGGTTTAGACGATGAATCCGGTGCCACCGAAGCCTTTGGGCGTGTGAAGATGGCGGTACTCATTGAAGGGAGGGAGGGATGGAGGTAGCAATGAGGACTGGAGACACCGTTGTGTGTTTTGTAGTATATATATTTGCGGGAGGATTCGGTTCGTGTAGAAACAGAGACAGACAGACAGACAGCCAACAACAGCAATTTGGGATGTTGCGCATTTTTTCCTTTTCTTTTTTTTTTTTTTCTTGTTTTTTGTTTTTTGTGGCTGCTGGGGGGTGTGCCACGGCACGTGGCTCTCTCTCTATACAAACAAACAGCAGCAGCAGCAGCAGCAGCGGCAATTTCTCATCGCCAACTATTATTTATTCACCGCCATCCAATCTGTCTATCTGTCTTTCTGTCTATCTGTCTATCTGTCGACCGATCACCCTCCACCAACAATGGCTAGCTCACTCCCAAAACACCTCACCATCCTCGGGGGCTCAGGCTTCCTTGGAAGAAGAATCGCCCAAACCGCAATCCTCAATGGCTACTCCGTCACCGCGCTTTCGTGAGTTTCTCTTCATTATTATTATTATCATCCTCATCTTCATTGATTCCCAACTAACAAATATATCATCAGCCGTTCAGGTAAACCCCCGGCAACAACCTCCCCCGTGGACTCCCAATGGGTCTCCAAGGTCAACTGGAGACCAGCAAACATCTTCCAACCAGACTCCTACAAACATTACTTGGAGGATTCCGACGTGGTTGTCCATTCGATCGGGGTTATCCTCGAGAAGGTAAACTACAAAAAAGTGGTGAATGGTCCAGGGTCCGGGTTCATCAACACCCTTCTAAGCTTTTCTGGCAACAAATCTGTCGGGGACGACGCAGTCGCCGCGGCCTCGGGCAAACTAGACACTTATGAAAAGGTCAACCACGAGTCTGCGGTGCTTCTTGCCGAAGAATACCTCAATTCCACCAAAGTCCCCCACCCAAAGTTCGTGTATATTTCCGCAGATAACGCTCCCGCAATAGTCCCTGGCGGATACATGAAGTCCAAGCGGGCTGCCGAATTTGATTTGATGGAATTGTCGCAGCACACCAACCTCACCAACTTGATTGTTCGTCCAGGATTCATGTTTGATGAAACCGATCTGACCTCGGTTCGTCTGGGTCTTCATAAGGTGATAGATTTTGCTCATGGGGTTCCTGGGATTGGAAGTTTGGTTAGTCCTAGCATTAGCACCCAACAGGTTGCCAAAGCGATATTTTCAAAGTTGGAAGAAGGGACTAATGTTGAAAACGAAGTGGTTTCTCTTGAGAACTTGATGGCTATGGATTGATTGTTTGTGAGCCCTTTTTGTTCATGAAATTTATGAAGTGAAAATTAGATGAAATGAAAAAAAAAAAATTCTATGATGACTATTATTATTATATATGTAGATAGCCATATATATTTGACTTGTGTTTACAAAGCTATCATATGATACCAGTTTTGAATATTAACATAATAATAAAAAGTGAGTGGTTGTTATTCACGAAACTCTATTTTATTAATTGTTGACAATATTGTGAAGATCTTGAAGAATAATTTTTTTTTTTTTTTTGTTAACGGTCCAACGTAAATAGCATTCCAGCATAATCTTTACCAAAAATTTTAATGATTGTTTACGATTTGAAAATATTAATGACTCTCATCCTTTTCAAGCAACTCTCTAGTTTCCACGGCCCGAATTTAGATCATCTTGGTCACTCGCTACGGGACTATCTATCTATCTATCTATCTATCTATCTATCTATCTATCTATCTATCTATCTATCTATCTATCTATCTATCTATCTATCTATCTATCTGTACAAGGGGAATAATTACTGCTGGTTATATATAGATCAGATCCCGTATGGAATTTTATCCATTTTTTTTGATACACCCTCACCGTCTAATCATAGTCATTTTTATTATATTTATAACTAGAAGGGATATTAGTTCCACACAAATAAATAATTCATCAAAAGATAAAGAGTCATTTAAGCTTCTTATAATATTATTTTGCAATTTCCCAACTTTCATTTCTTACAAATACAATACAATCTCTTTCCTATTAGATCCTCACCTAATCTTTATTCCAGTCTATGTTCAGTAATATCTGGATGGACCACCAGACATCTTAAAATATATAATAATAATAATAATAATAATAATAATAATAATAATAATAATAATAATAATAATAATAACAATTCAGAATAATCTATCTATCAAATTACCAAAAGTCTTTTTTTTTTTTTTTTTTTTTTTTGGAGAATATTAAATGCACCACCGATAATCTATCAATAATTTACAATTGCATCCTTCACCGTCTCAAACGTCAACCAACCCACGGCCATCGAGGGAATAACCTTGAACAAATTCGCAGTCAACCCTTTGTAGTATCCTTTAAACCCTTCTTTTTTCCCGATCGTCACCAACGCATTCCATACCGAGGTGTATTGGAACCCCAATTCATTGTTCCCCATCGTCAACACTTGGAACCGTCTTCTGAGTAAATCAAATGGGTAGGTGATGGTTTGTGCCGTCCCCCCAGCCAATGCCCCATTGGCCAAATTCATCAACGGATTAGTATTATCGGGCCATAAATCCTTCATTTTTTCGTATACTGCAAAGTTGATGGCAACGTACGGAGCCACTCCTAGAGTCGTTGGGTAAAAACCCCGATAAAGTCCCAATAACCCTCCTTCGGTGGCGTATACTTTGCCGAATAACTGCCAGAATCCAGGAGGTTTTACCACCGTCAAGTTGATTTTTGATTGTTTAAGTTTGGCCAAATTTTGGGCGGTTTGGATCGAAAGTCTGGTCCGCACCAAATCCATTGGGTATGTCGCTAACACGCTAATTGTTCCTGCTATGGCACCAGCCCCCAATCTTTCTACCGTAGTAAGTTGATCAATGGTAGAATCGTTATGGTGGGTCAAGATCTCGGTTTTCAAGTACTGAAACGTCACGAATTGCACCGCTTGGTACGGGAATACCCTGACACAGTTGATCCCGTTCCCTCTGAAGAGCCCGGCTGCTCCTTCTTCTTTCCACATGTTATATATCGTGGAGAAAATGCCTTGGTAGTTCCCAGCCCCCGGACCTTGGACTTGGAAAAGAATCTTGGCTCGTTCAAACGGTGATACCACGGTTCGTGAAAATGCACCAGACACCCCGCCAGCGATAAACGACGCGGTAAGATCTTGTTTGAGGAAAGGTTTGGCATTTTCTTCGGCAACCACGACAATTTCTGACATGATGGTGTTTGGCTTGGTTTGGAGGGGTGATATTTATTTATTATATATATTATGTGGAGGGAGGGGTATTGATCGGTACTATGGGTTTGAAGATCTGTAATTATAATAATAATAATAGGTGCCCACACGTAAGAGCCGTCAAGATATTTCACAAAAAGTAGGCAGTTCTATTATAGGTAGCAGTTATTCTAGGAAAGATTGAAAAAGAGATATTTTATTTAGTTGGTGGGTCGTTTTTGGGTGTAGGTAATCTGGGGTAAAAACGTCGGATTTTTTTTTTTTTTTTTTTTGTTTCCCTGAAAATTTATTTACGTTTTTTCAAGCCAAAAAAAACAAAAAAACACTGGAGGAATTGAATCAATCAATCAATCAATCATCAATCACCGTGGTAAGAATCAATAGGACAGAAGACGCTGGTTTCCCCCATTGCCATCTCTGGCATTCTCCTTATATATATATATATATATATGAATACTTTGTATATCTATTCCTTCCTCACCCTCCCTGCAAAAAAAAAAAATATCCACATCCCAGCTAAACAATAGAACCACAACAATCAATCATCATTATATATATTTAGTAACAATTTCCCAAATCAAAATGACGGCAAAGAATTATCTGCTTCAACTCAAAGAAGCAGAATCCCTTCTTTCCGATGGCCAATACACCACTTTATTATCATTTTATGAAACTTCTTTCCTTTCGGACCTTCCGTACCTCTACAAATCCCCATCGCCAGTGATCCTTCACCATTTACTCACTTTGGCCCTGCTTGGGCCAATTGCCAATGATAAATTGGTGGTGGCAACGGTATACGACGGGAACTTTAGACTGCCACATTTGCCAATCAATGGCCGAGCCATTAGGTTGTTGGCGCAGTTCTACCAGATTTCCCAACCCAAAACAGATTCCCAAATCATACTACCCCAAGACCAAGCAATTCTCAGCGCCTCAATGATTTCCACCGTCGAAAACTTACTCTGTCCCAGTAAATCTTTTTCTTCTTCTTCTTCTTCTTCTTCTTCTTCTTCTTCTTCTTCTTCATCCCCCATCATTGATAGGCTCAAACTGCAAAAAATCATTGGCCATTCTCCTTTGATGATCGCGGTGAAAAATGGGCCTTGGAGACTCATTGGTTGGCCGATCGACTGCTCCAAGTATTTGGATAGTTCGTCTCAACTTACTGCAAATGAGCAGGTGGTTCGTAAAGCAGCTTGGCAAACCTGGTTCCCGGTGATAAATTGGTTAGTGAACGTGATGCATCTTGATTTATCTACGAGAATCGACGAGTCGTCAGTGAGCAATTCGATCATCGCCAGGTTTCTTGGTCATTTGGGCCATCGTACTTTTGTGCGTCGAGCTTTAGAACATGTGTTTATCAATCATTTGGATAATATCAATGATATCAAGAAAACCAGCGTGATTTTCTCCGATATGGTGTACGAAGACGAATTACGTCCAGGGATTTCTCGGGCGATCATTGAAGAAGAAGAAGAAGAAGAAGAAGAATCTTGCCCGACGACCCTTCATGATGCCGATGTGGTGTACTTCCAAAAAAAAATTGTGTTGTTGATCTATCAATACCTTGATGCGGATTTCCGGACGGAAATGGTGAAAGAAATGATCGGTCATGAATTATTGAAATATTTTAAAGCGTTCACGTTCTTGGAACTAGCGGATTTTTTTTTCTTGAACCACTCGTCAGTTTCTGCGGCGGCGGCAATGGTAACCGTACCCCAACTGTCGTTGTCAAATGACGATTTGAATCTTTTCGATGCCTCGGGATGTAATGGTATCAAATCCAACAAATCATTAGATACCATGCTACTTCAAGCGGCGATCCAAATGTTATCCACGGTTTCCAGCTCGATGAAATTCAAAAACACTTTCCCCCTCACTTACACCGATGTTGATTTGACAATTATCTCTCATAAACTATTGAATCGTGATAATTTATTTGTGCTATTAGAAGTAGAGCCAGCATTGGTGTGGAAATCCAACAACACTTCTGCGGAATTCATGTCGTCGATATCTGAGGATAACGATACCGATGAACAACAACATTTGAGTTTGCAGGAGCTTGATCAGTCAATTAAGCAACATCGCTCGCTATACGATCGATTACTCAAAGTGAACTTGGCGATATATTATATTCTACAATGGTGGATCTCTTACAACACTTTACTGACAGGAGGAGGATTATCAGAAATGTTTCGAAAATCGGTGATGGATGATAAAAAAGAATTCCTTGCGTTGGTATCGCGGGCCGAAGAATACAAGATTGAAAATCTCAAGTTGATCATCAAGGATAATCTACGGCATCGTAACCCAGGCAAGACGGTGGATGTCGATGATAAACTAAATCAAATTTTACAATATGATAAATTGAACATCATCAGCAAGAACGTTGCAAATTTGTTGGAAGTTTTGTGAGCAGTTTTGTATAAGTTTGTTTTGATGATGGTAATCGAAAGAATTGGAATATAAATATATCATGGTTCGAAACTACTAGCTATTGTATGATATGATATAAAATGAAATGAATTGTTAAAAGTGAGCTGTCAATGGGGTGTAAAATGTGAAGCGCGAAGACCTAGAAAAAACAATAACATAAAATGATATGAGGGGAAATGATGATAGACTTTACATTAAAGTTTGAAGTTCTAGAAGATAATAAGAACTAATATGATGGAATTATTTCCAAAACAAAGCACTCTAATATATGCTATCCAATATATAATGCATGGTTCCCATGAAGAGACTATTTCCTCCATGGCATTCTTTTTTTCTTTTTTTTCTCTATTGCAAAGAATGAATCATTTAGGTAGAAGAAATCAATCATTGGAAATGCCTCCTCTCTCCCACCCAAAAAAAAGTGTTCCACTGTAAATAATAATACCTCAGGGATCCTTCCTTGCTATTTGTAAATCATCTTTCAATCCCTAACTAAATATTCATATACTGTCAATGATTCAATATGTAAGACCAAATGATAAATAATATTAATTGAAGTTTCTGATAATCAGAAACAAACTTCCAAAAAAAAAACAAGATCTATTTATTGTATTAGATGGTATGAATTTTATGTTCTTCTTTTTATATAAATGATTCATGATAAATAATCCCACTTCCTTTATAAATAACCCCTTTTCCTATATTAACGATATGAGCAATCCATTTCATCATAATCTCCAATTTGTATAAATACAAAAAGAAAAAAAAAAAAAAAAAAACAATTTTTCAATCCCTAGTACAATCCACCAAAATAGTTGAATCACCATATATTAATTATTCCCATCAAACAAATACCTGCTCTCAATGATTCGTAATTCATTGAATCTCATGGTTCCATCATTGATTTTCCCCACGTTATTATTATTATTATTATTATTATTATTATTATCCTTCTCACTCTTCTCCTCTTGTGAACAATTCTCTAGTTCTCTAGCCTGTTTAGTTATTATCAATACTTTATGCATTATCTGCATTACTTCAGAAATACACTGGTATAATTGTTTGTGGTTTTTTCCATTATGAAGGTGTTGTTGATACACTCTATCGATCGTCAACGCCGAAAATAAATCGCCGACCCCGGTGAAATACCCTTCGATAATCGGGGAAATCTCTAGGATATGGTAATCGCCATTGTCGGAGCATACTGCTTTGAGACTGGATTTATCATTATCCAAGTATATCAGCGTGATGATCACATATTTGATACGATATTGATGATGAAGAATGTCCAATGCCTTGGTGACCTCTAGTTCGGTGGTGATGGGGGATCCGAGGAGTAGTTCCAATTCGTACTGGTTTGGGGTGATGATATCGATTCCTCCACTTTTAGCTAAGCTTTGATACGCCTGGATCACCGAAGTATCGACGTACATGACCCCTTCGTCCCCCATCACTGGGTCCAATAGCCAGATCAGATCAGGATTCTTGTGCTTCAAGTCTCTGCCCACCATGCCGATTTGCTCGAGAAGGTCGGCGTTGGGGATGTACCCCGTCAACAAGCATTGATATTTCTCTAATCCTGTAGTGGTGATGATGTGATGGTATAGTTTTTCGAGGTCGGTTGATGATACCACGCTGCCGGCCACCGTGCCATACCCAGTATGATTCAGAAAGTTGACGGTGTTGATGACATCGACGTCCCATCCTAGGCATTGTAAAGGGAAAGTCGCGGCTTTATTACCAACAAAGCCATGGGTGACGTGAGATTGAATCGATAAGATTCTTTTATCTTCAGGGTATTCCATATATTAGTTGTAGGATAAAAAAAAAATATTAATCAACTTAATGAAGAGGAAGAAAAAGAAGAAGAAGAAGAAGAGGAAAAAAAAAAAAATCACAGAAAAATGAATCATTTTTCGCACTGCGGAGCAAAAACTCCGGATTTTTCAGCTGATAAGCAGATAATGATAAAATTTAATTGATATTATTATTATCATTATTATTATTACTATTATTATTATTATTAGTAAACTTATATTTGCTGCAATCATAATCAACAAGCAAGCCAAAAACAAAAACAGAATCCAAAGTATATTATAGTATGTGGCCAAGAAAGAAGAAAAAAAAAAAAAAATAGCAGAAACATATAAAGAACAATCAAAATATAAAGAATAATCAATATAGGAACAATAATTAAAAATATAAATAACAGGCAATATTACGATCGATACCAACGAGAAACAAAAACACAAGGCAAAATTATCGATAATCCAAATGTCAATTTGATGAGAGAAATAAGAACATGAAGAAGAACATGAAGAGGAAGAAAAAGAAGTATATCAACAATAGTACATTTTTACAACTATTAAAAATTTAATTAACAGAGAAAAAAAAAACAATAATAATAATCAACCAATGCACTATTTATTAAGCCTTTTTTGTAACTTGGTCTTTTTCATCCAACTTCAAAAAGTCCTCCAAGATATCAATCGACAACAGTGACCCATTACATGATTTCATATGGTTTCTCATAACATCTTTCACTTTACCCAAGGTGCTTTCCAAATACTCGACCCGTTGTCTCAATAGTTTGCATTCTCTGGTAGCAACATTGGCTTCCTCTTGCAATTGTTGTTGAGCAACTTTTTTCTTTTGACGACACTTGGACGCGGCCACTCGATTACGTTCCAATAATCGTGCTCTTTTCCAGGCCGCGGTACCGGGAATCGGGGCTCCTGGAGGAGTGCCTGTGGTCATCAATAATTGGGGAGATGGGTATTGATGATGAGAGACTAAAAAAGTATTTGTATCTCGGGCCGAAAGCTGGGTGGTGGCCAGAGTTGGGGTTTGTGGTGGTATAGGACGTTGAGAGTTTAGTAATGTCACCACAGTATTGCTGTTGTTTGTATTTGTATTGTCATTATTATTAGTATTATTAGTAGTAGTATTAGTATTAGTAGTAGTAGTAGTGGTAGTATTGCCGTTGAGGATGGCAGAGGTAGAATTAGGATTATTATTATTATTGTTCGATGTTGTATTATTAGGAATCACTTGCCGGGCGGTGTATTGTTGAGGAGGGAATTGTAGTATCGGTTGATTTTGGTTTATCATTTGCTGTTGCTGTGGGAACCCAAACGGCTGTTGTTGTTGTTGTTGTTGTTGTAATTGATGGTGGGGCATTGTTGATTGGTTAGGTAATAGAGGAGGTGGTGCTTGGGGTAGTATTTGGTTCATGGATGGTTGTGGTTGATGATTAGGAGTGAATATTTGATCTTCGGTGGTACTATCATCACTATGGATGTGGGAGTCTCTTAATTGACCGATTTGCCCGTTAGATATCGAGACTCTTCTACGAACCACGCCGGCAAGTACGTCTGGTTCATAAATAGGAGGGTTAGTGATTGGGAAGTGTTCCATATCAAAGAATGGGCCGCCAAAATTGAAGCTGTTGTTTGAATTCATTGAGTATAAGTTGTTGTTGTGATTATTCATTGATGATGAGCCGTTATTGTCGTTGTTATTGTTATTGTTACTGTTGTTGTTGTTACTATTATGATTGATGTTATTCGGTATTGATTGACCCTTGACCGTGGTTGACGGCAGAAGATAGTTGTTTATATCTTGGAGATATTGTTGTTTCTGTTCGGGATTTTGTTGATGTTGTTGTTGTTGATGTTGTTGTTGTTGTTGGGGATGATGATGTTGGTGGTGATGATGTTGCATTGGAAGGAAGGATGGTGTGGGTGAGTAACAAGATATGCCAGGTAGTTTTATTCACTGTAGAATTGATTGATGGATAGAAGGGGGAGGGGGAGGGGGATAAGAGCAACTAGAAAAAGAGAGAAGAAAAGGAACAAAAGGAGTTTTTAGGAATTGGAAGTTTATCGAAGAGGGGTGGTGGTGATAAACAATAATAATAATGATAATGATGATGAAGGCAATAATGGCGTGAGAATCATTACTGTCAGCGAAGGAAAGCTGAGGGATAAAAAAAAATTATTAATTAAACAGAGGAAAAAAAAAAAAAAAAAAAAAAAAAAAAAAAAAAAAAAAAAAAAAAAAAAAAAAAAAAAAAGAAAAAAAAAAAAATCGGTAGGTTGGCATCCAGGGGGTGCAGCACCCACACTGGCTATCTTCCCTTGGTGGGACACCCCCTTTCCCCTCTCGTATTCAAACTTCCTTTAATAGGTGGTGGTGGGTGTTACCCGGGGAGGGAGTTTTGCCTTTCTTTCTTATCATCTCTATCATTTCCATCAACAGTCCTCATCGGTACTCTCAGTGCCTGTCAATTATAATATATCCATCTCTCTCTCTCTCTCTCTCTCTCTCTCTCTCTCTCTCTCTCTTGTATAAAAAATACATCCCCCATCAAAAAGGAACTCCCGCGCTAATTAATTAATCATAACCCAGATCAATAAATAGTCCCCGAAGCCAACTATCACATGCCAATGCTTACTACTACAATCTTTACAATCTTCCATCATTACAAAAACTTGTTGTTACACATTTATTTATTTATTTATTTATTAACTTACTTATTTAACAATCTGTCAATCCATTTAGGCAGCAAAGGACAAACTGAAACCAATCTTGTGGACCGGTTCAGCCAATCTCAAAGCATCGAAACCCAAACCAACACCAAGAGTAACACCTGGTCTCAATTGTTGGGAGTAGGCAACGGCAGCCAAACCAGAGTCGGCCAACTTCCCTTTGACAAAAGCAGTTGGGTCCAAAGCGTACTTGGCGGCAAATTCAACCCCGACTGGCTTACTGGCACCAGCGTTAACGTCATAAGTGGCCTTGGCACCGGCTTCGACCAAAGAAGAAACCTTGTGGAAGTAGGAAGCAGTGAACACGCTGAAGTTCTTGCTGGCATTGACACCAACCGCATAAGTTGGGTGGATGTAACCGGTGGAAACCGCCAAACGAGTAACCTTACCGCCGCTGATGTCATAACCAACTTCGGAACCAGCAACATAACCTTCGTGGCCAACGGTGAAGTCACCAGCAAAGGTTGGGCCCTTGAGGAGGTCGAAGAAAGCACGGACATTGACCTTTGGTTGCGAGAAGTACAAGTTCAACTTGGCAGCCTTAGAACCGTTTGGAACAACCGAAGTCAACACTTCGGCCTTCAAACCTGGAGACAAGGTGTCGACAAGTTCAACCTTGGTGTCCAAAGCGTTGGCGGTGTTCCAGCCTTGGGTCAAGGTAAGACCATTGGCCTTGTCGGTGAACTTGGTTTCGATGTTGGACGAGATGGAATCATCCTTACCGGTCTTGGCCTTGAAGGCAAAGGCAACACCGTTTGGGGCCTTAGTCTTGACATCAAGGGCGGCCTTGGACAAGTGGTAGAAGTCCCTGTTGATGAGGTTGTTGACGTTCTTGGAGATATCTGGGAAAGCTGGAGGAATGGACATTGTTGAGTGTGGTGAATCAATAAGTGTGGTGAATCAATTGATGTTGACGGGGGGTAAGAAGAAGAAGAAGAAGAAGAAGAAATGTAAGAAGAAGAGTGTGGAAGAGAGGGCCCCAAAAATTATCTCGCTGACCATTTGTTGGACGAAAAAAAGAGGAACGTGGGGTGGGGTGGGGGGGGGGGGGCTTTCTCTGACCACGTGAATGGGGGTTTTGTTCTCCTGCGGTGTTATGCAGTGTCCGCGTGTATTAGGGGGTGGGGCACGGGCGTTATGATGCGGGAAAAAATAAAAAACAAAAAACAAAAAAAAAAGAAATTCCCATCGCAGGGCGGCGGTTGGTTTTGAGGTTAATGTTGAGGATCTACAGGTAGATAAATGTCTTTTATAATGAGAAATGATGAGAAATGATAGCAAATAATATATAATAAAAACAATAGTACAGACAGCAAACAAAGAATAAATGAATGAATAAATAAATAAATAAGCAATAGATATATCTAGCAAAACTTGTAGAGACACTAACATTAACACTAACACAGCCCTGCCAAGAACATACATCACGCTAAAAAATGAAAATTTCAAATCAACATGATACCAGCAAGGGCAGCCCCGCCAACCATGACTTTATTCATAACATCATCTCTTTTCACCCCAGCATTGGATGATGAAGCGTCAGCAGAAGACTTGCTCGCCAAAGCACTGCTGTAATCCCAAGTGCTGGTAAGAGCCGCGCTATCAACGGCAGTAGCCGAGGTGTAGGTACTCATAAAAGTTTGGCTGAAGGTAGTTTCATAAGTGGCGAGGGCCCCACTGATTGTCCCGGTGACCCAGATCATAGTACTAACGGAGGAAGAAGAGGAAGAAGAAGAGGCAGAGGAAGAGGAAGCAGAGGTAGTGGTAGATGTGGAGGAGGTGGAGGTGGAGGTGGAGCTGGTGGAGGTGGAGGTAGTAGAAGTTGTAGAGGAAGTGGTAATAGGAGTAGTAGTAGAGGTTGTAGAGGGGGTAGTGATAGGAGTAGTAGTAGTGGAGGTTGTAGAGGAAGTGGTAATAGGAGTAGTAGAGATGGAGGTTGAGGTGGAAACGGTTGTTTCATCGGCAGAGACCATTGCCAAAGGAATGGCCATAAGAAGTAAACGAACGATCATGGTTGGTATGTGAGAGAGTGTAATGGTCTGATCAGTGCTGTATCATCGAGAAGGATCCCAGAGAGAGAGAGAGAGAGAGAGAGAGATATGGTGATTTGGTGTAAATTTTGCAAGGCTTATGGGGGGGTGGTGGTGCTACGTGCCCCTTCCCCCTTGCACCCCCTTGCTGGAATGAAAAAAAAAAAAATGCCGCGTGACTTGCACGTGGTTGTGGGAGGGTAACACACGCTGATCGTCCAGATTAGCAGCACCAGTAGTAGTAGTAGCATATATACATTATTATAATTAACGGTGTGTCTTGGTTTTGTTTGTTCCCTTTTTTTTTTTTAGCTGTTCTTTCTTGCCAACGGATTTGCATCATGGATGGATGGATGATGATGCTCTGGCTCCCTGACTCATCACAGCAGCAGATATATTCAACGGCATCGGAAATTTACGATCCCAACCTGCGACGTTTCGAGATTAAGTAACCTAACCATAATAAACATAAGACAAAACAATGGCGGATACTGGCTCATATTCCAACGGTGATGACAAATAACCAGGCGTAGATTAGCCACACCAACCAATGTAGTTCAATTGTTAAATAAACAAACAAATAAATAAATAAATAAATAAATATGTACCAACACCCATCGGCATCCTTGTTGTGAGCCCCTGCAGACTGCAAGGCCGGCCCAGCACCGCGGGGGAGAAAATAAAAAAAAAAAAAAAAAAAAATAAAAAAATTAAGCGAGTCTGACTTACTCACTTAACCTTCCACCCATCTTCAACCAAACCACTAGCATTCAACCGCTACCTCACAAAGTCTGGATAACTATGGCTTCGCTATCCCTCCTGTTGCTGGCTCAGGAGGCGCTCTCAGTCGTACACTACTTCCGAACATTGGAACTCCCCTGCCCAGGCGACGTCTTCCCTTGGCTCTCCTCAAACCATCATGATGATCATCATGATAATGATAATGATGATCATGCGTCGTCGGTCACAGGGCTTCAGGAATCGAAACACTGGGTAATATTTGTCAGACTGAGCCCTCTATTGACTAGCAATACTCCCATAGACCCAAAATCAGCATTACTTCAAGATACTATTGATTATAAAAATTTCCTCGAGCCGTACGTTGATGATAACGTCGATACTTTGACGAATTTCATCACCAATTTGCTACTTTATCTCGATATCGCTGCCGATGAAAACGATAAGATCGTCAACACTACCGTTAAAGACGTCAAAACTACCGGGTACCTCCCATTGTTCAAAGATATGTCTAGAGAAGTTTTGGGAATTAGATCTTTTGGTTTACAAAGTTGTAAAATCGCATCTGTCGCAGATTTCGTGGTTTATTGTTTCAACAACGATCACTCCATTGATAATACTAGCGCCTCAAATGCAACCAACTCTGTGCCTCATTGCCTGTGCCAACTGGTTTCTCGACTCTTGAGTATTGCCCAAACTCATCATCATAAAGTCAACCCTTCAATGTCCCCTTCCAAATTAAAACATTCTGACTCAATCCCCGAAGCAGACGAGCTGCCAGATGATAATATGAACACCACCGTACAAGTAGGCTCACTTCGTCATTTCGACAGTTATGATGATATTGCTTCGGATAATGAAGAAGAAATCGATTTTGCCTCGGTCTTAAGTACCCTTTGTCAAAATCCCAATTTCACAAGTATCGACGACGACGATATGACTAAAAAATATGAAATTTCGTCCCATAGTCCCGCGATTTGGGCTTCGAGAACCGCAGAAAATATTATCAAATCCCCTCATCTTTCATTGAGAAATAAAAAATTATCAAAAATTTATAACACTTATACCATCACTAACCCATTTGATATCCTCAGTTCTTTATTTGCCGACACTCTGAATGACAATGATTCGAGGTTGAAATGTTTAATTCTGGTCCCTCCCTATAGTGTAGGAATGGGGAAAGAGATTTCTCATTCGTCGCAAATTACGCCATGCTCATCATCGTCATCGTCATCATCATCATCATCCAATATTGATATATTATCATCACTTTCAAACACAACCATACCAAACAACCATGTCTCTCATTTGATAAATAACTCGGCCGCCGGTTTATTGAATGAGTTTGAAAAACATCAATTAACAAATTATAATATAAATATGCTGATAAAGGAAAAATTTGAAATTTGTCAAATCAGTCAAGCAATGGAAATTTCTCCCGGAATTTGGATAGGAAATGAAGGTGATTATCTTCTTTGGAAACATCGAATAATGACAAAGGGGTTCGATGAGATGTCGACAAAAGCCACTGCTAGTGTAAATAATATAGAAGAAGGAATCATCGACTATAAAGATAAAGTACCGCCATACTGTGCTGTACAAGAAAGTATTATCTTCAACACACCAAGCTCATTTTTATCCCCAAAGCATTCCAAAAACGCCTATATGAGTGCCTACAATAATATTATGACCACTCGTCAAACCAAACCCCAAATCAACTACCGTTTCTTTGTCGAGGTACATGCTGCTTCAAAGCTTCCCGGCTATTCTACCCTATGCGCAGTAAGATCGGAAATGGTCAGACATATTTGTAATCCTATTTCTGCATCGTTGGCTACACCATTGATCACTTTATCCTTTCCTGCTCTGGGAACTTTAGCAGGACTTGGAAGCCTCAATCTTGGTGACATTGTAACCATTATCCACTTTTTGGATCTCCTCTGTAATCAGACAACAAGAGATACCTTTCCTGCCTTGATTTTTTGTCCAGAAGGGTACACCGAAACGTCTCTTTTGCTTGTGCTATTTTTGATGTTCCAGCGCGGTCTAAGATTCCGTGATGCGGTTCTATACTATTACAACCAATCAGGTAGACCGTTCTACTTGTTTGAGAGTGACTATGTGTTGTTGGAGGAATTGGAACCAGTAATTTTATGCTGTAGTCCTTCCCCAAATGCTGTGAGATCATTATCAGAGTTGGATAAACGATTAAGCGACACCAAATATAGAATACTGTCACCGACTTGGGAAGCCAAGGAAAAGGAATTCATGTTTTCCATCATTAGCGAAATTTTGATGGTTTCTTCTTCACCAGCACCAACCCCCTCATCGTTGACAATGTCTCAAAATGGCGATGACGCTAGCAATTTCTCCAATAATGACAGTGGTTCATTTGATTATGGCTCGCTTGGTGATTGGTTCTCTGACCTAGCCCATTCAGCGTCTGGGCTGCTCATCCCTTCCAGAATCCTCCCATCTCTTTTTTTGGGATCACTTGATCATGCTTCATGTTTACCTTTGCTTGCCAGGCTAAACATTAAAAACATCGTATCGGTAGGAGAGTCTCCTTCCTGGCTAGCAGGTTTACCTAGAGATTTTTATTCCATAGAGCCGTTTATTCCTAGACCGTGTTGCAAAGTTAACGATGATAATTGTACTCGCCCATCCTCACTCCCTCTCAAGCTTATATCTTTTAATCGGGCTAGTGTTCTGGCAGAATCTGACGCTTTTCTTAAATCATTCCCCATTGACAGAGTGCTTATAGTGAATGATATAAAAGACGATGGTATTGATACCCTCCATACTTCTCTCTTATTTGCGATCTTTGATTTTTTTGAACAGTTCACTAACACTGATTTGGAGAGTTTGATTTTTGGCGATAATCCCCCAAACGGCAGCCATTTCGGCGACGAGTTTGACAGTAGTCTCAAAGGATTATCGTCGTCGTCGTCGCAAAATAACCTTCATCGCTACTACGCCACTGCTACGACTTTAGTGCATTGCAAAGTTGGAGTGCTGAGATCTGCTACTGTGGTAATTAGTTATTTGATGAGATTCCTAGGTTTGCGACTTGAAGCGGCGTATCTTTTTGTTAGGGTCAGAAGATTGAATATTATAATCCAGCCTAATCTTAAGCTTTGTTACGAATTGTTCAAAATTCAAGAAGAGCTTCTCAAAAAGGTGCAAAAGTTGGATTTTAAGCCACAGAACAATGACAATCCGCTATCTTCGATAACCACTCCTAATCCTCTGAGTCCTTGGAGAAGCCGCAGTAGTAGCAACGGTAGTGGTTATTTTGGAGGTGCCAACGGGAGATTTGGTTTGAGCAATAATAATGCTTCAATGTCAATATTCGCCCCGCAACCACCTTCTTCAACTGGATACACTTCCACTAATTCATCTGGACCTCCATCACGTCGGCTATCATTTTCTCTGCTGTTCAGCTCTGGTGCTGACACTGCCGCCAGTAGTTTTTGTGCTAATCCCTTCCCGATCCGCCGAAAGAAGAATAGTATTGGTAGTTTTGTGTCAGAGCCGTCTTCTGTCATTTCCGGGATGAATTCTGGTAGATCAGACGCGTTCCATATGAAAGAGGCACTGATAAATTCGTGTTTGCAGACCGAGATCACCACCATCGACATAACCGACGATGAACTTAGGTCAGCAAGTGATGTTGACGAGTACGATTGTATGGTAAACCCAAAACGAAGAGCTTTGGGAATGGTGAGTACCACTAAGGAGATGAATTTTGAAATCAAGTCGACCGGCGGTGAAGTGGTAGAGATGAGCCACAATCGGAAAGTTAGTGAGGAAATGGAGATGGAACAGTCGATGCTGAGCCAGTGGTTGCGGAACGTTGATTGGGCAATGTTTTGTCATCAAGTGGCTGAGTTGAACAATTTTTGATAAATTTGAAGAAGGGCATAACAATTTATTATTATTTCTTTTTGTTTCTTTTTCCCGCGTTAATACTATTATTATAACCATTACAGGTCTAACCTGGCACATCCTTTTACTTTCTTTTTTTGATTTATTCGTTTATTCTTTTCCTCTGTATTTTTTGTTTTTTTTTTGGTTTCCTATTACAATACTTTGAACTTTTTTTCTACGTGTGCTATTATTCTTATTCTTATGTTTTTACTTCATATTTTCCTTCTTTTCATGTGCCAAGACTATTCTTTCGTTATAGTTGTATTATAGTTGTACTATATAGCCCTTTTATTATTATTATACTATACTGATTTTATACCATACAATTTTATTTTATTTTTCCCCTCCCCCGAGTATTGAAATATCTTTCTTCTGTACGCTATTGGTGTGTGTCTGCTATAGGGGCCCGCAAAACGACTTTGTATCAATCATGTAGGAACCAAGGTGCAAATTTGAAATCGTTAATCAACAGCAGAGTGTAGGCCTTATTTGAAGTGTAAAAGAAAAAGGCGGCTCATATCAAATTGAACATTATCACTGTGGATGAGAGAGAGGTTTTTCAAGATTCGATTTGTTTTTTTTTTTTTGTAGGAAAACTTCCACCAAATATCATCGCTGCTATACTGTGTATTTTATTGATGGAGATGAGGAGGGAGGGGGAGGGGGGAAATTCCCATTGACCTGCTCTGCCATTTTGTTTTTTGTTTTTTGTTTTTTGTTTTTGTTTTTGTTTTTTTTGAAAAAACTTTGACTTTGGTTATTAATCTTTTTTTTTTTTAATCGATTATATTGTCATTATATCTAACGATTTCTCTCATTAGAGTTTCTTCAAGTATCCCTGGAGGATCAACCTTTCGACATCGGAATGACGAACAAAAAACTGACTATCTTTAGTCAAATTGAACACCCCGTATTCGGTTTGGATTTCCCCGGCATCCTTCAATACTCTAACGTCGATAAACACATCACTTGGAGGGTCCAACGACCCGCTCAAGTCGATGTCGGGGATCTCGTTCTTATAATTGGTCACCAACTCGTTGTATTTCTCCAAGTACTCGCTCTCGGCAAAATTCAAATTCTCCAACAATTCCCCCTGGGGCTCGACGTTATCCCAAGTGATTTTATCCAATTTATCGGCACGTTGGCGTTGGTACGCCAATAGGACCCGCTTATTACGTCGCATGATCAAATGGTTGACAAAGATTTGGACATTTTTGTTGACGTCGTCCTGAGTGCTTTCCAAAGTGTTGTTATTGTTGCCAGCGTCAAGGTTATCAAGTTGGTTCTGGAGGGTTTTTGTTTCCTTGACAATCGAACGAATGGTTTCTTCTTTATAAAGCGGGAGGATCTCGAGGTTTTTAGATCTTTTGGCTTCGAGAATGAGTTTATTCGCTAGGTCCCCGTACATGGTGTGGAAATATATGTATATTATTTTATTATTGTTGAATGGTTATTAGGTAAGGGGATCTTAAAAGATTAATGGATCTGTTTGTGGTGATAAAAGTAGTGAATCTTGAAAATACCCAACGGAGTTTACATTATATTATATATATATTATTTTGATATTTTTGATTTTCAATTTTCAATATTTTTTTTTTTTTTCGCGCGTAACTCATCGCCAGAATTGAATTGAATTGAATTGAATTATAGATTTTCGTATCCTCCCCAAATGATCTGGAACCAACCAGTGGTTGCACCACATTACGACTTTAATAGCCTAATAGAAGATCATCCTGATCTTCAGAAATTGATCACCGTCGATGGTCATTATTCTTTTTCCCACCAACCAACCGTGCGAACCCTTACCGCCGCAATTCTAAAGAAATATCATGGGATCACCAGCGAATTATCCCCCCACCATCTTTGTCCAAGGGTCCCCAATAGATACTTGTATCTCCAATGGCTATCCCAAATATCAGAAATCATCCTACCTAAAGGGGATTGGTCTATGATACTGGTGGTGGACATTGGAACTGGATCGAGTGCCATTTATCCATTGTTAGGGGCGTCGATGAATAAGGGTTGGAAGTTCGTGGGGACAGAATGTAATGAGGGATCGTATAAATTAGCCATGGCTAATATCGGACGAAACCCATGGGTTGAAGGGAAAATCAAGGTGGTTAAAGTGGTGGATCCACGGAAAATCCTTGATTTTACAAAAATCTCCATTGATAATAATAATAATAATAATAATAAAGATCAATTGGTATTGGTGATGTGCAACCCGCCATTTTTCGATACCGAATTAAAGAATTCGGTAGAATTTGACACCAAGATCGCTGCTACGAAGTTGGTGGCCACGGATTCTGAGCTTTTTTATCCTGGCGGTGAAATACGGTTTATCAAACAAATGATTGCCGAAAGCGTGGTGCAGCAGCAGCATGTCAACCGCTGGTACACCAGTATGGTTGGGCAATTCACATCTTTAAAACCCATCATTGAGGAATTGAAAACCAAAGGAATTATAAACTTTGGGATCTTTGAACTCAACCCCGGTCATCATCATAATAATAATAATGGGAAAAACATTGATCAGGGGCTCGATCGGTATATCGATGATGGGTCTTCGAATACCCCAATAATAAGGTGGGTTGTATTTTGGAGTTTCCAAGCAACACATATCCCCGATTTCTTGGGTCATCAATATAGTAACAAATATAAAGGTCTAAATGGGTTGATCACCACTTTCAAAATCAATTTGAAAACTCCACGAATCAACATTGTCCCGGTAATTTTTGATAAGCTTTTGAAACCCCTCAATTGTATCGAGATTTCCACCTCGAAGATGATGATGTTCAAAGGCACTAATAATCCGTCTGATGAGTTCAATGTGGTTGAAGTGGTGGTGGCTGGGGATGTTTGGTCAAGGGCGTATCGACGCAAATTGAAACGGTTAACGGCAGTTACTACAAAAACCGAGAGTGAGAACCCGGGGGTGGCGGTGAAGAAACAAAGGGGTAGTGGGGTTTTGTTTCCTGACAAGGATAAATCGATTTTCCAAGTGATTTTTGACGATGTTCATAATCAAATAGTTGTGTTTTGGAAATTTGGGTACAATGAGAAAATATTTGAAAGTTTTTGTGGTTTGGTGAATAGAGAGGTCAATTCAACATGAAAAAAAATATCTTCTTCGAGAATATATTGAAAAACTGTTACGTTTAAGTAATATATATATATATATTCTACTTCCTTTTTGAAAAGCCCTACATAAAGGAGCTGGAATATACAACTAATCATAAAAAAAAAAAAAAAAAAAAAAAAAAAAAAAAACAATCATGAAACATTAATCTACTAATATAAATCATAAATGTAAGAGCAAAATTAACTAATACAACAACAACAATAACAACAACAAAAAAAAAAAAAGGAAATCATTTCTCATCTCAAATTTCAAACAAACGAAAAGGAAAAAAAAAAAAAATAGAAATACTCTTTACCTGATATCTTTCTTCTTTTTTTTACGTTTGCGATTATAATCATCGTTCACTGATGCACTCGCATACTCCTTCGACTCGACATGTAGTGGGGGCATAGCTATCAAACACCACACTTCGACAATTATAACTGCAATCGACAAACTCATTGCAATAATCGTACTTGCACCGGGCTTCACAGCCATACCAGCTGGGATCCATACTTGGATAGACTGTAGATGATGATGTCGACGACGCTGCTATCGATGATTGACTATTCGATGATACTGATGGTGAAGATGAGATGAAAACGGCAATATGTTGGTTTTGATAATGATTATTGGTATCTATGTTGTGAATATGCAATGGATTTAGTAGATTGGGGTTATTAAAAACATCAGAAGAAGAAGAAATGTTATTGGAAGAATATAGCGTCGATGATAAGGGCTGCTGCTGCGATAAGTCACTAGAAGCTAGCGATAACCCTGGGGTATTAGAGTGATCATTCTGGTGGTGGTTATTGGTGATTATAGACCCGTCAAGACCTGCAAGATGATCGAACTGGGATAATTTGTGAAGCGACGATTGAAAGTATAAGATTTGTGCAAGGATCGATGATGCGAGCAGCAAACACATCTTTTTATTTTATTTTATTTTACTTTTCTTTTTCTTTTTAGTTTTGGCTTGAACTCGATATAATATGATGTGTTGATGACAGAAAGACCTATGGATTATATGGCAATTGCTGCCTGGTTAATATTACCTTTTTGCAGGGTTTTTATTTATTTTCTTATTTTATTTTTTTTGGTGATTTGTAATTTGCAATTGAAATATATCGGTTAATGAGATCGCGACACCATAAGAGTTGGAGGCTGTGTTGTTGGGCAGAAGAAGAAGAGGAAGAAGAAGAAGAAATTATTCAATTTTTTTTTTTCCTTTTTTTTTTTTTTCAACAAAAAAAAGCTAAGAGAAAATCACTGAATACGTGTAAATTATGGGGTAAAACCCTTGAAGGGTGGTGTTGGTGATGATAATATATCTGGTTGACAGGTTGACCAGACACTTTATGTGGGAAATTGCAAAAATTAGAATTTTCGCGAGAAGCAGTAGCAGCAGCTTTTTAGTGGCCATCAGCACAACAGCGACGTCAGTCCGAAACGGGAAGAAGAATACCGTGCACCACCACCAGCAATCACAACACAGCACAGCTATTGCTAGCAATCCTATTGTCATCGACGCTACATATTATGTAATAGATAACCACACATTGTTATTGATTAACCACCGATCTGATCTGGCTATCGCGGAATTGGAAAGAAAGAAAGAAAGAAAGAAAGAAAGAAACTGGCAGCACGGCGATCGCCGAGTTGTCTTTTTTTTTTTTTTTAGTCGCGGGACTGTGCGCCCCATCAGCAATCTTAATAGAGGAGGGATGGAGGATTCTCTCCCTTCCAGCTTGCTGGCTTGCTGGCTGCTGGCTGCTGGCTGGTCTTGCTCTCTTTAATCAAACAAAGCACCGTGGTGTGGTGGCTAGGTCCTCCTCACTTGGGAAAAGGGCCAACATCGGTCCATTCGTTCACTCTTTCCTCCGGAGCTCAAAGGGCCTTTTTTTTTTTTTTTTTTTTTTGTTAATTGTTTATTTACTACGGCAGACAACATGATGTTATAACATAATAATAATCTTGTTATTCTATCTAGAGCCATGAATAAATGAATAAATAACGACCTCGATTTACAATACAGATGATTATATAATAATATATATACATTGGGTAAGTATATTGGAAAGGGGGTGTCGGATTAATCGTTGTTTTTTTGGGGCAAGTGAGTACAACACAATACAATGTAACACAATACAGTACAATAAATAGTATTTCCCTTCCCTTCGCCACGAGATTCTGTAAATTTTTGTTGTTGGACATACAATTGATTGATGGGTTTTGAATCTACGGTATGGTAACAATTGCCCTAGTCGGCACTCTCCTATAAGAATAAAAATTGACCTTTGTTTAATAATATTTTCATCATGGTCTTTTGTTGTTGTTTTTTAGATAACAGTCTGTCTATCTATCTATCCATATATCTATCTATCTATCGTCTTTGAGGAATAAACGTTTTTTCAAAGAAAAAAAAAAAAAAAAAAAATGAGGCACAAAAAGAAACACGGGAGAAAGAAAGAAAGTAAGTAAGTAAGTAAGTAAGTATACCAGTATACTGTCTCCTTTCGTCAACTGTCTCTCTTTTCCCTCTTTATTTTTTTTTTTTTTTTTTTCTCTCTCTTTCTCTTTCTCTTTCAATGGCAAATCAATCTTTTTAACGATCTAGAGCTTATTTTGGCCAATCAAGGCACTAGTGGCATGTAGGGATTGCTGGAGCCAACTTGTTGATCTTGCTATCTACAGATCTATTACTATGGTTTTTTAATTAAGTTAATTTTCTATTTTTTTCTTTCTTACCTGAATCGGGAATCCGCTTACCTTTTAATTTACAATAAAAACCATAATTAATTGTACATGGAGATCTAAAGTTCAATTCGTGCCGCTCTCTCTCTCTCACTCTCACTCTCTCTCACACACACACTCTCTCTCGTGCTGGTTATTGCTCTTCTCAGCATCAATCCCTTGAATCATGAGCCTACTTGCCCCAGCATGGAAAATAGCATCATCAAAAAACAAACTTTAATTCTTCATCATCCATGAAAAGAGATAGACAGAGCGAGAGTTGGCTTATTATCATGCCCTACCTGGTTATATTATATCCGTCGGTTTTTAACTGATAGGGAAAAAAAAAAAAAACCGAAAAAAAAAAAACTACATTATTCAAAGAGAATTGAATTGTAAAACATTCAAAGAAAATAAAAAAAAAAAAGAAAAAAAAAAATGATAACATAATAGTAACATAACATAACTTAGCATAACTTAACATAACACAACATAACATAACATAACATAACAGTAATAATATAACATAACACTAGTTAATAATACAATTCCAATTAAAACCACACATCCAATTCTTCAATCTCCGCCTCCTTGTCGTTCTCAAACTTTGGATAATACGGAACCATCGCATCACAACTTTGCACATAACAATCATTGTATAATTTCCAATAAGGAGTTCTAACCTTCCTGGCAGAATACCAAAGCCCAATCATAACATAATTCATAAACACCCCCGCCCCAACATTAGTTCTAATCCCGTTTATCCCGTCAAGAATTCTTTCAATAACGTGCGGACTGGTTTCGTAGATATTAGGCATAAGCATGTTCAAAAAATGGATAAACACTTCTTCCATCCCCAATCCTGCACAATTGATCGCCATATGTTTGATCACAGTTGCCGCAGTTTGTCGATGGATTTGATCTCTGTCGGATAACGCATCTTCAAGGAGCGGGGTCACCGCGTACAAGTAATCTTTAGTCATTTCTCCCCCAATATATTCAAACATAAACGTCATCGCCTTCAATACCCCATTTTGCACATTCTTCTCCGGAGTTCGGTACTCGTTCATAATCAGAGGAATCACCGTGAATGGTTGGCAAGTCTCGGCAACAATCCCAATCGCCACCGCAGTACACACCCGAAGTTGACGCTCTTGAACCCGCAAATTATTCAATAAAGTTGCCAAAACTTCTTGTGGACCAATTGCTTTGGCAATAAACCCAAATGTTCGATTGGCAGATCTTCTAATCGACTTTCTCGAAGATTTAAGCAATTCTAGCAATTCAAAACATATTCTCATCCATTCTTTGGGAGGAATATATTCTGACGCCTTATCGGCAATCAACCCAATCAAATCAATAACGTTTTCCTGCACTTTCTCATGACGATTCCGGAGAATTGGCGTCAAGCTTGGTAATAATTGATCGATCGATGGGTTCATCGAAGTGATCCCGATAATAGAAATAATCGTCTTAAGACTATGTAAAATCGAACCCAACACTTCGGGATATACTTCTCCCAAAGACTCATACAACACTTTGGATAATTTGCTAATGATATCCACCTCATTACACGATTTAATCGTTTTGACCAATTTGGAAATCAAATCGGCAGATTGCTGACGGATTTCTGGAGATTCGTTTTGCAAACGGTACAAAATAATCGAAATGATTTGCGGCAAATAAGACTTCATCCGAATATCTAGGGCATCGACCATGGTTCCAAACGCTTTAAGCACCGAATTCTTACTACTGACACTTGAATCACCAGTGGTTTTTTGTAGAGCAATCAACATCCCGTCGATCAATCTTTCTTCTGTACGGTCCTTTAAATCAACCATTTCCAAATCTTTGAAAACTTGATCAACGGTATCGACACTCATCTTTCTTAAAAACTCTGAATCATCCTTCAAATAACTGATGATACTCTCCACGATATTTTCGTAACCAATTCTATCCGATAACACCACCGTAGTATCAATAATCATTCTATTGAGTCGATTATCCAATGCCGACCGACGATTCCAGAAATTCTTCATAAACGATGGCAACACTTCGTTTCTCAAGTATCCCACTTCGATCCCTTCCACCGCGGCACATTGTTGAATCACCTTCAACACCGTTCTTTTCATATCATCATCGGCTGAATTGAATTCCCTCAATAAAATTCTAAACACTTCATTCGAATAATATCCTGCGTATTCACTATCCATTAACGGGATGATATTCCCAATACATTTCAAGTACGCCGAAAGGGTATTGCCTCGATGTCTTCTAATACCTCCCCAAAGAGATTCCAACACCGGTTCAAACGATTCAATCCCATAAGGAGCAGAAGATTCCGCTAAAGCACTCAATGCCAACGCTGTAGCTTTACGGACTTGGACATTATCATCTTCCACCCCATCAGCAAGACAATCAACAAGAGAATTCAAATGCGGCAATACACCACACCCAACAATCGCGGCGATCTGTTGAACAATTTTCGCCCCCGTATGACGTGCCACCCAAGATTTCTTGGATCCACAAACCGCCCTTAAAAAAGGTACCAAAGATTGAATCCCCAAGGTATTAGCGGCCACCGCAAACGTCCTGGCGGTAGTAAGTCGAAGGGTTTCATCTTGCGAGTCGATATATTTTCGAAGGGTGGAAATCGTATGGACAAGCCCTGCCGCCTTCACCAAATTAGAAATGATCTCTCTGGCCTCGGCTCTCATCACCGGGTCTTCATCGGCGAGTAACGGAGAAATGACTTTGAGAATCTTGTCAGTATAAGGTCTCACCAAGTCGCCCAATTTGAATAATACTCGATCAATAACTTTAACCAATACGTGACGTTCTCTGTCACTTAAAGACGGTTCCATTAAAAGCGGTAAAATTTGATTGAATAAAATTTTTGGTCCATAACTTCTAGAATTGTCAGTCAATTGACGAAGCGCCTGTTTACGGACTGGCGGCGATCCATTTTTGATCTTCAAGAGTAATCTCATCACTTTCTGTTCTTTAAGCTCGTCAATCGTCAATTCCCCCCGTTGTTTTTGTTGTTGTTGTTGTGATTTACCATCGACGTTCAAAAGTTTCCCAAAATACTTGGCATCCTCCTCTTTGAAATATTGCAAGTCTTTCATCCCAGGAACACTCGTCACTATCGAATCTTGTAAGATCTTATTAGAAGCATGGCTCTCCTCCGGGATCATATACCCAGTGTTCTGCTGGTTGAGATCATCTAAATTAATGTCAATGGCACCACTGGTGAACTCTTCAGGTGCATCGAGGATTTCATACCCTTCAGGAAGAAGAATATCGAGGACATCATTTGTAAGGGGAAGGTCATTGAAAACTGGAATGGTCTTTATGGGATTAGACTTAGCTGCCTCTTCTTCATCATCTTCTTCCCAACGAGATTTACGTACTGACGAGTTGATGACTTCTTTGTCACCGTTCTCAGTTTCCCCTTGGGGAATTTCATTTGTGGCTTCATCATCTATACCATCTTGCAATTGCCCAGCTTCCTTCGACACTTGAATTTCTTCATCTTTATGGTTATCATTGTTTTTTCCAGGGGCTTTCTCAAACTTGATCTTTTTCACATCCCATCGGCTTCTTCTTTCACGACCAGCTCTTTTCCGCGATGGTGATTTCATCCGTCTGTCACTCATCTTTCCTTTTAAAGAACTTATAAGCAAAGAAAAGTTTGTTTCTGTTTTGTTTTGTGTTTTTTTCTTTTTTTGTTGTCTGGATATACGAAATCCCTAGCTATACAAAATATTCTCTTCTGTTAAGATTGATTAACTAATTGAGGAAAATATCTTACCATTTCTCACCACCATATTGATGATAATTCTTGCAGAAGTTTTTCAATGGGGAGCAGAGAAAGATTTTTGGTCACGTGTACTCGCTCATGTCATGCGTTTGAGCACGTGCACGTGCACGCCTTTTGTTTTTTGTTTTTCAACACAGCATAGCATAATAATAATGCGTTATGGGTGACTCTCAACGAGATGGACAGCCCCTTGCAACGGAGAGAGTGCAATGGCTGTAAAAAAAAAAAAGCGTAGGAACTTGATCAGTTTTATTATGACTCGACGGGTGAGAGGTAGAAACGAAGTCATGATTGCTTAGTCAAGAAAAGTTTCCTGGAAATGGAGAATGTGGGCAGGTGATAAAAAGGGTACTAAGAGAAAATGTGGGAGCTGGGAGTGAAGAGAAGAAGCTGATGGAGAAACTGGCAATGGGGTAGTTGATCGAGAAATTTATGATGGAGTAATTGGGGAAATACGTAGCACCAAGTCTTTGGAAACGGAGGAAATAGAGGTCATCATTTCTGGCTTTGACAATAACTGTATAATGAGGCATGAACACACACATCATTAGGCGCCAATCTCAATTTCCATAAAGCTACTTTTAAAGTGAATAAATCAAATACCAAAAGGTATATAATTGTGTATGGTGCTTCGGAACAAGTATACGAAAACATAGAAACAGGAGAGCTCTTCACGAAGCCTCAAATTGGGGAGGGGGTACCAGATCCATTGTCAAAGACAATTATTATCAGAAAAGAGATCTTAGAACCTATTGAAGAAGCTTGCGGTTACAAATGGTCGGGTTGTAGAAGCCAATCAAATGGAGATAAGTGCTTGTTAAACGTCCACTGTTTCCAGGATAAAAAATTTGTATCGTGGTAAACATACCAAACGTTTCAATTATTAAAAAACTAAGGAATGCAATACTTCCCTCTCCATAAGTATGCACAAACATTGTGGTCATATAACTGTTAGGTTAACTCAAAAGTTAGCCCTCGAATAGCTACAATATAGAGCACATACATATAGAATATCTTTAAAAACATTTCGAGAATATACATTAAAAAAAGACAAATAGAAAACTAATATACATATATGCAACAATCAATAAAAAAAAAAAAAAATGATAAACAGTAACAACATAAACCAATAATAACAATAACAAGATGATGAATTCAAAGTTTTCAAGCAAAAAAAAAAAATCGTTTGATGAAAATCAGTAAAATAAATAGGAAAGCATTTAAAAAAAATTTGAAAAAAATTGAAAAATAGTAAAAAAAAATAGCCATTATCATTATTATCATCATTATTGAGTAGTTAAAACAAAAAAAAAATATGACACGAGCCGGAACAGAGAAAAGAACCAGGGCTTTATGAAAAATAAAACTTGAAGTGAACAAATCTCAGGATTCTTCTCTATTCTATTTCTATACTTTTTTCTTTTATTCTTTTTGTGAATAAATGCTTGACAACCAAATTTGAATATTAAGTAGTGCATGATTTTGATTTGATGAGGCGTTGGGTTTACCATGTGTCAAAGCCTCCCATCGTATCAATTCCATATCATATATGAATTATTTCTCTTGTTTTGAAAAGAATAAAAGAAAAAAATTTGTTGAAAATGTCACTGTCCATCATATGCGTTGCAACTATGAATTTCTTTTTCCATGTAAAGATTGAGTGTGAGATAAAAAGGAGAAAGTTGAAAAAAAAAATCGAAAATGAAAAAAAAAATTGAGATTACCAATGACTCTGGATTTTTGTAAGCTATTGGAATTCATGCGCAGTCTACCACCAGTCACCACCGGAAGAAGAGTTGTTGTTGTTATAGCCACCACCGGTTCTAGAGTTGCTGCCACTATTACCAGTGTTAGAGTAACCACCATAGCTAGCACCACCACTGTAAGAGCTGTTTCCGTAAGAGCTGTTTCCATAAGAGCTATTGCCGTAAGAGTTTCCGTAGGAGTTGTTTCCGTAGCCCCAGCTGCCGTTGTTGCTGTTGCCGTAGCCACTACTTCCACCTCTTCTGAAATCTCTGCTGCCACCTCTGCCACCACGGTTTCTACCACTACCACCACGAGAGCTAACTTCTCTAACAACAGTAGTCAAGAATTCTGGAACTTCTTGTTTAGCTTCAGACAAAATATCAACCAAGTCCTTGACCACATTCTTGTTACCTCTGTTGAAGAATGCAGTGGCCACACCAGTGTTACCAGCTCTACCAGTTCTACCAATTCTGTGGACGTAATCGTCGATATCACTTGGCAAGTCATAATTGATAACGTGAGTAACATTTGGAATATCCAAACCTCTGGCAGCAACGGCAGTGGCAACCAAGATTGGAGCCTTACCAGATCTGAAAGCTTCCAAAGCTCTTTCTCTTTCGTATTGCGATCTGTCACCATGGATGGCAGCAGCTGGGAAGTTTTGGGAGTACAAGAAATCGGATAAGTGGTCAGCCATTCTCTTGGTTTCAACGAAAACCAAAGTCAAACCGTCTTCAGAGGTAGACAAGATATCCAAAAGAAGAGAGTTCTTTTCATTGTCTTCAACATAGAGGACTCTTTGGGTGATGTTTTCTGAAGTGGAACCAACTCTACCGACAGACAAGAAAATGTAGTCTTTCAAGAAATCTTTAGCCAACATTTGGATATCCTTTGGAAAGGTGGCACTGAACATAAGAGTTTGTCTTGATTCAACACCTGGCATGCCTGAGTTTTGAACAATGTTTCTGATTTGTGGTTCGAAACCCATATCCAACATTCTATCGGCTTCATCCAAAACCAAGTACTTGATGGCTTCCAAGGAAATCTTACCTCTGTCGATCAAGTCATTCAATCTACCAGGAGTGGCGACTAATAAATCACAACCTCTGTCAATGTTTCTCATTTGGGTACCGATATCAGCACCACCATAGACAACACATGGCTTAACCCAAGAACGGTAAGCAAACTTCTTGGCTTCTTCAAAAATTTGGGAAACCAATTCTCTGGTAGGGGCCATGACCAAAATAGTTGGGTAAGCCTTACGTTGGTAAGAATAACCTTGTTCTTGTTGTGTTTGGATTTCTGCTGGTCCGTTCTTGAAAGATTCGGACAAACATGGGAATAAGAAACCACCAGTCTTACCAGAACCAGTTTGGGCACAAGCCATCAAATCTCTCTTAGCGGCAATGATTGGGATAGAGTACTTTTGAACTGGAGTAGGTTTGGTGTATCTAGCCAACTTAACGTTTTCAACCAACAATGGGTCCATTGGTGGAGCAATGAAGGAATCAACGGCATCTGGGACATCGTTACCAGTAGCTTCGACTGGAATTTCATCATAGTTGTCGAAGTTGATACCAGTGGATTGGAACTTTGGATCGTCTGGTTCACCGTATAATTCTAATTCAACTCTTTCGTTGTTTGGACCTGGAACATGTTTGCCATCGACCCATTTACCGGAGAATCTGGCATCCTGGAAGCCGCCATTGCGGTTGTTGTGGCCACCACGACCACCATTACGGTTGTTGTAGCCACCACGGCCACCACCATTACGGTTCATGAAACCAGAATAAGAGCCACCACGGCCACCGCCGTTACCGTAACCACCTCTACCGCCAGCAGGTCTGTTACGTTGATGAGGAGGGACATAGGAACCACGTTGTTGTTGTTGTGGTTGGGAGGCGCCTGGGGCTGGGGCAGAGCCAGCTGGGGCGCCATTGTTGATGCTTAACTTGCTTAAATCATTGGAAAGATCGGACATAATTGTAGTTTATAATACTGAGTATTTTTTCTAGTATAGATGACACTATCTACCTATTTGTTTAAATCAACAAGCGTTTTTTGTTCGTTGGTCTAAAAAAATTTTCCTGAAAATTTTCTTCGGATGGCAAATGCGGGTAATGGAGATTCTGATCGTTCCTTTTTTCTTCTTTCTTTTGTTTTCTTTTCTTTTAAGCTTTTGACGCTGACACCCGGACATTTTGCTGTCTTTCTTTTTCGTCATGGGTGACACCACCCAAACACCCCGCATCGCTACACACACGTCAACATGTGGTTATATCAAAAAAGAACTGAAGGCATATATATATATCTATCAAATCTAAGCAAGGACAGGTAAAAAAAATAATAAAAAAAAAATATAGGAAATAAAACAGACAAATAGTATATATGTATATATAAATATAAATATTATCGACAAAAATTTATAGTTTATCACTGAAAAGCAATCTAAAAGTAAAGCATTCTATAAGTTAAGCACCACTTTTCAAATGTTCCAGCACATTCTTCACTTACAGTCAGAATATGTTCTCTTAGAAACTGGATTTGGAATAACACCATTTTGAACCAATTTTTGGAAATCCCATTGATCGGAATTACCCATTTTCCAGTTCCAGAAGAACCAACCATAACCTTTTTCAAAAGCGTTGAACTCTGCTTGAACAAAACGACTGATGGTGGATTTGTCAGAAGCGCTCCAGTTATTGATAGTCTTGGTGTATACGGAATTGCTGTCAGCATCGAAAGCAGCAGTGAATTCGCCAACCATTTCTTTATAACTAAGAGCGGCAATTTGGGTACCCCAGGAACATACTTGGGAAATCTTTTCTTCAAAATTCAAATTCTTGAGATAGTCATTGTATAACATGTACAAATGGGTGTCATACATGATTTTGGAATCACTGTTGTAAGATTTACCAGCCCATGCACCTTGGGAAACATAACCGTCTTGAAGAATGATATTTTGATGAGAACCAATAGTGTTTCTGACAGAACTGATAACATCAGAGTAAAATCCACTAAGGAAATCTTGGGTAACACCGCCAGTACCGCCAACAAGAGGCTCATTAACAAGCTCAATACCAATAACAGTGTCAGCATAGGTTTCGCCACCATATTTAGCAAAAACGTAATTGAGAACTTCCTTGGTTTGATCAATGTTGTCATACCCATTCCAGTCGTGAAAGTTCTTGTGACCAGATGAATCATACCCATTTTGAGAGCCTGGAGAGCCATGCACATCAATCCATACATACATTCCTTCAGCTTTCGCCCAGCTAATTGCCTTTTCAAGATAAGTCACTTGGGACCCTTGATAAAACTTATCGGTAGACATAAGTTTCCAAGCCCAATAACCAATTGGAATACGGACAGCGTTCAAGCCATAAGATTTCATAGTGGCAAAATCAGACTGGGTGATCCAGCTGGCATAGTGAGCTTCAAGAAGATTACCGGCTTTGGCGTAACCAAGAGTGTTCACGAAGTTGAATTCATCAGCAGGAATTGAATTACTTCCGAAATTAGCAGTGCTAAATAAATCGGTATTGATCCAAGGCTCAAGAAGCAACCAACCACCAAGATTGACACCACGAATTGGGTTCAGGTCTTTAGAATAAGTGTGAAAATTTGAAGCAGAACCAAAATTGGAATCTTTCACAGAAGACCATTGAAGAGAAGCATAGGCGCTAGATGCAGCCTGTGAAGCGGTTACTTCTCTTTTCTCAGGTTCTGAAACATCCACTGGAGCAGCGTGGATAGTACAAATGGTGGCTGCCAAGATATATAAGGGAAGAAGATATTGCATGGCTTAGACAATCAGAAGTAGAAGAATGGTTAGAGCTTGATAAAAGAGAGGGGAAAAAAAAACAATTGAGCTATGATAACTAAGGATTGACTGAAGGTTAGATTGTTATCTTTGTCTGCAACTGCTGTGCTTGTAATGTCTTTGTCTTTTTGTTTTACTGTGGCTACTTTACATTCTCTTTTTTCAATTGTTTTCCCATTCATTGTGAGAATCAGCTGCTTTAAATAGGATGTTGACATGCTGGTGCGCAATATAATAGGAACAACCTTACTAGCCTATGGGTAATCATAGGTAATTCTTTGAAGGTGGCTTGATGACGTTCCTTACGATCAGCTAGATCTAACCACGGTTTAGTTGGTCTATCCGGCATGCAGGATGCAGCTTTTGACACTGAACAAAATTTCGGTGTTTGCCCACCACTGGAATAAACTTTATCAATTATATGAGCTTCACTGTGAATTAATTCAATGAGAAAGTGTATATTGTTTTTTTTTCTCGGCACGAGCATATGTTGCAAATGGAGAAGTTCGGGCTCTCCAAGTTAGACTTGACCGTGGAAGAGTTAGAGAAAATATGAATACTAAACACACAAAGAATGGAGATAAAAATCTTCAGTTATTTTTGTTACAAAAGCTTGGTAGAAAAAAAATGCGGTACATTTACTTAGGAATTACCGAGCAGTATTGCGCTAGCAAGCAAAATTTTCGAGTTTCTGCTGATCTTCATTACAGGTAGTAGGGTTCATACCGTGGGATATGAAACTCCAAGGGTCATGTTACATCAGCTCCTCAAATATGTATGCTATTGTTTTTTTTTTCTTGGTACGTCGACTAAAAAGGTTTCATAGATAGAATACAGTTTCATAGACAGAATACGGTTTCATAGACAGCATATGGTTTACGGAGAAAAGTCTTTTGTGAAAGCCAAGATATTTCGATGATCTGGGACAGTGTGTAAATCCAGCTGTTTATTCGCCGATAATAAAAATCTGGAAAAAAGAAAAAAACCATTGTAGTGAAAGCAAAATATTTCAGTAATTTCATTTTGGAGAATGTATATATTTGGGATATCAACAATAGTATCAATTAAACGTTATTATTTGATGAATAACACTACTTACTTACTGCCAAAGGTTGGTGCACCAAAGTCCCGTGATTATGTACCAGTGAAAATTGACAGTTGGAAAAAATGTGGTGATGGGATTAATATTTTTGTATCTGGCCCGGTGTTCAAACTTTCTCTCAAATTTTGTTGGTCTCTTCTTCTTTTTTTTTTCTGTTTGTTTTTTGGTTTTTGTTTTTTTAATTGTTAGTTTGGGCAAGTGGTACCTGTATGTGCTGTCTGGTTTCTGTGGCTCTTTCTTCAACTTTCCATAACGTTAACTTCCCCACTCAACCAAAGCACATAGGAAAATAATGGATCAGATCCAATTGGCATCGTCTAATGGATTTGCTTCCTCTTCTACTTCCATAACTAGCAATTCCAACTCCCCTTTACCATACCCGCGAATTTCTAGAAAAAAATTAAGTAAATTGGACTTTGGAGTCTCAGATGATTTGTCCAGTGAATCTCTGGAACCACACAGTACTCCAAAAGTTTCAAATGCGCCACTTGCTAATGTTGAAGGTGACAAAGGACCTACACATCCACTAAAATTGAGCAGTTCTAATGATCAAAATGATTTTCTGGCAAGAGAAGTGTCTCGGCTACCAAGATCCTTTGATATTCTATCATTTGAAGATGAGCTATCTAAATTACTAGAATCAGCCAATTCGCTTGACCAGGCTCAAAAGAATGCCATTCAGGCTATGTTACATTCTGTTTTCGATTTTTTTCAAATCCCAATATCTTTTGACAAGTCTGATAATAATAATAACAACAAAAATGAAGTCAGTGCGTCACTAATAGATATCGCTTCATCCCAAGTTTTCTTCAAGATACAAGACGTGTTTTTTGCCCTTTCCTCACTTATTCAACATCTAGCAACTGCAAGGGGCAAATCATCAATTAATCTTGGTATGAGCTCATCCCCGCAAGTTCAAAATCCCGCTTCTCTCCACCATTTTTCGGGCTTGAAATCGCCCTTAATTGCAAGCGATGACGAAAGTTTGGATAAATTGTCACCCCTCAACAGCTCTTATACCAAAAGAAGACCTTCAAATTCCAGTTTTGGCTCGCCGTTACGAGGAAGATCCAAGAACCCCAACTCTTTTGGTAATTTGGTTTCACATTCTACCGGTAATGTTAATTTTGTCAATGAGTCAAAAGTGCAACATCTCCATGAAAGCGCTATTAGCTCAACAAAACCAAAGGGTAGATCCTTGTCCCCTAGGGTGCCGTCTAGCTACGATATGGTTGTTGAAGAAAGTGAAAAAAGTGAAGAGAGCGAATTTTCTGATGATGATTTCATTCAACAACCAACTATAGGTGATCATGGTAACAACTCTACTCTGAGATTACGGCTGAGAGTATTTGGTGACAGTCGTCACAGTAGTTTTAATAATAGAAGTGTTAGAAATAGCTCATTTCTTGGTCAATCTAATCACAATAATTCATTATTAAGTGCTGGTAATGGGAGCCAAACCAATAATTTTGCATCTGGAAGTTATTCTTATAAAAACAACAATGAGCCATTCTTGTTACCGGATCATGCCAGCGCTTCATTTATTTCATCTAACAACGCTAATGACTCGAAAATGTCATTCCGTGACCAAATTCAGACTAGTCCAACTTTTGGATCACAATCTTTGCATAATTATCATAAACCACAGAACTTTGGGAATCGTGCAGCGACCTTGAATTTATCTGAGTTTCCCAATAATGTTCCTGGTTCACGTACTTCTTTTCCTGGTTTCGCCTATTCCAATTCCCATTCGCATTCAATGAGTCGCTCACACCGTCCAATGTCACATCAGCCTCAAGAAGATATTTCATATATTGAAGGTTTTGATGAAGTTTTGCCAAGCCAATTGAATAGCTCATCACAGCCAGAAAAATATGATAATTTATTCATTGACATGAATAGAAGTTTTGACTATACTAAAATTGCACAATCTCAATTGCAAAACGCGGTCATGGGAAATAGCAGCCGTCATGGTACTTTTGGTACCAATCAGGAACAAATAGATGTTCAAAACTCTAGTTTCAGTGGCAATAATAATTCAATTTCGAGTTACTCGCATCATAAACAACAACAGCAACAACTCAAGAACATTGAAGCATTGGAAAGGCTTAAGTCTCGTGCAACTTCCAGAGCAAATTCAAGAACCGCAACTTTCACATCAACGACCTCTAACCCAATGTCTGTCAATTCGAGATCACTAAATACATCACAATCACAGCATGCTAATCCTGGCTATAGCAATCGTCATTACAAATTACCTTCTTCTTCGTCAACTGAATTCCCAAATTCTGGGGCTTCTGGCTCGATGGTGGGTAATCGCGAACATGATAGCAGTTTTTTGGCTCCTAATCAACAGCTATATTCTCATTTGAGATTTGCCAATAGCAATCCCGCATTCAATAATCATCCTGATAAATCGTGGAATCACAATTCAAGTTACAGAGAGAATTTTGACAATATTTATGAAACCAGTGGTAGTGAAAGTTTGATTGGTAATAGTATTGGACATCTTTCAAGTGGGAGAGCTCGCCCTCATTCTGTTTTGTTGACTAATATAATGGGGGGAGGCTCAAAATATGGCTCTCGAACATCATCTTTCATAGAAGATGATAATTTTAAGGGACGTCATTCTTTTGAGGATAGTGCTGTTGCGGATAAGAGAAATAGCTTGAGGTTTTAATTTGGCTTCTCATTATGATTGATTTTTCCTGTCTTGTTTGAAGTAGAAACGTTACGGTTCATGATAAAAAACTATATTATATATCTGCAGAGCAGGATTCTTGGTTTTCTTTTTGCATGCTTCATTTTTATCAAAGCTACTAGATCTAAGTTCTACTATGTTAGCAACTCATTTAATCACAAAATAATTTTCTTTCTTCCCTTTTTTTATATATATATATAATTATTATTTCGTTTTCATTACAAATAATTGCTTCATTGCTCAATCGCTAATAACTAATATACATTTGCATTTCCCTTTCAAGTTCTCTCTTCATTCACCGCTTTCTCGAATCATTGATATGTAACAATAAAACAAATTTACAAATTATTATGAAATAAATGAGAATATATTTAAACAGGATATGTACAAGTACTTTTTACTATTAACGTACGCATTAAAAAAAAAGTTTGGTTTCAAAGACACAAGTCGAACCCAAAAAGATAACAATCACCCAAATTCGATCGTCATTTTTCTTGCCTCTTAAAAACATGAAATTATATTGGAATGATTTTGATGTTTTAATTATAATTTTTTCCTTTCCTGCAAAGTAATAAAGGGCCACAATACAATTCAAGTATTATTGGAGAGTCATTATTTCAATGTGGAATTTTTTGAAATTTTAATACTTCAATGCCTCAAATTTAAAACATTTGGAACAAAATTACAAGCTAGAAGCAATTAAATCATTCAAGAACAACCTTGGCACCAACGGCTTCCAAAGCCTTCTTGATCTTTTCAGCATCTTCCTTGGTGACGTTTTCTTTCAAAATTTTTGGGGCAGCTTCAACAAACTTCTTACTTTCGACCAAACTGAGTTCTAACAAACCCTTGACTTCCTTAATGATCTTTGGCTTACTCTTGGCATCGAATGATTCGAGCTTGATGTTGAAAATTGTCTTTTCTTCAACTTCTTCCTTTGGTTCAGCGGCTTCTTCAGCAGCAGCTGGAGCAGCGGCTGGGGCAGCCCCACCAACTGGGAATGAGATGTCTGGGATGTTAAGTTTTGTCTTGAGTTCGCTGATGAGAGATGAGGTTTCAAGAAGGGTTAATTTGGAAATTTGGTCGACAATATTGGAGATTTTTGGGTCAACTGGGACAGCTGATTCAACAGCTGGAGCAGTAGAGTTGTAACGCAAAGCAGTTCTTGGAATTCTGGATAGGAGCGTTAGTAAGAGAAATTGATTTCAATTAAAGGTATACCAAAGATAATTTGCATAATTCACTCAGATAACGATTGTAATATTGAAAGACTTTTTCTTAAACTAGATCTTTAGTTAAATAAACAGGGTGCACATACCTAGCCAAAACTCTAGAGTTTCTGCAAGCAACACGAGCAACAGAGTACATTATAGAATATTATTTGGAGTTTACTAGGGCGTGATATCGACTATGGATGATCTAATCGGCGGTAGTCCAATTATTTCTTTGTTGTCCATCCAAATATTGGAAAATTTTGAAGATTTTTCTGTTATGGTAACAGCATATTACCCTGTCGCATCCGCGCTCGAGATTTTTTTTTTTTTTCTAAACAATTGGCGAATTATATATGTGTCTGTATGTGGTAAATAAACAACGGAATAGGCCAGGCAGTAATACCTTAGAGTGGCATTTATATCAGTTTGAAATCGCCAATATGACCTCGTTCAAGTTCTGTTCTGATTGGTACGTGTGATTTATTGGATTTGTGCTTTTATTTTCTTGATATTAGGAGGCTTTACTGACCACACAAGCTAGTAATAATATGTTGTATCCAAAAGAGGATAAAGACAACAGTCGACTTCTTTTCAGTTGTCGTAACTGTCATTATACAGAGTTGGCTGATGACCCAAAGGTGTATCGTCATGAACTTAAGGCCGATATTGGGGAAACTGCTGGTGTGATTCAAGACATTGGGAGTGACCCAACCCTACCGAGAAGTGACAAGGAGTGCCCATACTGCCATGCGCGCAACTGTGTGTTTTTCCAATCACAAATTAGACGAAAAGATACTAGCATGGTGTTGTTCTACGTGTGTCTTGATTGTAATAGAACATTCAAGAGTGCATGAGGCGTTGTGCTGGGCAAACAAGCAAACAAACAAACAAACAAAAATTGTATTATAATTAATGAGTAAGTGAAGATTACATGTTATAGTGTTTAGTATATCTTTTGTGTGTGTCTGTAAGTGTGAGCATTGCATAATCATACTTGACGCCGCATGATAGATCACTGGGTAATCTACTTATCACGTGTGTTGCTGTCACCCGGTGTTGTCTATCACGTGTTATGTCCTTTTGGTTCTGTGCCCTGTTGGTGCTTCGCTAGCTGCCGCACCCCCTTCATTGTACCCCTGTTAATGACGGGGTACCTCACCCTGTGTAGGCGGCCCCGACGTGAAATTCACTGTTAGAAGCCAACTTTTTGCAACAATCATCCATCCCGGCCAGACCCATCTTAACTTACAATTCAATAACATTGTATCTTAATTGTGACCCACACCACCTAAAGGTTTGGTTCTGCTCTGTTCCAAAATATTAAGGTCTCTCCAAATCCAGTACTCGCACATTGGGTACGGTTTGATCATTGTCTCGCCTCGTATGCTGCTTACCTCCGTCCACGATTTGTGTTGCTCCTAATCTAAGCACTATTTCTCATCGCGACGTTTCGTCAACTCATACAATATCACCATCGATAGTTGCAATTGTATACTTTATATTAACTCTATCAATATGAATTTCCAAGAACCGCAACAACAGTCCTCATCTCAACCTCAGCATCCACAGCAGCAGGGATATGCCTCGTACCAGCACCACGATGTCATTCCAGCACAACAACAGCAATCAGCAAATCAACAACAACAACAACAACAACAACGACCAATTGAGATCCCGCGTATTCCAACCTATCAAGAGCTCCAGGCTCAGGCAAAGATTCGTGAGCAACAACAACATGACAGCACCACCATCTCATTCTTACCTAAAAAATCATCTATCACTAAGGGGAAATATGCCCTCAAAGACTTCCAAATTATGAGAACCCTTGGTACCGGCTCATTTGGAAGAGTTCATCTTGTTCGCTCAATTCATAATGGTCGGTATTATGCCATCAAAGTTCTCAAGAAGGCCCAAGTTGTCAAAATGAAGCAAGTGGAGCACACAAATGATGAGCGGAAAATGCTTAAACTTATCGACCATCCTTTTATCATTCGAATGTGGGGGACTTTCCAAGACGCAAAGAACTTATTTTTAGTGATGGATTATATTGAAGGTGGTGAATTGTTCTCTTTACTCAGAAAATCCAAAAGATTCCCTAATCCCGTGGCTAAGTTCTACAGTGCCGAAGTGCTTTTGGCGTTGGATTATTTGCATTCTCATAATATTATTTATCGTGATTTGAAGCCGGAAAATATCTTGATTGATAGATATGGTCATATCAAGATTACCGATTTTGGGTTTGCCAAAGAAGTGACGTTCTATACTTGGACATTATGTGGGACACCTGATTATATTGCTCCAGAAGTTATCACCGCCAAACCTTACAATAAATCTGTTGATTGGTGGTCACTTGGTATTCTTATTTTTGAAATGCTTACTGGGTACACTCCTTTCTATGATAAGCAACCAATCAAGACATACGAAAAGATCCTTCAATCAAAAGTCCACTATCCTCCATTTCTTGAACCAGCAGCCGTTGATTTGCTCATTAATCTAATCACTCCTGATCTCACCCGTCGTTTAGGAAACTTGCAAAATGGTGCTCGTGATATTAAAAACCATTCTTGGTACACTGAGGTTGTGTGGGACAAGTTGTACGCAAAAGACATCGCTACCCCATATGAACCTCCTGTTGCTGCTGGGGTTGGTGATAGTAGTTTATTTGACTACTATCCTGAAGGCGAATTGGATTATGGTGCCACTGGTGAAGATCCTTATCTGAAATATTTCGAAGACTTTTAAGGAAATATTAGAATGGTTTTGGTTTCAACTTTCAGTGAGTTGTGAAACCTTCGATCCTCATGAACCTTGATTATTTATGATATTCAATGACCATTGTTTTTTTGCATCATTTTTCTTTCTTTGTTTGTTTCTCTTCCTTTCTCTTTGTTTTTTCTCCTATCTCTTTTTTTTTTTTTTTCGTTATCACTATCATCATTTTATAAAAAATTGAAGCTGATATTTTTATCACTTAATTACTGGTCTCGGATATTACTAAGTTATCAATATTGTATCTAGAGTGTACTAGAAGCCTAGAGCACATTAGATCAAGAAAAAACAAATAAAAAAAATATTAAAAATAAAGACAAAAAAAATAAGAGCAAATTGAAATCAAGCAGTCTGATTTATCAGATAAGTACAATTCTCATTCCTCTTTTGCGGGAATTACCAGCAAAATATTGACTCTCATGCTCAAATGCTTTTTTTTTTCTATTCGTTTCTTTCATAATCACTTCTGTTTTTTTGTTCTAAATACAATGGTTTATTCAGTATGGTATATTTGTAGATCTTAAACTTTTCTCAACATGTCAGGATATTGAGTATTTGTATTTCATTTCTTATTAATTGCATACAGTCATATATATATATATCGTCATAACAATTTTAATTTCCTTAGAGAAATTATGGATATCAACATGATATGATGTTTGTCACTTCATTACATGTATCGAAGCAAAAGCTAACGAGGATTTCTTGTCCACATCAATATGATTTATTATTGTTATTTAATCACAAGAGGAAAAAGAAAAAAAAATTGCCAAAACCGAAAATAAACTATTATACAGGAGTACAGACTGCTAAAAGTTTGAATTGAATTCAAATTCTAATTATTGTGTCATGTCAGAGAAAAGAAAAGAGAAAGAAGACGATGAATTAAAAAAAAATGTCATCATGCGCTCTTATATTTTTTTCTCTTTTCAGCGGCATAGCTCCAGCTCTTGCTAACTCCAGCAGTAAACACACCTTTTATGGATTGTACTATACTTGGATACAAGATAGTATCGCTCAATGATTTCAATACTAAGTCATTCAAATGCTCACTCTGAGAAATTTCTAAAGCCAAAGGATCAGCAACAAATTCTTCAGAGGTTGAGTACTGAGAAACATCAGTTGAAATCGGGGTGTTTTTCTGCGAGATTGCGAGAGCAGTTGAAAATGTGGTCGCTGTTTGGAAGACATCAGAGAACTTGGCACGATTGGTGCCGTCTAAGATTGCCTTGGATGTAGTTGAAATTGGAGAATTAGTGTTAGGGTTAGAAGACAAGTATCTCTTATAGAGTCTTGTTTTAAAACTGGATGGTAAGTTCTCAATAATGAAAGCCTTGTAAATTGGAGAATCATTTATCTGGAAATTTTGGCTTGAAGCGTCGGTGAAGGAAATAAATTCATCGAATTTAAAAATATCAAGGAGTGGTGCATAGAGTTCCTTAAATTCTTCATTTTGGGCAGCGACAATATTTTGAACCTTTTTTGGATTTTCACCGCCAATCTTCGTACGAATGTCGCCTTGGTAACTTAAGCCAGCAACTGCTTCAAAGAGTTGGGCAAGCGTGAATTGTTTCTTTTCAAGATTTTGACTGGAAAGTAAGAGCAATGATACACCGGCAGCATTTCTGAGATTTTCTTGATTAATAAATCTTACTCTTGGATCATCTCTAATAATCTTAACCGGCTTATGCAATCTACCAGCCAAGTACATATTGTCCCAGCTAAGTAAGTCGCTCACACATTTCTCTATTGAAACAACCCCATACTTCACCAACTGATCACCAACTTTCACATAAGGATTGAAGTAGACCCCTGGTCCCATATTTTCCACTTTGGATATGAAATCTGATCCAAATCTTTTTAAAAATGAATAGTGACCTTCATTACGATTCAAGTTCAAGGAATGGAAATGGTCCGGGAATGTGGTGGCCATTATCAAATCGGTTTGCTTATTAGCGCCATTATTATTCTGTTGCTTGAATACGTTGGACCCATAAGCAAAACAATATTTCACAGGAACGTTTCTAAATTTCTTCATGATTTCTCTCAAGTTCTTGGCGGTCTCTGGATTTTTTAGCTTGATATTTTGATTCAATGCAAAATTGATTGGCAAGTAGTTGAAGTTCTTGAAAGTTTCAAACTTAGTATCCTTCTTGTTAGCAATCAAGTAGTTCTTCAACTGTTTGGCAGTATCTAGTGGGGAAATCTTCGAGGTCAAGTATGTCGATTCCAAAGAATTTAGGGTGATCTTCTCGTATTTCTTGAAGGCGTTATCTAATAATGAAAGGTCTAAGTTGTTTTTCATTAGGGTTTGGTCTTCTTCAAACATTTTTGGAAACTTCCCGCTATTCATATTGAGCTCGCCACTGTCAACTTTCCTTGAGGTGTCAAGTGGCATGCTATTTTTATAAACCCATTTAGACTGCAGAAGATGAGTTGGAGAAATGGTAGAGAAAGATCTGAGAGCGCTTCTAGTTTTCAACATTTTAAGAAAAGACTGATAAATGATTTCTTTGATAAATATATGTATGTGTGTGTAGTGATAGATAGTATTACAAAATGAAAATAAAAATATAAACAGAAACTAAAGAAATGGAGGTTGAGAGTGACAGGATGAGGAGAGATGTTCAGCTTTTATTTTATTTTTTTACCAGCGGCGGTTGGTGGGAAAAATGTATGCACGATGATGGCCGGATGTCACGTTCGGCCGGGGGCAGGCCTAGACTGTTGCGGAGCAAAGCTGGGGCAGTGTATATATGTAAAAATTACAATCACAAGTGAAAATGTGTACATTGTAACAACAATATTTACTTTGCATCCCAAATGGTGTTTGCGCCAACTTGCTCAAATTCCTTGGTATGGAGTGTGTAGAATGCATTGCCATATTCCGCTAGCCACTGAGCATCAACTTCCGTCACATAACTCATGTACTCCTTCGTAGTCAAAATCAATTCATGATAAATCACGTACTTTGGTAAGTCACCTAGTCCAAATAATGAACTGGTAGGATGTAGGTTTAATTCAAGCCCTGTTTTCAAGTTGGTGTAGCGACCAAATGCTTTGGCTTTTGCTGCTTGATGGAAATACCCGGAGCAAATACATTTTCGGATATTATCCCAATCAGTTCCCACAGATCTAATTTCTAACTTTTGTTGGTTCATGATTATTGTAAGCTGAGAGCGAATATCTTTAGCTCTTCTAAGTGACTTAGAGTGAAGGAAATGTTTAGTACACCAGTGGCTAGAGTAATTGTTGGCCTTCCATTGAGAATAAACATTGAGCAATGTCAAATGATCAGATTCCGGAACAAAGAACTTTTCTCTGATTGCATCTGATTCGTCTTGACGCTCCTTTGGACGATAAAAAACATTGGGTACCGAAAGCATTGATACGATAGTAATCATCTCTTCTGAGCACCCGAGCTCAATGCTATTGATCAAAAGTTTGGATAACGATGGTTCCATTGGGAATTTTACCATCTTCCTGCCAAGTTCCGTTAATTCTCCCTGATTATTCAAAGCTCCCATACTCCAAAGTTCATATAGTGATCCAATGATTGTCACATCTGGCGGGGCATCCAAGAAAGGGAATTTCTTGATATCATTCACCTGAAGAGACTTCAACATCAACAATGTGTTGGCAAGATTTGTTCTTTGAATTTCCGGAATAGTTTCTTTGTATAGCTCATGTTTAGCTGCTGATTCGGTGTAGAGTCTATACGCAACCCCCGGAGCAGTTCTACCAGCTCTACCTGATCTTTGATTGGCATTGGCAAGTGAAATTGGCGCCACTTGTAAAGTATCCATACCCATTTTACTATTGAATATTTTGATTTTATAGTACCCTGCATCAACCACATACTTAATATTATCAATAGTCAATGAAGTTTCAGCAATATTGGTGGCAACAACCACTTTTCTAACCCCTTTTTTGGCACGATTAAATACCTTAGTTTGCAAATCAGCTGGCATTTGGGAATAGATTGGCAAAATTTGATAAGCAGGAATTTCTCCAACTCCATCCTTGTCATTTTCTTTACCCACCAATTCCTTGAACTTTTCATCCAATACTTCACAGCAAGTATCAATGTCCATCTTACCAGTTAAAAACACCAATATGTCACCAGGGCCCCTGGTCAAGTGAATAGTTAAACAGGTTTTCACACAACTTTCGATATAGTCTTCAGGAGTACTTCTCGAGTAAAAAATATCCACAGGGAAGGTTCTACCAGGAATTGTAAACTGGGGGGCATTGCCATAAAATGCTGAAAATTTGTCTGCGTTCATAGTGGCTGAGGTTATAATGATTTTCAAGTCCATTCTTCTAGATAAAATATCTTTGAATAAGCCAAGTAATATATCAGTGTTCAATGTTCGCTCATGGGCTTCATCAATAATTATGCAACTATACTTGCTCAACGTTGGATCAGTCAAAGTTTCTTTCAACAAGATACCATCTGTCATATAACGGATCACAGTTTCATCACTGGTGAAATCTTCAAATCTAATGGAAAACCCTACCTTCGTTCCTAGTTCACATTCCATTTCCTCACTAACTCTCTTCGCCACAGACATTGCTGCCACTCTTCTGGGTTGTGTACAACCAATCATTCCCCACTTACCATAGCCATGTTCGTACAAATATTGTGTAAGTTGTGTAGTTTTACCAGAACCAGTTTCACCAATCACAACAATGAGCTGATTTTCATCGATGACCAGAAGTAGTTTATCACGCACTGTGAATGCTGGTAGAAACCTCCTCTGTTCCTTGAGAGTCAAATTTTTGGCAAAATCACTACTTTCACTATCCTTAAGATCTTCATCTTCCATATTTTTCAAGCTGTTAATGAACTTATTGTTATTTTCAATGTCTCCTTCGTCGTCCAGTTCATTAGCGCCGCCATCACTATCATTCAGTCCAATTATATGGCTGAGCGCAGTTCCTGAAATGCTAGTAGCATCTCTTGCCTGTTTCTTCTTTTCTTTGGATTGCATTCTTTCTTTGACCAATGCACTACCCTTTCTGGAAAATACTGCCATATCACTCTCTGGGTCTCTAAATGGAGAAACTGGGCCCTTTTTGGCATTGAGCTGGATCTCCTCATTGGCCAAGAAATCCGGGGTATTATAATGGACAAGAATTTCAGAATAACTATCTCTCAAATCTGAGTTAAAATCTAGATCAATCAATTTTCGTTTCATGGCACCCGAGTTCAACATTCGATTATTTTCCCAGAGGTCGTTAGCTTCGCTTCGTGATTTCTTTTCTGATGACATTCTCTTGACGGCATTCATTTTCATTCTTACTTCTTTTTCCTCATCATATATTTGATTCTCAAGTCCAAGCCCAAACGGATTGTGCGATTCATCTCCAAAAGTATGACCTAGATCATCGCCAGCGTACCAATCTCTATCCTGTTCCAAATTATCTTCAGCATCGCTAACTTCATCTATAGCATCAGTATTGTCATTTGCAGTTGCATGCCTTTCCTGTCGCTGCCTTTCCCTCTCTGCAAGTTGTTGTAGTTTTGGTTTTTTCGGAATACTGTTTTGTTTAGAATACGAATTCACCTCATCTAAAGTGTGTTTGTTGGATGTTGGATAATTCTCATCGGAATGGTGTTTCTTGGGCACTACTTTATCTTCATCTTCATCATCCTGAAAATCTAACATCACGATCTTTTTCTTCTTTGTAAGGCCATTACTTAACCCATTTTGTGTAGCTCGTTTAGTTTTCTTCTTTTTAAATTTGAGTTTGGGTAATAGACTAAGTTCCTCTCCACTATCACTCATTATTTCTTAGAAAAGTACGTTAGACTTCTAATGGTGGTTCAATCTGGATAACAGTAGCTCATCAGTCAAAATTTCTAGACCGGCTTCACTCACCGTGCACCTAACCAAACAAAAAATTCTGAAGCCCTCGGAATCAGTATAAATCCAAATTTAGCACAAAAATAAAGCATGTTTCTCATTAAATTTCTGGATCATCGGTCTATTTCTTTCTAGTTTTAAGATTTACAGGGGAATAAAATATAACAGGACTGCTGGAAGATGAATGTAATGTCTTTATGCTACGAAAACCGGGTGAGAAAGGATTTATTAATGTTGTATTTATTGTCAAGCTCTTCACCCTAGAAAAAAAAATAAAAGGAAAGAGGAAATATAACATTATTGAAGATATTTCAACTGCTGGCTTTTATTATTAACTCATCCATTAGAAGACTCAGCTCATGGCGTTATTATAATTCATTCATGGTCATGGTGAGACCAATTGGCACGCGCCAGCGCACACGCTCCCAACCAGTGGAGGGTAAGATTTTGGAGATTGTCAACATTTGAAAAAAATTTGTAAGTGGTGATATACACTGACGGTCAAAGAAAAAGACACAATCCTATTGCCAATATAAATAGGTTCATTAAACCATGTTCAGTCAAATTATCAAGTCCGGAATACAGTCACAGAAGCGTTCAGTGTCCACTGAAAGTCTTCCAAAACTTGCTGTGAAGAATAAGTTCAAATCAAGAGGTTCAGCATTCAACTTCAAACCTCAAAAAGTCGAGCCAGGAGTTTACCATCAACCATCTCCATCCATCCCTTCGCCTTTGCAGAAAACCCCAAATGCTTTCTTGCCAGCTTCTGACATTAGAAAGTCTAGTTCTTCTGAATACACTGCTGAAGATGTTTCATACATGCCACCATTGTCCAGTGTAAAGGAAAAGAAGTACCATTTGACCGCACAACAAATTGAAGAAATCAGACAGCTAAGAAACAGTGATCCATACACCTACACCAGAAAAGCATTAGCTAAGAAATTCGATTGCTCGGAGTTCTTTGTCAGCTTAGTTGTTGATTGCCCACCAGATAGACTTAAGGATATGGCAGGAAGATTGGATACCATTAAATCTACATGGTCCGTTAGAAAGAAGGAAGCTAAAAGCGACCATGAAAAGAGAAAACAAAACTGGTACCGTAATGCTTAGTTCTGGTTTAATTGGGAGGGTCATGTTTCTGTGTATATACATTTAGCATATAATATAAATTCTGTATTTGTTCTGTAATGATGCGGATCGACATGTAAGTTACATAAAGCAATTTTTCGTTCTCTTTTCAGGAATCAAACGTATATTTCATAAAAACAAAATAAAAAGATAAAATTAAAAATAAATATACAAAAGTAGTACATAATATATTTTCCCATTTTGAGGCAACTTAAACACGCAATTCCAACTCTGGTCTCTTTGCAATTCTCTTCTTCTTACCCTTATTCACAGATTGTTCAAAACTGTTAGCATCTTTCAAATCTCTTCCAAAGTTGTCCAAATCCTTCACTTTGTAAATTCTAACAATCCAGTTTTCACTGGTGAACGCTTCTTCAAGAACATCCAATTTTGGAGAGCTTGCTTGGGACAATCTTTGGTTTCTAACTCTGTCAGTAGCTTCTTGGCCACCAAATAATTCAACAAAATTATAGTAGGACATCTTATACATCAATGAGTTCTTCATGGTGTCGGTGGCAAGATCATCAATTCTATACTCGCCTCTTGGGGTGAAGAAGTTCTTTTCTTTGACTTCATCTGGCCAAATACCTTCGGCAATTCTCACCATCCATAAATATTTATTGATATCATCACCTGAATAACCCAATAACCCACCAAAGATGATTAACACGTAATCAACGTCGTGTTTTTTCAAAATTTCGTAAGAGACGTCTTCTGAAGAACACATAGCTTTACCAACGGTAGCAATATGGGTGTTGTTCCATGTGTTGTTATCAACCAAGGTGGTTCTGTCGGCCATACCACCGATTTGATAACCATAATCCCACCATGCCATAACCTTAGCATCGTCTGGAGTGTTCATTCTAAGCCAGTAATAAGCTTCACGGTAGTCATCAATCAAATGTTGAGAACCATCAGGGTTTCTAGATGCCAACACCACAGATGGGGAACTGTATGCGTTGGAGGTCACCCATGTACAGTGGTAAACAAAGTAGTATAAGTAGAAGCAGAAAGAGCAGACAACTGTAAGTTTAGAGAAGAGCTTAAGAGATCTGGACTTGAAAGCATTGACAGTCTTATCTTGCTTCAAAACATCACGGATATCTAAATAGATATCAAATAGTTTAGAGATGGCGATGGCAGCACTGACACAAATAATTGGGGTCAAAGTCAACATCAAACGGACCATAACACCGGCAAAATATGAACATAAGACAGAGTAAACAATGACAAAAATGTGCTCGTTCTTCAAGTCTTGGAACAACAAATAAACACCGACTGGGAATAACCAAATTAAGAATTGATTGTCGAAGAAGAAAGCTGGCCAGGCAGTAGGTTGATGCTCCGACACAGATGCAATAATTGGAATGTGGATCTTTGCGTAATTAGTATCCCATAAAGAGTAGAATCTACCGGTCCATGGTGCAATATAACCAGCGTAAGTCAACCCAACGAGACCAACGAGACCCACGCCAAACACTAAAGTGACTGAAGCAATCAAGAAAGCCTTGAATTGTTTAGAAGGAATTTGAGATTTCACATAGTCTCCAAAAGCCACTAATTGCAACAAGCCAAAGACACCCAATGCACTCATGTGGTCGTTAGATCTGATTGGCAAGAAACCAACAAAAGGAATTTGCATAGAGGCAATAGTACCCAAGGCATACCATGTAGTGTAGGCGGTATAAAGTTTATGGTTGTATCTGCCCATCAAGAGTAATACGAACACATGTAATGGAATCAAGTTAGTGATGAAAACATAGCCACCCCAGGCACTAACCATGTAAAAATATGATACAGCAGCGATTGAAGCATAAAACAAAGACCCAGTCTTTTGAGATTTGATCCAAAAGAAGAAAGTGGCCATCAACAAAGTGATTGCAATGGCTTCGTTATCGTATGAACCGGCGACGGATCTAGAAATGTAACCTGGAACGATCGCAATAAATGCGGCTGCCAACAAACCAGCGGCAGAATCTTTCATTTCAGTAGTCAAACAGTAAGTGAAGTAAGCAGTCAAGCCACTGAATACAGGGGCCAACAACACACAAATGTTTCTAATGTCAATTGGTAGAAGGAAAATTTCTCTCAAAGAATGCCATATCACGCCGGAAGTAACCATTAAACCAGGGTATAAAGTCCCACCAGTGACTCTACCCAATGGATACCAAGTTCTGTCATCGAACCAGTTTAAGAATTCATAAAATGAGTTGTTGACCAAATATTTGGTTGCTCTGAAATTGAACCATGGATCGAATTCATGAATTATCGATTCAAACCGTATCACAGAAAACAATCTTGATGATATACCAGCAGCGGCAATTGATACAAAGATCACAATTTTCAATAGAAAAAGGATATTCTGTAACGTGGATTTATTAAGAGTTTTACCCAACATTTTTCTTGTGATTGAATAGTGGGCTATATTGTCTCGATATTTCCAATCGGTACTGAGGACTGCAATTCATTTATCGAGGTGGGTAAAGGCTGAATTTTTCATACTTCAAAACACTTGTCAAAAAAAGCGATAGAAATAGTCACGTGCATTACTCTTCCAAGCCGCGAAATGGGACCTCCTCCAAATGATCTAGTATTTGGACCAGGCTGTTGAATAATATGAAGGGTGGGGTGTAAAAAGCAGGGCACAGTGTATTTCTCTTTGTATTTTTGTTTGTAGATATTAGCTCCTTGAGGGGTATTGTTAGTATTTTAAGGAAAAAAGACGCGTTTTTGTGTTTAGATAAATAAGTATCAATTTGATGCGGCTTTTAACTTGAATATATAACTAGATAATTGACGTTTTTGAGCCATCAAATCATACCAATATATGAGTTTATCATCTCTTACCATTATCATATATTTAATACTTGAATATTCTAGGGGTATCCAGAATTAATTTCACGTAAGATGGCAGAAAGATTAATGAGTGTAGAGGACCAGCGTGTATACTTTGGGATTTTAAATCTCCATAGGGGAAAATGTTTTGTAAGCATTACATTTACTCAATTCTAAAGTCATAAATAGAACATATACACTTTTCTTTTTTTTTTTACGCATTGAATAAAACGGGCTTTCTGCTATTACAAATGCTGTGTAATCGATCTTTCTTCTTGTCACCAAAAGTGAAAATTCAATGATGTCGTCATAAAAAAATCACTCCTTGTCTAAATTCATTTATAATCCTAATATTTATAGAGTGCTAATATCCGTTATTTGGCTTCATTCAATTTGAATTCAGTAACCCCATTTTCACAGTTATATTGTTGAGGGTATTTTTTGATGAAGGATGGAATTGAGTTTCTGCTGCCTGTCCCAAAAAAGAAGGAAAATACAGATCAAGAAAACAAAATATTTGGGAGGAGAGCCCTCGATTAGTGTTTGGAATATATATTGGAAGATAGATAATACCAAAGAAAATAACACTCCTCATTCATGTGCAGTCGAGTTTATGTGTTTGCAACATCATAACATGTCCGTATTAGGCATACTGAAGACTTAAACTGCCAAATCAATGTGCTATAAGTTGAACACAGATCAATTGAAGAAGAATTTCCCCAGATATTCATTCTTATTAAATGAATATTTTTTATATCTAATAAAGAAATAACTAACCTACATTAGGTTCTTTAACTTACAGTCGATTTGCTACACGCGTAATAAATTTAGAAGTGCAGAAAAAGTATCCTTTTAGATTTGTTATTTATTTAGTAACAAATATAAAAGCAGATACAGTAATAATAGTGATATTTTATTTTCAATATCTACCTGTCAATTATGAACATACAGTTAAATCATATTCCGTCCCAAGTTATGGTATAACTATTACAATTATCCGCTTATATTTCAAAGATGCAAATTACATCCAATAGTGAGAAAGAAGAAAAAAGAAAATGAAACAAGAAAGGCAAATGAAACAAGAAAGGCAAATGAAACAAGAAAGGCAAATGAAACAAGAAAGGCAAATGAAACAAGAAAGGCAAATGAAACAAGAAATCTTTCAAGAAAATGCACAACATTCAAATATCATCAATATCTAGATCGTCTAATTTATCATCCTCCTCATCTTCCGAAGCAGCGCCAAATTCGAATCCAGCATCGGCGTCTTCCTCATCATCAAAGGCAGCTTCATTAATCCTGGCATTTTCTGGTAATTCCCCAATGGACTTCAACTGTCTGGCCTCATCAATATTATACTTCTTGATTACATCACATTGGTCATCTTGGAAGTCCCTCAAAGAGACTAAAATAATGTCACCAACTCCAATCCAAACTCTTTTACGCAATTTCCCTCTGATATGAGCCATTCTTTTTATATCATCAAAGCATTGAGCTTCAAGACGGCCATTACCTAAAAGTTTCCCGACGGTGGCATATTCTTGGCCTTCATCTTTGACTTCTAACTCCCGCTTTTGCCCGTCACCGTCATTTTTTCCCTTTCTTCTATTTTTACCACCCTAAATTTGATGTTAGAAGGAAGAACTAGCTTTGAGATACAATATGAAGCATTTACTTTTCCTTTGCTTTTCGGCATATTGGCTAAATATTAGTTTATCTGTTTTTGATATGCTCTAATAATTCGCGCAAAAAAAAAAGAGCTGCCTCTATGTATTATGGTTTTTTTTTGACACCTTTATAAATTACCGTGCCACGTGAAATATACCGGAATGTTGTCGAGATTGAGGGGTTCTAAATACTGGTAAAGGGTTGCGATTAATATTCATTTATTTGATGCTATTTGTGAAGGAGTGCACTATTTCATATGTCACAGAACTCCAGGTGTTACAGTGATCATAAGGAATCAACGGGGATTCACGCACAATCCTGTCACGGATTTTAATTTTGTAACCAACAGGGTTTCAAATAGAGACACTAAATAAAAAACCATTGAAATGGTAATGTAAATACCTGATACAATATGTTGCTTTGCGAGTTATCTTACCTCACCATTTTCCTATAACATCTATTTGCAACAAGATTTGAGTACTTATCAAAGGTTCCCGATCAGGCTTAAAAGCGGTATTCTGTGCCTCATAACCTTTTTTTTTTTTTTTCTGTTGATTAATAACCGAAAAAAAAGGATATAACTTACTGCTTAATGAGTATCTCGAATATATGACTTTGTGCTTACTTCTTCAATTATAAGTAACCTACCAATTTTAACATCTAGAAATATGTCAAGCTTATCCAAATCAGTGTCAACATTGCCATCAAGAACCAAGGTTCTTGGATTGTATCACAACATGTTGAGAAGCTCGTTGAAGTTCGATAACTACAATTTTCGTGAATACTTTTTGAGAAAGACCAGGTATGAATTCCGCAAGAACATGGAATTGACCGAGGAAGACAAAATCATTGCTGCATATAACGATGCTGTGAAACAATTTACTGTGTTGAAGAGACAAGCCACGATATCAGAAATGTACCATTTCGATAAAACCGTGGTAGAACCTCAAGGCAAAGTTAGTGGCGCCGAAAAAAACTAGAATTGTTCAGTTAATCATTTTTTGTTGTTCTTCTTTTAATGATTTAATGATTGATGTTTTATGGGATTAATGGGGGGTGGCTATGCACCTATTTGGATCTTGATTGGAATTGAAATGTTGCATTACCTTCGCTAAATGATCTGGATTTGATAGATAGATAACGGGGACTCAGAAAATGTCCTAATTAAATACGAGGTTGAAAGTACATATTAGAAAGAGGGCCATTGCTTCACCAAGAAAACGTCCTGTACATATTTATCGTTGTCATTACTTTTATTGGTTATATTATTATTATTATAATTTATTGTTGTTGTTATTTCGGATGACATATTTAGTACATTAGTAAGAAATAGTGCGCATGAGATAAATATACCAGTAAAAATCCTTATTATTATGAGATTTCAGTATATCCGTTGATATATCTTTTACAAAACTCCATCATATCAAAGAGATGTGGTGCCTGCGTGCCTTTAGATTGACCCTGATCATCTGGTGTTGGGATGTATCAGGGTAACAATATTATTCACCCATACACCGACACGGGTGCTGTTAATCCAGCTATCCAATCAGAGAGTGAGGAAAGAGGAGAGGGTTAGAGAGCCCAGCTGCTTGATTTTCATCACCCAAAAAAAAATCCACGCTTTTTCTACAAAAGTCTCCAACGTTCATTCTTACTTTCTCTCATCAAACAACTTGTTTTGTTAAGAATATCTTCTTACAAGTCTTCATATTCCAAACAAGATGCTCTCAAGACAAATCTTAAGATCTGCCACTAAATTGGCCGTTGCCAACACTTCTCGTGTTGCCTTGAACAGAGTTGTATGTGTTGCACTACTACTATTCAAAGAATACCAAGATTCAATCATGAAAAATCAATACTTCAGTATTTCAATGGGAATAATTATTATCACCAATCAATATCCAAACGCATAATATGTGAATAGATAGAATAGCTACCAATAATTCTAAGCTGCCACAAATAGTGGAAAAAAATCAGACCCCCTTTTACACCCAATTGAAATTTTCCAAATGAAGTAATCTATGATTGAATTGCGGGATTCATTGATTTACTCACAAAGATCGTTTTAAATTATTTTACTAACTTTATTCAATAGGCTCGTCCAGCTATGATGGTTGCTGGCCGTCGTTTCGCCTCTGCCAAGGCTCAACCAACCGAAGTTTCCTCTATCTTGGAAGAAAGAATCAGAGGTGTTTCTGAAGAATCTAACTTGAACGAAACCGGTAGAGTTTTGTCTGTTGGGTAAGTATCTTGCTCAAAGATGGTGTGTATGTGTTGTGGCCTCTCACTACAGATGAAATTTTTCATCTCGCACGAGACGGTCAGTCACGATATCGTCTAATAAATTAGTATGGCCTCTGTGTGCAACATGAGTACTTGATTAAAAATACTTGGAGTGTTTACTAACAAATCATAGTGATGGTATTGCCCGTGTTTTCGGTTTGAACCACATCCAAGCTGAAGAATTGGTTGAATTCTCTTCTGGTGTTAAGGGTATGGCTCTTAACTTGGAACCAGGTCAAGTCGGTATTGTCTTGTTCGGTTCTGACAGATTGGTCAAGGAAGGTGAAACCGTCAAGAGATCCGGTAAGATTGTTGATGTTAACGTCGGTCCAGGTTTGTTGGGTAGAGTTGTTGACGCTTTAGGTGCTCCAATTGATGGTAAGGGACCAATTGAATCCGTTGGTACTTCCAGAGCTCAATTGAAGGCTCCAGGTATTTTGCCAAGACAATCTGTCTCTGAACCAATGCAAACTGGTTTGAAATCCGTCGACGCTTTGGTCCCAATTGGTAGAGGTCAAAGAGAATTGATCATTGGTGATCGTCAAACTGGTAAGACCACCGTCGCTTTGGACACTATTTTGAACCAAAAGAGATGGAACGATGGTTCTGATGAATCCAAGAAATTGTACTGTGTTTACGTTGCCGTCGGTCAAAAGAGATCTACTGTCGCTCAATTCGTCCAAACCTTGGAACAACACGATGCTCTTAAATACTCTATTGTTGTTGCTGCTACTGCTTCTGAAGCCGCTCCATTGCAGTACTTGGCTCCTTTCACTGGTTGTGCTATCGGTGAATGGTTCAGAGACAATGGTAAACACGCTTTGATCATCTACGATGATTTGTCCAAGCAAGCCGTTGCTTACCGTCAATTGTCTTTGTTGTTGAGACGTCCACCAGGAAGAGAAGCTTACCCAGGTGATGTTTTCTACTTGCACTCCAGATTGTTGGAAAGAGCTGCTAAGATGTCTGACAAATTGGGTGGTGGTTCTTTGACTGCTTTGCCAGTTATTGAAACCCAAGGTGGTGATGTCTCTGCTTATATCCCAACTAACGTCATTTCTATTACTGACGGTCAAATTTTCTTGGAAGCTGAATTGTTCTACAAGGGTATCAGACCAGCTATTAACGTCGGTTTGTCTGTTTCCCGTGTCGGTTCTGCTGCTCAAGTCAAGGCCATGAAGCAAGTTGCTGGTTCTTTGAAACTTTTCTTGGCTCAATACAGAGAAGTCGCTGCCTTCGCCCAATTCGGTTCCGATTTGGATGCCTCTACCAAGCAAACCTTGAACAGAGGTGAAAGATTGACCCAAATCTTGAAGCAAAAGCAAAACTCTCCATTGGCCTCTGAAGAACAAGTTCCATTGATTTTCGCTGGTGTCAACGGTTACTTGGACTCTGTCCCAGTTGCCAGCCTCGGTAAATTCGAAGAAGAATTCTTGGCTCACATGAAATCTTCCCACGGTAAAATCTTGGAAGCCATCAGAGTTGAAGGTAAATTGTCCAATGAATTGTTGGCTGAATTGAAGTCTGCTACTGAAAGCTTCGTCAGCACCTTCTAAGCATTTCGATTCTCCTTGTGTGCTACTTCCCGCCAACTACCTACTAAGTGACTAGTTTTGTTTTGTCAAATGACTTCTGAAAAAAAGTATTCTATTTTGTAGAGAATTCATGATCATATTAATATTAAGCAATAAAAAAAAAACATCATATTTATTATAAAAGTTAGATTTGGATTGTAAGTCTTCAAAATTCTTTCAATTATATAATTGCTGCGATGTAGCAGTTTCTAATTTGAATCTTATTACCCAAAAAGACTAAAAATATCGTTAACCAACAGGTCACCCCAATCATACCAGCGCACGGATGGTGGATGTTTCAGACACGGTCATGTGACCAAAAATAAAATTATTTTTCTGTAAAAGATGATCTGGCGCCTACCATAAAAAGTGCTTGGCAATGGTTAGCTGAGTTGAAAGCTGAACTGCGCATTCTGACAATCACTGTTTTGACTTGTTTTGTTGCTTGTTGGTGTCACTTCATTTGATTTCATTTTTTTCCCCCATTTTTTTGTCTGTCAGACATTGGCTGGGTTCTTTTGACGTGTACCTTCATCATATAACCGATTGAAAACCTGCGTCTCTATCTATACAGGTGTTATTTGAGAACTTTAAGGTGTAACCAATACCATGACCAACGGCACGGAGCCATCCCAAAGGCAGGATGATTTAGTTAATGAATTTGATGCCAGCTTATATCCCACAAATTCTGGGGCTACGTTTTCTGGAACAGACCACAGTTTATCTGAAGTGCACACTGCGAATTCAACTGCTACCACAAATACGTCCAACCCACTAGTTAAGGTACCACTGAAGGATTTTCCACCAGCTACAAGTGGAGCTTTAGCTGGATCCTCGGCACCATCATCTAGTAATGTAAATAAGGATTTGCCAAAAGCTTCTGTGGAGCTTTTAAATGAAGAGAAAATCAAGTTAATTTTGAATTCCGATAGTGCGCTCGAAGCATTATTGAAGAGATTAAAAGAAAGTATAACCAATTGTGAAGAATTTGCTAAATTTATCAAGAAGAAGGCAGCGTTCCAAGAAGAATATGACTACCAAGTAAGAAAACTTTCCAAAAGTACCTCTGAATATTTGAGACATAATGCTGCCAACTTAAGACAGGATTCCTTCACCAAGAGTTTCGAGCAAATTGTTGGTTTTGATGATAAATTGTATAGTGTTGGCTCTGCTTATGTGGCAGCTTTAAAAACTATGTCCGACGAATTATTTCAGCTATCTGCCACTATGCAAAGGCAAAGAAGGGCCCTAAAAGATGACGGCAAACGAAGAGAAAAAGAAGTTGCCGATGCGGTCAGTGCTGCTGAGAAGGCGAAAAGTAGATATGAAAATTTTTGTGTCGAATTGGATAAAGTTAGGCATTATGAACCAACAAGAAAATTCACCCTCAAGAACAAGACCACTAGTCAACAGGAAGAGGAATTGATGTCGAAAATTGAAATTGCTGATAAAGACTATGCATCGAAAGTCAACACTAGTAAAAGACTCAAGGAAGAATTACTCAGCACCCACAGACCAGCGGTTTCCAAGTCCTTAAAAGATTTAATTTTGGAAATTGACTTAGCAATGTGCGTTCAACTACAAAAGTATGCTACCTGGTGTGAGAATCTATTAATGAATTCGGGGGTTCTTATATCTCCACTTAGAAGTGACTCTCGTCAAGCATCAATGAAAAGTCTTGCTGCTTCGGTGGATAACGAAAAGGATTTGCATGATTATTTATTGAAATATTCCAATGCCGGACCGTCTAGAGCGTTACTTCCAGTTGATTATAAAGTTCACTCAGTGTTGACCAATACGCAAGCAAACTTCAATACTGCCTCCATGGGAAATAATGGTGGAATGACTTCCAGTGCAAGCGCAAACTCATTCACCTCTAATATCAAAAGATCGAGCTCAATATTAATGAAAAAGAATAAGATTAACACATCACCAGTACAGACTGCTGCATCGTTAAGTAAAGTGCAAGAAGATTCTAAAAATTCGACAAAAAATAATAGATATAGTTATATTAATACTGGTAATAATAGCGCAAGTATGGGTGGGGTTAGTGGAGGACAGACTAATACTTTGGACCCCTTTTATAATGGTGCAAATCCTACCTTGAGTGTCGCCAGTGATGGTGGCAATAGTTTGTTTTTGCATGAAAATCGGTCGCAAAGTGCTTTACCATCCAGTCAAGAATTATCAACAATTAAACCAATTAGTAACAGTGTACCAAAAATGTTTGGCGGGTCGATTGAAGAGTTATGCCTTTTTGAAAATGAATCTGTTCCATTGATTGTGAGAACCTGTATAAATATCATTGATAACTATGGGATTGAATTGGAAGGTATTTATCGAACATCGGGAAATAAAACCAAAATACACCAGTTGATCGATGCACTTAATATCGATCGTTCAATGATTGATAAATTGATCACTAATCCAGATCGTATCATTGATAGCGATATGTTTTGTATTGCATCATTACTAAAATCTTATTTTTCCCAGCTACCTCAAGCCTTGTTGACTGAACAATTATATGCAAGATTTGTTTCTGCAGTGAAGATTCCAGAGGTATCTCTTCGAAAAAAAAGATTGCATGAGGTTGTTTATGAATTACCAGATGCTAATTACTTTACTCTTAGGGCAGTGATATTCCATTTGTGTCGGATTGTTGAGAAACAAGAAATCAACAGAATGTCAGCGAGAAACTTGGGGATTATTTGGGGACCAAATTTATTACCACAAAATCATTTGAATAAGGAAGATTTAAATGTTCAAGGGTTGATTGTGGAGAATTTGATGTATATCGCGGCGGATATTTTTGAACCTGAAGGAAGTGAGTGATCATGGGGTGTTTGAGCTTCTCTTTTTTTGTGCATCTTTATTTTATTTTATTTTATTTGTTAATTTAAGGGACTGGTGTCTTTTAACTTTTCGTTTGTATTTTACCCTCTATTCAGAACAATACTTATGAGATCAATTTGTTTTTTTTTGTGTTGGCAAAAATTTTTCTATTTATTTGTATTTTTTCTTCTGAGATTGTTATCCCTCTCCTACAAAACGGTCATTATTGTTTTTTATTATTGTTGACTCTTATTTTCCCGTTATATGGATAGCCTCTTATAGTCAATAGTATTCTTTTTTTTTTTTTTTTTCATCTTTGTTCCTGATCTATAATACAAAAATGACCAAGTTTTCTATGCCTTTTTAAGCAGAGAGAGGCAACTTGTTCTTTCTCCCCTTATTATTGTTTTGCAAAAATTAATTACACAAATTTGATACATGTAGATGATAAAAGGTCAATAACAGGTGTTTATTAGTGAATGTTTATTTTTATTTTATTTTATTTTTTTCGTTTTTTTCTTTTTTAAAAAAATATCAGTCCCATTAAGAATAAACTACAACAAAAAACAAAAAATACAATAGAAAATACAAAGTGGGAAATTCCAATAGAAATGTCCATAATAAAAAAAAAAATAAGAAGGCAGCCAAAGGGAAAGAAAAGAGTAGAAAGGAATGTTTATTTCTTTCTTTAGATATACTATACTAAAGCTTAAGCGGTTTTTTGTTTTTTGGTTTCTGGTTCTTCACTAATATCCAAGGAATCGACCTTAGTATCAGCGACTGGAGCCACCACTGGGGTTTGGACATCAGCATGGTAGTCTTTAATGATAGAGTCAACATCGTCAATGTTCAATTGTCTAATATCAGCCAATTTCTTAATTTTGGCGGTGACTTCCTTGACTTGGGTATCAGAAAGATGCAAGTTCAATTGGTCAACTCTGGTCTTGATAGCGTTCCAACCGGTCAATCTGTGGGCGAAATGAATATATCTGGTCAACCCGAAATCGCTTGGGTTCAAGATTTCGTAAGTGGATGGGTTAGCCAAGATAGCCTTAGAGTGAATACCAGCCTTGTGGGTGAAGGCACAGAACCCGGTGATTGGGTTATTGAATGGGATGTTGACCTGGACGGCTTCGGCCACCAAGTTTTCCAAATCACGCAATTTGTGCAACTTGTATTTGGATAAAACGTATTCTCTGTCAGCGGCAATCATTCTGGCCATCAACCCACCAAGTGGGGTGATACCATTTCTTTCACCAATCCCCAACACAGAAACATCGATCAATTTGGCCCCCGCTTCCAAAGCAGTATAAGCGTTAGCAATGGCACAACCAGTGTCGTTATGGAAATGACATTCAATGTCACAGTGCACCACGGATTTCAAAGTTCTCACCAAGTCGTAAACTTGTCTTGGGTTGGCACCACCAACGGTATCAGCAATCCCCACTCTGTTCACCCCAATCTTGTCGACCGTTTTGTAAATATTCAACAAGTCAACAATATCCGATCTAAACGAATCTTCAGATGAGAAACGGATTTCAATCCCGTGGGATTTGACAAATTCAATCACTTCAACGGCAGCGTTGGTGATGTAGGTCATGTCTTTACCATGGGAGTATTCTCTAAGGAATGAGGAGGTACCAATGACGACATCAACACCATCGACCCCGGTTTCCACGGCAACTCTAGCATCGTCCATATGACATCTGATATGAGTCAAGATTTTGGCCTTCAACCCTAATTTACAAATCGCTTCACAGTCAGCTCTGGACTGTTCGGAAGCAACAGGAGAGGTCAATTCAATGTAATCCACCCCGAAATCATCGAGGGCTTTGGCAATTTCAATTTTTTTTTCGGTACTAAAGAAAGCGTTGGAAAATTGCTCACCTTCTCTAAGAGTCGATTCGATCAATTGGAATTTGGAAACATTCGACAAGAAATCAGCAGGGTTTGGACCATAAGGATTCGTTTGAGCTGGCTTAGATTGGGTTTCTTCGGATATTTTTTTAAAACCTTGGGCTTCAGGATTGCTCATTGTGGAATATTAGGATAAGAATAAGAATAAGAATAAGAATGAATAATAAATAATAAATATGGGAAATAATGTGGAAAGAATGGCCAATTACTTTTGGGTTTCCTTATGATATGTAATGATGATGAAAAACAAAATTTTCAAGATTTTTTTTTTTCCTGCTTTTTCGTGTTATTTATATATATATTTCAATAAGAGTCACAATAATGAAAAAAATTTTTCCTGTTTTGATTTCCCGTAAAATTTCACATTCAGTCAGTCAGCCTTCAAAAAATCTGCGATGACCGCCATGACTAATACTTCATCACTTATCGTTACCATCATCACCGCCGGTTTCATTCCGAGGGGAAGACTCATCGAGATTGCCCACTCTGATAAGCCAAACACAGGGCTCGGAAACTCCCGTCGTTGCGGTGGGGTCACGGGTGATACCGAGGGTAAATGTGTTTCCCGCACCCCTGGTATACAATAACAGAACGTTTTAGAATAAATGTGTAATAATAATAGTAATAAGTAAAAATATGAGTAATAGTAGTATATCTAAATAAATAACAACAGACCTTTTGGAAATAGCAAATGATGATTGATTCAATGAACCCATCATAGTGAAAACCTGCGAATAAAAAAGCAAATTTGAGGATCCAAGACTTCCTGGCTCTATAATATCAATTCTAGTTGATAGAAACCTCTTTTACGTTTTGTTTTCAAAACAATAGCAATAAAAATAAAAATAAAAATCATACAACAAGCTTGCCAGCCCAATCCAAAACTTCTAAACTGGCCACAACAATAACAATAGCGGTTGGTAATGTCAACACAACATACCCCCAGAACAAAACACTGGCCATCTCACGCTCATACAATCCGTTCAATTGACAGATTTGCGATAGTTGGATTGCTGGTGGAGAAATGGTCAAAATAAATGAGACAATTAAGAAGATTGGATCATCCAAAATCGAGATTTGAATATACTTGACACAAAGAGCAATTATCGGTAGCAAAATGATAGGAGGTAAAATCATTCTTGAAACCAATGATCCAACAATAATTTTTTTGAAGTTTTTACTTGGAGGGTCAATTGACGAATCTGGAGCCAAATTGGATCCAAGGATAACCAAAATCAAAGGAATTGACACCGATCCCAAATCATGGATCGCCAGGGAGAGGGTGTTTTGAATAAACCCATTGTTGACATAAAATGCATCGTGGATCATTGGAATGCTGGCAACAACCACCGCCAAAGCCATGGCATAAAGCGGTGGGTTCATGAAATTCAAAAATCCTCTGAACTTTGCTAATACTTGGTCTTTAAAAGTAACCTGATGGTGTACGTAAAAAGTATCATCATTTTCTTCCGTCAAGCTGCTACCATCAATCACTCTTGCTTCAGTGGTAAACGTAGCGTCACTTTCCAGGTTCATACTGATTTTGGAACCTGGGGTCATGTCACCTGGGGTGCCTTCATCACAATATCCCAGGCTACTTGCTTCTTCATCATTGCATTGGCCTAAAGTTTCATGCAATTCTTCATCTTGGCTGATAGAGCTCATGGAATATGGATCAAACGCTAGCTCTTTCGGACTTCTTCTTTTGAGTAAAGTGTTATAACCCCATGACCATCTTAAGACTTGGCCCAATTGTTGGAAAATCAACAAGTACAAGATCCCTCTGCTAGCGATTTTATCTGGATTGTCATCACTAACGATATCCCAATCCAAATTTGGTAAAGTGTAAGCTAAAGCAACCGTCAAGGAAACTGGCAAAGAGTTAGAGTTCCCAAATACTGACATGGCTGTGACGAAATTTGATTCTGGTTCATTTAGACGTAACAATCTACTCGCCACTTTGGAACATCCGACAGATACCGCAGTAGAAACCGCATAAAAGATTGGGATGATCGAGATTTCAATAATTTTTTTAAGAGATAACGACGAGGCCAATTTCGAAAAAATAAGAGCAGGAGTAAATAAATTGACATTCAATACCGAGACGTATTTTTGAGCTTGGGCATTCAAAATCCCGCACCTAGCACAAATGTAACCAGCCAAGCACACACAAATGACCTGCAAAGTGGCTTGAAACGTCAAAAAGGAGATATGGGCGTACGATAATTTACCCATATCCTCACAAATATTAATGGTGTTCTATCTGATAAGATGTGTTATACTTGGTTCTCAATACCAAATAAATGCAAATTTGTAGTGATGGGATATCTTTTTTTTTAAAAAAAAAAGAGGGTCCAACAAAGGAAATGCGTTATTTCAATTGGCTCTCTAGAGATCTGGTAGTAATAATAGAAGGGTATATAATATATTTTGTGGAGTGTGTAATTTTGGGGTATAGTATGGTTATATATTTTGTGGTTTCGTGTGGGTGGTGACAAGAATGAGATGATAAGGCCCATCCATCCCCATCCTTAAAATCTTTGACGCTTTTTCTTTTCTTTTTTCTCTTTCCCCTTGTGGCGCAGTGGTAAAACACCTACAATTGGGCACGTGCGTATCCCCTATTCGTTATCGCAATCTCTCTCATTTACATCAATTGCTTCCAGAAGTAGATCAGTGTCTGATAACATTGATGTTTATAAAGGGCCTGTATAATACCAGTTGTCGGATTAACAACACGATAAACTGCAGCTGCAGAATATCTACAAGATAGAAAGTCTACCTTTCTGTAGCATGGAAGATCACGTAGGGACCAAAGACCACTATATCACTATCGTAGGCTTTTATTGGTGATGGTTAACCATAATGTATTATAAAACAAAATCTTTAATTGTCATTTCTAGCGAAATAGGTGAATGTAGACACTGGACTCACACACATACTACTTAATGAGTGTTTTATTTCACTGCGAAGCTGCTGTGTACTTACAGAGGTTTTTGAATTTCTGATAAATAATAACCAAATCTAAAGAAGAAGAAGAAGAAGAAGAAGAAGAAGAAGAAGAAGAAGAAGAAGAAGAAGAAAAGAGCTCATCAAAAATTTATTTAAGTCGTGCAACATTCTTTTCTGGATCTGAAATTTGAGTGTTGATAAAAGTTTTTGAAGTAGGTACTCTAGAATCACAATGCTGCATTATAAAGTTCTGAACTACTGATAGAATAAGATATAGTCCATATAAAGACTAGTGTAATATTAACTTGATTTTTTTTATTAAAATAATATATAGAGAATGAGGGGTTTAGTACCTCTTTAAATAGATAATGAGTAAGATAAGGAATAAGATAAGGAATAAGGTAGTGAATAAGATGAGGAATAAGATAAGGAATAATTGATCAGGTAATGAATGAGTACTTTCTTTTTTACTATTTTTATTCTTTATTTGTTCTTTTCCATACTCTTCGCGCGCGAGGAGTCCCCAAAGCATCATACCAGGAAAACATTGGATGTTAAATCTTTTAAACATTACCTTCTCATTCCATCAATTTTTCATTTGACTCGTAGGTGGTTCGAAAATTCTGAATCCTTGGCCATCATTATGCCTAGAGTAATATTCAGCGATACTCTCAATTCCATCAGCAACTTCATGCTACAGAAAGTGGCTCTCACAGTTCATTAGAATACAAGAATGATTTGAAATGTTGAATATTGATGCATTTAACAATAAACATAAGTACTAAACAAACATATAAATATAATATACTTCTACTAAATACATTGAGAATAATAAAGTAAAACAGGCAATAAAGAACCAAAAAAAATGACGACACTACGAGCATCCACCACAGAAAGAAGAGAAAAAAGATCGTAATGTATAGTCATCAGCGTGCCAAAAATAAAAATAAAGAAACGAAAAACAAACCAGAACAATTAAACCAATAAGGCCCTTCACAGCAATTCATTTGGCTTCCAGTGATTCAATCTCAAAGAATTGCCTACTACACAAACACTGCTCATGCTCATTGCAGCAGCAGCCAAAAACGGATTCATGACCCCCATGATCGCCAAAGGCACCATGCACAAATTATAAATACTCGCCAAGATGAAATTCAACTTGATTGTTGAAAATGTTGTCTTTGCCAATTGTAATGATACAAGCAATGGATGGAGTGATGTATCATTAAGCAAAAGGACGGACGCACTCAGAGCAGCAATATCAGTTGAGCCTGTGAATGACACACCAATATCAGCGGCACTAATGGCAGCAGCATCATTGATACCGTCTCCGATAAAGAGAACCGAAGCGGCGCTGTCGGAATTACTAGTAGAAGCGGATGATGACAGGATTTTGCGATTAACAAAGCGGAATAAGCGACCAAATACCGTTGTTGAGCGCCCAACGTTTCTGAGCTTGAAACCATCAATGTTCAATTCATCTCTGGAAATTTCATTATCATCATTAGTTGAGTTTCCAACAATTCCCATTTCAATATCTTCTTCTATTGACAAGCCCTGCTCTTGGTTATTATCATACTTGAATTGATTTCTCAACTGCTCAACAATTTCCTTTTTGCCCTCCGGACTCACTTCTGCAAAGACTCGCAGCGAGTCGACTCCTAACTCATCGGCAATTTTCCTGGTGATATCATGTGAATCACCGCTGATGATATACACTTGGATCTGCTGTTGGTGAAGTGCAGCAACGGTGGCCCGGGCATCAGGTTTGAGCCTGTCAGAGAGAACAAGGTGCCCCAAATAGCTGGCAGACAAAGAAATGTGAATCTTTGTTCCAGTAGAAGCCACAGAAGAACCATCTGCTTCGGGAATATTTACTAATTTCCGGTTTCCGATTCTAAATTCCATGATCCGATCACCAAAGTTCAAGGTGGCAATGATCCCTTGGCCAACAATATTTTCAACATTAAGACATTCAACGTTCTCGTTACTCCCTAGATTATTGGTAATCAATGATTCAAGTTTTTTACTGGCTTCACCCACCAATGCTCTAGAAATAGGATGTGAGACTCCATCTTCTGCTAACTTGATCATTTTCCAAATTAAAATTTCATTTAGTGGTGTAGACAACTCTGGAATATCTGCCATAATCAAGCTACTTTCTATCAATCCCATTTTTCCGGTGGTCAAAGTTCCGGTTTTGTCAAAAACTACCGCATCAACACTAGTCATTTTTTCAAAGACTTCACCGCCTTTCACTACGACACCTAAGCTGGTTCCTCTTCCAGTTCCTGCCATAACTGCAGTTGGCGCCGCCAACCCAAGAGCACAAGGACAGGCAATAACTACCACGGAAATTGATACTTTTAACACGCTAAAGAAATGGGACTTGGAATCATCGTTGAATATCATTGAATAGTACCATGAATCACTGTCTATAAAATGACATGAGATCGCAATGTACCACCAACCAAAGGTCAACAATGCTAATGTCAAAATCAGAGGAACGAACACCAGGGCCACTCTATCAGAGAACTGTTGAATTGGAGCATGTGAGAATTGTGCATCCCTTACCAACTTTATGATTTGGGCAATAGTAGTCTGCGATCCGACTTTCGTTGTGCGGACAAAGATTGGTGATGATAAGTTTATAGAACCGGCAATGAGATGGGACCCAACGGTTTTTGGAACCGGTAATGATTCACCGGTCAAAAGTGATTCATCGACTTCTGATGTTCCGCAGACAAGAATTCCATCCACCGGAATTTTAGAAGACGGAGCAACATAAACAATATCATTCAATTGTAGCAAATCAACTGATATAGACTGAATTGAGAAATTTGATGGATCAAAAGAAGAGTCCTGGTTCTGCTTTGATAACTCTAAAGAACCCATAAATTGCTGTGGTTCAACAATTACATCACAAGAGTACGGAACCAATTTCATCAATTCGGATAGCGCCGAAGTAGTTTTCCCTTTGGCTTTACTCTCTAACCATTTTCCAAGGGTGATAAAGATTAACAACATTGCAGCGGTATCAAATAAAAGCATCGGGTGGTGTGCAGAGTGATTTGGAGAATCACTGGTAGGCTGCGAGATCACATTGACAATCATTGAATATATAGAAAACCAAAACGATACTCCGATAGAAGTGGCCACAAGAACATCCATAGTTGCTGCTCCTCCATATCTTAAATTTCTCCAACCTGTCTTGTAAAAATGTAAGCCGACTTTACATTGTAAATATCCACTCAAAAGAAGACTCATCACATCCCAAAAATACAAACCAGGCAACAATAGTTGGAAATCAAGCCACGATAAGTGTGATAAAGAAGACTGCGATAAATGTGACAATATTTGAGGAATTTGATGGCCCATAAGAAACACCGGGAGCCCTAACACAAGAGACAAAAAGAAACAATAGCGCCAGTGAAGAGCCTCTTTATGCTTTGAAAGTAGAGAAAGCTGTGATTGGGTAGTCTGACTGGTGGAATTGAGGACTAGAGTATCAATTTGTTGAGATTTTAGGAAGTCAACTATGGAACGGATTCCTGAGATAGATGGATTATAATTAATAATCAAGGTGGTTGAAGTTTCATCAAGAGAAATTGAAGATATTCCCGGAAAACTTGTTTCTAGAGACTTGACGATATTTTCAGAAAGATCGCCAAAATATTGAAGTACCACTTTCTCAAGAGGGGTTGCGGTTGAAGAAGAAGATCTCTCAGTTGGAAGAGATGAGATCAATGAAGCGTCAAAACCGCAATCTTCAATGGTATTTATAATTTCAGAATTCGAGAGCGACGGCAAATGTATAATATTGGCTTCATTGGTTAGCAAAGAGATGTTAATGTGCTGGATACCCTTTAATTGATTTATGGCATTGGTGATCGAATCAGTACACGCTGAACAGGTCATTCCTTGGACGGCAATTTTGGAAATTATGGGGTTCAGAGTGGTGGTGCCTACAGTGTCTGATTCAATAAAACGAGCATCGAACCCACAATCTTCAATGACATTCACAATCTCTGAATATGTTACGGCTGATACATGTTTGATAATTGCTTCATTAGTTAATAAAGAGATGTTGATATCTTGAATTCCTTCCAACTGACTTATAGCGTTGGTTATGGAATCCGTGCATGCCGAACAAGTCATTCCTTGGACCGAGAATTTCGATATAATACAGGAACTTTGATGGTTATGATAATGATTGGTATTGACCTCTTTCAGATTGTCTGGGATATCACTTATTGAAGATACAAGAGTTGCGTCGAAACCGCAATCCTCAATGGTATCAATGATCAATTTCGGGGATGTTTTGGTTCGGTCATGGCTAATAACCGCTTGATTTGTCATGAGAGATATGTTTAAGGAGTTTATACCGTCCAAATTTTTGACCACTGCGTTGGTTATTGCGTTTGTACAGCTTGAGCACGTCATACCGTCGATATTGATGGTTGTTTTGACATTATTAATATTACCAATGTCGGGGTTCTTGGGTGTTGTAGCACCATGATTATTGGCTGGCAAAGATGTGTAACGAGCACCACTATCCAGTGCCGTTTTGGTTTGATTCATCTGGAGACGTATTAGACGGAGATGACCAGGAAATGACGAATAATTGTTCGAAATATTAGATATATAGCTATTAGGAAATGGTAGAAGAGACAGTATATGGGGTGTGAGTTCATCGCCAAAAACAAAAAAAAATAAAAAAATTTGAAGCCCCCACCCCAGGGCATGTGACCAAAGAGCGAGAGTAGCGAGAGTAGTTCCCAGAGTGGTGGTATATTGAAACCACTCACTCTAAAATTCTACCATTACCACGGTTATATGTGATCGAGATAATTTAGGAGAAAAGTGGTGGTAACCACGGAATATTAGCTAGAGCGTGTCTATTATTAGCATGATTTTTCTTTTTTGGGAGGACACCATTGACAAGTAGGAGACGATTTTCTGTTGGGGGCAATATTGGTAGGAGGGGAGAGGGGATCCAAGGGCAAGGACTTACCATGCGAGGGAGTATCAAAGCACATGGTCACCAATACTTTTAGGCGCGAAGTTACCACAAGAGGTAATGTAATCGTGTAGTCGCTAGAGGGCGACGATAGCTTCTACTGGCGAGAACATGGCCAATCCAACGACGGTTTCTCGCCGTTGTGGTGTGTGCAATAACCATCAGATAATCAAAAAATGTCTGCAAGCAAATGAGAACAGGTCTCATAACCAGCAAAGGGGGTGCGATATACTGATGCATGCAGCGGCAGTGAGACTCACACCCGCAATATCCCAAACAGGAAATCAGGATGTCTCACACGGAAATTTCTCGCAGTGCAAAAAAAACCAAACACCACAGCGAGATTGACGCAGCTGGCCAAAAGTCTAATTCATGATCGCGATCTAACTTGGCCCATTCTGTTTGGACAACGGAAAATCACTCCAAGGTAACACCACGACACTAGCAACCCAGATAACCAATAGCATGTCAGTAGCTACCATCACTGGTGCTAAGAGATGCCTATTATGATGGTGCATGCGCTAAAAACTCGCTCATAAACACCTACCACCTGGCCAGCTAGGCCCTACCATGGGTAATCACCAACGTCCCATCCTGTCCCTGCATGTCTATCACCCGCTGCATACATTGTTTGCCCAATATATACCTCCATCATTCCCTTTTCATCAGCGACAACAACAGGTAGGGAAAGAGAAAAAAAAAAAAACTTTTTCTTCTTCTTTCTTTTCTCTTTTTCTTTTCTGTTTTCACTTCTCTAGGTCAACCTCATTCTGTCACTCCTTTATAAACAATAACCAACCCACTACCCACACTCCTTTATTCCCCCTCTCTCATAGTGGTGTTTCATTCAACTCTAGTCATTCCTTTAAACTAAAAACCTGCAACTTTTCCAACTATCTACCATCCTTTAGAATTTTACTACTACACCATATATTCCATATATGCATATTGATAAATTGTCTTATTAACAAATTCAATTATCATGACCGACTCTATTATTAGTCCAACTTCTGGCTCAAGAAAAAACTTGCCAATGATTGTCGATATCTCCATCGCCAACGACGGCTCTCAAATCTATCAAGTCCACGACTCTAATGATGAAGACTCTACTCCTTCCAAGAAGAGATCTTTTGATGAAATCGATTCCATTACCTCCTCCCATATAACCGACATTTCCAACAGCTCCGCTAGTATTATTAATGCCAACAACAACATTATTACTCCTGCTGCTGAAGACTCCGAGTCAGAGGTTTGGGGTTCAGATGTCGAATCCGCTTTTGAGGATGCTCTTAGAATCATCCCTAAAAATGGCTTGTCAAAGATCAAAGTTTCTGGTCGTTCTTGTGGTCGTAACGAATTGATTTCTGATTATATTTTGCAACAAACTGGCAAGTTGAGAACTAGAAAGCAAGTCTCCAGTCACATCCAAGTGATTAAAAATATCAAGAAAAACCAACCTATTATTGATTTGATTAACAATGGTCCTTCTGATCCTGATTCTTTGAAAAAATTCGAACAAGTTTTTTCAAAAATCACCTTCCAAAAATCAATTGGTAACACTACCAATACCGGTAGCTCTATTAATTCCATGATGGGACCAGATCACAAAAAACCTCGTCGCCGTGTTGCATACCAAGCAAAGCATATTTGTGAAGTCAGCCTCAAAGATTTCCAAATGTCTTGTTCTAACTCGTCGGCTTTTTCCCAACTTTCAGTTCTTAAATCCAAGGAATTTGATACCAATTTGAAATTGAAAAACAATGCTAATATTTCCACTAGATTCCCTGGGCTCTTCGAGTTATTTACAAGTAATGCTCCAAATGGACCAATTATTAATACCTCTATCCCAAGTTTACACGGAATGTGCAAGCTTTTTCTCCCGCCAACCAACCAACCAACGTATAACACCAGCCTTTCTTTGTCCTTGAAAGGTCTTTCTCTCAACGAATCCTCTTGGTCCGTCTTGACAGTTATTTATTCTTTTGGTCAAGAAATCGTTAGATTGGTGGACCTTGCAGAAATCACTAACACTGAAGTGATTAATGGGGTTAAGAATGTTGATTTGAAAGTCAAGTTTGCCCCTGAATTCTGGGATGCTTTCTTCACTTCTTTAGATAAGACCAATGCTGAAACCAAAGAAGGTGGTCAACTTGATGACAAACACAAAGATATCGCTATTAGAGCTATAACTATCAAGCAATTGATTTTCAAGAGCCCAAATTCCATCAGTTCAAGCACTCAAAAACCTCAAAGTTCTTCTACCGGTCCAACCAACATCTTGAAAAAAGATATCAGAACCTTAGTTCTTTGGGAATTCCTTAAAGTTGAAGAACAAGCTAAGGCTAACACCTCAATTAGAAGAATCCACCTCATCAACCAAATGCCAATGAATAGAATGAACAGAGTGCCGCAACTCCAATCTGGTATACCAGTTCACCAACAAATTTCCATGAAAAATGCTGCTTCATCTGTCAGTTCCACTCCAGTTGGTTTGGGCTTAGCATCTCCTTCTACTAGCAGATCCAACACCCCGATTAACCATTCCTTGGTTCCACAACCAATGATGAACCCAATCCCAGTGAACTTCAATACTGGTAACTTTAATTTGGAAAATAACTCCAAGTTCAACTTTTCCAATAACAATAGTATGGGTTTCAACTTTGGTAACAGTAGTTTTGATGCGACTGCTAATCCAAACCTTAACATGAATTTTATGAACAATAACAACAACATGATGCAAAACTTTAACAACTATACTCATGCTGCCCAACCTTCCGGTAGCAACCACGCTATGAATTATCAACAATATATGAATCTCATGAACACTCCATTCACTCCTTCCACTACCCCTGTGCCATCTTTGCACAGTCACAATGATCAAGCTGTGAATGCTAACATTGCTAATATGAACTCTGGGTCTATCAATGAAATGTTGCAATGCCAAGAAGATTTAATTTCTCGCCTCGAAAGCCCAATTGATTTATCATCTCTCACCAACACCAACACCACCACCACCCACACTAACTCCAACTCCACTACCAATGGTATCAATTTCGACTTTGACCTTATGGCTAGTGCCGCCGCTGCTTCCCAAAACGGTGAGGCTACTCGTGCTGGCAATACCAAAGGAACAGCTATCAATGATTCCGAATCCCACATTAGTTTCAACTCAGACTTTAGCAACTTTTCCAACTGCAGCTCGCAAACCGGATTTGATTCTTACGAAATGAATTATGAATTAGGATTAATGGACAATAAACCGCAATTTTCCAATGGCGGATTCACATTGCCAATGCAATTTAACGATGCTGCTAACATTGCTGACAATGGTTTTAATCGCCAAAACGCAAACCCTATTGGCTTCCAGGGTCAAGAAGAAGTGCTCTGGTAATTGATCATTCCCCTGTTGATGCCTATTTGTTTTGCTCAATCTTTGCCTTTTATTTTCATTTATTTCCGTTATTCATTCTTCCATTTTATTGCCGCACGCAATATTCATTTTCTCTTCTTCATTTGGTTCTGTGAAAGTATTATTGTCACCAATTATCTTAACTTCTTTTAAACGCTTAGCATCGGGTGGATATGGTTTTGTTATTTGCTTAAGAACCGTTGCTGTGTTGTTATGGCCACATATTTCTGATTTTTGAACGATATTTGTTATTTATCTTTTATTTGGCTTGGTATTTTGTGTTTTTATCTCCTTTTTTTTGTGGTCGTTACAGGTATTGTTTTTTGTCTTTTTTTTTTTTGCTGTACTTACTCTGACCTATTTGGAGCTATTGATGATCTCTTTTATTTCTTTTCATTTTTATCTTATATTTCTTTCCTATTTTTTTTTCTGTTATTTGTTGACATTTATGTCATTTGCCTAGATTGGAATCTTAGAATTATTATATCTTATATATTGGTTGGATTTCTACATTTTTTTATCTGAACTATATCTATATTTATTTTTTACTATTTATTTTTTGCTAGATGAGATAGCTCTTTTTCTTCTTTCTTTCAATTTTGATTTTTTTTTTTTTTGAAATTACATATCACTTGGATGATTTCACTAGCTGTTGATAGTGTAAGAGATTTTGTTTGATAATCAGTGACAAGCAAATAGAGAGAACGAGTGCCAAACACAGCGGGTCATACTACTCCTTATTTGCCGTTGCTGTGGATCCACCACAACTAATTATCAGAGTTACAATGTTTTTTTTTTTTTCGTTTTTTTTTTACACCAACAATTACTGTTAATTGATTACAGTGCATTGACAGGAGGTGTGCTAAATTATTTTACTCTGACAGCTTCCAAGTGCAGTGGAAAGTTAAAGAGTGGAGATCAAATTAATCCTTGATGAATCAGCCCATAATCAGAAAACCAACAGTTTAGAACAATTTACCCATGTAAACCCTTATTGAGGCTAATCAGAAAAAGGAAACAAAAGTTCCCCATCCGGAAATCGGACCTCGCCCAATCCGGTAAGGAAGGATGGCGTACTGCTGCAAGATTGACAGCCAATAATTTTCCACGTGCGGCCCCTCTGCCTCCACTACTGAGCAGTGTCCCACAAGGAATCTAGACCTCTGTAATCACAAAAGTTTATCCACAAATAAAAGTCAAATAATTCTCTGGTAGCACCCTGGCAAGCAATTGCGTAGATCAGTTATGGTGGTTGCTTCGCAAGACGACTATCACACAATCTATGTTACGGCGGGCAATATCTGAAAGACTCGATAAGCTGCTTGTGCATTGCACATACTACAAGAGATTCGTGCATTCTATCAGTCTTTTTGTTGTTGTTTGTTGTTTGTTGCAACGAGAAATAATCTCCTGTGATGCCTAAACTGCCCATGCAGGAGAAATGTGTCTTCCTGTATGACGAGCTGAATCATGCAGATCCTCCGCCCCAAAAAAAAATATCGATGCGATGAGATGAGCAATGATGCTTATTCCTTCTGAATAAACATACCAGAAAGAAAAGTGAATAATAATAATAAAAATAATAATAATAATAAAAATAATAATAATAATAATAATAATAATAATAATAATAATAATAATAATAATAATAATAATAATAATAATAATAACAATACACGAACACTTAATAATGTGGAATGATACTAATAAAGGCAATTCTGGCGGATCCGAGTCTCATGACAAAGCTCCGCAATCACTGAATAGCAACGGAGCTTCGCAGTCAATGCTGTCTGAAGCACCACCACCGCCGCCATATAGTGTTCAAGATCCCATGCTACCTCATAATCCTCCTGAGGCAAATCCCAATGCAAATGTAACAGGGCCAACGATCATTCCGGGAAATCCTCAACCTATGGCATATGCCAACGCCCCAATACAGTATCATGTTAAGCAGAATCAAAGTAAGAAAAGATCCAAGTATCCTGGTAAAGTGAATGCATCGTATGGCCAAGCTTATGGCAACTTACAAGACCAGATAAATTCTGGAAGATATAAAGGACCTTGAAAAAAATATTCTGTGAAGGTTGGTATTTCTTTTGTTCTTTTTATTCATTTGGAAGCTATTAATATATGTTTAAATTTTCTGATCTAGACACATCTTATCTATTTACAAAGCAGACTGAAAAATGAGGTGGGTGATAATGTAGTGTATAATATATTAGATGCAGATAACTGATAGATAATAAATAAATCAAAAGTAGTAATATAAAAGAGCAGCAATATTAAATGTGCAAAAGATGACTATTGCCTAACCAAGGAGCAAGTGAAGCTAGAGAATAATAAAGGAAACCGATAGACTCACTCCATAGCTAAAACAAAAACAAGAAAAAAAAAATATTCTAAAAAGTAAACCTGTTATATAGTACACAAAAACAATGACAATGGATATTTGTAAAGAAAAAAAATAGCAACAAAAGGGAATTAGTTCCCCAGGATATTACAGACTTTAAAAGCCCTCAAGGGTTCGTCTTTAGGACCATGGTACTCACGAATTTGATAGATTTTCCATCATTGATTTTTTGGTATAAATGTTCCAAATATTCATCGCTGAAGCGTTCGTCGAGTAACCATTCTTCATCTTGGGACTTGGAAGAATTCTTCACAGATGGATCATAGTAAGAATTTTTTTCAGTTTGGGTATTTTCGGAGCCAGTATTGGTACTGGAAACCGGGGATTTCGAGCCTGGGGCGTTCTGGGTGGTTAAGGTCAACGCTGGCGATAAAGTCTTGCAATATTGTGATTCAATATCGGTTTGGCCATTTTTCTTTCTGGCGGTAAAATTTAGGGGAATACACCAGGTAAGTAAATTACTTTGGCCAAAGACTTCTTGTAAATTGCGCTTGAAAGTCAGTTTCTTGAATGGAGTATCAGTGTGGTCAATTTCCACAATAAATCTTTGATCATGGTATTTGATATTGACATAGACTTTTTCGTCCTTTATACTTTCTAAATGCGAAGGAAGTTTTTTACCTTTAGCAAGTAATTTTTGGATTTTCTTAGATCTTTTAGCTTTAAGGTGTTCAATAGTTGTCTCATTTCTGGAAAGGTACCAAACATGTTGTCCCCAGAAACTTGATAAAATGATGACCCAAAAGAACGAAACCACTAACAATATCCCCAAATTCGGATTCATATAGGTTGTAACTTTCGTTTTCAATTCCAATGATTCCTTAGTGACTGGGTTAGCCTCATGAATCATAAATGTTTCATGAAGAGAATCATCAGCGGCAAGGGATTTTCTGTACTTAACTTGTTGGGGGATATAAACAAGTAGAACGATAAAGAAATAAAAGAAATATATCAAAAAGTTGAAAGCAAAATGCATGAAATTCTTGTAGTTTTTCTTACCAATGATTGATCCAATCCAAGTACAGTAATGATCCATTTTTGCCACACATTTACCCAATTCATTGGAATGACGGCTTCTAAGCGGCTTGAGTGATTGGCAGTCTGGGCAATAGTATGGATATCCATTGATATCGCAAAAGAAATAATCTGGAATGGCTTGTTGTGTCGGGGAAGGTGTTGACTGATTTTGTCTAATTTCATGGCCATCTTCATCATAGAAAGTCACCAACTTGTAAGGAGTAAGCTTTTTATTGATGACTCCTGGTCCATTGATGAGTATCATTATCCAATTGAAAAGTAGACATAAAAGCAAAATCCAATACGTGACTATCAATCCAATGGCGACACTCGGCTGAGTTTGCTCATTATCAATTAAATCAATAGCTAATGGCTTGACAAACACATACGATGAGTAACCAAGAAATACAACGACTCCTATCGGGACAAACATTTTGAGGAGTCGCGAGTACACTGTTCTGAGTTGTGAGATGAAAGCTGCCATATTTTGTTTTCCCTTTGGTATCCAAAAATTAAGTTGTATGTATATATGATGGAGTTGAAATGAGATAATAGTGATCGAGGGTAAAAAGATGGAGATAGGAATAAGGAAATAACAGGAAACGATTCAGAAGAAGTAGAAAAAAAAACAAAAAAAAAACAGAATATGATTCACAAGCAGGCACAGGAAATTATGGCAGATTTGCCTGGCTTATAAAACGGCTCTGGAGTTATATTGACTTTGATCTATTTCTGTAATGCGCCATCTATGAGTTTTTTTTTCTTTTTACAAAAATGCCTATACGGCCCACAACATGCTCATGCACCCATGAACCAGTGGACTATCAACAAAGGAAATTCTGGGCTGAATGCTGTCAATGTGGCAATATTAGGTTTCTTTGAGAAACGGATTTGATGTTATCACATCTTTTAGTGCAGCACTGAGGTTACGGCATGCAAGGCACCATACTGAATAATAAGATATTTGACAGATGGATGTCACATCATATGTAAGCTGCACGGCTCCAAGTATATCTTTCTTTCTTTATTATCATCAGTTCCTCAAAAAGGACACACAATAGAGCAACAATATATAAGAGTTTGATGAAATATCGTGAATATAAATAGAGTTGGGTAAATAAAAAAGTTCCCCCACATTGTGCTGTACATTTCTCAGGGATAACACTTGAGAATAGTGGTTGATTAACAGAGAATGTAAGTTATCAAAAAAATACTAACTACAAACGTAAAATATGATTACAATTCACTTGAATAGTGGTTCGTAATGTCCGTCGATATATTTTGCCTCAGAGTTGAGGCCAATTGTGGTTATCAAAATAAAGTGAAAATAAAGCAGGTAATAAAATAAAAATAAATAATAGCACAAATAAAGAATACACTCTCACACTGACAGTAATAATACATATTTATACACACGTGTGTGTGAAGAGAAAGAAATAATAGGAAAATAATAATAGCAATAATATTCATGATCATAAAGTTGTAATAGCAATAACAATGCCTCATCTCTTTGAGCCGAAGGAAGTCCCGAATGATGAAGCAAACGAAGAGGCAAATCCATGTTTTTTCGGACTTCCGAGACTGACGGTACTCGTGAGACTTGAGCCGAAAGTGTTGCTACCGGTGCTGTGGCTGTGAGAATCATAAAACTTCTTGAGGATGAAGGTCAACAAATTGATCGTATCAAAATTGACAATACCATTATAGACAGCAATGGTCGATTTTCCTTCATACTGGCTTTGCAACAAATCATCTAGGGTTAATCTCGATGAAGAGTTCCTACTTTTGGTAATATGGGCAACGTTTCCGGTGATTATTTTTGATGATACAAAATTTGGACGTTTATCATTATCGTGTACAGAGTTGTCATCAATCAATCCACCTTCAAGTTCAATCATGAAAACTCCAACTTCATCACAGCTAAAAATGAAATCAACCTTCAACAAATCAAGATGTTTAACCCCATTAATTTCAAGAAGGATCTTATTTTCGTACAAATATTTGGCGCTATATTGGTAAACACCAAACTTTGATTGTTTGCCTCTTCTTTTAAGTGCCTTTTGATAAAAGTACTGCTTGGAGAATGGTAGAAGCTTCTTTTTCTTATTCAAACTATTGTTATATGAACTTTCCTGTAAACCCTCCATAGACTTTTTGATATAATTGTTATAGGTTTCCAACAAGTTTCTCAAGTATTTTTCTTTTTCATTCAAAGAGTCAAGAGTTTGGACTGATAATCTGATTTCTTTGGCACGCTTCATTCTTTGATCATGTTTGGTTTTGATATCAAAAGCAATTTCATTCAATAAAGTCTGAAATTTGTTTTCTCTGTTCAATTTTCCCATAGACTCTAATTCCAAAATAACTTCCAAAGTATGTGATTTCAATTGGTGGTAAGACATCGTCGACACGTTTCTCATAAATGTTGATTTGCTAAATTCGTTTTTCTCATAATCGTCAACCGGTTCAGGCTTATGATTTGGATTGCTAACTTGTCTTTGGTAATTACGCTTTTCTCGAAGCATCATTTGTTCAAACCTCTCTTCATCACGGTCAGTTATTCTAGAAAGTAACAACTCCAACAAATTTTTCTTGGTTGATTGAACCTGCATGATATAAAGCATACATCTCTTAGCATCAAGAGTCAATGTCTTTGTTTTGACACCTGCGAAATTCTTAATGCATGGGTTCAACAATAATCTGACTTCTTTACTGATTTGGTCGCCTCTCGCAATATTTCTGACTTTGGATAATTTTTGAGCATATTCATGAATTGGATCGGATTTTGATGGCGCCATGTCATCAATATATTCTTGAATGAAATTTTTAAAAGAAAGCAATTCAACGTTTTTGACTATCAATGAAGGCTTCACTCTAGCAGTTAAATCATTATAAATATTCATATTGTAAGCAGTCTCCACATCACCAACATCAAAGATTCTTTGGGCGATCCTCTTGGCCATAGGAATGGATGATTGTATGAATTCATTCAATGGTTGATAATAAACTTGAGATAATGAGAATTCTGTCATAGATGCTATTTGGGCTAAAACATCACAAATATAGCCAAAATTAGCTTTTAAACTCAAAGTTTCCTTCGTGCTGAAAGTGATCAACGAAATGTTATAGTTTTCAGGTGAACTGATAATTGGTATAACATAGTGATCCATCAAGATACTTAAAGCAAAAGCAAAAGCTTGATCTTCAGCATTTGTTCCATCAGTGTTACTTGCAAAATGCTTCTTGGCAATCATAAAAGTATGGAAACAGATAGTCTTAATATGAGTTGGTAATAAATTTATGTTATCCTCAATAGTCGACAAAACTTTGATTGTTAATTCACGTAATAGATTCAAATTCTTAATAAATTGTTGTCTAGTTTCTGCATCCTGAATAGCAGTTTCGGCAGTAACATTTCTTGGTTTTATAGACTTTTTCCCAGTTTCCTGCTCCTCGGTAGCGATAATTTCTTTATAAATCTTCAAAGGATTGCTTTCCATAGATAGATTATCAATTTCTGAAATGGATGTTATCAATGATCCAAAAATTTTTTTAGCCAATTTCCTCTGGTTGGTTGATTTATTGAAAAAATTCAAAAGTTTTTGCCAAGAAAGCACAGTAGAATTCAAGCAGAAGTCCTCAAGAGAATTAGCAGACCCAATATGGTCTTTAATAGCACTAATGACCAAATTCATGAATAAAAATTCATCCCTCAAAGAATATGAAGCTTCAGGTTCCAAGCGATAAGCAGACATTACACCATTAGTAGTACTTGACTTAACTTTTGAATGATCCTTAGTCCCTGCGTACGCAAGACAAATCAACACCATTTTTTCAATTTCTTCTTTGGCATTGTAATTAGTGTTGTAAGTTCTAAAAAGCCTAACAAAATACTCTGGGCATGTTTGCAACACATATATCAAAGACTCAAATGCTTCATACTCCATGCTCTTAGATTTATGAGAGTTCAAGAAGATTTCATCATTTTGGATTTTTTTCTTGAATTCTAATTCCAATTGTCCTTGTTTCTTATTTTGATGAATGAGTTCATCCAAAGTAATTTTATTTTTAACCAATAATGCAATTTTCGCGTCTAATTCATTACAGTGCTTCTCCAATTCTGAATTTTCATTAGATTTTACCATTATTTGGTGATTCAAATTCTCAAACCTGACCTCTTCTTCAAGATCTTTATTAGTGTCGTTCAACAAGTAAGCAAACTGACGAACAACTGCCAACGATGGATTCTTCGTGGCAATCAATTTCCTATAAGCATCATTTTGATTACGTGCTCTGATGAAGCTTTGGATCTTGATAACCTTGTCAACATTTGCATCATAATAGTTAACTATATCTTTCATATTTTTTCTAACAGAACCACCCCTAATCATCGACTGTAACTTGGTTATTGGTTTCTCATGTTCCCACAAGTCATCGAAAAGTAGCTCCATCTTGAATCGCGTTAATACCCCCTTTATGTTCGCCTGAAGTAATATTATGGCATCATAATTATGGTCGAGTTCATCTAAAATATTATTCATTCTATTTCTTGCTAGACCACCTCTGATTATTGCTGTCATTTCTTCAAAAATGGTATCATTATAATCGAGACCCATAATCATTTTGCTGAGTCTTTGACGAGATAAGCCACCCCTAGCGACCATTTGAATTTCCATAATCTCACTCCTTGCCTTATAAATATTATAATAAATATCTTTGCATCTGTCACGAACTAGTTTACCTCTGATTAAAGATTGTAATTTCACTATGATATCATCATCACTAGCGCGATATGAGTTGAAATCATTAAGACATTTGTGATATAAATGTGTTCTTATTATTGATTGAAGCTCGATGATATTAGAGGAAATACTTTCAAAATTTTCATTTGTAAATAAAATGTTTCTTCTCAAATTACTACTTCTTATGACGCTTTGCAAAGTAATTATTTTTCTCCTTGACTTTAGCAACCCAATTTCCTTTTTAGTAGCATCCTTTCTAACTAAGATACCCTTCAAAATAGCCTGGAACTGTGATATACTTTTATCGTGTTCTTCAAGTTCAATCAATAGGCTGTCGGTAAAGAATCTGGAAATTTCGCCCCTTATTATTGATTGGAATTGAACGATTTGGTATTTTTCCCTCTTTATTTCTATAAGATTAACCATGATTTGTCTTCTAACTAAGCTACCTCTGACTTTAGCTTGGAGATGGATAATGAAATTTCCATTAACCCTTCTTTTCTTCTTCTTTGCCAATATTTTGGCCTTATTTGATTTCATAAATAAATTCTTTCTTGCAATAGATTGAAGTTGAATGATATCAGCAGCAAAAGTTTTTAACATTGTAGTTTTCACAAAAACCTGGAAACGTGCAATGAACCCTCGGCCAAGAGACTGGACTTCAATAATATTTCGAAGAACGTAATCAAGTTCATTTTCCGACATATCTTCACTAACTTGTTCTTGAATTATGGTAGTGTCTTCAATTTCGACGGCAGAAAAATCATTATAAGTTGGCTTCTTAATACTATCAACTCTTCTGAGAGTGGATTGTGTGAAACGCACATGATTATTTTCTTCTTCTTCGTGCATATCCTCTTCTTCCTCTGGCTCCATTTGAATCTTAGGCTTTGAAATTATTTTTCTAACTTTAGGAATCAGGGCCAATGGTTCGTCTTCATGGATTTCGGAGAGTTCTAATCGCAGTTGGGTATTCATATCAAGTGGCGACTCATCCAAACTAATGCTAATATTTTCTTGAGTGATTTGTTGTCTTTCAGGCTCTTCTTCTTGGGCTTTGGTAAAAAATCCATTTTCCAATTCTAATGATTTCATAAGAGGTTCAAAACTGCCAAAATCCGGAACACTGGCTTCTTTTAGTCTTCTCTCAGAATTTTTGATATCTGATTCTTCAAAAGCTAGTTTACCAACTAAACTCTTCAATTTGGGGGCATCATCTTGTTGACTTAGCATAAAACACAAAGCGTAAAGACAAAAGATAACTTTTGGGATGTTTTTACCATCATACAAATCTGTCAATTCAAATCTAAATAAGTCTGGCATATCAATGTAATCCAAAAAGTAGAAGAAATGGACAATGTTTTCGGTATGTCTGTATTCAATAGCTCCTCTGGAATTTGCAGGAATGATCCTTTTCACCAATTCTGGAACAAAATGTTTTGTGACTTTAGCTAAGATAACCCCATTTTTCAAACCATCCTTTGACAATTCCAACGTTGAGGCAATCTTTTCTCCGAGGCATTCTTCAATCCACTGTTTAATTTCTGCAACTCTGCATAAAAATTCGTAACCTTTATTACCTTTTGGGGTCCTTCCTTGGGCAATTGAGTGGGTCTTCTTCAAACTGACTTGGTTATTCTTTCTTTTTTCATTGAAGCTTTCCAATTCGTCAAGAAAATTGAATTTTTTGTTGTTGGTATCATTGTTTCTACTTTCAATTCTTGAGACTCCTACCAATCTTGATGGCAGTCTTCTTGGACTGGGGCTTGGACTGGTTTTAGTGTTATCGGTTGACGTTTTCAAGTGCAAATTTTGGATGTTTGGCAAGCCATGATCATCATTCTCCTTGTCCTCGAAGTTTTGTACTTTCTTGTTATTGTCAACGGATTTCAATCTATCCCTAGAATATAGGTTTCCAAGGTCTTCTGGTTCTTTGGATTTGTTGACTACCATCACCGGAGATCTCAAAGCATTCGAATTCATAGATGTAGGTTTATTGGCAGGAGGACTGTCCTGGTAGCGTTTAAATGACTTTGATCTCTTCGGGGAGCTCAAAGGAGATTCCAATTTTCGCTTAACCAGATCTGGATCTAGTATATTATTTTCAGTATTCTTCGATAAAACCACAGGGTTAAGGTTATTAGATTGATCAGTAATATTCTCCAAATATCTGGCAGCCAACCTACTATTTTTTTTTGGAGAAGAAGTAGGTCTAACCATGCTATCAGAGCCAATAGCAAGAAGGTCGCAAATAAAAATATATTCCAAGCACCGGTCAGTTAGCTGATCTTAACGTGTATTGTGGATGTACCCTGAGAAAGAAAATTGTCCACAGAAAAAACAGGAAAAATAAAATGTAAACAAAAACAAAAACAAAAACAAACAAAAAAGTAAACAAGCACAGTAACGATGTGCGAATAGTAAATATTTTTTACCCGCACATAGTTGATGTCAAACGCATAATCCATAGATGAAGAGACCCTGGTGTGGCAAGAATTTATGGAGCAGTTGAAGATTGATTTCCGTACGACTACACCAATTGCAAGGCTTAGAAATTCAACCAAATGGTTGAGTATTATTCGCGAAGTTTCGTAGTGGGATATATTATGGGATGGAGATATGGGAAGTCACTGATCATTAAAAAAGAACTAAAATCCTGAGATTGAAGGTGGTATTTACGGACGAAGACACTGGTTGGAATAATTTATGAAAACCGCACCCAAATTTACAGCTGAAGAAGGCAAAGAAAAAAACAAACAAAAATATCTCTTTAATTTCCCCCTGAAGCCCTCACGCATGTTGACCTCGGGCGCCTCGCTGTGTAATAAGGGGAGTTCAGCCCCATTGGTGGCCGATAGTATGTGTTTATCGCCGACCTCCGGAGTGGAAACGTGACTATCATCACGCATTGCCGGACAGATATGGGGTTATATGGGAGATTATTAGCAGCTCAGGCAAAGTATTGCTAAACTTCTGGAAACTTTACTAGAAGCAATGTCCTTTGATAGTTACACGGAGCTTAAAATTAATGAGAGGATTTATTACGTCTCCTAATGAACTTTTAATTGATGATCTGGTAACTCATTATACCACCGGAGTGGTACACCAAGATAGGAATAGTTCCTGACGACCACTCCTCATAGCTAAACGAGTGCGACACACCAATTAAATGTACACCTGTACTAAAAAAATATGAAAATATCAATCGTAATATTTGTTGCAATCATAAAATGAAAAGATGGGAAACAATTCGCATTTCATACCTTTTTTCTTTTGTTCTTATTCTTCCTTCTTTATGAGATAGATTTGCTTCGCGCACCACTGATCTTCCGAAGAGTAAAAAAAAATTTTATATGAAAAATTCCCAAGGAAACTTTTTCACCTCCAATTCTTTTCTTGCAATAGCTTTTGGAATATAAATATTCAATAGAAAAGCCCCTTTTTGCTTGTTCTAGAAATACAGTCCGTTAGACTATTATCTTGTGCTTCATAGAGAGTTTTGTCATTCTTACATGAACTTTGCTGTCGTGTTCTTCATAATATTATTCAGAGAATTTGTGTTTGGTCAATAACTTAAGACAATTATTCAACTAATTGCTATTTTTTTCTATTTCCATTTCTTCTTTATTCTGGCTTAAGACGAAATTTCACCTTCTACTTTAATCCAAAAAAAAAATTTTTTCAAAAAAAAAACGATCTCATCAATTTATTATCACAATGTCTGAAAAAACCAACTCTACCAAAACCGAAAAGAAAACTCTACCATCTTCTTTGGCCCCTGTGCAGCCAACTCCTCTCAGCTCCAAGGACAAAACAACCCAAAGATTGATTGTTGTTCTCTCTCAAGCCTGTTTGGAAACCCACAAGATTAGTAATGGCAGTCAAGGCGATAAATATGTTTTGTTGAACTGTGATGATCACCAAGGTCTTTTGAGAAAAATGGGTAAAGACATTGGAGAGGCTAGACCAGATATCACTCATCAATGTTTGTTGACTTTGTTGGATTCTCCAATTAACAAAGCTGGAAAGCTCCAAGTTTATATCCATACCGCAAGAGGGGTTCTAATTGAAGTCAACCCAAGTGTCCGTATTCCAAGAACCTTCAAAAGATTCAGTGGTCTCATGGTCCAATTGTTACACAAGTTGTCAATTCGTTCTGTCAACTCACAAGAACAGTTGTTGAAAGTCATCAAGAACCCAATATCCGACCATTTGCCAACCAAATGTCGTAAAATTACTTTGTCCTTCGATGCCAAGGTCCAACGGGTCCAAGATTATGTGGAAACTTTAGACGAAGACGAAAGTATATGTGTCTTTGTTGGTGCCATGGCTAGAGGTAAGGATGATTTTGCGGATGAGTACATTGATGAAAAAATTGGTGTCTCTGACTATCCATTATCTGCTTCTGTTGCTTGCAGTAAGTTCTGTCATGGTTGTGAAGATTCTTGGAGTATTATGTAAAGATTAATGAGGAATTCTTCATATTTAATTATACCTTCTTTATATATACGTGTACCAATATAGATGGTGTTTTTTTGCCCAACTAATCATTGTGCATTACTCAAAATTTTTCAATTTGCATCTGTTAGTAAGTAGATTTAATAATTATGCATAAATGCTCCCAACATGACACAAACACATCAGCATCATTTTACGAACCTATGGCACATAAATAATTTAAAACAGAAAAAAAATATCCTTATTTGCTTCCTTTCATTGTTGAATGATACCACAAAAATAAAAAAAAACTAAATATTTGATCATTTCATCCGACTGAGGATAAAAAACAACCTTAAGCCATCTCCAATATTCAATCATGCCTATTTTTGAAGCTCCTGCTGTTTACACACAAGAAGTTTTCTTGACTATTATTTCTTATTTCTTTGAGCACCTAGGTTTAAAACCATATATTGATCACCACTCCACTGATGCCAATATCATCCCCTTAACCCAAACGCCAAAGGGGTACTTTGTCAGACGAGATCGAAAAAATAGACACAGAGTGGTAAATGTTTTCACCAGGGAAGGAAAGAAGGTGTATAGCATTGAGAGAGCAAGTCCATTGAATCCAGTATGGTGCTTGAGGGAATTTCCATCAAGAACAGAGGTTGCAACTATCAGATGTGGGTTTTTCTCTACTTCAGTAGATTGGCACAACAAACAGGGAGTTCAGCATCGCGAAGTTAGAGCGGAATCTAGTGTCGGCGGAAATTTTAGGAGCTTCTACCTCAATGATGGTTCCAAGTACCAGTGGACGAAAGGCTCTAAGTTTTTGGAAAAAGTATCCAACCCAGGCGGTGGTGATGAAGAATTGAGAGAAAGGATTGCTAAAGTGAGGTTGATGAGACAATTCAAGTTTGATTTTGAGCTTTTGGTCGATGAAGATGCTGTTGATCTTGAGTATGCTCTAGCGACAGCCTTCATTTCCATGATGGTTCAATGGGGTTACGGTGATATCACAGAAACCCGTGGTCCTAGCTTTATTGGTGAAACATGAAAGCATGACTGGAAACAACAATGATTAATATAGGGGAGAGGGGAAAAACAAATAGGAGATCTAACGGGAAGGAACATTAAGGCAGCAATTTAGATATACAGAAATCATCTACTAGGCTCAAATCACCAGTGAAACAACCAAAATAAATTGTTTGTAGTCTATTTGTAAGATGTATACATGCCGGACCTCTTCACCGGCACGGTAGACATGAGAGAAAAATGTTGAAAAAGAAAAAAAAAAAAAAAATTGGGCGGAATCAGAAAGAAACCTTCGAAGCAATATAATACTCATCAACAGATTACATTACCTCTCTAAAAATGGGTTGGTTCTGGGCTGATTCGGAAGCGTCAAATTCAGTAAGTCATAATTCATGTTTTTGCTTGGTTCCTGGCTATTTTAAATTCTTTTCCGAGTTGCCAAGGTACTAACAGAATATATATAGACCACCAGCGGTTGTCCTGTTAACCACAAGGCTTTGGCCTCTTCCGGTGGTTCATGTCCTGTCAAGCATACCAAAAAGAAAGACACACAAGACCCCGTCCCAGCAGTTTGCCCTGTCGATCATAAAGGTATTAACCCATTGAACAACATGCCGAAATTCATCTCTTCTGCAAAACTCCCTGGTCAAAAATTGGATTTGCCTACTGAAAGAACTATTTCTACTATTCCAAGAGGTGCCGATGATGGGGAAGGTTTTTGGGAATATCCATCACCTCAACAGATGTTAAATGCTATGGTGCGTAAGGGCAAAGATGAGGGAGTCGAAGAGGATGCCGTCGAATCGATGGTTGACGTTCATAACTTTCTTAATGAGGGCGCTTGGCAAGAAATTCTTGAGTGGGAAAAACCATACACCCACAAAGCTAAAATACAACCTAGATTGGCTAAATTCACAGGTAGACCTGATGAAATGTCTCCTAGAGCTACTATGTATATGTACTTGTCCAAAGTGTTGCCAACTTATTTTGGTGATAATCCTCCATTTGATAGACATGATTGGACGGTATTGCGAAGTGAAGGAATTGATTCGGAAACTGGCAGCAATAAATGGAAAGAGGTCCGTTACGTGATTGACTATTATGGAGGCGCTGATAGTGAAGAAGGTCATCCAACTTTCTTTTTAGATGTCAGACCTGCCTTGGACAATCCACAGAATGCATGTGATAGATGGAAGAAGTGGAGTGGTCCTTGGATCTCCAAAGCTTTAGGTAGAGATGGTGAGAAATAGAGTTATTTTTATATATATCTATACTCAAACTATTCCTAAATTATTCACTTTTTTCCTCATTTATTTTTATATATACTTTTTTGTCATTTGCGGTTCATATTTTCTTTTATATTTTTTCTCCTTTGGTCAGTTGACTTTTGTTTTCCATTGTCTATAGTACGGTTGATCTTCTCGTGATCTTTTGCTTCTTCTCTTTGTTCGCTGGCATATTGGCTTTGGAACATGAACATGAATGTTTTGCCATAGGTCTGGCAATCTTCCATTATTGTACATACATAAATTGGTATTCTACGTCCCTAGTCTTAAAAATTGTAGAATGATTTGCATAACAATTGCTCATATTCTAAGATGATTTATTTACATGATTCCTTATATACATAACATTCAACCTTATCTGGGTTATATATCAGTTATTGATCCTTTTGTGTATGTTCCTTCTGAGCCACATTGAAAACACTATCAGGAACCTTTACCCCCTTCTTTTGCAAACTGGTAAGGACTCCAGGGAGTCTCTTACCGTAATGATTCAATGTAGTATTTTCTGCCAAATTATTGACCACGAGTTGAGCTAATTCGACATTATCTTGTTTATCAAGGTCATTCATAAGGAAGAAATAACTGAAATGGTTTGGCTTGATACTATCTTTGGTATCAGTCTTGATTCTGACCAACCATTCATAAGCCTTGTTGTATTTTCCAGCCTTAGTGAATTCATTGATAATCATGTTGTACATTTGAACATTGTTGTTAATCTTCTTGTGAGTTTTGATATATCTTTCAAACAATGCTTCAGCACCATCATGATTCTTAGCTTGAAATTCACCTTGAATCATAGAAGAGTAGTGTGTTCTGGTGAGTGGGTAATGGCGTTGAAAGTAATCAAACAACGAGCGACCAGCCTCATAATTCATACCATCTTTCATCAAACCATTGATCATCAAAGAAATAGTAACGGAATTCATGGAAAGATCGTTGCTAGTCATCTCTTTCAAAAAGTCCTTAAGGGCACTTTGATTCACAACTTCACCACGGGATCTGGTTTGCGAGAATAACATGTGTAAAATGATGGTGTAAGTAGCAACATCTGGCTTCAATTTCAAAGATTCAATTAATCCCAATGCTTGTGAAGCCTTTTCAAATTGCCTTGTAGAGACGTAAACCTCAATGTAAGTGTTAATCAATGGAACGTCTGGAATAAACTCATTATTTTCAATCCATTTGTTACAAAGACCAAAACTTCTATCAACATCTTTCAAAGCTAACCCTCTAAGATATTCACATTTCACTTTAAGAGTGACTGGTACGAGTTTTTCTTTAACCAATTTCTCAAAAACCTCCTCAATAGCGTCGAAATCACGAACATTAGCATATGATTTAATAAGAGCACAATAAGTATTAGCATTTGGTTTCAACTGAGCTTCGTCTGTCAATCTTTTGAAAACTTCATCGATGTACTTTTTTCTGTCAGATTTGTCACCTTTCTTGGAAACGGCAACAATAAGGGCATTCCAGGATTCAACTGAAGGTTTGATACCTGAAGAAATCATTTCATTCCACAAGAACAAGGATTTCGCTCCAACATTGGCTCTAGAATATATATTCATACCTTCGGTGAAGAAGGTTTCTGGCAATTTTTCATTTTTGAGGGCAGCAGCTCTTCTCAATTTTTCCAATTTATAGCCGACTTCACTAATGAAACCACTTTCGGCAAGGCTTCTCATTTCACTATAGATTTTTGGGTCATTGACATCAATATTTGCGCTGAAAACTGAGTTGGCAGCATTACGAACCTGCTCCAAGAGTTTTTTGTCGGTAACAGCCTTTATGTTTTTGAGGGTGTTAATAACCACAGTAGGAAATGGAGCAGATTCAAATGGGAATACCTTTTGAATATAATTAACATCTAATTTGATGTCATTCTTTGTGATATATAAAAGATACGAAATGTACCCAGCCATCTGAATTCTAAAACCCATTTCTTTACCTTGGTTATTCTCCACATATTTGGCATACAATTCAATGGACTTTTCTAATTGATCTGAGAGAATATAATTGTGCAACATTGAAAGGTAACAATCATAACTTGCCATCTTGTGTGATACGTAATATTCGAAAATCTTTTCCGGATCAGATAAATTAGTGCCAGTTGGGTTTTTGGATTCTTCAAGACTTTTGGCTAATAATTTCTTTAAGGTCTTTCCAATAAATTGCAAGTATCTGTAATAAGGAAGACGTAAGGTCTTGTTTAAATTGTCAAGGTTAGCAGTTAAAAATTCAAACCCGTCATATGGTGATTTTTCGACCATTTCGTCTAACACCTTATTGAATTCTTCAAGTCGAGGTTTGAAATCTGGTGTTGGTTTCCTCATTTTGGATATTGGAGCAGGAGGCTTTACAGCACTGTCCAAGGATTCATTAATGATGGCAGCACTAGCATTGGCATTGTTGGACCTTGAGCTAGTAGAAAACGATGATATATTGTAAAGATGGTTTTGAGTGATATTAGTAGGTCTTGACAAATTGGAGCGGCTCCCAGCTATCTGACTAGCCACATATCTATTTCTGAGTGCAAGCTGGATCAATCCAGCACTTTTAGCTGAAATCCTTCTATTTAGCATCACCTAATATGTCTTAAATATTGCAATCTTAATCGATCAAAGATGTTTTTGAGTGCGGTAATTGAAAAATTTTTAAAACAACAAAAAAAGTGGTGAGGCTCACGGGGCTTCTTAACCCTTGATTCAGGTTATCATAATAATCACCCATCTTATGGATATTATTCCTATGCGATTTTGTACTCAAGGGGTAGCTATACTATAGCTGGTTAACCATTTTAAATTTTCCTTTGTAATTTTTTTGAGACCTTGTTCTTCCTCCTTACATTTCTTAACAAGCGCGCTGCCGCAAAATCTTTGACCCCAATAAACTATCATTATCATTTTTGGATTTTAAGAATGCTATTGAAATTTAATCCTCACACCAAGATAATGCGTAAATTTGAATATTATCCAAGGTTTACTTTTGCTTTTCCAATTTGTTTATAAGTGTGCTATTTATTTTTTGTCGGGTTTACAATATATATGCGAAGCATATTAGCCTATTGGTCAAACCAAATGACGTTTGATGAACTATCATTTCCATTGGAGTGATGAGAAGGATGGGTAATAACACATTGTGAAAATGACAATACTTATCACGTATTTACTAATCCTATTAAAGAAAATTTGATAAAATTCAAACATTCATGTAATCCCATTATTCTATATGTAGATTTTATAAAGCACACACTCTGCTACTTGTATTTAGTAGAGTAACACAAGATAACGACATAAAGCCAGCAGTCCTTGTGTTTTATATTTTCCTATAGGAAAATAACAAAAAAAGATCTCAGCAAATTTCATCTTTCAACAAATGAATGGAACTTTGCAAGTCATAGACTATTCTTCTCATGTTATAGCACCATGTAAGTGAACACAAAGCACAGTCTCGATTCTCTTATAAAATATAAAAAAGCACTCTTTGGTCTTTTATTTTTCTATCTTCCTTTTTTTGGGTTAATTAATGACAAAAAGTTTAATATTCTATATTATAGATCTCTCAAACGCAAATGATCCCGAATTTTTCACACCAAAGATTCATAGTGAATTTGGTGCACGTACATACATAAGCTTTAAGAACGACCAGTTCTTCAACGACATCACGCCCATCAATATCCTGGTAACAGAGTGGCCCCTACGTTCTCCACAAATGAGCCAACCTCTGTATATTTTTTTGAGTGATATGAAATCCCCACCTGTTCTATGTGTAATAGAAACTGGATGCTATTTTGACCCACAGGTTATGATTCCTTTCACAGGTTTTGCTCTAAAGAATGTAACAAATAAATCAACATAAGTACTTGGTCAAAAAAAAAAAAAAATGGGACTATAGTGTTTGTGAAAAAGCAAAAAGGGTTTAGATTCCTCTACTTGGGCTTACTAATAGTTCGTTAATTAATTCTTTCTTTTTTCTTTTCACAGAGGACAGACTTCCATTGATATAGAACCATGAGTGCAATGCCTGCATGTAAACATCTCGTACATTTTTTCGATGAAATTTTATTTTATTTGACTGACCCTGGTTTTTAATAAGTGTGTATTACTGACATCAACTTGTTTTTGGCAGATCATAACTTATGTAGCTCTAACTGAAGTAGAAGCGTTATTTATGGCTTGATTATTTCAGAGCATTTTGCGTAACAAGCCTTGAAACGGAATTATTTCTATATAGAATGATAGTTGTAATAGCGAATGTTGGTTGATTTATTCAATTTTAAATAATTAGTAGAAACTTCCCACGGATTAACACCCATTCAGAATGTAATCTCCATAAAGGGCATACAATATCGGCAATACAGTTACTATATATCAGCTTCGGAATTTGCAATTAGTAAATAAAACCTCTAAAATGAATGCTACATGTTACACAAATTTGGATCACCCGTCCTTATTTTTTTTTTTTTTTTTTTTTTGCATATACCGTAAATATGGCAAAAACATGTGTGATACTAGTTTTACCTATTTTGAAAACCAGCATTAATCCACTAGAAATGAAAGATTGTATATGCTTATAAGTTCATTTGATATAATCTTATGGATGACGGCATTAAATATGTAGAGGTTCTATCCTCGGATAATGAACAAAGTGTTATAAATGAGAAGAGGTCACTAAAACAGAAAAAGTCAACACTGAACGCACCAGAAATAGTGTACGATGTTGAAGATGTTTTGTCAAGCGATGAAGACGATGAGCTACAAGTGATTTCTGAAACGAACAGGCCTACCAAAATGAGAACCCAGGTGAGTAGAAAGGAAGAAAATGAAAGGGTATGGAGAGACATAATGGGAAGTAGTGACGATGGCAACAATTCAACGCCTAATGAAGGGAAAAATGAGGGCACAAACAAAAGCCAACGGAATGGGAGGAAAACCAAAACACTGGAAAGCGTATCGTTTGGAGGATCTGAAAAGAATGTCAGCTCAATGATAGAAATTAGTGGATCAAGTCCGATAGTGGTTGGTGGAAGCTCAAAAAGCGACAAAGGCAACATTTTAGTGGATGAGGTGATTAATAGTGACGACAATGGTAACGGTGATTATATATTGGATGATCTAGGTGATTCAAAGACGAACCAGCGAAAAAATCTCCAAGAAAATAATGAACATTCAAGGAGAAATTCAAGTGCTGGAGAGACGCCTAGCTTTAATATGAAAAGAGCAAGAAATTCTCAAATACTATTATCTGATAGTTCTGATGGTTTGCCACGCACAGAAAATTTGAGAAACAAGAGACAAAAAAGACAATTATATGTTAATGGTCTTGAAATAAACACAATAGGACATAGCTCTCCCAATAACAAGTCAGAATCAGCAGGGCATAGCTCTTCCAATGAGAATTCAATACCAATACTGGACGCTGACAATGTTCCTTGGAAGACACCAAAAGAAAATTTTCCGTTTGTGGGCTCTTCTGATGATGAGGAAGAAATGTCAGCATACAGAAAGTCCTCGCGATCTCAAATTCGTAATCGGGGCTTAGAATTACTGAGCAACGAAGAAGGAGATAGTACACCACATCATGATAGTGATACTGGTTCTAAAGACCATATTGACAATGAAATCCTTCCTCGGCGAAGAACTGAGAGTCCCAGAGGATCAAGTGTTGTTGGACCGCAAGTCTCACTTCTATCGTTAGCGAGAACCCCTTCGTCAAGACTGATTAGGAAGAAATCAACCAATACTGAAAATCTTGGTGATGATGAAGCCAGCGGCATTATGATATCAGATGGAGATTCTGATGGAAATTCTGAGGTAGAAGATATTGTGTTTAAATCTGCCGCAAAGGACAGAACCAAAGCCATCAAAAGCGCTCTGAAGAGGAATAATGGCGGATGCTGGCTTTCTAGCTCCCTTCCCAGCGACCCCATTGAAAATGACACTACGGATATAAGTTTCTCACACTCACCATTAAAGTCCAGAACTATCAAACCAAGTCGCTCAATGCCAGCCTTACCAACAGCAAAAGCAACCAGAGCACCAACAAGAAGTAAAACAAACTGGACCAACGCTGGGTATTTGACTAATTTCAGCAAAAAAGATTTGACACTGGCTAATAAATCAAAAAGATCGAAATCTGAAATGGAGGCAGAAATGATCATGAATTTAAACGAGAATTTTGTGAAACAGTTAGGAATTACTTTGGACAGCTTAAAGCTGGATTTTGACCCCAGAACAGTGAGAACGACAACTATTGAAGGGGTTTTGAGGGAAACTCGAAATAGCTATGCTTCCATCCAAGACCAAAAGTTTGAAGGGGTTAAAATTCCAAGAGTGCCATATAATACTTCCCTGATTAATGATATTGGTTTCGAATTGATTACATGGAGTAGAAAGACAAACAAGGTAAGGAGTGATAAATACGAATGTTTTATACCCATGAAAGAAACGCTTAATATTTTGACGGAAGTTGTTGCAATTTATTATGATGCAGAGGAATTTATTTTTGATTATGAATCTGGAAAATTTTTGAATGAATTCAGGAAAATGAAACAGATGTTTTATCCCGATACTTTTTGTCAATTTGTGTTGATTTTAAAAGGATATAATAATTTAATTTCGAAGTCTAAAAGGAAGGTCAATCAACAATATGTGAGAAAAGTGAGGGATATGATGGATGGTAATGATCCTTCTCAACCATCCCGAAATAATAGTGGTCGGAAGAGCAGTAAGAAGTCGAATAGAAAAGAGACCAGTCTCACAGAAGCACAAATCGAATCAATTATCATTGATATTCAAATTCGACATGACGTACATTGCTTCCCTATTAATTCTATTGCAGAATCTTTAATGTGGTTGAAGGCCATCACCTACACAATTAATGTTGCCTACTATGATCAATTTTCTGCTACAAATAATGAATTAACCACCACTTTGGGACCCATAAAGAGCGGTGATTCTCCACATGATAGTTTTAAGTATGCTTTACAGCAACTCAAGTTTGTGACCAAAAGTACTTCTGAGAGAATTACCGATAAATACACCAGTATCATGAAACTTTATAATGCTGCCAATAATAAAACGTCTTTGGGAAGTGGTAGAGATGGCAAGAAATTAGTGAATACGAGAATAGACAGTACTATCATTAAATTGTTTCAATCTGATAACCCTGATGAATTATTAAACTTGGATTGATTATTGTTTCGTTTATCTTTTCTTGTTTCTTCTTTTATATTATAATACTAAGTACTTTAGGGCTTTTAATTTTTTTTTTTGTAAAAGTACAGGGCTAAATAATTATTAATATCATGTGATGGTTTATAAAAACGGATTTTCAAGAATTACACAGTCACTTGGATCAGCTGACGTTCACGCATGACAATAGGTTGTGAGCCTCCATGCGGATGGTTCAGTCGTTTTTTTTTTCCTGTGGTTAGCAGACAATCAAACAAAAAAAATTGAAAAATTGGTTACTTGAAGTTTCCTTTGACCTCCTAGTTCTAGAGTTATCAATAATAGTAGAGACAAAATGGCTAAATCAACTCCAAAACAGTAAGTGAAGATTATACAGAGACTATTGACAACTGCGGGATAATACATTTACTGTGAACATCAACCAATTTGCGGAAGATTCATGATTTGGACCAAGATTTGAAGGAACAGTGATGAACAAAAGTCAACTCAATCAATATACCTCTAAATGATTTGGCCAACCCTTACTTTGAATATGGATTATATTATTAAATATCAATAAAAAACCTAATGCTCAAATGATTGGCAAATTTTTTCATGAAGTGAATAGTGAATCATCAGTGAATATTTTTTTTATCCAGATTATCAGAACAAATTTTAAGCTTATATCGAGACCAAAAAAGTTAATGATAGTAATGATATGGGTATCTTTCAAGAGTTTTTATTCTTGTTTTATACCAAGAAACAAATTATTTGAATAGATCATGCTTGACGCAAACTGTTGATGTTTTTCTAGTGCTTGAAAATTTTTCTTCATTGGGATACAAGTTGTACTAACGTTATTTTATAGACCAGTCATTAAAGCTGATGCTATCCTTCCACCAGAAACCTTGTTGAAGAAGAGCAAGACTTTGGCTAAGAACTCCAAGAACGTTGCTGAAGCTAAGCAAAAGAGAACTATTGTATGTATCACTAGTGTGAATTTGAAAACTGAATGATCAGAAACAACTAAAACATTATTCGAACATTGTTTGGAGTAATATTTTAAAAAAGAAAAAACTTTTTTGATATGAGAATTTTGATGATGAAAACCCCATTTTTATTGGCTAGCCAAGGCGATGCTGTCATTAGTTAACCATCTTTCGGGACTGAGAAATATCTTTATGGAGATCATTCAGCACTATGTATTCGGGTAAACTAAAGAACCCTCTTAATAATATTTTGACTCTTATACTAACTAATACACAGGCTAGCAAAGCTAAGAGAGAAGCCATTGCTAAGAGAACCGCTGGTTACGAAGCTGAATATGCTGCTGAAATCAAGAAGATTGCTGATGCTCACAAGGAAGCCGCCGCTAACGGTTCTTTCTTCGTCCCAGCTGAATCTAAGTTGGTCTTTGTCGTCAGAATCAAGGGTATTATGAAGATTCCACCAAAGCCAAGAAAGATCATGCAATTGTTGAGATTGTTGCAAATTAACGCTGGTGTTTTCATCAAGGTTACCAAGGCTACCAGAGAATTGTTGAAGTTGGTTGAACCATACGTTGCTTACGGTTACCCATCTTTGGCTACCATCAGAAAGTTGATCTACAAGAGAGGTTACGGTAAGGTCAACAAGCAAAGAATTGCTTTGAGTGACAACGCTATCATTGAAGCTGCTTTGGGTAAATACGGTATTGCTTCTGTTGAAGACCTTGTTCACGAAATCTACACTGTTGGTCCAAACTTCAAGGAAGCTAACAACTTCTTGTGGCCATTCAAGTTGTCTAATCCAAACGGTGGTTGGGGTGTTGACAGAAAGTTTGAACACTTTATCCAAGGTGGTTCTTTCGGTAACCGTGAAGAATTCATTAACCAATTGGTTAAGGCTATGAACTAAGTTTAGTAATAACTGTATAATATCTAAATAACTAAAAAAATGACTTTCTCACGGTTTTTTTTTATACCTTTTATTATTAAATCCTATAACCTTTGATTAATTCTTATGCTTTTTCTACTACATTTTTATGTTAATCTTAGTCTGTAATTAATTAACACAACTGAGGCAGGGGGGAAAATTCTAGATCCTGTCGTTAGGAGCACCCGCGAAAGGTACGCCAGAAATCTTCCAGGTGTTAATTTTTCACCCAGCATATACAAAGACATTTGCAACTTGGAAATCAACAAGGTTTGTTTATTAAAACAAGTCTCTCCAATTGATTCTTCTGTGAGGTAAACTGTTAAGAAAACAATAAAGGACACTCTGTGAAATGAAGGTATCTGTTGTTTCTGTTCTTGTTGCTGTGTTGACTAACTTGGCTCTGGCCGAATCAGTTAGGGGTGTTGCTCCAAATAAGCAGCATCTTTATAAAGCTGACAGCAATGGCAAATGGAAATGTTTATCCAACCCAGAAATTGAAATTGATTTCTCCAAGGTCAATGATGATTACTGTGATTGTCCTGATGGATCTGATGAACCAGGTACCAGTGCTTGTGAATCCGGTAAATTCTTCTGCGAAAACGCGGGTTATAAACCAAGTTACATTCCTTCTTACAAGGTCAATGATGGTGTTTGTGATTATGAAATCTGTTGTGATGGATCTGATGAGTGGAACACTGATGCAAAATGTAAAAATGTCTGCAAAGAGTTGAATGAAAAATACGAATCTCTCAAGAAGGAAAGATTATCCAAATTGACTAAAGGCTTAAAGATCAAACAACAAATGTTGGCTCAAGTCGCCAAAGCCGATGAAGAATTAGATACAAAGATTCAAAAAGAATCCATGGAAGTGTCACAATTAAATGATGAAGTCTACCAGTTGAAGAAGAAGATTGAAGCTTTGAACACTAAATATAACAAGGAGGCCATGGAGTTTATTGCCGAATTAAAAGGTGAACATAGTGCCAGTACCATTGATGAGAAAATCTACAGCTTGAAAGAAGCAATCCATTTGATTAAATTGGGAGTTGACAAAAATATTGAAAAGAGCGAAATCTCCAAAGAGATTCTTCTTAATTTGGCCACAGATTTTGATCAAAATATCAATGATGTTACCGTTAAGAAAGCCATTGAAGATTTCCAAGAATTCTCCAATGATAAAAAATTCGACGAGTTTGACACATTGTACAAGGAATATTTGGAAAAATATAATGCGATGTTGGGAGATTTGGATTTGTATAACATTTTCTTCCTTCTTGAGAAGAATAAAGTTCACATGGCTAATTGGAAAAATTTCATTTGGACTAGAAAGAGTTCTTTGCACAGCACTCTTTTGAAATTATTGTTGATCCAGGATGAATCTTCCAAGAAATTGGAAGCTATCATGACCGATATTAAGGAGAACTACAATCCAAATTTCAACAATAAGGCTGTTAAGACTGCCCTTAAAGGTATCGAAAGTTACGAGACTTTGAAACAGAAAGTTCAAGACGATGTTCTTGGTAAAATTGATTACGCAAATGACTACGATGGTGCTGTTAAAGGGCTTATGACTTTCATCGAAGAGCTCGAGGCGGCTCTTGGTAGACCAAAGAGTGAAGCTAAAGATTTACAAATTGCTGATGATCTCAGTACAGAAGAACTTGAAGCCAAACAGAGTGAAAAGAAATTGCAAATGGAATTGGAAGCTGAAGAGGAGGAAGCCAGAAGGTCGACATTCCCACAAAACATCAAGCAAGCCGTGGTCAGAGCTGTGGAAGATTTCTTGGGGGTTTATGACAATTTGCCAGAAGAGAAAGAAACAGTGTTTGAAACTGTGCCATATGACTTGGTTTCTAGACATCTTAGCGAGATCAATGATTTGTCTAACGCTGGTGATGAAGATGCTGATTCTTATAGCAAAGAATTGACATCTCTTCAAGAAGAGATGCGTGGCAAGCAAGAGCTCATCCAGGAACTCAACCAACAAGTTGGTGATCTTGTGCAAGAGTTGAATGACTCAACGAACTATTATGGTCCTTCCAAGGTCTTGAAGGCTGTGGAAAACCAAAGTTTCAAGGCTTCAATCGGAGAATATGAATATGAGATTGATTTTGTTGGCAATATTAAGCAATCAGGCAATGGTCAAAGTGCTCATGTCGGTACTTATAGTGGTGACATCAAAAAATTGGTCAACCCAAAAGATGGTACTACCAAATTAGAAATGGCTTTCAAGAATGGTGCCAAATGTTGGTCAGGACCAATTAGACAAGCAAAGGTTACTGTTTACTGTGGTGAATCCGTTGAAATTTTGAAGGTCACTGAACCTGAAGTTTGTCAATATTACATCGACGTCACCAGTCCTATTGCCTGTTTTGAGTCTGAATTGGAACAGGTTGAAGAAAAGAAACTTGTAGAATCTGAATCTGTCCATGATGAGTTGTGAAATTTCTATCAGATAGAGAAGAGAAAGCTAGAAGAGAGATGAAAGGAATTCCTTACTAATGTATTCTGATTAGCTCCTTAATTAATTTTTGTTTGTGTATGATTTTATAAGTAAATTATAATAGCCATTTATCAGTATTGTTGTCTTGTGATAATCGTAGCATGCGCTCTCCTGTGCCAATCACGCGCTTCATGTCATCGCAGGAAAAAAGAAATGGCTGTATATTTTGACAGCTTCCCAATACTTCTTATAGGTCTGGTATGTATTCAATATTTTTTATTCATCATTAATAGTATAATAGCTTAGTATGATGATGCATGGTTCCGTTCTTCTTGATTTGCCACCAGAAGTATGGCTTAATATTCTCAAGCACCTAGACTACCAGGATTGGGAACTCGTAGGGTCATCGGCTTATTATTTTAGGGAGCTTATCAGATGCAATCAACGATATCTTTTCCATCTTCGAGTAAAAGATGCCGTCAAACCAGCATTATCTCGAAAACTTTTCTATAGCTCAACACCATTCAATGATATCGGAGCATCACAGGAATATCTCTTAATTTCTGGGAAGGACCGAATGGAAATCTTGGGGCGGTCTCCGTTTATTCAACAAATCATGATGACCAAAGTACCGGGGATATACAAGGAGCTGGTTTTCAACAATGTGGTTTCACAACAATTGATATTGACCCGATTTTTCCAAAATAGAAACTTGAAGCTTCGTCTCAGCTTCCACTTGATGAATAGACCATCAAAGAAGCAGTTAGTTGAGAGAGGGATCTTGAAGTACGGAAACGGGGTTAGTGGGACGATACATGTGCTAATCGGCGTACTAAAGAAGAATTCCATAGAAGATATGCTCCGAAATTTTGTTAAGAGTTACAGATACCACAACAATTTATGGAGAAGGCAAGAAAAAGGGGGAAATGATATCCAAATGATCATTAAACGGTTGAACAACAGTAATGGGCAGTGCGAACAAACGCATCGGAGCATCGGAAAAGTCGATGAGGATGTTTTGAGGAGTATTAAAATACAAAACAAAAGATTAATGTTTGAAAGAATGACATGATTGTGCCGGATGTTTTCATTATTGGTTATTGGTTTAGTTTAATTTCAATTCTGTTCTTGATTTTTTTTTTTTCCCTTATTTGGTACCGGCACTTTTTCTTTTCTGATATAGACAGATACAGACAAGAGTTTGGTTTGGTTTCCTTTGCTTATTTCCCCGTTTTTGATTTTCCCAGGTGCGTAAGTCTTCGTTATTTTATTATTATCTGTTTGGCGAACATTGCCATGAATGTTGAAGGAATATTATTTATTATTGTTATTATCTTTTTCGCCGTAATATATTTAATAAATATCCATAATTTATTTTACAAGATATATATTATTGTGGCAAATATACTTGCAACACCAGAGTTTTTCGGAAACATCCGTCATCTTTCAATAAGTGTCGTCTTTTATTACCGTTTACGGATTCAGTCAAGAAAAAATTTTAACGGGTGCTTACTGCCGAGTTTTTCGATTTCGTTAAAAAGGACTTATTAGTGCGGCAAATAAGATTGTTTTATAATGCGGTAGAATTCCTGTTGTTTACACCTTTTCTTATCTGCTACTAGGGTGGTCATGGATACAATCTTAAGTGTCCCATTCTCTGATTTTGCAACGATCCGTACTTGAAATATCATCATCCCAAAGCGGGGAATATAACGTTTAGATTGCCATTTATTCTGCATTCGATAACCACAAAACTCACGCAACTTCCAACCAGATCTTTGGAAACTATAATGAACCATACTATCTGATATACTCTCATACTTAAATTCAAAATGCCTGTATCAGATACGGTCTCCCTTTCTTCATCGCTATCAGCCCAATCAATCGGTGATCATGCTAACGATCCTCAACAGAATGAAAAATCCACCAGCTCTTCAGACGAATATTTCGAAACAGACGTCGAAAGAAACCAACTAGGGGCCTATACCAAAGATAATGATACCGAGGATCACGATATAGACAATTTGTCTCGTCAAATGTCCCGTAACGCTGTCCAGGAAGTCCCTTTGTATATGTCCGGGGTGGTTGATGATGCCGTCAGTCGTCAGATCTCAAGGTTTTCTCGTCAACCTCAGGCAAATGACATGCCAATTGCTAGCAGAACTACAACCAGAAATACTATCACTAAAACAAAATCAGCCCCAAATAATTATAATCCCGACCTCAAACTTAGTAAGTTCCGCAGAACTGCAATTCTTGTATTATCTGCGTTATCGGGATTCTTATCACCATTGTCCAACGTCTCTTTTCTTCCAGCAGTTTCCTACATTGCTAAAGATTTTCATACCACCGGTACCATAATTAATATTACCAATGCAGTTTACATGGTGTTTATGCTGACATCTCCCTGTATCTTTTCTCCACTTTCCGATATTTATGGTCGTCGCCCGGTGTTTTTGGCTTGTTTGGTTGGTTACGTGGTCTCTAGTGTTCTCACCGCAGTATCTCAAAATTTGGCAATGTTTTGGGTATTTAGATCAGCTACTGCAATCTTTGGTACCGCATTCTTTTCTGTTGGGGCCCATGTAATTGGTGATTTATACCCTCCAGTGGAGCGTGGGCGGAAAATCGGGCTTAATGTTCTCGGGGCACAATTGGGTATTGCTATTGGTCCAATAATGGGTGGGTTAGTAGTCACTTGGGCCAGTTGGAGAATTATCTTTTTTGTCCTTGCCGGTGTTGGATGTTTCAACTTTGTTGGGGTTTTCTTTTTGATGCCGGAAACCGCTAGACAAACAGGGATGAACCAAATTTTGAAAGAAACTGAATCTACTAAAAAGTTTGTGTTCGTACCATTTAACCCATTGAGAATTTTGCGTTCTTTTGCCTATCCTAACCTTATTCTTGCGGGGTTTGTTAGTAGTGCCATTCTCTACTCCATGTACAATTTGCTTACCCCAATCAGATACGTTGTTGATCCTCGTTTCCACCTTGATACTCCAATCTACGGGGCATTATTCTACCTTGCACCAGGTGTCGGGTTTATCCTTGGTGCTTATTTTGGAGGAAGATTATCAGATTACACTGTCAAAAAATGGATCAAAAAGAAAGGCAAACGTACCCCAGAAGATAGAGTCAGGGCATTGCTTGCCAGTACTTTATTTGTTATGCCGATAGCCACAATTATTTATGGCTGGACTCTTGAATTCGAAAAAGGAGGGTTTGCCGTTCCAATCATTGCCTTGTTTTTCTATGCTTTTGCTCAGTCAATTTCATTTCCTGCCATCAACACATATTGTGTTGATTCCATGCCAGAGCTTAAAGGGGATGCTATTGCCGGGAATTATTTTGCGAGATACATGCTAGCCATTGCCAGTAGTGCCAGTTGTTTACCGGCAATCCAGACAATTGGAGTTGGATGGTGTTGTACTATTGGAGGGTTTATCACATTCGCTGGCGGGATTTGTGCACTCATTTTAGTCAAGTTTGGTGAAAAATGGAGAAAAGAAGCGTTGGTAAGAAAGGGGTATAGAAAAGAAGGCGAGGTTTATGCCTAATTTGGTTGAAGTGTTTTATTATGGTTGTTGCGTTATAGTTGGGATCTATGAAGACTGTTACACCCTCCACTAAACGAAAACTCCAGTAAATCAAAGACCAGTGAAGCTTGATCATTTAACTATATTACTCGACTAATGATGTCTCATTGAAAGTCTTTTTTTTTCCAATATTGCCAAGTAACATGTGCAATCAATAATTATAGACAACATCCTTACATAGTCTGGTTCAGCTTTTAGTGCTTCTTAATGGAATGGATACCTAAGCATCTCTCATGTCTTGTTCTTTTTTTTGGCTCACTTTTATCTCCAGAAAAGAGTATTAAAAGGTGAGTAACTTCCCGCAAAGTCTTTAATAACTATACACTCCGAATATCAAATCACGCACTGTAACTTCTAAAAGAAGTTTATAAATTGCTTAGAGCTTTCCGTATATTGGATATCCATGTGTCCGAATAAACAGGGGAAAAAATACTTGAGTATTAGACCTTTAATAAAGATAAATAGATGTGTCTAACTTCATAAAAATCTAAACATGGCGTTGGTTGTCCATGATCGGACTACTGTCTTATCATTTCTGAGATTTAAGCTTCGATATCTAAACTTTGAATAAATGTAATTTCCCTCTGTGAAAGGATAAACTAGTGTTCTTTAGAATGTATGTAGAGATCATCTTATACCTGCCACAGAACTTTTTGAGATGGCAGACAGATTCGTTGCAGTCAAATGCAGCATAATTATTCTAGGGGTCAGGTTTTACGCAGTATCGTAATACATTAGTGTTCGGGGAGTACTACACACCCGCAACTTTTCTCTCATACTATATGGTATCACAAACCATATTAAATAACCATAAACATACTAGTCAAAACGTCCGCTAAAATGCTCAAGCGTCAAAGAATAAATGATGCATCACAACTTTCAATAATTACATTGATTTATAAATTAAACTCATAAATGTATTTATTGCTAATTTATTAAATCATGGAATGAAAGTGATTAGACAAAATGAAAAAAAAAAAAAAAAAAAAAACAATTTCGTAACTATTGGATAAGCAAAAAAATAAATAAAAGAAGAGCAAGTCTTCATTTTGCTTTTATTTTTTATGAGATATGATGACCAAATTCAAAGGAAGAACCAAATCTTTATCAAGAAGTATAATCTATTTAAACAGTCAAAATTCTCATAGTGTTGGTGTGACCCAAACCCTTGGTCCAACCTTGGATGGCAATAATGGAGTCACCTTCTTGAATCATGTTCATCTTTTTGGCTTCTTCAATGGCAGTCTTCAATCTGATTTCCACATCGGCTTGCCAGTCAGCAAGAGGTTCCTTGTTGTAAGCCAATGGATAAACACCACGGTACAAGTGAGAGTATCTAGCAGAGTGTTGGTTTCTGGTGATCATAACGATAGGACAGACTGGACGGTATTTAGAACACAAACGGGCAGAGGTACCAGAAGTACTCAAGACGAAGATGGCCTTGGCGTTTTGTTCATATGAAGCACTGACAGCAGCCATAGCGATGGTTTCCACGGTTTCAGTTGGACGTGGTTGACAAGAGCGAATGTCGTTATAAAGAGCACCGTATGGCAAAGCTTTTTCGGCGAGCAAGGCGGTGTGGTGCATCATGGTGACGGCTTCGATTGGGTAGTTACCCTTGGCAGTTTCCCCAGACAACATAACACAGTCAGCACCATCAAGAATGGCGTTACCGACGTCAGAAACTTCGGCACGAGTTGGACGTGGGTTGTAAGTCATAGATTCCAACATTTGGGTGGCACAAATACATGGCTTACCAGCCAAGTTACATTTGGCAATAAGTTGTTTTTGAGCAGCAAACACTTGTGGAGCAGGAATTTCAATACCCAAGTCACCACGAGCAACCATGACACCATCGGTGACTTCGAGAATTTCATCAAAGTTGTTGACACCTTGTTGGTTTTCGATTTTACAAATGATTTGAATGTCTTTACCATCTTCACCCAAGACCTTACGGATTTGGATGACATCGTCGGCAGTACGGATAAATGAGGCAAAAACCATGTGGACCTTATTCTTGACACCGAAACGCAAATCGGCCTTATCCTTTTCAGACAAAGCTGGCAAGTCAACATCGGTACCTGGCAAGTTAACACCCTTGTGGGAACAGATCTTACCGGCGTTCAAGGACTTGACTTTAAGGGTTTGGTTGTCGACTTTTTCCAAGACTTCAAAGGAAAGAACACCATCATCAACGTAGATGATACGGCCAACTTCGATGACAGAGGTGATGTTCTTGTAGTCAATGTAATACACCTTGTCGTCACACTTGGTCTTATATTCGTCATTGGTGGTGAAAATCATTTCGTGACCAGCAGGAATAGAGTAATCTTTGTCACCAATGGTGGTACCAGTTCTGATTTCTGGACCTTTAGTGTCCAAAGCAATGGCCAAAGGTCTACCTGGGTAAACTTCTTCGGACTTTCTGGCATTGTCAACGACAGATTGGTGGTACTCATACGAACCATGGGAGAAGTTCATACGGACAATGTTAAGACCGGCTTTTCTAAGTTTGACCATCATTTCGACGCTATTTGTCTTTGGACCAATGGTACCAATAATAGAGGAACGACGATAATACTTGTCTGGGGTTTCCATGACGTTAAGGCTGGAAAGCCATTTCAATTGAGAAGAGGATGACATTGTTAGTTATTGATGGGTGATAAATGTGATAATATTAAATAAAAATTATTGTTATCGGGAGATATGAAAGAAAAAGAGAAGGAGATGTGCAGGAAATTTAAAGCAATTAAGAAAAAAATCGTCCTGGCATCAACTGATGAGAGGGAAAATGGCCGTTTGGGGGTCTCCTCGATGTCACGTGGTGGTGATGAGATACCATCACCAGAAGGATATTTCTGTAATAACATCATGTACTCGTAGGAGGGTGGATAGATTGGTTTACTTATTAGTTTAAATGGGTTATTCTGTATTATTCGCTTGGGGCTTCTCGCAGGGTTTCACTTCTCGACCGGCTTTTTTTTTTTGTTTCAACTTGGTAACTTTTCCACTGCCCTGCGACACAGGAAAGTTCCTCGACGCATCATATACCAATCCATGTATTTATGTAAACATATATATATTGCCCACCCAAAAAAACTGTTATAAAAATTAACAGACCTCATGCTATAGATCTTTTATTTTCACGCACTGAAGTTGGGACATTGCGCCTTGAAGAACTAACTTAGTTTGACAGGATTCTGGAGCGCATGTTGACAGATTAGATAAATTGCAACGATATTTTGTGTTCGGGAAGGCAGTGCATTGCCATTGATAGAAAATATGGCTTAGAAAGTGCTACAAAATCCATTGCCAACGCTTCTATTGCAATATAGCAACAACCCCGCCATCATACACGATATTATATTTTTGGCCTCTTGGTGTTGTCGCCGTCACGTGTAAAGTCTCGTCACTCGACGGCTTTTCCCCCATTTCTCCGGCGGCCGTGCAATTGGCAGTGCGGTGGGATTGTCGGTCAAAGATTATTATTTATTATTTAGTTATCGACTTAATTCGTTAGACAGTTTTCTATCTATTGATTTATTATATGCCTCACAGAAATCTATCACTACAAAGTATTTGATGCCCAGAACCACGCACTAACTCATATTGTTACACACGGCTCTGGTTAAGGCCCTTTTATTAATATACTGTAATGGACTGTGATGGTACTAGCGTCCTCTTGCCAATGTCCGAAGGACCTAATTCGGAGTTTTCTTTTCGCATGTATGATTACACTCCTCCGACAGAGTATATCTGTAATTAATATGAAATATAAAATCAAATAAAATTAAGCTCAGTCAGCTTGAAGTATGAATTCTTGTCGTATACCATCTAATGAATCATCAGTATTAAAAAGAAGCTAATGAAAAAGAACTATGACATTACGAGTTATCAGACCCTCTGGGACTGATTTGGGGCATGTCTTGAACACATTAGAGATAGATAAAGCATCAAAGATGTAGTGGCTCTGTCCTAACCTTAAGAACGCAAAACAGCTTGAGGAAACAGTTCATATGAAGGCAAACGGCTTACTAAGAGAATAGATGTAAAGATAATAGGGCTGTTTTGTACTGGCTAATGGTCTGACATACTCATGGGTATCTGTTCTTCTTCTCAGTTCGGACAATTTACTAAACAAATAATAATAAAAAATTCCTTTGAAAAGAGTGCGCTTGGCTTGATTTATCAGAATTCATTCGATATCATAATAAAATTTAGTTAAAATATAAAAGAGAGTCACTTATTTCAGATTTTGAGCTCGCTTTTCTAGAATAAAAGTATAGAAGAGATTGAGAAGGAGGCAATAAGCCAAATAGACGATGTTGGGATCCGCACACTGAATGCACAGAACATTAAGATGAACTAATGATACCTCATTTATACCACAAACAAATTGACTAAGAAATACGTAAAATGTAAATTTCATTTGTCTAAAAAATAATTTTCTAATAGTAAACTTCAAATGACCATGAGAGTACTACATGGAATAGCAGACTGGCAAGTTCAGCCAATATTCTGATAAATAGTTAGCCCGTGAAACTGGGAAAGCATGTTACTCATAGCATATGCTATGCAGCCAAACATCTACAAAGTAGACTATGAAAGTTTTTTCTTTTTTTTTTGAATCTATATTTAATTCATGATGCTGAAGAAGTATTAGTACACCATTGAAAAAGCAGGAAGAAAGATTTGATCTAAAAACTAAAATATAACTTATTATCGTATCACAACAACACCAAGCCGACACCAACCATCATAGCACCGGCACCAATCATTTGAAATCCTTGTTGGGCGGCCATACCTGAGGCACTGGAAGTATCTTGAGAAGAGCTGGCGTCGCTGGAAGAAGAGCTAACAATAGAAGTGGAAAGCGTGGAATTGTCAGTTGCAGTCAAGGCATTGGTCTGGTCATCACTACCGGTAGTGACTAGAAAACCATCCAAAATGGACATTTCTGATTTGTAGGATGGGGTATCGGTAATATCGGTTGTTGTAGAGTGGTGGCCCATTATTGAATTTTTTGAACGATAAAGTTTTGTGAAATAAGGTAAAACAGAAAAAAAAAAGAGCTTAAAAAACACCAAAAGCGGAGTAGGACCGCACATTTATATATTAGTCGTGTGGATCTTTATGAATCCAGGAAATCGGTCCCTCCTTTGAAACATGCGGAAGTATGGGTATGCAAAACAAGTAGTCGCCCGTAGCATTTATTAGCAACACATTGTTATTGTTATTTGGTATTCTTTCATTTTGTGTGGGTAAATACATTGAAAAATAGTAATGAATGGAAAATATATTACAAGGGTTCCATTTCTCTATATTTTAGTTGGTAAAGTTATAGCAGTTGGCACATACCATCACCGCGGTATATTGGGTCACCTATTTAGTTTCCAGTTCTAAAGGATCATCCTCCCCAACCGGGTTGTCGTGCACCGCCATATTGGTAAGCCGATCATTTGTTGTGTGCTGCCTACATGGTTCTTGTAATCATTTAGTCTAATTTAATCTTTAGAGACTACCAAACCAATTAACCATATAAATTACCAATTCATCTTAAAATAAATCTAGTACGCCCTTCAATGGGCCTGCTGAGAGAGAGAGCAAGACGGACCGGGACCCACCAGCACGCTGAGACACTTCTCACACACATACAGTATACACTGCACAAATAAGCGCCTAGAAGATAAGACAGGGTCCTACAATTTGACGTGAGAAGAGCTCAATTCAAGATGGCAAAAAAAAAAAAAAAAAAAAAAACAGAGCAGGAATGGCTTTTTTGAATCATTTATGACCAGGGTTTGTTCCAGTTTTCTAGTTAAATTAATCTGTGATACTTTTAATTATTATCAAAATTCGGCCGTTTGGCGTAATGAACCTTTCTCAGGGTCAGCAAAATTTCTCTCATTTCATATATGATGTTTATAAAAACAAGAGAAAAAACAAGTTGAAATCATAAATAAGTATTACTCTCGTTGCCGGTACATGTCCGTTTCATCAGTCAAGCCTTATTTTGCTGCTACAAAGCTGGTGTTACTTTTTTCTTTCTTTCTTTTTTCATGAGTAATTATTTGAGCAGTAATATCTCGGAAGAATTGGCGGTAGAATCATCACTTGCATCGCTCACAGTTATTAATCCGGGAATAAACGATCACACTGTCAACAGTGCTGTCTATATATCTATATATCTATGGGTCATACTATCGGCCATCTCTCTAGACCGATTGTTAAAGTTTTTCTCGGACAATTTTCTGCAATGTGCCACAACAACATGAGGCTATTTCTTTTTTGCTGGTTTCTTTTTTTTATTTTTTTTTTTTGAGAGATGCGATGAATAAATGTGTTATGTCAGGTTGTTTAGTCTTATTTGATTTCAAAAAAAGGCCAACGGGAAAAAACGTGTAAACCGCATTTAGTATAACCAATATATCCTAAGTGCCGACGCCTATTTTTCTTAGTAAATTTGTAGAAGGAATGTATATTCTCTTATAAACCTCTGCCACAATGATGATGGGATTGTTTATTTCTTTTTTTTTTTTTTTTTCCTTCGGAGTGCTTTTGGGTCAATAATGGATCACAAATAAGTGCTCTGTCATTGGATGGGCAAATCACAATAACACCATCATCCAAAAAAAAAAAGGAAAAATATCATACGAGACTCGCGTCAAGAGGGAAAAAAAAATGAACAAAAGGCATGATCGACGAAAACAATGCTATTTTTGCTGGTTCACGGAGATTGCCGGGGCATTGAGAAAGAAGGAAAAAATGACCTTGTTTTGATGTTACTTCGAACCTTGTTTTGTGTTCTTTAGTTTTTTTTATATAGCTCATTTCTAACAATTATAAATTGGCAGGAGTTACCTACTTGACTTACAGAAAACGATATAAACGGTTTTGTTAATCATAATTATAACATACAAATCATCAAAATAAATCAAAGATGTCTGCTGCTCCTCAACTCTACGAAATCAAAGACCTTACCATTCCACAAAAGGATTTGATCAAAGCATCTATCCCCATTCTCGAACTGTCAGGGGTTGACCTCACCAAGGCTTTCTACAACTACATGTTGGAAACTTACGCAGAGGTCAAGCCTTTCTTCAACGAAACTAACCAAAAGAATTTCAGACAGCCAAAAGTCTTGGCATTTGCCTTACTCAATTACGCCAAAAACATCGATGACTTGGCCCCATTGACTGCGTTTGTTCAACAAATCGTCACCAAGCATGTCGGTTTGCAAATTAAAGCAGAACATTACCCAATTGTTGGTAACTCTCTTATTAGCACCATGGGTAAACTTTTGGGCCCTGAAATTGCCACTCCAGAATTCGTCACCGCCTGGTCGACTGCTTATGGTAATTTGGCGCAAATTCTTATCAACGCCGAATGGGAACAGTATCAAAAGCAACCATGGAATGGTTTTAAAGAATTCACTGTCACAAAGATTGAGGAAGAAGCCAAGGATATTAAATCAGTATACTTCACCCCATCTGACGGTTCCAAAATCAGTTTGCCATTGCACGGTCAATATTTGGGATTCCGTTTTACCATTCCTGGTGATGATATTGAAAAATCTAGAGAATATTCCATCTCCCAGTATCCAAACAGCAATGAATACAGAATTTCTGTGAAGAAATTGGACGAAGGAAAAGTTTCCACTTATATCAATGAGCAATTGAAAGCAGGAGACAAGTTCAAGGTTGCTCCGCCAAACGGTACCTTTACTTACCAAGACTTCACCAACGATGTTTTGTTATTTGCCGGGGGGATCGGTATTACTCCAATCATTCCAATTCTTGAAAAAGCTTTAGCTCTGAACAGAAAAGTGACCTTATTCTACTCTAACAAATCCCAAGAGCAAAGACCATTCGGTGAATATTTCAAAGAACTCCAAGGCAAATACAACAATTTCACATTCAATGAATTCTTCTCCAATGAGAACAATAGACTCAGTGCCAAAGACTTCGAATTTTCTCATAAAGACTTTGATGTTTACATGCTTGGGCCAATTGGATACATGGACTTTGTTCGTGAAGAATTGAAGAAGCACGATATCACCGAAATCCGTTCTGAATTCTTTGGTCCAACCAACGTATGATTGCTTTCTTGTGTTTTATTTTTTTTTCTTTCTTTTTGCTTTAGTTTTGTTACGACCCAAAAAAAGCATAGATCGCTATATATGACCCTGTACGTACTTATGAATGTTTTGTTTAGATTACTATTTGTAACTTATCGGTGTAGAGATGGGGGACCAAAAAGCGTTTATGCAGTTATTTGACACGCACATTGACATGCATGAACTAATGTTGATTGCAACAGGCCTACTCCACAGTATAATAGAGGATGATTAAGCTGGACAATAGATAAGTACGAAGAAAAATGATGATGGCACCAGGTGGGAATAAATTGCAGCATAGCTTTTGCATTGGGGCATGGATAACTGATATTTGAACCAGTAGTTGTCCCAGAGAGAAAAAGACCATCAGATGACATCATCACTCAAAGTCCTATGGTATTTTATCTGTTGATACAGTCCAATGATAATATGTGTTTCCTATCCCGGGAGGAGTAACAATCTACATTGTTTATTTCTTCCTCCATAGTATGTATATCTTTCAACTAAAGGGGATGTCAGAGACAATAACGAGAATGGTCGAAATAAGCCCACTCTCTCCACGTGACGAGCAAAGAAATTTTCCTTCGAAAAAAAAAAAAATATTTTTTTGCAAAAACATTCAAAATATTGTTATTATCGTTAACAGCAAGGACATTATCATCTTCTCATCATTTTCCTTCAATGCCGCTGCATAACCAGCAACCAAAATTCATAAAAACCAAATACTAATAATAAATCAACTGATTAATATTTCATAAAGCAAGCAATTCACGCAAGAGCAAAAGAGCAAATTTCTGTTTTCCTTCATATATATCCCACTAACCGCGCTGCACGGTATCTCGCAAGATATAAAAATAGATTTAATACATGAGTGGTCCTTCTTTTCCAAAAAATGCAAATCCTTCATATTCCAACAACATCACTTCCAATACACTACCAACCAAGCAGATGCAGACTAATTCAATAAAGCCGCACTCTTCCAAGTTCTACTTCCAAGATGAAGAGGAAGACGAGGACCAATTCGATGGCAATTCCCTTTTGCGACCTTCTTCGTTCTCATCACAGGTGAATTATCATAGCAATCACCTCCACCCATCAGCTTCTAATAATAATCATCAACAATCCCTTTTCCAATGCACTAATGAAATATTAAATTTCCCAACAGAATCAACAAATGCCTATTCGTATGCTCATCTTTCCCCAAACTCTTTGGCTTTAAGGTTGAATGTTCTCAAAAGATCTTTAGAAATTTTGATTGAACGTCCCGAATTAATATTGTCCCTCCAAAGTGTTTCTCCTGATGCTTTATCAGAATCCCCTCCGCAGACCCCAATTAACAACACTAATGCTTTGTTCAACCCTAAAATTAGATCGCCATCCTCAAACAAGGGATTACTCAACATTTCTCAACAAGAAGACCACCTTACAGACTGCAAAAATCCTGATTATAATGAATATCGATCTCTCGGAGCTGCGATGGATCCGCTCAGCGATAATGGTAGCCATTCTTTGCAAAAACAGAAAAATCAAATCAAAATCGAAACCAATGCTTCTAGTGCGGCATTGGCGGCATTCTTTCGAGAAAATAACCCACCACTTCGCAGAACTTCAACAGGCAAGTCCTTTGCTTCATCTGATAATAGTTTACTATCGCCCTCACTGGGTTCTTTAGACAACGCAAATAACCCTTCAAAATTCACCAAAAGGTCTAGCTCTTTGAATACCCCTTTCCTTTTAAACAATGTTCGAATTAAGCCAAAAGATGTGGAAATGTATTCGAAGTCAACCAGACCATTACCCGAAAGATCACTATCTACAGCATCAATGATTACTAGAAACCCAAATACGTCCAATCAAGATGTACCAATTTATGAGAACATCCGTGATAAATTGAAATCGATGATCAAAATGTTGAGTTCCGACGGTTCAGGCTCATCACAAGAAGGCGCATTGGCTTTAAATCTTCATAATTTATCCCTTAGTAACATGAATGACGAGTCAAAAGAGCAAATGCTTCAGCGCAAACTTTTATATGCCTTGGCCACTCCATTTTATGAATCTATTTCTACTAATAACACCGTGAACCTCAATCGGAACATTTCTTCAGCCGCCCTGTGCCAGCACAATAATAATCATAATCATTATTCGACGATAGAGCCAAAGTACTTGACTGCATCTGATAAAAGAAGAATATCTAGCTTCAGTAGTTCTTCAAATAAACTAGCATTAAGACTTGAACCACCAGTCAGAATCCCATTGAAAAAGTTCAGTTCTTTTGATGATTCAGCAGTGAAATCATCTCCTCCAGTATCTTCGCCACAAACCCCGGATGATTATTCAGTTTCTTTCAGCAATTTGCGTCCAACAATCAATTTTTCTACTACCAGACCCTTCCATTCTTTGTCTACTTCCAAAAATCTGAGCCCTCAAGCAATCATTACTTGTGATACAAGCTCCCCTTGGAAGTTACGGGCAGTCAATGATTTATCAACATTGATTTTTGGAATCAAAAATAAAGGATCTGAAGTAAAACGGCTAGGCTTGATGGACTTGATTGCAGATAATTCCAAAGATTTTGTTTTGCAAAAGTTGATGAAGCGCTTGGCCGGAGATAAAGACAATCAATCGCCAATAAATAGGTCGAACCATTACAACAAAGATATTATTTTTGCGGGGGAAATCGTTGCGGTAAAATCTCAGGTATCTTTGGAAGAATCTGATGCTGAACAGAAAGAGATCCAATGGTGTTCTTTGTGGGCTAAGAAGAAGAATGAAATGATCATTTTAATGTTTGATAAAATTCCATGCTCTGCAATAGATTTAAGTATTGTTGATGATGGAGAATCTTGGAAAGTTACTAAAATTAATGAAGTGACTGGGAAATTGATGACTGGATTAGGCTATTGTGATAAACAAGCTCGATCATTGAACGAAATTTCTAAATCACTTGACAAGAAACTACAAAATCTTGATTCCGCTAGCATGAGTGAGAAAATGGCAAGAATTAATGACAACAGATATTTCACTCTCAATCTTCAACACAATAATTTACCTTGTGCAGTACTTTCTTCTCCAGTAAGTGACAAGGAAATGGTGTTGAAGATCCATACTTTGCCTTATATTGCAGGGATTTTTATCATTTCTGCCTCTAACTATAATATTTTGTCTTACAATCGATCCATATCCAAGAATTTATTTGGCCATGGGGACTTAATAGGTCAACCCATCAACACTATCATTCCGAATTTCACTAAATTGATTGAGTATTCCTCCTCTACGAAAAAGATGGTGAATTTCTTAAATGATTTGGTTAACAAATCCACCCCAGAAAGAGTCAGAGAAAACCCCAAAAAATATCTATTACCAGGATTAGTGTTGCCTGAACACTTTTTTAGAAGAATTCAAGCTAAGTTTGAGGCTCATAGAATTGTGGAGAGAAGAAGAGCTAAAGACGTAGGTATTTCCAATCTACGCACTCCAATCAAATTGAAGATAGATTCTGCTGATGATGACAAGCTCCACACCGAAGGTGATGATGGAAACTTTCATGATATGTCAGAAGAAGAAATTGAAGACGAGTTGTTTCTAAATTCGAAGGGTATCTATGGTAGACACTCTGATGGATCAAAGTTGGTAGTTGATGTTCAACTTCGTGTTTCATCAATTGATACGTTGGTCTTGTGGGTTACTTATTCTAATGAACTTTATGGAGCTGCGGTAGCCACGGCCAATGCCAAGGATGACCGTGCTTCCATGCTCAGCGAAAAAGATATCTGCAGCCCAACGAGAAGTGTCAGCGCCAAGAAGAAAGTTAAGTTCACCAATGAGGATAAAAATGAAGCAGATAAAAAACTTTCTATGGGCTTTGCTGATCCCGATTCGGATTTATTTTCTAAGGCCAGTTCTTCTTCGTTAGTATCATTGAAATATAATATTAATGATAGCGAAACTTTACTAAATACTAATGGAAATGCCAGAAGCACAAGAAGTAACTCTTTATTGAGTGATTTATCCGATGGTCTAAGCACATATCTGATGAAGGATGAAGTAAGGAATGCATTAGACTCGGGGCATGAACCAGTGACACCTAAAAGGAGGGAAGACCCAATGGAAGATGATGACTATGATGAATTTGACAGTACTACTGAGGTTTCGACTCCGCCGACTACAGCGCCAATCAATGATATTAAGTCCATCAATGATAACATATTGGGCGATGAAGCCTCTAAATATCCAATGAGCAGCACTGGCACAATGACCAGTGTTGATGGTCATAGTGCCATTGAAGAAGATCGTGATGATGGTTCCCATATTATTGTTAAATCAGAAGAAGAATTGATAGCTGAGGAAAATTTAAAGCACAATGAATGGAAGGCCAAATGTTTGAAATTTCCAATGACAATTGGTGCCAAGCGTCGGAAGAAATCGATTTCTGAATTTCATGTTATTAAAGGCATGGGCCAAGGAGCCTACGGTAAAGTATTATTATGTTATCGTGAGGACGATCCAAACTATGAAATTATTTTGAAATGCATTTATAAGGAAAGAATCCTCGTTGATTCATGGACCAGAGACCGGAAGTTGGGTACGGTCCCCGCAGAAATTCAAATAATGGCGTTTTTGAATTACAACCCCCATCCAAATACTTTGAAATTGATTGATTTCTTTGAAGATGATGAGTGCTTTTATGTTGAATTGCCAATTCATGGTAGCCCACCAGCAATGGATTTGTTCGATTATATCGAGATTAAGAAAGCTTTATCGGAAATTGAAATTCAATATATTTTCCGCCAAATTGTTCAGAGTATTAATCATTTACATGAAAATGGCATTGTTCACAGAGACATTAAGGATGAGAATGTTATTGTTGATGAACATTCTGTCGTGAAATTGATTGATTACGGATCTTCTGCTTTCTTGTACAATGGACCATTCGATGTCTTTGTGGGTACGATGGAATATGCCCCACCAGAAGTACTTCATGGGTCTTCTTATGATGGTAGACCGCAGGATGTGTGGTCATTGGGTGTGTTATTGTACACAATGGTATATAAAGAGAATCCATTTTACAACGTTGACGAAATCATGGAGGGGGAATTAAAGGTTCCTTACATTTTGAGCGAAGGTTGCATATCCTTGATCACCAGGATTTTGAATAGGGATGTGGAGAAGCGGCCAACAGTAAAAGAAATCCTTGAGGACTCTTGGTTGAAATTTTGAAGAGACTAATCACCTTTTTCAATATTTTTTTTTTTTTGTTTACTTTGCTTTCTGTTTCGAGGACCGCAACTATGACTGCACCACGTCTTCTAACTATTATCTATCTTTTTTTATTTCTTAGAACCATATATTATTACGATATTCTATATTTTTATGTTAATGTGCCAACCTTTTTTTCATCATTATTATAATTGTTATTTAGAGTTTATGAATTTTTCACTTTTCTTTTTTCGTTCTCTCAATGCATTTTTCTGCTCATTACTGCTTTCATTAATTGCTTGTTTTTTATTGAATGAAATTTATTAATGAAATTTTTTTTTGTGTGTCGTCTCTGCACAATCTTTTTTGTATCTACTGGGCACCAATAGTTTTATAGCAGCGAAATGCGATCCAATCGCCCCCAAATATTATGATTCATAAGATCAAAATAAAGTTTCACTTAACTTTGGGAAACCTAAATTTTTGATTAGATAATTTTAAGGAGCACAAGGGAAGCCATCATTTGAAAATGAAATAACACCAGATGTTTAAGAATTACATATTTCAAAATCTCCCAACAGGAGGAGGGACAACTGAAGAGCACAAGCCTCAAAAGATAACCTTACTTGTGATATTGGTTACCCAAGTTTTTATATTTAAATAATCTCGACAGGTTGACAGCGAGTTGGTATCATTTCGGAAGAGTGCTTGCCATTTGGTGGCAGCGCATTGAGGTGTATTATGCATAGTGTATTTAACCATGGGCTCCTAACAAAAATCTTTCTTGAATCAGAAATAAATGGTCGAGTTTTTTTTTTCTACATGTCAGTCTGCAGGTAGTACGTGAGGTAGTACGTACTACCAGACTTGGTTCAGTGACCAATGGCTCATAACCGAAAATACTTCCACTACTTTTGTAACTTTTGACGATTGATAGTCACTACTATCATGTATATAGAACAATCAAGACTCACAACCAAATTCCAGTTTATATATTATTAAACGTTTACATTTACTTCGTACTTATTATTATCATTACATTAATCTCTATAAACCGACATTTAGTTCTCCGTCTAATCCAATCATGAGTCCTGAAACTATTCCAACCTCCAACAAGGCTATTAGCGAGCAATCCCCAATTGCAACTCATCACGAAGCGAGCGGCAACCCTAGATCTGTCACTATCACGGAGTTCTACGCCCCAGCAAGGTCAAGACTACATATTATTCAAGTATCAGAATGCGAGAAGTATGTTTTTAGATAGCAATCGATTAAACTTAGTATATTCATAGATTTGCTATACTGCAAGAAATCTCAACATGCATAATATATATATATATATATATTTATAAATCACTAGGACTACCCAGACCATGACCGAGCACCGCAGTTCACAATAAAGGCACCCTTCTCTGCAATATACTCAACATGTCGCGACTTCAAGTATTCTTCCACTGCTTCCCGGATAACAGAATAGCCTCTCCAAGAATGTCGTCCCCAACCGGTGATGATTCTCACCCTTCCAGAGGACCCCCGGACAATATCAGCAGCAAGCGAGCGGGCTTGAGAAACATTATAGCCATGTAAGTTGAATGTTTCCATTGTCTTCGAAATATTTCAGATAAAACGTGTTATATAGGGAAGAAGGAAATCAATAAAAAGAAGAAAATTCGAAATTGAAAGCTTAAGAGACTTACTTATAGTGAAATTTGGAAGTGGTTATTGATTGCCCCTGTCTCATAAGCAAAGACCTCAAATTGTAAAGTTTATAATTCAAAAATTGCTTCAATCTCTGTGATTCGCTCGATAATGAAGGAGGAGAGACGATTTTGGAAAGCCATTGATAACTCATTAGCAATACGTAATTTTAAATAGTATTTACTTCACAGCAAAGTTGTTCATTGCCACTGATGGAAGTTCGTAAATGGGATGTTTTGTGCGCCCACTTAACTATTCAGGAGGTTTGAGATTTGGAATATTGTCATAACATTTTTGTTTTGATCTGGATAACAGTACTACAAAAGATTATGTTAAATATTGACAGAAAAATATTACACCAAATTCTAGAAATCAAGAGAACAACAGATTGTGCATTTTTTCATGCATTGACGAAGAAATTAACTCTTTGGCGTGTTCTATGCTCTTGAGAGTCTCTGAGATATGCTAGATGTGTCTTTCCTAATAATCTCTAAAGAACTGGAATGGCATAAATAAATCCCAGGTGCTTTGGTGGCTACCGCTAAAGATGTAGTGAACATCTGGAAAACAATTAGTGTTCAATCTATTCTATGTTAAAAAAATGTATTTCTTAGTTATTTTTTAATATGTGGCATACAATCCATGATTTGGGTTTCAATGATAGAGATACTTTCATGAATTGTACAGTCTTCAGTGGTTTTACAGTCATATATTTGGAGGACAGATGAAGCAGCATTTCAACCTTTCAGTAAGGCGAGAAATCAGCACTTTGTTAAGGTTACTGAAATGCAGATGGAATGGGGCATAGATAATGCTCAAGGTATCTTAGATACTGTTTCATCATAACAGAGGTTACTCATAAACAGACCGATCTTTCTTGTTTTTTATTTTTATTATTCTTATTAAGCTTCACGCTTAAACCTTTACACTTTACTTTAATAATTCATTTTATTTCATTCGATACAGCCATTAGTAGATCGAATTATAATATAAGAATCTTAATCCTTTGATTAACATGAGAACAAACTTATATAACAACTATACGATAGATAAATAAGCATATCTTGAATATAGTTCGGTACTCCTCTATTGTTAAATGATATTACAGGCTCATCTAAGACTTGGTGAGCTCCGGAATTAAAAGGAAAAATAAGAGAAAAAAGAAGCCTTTCAAAAAATTATTAGCTTCATATCATGAATACAAAGAAAAGCTGAAATAAAACCTTTACAATTTTTGTTCACTGTTAATTTTTTCAAGCTCTAAACTTTCAAACCATTTTCATGGATATTAAGTACCAAGTGGTAATAATAAAAAAACAATATATAGAGTCAAAACAAGGGTTAAAAAAAGGTAGGCAAAGATGAGAAAAGAGTTGTAGAAATATGAAAAGTTATGAGAAAATAATGACAAAATGGTGTGTGCTGCGTGCAAAATAAACAGTTCATTAATAAAAACAACAACGGTTATCAGTGAAAATAAAAAATGCCTCAATATAGATCAGCTGGAGCTGGACATAAATATGTTTAAGGTACTGCCAGTGATAGGAGCGACGAACAATTAGATTACATAAGCGATAATAATAAAGAATTAAAACAAAAAAAAGAAAAAAGGAAAACAAAAAAAGAAACTTTGAATTTAAGGAAGCTGCCACTCCAGTTAATTAAGAAAATAATTGATCGTTTTTAAAAAAAATATACTAGGTTAATTTAAGAACTAATACCAACTTTGTCCAAACCAACTTGAATTTCATTTGTCGATTTTTTGGCAAAAAATTGGACATCAATATCTTTATCTTCGGATAAGTTGGCCAAAAATGGTAGAATCTTTTCATTAATTACTGAATACACTTTAGCTTTCTCTTCCTCCGATGTGAGCTTAGTGATATACTTATCATCCTTCAATGCCTTAACTTCAAGTAACTCATCTTCTTCTTCGTTGGAAACGTTTTCTTCAGGAGTGTCACTTTCTTCTTTTTCTAACTTCAACAATCTAAATGCCACCTTCTTATAACCCTTGGCAACATTAAATTTGATGTTTGGAACACTATCATTTGATAACCTATTCAAATAGGATAAAATTTCATTAGTAATGATGCTATCATCTTCAACAACATCCACAAGGGAAATCAAGGAAAACAAACATGTGATACGATAAATAAAGTTATTCATTATGGAATTGTTGACATTTTCAATATTTGAGCCATCTATTATTTCGCTATCTTCATTATTGGTCAAATCTCCATTACCAGCAAGATCTGGGAATAAATCTGGATTCTCTTTTTTGTAATCATTCAAAATTTCATTATTAAGAATTTTATCAATGATTTCTTCTTTCGCCCACTTATCACCAAAAACTTCGGCTAATCTTTTAAGATTCAAGACAGCGGCCTCTCTAATAGTGTAAACTGAGTCCCATAACCATGACATACACAATCCACTTAATACCTTGTTAAAAAACTCGATACCTAGTTGCTTTGAAAGCAAAGGAATATATTCAATGATTGCCAATCTCACTCTCCATTGTTTATCCTTAGCTAGTTCCGTGATAGCCGGCAACAAAGCCTTGGAGAGTAAGTTTATGCCAATAACATTGTTGACCGTAGTCAAGTTACTGATGATGTTCAATCTTACTTCTGGGAATTCATCATTGAGCATTTCAAGGAAGATGTTCAATAGATACTCACTGGTTGGTTTTTCACCCAAAATTGGGGCCAACCCAGCAATCTTGGAAGCCAAAGCAGATCTAACCAACTCATTTTGATCAGTTATCAATTCTTCAGCTTGAGGTATAATCTTATCAATCACATTTTTTTGTTCAATTAATTTTGAGAAATCTGGAATTTGTTTGGAAATAGACTTTCTGACTTCCGCTTCATGATCTTTCAATAATGCAATAAATTTGTTTAGAATTTTGTCATTCAAATCACTCTTATTGAAGTATTCGACAATACTAGAAAATTTCTCAGAAATCATGTATCTGACTCTCCAACTTTGATCGTTGGCCAACTTGAGAAAATCTTCAAGTAATTGATCATTGTGACTTTTATCATTTCTGACAGCATTGAATAGTTTAATGATAGCAATCATGACATCGACTGACAAGAACTTGACAGAATCCTGATCATCGTTTACCAAACTCTTGAATGTTTGGAAGAGTAAACTCCAATCGTTATTATTTGAAGGTTCAGTACTGGCATATTTATCGCTATCTAAGTGCTTTTCAGAGTTTAGTTCCAATTCTTCCAAAGAGGTGATTATGCTTGGTAATTGAGTAGCGGCAGCTCTTCTAACCATTGGTGTATCGTCTTTGATTAATTTCAAATAGAGATATAATAATTCTTTTCTGGTGTTGATATCCACCCTGCTGATAACGCTCTTGAACAAACCACAAGAAGAAACTCTAGAAGAGAACCAGTCGGCAGTTGCCAAGTTATTAATAACAATCAAGAATTCGTTGTTCAATTGGGTCAAGCTCAAATGGTCGGCAATATCATTTAATGAGGCGATGGCCTTATCTCTAACCACTGGCTCTTCAATAGCAGATAAAAATTCTAAAGTTGGCAACAAGAAAGTGGCGTACTCTTCACCTCCAATGAATGGAATGAAGCTACCATTTAATTGTTGGGCCAAGACGGCAAATACCTCATCTTCATCGTCATGGGCAACTTCAAACAAGAATGGCAACAATTCATTTCTTGCTCTTTCCGGACCCAAAGCAATGGCGATGGTGTCTAAACGCTGCATGGCTTGGACACGGTTAGAAACATCATCATGTTTTAATTCATCCATCAAAAGTGCCAAAGGATAAAGGATTTCGCCAATAGAATCGGCAGCAGTGTTCGACTGTTGTGATTTTTGAAAATCCATATTTGTGTAGGTTATGTATGTAGGATTTCTTTGGCTGGTTTTGATTTTCTGGAAACTCTCCGAATAGGGATTATGATTTATTACTTCTTGGATGTCGTGTCTATCCCTCACAAACCGTTCAAAGATGAAAAGAAAAACAAAAGAACGATTACGGCTATTATTTAAAGGACAAGGAAAATAATAAGCAGTGATGGGTAGCTGATAGACAAATCAATAAAAAAAATATGTTCAAAGGTTTGTTTTTCAGCGATGCTTTGTTTTAGGTGAGGGTGAGGCGAAAAGAGATTATTTGTTGTTCTCTTTTTTTCCACCTTTCTGATTTTTCCCACTATAAACACGTGACTAAGAAATATAAAGTTTTGTGTCATCTCGTAAGTGCATATATCAGCATTAAAATGCATCTAGAAGCATATGCCGTAACCGGTGGTTGTGTGCGATGGGAATCTTTCACCTATCACTGTATATAAAGGATGAATCATTTTCCAAATTATTCCCGGTATATGATATTCATAATAATTGAAAAAGATAAATTGTCCCCTCAGAAAAATAATTAAATATGGCTACTAAAAGCATTCTTGTGTTACCAGGTGATTATGCCGGTGTTGAAATTATTGATGAAGCCATCAAGGTCCTTCATGCCATCGAAGAAGTTGTTCCATCAGTTAAATTCAACTTGAACAAAAGATTGATCGGTGGTGCTTCGATTGATGCCGAAGGTGTGGCCATTTCTGATGAAACGATTGAAATTGCTAAGAAGTCTGATGCAGTTTTACTTGGGGCAGTGGGAGGACCTGCTGGTAAATGGGCTGGCGGTCCAAACAATGTGAGACCAGAGCAAGGGTTATTGCAAATTAGAAAAGCCTTGAACTTATATGCCAACTTGAGACCATGTAACTTTGTCTCTGACGAATTGCTCAAATTATCCCCATTGAGACCAGAAATTGTTAAAGGTACCGATTTTATCGTGGTCAGAGAATTGGTGGGTGGTATTTACTTTGGTGAAAGACAAGAAGCTGACGAATCAGGTAAAGCTTGGGATACCGAAGCTTATTCTGTTCCTGAAATCCAAAGAATCACAAGAATGGCTGCATTCTTGGCTTTGCAACACAATCCTCCATTGCCAATTACTTCCTTAGATAAGGCAAATGTTTTGGCCACCTCCAGATTGTGGAGAAAAGTCGTTACAGAAACCATCGAGCAAGAGTTCCCAAATTTGAAGGTCGAACATCAGTTGATTGATTCCGCTGCCATGATTTTGGTGAAGAGCCCAACCAAATTGAACGGTATCGTAATAACCAATAACATGTTCGGAGATATCATTTCTGACGAAGCTTCCGTCATTCCTGGTTCTTTAGGATTGCTTCCATCTGCGTCATTGGCCTCATTGCCAGATACTAACACTGCATTTGGTTTGTATGAGCCATGTCATGGTAGTGCTCCTGATTTGCCAAAGGGTAAAGTCAATCCAATTGCTACCATCTTGTCTGCCGCTATGATGTTGAGATTATCTTTGGACATGTCAAAAGAAGCCGATGCCGTCGAACTTGCTGTCAAGCAAGTAATCGACAGTGGCATTTCTACCGGTGATTTGGGTGGTGAGAACTCTACCAGTGAAGTGGGTGATGCGATCGCTGCAAACATCAAGAAAATTCTTGCTTAAAAGAACCTTCAAAACATTTTAAAACATTCTTAATGCGTCAATGATTTCAGTTGTTAATTTTTATATCGTCAAAATAATTTATGAATATTGTTTTATATATATCGTCTAAAATAATGATCTATATTGTAGCTCTACAAATCATCGGTTCTTCTAGTTGCTTTAATCACAACTGGGATCATACCACCGGTCCCAATAGCAAAATCTCTATGTCCTGTTGCCATTATGAAGCTTCTGATGGTTCCTGAATGACTAGTGACATTGACAAATACATCCTTCTTGTCTGCTTGCCAATCTTTTTCGAACAAGAAATTCAAGAAATTATTGATTCTCAATGTTTGTTCACATAACGTTTCTCTATAATCATCCTGGTAATAAATATCCTCTTCTTCAAAACCATCCTCAAATACAAATCCTTTGTTGCCAAATCTCTCTTGAATCACTCTTTTTGGGGAACGTTTGTCACACGTGTGCTCCCCAATAGTTTCTCTGACATCTTCTTTAATCATGGCAGTGTAGTCCACAACTCCATCCCAAGTGTGGATCAAAGTCTCAATAGATCTGGTGAAGGGTGAAGAATAGAAAGCACTAGGAATTGGCGCTCCCTTGGCGAGCTGTTGTTTCCAGGCGGAATTGTTACCCTCAGCTTGTTCAATACCTAAAGGAGTCAAGAAAGGATCTGGTCCCCACACAAGTTCGCCATCGCCATTCATTCTTGACCACTTATCATCCCAAGCTTCTTGTCCGTACTTAACGATGGCGTAATTGTGCCATCCTTGACCGTGACGTGCCAAAAATAGCAACTTATAACTAACATTATCCTTTGATTCTAAATTGAGCTGCTGTAGTTCTTCTACAAGCTTGGTCCATGATGGTTTATTAAGACCGAAATCTTCTTCAATGTAGTCAAACTTGAAAGCATCAGTCTCAGGTTCTGATTGTTTGAAAAACCCGGGAACTATTTCGAATTTCCACGGACGCAAGTATTTCTTTGTGGCGGTATCCTGACATGTCATTTTTTTCATAAGGGCGTTTTGGTAGGTTTTATAATACTCCGCATCTTGGGCAGTATATAAAGTTACCACATCTTCAGGTCTGAGTGCGGTAAGGTGGCCAGCTGTCATACTTTCAAGTTGCTGGTTAGATGAAACTTAAAAAATAAGTCTGTTATGTGGGGAATGGCGATGTTATAATTTTTTTTTTTTTTCTCGGCTTCCTTTCTTTTTCTCGTCCAGTGCAGCACCTTTTGATTACATAATAATATTCCCAAATAACTGCCAGTTTGCAACAACTCCAGTGGCCGCAGGCAATTCATCAATTACAAGGAAGAATGATAACCACAAATGTCCCGAAATGAAGCAGGTGACGTTCAAACTTTACCAAAAGCGCATCTCTTTCCGAATTTTTATACCCACAATAAGATATGGAAAATGTACATAAGCTTCGAATATTACAATCAAGACAACACTGAAATTCATTATTCATAATATTTGCAAGTTTTTATTACAAAATCAAGCCTGGGCAAACAAAAGAAAAATTGTAACAAAAAAGACCTAAAAAGAAAAAGAAAAGAATACCTGGAGAAAAAGAAAGAACAGTCCACCTCTAGAAGCATAATTGAGATCACAAAACAGCAAACTAACGATCGATGATAGATCAGAAGCATATATATTAAAATAAGCGTAAATTTAATAGTATTATTTCATAATTTTGTCTCCTGGAGCCCAAAATTGGGGGCGGAAAAAATGTATTAAGATAAAAGTAAATCACTGTTCAATTTGGATAATTCCAGCAATGCTAACCACATAATATCTAAAAAACTGCCTACCACTATTCAATTTTCGTCGGTTAACAAACCCTTGCTTAATTCCGCCATGGCGCGGAGGCACACTTTTCCTAACAATTCTAGAGTTGGTCCACGGATCAATACACCTGAGTACAGCCATACTCTTAAGAGAGTCCTTCACTATTCTACGGAGTGTTGGATTATTATCTGATGGATTCCATTTATAACTTCCTCCACAAGAAAGACCCTCACTAGCACCATACATCCCCAAGGCATCTTCCTCCTCATCCTCTTCTTCTTCTTCTTCTTCATCCTCTTCATCCTCATTATCTTCCTCTTCACCTTCACCTTCCTCTTCACCTTCACCTTCATGCTCTCCTACCACCAACGATTCATCGCACTCTGCTTCGTTTTCATCGCATTCATTAAGCCTAGGCTCTGTTCTAGCATGTATGCTTATGGACTCCAATTTTTTCACGGCTTCATTCACTTCGAAATTTTGGTTTAAAATCTTTGACAAGTTTCCAAACCCTTGCGATGTCTCCTTAGAAAATCTTTCAAGATTGGAGACATGACTGTACGTTTCCTCCTTAAAACCCAAAGGGGCGTTTACAACATCCTCGATATTTCCAAAGATTCTATCAAATGACAGCTCCAGTCTTGATGACAGAACCATCGATGAAGTATCACCAGGGGAGCCCATATCGGTAGGCCCAATATTGGACGTACTAGCAATTATGAAACCAATTTTTCTTCTTTCAGAATCCCCATCAAGTATAAAATCATGTAGGTCCCTGGAAAAGTTACCATTACTGTTGACAGAACTCGATAAATGGCTGGTTAGTTCGTCCCCAAGAGTAAATTTTGAGCTTGTGGAGTCACGGCGCTCTTTGGCAAACATTCCATTGGAGACTCTAGAAGATTGCTGCGGTGCAAGGAATTTCATATTTGGAGACCTTGCAATATTTAACTGATTCAATGAGCTGGAACGTTCTCTGAATAGACTTTGATTAAATGTCAGAGAAGTTTTCTTCAGCGGGCTTGTACGGTTGGTGGGACTGATATTCAAGTTTGGGATCGAAGAGCTACTGGAAACTTTCTGGATTGGAATTGGTACGGAGGTTTTTGTCTGCGAAGTTCCAGAAGTCACCATTCCTCCACTTTTAGAGGCTTTAGAGGCATCCGTCTTGAAAAGATTAAGCGTTAGGTTAGACTTTTTCCGTCTAATAGAATTGACAAGACCATTATCTTGTGCAGCAGGGTTCATATTAGAATTATCTTTCAAACTCGATCTGCTTGAACGCAGAAAAAGTCTATTTGAAGAGCCGGAGCCGCTACGATTCCTGGTAGGTTCTCTGGACGGGTTTGGATTTGGATCAAACTCTGATAAAAAGTAATTGAGAAATGGTGAATTTTTAACTCTAATTTTTTGAGTTTGTTGAAGCTTGGCTTCATCAATAACAAGTCCACCCCCGGTTGGGGGACTAAACAGAATATCACTAACGGTACTTGATTGGCGGCCATGTCGCGGAGATGCGATGGCACTACCTATATCACTATTGCTAGTGACAGTTCCTCTTCTAGATCTAGATAATAATTCACTAGCTGAGCTAAGTGCTCTTGATCGAATCCTTTGAGACCGTCCACGATGACCATTATTATTACGTACTCTTCGTCTTCTGCGTCTTCTAGACGGAACGTTATTGAACTTAGGCATCTCACGAACTGAAATGTCAAGCGAAGCATCTATACTTGTAACCAAAGCATTATACCAATTTACCAATTCATTAAGAAACTTGAAGTTGATCAAAAATTGATAGACCTCAAGTCTAAGACGAAGAATATTATGGCTATTGATCTCTATTGTTGGGCAGTGCTGCAGGCCATAAACACTACTGATTTGCGAGTATTCTTTACGAGAAATCACAAAATCATTGGCAAGACCAATGCGACCATACTGAAGTGTAAGTGTTTTCAAAAGGCGGGATTCGTTCATGAATTTTCTAGGGAACTTAACAATTTTCTTCAAGATCCTATAAGTGTTAAGATTGGTAATTTCTAGTGGAGTATCTGTTATTGATGTATTTGATGAGGATAATCCAAAGCTCTTGAAAAAACTCGACTTTTTCACTGCTGACGTCTCGAGTTTTGCCTTGAATTTGGATTTTTCGTGGGATCCATGATACTTATTATAATGAGAACAATACTGAGATCCTTCATCCAAGCGTAGTACCCCATCATCAAAGTTTATGGCCTCAAAAACGTCAGCCCCTCTGAAGTTCAAAAATGAATGATCATAATACTCTGAGCGAAATTGATTGTTATTATAAAACTGCTGTTTGTCATTACGTATTTCATCAATCATTTGCAACTCGTCGACATAATTAATTTCATCTCGAGTGAATTTATCCAAGTCAAGTTTATAAAGACTTAGCTGTGTACCGTTAAGCTCAGTTATCATCAACTGCCACTTGGAATTATCAATAATCTCATGATATAAATTAGATTCGTTCAAGAGATCAACCAAATGGTTTTTTTCAAATCTCACTAGATTGACCGCAAGTCGATACTTTGTAGTAGAATACGATGGTAAATGTGTAGACAATGGAGTATTGGCCTCAATCCTATACTCTACTTCTTCCGGAGTTTGATAAAAGAGGTTATCTTTGTATGGATCTATTTCTTTGCTATCTGAAAGAGCTTGGTACGTTGGAGGAATTTTATAAGGTGGAGGACAATCTGGCTTGCTATTCTGTTGTTCCTTTGACATATTTTCCTTGGAGATCGACACCTGAGATCGACAATCAAAACATTTGTCACCATGACAAGCTTGGCATCTTTCAATTTCTCCATGAAAAGGCATAATTTTATCTGAAGATGATGCGATAGCACCAGAAACATTATCAACAGAAGTTCCGGGCGTAGTGTTGGTGGTATTTAAGTTCAGATCATTTGCGGTACTATGGCAATCCGAATGCAATATTTCGTTATCTGCAGTATTCGAAGGGTTGCTGGAAAGCAGGCTATCAGGTAGTAGCGAAGGAGACATTTTTGGCAAAGATGACGCTTTAGGTAACTCGTCTGATTCATAGGATAATATGGAATAGGAAGAGGGAACTTTCAGAGCATTTGGTTGGATGGTGCAATGTCGATGATGGCCTACTTTATGAGGTTGGTCGATTTCCGGTTCTGGATAGCCACAGCCTTGCACTTGTTCGGCGGCTATTTCGGTATCTGAATCAAGAGTGGTAGAGGGGCTGGAAAGTGATGGATTTGGTAGTGCTAGTTTCTTTGGCCATGAGTCTATGTCTGAGGATGGTTTTAATGGTGATAGAATATTGTCAAATGGCTCCTGATGGTTGCTAGAGAGTGCAGTCGAGACTCGGGCTGGAGGCGGCACAGATGTCGTGAATGGCAGCATCTGAGAAGGAGAATGAAAACCCACTTCTATTTACGGGATTTTGCTATTAAAGTTTGCTTTTCTTTGCGCAACAATAAAGAAGCACCGGTTTCTGTTGTGTTCGTCACTCGTTGGATAAAGGTTGGGCGGGAGCTCATCAGCCATAAATAGGTGGAAAGAAAGTCACCGATACCCGCGCAGAAGCGGGTAAGAATGGCCGACTTTTACGCATATGTAGATAAGAGAATAGCTAACATTAAAACGGAGAACAGGGAGGGGAATCTTTCACAGAGAAGGAGAGAAGATAATATTACTGTGATGCAGATGAATTAAATACCCAGCTCTCTTTGGGATCCTTTTGGAATTGTGTATTATGGTGGTTGAATCACATTCAACAGTGTTTCTCAAGCAGTATACATGTGCATTATTTTTTTTTGTCAATTAAACCTTTCGTAGGAATATATTTTTATTAGCATTTATTCCATTTAGTTGCCAAAGCTCGTGCAAATCAAATCAAGATATTCTTTCATCCTCACTTCTTCTATTAAACAAATAAAAAAGAAAACTGACGCAAAACCCACAAAAATTAAAGAGAAAAGAAGAAAAGTAATTTGAAGAAATAGTTTTTTTAGTTATTGCCAAAGCTTTCAAAAATAGTTGAGCAGGATCGCCTCTTATTTCTTCTCTTTGAAATCTGAATGGCCAGTAGCTTTCATGTGTGTAAGTAACGCTGACTCTCCAACAATTGTAGTTCCGCATTGCTCACACACTACTGAGATATTTGTCATATCAGTAACATATCCATCCTTATTCAATTGGCCACCGATCTTTTTGGCATTTCGTGAAACTTCATTTCCAAGAGCAGAACCTCTTCTAAAAACGCCAATGTGGCTATCATGCCCTTCCGATGGAGAAACAGGATCTTTTTCAGTGTAAACCAAGGCATCATAATGTACACCGCTATAATACAAAACCACAAAGTTCGCTTCCTTATCCCCAGTATTGGTTGGAATGAATGAGTCAACTCTTCCAGTCTTCACATCCACTGAATCAATAGCGATACTGAAATGGTTTGCAAATATTTCTAGCTCTATCGCACCTCCCCATGCGTCAGTGGTAGTGATCCATTCTATATATTCTTTCGGGGGCCTACCAAGATATGCTTTAGTGTACTTTGTTGGATTCTCTAGCAAAACTTCAGCAACTATCAGACGAAGGGAAATAACGTGGTCGGCATCTCCAAATAATACATACGATATAGCATGGAACATACAGGAGTTATCGTCTGACATCCTTCTCATCACACAATACCCATTGCCAATTTTTTCGTAGTATGTTTTTGAAGACCCGCTGGTTGCTTCTGATTTTTGCTTTTTTGAAATCGAATCCATGGTATGTATTCCTGAGCGTTTCTTTGTTTCTGTGGGGCGAGGCTTTGAATTGCTTGTACTTGATGCCGCCACTGGATTTGAAGCAGATTTATTGATGTCAGATAACCATACCTGCTCACCACTTCTGAATCCCAATTGCTCCAAAGTAGTTTCTATATTCAAGATCACATCGACATTTTTTTTGGGATAATCATGCTGAAGCACCACTGAGCCAGTATTTATCAAATAGTCCAAATCCTTATCGTTAAAAGCTGACTGTATCGCACCAAGAAGCACTGGCAACGGCTTCTGGGGGTCTGCAGACACCACTTTGGAAGATCCTTGAAAGTTGCATTTAAGACGTATTGGCATTTGGCAAATTGTTTCTTTGTGTGCTTTTACATATATATATATCTATATTAACGTAGAATAATTTGCATCTATAGTGAATGAGGTCTCCTTTTTGGCAGCCCAAAACAAAAAAAAAGGAACACATACACCATCATAACGGGTCGATCCATGTCTCACCATGTGATCACAATCACGTGATCATGTTTTTTCCTATTTTCTTTTCTTCAAATCCTCCAATAAGCAACAAGTTGTTTCTAAGAGGAACTAGTTACCATCACAAAACAACATCAACACTCTGTTAACGCTAAAATATGGTATGTATGTTGCTGATACAGTTGATGATTCCAGCTGCTCAAGCATTTATTGTCTGCTTTTTTTCGCTCGACCTAGTCTGTCACTAACCCCATCTTCTTCTATAGTCTGGTGGTTTCTATCCTTACCCAAAGGTATGTTCTGTTTAGAATCTGAAGTATTGTATACTTATTAATATTGCCAATAAGACAAATGTTATTATGGATCCCATTTTTTTTTCGTTGTTTTCACTATTTACTTGTTACTAACGATATATTTAGCACGTCTGGACCCCAACTGGTGGTTGGTGGTTTACCCCAAAGAATGCCAAAACTAATGCTGTTGTTATTACCACTGCTTTTGTTGCCACTCTTTTGATATCATACAAGGCAGCTAAGCCAATGGAGTTTGACCCGCAATTAGAACACAGTGAAGAAACCATTGCCAAATGGAACAATGCCGTTAAGAAATAAAGATAATTAATTCCATTCAGAATCAAATCGTTTAGGGATGTAGCAGGGAATCGTCATCATTCGGTATTTTGTCTTTTTTTTCTTCTTCTTTGTGCCTGTCCCTATCTTACAATTATTCACATTCATATATCACTGCACTTTTTGCCTTGAAGCACTTCACCATGATATTTTCATTCTTTTTTTCTTCTTTTTTTTGCATGTATATTATAATAATAATCATCTCGTATTCAGGTTAGTTGAAAATATTTGGCTTGTAGGAACTAAAAAATTGTGGACAAATAGGTTCAAATTTAGAGATTACAATGATTTAGCTAATGATATTTGGATTTCCTGGCGGCATTTTAGTTATATCTAAATATATAGAGATGGAGGGGGGAAAACTGCGTTTAAAAAAAAAAAAAAAAAAAAGGAATCATACACATACATCAGTGAAGATGATATATCAGTGCGTGATTATATTATATATATTCTAAAATGCAGAGATTCATTGATCAATTTGAACCAGTTCTGTTATCATCACTTCTAAATTGCAAATCCCAATTTCAAACATCCCAAATAGTTGATTCTCAAAATTCCCTCGTTGCCTCATCGTTCACGGCTCACTGCAATTCTAATCATCATGTCCATGCAATATATAATTCTTCTGTAATATTTAAACAGTACTTGATAGCGAAAATTGTGTTTGTGGTTGGCACTTCGGGAAAAGAAATTTTAGATTCCAGCTCTTTTGTGATAATCTTTGATAACTTTTACAACTTGACATTATTCAAATCACTGGAATCATGCAGTTCTGAATTAACACATTTTGGAACCCAATTAAAAATTGCATTATCAAAGCATTTTCCAAATAATACTGAAGGTGAAATTATTAACTTATTGCGCTCAAACTTCTTCTATTTTGGTCTGGATATTATCACTGGCTATAACTCCTTGATTAACACCTTGAGAACTTTGCCCCATTTCTTGATCAATCATCAAGAACGACATTCAAATGCTTTCAAGTTGGCCGGCACCAGCAAATCTTTGGTAGTAATTGATTCACTTTCGATTTTCAACATCATGGAGGAAACCCATCATTCCATAGGAGAAGAATCCCTTGATAGTTTTCTTTCCCTGGCCTCACAAGAGCATTCGCCGGTCAATCTGACAATTATAAGTGACAATTCAAAATTTGAAGCCATGATGAGAAGCATCAGGTATCTACAAGAATCGCTACTTTTTAATTCCTCATTCCTCACTACAAGTTTCCGAAAGCAGGCAGAAGATATTAGATCCATTGAGTTCGGGAGATTAAATAATGCAATTCACAGGAACTTTTATACATATAATTCTGATAATAAGAGCCGTGATAAAATAAGAAATGAATTGGGGATGGACGATAAAATTAAGCTGGTAATTAGCGATAGAATTTTCAGTGGATTGGGAGATTTTAGTAGTGTGGTGCTTTTACAATCTTGAAAGGTCCTGATAGGTCACAAATCTCTTAGTTTGGTTGATGTAAACTAATTCGCTATCATTCAGTCCTTTCTTGGAAATTGTGATAAGGACATATCCATATGCTTTTATTAACTAAGAATATTCTGGAATTTGTAGAATAGTCTGGCCGCAAAATGATTGTTATGACTTTGAGCTTTAAGAAAAGAATAGGAATAAAATATAGCACCCTTATAATAACAACCAGTACAGGGGCAATAGTGCAATTTATCAAAAATTATTAGTATTTTAACATTAGTTATTAATCAGCGATGAGGATCTGCCAAAGATAAGTTGGATTAGCAACATAAGAAAAATTGTTCTTAAAGGGAGTTCCGTGTTATCTATTGTGATTTATGTCTGTTATCAACACTACAGCTCCTAGTATTTTGAAATTTCATATTTTATTTTGAAACAGTAATAAATATTTGTAATTACCAAACCCTTGTTGAAACAGACGGGATATTGCATTTAGAAAATCAAACAAAGAAAAAAAAATTGTTATTCTCCGACAAACCAAATTAATCAATAAACACCTTCAAAGCATGTGCATTCACAGACCAATCGCTTCAATCAGAATCATAAAATGTATTATTAAAGCTCAGTCTTTGGCATAGCTTCCTTAACGGCACTAGTAGGTGTGCTTGGTTTTCTTTGGCTCAATTCATTAACTGCCTCTGTGACTTTAGCACCAGAAGCACCGATTTTCTCTTTAATAGCTTCGGTCTTTGGGGCAATCCTTGGTTTTGATTCTGGGACTGGTGAATGAGCTGGGGTAGCTGCAGAGACAGGAGCAGCATCCTTGGTATGTTTGGCCTTAGTGGATTGTTTAACATTGGTAACGACCTTGTTCGCCAATTCCAACAAGGCGGCTTCGTCATCCGATTTACAAGATAACCATTTAGCTTCGTCATCTCCACCACTGGCAGCAATGAAGGTGCCATTTTCTTCGCAGAAATACTTGGAAATAAATTTCTTTTTCAACTCAAGCGAATTTTTCAAATCTTCTGAAGATTCGGTAGACTTAATCTTGGAGAAGAGGATATTCAAAGCATAAGTCAAAATCAAGTACAAATGTTCACTGAAAATGATTACCGCTAACAATGACCACGTTTCAATAGAAACTGCAGATTTTTCAAACATACTCAAATTGAATCCATCGATTCTTTCAAGAATCACATCAGAATTGCTATACATAGCGGTGATAGCAGGGGCAATGATTGATGAAACCCATACCAATAGTCCCATGAATTGGTTCCATGGATAAATAGAGTTGGTACGAGTAGGGATTGGACGCTTGTTTTCAAGGAAAATCTTAGTGATGTCACCAAAAAACTGAATAACATTGACAATCAAACAAATGAATGGGGCAATGGTCCAGCATTGAGAAAAGAAAATCAAATAGCCGAATTGGATAACCATTTGCTTTATGTCATCATTCACATCGTATGTATCGAGCTCATAAACTTGCTTTCTAACCTGAAAAAGATATTCTTCTTCATCATTCTTATCATTATAATCATAAAAGATTTTTTCCTTTTTGGAATTACTTATGATTTCAGTGGTAAATCTCATGGCGAACGGTAAGAAATATTCAAGGAAAAACCCAATGATTTGGTTAGTGACCATTGCGAAAAAAAATTGACCATTCATTCTTTGAGGATTGATCTTAATGAAATGGTTCTTTCTAATTGGGAAATCTGGATGAACTTTGTCCAAAAAGAAAAACTCAATCTTCTCCAAATACTGGTTGATGATATGGCCCGCCGGGAAATACACAAATGAAGTGATGATCAAAGCCATGTATGAAGTGAGGAAACTAATCATAAATAATTTTTCATTCATAGAGTTTTCCAAACTCAACATGGTTTTGTGGTTCTCCCAACCAACAAATTTTGATGCGATAGCTTTGTAAATCAAAGTGTAAATTGGTACAAAGACCGATAGCATAACCGTTGGGACTAAAGCGAGAATAGACTTCAAAGGACCATCATATAGCTCGGTGATAAAGATTTCAACAAAAAAACAAATTAGTTGCCATGTAATCAAGATAGCCGCAAAAAGAATAATAATTGGAACAAATGTCACTTTCTTCAAATATCTCTTATATGAAGGATAATATTTAAAATTCTTAAGATTCCCGAAACTAGCATAATTGACAACAGTCGTGCTTGGTTTGAAGTCTAGATTGCTAACTTGAGAAACCGAGGAAGAGTCGACATTTCTATTATTCCACTTTAAAGAATAGTTTTTTTCCTTGTTATACCAAGCTTGGATGAAAAAAATTGACCAAATTAAATTCAAGAAAGTATAAGGGAGACTGAACTTTTGTTTATCGAAAAAGATGAAATTGGCTAAACCAACAATTGCTGGGAATATCAACCATTTAAGGTAAGTATCGAGAAACACAAAGTACAATGCGATTTTAGAACCATATTGGTTCTTAATAGTTTCAATGTCATTGTCTTCGATCTTGAAAGTTTTAATCCATTTAGCAATCAATGCCTTATTCGCAGCAACATCATGAATAGGTTGAATCAGCCCAACAAAATCCCATTGACCGATTCTAGGCTTAATTCCCAAACCGCCATGATCTTTGTCATTAACTAAGTAACTGTAGATTATACGTAATCTGTCAGCTTCATCAATTTCAAAGTCCTCATCAAATAAATCGTTATTAATACCATATAAATAATCATTAATTTCAGAGTTCTTCAAAATCTTGACCCATTGTGCTTTCTTCAATTTGACGAGCAAAATAACCTCATTTACACCAGAACCTGGACGAATTTGAGCAAGAAATCCCCCATTGATGAGTGTGTTCAACAAGTTCTGTAAGTCAAGATTGGCGGCCTTAGTCGGGGTGTCCTTGGCATGATCAAATGTGTAGAGCGAAGAGATCACGAAATCTGGCTTAAGAGACCCAATGCTATAACTGGTGTCAATTACTTTCTCCATTGCGAAAATTGGACAAAAATGATTAAAGAGCTGAATAGGAATGCGACAGAGCTGTCAAAAATATTGGCAACTTATTAAAAAACAAGAAAAAAAACAGTGATGCTCTCTAAAAGAGCAATAACATGAAATTATGTATCGGGGCTTATAACCATTACTGATTTTCTTTTCCAACATGTGCACTGTTCTAAGAAATTAACCCATTGGCATTGGTTATTTACTATATCTCAATATATAGTTTATCATGTGCGAATATTCTGTTCTATTGATAACTTATTTCCAGGAGTTCTTAAAAAAAATGGGCCTTTTTAATTGATATAAGCGGCTGTAGAATTGTAAAAAAGGTCATATAATTCTGAGTTCATGGAGATGAAATCCAGGGCCTGGATAGGGAAATTGCCACCACATCTACATAGTGCTGTTGTGATTATGGTCGATCTGGAATATATTTGTCTTAATAATTGTTTAGAGTGTGCCTCCCATCAGTTACATCATATTTGCAGATTTAGTTCAGTTGTTTGGCACAATACGAAAAAAATAAATATAATTAATTGAAAAGGATAAATAAATTCATTTATCAATAAACATGAAAGATATAGCTTCTTTTCCTCTCTGAAATGATGTTAACGATTGTGGCCAGCCTCCAGAAAATCAATTGGTTGAATTGCAAGCATGTGTTTTATATTTTCCTCAGACAAAATTCCCCAGCATGTAGGTTTTTTTTTTGTTTGTTAAATTATCAAAAAAAAAATAGTGAAAGTATCTCTTATTAATTAATCAAGAAAATCTCGCACAATCTTTGAGTTTTGGTGAAAAGCTTAATGTTTCCTGCGCAGTTCTTCTAGAGGGACATATCTGTAGTAGAAACACCACAACTTTATTATTCAATGTATTAAAAAGTTTGTGATTAAATATGGTGCCTAAAAATTGATAAATATAACACGGATTGAGTAATTTATTCTTATTACTTTGGAAATCAAAAACTTAGCAACAGAGAAATGAGAGAGAGAGAGAGGGGGGGGGAAGAACGAAATTAATAAAAAAAGTGAATACTATTGAGAAGACTGGGTAGTTTTCTTAAAAATAGGATAGAAAACATGTTTCTATTAGACACCACACGAAAAATTGTTAGCTATGTGTCAGTCACAGACCCCCCCCTCCCTCCCCAGCATATCTCGATGACCAAGGGCTCCACAACTTTTGTAGCTTTTGACGATTAATAGTCACTATTATCATGTATATAGAATAATCAAGACTCACAACCAAATTCCTGTTTATATATTATTAAACGCTTACATTTGCTTTATACTTAGTATTAATATTACATTAATATCTGTAAACCGACATTTAGTTCTCCGTCTAATCCAATCATGAATCCTGAAACTATTCCAACCTCCAATGGAGCTATTAGCTAGTCAGCTCCAATTGTAACTCACCACGAAGCCAACGACAACCCTGGATTCGTCATAATCAAAATTACAGAAAACTATCAAGACTTTTCCGATAGACACCGAATTTTACTTGGTTGATGAACCAGATCATAACGAATAGCTGAGGTTATTAGATCTTTTCTTCACCCACAGAAAGAAACCAAAGAATATACATTTATAGAGAATAATAAGCGCTTCTATTCTCAAGCAAAAAGCTGAAAGAGAATCAGATAATGTTAAACTTTGATAGACATTTTGTTCAATAGGTTTATATGGTATGGGATGAGTTAGGCTCCACAGATTTTCATTTATTGAGAAAGTTTATTTCAGTCCTTCAAGAGCCATAGTAGTATATTTGTAATATTAACTTGATTTTTTTATTAAAATAATTTATAAGGAATAACATGGGGAATAAGATAAGGAATAAGATAGGGAATAAGATAAGGATCCGTTAAGAAGTAATTGATTAGGTAATGAATGAACAATACTGGTGGTGATATATGTTACAATATTGTCTTAGTTTATTCCTGGATAATTATACCATCTAAATAGCGATATCGTGCTAACCCACTCTCTAATCCTTTATGAAAAAAAAAAAAAATTATCCCAAACATTTGAAGAAATAAATAAATATTACTAATGAAAAAATAGTTGAAGTCTTATGCTGCTGTGATGAATGGAACTTTCTAATCTTTTTTTTTTTTTTTTCCGTACGGTTTGTTCTTCCATTCTATTGCAATTTACATATCCATAGAAGAATTACATCTATGTTTAATGAAATGTGTATTCTATTTTATTCGCTACATATCCCCAAATAAATTCTAATCTAATTGTCTTGGGCAGTGGTGATTAACGTACAAACCAGGCTATCCTCTCATCATCCTCCAAAATAAACCTGGCCCTTTTGGCAATACCATTCAATATCCACAACCATTTGTGAACCTGCCCAATACTTTCATCCTGAATACCTTCAAGCAAACCTGGTAATGCGACTGCACTGTAGCCATTATCTCTGTCAACAGCATAGACAGCATGTCTAAACCATTTTCTATTGTGTAGACCACCATAATGCAAAAATGAACGCTCCAAGTACTTTAAGATCTTGTTAGATCTTTCAATACGCCTTGCGAATTGTGATTTCATAATGATTGCCCATGGATTGAAACGGGAATAGTGTTCGTCGTAATATTTGTAATCTGCGACTTCTTTGGCAAAACGTTCTTGGAAACGAATGGATGCGGAAATAAGCTTTGCAATAGATTCTTGAGCCAAAGTGATAGCTTTTTCCATGCTCGATGGTCCATATGATTCACCGTCAGTTTGGTACTCCTTCCAAGACTTAAAGTTGTCAGATAAAATTTCCGCCAACTCCGCAAATTCTTCACTATCAAAAGATTCATCAGGCATACTAGTCAATACATTGTCATACCATTCGGCTGGAATCTTGGCAGCAGTTTCATTGAAATGTAAGGAAAATTCAATAGCATTTTCTACCGCTCCAAATTGCACAGCCTTGTTATCAGCTAATTGCAATACCACAGACCCAAAGAACTTGGCCATCGTGTTATGATAAACAAAACCTGGATCACCAAACGTAGACATCCAATAGTAGGAGTCATAGTTTGAATGGTAGTGATATATTGGATCTTTTGGACCCGGTTCAAATACAACATTCATGGATGTGATTCCCAAGTGTTCCATGAAAACTGTGAAATCAGATCCACTACCCAACATACCAATCTTCGGAGCCCATGAGTAAAAATGGTCATACAAAGTCATAGAGGTGTTGCCTGGGTATTGAACCTGCTTGGCACACATGTCTAAAACTCCATTAAGTAATGGAGAAGCCTCAAGGTTAAGTTGAGTTCCAGCAACAGCATCGTCAAGGTTCAAGTAAGCCACCACATCTTTTTGGAGCTGTTTATGATAGAGTTCACCAAATTCAGTTGAGCCAAGTAGAGCATATTCTTCACCATCCCAGGAAGCAAATCTTATGGTTCTAAGAGGTTTCCAGCCATATTTGGTTTTAAGTTCGTTGAGGGCACGGATAACTTCGAGAGTGACTGCAGAACCAGAATTTGGATCCCCAGCACCACCTTTGATCCAAGCATCTCTGTGATTACCGAGCAAAATCACTTGATCTTTTAAGAAACCTTCGATTTCACCATAGATGTTATGTATCTTACGAACCTTGTAATCCTGCTCATTATAAATGTTAATCTCATAACCTGGAACTGGGCCAACATTGTAAGTGACCCCTGGCAAGCCACCTTCCCAACCTTCAAACTTTGTGCCGTGTCCATTAAGAGTCTTCAATATTGGCTGAATTTCTGCATAACTGATTGGCAAGGAAGGAATTTTTGGAATGCTTCCATGTGGATCAACCCTATCAACATCATCACCTTTTGATGGCCAACCTGGGGTAGTTGGGTCACCAGGAATCTGGGATAAGAATTGAACAGATCCTCTTTGAATAGACGATGGGTTCCTTGCTGGACCATCTGGATAAGCCGCATATCCATTATCAACGGTAATATCTCCATCATCCGAAGGTTCAGAATAAATCAAAACTCCAACGGCACCAGCTTCTTGGGCAAATTTGACTTTCAAACCCCTAAAAAGACCTCCGTATCTAACAATGGCAATTTTTCCAGATACTTCGATGCCATTATCCTTTAATTTTTGGAAATCTTCACGAGTCCCATAATTTGCGTAAATATATTCAGCTGTGACATTTCCCGAAGCAGAATAGCCATGGAAAGCAGGAACCAATCCAGGACCAGTAGTGGTCGGGTCTTGTTCAAGCTCATCTTCCTTAAGGGTTGGATGGTAAATGACAGTGGAATTACTAAGCAACTTGAGGGAATTGTCGACAGGATAATTCAAGTAAATATCAAAATCTTCAATTTCAACATGGGAGAGACCAAACTCTTCATATTTAGATGCTTGCCAATGCACTAATTCCAAATTAGTACCTGCCAAATGAGAGGCCTTGGTGAATTCCCTGGACCAGTTGGATGCCAAATTAGACGAATTGAGGAAATTAAAATAGACCTGAGTTATTTCAGAAAGAGATGAGGTACTCTCGTAGAGTACTGAAGCGCTATAGTTTCCATAAATGAATGAGATGACGTTATAAACCAGAAAAACATAGTATATTATGAGTAGCCCCCACTTTGAAGTCCTAACAATAGGACTCTGCTTTCTTGCGGGAGCAGCACCCTTCCTTTGCTGAGAATGGAAAAGGGGAAGTTTCTCCTTCAGTCCCAACACAAATTCAGAATTTTGATGAGACATTGTTCTGCAAAGATACTGATTTGCAATAGTTTGTGGCTGGTGATGACGATAATTGAAGCGGCATGTTTATCATGGTAGAAAATGGAAATGCCTCTTCCCCCTGAACAATGCACCATAACTACAAAGTAATTATTAAAATATTACATAACCATTCATCACGTGATAGTATCCTCCTTTTTCCTTCCAGAACCTTCTTCTCCTCCTGCTGCTGCTGCTGCTGCTGCTGCTACTGCTTGTGCCAAACAACTTTAACGTTCGTCCTTCTGACACGTGAGTTTGCTCTGAAATTTTTTTATTTTCTTTTCTCGCCCACCGCCTTTATAAACATATTCGTTTTCGGATTGAAAATTGGATATATTTTGCAGCGTTTATCAAACCATCGCACAATTAGTCACCTTCCCACATTCTGTGTCTCACACTCAGTATATTTGTAATTGAAAAAAACTAAACCCGCCTTCCTCAACTCAATTAATTTGATCTAAAAAAAAGAAATCCACACCGCAATCATGAGTGACGCCCAAACTTCCACCACCACTACCATTTCCGCCTCACCAGTGCCAAATAACGAAGATATCGTCTTAGAAACCAGATTGTATCTCGGTAATGTCGACTTCAACGTCACACAAGAAGAACTTATCGAACAATTCAAAGATTTCAAGATTGAAAAGGTTGATATCCCAAAGAGAACTGTCAGCGGCGGCCGTAAATTCGCCTTGGGGTTTGCCTTCATCAATTTAGACGACGCTGACAAATTGGACCAATTCATTGAAAAATACAACAAGACTAGCTTCAAAGATAGAATTATCACTGTGAGAAGAGCTACAGCCCCAGTGGCGAAAGAAGACAAGCCAAAGCGTACGGCGGTGAAGAATAAGAAAAACTCCAAGGCTGCGAACAAGAAAGAAGACGTCAAGAACACTTCAGAAGAGACCACCACAACCGCTGATGAAAAGAAGAAATCTGAAGAGAAACCAAGCAAAAAGACTTCCAAAAAGCCACAACAAGCTAAGCCAAGAATCCCACTTTCTGAAGGGACTCCATCCACCACTACTGTCTACATAACGAACATTGACTTCAACTTGGACACCAAGAAATTGTCCGACTACTTGAAAAATGAAACCTCCTATAAACCAACCTGGGTTCATGTTCCAACCCAAAAGATCCCAAGCTACTTACTCCGTTCCCTTAAGAAGAAGGATGTTCCAATCAGATACAAGTCTCGTGGTTTTGCCTTTGTTAGATTTAATACAGAAGCTGAACAGTTGAATTTCATTGAAGAATTCAATGGTAAGAAAATCAATGACAGAGAAATCACTGCTAAACCTGCTATTGATATGCCAGAAACTGAAGCCAAAGAAAACGAAGAAGAAACCCCTGAAGAAAAATAAATTGATTAGCTGCTCATATTAAATATTCAGTAACTTCTCCGCTCAAAGAAAGTGAGGAGAGCCTGTTTGATGAATTCGCTTCTTTTTTACTCTCTTCTGCTTTCTCTCTCTCTCTCTTCCCCCCTAGCTTTACTTATTTTTATACTTTAATAATTTCTTTATGTGATGTTTATGAATTTTGCGGGTAGGTTCAATAAAAAATATTTTCTCTCCATAATATATATAAAAATAATAATAATAATAATAAGATCTATAAATAATTGAAGACTATAAATGTGATACGTCTCACATATGAGAGAGCAAAAAAGATAATCTTCCCCTACAGTTACTTATGCAGATGACACTTGCGTCTTGTCGCAGGCCCATTTTTCTGGTGAGAAATACACACATTGACATTTTCTGTAAATCACGAACGAAATTCTAATTGATCTACAACAACGGATATCCAAACATCATTTCAGCGCCAATTCCAAGCAATTTAGGGGAATAAAGACAGGAAATCTTAACCAAAAAATACTATCATAATTTAGACCGTCGTTTTATAGTAACTACATTACCTGAAACTTAATCAACTTGAAGCTCAATCAAATAAAAAAAAAAATAAATAAAAAAAAATAGATTGATCAAAACATATGGAATGTCTACTATTTTTGCGAAACATTCAAAGGAGAATAATAGTTCTTCAAGAGTCAAAAAGCTGAGCTCCACCGGTAATAACAATACTCACAGCTCTTTCGCGTCGACAAACGAGTACCTGACTTGGAATGTCGATGCCACTCTAGAGAATTTTACAAAGTATGGAGACTTACCCCCTTTACTATCGCCAACCTTGCCCTCGTGGACCAAGAATGATCGGGAATCTTCAAGGGAACTAGGTAACACTTCTAAATCGCATTCCAAATCTTATTCGCGAACTCATTCTCATGGCCCCTCGAGTCTTACTATTAATGGGGGAGGGGGAGATAATGATGATGATTTCGATATTCCAAAACTAATGCTTTCTCCTACACTTCCGGGAATTTTTGAGGAACCAGTAGAATATCGCAGGGATGAAGGACCGCATCATTGGATTGTCAAACTGAATAATAAACAACTATCTTTTAAGTTATGTTTATTCATGAAACCAAGATTGCTTCGGCAGATCGAAAGAAATGCAAAAATTAAGCTAGCACCAGCCCCTGTGCTAAATAAGAAGAAAATATTGAGCGGAGATAAAAGAAAGAATGCAGAAACATTCTTTAGCGATCTGGATGATGATCAAGGAAATAAAGAATCCAGAGTGAAAGAGAAAGAGAAAGGTAGAGAAAGAGAAAGAGAAAGGGAAAGAGAAAAAGAAAAAGAGAGAGAGAGAGAGAGAGAGAGAGAAAGAAAAGGAGAGAGAAAGGGAGAGAGAAAGAGAAAGAAAAGAAAAGTTAAAAAGAGATCGTGGATTAGACAAAGAAAAGGAGAGAACTAGAGAACGTGGTAGCGAAAGAGAAGAAAAAGAACGCTCTGTTAGCAGAAATCTTTCCCCTGCACGTTCGTTACGCTCTCCGGTACCCTCATTACCAACCAAAAATAACCAAAAACTGCCAGATGCCAGAATATTTTCGCGGCTTAAAACCACACTACAGTCGAAAAAGAGGAGTTTCAACGAGCTTGCCACGGCAAAGAAACATGAAGCAGACAAGCTTATTAAAGAGGCTCCTCGTAATCGAACACTACATACTATTACTGTTGTGGAGTCTCTATTATTATTCATGCTGGCATTCATTTATGATGACCAAATTAGAAGTGTCGATGATATTGCTCCAAATGATCGACAATGGTCCAGTCTTATCCCTTATATCGGAGTTCTAATTTCTAAGCTTGAGAGTAGTCTTACTTCTAGCTCATCATCATCATCTAATTTGAACCCATTGCTAGGCCTTGCTTACCAGCTTAAATCGTCGATAAATCATCACATAAAAGCCACGCAACTTCGCCGTACAGCGCAACATACGCGTCGAAAGGAAGAAATCGAAGCTTTGAAGAAACGCAGAGAAGCAACAACAGAGGATGAAGTGGAATTGGGTGAAATTAACTCAAAATTTATCGAAATGTACTATCCCAAAGCTATTCGTGCGTACGAAGATTTGGAATCAGCATTCCTCAAAGGCGAAAATTACTTGAGTTATAGCAAGCTTGATGCCAGCTTACCAAGGACATACGCCTTGAGTAACAAATTTCAGACCGGTTATTTCAGTTCTTCAACTACTAATACCTCGATAATGGAATATTTTGATAGCCAAAATAATGCGGTTCTCCAAGATATCAAAGATGCTGCTAGCAGTAACAACACTAAAGTTTCAAGTAAGATAGACAGCTTATTTATGAAGCTAGAGCGAGATAAGATCTCTACTAAGTCATTTTATTTGCCGTTCAATCCGTATCTTGATTCGCAGCAGGTGGTGGCCTACGGCTACTCGGTAGCGAAAGAATGGTGCGAAAAGTATGATGTCAGCTATAATTGGAAATTGTGAGTCTCATAATGCATGATAGTTAATTAATTTTACAATTTTGACTGGATTTTCATCTTATCCTATGCGGAAACTTTTTGCAATTGTTGACTTTATCAGTGGTTTTGTATGACGTAATAAATTTATTGGCCATTTATATTTTATTTTATTTATTCTCTCATTTTTTTTCTTATTATTTTATATTATTGTGTTTTTAGATGTATAAGATGTAGTATAATTCTTCAAAATTGATTTTATGTTCGGGATTTAATAGTGTGAAGGCAAATAATAAATAATTTTTTTTATAACCAGGATAAGCATGAATAGTAACTCTTATTCATCAATCAGAAACCAGTATAATTCACCTTTCTGAAAACCAGAAACCTCGCAGAATAGATTTTCTCAGCAGTTAGCTTTTTTCATTCTAACTCTTATCGGGATATCTATCTCCCAACGGTTATCTTTAGGCGAACAGCTCGCCAATCTTTTTTTTTTTTTTTGCCAAATTTTTCAAGTGTGTTGTACCCCCCTTTGGCAACGAAATAAATAACAACTACGGGATGATATCTCTCTTTTAATTGCAAATTATAGTGTCAATGTCATGTTGCCAGGTAGAACGTGTTTCTTCCTGCTTTCTTCCAGTGGCACTAATGTTTTTTCCCGCCTAAAAAACTTTTTGGGCGATAACCATGCTTCTCTGGTTACTCCTACCGTACACTGAAGTACCGCTCGGTCCCAGAGTATGTTAGCGGAAGGGTTCAGATTCTCACCAACAGCAAATAAATATGGGACCTTTTCCTTCCATTCCCACTTTCTCGTCATTGAAAAAATTTTCTTTTCTTTTCCCCTTGTTACTAACCCTCCTCCTAAATCCTTACTGACCCACTATAATTCTGTCCTATTTTGCGTGTGTGTGTGTCTGCCGCCAATTTTTCTTGCTGATAACAAATTGACATAATCTTATCTGTACCAAACACCCAAACAAACCCAAACATGCAATCGCACCCACTCCAACACCACGTATCCCAACGTTTCAAGTACCGTCAACAATTCGTGTTTGACCATGAAGAGGACCTGTCCATCACCCCCCATGAAAATCCCATCTCGTTGCACTTTGGTTGCCCTCATGATGGGTTCTTCCCAGTCGATTCCATCTCTCTAAACGTCGTCAATGAACCTTTCCAAACCTACAGGGATCCCCAATCGGAAATGTGCCAAGTCACTATCCCTAGAGCCAGGAGCCATCCTGACCAGGTTGACATTGCTGAAGCCTTTCAATACGGTGGTGATTATGGGATGGACCAATTCCAGGCGGTCCTCAAGGAAATTGTTTCCAAAAGCCATCTTCCAGGGTTTAATGACTGGGATTTTGTGGTGTCCTTTGGCACTGGTGATGCCGTTTACAAAGTATTTGATTTGTTTCTTGATCCTAACGATTCGGTACTTGTCGAACAATACACTTTTGTCCCAACTCTTAGCAGCATCACTTGCTTTGGCGCCAATTTAGTGCCTCTAGAAATGAATTTCTATGGAGATGGTATCGACCTCGATTATCTTACAAACCTTCTTGAGAACTGGGAAGCCCTTCATCCAGATAAAAAGTTCCCAAAATGTTTGTATACCATTCCCTCTGGTCAAAATCCAACTGGTACCACTCAAACCCTTGCTACCAGGGAAAAAATTTATGAACTCAGTTGCAAGTACGATATTATTATTATTGAAGATGATCCATACGGCTACCTTTCTCTCGCTCCATACAATGCGCCAAACCCATTTGATTCAACCCTTGACACCAGTACTTATTTTGAAAAATATGTTCCTCAAAGCTACATAGAATTAGATACTCAGGGTAGAGTGGTTCGTCTTGAGAGTTTCTCCAAGGTTTGTTCTCCTGGTCTTCGCTTAGGGATGATCATTACCAACTCTATGTTCATTGAAAAAATCAAGCTCTTCATCGCCATTTCATCAAAACAGCCTTCCGGTGCTTCTGAAGCGATTTTCTACTCTATCTACAAACATTTTGGTGGGTTCGAAGGCTGGTGCCGCTGGCTTATCAAGTTGTCGCACGAATACACCGCCAGAAAACAAGCGCTTATGAGTCAAATTTCAGCTTCTACTCTTTGCAAATCAGGGAAGCTTCATGTTTTGGAGCCAAGTCATGGAATGTTCCTTACTATTGAGTTCAAGTTCAAATCAGGGACCAATGTTCCTAAGGCTCTCAATGAATTAGAAAAAATCGGATTAGAACAAGGCGTTTTGTTTGTCTTGGGATCGAGATTGAGTTTTGAGGATGAAGGAAAGCAAAAGGCAAGCTTTGTTAGATTGGCACTTAGCCCAGGCAAAGACATAGAAGAATTGTCAATTGCCGGCAAAAGATTTATTGATACTTGCCAAATTTATTTCGCAAGGCACGAAAAAGATCAATAGAATATCTAATTGTATTATTTTTTTGTTTCCCTTTATTTTTATTTCTTTGCTTCCAGTTTTATCCCTTCATTATTTACTTTAGATGTGCAACATACACTGTATAAATTTTGCCCTATATCTATATATATCTTGCATCTTAAGAAGACATGGTCTTTGTAATGAATGAAAAATAGATATTTGAAATGATTGATACTCAGAATATGGACTGGGGAGCTAAAATTCAAATAGGCGGAAATTCAAAATTCGATAACCTTTGAGTGTATCTGTAATAAATGAAAAGGAAAATTCAACAATAAAGTTATTATATTTTTATCTATACCATGTGATAAACCAGGAACCCATCCTGAATCGTGTTCAGAATACCTATTTCATCTTTTTTTTTTTTCTATAATTATGTTAATCATCTCAAGAACATACGAATATCAGTTATTAATTGCCTGCAATTTGAAAGTGCACTTCCCTTTTTGGTCTGTGAAATTATCTTTCCTCTCTAGACCAATCGCCAAGCCATCCAAACTACTCCTGTTAATAGATGAATATATAAGAGATTGTGTAACATATACCACCAGTATCGTTGATTCATTACCTAATCAATTACTTATTAGATCTTTTCTATCTATCTTCTGATCTCTTTCTACCTTATTCCTTATCTTATTCCTTATCTTATAACCACTATTCTATACTTATAATCTATTTAAAAAGGTATTAAACAGCCTATTCCTTATGTATTATTTTAAGACAAAATCAAGTTAATATTACAGATTGCTTTTTACTTTAGAAAATAAGCTTCCGCTCATTAATAAACACTGTCGATGTTGAAGCATTTACCTGAATCTTTTGGGTAATTCCACAAATCCATGCGATCATGAATTATATTGCAATTTCTCAAAACATTATATTGTTTCAGATATATAAACTCATTTATTTTAAACAAGCCATAATCATATCTTAAATGCAATCTCTTCTCTAATTGAAAGTGAGGCTACAGCTGATGAATGGGTGCCGATGTTTGGGTGTCTATTGTTTTTTCTTTGATCTTATTAAGTAAGACGACTACAGAAGAGAGACCCATATTATATAAATACATTGCGCTCGACAGAAGCAGCTATAGAATATCGCTATGCCATTAATTAAGTCAAAGCACCAGAAGCTCATTCTTCAATGCTATCCTTCCGGTCGTGATGTCGACAAGAAACCTAACCTGTCTGAGCTTAGTTACTTGTTGTACTATGTTTCTACACGTCGTGTCAAACTTGAAAAAGTTGGTACCTTTCTAGAAAAGAAAACATTTGCCGACTTACACCATTTTTCACACTATGGAAACGTTCAGGTGTCTCTTCTCATTCTTAAGAACTTAATTGAGAAGTGCTCCGAAAATTTGAATGTGTTCGCTGGTAATTGTGTCAATATCTTTCACCAAACTTTACTCTCTAAGGATTTGATTCTCACCCAAACAACCCTCAAAGTTTTCAAAGTGTTTTGTAATCATTTAGATGAAAACTTATTTGTGGGGGATCGTGAATTGATCACTAAGTTTATCGACACTAGCGAATTGTTTTTGGACTTGGCCAATTCCAAACTCGCCAATTCTGCGGAAAACAATCAGTGGAAGATCATTGCCATCAAGGCTGCAAAATATCTTAGTAATATTGCCGGTTTCAATCTTTCAACTAATGGGAAAAATACTGAGAATGTCGAGCAAATTGTCAACCAGTCTTTGGGATTAATTTTATCCGTTCTACATCAAAATTTCAGCACAGAACAGCTTGAAGAAAGATTAGACAGAGTTGAATCCAAAGCCTACAAGCGCAATGATTTGAGCTTGCTGAAGAGCAGAACTAATGTATCATTCCACGGTTCTATTAGCGGTGCCCGCTCAGTTTTTGATGGCGTTGCCCGTGACAATACTACCGAAGATAACGTGGATTTGGACACTGAATGGTCGGACGCTGATTGTGCCGAAGATGCACTTATTGCCCTTCAGACTTATTTCTCTTCTGCCGTAAGTAGCGAATTGAATATCAGTTTGCGAGCCGTGGATAGTTTTATAAAATCATATGCCAATAATACTGATATGAAAAACTGGACTAATTACCTTATCCAAATTATCGTCAACTATGCCCCTGTTCAACTTAGATTCCTTGTCCTTACCATTCTCATCAACCGCCTTTCAAGAATTAGTGACATTGATGGTGCTGTTAATGTGCCTGATCCAAAACTTCTTCGCTATCAAATAATTCTTGCATATACCATTTCTGGGTTGTTGAATTCTCGTGCTAACATGATTGGTCTCTCAGTACTTGATATTTTGAAAAATTTGTTGGCACTTCAATTAAATGCAGTTGAATGGGAACCATCGCCAACTTGTGTAAAAGATGTTGCGGAAATTCAAAGCCATTATGTGACATGTATTAGTAGTCTATCAAAACATATTTATTATCACGACCAAATCGGAGATATTATTGAAGAAATCTTCATCAAAATCAATGACACTTTTGCTTCACATGAAAATGTCAACCAACGCCAAATATCAATCCTCTTTGAAAATATTGATGAAATTTTAGATAGCGGTATTTCAAAGTCTTCTAGCCAACAAACTGAGGGAAACGATAAAGTCGATGGGATTGAAACCTACATGGGTGAAAATATCAATTCTATTCCGTCTTCAGTCGCTGCTGCCAGCAACCTATTATATCCTATGATTAAGCAGAAAGCAAGCGTATACATTACTGCATGGTTAAAATTTTCCATGTATCTTAATGGCAGCGAAATTGTTGAGTCTGAGATCTTTGAGAAATATTATCGTGTTTTAATCAAATTACTAGTGATCGAACTTGGGGGTCACGATGAAGCTGAAAATTTTGTGAGAGCTCTTGGTCATGCGAATGCTGATGATTTCAATAATAATTATCACTCATTAAGTAACCAAATAAGGAAGCTACAAGTTTTCAAGAGTGAAAGGCCAAATTATGATAATTTAATTCTTGATCTGTTGCGCTCCAATTTCCTCGACGAACTTCTCAAGAATTTTGATAAAATATTGGTATCAGTTGATAATGAGAATTTATGTAAATATATTCTAATCGTGAAAGTGTTGGTTCTTGAGATTTTTGGTATTAATTTCATTTACAATATATTACGCCACTTCCTTAATTGGCAAACCAGTGATTTTGATGACGACAAAGCAAAACTAAGAGATTCATTCGCTTATAGTTTGCTTTTAAAATCAGGTCAATACCTTTATTTGAAGTTCCAGAAGAATGCTAACACCGTTGATGAGCAATCACCAAATCCATTCGATGAGTTAATTGAAGAGGTCTCTAAAAAAATTAAGGCTCGTCTCAGCAATGATCTCTGGCATAAGAAAATTCCTGTTTTTATTAGATCATCAACTGCTACTTCTGACCTTTTTTTCACTGAGGATTCTCTTATGAACTTCTTTGATCTGGATGAGATTACTCATAGATGGATAGTCGATGTATTCAACGGACAGCATCCATCATTTTTACCACCAGAAGACGGACATCAAAATAATTTTACACATGAAAAGATTCTAGAAAACGCTAGTGTTTTATCTGCATCGCGCCTTGCAGCCAATTTGACAATACCTGGAAACACAACTCTTTTATCTTCTAGTGGGTTCACATCTTTCAATAACTTAAAATCTACTAACACAGGAACGATGTTCAAGGTCAATGATTTGAAGAGTGTGGTCAGCAAAAGTAATTTACTTGATTCATCTCCACAAAATAAACTAGAAGAAGTTGATATTCAAAAAATCCAAGATGGGCTACATAAGATGCTTGATGGTTTGTGCTTCAATAATGAGCTGGCTTCTTCCACAAAGTTGAATCTTCTTGTGTGATGTTGTAGTAGCTAATGAATATTATATTCATTCACTAAATCTTTTTTGCCATTCTTAGTTTTGTCGTTTCTTGCTATTTTTATTGTTAGAATTATTATTAATATGGCTATATTCTTGGAAAGATTATCTTTTTTTTTTTGATTCTTCCTTTCAATAAATTATCCATTTACAAACATTTGACCACATAAAGCTGAGCTCTTGATCCAACCAATTGGCTCAAGCTATTTTATTTTTCATTTTTATTACCCGACCCATAATGATATTTTGATATCCGGGTAATGTAAATGGGGAAAATTTTTTGATAATGAAAAATATTCATTAAGAGAGGGAGAGAGTGCTTGAAGATATGGACAGATCAGTAAATAAATTAGTATTAGGGTAATAATGACCGTCGAAGAATTAAGTATCGAGGACGTTGTTATCGACCTTAACGAGGTTGACTTCTCTGATATTGAAGATAAATACCGTGTTGACGCCGACTCCGGTATCGAAGAATATGTGGTCGTTGACGGGGCTCCAATTGCTCCTGAATCAAAGGTCCCGATGTTGAAAAAGGTGTTGACAAAATTGTTCACTAATGTGAAGGCTCGTTTGACTTCTGGTGAAGATGTCGATGCTTTCCATATGCCAATTGAAAATGGTAAAACTACTGGCTACATGTTTGTGCAATTTGCTACAGAAAAAGATGCGGAATTAGCTATCAAATCATTGAACGGTAAGAAATTGGATGCTAAGCACAGATTATTCTTGAATAAGTTATCTGATGTTGAGAAATATGGGGCTGAAGGTGCTGTCAATGATGAAGCTCCAACTCCAAAGGTTCCTGAATTCAAAGAAACTGATTACTTGAAATCATGGTTGCAAGATGAAAGCGTTAGAGATCAATTCATGATCAACTTTGGAGAAAGTCTTGTTGTCAACTGGCAAAAACATAAAAATATCGAACCAGCCATGGAACGCTTGGATTTCAATACCGGGTTCTCTACGTTTTCTCCAAAAGGTTCATACATGTTAACCCTCCACCCTCAAGGTATCCAATCTTGGGGTGGATCACAATTCGAAAACATCAGAAAGTTCTACCACCCAGAAGTTAGATTATTAGATTTCTCTCCAGACGAAAAATATATGGTTTCCTTGAGTCCTGAACCAATCAAATTACCACCTGCGGACCATCCAGCTAGAGCCTCTTTCCCATTTGGTCCAGAAGATGAAGGCCATAAGTTGATCATTTGGGAATTGTCTACAGGTATTCCTGTTAGATCCTTCGCCTTGCCGCCAAACTTGGAACAAAACAAAAAGATTGAATGGCCATTAATCAAGTGGTCTCACGACGGTCAATATTTTGCTAGAAAAGGTCCTGATGCTTTGGCCGTTTATGAATCAAGCTCCATGGCTTTGTTAGAAAAGAAACTTATCAAGATTGAAGGTTTGCAAGAATTCGAATTTGCCCCAGCGGGCGTAAAATTGGCTGCTAATAAGAAGGATGAAGTGTCCTCCGTTATTGCTTACTGGACTCCAGAAACTTCTAACCAAACTGCCAGAGTTACCTTGATGGAACTCCCATCCAAGAAAATTCTTAGAACTCTGAACTTGTTCCAAGTTTCTGACTGTAGATTCCACTGGCAAGATGAGGGTAAATACTTGTGTGTTAAGGTTGATAGACACACCAAGTCCAAGAAGACCATCTTCTCCAATTTGGAGTTCTTCAACCTCGAAGAAAAAGAAATTCCAGTTGAAAAGATCGAGCTTAAGGAAGCTGTGATCAATTTTGCCTGGGAACCAAAGACTGATCGTTTTGTCACCATTTCCCGTTTGGATCAAGGCCCAATCAATTTGGCCATTCCTAAGAATATCATTAACTTCTATGCTCCGGAGACTGATAACAAAAAGGGTAAGAAGAATGCTACTTCTGCTATTAACTTGAAGAAATACAAGAACTTTAAGAGTATTGAAAACAAGCACTCAACCAACTTGAACTGGTCTCCAAAGGGTAGATTCCTTGCAGCTGCTGCTATTGCCTCTTCTAATTCTAAGATTGAATTCTTTGACATGGATTATGATGGTAACACTGTGTTGGCCAGTGATGAAAAATTGAAGAATGAAAACGTTAAGGCATCCCTCAAACAAATTGGTGATGCTGACCACTTTGGTTTGACCAATTTGGAATGGGACCCATCGGGTCGTTACTTGGCTGCCTGGTCCTCTTCATGGCGTCACAAGATTGAAAATGGTTTCAAGATTTATGATTTTGCCGGTCATCCTTTGGTTGTAGAAGGTATTGACAACTTCAAGCAATTTGCCTGGAGACCAAGACCAGCAACCTTATTGACCGGTGGTGACCGTAAAAAGGTCCGCAAAATGTTGCGTGAGTACTCCGCTCAATTCGATGAACAGGATGCCATGGAGGCTAGTGAGGCTACTAAGGAATTGATCTTGAACAGACGTAGATTGTTAGAAGAATGGAGTAATTACAGAGCTTCTGTTGAACGCAAATTGCAACAGTTGAATATCAAGATAGATGTCTCGGAAGAAGTTGAAGATATTATCATTGAAGAAATTAAAGAAGAAATTATTGAAGAAAAGACCGAGATTATTGAATAAAGCTCTCATTCTTAGTAAAGTTTTAATATAATATATCACTTCATTTGTTTATTGTGATTGATGGTTTGTAGAATCCAAATTAAGATTTTATAGACGATATAATAATACGGGTACAACAGGAACAGAAAGGAAGAAAAAAAGAAAAAAAACATACAATAATTCAGCATAAACATTTAAACATTATATCATAACTTAACGTCTCACTTTTAAGATCTTTTTCTTCGGCATTTGCGGGAGTGATGGTGTAGAAGAAGTACTGGTTGTAACTTCGGGTTCTTTAGTATAAACACCTTTCAACTGAGGATGACCCATAAGGAATGGGCTATGTAATGGGACTATATCATTCATTTTGAAGCCCTTCACTCTTGGTACACGTTGTGGTTGGAAATCAGCGGCTTGGAGTTGGGGATCAAAGTTAGGTAATTTCAATTGCTTGACGCTTTGTAAAGTGGTTGGATTTTTCTTGAGGTAAACACCAACTTTTTTTATGAGCACTCTCTTGTTTTTCACCATTGAATTTATGCTTTGGGAATCCTTCTTGATCAATACCCTGACTCTACCAGAATTACCAAAATCTTGTGGATGTGTCTTATCAGGTTCAAGAACAGTCTTCAATCCTAGGCGAATACAAGCATCAGAAATAGTTTTGGCAAGGGGATTTTGAACAGCAAGATCCTTTGGAACCCTTCTCCCTTCTTTTTGTGAGCGATTGATATCGAAGTAACAAGGATAGATTATCTGAAGTGTTTTCATTTCTTCTTGCGAGGTCAACGGAAAGTCAGCTTCGTCAACAGAAACAGGATTACCATCTTGATCAACAAGCATTGGAATACCAGTTCTCCCACCAGAGCTCCCTACATTAACATTATTGTTGCCACTGCTTGGAGGATTTTGCATTGGGATATTTGGGAATAATGGAGGCTCCTCATCATAGTTTGTAGATTTTGTTACTGTTGGTTGGACTTTTGGGGCAATGTGGGTTTTAAGAGATGGGTCAAATTGAGCCAAATCCATGTCCATATTATCGATATCATCGTCGGATATTTCTTCAAGTTTAGGCATCTTTGATTTTATATATTGGAAGTCCACTATCTAAAGGTTGATCTGGTTGAATGTTCACTTTTTCGATTGTTCTTTTTTTTTTCCAATTTTTTGGATGTATAGGGGGTGTGGAGGGTACTACTGCACACCCCCAATGGGTGTATAATAGGAGCCAAAACAGCGGGTCATAAAAAGAAAATGATTTTTATTTTCTATAAGGATTTAAGTGATTTATTGCAAATATAACTGGTTGAAAGAGCATAACTAATATGCAACTTCCCACAGAGGGCGAACTCCTGGATATCCAAGATATTATCCGTAATATTGAAGAGGATTTTCGTTCAGATTTAACAACCCATTTGTACCTGGCGTACTTGATGAAGCTAAACAATAAGTTCGAGCATCCTAAAAAAGAATATACATCATGGCCATTACCATTTCAATTCATCCCTGACCCTAAATCTACATCAATATATATTGATGAGAATAATCCATTCAAAATGCAGCGGATTGCATCTAGGGCTACGGGTACTGAAAATAATAATGAAGATGATGACGTTTGGATTGATAGAAAAAGACCAAAGTTTGATCGTCGATTTAGACGATTCATGACGATTAAATATTTGTCACAATTTGGAAACCCAGAGCAGGTTAGAAGATATACAAAAATACTTGCGAATCTAAGGGAGTTGAATAATCGAGTACCCGAGAACTTGGAAAGTAATAAAATGAAGTATGCTAACGGGCAAAGGATATTGCCAGATGATCGCTCTGAAAATATTGAAAATATGGTACAATTCTATGATAATAGTACCTCAAAGCTTAGTGACACTGAACCTGTGGGATTTTCGAATTCAGGAGATATGGAAAATCAACAGGATGTATCGGATGAGGAGGACGAAGAAGGAGACAATGAAGAAGAGGATGATGAAGAAGAGGATGACGAAGCCTTTGATTACCTGGATATTTCCTCTGAAGGAGAAAAAGAAGGTACTGAGTGTGGCCTTGAATTTGAAGATGGCTCATCACCGCACGCTAATTTGAAGATTGAATTGAATGGTCTTTTTCAACGATTGATCTACTCGAAAATCAGTCTGCACTCAGAAAAGCTTCAAAATCAAGGGGAGTTATCAAAACCTCTTGAAGCCCTTGTTGAGCCTCCTCCGAATCTCTCAGAGCCTCACATGAAAACGTTATTCCATAGGCTTGATGTATTACTTCAGCATATTCTCCTTCAGAGAAAGCAGCTTTGGCCAAAAGGTAGCGAACGTTTTTTTGGTCGGCGTACTAAGCCCATGAACTGGGCGGACATTTTGACTTTTTCTTGTTTGGCAAATGATGATGGCAATATTGCTTATCGTAAAATGTATAGGCGGAATCATGAATTATTTGTTCAGGCGCCCCGAAATTACATTCATCCAAAGCATCAGGCATTTACGGAAAACCATTATGCGTTTAAGGATTGCGGCACACCTAATGAAGAGCGGCTTCACAAAAGACGGAAATTTGAAGATACAAGGGCGCTGTTGGCTAGAGGCCTTTTAGAACATAGTAATTTGCGTCCCCCATGCTTTATGGCTCGTATCCAACGGAGGATGAAATCCTGCAGGTTGATGATTGATCCGATTATTTTAAAAGATCTGAATATCAAAAAGACTTTTCAGCATATAAGACCGCGAAAAAATAACGGTATAGCTAAGAAAAATAAGCCTTTGGAAGCTTCTAGAATTCATAATGGTATTTCCAATGCAAAAGACAGAAATGTCAAAGCTCACGATTATAGCAGAGACATAGAGACTGAAGAGAAATTACAGGGAAAGGTAGAGGAACGCGTAGAGGTAGGAGATGACGAACGGGATTATAATACTGCGCAAGTCGTGATAAAGAAGGAAGAGGATAAAAAAGCTGTTATATGAGAAAGTAAAGTTTTCAATGCAAGACAATCTAGGATAAGCGTTTTTTTTTGTTTTGGTATTTTGGGCTAAATAAACAAATTACAAGGTGATACAGTTTTTGCTGTAATTTATATGCTTACAAGCTCCTAAATAAACATCTCCAAGTAAACAACACTTAATAATTTTTCTTTAAAACAACAGAAATACCCATGTCAATTTTGTTAAACTAGATGATAAATATAAACATAAAAAACCTCCAACTGAAAGCTAACTAGCCCTCGTTACTGAACTTAAATATACGAAGAATAACTAAAAAAAAAAAAATCCCCCAAAACTAAAAAAAAAAAAAAAAAATCATCATCATCATTCACTCATCAATTTTAAGTGTTTATTAGCCTTTCTGATGCTTGAATTGATGATAAACAACCACTTCACAAATTCATGCATGTCATCATCCTCGATGGCCTCACTTAAGCCTGGAAACACTTGACCAGAATAGCCGGTATTTCTTCCAGCAGCATAAATGATATGACGGAACCATTTTCTACCAGTCAAACCTTTGTAGTATAGGAAGTATCGCTCAACAAACTTCAATTTCGAGTTTACTGCTGCAATTTTAGCCATGATTCTACTAAGTTTCCAACGATAAATTGGGTTCCATGGAGAATATCCACGTCGTTCAAGATCATCCAACTCAAATTTCAAATCCACCATACGGGCTTCAATTTTGTAGGATGTCCCAATAAAAGAGTTGATGGAATTATTTGTTAAAGAAATAATCTCTTTCAAAGATTTTTCCTTCATTTTTGCAAGATCACAATAATGTGAATTATCATTCCAGTTATCATAAACCACACCAGAGTCACTGAAGGCTTGCAATAAATCGTCAAACTCTTCGTCGAGGACACTATTTTCAAAAGGCAAGTTCAGTTGACGACAGCAAGTTCCCACAAGAGTCCATTCGTAATTTGTAGGTTCATTCAACCAATGACAAGGTACTTTTTTCACTGTTAATTCAAAGAATTCTTTAATTAGTTCACTGTTTTCAATGGCCCCAAATCTCAAAATTTTATTCTCAACAAGGTCCAAAGTAACCAACCCCAAATATTTAGCCATAGTATTGTGTAATTTAAATCCAGGGTCACCAAACTTATTCATCCAATGATAAGAGTCATAGTTTGAATGATAATGATAAATTGGATCTTTGTTGGCTGGGGTAAAGCCAAGGTCGATAGAAGCGATACCCAAATGCTCCAAGAACACTGTGAAGTCAGAGCCGCTTCCCAAGATAGAGATGAATTTTTTATTCTCATAGAAATGATCAAACAAAGTTTTGTTATAAATTGGGTGTTTAATCTTCTGCGCATTTTCATTAAGAAGCTTATACAATAGTGGAGAGCCTTGCAATTTCAAATGACTGCCACTGGTTCCAACATCGAGGTTCAAGTAGGCAATGACTTTCTTTTGAAGCTCCTTGTGGTATAATTCACCAAATTCCGTTGACCCTATTAAACCGTACTCTTCACCATCCCAGGAAGCAAAACGAATAGTGCGATAGGGTTTCCAGCCAGTCATCTGCAACTCATGCAATGCTCTAATAATTTCCATCATTGTTGCAGACCCAGAGTTTGGATCACCAGCACCACCTTTGATCCATGCATCTCTGTGATTTCCAAGCAAAATGACTTCGTCTTTTAGATGACCTTCAATCTCTCCATAAACATTAAAAATCTTGTTGATTTTATAATCCTGAAGGTTGAACATGTTCAACAGCAAGTCAGGGTTTGGTCCAATATTGTAGTTAACTTCCGAAAGGTCCCCTTCCCAACCATCAAATTTTAAACCATGACCATTCAAAGCTTTCAAGATTGTGACTACTTCTGAATAGCTAATAGGCAAAGAGGGGATACTTGGAATACTGTGATGCGGGTCAACCCTGTGAATATCATCGCCTTTGGAAGGCCAGCCAGGCGTAGTTGGGTCTCCAGGAATTTGGGATAAGAATTGAACAGATCCTCTTTGAATAGCCGATGGGTTTCTTGCTGGACCATTGGGATAAGCGGCATACCCATGGTCGACGGTAATTTCCCCATCATCCGAAGGTTCAGAATAAATTAAAACACCTACGGCTCCAGCGTTTTGAGCAAATCTGACCTTCAAGCCTCTAAAAATTTTACCGTATCTAACAATCACAATTTTACCGGTTATATTGACATTGTTGTCAATTAGCTTCTGGAAATCACCAACCGTACCGTAATTGGCATAAATATATTTAGCAGTGATATTCCCCGAAGCAGAATAGCCATGGAAAGCAGGTATCAATCCAGGACTATTGGTGGTAGGATCCTCATCAAGCTGGTCTTCCTTAAGGGTTGGATGATAAATTATCTCATCGCTGTTGGCATCGATCAACTTTAAAGATGTTTTACTTGGGTAGTTCAAATAAACGTCAAAGTCCTCAGTTTCCACATTACATAACCCAAAGTCTTCAAACTTCTTCTTTTGCCAATTGGCTAGCTCGATGTTTGTTCCTGCTAAATGAGGTGCCTTTGTGAACTCATAGGACCATTTGGCAGCAAGATTGGTGGCAGATAAGACGTTGAGGTAGCGCTCCGATAAGGTTGCTAACGATGGCGGCGATGAGATCAGGGGTTGTTGGTGGTTGGTGTGGTACAAAAGGAGCAAAAGACAAGCACACCCGAGGAATTTTTCCCATGGCCATGATCTCCGGGGCTTTCTGGAAACTTTATCTGCCAATGGCACCAAAAATTGTGATTTTTCTTCCATATTGCCTTGGTTTGATACCGGGGTGGCTCAATTAAAAGCTGGGGGAGGAAAAGTATGTGCTCTTAGTTTTTTTTTTTTTTTTTTTTTTTTTTTTTAAAAAATTTTTTTTTTCCTCATCGTTGACAAAATATTCAGCAGTAGAAGAACATATTCACCAAAATAAGCAGAAGATGAGTGACATTAAACCAGAAGAAGTCAACAAACCACAGGAACTCCCAGTAGTTGCTGCTGAAGAGACTAAAGTGGAAAATGTAAATAAGGAAGTGGAATCAGCACCAACGACAACTGAACAAGAAGACAAACAAACAGAAGAAGACAAAACAGAGGAACCAGTTAGTCCCGAACAAGAGGAGAAAGAGATCCTTAAACAAGTTGAATTCTACTTTTCTGATGCCAATCTCCCAAAGGACAAGTTCTTGTGGCGTACTGTCCAGTCCAATGATGAAGGTTTTGTACCAATTGAAACCATCGCCTTGTTCAACAGAATGAAGAAATATAGACCACTTGAAAAAGTTGTTAATGCCATCCAGAAGTCAGATTTCTTGGTAGTTAGCGAAAATGGTGAGCTGGTTAGACGTAAGGTCCCAATTGTTCCTCCAAATGAAGATGAACAGCGCGATGCCTTTCAAAGATCCATTTATGTCAAAGGGTTCCCAGTTGAAGAAAAGGACTGGCAATATGCTCTTGAAGGTTTCTTCAACACCTTGGGTCAAACGAAACAAGTTAGATTGAGAAAAGATATTGACAGAAAGTTCAAGGGTGATGTTTTTGTTGAATTCTCAACCAAAGAAGAAGCTGACAAAGTGTTGAACATGGAACCAAAACCAAGCTTTGAAGGCCATGAATTGGTCATCATGAGCAAGGGTGCTTTCACCAACTTTAAAGGTGTCGAAAAGAAATTCAAGAATGCCAACAGGGGTAGAGGCAGAGGTAGAGGTAGAGGCAGTGGTAGAGGTGGTAAGAGAGGAGGTTCTTCAAGAGGTATTAACAAGAACGATGACACTAAATGATTTTATTTAAATTGAGTGTTTGCCTGTTTGCATGTATATTGATTGTATTTTTTAACTTTAATCATTGAATGTTTCTATTAATTAATTAACGTGTAGTTTTTGTTTTTTTCCATTACACATTTATATTTGTATATATAAAATAGCATTAATAATATAGTGAAGATAAAGTATACTAAGCCTCATATGATCCAAAATTTTCCTCCCATTCTCCGATCTTATTTCGCAATTGTTCGATCATCTCTAACGACCCATTTTGATTACTCTCAAATAGCGCCTGAAAGTTCTTGATAAATTTTTCCTCTTCTTGGGAATCATCCTCATCTAAAGACGTATTGAGGCTGGTGTTGGCACTATTAGATGTAGAGCTGCCAAAGGCTTTCTGCTGAAAGGTATCTAGTAGTTTCTGATACGATTTCTCCTCTTCAGTCAAATCAACAGAAACATAATAGATAAACTCAGAAATTGCTGTGATTCTTTTTCTCATCTCATGTAAGGATATTTTCGGTGGTGGTATTCTTGGTTCAATAGGCTTATCGGAATTCAACAATATCGAGTTTGATCCATTAGTTCCACCATTAATAGTACTATCCTTATTTGCGCCTTTCGTTGACCTTCTCTGCGTTGACGAGAAGCTTTGGGATGTTGATGATGACTTAGCTTTTTTCTTTCTTGGTGGTTTTAGAGCGGTTGGATTATGAGTTGTACCTCTGGAAGCGCCATGATCATCTGTTTGATCATCCGATCTTCTTTTCAGTGAATGTGGCTCTTGGTCGTTTTTTCTAGGAGAGTGAAAATTTGTGTCTTCATTGTTGTCATTTGGCTCCTCAAATTCATCAAGCTTCTTTTTTTCATCAACTTCATCAGCAATCTCCAGCTTCACCGGCATTTCGTTTAGATTATCAGGACTGCCTTTCCTAGACTTTTTCGTTCTATGTTCTTTTTCTAGACCATCTGCCCCCCCTTGTAACTCCCCTTCGATTTCCTCCCCTGCACTATCATCAGAGCCTGTGCCTTTAGTTTTAAATTCTTTAGCCGATTCCCGTAAAACCTTCGCCAATAATCCATCATTCGAGTTCATAGTGGTTCTTCCATGCTTGCTCGTTGGCAGCTTCAAATCAAGCTCCAAATTTTCGGCCCCACTAGCTCTGGTGGCTCTAACCGGACGGGGTTTCTTCTTGGTGACTCCATTATTGTTGCCAGTGGCAGTACTATTCAGCTTTTTGGGTTGAACAGGAATATACCTTGAAAATGTCCCATTGCTACCCACCGCAATAGTATGCAAGTCTGGGCGACACCGCTCACACCAATACTTTTCGGGAACTTGTTTATCTTCATAAATAGAAACACAGTAACCATGCTGCCATACATTGCACTTATCGCACTGAATAAACAACCCCAATACTTGCTCATCATTATAATATTTATCGTTTGGATCAAGTCGAAGTTCCTGGTTTCCACAAATACAACGGGTCACTTCTCCATTACTTGAGTCATTCTCATCAAATTCTTCCTCTTCGAATGGTTCTTGTTCCTCGTCAGTTCTCGCGCTACGTCGCGACGATCTTGAAAGCCTACCATAATCCTCTTCATAAGGATCATTGTAACCTGAATATCCTGTCGAACGAGACTTTCGAGCTGACCTTCTGCTGCTGACCATTATATCTGGATGGATAACCACTTATTTTCTCCTATAACTTATGGTAGTTGTGTTTTGCTTTCACAGGAGTGACACAGGAGTGAAAATACAGAAATTTAGGCAAAATGTAAATTTGATCGATATGACACGTGGGAACCATTACTGTGATTTCTACTGGTAGCGGGTATTTTGTTCGGTAGTCACGTGTAAGGGTGAATAATACCAATAAGGATGGAGAGTTATTCCTTATCCTATAATAATACTTATCTTCGCTGATCTCGTATTAGCTATAGCAGTAAGAGATTCAAATAGCTATCACAGTAATTTGTCTCTAGCTATTTGATGAACTCACAACTCAACGAATGGTTCTGGATATAACAACTTGCTATAACACTGACTTATGCATGGGATAAATACATTAAGGTGTGTTATTATTTAGTATAAATAAAATGGGAGAATAATTAATTGATTTTTATGAGTTAACATAATAATGGGTTAAGAATTATTAACAATAAAAAAAAAGGACAACAAAATAAGATGAAAATAGGGTGACTATCATCGTACTATGTACGATAGTACAGATAGATGACACACTAAGGAAACTATACAGTAGTATTATTTAAAAACTGCACAGGGTACAGGAAAAAAAAAAAAAAAAGTGAAAATGGATCTACTTATTAAACATACAGGGAAAAAAAAAAAAAAAAAAACAGCCCAAGCAGCAATTTAAGGCAGTGTTTATCAGCCAATTCATAACATCATAATTCAAGTCGCAACGCAAAATAATCAATCAACATGATAGATCGATTCCAAGTCAAAGGACTCAACCAACTTCTTTTGGTCTTTACATCTGTTGGAAAAAGTTTTATAAAATCCGATACTAATATCCATACCTTTCAACTCTCCCAAAAGCCTTTGCTTTTTATTAAAATTTTCAGTTATCAAGTTATCAAACTTTCGGGAAATTTCCTTAGCAGGGTACTGCAAAACCAAATGACATTCTTTGGAAATTCTCATAGAATTATTGTTAACATAATCAAGATCATTGAGTTGAATTTGCAATTTCTTTGAGTATTTTCTTCTGAACGCATTTGGCATATCAGTCACTAAATAGTAAACCCCCAATGCAACAGCACTTGCCAATGAAAGCCTAACAAAAATCCTTGATGTGAGAACCTTGAACACTGTTGGGTATTGGGTAATTCCCATTAAGAGATTTTTAGTGACCAAGAATTTAGTAGATGAGCCAAGAAACAATAAAGGTAAAGAATTCTTCCAGTTAAACAAATCTTTTGAAGGCAGCAGTAAATTCCTTCCAAGTAAAGAAAAACCACTGAAAGATGGGGTTCTGATACCGAATGTGCTTAATAGGCCATCAAAAGAAGGATCAATAAAATCAAGGAGAGAAACCTCTCGATTAATATTTTTGATGATATGGTGTCTTTTACGTTGAAACATAAAATCCTCTCTGAATACTTTATCCTTTAAGAAACTTTCGTCATGCAAAGCCTCCTGACCAACAAGCTTCATTTTATTGACTCCTTCAATGGTCTTCTTTTTGGCATAAGATTCAGCAACTTCGATACTTTTAAGAATCTCATTAATCATAACCGTCTGGATTTGGTTAGCATATTTATAAATATCACTATTCATCAAAGCAACGTTGTCGGCTAACTGCTCATTCAATTTAGATACTGTTCCGCCTATTCTTTTTTTGCAGAATTGATACACGTCATCATTGATAGCTTCTATCATTGCAGTAACATCCTTATTAATCTTGTCATTCTCGGAAAGCTGTGTGTTATAAAATGGAATCAACTGATCCAATTGTTCTTTAATTTTTAGTTTATCAGCAGCATAAAGGTCTTCATTGTACACAGATAAACCTTCAAGATCAGACAAAATCTTGATGAGAAAGTTTTTAGCCGGTGCTAATTTGGATAAAGCTCTCTTTTCTAACACAAATTTTCTAAGAGAGGACTCTAAGTGATCAAAGTCTGGATCATCATGATGTGGGTTAGCCAGATCATCAACCCCATTATTATCATTACCACCGCTGTCATCCCCAGGGCCATCACCACCAAGAGCACTAGATGAGGAGACAAAATGTACAAAATCTCTTGCGTCTTTGTGTGTTTCTGGGCTTAGAGATTGGACCTGGCTCAAGATTCGCTTCATGCAGCGGTCTTTGTTTTTGATGGAATCAAACTTATTAACCACGATAAAGATAAATTGCTTTTCCTTTGCAGCAGCAGTTATGAATTCCCTGGCGGACAAAGTAAAATGGTTCTCCGCACTAACCACAAAAACTACCAAATCTATTTCTTCTTGCCTTGAAAACACTTCAGTCGTCTGATAAGAGTCCATATTTAGGCCCGGAGCATCAATTAATTTAATATCTATAACACCATTTCTCAATAGCGACCTATTAAGAGGTCGTTTATCATTGACGTAGACCTTCAAAATAGCATATTTATCATAATCACCAACAAGATATTCCAAATCTGACAACTGGAAAACTTCAAAAGTTGATTCGTCCTTTCTATTATACTCCGATCCAATTGGAACAGCATGGACTTCCTCAAGACCATCATTTTCGCGAGAGTCAATAACCTCCGAAAACACACTTGTGCAAGGTTGTTGATCTTCAGGTAATAATTTTTTTCTAAGTAAAGCGTTGCAGAATGTGGATTTTCCTGAGTTCAAGTCTCCGGTGACAAACACCTTGGAAGAAGTATCATCGATTCTTTTTCTGATAGCGAACAAATGCTTGACATTAGATTGGATTTTTTCATCTAATAATTTGGAAATTGCAGCCTGGTCCAAATTTGATACTAGATTGCCACTGTCACCAATCATCTTAATATCTAAGTTCAACACATTAAATGATGCAGCGGATGATAAGCCTCCATTATTACTTTCTGATTTATCACGCTGAATATCCCGATCACCTTGGTTTTCATTCCCTTTCAAGTTTTCCAAAGTTGATTTTCTCATGAGAGCTCTAATGGACTTCGCATCCTTTAATTGGTCATCGCCCAAGTTTCCAGATAAAGGATAAAATATACTTCTTGCACTATTTTCATTCAGTAAGTCCATTAATAATTGAATCGTTGTGCTAATAACTCTATCCAAAGCTAACCGATTGTTGTTGTATTGCAATTGAGACATTTGGGCCTCCATTAATTCGTTGAAATTAGTATTTTGATTTGAGTTTGGCAAGTCGTGAGAGTCGCCTCCAAAGCTCCCCTCATTATAAACCACGCGACTAGGGGATTCGTTATTCAATAAAGTACCACTATTTTCAGAAAATGTGTCCAATATAGTGGCTTCCTTGGATGCTTCACCATTAATCAATGTTATTGCTTCATCGTCCGTGTATTCATCCACTTTCTCTTTACCCTTTGAGTGCCTTTGCGGAGTGGACATGCTGAGTTCGATATTAAATATATTACCGTAAAAATACAGTGGCTATCTTGTAGAGTAATGTGAATCTTTGCAATAATGATAATACCTCCAAAAGAGGCAAACAGAGAAAAAAAAAAAAAAAAAAAAAAAAAAAAAAAACTGTTTTTGTGATGATCTCGTCTGGGCTGCGTAACATGATTGGTCTTTTTTTTTTGCCTCTTATTATTAATTACATGGGGAGACGTCGATGAAGAGAAGAACATAAAGAGGACGAGAGTGTTTTTTATCTATATCCCAGTATCACAATGCCTCAGTTGGAAAGAACCAAAAAGAAGAAATCTCCCTTGGTCAAGTCACGAAGCAGTGATAGTATCAACTACCATCCCGTCCGTAGCAAAGGTTCCAAAACTAGATTGAATGGCAATTTAAAAATGACTGGCTTAACCAAAGTGAGGTCTAATCCTGGGTACACTATTAGGAGTAACAGTAATCCAAAGAGTTATGCATCTAGTATGGTCAAAAAGAAGAACAAAGTAGAATTGGATCTATTTGCTAGAGATAATGATAGTGACTCCGACAATAGTCAAACTAAAGATAACGATTTTGAAAGTGATGATGACAATAATGGCCCTGATAATTTTGAAGATTATGAGTCTGATACGGATGGGAAAGAAGAAGAGGAACAAGTAATAAAAAAAGGAAAGCAAGAGAATAATGGAATAGAAGAAGCAAATACTAAAGAAAAAATGACTTCTGAGGATGATTCCATCAAGGATGAAGCTGAAACATCTGAGCATGGTGATATGATTGTGCCAGAATTATCCAAGTTGGCAGTTTCTCAAAAGGACTTAAAGGAGATACCTGAGGATATCAATCATGATCTTAATCATTCGCATCAAATATCTGAAATCAATAACCCGCAAGGAAATTCCAAAGCAATTGGTGAAGATTTAAGTGTAATAAATAAAGCAGAAGAATTGCAAGGTATGACAGCAAACAATAATGAACTTTTGACGGACCAAGAGCAGGATACTTTAACCTATTTGACTAATAGTGTCTCTGCAGGCCATTTAGATAACGTTGATGGTAACGAAAGTGAGAACAGTGACAGTGATAGCTCTACAAGCAGTGATGAAGAGCATAAGCCAGAAGGGGCGGAAGAGGGTATTGCTGCCGAAGAAGAGGAAAGGCCTGAAGATGAAGATTTCACTGAGAGGAGTTACCAGATTAATATTCCCAATCCGAGGTTGTTATCTTCTAGATTTGATAAGAAATTAAAGCTCCAGAGAGAGTCTTCTTTAATTGTCAATAATGATGGTACTGCTATCCCTACTCTTTCTTCCCCAGAAGTAGGTGCCAGAAATTCCAATAAACTATTTCCGAGTCATAACCCAGGCAACAATGCGAAATCTACAAAACAATGGAAATATTCTATGCAATATACAGAAACAGACTTGGACAATAGCTTTTTCAATCTTCAAGGTGCGAAAAAGCCAGCTTTCGAAGAAGGTAATACCACATCAAAAAATGGTGGGGCTAAATTGAATACTAGAGGAGGATTGGGATTAGCAATCAATAACGTTTATGGAGATGAGCCAATTGATTTTGATAATAGGTATATTAATATCAGAAAGTTAAATGATGAATTATATTTGGACTATTATAATTTACGAAATTTTTATAATCCCTTAATTAAAAGTGTCAAGGATATCTATAATTTCGCCAAATATGAAGAGAAGTTGAACAACGATTCGGAAAGCTTGTTTCGTTCAGAAAATAAAAATAATGTCAATATTAGGAGTAGAAGGAATACCAGCCATTCAAACTCTTCTAGCTTCAATCAGCTACAAAGCATACAGTCAAACATATCTTCTAATACTACGCATACAGCGACAAACAAGTCTTTGAGAAATGAGTTGATGCATTTATATCTGTTGCCAAATGATGGAGGAAATGATAATAATAGCTTATTTAGCAACAATACTGTCAAAAAACAACGAAAAGATAATTTGCTAATTTATGAGTATGAAAATGAATTGTTCGGAAATGGCCCCAGTGTGGTCAACAATAGTTCGATAAAGCAAAAGCAAAAATCCAAGAAGACGCCAACAAATCTATCCAAGAAGCATATTACTCTTGGTAAGATTCTTGTTAGAGATAGTGGAAACTTGAAATTAGTCAACCAGCTTTTTGCAAAGCAAATGGAAAAACATCAAAAGGAGAATATGATTACTACCAAAGTCTTTCAACAACAATTGGTAAATAATAACCCAAGCCTTGGAGGAAGTAACGTGGTGCCAGGTAATGTAGGATCATCGACTCCAAACGGTCCATTAGTGATGCAGCGTAATATGGGCGGACAACCCCGGTCAATGCAGCGAATTAACAGCGGGGTTGTAAATAATAATGTGAATTTAATCCAAGGTCACCAACAATATTCTCAAACTGCCAATCAACAGCAACCTCCATTAACGAAGGCACAGTATCAACAATTTCTCAAGGAAAGAGAGCAACAGCGACAGATGCAATTATTGCAACAGCAGAAAAAGCAACAGAAATTGGAGGCTCAGCAACAGAAGCAACAAGAATTGGCAGCCCAGCAGGCAGATCAAAACCGGCAACTTAATCAAAAACAACAATATGGTGATATATTTTAATACATGGTATATTTGATTCCAATTGATCAAACTTGTCACTTGAGAAACGGAGGCTATATTTGGAATCAAGTTATCGATTATTTTTTTCATCTTGCTTTTTTCTATTGCTTATGCAATAATGACTTTGTTGATTGCCATTGAAGACCCATTAGAAGACTTCTTTCAACACACACTTAGTGAAATAAAGAAATGGAGAATCCTGTCTTTTTCTATTTTTTTCCATTTTATTCATTATGTTGTTTTTCCTTTTTTTTTTTTAGAAATACAGCAGGTCATAGAAATGTAGAAGGTATATCCAGTATGAATAGTCTGATTGTCTCGAGTTACTCACTTCAGTTTTATTATAATATAACTTTGGCGCTTGCTCGCTGAAGAACCACATTATCATTAACTGAGATATTAATCTCCTCTCACAGTTTTGCAACGAGACTCGAGTGTAAGTTTCAAGGTTGTTCTTCTATACTGTATATTGCAGTTAACCAGTAATTGGAATTCTATATATATAACTTATGAGAGGTCTGTAAATTGGCAAGATTCTCCATCAGTAAATTGGCAAGATTCTCCATCAGTATATTAAGTGCTTTTCTAAATGTTTTTGTATCAACACAGATATGTTGAAGGTTCACTTGTAGTGCCTCATTTTATTTTGTTGGCCTAGTCGGAGTGAATTTCTTATAAACCTCAGCATAATTTTTAAGGGGAAATACTGTTGTTAGTGTAGCCGAAACAGTGTCCATATGCTGGCTATTCTTAGAGTTCATTGGTTTAACAATGTTTTGAAAGTATTATATTTTCCATCGCATTATATCATTTATCAAATTGAGAAAATATATAAGGATAAAAAATGTAATCAAAGAGCTGAATAATTTGAGCCAAAGCAAAAAATCAGAAAATACTACCCAAAACAAATTGAAGAGGTCCAAAGAAATTAAAATAAAGAAAACACACACGCACACACACCCGAAAAAAACAGTCAAACTTAAATATTCATCATTTCCGCTAACATACATTTAAAAAGAATCACTTTACCATCATTATTATCGACAGGAACTTTCAGCGCTTCAAGTAAAAATCATTTTGGAAACTTCAAAAGACCATAAACAAAAACATTCTAATAAAAAAATATTTATTGGAGAAACCCTGATAATTAAAAACAAGTAAGTAATAGAGAACAATCTACCAAAAACAGCAACCTAAAAAAAATGCATCTCAAATTCTTAGCTCAGATAGTTCAGTGTCATCAAAGGCTAAAGCTTCGCCATATGTTGGAGGGGAAAAGCTAGAAACTTGGTTGTATTGTGGTGGTACCTCTTCATCCCAAGATATCCCAAATCCTGATCTCTCCGTAACCAATAACTTGAACTTCATCCTAAATAATCTAGTTAGGCCTGATGGAATAGTAGTAGTGCCATGATTAGTGCCCTTGGGGTTACTCGAAGACGAATTAGGTCCCAATCTATCAGTAGCTGGTCCGGAGTTAGTAGATGTTGGTGTATGCTCTGATGATGGGGATGTAGACTGAGGCAAGCTCTTTGGAGAGCTCTTCAAATTTCTGGCTTCTCTGAATGAGGCGCTTCCGCCATTGATTGGCTGAGTCAATTCTTCAGCTAAATTAGCTTCCATAATCAAAGTATGAGTTACATAAACTCCATTTATTGGATCATACACTTCACAAGCACAATTTGCGTCGCTTCCAATATCCAAACCACGGTCAATGTGTGATGGCGAAGTTCTAGAGTCAGCTGCTTTGATGTGATTGACCAATCCCGAGCTGAGTCTCCGACATGAAACATCAACTGCCACCTCAATGGTACCATTGTTTGAGTAATCCAGCTTCCAGCCTTCACGAAGAGCACCCTTTTCAATAGTTCGAACTTCTTCTAAAAACAATTCGTGCTCATCTTCTGGTGGTACAAAACTCGTTTGGTACAATGGGATTGAAGACACTGGATTAAGTCCCGATGCTGGAGCACTTGTCTCAGAAGACACAATATTATTAGCCTCATGATCACTGGGATGTAAGAAAGAATCTTGATTTCTTTCAGTAGCAGCAATTTCCTGGCCTTCTTCCTCTTGATCTGCTGAGGGAATGTCCGCTGGTGTGGCCAAATCATGACGGCGTCTAACAGTACTTCCCAATGAATAAGTACTCCCAGGAATTTTGTGCTCTTCATTAAGTCTGATATTGCTTTCAATGACCTTTAACTTTGTTTTGTGGTATGACAAATCGCAAGAGTTTGCCTTGATTTGTGCAGTTTCTTCAATTCTCCATTGTAAGCGTCGTAGTCTCCATCTTTTGTTGCCATCTACTAACCCTTCAAATTTGAGCTCAACCACAAAGTCTGACTTAGGATGAACCACATTTGGTATTGATGCGGCAACAGTCACATTGCTTGGGGGAAAAATTCGAAGAGAGTTCTTTTCAAGGCCTTTAATGATAGAACGAGATACCCGAATTGGCATTTTGACCTTTATTTCACAAGATTTTTGTTTTTTCAGTTTCAGGCTTTCATAAATGCCATGGGATTGGGCAACAAGCTCATAACGAATCGTGAAGGCGCCAGAAGACCCAACGGCACACGTTGGTGGCAAGTTTCCAGGTAAGATATGTGAAAATGGGAAAGCTTGTTTACCTGGAGGAAACAAAGCTGGCTGTGTTAATACATCCCAACGCTTGAGAGTAGTAACTTTAGTTTTGCATTCCAGGCAATTCGCCAATGTGTTAGATGGGGGTAAGAAAGGCTTCCCATATGTGATAATTTGATTAAGAGACAAACTGACAGACTTTAAAAGCTGTTTAGGATCTGAAGGAGAAAGAGATGGAGACGATGACTGAGAATGATTAAGAGAAAGATTTGATGCCACGGGAGTTATCGCCGGGGATCTGGTAAGGAGAGTGGTTGACGAAGCGTGTCTTGCGGGTACTGCCATAGCAGAATTTGCCGATAACGTCGGATGAAGATCCAAATGTCCATTTGTAGGGAAAGGAATGTCTAAATATAGAAGCCCTGAAAGCAAGTAACCAGTTGACTCATTAGGAGGCCCGTAAAGAACCACTGGAGGACTTTCAATAGCGATAGACAAAGAATAGGGAGACTTTGAAAAGTTAGCATGTTCTTGATCAGCTACTGGACGAAGCGCTGGTGATGACGAGCGAGAGCGGTGAGCCTTTGATAGTTTAGAGAGAAGAGTCATGATGGTTCTTGGCTAATATATTGTCCTGAGGTGAGCAAGGGGGAGCTCTTTCTTTAGTTTTTTATCTCTCGATCTTTTTTTTTGTTGCATATAAAAAAAAAATCCAAAAAAATTCCGTGGGAAAAATAATTAGGATTTTCCACAGTGTCTTGCGGCACATGCGTCACAGTACCTATCAGCACTGACCACATCCTCAATCATGGAATATAGCAGATATGTTTGCAAAAATACATCTCAGAACTATATCTTATTTGGGATTATGCTTATGTTGATCATAGTCCGATCCTGCTATATGGATTCTGAACTGCACAATAAGTATACTACCAGCTTACTGGAATATTGACATTACTTGTTTGGTACAAGATGACTATCAATAAGGTTACTAAAGTATACAATAGAAGTATATAAGGGCAATTATCTTACCGTAACATTAGAGGGGAACGATGATATAACAAGCCAATAACATCGACTTTATACCCCCTAGTATGAATAATATGAACATCGTTCGATAGTTTATAAGAACTCCTTTGTCGATGTATCTCTGCTTTTCAAATTGTGGTGGACCACAAAAAAAAAAAAAAAAAAAGGAAAGAAAAGAAAAGAAGCTTCAGGCAAACCTGGGTCAACAAGAGATCATTCGCTGACGAAGGTTTTTGTTATCGATAAGTCAGAGTGGCGCATTGTTTCCACAAACTCTGGACTTATCGCCCTGTTTGCTACAACTCAGAGAAAGTACCTTTGAGTCAGCAGAGACCCAAAAATGGGATATAAGCGCCTCTTTGGTCTTGATTCTTAAATCATTCTTCATTCTGTAGGTGCATGGCGAATCAATCATATGACGGACATGCTTTAATATTTTGAGTTTCGTCCTCCACTTGTGTGCAATTCACCTGAACTGCAAAATTTGTAAGAAAGTCAGATAGACATGAAATAATAAGTTCAATGTGATACAGGAATCATGAAATATTCATATGAGGAATTTTGAGTAAAGAGAATGTTTTGTTGGCATAATATAGTGACAATCTGAATTATAATAATAGATGTAAGACACCTACCATAATCCACATTGTGCACAACGCATGCGTTTGGCACAAGATACGTGCAGTCCGGGTAAAATGCGCTTTTCTTTCAAATGGACAGGCGCAAAGCTTTAGATGTAAGTGATATTTTGCTACTAAGAACTGGCTTATCTAATGGAATTCATATAGATAGGATATGTGCTTATCAGCATATTGTAGCATAAACAATCCATTTTCAGGGTGTAAACACCTCATCAATATAAGCCAGGGAAGAGGCTCGGTGTGTCTTTTTTTATAGGGAACAAATTAACCTTTGAATATGTATCTATCTGTTATACCACCGCAATATATCGTATTTAACCTTATGAAAACTAGAGAGTTACTGTAGCCATAGAATGCTTCAATTGGGTGACAGGTTACTGGTGGGGCTCGATTTCAGATACATTGCCTCCAGCAATTCGGAGAATCCAAGCTGTAAGTTTCTCGGTGGTGTTGAAGATCGATGACAAATTATAGGCAAGGGAAGAATTGTGTTGTTTGCCTTCCCAAATTCTCTCTTAACTTGAACCATAAATATTATATCAGCTATTCGGTAACATGAGGGATATCATTTATCAATGGCTACGTAATCACACATTCACTCATTTTTAATGAATGGATGAAGCACTATGACACTGGTGTATTTTATGCTAAGGTTATTTTCCAGTCTCAGGTAAATTCATCGCGCAACTTTTTGTTGGATCTGCAATGGCTACTAGCGAGTCTGGTATTTAGAATGTATGCCTTTTCTTTATTCATACTACACTATCTACTTGTAGTTGACCAGAGACCTCTTTATATAGTCCTCAGTGGGCCACCAGTCTCCCGTATTCCAAGAGGCTCAGCCTATGGCTGTATGGTGTTTCACTGTGGTATCAGACCTCACCTTGTTACAGGATCACTAATTTATTGTTACTGCATTGGTTGATAATAGCAATGTTGTGATGGCAACACTCAAACAATATACTTGGGAAACTTCCTTCATTTTAAAAATTCGGCTTGTGTTTGTGATAGAAGTGTATGCAGATATATACATTATGTTAGGTAGACATAGCTATACAGACAAAAATTCAAGCCATAATCCGAATGTGAGTCAAAATCGTCAGGAAATTATTATGGATTCAGCCTTATTTTATATCGAGAACGGTGATAGCTTTAAAAGGCTGTTATATTCTTATGACTGCTTTACTAGCTTTCAATTTTTTAATAAAGTATTATTAGGACAAGCCCGAAACATTTCCGAGATATTGAACCTATCAGTAAAACAAACATTATATTTGTTGATAAATTTCAATTGGAGTTCAAAGAGACTAATGGGAAAGTATTGGGAAGAATATTTAAAGCCAGATAATAAGTTTTTGGTGGATATAGGAATCACTACCTTTAATGAAGATATATTGCAGGGGAGAAACACAACCCTTGGAGTGTTTAAACAGAAGAAGGATGGATGGGCTTGCCCTGTTTGTTGTTTTGATGATATTCCTGGTAGTAAGGCTTTTTCATTACAATGTGGACATTCTTTTTGTGAAGATTGTTACCAAAATTATGCAAGGGGAAAAATTATCGAGGGATGTTTGATTAGATGTCCCCAACCAGACTGCCCATTAGTTATGCAATTTGAAGATTTTGATATCCTATTTCCTGAAGATACACTTTCATTAAGCGAGGATATTTGGGGTATAGCTAACAATTCAGAAAAATCGATTATTAAAAAAAAGAGAAAGTGGAGACGCTTTCACAAGGTTTCATTCGGTGTCTTTTTGAATGATGATATTGTGCGAGAAAGCTCTGTTTACTCTGAGCCAAAAAATGAAAGCATGGCTACAAGTAAGATTTTTGAAGAGGTTGACGGAGATATGTTTCTTGAATTAATAAACTATCAGAGTAACTCATTGAAGTATAGCACGAAAATGGATTATATCAATTACATCTCAAAGAAGTATATTGAATCAGACAATAACCAGCACTGGTGTCCTGCACCTGATTGTCCCTTTTTGATCCGAGTAAATGAACATATACCAGGAAAAGAGGAGCTTTTTGCAAAAGTTACCCAAATTCCTGTCGTTTCCTGTTTACAAAACCACTTCTTTTGTGTTAATTGTAATTGTGAAATGCATTACCCAGTGCCGTGTGAAGTTGCCAAAATGTGGTTGCAAAGGCCCGAATTATTGGCGACTACTTCATGGATTAAATTGAACACCAAGGCGTGTCCACTCTGCAAAATCCTGATTGAAAAGAATGAAGGATGTAATCATATGACATGTCGCAGTTGCCAGCACCAATTCTGTTGGGTTTGTATGGGACCATGGAAAGTTCATGGAACATCTTATTATGAATGCAATAATTCATCCAATTTCCATGTTAAGCCAGGAAAATACAATAATAAGGAGGCAAAAGAAAGGCCAACCCAATATGTTCATAGCTTCGAGGTTCGACAGGCATCTATCAATGCGCTTTGTATCATCCATGAAAGAATATTTGATGAAATTGAATTGCTACAAACGACCAAGAAAATCAAGTGGGGGGAAGGGCAGGCTTTGAAGAAATCCATTTCCCAATTCATAAATGTTGAGTCGACTTTACGATGGTCATATGTATTTTTATATTTCTTAAAAGATGACAGAAATAAGTCTCGGTTGGAATTTGAAGAGCAGCAAGCCAAATTGTGCAAATCTGTGGAAGATTTGTCTAAATACATATAGCTAGATAAAGGCAGCCAGAGCGCAATCGCATACATTTTTGCAGCGAGAGCGCAGCGGGTTTGTATGGGGCGAAAAAATGGATGTTAGCAGAGTGCAGCGAGAGCGCAATGGGCTAGCAGCGAGAGCGCAATGGCGATTATGGGCACATATAGCTAGATAAAGGCAGCCAGAGCGCAATCGCATACATTTTTGCATATAGCTAGATAAAGGCAGCCAGAGCGCAATCGCATACATTTTTGCAGCGAGAGCGCAGCGGGTTTGTATGAGGCGAAAAAATGGTTGTTAGCAGAGTGCAGCGAGAGCGCAATGGGCTAGCAGCGAGAGCGCAATGGCGATTATGGGCACTTAAAGTGGGGATATTTGGGATCTGAGAAGTGGAATGTGGAGTAGAGAAAAATAGTATTTTTTTAATGTCTTTATATTTGAGATATCTTGGATATTGAAAATGGGAAAAGCGGGGGTGTGGGACCCGTTCCGTGATGGAAATGTACCAGAGCAGCGGGCTGAGCGGGGCCTGAGCTGGATGATTTGTGTGGTAATTAAAAAATAAAAGATGAGTGAAGAGAAAGTGGAGGTGATTTGATATATTATGAGGATAGGATGATTGATTAGGGTATCTATATTGAAAATCAGAGAGGTCAGTTGGCGGTGGTTTGTGGAATATGGTGATGAAAGTTTGAATGTAATGAGAATTATTTTGGGAAATAGAAGATAAGGAAAAAAAGTAAGTATATCATCAATATATTTAGGAGATCTGGAATTGATTAGGTCAAAAAAATGGAGAAAATCGTAGGAAAATGTAGGAAAAATTGAAGATAGGAAAAATTGAAGATGATAGTTTTGATGGTCGGGGTTGGGTGTATGTATTACCTAGGGATACAGACGCGCAATCTGGAGAAATGCAATACATTGCAGCACAACCAGGAGACATTTTTAAATGAAGAATATTTGGTGGAAATGGCTAGTAAAGATGATGTTGGGATCTGGAGAGAATGCTGAGCAAAAATATATAATTTAATCTGAAGGATAATATAATGTGGTAGAGATATTGGCGTTTGAAATTTGCGTTGCACCAACAGGAGAAATTGGTTGGCACAGTTCGGAGAAATTCGCAGGGGGTTTGGGACCCTATTGTGAAATCAGGAGAAATTTAGCATGATTAAGAGGTCCCAATGAAAAAAGTGGGATTGTCATTTGAAAATTATAATATAGAGTATGGAGATGTGATTGTAAAAGCTCATGAATGTAGTAATTTAATTAAAAGAAAAATCAATTTAAAATCATATAAAACTATAAATTTTGAAGGCGTGTTAGAAAAATATAATCTATTTTTGTTAAGTATTTATATTTGGGATATCTTGGATATTGAAAATGGGAAAAGCAGGGGTGCAGGACCCGTTCCGTGGTGGAAATGTACCAGAGCAGGATGATTTGTGTGGTAATTAAAAAATAAAAGATGAGTGAAGAGAAAGTGGAGGTGATTTGATATATTATGAGGATATGATGATTGATTAGGGTATTTATATTGAAAATCAGAGCGGTAAGTTGGCGGAGAATTGCGGTGGTTTGTGTGATAATATGGTGATGAAAGTTTGAATGTAATGAGAATTATTTTGGGAAAGAGAAGATAAGGAAAAAAAGTAAGTGTATCATCAATATATTTAGGAGATCTGGAATTGATTGAGTCAAAAAAATGGAGAAAATCGTGGGAAAATGTAGGAAAAATTGAAGATGATAGTTTTGATGGTCGGGGTTGGGTGTATGCATGAGATGATCCTATATTTTGAAAGAAAAAAAAAGGTTATGAAAAAAGTAGGATCAGTTATGAAATAGTTGGGTGATTTTAATATAGGTTTGATGATAATAGTTAGGTTTGAGAATAAAATGTGGCGGAAAAATAGGGATGGTAAAGTTTGGGTGAAGGTCGGGGATCTTGTATGGGTGTGTGGTTGAGAGATGGGAGGTGAATGTCTATGTAATTTAGAAAAAAAAAGATTTATGAAAAAAGTAAGATCATTTATGAAATATTTGAGAGATTGTATTATAGATTTGATTCTAAAATATCAGATGGAAAGTAGAATGTGATAGAAAAATGAGGATAATATGGAATTTTGATGGGATATGTGTAGTAGAGAAGGAGATTATGGGGATGATATTTTGAGAGTATTTTTTATTCAATAGAAAAAGTAAGATTGTTTATGAGATGATTGATTGATTTTAATATAGATTGAGATGTAAAATGTTGGATTGAGGAGAAAATGTGGGAGAGAAATGAGGATGATGATGATTTTTGATGGGAGTGGGGATGAATGTAGGTAAGAAATAGAGGTCTAGATATTTTTGAGAAAAAGTTATTGAAAAAAAAAGGAGGATTGTTGATGGAATATTTGAGAGATTTTAATATGATTATAATCATAAAATAGGTGATTAAAATAAAAATGTGTAAGGGAAATCAGGTTAGATGAATTTTGGTGATGGTCGGGGGTCATGTATGTGTGTGAATTTAAGGGTCAGGTATTTTTGAAAAAAAAAGTGAGAGAGAAAAAGAAAGATTGTTTATGAAATATTTGGGAAATTTTAATATAGATATGATTGTTAAGTAGGAGATGGAATTGAAAATGGGGTGGGAAATCAGGTTGGATGATTTTTGATGGGAGTGGGGATGAATGTAGGTAAGAAATAGAGGTCTAGATATTTTTGAAAAAAGATATTGAAAAAAAAAGGAGGATTATTTATGGAATATTTGAGAGATTTTAATATGATTATAATCATAAAATAGGTGATTAAAATAAAAATGTGTAAGGGAAATCAGGTTAGATGAATTTTGGTGATGGTCGGGGGTCATGTATGTGTGTGAATTTAAGGGTGAGGTATTT